TGGAATGTAAGAGATGCACTTGCTTCGAGTATGGGATTGTCCTCTCCGTGTGGAGAGCTGCTGGCCTAGGACGCCCTGCAGTCATGCTTGGAGACTGCTTCGCCGCTGCCATTCCATCCTTCCTGCCCGTCGCCATCGGCATCCTTGTACAGTCTCTGATCCTTCCTTTCGCCTCGACCGCCCTCCTTCCTCTAGCTCTGTCCTCCGTCTTCACCACCGCATCGCCTCGACGTCGCCTCGCATTCGTCGCAAACTCACCTCTTTCCCATGGTGCAGACACTCGATATAGTCATCCTTTTGCGGCACGCACTCGGCCGGGGTGTCGGCCTTTGCGTAGCACTTTTGGAACTCCTGCCAGTAGGTGAAGCAGCGCGAGCGACCGCCGTTGAAGCCGAAGCCGGACTGTATGAGTGAGATCGTGCCATGTGATGATTAAGTGAGAGTGAGAGCGATTCGATTGGAAGGATGGGGAAGGAGCAAGGTGGTCAGTTGAAAGTGCGGGGAGAGGATTTGCAATCGACGAGTAGAGAGGCTTCTGAGATGCTGCTGTCCAGCTGCTCTGCGGATAGCCAGAAGTGTGACGAGACGCTCTGCTCGTTCGACAAGGCAGTGTCATCTTCCCATACTCACAGCCATCTTTCTATGCTAATCGCTTAAAGGGTAACGACGAGAAGATGAGGAGAGTAGGACAAGTCCGACGAGCAAGCGACGATGTCCTCCGCGACGAATGGCGGAGAGCAAGCCGACCTGATCAGCAACACCACGTGGCGCGAAGCTTCAAGCATCAGGCACACATCACTGAGTGTGCACCGCATCGTGCGACTTCAGAAGTAAGCGTCGTTCATTCGGAGAGCTGTATCTAGTTACAGGGGCTTGTATGCCGCTCAGTCGGGACAGAAAAGAGGTGTAGAGAGGAGTGGGAACCAGTTCAGACGTGGGGTCTGCGAGCGGTGCAGGATGAGCACCGTTCGCCCTGCCCTGCCCCACGACTCTTCGATAGCTTGTATTCAAGAGCGCTTAATTCCTCGCCCCTGTCATGGGTAACGTCAGCGCGGCCGCCTCCACTCGCTGCGGCTATGCACTTGCGACTGCTCATCGCCCTCTCCATTGCGCCCTGTTTTGTTGTGAGGAGGGCTGTAGGTTTACCGCTCCTGCCGCCTCCCCTCCCCTACCCAGATGTGACCCTCCCCTGTCCCTGCCCTGATCCTCCCGCTCCGCCTTGCTTGGCCGATATAGCCTGTTGCTGCTGCATCAACACCTGCTGCTCGCGCAGCTCTGCTACTTTCTCCTGCCAACGATGGAGCACGGCCACCTCGTGCACCGGAAAGCCAAAGATGCGAGGCTTATATCGTTCCACGACTTTGTGCAGCGCTGGTCCAGAAGACGTCGCGGCAGCAGCAGAGGCACCTGCGTGGTGCGGGCCGCCTGCTGATGTGGAAGAGGGGGAGGAGCGACGGCCGCCTGCGCCGGGTTGTGAGGGCCTGCTCGATCCCGGCATCCCTGCTGTGGACGTCGCTGGTGAGTCGACGTTCATTGATGAGCGAGCACTCATTGCTTCGTCTTTACTACCGCCCCCTTCATCGCCTGCGCCGCCCGGTACGACGCTGGCTCGGGGCGAGGTGTTGGCCGTGATGGATTGCTGCTGCTGCATCGCTTGAGCGACGGTCGCTGGCTGCTGCTGTTGCTGTGGTTGCTGATTGTGGCTAGAAGATGCGGCCGGCGGCGGAGGAGGCTGGGTCGGCGGAGGAAGAAGGAAGCCAGACTGCGACGAGGGCGTCTTGGAGGGAAGCATATGCGGGTAGACCATGAAGAGGAGATGCGGGAAACTGCTTCCAAAGAAAGCTCCATCGATGGTCCCATGCCTTGAGCTCTTGGGAGAGTAGATGTCTTCGCAGCGAGGGCAGTAGAGCTTGACTGCCTTCTGGAAGGGCAGATCGCTCAGCCCCAACGGCAGCAGGCTCTGCGAGTAGCACAGCACCCTCGGGCATCGACCAAAATCGCTCCTCTTGTACTTTTCCAGCATTTTTGCCAGTCCTCTCGACGTGATGATATAACGTGCGTGTACGAGGCCGTACAACAGCCGGCCCTGCGCCTCAATGTGATCTCGCGTCTCTTGGTCCAAGTCCTCCTCCATGGCATCTGTGACTAGGTCCAAGGCCTGCGGATAGTGCTGTACCTCTGCATTGAGGCCTGTAAGGTTGAAGCGGTCCAGAATGTAGTCATCATCGACTTCGCAGAAGTACTCATTCCCCTTGGAAGAGAGGAACCAGGAGACCCACGTCGACGTTGCGTACGACGACGCGGACGAGAGGTCGTCCACTGGAGGAGGGGAGGGGAAAGGAGAGAGATGAACGATCAGCGGAACTTAGCCTAAGATCATGAGCCACGACAACTTGTGCTCACTCGCTGTGGACTACTCTGTCTATTGCGAGACGCTATTTGGGCTCGTCTCGATGATGGTATCTGAATAGAGGAAGAAGTTGAGCGGAGACAATGGGGAGACGAACGGTTGCAGTTCGAGATCGACGTCTGCCCGCGTGGACCAGGGCGAGGCGATCGACTCGCGCGTCCATCTCCGTCTCCGTCTCCGCCTGCGCCTGCCACCGTCGAGGCTTGAAAATGACGACCCAGTTCCGTCCGCTCATCATCATCGTCATCTCACCTTCTCGCCATCATCGCCCTCAACCACAATGGCCCGCCCTACACCAAATGCAGTCAACAACATCCTGCGTGGTTCTCTCGGCACGATGCCCGGTCCAGGAGGAGCAGGAAGCATAGGTCATTACACGCAGCCGTGCCGTAAAGTCGTCCTTTCGTACTGCGCTTCTTCTCCCGCTTCGGCGGGCGTCAGGGATTGGCTTACAAAGAAGTGGGGCGCTGTCCAGCTTGCAAAGCAGTGGCCACAGATCGAGTGGGTGGTCAAGGAGGGAAAGAGGGGCAGCGAGCCGCACGTCACTGCGCACTATGGTGAGTCCCCAAATGGCAGCGTTTTGAGTAGGCCTCTCTGACCAAGCATCTCTCATCACACTACCTCCCACTCTACCAACTCCCTTCGCACAGTCAACTCCCGCACCAAGACCGTCGGTCTGCATGCCTTCCCCTCTTCTACGGTATCAGAAAAGATGCACCTCCTCCTCTCCTCGACGGGCCGCAAGCTCGCCGGCTCTGGTTCCACTCAAGGGTTTAATTCCTCCGAGTCGAGGAACTACAAGAAGAACGTCATCGAGACGACAAAGGGAATGGAGCCTGCTAGAGGGCATTGGAGCCAGTTTGGTACGGAGAGGAAGGCGATCGGTGCGGCAGTGGATGATGCGAAGAAGCAATCATGAGAGAGAGCGCAGGAGACGGAGGTAGACGAGAAGCATACAGGGACGAAGCAGGGTCAGGCAGGCCTTCTGCGTTTCTCAATGTTCATCATGTATTAGTACGAACCAATCAAGACGATTCCTGCCCTTGCTAGCGAACAGAAGTTTACTTCATCCAAGCCTCTTAATGTCCCTCTCGTTCTTAGTCAAGCGCCCCTGAGTTGCCCTGACCTCCTCATCCAGCCCATCCAAAAGCTCAGTCTGCTCCGTCAACTCCTGATTGATCGCCATGCCCATCTGTCTCTGCCTGCGTAACACGGCGGTCAGATCATCGAGCGCTGCGTCCTGCCGATCAAATTGAGCTTGCTGAGATGCATAGAGCTGAGAGGAGGATTGCTGAAGAGTTTGAGGGGTTTCGACGGCGGGCTGGTGTGCGGGTGGAGAGCCAAGGGTGCGGGTGGTATTCTGAGCAGTGGGAGCAGAGTACGAGCCAGGCACATAGCGATGTCCTGCCCCACCCTTGCTGCTCAGCCCAGCGTCAGACCCTCCATCGTGTACTGAGCCATCCCCGACCGGCATCAGACTCTTCGCACTCTCCCTCCTCGGCAGCTCAACAAAGTCACGAAAAGCCTCCGCCTCTCTCCATCGATCCTGCGGGCTGGCGACGATGGCTCGTAGGTATTGCTCGAGGCCTTGTCGCCTTTCCTCGAGAAGTGGGTCATCCGAAGTTGACGCCGAAGCTGATGTTGACGCTCCTGATGAGGTCCCTCCCAGGCCAAGCGTTGATGCCATTCCCCTCCACGTCCGTCTGACGCTCTCCTTCGGCGGTAGTGGCGCCGGCGGGATCTGGCCGGTTGACAGGGCCCTGTGTAGCTCCACAAATTCAGAATAGCGACGATATACTGTCCACGTCCTCACGGGCAGGCGAACCACGATTGCATAGACGACGTGAGGTGAGGGGAGAGTACGGCGCTCTGAGCGGGGAATTGAGATTGATTGGAGCGGCGTTGAAGAAGAAGACGCCATGCTGAAGTGCAAATGGAGGGATGGGAAGAGGTAGCGAGTAGCCAGAAAGGCAGACAGGCAGAGGACGGCCTCACTGAGGCGAATGGATGATGATGCGGAGGAGAGGCAGTGTGGAAAAGGGGGACAGCCAGTGGTGTTGCTTTCGTGGTCTCCACTTCGAGCTCAGTCCGCTTGACGGATCCAGTCAAGCTGGCCCATCGCCTCGATCTTGGTGTCACGTCACGCTTCAGGATCGTCAAAGGCATGGCAACGGGCGATGTATTTCTCGACTGAGAGGCATCGAGGTCCATGGATATCTGTACAGGATATCAAACAGGCAAGGAGAAGACGATTCGGAACGACGCGCAGGTCAAGGGGTATCGCGGCGTGTAGACGGGGAGAAGAAACTGCAGCTCAGTTTCTCAGTTCGGCAGGCCTCAGTAGTTGGGCCCGGCAGCGTAGCCTGCGCCGTATGGCTGCTGTTGCTGCTGGTACTGCTGTTGGCCGCCGTGTCCAGCAGAGCTCCCCGGCCTGCTCCCGTTGTAGATCTGTCCCGGTCCAAAGGATGGCTGAGGGAAGGCTTGCTGAGGGGGCTGCTGGTGATACGGGTTCTGCTGCTGCGGGCCACTGGGCGCTGGCCCACCAGCCCCTCCAGGCGCATATGGTGGGACAGCCTCCTCGTCGCCCACCTCCTCGTCAGGTACAGCGCTGTGTCTCTTACGGATAGCTAGCGGTGCCACGCCTGGTGCGGGTGATGAGGCCCCTTCGCGCCCGCCACTGAAGGAGGGGGCATTCTCCGTTGCTGGGCTAGGCATGCTCTGGTGATTGGCCGAGGGATTGCGGTTGAATCCCTTGCGGAAGGCGGCCGCGGTCATCTTGCGGCCCCCTCCAGACTCTGTCGGCTCTTGGGCAGGGCCCAGGCCAGGTGTCGAGCCCGTGTTCTGCTGCGAAGCCGCTGTAGCCCCCATGGCTGCGAGGCTGTTCGTTGAAGCGCTATTCGACATCATGGCACTGTACCTGTTTCCTGCAGCTGGAGAGGTCGGACGTCGTGCTGCTGCTTGGGCGGCGCGTGTTGAGCCGACAGAGGCAAAGTAGGACTCATCATCGAGGGCTTGCTGCTGCTGTTGTGGGGTGGCAGGAGTCCCGGAGGCCATTGCGGGTGGGCCGGAACCGCCGCCGGGCAAGGGCGTGGTCGCTCGCAAAGGTGGCAGACTGGGCGCCGCTGGTGAGGAGGAGTCGAGTTGCATATTCTGCATTTGCTCGTTGGGAGGAGGTGTGGATGGGCCGCGCGGAGGTGCGCCAGCGGCTGCTTGGTAGGAGGAGGTCCTGCTCCTTGGCCCTCCTACCAAACCTGAGCTCCTCCATGGCTGCGAAGGGTCCGGGAGACCGTCGGCCAGGCGATCATTGCCCTCGTGCTCCGGGCCGTGGCTATGATGGCTGCCGTCGACTGCAGCTCCTGCACCAGAGACTGCCGCGTCAGCCGTGCGGGCCCAGTCATCCTGCTCGCCCGTTGGCGTCGGACCTCCTTCCCCGGCTGCGGTCGTCGCGCTAGGCTGTGCCTCACCGCGCTGCGATCCGGCATCGGCGCTCGAGGTAAGCCAAGGCTGAGTCGTTTGATGGCTGGCGTAAATGGGCGTACCGCTGTAGTCGGCCGCAGCGTTGTACGTATTGTTGCCAGCGTAGGCATCGTAGGCGTCGTCGTCACCTGCTCGATTATATGTGCCGCCTGCACCAGCCCCTGTCCCGTAATTGCCTGTCGAGTCTCGCGAATGCTGCATGCCCGAGTTGTACGTGTCGTCGCCGGCAGGGCCACCATAGTTGCTTTCGTAGTGCGAGAGATCCGGTCGATGACCAGCACCACCAGCTGCGGGCCCACCACTCGAAGGCGCAAAGCCGACGTCTGCTAGCGATCGAGTCGCTTCAGAAAGAAGTTGATCCGTCCTGGTATGACCCTGATACTCCGCGCGAGGCAACCCTGGCTTCGTCGGTTCGAGGGAGATCTCATCAATCATCAACTTGCCCACTTCAGCCACAATTGTCAACTTCTCCGCCAGCTCCATCATTCCGCCGCACTTGAGTCCCATTGCCTCCTTTGATGTGCGCCTCTTAAAGTCCCCGATGGCCGCCTCCTCGGTCATGACCTCAATCTTGAGGCTCTCCATCTCGGCACGGTGCTCCTTGAGCTGAGTGGTCGTCTTGAGCAGCTCCTTATTCTCAGGTCCCATCTTGGACAACTTGCGCTCCACGCTTTCGATCTTGGAGGCTAGGTTGCGCTTACGAGACTTGAGGTCTGCGAGGCCCTCTTCGCGCGTGCGGATCGACTTGAAGTGAAGACGGAGCGTGGAGAGGTGGTTGTCGAAGCGGGTGTGGGCGGCGCTGTAGTGGCCGAACAACAAGGACAACTTCGAGAGGACGTCCTGAGAGCGTAACGAAGGGGATGTCAGCCCACCACGTCTATTGTAGACGCTGCATCTCTTGCCCGGCGGCGGCACTCACTGCGAGATCTTCTCCTTCACCTTCACTCCAGGCCTTGAGCGCATTTGTAGTTGTCTGCCAGGCAGTCGAGCTGTTGGAGTCTGCCTTGATGAAGGCCTTTTCCGAGTTGATGAGCTCCTGTAGTGAACGGAGGTCCCGATTGCCCAGCGCCGGCATCATCGACGTGTGGGCAATCTGCTGCTTCGTCTTACGCAGCATCGTGGAGGTGGCGAGGCAGTTGTGCGAGCGGTGGGTCCGATGGGTATCGAGTTCGAGGATCTGGGGTGATGGCAGATGTCAAAGGCCTCACTTGACGAGCGTTGGTACCTGTTGTCGAAGAGAGGGCTGTGTGGTAGCAAAGAAGTGAGGGTTCAATTGCCAAAATGAAAGCGGTGCGGTGCAGCCGACACGGCTCTTCAGTCGGCCACGGCCCAAGACGTCGACGTCGTCGATCCGTGTCGAGCGGCCGCCTCGCCTCATTTACTTGGCGGTCCGCGTGGAGGTCACTGCACTGCTATGCTGCTGCCGCTCATTCATTCTTGACCTTCAACACCACGAACAAACACAAGCTACCATGTCACGAGTCTCGCTGTCCTCGCTGCCTACTGTAGCAGCGCTGTACAAGTCAGGCACCGTCAAAGCGGCGTCGTCATCTCAACCAGCAGCTAGCACTTCTGCCATGGCCGATCGCATCAGGCTGACGCAGGGAGACATCACCAAGCTCGAGGTCGATGCAATCGTCAATGCGGCCAACAAGTCTTTGCTGGGCGGAGGAGGCGTAGATGGCGGTGAGCGCGAACAAGACGCACGGAGATGAACCTCAGTCCACTAATCACGCTTCCACCTCGTCGCCTCCAGCCATCCACCGCGCCGCCGGTCGTGACCTGCTCAAGGAATGTCGCACCCTCGATGGCTGTGAAACGGGCGACGCCAAAACCACTGCTGGCTACAACCTCCCTGCAAAGCACATCATCCATACCGTCGGGCCAGTCTACGCCAAGACCAAAGCAGAAGAGAAGCGCGCCCAGCTCCAGTCCGCGTACCGCCGCAGCTTAGAGGAGGCAGTCAAGCTCGAAGGGGTCAAGAGTGTGGCCTTCCCTTCCATCTCGACAGGCGTCTACGGGTACCCCATTGAGGAGGCGACGGATGTGGCAATCAGTACAGCGATGGACTTCTTGGAAAGCAATGATGCCCTTGAGTCCGTCGTGTTCTGCACGTTTAGCAAGGAGGACCACGAGGTCTACGTTCAGAGGCTGCCACACCATCTGGCTGAGCCCAAAGACGAATGAAGAACTTTGCGACGCCCGCTCTAGTGAGGTATATTACAGGAAACCATTAGATGGATGTGCAGGACCACGCTACAATGCAGCGTCCGTCGACGTAGGGTCCTCTTCCAACCACTCATCCTCCTCGGCAAGCCAACCCATGATCACCTTCATCCCAGGCCCATCCTTCATCAACAATTCGCCATGTGCGGCCTTCCAATCCACTACCAACCCGCCTCTCTTCACCCCTCTCCTCGCATGCTCGTCCAACTCGACCTCCTTCATCCCATGCTCCAACAAGTAACGCCTCGTCGCCTCACACGAAAGGATCGCATCCTCACCCGCGAGGAAGATGGTCGTTCTATGCCGATCGGTGAGGTGTGGGATCTCGTCTTCTGGCCAGACGATTGCGCTCGCCCAGTCAAAGTAGCGGCAAAGCGTGTTTGCTGTTCCGAGCTCGAGGCCAACGAAATAGCGCATGAGCAGGGCAACGGACGTAGGAGGAGGGGCGTACACGAAGTTGCCCTAATGACGACGACGATCGAAGAATGAGTGAGGGAACGGACGTGTCAGCGCTTGAGTTCTTTGTAGCAATACCACGTGTTCCGTCGTATCATCCCATCGTCGCGGCATCTACTCACCGCAACATCCGGAATCCACAACCTAACGCACACCGGATCAACGAAGCAGCTTCGCTCCACCTTCTCTCCCAGGCTCTTGAGAAGCCACGAGTGAACAATTGTTCCCATGCTATGACTCAAGATCTGGACACTTTCCCATCCCAAGTCGCGCATCGCCACCCTCAGGCACCTTACCATCTCGTGATGGCCCAACGGATGAAGAAAGTGCTTCGAGAACAAGTTCTGCGACGTGTGCGGCTGAAGCGGTATCATGAGGGGGTGCGTTTCGGCTACCTTTGATGCGCCAAGCTGTTGTACCAGGGAGTGGTATTGTGCCAGCCCGATGCCCAAGCCGTGCAAAAAGATCGTAGGGCGATACTTGCCCTTGTTGCGAGGGTCAGCCGCCTTCTCTGGGGTCCAGTTGCGAGGCACTTTGATTAGGTAGGAGAGGCGTCCTTGCGTCTTGAGTTGGAATCCTCCCAAGTGAATGGCGAAGAGCAGCGTGAGCGTGGACAGAGATTGTGTCATGCAATACATGAGGAAAGGCCGGGGTGAAACGCGCACTGGGTCGATTGTGAGGCGCATGCTGTGCGTGATAATCGACGAAGCCCCTGGGGCGCGGCCCTCGTCGTCAATCTCGTGTGCTGGACCTGGTGGGCCGCCTCGCGTCAATGGGTAAGCGAAGCCCTGTCTTGCTTCGATGATTCGCCTTGCCTTGCGAACGAAGTCGAGTCGGGTGCCCTCGTCTGTACTGCTCCATTCGCGCGGGCTAGCCATGACCTTGTGCACATCGGGGTCGTCTACTTTCTCCCCGCTGTCCTTGCCATTATCTCCGCCCAGTTCAATGACAGCGTCATCCAGCGTGTGGTACTTATCAGCCAATGAAGTCTCGGCCTGATCAGCAGCCCCTACTTTGCCCGAATGCAGCAGACGGTGCTCCTCCTCAAGCTCTTCGAGCTCGCAGCTGAACAGAGACCAAGCGAGCCACCGTGAGCTGTCTCGTCGTGTGATCAAGCCTTTTGAGTCACCATCTGGTGCCAAGTGGAACCAGCGCGACTGGTCTTGTTGGAACTGAACAGCTCGAGGGTCCAGGGGGTCGAGACGATGCTCCTGGAACCAGGGCTCGGGGTCAGCACCATCGTCGCTTGCTTGTGCTTCACGTTGCCTGTGACCGTTGGCGCCGTTGGCCACCACCCTCTTGCGAAGCCCCCGCAGCTCACGGTCGACTCGCGCTGCATCAACACCATCCTCTCCAGCTTGCCCCGGCAGCTCCATCCCACTCTTGAGCGCCCTAGCGAATACGCGATGCAGGAACCGCCGACTGTACAGGGGCTTCGGGCCTGGACCTTGTATCCTCTTGACTTGGTAAGCATGCCACAGAGAGAAGCAAGCTTCGACTACCGACCAGGGCAGCCAGATGAAGTGATGCGCTAAAACGGTCCATCGCGACGGGGCCAGGAAGAGGAGTGGCGGCTTCGGCCAGGTGTAAAGCGATGCGAGGAGGTACGCCCAGCAGACGAGAGGGAATGTCGAGATTGCCAAAGTCATGACGCGGACCGCGAGCCAGGACCAGTCGAGTGGTACAAGGGATCCTGTCCCATGCCGAAATGCCTCGATGCTGCGCATGAGGGGTGAGGGAGAGCGTGAGGGTGGGGATGCCATGTTGGCGTGCAGCTGAGAGGTGGCTCAGAGACCTGACAGTTGCGTGTGTATCGGTGCGCTATTGATGACGAGGAGAAGTGGGTGAAAGCCTGGCTGATCTATCGCATTTTGAGCTGAGGAGAGAGGTGGAACAAATGGGGCAGCTGCAGCTCGCGCCTCGCTATCCGTCAAAGTGGGTCGGTGCGAGCGTGAGTCCGAAGTAGTGCAACACTCGATTCGACGGAGCCACGTGGCAATGCCCCGTTGGACGCCGCCTTGACTTCGCCGGGCGAGCAAAGGAGCGATCGATGACGTCGAGGCACTTTGCGCTGAGCCACGGCAGGCTTGCGTTGGGCTCAGGCTGGCAGCAAAGCAGGCACGAGGGCAGCGCCTGCCTGGCCAGACCAGCCAGACCCTTCATCCTTGGCTCGTCGCCCGTAGACTTTCTTCTCTTCCTTTGCAACACCACCAACACTTCAACCCAAACCCACCCCGCTTGACTCTATTTGCAACCATGGTCCTCTACAAGGAAGGTGACGTCGTTGAGTGTGAGTAGCGGCGACATCTGCTCGAGAACAACCCAAGGAGGAGGAGCAGGTGCGGGAAGATAGGAGGGAGACATCACAGCGAATGCCACGAATTCGACCATCTTGCTCGTCGTTGGTAGCAAAAGCTGCGCAAAGCTACCGTCGGTGAATTCTGCGGCGCCATCGTCGACTTTTCGGCTCTGCTCGGCGCCCGTCCTCACACCTCCTACACCAGCAATCGAAGCTGACACTTCCCTCCTCCATGCTCATCCTCTTCCCTCGCCTCCCTCCCTCTCCAGACCGCCCCTTCGGCGGCGATGTCTCTACCGGCAAGATCGAGAAGATCGAGACCAAGACTGGCGGCCACGTGAGTATATTCCCCTTCTTACGCCTCCTTTTTGGAAGTGACTGACCCTCACCCACTCATCTTCGTGGCTCACTCTCCCAGGTCGACATCTTCTACCACATCAACGGCGAGAAGTTCATCTCTTGCCAGCTGATTGGAAAGGCGAAGCAGTGACGCTGGCGCTCGTAAAGCAGCCAGCTGCTGTTGGAGGTCGTCAGAAGAATGAGGCCTTGGCGCAACGCAACCCGACGGACGCTGCCCTCGTCCTACGCCATGTCCTATCGACCCTGTAGCGCCGATCTCACTTCAAGTCTAATCCAGTAATCTCAATGATTTCGAAAGAATTCACAGCAAGAGTTGACGAGGTGTGACTGAGTGACGCCAAGCTGCGATACCCTGCGGTGCTCTACGCGATTCAGAGCGAAATCTAGCGTGGCAGACATGCGTGTCCTGCACGACTGACCTCGTGTGGACAAGGTCTGCTGAGAGGCAGGCGGATGCCAAGAGGACTCAAAGCAGTCACGGTTGCGGAAGCGTCAGGCCGATCAAGATGATGAGCGCGCATTCCCATTTGAGTCAAAGATGAGAGCCCGATGTGAAGAGAGACAACGTGTGTACATGATTGAGCTCGACGCCCTAGATGCGAAGAGCCTTCGAGCGAGTGACGGAGAGGAGACAAGAGGACCAGGTGCTACGGTGGAGAAGGGCAATAGAGCTACAGGGATGAGATGAGATGAGATGAGATGATGTGATGGTCTGAGAGTCAATTGTGTGCCCAAGCGCACGAAGTCCAAGCCCGTCGATGGTAAAGAAGTGATCGTGACTTTTCGTCGTCGGAAGCAAGCACTCAGTGAGGCATGGATGCCCCGCCATGCGCTCCGTCATTGATAGCCGCAGCAGAAAGGAGTGACTCGATGCCGATTGGGTTGCTCCTTGGAGGCGGAGCGGCGAGGTCCTCTTCGAATGAGGGAGATCCCGGCCTTGCTGAAGGTACTCGTTCGCCTGGAACGGCCGCAGCCGATGAGGTGGCCGGCGTGGACGGTACAGAGGATGCTACGCTGTCTCCACGATACTTTCGGAGAGAGAAGGAGGGGGACGGCATTGCTGACGAGGAGGCAGATGAGGAGGCAAGGCCCGCTGCTCCTCCAGCAGCCGCTCCTCCGACCACGGCAGCCGCAGCCGCGAGCCCACTCGCAGAAGCGGCGGTTGCCGTAGCACTGACTTTCTTCGCAGCAATCCTCTCTTTCATCTTGCGGTTCAGCTTGGCCATCACCTCCGCATGGTCGGGCTTTCTGGACGCCAAGGGCGAAGAGGCCGTCGACGAGGCGGTAGATGACCAAGGAGACGCAGAAGAGGGCGGAGAGCGTCGCTGCATGGCCGTCGCCTTGGGTCGCTCCGCCGACCTGGAGCGCCTTTGCGCCTCAAGTATGCGGCTGACTGGTACGCCAGAGGGCATCGTGGCCGTGTAGCCGCGTGGACGCTTTGAGGGGGCGTCGATGCTGCTCATATCGGTGTCTCGCGGAACGGCATTGCTACCGCGAGGGCTCGTTGAGGTGGGTGAGGGGTGCGAGAGACGGTGGATGGACATCGCAGAGGAGCCTCGCTCTTCTGACGAAGCCAGAGAGGGCAGACTGCTGCGATGCGACATCGAGGAGGAGGAGTGCTTCATCGGCACCACCACTCGGCCGTCGAGGGCAGAAGTATCCGACGGCAGGCTAGGGCGAGGAGGCGGAAGCTTGGTAGCCGAAACTCCAGGCTGCGCCGAAAGATAGTCATCAACAGATCGAGCTGGTCGTTGTTGGCGCACTGTCGATGGCGGCGGAAGCGGTGTTTGTTGATGATGCGCACGTTTAGGCGAGCTGGCCGAATGGAAAGGCGAGCGAGGCCATTGGTGAGAGGCAGCGACGCTGCCGTAGCGTTGTCGCTGACCCTGCGATGGCTCAATGTAAGGCAGGGACGAGCGCGACGAAGAGACGGAAGAGCGCGAAGAGGGTTCAACGAAGTCGACAGAGTACGCAAAGGGGTTGTCGTCTCGATGTTGACGGTCCAGCGGAGAGGGTGCTCGCGAATGATAGACTGCCATTGGAGCGTGAGCCAGGTGGCCGTGTTCGTCCGGTGTAGAGACGGGTATCGAGAAGCCAGAAGATCCATCCGAGACTGATGGGACAGAACGAGTGCTGAGTGATGAGTAGGAGTGTCGATGAGGCAGGGACGGGGTCAAAGAGGCGTTGTGCTGAAGATGAGGTCCACCATAGCTAGCTCGCGGGGCGGTGTATGGCAGCTTGCCGTGAGGTGCAATGGCAGGTGATGAGTGTTCAGAGGAGGAGGCAGAATTGTCAAAGAGACTCGGTGAAGAGGCTGGAGATCCTGCGAAGAAGCGGCCGTCCTCGAGCACCGGCTGACTCGGCAGCGGTAAATGTCGACTAGCGATCAGCGACGACTTGCGCGGTGGTAGCGGTAGAGCTGGCATGGGCGCACCGCCGCTTCCGAAGCTTGGGCGCTGACGGCCATGCTTTCGCTCGCGTGAGCTCTCGTGGTGGCTCGGCGAGGAAGGCTCTTGCAGCGAGCGCAAGGCCGAGCGCGGTGACAGAGGTGCCTGAATCTTTGGTGACGGTGCTGGATCTCGTTGGTGGTGGTGCGAGTAGTACTGTAGGTGATTGTCAAACGCCTGGTGCATGCTGCTTGAAGACGCGCGATCTTCGGCGACGACAGCGAGGAAGGAGAAGAGCAGGGACGAGAATGCCTCTGCAATCTGTCTAGATGTCCGTGGCGAGGAGATTTATGGGTGTGCGTCGCGACGGTGGAGTGCTCGTGAAGGACAGTAGTGTCGGACGAGGGTAGCTAGCTGACTGACAATGAGGACGGCGATGGAGACGTCGTGGTAGTCTCGAGCCTGTCAGGTGATTGGTACAAACGAAACAGAGTCAAGAAGGGAGGATGTTTGTCGAGGTGTGACGCTTTGTTTCCACCGGGTTTTGGTTCCTTTGGTCCGTAGCAGTGTTACGGAGCTGAGAGAGCTAATGTTACACCCTCTCTCTCACTGCGTACTGTGCGCTGTTCGGAGTCCCGACCCCGCGAAGCACTGCTGCTAATGTCGCAGGTCTTGCTCTCCTCGTCTCCTTGTGGATGACAATGGCCCAACGAGCGAGCTCTTGGCCCTTTTTCTGCTGCTCCGTGACGACGTTGGTTCCAAAGTTAGGCACTAGGCCGATTGCTAAAGGTTGAGTGGGTGCGTGTGTCGAACCCAAGGGAGCAAGCAAGGTAGTCAGGCAGACAGGCGCAGACGACTGAAAACGGTGGAGGCGGCTGCGAGCGGCGGCCGCGGCAACAGCGGCAGCCCCACTAGGCGAGGGCGAAGGCAAAGGCGAGGAGAGGGACGAGCGGCCGTCTTTCGGTGATGATCTCCGTTTACGACTTCTTTCTCTCCCTCAGTGGCGTGCCGACGGGAAGCACCCTCGGCTGCGCTACGATTCAAGCAGAAAGGAGCGAGCTGCGAGGTGAAATGAAGTCTTGGCGGCGGCAGCGGCGGCGGCCGCGAAGATTGCTTTCGCGCGGATTTGTTTTCGGCCCTTCGGACGGACGGAGGAGGATGAATCCAAGTCAAGGACAAGGACGACAGCAAGTCAGAGACGAGCGAGGGCAAAGCCAGCAATGACGAGGACGTGCGATGAGCGCGAGAAGCAGAGGGTGAAGAGCTGATTGGGACGGTGGTTGGGGAAAAGATGAGTAAAGAGTGAGGAGAAAAAGAGAGAGACGAGGGGGGGAGCGAGCAAAGGATTCGCGGTATGTAGCCGGCAATCGTTGGGTCGATCGATCTCTCTCAACGTCAAGCGATAGAGCGAGGCACAGACTTGATTGAGGTAAGCTTCAAGCTCTCCTGTCCCGCCCCTTCTGACCTGGAAAGCCTGGTCTTTTCGACGCTGTGATGATGCTCAAGACTGGCCGGCGTGGCAGCCCTCAACTGCTCAGCTCCATGCTCAGCTATCTCGTTGTTCCTCGCTGCCGCTGCACAGTGCTCATCACCTCATTGGTACTGATTTCCTACGTCTACTAGCGTCGTCTTCGTCTGTCGAATCAAGGGGCTGCAGATGCGGATCCTGTATCGCTGCTGCCCTCGGAGAAAATACGGCCTGCGGGTCATTTAGTGCCACCACAATCGCGGTCGCCGCTCTCTGCTTCTTGGCTAAATCGGGCGAAGAACAGAGACGGGGTCGCAGCATGGCGCGCTGAGACTGGCTGATCGTTGTCGTCAGTCCCTGAGGTTCGCGATTTGGTCGCCGTCTGCTACCCGGAGTTGCAGCTCCGCTCGCGGCTCTTCATCACCGCTCCACCGACTCATCTCAACCACCGCTGCTTTGGTTGCTGCCTGTAAAGGCCGGCATGCTTCCCTCCGCCAGACGCTTGCCCTGGGCAGCAACGAGATTGATTCTTGGCTTCGCCCTCGCAGACGATGATGCGATTTTCAGATCAATCGACGGGACGAGGTAGGACCCCATCGTTACCCCTCAAGTGTCACGAGTCAGCCGTGCTCGCAAATACACTGCCGTTTGCCGGGCTCCGCATACACGACTTGACTCCGCCCCAATCGCCTTACCGACTGCGTCTGCTCAGACACCTACAAAAGACCGCCCGGTACGCAAGCAGCAGAGAGCATCATCGCCATTCGAGGGAGGTGGCTATTGTAGACGTCTGAGTCTCGGCGCACAGTCGTCCGACAGAATAGCCGTATGACTCCGCTCATGACGGCGCGTGCATGAGAAGGTCGATCGCTCCTGAGTCCAGACAGCGCTAGAGAAGCAACTCTGCATCCTGGATGCGTACACATTAGCGCCTCGCTGGCTGCTCTGGGTTGTCTCGACTAATGCGCCTTTTTTATGATCAAAGCCAGGTCCTGTCGGCGGCACGGCGTCCTGAGCTGCCGTGCCCTACCTTACTGTGGATGCCTCGGTGGCGTGACTCGCCCACAATGGGACGTCTTCGACCAACCTTGTCCCCTCATCTCATCGTATTTCCAAGACTGATTCGCGGAATAGGCGCGAAACATTCGTTCTCCTCTCCCTTGAAAAGCTTCTCGGTTTTCTTCGGACCATCTCTTTTCAGCCTGTGCCAAGATTGAGCCTGCTTCTAAACGAGGCCGAGATCGGCAGGCAACACCAGATCGGATCGCGGAGCATGAGGTTGGGTTCGCTTGCGGCCGAGGGCGAGTGGCGACAGAGACCCCACGAGGTTCAGAAATAGGTTGGCGCTGGTAAGCTCGAGCGTCAAGGCATTCGAGCGTGCTAAGAGAAGTCGATGAGGGCAGAACCGCCGGCGTGAACTCTGCCGCTGCCTACCGCCGCCGGGTCCTCAATTTGGCGCGCGTGAGATCAGCGATGCTCTACGTTTCACGATATGCTGCGGACACTGATACCCCAGACGGGATGTTGAACCTTTTCCGCCGGTTGCCAAGAAGAGCAAGGGCTATCATTAGCCTTGCCTGTTCCGCGGTACAATGCCGATTCGGCAAGGTCGTGGCGATTGAGGATCGAGAGACGTGCTGTGACAACCACTGACTCACGTCAGGAAGAGCAGGACCAGATCACTTTGCTCCTCGTTTGAGACCATGTAGGCCGTTGTGAACCTCAAGCGTAGGTGACGGAACGTCGCGATGGGCAGTGCAAGTCGAAGTCAAGTCGGGAACGCTATCGGTATTGTACAAATGAAAAGAGCCACGTCGAAAAAGGAAGATTTGCTGGCGGCAACGCTGGACGAAGCATGCGCCTACGAGTCTGCCATCTCGACGTCACCGGGAGCACGGCCCTCGCCTCCTGTGCTACCCGTGGTCGCCCCCATCGCCGAGCCTGCGGCCAGCGGTGTTGATGACCCAGATGAAGCTGGCGCCCCTGCGTCAGCCGCAGCCGCAGCCGCCTCCTCTTGCCTCCGTCGCAGAGGCTCCATGATGCTCGGTCTGGACCTGGGCGACGTCCCATTTCCGTTGCCATGGTCTATTCGATCTCGTCGGCCCCCCTCCCCCTCATCCTCACTGTCGCTCAACTCGCCATTGCGCTGCACCCGTCTATCCCGCCTCCTCTGATCCTTGCTTGCCCTCACATCCTGAGCATCGTCCCCTTCCCTGACCAAGTCGTCGATCTCGTCCATCTCCTCATCGCCGGGCACGCCTGGAGCTACATGTCCCTGAACCGAAGGGGCAAAGGTGGTGTGTCGCAAATTTTCGAAGAGCTGGATCTTGATCTTCTCGAGATACTCTCTCGTGTTGAGGTCCTCCATGTTGTTTGGCCGGACATCGAGTTTGTAGTCTGGGCCGAAGTACTCGTAGTATTCATTTACAGGGACTTGCGAGGAAAGTTCCTGCCCGGCGGCGAGGCCCGTCTCGTAGGCCCAAGCGCGGGAGACGTTGCGCATTGTGTAGCCGCCGCCGCCGAGGAGGAGAAGAGGGAGGCCGAATGACTTGACGTAGTCTACGCAGCTAGCATGGCCGCGCATAGACAAGTTGAAGCCTGCGAAGACCGGCGTGAAGAAGGAGGTCAGCATCGCGCGACATCAGTTCTGCTCCTTACATAGGCCACACTCACATCCCAGCTTGTCGCCTGCAAGGGAGTCTGAGCCGCACTGCAAGACAATGGCAGATGGCTGGTAGAACTCCATGATCTTGCTGATGACGGGCTCAAAGACGGATTTGTAGCTCTCGTCGGTGATGCCGTCGCGCAGCGGGAAATTACAGCTGTAGTAGCGTCCCTTGCCGTAGCCGGTGTCCTACCGCAATGTCAAGCAATCAGGTCAGTCATCGAGCGCCGAAATACCATCTCCTCGCCTGTGCTGCAGCTGCTCACCCTCAGCTCGCCGGTTCCTGGGAAGAACTCTCCGTACTTGTGGAAACTGCAGGTCATCACCCTGTCTGTCGTGTAGAATGCTTCCTCAACTCCATCACCGTGATGAACGTCGATATCGATGTACAGGACCCTCGGGTGGTATCTGAGTAGCTCCAAGATGCCCAGAACGATATCGTTGATGTAGCAGAAACCGCTTGCCTCTCCCTTCTTGGCGTGATGCAGCCCGCCAGCCCAGTTGATGGCAATGTCGCACTTGTCACGCGAGAGGCGAGCAGCCCCCTCCATTGATCCGCCCGCTGAGATTGAACAGTATTCGAAGAGACCATCGAAGACGGGGCAATCGTCGCCCACATTGAACTTTGCCTGTTCGCGTACGAAATTCTCGACTATGTCTGGCGAGACTCTTGACAGGAAATCGACATACTCGTCGGTGTGGAACTGGGACATCTCCCTCTTGGTAGCGGGCTTTGCTCTGAAGATCTCCATCTTCTTGTAGAGTCCATAATTCATGACCAAAGAGTGGCACATGCGAATACGGGTAGGCTTCATCGGATGACCGGGGCCATAGTGATAGTTTCCGATGTCGCTGTCGAAGAAGTAGCATACACGACGAGGCTGCTTACCGCTCGATGTGTCGCTTTGCCAGTGGAGCGGGTTCGTCTCGGCCTTGATCATGTCCCAGGGCGGCTGGGCCGAGGCAGCTGCTTCATCCATGACTGCGTTTGGCGCCGCGAGGAAAGTGAGGTAGCCACTTGTTGGATGGAGGGGGAGATGAGATGCGAGCGGCAGCAGCGATGGAGCGGGAGGCGGACTGCGACGCGTGAGTTGACAAGAGGAGCGGGAGCAATCCAAGGCGACACCAGCCAAGGGCGGGAGCAGCAGTCGTCGAGGCTGCGACGCCGTGGCTCGACTGGACTGGAGAAGCAGCGGGCTGAGGAATTTCAAGCCAGGGCCAAAAGTCGACGACGAACAAGCGTCGGAGCGGCAGTCGCATCATCTCATTGCCATCACCATCAATACCCATCCCTGATGCCTCCCAAGCGCTACTTCGAGCAGTCGCAAGACGGAGCAGCGGCAAGCTCAAAGCCTGAAGCGGTAGACGCTGCCAAGGCTGGACCATCAAAGGCAGCAGCAGCAGCAGCAGACTCTGCACGCAAGTCGACTCTCTTCGTCTCTCGCCTCCCCTTCTCAGCCACAACCACCGACCTCCAAACCCTCTTCTCTGATGTAGGCCCTCTGAGACGGGCCTTTGTTGTCACCGATCCAAACACAAAGACTTCAAAGGGCGTCGGCTATGTCACTTTTGCCGTACCAGAGGACGCAGAGCGTGCCCTCACCGAGCTGCAGGGCAGGAAGCTTGATGGGAAACGCGCAATCGCCATCTCATGGGCAGACGCAAAGCCGGCCAAGGGAGAGACGTACTCTGCAGAAGACATTGCTGCGCGCAAGAGGCAGAGAGTAGCAGCGCCAGCTTCCGGGCCACCCGCTGCTGCCCGAACGCACGATCCGACAGCCAAGGACCCGGACGCGATACGGACTGTCATCCTCTCAGGCCTTGCAACTTGCAAGCCAGCCGCAGACTCAAAGACACTCTACAAGCGTGCGCGCAAGATCGGAGACGTGGAGAATGTCTTGTACCCTTTTGCCAATGACAGCGACGTAGCTCACGTCGTCTTTCGCACCCCCAACCATGCGGCAGAAGCAGTCACGAAGCTGCACGCTCACACCTTCAAGGGGGCGCAACTTTCTGCCGTTCTCAAGAAGAGGGCGGATGGGGCTGCAAAGCTCAATGCGAGGATGAGGCCGGAGACAAAGGAGAGGATGGAGAAGATGCGTCTGGAGGTCGCAGCTAACTCCAAGGGGCAGACAGCAGCGCCACTGCCTCAGTTGGACTCGATTCCTGTTGCTGGGGTCAAGCATGACAGCAGGCTTATCATCCGCAACCTCCCCTTCGACGTCGATGCTGCGGATCTGCGGGCGGTCTTCCTGCCATTCGGGCCTGTGTACAAGATCGACGTACCGCAGAAGGTGGCCGCCTCGAGCGACAAGGAGGCAAAGACAGCCCCGCCAGCGCCGATTGAGGTCAAGGATGAGGAGGCGTCCGACCAAGAGGAGACGAGCGACGACGACGAGGAAGACAGTGATGACGATGAGGAGGATGAGGAGAATGAGGAAGAAGACGTTGAGAGTAACGAGGAAGAGGGCGCGGACGCCCCTACGACTGAGATCAAAGAGGAGGAAGACGATGCTGTCAAGCTTCCACCAGCCTCAGCAACCGCGTCCACGCCTGCGCCCATTTCGCGCAACAAGGGCCGAGGTTTTGCCTTCGTCTGGATGGTATCCCGCGCCGACGCAGCTCGTGCTCTCGAAGGCGTCAATGGCCGAGCGATCCGCCACGGTGAGGCCGAGAAGGTTGCAGCCAAGATTGCCAAGGGCTCACGAGGCCGCCAAACAGCGCGAGCGAAGCTCAAGGCCGTCAGAGACAGCGCGCAGCCTGAGCGTGTCGTCGCAGTTGATTGGGCATTGGGAAAGTCAGAGTGGCAGAAAAAGGAGGAGGAAGCGCAGGATGATGATGCTGAGGAGGAGGGCGACGATGACGACGAGGCCGGCAGCGATGAAGATGACAGCGATGATGACGCCGCCTCAGCGTCAGGCTCAGAAACGGCCAAACCAGCTCTCCCTACTCCTTCGGAAGGTACAACTCTCTTCGTTCGCAACCTTCCCTTCGAGGCTACCGAGCCAGAGCTTCTCGGCCTCTTCAAGCAGTTCGGTCCAGTTCGGTACGCCCGTATCACCATGGATCGCAGCACGGATCCTCCTCGTAGCAAGGGGACGGGCTTCGTCTGCTTCTGGAACAGGGACGACGCGGTTGAGGCCCTGCGACGCGCTCGGGAGGTAGAGGAGGAGGCGGGTACCAACCGCACTACGACCGGAGGAGCGCCTACTGGTGCCAACGCGACAGCGGTGCAGAACCCCTTCAGCATGACCACTTCCGTCCTCACTGCGGACCCATCTGCACCCCTCACCGCCTCCTTCAACCTGCGCGGGCGGATCCTCAACGTCATCCCCGCTGTGGAACGCGAAAAGGCCGACATGCTTACTGCTGCGGGAGCGAAGGCTCGCCAGAAGCAGGACAAGCGCAACACCTACCTGATGCGTGAGGGTGTGCCCCTGCCCAATACGGACTTGGCCTCTCAGCTCTCATCGAACGACAAGGAGATCGAGCGTCGCCTCGCCTCTTTCACGCAGCGCAAGTCACAGTTGGCAGTCAACCCGTCCCTCTTCATCTCCAAGACCCGCCTTTCAGTCCGCCAGCTCCCGCTCTTCTGCACCGACCGGATGCTCAAACGACTCGCAATCCACGCAATCAAGACCTTCAAGGCCGAAGCTACCGCGGGCTCTCGACCCGACCTGGACGCAGACGAGCTGGCAGACCGTACCTTCTCGCCTGCTTCGAAGCCGCCCAAGAAGGGGGAGCGTTCCACGAGTGTGGTGCAGAGCAAGATTGTCAAGGCTCTTGACAGGCCTGACCCTATCACTGGTGCGCCAGGGGGCAGGTCGAAGGGCTTCGGCTTCCTCGAAATGCGTTCCTTCCATGAAGCGCTGAGGGTTCTGCGCTGGGCGAACGCGAACAAGGACGTGCAGAAGTTGATGGCCGAGTGGCATGTTGAGGAGCTCGAGGACCTCAAAAAGAAGATGGAAACCGAGCTGGCCGCTAGTCCCGGTAATGCGGATCTATCCACTCGCCTGAAGCGCGTATCTGGCCGCCTGGACGACTTCAAGCGTGGGGGTGCAAGTGCGGTGGACAAGGCTGAGCGCGGTGGCTTGCTCTTTGTCGAATTCGCCATCGAAAATGCGACGGTTGTCAAGCAGAGGAGGGATAGGGCTGAGCAGAACAGGAGGAATGCGGAGAGGAGGAAGGCCAGAGATGCGGGCGAGGAGGTTAGTGAGGATGAGGAGGTGGAGGAGGGAGAGGAAGAGGAGGAGGAAGACATCGACGACCGTGGGAGGGCACCGCGTCGTGCCAACTGGAATCAGTCGACGAAGAAGAAGGGAGGGAGCGACGACATGCAGCTTCGAAGAGCGAGAGAGCAGGCATCGAATAAGGTGTCGAGGGCCAAGAATGAGCCTCAGAAGATGGGGCAAGCCGTCGGTGGAGTCATTGGGAGGAAGAGGGCTGAGAGGAAGAAGGGAAGGAAGTGAGGCGTGCACAGAGACAACGATGGTGTCACAATGAACACGAGTAGCCATGTGACTGCTCCTTGCCTTGACTGCATCGCATTGAGATCACCTCACGGCCGCCTCGATCCGCTCGCGCTCTAATCCCTCTCTGCAATTGCCTCCAACACAGCATTGATCTCATCCTCGCTCAACGTCCTGAACCTTGCTTGCTTCTGTGCCTCCATGCTGCCATCCTCTCCCTCCATGTTCGCCCGCGCCTTTGGTCCACCCACGATGCCTACCTCAACCTCGCTGGGCTTGAGGTCCTGCGCCAGGATGGTGGACAGGGTCTGTAGCGCCAGCTGGAGAGCGTCGTCTGTTGACATGCTGCGCGAGATGGACTCGGCTTGTGCCGCCGCTGCGTCGGGGGAGATGTCGACCAAGGACGTCGTGGAGGTGGACGTCTCCTTGGGAACCTCAGTGGAGGCACCTGAAGAGGTAGAGGCAGAGGGCGCCTTCTTGAAGTGTTTCTCGAGGTAATTGATGGCTTCCGTCTGCTTCTGCCCTGCTGCCGTAGCCCTAAAGCCTACGTAGTAGCCTGCTGGGTCGATCTTGAAGACCTGTGGGCCGCGAGCTGGGTCTGAGTCGATGCCTACGAGGATCATGCTAATGCCGAGGGGTCGCATGGCGGCTGCGAGGAGAAGGTGATCAGCATTAGCATCCTACTGCGGTGATCGGGAAGCTCGATGCTCACCTCGCTGAGTGTACACTTGATTGATGTTGGCAATCCTCTTTGCCAAAAGGTCAGGCGTGATAGCATAGCCGTACTTGTACTTGAACTCGGCCGCCTCTGCCCTAGCCCTCTGCACTTGTGAGCCTGCCAAGCGAGCGCAATAAATGGATCAGTACATCTCTCCCCCATCCCACAGGCCCTCGGGACGCCACGCCTACCCACGAGCATCCGCAATCCTGCCAGTCATAATGCACCCAATCTCCTGCGTAATCTTGAAGATATTTGTGACAGTCGAGGGGTCGATGAGCTTGTCCGGAATCTTGCGCTGGGTGCAAACGACGGCGCAGTCCTTTCCTCGGACGGCTACGCTGGTGAGACCAGCGGACGAGATGGCCTTGAAGGCATATTCGACTTGGTAGAGACGTCCGTCCGGTGAGAAGACTGCGCAAGGCGACAAAAGTAAGGCAGGGCGGGAGAGGTCAGCTTATGCTCTGAAACAGGCTCTATCGGGGTAGCACGCCGTGCTCACCCGTGAGGTATCGGTCGTAGGAGCTCCTCGACATTTTGCTAGCGTCGTTGGCGTGCCTCTTGAAAGATGGAGGTGACGAGGAACGATTGAGTGAGCCAAGCGACAAGTCGTCGCCGTCGCCGTCGCCGCTCGAGCCAGTCGAGGTCTACGCGGCCCCCCTTGCCACGTGGTTCCAGTCCGCCATGATCTCCATCACCCTGCTGTTTGTCCTACTCTCTCGCTCCTTTCGCTCCTCACCACAGCTGCCATCACCTCTACGCCCCATCAAAGCCGGCTTTTGAACGCAACGGCTTCGTACTATCACGCTTTCACCTCGAATTAATACGGTCACAACCCAAAGTCTGGGAGCGCCAAGGGGAGGCGGACAGTGCTAGCGGTACATTTGAGGCTCGATTCATTTAATCTCTTGACCAATACGATCGTGCTTGTTCTTCGTCGTGGTCTCCAAGCTGATTGAGTGTTGTATTTGAGCATACCACGACCAGGGGCGGACGAAGCGGCTCTCACGCGGATCGAGGCGGACGGTGCAGTCCGAGATGCACACTCGACAGCTCCTTCCGCATCCTCGCCATCCTCTTCCCTTCCCCACACATTGTCTCATTGGCCGCAGTGATGGGCTTGAATGTCCCACGCTACCACTCCGGGCTGAGAGCCGCCTTCTACCGTGGTGGCACCAGCAGAGGGCTCATTGTCACGGCGAGCCACTTGGCGGCGTATGATCAGGCGACGCGAGACCGCATCCTCTGCGCAGCAATGGGCTCGCCAGATCCAGACGGCAGGCAGATCGATGGCCTCGGCGGTGGCGCTTCGTCCCTCTCAAAGATAGCAATCATCAACGCACCAGGGCGAGGCTTCGTCAAGACGGCCGCAGAGGCTGGGAATCCGCTGCCAGGCGTAGAGTGGGCAGACGATTTCACACAAGCCCGCGATCGGAGGACAGGGTGGGACGTCGTATATCGCTTTGGTCAGGTGCCCATCAAATCTGGCACCACAGTCGACTGGTCGACAACATGCGCCAACCTCGTCGCAGCTGTCGCTCACTCAGCCGTCAGGAGTGGGAATGTCAATGGCAAACGCATCGACCAACACTTGCTCCGAGAGGGCCACGCTATCACCGATGAGTTTCGCTTTCCATTGCGAATCCTCTGCGCAAATACGGGGGGCCGCTTTACCGCACATGTACCCGTTGCTAGAGCTGGATCGCTGTGGCAGCCAGTGGATGTAGGATCAGCGTCCATTTCCGGCGTACCGGGGACGGCGCCTTCAACCATCGTTGAGACGCCTCTCGACGGACCTGTTCTGCTACCCACGGGCAACCCAAGAGATGAAGTCACCCTACCTGACGGCTCGACGATTGCCGTCTCTATCGTCAATGCGGGTCTGCCCATCATCTTCGTCCGCGCCTCAGACTTTGGCGTCGACTTCAACAAGCTCACCTCTCACCCAGCTGACTTAGACAGCGACGGGGCATTGGGCGCGAGGGTGGAGGAGCTGAGGAAAGCAGCATCGCAGCTCTGTAGCGAGCTCAGGCAGCTCTACTTCCCTGGATCGGCCTCTCCCAAAGTCTGCCTCTTGCATCGCCGTGCAGCTTATAAGTCCACGGGTGGCACGGACGTCACCGAGGACTCCAACGACATTGTGGCTCGTGCGATCAGCGTAGGGCAATTCCATCGTACAATTCCAGCGACGGTGCTCAGCGCCTTGGGAGTCGCGTCTGGCTTCAAGGAGACGACAGTATCTGAGATCATCCGCGAGGGGAGCAGCGACACGACCGCTCTAACCCCCAAGTGGGCCAAGGAGCTCAACAAGGGCAAGCGCGGGCTCATCCGCTTCCTGCGCGTAGGCCAGCCAGCAGGTGTGTCTTCGACATGCATCCGAGTGCCCGCCGGGGCTTCGCAGCCAGACGCCATCCTTATGGAGCGCACAGCCAAGCTCATCATGAACGGCGATGTCTCCATCCCAGCGCAATTGATGCGCAACAAGTTCCAGCCTTTCGTCGAGCTCCTCAAAAGTCGGGGAAAGATGAATGACCCCAAATCAGCGCCGACTGATCTCAACGCTCTGGCGCCCTCTTCGGCTCCACGAGTCTATCAAAGCGCAATCCAGGGGCAGATGGGCCCAATTGAGGAGGCAGAGCGCCAGCAGGCCGCCGAGACCGGCGGACGCCAACGAGCCATCGATACTGCGGCCGGCCAGCTGCGGAAGTCTGAGCGCGAGACTCTGAATGGGAGAGATGGGAGGGCTGCACGGGACAGAGAGGAGAAGGCGAGGCCTGTTGCCAAGGGCGTGCAGAAGAACAAAGAAAAGCAGAAGCACTCTCAGCCCGCGTCCTCGTTGCCCAATCGCGCAGCTCCTGTATCCAGCCACGCTCTCCAGGCCCAAGCCGACTTGAGCTCCGGCGTGGCTTCGTCGGCGCCTCGCGTCGAAGAGGCAGTACCAGTCCAGGTCGATGACCAGCCCGACAAAGCGGCACCGAGCCATGCACTCGAGGCGCAAGCGGACTCGTCCTCAGCCTCAATCTCATCATCCACCCCCAGGGTGGAGCAGGCCGTACCGGTCGACGTCAACGAAGAAGCGGCGCAGGCCACTCCAAGCCATGCTCTCGAGGCGCAGGTCGATCAGACCTCCGAACCAGACCCGTCGGTGGAGCGCACAGTCCCCGTCGACGTTTCGAGCGAGTCAGCCGGTGCAGAGAGCAGTCCGCCTTCCTCTAATCAGCGCCCCTCGAGCAGTCGTGGCTACTCCTCGAATGGGCAGCGACGCTCCTACTCTACGTCTGCCTCCGCCGTCGCCACGACCGCCGGCGCTGCGCCACTCCACCTCTTTCGCTACCTCAGCAGGTCCATCTCCCGCCATTCGGAGCTTCGCAAGCAGACCAAGAACAGCCTACGTCGCCTCGTCAAGGACGACTTTGCAGAAGAGGCAAGGAACGCTGGCGGCAGCTGGAAGCGGGTCGATACCGACAAGCTGCAGGAGAGAGGTGAGCACGCTTGAGGCTGGGAGGGTAAGTCGTGATCTTCCATCCTTGAGAAGCTCGATGGCTGATCATCTTTGCGTCATCGCTTCTCAGTGCGCTCAAGTCTGCTGCTGCTTCTCTCCGCAGGCAATAAGCCGTCTCCGTCTGTTGGCTCTGAGCAGCCACGGCCCGCTTCCCACCTGGGCGAGTCTCAGCACCTCGCAAGCTCTCTCCTCAACAATCTCTCCTCCCTAAGCTACCACCACCTCTCGCCTAACACTCATTTTCCCTCCCTCCGCCACCCGAGGCTATATGGTGGCTCCGAAGGCACGTCTGCTCGCTCTTCACGCGCCAAGCTCGCCTCACCGCCCACGCCGGCCGAGCTAGCCGCCGCTCGCGCTGCTTTTGGAGCAAAAGCGGCCGAAGAGATGAAGTCTTTCGAAGGGATCGGGGGTAGTCAGCGCGCGCTTCAGCTGCTCAGGACAGTTCCGAGGCCAGTGAGGGGCCCTGTACCTCCTTCGGGAATGAGGATAGACAGCGGCGGTGGAGGCGCTGCTGCTGGCGGGATGGATGACTTGCGCGAGTCGGATGTGGTGAGAGAGGCTTGGAATGGGCAGAAGGTCCGCTTGCCCCCTGTCGAAGGCGAGAAATCTTCCTCTACGACCTCGCTCGCCGGCGCAAGGGAGCGGCTCGTGGAGCAGATTGAGGCTATCAAGTCACAGATTGATGTCAAAGATCCTGCGGCCATGGGCGGCGGCAAGGCTCCGCCGCAACTTCGCAAGCTGCGCTCCGACCTAGTGTCGAAGGAGCAAGACCTGAAGCACCTCTCTGGCCTGATGAAGTCTGCGCGACGAGTAGAGGCGAAGCGAGCGGGGGAGGTGCAGTTCAAGAGGGCTGCAAAGGAGGCCTTGCAAGAAGTCGTGGTGAGGGCGGCTCTCGATGCGGGTGCTTCGGGCGGGGGGGAGGATGGGGAGTCGCTCCTGTTTGGGACGTCGAGGTGGAGACGGTGGTACGAGGGCAAGTTCTTGCCGCCTTGAAGGGACAGCAAAAGGAGCATTCGGATCGCAACTTGTAATACCAGCCACGATTTGACTTTTGACTTAGTCCCTATTTTGTCGACATTCGTGAGACTAACCGGTCCAACGCATCGAACAGTCCGCTCTCCGAGTTCTACGACTCACAACCTTTCATCGCACACTCTACTCCTCGCACACGCAAGCAAAGAGTGAAGTAGATGATTGAGCAAAGCCGTACGATTGTAATCGTCATGGTCGAGCGAGCGTGTGTGTATGTGAGCTTGGAGCAGCATATGGCAGCTTCAAGATAGGGACAGAGTAGTAAGAGGGACATTTGAGCCACAACGAAAGAAGGGTCGAGGAAGAAAAAGGGAGTTGTAAGTGAAGAAGAAAGAAGGGAAAGACAGGGGGACTTGCTGATGATGTTGGAGCCGTGATGAAGGTGTGCTGATTGAAAGAGGAGAAGTTCGAAAGGTAGTGATGGTATGAAGGCGAAAGAGGATGATGTGCTGCGGATGGGGTTGAAAGAGCATTGCGTCGGATCGGTCGTCAACGGGAAGATGCTTGTACGGGCTGATGATGCAGAAGGAGCTTGCGTGTGTGCGTGGTAGTGATGCGGTGGTCTTGAGATGGTCGTCATCGTCGTCGTCGGCTGATTGACGCCCATTGTCATGCGGCGGCCGCAGCTACAGGGTACGGTCCACTCTGCGCGGCCACTGGCTCCTCAGATACGCCACGCTGGTCGTGCGCCGCCCCACCCATGCCAAAGGTATGCGTCGCAGCCCACTGCCTGGCAAAGGCCGACGCCTTGAGGAACTTCCTGGCTGCGTACTTGCGGCAAACAAACTGCTCCTCAAACGCAGGGTCAACCAGCTTCTCCAGCAGAAGATTAGCGCCGGGGATGAGCTGCTCCTCGCAGAAGTTCGAGTAGTAGATGAATCCCTCATCCCACGCTCCTCCCAGCATCTTCTTGCTCAAGAACATCGAGATGGCCGCGATGAGGCTGGGCTTGGCGCGAAGGAAACGGTGGTCGAGCAAAGTGACTTCCATGAGGAACTTGGCGAGGGTGCGAACCTGAATGTCATAGTCGTCTGCCTTGGAGATTTTGCGCACCCAGGAGTATGGTGAGCAATAGCTCGAGATCTTGAAGTCCAACGTGGAGAGGATGATGCGCTCGCCCTTGAAGATCTCGTCCTTGGAGTGGCCGCCCTCAGTCATGGCTACGAACTCGTCAACGGAGGGGGCAACGATCTCCTCGTACTTGGCCGCGATGAACATGGCGATGACACCGACGAGCTGCAGCTTTGCAAGGCTGACGACGCGCACCGAGAGGAAGCGATCGATGATGTTGATGGCGATGAAGAGGGTCTCGGGGAGCATGTGGTAGCGCATGTGGACTTGGAGGAGCCAGTCGACGAGGGTAGCGCGCATGTGCCATTGGATCTCGTTTTGGAAGGCCATGTAGTTTGGATTGGCCATGGTCTCCATCTCGCACTTTGCCATGTAGGCGAAGATCTCGCGAGAGTACTCGGCAACCATGCTCGTGTCGCGGACGTCTTCCGGGTCCAGACCCATCTCTGCAAGCTCGTCGTCGTGGGCTGCGATGTCAGCGGGGATCTCGCCTGCCAGGACGGCGGCCCTTCGCTCTGCTGCTGCCTTTGCCATTTGAGGCAGAATGACGTCCTGCTCGTACCGTGACGTGGCGACGGCGACCTTGTGCAACGCCTCTGCCTGGAATGCTGGTGGCAGGCTGACGAGGCAATCTGGGTCTGGGTTGAAGAGGAGGGCTGCCTCTGCCTCTGCGTCGCTGTCGTCTTCTTCGGCCGACTCTGCGCTGTCTGCATCGTCGATGTCGACGTCGTGGGGTTGGTGACGATGGCGAGCTTGCTGACTGACTACGCCAGAGTGTTGGTCTGACTCTGCTTCGTCCTCCTCTGAAGACGAGAAGTCGTCATCGTCGCCCGTTGGGTCGCCTTCCTCCTCGTCATCGTCATTGTCCGAGGTGTCTGGGCTCATCTTCTCGTCCTCTGCCGAGTCGAAGCTGGCCGGTCGCTTGGTAGTGCGTGCTGCGTCGACGATTGCGCCGTTGCTCCTGCTCTTGGAGATGCTAGCCGCTGCAGCGTCGAGGTCCATATGCGCCGTCGTGATGGGCTGAGAATGAGGGAGGTGGATCGAGGCTGATGCTGCTGCAGCCGATGGTACTCTGACTGAGCCGCTGCTTGCTGATCGTGCGAATGCTGTAGATACAGGCTGCCTGAGTCCCACCATGGCCGAGGAGCGAACTCTCTTTACGGCTTGGTGGGATGACTGCGTCGAGGCCGACTCCACGGACGATGCTGATCCCCTGTTCTTGACCTCGCGACGAAGTGCGCTCGATGCGGTGGACACGCCAGATGACTTGTACTTGCCGTCTTCGAAGTGGTGGCCATTGGACGACGTCTGCTTCTGCGCGAGTGAAGTAAAAGAGGCAACAGATGGTGAGCAAGGTCTATGCGTGACACGAGCCTCGCGACGGGCTGCTCACCTTGTCAAAGTTGCTGACGTCGCCGAGTGCGCGACGATGAGCGATGCTGGATGCCTTTGCGTCGAGCCTGCTGGCGGGGACTCTTGATGAGGCAGGTTTCGACCTCGAAGACGATGCTGCGTGCGTCGACGACTCGCCTCCTCCGGTGTGTAGCCTTTCACCGCTCCTCGATGCTGGCATGCCGTTGCGCGTGGTGCGTGGGCGGCCGAGGTTGGTAGCCTGCGAATGCTGAGTTGGTTGCTGCGGTTGCTGTTGTGGTTGATGATGCTAAAGGTCGCAAATTGGTTTGATGGTGATGACAAGCGAAGTGTCGTGTGTGTGTGCGTGTTGTGTTAGTATCTGTGACGAATGCTACTGGCTCATGGTAATGCGGGGCGATGCTGGTGCTGATGACGATGACGATGATGAGGACGAGAGACTAGAATGTTGTCTCAGGAAGGATGTGAGATGCCAAAAAAGCTCTCGAGGAGCAAAGATGGCGTTGTGCCGTTACGGCAGAGAGATTGAATGAATCGAAATGGAGGGGCCAGGGACGAGAAGGAACCCGGAGCTGTGCGGCAAGCGGCCGCGAGGTGGTCTGGGCGACCCGCATCACGGGCCCACAGACCAGGGCCGCAACGACGAGCAGCCGGGATCAATGGGCTGCAATCCAGAGCCAACACCATCTCAACGACTACCGCAGATTTGCTTACGAGATGTAATACGGCATCTCACCCTCTTTCCTCCCCGAAGGGAAGAGCCCTCCGTGTCTCATCGCTGCATCGCTGCGAGGAGTGAGGGCCGCCGCGCTTCGCAGACAACGGACGAGAAACAAGAGCATCTACGAGACAGCCTGCGCGGCAACTCACCCTGATCGCCGGTTGTGCCATCGTCGCTACAGTCGTCCTTGTTGAGCTGAGCTGAGCTATACTCTCGTCGTCAAACAAGTCAAAGAGATGGTGAGGAGCAGGGAGATCTTCGTCCGAGTGCGTGTCGAGGAGGAAGAGGGAGAGGCGGGAGTTGGCCGATGTGGACAAGTGTGCTGCGAGGGTCCCGCTGTGACTACAATGCGACGAATGCCCTGAAACAAGGCAAAGTGCAAGCGGCGAGGGTAGTGATGATGTGAAGGCAACAGTTGACGATGAAGGTGATGGTCAACGCGACTGGGCTCTGTTGTCGCGTTGGCTTGGACAGTGCTTGATGGGCCTCAGGCACGTAGCGACGTGGTGATCAATACGCTGTAATAGCTCGCGGGTATGAAGTGTAGAGTCGATGGCGCCCGCTGAGTTCGATGAAGCAAAGCAGCAGAGATTGTCGGGAAGCCGCGAGCCTCAAAGAGCAGGAGATGATGAGGATGATGGAGCAAAAGCGTCGAACAGCTCCTCTTGGTGGGCGACGCGCGATGAGCGAAGACTACAGAGACAAAGGAGTGACTGTAGTGTTCGTCCGCGACGCTGAAATTGGTCTCACGTCGTCGTTGACTGGCCGGTAAACACTCGTCGTGTATGCGCGCTCGGACGTTGGTTTACAGCGGCAGGACAAAGCAACGTCGACTTCGTGAGGAGACGACAGCTGCGAGGTAGGCGTTACGCCGAGTGAGACGCAGCGCTCAGGGAGGCGACAACTGGGAGGAGAGGGGGGAGGAGGAGGATGGAGATGATGGCGATGATGATGAGCAGGTTAGGAAGACTAAAGTGGTGGTGTGAGTTCTCGAGAGTGAATGGAGCAAAGCCTCGCCGGAGATTCAAGTCAGGCGTGTCCGAGCGAGCGAGTCGCGGGTCGAGTCTCACACAGCCAAACACGACTTCGTTCAATCGGCGAGACGGACTCTACGCTGCGAGCGAGGAGCGGGGCACGGACGACGGCTGGCTACACCACTCTCATGAGAGCGCAGCGTCCCGATGTGATTGGCATCATCACCGCACCGCCAACGACGACTACGACTGACGACGACGATTCCCGTTGAGCGCCCGAGCCTGGGAGGCTTGCCTCGAGCCTGAGAGCTTCGAATTTGGCCCTTTTTGCTCCCCACGCCTTGACGTCGCTTCACTGTCACTCGGGTGGTGTGTAGTAGTGTGTAGGGTCTAGCAGACGCAGGCCATGGCTTGCATAGCCTCGTAGAGAGTGAGGGACGTGCATGCTTCCGCTTCAGCCCCCTCGCACCGCCTGTCGTGTCGTGTCAAGTCAGTCGAATGTGATCTCTCGCTCGACATGAAGGCTGCAGCAGGCAGCGGTGGGAAGTGTCCGCCGACTGACTGGTCCTGGTCTGGTTCTCGTCTGTCTGCAAGGCCACGGCCAAGCGGCGTATGAGCGTGGCGGCCGCGGCGGGCGAGCGACAGGCGGGCTGGCAGGCAGGCAGGCAGGCAGGCAGGCAGGGAGCTACGAGAGAGAGGGCGGAGGTCGACGACGACCGACCACTCAACGGCGGGTCTACCTGAGACGCAGACCTCGCCTCAAAGGCATGTTGACGAATTGCTGCCGCTTGCGATGTCGACCAGAGCAATGGAACGTCCTTGTATAGATCGTCATTGGTGGTCATGGTCCTCCTTGCGGCCCACGAGTGCTGTACACGACGTACCAAGCCGACGTCGTTGACGGCCGCCGTCATCGAGCTTCGAGATTCAAGATTCCGTTGTCAACGAATGTTCGCAGCCTCAACGTCGCAATCACCCTCCCCGCTATCGCTGCCCGTTTTACCCGCTTGGCTCGCGGGCCATGAATCTTACTTTGGTCTCGCAGACTAGTCTTTGCGACTTGAATCGCTACATTGAGCCGCTGCCGGGAGAGGGCCGAGCGAGAAGGCGGCAATTGGATAGACAGGCCTTCTTCTTGGCGACGACTGACACGATCGAGGCGACGTTGCTGACGCCCGCGTGGGATGGGTGTGATGAGAATGAGGAGATGAATATCGGACCCTCTCCCGAAGGCGGCGGCTGTATTTCGGTCATTTCGAATGAGCCCCGGCTAGGCGATGGTAGGTGGGCCAGCTGCAGGCACAGCTGTGAACAAAGGCGGGGCAAAGGAAGAGGGGCTGGCCCACAGCTCGCGAACCATCCGCGTCGCAGCGGTTGCTCCAAGTTCCCGAGAGCTAGATATCATTTCACGCTCCCCTCTCGTAAGGCTACGATTAAGCAAATGCACCCCTTCTTTTCCTGTCACGATTGTCCCACGCTCGGTACGCAAAACATAGGCTAGAAGGTGTGTATCAGGGAAGGATCCTCGAGCTGAGAGCCCCGAATGCTATCACGGCAAGCTCAGCCTTCTCGCGACGCCGGCCGGCATCGATTTGAGCCTAGTCGCTCGCTCTCGTCGCAGGCTTGCACCTACGTACGGAAGGCAAAGACGCCAGCGCTTTCTCGCACTCTGCGCAGGCGCAGAAGTCTTGGCTTGTTCCTTTCGATTTTCCCAAAGAAGCCGCGGACTGCAGATGACGAGGGTCCGACGAGAGAGCAGAAGGTGCCGGGCTGCTGTTGCTGCCTGTTCCTTCTTTGGGCACGCATCGTGCTCGGCCCGACGATCGGCGCCACGAGGGATGGGGAGAGCGGCGCGGGCTTGCGGATGACCTCATGACATGGCAGGGTTCAGCCGGACGTTACATTTTGGCCGCTGTTCGGAGCATCGTACCTCCGTAGAATATTTGCAGGTCTTCTATTCACCGCGAATTGAGATCTCGTGGTGTGGGTGAATTGCCCCTCACGTCAGTTGAGTCGGTGAGCAGGGTCTCTGCCGCTGCCGCCGCTCCAGATCTTCCTGCTCCGATCGTCCGACATCAACACTGAGACCAACACTTGTTGACGCGCTGACCGTGGGCGCGGATCGACACGTGCCGGAGCGAGGTCGCCACCAGCCCATTGCGGGCGCAGCGACCTCAGCTGAGTGTGCAAGCCAAAATCGAGGCGACAGAAAGCTGAGGCATCGTTACGATGACCGTTCCCGAAAAGTTCTGCGAGCGGGAGAGGTCGATCAATGCAGCAAGATAGAGCTCACCTCCGAGCCTCGCATTATGATCTGCGTCTTGCGTAGCTGCCCATCGAGTCTGCGCGAGCCAGAGGGCGCCACTCGGCGGATGGATGAAGCGGAGAGGGCGGCGTCGTCGGCGAGGGCGGACTGCCAAGTGGTGTCGTTGTCGTCGTCTTTCGCTGATCCGCTTCTCATCTCGCACCGAACATCTTCAAGAAGCAAGATCTCTGGCAGGCGTCCAGCATAGAAGCAGCTGTCAAAGAAGCTCTCGGCACGCCTTCGGAACACCTGTCAAGACGCAGGGCGCCCGTCGAACTTTGAGACCTCGGCGTTGCGATGAGCTCCAGAAAACGATCCCAGCGCAAAGCGTCGAGTCTGGCGACGGCAGCCATCTCACTGCAGTCAACCGACCAGTACGATGGCGTAGGACGCTCTGCAGCAGGTCCGAGCGTCTTGGCATCGAAGCCGCTGACTGTCCAGCAGCGACAGCAACTTGACGAAGAACGGCGCGAGCACGAGGAGAAGGAACGACAGAGCAAGAGGCGTAAGGTCCGAAAGCGACTCGATGAGCTCGAGGTGAGTGCGAAGATGAGCAGGCAAGCAGCCAGCTACTGTTCTTTGCCTGCTCGAGCTGACGTTGCTGAATGCCACACCATGCCAGCGCACCAACTACCGCGACGCCATCTCGTCGAGCCGTCCTGGCATCGACTCAGCATCTCGTAATGAAGCAGAAGGAGTAAGCATCCCCAATTCAGTCTTGGAAGAAGCAGTTAAGCATCACAAAGAGCCATCAGGTAGCAGACTTTCTCTAGCCATCAGCGATGTGCCGGGGGAGGGAGACAGGCCGTCTTCATCGGCGCCTCAGCGCAAACAAAGCGCCACGGTGAGGAGGCTGCTCAACTATCGCAGAGGGTACTACTCCCTACTCGAAGACGCGGTGAGTGGCAGAGGGGTCGCCAGATCGTCCGCCAGCAGCTGACCGCCGCATCCGCTGCCCTGCACATAGGCATCGGATGAAGTCTTCACATCAGCTGCGTGCAACTACGACTCAGCATCCGCGTCCGTGGACCCGCTGCTCAGCCTGTCAGTCTCGCAAGGCAAGGGCACATCAGGTGTGATACCGACTGCAGGCCTCATCTATCCTCGTCGGCCACCCTTTTGCACCGTTTGCAGCCAAGCCGCTTCGGTCAATTGCCCGCGTTGCGGAGACCGCACTTGCGCAGCATCTGCTTGCCTCGAGACCCACAACGATGCTCGTTGCGATCGTCCCATTCGATGAGTGTGTGGAGCGATTCACTCTGTCACCACCAGTGTTTCTGCTCACTTCCATCTCTCGTCGCAACCTCAATGTGTATTTTAGTTCACCTCTCGCTCCCCTCTTGCCTTCTTGTCGTCGTCTCGCTCGCTCCGGATCTCAAAAGCCGTGCCCGTCGACTCCGCCCCACATCGTGCCACTCAATTCGATGCGGCCGGCAGCAGCGGCTCGACGGTTGAATTGAAGCCAAGGGCAATAAGAATTCTAATCGCCCGCATCCGCCCTCGTGGGCCGCCATCGGCAACTTGATTTCACTCTGTGCTCAGCATCCTCCCTACTTCTCCACCATACCATACCACTGAACCTCGCCATCCGCTTTCGCCGTCGCCCGCTATGCCGCGTCTCCAGGTGATGGTCGGCCCAGACCGCTTCAACATGGAGCCATGCCGCGTTAATGATACCCAGCGGCCACACGAGATCGATACCGAGCATTTCACGGGGAGGGTCCTTGTGAGGATCCTGGATGCGCCCGGAGCTAGAGAAGGGGAGGAGGGGAGGGAGTATTTCAAAGACAGATCGCGCAAGTTCTGCATTCAGATTGAGGGGAGGTTCAAGAAGAGATGTGAGTGAGGCCGACTCAAAGACCAAGATCACGACCGAGGGTATGCTGTCGTGTGCCAGGACTAAAATAGTCTGCCCCCTCGCTCGCTCGCTCACTCGCAGGGAACGGCGATGAGATTCACTTTGGTAGCGACTTTGACAAGCTCGTGGAATTTCCTAGAGCGCCCTTCAACGCTGGCATGAGGGTAGCCAAGTACATCGTGGGTATAGCACAGCAAGCGCGGACGTCGCCTACTCGTTCACGACTGACATGCCTCATCTCGCCTTCTTTCACGCCCGGTCAGGACCCTTGCACCTTCTACGAGGAGCAGCCCCCCTCCAAGCGCCCCTACATCATGTCACCCTACATCGCCTGCATGAATGTCACCTGCGCATGGCCCGCACCCTCACGAGCTCACGAGGCCGTGGTCGTCCTCCGTCATACCAACAAGTCGGACCACTCGCCGTCACGCCCTTCCAGCCCGATCATCGAGCCAGAGAAGAAGGGCAATGCACACTCCGCCCTCGTTGTACCCAAGCCGACCCATGCCAAGCCTCAGGACGGCGACGACGACGACGATGAGGGAGACGACATTGTTCCTCGCGAGGGGCTGAATCGCAAGGGCAGCAAGCGCGGATCGACCTCAGCCGAAGCAACATCGAGCGCGGCGGGCAAGCAACAGAAGAAGAAGTCATCCTGGTTCGGCGGCGTCTTCGGCAGTGGGAGTGGACACAAGGAGGAGAGAGTCCTCAAGCCTTACTGGCGCTTCGTGGGCTTCAATGACGATCCGCGCGTGCGAGCTTTGCTCGAGGCGCATCACACCAAGCTGCAGAGCAAACGCAGAAGCTTTCAACCGCCTGTTCGCCCTTCCTCGGCGATGAGTAATGATTCGGGGTCGCAGGCTGTTTCGTCTCCCTCGTCCTCCATGGGGCCTGGAGATGTACAACACGGCATTGCTGCCAATCACCCGACGCTGCGCAGGCTGGGCACGAGCGTGCGAGGGGCTTTGCCTCGATTCCATGGCGATGATCCCGGTACGCCGCCTATGCATGGAGAGCGCGGCTCAGGAGACGTCAGCCCGCTGTACAGCCCCACCCTCTCTGGTGGTGATCAGTTCTTCACCGCGCCCGACCCAATTCAGCACCGTACGAAGAGCCCCCTCGCGATGGAGGTCAAGCACGACGATGCAGAGGTAGGAGGGTCGAAGTCACGAAACAGTGCAGAGGATGTCCCGCCAATGCCTCCTCTCGCCCGAATCACGACCGATGTTCGCAACGAGGCGGAGCGCAGCGCAAAGACTGACGGGCTGAAGGAGGAGGACTTTAAGCTTGCCGATGAGCTTCATCGCCGCATCAAAGGTTTGGGTGGGTCGAGGTCTGGTTCTGGCTCAGAGGCGGCTACGCCTTCATCACCAGCGTCATCGGGCGGGGCCTGGCAAAGCAAGCTGGACGATGCGTTGGGCCCTTGGCGGTTCAACGACCCTGGGACGGACATGGTGGAAGACAATGCTTTCATCTTCACGAACGACTCATTGTCCGTGCCCAAGAGAAGGAAGCACTTTGCCAACAAGGAGAACAGAGAGAAGTGAGTCAGCGCCGGCGCCGGCGCCCTAGGCAGATGACAATGGCTGACCATTTGCCGTCGCCCTGCTCACCACAGGTTCACCTACGACCCAGACGTCGTGTACGGCGCGTCGTTCTTCACGGATGCGTGCGACCTGAACACCTTCAACCTCTCGCTCGGTCCGGTATCACTCAACATCGCCAGGTGGTTCAAGACGATGCCCATTCGCTACACGCTCAGGGCGAGGGACGAGGAGCCCGTGTTCTGCACAATCAGCTTTCAATTGGTGGATTGAGAGGGCGGCAGGGGGTGATGCAATTGCGATGATTGACTAGAGGGGTATAGAGAGAGTAAGAGCTAGATACACGTACGAAGTAGAGCTCCTTCGAGTCGTAGCAGAACGTCGTAGATAGACCATGATTGCCACCAGCTAATATCCAGCGCAATAGAAGCCTACGAAGGCGCAAGCGCAGGCCACATCAATCGAATGTCTCCACTCCAGCATCGAGGTCCACTCCCCCGCCACCACCGCCTGCGCCTCCCGCATCCCCGTCATCGAGAGTGTACTCGCCCGCGTACGGGTCTCCACCTGGTGGACCAGCGCCTGCGCCTGTGGGAGACGCATCGCCGTCCCCGCTGTTTGCGCTTTGTCCACTCCCCCGCCGCTGTCCAGCACCATCAGCACCGCGCGCCCCTGCCCCTCCCCTTCGTCTCGCAGCCGCAGCTGTAGTCGTTGTGGCCGTACCTCTGCTGGTCCTCCTACCGTTCGCCGGTCTTACACCTGATACAGAGGCATTGCCGCTGTGACCATTCGCAGCTGCGTTGGCTGCGTGTGTCTGAGCAAGAGCTTCTCGATCTTCTTGATCTCGCAGCTCTTCGGCTGTGGTACGGCCTCGCCCAAGGACGACGATGTCGTTGCGTCCATAGGAGAGTAGATTATCACGCTGCAGGTGCGGGCGGTGAAGCATGTCAGTCAGGTCTTCACGCTGTCAGGAGTGGTCTATCGATGTCCGCAGGCAGTCACCCAAGTCATTCTAGTCTCCTCCTCATCGCTCAACTCCCTCCCCTCCTGCTCCGTTACCCCTGCTCCACTCCAGGTCCAATCTGCATCGCGCTCCGCCATCCTTATTCTCTCCTTTCTTGCTGTCCCTCCGCGTCTTCTTGCAGGCAAATGCTCCCCTCTAGCATGTCGATGAACAGCCTGCGCCTGCGCCAAGTTGCGCAAGGCAGCCTCGTGCTGTTGACGTCGGGCATCTTGCGTCGACGAGGTTGCGGACCGTCGTGGTGGGGAGGGAGGAGAGGGCCAGTGTGGTGTCAGAGACCGCGACCAGAGGTGAGAGTAGTCGTGCAGATACGACGAAGAGGCCATGGTCAGCGACTTGCGACTTGGGAGCGCAGTGTCAGGATGATGGGCGACGTGGAGAACAGAGGAAGAGGATAAAATGGGCCAAAGCGATGTCAGTCCGTCATGCATTCATCCGCTCAACGGAAGCCAAACCAACACTTTCACTCCTCCTCCTCTGCATCACCATGTCTCCTCCACCGTCAGCATGCCAACTCTTCGTACAAAGGGTCACTCGCGCCTTCATGCTCAACAATGGACACGACACTACAACGATCTCAGCCCTTCGCATCCTCTCCGCCAAGCCCGGCCTTGTACGAGCGCGCTTGCCCATTGGCAGTCATAATGTCAATCGACTAGGAAGCGTGCATGGTGGTCTCATCTGTACATTGGTGGATACCATGGGATCACTAGCGCTCGCTTCCAAGGGCCTGTATAGTACAGGGGTCTCGACGGATATCCACACGACGTTTGCCAAGGCGGCGGGCAAGGCGGGGGATGAAGTCGACGTGCTTGGCGAGGTGACCACGCTGGGTGAGTGACGGCGAGTGACGGCAATTGCGACAATACACATGCCGGGCAGCAGACTGAAAGCATCTCATCAATACACACACGATGGTAGGTCGCACTTTAGCTACCACTCGTGTAGAGGTCCGGCATCCTGTCAGCGATGCCCTTCTAGCATTTGGATCACATACCAAGTTCGTGGGGAAAGCTTTCGGGCACGAGGAGAATGTGGAATTTGACGAAAGCGGGGAGAAGGTGGTCAAGGGGAAGCAACCGGAGGAGTGGGGGGATGTGAGGCTGCATTGATAGGCAGACAACGAGGTGGGAGCAACAGGTGGGAGCAGGACAGCGGGGAAGGAGGGCAGGCAGGCAAGCTGGTGGATATGGTGGATCAGTATGTATCTGGTAGAGAAGCCCTGTCACTGTGGGACAATGTGTTCCGAAGCAGTGATTCTCGTTGCTGGGCTCTCATCGTATACCATCGCCGCCTACGGTTCTTGTCGCAGCGACCTCCACGTCCGCTGGTCCGGACCACCAGCACGGGCCATGCACTGCCGCATTGATCTCGTCTCGACTGGTCTTCCAAGCTCTCTCCTCTTGACCACACCACATCGAACCACGCAATCTCTCCACGACTTACTAGCAATCATGGCAGACCACAAGCCCTACGTAGTGTGAGCATCTCCCTTTTGCCCTCCCTTGATACCGACTGCCTGCAGCTTGCCGCGTCAAGCTGACGTCTTCGCTTGCTTTCGTCTCCGTATCTCCACGCTCAACTCATCTAACCTCACCTCACCCGCCGGCCGTACAGCATCTTCAAGAACTCGACTCCCTCCTCGGTCATCGACGAGGAAACGAAGAAGGTCGAGTCGCAGGGAGGCAAAATCAAGCAGAGATTCGATAGCGAGATCATGAAGGTGAGCAGCAGAGGCATGCGTCCGATTGGATGGTGGCGATGATGAATCGACTTGAGCTCCAGAGATGACAGGAGATGAAAGCTAGTGCTGACTACTTGAGGCCCGCTTTGCTCGATCACTCTTCGCCGACAGGGCTTCGCTGCCACCATGCCTACCTCGCATGCCGACTCTATCCAGTCGCTCAGCGCCGGTGGCAAGCACGAGCATATGTGAGTAAGAGTGCGACTTGATGAGGCGACCGAATACGTCCTTCTCTCGCTCAAGCAAGGGCTCAGAGGGCAGAGGGCACATAGAAAATACCGAATCTGACTTGTCCGTCCTCCTCGCGCCCGCCGTAGCGACTACATCGAGCCCGACTCGGAGGTCAAGACGCAGTAGAGGATCAGTCAATGTGCTTCTGGCTTCTGCTACAATAAATGCGACGGTATGATCGTGGTCTCAGTGTATCTCAGATTTGTCTGAGACCTCCTCTGATGTCTTGTCGATACCGCGCTCTCGTCGGTAAGCGCGTCGTATCGATGAGGTCTTCACATACCACCTCTTTGCCGTTTTCTTCGCCGCTGGGGCAAGCACGCTTGTCCTAGCGGTAAGGAAGCAGCCCATGCCTGCCTCGAGCGCCTTCGCTCGGCGTTCTTCGACACTGAGGGTTCAATACTGGCAGGGCGAAACAGCAGTGGGAGTATTGCGCGCTGCAGATTTGGTCCCGGGGAGCGCGGAAGGACGAAGGAGTTGGAGTAAGAGGAGGGAGGGGGAGGAAGGGCTCACGCGCCTTCCCCTGCGCTTCTGCCCGGGACAGCGTCGCCCCCCAGTGTTGGACCTTCCAAAGGGTTGAAGGAACGCGAGAGCGACGCGAGCGAGAAAGGGTGGGCTGCTTTTTTGCGCAAGCGCTACTGTTGAGCCTCGAAAGGGTGCAACGTTCGGAACGACGATGGCCGTGGTGGGCAGGCGAGTGTTCTCCTCGCCGGTGTTCATGAGGACGGGGGCAAGGGCAGAAACAGTCCACGCAAGCGCGGGCGGCCCAGTTGTTGTGCAGCTCGGATGAGGTCCATTGTACGACGCCTCCTTCAGAGCAGCTCTTTTGCTGCGGGTGCGTGCGGCTGCCATAAGGAAGATGCTTGAGTGTCGACGTGCACAGAGGCCTCGAACGAGCAATTCTGATCGGCGGAAAAGGTTGCGTCTCTTTGCCAGGCTTCGTATGGCGAATGGGGGTCCGATCCGGTACCTGACTTGGGGAAAGGTCAGGTTCTTATTCTCCCCGACGGGCCATATGTGCATCGCGAGCGCACAGCTGGCGTAGCGGTAAGGGCGGCTTGGCGAGCGTCGTAACCACAACTCGGGTAACCTGCTGCCACCTAGTGAAGGTAGCGAGGGTAGACAGCTGTCCCGGCAGGGTTCCGGTGGTTGCGATACCCCGAGGGGGTGGGGTAGCCTTTTGCTGCGACCGATCATGAGCGCCACAATGTGCGAGGATGCTGGGAGGCAATCGCGAGGTGAGATGTAGCACTGTTGCACTCCTGCTACGTGATCGTATTGCAGTCTGCGCCTATGTGTTAGCATGATCAGCGATACCCACCCCTTCCTCCTCCACCGCCGCCGCGTCCACCGCCACCTCTGCCCGGCCCACCTCCCCTGCCTCCTCTTGCTCCACCTCGTCCGCCGCCCCCGCCCCCTCGTCCACCATTACCGTCCCCTCCTTGCCTCGCGCGACGTGCTTGTTCCTCTTGCTGTCGAACCGCGTCGAGTAGGTTGTCTGCTAGGCGGAGGTATTTGATCTACGTGCGCGAGAGGAGAGGTGCGAGATGGTCAGCAGCCAGGCACTCGCTTCGTTGTGATCAGCGAGTCCATCTCAAATGTCATCCTCTTCTTCTCCCTCCGCTCCTTGCAATCCCAATGAGCCACCCGTCCTTCGTCCCATCTCCAGCCCTCAATGGTCGTCCGTGGATCGCTCACTCACCGTAGCCCCCTTGATATAGCACTCTGGCAGCTTCCAGAACTCGTCACCCGATGCGCTTGTCTGGTAGACCTCACGCAATGTCAGGTTCATGAAGTTGTCGGCCGCAATGAGCATGCCGTTGAATGTCTCGCCGGACTTGAGCTCGACCAGCTGTGTGCGTGTATGTGCGCGTGCGTGCGTGAGTGAGAGGGGAGGAGGTAGGAGGGAACAGCGCAAGGGCATAGCTGTCAGTGAGACGGGTGGGCAAGGTTGAGAAGCGTCTTGAGCCGCACTTACCATGGCCTTGCCTCTTGCGGCGTTGAGCAATGTGAGGGGCAGCTGTGAGCGGGCAGAGCAGAGAGATGGCGGTCACCATAGGTCAGCTTCAGGGCCAAGAGGACGAGCTGTCTGCCCAGAGCTTCTCAACCTTGCTGCAGTACCCACCATGCTGCCAAGGTACTGCTGTGGCTATGGATGCTTGCTTGGTACGAGTGTTGGGTGGAGAAGGATTCATCAACGGAACAGCCCTCGTCTTCCCGTCATCTCTCGACTCGTCTGCGCGAGACGACACTTCGTCTCCGTCCGTCCGTCGCTCGGTCCGTCGGCCTCGACTTCACGCCGGACTGACGTTGTTTGCCTCACTACTCCAAATCGCACAAGCAGCCTGCAAAGATGATAGCAAGAAGAGGGCCATCAGCTTTGAGGATCGTCAAACCAAGAGCAGGCACAAGTCTAGTGATCGGAGGTCCTCGCAGGCTAGCAACCGGCAATGCTGGCCCCCGCGCAGGCACAAGCTCCACTTACTCCTCCTCTGCGAGCAGATTCGGCCTCTTTGCAGCAGGAGGCACAGGCGTAGCTATCTACTCCCTCTGGTGGGCCGGCCGCCCCTCATCACAGATTCATGCGGAAGCGTCACCCTCCGATGCGGCCCTCGTAGCCCAGCCCAATGGTCAGGTCGAGGAAGAGCACCACGTTGACGCCTCAACCAAGATGGCCCTTCCCAAGCGGCTACCCGCTCCCGTCTGCCTCGGCGGGGATCCCAAATCGTCATCGTCGGAAAAGCCCTTCGTCCTCCTCGCCTCAGGCGTACGGACCGTTTCCTTCCTCCGTGTGCAAGTGTACGTCGTCGCCCTGTACGTCGACGAAGCTGCCTACAAGAAGCATACCTCTTCCCCCACGAGCAAGAAGGCAGCAGAAGAAGGGAGCACGCAAGCCTTCATTTCTCATCTACTCTCTTCGGGAGAAGTACCCTGCATCCTTCGCGTGGCTCCAACTCGCAACACAGACTTTGGACATCTGCGAGACGGTTTTGGACGTGCGGTCCAGGCGAGGGTCAAGGTGGTACGCAAAGCGCTCCAGCAAGCGCAAAAGGACGGGGCAGGTGGGCTAGAGGGCGCAGCAGCAGAGTTTGCCTCTTCCCTCTTGCCTTCAGAGGAAGAGGAGCAAGCACTCGCTGATGGCATGCAGGCCTTGCGCGAATGTTTCCCAAAGGCGTCACTACAGAAGGGTCAGACGTTGGATCTCGTCTTCCACCCTTCGCCGAGGGAGGGTGGGGTTGACCTGACTCTCGAGCACGATGGGGCTATCATGGGATCGCTGAAGCATGACGGGAGGGCGAAGCAGGTTCTCGATGTGGCGAAGCTGCTCATGGAGGCGTATGTCGCTGAGAAGGATCCGGTCAGTGGTGTGGTGAGTACGGGGAGCTGGCGTGGGGCGGAAGAGTTGGTATTGCGAGAGAGAGCATGTACTGACAAGCCTCATTCGTCCTCCTTCGACTGGTAGTTCAAACAAGCCCTCAGCGAGAAGCTCTTCTCCTCCACCTCGTAACCGCACCTACGTGCGCGGCACTCATCTACTCAATAGACCAACGTCCCTCGTACGCTCATGCGGGAATGTCTGCATCTCCTACTATCTATGCGGGCATCATTGGGCTTCCCCTGAGCCGGATAGCGAAAGGAGTCATGGATTCTAATCTTCGCTCCTTGTAATAATGTCACTGATCGCATGGTGTAAGCGAGGAGTGTGATAAGGTTGGAGCGTGTGCAGAGTTGAGTGGTGGGTAAGAGGGGAGGGGAGAGGGGGGAGAGGATGGCAAGGACTGTGGAAGAGGTCAGACTGTCAGTCGTGCTCACCGCTTCTTCACCGGGCTGTTGGTGACGAGGATTGATTGCACCCTGCTGAGTGCATGTCCGTGGGGTATCAAAATGTCGTGTCGTTGCAGCTCGTCAACTCCCTCAACCCATCGCGTGCTTGTTGCTCCTTCTCCTCTCCACCTGCTCATTCTGTATCCCCTTCCTCTCCCTATAGAGCTTGATAGCTCTTTGCCTCTCCTCCTCGAGCTCCTTCTCCCTGCGCAGCCCACCCATCGCCGCTGCCTTACCTGCACCAGCCTCCTGCGTAGAGGACTTCGCCTTCTTGTTGCGCGGCGCAACTGGCTCAGGCATCTGCCCTTTGGTCACCTTCTTACTGCTCGCTCGCGGTTGAGGAGCCTCCTCGCCACGCAGAGCAGCAGCTAGTGCCTCCTTCCTCCTGATCGCTTCAGCCCCCTGGCCGCGTGGCAGCTTTGAGAAAGAAGGAGGAGCCTGCGCCACATCGTTGATCCGGCGGACTTGAGAGGCTTTCGCGAAATCGACCTCCTTGCCTCCGGACATATCCTGCCTCGCACGCTTCAGATCTTCCTTGGACGGCTCAGCCTTCGCGCGACGTTCAGCTTCGTCCTTTCCCTTGGCATGGCGACGCCATTGGGCTTCCTCGTCATCCTCGTCGTCACTCACGCCAGCAGCGGCCGCCGCACGTTCAGCGCGCTTCTGCTTCTTTCGCTTGCGAGCCTCAGAGCGGGCCGTGGAAGCTACTTGGGAGGCCATGGCCTGCTCTACGCGGCGATTATAATCGCCTAGCTTCTCGCCCGGGCGGATCTTTAGCTTCGAGGAGGCAGCCGGCTTGGACATTGATGGTCCGGCCTCATTCTCCTCATCGTCTACCGCCTCACCGCGTTGTCGCTTCTGCTGCGCCTCTTGCTCTTTGCGTTTTCGTGCCCGATACTCTGCTTGAACACGGGCAGCGTCGAGGATCCTCATGGCGCCTTTTGGCATGGATGCGAAGTGCGGGTCTTTGGAGTGGGATAAGGAGGTGGGAGCATTATCCTGGCCGCTACGAGCAAAGTGAGAGTGTCAATCCGGGCTTTCGAAGTGGTTTCCTTGTTGAGCCACGCACACTCACTGCAGCAGCTGATTTGAAGCCCTGACGGATCTCTTTGCTCTCTTGTGCGGCATCTTGAGGGCGTCGACGGGTGGTGACCCAAAGAGTGGAAAGGAAGGAAGCAGCGGCAGCCGAGTGAGCTGCGAAAATCCCCTCGCTCGACATGAGCCGAGGGGCGACTCGTCTGGAAAGTCAGGCCGCTCAGTCCGCCTACGACTTCTCCAGCTCCAATCAATCCTCAACCAACGTCGCAAGATGCTCGACGTTGGATTAGGCGTCGCGAGGAGCGCCAGGCTCTTGTCGACAAGGGCAATGAGCCTCAATCAGCTTGACCACCGGAATATCAGCAGCTTGATTGGGACCGCTGCCAAGACCGCCTCGCTGCCGACCGCAACACTCCGCCGTCCTGTCTATCAAGCACTTCCTCGGCAACGACACTTTTCTTCCTCGTCTAGCCGTCTCAATACCCCTCTTCCACCCGAAGAAGCCTTCAGACCAGCTGCTACCACATCGTCTGCACCTCAGGCCCCTCTTGCAACCTATTTAGGCCCAATGTCACGCACCTTCTACCGCCTCAAACTCTTCAGCATGACCTCCCTCCTCTTTGCTTCCTCTCTCACCCCAGTCTTCCTCTTCGCACCGGCAGAGGGCGTCACCCTGGCTGCACGCTGCGGAATTGTGGCCATGGCCCTTGGCACCAGCGGGGTGTCCACGGCACTCGTCGCGTGGATTGGGAAGCCGTACGTGGGTAGGATGGCGTTGCGCAAGGGGGAGAAGGGACAGGCGATGATTGAGGCCAATAATCTCAGCTGGAGATTAAGGCCATTCCAAACGACGATCTACAGGCCTTCCTTCATTAGACCAACGTCTAGACCGTTTGCGAACTGGGAGCTTCCCGAGGAACCAGGGGCGGTTGATGATTTACAGGCTATCCTGGCCGACAGTAGCAGCGGGAGCGAGAGCGGAGCACGTCGATTTCTCATTGCAGAGACGAAAGACCTCAAGACGGATCGTGTGGTGGGCTCATGGTGGGGGCAGGTGGATGATGCAGGCCAGGTGAAGTGCACCGGGCAGGGCAAGCCGGTCAGGCATTTCCAGGTGCACGAGGAGCTATTGGGCGATGAGTGGAGGATTCTCAATTGAAAGACGAGTGACCAAGGAGACGAAGCGCACATTTGTGGTAGCGCAGAGCGCGATTGCATTCCCTTAGCTGTGTATACATGCTCGCCTTCCCCTTCCCTCACGATCACGGTTCCCGCAGACTCTCTTTATCGCACCCTCCAAGAGCGCTCGGCTGCTCCTGCGTCCCTGTGCTGTTGCCAGATCCCCTCAACCTTCTCCCAGTCCACCACCTCCCAGAAGCGTGCCAAGTACGTCTCCTTTCCCCAAACCCCCCAGTCGGGCAACCAAGCGTGCTCGTAGCCGCTCATGCAGAGCAGCGGGGTCAGCGTCTGACCAACATCGTCCTCCGGGTTCGAGGCCATGGCTGATCCGAGGCCAGCGTAGATGTCTGGCTTGAGCGCAGAGGCCGTGGAGGAGGGCTGCTGCGCCGATGGGTCGTACAGGGAGCGCGATGGCTGCTCCTTGGCCTCATCGGGCGCGCCAGGTGAAGCGTACCCCTCCTCTCCCTCCTTTGAGGCTTGCCTCTCCTGTTCCTCCAAACTGCCCGCAGCCAAGCCCTGCAATCCTGCGGGCCCCTTCTGTCTCCTGTTCTGCACCAGGACCGTACCCGCACCGAATGTGGGGACAATACCGAGGTGACCGAGCCCGTCAACGACGAGCCAAACGTACCCGCTGCTGGACATGCCGAGAGCTGCGGAGGACATGGCGCTCTTGAAAGTAGTGAGCGAGCCCCAGGTGTCTTCTATCGCGCGGGCGAGGGGGCCAGTAAGCTTCGGTGGGGGAGTGGAGAGGTAGTCCTTGTTCGTCGGGTCTTGGGAGATGCCGGCGGGGGACGTCTGTGAGTAAGATGGGTGAAGGCAGAGAGTTTGATGAGTTACTAGTGGGAGGGGTAACGGAGGCAGGCGTTGGCTGGGCTCACGATCTGGCTGAGGAAGAAGGCATTGTTGAGCGCGAGCGAAGCATAGTTGAATGCCATGATGCGCTCGGGCTTCTGCGCAGTCGCAATGATGGTGTCTACCAGGCTCGACTTCTCGAGCTCGGTGCCTGCGATCGCAGAGAAGGCAATCGAGGATCAGCAAGAGGCCAGACAAGGTCAGCTGCTGAGAATAGGGGGATAGACGCACCTCGTACCTCCTCGTTGAGTCTCTCGAGCAACCCCTTCTGCCACCCTTGCCAGAGCATGTCTACGGTCGACTTGGAGAGCAAAGGCATAGCGCCTTCTGCTACATTCTTGGGAGTCGGAGGGAGTGCATGGAGATGACGGGAGGAACTAGGGATGCGAGAAGAGGATGATGATGAAGATGACGCTGAAGAGGCCAACGTCGCAGATGGACGCCTCAGAGCGTCTCGTGCTGTGGATCCCAGCGTCCTGAGTGCCATGACTGAGGTTGTGGTGAAGGAAAGGAAGTGGTGATCGCGAAGAATTGACAAAGCCAAGGCGGGGCGGGACGGACGGACGGACAGACAGACGACTGAGGACAGACGAGGCGGCGACGAATGACTTCTCGACCGCGCGATGCGATGTCGTCAAGAGGTCGACAGCTCGAGAATGGAAATAGGTGAAGTCTGAGCAGACAAATCAAGCGGCGAGAGGTAGTCTTTTCGATAGCGAGCCGATTCGGGGCAGCACTTGATACTCTCAAGGTTGCAGCGGTGATACGGAGCTCCTCTGCCATGCCATCGTGGTGAGGCGCCGGCCGCGGTTCAACGTCCAAAGTTGCTCGGCGCCTCAAGGCGGACTGGCGTTGAGATGTTCTCGCGCTCCAAACTGACCATCGTAGCTAGCCTCTCAACTATACAACCTCAAGCAATCATGACAAGCCAAGCTCACTCACCACCCAGACGTCCAGAGTATGTAATCGAACACATGGAAGAGGACGACCCTGACGCCCCCTCGGTCTTTCCCTCCTGGGCTCTCCTCGAGTATCGTCACATGCTCTCCCTCGTCGGCCCCGGTTCAACGGTCCACTTCACCTCCCTCTCCTCCGCTTCGGTCGAGTCGCTTCGCAAGGCGTTGAAAGAGGATGAGGGAAAGGGAGAGAGGGCCAACTTTGAGCTGCACACTGCCAGCATCACCACACTGGCCAAGCAACGCGGCATCGGCATGGAGCAAATCTGCCTCCTCGACCCAAGAGCACCCCTCTGCCTACACGCATCGGACGCGGGCCTTTATCCACGCCCATCCTCTGCTTCTTCATCGTCAGAGGTGGACGGACCTTTCACTCACTTCCTCTTCGGAGGCATCCTTGGAGACGACCCACCTCGCGATCGTACTGGTTCACTGCGCGCTCTCGGCTTCCCGAGGCGGCATTTGGGCGCAGTACAGATGACCACTGATACTGCTTTGGGTGTGACGAGGCGCATCGTGGAGGATGGTATGGGCATGGGGAATAAGGAGGACGAAGGTGGGGCTGAGAGGGGGAGTGGACCAAAGGGGACCTTGGAGTGGGTGGCTCAGCCTGAGCTCAAGTTTGGCAGAGGGGAGTCGGTGAGTGCCTGAGAAGCCTCAAGAGTGGCGAAATTCGAGCGAATCGCTGATCACCTTTCTTCCTTTGTGCAGGTCACCATGCCCTTCCGCTACATGAGGGATCCTCACGCCCCTGCCATAGCTGAACCTCAACCGCTGCTCCCACCTGGGATGCGCGAGCACATCAAGGCCGACCTCGACCGGGGTTTCGACTTCTGAGCTCGACGACGCTCGATGATGCTGATAGAGGATAGGAACAGGTCGATCTGTGCTGTCAGGATATGCTACTATTGTACAATGTATTCGTTGCCTCTGCTCTGCTCTCGTCCTTCGTCTCGCACCTTCACTCCATCCTCTCCAATTCCCTCCTCAACGCCTCTTCCTCAGCCCTCAGCCCCGCAACTTCGTGCTCAGCGGCAATGTTGGCCACCTCCAGCTGCAAGCCCCTCGAAATCAGCTCGGTCCACCTAGCCTCGAGGGCAGCGAGCTTCTTGCCCGCATCCGTCTGCTCTGATCGTCGTGAGCGGTTGAGCCTCATGGTACGGTTGGACTGTGTTTCGCGAGCATCTTCGTAGCGATGGGAGAGGTGCTCTTGTTGGTAGTTGTGTAGACGCCATTGATTTGCTGGGCGCGCCGAGGAGGGGAGAGGGATGCGCAGGATCAGCTATCGCGACTTCCCCCATTCCCCGGCACCCTCAGGGCATCGTGCTCACCTCCGAACTTCTTGAGCAGCTCAATATTCGTCATTCTCGTCTCCTGATGCATCAATTGCGCAGCAGCATTATCCACTGCTTTCTTCCATTCCTCATCGTCCGCCTCAAGCCCGGCGGCAGGTGGGGCGAGTTGGAAGCGCGTCATGTCAATGGCCTTTGTCGCCTCCTGTCGCGACGCTATACGCTGCATCTCTTCGTCGTAGGCTGAGGAGGCGTAAAGACTAGCAGGTGGAAGACGAGAGTCCTGAGAATCCATGTTCATCTTTGCCATCTCGGCTTGTACCTCCTTCTGGACGCGGGATGCGAGGCCCGGCTTCGTGTCGAGCTCATCGTCGAAGTAGGGCAGAGCATCGCTCAGAGGCAGATCGATGGACCACGACGCCTCTATCGGCTGCCCAGCTGTGGCTGTCGATACTGAGTCACTGCCATTGGGCAGCTTTGATGTCGAAGCCATGGAATCGAGACGGATTGATGGGCAAGAATGAACCAAACGACGTCGAGAGCGAAGTGGATACAGTCGGACTGAGAGCTCGTGTCGTTTCGCGGAACGGAAGATGAGACGGGAGCTGGACTCAGGCCGGGGTCGACTTGAGGAGCGGCGACGTTGGAAATCAAGCCATCGTTACCAACCATCACCAACGATGTCGCTCGCAAGAACATTCAGACTCATCAGGGAGGGTGGCGTGAGTATTGCGTGTGGCTATAGAGGCCGTGAGAGCTATACGACCCGCTACTGGTCCGCGCATACGGTCCCGCCGGCGATGTCTTTCAGCAGCCACCCGCTCCCAATCCTTGTCCCACCCACGACCTTCAATACTAACACCCGCCTCATCCCTCCTCTCCCGCAGCTTGGTCGCTACTGGCGCAACATGCAGTCTCTTGGAGACGCAAAGGCGGGCACATACATGGGCACGGACCGAGCGGGCAACAAGTACTACGAGGACCTCAACGAGATCCCCGGTCGTCATCGATGGGTCGAGTACGCGCAGAACAATGAGGTCAACGCATCCCAGATCGACCCAGCGTGGCACGGCTGGCTTCATCACACCCACAAGATGCCCCCGGAGCAGAACCCGAATATGGGCAGGCCGACTTGGGAGTCGGTGAGTCGCGCGCCATTAGAGGCAGTGATGCCGAGCTAGCCTGTTGTCGGGGTGGTAAGCAGTCGCTGACCCCCCACCGCCCTCCTTTGCGCATCGCAGCCTATCCAAGAGAACAAGACGGGTACTCGCGCCATGTTCAAGACGTACAGCACCACCAGGCCGAAGATCGTGAGTAGCCGAACTCCCTCCTGCGTGACAGCGGCGAGACCAATCACTCCTAACCTCGAGCATCGCCCTTCGCCACGACAGAACCAATGGGAGCCGTCTGTCACGCCGCGTGGCCAGTAGAGGATGAGGGAAGGGTGATCCGCCTCTTTGTATGCACATAGGTCCAGTACCAAATGGATCAGACTTGATACAACCCAAGCAAGGCAGCTGCCATCGCGAACCGTTGCAATGGGGCTGACCACTGACCCATGGCGGAGAGGATCGCGAGTGGCAAGCTGAAGCGATGGACAGCAGAGGTGTGGGCAGATAGATATCCGCATGTCAAGCAGCCGCGACGATGAGCAAGCAGTCAGGAAGGCGGACAGCGGGGGACATCATTACATTAATCGAAATTCCGAATAGCACCCGAGATATGGAGGAGGCTGAGCAACTAACAGGAGACCGCACACACTTAGAGCTTGGACTCGGGCACCGAAGGCGGCAAGTAGTCGGAGAAGTGCTTGGAGCGCACTTTGTCAAGCTCCTCCTGCGTCATCCTCCTCTCCTCCCTTGCAAAGTCGTACCCGAAGCGATCTTTGCAGTGCGACCCCTCCTTGTAGAAGGGTGCCTTCTTGAGCACAGTGACGACGCACGACCCACCCAGACCAATGTTGTGAGTGAGGGCGTGCTTGACGTCCTTGACCTGCAGGTCACCAGCCTCGTTACGCAGCTGAAGAGCCATGTAAGCGATCATGCCGATTCCAGTCGCTCCGAGCGGGTGGCCCTTAGACTCAAGTCCACCAGAAGGGTTGACCACCCACTTGCCGCCGTAGGTGTTGTCGCCGTTCTCGACAATCTTGTGCGCCTCACCCTCGGCGCAGAGACCAAGCGCAGGGTAGGTGACAAGCTCATTAGGCGCAAAGCAGTCGTGCAGCTCGATGACCTGGACGTCCTTTGCCGTGATACCGGCCTGCTGGTATGCCTTCTGCGCAGCACGACGGCTCATGTCGGCGCCCGCGAGTTCGATGCGCGACTTGTCCTCATACAGCTTGACAGAGTCCGTTGCAATGCCCAGCCCGGCGAGCTCAATAGCCCTGTCCTCAAGCTTGTGCGCCTTGACGAACTCCTCGCTGCACACAATGGCAGCCGCACCACCGTCAGAGGTGGGCGAGCACATGGGCAGCGTAACCTCACGCGTGATCTTGCGAGCCTTTGCTACGTCGGCTGAGCTGGGGGAGATGCGGAACTGGGCATAAGGGTTCTTGACTGAGTGCTTGTGGTTCTTCGCCGAGATTGCGGCAATGTGGTCCCAGGTGGCGCCGTACTTTTCGCAGTACTCTTGGCCTGCGGCGCCGAAGATGCGGGCAGCAAAGGGACCGAAGTCGTCCACCTCGTACTCCTTGTCGCCCTCGATCTCAAAGAGCTGCGTCATGGTGCCCTCCATGGGTTGCGCACGGTCATCCCAGGCAGAGCCGAGGGAGCCGGCAGCCATCTTCTCGAAGCCGAGGGCAAGGGCGCATTCGGCCTGTCCAGACTGAATGGCGTTGGCAGCAAAGGCGAAAGCGGAGGATCCGGTCGAGCAGTTGTTGTTGACGTTAACTGCGGGTGCGAGGGCAAAGGGAAGTCAGTTGAGAAGGTTTCGCGTGAGACGAGTGCTGAGGAGCTACAACTCACCAATGGGAATACCGGTCATCCCGAGCTGGTAGAGAGCTCGCTGCCCGCACGTTGAGTCACCGTAGCAGTAGCCCTGACAAGAGATGTGGAGAGAAAGGTCAGCCTCGCTGCTTGCAGGTTGACCCTCGCCACTGCGTACTCACGACAGCTGCGGTCTCGACCTGGTCGTAGGTGAGACCAGCGTCAATGAGGGCCTTGACTGACGCCTCGAGGCCTAGCTCAGGGTAGTCGCTGTAGGGACGGACGAAAAGACCAAGGGAATGAGGATTCCGTGAGCTCTCCTGGCTGAGCATCACGGTGGAACCAATGGCTGCGCAACTCACCGCTCGCCACGAGGCTTGTCAAACTTGGTCATGCCAACGCCGACAACATAGGCTTTCCTAGGAGTGTAAGGCATGCTGGGCTCGGGTAAGAGAAGAGTCTGACGGTAACGAAAGGTTGGAAGAGAAAGATAGATCAAGAGTCAAGGAACGTCGAAGCGCAGCATCCTCGGCCTCGTCTTCAAATATGCGGTCCTCGCTCTCTATCCGTCGGTCTCAATCGCCGGGTCTCATTCCCCACACTCCTCGAGCCGGAGGAGCGAGCTTTCAATCGAGCGAGCTTCATCAGCCGGCGCGGCAGGACCCTGCATGAGGTGTCGTCGCGTGGCGTGGACGACGCCGAGCTCGAGGCCGAGCTTCGTACGGAGAGCGGGAAAAAGGTCCGATGACATCGAGGAAGCATGTGAGGAACAGAACACTTGAATATTGACACTGCAGGGACGGCTGGACTGATCTTCGCCCATTCAGCGCAATATCAGCTCCTCTCATTGAACCCGCCGGCCTAGCGCACAGTCGAGCCTCCCGCCTCATTACCCGCCCCTGCCCCCCTCCCCGCTCCGCCATCTCCTCCCTCACCAGTGATCCCGTTCGCTACCCCGGCAACAGCAGCCGCAGCAGCCGATGCACCCACTATGACCGCTCGTTCAGCCGCACCTGCCCTGTTGCGCCCCAGAACCCTTCTTGCCAAGTTGAGCAGGACGAGCGGGTCGCCTCGACCAGTAATGCGCTTGACGCCAAAGAGGAGGATGGTGATCAGGATGCCAAGTGATGTCAGATCGAGTGCGAGACGGATTGCGAGGTTGACTACCGCGAGGAGTAGCGCGAGCGGGGCACGGATGAATGAAGTACCGCGACGACTGCCGCCGGAAGAGGATTGATGGAAGCTGGGTGTCGCCCCAGCTGCTGTTCCGCCCATGCCCAAGAGTGAGGCCAGGTCATGGAAAGCATTGACAACAGCTCGATACGCCGAGACAAGGTGACCATTCGACGATGCAGCAGTGCCACCTCGTCTCGCCGCTGCACCTCCCGTGTCCTCCACCCTGTTGAGCCGCTCGTGCAATCCTGCAAGGGATGCCTGTATGGACTGCAAAGCTGTGTCGATCTCGCGATTGTTGGCTGCTGGTGGTGGTCCAGCTCTTCCGCCAGGATTTGATCGACCGCCGATGGAGGATGGCGCACGTGCGTCACTTCCGCGGTGATAGTAGTGGTGCTCGACTGGTGCTGGCGGCTGGGGCCGCGAGGATGGGGCAATGGCAGAGTAGAGATTCGCCCCTGCCCCTCCTTGACCGCCGGCGTTGGACTCTGAGCGAGGAGGGCCAGGGTAGCGAGGCTGACTGGCTGCGTACTGGCCTTGCACGGAGCCACTTCGTACGAGGGGGCCGCGTTGAGGGCCAGGGCCAGGTGGGGCCATCTGGCCGGGTGGCGGAGCCCTGCCACTGCCGGAAGCCGTAGGGCGCCCGTACACGCCTCCTGTGGTCGAGCCGCGCATCGATGACGACGTAGGCAGCGGCGCTGGTCTTTCTCTGTACTCATCTTCTTCCTCCGAATCGACGTCTGAACCGACTGAGCCTCGTCTCTGTGGTGTTGAGCTGCCAGTGCTAATTCCAGCCCTTCCGCCATGAGCCGCCTGTACCGAAGCACCTTCGACCGATGAAGGCTGAGACCATCGCTGTTGAGGGTTGAGGCCACGCCTTGGCTGCTGGGGTTGAGCTTTGCGCAGCGAGGCGAGTCCGTCATCTGCCTCATCCTGCGATGTCCTTGTGTTGCGGTGTCGGAGCGGCGCTGGGGCTGAAGAAGTCTCTGAGGACGTGTCCTCTGTATCAAGTGCGCCTGCGAAGAGAGCATCTGTCGTCAGGTCCTCGTCGTGTCGTTGATCTGCTGCGCGCGTCCACTCACCTCGCATGACTCTCTCTGCCACATCACCCGAGAATGCCTCCAGCTCCTCAATAAGCTCTATAGCCTGAGGCCTATCCCCAAATTTGCGCAGCGTCCTCATCATGCTCTCCACGTACAGCTGCTTGGCGTCTAGCGGATTCATGCCTGACCTCTGCGCCCATGCGTCCCACTTTGCTCTTCCCAGCATGTCCAGCATTCCCGGTCTCTTGGATGTGACATCGCCTTCTGTAGCCTGCTTGTATAGTGAGTAGAGAGCCAGCTTCTCCTCATACGATGTCTGAATGGGCCCGCTCTTGGGTAGTGACTGGACGATATCCACGGTGCGATCGAAGAGGGCGTCGATCACGTCGGCGCTCGACATGGCGGCGCCGGGAGTTGATCGAGAGGGCGAAGGAGACTTGACGAGCCGAGGAGCGATGCAAAGAGAGTGGTACGAGGCACGTATCAGCACCTCAGAAGGCTGAAGGCGATGCAGTGATGGAAGTTGTGTAGGATGGAGGTGAGGAAAGATGAAGCTAAGCGCGGGTCAACCAAGTCAGTCCGCTTCCCCGCGTCGAGCGTCGAAGCGGACCGGCTTCGATGATGTCGCCATGAGCCGAGCCGCTGAGCGCCGTTTCACGAACAGCACTCACTCCGCCGTGCCACATTTCAGCAAGGGCTACGATATTGAGAACGATATGATCATGAATCGAAGAAGTCTCCTTCGTAAACATTCGCATTCACTGGGATCGTTGGCTCCATCCGCAGACCTGGCGGACCTTGACCATGCACGCTTGCCGGCGGCCTCAATTTTTTGCAGACCCATCGCCCAGCACCGAGGGGCCTTTGCCCACTTGACTCGAGCTGGCGACCGCTCAGAAGCATGCATTCTCTCGGCCCTGTGGATAGCATCTGATGTCTGCACATAGACGATTGAGCAAGACTGTGGCTGTGAGCTCTCTTCACGTGGAGAGCGCAGCATCTCGTCGGCCGTCCGTGCACAGCCACGACTGAATCAACGATGAAGCCCCTTTCCGCCCTCACCGCCTTTCTTGCTTTCCTTGATCCTCGATCAACGTCTCCATCGCCTAGTCCTAGCATCACCATTCCTCTAGCAACGCTTTTTCCTCCCTCACGCAGTAGCAATGGCCAAAGCAACGTGAGTGCCAGGCCTTCACGCAGTCGAGAAGCAGTACCTCACCGCCCCCTTCGATTTTTCGCCTTGACGCCGCAGGTCGTCCAACTCGGACGTCCTCCTCTACTTTCTCAGCAGTGAGTTTGCTTCCAACACACCCATAGATCGCACGCCTAAGTCATGCTGAGCTTCCTTCTGACCCTCTCGACCGCCCAGTCTTTGTCCCTCCGGCCCCCGTTGGCATCAAGAAGGGGTGCGGCGCCGACATCCTGATCAACATCTGCCTCTGCTTCCTCGGGTGAGTGGATGCCGCGGGGCTGTGCTGCTTTTGAATCGCGCTCATCATGGCAGCTCTTTCCTCCGCTTACAGGTGGCTGCCTGCGGTCATCCATGCCCTCTGGATCGTGAGCAAGAACCCTGACATGCCTGTGCAACGCTACTGAGGGATCCGATTCGGTCGTGGCGGGACAAAGGCAATATACCATATCGACCTTCCTCTGCTCTCCTCTTGCCATGCTCTGACGCTCTCGCAATGCATTCGTCGATTTCGCTTTCCATCGAGTTCACCTCGTCGCTCTTCCAGTATACTGTATCCACTTCGCTGCGAGATGAGCTTTGAGATCGCTCACGAGGCGCGCTCGGCGTGTTGGCCCGTGTGTCGTCCGTCTCACCGTTGTCCGAGGGATCGCATTGCATCTATCCTCTCCACCAATCACTTTCCGGCATTCAACCCATACACGTCAAGCCATCTGACATATTATGAGTGGGCCTCCGCCACCGCTACCACCTTACCCACCTGGAATGCCGCGGCCCTCTGGAACGACACCGGCTGGCCCACTTCCCGCACCTCCGGCCTCCTTCGCAGCACAGCCTCCACCGCCGCCTCTCGCACCTCCTGCGCTTGCGTCACATACAACTTCATCAGCCACCCCTGCTCCTGCGCACACCGCTCCACGAGCCGCTGGACCACCGCCTCCTCGTCTCACGAATCACTACATCCGGCGCTTGGTCGCTGAGCCAGGCAAAGCCTGCTTCGTCTGCTCTCGTCCGACACCAGTCGTCCTCGTGTCTACGACGGCGGGAGCAGACGACTTCTTCTACGCCTGCAGGTCGCACCTCAGCGACCGTCATTTCGCAACTCTCACTGCTGGACCAGGTAGTAGCGGTAGTGCTGCCGCTATCAACACCGCATCTGATGCGGGACGCCTGCCGGACAAGGTGAGCAAGGAGGAGATCGACAAGATCAAGAAGGAGTACGAGGAGAAGCAAAAGGCCAAGGAGGCAAAGAAGAAGGAGGAAGGAGACAAAGCGGAAGGCAAGGACAAGGACAAGGACAAGGATCAGAAGGACGACAAGTCTCAGCAGGGCTGGCTGTCCTACCTTGCAACATCTCTCAAGGATGCGACCATATCCTCCCCATCTTCCCAGACGACAGAAGCCGATAGACTCGTCTCGGCTCGCACAGCATCGGCATCGGTGGAACCATCGTCGTCACAGTCGCAGCCAAAGGGTCACGAGTACTACACCCTTCACCGCTCCTTCTACGCGATGCGGGTGGATCTCAACGACAGGAAGCAAGCGACGAGGAGGGCAAAGGAGCTGAACTTCCCCAGCGTTCCCAGGGCTTGAGGGCACGCACAATCACGGCTTTCCGGGTTGCTGCGACAGCGCAGCATGGGAAGAGAGCCGCTGAATTCGAGCGATACGCTCGGCACCCCCCTAACCAGCCGCGACCCATCTCGGGCCGACTTTACCATCCACTACCGTCCCGCCGACTCCGTCGCAACGTACAGGGCAACATGGTCGAATCGACTTGCCCAGGCCCAGCTTTGCTCCCGCGGACTTGCATCGCTCAGCTGTCGATGGCAATGAAGCAAAAGAGCCAGGCCATCAGGGTCGGCGGCAGTGCACCCCCCTTTGTTGCAAAAGCGCAGAGACAGTGGGATAAGTCGATCTCGCCGGATCCCTCCAAGTCGGCCAGAGGATAAGGTGGAGAGCAAAGCTGGCCTCGCTCAGCATCGCCCGAGTTTCCTTCTCCCCGTACCACCACTATTTCAACGCCTTGTCCACTGAGAGACACTTTCTCACCACCAAGCCCATTCGGCATCCATCCACGGCCAAATAAAACCAGCCCAGCGCTCTACGTCGTGCGTTGGACATCAAGTGAGCAGACAGAATGCCATTGCACGTGCACACCACTGATGCTGATCCGCTGCTTTCGCCACACAGCAGCACCATGCTCCTCTTTGGCGGCTTAAAGATCACCACAGCCTTCCAGGCTTTCGCCTGCATGGCGAGCCTCTTCTTCCTCGTCACCGTCACGATGACGACAATTGCATCCGTGAGTACCACCACCTCTCACCTACCATCTACGCATCCCTTTTTTTCTCACGCCTCTACCCACACGTGTAGGCCAGTCCCGTCACCGAAGGCGATGTCTCCCTGGTGGACAAGGACGTCACCGACACCAAGCCTGAGAGCATGGACATCTTGCCCATCGGCAACAATCATCGCTGGGGGTCGGGTGACCCTTGGGTGAGCATCGGGTCCGTCAAGGCCGGGAGCTCCGTCGCTGCAGGTGGCGACGGACATGGTGGCAAAAGGGGGCACCTCGGTAGGAAGGCGACCGTCAGGAGGTTGAAAGTGAATGAGGAAGTCAACCAGGATCAAAGCTGAGACTGCTAAGAGATCGAAGGTCCGACGGACATCCAAGCGCGGACGCGAATACACGCTGCGAGCCAAATGTACACGGCTCGCAGATGCTGCTCTGGTCCCCCTACCCTTTCGTGTTACCACGCTTATCAAACGTGTAACACTCTTTTGTACACCTACGGCGCTCCCTTCTCCACCCTACTTCCCACAAACACGCGCCTCAACCCCACTCCACTACTACTTCTCCCACCTCAGCAACGCCCCCAGGCTGTTCTGGTGGGCTCTATACCTACCCTGCGACCCTGCGCGCTTTTCCCATGCCCCTCATGATCGCCATAGCGTAAGATGTCACGAGATAATACAAGCGAATAACGACATTAATCCTGTCCCATGCGGCGCGACCCTTAACGCCACGGAGAGATCGAAGATGCATCTACTCTGCCAGGGTCAGCGGTACGCTTTGCGGTCGAGATCGATCGTCAGAGGGGGGCGCTCAGGTTATGCGAGGCAAGCCTATCGTTGATGCTGATGGGGATAGAGTACACAGAGAAAGAGACACAGGGCTCGAGAAAGACGGGACACAAAGCGAAGCCAGAGAAAGAGCAGCAGAAGGATTGGAGCGAGTTATCGCGCTCACTTCTTGCTCTTCTTCTCTTTCTTTGCCTTCTTCTTGTCCTCCTTGGCCACAGTCTCATCTCCCGGCTCACCGCCATCCGACTTCTTTGCCGCCTTCTTCGCAGCCTTCTTCGCCGCCTTCGCTACGTCGTCCTTCGTCGCCTTGTCTGACGACTTGGACTTGGACTTCTTCTCCTTCTTGCCCTCCTTCTTTGATGACTTCGAAGATGACTTCTCCTTCTTGCTCTTCTTCTCGGCAGGGTCGACCGCCCCTGCTGCCTCGGGCATGGTGCCTGCCGCCTCCACTGCGCCGAGCTCCTCCTCGTCATCGCTGTCATCATCGCTGTCGTCCTTCTCTCCATCCACGTCCATCAAGTCACCACTGCTCTCCTCAATAGCGCGCAGTGCCTTGCTCATCGCATCGGCATTCTTGCTCGGCGGCTTGCCCGTCTCGTAGAAGGCCAGTCGCTCTTCCACCTGAGCGTTCATCACCTCGCCAAACTTCATCGAGGGCGAGTCGGAGAAGCAGTCGATCCTGCTAGCGATGGAGATCTTGTTTGCCAAGAAGCGCGACATGCGTCCCTTGTTCTTGGGTGCGGCGCGAGCAATGGCCGAAGCGTGGTAGATGAGGCCGTACTTGGGCGTGTTGCCCTTGGTCTTGAGAGCACGGAAGAGGGCCTTCTCTGCTCCGAGGATCTGAACTGTTGAGGCTGGGTACTTTGCGAGGTTGGTGAGCGAGCCAGCGTGCGAGATGAGGCGTGCTCCAATGATCTCGCCGACGAGGGCCGAGAGGTTGGGAGCCACAAGGTGCATCTTCTCGATAAGGTACTGCGGGCGAGAGGGGCAAAAGAGGGTTAGACTCGTTGACCAAAATGGCAACTGCAACGATGAGAAACGCCGCCGCCTTACCTTGTGCATGTTCTTTCGGTACTGGGCGAGGTTGACGACGCGGTCCGCAAAGGTCTGGATGTTAAGCATGTCCATCTCTCCGATCTCAGTTCCCATCGAAGCTCTTGAAGCATCAAAGATGTTTCTCGCCAGCGTTTCGTCACCCTCAAGAATCTCGGCCATCTCCTCAATGTCATCCTCCTTCAGCCTCTCCTTTGCCTGGATGAAGACGGCCAGCTTAGCGTAGAGCATGTTGTCATTGACAATCTTGACAAGCTCGGGGAAGTGCCAGCCGTACCATTCCCTGACACGCATGGCGAAGGTGTTGACATCCTTGTCGAGGGTGTCGAGGAGGGCAATGGCTTGAATGATCATGTTGTCTGAGCGGTTGACGTTGAACTTGACCTTCGATCGGGAGTACGAGTGGCCAAGACCGAGCTGCGCCTTGGAGAGGTCGCCTTGCTGCATCGTCGAGATCATCTTCTCTGCGTGCAGACGAAGGCCACGAATGAGCTCAAGGGTGGTCGAGCCAGTGTCGCAGCCAATGCCCAAGTCGGCAACGATGGCTGAGGCCAAACCACGCTCAGAGACACCGAGCGAGACGCCCTTGGTCTTCTTGCCGGAGGGGACGAGTGCCTGAGAAATCAAAGCCTTGAGGTGGTCATTGAGAACACCCTCTGAGATGTCGAGACAGCTCTGAAGAGCATCGACGGCGCTACGGAATGGGCTGAAGGAGAGGAGCTTGACCATTCGAGCAAAGTTGCCGATGTCGGCGGCCGCCTGCTGGACAGAGGCCACCTTGGAGCCGATCTCCTCGACTTGGGTGACCTGAAAGATGGCGCATCCCGTAGCGCACTCGAAGAGTACGTGAGTAGGGGCGGACATGATGGAGGTGGTGATGTGTAAGATAGGTGTATGCGGTACGCTGCTGAGGAAGAAGTCGTCTGGCGGAGAGGCAGCACTGAGCGGCGGCACTCATTCGACTTGGCCGCTCTCAGAATTTTAGCCTGCCCACACTGACAGAGGCGCGGCGAGAGATGAGCCATCATCTTCCGGTCCGACATTGTGGCCGTCTGATGCCCCCCCACGCTCGCACTCGCCTCTGGCCCGGCCCTTACCAATCGTCGTCAACCAGTGCACGCAGCGACCAATCGCACCTTCGCATCATCTCGCCCAATACCCCTCGACGCTCTCCCTCATCATCATGGCGTCCGCACCCTTGACCCGAACCGCCTTTGGCGCCCTCTCACGTTCATCGCTGTCTAGGGCCGCCACTCGCACCATCGCAGTGGCCCCCTCATCGACGCCATCGACTTCTCGCCTTCTCTCCTCCTCGTCGCCATCGCGAGCGGCAAAGCAGGGTGTCGCAGGTGACAAGGGTGAGTGCGCCGCGATGCGAGCGACTGGACATTGGCAACACCTGACTGACATTCTCAATTGACCTCTCCGCCCTCCGGTAGTCAACCCCTTCTCGCCCTTTCCTGAATCAGCCGGCTCGAACCCCGTGGACAAGTACACCGAGATCACCGCTGGCTTGCACGACTACGGTGCCTACATTGTCTCCTGCCTTCCCAAGTTCATCCAGCAATTCTCCGTAGTCAAGGACGAACTCACTCTCTACGTCCACCCTTCAGCCGTCGTTCCCACCCTGACCTTCCTGCGCGACCACACCCAAACGCAATTCCGTGCCCTCATGGACGTCTCTGGTGCAGACTACCCGACGAGAAGCCAGCGCTTCGAAGTTGTTTACCACTTGCTTTCCGTCAAGTACAATTCGAGGATCCGCGTCAAGACGTACGCCGACGAGGTGACGCCCGTGCCCAGTGCTACGGCCGTCTACAGGGCTGCGGACTGGTACGAGCGAGAAATCTACGACTTGTACGGTGTCTTCTTCCTCGGCCACCCGGACCTGCGTCGCATTCTCACCGACTATGGATTCGAGGGTCATCCGTTGCGCAAGGACTTCCCTCTGTCGGGCTACTCGGAGGTCAGGTGGAGTGAGGAGAAGAAGAGGGTCGTCACTGAGCCGCTGCAATTGACGCAGGCGTTCAGGAACTTTGAGAGTGCTAGCCCTTGGGAGCAGGTTGGGGAGGGAGAGAGGAGGACACCTAAGCAGTACACGCTTACCCCGCCTAAGCCCAAGGAGCCGGAGCAGGGCAAGAAGTAGGCCGGATTTAGCTGCCATAGCAAGCAGTCGAGGACGAAAGGATACGGTCGATGCATGGCAATGACTGAGGCGGTCTCATACAAATACATACAGGAATGACAGAATGATACGCGAATCTTTGGCCGTAACGCGCTCCTACTCCTCCACGCTGACATCCTCGCCCATAGCTTTAAGCTCAAGCACCTGCTCTACCTTTGCTTCGACCTGCTCCCACACCTCATCCTTGCTCTCCCAATCTGCACTGATCTCCAGGATGTTGCCTCGCTTCCTAAACGCCCTGACTACTTCCTCGACCTCCTTCGCAGCAGGATCAAATTCCTTCTCGGCCGATCGCTTCGGGAAGCGCTTGGTGAAGTCCTTGCGAGGTAAGTCGAAGAAGAGGGTCACGAAGATGGGGCAGAGCTTCGACTCGATAGCTTGGGCCTCGGACGAGGTGCGAGGGAACCCATCGACGACGAGGAGAGTCTCTTGCCCATCTTTACTGGCCTTGCGTGCTTCCTGAACCCGCTTGCTCAGGTCCTCAACGGATTGCACGTCCTCGAGGACCTTGAAGCCCTTGAACCTCTCTGGCATCCTGGTGGCCTGCGACGATTTGCCTGCTCCAGGTACGCCGACGAAACAGATGAGCGTCACCTCGTCGAGGCCAAATTGCGGTGAGGTGCCCTTCCTTGCACCCTTCTTCCTGTTGGCTTCCCCAGCCTGGTCGTCTTCCATGCGCACCTTGTCCCGCAACAGCGAGAACAAGGTCATACCAAATCCTAAGCCAGTGCCGAGGCTGATTGGGTACATGTAGCCTTCCCAGCCTGAGCGCGGTGGATGGTGTGGGTCAAAGCGTCGACGGCGTGATTGCTCATTGTTGCTACTGCTGCTGCTGCTGCCGTTCCTTGAGTGTCCTCTCGAAGGGGATGACGATGAGGGCGCAGGAAGAGGAGCCTTTCGCTGCAATTGCGGCTGGTGATAGGAGGAAGGACCGGCATGACGACTAGATGATGGAGAGTTATAGGGCGCGTGAATCGTCATCTTCACTCGTGAAGGGGAATGAGGAGGCGACGATGGCGGCGTTGCATGGTGACCACCGCTGCCAGGTGGTCGATGCAGAGTAGACGCTCTGCGAGCCAGATGGGATGAGGAAGAAGCTGAAGCTGACGCGAGCCCGCTAGAGCAGGAGGAGCTCCTTGCAAGTGAAGCCATGATGCTCTCCTTGGTGGTGATGATGCTCAAGACGGTCGTCGCTAACGACGCCGAATGACTCTTTGGTCGGTCGGTGTATATGAGGGGGAACTAGGGGAAAGAAGCTCCAATGCTCGACTATCAAGCTTTGGGTAAGGGAAGAGGCGCGAGCGCGGAGTGGCGGCCCAGCCCTGTGACGTCGATTCAGGGCGGACAGTCAAAAAGAGTCAAAATTCTCAGCGGACCGGCGACAAAACGCGGGGGGCGACAGAAAGAGGCAAGCAGGCCATCTGACCGCGCCGCAAGGCGCAGCGCAGGTGGAGACGACAGGGCACAGCCAATCATAGTGAAGGAGGCGGGATGAGGAGATGGTATGGCATGGCACGGCATGGCATGACGTGGCATGAAAAGCATGGTATACGTTCGCGCGCACACAACATCAAACGTCCTTTCTCGCTTCGACCAGCTCACCCTCACTCGACTGACGGCTGGTTGGTGATGCCTCCCCACCATGTCCCTGTCCACTCACTGGGGTAGCTACGCCCGTCCCTGCATTGCTGCTCGTCGTCGTGCCCGTTGGCTTTCCCTCTGAGTCCAATGCCATGCTAACCTCCTTTGCCGCCTCGAGCTCCCTCCTCAAAGCCTGCAGCTCCTTTTCGAATCGCCTGCCCCACACCTCGACGTAGTAGGATGCGCCATTCCAGACGCTCATCGTCAGGATGAAGATGAGGAACGTGGCAGATGCGAAGGATGAGCGATAGAAGATTACGGGGGCGGGCAGCGTGCATACGATGGTGTAGACCATCTGCAGCAGCATGAATGCTGGCTCCCTCGCTGCGTCTGGTACCTTGGCGAGGAGATTGGCAATGGCCCCTTTGCCTTTGCTGAGCGTCGAGTACGAGTTGATGCGTTCACCTGAGGCAATCTTCTTGCTCTTGCGAATCCCGATGAAGATGTAGTACGCCCACTGCCAGGCGGCGTAGAATACTAGATTGAAGAGGAAGGCAGTCCATGAGCTCAGCTCAGGGAGATTGTGCATCGCAGGGTATTTTGCCTCGACGATGTGGGCTGGCGTGAAGTGGCGGAGCGTCGTGAAGACAAAGGGCGGGTAGATGTGGATGAAGGTTGACGTCACCTTCTCGAGGGAGTGGAATACGAAGCTGTTGCGCCAGGTGATGACCGACCACGCTAGCGGCCCATGAGCGGCGCAGTAGACTATGGTGAAGAGGAAAGGAGAGGCGGGCCAGATCCAGATGAAAGCAAGAGCAGCAACGTTGGCAGCGTAGCTGAGAGAAAGGCGGCGAGGATGAGAGCATGTCAGCTCGGGAGCTTGGACATGTCTTGATGGCTCTCTCGCACTTACCAAAAGTCAAAGAGAAAGTAGTGCCACTTGAGGCGGGTATAAGTCCAAACGCGTATCGGCAGGAAGAAGGCGCTCTGAAGGGTATAGACGAGTGGAACCCACTCTGGCCGAAAAGCAAAGATGAGGGAGGAGGCCACCAGATTCATGACACCGACGAGGAAGGACAGCTTGTCTCTCAGCCGCACGTTCTTTGCGTCTGTCCATCTCGCGTTGAGCTTATCGACTCGATCTGAGACCTTGCCTCGCAGCTTGGTGAGCTCCTTCTCCAGAGCTTTTATCTCCTGCTTGCTCCTCGCCCTCTTGACTAGATTTTCTCTCCTCGCTCTTGCCTTGAGCTTGACATCGTTGACGTAGGGACGGAATCGTCGTTCTGCCCAATCGAGACGTGGATTGACATAAGTCTCGAGGAGGTCGGCGAGGGGCATGCCGCTGGGAGCAGACGTGAGGAGGTCGGGTCCGTCGAGCAAATCAGTGGATGCCATTGAGCCAAAGGAGTTGGAGCGAGAGAGAGCAGGGGTCATGCTCCGTCTCGTTGCTGGACTCGACGGTGAGGATGCCGGATCGGCCATGGCGATGGTGGCGAAGATGGATGGCGATGCGCGTGGTAGTTGGCAAAAGATTGAAGAGCAAGAGTGAACGCGGCACGAGAGCAAAGTCACGTCGGGGATTCCTCGCTCGACGGACCACGTCGAGGTGGAGTCGGAGTGCGACTCGGTCCGTCAGTCCGCCCTGCCTGCCGCCGCCTGGTCGACACCGGCAACTGCGTCCTGGCATCATCATCCGGTCCTAACCCCCAATTTGATTCACAACATTTCAAATGGCCGTCACTACCGCCAATGGCAGCCCCGCAGGTAGGGCTGACGTTGGACTGGGCAGACCATCATCTTCGTCTGGCAAGCCGACGACCTTGACCACATCCCTCTCCCTCTCCGGCTCCCTCTCATCGTCATCCTCTCAATCACTCTCCCCGCTCCCCCTCGCACGATCCGAGTACTCATCAGCCGCCCATGCATTCATTCAACGCAACCCGCTCAAGTCCCTCAAGGATCTTGAAGAGGCGCGACGACTGCTGTTCGCTGTCATCACATTCGAGGATCCAGTCCGCAAGCTCGAAGGATGGACGACGCTGAGGGAAAAGGTCGTCATTCTGTGGATCACCTTGCTGGTCAGCATATGGAAGAAGGAGCACGGTGTTCTGAGCTTTGACGAGCTCCCAACGGCTACTCGTGAGCTCCTGAAAGGCTCGACCAGGGCGGAGAGCTTCCTGCCCAAGCTTGTTTCGGAGGTGCTCCTCAGCTGGGCGCAGTCAGCATCCGATGTCGATTCCCTCCGCTCAGCCAATCCGACCATTGAAGTTGGCGCAGACGCTTCAGGTGTGGCAAAGAAGCAGCTCTACGCCTCTTTACCCTCGAGCGTGGCAGCTAGTCTCGTAATGGCCGCTCTCGGCGTAGAGGAGGCAGCCGGCAACTCGACATCTACTGGCCAATCTACACCTTCTCCATCAGCAGTCCCCATCGCACGGTCGCTCGCTGAGACACTCCTTACGGCTTACACGAACGCACACGATGCGGACAGCAAGACTGCGAGTGCTCTCGCAGCATATGGCAGAGTCATGGAGCTCTACGCTGTGCACGTCCTGGGTGTGCGCTGCGGCCAGTGGGACTACGCGGATCAAGTCGTTAGGCTGAGCCTGCTGGAGGATGAAGCTAGAGCGGTGAGTACGTGCCCCGATTCTAGCATCGTCAGCTCATTGACTGACCAATTCTCTGGTGGTCACTCGTAGAGACTCCTCCTTGCCCTCAGCCGTGCCCAAACACACATCGTCACCCGCCCGCAACGTCGTGCCTCTGCAGCGCTTGCACAGCAGAAGGCCTACGAGGCAGAAAAGCAGCGCAGAGCCAGCGAGGCGAAGACGAGAGCCGAAGCAGAAGCGGAAACGATTGATGCTGCCTCAAGTACAGCTGCTGGGCCATCGAAAAGAGGTGGCAAGACCTCGCGTCCGCGGGCAGGAAGACAGAGCAGCCACGATGACGGCTATCTTTCGGGCGCATCTACGGGGCCTGAGTCATCGCACGCTTCAGCGGCCGAGTCGGAGGGTGAGGGCACATCATCTCCTTCCTCGTCCAGGAGGAGCAGACCACGCAGCAGCAACGGCTCTCCGACGGACGAAAAGTCAGGCTTCGCGGCTACTCGGGCCAACCTGAGTCGAGATATTGCAAAGAACCGGCAGAAGGATGAAGCTCACTCTGCGTCCAACGACACATCTGGTAGCTCTTCCGTAGCGGCTAGATCTCAGGCCTCGTCCGCAACGTCGAGGACCTCCTCAGGCTCTCTGACCCTCCTTCAAACATGGCTGAAGGCATTCAAATCGCTGAACCTCCCGATGATGGTTTCTGTCCTCGCTCCCATGATCGTGCTGCTCATGAGCGTGAGAAGGCTGATGCTCAGGAGAGGGGGAACCGGCGTGGCGGAGGGCCGTCGAGCAGCAGTGAACAGTGCTCGAGGCGGCAGAGGTGGCGAAAGGGGAGAGCAGGGAGCATTGATGAAGGCTCTCGGCAGATTGTGGGCTACAGCAAGGATGGGTACACAAGTCACGTATTTGTAATCAGGCGTTTCGAGAGGTGTTGATGGAATCCAAGGTGCAAGCAGTACCGAGTTGCGTCTTTGCAAGATGATCCTTTGGCAGGTGGCGCAGAAGGGGCTTCGACGCATGGTAGCTTGGCGTCGTTGACGTGTTCGCTTGTTCAGGCAATCTCACGCCATGACAACCCAAACAAGGATGTCCATGAAGCCAAGCAGAAGTCGGGGTACGGCGGCGCCTGTCCTTGGCTCTCGCTGCATCGCATCCCTCCCCGTGCGTTTGGCATCTGGGCCGGGCTTAGACGCGCAAGTGCAGGCCTTGGCTACCCTCGTGGGCCGGCCTTGGCGCGACGACGAACAAGGCATCGCGAGCGATGGCAGTTCCATCGAGCGATGACCTCGCGCACGTTCCTAACAGGCTGTTCCGACTCTCGATCATGGTAATGGTCTTGTCTGACCTCAATAGCAATGACGTCGCGCGTCTTCCTGTTTTTCCCTTTCTCTTCCCGGCCAGGCGAGGCGAGGCGAGGCGAGGTGAAGGAGAACGCATGAGCGGGCGGGCGGGGGTGGGGGGTGCCAATGCAAGCTGAGCTTGACGGCTGCACGGCAGCTCGGCACTTCCTTGTCCATGAGAAGGTCTAGAGCTAGGTCCGCCCACGACGATTGAAGGAGGCGCGATCGAGCCAAGGCCAAGGCTCTAAAAAAGGGCAGCATGACAAGCAAAGGCTGTGCACGCCAGAGCAGGCAGGCAGTAAGGCACACAATTTTGGAGTCACGGCGTACGGGAGCTTGAGCCAAGCTAGCGGCTGCGCGGACGCCGAGAAGAGGAGCAAAGAGGAGGCCAGGGGGAAAGAAGGAGTGTGGGCTTGTGCACGCGAGCACCACTGCCCAATTGACGGCGGCGTTGACCAGTCGCCGTACCGCGCTGCTGCCCTGCCCTTGCGGCTCGCTCACTTTTTCGGAATATTCAACCTCAATCTCATTGAGGTCCGCAATGATCAGGAGCCGGGTATGACGCCGCTGACTAGAGCAGCGAATATAAGGCTGAATGAGCTGCGATGACTACCCATTCGTATCTACCATCCATCCATCCACCATGAGACCGTGCAATGTACTGTCGAGACTGGCATCCCTCCTCGTAGCCGCGGCTGTCGCTCTTCCGTCCTCCACAGCCGCCACATCGTCGTCGCTCCATGAATTGCACAACCTGGTCCGACGAGCTTCCGCTGGCTCCGGCGCACCCAATGCCTCTCTGGTGGACACAGCTCGCATGGGTCTGCTCTCCTCACAGCGTGCCTCATGGGAGCAGGGCACAGCGCAGTCAGCCCTACTCGAGTATGACGCAGGATCATGGAGCGTATTCGCTGGCGGGCATGGGAACGGTCCTCCGTATAGACCGGGATTTCAGCCGTCTAAGACCCCCGACGGTGTCCCCTTGGCTGTGCTCAGCATGGCCTACCACTCCGCCACAGCGCAGGACGGCATGGGCAAGCTGGGAATGAGCATCACGGGCGACGAGAACATGACCGACGGGTCAGCCCTCGACTCGGCTTCTTGTGGTGAAGGGGTGCTTCTTGCTGCTTTCGTGGCGAAGCAGATCAATGCAACCCGAGGCTTCTGGATCAACGCGGCGCAGGATCAGCTCGACTATGTGCTGAACGAAGCGCCTCGCACCGAGGCTGGAGCCATCTCCCACCGCACGCGCACCGTGGCTCTTTGGAGCGACGCAGTCTACATGATGCCGCCTTTCCTTGCTGCTTATGGCCTGTACACCAACAACCAGTCTCTGTTGCAGACGGCGTACGATCAGATTCGTCTCTACAGGCAGGCAATGCGTTTTCCTGATGGGCCTGGCGAGGGGCTTTGGGGTCATATCCTGGCTTACAGCGCAAATGGAACGGCGAGGTGGTTGGATGGGCAGGCGTGGACAACTGGAGAGGGGTGGGTCGCGGCGGGAATGCTGAGGACGCTAGCCAGCATTGCGCAAAGCCCGTACTCAACGCAAATGGCCAGTCAGAAGGCGGATCTTGTGGCGTGGACCAAGGAGTGAGTGCGAGTGGAAGCGACCGCAGGCCGAGTGAGGACCTTTTCGCTGACCATGCCGATTGCTCAACCTCTAGAATCCTCGACGCCTCTTTCCCCCTGCTCGACTCCTCGAGCTCCCTCTTCCACAACTACATGAACGACACTACCACCTTCCGCGATACGGCGGGCTCGACTTTCCTTGCTTACGCGGCATACCGCCTGGCATCGATGAGCCCGAGCGACGATACTCACCTCGCTGCAGCAGAGAAGATCTACCAGGCGACCCAGGGCCAGCTGACGCGTATTGGCTCGTACTTGACTCCTGTCGTCAACGCGCTCGACTTTGGTGCGCAAGGAAGCACGAGTCCTGAGGCGTTGTCATTTACTATGCTGCTCGAGGCAGCGAGGAGAGACTATCACGCAGGGAATGTCACGGGCGTCGATGGGCCGGGTACTGGGCGTAATGGAGCGATGCCTGGCATCAAGGGCGGGGTGGCCGCGCCTGTACTGGTCGCTGCGGTCACGGCTACACTGCTTCTGCTCCTGTCGTAATCGTCGCAGTGATATGGGAGCTGCTGGCATGCTCTCGATTCCTCTCATAGATAGATAGGTGCTTGTTTGTTGTACAATACATATGTTCAGCCGCCATCTGGGAGAAAGGAGTGAGGAAGTAGCAAAAAGGCGTGAAAGCCAGATTCACAGCCTGCAGCCGTCTGCAGCCGATCAGCTGCATCAGCGCGTCGACCCCACATCCACTCACCCTTGGACCCTCAATCGTCCCTCCTCGTCTCTAAGCCACCAGCATCCATGGGCGAACGTCTCACCCTCACCTACTGCACTCGGGGTGATGTGCCCCTGCGAGTGGACATCTACCCCTTCACTCCCGCGACATCGACGACATCGAAATCCTCGAGCTTCCCGCCTCCTTCGCCCTTCATCCTTTACCTCCACTCCTCGCCCAGAAATCCCTTCTTTGCAGGATCTCGCCGCCTCGTTCCTCCATGGCTGCTTGCAGTGTGCAAACAGAAAGGCTGGCCGCTGCTGTCAGCAGACTACAGGCTGGCACCAGAGGCAACGCTCGCCGACTCGTGGGAAGATGTTCGATCGCTGTGGTCCTTCATTGCGGATCAGGGAGCCATGAATTGGTGTATCACGTCGGCGGGCGGGGGCAGTGAGGCCGATTCGGGGGCAGTGTCACTTGCTGATGGATTCCAAGCTCTACAGCAGCGAGGAGGCGTCGATGCCACCAAAGGCTGCGTCGTCGCCGCTGGCGGGGCTGCCTACCTCGGAGCCCTCGGTGGAGCCCTGCTGAGACCGGCACCCGTGTCCCTCGTCCTCACGCACCCAATCCTTGACCCGGCCTCTACCTGGTATACCACGCCATCACCACCGCTTCCTGCGACACCAGGGAGCAAGCGTCGAACCAAGCGGCTCGAGGCGGTCCTCGCCCGTGCCGGCCAAGCGGACAAGGCCATTGTAGCCGCCTCGGACCTCGAGACGTACGAAGACCAGCAGGACAGCAGTAAAAGCAGTAGCAGCAACAGTAATACCATCTTTGGCTGGGATCCCTCTCGATGGCGCTCCCGCATGACATCCCGCAGCAAGGAGCGTCCCGGCCAGATCCATGGAAAGGAGCGCTCCTCACTTTACGCAGCAGTCCGACGAAGCGGGCAGCTCCCGCAGATACTCCAGCCACCATATCGCCTCGCAGACGTCGTGGCAGGCAAGTGCGGCGTAGCGAGCAACATACCTTACCCGCCGCTGCTCCTCCTCTCAGCGGGAGACGACGAGTACATTGACCCTCTCGGCGCCGCTCAGTTCCTCAACTCCCTCCGTGCTGCTGACCCGGCGGCTGCGGTGCTCGACCGCCTGCTGGAGCGCTCCCTCGCACACACTCAGCGAGGTGGCTCTCCCCGAGATACGGTGCCTATTGCCACGGCGAATGCCAATTCGACCGCAAAGCACGGCGGAGAGCTCTTCGATCCCACACGGCGCTTTTTGCAGCGTGTCGTGCTGGACAGAAGGGCGAGACATGGCTTCGACATGCTTGTGGGGAGGGACGATGAGCGTTTCGCGGGGGAGTTCGATGCAATTGAGGGGTTTCTGGCAAATTGGATTCATATGGCTTCGCTAGATGCAAAGGGGCGAGGGAGCGGCGAGGGCTCGACGAGCAAGGGTGCAGGGAGGGTGGCGAAGCTTTGACGCGGCATCGCGATGGCTAGGTTGAGACGAGAAACAGGAGGAGATGCACACATCATACACGCAAGCAAGTGCAGACGTCTGTAGCGAATACGAGGCTGACATTTACAGTCTAACGAAATGCTACGAGGGAGATGAGGGGAGATATAGATGAGATGACGACGGGAGCACATGGACTGATCCGTTCCTGTCCTTGGATTGCTGTTGTCTGCGATTTAATCGCGTTACGACATGCCCATGCCTTTGCGGAGAGCCTTGATGAGCGCGCCAGACGCCACATCGCCATCGACCGACCAGACAGCCGATCCACCGAGCCCTGCCTGCTGGACGAAGGCGCCCTTGTCGTAGAGAGAGTCAGGGTCGTCGTAGGTGATGACCTTGTTGCCATTGGCGAGGTAGGGTGTGTCCGAGCAGTCGTCCCAGTACTTGGTGAAGCCAGATCCAGCAATGAACTCCGAGCCAGAGAGGCTGAGCACACCCTGAGAGACGAGCGAGGCGAAGTTGACCTGGCCATCGCCCGAGGTCAGAGCACGGCGATCAGCTGCCGTCTTGGTCGCGTCGTAGCGGGCAGAGAGAGGGCGAGCGTAGTGGCGAGAAGCGAGCAGAGCATTGGGGTCCGAGAGGGCCAGAGAGTCGACGTCCATGTCACGGGTGACGAGCTTCGTCTTGGACGAGGTAGAGACGTAGCCGTAGAAGGGGGAGCCCAGGATCATCTTGTTCTTAGGCATGCCAGCAGCAGCCCACTGCTTGACGGCGGCGGCGGCCGACGCACCGGGCTGGGTCGAGTTGCCGCACAAGTTGGCCAAGGGGGCGTTGGGACCAGGCGAGGAGCTCGAGCCCCAGACGTCGTAGTTCATGATCATGATGTAGTCAAGGGCTCCTGCAGCACGCGCGACACTTGCGACCGACTGACCATTGCTTGCAAGCCAAGGGGCTTGAGCAACGGCGGCGGTGATGATGGCTTTCTGGGGAAGTCCAGCGCGGAGGGCCTGGAGCAGAGTCTGGAAGTTGGCCGTATCTTGAGGGCTGTACGTGCCGGCGGCGGCGTTGTTCGGGTACTCCCAGTCGAGATCGATACCGTCGATGCCGTATGTGTTGTAGAGACTGAGGACGCTCTTGACGAACTTGGCCCTCATCGTATCGCTGGCTGCAGAGGGGCTGAAGCCATTTGACTGACCCCAACCACCGATGGAGAGCAAGATTTTCGAATTGGCAGCGTGACCGGCCTTGATGAGACGCTTGAGCATCGTTCCGCTCGAGTCCGAGAGAGAGACGGTGCCGTCCGAGTTGGGCACGGCAAAGGCGTAGGCCATGTAGCTGTACTTGGTCCAGTCGATCTTCTCGGGGGGCAGAGTGCCAGAGACCCACTCCGGCCAGTAGCCGCCCATGGCAAGGGCAGTTGACAACGGGGCCGAGGAGGAGGTCGTCTTGCTGCCAGATGCAGAGGTCGATGTCGTCTTTGCAGCCGCCGCAGTGGTCGTGGCCTTTGCTGCAGAGCTCGTTGCCTTGGTCGAGGTTGCCTTGGTTGAGGTAGCCTTGGTCGTGGATGCCGACTTGGTCGTGGACGAGCCGGCAGCCTTGTTTGCACAAGTGCCCCTCTTCTTTGAGCGACCATTGGCGTCACGGCGGCGATGGCCAGAGAGGGCGGCGACGTTCTTGATGCGTGCTCCACCCGGGACGAAGTTGCGTCGGGATCGAGTAGGGCCAAAGAGTCCGCCGAGAGACTGAGCACCACCACGGCGATGTACGGCCGAGGCTGACGATCGAGGCTCGAAGGCCCTCTCGTCAAGAGACTGTGACGCGAAGCCGCGGGCGGGCAGTACAGCCTCGGGCTCCAATGAGGGGGTAGCAGATACGGTGCCTACAACTGAGGCAGCAACTACTGCAGCGACGTAAGGAAGGAAGCGCATGATTGGTGAGGTGGAAAAGTTGAGGAGGAGTAGGAGGGCGAGGAAGAGGAGGTGTCTAGTGAGGAGGGAGCGTGAATGTCGTCAAGACGTGAGAAGGTGGATTCGTAGCACTGTCGTGGACCAGCCAAGCTCGTAGTTGTGAACGCTAACGTGGGTCGTAAACGTAGCAGAGGAGACCTGCTCCTTGCGTGATGGTCGTTAATGGATAAAGGGAGAGAGAAGGGGACGACGGCCGGGCGTGCACAGCAACACCGCGACGTGTGAGTGGGACAAAGGGAACGAAAAGGGAGGAGAGTGACGCTAAAGGTGGGGAAAAGAAGAAAGGCAAGAAGCGACGGCGTCCTCTCGATCCCATATTAAGACCTACGCAAAGTTGACGACATCTCTCAAGCTCGATCCGAAAAGGCAACCTGACGTTCGCCAACATCTACCCGCCGCCGATGCCAAGCAGGTGGCCTGTGGGAGCATTTGGCGGTCTCACGGCGAAGACGGCGACTAGTTAGGTTTGACCGGAAGCAAGCCTCTCGCTCGACGGCCGGCTGCCAGGCTGTGCTCAAGTGAGGATGAGGTACCATTGACTGCCGTAGAGGCCACACGAGCTGACTTGATGCTGATGCTGCCGTTGCATCGGCTTTGCGTCGAAGAGAGAAGTTGTCGAGTGACGAGCATCGTCCAACGCGGTCCGTCACTTCAAGCGTTCAAGCCACGCTCAAGTCCGCGCCGCCGCGGCAGACTTCGACGGCCTGCCCGCCCGCCCGCTTTCGTCAGTCAACTCGATGGTCAGCGCTGGCGGCGGCGGCAACGACATCGAAGAGGAAACCGAGAAACGTCGAAGAGAGCTTAACAATTGGCCCACCATAAGTCAGGTCGAGGATGACAGCGACTGGTCTCGTTCTTGCTAACCACGTTGCTGAGCCAGGGCAATTGTCAACGTCCAGCGCAGCGGTCAGGGTCCAGAACGCTCGCCCTGTTTCACTCGCATGCTCGAACCCTGATCGAGGTGCTGTGATACCTGTCTCTCGACGGGAGATAGCAAAGTTCTCGCCAGGAAGCACTCACACCTCCGACATCGAATCGAATCGTGATGCTTCAGGGGCCGCGCCCGCTTCTGGCTTCGATCCGATTGCGTGGTTCGATCTCTGGGGGGGATGTGGCCGTCGCTGCTCGCCTTGGACTGCCGTGTTGAAAGCGGCGGGCCGTCGTTGAGCGGGCGTCGTTGAATTTGGCATCCAGTCGCCCTCTCGACTCCACACGCAGCTCCGGATCATAGGCCGTCCCGTGCCTCCCTCCCCTCGACTCTCGACCCCGCAAACAAAAGGACGACTCCTTGCTTGGCTTGCCTTTCTCCCCCTTTCCTTGCCAACATCGCCTCGCCTCAACCAACGATCTCTCCTCGATATCACCTCGATCTACATCACGACGCACTTCCACAACATCACATCTCGACTTCTCGACTCCACAGACGCATGAACGTCCCCTTCCCCTCCGCTGCTGAAGGGGCAAAGACGACGTCGTCCGGCCCTGGCATGTCCATCGAGATACCGAGTCGTGGCAGTAGCAGTGCTTCATCGTCAGAAGAACGCAAAGAGCAACAGCACGGCATCGGCACAACCGCGTCAAGTGGCGGCAGCGCCTCGCATCCCAACATTACTACCGCTGCCGGACGCAGCTTCCACCATCATCCTCGACAGCCTGGACCATCCTCCGAGGGTTACTTCTCTGGCTCCCTCAGCAGCAGCACAAGTAGCGGCGCACCTCCTCGCACGCCTGGGCAGCAGTCTTACCGAGGCCACAGTCGCAACGTCAGTCAGAGCTCTGCCATCTCTGCCCTCTCCAAGTCGCATCCCATGACGTCTAGCCTAAGTGGGCCAGGAGCAGCTCAGCCGCCACCAAGCGCGATGCCTGACTGGGGCGCTCACTCAGGCGACTGGCATGGTGGTGCAGCCGGTGGATTGCCCAGCCCCAGCACTCTGACCGACATTCTCCTTGGCTTGCACTCGACTCTCTACGGCGCTAAGCGTAGCCCGGAGGAGATCCGCGAGATGGTCTGGCGTTACTACGATGCCGATGCTGCCTTCGAGAGTCCCCTTCTCGCTGCAAAGGGGAGAGAACAAGTCGCCAACCAATTCATCATGGCTTTCGCGCTCCCTGGCATGGATGTGACCTCTGAGCTGCGGGACGTCATCTGCAGCGACTTCGAATTCGATGGCACACGAGCAGGCATCATCGACCAAACGATCTCGGTTACCTTCTTGCCTTCAATCTTTGGCTCAGACGACAGCGTCCCTCCCAGCGCTGCTGGCAATTCTCGTGACCTGTCAGGCCACCACTCGCATTCTGCCCATCCAGCTGGCATCACACCGCACCCCTTCGCAGACTACCGTACGCCGGGAGCGTCAGCATTCGGTCATGCACAGCACAGTCCAGTGACACCGTTCACATTGAGTAGCTTGTGGGCTGGCGGATCTTCTCGACCTCATACTCCCGGGGGCGGCGGCGGCGGCGCCAGTAGCATGCGCCCCTTTACTACTCCAGCCCCCCGTCAAGACTCCGGTGGCTCTCTGGACGAGGACACCAATCATGGACTGCCCCCTTCCACCGTCTTTGCATCAGCTGAGCAGACTGGCGGAGGCAGCGTGTCTCGATTGAAGATGCCAACGGACGCTGTCACGCCTCATTGGGCCCATGAGGGCGGACTGGGCAGAGGCACCGTCGCCAATCTACTCTGGGGGCTCTTTCATCCTCGAGCGATGCTCAAGCGTCTTTGCACCATCAACCTTCGCCTGATGAGCCGCCTCGAATTCAACGATGCCGGACACATTGTCCGCCACGAAGACACATGGGGCGTCAGAGAGACCATCGAGGGCACCATTCCCTTTGCCTCACTCCTGTACGCTCTCGAGCGCCGAGTGGTCGGCTACATCACATCCTGGGCAGTCGACAAGGGCTTCTCCCTTTCAGCCGCCCTCCACCATCGCGGCGCCCTCACTAATCAGCCTCATGGCACCGACGCTCGCGGGGATGAGGTTGCCCTGTATGACCGCAAAGACCACGACTTCACAGCCAATGACGCAGCTCATGCCCTCCTCGGCCGCACGCCGCGCGGGTCGACGTTTATGCAGCACGAGAATTTCCAGACCATCTCGAGATCTCGAGCGCCGTCACCTACGCGATTCGGCTGGGGAGGATCGCAGAGCCACTCTGGCACGCCCTACGTCACCGGTACACGCAGCCGGGCCCGCTCTTCTGCTAGCCTATATGGGTCGAGGGCGGCGAGCTCGGACAACCTCGTCGGGATGGCGAGCAGTGGGGGTGGTGGGTCGATGCCGTACTTTGGCACAGCGACTGGGTATGAGCGCGGCGCAGACAAGGAGCTGCCGCCTGACAGCTCTGCCCGCTATCGCGGTGCTTTGAACAAGCGCCTCGACGGTGGCAGGTCGAACAGCATTACGTCTGCACCGCCGCACGAACTGGCCGGCTCTGCCTTTGCCAGCGACGACTTTGTGCGCAAGGAGCGCGACTCTAGTGTGCCCTGATAAGACGGGGACAATAAAACTCTCATAGCCTCTAATCTATTTTATTCCCGTGTAGTAGCATCGTTCTCCAAAATATCCATTTGAGTCTCTCCTCGTCGCGCGTGGGAGGTCCAAGGGGAGTGTAATGAGGTCGTCGCGGGCGGCGAAGGGCGGTGGTCGCGGAGAGAGCCCAAGTGGAGAAGAGCAGCTCGTCTCGAGGACCGCGCACGCTTGAGCCCGTCGGTCCTCGAGTCCACGTCAACCTCTGAGCCTGTCTTTTACTAGCATCATCACCGTCCGATTGCAAAGATGCAGACTACAACGGCAGATATGAAGGTCGATGACGAGGGTAAGATTGACGAAGGTCTCTACTCGTGAGTTCAGCGTTGCAGAGTGAGGACGGAGAGCATATACTCACCCTTTGCGCCGCCACTCCCTCTCACTGACTCGCTCAGCCGTCAACTGTACGTCCTCGGGCACGATGCCATGAAGAGAATGGCGACCAGTAACATTCTCATCGCTGGCATGAAGGGACTAGGTGTCGAAATTGGTGAGTGCCACTGAAATGTGCAGCCGATGCAATCGAGCAGCAGCTCATCCTCCACCCCACCTCGCACCGCCTGTCTGATCCTTTCGCAGCCAAGAACATCTGTCTCGCAGGTGTCAAGTCGGTCAACATTTGGGACCCGGCACCGATCCAGATCAGCGACTTGGGAACTCAATTCTTCCTTCGCCCAGAAGACCTCAAGGCTGGCCCAGGAGGAGCGCCCCTCTCTCGCGCCCAGGCGACTGCCCCACGCCTCGCAGAGCTCAACAGCTACGTGCCCGTACGAGCAGTCGATGAGCCTCAGCTCACTCGGGAGGTCTTGTCACGATACCAGGTCGTCGTATTGACCGATGCGACCCTCAAGCAGCAGCTCGAGATCAATTCCCTGACCCGGGCTTCGGGCTCGACGCACTTCATTGCGGCGGATGTGCGAGGGCTCTTTGGCTCGGTCTTCAATGACTTTGGAGAGAAGTTCGTCTGCACAGACCCGACCGGCGAGCAGCCTCTGAGCGGCATGATCGTGTCCGTTGCATCGGACAGTGAAGGATTGGTGACGACGCTGGATGAGACGAGGCATGGGCTCGAGGACGGAGACTACGTCACCTTCTCCGAGGTCGAGGGAATGCAGGGTCTCAATGGCTGCGAGCCTCGCAAGGTCACAGTCAAGGGTGAGCAGCGGATCACCGATTGCAGAGCATAGCAGGAGAAGCTGACTATTGCATCCCGCCTGACACTCCCAGGACCGTACACGTTCACGATCGGAGACACGTCCAGCCTTGGGACGTACAAGAAGGGCGGCATCTTCACTCAAGTCAAGATGCCCAAGATCATCAACTTCAAGCCCCTTGCAGACAGCATCAAACAGCCAGAGCATCTCATCTCGGACTTTGCCAAGTTCGATCGTCCTGCCTCGTTGCACGCAGGCTGGCAGGCGCTCAGCGCTTTCATAGACAAGAATGGGCGACTGCCCCGCGCTCGCAATGCGCAGGACGCAGCAGAGGTCATCGCATCGGCGCAGCAGATCTTTAAGACGGCAGGAGAGGAGGGCGAGCTTGCGGAGAAGGTTGTTCAGGAGTTGGCATTCCAGGCCACGGGTGATCTGTCGCCCATGGTCGCCTTCATTGGTGGCTTTGTAGCGCAGGAAGCCCTCAAGGCTTGCAGTGGGAAGTTCCACCCGCTCGTCCAGCACCTTTACGTCGACTCGCTCGAGTCGCTGCCGGACTCAGTACCCAAGCTTCCTGAGAACGAGTTTGCACCAACGGGCTCACGCTACGACGGCCAGGTTGCCGTCTTTGGCAAAGCTTTCCACGAGAAGCTCACCAACGTACGTCAATTCCTAGTCGGATCGGGGGCCATCGGATGCGAGATGCTCAAGAACTGGAGCATGATGGGCATCGCGAGCGGGCCTCAGGGCGCCATCGACGTCACCGACATGGACCAGATCGAGAAGAGCAACCTCAACAGGCAATTCCTGTTCCGCTCGAAGGACATCGGTGCCTTCAAGGCGGACACAGCTGCGGCTGCGGTGGCGGAAATGAATCCAGACCTCAAGGGCAAGATCATCAGCCATCAGGACCGCGTTGGCCCAGAGACGGAAGACGTCTACGGCGACGACTTCTTCGAGAAGCTCACCGGCGTGACGAACGCGCTCGACAATGTGCAAGCGCGTCAGTACATGGACCGTCGCTGCGTCTACTATCAGAAGCCGCTCCTTGAGTCTGGTACGCTGGGCACCAAGGCCAACACTCAAGTCGTCGTGCCCCACCTCACCGAGTCATACTCGTCATCGCAGGATCCCCCTGAGAAGTCGATTCCCGTCTGCACGCTCAAGAACTTCCCCAACCAGATCGAGCACACCATCCAGTGGGGCCGTGAGCAGTTCGACGACTATTTCGTCAAGCCTGCGGAGAACGTGAATCAGTACCTCACTCAGCCCGACTACTTGCAGACGGTGATGGCAAGCGGCAGCAACCAGCGCGAGCAGCTTGAGCAGATCAAGGAGTTCCTCGTCGACTCCCGTCCGCTCACATTCGACGCCTGCATTGTCTGGGCGCGCCTGAAATTCGAGGAAAACTACAACAATTCGATCCGCCAACTCCTCTTCTCCCTGCCAGAGGACGCGACCACGTCGACTGGCCAGCCCTTCTGGTCAGGCCCGAAGCGTGCGCCTAAGCCCATCACATTTGACGCTCAGGACCCGATCCACATGGAGTACATCGTAGCTGCGGCCAACTTGCACGCCTTCAACTATGGCCTGCGCGGTGAGACGGACCCGGCTGTCTTCCAGAAGGTCCTCTCCAACGTCATCGTTCCCGAGTTTACGCCGCGCTCCAACGTCAAGATTCAGATCAACGAGAACGAGGCCCCCGCCACGAACCCGACCAACGATCCCTCGTCCAACGTCGATCTGACCGAGATCGCCTCAAGCCTGCCCTCTGCCGGCTCTCTTGCGGGTCTGCGCTTGACCCCTGCTGACTTCGAGAAGGACGATGACTCGAATCATCACATCGACTACATCACCGCCGCGTCCAACCTCCGTGCGATCAACTATAGCATCGCTCCCGCTGATCGCCACAAGACCAAGGGTATCGCAGGCAAGATCATTCCTGCCATCGCCACGACAACTAGCATGGCTACTGGTCTTGTCTGCCTGGAGCTCTACAAGCTGGTAGACGAGAAGCGCGATATCGAGCAGTACAAGAACTCCTTCGTCAACATCGCCCTGCCATTCATGGCCTTCTCTGAGCCCATTGCTGCTCAAAAGCTCAAGTACAACAGTCCCAAGGGCGAGCAAACCTGGACTCTCTGGTCTCGCTTTGATATCCCCGGCAATCCGACGCTGCAGGAATTCATCGACCACTTCAAGCGCGAAGAGGGACTGGAGGTCAGTATGGTCTCCAGTGGGGTCTCTATGCTGTACAACTCGTTCCTGAACCCGGCCAAGATGAAGGAGCGCAAGGGGTTGAAGATGAGCGAGCTTATCGAGCAGGTCAGCAAGAAGCCGCTTCCTGCTCATGCGCGCTATGTCGTTATGGAGGTGATGTGCGATGATGAGGAGGGGGAGGATGTGGAGGTGCCGTATGTACGAGTCGAGGTCAGGAGCTCCTAAATGCGGACACGCGGGACATGGATATGCGATTGCCACTCTGCGCAGAGGAGAATAGGATTTAGAGCAGAGCAAGAGGCCTGAAGCAGAGGCTGTGCTCTATTCAGCGTCCAGCGCCATCTGGCTCGAATTGTTCTCTAGATGTCGCAATTACCACCACCCATGCGACCTGCTTGACCCCTACCAAGAGAAGGAATGCCCATCACACTGTCATCCACTGGACTGTAGCGCACCCTTGCCTCGCCTTTCTCCGTCCTCGTGCCCGACTTGAGCTCTATTTACATGAAGCGCTCCACCCTTTAGAAGCCGAGCAACCACAACAGCAGCCAGAATAGCGCTGGCGGCCACGCAACGATTGCCAAGTCGACGATGAAAGCCGGCGGGGGAGCAGCTAGGATCTCCTCTGCTTCCGTCGTCGACGATGTTGCTGCCTTCCTATTGCGCCTCCAAAGCGGGCGCAGCCGCCTCCGCACGGGCGCGACGAGCCATGCTGTGGGTGACCACCATGGGGCAAGGGTGATCGAGTGGCGATGCAGGGGTTGCTGGCCTTGACGCCTTCTTCTGCGTCGACGCTTGCTACGTTGAGCTGGGGAGCGAGAGTCCTTGTCCTTGAGGTCGCGACGCTCCTTCTCTAGCTCACTAGCGTGCGCTGAGCGTGACGCACCACGAGAGCGAGAGCGAGAGCGCGAGGCGTTGCCGCTGTCCTGACGGTGGGAGGACGGGGCGCCCTGCTCCACATCTTCATCGTCGAGGACGAAGATGGCATTGTTGTTGTTGTTGTTGCTGCTGGCGCGACTTGCTCGCCGTGAGTGACCTCTCGAGCTACTCCCACTCCCGCTTCCACTGCCACTGCTCCCAGACGCTTCAGCTGAGTGACCTACTCCTCCCCTGCTCTGGCTACGACGATGTCCGTTTCCAACCTCTTCGCGGTACTCGAAGACGACATCCTCCGCGTCGGCGGCTCGGAGTGGATTCTCGTCTTCATCGTCCTCGAAGACGCTGTCGTCACTGTAGTTGTCTTCGCTAGACAAGAGATCCGACGAGTCACTACTTCCATCCTTTTCGTCGGTCTCTTTGCGGTGCGAGCCACCAGTGGAGCGACTGCCCAGTGTCGTCAAGGGCAAAGATTCAACGTCTCGCTCCGCTTCGTCATCCCTGTACCTGCCTGAGCCCGATGTGGGGGCAGCTGCTTCCTGTAAAGCGCTCTTTGCGCTCCTTGCTAGTCCTGATAGACCGCCTCCAGCTGAGCCCGCCCTCCTCGCTCTTCTCAGTAGCGCTACCCTCCTGAGGAACAGGCACACTGCTGCCCCTGCCACGATGAAAGGATACCAGAACGCCCAAGTCATGAGCTGAGGAGGGAGCTCGCACGCAAGATACTCGATACGAGTCCGAGAATGTAGCGGGGCGACACCTCCTCCGCCCAGTGGAGGCTGTTGATCCTGCCACATGGACAGCCTTGCAAAGCCTGGCCTATTGACTCCCGATGTGAGTGAGAGAGCTGGTACCGTGAGCTCGGGCACGTCCACTGATGATCCTCCAGGGCCGCCCTTGACGCCTTTGTGCAGGTGATGACATACATCGTGGTCATCCGCCGTGAATACCACGCTAGGCTGCACCTTCTCCAGGATGAAGCGCGACCATTGCTCCCCAACCAAATTCTCATATGTACCCTCCGCGTTGGTTCCCGGCACGATACGCGGGGCAGAGCTGACTCTCCGGATATTGGCAGGCTCAACAGGCTGAACCCCCGGAGGTAGGTTGCGAGCTCCTGCCGTGCTGCTACTGCTACCGCTCTCTGCGCTGTTGCCCCCTGGCGGCAAGTCGCAGGACGTCTCCTCGTTCGGATCGCGCCAGAGGGGCACATGCGTGAAGAGGATTCTCGGCACTCCTCTGTCTTGTGTCTTGGCCAAGCTGTCCAAGAACCACCATGCCCCTCCAAAACGCCAGTCTGCTTCTGATCCTGGTCTGCCCGGCGGTGAAGGGTCGGCAGCGAAGGGGTCCCGCCCTTGGCGTTGGAGGGAGATAACATCCGTCGTGTCAAGTAGGATGAGCTCGGCGACCGTGGTTGGACCAGACCCGTCTGGCAGCGTCACATTGAGTGGCACACGCGCATGCATGCTGTGTCTCTTGGTATGCTCCACCTTTGTGCTGTACCGGCTCTTCTGCTCCTCGCCCGGTCTCAAGACCCTCTGGCTCATACTGGCCAGAGGAGGTGAGATAGCATCTGCGTCCCACCCAAAATCGTAGACCTGGGTGCCATACAGCTCCTTGAACTTCCATCGAGTGTATTCCCTCGTCTGAAGCTCCCAGTAGCGCTCCTTTCCCCTCGGTGGTTGCCAGGTGGGCGGAGGGTCGAGGGTGACATCGTGGTTGCCCGCGGTGTAGAATGTGCGATTTGCCCTGTCGCCATCGTTGGTGGGGAAGAGGCGGTCAAAACGGTCATACAAGCCGGGAAGGTCATCCTGCACGTAGTAGAGACGGCCCATGTCCGTCAGATCGCCGAGCCAGACGGTAGCCGTCCAGTCCTTGGCTGGACCGTTGCCTCCTGGTCGGCGGAGAGCGCGCCATACTCGTTGGAGGAAGCGGTCGGTAAAGGTGCGCAGCAGAGGGATGAAGGGGACGGCCAACTTGCTGTAGGAGGGGTGAGGCATGCCGTTGAGGATCTGTGGGTCGGCGAGGACGAGGATCTGCGCGTGCGATGTGAGGAAGCACGATGCGTGAGCTATCCAGGCCAAACAAATTGGACTTGGTGAAACAGACGCACCTGTATCGGAGCCCTCGCAGCATCGTGACTCAACTCGTTCCTACATCTGCGAGCATAAGGCCAGAGATTGCCCAGTTCGATCGAGTAGACGCAGAGCGCGATGATGAGTCGCAGCACCTGGATCGTTGTTGGCTGCTTGAGGAGATTGTCTCTCACGAAGCGGTTTCGTATTATCCATGATGCCGATGATGAGGGAGAGGAGAGTGCCGATGCAGAAGAGACTTCGCCGCTGCCCCCCAGAGCGGGTGCCATGAAGATGCAGAGGGAGATGAGGCGTATGAATGCTGCGATGAGGGCGTGGTGCTGCGAAATCAGGTGACGCGGGCGGGTGGGGCAGGCGACCTGCGCTCAACTTTGACGCGCTCGTCGTGGTGGTGGTGGTCACTCTAGTCGCCTGCAGCTTCAAAGCCACGCCATGCGATAGAGAGAAAATGCAAGTGAAGGAAGTAGAGATAGAAAGAGTCTGGTGAACTCAACACCGAGTGCCCTGCTTCGTCCTTAGCTGCCCCGAATAGATCACCGCGCCTGCCGGAAGGACAAACGAGCAGCGGCGCCACATCGACTGGCAGCAGCCACGACGCGGTCCAAGTCCAACTCGAGGGCGAGTCCGTGCGGCGGCGGCAACTTGAGCAAGGTGCGGAACAAGACCAAGGAAGAGGAAGAGAGCAAGGGGGAAAAAGACACACTTGCGCTTCTACTCTCGTTACCATCAGATAGCAAGGACACGAGGAGCCAACATGGCTAGAGGCAACGCCAGCAAGAAACAACGAGCACTTGCGGCAGCCATGTTCGATGGACAAGAGCCATCGCCGGAGCCACTGCCTCGAGGTTCCCACACAGCTCAACTCCTCTTCCATACCTCAGTGCACTCGATTCTCCTCGCTCTCTCCTCCTTCATCCTCCCCGCTCACCGACTGGCCACTCGTGATTCTACGCCAAATTTCTCCTCGTCCGCCACCCTAGGAGTCCTCGCATCCCTCTCCCACTACTTCACCCTCCCGGCCAGTCCAGAGGCCACCGCCAAGCTGGTGAAGCTGCAATGGGGCACCTTACAGGCCTTGCTACTCACGCAAGCATGGGCGTGCATCAGGCTTCAAAGATGGTACGACCTCGGAGCCGCTATCGAAGCAGGAGACAGTGAAAAGGCAGAAAGGCTCAGTGGTGGCCGCCGTGCTGCTGGCGCACGAAGATCAAGGGGGATCGCGGCTGGCCTGATTTCGAATCTGGGAGCAGAGGGCTTCATGGAGGGGTTGGAGCAGTTGACCTTGACGACGCTGACCAACTTGCCTGTGGCTTGTGCGGCCATCTACGTGACCGTGGTACTGCTCGGCGCGCCGGTGATGAGCGACATTACGGCTACGTTGCAGCTATCGCTGGGCGTGGGGCTCGTCGTGGCCTTGCCGCTTCTCAACGTCTTGCCAGCGGATTTAGCAGAGTGGGCAAGGGTCGTGGGGACATTCAGGTAAGAGTCGAAAGCTAGCAGGTCACGCAGGTCGGTGGACGGGACTAATCACCACTCTTCGGATTCGCTCGCAGCACCCGCTCCCCTCGGGAACGTCTGCTTCTCATTCAGACGATCGTTCCTCTCGCGACAAGCTTCCTAGCTTCAGCGGCCCTCAGCTTCGACCACGGCAAGGCCTGGCTGAGCTGGCCTATCCCACCCCTCGTCGGTCTCTTTGCCGGTGCTATGCTCGGCAATGTGGTGGGGACTGTAGACTATCTTCTGAGATGAAAATGAGTAATGGAGACGCAGACCCCGATCGAAGCACCTAAGGGGATTGCTGGGGAAATGGGCCTGGCCCGTGTGTGATGTTGTCCTCTTCCGATTCATCAGCGCGAGCTCTGCTATAGGACAGGAAAGGGGTGTGGGGCAGGAGAAGAAAACGTATAAAGAGAGGAGAGGTAGGAGTGAAACAGCTGCTGGTGTTACAGAGCAGGCTGGATGACGTAGGAGATGTGAGGTGGTGGTAGGGTAGGTGTATGCGACACGATGGCGATGGCGCCCAAGGCAACGAGACCGTGAACAGCAGAAACGAAGGAAAGCCTGCCTTGCTGGGTGCGTCACATGCTGCGTCGCCAAAGGAATGAGGAGCGTGTCGATTACGAGCACTGCGTAGCGGAGGGAAGGGTGCGGGCAGCTCAGTCAGCGGCTGGACTCCTGCTTCGATCCAACGCGAGCGCTACTCACCGCCGGGGCGTCCTGCGAACGGGTGTTGAGAATAAGGGCGACGATGAGCCCGTACAGACCCAGGACCTCGGCGAAAATGAGAATGAGAATCTGTGTAGCGAGAATGGTCAGAGGTCAGCTTGACTATCACACCTGGCACCTTTACCCGTGCACCCACCATTCCAATGAAGAGCCTAGGCTGCTGCGCAGTCCCACGCACACCGGCGTCGCCGACAACACCGATGGCGAATCCTGCTGCGAGACCAGAGAGACCGACGGAGAGACCAGCGCCGAGCTGAATGAAGCCCGAGTACAAGGTCATGGGCGACTTGAGGTCACCGGAGATGAGGACGGAAACAACGAGGCCGTAAATGGCAATGATACCAGCCATGACTACGGGGACAATGCACTTGATGAGGAGGTCAGGGCGCAAGACACCCATGGCCGAGATACCGACACCGGACTTGGCTGTGCCGTATGATGCGCCGAGACCTGCGAGCGAGGAGGAGGCAGGGTGTGATGGTGGTCAGATGTGCACGAGGTGAGGTTCAGGGGTTGGCTCGTGGCGGGACATGTACGTACAGGTGAAGACGATGGCTGCCGTCACGCCCATGGCTCCAAAGAAGGGAGCGTAGACGGGGCAGAGCGGGTTGACATCGTTGGAAGCGAGAATCTGCGACATCTTTGCGTCGTTGGTGTGGTGGTGATGGTAGTGATGAGGAGGTTAGACGAGTCGAAGCGCTGACCAGATGGCGACGGCGGTGGAGCTCGAGTCGACGTCGACCAGCGAGCCAAGGCCAGCCCAGCCCGCCTGCCTGCCTGCCTGCCCGCTCCTCGCTCGCCCCGTCCCCCCCTCTCTGAGAGACTCGTCGTCGGAACGGAGGCACCGGCTTGACGCCTTGGAGATGAATGGCGCTGAATTTTGGACGGAAGGGCGAAAGGCGGCGAGGCGCATTTCATTCGTGCTCCTCAACCTGCATCATCATCATCAGCAGCATTCGCCATCACGATGCCGCCGTATGCGAATGGCCTGGCGGCTGACTCGCAGTCGAAGCGCAAACGGCAGACGCAAAAAGCCGCAGCTGTCGAAGAAGAGGGATCCGCAGAACAGACACCTCTGGAGCTCGACCTGCCGGATAGCGACGAGGAAGATGCGGAGGAGCAGGAAGGAGCTGAGGCTGGATTGAGCGGCGATGAAAGCGATCAGGAAGATTTCCCTGAGATCGATGCCCTCTCGTCTGGAGATGATGAGGAGGATGATGACGACGATGATGAAGAGGCAGAGATAGACAGTGATGAAGTAGAAGACGAGGACGACGAGGAAGAAGGGACAGACGACACCGAGGAGGAATACGACGAGGATGATGAAGAAGGTGAGCGATGAGCGGCAAAGCCCACGAGCCTGATCATAGATGCTGATATCTTGTTCTGCTTCCTCGCCAGCTCGCGCTCGCTCATTTGCCCAACGAAACGCCACCTCAGACGAGGTCAACGAGGAGCTTGACCGTATGGTGAAGAGAGCAACCGTCAAACCCAATGAGGAGGAGTACCGCCGCACCAAGCTCGGCCTCATGCAGCATCAAGCAGCTCCAGAGCTCAACAAGCTTCGCAATGCAGATGGCAGCGCAAAGTCACGCATCGAACGCAGCAAGCTCACGGGTGAGGCCAAGCGCGTCTATCCGGACATCGAGCCAGACTACGATAGCGACAGCAGCACAGAGGACGCACCCAATCGAATCGGTAACGTGCCGCTTGAGTGGTATGACGACATGCCCCACATCGGATACGATGTCGATGGGCGCAAGGTCATGCGACCGGCAAAGGGAGACGAGCTGGACAAGTTCCTTGCTACGGTCGAAGACCCTACCTCGTGGACAAGCGTCGAGGACAAATTGATGGGCAAGGACGTCCAGCTCACCGACGAGGAGCTCGACATCATCCGTCGCTTGCAGAAGGGAGAGATCGCAGACGGGGCCTACGACCCGTACGAGGACTACGTTCCTTGGTTCACAGGTGAGGGCAAGGAGGAAGTCATGCCCATCAGTGCCCGTCCGGAGCCAAAGAGTCGCTTTGTCCCCTCAAAGTGGGAGCACAAAAAGGTCATGAAGATCGTTCGTGCTATTCGTCAAGGTCGCATTACGGCCAAGGCGCCCGCAGAGAGCAAGAAGCCGGCTATATTCAACATCTGGGCAGACAGCGACTCACAACCTCGTGCCGACCACCCGATGCACCTTCCCGCCCCCAAATTGCCTCCGCCGACCACGGCAGAGTCGTACAATCCACCTGCCGAGTATCTCTTTACGGATGAGGAGCGCAAGCAGTGGGAGGAGGCGGAGAAGGAGGACCGAAAGACGTCCTTCATCCCTGCCAAGCACCAGTCGCTGCGTCTCGTGGGAGGGTACCAGGACTTCATGCAGGAGAGGTTCGAGCGATGCCTCGACCTCTACATGGCGCCGCGTGTTCAGCGCAAGCGTCTCAATATCACGGACCCGGACCAGCTCCTCCCAAAGCTGCCTTCACCGCAGGAGCTCAAGCCTTTCCCATCTACTTGTGCAGTGGTGTATCGCCACCCGAACAACTCGAGGGTACGCTGCGTTGCCGTCGACCCACGGGGAGCATGGCTGGCGACAGGAGCCGACGACGGGAGGGTGAGACTGTGGGATGTCGAGATTGGGAGGTGCGCGGCTGTCTGGGACCTCAACTACGCGTCGGCAGAGAAGGATCGCTCTCCCGTGCATTCATTGGGGTGGTGCCCGAACAAGTCGCTCGGCTTGCTCGCGGCCGTAACAACGAACAAGGTCACCATCCTTGCACCTCCGCAGCTGAGCCCTGGCGCCTCTACCGCGACTGCCTCCTCTTCATTCCAGTATGCAGTAGCAGGCCAACAGTCCGCCGCTGCCGCAGCCGTTGCGGCATCTAGCTCATCGGCACCCGCGTCCGTCTCCTGGACCAAGCCGACGGAGCGCGAACGCAGCACAGGCATCGCGGCGCACATCAGCTTCGCTGGCACGCCCAAGCAGGTGACATGGCACAGCAAGGGAGACTATTTCGCCACCGTCTGCCCGGATGGCGGATCGAGCACTTCCGTCCTCATCCACCAATTGACACGCCACCGCAGCCAAGCACCGTTCAAGCGTGCATCAAAAGGTTCAGCAGTTCAGCGCGTGGCCTTCCATCCGACTAAACCACACCTCTTCGTGGCGACGCAGCGCTATGTACGCGTGTACGACCTGGCAGCACAGAGCTTGATCAAGACTCTGCAGTCTGGCTTGAGGTGGATCTCAAGTCTCGACGTCCACCCGTCGGGAAATCACGTCGTGGTAGGATCGTACGACCGCAGGCTGGCGTGGTTCGATCTGGACCTCTCTGCTCGCCCATTCAAGACGCTGCGATACCACACACGCGCCATCCGTACTGTCGCGACTTCGCGCTCTTACCCTCTGGTCGCTTCGGCGGGAGACGATGGACAGGTGCACGTTTTCCACGCTACGGTGTACGATGACAGTGAGGTGGCGGGCGACTTTGGTAGGGACCCGCTGATCGTACCGCTTAAGGTGCTGAGGGGGCACGAGGTTAAGGAGGGGCTGGGCGTGTTGGCGAGCGCATGGGTGCCCGGCATGCCCTGGATCGTTACGGCAGGGGCGGATGGGACTGCCAGGTTGTGGACTACGTGAGCGGCGAGCATGTCTGAAATAGCCCAACTTCATTCATCGCGAACATGGTCACATTTGCATTGCATTGCACAGCAAGCGATTTTCTCCCAACCTGTCTCCACCTCACCTCGCGCGAGCGTGCACAATTTGACTGCCATGCTCCTCGTACTCCTGCTTACTGATCCAAATCTGATGGAAGCTGCCCAAGCTAGCCAAGATACTCCCGCCCAGCCAGGCAGCATGCCTTCGCTCCACCGAATTGCCCGGCGCATGAATCTTGACACGCTGAGCAGGCTGACGAATGCTGAGCTCGTACGAGAGCCTGTCCACGAAGCCTGGGAGGAATGTGGTACCGCCCACGCAGACGATGTTGGATAGAAGGGTGGCGCGGCTGTCTACGTCGACTGAGGAGATGGAGTCGACTACCATTTGCGCCAGGGGGATGGCTGAAGAGGCTGTGGATGCTGCAGGTTGAGTGCCAGGTGCTGAAGAAGCAGTGGTCGGCAACACGCCCTGCACCCCATTCCAGAGTTGCGGGTTGAACAGCACCTCCGAAGCCCTGTAACGCTCAATACCGAACACGTCATTGTACCCATTCGGGAACTCGAAAGATCTTGCCGGTCGGCTGAGCGCCAAGCCCTCGTCCCAAGGCGAGTCGAGGACCTGTCCAATCGACTCCTTGACCTCATGCAAAAGCTGCCCCTCCTGGAAGGCCTTGTACGACTGACTGGCACCCAAAGCCGCCTCGCGTTGCTCCCACTGCGCCTCCTTGCCCGCCTCGACCGGCTTGCGCGACTTGACCCTGTAGCGCGGGATGAGCTCCTCGATTGCCCCGCCGGCGCGAGGCGACCTGGCCGGAGGGTTGCGCAGCTCGTGGGCAAAAGCACGGGAGACTGCTGCTCCTCCAAGGTCATTTTGGCGGAAGATTCCCTTGCGGATCACGAAGCCGTCCACTACAGGGATTGCGGACGCGGATGAATAGCCGACGTCGAGGATGAGCGAAGTGGGCTTGCCTGCGCTGAAGGAGGAGAGAACGGTGGAATTTGCCAGATAGTAGGCAGGGACGCCGAGGCCTTCGAAGGCGAGCTCAGTGAGGTCTTCGCGCATTTCGCGGGGTGAAGAGGTAGTGTCAGTCAGCATGAGAGGATGCTCAGTTGAGTCTGCTCCGAGCGTTGAGTAGGCGTGGTCTAGCAGGTGGTAGAGGTCGGGCGCAGATTGGACTGGAGACGCGGTGTGAGGAAGGCGTGAGCGATATGATACGTGGGCAATGTCCGCGAGGTCAAGAGCTTTTCACTCACCTATGCCATCCACAACCGTAGGGCTGATCTCCGTTCCCTTCCTATAGGATCCGACGCCGAAATCGCCAAAGAATCGCTTCTTCCCCTTGGCATCCGGAGTCGCCTTCTTGGCGAGATACTTTGCACCCCGAATACGAGAGTCGGCAGCTTCGGTCTTGACAGCCTGCTCCTCCTTGGGGGCATCGCCATTGCCTTCAGCCATAGTCGCATCTCCGTCGCCTTCTGCTGCCGCTGACGGGGCTGGAGCTGGCGCTGCCGATGAAGAGGAAGCATCGTTCTCGTCCGAGGGAACCCATCCGTACGACGAAGGGATGACGACTCGCGGTGAGTCCTCGCCTGCCCATCCACCACGCAGCAGGCTTGAGCCGGCATCGAATACCACGGCTGAGACGTCGTCGCCTCCGTAGACTCCAGGCATGGCGGCGAGCGAGAGGAGATGAAGGTGATGTGAGTCGAGGGCTAAGGTTGCGAAGGAAGTCAAGGAGCTCACGGCTGCTGCATCCCCATTCGACCCGTCCATCCGCCTGCAAGCCGCGACGCGGGTCAATCGTCCATCCATGGCTCCGTCAAACGAGTCTTCCGATCCGGCGCAATGCATTACGAAGACGGACGGACGGCCAACACTTTTGGGTCTTGACTCCTCGTCCTCCACCATCACCTCATCTTCAAAAGCATCATGATCGCCTCAAGAATAGCCCACGCAGCCCCCTTCGCTTTGGCCAGCACTTCCCGTAGCGTCTTGCTGCGTCGCTCCGCCCCTGCCATCTGCTCTCTCGTCAGTCGTAGCACCGCCACTCCTCTTGCTCCGCAACCTCGCACCTTCTCCACCACCCGACCTGCGCTCGCCAACAACGACTTCGACAGCAGCAATGACAAGCAGGCATCCTCCTCGGGACCTGAAAGAGAAATGACGTCGGGTGAGCAGGACATCCACGCTCTCCTGACGAAACGATTTAAGCCCGCCCATCTCCAAGTGCAAGATGTATCGGGCGGCTGCGGGTCTTTCTATGCGATTGTGGTGGCCAGCAAGGAGTTCGCAGGGCTGAACACGGTAAAGCAGCACAGGATGGTCAATGAATGTCTCAAGGACATTATTGGAGGTATTCATGGGCTGCAGGTGAGTGCCGGCGCCACAGAAGAGAAGCGGAGCTCAGAGAGGATCGCGAGCTGACCTGCTGCCTCCTGACCTTTGTTCGCAGCTGAAGACCATCCCTGCGGAGTAGTCCGGCCTCAGTGTCAATAAGAATCATCGTAGCACCCACTGAATTGACGTCACATGGTGTCACTGAATGCCTATTGTACAAAAGGAAAGGATTACATGTGTCATCGCCGTCCCTTCCTGCCGCCTCCCTGGCATCAGGGTCGCTCACCTTACGGCTCGCTCCTGTCCCACTCCTCGGCGTCGTCGAATTCCGTCTCCCCATCCTCGTCATACTCGTCATCGGATGACGCCACGACGCGCTTGGCGCGCTTAGTTGCAGGCGACTGCGAAGTCGCCCCCTCTTCATGCTCCGGCGACGTTGAGTCGGGAATGGCAATGCGCTTGCGTCCAGAGCGAGGGGTACGCTGTCCTGCCGCTCGCGGCTGTTGGGTGGGCTCCTCATCCGATTCGTCATCGCCTAGACGCTGAGAGAGAGTAGCCTGAGACGATGCGGAGGCCTTTGGTTTAGACTTGGTCTGTGACTGGCTGCCAGTGCTGACGCGGCCGCGAGCTGCCTTGCTCTGCGATGCCCTCTTCTCTCGCTGCTCCTCTTCAGCTTCATCCCACGAGTCGTCACTTTCCTCCCTCGCCTTTCTTCTCTTCTGTGCGGGAGACAGCCACTTCTTCGTCGATGTCGTAGTCTTCCTTGGCCCCTGACTGCTTTGAGCATTTGGCTGGCTTTGGCTGGGGCTCCCCGCACCCTGCTGACTCGCATCCCTGATTGCATCCTTGACCGTTCTCATATATCCAAAGGGAGACATGCCCAACCTCATGAGCTCGCGCTCCACACCACGCACATTCTTGACTCTGGTGGTAGTTGTAGCTGTGATCGTGACCATAGTGCTGCCACTCCCGCTGTTTCGATTGGAACGCGAATTCTTGGAGGTTGACGAGGGCGGAGCGGATCTCTTCTGGGGCTGCGATTGCGATTGTTGCGTCGGCTGTGGCAACGATGAGGAAGACGAGGAGGCAGGCCTGCGCCCAGTAGCACCGCTTCCAGGCCTGCCTCGCACGGACGAAGCACGACGTCGTGGAGATCGCCTCACAGGTGGTGACTGCTTAGGCGAGGTAGACGGCGTCGTGCTTCGTGCTTCGTCGGGCTGCATCGAAGATGCTTCTGTGCGGTCGGGCTCTCCCGCGGGCACAGCGATACGTACGCGTTTGGTTGGAGTCTGCTTGGCCTTTGAGAGGACGCCGCGCCGCTTCTGTGCAGTCTGAGCTGCTACAGCCGGCAACGGTGAATCGAGCTCGTCATCGCTCAAGTCGATATCCTGACCCTCGCCCTCGCCCTCGTTGTAGTCTTCGTCGCTCTCGGTTCCCATCATCGGCGATGTACCATTCAGGTCGTCTGCGAGCTCGTTGGGCTCATCTTCCGACGGAACAAGATCGGGGCCAGTATCATCATTCGCATCGAAGACGTCCCCTCGCCTTGCTGGTGTGGGCTTGTTGCGCAGCTGAGGCTTTTGCTGTTGCTGGCGACGCTGTGATTGCGCAGGCGTCCTGTTGGTCTTTGCCTTCCCAATACGCTTCGGCGTAGACACCTCCCTGCCGTCCACATCCTCCAAGCCGAGCAAATCATCGACGAGCACGTCGATCCAGTCGTCGGGAAAGCCTTTGCTAAACGCCTCAGCAGTCCTTGCAGACAGGCCCTGCTGCCTGGTCCTGTGTCTGTCAGCGGGCCCCACAAGCCCGTACAGAGACCCCGTCTGCGTCTCGACCAGATGGGCCTCCCGTCGCACCGCAATGGGGGTGGAGTGCCACTGCACCCTGTCTTCGTCCTCGCGCTTGAATCCCTCCACGTAGATCCACTGCTTGAGCGCTGCTGCGTCGGGGCGACGTTGAAGGACTTGAGCAGGAATACGAGCAGTTTGCGAGCGGGTGAGGAACCAGCCTTCGAGGTATTTGACAGATTGGGAGATGATGGGACGCGAAACGGCTTGCGAGAGTTGCGAGGCTTCGGAGGCAAGAGGGGGCGTTGGTGGGGTTTCCTCTTCTTCATCGGCCTCTTCATCGGGGGGCAGGCCGTCCAAGGGTGGAGGGTCGCCAGCTGAATGATCCATTGCTCCCAAACCACCCAAGTCGTCCTCGTCCTCTTCATTGCTCTGCTCCTGTACGACGTTACCCGCGCCTGGCTCGACGGAGTCCGTCTCTCGCTGCGAGCCATTGTTGCTTCTTCGATGCGCCGGCCTCACACTGCCGCGATCAGCGCTTCTGGCATCAGGAGAAGCAGCCATGAGCCATTTCACGTCTTCCTGGGTGAGCGGACGACCTCCGAGCGCTCGAAGAGCGGCAAAGGGGTCGATAGGTCGGCGAGGGTGCTGGTATGGAGGGTGACGGTCGATGCGTTTCGATCCTCTTGCCATTGGCTCTGACCAGCTGAAGGTCGATTCGGATCGATGGCGCGTGCGTAAGTTCTCGTAGACGTGCCTGACAGACTCTGGCGTGCCAGGATGGTAGATGAGGTCCTCACGATGACGGCTGCTTCCGCTTGGAGCAGGATAGCCTCCGCCGTTGCCGCCCCAGTAGGGGCGCGTATCCTGCGCTTGCGGATCATAGTAGGAGATGCGCCTTGACTGGGGAGTTGAGGGAGTTTGTGGGCTCCATGGCCAACGAGCGCTAGGCGGTCTGGCCGACTGCGATGACGAGGAGGGCGAGCGTGCTGAGTGACCGCCGGAGCCATCGCCCCTGCCAAGGAGCGAGTCGCGCCTTCGTCCCCTGGTGACGTGAGGCGGTAGTGCCGGGACGACGAAGTGGTGGTCGTCCGACATTGCGCGCCTATCTCATGCAGGGCCACCTGCGAGCTCGAGAGGTGGTAGTAAGGGCAGATGGATGTCGACGATGCACCGTCGATGGGCGGATGGAGACAAAAGTCGCGACGGTACGTTTCCCACGTCTCGCACCAAAAGCGGGCGGGCAGGCAGACGGACGGGAGCAGCGCCAAAGTGCTGCCGGGCGAGACATGGCGCTGAGATGCTCAGACGCTCAGACCCACCTTTTGGTCATGGCTCGGAGGCCAGCTTCAAGATGAGCTTGCCAGCGCGGCTGATGGGCCACTCGACGACGAAAAGCAATGCTACTGGTGTTGAGCACTCACCTTGCTTCCTGACCATCCATCTCCCTCCGTCCACGGACGATGACGTCCTTGAGCAGCGGCCGTCGTTGCATCGGAAGAATTGGGCTCTTTGGCTCACGACCCTTGATCTTGGGCTCGCACCACTTTGCTGCTTCTTCTCCTTCTCACTACCACAAGTCAAGTCCGAAGCAGCTCTATAGACACGCAAGAATGGTCTACACGCTCAGTGAGATGGAGAGGGAGGTAGCTCGACGACGGCAGACCCTCAGCTCACCTTCATTTTCGACGCTCTTCCCTGACCCTCGGCCCCAGTCTGCCACGCTGAGGTGAGCTCCAGGGTCGAGCTCTGACGATGAGTTGTTCATGCTGACGAAACATTGTTGCCGCTGATCACGATAGGTAAAGCCCGGCTGCGAACAGAAGATGGTCGATAAGCTGCGAGAGGCTGCGTGAGCTCCGTCGCATGACCAAACATGACCTCAGGGCGGCAGAGAGATCTGACCATACGCTCTCGCTCCCTCTTCCCACAGCGCCATCTACAAGAAGGACCGCGAGACCATCGACTGGTGAGACTTTGATTCTCTGTTTCTTTCGTCAACCCGCAGCACGGTGCTGACGAGTTCTCCCTGCCCTCCCCGCTTCACAGGCTCGTTCACCAGGACGAGAAGGAGCCCACCAAGTTTGCCATCGTGGAGCGCTTCGAGCATGAGAGCTCGCAGAAATACCACCTCGAGAATCCTTACTGTGCGTGCGACGAAGCTCCCCAGCGCCTCCATGGAGTCTCATTCACAACTGACATTGCGCTCCCTCCTTGTCATCGCTGCGACCAGGGGCCACCTTCAACCCGGCCGTTGAGCCCTGGCTCGCCAAGCCCATCCAGATCCTGCGCTTCAACGAGCTCTAGACGCGGGCGAACTGCTTCTACTTTTCTTGATCAATGGAAAGTCTTGTCGCATCTTGCTTCTGCCTCACCGTTACCAAATTGGCTCTCTTCGCTGATCTCTGAGGCGTGGTGTTGGACTTTCTCAGCCGTTGCAGCGGGGGTTGAATTGGCCGTCGCCTTGCTCTCCCTCGTCTCAGGCGGCGTGGCTCGCCTCCGCGCGTGCAGGCTGTCAGTCAAAGTTGTGTGTTGATTCGAGGCCGCCGGACCTCGGCGTGGCCCACGCTGCCACTTCGTTCCTTGAATGCCCATCACGCACTTTGCCTCTTGACCCTCTCTTCCATCTCACCTGCTCAGCTGCAATCTCTTGCTGCTACCCGGTGAAGCGCTTGAATTGGTGTGCCACCGTTCATGTCCCGCATCCCCGTTCCTAGCCGCCAAGTTCCCTCATCACCATCCATCGACTTCAAAGAGAATCGTCCCTTTTCACCCGATCACTCGTTCTCGCCCTCTCGCAACACCTCAAACCCGAAGATGAGCAGCTCAGCCGTCAGCGGAGCATCCGGCTACCGCAACTCGCCCATGTCGGGTGCTGAAGCTACCGATACTAGGAAGCGTCAAAGCAAGAGGGACGAGGTGAGTGGCTGCGCGGGACAAGAGATAGCGAACGCCAACTGGGGAGCACCGGCTCACATCCTCTCCCTTCCCTTTGCCCTCACCACCGCAGGCCATCCGCAAGAAGATCGAAGCCGATCTGAATCGCAAAGCAGGCAAGCCCACTGGTGGACGTGGTACGCCCGCTCGCAACTCTCGACGCAAGCCTGCCGCCATTGCTGGTACCGTCTCTGCTCTGCGCCCTCTTCCTGCTCTCACCGTTCCGCAGAGCATCAGCGTGGCCGATGCTAGTCAGCTGTGTGCTGCAAAGAGGACAGACTGCGTCCTCGTCGTCGACGACGATGAGCACCTCGCTGGCATCTTCACAGCAAAGGATCTCGCATTCAGGGTCAGTGGCAGCTCAGCGTCGGTATCGATAAGCCGATCTCACTCACACCCTCGCCGCTGCCGCCTTCGCAGGTCGTCGCCGGAGGTCTCGATGCTCGCAACACGCCCGTCTCTGCCATTATGACCAAGTCGCCTATGGTCACTCGCGACACTACCTCCGCAACTGAAGCGCTGAACACCATGGTCACTCGCGGATTCCGCCACCTCCCCGTCTGCAACGAAGAGGGAGACGTCGTGGGACTTCTTGATATCGCCAAGGTCTTCTACGAAGCCCTCGAGAAGCTGGAGCGCGCTCACGGCTCGTCGCAGAAGCTCTACAATGCGCTCGAAGGCGTGCAGAGCGAATGGGGAGGCGGCATCGCAGGCCCTCAGCAGGCTATGATGGAGTACGTCGAGGCTCTCCGACAGAAAATGTCCATCCCGGACCTCACGACCATTCTCGACAGCCGCACACTGCCCTGCACCGTTTCTGTCCGCACCACGGTACGAGAGGCCGCCAAGCTGATGAAGGAGCATCGCACCACTGCCGTCTGCGTAATGGAAAACGCCGGTGGACCCGGTCAAGGTCAGATCACGGGCGGCACGCCGGTCAGCGGCAAGATCGCGGGTATCTTCACCAGCAAGGACGTAGTATTGCGAGTTATCGCAGCCGGGCTTGACCCCAAGACCTGCTCCGTCGTGCGAGTCATGACCCCTCACCCGGACACGGCTCCTCCCTCTCTTTCCATCCAGGAAGCTCTGCGCAAGATGCACGATGGACGCTACCTCAACTTGCCCGTAGTAGACGTCGATTCACGTCTTGTAGCCGTAGTGGATGTGCTCAAGCTCACCTACGCAACGCTTGAGCAGATCAACTCGATGAGCGAAGAGTCTGGCGGCGAAGGTGGAGGAGCTGGGCCGATGTGGAATCGTTTCTGGGCACTTGGACAGTCAGGCTCGGTGGGCAACGGTACGGCTGGAGATGGTGACGAATCCGCGATCAGCGGCTCGCATCGCCCCTCTGAGGTGGAGATGCCCGGCACTCCCGGCAGGTACGGTGGAGTGAGCAATGACTCGGACTTGCATCCAAACGACTCAGCCTCTGCAGTGGGCGGAGCCGCAGCACACGATGATGGTCTCTCCGGCGTGGGCGGCCGTGGACCTGTCGCGTCAGCCGCAGAAGTAGACGACGGCACCTACCTCTTCAAGTTCGTGACCCCTTCCGGACGTACGCATCGCTTCCAAGCACGATACGACCAATTCGAGACCATCCGCGAGATCGTCACGATCAAGCTCAGCGGCGACCCATTCTTCGACGAGGATGACACCGCTGCAGCAGAGGGAGAGGCGACAGCCACGCCAGACCCGAACGACTTCACGCTGGCGTACAAGGATGACGAGGATGATGTGGTCCTGATGACCGCGGACGGCGATGTGCAAGACTCGGTCAAGACGGCGCGCAAGCAATCTCGAGACCGTGTTGTTCTTCTCTTGCAAGGAGGCAAAGGCTGGAACGAGGCCCTCGCCCGTGCAAAAGCGGCGGAGGCGGCTGCAACCAGCGCAGCTTCACCTGGTGTGGCGGCGAAGAAGCGCTCTGGAACGGTTGAGGCGCAACTGCAGCGCGTGGAAGAGGAGGAGGAGCGCGAGGACGAGCAGCACCAGGGGGATGGTGCGGCCAATGGTAGCGTGAAGCCTCGAGTCTCTGATGGACAGCAGGTGCTTGAGCAGCCGCCATCAGCTACCGAGACCTCGGAAGCGGCAGCAGCAGCGGCAAATGCCAAGGAGGCAAAGAAGGCAAGCAAGAAGGCGGATGAGGAGCTCCTCTTTGGCTTCCTGCCGAAGGACCTGGCTCTACCTGCCGCTATTGGGTTCGCGGGTGTGGCGGTGCTTGTTGGACTGGTGGCGACGAGGGGGTCTGCGCAGCAGCATTGATGATCAACGGGCGGAGGATTTGGCTTTCGATTTCTCTCTTGATTTTGTCCGAACAGCTCGGCTTGCCAGCTTGACGTGTCTTGCCCCTACTCGTACTTTTCCCCATATGATCCGATCCTGTACGATCGGGTCCCACCTCTCTATGCTCGTCAAGATATCGATCACAACGGCAAAAGGAGCGTCGGGGCCAGCTCTCGTGCAGTGAAGTGCGTCGCGTGATCGAGAATGACTGAAGCTGAGAGCAGTGAAGCAAAGAGAGAGAGAGGTGGTACAATCGAGAGATCGACGGCGTCCGCATCCCGCTTACAAAATCAAATTTCAGCCCACAACCCTCCGCCTGCCCCACCAACGCCAACGCCACCGCTTCCTGTAGTCTGCACCCTCTCACCCGTGACCACCGTGAGCAAGAATACGACCAAGTTCGCACCCGCCGCCATGGTGAACCCGCGATAGAGGCTTCTAAGCCCACCCAGTGTGGCGTAGGTGGGCTGCTGTGGCGCGAGGATCACGCTGCGCCCCATCATGGGGTGCAAGCCCGGACGCTGAGGCGTTGCAGGATCCTCACCTGGGCCCGGAGCAAAGGCACTGTCCTCTGTCTCGGTGCGCTGATGACGGGAGTGATGGGTCTTGTCCTTCTGCTTGGAATCTTCCTTGGCGCCTGCTGTCGTGGAGAGGTAGGCCGTCTCCTCGGTCAGGATACGGTAGATCGCCTCGACGACGCCCACGTAAGGCTTGGGGCGAGTCTCCACACAGGTGCGTAGACCCTTCAGCGTGCCCGTGTTGCCCGTTCCGGTCGCAGTTGCGGGTGACTTGCCCTTAGCATTGCCCCTCGGCGGTGTCGAAGGAGCCGTCGCGGCAGCTGCCTTGATAGTGTTTGCCCCTCCCTCCGCCTTCCTCCTCTGGATTTGCAGCCGTCGCCTGACTGTCTCAATCGGCAAGCTGAAGAGCAAACTTGCCGTGTCCACGCAGAGCTCTGCAAAGGCATGGGAGACCGGCGAAGTCATAGCATCGAGGTGCAGCCAGCGCTCGATGAGGAGCGGGCTGGAGAAGCTCAACAGGGGCCTGAGCGTCAGGTCGAGCAGAGCTGGAGCCAGAAGATTAGGGTGCAGGAACATACTCTTCCACCCTCCCTCCTCTGCCGAGATCTTCTTGAGCGCGTCCCATGGTCCTGTGTACTTGCGATGCCTTGGCAAGGTGGATTGGACGATCAGCCTCGTGCGGACGAGGTCGAGAGGCGAGAGGAGAAGGTGCGTAACTACGTGACTTGAGACGAGGAGGGCGAGGGTGCGCTTGGGATGGGGCACGTAGGGGAGCGGAAGGGTAGAGAGGGACATGGGTATCAAGGGAGAGAGAGTTGCCGAGACGACTGGCTGGATGCCTGAGGCGAGGAGGTCGTAGATGAAGGAGGTGAAGGCGCCTAGCATCCAGCAAGTGAAAGGCAGGGGAAGTCAGCAACCCAGTAGGCTCACCATAGCCGTGCTTACTCACCTTTCCACAAACCAGGCCAGCCCTCTTTCCCCCTCACGACGGACTTCATCATCTCCCACACTCCGCCTCGCACAACGACCGGCATGACGAATTCGGGCCGCGACCCTGACTCTGCGCCATCGCGTACGGATCGACGCACGAGATAGCCGCTCGCATCTTTAGCGGGTCGTCTACGAGGCTCTTTGCGGGACAAAGAGGAGGCAGGGCGTGGCTTGTCTGCTGATGAGGCGTCACGGAAGTAGGCTTCGGCATCGGATGGTGACGAGAGCTGCGAGGTGAGGGTGAGTGGTATGTGTGAGCGCTCTCCACGCGCAGAAGTGGGCGGTTCTGCCACTGTCACGCACCTCGTCCTCGTCATCTCCGCTCAGATCACTATCCTCACCGTCCTCGTCGTCGTGGTAGCGCGGCTCTCTCCTCCACTCCTGTGCCTCTGGAGCCATGTCGAGGTCCTCTTCATCCTCCTCATCCTCCTCGCTCTCTTGTTGCCGCAAACGACTGCCTGGCGCTCTCTTGAGCGCCGGTTGCGGAAGGTCTTGAGCGATCGAAGCGACGAAGCTATTCCAGACCTCATCCTTTGGTACCCATTGGACCTGGAGGAGTAGCTTAGCCACCTCGAAGGGCATGGCGACGCATGTTGACGAGTACTGCAGGAGCAGTCCCAAGAGGCCAGCCTTTGTCATGTCCGATATGGACGAGCCGAATTGCGCTGCAGAGAGGGTATCATCATTGTCGTTGACGTATCGATTTGGGCGGCGAGGGATGGTGACTGTCGCAGAGGGCGAGGAGGATGTTGTATGCGCCGCTGAGGATGCCGAGGAGGAGGCGGCGCCAGATGGCCCTCGACTAGATGAAGAGGAGGAGTAGATGTGAGGCTCATCGTGTGGCTGATAGTAGGGACGAAGAGGATGTGGGCCTTGGCCTGGTGAGCCTGACATGGTGGGTGTTGGTTGGGCGGCGATGGGGCGAGGCTGATGATGTCGAGGGGCCGGACATGCGCTCAGCGAGCGAGCCGGCCTGCTCGTGTTGCTCAGTCGTCAGTCGCAGTCCGTGCTCGACTGACTGCCCCAAACGGCCGCGGCTCGACTTTTGTCGCTGCTCGAGAGGGCCGCCTCGAAGATTTTGGCCGACGCCTCGTCAGTCCGTCGAAGCAGCCTTGGCCACCAATTCGCTCCTCTCACTTCAACAATCCTCCATCGTTCACAGAGCCTGTCTCGTCCCGCTCGCTCTGATGGACATCACCTTTCAGCAACAGCCGTCAGCGCTGCGGCTTGATCTGGCTGCGAGCTCGGCCGCTCTGCTCGAAAGCATCGCGAGCTCACACGCCTCTAATGGTTTGCCCACCGAGGTCAAGACGCTCCTCGAGCAATGGGCAGCTGGACAGAGCACCAGCGAGGCCAATCCATCTCACCTTCTTCAGAGCCTCTCACGAGTCCTCGCCATCCCATCGCTGACTCATCTCGTTGCAGCTCACTTTGCGCCGCTCCTTGTCGACATCGCTGCGCGCCTTCTTCCATCCAATGACACCTCGGCCTCATGGCTCGACCAGCATACACGACAAATCTTTCACTCCCTCGCTCTTCTACTGCTACCATTCCCGCAGCTTCTGCCACTAGTGCGCCATTTCCTAAGACACGAAGCGCTACGAGCGCAGCCCCTCCATCAAACCATCACGTCAACGCTGCGCCAGGATGCGCCACAGCTGCTCCTCTCGTTCGTCCGCCTCCTTCATGCGGCGCCTCCTCTCGCCGACGTTCTGAGCGAACAGCTGCCAAACGCATTCTTGCATTCCGTCTTTTCTGGTAGAGACGATTACGATCATTCGACAAGATTACTCGCTGTTCAAGCCCTCGCAGGGCTCACCTCGATCTCAGAGGCGCAGCGCAAGGAGCTCGAGACTAGATTCGTGGGAAGGCCTGCACTGCCAAAGCTATCCGACGACGGCAAAGCACTTCTTGGCTACGCTCTTGAGCCAGAGACGGACGAGGTTGACGCTTCTCTAGTAGGAGCAGAGAATGAGATCGTCGACGTCTGGATCCTTCCAGTACTGGAGAAGAGGAGAAAAATTGGCGTCAAGGCGTTGGCCAGAGGGCCAACACCATACTACGAAAGCTCGATAGGCCTCGTCACGTCTCATCATCTTCATCACTCTGTGAGAGACATTGCGGGCGTACTTCATTTTCAACCAGACCGGGCGCAGCGCCCGCCTTCATCGCAGCGCTTCGTTGTAACTCCTGGCCAGGAGCCAACAATCAATTGCATCGCGCAAGCCCTCGAGCAAAGCTTGCCTGTTCTAATCACGGGTCCGCCATCATCAGGAAAGACCTCCCTCGTCTCACACCTCTGCTCGCTTCTACATCCAGCAGCCGGCAAGTCGGCGGACCTTCCCGTCGTGACGCTGCAGCTGGGAGACCATTCGTCACTCGACGCCAAGTCACTTCTGGGCAGTTACACCTCATCGTCTCGCAAACCTGGTACCTTCGAGTGGGTAGAGGGCGCCCTCACGCGAGCTGTGCGATATGGGAAATGGCTCGTCCTCAAGGACATCGACAAGGCGACGAGCGAGGTGCTCAGCGTCATCAAGCCCCTCGTTGAGGCTCTCGGCCCCTACAAGACCCTCGGAGCAACACCAGAGCTCTCGCTCGGGCCGAGAGGCAAGGTCAAGGCTGGATCGTCCTTCCGCCTCTTTGCCCTTCGTTCTACTACACCGTCGAAGAATCGTCTCGGACGATCTTTGTTCCCTCCGCCTTCTTTCCTCGGCAATAAGCATTGGATCTCTCTCTTCTTGCCGTCTCTGGAGACGTCGGACGTGCACGAGATACTCGCAGGGACCTTCGTAAAGCTGGCAGCAATCGCTGATGGCGAGGCCTTGAGCACCCTCATCGAAGCATGGACGTCGGTAGTCCGAACAGCGAGCGGCAGTGGTGGCCAGTCAAAGGGGCGCTCAGCCGCCACACGTGTCCCTACGTTGCGAGACCTGATCAAGTGGTGCCGCCGAGTCGAAGCTTTTGCAGACCCGACCAGCAGTAGCCACGCTCTCTTCTCCGATCAGCGCAAGGTTGAGCGCGCTTTCGTTGAGGGAGCTGAGATCTTCTTGGGCAACTTGCAGTCTCTCGTCATCACAACCTCTACCGGAGTGGCTTCACCTCACCCTTGCCTGGCTGCGCTGGCGTCGGCGCTCGGCCTGGATGCAGAGCGGGGATTGTGGCTGCTTAACGAGAAGACACCAGACGTTGCAATTAGGGGTGGCTTGGCATTCAGTGAGAGCGATCAAGCTACAGTGAGAGTCGGTCGTATGGACCTGTCCAGGCGCAAAATAAGCTCGCATGCGTCAGTCTCTCGCACGTTCGCCATGACGCGACCAGCCGCTCAGCTCCTCGAGCGCATCGCAGCTAGCGTCGCCATGAAGGAGCCTGTGCTTCTGGTGGGCGAAACAGGTACAGGAAAGACGACTACAGTGCAGCACCTTGCATCTTTGCTTGGTCGCGATATGATCGCGCTCAATCTCTCGCAGCAGACTGAGGCGTCCGACCTTCTCGGGTCCTTCAAGCCTGTAGAGCCTCGTATCCCTGCGACCGAGTTGCATAATGCGTGGTTCGACCTCTTCGAGACAACCTTCTCCTCGAAGAGAAATGCGCGATTTGTTGAGACAGAGCGCAAGGCGCTGCAAGGGGGCAAGTGGCCTCGCCTGGTCACACTGTGGAAAGAGAGCATTCGCATGGCTGAAGAGCGAAAGGATCGCAAGAGCAAGCTCGTAGCATCAAGCGAGGGCGCAGAGGCAGCTGCGGCTGGGACAACGACGACCAAGAAGAGAAGGACAGAGCGTGGACCGACCCCTGGTACACCGTCTGAAGACCAAGAGCATCAACGGGAAGCAGTGCTCAACGCGTCGTGGGCTTCGTTCGCCGAGCGAGTCCACGATTTTGCCGCTCAACACGCCTCGAAGCGCCGCAACTTCGTCTTCTCCTTCGATGAAGGTCCACTAGTCAAAGCCCTGCGCGAGGGATCATGGGTCCTTCTCGACGAGATCAACCTGGCAGCCTCAGAGACGCTCGACTCTCTTGCAAGCGTACTCAACTCGCCCGACAGCAGTGTGACCCTCTTCGAGCGAGGCGACATTGAGCCCATCCCACGTCACCCTGACTTCCGGCTTTTCGCCTGCATGAACCCGGCGACGGATGTAGGCAAAAAGGATCTGCCTGTCAACCTGCGTAGCCGCTTTACTGAGCTCTATGTACAGAGCCCGGACAGTGATCGCGAGGCTCTCATTGCGATCGTCGAGAAGTACATCGGCCACCTCGCTGCTAGCGATCGTTCGGCGGTCATGGATGCCGCGGAGTGCTACACGGAAATCAGGAAGCTGGCCAATGATCACCAGCTTGCCGATGGTGCCAATCAACGCCCGCACTACTCCATTCGTACTCTTGCTCGATCTCTCACTTTCGCTGCGGACCAGTGCGCTGCCTTCGGCCTGCGACGAGCGCTCTGGGAGGGCTTTGTCATGGCTTTTACGATGCTACTCGACGACAAGAGTGCAAAGGTCGTCAAGGAAATTCTCGACCGATCCTTCATCGGAAGAGCTCGCAACGCTAAGCAAGCGGCCACCTTCGTGCCGCCTCGTCCCAAAGGTTCTGCAGAGTATGTGCATGTCAGCCCCTTCTGGCTTCAGACTGGATCGCAACCCCTCGAAGCTGCTGAAGACTACATTTTGACGCCATCCGTTCAGGCCAAGCTGGTCGGTCTCGCTCGAGCCATTCTAGCCCGCAAGAGTCCCGTCCTGATCCAAGGTCCAACTTCCGCAGGTAAGACCAGCTCAGTCGAGTACCTTGCCAGACGCACGGGACATCGCTTCGTCCGCATCAACAACCACGAGCACACGGACATCCAAGAGTACCTTGGTTCCTATGCGTCTGACCCAGACAGCGGCCGCCTCGTCTTCCACGAAGGCCTCCTAGTCAAAGCCCTCCGCCGCGGCGACTGGATTGTGCTCGACGAGCTCAATCTCGCACCTACAGACGTATTGGAAGCGCTGAATCGCCTGCTAGACGACAATCGCGAGCTCATCATCCCAGAGACCGGAGAAGTCGTACGCCCACACCCGAGCTTCATGCTCTTTGCCACACAGAATCCGCCAGGTGTGTACGCTGGGCGCAAGGTGCTCAGTCGAGCCTTCCGAAACCGCTTTCTCGAGCTGCACTTCGATGACGTGCCTCGCCCTGAGCTGGAGACCATCCTTACCAATCGCTGCTCAATCCCGCCGAGCTACGCGTCAAAAGTGGTATCGGTGTTCGTGGAGCTGCAGACTCGCCGGCAAGCGGGTCGAGTTTTCGATACCAAGCAGGCCTTCGTGACGCTGCGAGACCTGTTCAGATGGGGACAGCGTGAGGCCACGGGATATCAGCAGCTGGCTGAGAATGGGTACATGCTCATTGCAGAACGAGCTAGACGAAGCGATGATAAGGCGATTGTCAAGGAGGTCATCGAGGGCATCATGAATGTCAAGATCGATGAGGCTAGCCTGTACAATCTCAAGGGCAAAGGTAGGAAGGCAGCGTCGGATCACATTGGCGCAGATGTCGTTGAGGCCATCGTCTCTGCGTGCGACGAGAGTGGAATCGTTTGGACAGCGGCCATGTCACGCTTGCTTTGCCTGGTCGCTCTGGCACTCAAGTACAATGAGCCAGTCCTTCTCGTAGGCGAGACCGGTGCTGGCAAGACGTCAGCATGCGAGATCGTCGCCAAGGCCTTTGGGCATCGCCTGCATAGCGTCAGCTGCCACCAGAATACCGACACTGCGGACCTCCTCGGCGGACAACGTCCTCTGCGCAATCGCGGTGCGCTTCAGGCTCAAGCTCGAGCTCAAGGGCTGGAGGTTCTCGCAGAGCTGGCAGACGCCGACAACATGCCGGCCGATGACAGCGATCTCGAGACGGTAGCTATCGCCGTATCCAAGGCGGCGCAGCGTACCTCCGATGAAATCGTCAAGCAGCGCCTCGCCTCCGCCATCCAGCAAATCAACCAAGCCAGCGCCCTCTTCGAATGGCGAGACGGCCCCCTCGTCGAAGCTATGCGAGGCGGAGAGCATCTCCTACTCGACGAAATCTCCCTCGCCGAGGACAGCGTTCTCGAACGCCTGAATAGTGTCTTGGAGCCTGGTCGCACCCTTGTCCTCGCTGAGAAGAGCTCGGTTTCGACCAAGAGCAGCGAAGGCCTCGATGCGGCGCAGATCACGGCAGCGGACGGCTTTGAGGTCGTCGCGACGATGAATCCCGGCGGAGACTACGGCAAGAAGGAACTGAGCCCCGCGTTGCGCAATCGTTTCACTGAGATTTGGGTGCCGCAGGTGGACGATCGTGAAGATATCCTGGCCATCTTTGAGGCTAAGTGGGCGGATCAAGCGGAGGCGCTGCGTGACTGGGGCCGCCGTATTCTTGAATTTGCCGACTGGTATGCAAGCCAGGTGGGCGGCAAGGAGCAGGCTGGGATCGGCCTTCGAGACTTGCTTGCTTGGGTTGCATTCATCCGTAATGCGGTCGTTTCCGGCTCGCTGGACGCATCCACAGCTTACGCCCATGGCGCGATGCTTGCCTTCGTCGACGGGGTTGGCACCACGTCCTCGACTATGGCGATGACGACCACAGGACTCAAAGTACTTCGCCAGCACTGCTTGGAGCAAATCCGCTCCTGGACAGGTGGCGTCTCCCCAATCGCAGAGCCGGTCCTCGCTGCTACGCCCACGACATTCGGCATCGGCCCTTTCCACATCGCACGAGGGCCCCTTATGGACACGTCAGCGACTTTCAGCTTCGAAGCGTCCACGTCAGCCTCGAATGCGCTCAAAGTGCTCCGCGCCCTCCATATCCCGAACAAGGCCATTCTCCTCGAGGGCAGCCCTGGCGCAGGCAAGACTTCACTCATCGGCGCCCTTGCCGCAGCCTCAGGCAATGCTCTCACCCGCATCAATCTGTCCGATCAGACCGAGCTGGGCGATCTCTTTGGTGCTGACCTGCCCGTTGAAGGGGGCGGGCCAGGCGAGTTTGCATGGAAGGATGCCGCTTTCCTCCGAGCGATGCAGAGTGGCGAGTGGGTGCTGCTCGACGAGATGAATTTGGCCAGCCAGTCTGTACTCGAAGGGCTCAACTCTTGCCTTGACCATCGCGGGTCCGTATACATCCCTGAGCTGGGCCGTGCCTTTGACAAGCACCCGGACTTTCGACTCTTCGCAGCACAGAACCCTCACCAGCAAGGAGGGGGGAGAAAAGGACTGCCTAAGTCCTTCCTCAATCGCTTCACCAAGGTCTTCGTCGAGGAGCTGCGCGCTGATGACATTCTGGCTATCTGCAAGCACCTCTACCCTACTTTTGCGCACGAGGAGCTCGTGAAGATGATCCGCTTCAATGCCGAGCTGCACAACGAGGTGATGGTCAAGCACTCCTTTGGGCGTCAGGGAGCGCCGTGGGAGTTCAACTTGCGAGATCTGCTTCGTTGGCTGGCTATGATTCACTCAGATCTGGGCCTCAACTGGACTCACCAGCCTATCGACCACCTCGCTGCTCTCTACATTCAACGTTTCCGCTCAAAGAGCGATCGTCAAGCAGCAGCAGCCCTCTATGAGAGCATCTTCGGCACGAAGGTTAACCCAGATGCCCGTCCATGGCCGACGCTGTCATCTCGCCACGTCCAATTCGGTCACGCTCTGTTGCCGCGCCATCCCACGGGAAGCACGAGCGACATCGATCTCGCCGTGTTGCCCGGCCATCTACCCGCTCTCGAAGCTCTCGCAGATTGTGTTCGCCTGCAGTGGATGTCGATCCTCGTTGGCTCGAGCGCGTGTGGGAAGACTAGCCTCGTCCGCATGCTAGCCTCATTTGTGGGCGCTCCTCTCGAGGAAGTCCGAATGAACAGCGGCGTCGATACGATGGATGTGCTTGGCACCTTCGAGCAGATGGACCCGCATGGCAAGACACGGCAGCATCTGCAAGCTGCCAAGAGGCTTGTTGGAGAGCTAAAGGTCGGCGCGCTTCGGCGTCTCGGAGCCGTCTACGAGCAGCTGGCCGTTGCCGAGGATGCAATTCAGCAGGGACTATCGGCTCTCACAGGAGACCGATGGGCTGACCAGCATCTTCAAGCTGTCCTCAAATCGCTCAGCGCTATCAGCAGCTCCAACGCGCTCTCGTCTGAGCAGTCTCAAGCCTTTGTCATGCTGCACGATGCCCTTGCTTCCAGTGACCCTACCCACCAGAGCGCTGCCGGGCGTTTCGAGTGGAACGACGGCCCGCTGCTTCGAGCGATGAAGAATGGCTCGTGGCTGCTGCTGGACGACGCCAATCTTTGCTCTGCTTCAGTGCTCGACCGACTCAACTCGCTCTTCGAGCCAGGAGGAGCCCTTGTGCTAAGCGAACGTGGTGTGGTTGACGGCGAGATCCCCGTCGTTCGACCTCACGCCAACTTCAGGCTTTTCATGGCCATTGACCCGCAGCATGGCGAACTCAGTCGTGCGATGCGCAATAGAGGACTGGAGATTTCGCTGCCGCCTCTTCCAACGCAGGATGCTGCTCTTCTCAGCGGTCTTAACGCCTTCTCGTCGACCGGAGCTGCGCCCGTGCTTTCGTCGCGTTATGATACGGATCTAGCGATGGGTGAGCTCATCCTGTACAGCTCGGCAGAGTACAGCGACGTGTTTGAGAAATTTGCCTTTGCCACTCTACCCTCCAAGTCGGTCGGTCTCTTCTCACGCCTGGCTACTGCTACCTCTCAAGACGACATTGTCCAGCTGCAGACCTTTCTGCGAAGGGTTGGCGTCGATCACGCAGCTACGCGTCCAAGAGTAGAGTGGAATCAGGCCCACCAAGACCTCGAGGCTTTCGTCGCCCAGCAGTCGCTCGATCTCGGCGTGAACCCCAACTGCTGGGACGACAAGCTCGAAAGGATGCCCCTCTTTAGGCTAGGGCTCGACGTCGCCGCCTCTGCTCTTCATCTGCTACGACTGCTTCACGCAGCTCGCAAAGCGGCTGATTCTACGTCGGTAACATCAGGACGATCCGTTCTCGAGCGCTACGCCATGCTCGCCCTCTCTGACAAGCGGACGAAGAGTCATGACGGCGACGACGGTCGAGAGATTGGACAGATCCTCGCATTTGCTGGGCATGCTCAGAAACTCACAAGCCAGCTCGTCTTCAGCAATGAGGCAACGCCCGAACTCCTCGAAACGCTGCGAGAGATGGTTCGCCTGCTTTACTTTCTCGTCAACAGCTTTTCGCAGCAAACAGCATTCGACCACTCGACGGCGCATATTGTCATGGGCCAGGTACAAGAGTACGCGGGTAGCCTAGCAGCTCTACTGCCTACAGCAGCAAGCTCATGGCCTTCGATGGGCCATCGCTCCGCCAACCTCTCGTCGGGTCATGCTATGAGAGAGATATGGGAGCTCAGCATGCCTGCCCTTGCCTTTGCGGAGGCAGCTCAAGGCTCCTCGCTCCTTCACGTGCTTCTCTCCAAGGTGCAGCGCAGCGAACACAATGCCGAGCTCGTCTCGTCTGCGGTGGACCTCGCAGCGACAGTGCGCTTGTCAGGCAACGAATCGTGGACTGCATCACAGAAGTCGGACGTGCTCGCCATGATTGATCGAGTAAATCGGCAATTGCAAGCTCAGCCGATGCTAGCAAGAGGCACAACTGTGACATCATCGTGGGAGGTGCCGCTTCTTTCTGCCATCCAGTTGCATTCCGGAACATTTGCCGGCACGGTCAGCGACCAGTCCGTCTGCACAGAGCTCTACAAGCACAGCCTCACACAAGCAGCCTACCCCGTGCGTTGTGCGATTGCCGCCCGAGCTCTCGACTGGAGCATGCAAGCATCATCAGGAAGAGTCGCTGCGGCATCGCTCGAGGACAGCTTTCTGTGGACAGCGCCGCTCCTCTCGCAGTCGCACGTCGACGAGTTGCTTCAGCCATTCCTGCTCCATATGGCGCTCTTCCCTTCAACCAGGTCTCGAATCAACATGAGTCACCTGGCCCGGCATCGCAAGACCACGGCCAAGATGGGTCGACTGGTCATGGCTTCTCGCGCGACGACGACCTCAACTCGTCATCGAGCTTTACGTGTTGAGCTCATCGCCTTCGTCAAACTACTTGCCACCAAGCTTGGCTCATCCGCTCACGATGAGGTCTGCGCTGCCGTGCCACAGCTGCAAGGCGCTCTCGACGCCCTGAGCGGCGCCTCTGAGGACGACGTAGCCGCCACTGGACAAGCTTACCTGGACGTTGCCTCGGAGATGCTGAGACTCTACGTGCCCAATGTGCCGCTGGATCCGTTGGCTCTGATGCGTACCGGCGAGTCGTTGGCTCGATCCAAGCTCGACGGCCTGGTGGAGCACGAAGTCATCTGGACCAACTTCGAGAAGCAAGTCACCGGCCACATATCGAGTCCCATGGCAACGTCAATCCAAGAGGCGGTCAAGAAGACTACAGAAGAATGGCGCTCAACACAGAGCAAGACGGCCGTCGATCGTCGACCCGACGCGACTCGCCTCGCCCAGCTTTTCCGCACCGTAGCGTCGGTCGTCTCGCAGACGATATCGAAGGACAGGGTCTCGGATCTTCGCAACTTGATCGCCGCAGGAGGGCTGCAAGACCAAGTCATCGCGCGGGAAGACCATCTCCAGCGCTCGCTGCAAAGCCTCCGTCGCGCACTCGTCGAAGAGTACACGGACCTTGCTGACCTCTGCTCGCCCATCGTCAAGATCGTCGACCTCTTTCAGGTCGGCTTCCGTGCCTTGCTCTGGAGCGAGCAACACCGTCATGCGCCTGCAAAGCAGCAGCGCCACGCCAAGCTCGTCGATGCACTCGTCGCCTTCCCTACGACGCGCGCTTGTGAAGCCTTTTTGGCATCCGAGCTGCCCGTCAGAGTCAAAGCTGGATCGAGTGAGGGCTCACTGGCAGTGCCGATGCTCTTGACCGTTCTTTCCAGTGTTAGCTGCGAAGTTCAAAATGGAAGGACGCTCCCCGCAGTACTCAAGATTCTCAGCCGCACATACGACCAGCTCTTCTTCATCTGGACAACTGACCGCGAGCACGAGCGCAAAGCAGCTGAAGAGCAGAGCAGCCTCTTCAAATCGCGCAACAATGTTGACGCTGATATTCCTGACGATGAGGAGCTGCTCGAAGCCGAGTTCAGGAGCATGTTTCCAGAGTACGGCGACATCATGGATCGCGATGAGCAGAACGCCGCAGACCAAGGATCAGCGTCAGGATCAAAAGGGCTCTTCTTTGCCCCAGAATATCAAAAGCAGCTTTGGGAGCTTCACTGCGAGCTCTTCGCGGCCACTCAGCAGGAGGGCCGTCTCGACTCAACCGCACTCAATCGCATGCGACTTCAACTGGCACGCAGCTTGATGACCTCTTCTTACGGCAGTGCAATGTGCGAGGACCTCGACAAGAAGAGTGGTGCCTTCCAGCTGCACGTCTTGGCTCGCGAAGCCGGTCTTGACGACGGCAGCAGCCACCGCAATGCAGCCGAAGTCAACTTCTACCTGGATGCCAACGTAGACGAGACAAGCAAGGCGACGAATATCGTGGAGGCCATGCGCGCACGACTCAGTGAACTCGTTGAGGAATGGCCGGAGCAGATGGTGCTGCAGCACATTCGCGACCGCTGCGACGCCATTCTTGCCCTCGACTCGGCCAGCCCCGTAGCCAAGGTGCTCTCTGCGCTCGAACAGCTCCTCGTCCACTCGCAGGACTGGGAAGGCTACGCCAATTCATCGAACTCACTCGCTGCTCATCGCACTCGAATCTCAGATCAGATCATCGCCTGGCGTCGCTTGGAGCTCTCCAGCTGGGCCAAGTTGCTCGAAACGCAAGCGCAAGACTACAAGGCGTCGGTCAGCATCTGGTGGTTCCGTATCTACGAGGTCGCCGTTCGAGGCATGCAGTCAGCTGTCGCAGATGGCGCTGCTGCGGAGCACCTTCGCTCCCTCGTCTCACTCCTCGATGAGTTCGTGAGATCGAGCACGCTCGGAGACTTTGCCGCTCGTCTGGACCTCGTCAGAGCGTTTGGCGGGTTCCTCGATCTACTCTTCGTTCATGCACCGAGCACAGAGACAGAAGGTCTTGACAGAGTTGGGCGCATCTTCGCGAACGTAGTCGCCTTCTACGGACAATTCAGCGCTACCATTGCCGAGACGCTAGACCGACAGCGCAACAAGATCGAGAAGGATATACGCGACTTCATCAAGCTCGCGAGCTGGAAGGACGTCAACATCCACGCGCTCAAGCAGAGCGCCCAGAAGTCCCACCGACGCTTGCACAAGTCAACACGCCAATTTCGTGACGTACTGCGCCAGCCCGTCGACCCTATCCTGGCCGGAGCTTCTGAAATCAGAAAGCAGGCGGAGGATCTTACTGTGCCAGCTCAACGAAGTCTCTCGCACGGCGTCTTTGACGTGTCAATGGTCAGCAAGACACTTGCCCAGCTGCCCGCGGGACCACAAGGCGATGCAGAGCGACCTCGGCATCTTGTTAATCTTGCTCGCACTCTCGAGATTTTGGCCAAGAAGACGGATGGGCACCTGCTCCCGGCACTGTCTGCCGTTCATCACGAAGCCATCGACGGCCTCGCAACGGTCATCGTTTCTGAGTCGCAGAACTTCGCCAAGGCGACGCCGGCTCTTGCGAAGGAGGATAACGAGAAGACGATCAAGGACTTGACGAACCAGAAGCGCAAGGCTTGGACCGACTTGCTGAAGGAGCTGCGCCGGATCGGCTTTACGCCCTTTGTCAACGCGGACGTCGCCTCACACAACCAAGATCTTGCGGCTGTCTACGAGCGACGTCTCCTCGAGCCGGCCGAGAAAGACTTGAATAGCTACTACTACCGCCTACTGGCCCTTCTGCCCCGCATGAGGCAGTCATTGCACACTGCGAATGGCGACATTCCCATCCAAGAGCTGCAGCGAGGTGTCTCATATTGCGAGCACGCCATGAGTATCGTCTTCAAGGAGCGAGCGCGTCTTGCCAAGCTCCACGACTCTCGAGCTAAGCTGCAAGCCACGGTCGCTAGACTCTCAGTGCTTGGTTCAGACGCCGTCGCTGTGCCATGTCCGGCTCACCTTTCAGCCCACGTCGATGCCTTGGGAGCTCTGTCGAGGCGGGCGTCTGCTGCGCTCCGTGAGATCCATTGCGAATCGGCGGTCAACATTCAGCTCTCGCCCTTCAAGATGGCAGGCCTGCAAAGCTTCCGAGACGGACTGGCCGACGAGATGAGCCTGCTCTCGAGTAACGCAGATAAGCTCGCCAAGCTGTCATGCGCTTTGAACGGCTCGTGCAGCGCCTTCTGGACAAAGGCGGAGCATGAGCTTGTCAAGCAGTCATTCAGCGACCTCGAGCGCATCGCAGGGAAGCTCGAAAGGGCAGAGGCTGCCGTCAAGGCCCTTTGCGTGCCAACGAGCCAGTGGCTTACCTCACAGCTCGCTGCTTTGCCAGCGACGTCCTCTCACCAGCCTCAAAGCAATGGCGCCGGCGGCGACCCAGCATCCCTCAGCGACCGCCTCATTGGCTCTGTCTTAGTGATTGCTCAGGATGTACAGCAGCTTGCTACTCCTGCCACCGAGCAGGGCGATCATTTGCCCGACAAGACGATCGTGGAAGATTGGCAGATGCTTCAGGCCGCTGAGCGCCAACTTCGTCACGATGAGGTCGCCGACTGCATTGCGGGCTGCCTTTCCTCCATCGCGACATCGCCTGGCTCCTCTGGCCTCAACGAGCTTCCTCGCATCTCTCCTTTCGTCGCCAACTACAGTCGGCTCCTTTCAGCCCACATCGACGCCTCTCGCTCATGGCAGCGTAGCATACTCAAGCTCACCTACCTGCTTTCATCGCTCGTCGCTTCGCTCGCTCTCTATGGCTTCTGCAAGCCGCCGGCTCAAGACACTTCAGAGGATGCTGAGGCGGGGACTGATAGCCAGGACCTCGAAGGTGGCACAGGGCTCGGCGATGGAAGTGGCGCCCAAGACATCACTGATCAAGTGGATGACGATGAGAACATTGAAGAGCTGGAAAAGGGCGATGATGCTGAGGGCGAGAAGGGCGAGACACAAAGGGAGAAGGGCGCCAAGGAGGCTCAAGAAGACATCGGTGGCGACCTTGAGGACATTAGCGCTGATGAAGGCGATGATGGCGCCGAGGAGGAAGACAAGGACGACGGCGAGCAGGAAGATCCTGATGAGCACGTCGGCGACGTTGATCCACTGGACCCGAATGCAGTCGACGAGAAAGTCTGGAGCGGAGAGCAGGACGAAGAGCAGAAGCAGGGCGATGACAAGGATGAGACGAACAAGGACCTCGATGGCGGCAAGGAAGGGCAAGAAGATTCGGTCGCCAAGGACGAGGGCAAGCGGGATGACAAAGCGCAGAAAGAGTCGGCATCGGATCGCAAAGAAGGCGGCGAGCAGCAACAGGATGGTGAGGATAGTGAGGGTGAAGAGGGCGACGAGGGGCAGCCAGAGGATGATGGAGAGGGCGAAGAGCTGGCTCCCGAGGAAGATGACGGTCAAGAGCAACAAGGTCCCGGTCGCAAGCTTGATGAACAGGTCGATGACAGCGAGAAGCTTGACATTGATGAGGACATCAAGATGTCAGACCAGGAAGGTGGTGACGACGATGAGGACGACGATGAAGTGGACAATCTCAGCGACATCGACCTGCCAGAGGAGGGGCAGCAGCAGGATGCCAAGGGGGGGCAGGAAGATGACCTACCTGCGGATGCTCCTGAAGAGCTTGAGAAGCTGAATGATCAGGGCGAGCAGCAGCAGCAGGGCGATGAGGCCGCTGATGAGGAAGCAGAAGTAGCCAAGAACGCCGGAGAAGACGCGATGGATGCGGACGATTTGCAAGACGAGGAAGGGGAGGAGCAAGACGATCTCCCTCGAGCTCAAGGCCAAGACGGTGCTGCGATGGATCAAGAGCAAGACGCGATGCTCGACGACGCAGATCCAGCAGGTGACAGCCAAGCTGCGGGCGACATACCTGCCTCTGCCGAGCAAGCGCAAGGCTCTGCTGGCCAGCAAGGTCGTCAAGCTAGGCAGTCGCGACCAACAGCGCCGCAAGGGCAGTCTGACAACAAAGAGGCCGCCGAGCGAGATGAGCAGCAGACTGGCGACCAGGAGCAAGCGGTCGATGATCCCTCAGCCAGCGCTGCTCGCGGTGCACGGGCTGACACGCAGGCTCAAGACGAGCAGCAGACGGCCGCCGAAGAGGGTGCCGAAGAGGAAGACAACAAGGCTAACCCGATTCGCAGCCTTGGCGACGCCCTCAAAGAGTTCCGGCGCAACCTCGACTCCATCGCAGAGGCTACTGCTGATGAGACGTCGAAGCCAGAAGCCAAACCCGAGGGTGAAGCAATGCCTGAAGACGGCGAAGTCGAGCACATTGCCAACGATAATGATGCAGAGATGCAAGCTCTAGGCGCCGCCGAAGACGAGGAGATTGCTCAGAAGATGCCCGAGAAGTCGGTGCAGGATGCCGAGCAAGAGGGAGACGCGAAACCAGCTGCACAAGAGGAAGACGTGGCAATGCAGGAGCCTCTTGGTCATCTTGAGCCAGCACCGCTGCCTAATGTGGACGAGGGTATGCAACAGCAACAGGAGCAGAGCAGGTCGGACGATTCTCAGCGACAGCAGCAGCCTGGCGGTGCTCTCATGCCCAATGACATCGACAGACAAGCACGTCAGCTCGGCGTTGACGAGGAGCGTGAGTCGTCTCCTTCTATTGGACAAGTCGACGGAGAGGCCGAAGAGGAGCAGGTCGACCCTCTGCCTGAAGATGAGCGCCAACAAGCGGACGAAGCTCTCGAATCCGCCCTTGCCGACTTCCGTGACCTCTCAACCGACGAGGAGCGTCTAGCGAAAGCCGGCGAGCTCTGGCGCTCCTACACGGCCATGACTTCAGACCTTGCGTTCGCCCTTTGCGAGCAACTCAGGCTCATCCTCACACCCACACTGGCCGCTCGACTGAATGGCGACTTCCGAACGGGCAAGCGTCTCAACATGCGCAAGATCGTACCCTTCATCGCGTCAGACTTCGCAAAGGACAAGATCTGGCTCAGGAGGACGAAGCCGTCGAAGCGCGAGTACCAAGTGTTGCTTGCGCTGGACGACAGTCGCAGTATGGCCGATAATCACAGTGTGCACTTGGCCTACCAGACTCTCGCCCTCGTAACCGGGGCGCTGAGCCGTCTCGAGGTGGGAGATGTCAGTATCTGCCGCTTTGGCGAGTCGGTCCGTACGCTTCATCCTTTCGGACATGGGCAATTCGGCGAAGACAGCGGCTCTTCAGTCTTGCAACAGCTCTCCTTTGAGCAGAGAGGGACCAATGTCGCTCGGCTGCTGGAGCATACGCTCGAATCGCTTCAAGAAGCGCGGGACTCTCGCGGCACCTCGAGTGGCAGCTCAGCTGCTGATCTCTGGCAGCTCGAGATCATCATTTCAGACGGAGTGTGCCAAGATCATGAGAAACTGCGCTCCTTGCTTCGTCGTGCTAGCGAGCAGCGAGTCATGATCGTCTTCATCATCGTCGACTCAATGCGCGGGGGCGGTGACCAGCAGGGCAAGTCATCCTCGTCAGCATCCTCTTCGATCTTGTCCATGTCCTCGGTCAAGTACGAGGTCGATCCAGCTACAGGCAAGATGGAGATCAAGATGGATCGCTACCTCGATTCGTTCCCTTTCAGCTACTACGTCGTGCTTAGGGAAGCAGAGGCCTTGCCTGAGGTCCTAGCTACAACTCTGAGGCAGTGGGCGGAGAAGATAAGGGAGGCGGAGTGACGCTTTGTTGATATGTAGAGGTTGATTGTGGTCGCATATGATGTAAGAGCAAGCAAGCATGAATCGATTAGAAGACACGTTTAGCATCATGACCTCGACTGGACTGGACGCCTTTCGCAGCTGAGTCCATGGCCCGTGCATTCGGCCGAGGGAATTGAGCTCGTCGTCGGTCCTGGATCAACTTCTTCCCGGGCCCTTGCCGGTCGGCGTGTCCACCACTTTGTGGCCTGAACTGTGTAGCCGTCTTTCCTTCTCAATCAACACACTATTCAACACTAAACGACGCCCGCTCCAACGTAGGTCAGCAAGGCGACACAAAGCACGAACCTATTCTCATGCTCACTCTTCGATCCACTACTGCCCTCCGCACCCTTTCCTCTTGCCGCCTCGCCATCCCACTTGCACCTCGTCCTCTCCCCCGCCGTAGCTTCACCACAACAATTGCCAGCATGTCCGCCCCTTACAAGTCCATTTCGACCGACCAGGCTCCCAGCGCCATCGGCCCTTACTGCCAGGCCACGGTCCACAACGGCACCATCTACTGCTCGGGCAACATCCCCTTTGACCCCAAGACGATGCAGACCGTCGAGGGCGGCGTTGAGGCTCAGACTCAGCAAGGTGGGTGACAGGCCAGACATGAGGGTGATGAACGTCTTCTCTCGATAGCTGACTCGACGCTCGTCCTCTTTGCGTCGCTGCTGCAGCCATGACCAACCTCCTCAACGTCATCCAGGCCGCTGGAGGCGACAAGTCTACTATCCTCAAGACGACCGTCTTTATCAAGGACATGAACGACTTTGCCAAAATCAACGCTGTCTACGAGAAGGTGAGAGCTCCGATTATGTGACGAGTGCCGTGTGCATGCGCTCACTCGTTGCGTCCCTACGTTCCCACGCTGCAAAGAACCTGGCCCCCTACAAGCCCGCCCGCTCCGCTGTCGAGGTCGCTCGTCTTCCCAAGGACGTCCTCGTCGAGGTTGAGTGCATTGCCACCGTCAAGGCTTAGAAACTTGCGTTGCAATGACCAAGATACAATTGAAGAAGACATATTCTGCCTCCATGATCATCGTCGGTATGCCCGCTCGCTCGCTTGCGTGAGGCGCCTTATCAATCGAGAATCGAGAAAAGAAGACTCCGCCCGATCCTCTGCCTCTTCTCTTTCCCTGCTCATTCACCACTGCCATCTTGCCATCCCTCTTCTCTTACACTCATCATGTCTTCGAGTCCTTACAAAGTTGCCCGCGAGCTCATAGATGCAGCGCATCGCAAAGACCCAGCCTACCTTGCTCGCTCGACGCATGCTCAGGGTGCGGCCGAAGACTCTTCGTCATCAAGTGATGCCGACGAGTATGCAGAGACGCACCAAGACGAGCTCAGCTATGCAGATGGCGTCGAGGCGTGGGCTATGAAACTTCTAGACAGTGATCCTCAGACCTCAAATCATTTGAAGTCCCTGAGCTCAGAAGGGGGACTCGAGCTCGTCCGCCTTGCTGCACGCTGTCAACATTTGGAACGCTTTCTCACACCTCGCTCTACTTTCCCAGAGGGCAAGGCCGGCTACCTGAAATGGCGAAGGAGCCTCTACCACATCCAAGCGGATCGGGCCAAAGAGTTACTGGCTGAAGCTGGAGTCTCGAGCGATGAGCAGGAGCTTGTGAGGAAGTGGGTAAGCAAGACGGACCTCAAGGTTGGATCCGCGGCCGCCGGGAGCAAAGGATCGGACCCAGGCACGCAGTTGCTCGAGGACGCGGCCGTTCTCGTCTTTCTTCAGGATCAATTGGCTGGCTTCGCTCAACAACACAGCGACTATACAAAGGACAAGGTTGTGAGCATTCTTGCAAAGTGAGTCAGGGCGCAGCGCATCGAATGGGTCTAATCTACATTGGCTGACACTCCTCCTGCTCCTCTCGCCCCTTGCAAGGACCTGGAAGAAGCTCTCGCCCAACGCCAAAGAAAAGGCAAAGGGACTACCCATGAACGAACCACTGAAAGGCATCGTAGCAGAGGCAGTTGCCCAGGTAGAGGAGAAGGAGGCGGCAAAAGTAGCAGCAGAGATGTCCGACCAACAAGCAGAGTGAGCAGACTGGAGAAACAGCCTTGTGAGCACCCTTGGCCCCCCTTCGTCCTTTCCTGCTGCGACGAGTCAGTGCCAAGGTAGTGTGCAGCATTGGCTGACCATTCGATCTCCTCGCCTATAGCTCGACCTCTGCTGCCACTTCATCTTCATCTCCACCAGAGGCATCAAAAGCAAACTCTTCCTCTGGTCCTTACCAGCTACGCCCCAAGACAGCCGCCGAAGCAGAAGCGCTCCTCCTCGCCGCCCAGCAAGCGCGACGCAACCTCAACAATGACGACGAAGACGATCTCGCACCTCAAGAAGGTCCCTTCGGCTCACGTCTCCTGCGGAGCGGCGACAACTACCTCACCCACAACGCCTGGGACCATGTCTCCCCTCCTCCCGAATACCAACAGACAATCGACACCCTCCTAGCCGCCCAGCGCGAAACACGCATCGATGAAGACGAAGCAGCCACAAAATACCACGCAGACGCCGCTTCCCATTGGGATCGATTCTACTCCTTTAACGAGCACAAGTTCTTCAAAGATCGAGCATGGCTACATCTCGAATTCCCGGAGTTGGTCGACTTGACTCGAAGTAGGGCAGGGAAGAAGAGGGTGTTTGAGATTGGGTGCGGAGCAGGCAATACCATCTTCCCATTGTTGGGGAGAAACGAGAATGAGGAGCTCGAGGTGTACGCGTGCGATTATAGTAGGGAAGCGGTTCAGGTTGTCAAGGCGAATGCGATGTACAAGACGATGAACCCAGAGGAGGACGCCGTGGCGGGCGATGGACAAGGAGAAGAAGCGCTGGCCGCCGCTTCACCGCCAGCAGTGGCCAACGATGACAAAGAAGCCGACACCTCCACCATCACCCCCGTCACCCGACCTAAAGGTCACTGCCACGCCTTCGTCTGGGACCTCTCGTCTCCCTCGGGCGTCCCTTCCGACTCAGGCATTACCCCGGGCACCCTGGATGTAGTTGTCCTCATCTTCGTCCTCTCCGCCCTCCACCCCCGCGAATGGAGCCAAGCGCTGCAAAATGTCCACTCCCTCCTTAAGCCTGGAGGGCTGCTCCTCTTCAGGGACTATGGGAGGCACGATCTCCCCCAGTTGAGGTTCCGGAAGGGGAGGATGTTGGATGAGAACTTCTATGTGAGGGGAGATGGGACGAGGGTGTACTTCTTTACGCCGGAGGAGTTGCTCGAGATCTTCAGGGCGTCGGACCCGCCACAGGGTCGATTGCAAGCCCAAGAGGAGAAGGACAAAGCTGCATCGACGACAACAATGGAGTCCGCGGCGGGAGACCAAGCCTCTCAGCCGCACCTCTTCCGCACTCTCCAGCTCGCAGAGGACAGGCGTATGCTCGTCAATCGCAAGGAGAAGAAGCAAATGTACAGGCGATGGATGCAGGCTAAGTTTCAGAAATTGTAGACTAATGTTGATGAATGAGTGGTACAGATAGTTCAGTGGCAATGGACATGATATAATACAGTGGAAGAGGATGCTGTGATGAGTACAAGATGGAGAGCTGGATGACCGTGGCTGGAAGAAGCGGCCAGCCAGGAGGCATTGGATGGTTCGTGAGTCAATGGCGGTGTACGCGCTACGCAACACTCTTCCCTTTCGAACGCGAAGCCAGATGCAAGCCCAGTCCATAGCCAGCCATTGCTCCCGGCCCTTTACGAGCAGCAAGGCGAGACGGTCTATGCCGCATCGACTGCGTGGCGGGCGGCGTCCGTGTCGATTCGTCGAGAAGTCGTTGCTGTTGCCGCTTGTGTGCGAACGCAGCGATGGGATCGCTGTACCCGAGGTCGTACACCTCGTCGCCGTCGTCGGCCTCATAGCCATCATCGCCACAAAGGGCGACCAAGTTGCATCTTGCGGTCCTCCTCCCGCCGTCAGCATGCCTCTCCAATAAGCAAACGCGAGTGCCCTCCGTGTCCAACTTCTTCCATCTCCTCGCATTCTTGCTCGCCTCACCACCAGCAGCATCACCGCACCTTTGCAAGTCCACCTCTTCTTCGCGCATCGCCACCTCTCTCCTCCTGGCACTCCCCTTCGGCAATCCTAGGGCATCACACATCTCCTCATCCTGCGTCCTTCTCACTGCCAGCCCGCTCGTTCTAACCAACAGGTCCCAAGCACTCTCTGTTGCCTGCTTTTCTTGCTCTTGCAGCTGTGCCAAGCGGTCAAGGCGGCGGATCTCTTCGTCGAGGATGGCAAGGGCGACGGAGACGGAGAGAAGCTTGGACGCGCCACAGAGGCAGAGATGCCTCCGCCGGGTCGGTGGAGCTTGTCGCGAAGGGAAGGAATGCGAGCAAAAGGGGCACATAGTCAGGAGGAGAAGCTTGCTGTTTGGAAACGAGGTGAGATCGAGTGGGGGAGGTGGAGGAGGGGGCCGAGGTCCTGGTGGCTTGGTAATGGCTTTCTCTGGGGAGGCCGATTTCCTGTGTCGCTTGATTGATTTGGGTGGAGAGGCAGCAGACGAAAACGCTGCCTTTATGGGCTCTGAAGCGTCGTCTTCCTCTGCTTTTGACGGGCCCTTGACACGCTTCTTTGCAGGTGGGCGGGGCTCGTCAGACGTAGCCTCGATGCTAGCATGCAACGCGCCCCCCGGTTTCACCGGGACGCTAGATGCCGCATGGCCCTTTGTAGGAGACTTGCTAGCTCTTGCACGTGATGGGGCTGGCCGTCTTGAAGACGAAGACGATGCTTTGATGTCTGCATTGCCTGCGAAACGCGCCAGATGGGAGCGAAACTCGAGAACGCTCTCGTCCTCCTCGTCTCGAACGCTGGAACCGACTTCAAGGAAGCCATCGCTGCTGCTGCTGCCCTGGCTAAGCGACGGCACTTGTTCTTGTTCGCAGTCAGAGTCGCTCGCGTAGACGAAGATTGTGACTTTGCGCGGCGTCTTGCTCGATGATGGAGTCTGCGCGTTGTGGTCGCGCCTGGCGAGCGTGCTGGACGATGAGGCGTGCTGCGCGGCTGCTATTGCCATGGGCGGCGAGGGCGACATGGTGAGGTCGATGACGGCGGCCATGGCAGCCCTCGAGCTGGCTGCCAGCTCGACGCTGGGTATGGCGATGAGGGTCTGCGAGGTGTTGGTTGATTGGTTGGTTGGTTACAAAAGCTCCAGGCGTCGGAAAGGCGAATGGACCCAGCTGCTGTCTGTCCGCCGTCCTGGGTCTCCCGCGTGGCCGATCCCTCCGCCCGAGCGGACCAACGGCCTGCTGCAGCGTCGAACGAGGGAGCGGAGGGTCAATTTAGCCTTCAGGACAAACGCGAGATAAGACTGGCCTTGACCATGAGCACGGGCAGGTGGCCGACGAGTTCCAATGAGCCGGACCTCGCGACGTGAATGTGAGCTTGGGCTGACTTGCTACGGAGGCCTCGATCAGCTGCGGACAGCGGTCGTCTTCGAATGCCGTGTTGCGAGACGGACAGTTTGATGACACCATCGTCGGCATGAGTGCCGCACCGGCAATCCTCGCCGCCGACGATGTCGGACCATCGTCTCTCTCGTGCATCACACTGTGAGACGGTCCGGCTGGTCTCTTAGCGCTCGTAACAGCGTGACCACTCAGAAACAGCCATTTGTCAAGGTAATGGTGATGATGGACCATGTCATTGCCGCCCAATGGTTTTCACGAAGTGCTGTTTGCGCTGTTTCGTCAACGACGAGGCTTCTCCTCCCGACGTATTGGCGTGAGAAGACGTCTCGGGGGCCAAAAAAGGCCCCTCGCGTTTCGCCGGACGTTCAGAGGCCAGGAACGAACGCAGGCAGCCCGTCCGCCCGCCTGCGAGGATGCGAGGCTCACTCATGCGACTCAATGAGTCCGTTTCCATCGTGCTGCACTTTGCTTCCCCATCCTCACAACTAACAGCCACGCTCGTCGGCTCATCAGCGGCACGAGAGCTTTCTGATCATCATCGTCGTCGTCTTCATCATCCCTCGTCACTAGTCACTGGTCAACAAACAAAGGAGGTACATATCCATATGTGAGTGGATGACTTGCGCCGGACCAACTGCAGTCGGAGGCGGCAGCGGCGGCTGTTCCTCTCTCCCACTTTGATGCCTCTTTCTCGCCGCGTCCGAGCACTGCTCAAGGCAATGAGGCACCTCCATGGCCCATAAGATGATGATGCGGCCATTGAGAGCATTTGATATTTTGTCCGTCCGTCCTCGCGTTCCATAGTACAGCCCGCTGACGCAACACCTACCCATCCTATCCACCAATACCAACTACCACCACCTCCCTCTCACGCGCGCGCCAATGTCCCAGCAGTCAAGTTTCGTCCCCGTCTCACTCCTCCCGACAGTTCCCTCGCGGCCTCCACAGGCTCCCCTCGCACCACCAGTCGAGACGCTCATCTCCGCGTCGGCCTCGACGTTACCTCCTCCCTCTCCATCGCCAGACCTGCTCAACGACCTCTCCGCTCTAGCGTCCATACCGGTCCACATCCCCACTACCCCCTCGCGGTCGCCTCGCGGTCAGAGTCGAGCCACCAGCATGGATGGCTTCGGCGACGCTGATCAGCGACACAAGACGCTGCCCTACGCCCACATGGGCTCAGCAGGCGGCAGCAGCGGCGGCACCGGTACTCCTACGCAAAGCGTTGCCGGCGGCGGCGGAGGCCCGAATGGCAGCATGATGTCGTCTGCCATGCCCATTCCGGCCAACTCGACGTACTACACCAATGGCTATCACGCTGGATCGTACGGCGTCAACCCTCATCTGGACTATCACCAGCAGACGCCATCTTCGTATCACAATGGCGATACTGGACATGGCTACACGCAGAGTGCCCTCTCCAGTGGACCGCATTCGCCCATCGGTCCACCTGGCCCTGGATCCTCGGTAGCGCCATCGATGTCCCTTCTATCGCAGGCATTGCAGATGGCCAATGCTCGCCAAAATCACGGCATGGACCCCAACCAGGCTGGACAGCATCACGGGCCTGATTGGCAGCAGTATGACGCTTCTCAGTTCGGTCCTGGTCATCACGCGATGCAGCCTACCACAAGCCATGGCGCTTCGTATCCGCAGCCATCGCCATACAACAACACTGCCGTAGGCGGCTCACACTTCTCGTCCCATGCTTGGCAGCCTCAGATGCATTCTGCCTCTCCCTACACGCCATCTCACCCTGGCTCGACCGACCACAGCCGTCGACCCAGTATATCGCATCAGCCGGGCGCCCCTCCCTTGGCAGGCATGAGCCATCAGCAGGCCCTGCACCTGCAACAACAGCTTCGCGACGGCGGCACGGGACCTTCTTCGGCCCACCAGTCGCCCGGCGGTAGCCAGCCTTCGATCGAGGGCGCAAACGATGCATGGCAGCATCGTCCGGACATGTTGGCCTATCGTCAGCCTGCTGAGCCTCTGTTCTCCCCTGGTATTGGGTCAGCGGGCTATGAGGATCAATTCAGTCTCGCAGCAGCAAACGCAACGCAGGCGGCAGCAGCGAGCGGAACTGGTAGCGCCGCATCGCATGGGGGACGCAGCAGGGCGGGCACGCACACCTCGCAGGGAGGCGGTTACACACCAGCAAGTAGCGGATCCGGCGTCGCAGCGGGAGAGCCTTCATCGGCAGCCGACTTTTCCAACGCCCTCGAAGGCCCATCGGGCTCCACCTTTCCCGCTCGCGGTCGACGAGGTTCTTCGGGGGCAGACGGCACCGCCGCTGATGATGAAGAAGTCGATCCAGAGGTCATGGCCAAGAAGGACCCGCTTGCTACCCAGGTATGGAGGATGTATGCCAAGCAGAAGAATCACCTTTCGAACGGTGCCAGGATGGAGAACATCACGTGGAGGATGATGGCTATGACATTGCGCAAGAAGAAGGAAGAAGAAAAGGCGCAAGCTGAAGCGGCTGCAGCAGCGGCAGGAAGCAGCTCAAGGGCAGCATCGACGGGGCTGGACTCTAGTGGCGCTTCGTCGAACCCTCTGTCGAGGCAGGCGAGTGGAAGCGGTCACGCATCGTCGAGCTCACACCAACCTGTCAGCGCGATGAAGGCGTCGTCATCGCTGCAGGGCCTCACTTCGATCGACGGCGTGCCAAAGGGAAGCAAAGGTCGTGCCCGCTTCGCTGAGGTTGTGCAAGAGGAGGAGCGAGGGAGGAGAGGGAGGAGTCCGAGGACGCCAGAGAGCCACGCGTGAGTGCAGGGAATCGCAGTGGCAGATGGCATGCGGGCGGCACTAATACACACATTCCCACTTTTACAGGACGCCTAGCAGTGGAGGAGCGCAAACGCAGGCATCTGCAGACGATGTCATGGACTGGAGGGCCAAGAGCAAGAGCCGTTCACGTTCTCGATCAGTCAGCGCTATGGACTGGCAACCTCGTGCTCGCTCTCGCGCTCCCGAACTACGCCTCAGTCCCATCAACGACTCAGATCCCACTGACCCAGACCTGCTCTCGAGGTCTGCTCCGACATCTGCGGGCTTCGACCTGACCAACTTTGAGGCGTTCAATGACGGATGGGATGAGCGAAGAATCGAAGAGTTCTTCTCATTGGGCTCGCTACCGCAAGACGTCTCGTCAGCGGGCGGACTAGCGGACAGCTCCTTCGCCTCGCAAGCATCGTCGTCACGCGTACCCGCTGAGAGCGAGGAAGATCGCAAGACTCACATGCTGGCAGCAGTTAGACAGGCCGTCGACAAGCCGCTATTCACCGCCGAGGACACTCGTCGCGGCCGAGAGCCCTCACCACCCGCTGGCATGCGCAAGTCAAGCTGGGATCTCTCTGCCATCGGCTCAGCCAATCCATACGGCCAGCCCTTCTCGACGCTCGGCAGTGTACCGGGCATTGCAGACTACAGCTCCAATCCGACGAACAGCGACCCGCAGTACGGCTTCTTGCCCAGATTGGTCCGCAAGACGAGCTTCGACCACAATGTTGGGCGAGAGAGAAGCCAGTCTCGTGCGCCTCGCAGCACAGCCATGCTCGAAGTCAACGACCGGAAGCGACCATTGCGAGATGAACCTTCTCCCGCTCGCCCGCCCTTCAGTGTGCCGACAACTAGGGATCAGCGAATTGCCGCAGGTCTTTCGGGCAACATCCCTTCGTGGGCGGCCACCGGTGCGACGATGACCAGTGCGATCCCATCGACGACATTCGACTTTGCCGTCCCGCCCCCTCGCTCTCATGCCCCCTATGACAGCCTGAGCTCATCAGTACCCTCACTGCCGCCCGGCTTTCAGAGCTATCTTGAAAACCTAAACGGCCAGCAAGGGTCAGCCCTCTCCTCTCCCGCTGACAATGTGGCTGCGGGTCCCTTCTCGCAAGGTAGCACAGCCAACTCGTCCACGACGGATATCCACGGCCTGGCTGCGGCAGCTACCGCGAGCAGTAGTGCCGTCACTGGCGCGGGCCAAGTAGCGACAGCAGCATCGCAGCACGAGCCTGGCTCCCTCGAGATGATCATGCGCATGCTCTACAATCCAGCCTCGATGGCACCAGGGCAACCCTCCTCGTCCGTCACACATATCGACCCCAACCAGGTCTTTGCGAGTGGCGCGGCCCACAGCCTTCCTGCTCACCCTGTGACCGGTCTGGCGGATGACGCCGCTAGCTGGGCATACAGTCCCTCGGGGAGCACGCCGGGCAATCCGGAGACTCCCCCGCCTAACGTGAGCGGAAGTGCGGGCGCAGGCACGGCTTCGTCTTCCTACCAAAGTTCGCCCCTCTCGGCCTCCAACGTGGGTGCGGCCTCGTCAAGGCATCCCTCGGCGGATTTGGGTGCGAGTGCAGGGGCTGCTCGAGGAGTAGCGGGAGGTGCCGCACGATCCCGAGGCCCGTCGCGTACGTCGAGCTTCGCAGGCACGAGCGGTGCGTCACTCAGTTCGACCAGCCCATATGCTCGGCCCGACGCTGGTACCAGCAGCGCCACATCGAAAAAGTCCGCCCCCACCACCTCTTCCACCCCGGCCTCGAGCGCCGCACCCAAGAAAAGCTCGAGGTCTGACGCTCAATCAATGGCGAACGCGGACCCGCCCACCGTCTGCTCCAACTGCACGACAACCAAGACTCCCCTCTGGCGTCGTGACCCCGAGGGCAAGCCGTTGTGCAATGCTTGTGGGCTCTTCTTGAAGCTGCACGGAACATTGAGGCCTCCGTCGATGAAGAACGAGGTCATCAGGAGGCGCAACAGGGGCAAGGATAAGGATGGAGCTAGCGGGGCCGCAGGAGGCGGCGCGGCAAGCAAGGGTGGTGCGGCTCAAGCGACTTCATCGGCTGCACAAGCTGATGCAAAGAGGAGGAAAGAGGAGAAGTGAGGCGAGCTAGCGAATGAGAGAGCTCAAGGAGCGGGCAGCGGACGATGCGATACCATTTCATAGATTAAAGCCTTTGAGCCACCTCCACCATCATCATCATTGTTTCACCACCATCGACTACGAGATAGGCCAGTAGAACGCTTCCCACTTGTACACCTTTCATTCCAAATTGCCTCGGTCATCGGTCTAATCTCTGTCTCGCTTCCAGTGTGGCTCGAGTAATGTTGATATCGATCTCGAGACGAGCACATCATTGACGGTGGTCTGGATCAGGGAAGGATGTCTAGATTGACGAAAGCTGGAAGAGGACCATGAGCATGAAGAGCTGAGATGTCGAAGTGCGTGATGAGACGGTTCAAGGGGGAAGTGGCGATGCGCGACATCGCCTGAACCCCCACGCTATCCTCGCCTCCGGTCCACATTCAGTCCGAGTCATCAACAACAATTGCGCTCTCTCTCCCACCACCCGTCGTCCCACCACCTCCTCCACCAGCTCCTCTTCTCTCTCTCTTCCTGCTCGACCTAGCGCCGCGACTGGAAGCAGCGAGCGTCTGCCCTTGCCCAGAGAAAGGCTCGGACGAGGCCGGAGCTCCACCTTCAGCTGCGCCCGCTTGCTGCTGCTGCTGCTCCTTGTCATCCTCCTTCGGCGGAGGCGGTCTCCTAGGCGCCCTGCCACTCAAGGTCTGCCCCTGCCCCTCGAAGGTGATCCTCGTCTGCCCAAGCTTCTGCTCGCCCTCCTTCTTCTCATCCTTCTCTCCTCCCAACGGTATGTACTTATACCCAAAGAACAGCTGCCCAAAAGGCAAGTCCAAGCGTGCGGGCACCTTCTTCTCGCCTACTTGCGTGTCATTGGTCACGATATTGGGCCCGTCGCGCGTGCGACGGATCATGCTGAATTGGTCAACGGCTTCGATGGGTCGCTCCTTCTTGCCCTTGGACTTTTTGCCTGAGAGAGACTGACCAGAGCCGCGGAAGGGTGCCGATGGGAGGTTTGAGGAGGAGCCAGATGGACCGGCAGTAGAGGCATCGCCTGCGCTGGAATCTGCGCGAGAGGGCCCGCCAACGGAAGGCGTTGAGCCACGCGAAGAGTGTACCTCGACCTTGTTGGTATCAATGTTGAGCTTCGAAGCCATAGTGGGCGGGGGTGGGCGTGGCTTCGGTGCAGGCTCCACATACCCCTTGGGTGGGGCGAAATCGACCTCCAAGTCAGTATCGATGATTAAGATGCCCTCGGCTTCGGGGACAGTCTCCATGATCAAGATCTCGAATGTGAGGCAGTTGTACGAGATCTCAACGATGTCTCCCAGAGTGAGGCAGGAGAAGTTGCGGAATGCTTGCTCGAGGACGGCTTTGGGGTCGCTGATTTCGAGGAAGTCGACAGTCTGGGCTTGGATCTTGACGAATTTGCCCTTGGGGAGAGTGGTGCCGTTAAGACGGACAGGATCGCCTTCGTTGAGGCCGAGTTGGCGCATCATCTGGACGTTCGTGAGTGCCGGGAGCAAGAGCGTCAGTGGGTACACTTGAGCGTTTGAGGCGTCGCCGCCACTCACCCATGCTGGAAGGTGGACATTGCCTTCATCTGCAATGAACTCGAGGACTCCTGCGTGGGTCTTCTTGTCGCTGCCGTGTGGACTGATTTGGAAAAGGTAGGGCGAGGCGATGTCCATTTGGGCTGCGAGTGAGGTGAACAAGTGTCAACAATCTGCTATCTCAACTTCATCTGCGGTGATGCGACACTCACTGAGACGAGCGAGGGCCGAAGTAGGCATGATGACTACGAGTAGGTGGCGAGAGGTCAGCTCCCACTGGATCCAGCTCAATCGGCAGGGAGACTGGAAGGACTCACTCTTGCCTCCATAGCTGACGTTGAGTCTTTCTTTGCCTGGCAACATGGCCATGCTGTATGCTCGATAGTACTCCTCATATGCATGAGCTGGAGCTCCTACTCGACGATCAAAGGGGTCATCCATATAGCCTCCAAATCGACGACCGAAACCACCGAAGCCGCCGCCGCCGCCAAAGCCACCGACATCTCCGAACTGTATGCGTGGGAGTGTGTTCAAAGATCAGCATAATGTGATGGGGCCCTCTCTCTGAATCAGGGCTAGTCACCATCGACATGCTGAGTAGAGTGGCAGTGAAAGTGATGGTTCAGATGCTGAGGCGACGCGGCGTCGCAATCGATTGCATGACCCTGAGTCTTGTTCCGTCGAGCGTGAGCGTGGAGGCAGTCAGACCAGGTGATTGACCTTGTCGGAGCGGAACGAAGGCCAAAGAGCGCCCTCAGACGGACAGGACACGAAGAGGGACAAGGAGGAGGAGCTTCTTGTCCGTCGTCAACCAACACCTTCCATCACACCAACCTCATACCAGAGCCATGTCCGCTACTGCTGGACCTGTGCCTACATCATTGGCCCCCTCTGCTGGAGGAGGTGGTGGTCAGCCGCGCCAGCAAGGTAGCTTCAAGACCCAGGACAAGCCGGATGAAGTGCGCCGCTCGAATCTGGGCGCTGCAAAGGCCGTCGCTGATGCCATTCGAACATCGCTGGGTCCCAAGGGAATGGTGAGTCAAGCATGGCATCACCGCTCGCTCAATTGGTCGCTCATACTCTTTCTGCTCGCCTACAGGACAAAATGATCCAGACACCCACAGGCGACGTAGTCATCACAAACGACGGCGCCACAATCCTCAAGCACATGGCCGTCATGCACCCTGCGGCTCGTATGCTCGTCGAACTCTCTCAAGCCCAGGACGTGGAGGCAGGAGATGGTACCACGTCCGTCGTAGTAGTCGCTGGGTCACTCCTCGGAGCCGCAGAGAAGATGCTCAACAAGGGCATTCACCCGACTATTATCGCCGAGTCCTTCACGCGAGCCGCCGCGAAAGCTGTCCAATTCCTTGAAGAGATTGCCACGCCTGTCGACCTCAATGACAAGGAGAGCCTGCTGCGCGCTGCGAGCACGTCGCTGAATTCCAAGGTGAGCGGGCAAGAGGCTCGAGAGCGTTTGACTTGGCTACTTGCTAATCGCTGCCCTCTGCCTCGCACCCATAGATCGTCTCGCAATACTCGTCCGTCCTCGCCCCGATAGCAGTCCAGGCAGTCACGCGTCTCATCGACCCCTCAGCTTCTGCTACTCTCCCTTCCAAGTCGTCAACCGATGCTTCCTCCTCTTCCGCTCCCGGAGCAAGCAGCGCCGCTCCTACGAGCAAGGCCGCCCTCTCCTCCCAGGACAAGTCGGCCTCTGCCTCGGTCGACCTGCGTGATATCCGCATCGTCAAGAAGGTTGGCGGAACAATCGACGACACAGAGCTCATCGACGGCGGTCTCGTCCTCGAGCAGAACGTCGTTTCTGGCTCTGGCGGGCCGACGCGAATGGAGAAAGCCAAGATTGCAGTTTGTCAGTTCCAACTGAGTAGCCCCAAGCCGGACATGGACAACCAGATCGTGGTAAACGACTACAGGCAGATGGACAAGATTCTCAAGGAGGAGCGACAGTACCTGCTCAACATGTGCAAGAAGATCAAGAAGACGGGATGCAATGTTCTGCTCCTGCAGAAGTCCATCCTGCGCGACGCGGTAAATGATTTGGCGCTGCACTTCCTTGCCAAACTGAAGATTCTTGTGGTCAAGGACATTGAGCGAGAGGAAGTCGAGTTCATCACGCGTACGCTCGGAGCAAAGCCTGTGGCGGACATTGAGGCCTTCACCGACGACAAGCTGGCTAGCGCAGATCTGGTCGACGAGGTGCAACAGAACGGGGCGAGAGTGTGCAAGATTACCGGTATCAAGAACATGGGACGTACGGTCTCCATTCTTTGCACCGGAGCCAACTCCCTCGTCCTTGAGGAGAGCGAGCGCTCCCTCCACGACGCTCTCTGCGTGGTGCGATGCCTCGTCAAGAAGCGCGCCCTCATTGCCGGCGGAGGTGCTCCAGAGGTGCACGTCTCTCGCCTCCTAGCAGCGCACGCTCAAACCCTCAAGGGAATGGAAGCCTACTGTTTCCAAGCGTACGCAGAGGCACTCGAAGTCATCCCTACCACTCTGGCGGAGAATGCCGGGTTGAACCCCATTGCCATCGTGACGGAGTTGAGGAACAGGCATGCGTTGGGCGAGAGGACGGCGGGAATCAATGTTAGAAAGGGGCAGATTACCAACATTCTCGAGGAGAACGTGTTGCAGCCGCTCTTGGTGAACACGTCTGCGATCTCACTGGCTAGTGAGTGCGTGTCGTTGATCCTCAAGATTGACGACTTGCTGCTGTCGAGGTGAGAGAGAGAGAAGTAAAATGATAATAGATTGAGGAGCATGTGGCAGCTATGGGTATCACATTTGACTGCCAGTAATCAACGCTGTCCTCTCGCTCGACGTATCCGTGTGCCGCTCGCTACAGTATCCTTCCCATTCCCCTACAAGCACTACAAGGACCCTCGTCTCCCCAGAACCAACTTGTCTTTGCACCCGAGCCGTTGCACTTCCAACACAAGTAGCCGCCGATACGCGGGTCTCCTGGTTGTACGACGAGGGGTCGGGCCGGCTGGACGTGGCCGTGAGGGCTGAAGGGAGGCTGATGGTAGGGTTGATAGGAGGACTGGTAGGCGTTGTAGGATGAATGATGAGGTTGGTAGGAGCCTCCCCATCCTTGCTGGTGCTGTTGGTGCTGCTGGTGCTGGTAGGGCTGGTGAGGCGGAGGGCCAAAGTGTGGCGGCCCTGCTCCGCCGCCGTAGGATCCTGACCCTCCTGTAGGCGTCGGCGGGTGCATCGGTGGGCTGTGGTGCATCCCCTCCGGCCTCGTCGATGGCCCCGCAGCGGCCTGCTGCTGTTGAAATTGCTGCTCTCTCTCCTCCTGCTGCAATCTAGTCTGTGGCGGCAAAGCCATTCCCTCCGGCGCCCTCAGCACGTCTTCATAAGCGGGCGGGGCTTCTCCAAGGGCATCATCGTTGGCTTCGCCAGCGTCCTGCGCACGGTTGACGCGAGGTGGGGAACGCGGCCTGTGAGGTATGTGCGATTGCGAAGGGGGATGAAAGGGGGGCTGGTAGGTGCGACTGTGGTGTTGAGGAGGCGGAGGGTGTGAAGGGCTCGAGTATTGGGAGTGAGAACGAGTAGGCAGAGAACGTGGGGGGCCGGAGGGAGGTTGGAAGGTATCGTGCCCCCTCATCGCTGACTCGTGTGACTGCCTCAATTGTGCAAGAGGCAAGAAGGATGAGTCTGTCAGCGTCGATGTAGATGATGAGCTAGATGGCTCAGCTGGTGCGCTGTCGTCCAGCCGGGCAGCGGCCATTGCTGTTGCGAGGTCGTCTGTACGTGATTGCTGCGCTGCGGCGCTGTCGACTCCAGTCTGCTGCTCAAGAGGATTCTGCGACGGCGCTGAAGCTTGTTGAGACGATGTAGCAGGACTTTGACTTTGACCAGTGGCATGCTGCATCAATCCTGTCGTACTCCGTTCCCCTTCGACAGAGGCTTCGTCCCGAAACGGGTTGCGCGAGCCTAGCGGTCGAGTCGAAGTGGCTGGCGAAGCTGACGCTGAGCTCGAGTTGGGCCACACTCCGGTCGCCATCGGCGAAGTCATTGGATGACCGCCCGTTTGAGCCATAGATACGCTGTTGGCGGGTGTCCTGAATGCTGGATATCGTAGAGAGACGAAGGATGGAGGTCGCCTCCGAGCAACGCAACAGAAAGCTGCGAGGTCGGACCTCGGAAGCAGCCGCCGGTCCGCGTGGAGGGGAAGATCCGACTACCTCTCACTCTCACGCAAGAGAACAACGAGTCATGATGCAAAATGGTATACAATGATCATGGAGAAATGTAGACAGATGCAGCTTACCATCTCCACTCTACCCGTCCACGCGTCGCGCCTCTCACCCCCTTGAAAGGCTTGTAGTCTACGCCCCCCACCTGCAGGCTTGCCACTCGCAGACCAGAAAGGGAGGAGCTCCCCGCCGGCAAGGAGAATGTCGTCAACACGGACGAAGAGAAGGACGATGTGAGCACCGAGCTGCTAGCTGCGGTCACCTTGCCCTTCAAGGTTACCTCCCCTGGGCCGCCCGTCGACGTGCCCAGACGCGGAACCGTCCACTTCACCAAGCCCTGCCGCGCATCGTACGTCCACGAGCCGGCCTCTTCCCCACCAGAAGCTGACACCGAGCCGCCGCCTCGAGAGGACATGCTGTTTGCGCTACTCGATACAGCCGCTCGTGCGTCAACGCTGATCGAGCCTAGTCCGTCTGCCATGTCTGCCTCGTCCGCAATGCCGCTCGAGGAGGAGAGGGAGGAGATCTGCCCAGCGCCGACAGCGAAGGTCACTTCCAGGGCTTCGCTGCTTGAGGGGCCTGCGCCTGACATGCGGGCAGTCTTGCTCGTAAGACGGATCTCGAATGTGCATTCCCGTCCTTTGGTGTCCTTCACCACGGAACGAGAGGCTTTGACTGTGAAGGGCAGTAGGTCTGCGCCGGTGCTTGAGCTGCTGCCGCCCTTGGAGGCGAAGCTGCCTTCCCTGACGTGGTCCATGGCCATGCTTGCCAGCTGGAAGTCTCCTTCCGGTGGCACGAAGCTGAGAACTCCCTCTCTGACCCAACGTCTGTGCCTCACACAAGGATGGAATGCAGGCGCAAGTACTCTTGATCCCTCGCCTACAGGACTTGGATGAAGGGCAAGAGTGAGATCAGGCGTGCCAGACAGCTTGACTTTGCACCCAATCGAGACATTGAGCGCTGGTGGCAGAGCGCCGACGAGCTTTCCCTTGCGATCCATGGTGCATGTCAGCTGTTCGACTATATCCACATAGATCTCGTTGCGGGTGTGTCGCACTTGGGTATTGCGCCAGGGAAGCGGGGAGATCTGCGGCGGTGGAGCAGGTTGAGAGTTGGTGAAGCTGAGGGCGGCGCGAGGACAAAGTGTCAGCTACGAGCTCTGCGCGTCAATGAAAGGGTCCGACAGCTTGGAATCAGGCTGAATCTTTTTTGTCGAAGGTCGCTCATGAAGCGGCGATGTGCTGGCCAGACGGCGAAGCGCATCCCCAAATCGGAAAGAACACAGCGAATATGGAATGTTGCTCATCACTTTGTCAAAGATTTGTCTCGCAAACTCACCTAGCCATCTTGCTCGTGATCTCTTCCCACCACTGCTTCCCTCTCACGATCCCCTTGATGCTATTGTACTCTGTGGTCAAGGGTCTCCCATCGTCGAGCATCTCCTGGAGAATCTGGTAGAGGACGTCGAAGTTTGCCGTGAGGGTTGAAGCTGGAATGGATGGAAGGGATTGGGAGGTGGAGATCACCGAGGTACTGGCGGCTGCGTTGGGAAAGTACTGGGCGATGACAGTATGCAGGTGGTGAAGGAAGGAGAGGGAGAGAAGAGGATTGCCGCCAGGTGGAATGGGAGCGAGATAGGTCACTTGGCCTACTGTGAGGTTGGCAAGAGCGGTGCCGATATTATTATCTTCGTTGGCTCTCGCTGCTGGTGACCCGCCAATTCGATTCGGCTTTGTACTGGACCCTCTCCAGATGTTGCCCTCGTCGTCCTCTGCGTCGTCGCTGCCTTGATCAGAGCTGCCCTCGTCGTCCCCATGGCTGTCCTCCGAGACATCGGTCTCCGTGTCTTCATCGTCGTAGGATCCTTGAGGAGGGAAGCAGGGCAGATCCTTGAGCCATACGACGGAGTCAGCCCGTTGAGGACTTGGCTGCAAGCTGCGCTTGGCCAGGTAGGCAGACCATTGGCTGGCGACGAGCTGAGGGTATTGCTGCTTGAGCGGGTGACGGATGTGAGACGAGAGGAGGAGGCTGGGTATGTGAAGGGGCGGAGTGGTGGTGAGGATGAGCACCCCAGGTAAAGGGGCTGCTGAAGGTGAAGGAGGCACGGCGGCGGCTGCCTCGACCATGGAAGAGGACAGCAGAGGGAAGATGGACAAGAAGCAGAGACAAGCCTCGGCGCGCTCCTCGAGTCGATTGCACGTCTCGACTCCGCCTTCCGAGTCGACTGCTCCGCGGTGGAGTGAACCCAGTCCAACTTGGAGAGCATCGATTGGGCCATCACTTCCTCTCTCCATTGTTCATTCCTGAGCGATGAACAGCTACCCACCGGAGCTCACTCATCATGCCTACGCTTCACTCTTCGTAGCTGGACTGACAAAGCCGCAGCAGGCAGGCCCTTCGTCATCATCTTCCTCAGCGGCGGCACCGGCACCGGCGGCCAACGGCGATGGAGCAGCTGCTTCGACTTCTCAACTGCAGCTCAATGGCCATCCGACCGAGGTCTACCCAGAGCTGTGTGCGGAACTCGAGACAGTCTTTTCGTCAAGAGGCAAGCATACCATCTGGGATCCGGCAAGAGGGAGATCGGCCGTCTTCCATTCCGTGCTAGTAGACCATGTGAGTTGGCAACGAGCTGCGGCTGCTGTAATTGAGTGAGCGCTGACGTGCTCACTCTTCGACACTGACTTGCGCAGAACGTCAGACTACCTCCTCGCAAGACTCGACCCAGCTTGCGATCAGTAGCAGCGCCTGAACCATCAGCCAACCCGCCGATTCTTCATCCTCGTTCCCCTCTGTCCCCACTTCACCCAGCCAGCCCACTCTTTCCGGATGGTCTCATCGCTCCTATCTGGGCTCGCAAGCATCGTGACATAGTACCTTCGGTATTCGTTGCCTTCTACTGTCTCTCGGGAGACGCTGCGGTGGAACAGACGTCAGAGGACAATGATGCGCCCTCCCCTGCTCCACGCCAACTGAGCGGACAAGAGCTCAAGGCTCGAGACGAGGAGCTCATCAGGCTCATCTCAGAGCGCAAAAGACCACTCAACGAGCGCGGCATCAAGCTCACCGTCGTCCTTCTGACAGCTCGCAACATGCTTGACAACCCGCAGCTCGAGGCTCGATTGAGCTACATACGCCGTTCGTCGGGCCTCGACTCTAAGGCTTCCCTCTTCGTTCTCACACCCGTACAACGGCAGGAGCTCGCCGATTTCGTCACCTCGCTACAAGGAGCACTGTACGACCATGGTCTGGACTACTACCGCGAGCATGCCCGCCGCATCAGGAGAAAGCGGGCAAGATACCCACCACCGCCCTCGATCGTCCAGCCCATCCTGCAGTCCGTCGCCGCTAGCCGGCCAAACAGCAAGGCACCCGAGCTCACGCCTTTGAGCAGAGAAGGGTGGCATCTGCGCGCAGAGTACAAGCTAGCTATGTTCGCAGAGCTTCACGCCGACTACGATGACGCCTTAGCGCATTACCTCGAAGCGTACGATCTCCTCGCCGGCCCCCGCGGTATGCTGAGCAGCACGGTCCTCCTTCCGCCGAGAACCAAGCGATGGGCAGAGGCAAAAGTGCTCAGCGACACCCTCTCGCTGCGTATCTCCAAACTATACCTTTACGGGGAAGACAGCGCCTCTGCTCTGCACCAATTCCGCCGGCACTTGGCGAGATTCTCAGAACTCAGCTCTGGCTGGGGAATAGGTGACGCGACATTTGAGTATTGGTCCTGGCTGGGGAAGCAATATCGCCTCATCGGGGCTCTCTTAGAGCAGGCAATGAAGTCCTACCCTGGCTCCCCCCTTCCGCCAATCTCGATACCCATGCACAACCCACCACTGCCAGGGTTCTTACTCCACCCGGAGATCACAGAACAGCCGCAGCGATACCCCTCCCTTCGAGCTGCTCCTGGTGGGCTGCTCTCCCCAAATAATGCAGCTCTGTCCTCTGCTACAACTCCAGCGGCTCTGCTGCAGGGACCCGCAGCCTTCTTTTATAACGCTGGGCTCTGTGCTCTAGAGCGACAAGATCGCTACGTGAAGATGGTCGCTGCCGAGACGAAGGGCGAGGTCTCTGAGAGTGGCGCTACGGCTTTGGTGCACGAGAAGCAGGTGGATCATTGCGCCCAGATTGTCGAAGTGCTCGGGCGAGCGCACGATCTGTACCGCGAAGCGAAACAGGAGAGGTTGGCCGACGTCGTGGCAGCCAAGATGGCTAGGGCTTGGGCTACGGACGGTCATTGGAAGCAAGCGCTGCGGATGTTGCACCGCGTAATACCGCGATATAGGGACGAAGGGCCATCCGTGGGGTTAAAGGAGCTCCTTCTGCTGGCCGTGCATTGCGCTGAGAAGGCAGGAGATAAGCGTGCCCAGGCGCAGTGGACTCTGGAGGCTAGTGGAGAACAGGAATTGTCTAACGAGGAGTGGGAGATGATGGAGAAGGGGTGGAAGGAGCTGTCACTCGGGGTGGAGGATTCCGAGACCGTCTCGGTCTCATGGAGCAAGGGCAGAGGGCCGTTGAGAGTTGACGTCGCCTTTCAGCGGGCGTCGGTCCAGTATGGAGGGGCCGCCAGCTTTCAACTGACCGTCACAAGGGCGCAGCAGAGCCCACCTCTGGCGTTTGAGTCGATGACGATCTTTGACTTGGCCGGCAAGGTCGTAGCCGTGGTCGAGGCCAATGGCGCGGCCGCCTCATCGAGCTCGCCCATCCAGCTCAAGCCTCCTTCAGAGAGGACCCAGGCCAAAATCAGCTGGCTCAGCGAAGAGCAACTCAGCAGCGTCTTCCAAGGCACCCTCAAGGCAACAAGTAAAAGCAGCCTGGCCATCTCCCGCGTCCACTTCCATGCCTCGTCACCCCTCCCACTGGACATTGAGGTCAAGATCGACTCGCCATCAACGACGCTACCGCATGCGCCTCTTTGGCTTTGCTCATCCGGTCGTTGGGTGCACCTCGTCTACCGTCAAGAAGCGCGGCACTGCCTTGTCACCCGGCCCGTACACCGAGTCGACGTCGAGATCGACCATCACGTCACAGCCTATCTGGACGAGGCTGTCTCGATCCGCGTCAAAGCGACGAACAAAGAGCAGAGCCCCCTGAGGTGCGCGCTCGCCGTCAGCCTGGACACGAGCAACCTACCGCCCGATGTGAGGGACGAGCTTGGCCAACAGGGACTGCAGCCGACCCTCTCCGGCAGCCTGCCAAACCTCGCCCTGGGCGTCTTAGCTCCACAAGAGAGCAAGGATGTCACGCTTGTGCTACGAGCTAAGCAGCGTACGGGGCTTCGTAGCCTGGCCATGGTCTTGAAGTCTTGCATGACAGATGTTGCTCACGACGAGGACGAGGATGTCGACGGAGCGCTGGCAGGCGAGCTGGTCCGCGAGACGACCATCGGCATCCAGCGAGCCTTCCGCGCAGAGTACAGCGCCAATTGGCGACCGGGAGCGGCGGCGACGGCGGCGAATGGCAATGATGCCCAGCAGCTGCTTTTGGGCGATGGCGCTGGCGCGCCCGGCGCTTCGTTCGACACCATGCCGCGCTCGCCTGGCGCGGGCCCTCCTTCTGAGCAGCACCGCACCGCGATCGCAAGTGTGCATGCGGCCTTTGCCGTCCTGACGGCGGAGGAGCTCACGATCAGCGACGTGAAGGTTGAGCTGGATGAGGAGCATGGAAAGGATGCTCGTCCGTATGGTGGCGGCGATGCAGCGGTGGCCGCCGAGCTGGAGAGTGTTCGCCAGTCCTCCCTCGCTGGCAAGTGGCGCCAAGGGGATCGCTGGGGGTCGACATGGGACATCGAGGTCGGCCTGGGCGCCTACGAGTCAGAGGACGGCCCGCGAGGCCCTACAGGACAGCTCGCCCTGACATGGCAGCGCGCCTCGTCATCTGACCCACGCCCGAACATCACCCGACTCCCTCTCCCCATCCTCGCACCACCCCATCTCAATGCGCGCGTCCTCATCGCTGCCCCACCTGCCACGCACGCGCTCGAGGCCTTCACCCTCGTCTTTGTGGTTGTGAATCCGTCCTCGCACGCCGTAGATGTCAGCATGGTGATAGACGACGAAGATCCGCCCGCCTGGGTACTTGGGCATCGCACTTTGTCAATCCCCGGTATCCCGCCGAGAGGTAGTCGCAGCATCCCGACGCGAATCGTCCCCAGGTACGAGGGGCAGTGGACCTTGCCACGAGTACGAGCATTCCAGCATCGACCCCAAGAAGAGATGGCAGAGGGACAGCAGGGACAGGGCCATCAGATGGTCATCAACGAAACGCAGTATGGCTTGCCGCTGCAGGTTAGATATCGCGTCTCGGCGGGAGCGACGATGGGCGCCGCTGGGCAGCGGGCCTTGGCTGTCAATCGGCAGCATGTCGTTGAGCAGGAGGGGGCCACGCTTTCGGTGCTTGTCCTCCCTCAGCAGGGCGCGGCACGTAGCAGCTCGGACATGGGGATTGGAGGTGCGAGTGGCGGTGCCGGAGCGGGAGTGGCTGTAGGCCAAGCGTGAGCGGGCGCGCGTCAGTCAAGCCATGCGATCACACCAATGTCAGCCAAGGGATCATAGCAAAATGTTCAACCCCACGAAATGATGACGATGACGACTACAGCGCCGCTGCCGGTTACGGAGAAAAGGGAATGAATCGAATCGCAGTTGCAGGCGCATTCGGTCCGGTCGTCTGCGGCTGTGCCAAGCCTATGGAAACATCGGAAATAAGTCGCAGATCTCTAGCGCGTATGGTACGCGGCGGGTCGAGACGACGTCGACAGCTTTGGTCGCCGGAGTCGAGTGGTCGGATTTGCTTGCTCGATTGAGATTGAGATCGGGTCGGTCCGATGCTCTTCTCTCAAGGGTCTGATGGCAAAGGATGTCAAGCTGAGTTTGTCGTCGCGTCGCCACCCCGGAGCACACCGACGTGTGTGTTGACAACGGTGCTGTGTGGCATGCCATCGTCATCGCTCGTTCGCTCGCTCGCTCGCTCGCTCGGTGGCCCCCTCTGCAATCAGCATCAGCCTTCGTGGGTCATCTGGCGTGCATCTGTTGCTTGCGTGCGAGAACCTGAGTCGGGTTTGGCGTGGACCGAAGTACGCGTCTCCGCTGGGACCCTCTCTTGGTGTGCTGGGCTCTTTGATCGCTGATCTCGCCGGGCTAGCCTCGACAAAGCGTGTGGCGCATTCTTCGAACGATGAAAAGCTCAGCTCAACCAGGCTCGCCTCGCCTGGCTCATCCGCCCGGCTGTTGTTGTGAGATCCGTAATCGTGGGCTGCCCACTCGGGACTCTATTTCTCTGGCGTGGTGCCTCCTCTCCCTCACGCCGCCGGAAACGCGGCGACAAGAGGACGACGAGTAACACATAGCGGCGCACAAGCTCGTACCAGCCCGCGAGCCTGCGAGCGCTCGAGTGTCTCGCATCGCTGCGTGCCACACGCATACACACCGCGCTGAGCCCGACGAGATCTTGCTACTTTTTCCTTTTTCAGCACACTGAGCGTCAAGCGCCACGGTTATGATGAGTGAGTAAGGGAGCGGGTGAGGACACATAGTGGGGCTGCGATGCGGGCGATGCGGTGTGCTGCGATTGGTGAGCCAAGGGATTCCGACAGATAGTTGCGCAAACGCATCGTGCACCGACGAGGCCACACCGGGGAATTCTGCCACAAGGAGAAGGGGGCGCCCGCGGGTCTCAGTTGATAGCATCTCGTCGTCCTCGTCTTCTTGGGTGGGTCGAGTCGTCGCTCCTGCGCTGCACGATTGCATGCTCTCGAGGCAAACAGTTGCTCTTTGCTCACTTCATTGGCCGCGCTGAATACCTGCCTGCATCGATTCTTGGCCTCTGATCACCGAGGAGGAGGAGGAGGATCGCTCCGCTATTTCATTCAAACCTCCTCAACACCAAGGCCCCCCTTTCTCTTCCTTCCCTCCGTCCACTTCCATTCATATCAGCCCCTGTCCTCTTTTCTCCAGCCTCCTCCTATCCCCCCCACATTCGTCGTAGTTTCTTCTTATCAGCAACCCCCTATCGGCACACTCACCTTCTTTCTGAGTCGCGCCTGCCCTTCATCCACTACTGCTATTCAAGGGCCATCCTCATCCTCGACACAGTCTCCCATCCTCGCACAGCTCACCATGGCACGCTTCTCCATCGCCGCCGCCCTCGTCGTGGCACTCGCAGCCCTCGACACCGTCAGCGCAGCGATCCCCGCCCACATGCACCCTAAGCGCCACCTTTTCGAGCACACCCACAAGAAGCTCGCAGCAAGGCAGTCAAAGTACCCAGAGATCCTCAAGATCCCTGACCCGTCACTGCTGCCTTCGGCTTGGAAGGACGCCCTCAAGGAGGCTGTCGACGCGGGCAAGATCCCTGACATCTCCCCCTCGACGCTCGACTCCAATGGCAACCCTTCGTACCCGTCCAAGTACTCTACCAAGGACATTGGCTCGTGGACTCTGAGCAAGTACATCGACGAGACCGACATCAGCCAGGCACCCGACGGCGTCTGGGCCATTGGCTTCGACGACGGACCGACTGACCTGTCACCGCCCCTGTACAAGTTCCTTGAGGAGCAGAAGCAGGCGGCTACCCACTTCTTGATCGGATCCAACATCGTCTCGTACCCCAACGAGTTCATGCAGGCCAACTCGTCTGGTGGTCAGCTCGCCGTTCACACCTGGTCACACAAGCTCCAGACTGCCAGCACCAACGAGCAAGTCCTCGGTGACCTCGCCTGGACGATGCAGATCATCTACGACCGCACCGGACGCATCCCCAACCTCTGGCGCCCTCCTCAAGGTGACGTTGACAACCGTGTCCGTGCCATTGCCACCGAGGTTCTTGGTCTGCGCTGCGTCCTCTGGCAGGCCGACGCCAACGACTGGTGCCTCGACGAGAACTTCAAGTCCGAGTGCCCCGCTAGCAACGAGATTGGTCAGTCGTACGACTCGGTAGTCAAGTACGTCAACCAGCACATCAACGGCCCTCAGAGCCCTGGTCTCGTTATCCTCGCCCACGAGATCCACACGCCGTCGATCCAGATCTTCCAGCACTACTACCCCCGCCTGAAGTCTCACGGATGGAAGACCTTGGCCGTGGGCGAGTTTGACAATCAAGGTGGCTTCTACGCCAACGCAGCGGACAACACCGCCGAAGTTTCGGACCAGAAGGACGTCATCGCTACCAAGTCCCTCGCAGCAGCATCGTCTACCGCACCTGGCTCATCAGCAGGCTCCAAGGCGACTGCCTCGTCCTCGTCTGGTGGCTCCAGGAGCAGCGGCGTCTCTACCCTCGCGGGCGGATCGTCAGCCTCTGCAGCCAACGCGCAGAGCACCAACAACCGCTCCGGCTCCTCAACGAGCGGCGCCATGAGCAGCCTGGTGCGCTCGGACCTCGCCCTCGCAGGTGCGGCGGCCCTTCTCGCTGCGGCTCTGCTTTAAGTGCTCTGCCTCGCATTACCCCTACATCTAGCATTATCATCATCAACGGACAATCGCACCCCTCATGGCCCTTTGCATAGGAGTCGCATTGCGCACGCACATCACGTAGAGATTCGCTTCTCCCACATACACTCATTGTACATTCTTGCCTGCGTTCGATCTTGCGCACACTTCGTCTTCTCTCTCTTCTCCCCTCTTGCTCTCCCTTTGCACCGTGGAGTTTCAGCATTTGCTTCGTGCACGATGCCTCTACGCAATCAACTTAATGCCCAGATTCTTTAACCCAGAGTGATCAAGTCTTTGTTCGTCTTTTTGTGAGTCGGTGAAGACCACAGCAAAGCTCCAAGACAGGGGCTGACGACGCTATTGTGGTCCTTGATCGCTCGCGTGGACAATGCGGGCAGCGGCTAGGCGGCGTCGTAGGCGTGCACAGGTCTAGCGTCCAAGCTCTCGCCGCTCGCGCTGCCCTTTGCCGCTCGCCGTCATCGTCTCTCCGCCGCGTCTTGGTTAGACGGACTCGAGTCGCCGTGCGGGGTTGGGCGAGTCGAGTTGGACTCGTCGGGCTGTTCTTCCGCCCTTGCCGTAGCTCATTGCCAGCTCCATCTGGCAAATCCTCTTTCCTTTCCTTCTTCACCGACAACATCGCCCTTCTTCAGTCCTTCCGGCATGGACCAGACTCCAGAGCGGCGCCTTCGCGTCGGTATCATTCACCCCGACCTGGGTATTGGTGAGCAGCCAGCCTCAATCCCTCTTGCCTCGCGCCCCACCTTCCCCGCTAACCCCCTCCTTCACCTCCTCCTTCACCTCCTCGTCCCCTAGGTGGTGCTGAGCGTCTCGTTGTTGACACAGCCGTCGAGTTGCAGAACAAAGGCCACATCGTCGAGATCTTTACGTCCTACTTTGACCCCAAGCGCTGCTTTGAGCCGGCTCGAGATGGTAAGGCCGCTCTCGGCTGAAGACTTATGTTGCTGAGTGCCTGCTCACCACTTTCAACGCGCGCCTCGACATCACACAGGCACCCTCAAAGTCCATCACATGAAGACACTGATCCCAAGGTCCCTCGGTGGCATGTTTCACTCGATATTCAGCATCCTTCAGCAGCTTTCCCTCGTCCTGCAAATGCTACTCTCGATCCTCATGTTCCACTACCCTGGCACCATCCCGAAATGGCTCTTTCGAGCACTGAGCTCAGCTCCGGCTCTCGAGCCTTTTGACGTCTTCTTGATGGACCAGCAGTCCTTTGGTGTACCTTGGGTCAAGATCTTGGGATTCACAAGGGTCGTCTTCTACTGTCACTTCCCGGACAAGGAGCTGAGCAACACCATTGCGAAGCAGAAGGCGATTGCGAGGGGCGACTCCGGACCGAGTGCTTTCAGGCAACTCTATCGCCTCCCTCTGGATCTCATCGAGGAAGGGACCATGGGTGAGCTCGCTCGAGACTCCTGTCAACGGAGTATTCCTCGCTGACGCTACCGCCTACTCTGTCCTCTCGCCCGCGTCCAGACTATGCCGACAAGATCATGGTCAACTCAGAGTTCACCTCGAAACACTTCATCAAGTCCTTTTACCGTCTACGTCGAGCTCCTCGCGTCGTATACCCCGGCATCAATCTCTCTTCCTTCGAGTCAAAGGCAGTCGTCAAGTCCGTCGGGAAGCTCATGGCCAACTCAGACGTCATGACGCCCATCCAAAAGGGCATTCACGAGATCGTCACAGATGGTAGTCGACCTCTGCTCCTTTCCATCAACCGCTTCGAGGCAAAGAAGAACGTCGCCCTGGCCCTCGACGCCTTCGCCGGTATGAACAAGGAGCTGACAGGCTCACAACGAGCAAAGAATCATCGCCTCATCCTTGCAGGAGGTTATGATCGCCGAGTGAAGGACAATATCGACACGCTCAATGAGCTGCAGAAACAAGCGACAGATCTCGGCCTCAACCACATTACTCTCTTCTACGACCCAGCGCCTTTCGAGCCTCCGGCCTCGATGCCGCGAGAGGGCGAGCTTGAGCAGGCGAGTGTTATCTTCCTACCCAGCCTGCCGGGTCCTCTCCTCAACACGCTCCTCGTCAATGCGAGCATCGAGGTACTTCTGTACACACCCACGGACGAGCACTTTGGCATCGTGCCTCTCGAGGCCATGGCCTGCGGCATTCCCGTCCTGGCGACAAATACCGGCGGGCCGGTAGAGAGCATCGTCGATGCAGGATGGGATGGGGCTGCAAAGCGCTTCACCAACGAGGCCGGTACGGGCCTGCTCCGTCATCCTACGAAGAACGTCTGGACAGGAGCCATCGTGGCGATGCTGAGCATGAGCGAGGCGGAGCGCGCTCGGATCAGTAAAGCGGCGAGGCAGAGGGTCAAGGACAAATTTTCGGTCGAGGCCATGGGATCACACATTGAGAGTGTGATCATTGAGGCGGAGGGCAAGGGAAGAGTAACGCTTGAGGAGGGGATGCTGCAGTGGGCTAGCTCGATTGGCGTGTTTCTGCTCATGATGTTTGCGTACGTTTGGATGCTGAGGGGTATGAATCAGGCGAGGGCGGCAGCGGGATTGGTCTAGGCCAGCGTTGGATGGGGTGGAAGGAGGTGTGATAGCCGCGAGAAGAAGCGCCGAAGGTGATGATCATAGATGGCGGAGCGATCAGTCAGCCAGGCAGCATCTTGAGTGCATCCATCCGTATTTTACAAGCATTATCAGCAGCACCACCACCAACGCTATCACACGTCACGAATATCATAACAGACTTTCCCTGACCATCGCTGCGACCGCTCTTTAATGAGCCATGGCCGCAGCGCTGCCTCGCTACTCTTCTCAGGTCTCTTATTGACAAGGTCTATCTGTGTCCCATGACGGCGGCGACCGCGCTTTGTTCGCGACGATGAAGGGTCGATTCGATCCTGTGACGTCCGATCACCATCGATTTCCCCTCCTCGGACACCGAGCAAAAGATCATTGCCTCGCCTACCAGTTGTCAGGGTAGTCGTGCGGGGGAAGGCAGCCAGCCCGTTGTGGAGGAGGGAAAGTGACGTAGGCTTGGATTAGCGCTTTGCCTGGCCGAGGTTGCCGTCCAGTCGACTGACCTGCGCCCTTGGCCCGCTCTCCGCACGCCGCACAGGCGCTGAATTCACTCGTCTCGATCTGCTCGACCCACCTTTCATGCGAGGCGGAGAGTGGAAGGAAGAGCCGGCCCAATTCATGCAGCCGCTCGAGCGCATCATCGCCGTCGAGGACGACGATCGTGGGGAAGGGAAAGAGAGCGGGTCCCGATTGAATCAAGACTCGGTCCTGCTCTCCTCCTTTCTTCCTCACACCATCAACAACGCCAAGCTTGATTCAAGATGGCGGCAGTCAACGATAATATGTGGGACAAGGTCTCCAAGCTCATCCCGGGCGCTCATCCAACTCATTCTATCCTTGGCTTCAAGGTAAGCGCCGCGTCAGGTATCCTCATGTTGTCAGGCCTCGCATTGCTGACCACTGTCATCCCTCCTCCCTCTCTGCGCTCTTGCACCTCGTGACCACAGCTACTTGAGGAGGACCCAGTCATCGCGTTGGCTAAGCAAGCAGGCTTCCGCGTAGCAGAGTATGACCTGCCGCCTTACCCGCTCAAGCTGGCTGGCATCATCGGTCTGCGCATGATGGCCTTCATGTTCTCTTCTGGTGCCTTGGCTTGGTTCCTCTACCACTTTGTAGCCAAGCGATCTCCTGTCCTCAACTACGGCTGTCTCGGTCTTCTCGCTACTATGCTCCTCGCTTGGCCCGAGGTCGTTGGGCGGTCCGGTGTCATGCTCCTCGACTTCTGGAGGCCGGCACTTGGATTCAGGTCAGCGCTCCTCGTCTGGGACATCTTTCATATCCGTACGCGAGAGGAGGTCGAGTCGTGGAACCCCTTCCGCTTCTTCTGCCACCTGTGGGCTTTCCCCAAAGAGGAGGAGTGAGTGTCCAGCGAGCGAAGAGGTATTCGTCATAGTGGGGCCATTAGCTGACGCGTCTTGCACAGGGAAATCGCTGAGCGCACCCGCGAGGAAGGCTTTGAGCGCGACCCTCGCTGGGAGAACCTCAAGGGCATGCCCAAAGTCATCATCGAGGGCAGCATTCTCCTTCTCACCCTGTACGTTATCCCCCCGGCGGAGCTCACAGTCGGCATGAGCCGCGTCGCCTACCACGCCTACTGCGACTCTCTTGGCCTGTCCATCCTGATGGCCCTTGCCCTCTTCGGTGACGGTCTTCTCAAGTCTCTGGGTATCCTCTTTGGCGTCGAGATGGCCGACATGTTTGAGAACCCCCTCGGCACCACAAACATCCGCCTCTTCTGGTCCCATTGGAATCGCGCCATTGCGTCGGTGCTGCATCGCGTCGTTTTTGGTGGTGGACGCAACAGCAAGTCGTCGGTACGCAGCCAGAAGAAGAAGGCCGACGCCGCCGCCGTCAATAAGAAGGGCGGACGTGCTCAGCAGCTAGCACAGCGTCAGCACATGGACCAGCTCTCCGAGACCGAGGCCGAGACGGGCAAGACGGATGACGAGGACGAGGGAGGACTTCGCCACCGCAAGGGAGCCATTAAGCCTATGACTCCCGCTGGTAACGGCAATGGCACCGCCAATGGCTCAGAGAAGACCAAGGCTGCCTCCCAGCAGCAGCAACAGCCCCGCAAGAAGGGGCCCTTCTACCCCAAGGCCATCGCTGCAATCGCGACCTTCGCCATGTCCGGTATCTTCCACGAGCATATCACGCGCAACACTCTGGGCTTCGCAAACGGGGAGAACTTCATCTTTTTTGTCCTCAACGGTGTCGCCACCGTTGCCTCGACGTGGTTCAAGCGCACCTTCCCCAAGCAGAATGAGCGAATCCCCACTTGGCTGAGCCTCATTCTTCTGCACACCTTCTTCTTCACCGTCATCCCGCTCTTCTGCTCGCCTTTCATCAGGAGCGGCTTCTTCACGCAGATGGATGCGCTCAAGTACGAGTTGCTGCCTATTGCGCCCAGAAAGAGGGGAAGCTTCATCTACCTTTTCGGCAACTGAGGCTGAGAAGTCTGCGAAGCCAAGGCTTCTTTTTTCAAGGGACTCTTGACATCAGCACTGCTTCAACCGATTACCCCGACAAAATCCTCTCACTGCGTCGCTTCGCCATCAATCAATCAATCAATCAATCAACCACACACTCAACTCACTGTATCGCACCTGCTATTGCTATTGCGCCGCAATCTCTCCGAACTCCTTCGCCGGCTGTACCTCTCTGTTTTGCTCCAACGCTCCGCTACTCGCTGTCTTGAACAAATGCAAAGCCTTTCTCTCGAGCTCCACTCTTGCCTCGATGCCGCCTTATCCTATGATACAGTGCGTCTACGCAGCCGTCGCCTGCTGCTGCTGCTCCTTCCATGCCCTCAAGAATTCGCTTTGCGCTCCCATGCCGCCGTCTGCAGCACTCACTGCCTCGTGAGGTGCCATGTTGGCCACATAGGCAGGTGCGCCGCCCATTGCGTGTTGAGCCTGTGCTTGCGAGGTGAGAATGCGGAGAGTGGGCAAGGGGGCGCGTGGTCTTCTCGGTGCTGACGATGTGCTGCCGCTGCCGCTGCCACTGCTACGATCGAGGTTCATGAGGGTTGCTGAAGGCGCGCTCTCTTCTGGCCAAGGTTCATAATGTGTTGTTGGAGGACGGCCGTCGGTGTAGATGCGGATGAAGGGCTGACCACGGGGGTCGCGCTCCCCATTCTCATCGTCGTCATCCTCGCCCTCGTCGTCTGATGCCTGGTCCTCGTCACCAAACGTAGCCTTGACCTCTGCTTCCTGCTCGTCCTCTTCCTGTTCCTCTTCCGCACGGTAAGGCGCAGCACCATGTCTTCTCCTCCACGCCCTAGTCGCCTTGGCCTCGAGCTCCTCCCACTCCCAAAGAAGCGCATCCGTACGCGGCAGGTACGCATTGACGTCTACGAGGAACACCTTCTCCCTATCGCGTGTCAAATAGACGTCGAAGACGTAGTCATGCAGCCTAGGGTCAAGCTTCCCACCTCTGCTTGCCCCATCTTCCTCCCCTCTCTCGCCTTCGGCGCTGCTTCTCGGGCGAAGATGCTCAATCCAAAAGTCCCTCAGCTTCCTCCTCACATCGAGCTTGACCTCCTCCCGTTGCAGAAAGTCATAGTACGTCGTTGCATCCCGTTGACAGGCGGCGACGAAGTGTCCTGATCGAACAAAACAGCGGAACTCGTGGGCGGGTTGGAGGGAGGAGAAGTGTCGCTTGAGGATGAGGTTGAGACGCGGTTGCGATTGCGTGGACGAAGAGGCTTCAGTGGCCTGCTCCACATCTTTGGCGACGAAATTGCTACTCTTGAGCAGAAGATACACATCAGCCGGAGTAGTACATCGTAGGGTCTGCCCTGGTAGAATCCAAGCCGCATCCCGTGGAGCGGACCAGTCCATCTTGGGAAAGACTTGGCCATCGTACTTTTCGATGATGGTGCGGATGTGCTCGTCTAGCGCAGAAAAATCTCGCGCTTGTAGTGGTGGAGCTGATGAATTGGATGATGAGCTGCTGGCGTCGTCGTCGTCGTCTCCATCAGCGTCATCTTGATCGTCTTCTTCATCCTGCTCTCCGCCTACGACGCCTGCCCCACTCCCTCGCGGCAGCACGAGCCCGTCCTCCTGCAGCCACTCGTAGAAGTCCGGCTGGATCTTCGCCACATCCACTATGGTCGCTTTTGGGGACACTGAGCGCAGCGACGGATACCAGGAGGAGAAGCGCGTGGCAGCCAGGGCTTCATGGATGGGTGTGAGCGCGGGAAGCGCAGTCGAAGACGAGGAGGGCGTCGCCGATGCTGCTGATGCTGAAGCTGATGCTGCTGAAGTAGCGATCGTGGTTGGAACGACCATGCTGGTCGGTGGTAGTGATCTGCAATTAAGATGAATGGTAGCAGGGACTGGCTCGCTGCTACCCCACTTTTCGTAATGCGCCTTCGACGCAAAGTGCCTCGAGCGGAGGAGAGAGAGCGGAAGCAGAGATTGGCTCCGCTCCGCCTTCTTCTCGACGGTCGTCACCGCAACCCAAGACCATGGCGTCCACGTCAAGTGCAGTAGAAACTCAAAAGAAGACAGAAGAGGCCATATTGGAGCACGTCAGGCTGCTGATACAAGTGCAATACTCTTCAAGACTGCCAGTGAGATCCAAGCGCTTCAGATGGCCCTCGGATGACTGGCTTCTAAAAGTACAGGGTCCGCTTGCTCAAGCCTTGTTTGATAGCGAGGAGACAGCGACGTTGGCCGATACAAGCTACGACAAGACCTTCCTCAAGGCTCTGATTTCCAGGATTGAGCGGGCCATTCAAGCATACCAGGAAGAGGAGCATGTAAGCATACGCGCTCGAGGCAACGTTGCCCTCGCGCTCATTAACTGATCATTGCCTGCCTACTACCTCCTCCACAATCTCCTCAACAACGCCAGGAAGTAGATCCTCTTCTACTGGAACGGTACGCCGAGCTCATGGCGATGCCTTCTTCATCCAGATCTGCAGCTATGAGTCTGAATCCAATGGACAGACTATCCAGCTCGATGCCATTCAGTTCGCACGCGCCGCCACCTGACCGGATGGTCGAGTACTGGTTCCCCTGCCGTAGCAATGCCCAGGGTAGCAGCAGCATCGAGGATATGTGGAGACGCATACGTCTCTGTGAAGCCTCATCAGCACTGGTCGGTTCGGGAACCACAGCGTGCAAGACGTGGGAGGCAGCATTACGTCTGGCGTCACACCTGCTCTGTCACCGTGACGAGCTAGTGCAACCGGGCAGCAGAGTGCTTGAGCTGGGCAGCGGCACTGGGCTTGTGAGCATGCTCATGGCGTATCTCATGAGCGACAACGCAATCGAAGAGGGTGCCAAGACAGCAGGCTCCGTCTATGCCACGGATTTGCCCGTCGTCGTCGCCTCCAAGCTGCAGCCAACGATCGATCTCAATGAAGGGATATCGCGGCCGCAGCTATGCTCATTGGACTGGTCTGACCCCGAGAGCTCATCGCATCTTCTCGAAGACGTTCAGCCCACCCTGATACTGGGCGCAGATATCGTCTTTGACCCGGACATCTGCCAGCACCTCGTACGCGTCCTTTACGATGCACTCCGGCCGCGAGCTTCGCAACCTTCAGACGGGTCTGAGCCAGCTCCCCAAGCTCTCATAGCAAGCACAGTGCGCAATCCGTCGACGTACTCGCGCTTCTTGGCTCTACTGGACGCGGCTGGGTTGCAGACGGAGGAGGTCAAACTGGATCGTCTCGAAGTTGAGCCGCCGACAACAGCCAGCGGAGCCGATCTGCACGGTGTCCCAACAATACTGCCTTTCGACTCAGGGCACGACGAAGCCATCGAAGGCGTTGTCAAGGGTCTGCGCATCTGGCTCCAGTGAGACGTTTGGTGGTGTCTGGCCCGTAGGCGTCGTCGCCGCGTCCATCTGCCGGTCCGACACGAGCACGACGCGCTGTGGTCGCGTGGTCGACGAGTCGCGTTAATTGGCTGCCCCGCCTAAATGGGCAACTGCGAGTCGAGTCCTGGCAGGGCTTCCTTCTCGTCCTCATATCGCCTGTCCTTCTCTGTATCGTCTATACGCCACCTTCATTCACAGCATCAACAGCATCATCATCATAACGACATACTAGCGCGCAGAAGAGCATCTAGCTTCCGCCGCCATCATGGCAACCGTCCGTGATGGAATGCCCATCGTGATTCGCGGGCCTGAGGCAACTGCAAAGCGCTACTTCACTGCCATGCCTCGTACCCTTGATGTGAGCACAGCTTGTCCGCTCACATTTTATCGTGCTTCGCCTTCGCTCACCGACTCAATCCCTTCGTCCATTCTCACGCGCAGACCCTCCTCCTCAAAGCACGCTCCCTCTTCCCCGTCCCGCCAGGTTATACCCCCTACATGACCCTCGAGCATGACGAGAATGCCGTCATCCTCGAAGATGCTCTTCCCTTCATCCGCGAGCGTGAAGTGTTGGTGTTCAGATGGAGCCCAGAGACGCCCAGGAAGAGCTCAGGAAACAGGGTCAGGTGGGATAGTAGTGTCGAGAAGGGAGGTGAAGGAGACAAGGGGAACGCGTCCACGACGTCAGGGTCGCCGCCGACTACGAGCTTCAACAGGCGCTCAGCTGCGACTGCGTCCGAGGAATCTGCAGCTTCGTCATCGTCATCGTCAAGCGGCGCACAGGCAACACCTTCACGCGGTGCGGCGGCGCGAGCTGCCCATGCCAAGCGCGTTTTGGAGGAGCAGAGACGCTTGCGCGAGGAGGAGCGTCGGCAGGAGGAGGAACTAGAGGCAAAGGCGGTGAAATTGCGAGAGGACGAGAGCAGGAGCAAGGCCGAGCAACAGGAGCGCGACGCTGCCTCGACATCCGTACAAGTCCAAGCTCTCGCCACCGCTCCTTCCGTCACCCGCCCATCCGATATCAGTGCGATCACGGCGTCAGACCTCGAGGCCTCCGGCTCTTCGCCACCGCCCTACTCATCTCCCGAAGACGGCCTCCTCACCGCGCTCAAGAAGGCCGCTCAAGCCACTGCAGCATCCACCAAAGAGACAACTCCCGAGAGAGAGGATGTGCACATCGACCCTCCCTCCTCTCCCCTTGTCGCTAGCCCAACTCGAGCCGTTCACGCTGCAGTCGCAAAGGCTGCTATGAGCCCGCACGACGATGCTGATGGATCGCGACTGGTGGCTGGTAGGAGCCCTTCGGCTGATCACGGGCGTGATGATGTGGATGCGACGCCGACCAAGAAGGCTTCGCCATCCCTGCCTGCGGAGGAAGGGGCAGATGAGACCATTCGCACTCCGCTGGCTGTAATCGACTCCACCAAGCAAGTGACGTCCGAGCCAAGCCAACAGAGCGAGGCGTATCAGACCATGAAGTCAGTCCTCAACAGCCTGAGCAGCCATCCGAGCGCGACCACACTCCTCTCCCGAGGCGGCACAAGCAATTCACCTTCACCGTGCGCCACTGAATGGTCCGCTATCCAAGCCAGAATCTCCAGCGCCGCTTACGACAGCACTCAGCCCCTGGAAGCCTTCAAGGCTGACCTGTCCTCATTCTGGCGCCACACAAGGGATGTCTGTGGCGCAAAGTCTCAGCAAGCCGAGTCTGCCGGTGTGCTGGAGCGCTTCGCTGCTGTCCTGCTTGCAGAGCACAAGCTGCCTACCGCCGGAGCCGCGCGCGGCGGAGCGAACACAAAGGAGGATCGACGCAAGGCTGCCGCAGCGCTGATGGCTCAATGGAACAGGGCGACAAGCTCCAGCAACAAAAAATCGCCCTCCGGAGCCGTTCTCTCATCATTGTCCCCTCCCCCTCTTCCATCTCAACAGCGCGGGTCTAAGCGTCCGGCTCTCCTGTCCACCTCTTCGGAGGACAGCCTCTCCTCTGCTGCCACAAGCAGCAGCGCGAAGCGCGTAAAACAGTCTCTGCCATCGTTCATGACCAACAAGAACCATCCGGCTTGGATGGTAAAGCAGCGAGCTACGAGCGGTGGGACTGTATCTGCTCCTCAGAAGGCTAAGAGCAAAGAGCCGGACATGAGCGCTTTTCATCGGGCAATGATGGGGATGGACAAGCAGCCCGTGCTTCAGCAGCCTCAGCCGCAGAACATCAGACCGCAGGCTAGTGCGACAGCGCCTGCTGAGCCGTCAATGCTTCAGGCGAGCGAGAGGTCGGTCTCAGAGGCGCATTCGGGTATTTCCGCTCCAGCAGACGAGCGTGAGGCCGAGCAGCAGTCCGCTGCCGATGGCACTGAGCCTCCGCAAAAGGAGGCCACCATGATCTCCTCGCCTGTAGAAGAGGCCGTCGCTGATGTGACGGAACAAGCAGTCGAGGACACGCCCGTGATGGAGGGCATCCACGCCGAGCAAGCAGGCGCTGTCGCCGACGTTGAGGGGGAGCCGCAAGGCGAAGGTGCCGCCGGTGCTCCGACCGTTGAGAAGGAGGATGTTCCACATCATGAGCACGAGCCCGGGCGTGTCGAGACTCTTGCAGAGGCCCAAGACGAGCCTGCAGCATCGCCTTCTATCGTGCAGGAGGAAGGAGGCCTGATGGAGAAGCCGATCGAGCAGGAAGAAGAGATACCTTCTCTCGCTTCGTCTACGACTTTCACCGCTCGCCGACGTCCCGGGTCGCCTGCAACAGCTTCGTTTACTGAGGCGCAACGCGAAGATCAAGGGAGCCAAGCAGCTGCCGAATCCGAGGCTGAGCAGGCAAAGGATGAGGGCGACCCGCAACAGGAGCCCGCCAACAAGAAGAAGCCCGCAGCCAAGCGAGCGAAAAGAGGCGCGGCGGCCAAGCGCAAGAAGCAAGAGAAGGCCTCAGCTGCCGCCGCAGTCCAAGTCAAGGACGTCGACAATGCGGCGGAGAAGTGCCCTCCACCAGTCGCCTCTTCTGCTCCACAGCGAAGAAAGGGAGTTGCTCAGCCTTCTCGCCGCTCAAACCGTGGGGCTACTTGTGCCGCCACGGCCGCCTCGATCTCTTTGGCTTTCGCATCATCGCCAGCCATGGAGGCTGAGAGCCAAGAAAGCGTTGTAGCTCCGCCCTCGCTCGAGCACGAGAAGGACAACGAGATGCACATCGACGTCGATGACGAGGCGGCTCTTGTCGCATCATCCCTCGCGTCGCAGCCCAAAGGCATGCCTGATGAGGCATCCATCGGCGACGCCACAGCTGATGCCTGCAAGGCGCCGGCGAAGCGCGGCCGCAAGCCGAAGAGTAGCACGAGCAAAACCGCGGCGCAGAAGGCTGCGGGAAAGAGGGTTAGCCCTGTCAAGACTAGAAAGAGGGGCGAGAAGGCTACTACGTTCTCCGCGGCAAGCCAGCGCGAGGAGCGGTCAAGGAGCGAGGAGGAAGTCATGCTCGCCGCTGAGGCTGCAGTGGAGGAGATTGAGGTGTCGCGTGGCAGTGGCAGCGGGAGCGGTAGCAAGAAGACCTCCCCCTCGAGGTGGGGAGGCATGGCTGCTGCGGTCAGGTCGCTGCTTTCGTGATGCGGCACGAACCAGAGCGGCGGAGCAAGGCTCGGAGAAGTGTCGATCTCAAATACTCAGCATTCATCAGCCTTCGAATCTCTATTCTCATATGCTGTCGTTGCTCTTTTTGCGAAATGCAATATCATTCACATCCCGCGATCCCCTCGCCTGACATGACATCTATGGCCCACTGAGCTGTCCTCTCTCCCACTCCCTCCACCAGCTGACCTCACGCATCGTCCTACTCGAGGCTCTCCCCTTGTGCAGAAGCTTTGCGCCCTCACCAGCGTTCGCAGCGGTGCCTTCAAGCTCCTCGCGCACCCTTCGCACCACGCTTTCGACGAGCCTCTGTTTCCTTGAGCCAGCGCTGCTCGGCGCTGCGGCCGTTGTCGACGAAGTGGGAGCTGCGAGCTTGCTCTGCGATACCACGACGTCCACCAGCGCGGTGCGTAGCCTGACCAGGGAAGAGGAGAGCATCGTGCTTGAGGGGTCTTGTTGTTCTTGCCCAGCGCCGTTCGCTGTCGTCGTCGTCGTCGTGATCGTCGAGTCCATAGACTCATCGGGCTCTGCTGCGGCCGCAGTCTGACGCTGCTGTGAAGACAGAGGCACGGAAACCAATGCAGCCACCTGCGAGAAGAGGGCAGCGTAACGTCCCGCGATGAGGACAACTGTAGAGTCGGGAAGGGGCTTGACTTCTCCTGCAGCACCGCTACTGCCTCCCAGGCCAAAGCTGGAGAACCATCCTGACCCTGCTGAAGATGATGCAGCACCAGCGCCGGCAAGACGTGCCACTGCGTCTATCTCGCTCGTGAACCTCCTCTGCGCCAAAGGCCAGGCTTCCATCTTGAACTGCAACAAGGGACCAGTAAGCACTGCGCCTGCTCCTCTTTCTTCTGCGAGGGCGAGGAGCCGGTCTATAAGGCGCAGAGAGATAAGGAGGGGCATGAGGCCGAGCGGCGGGTACGAGGTAGAGGCGCCACCGAGGGCTGCGCTCGCAGCTTGGCCTGCTCCACCACCTGCTCCACCGCCTGACGCCGGTGTTGACGCAGATGCGACGGCCTTCGTGTTCGTCGAGCTACCGTGCAGTACCGCCCGACAGAAGTTGAGCCACGTCCCGACGACAGGCTCAAAGACCTTCCTGAAGAGCTCAGCAGAGGCCCCTCTACCTTGGAGGAGTGCTTGTTCGCGCTTGGAGAGTTGGACGAGATTGGTTGGGTCGTTGGAGTGATCGATCTCGTCTTCTTCGACAAGCTCGTCTTCGACACCTTGAGCTACAGAGGCAGATTCAGAGGGGTCGACTTCGCTGTCTTCCTCGTCGATTGTCTCATCTGCTCGTGAGGAGGTGAAGGTTGTATCCCCATCCCCTGCAGTTGTGGTCGATCCACTCCGACTCCTTTGCCCTCCTGCTGTACGACTACTCGTCCTCAGCGGCCCCATCGGCCGTACCTTCCTCCTCCGGCTACCACCGACGGTCTGCAGAGCCTCGAAGTACCTGACGAGGAACGTGAATTCTGAGCAAGCATTGTCGAAGAAGACGAGGCTGATGCTCCGCAAAACCGCTTCTGGCGGGGCAGAAAATTGGGTATCATCGCCCATGTAGCCCAGGATGGTCGGTGGGGCGTCATCCTCGTCTGGAAGAGAAGCATAGGAGAGGCGGGAGGGATCAATCAAGTAGGGATCTGCTGCGCCGGCGGCTTTGGGATCTGAAGAGGAGGAAGAGCCACCAAGGAATCCGCCGAGTGCAGCGAATGAGGATGATCCCGTGGAGGAGGAAGTGTCTACGATGCTCCCAACATCGCCACCGCCGCGCGAGGCTCCACGCTTGCGGACCTGTCCCATACTTCTCGCGTATCGCCTGAAACCAGTCTCAAAGTAAAGCCTAGCAGCGGTGACATACGCCCTCTGCACGTCGATTGCGACGCGGGGCATCTGACGAGCGAGGAAGGCGTAGAGCGGCTGGTGATGAGGGATCAATACGGATGTCTGGAGGACCTGGAGGTTGGTGGTGACCGAGGTCCGCATGAGCTGGAAGGGCGAGATGAGGTAGCTGCGCAGCTTGCTGGCGGCCATGGCCTTGCAGGCTTCGGCGATGCGGGCGGCTTCTGCTAGGCTGGCATCCTGGCTTGTGTCGGAGGTAGGGTCAGGCCCATTGCTCGCCGTCGTCGATGTCCTTCTCCCCGTGGGCGGGATGGGTCCGCTACTCGGCCTCCTCGCCGCACTCGGCCTGCTGTTCGCCATTTGATCCAATGGCCTCCTGCTCGCCTCGATACTCCTCTCCAACTCCCTGATCGCTCCTTTCCAGCTCTGATCAGGCTCGCTGTCAAAGATCTTCTCCACGACCTTCGGGTTCAGTACCAGACCCCTATCCAGCAGCCGGGCTAACGGCTCTTCCTGCTCTCGCTTCCTCCTCAGCTCCTCGTCTAGGTGAGCACTACGCTGCTTCAGTGTCGAAATTTGATGAGAGACAGCCCCGAGGTCATCAGAGAAAGTCGTGAGGAAGGACGAAAGGGAGTCGAGTGCGGAGAGGCTTGCCTGGATGTCGCTGTGGAGGGAGAGGTAGGTTGGGGCGCTACTGAGGAAGGTGCGACGCTCTGCTTCGCGTGAGGTATAATTCTGATGTAGATGCTGCTCGACTAGGGACCGGATGTCGGGGACATCGCTGGCAGCGAGAAGTGACTTGAGCTGCTCTGCCGAGGCTCCGATGTCCGATGTAGCGGCTACTGCTGTGTGCGTGGAAGGCGAGGTGATGGTGGAACGACGTGAAGTCATGCGGACAGGAGTGCGTGAGCTCATGATGGCCGAGTGGGAGCAATGGTAAGGAGGCGAAGCTACTCACGCGGCGGCGCCTTGGACGACGAGGCCTGTGACTCTGCCATGCTCACGCGATCAGGAACGAGAACGGGAGAATGACAACGGGCCGCTTCTCGAGATTGAACAAAGCCAAGCCAAGAAGCACTCAACACGACGGTCAACGCTCGAGCCAGGCGGGCGGCGGCGGCGGCGGCGGCGCCACGCGACAGGGCTGAGGGCGGACTGGAGTCAAATTTCGACCCTTGTCACCTTCTCCACGTCCCTCTACAACGCAGCATGGCCCAATTCGACAAGTCAAAGCGCTCAGTCGTCAAGCACAAGACCAGGAAACCCTTCATGGGTGGCGGAGGTGGGCCAAGCGGTGGCACAGAGGCAGGACCTTCAGAAGGGAGACCGCGATCCTTGGCCAAGGGAGGGAGGGGAGGTGGGGGCTTCAAGGTTGGTCCTCGTCACGCTCCGGATGGGGCTTACCTGGGCAAGGGTGAGTAGGCACAGTGAGGGAGACATCTCTTCAAGGCGACTCAGGGCTGATGATGCTTGACCCCTCTTCCCACTTGCCCGCAGCCAAACGCATCAAAGCCAACCTCATTGCAAATGCCAAGACCAAGCAGCGCTTCTACAAGAGCATCAAGGGCAAGGACAAAGCGGACGAAAGCGCAATGCAGATGGACCACGCTGAGCCTAGTCTGGGACGATTTGCGCCCGAGGCTGGAGCAAGACAGGCAAGAGAAGGTGGTCAGGAGAAGGAAGAGGATACGAGGCGGAGTAGAGGAAGGGCAGGACCGCCACCGCCGTCAGACGATGAGGCGGAAGGTGAAGATGCAGGAGATCAGCGCCCTCGAAGAAGACAGGATCGAGCTGGCCCTGCGGTGCCTATAGGTGGCAAGCGCGGCAGTGCGGTGAAGGGTAGCGGTCAATCCCGCACAGACGCTCCATCAGCATCCTCAGCAGACACAGCCTCTCAGCAAGCTCGTCAGCCGCCAAAGTATGCCTCACGTGAGGAAGCCCTCGCTGCTCGTAAAGAGCGTCAAGAGAAGTGGAACAAGGCCAGCGGCAGCGAGGTTGGGCGTCGGCGCGGGCAGCCAGATTTGGGCAGTAGAATGGAGGTGCTGCTCGACAAGATTCGAGCCACCTGAGAGGGTGGAGAATGGGCATTGTGGGTGAACTTCGTATATCGTATGTCATTGCTTTTTCGTGAGTATGGGGCTCGCAGCTCTTATCCTGGCCCGACCTTGGGAATGTCGTGATGCTCGCTCAGCTTCTCGAGGTACTTGTTGAAGTCCCCGACGCGCTCCTTGTGGCTCTTGCCGGCTTCTTTGCGTACTCGTTCGGCCATCTTTGTTTGCGAAGAGAAAGGGGTAGGAGTCAGCACGAAGGATTCGGACACGGTAGTGTCAAGGCAGCTACTTACCCTCTTTCTCTGCACCTCAGCGAATCGTCGCTCGGCATCCGTCATCTTCCTACCTCCGCTGCTCCCGCTGGCCCTCTGGCGCTCTTCATCTTCCTCCTGCTCTGCCAACCTTCTGAGCTCCTCGGCCGTGTCCGCTGCTGAATCCTTGTGCTTCAAGCTCGAGGATGATGACGGGTGCGACGAGGACTTGCTCTTGTGCTTTTTGTCCTTTTTGTGCTTCTTGGACGAGGATGCGTCGTCTCCGCCCTTGAATTTGAGTGACCCACCCGGCTTGAAGGACGAGTAGGCATCACTGCCTCCTCCGCTGCCCATCGTGACACGATATGCTGCTCAGCAATGAGAGCTCTAGAGATGTGTAAATTGGTACGGATGGAGGCGACGTGGAGTTGTCGAGGCCGTCCCTGTCCGCCCTCGACGTCGAGGAGCCCGTCCCGTCGCCTCTGGATTTTGGCGAATCGAGGCCTCTCTTTCCGCTCTTGCTTCTTGATCCTCATCCTCGGTAGCATACAGCATGGTAGCTCAGCCTGCAATCTCAAGCCGGGCGAGAAAGCCTCATGGAAAGCACCACGAAAGACAGCAGAGTCAGAAGGGCCCTCGTCCGGGCCCGTCAGCTCCGGCCAAAGGCTCGAAAGCTCCTTCTGCCAAGGCACCGGGCCACCAGGAGGTCGATGGCGAGCAAGAGCCGACAGCTCCCACCGCTGAAGCAGAGGCCGATGTGCCCATCTTCCAGCGCACTTCCCTCTCCCTCGCCTCCAACCCCTTGCCACCGCTCTCCTCTCTCGGTTCCACCCTTCCCAAGTTCACCAACTTACACCGCCTCGACATGAGCGATATGCAGCCGAGCCAGTCCGCCAAAGATGACGACAGTGATGATGAGGGAGAAGGCTCCTCTGGTCGGCTCAGCTCGCTGAGCTTCTTGCAAGAGGCACAGAGGGAGGCAGAAAAAGATATCAGGCGCGCGAAGAAGGCTGCCAAGAAGGGCAAGGGCAAGAACATCGAAGAGGAGGACGAGGATCGCAAGACGCTCGCCCAGAGTCTGACCTGGCTCAATCTCTCCAGCAATCCGACTCTGGGCGAAGCACAGGAGAGCTTCCTCTCTCACAGCTCCTCATTTTCCTCCGCATCATCTTCGTCCAATCCCCTCCAACCACTAAGCGCTCTCACCTCGCTCCGAGTCCTCAACATCTCCTCGTCCTCCCTCCTCTCACCTCCTCCGCGGGCAGCTCTCCTCCCTCTCGCGGAGTCTCTCTGCGCTCTCGTGCTCAGCCATAATCGGATCAAGTCCCGTCACCTAGAGGAAGCCTTGCCGAGTCTGCCTAATCTGAACACGCTGGTGCTCAGCCATAACCGGTTGACGGTGCTGCCGAAGGCTTTACCGGGGCTGCTGCCCAAGTTGACCAAGTTGAGTGTGAGCCACAATGATTTGGGTGGGGAGGAGGAAGCGAAGCAGGTGGAGGCGGATAGTGATGACGAGGACGAAGAGATGGCGGAGGGAAGTGCCACAGAACCGCTACCGGACTTCACAATGTGCACCAGTCTGCGAGAAGTCAGGCTCTCCCACAACCTGAGGTTGCGCACACTGCCTCCGCATGTGGCTACGTGGGGGCGAGGAGTAGTTGCAGAAGTGCCAACCGCAGCAGCCGATGAGGACGAGGCTTCAAGTGCACCAAGATCGAAGAGCGGGCGCGGTCTCGAGCTCCTCGACGTAGGGCACTGTGGCCTTTCCTGGTCTACCGTACAATCTTCGCTGCTCGGCGTAGCCTCCTCAGCCAGCGGGCTCAAGAACCTGACTCTGGCAGGCAATGCGGACGTCGAAGACGAGGAAGACTATAAGGTCTCCGTGCGCCAAGCTTTGCGCGCACTAGTGGTTTTAGATGGGGCGAGGGTGGTGGAGAGGGGGAAGAAGAAGAAGGATGAGGAGGGGGACAAAAGGGCTGAGAGGCGCATGATGGCGTTGGACGCAGAGGACAGCGGCGATGAGGCTGTCGAGGGGGCTGCGACATCAAACGACGTTGGGGGGAAGAAGCGCAAGAGAGGCTCTCGTGGGGGGGCCGCAGCCAAAAATAATGGTGGCACGGCCGACGCCGAGCAGGGCACAATGGCTGAGGTTGCTTCGGACGACGAGGACGCTAGCGCAGGCAAAGGCAAGACGAAGAAGAGCAAGAAGGACGGCAAATCGCAGTCCGACGATTCGACGGCAGCTTCTGTCCCACCAGTGCCATCAGCACCTTCAAGTGGGAAACGTGCGAAACGTGGCGGCAAGGAGAAGAAGGCGAAGAGAGAGGAGGGAGACGTCAAGGATGATGAAGATTGGCTGGCGCACACGCGAGCCAAGGCTGTCGCGGCGGCTGCGGTTGCTGATGGTGAGGAGGAGAATGCGGAGGGAAGGGCGAGCGGTGGGGAGAAGAACAAATCGAAGAAGGACGGCAAGAAGGGGAAGGGGAAGGGGAAGGATGATGAGAAGAAGAAAAAGAAGCAGAAGGATAAGGATGCAGCCCCTCGCAAAGCGTGGGACGAGGTCACTCCCGCCACGACCGCGGCCGCAGCCTCTGAACAGCCAGCTCAGCCGACAGGCAAGGGCACCGCAGTTGCGGGCATCGTCGAGGTCAAGCGTAAGCGCGAGCGTGAGCAGCAGCAGCAGCAGCAGCAACACCTGCAGATGCAGAAGCAGCCCGGCTCGACTGTGGGCAGCGGAATGGGCGGCGGATGGGGCGCTGCGGACGGCGAGGGTGATACTTGGGGTACAGGCCAGTCGGCCTGGGATTGAGCGATGCAATGCTATCCTTTGCAAACAACGATGTGAACGAGTCGACCTCTCTGCCTTCCTCGTCTCTCTTGCTCTTCACGGCCCTCAATTCCCCTTTTCACCCAGCGCAGGCACAAACAATGTGGAACCCCAGCAGCGCCACATCCTGCTTACTGCCTCCCTGGCCGCCGCGTCCGCCTGAGCGTCAAGTGAGTTGCCGTTGCTCTGGCTCTGCTTGGTCGCGCGTACAGCAGCAGCTGACTCGAGTTCTCGTACATCTTCAAGGAAAGCCGAGAGGCGAAGCTCGGCCCCATTTGTTGGGCTGGCTTGTTGAGGTGGAGGCGACGAGGACGAGAGGCTCGAGGAGCGGACGCGTCTCTTGCGATGCCCGGCACCGCCGTGACGGCTGGAGCGACGGGGCCCTACAAGTACGCTGGAACCTGCTTTACGCAACGCCGCCAGCTCGAGGAGGGCGTTTCCGTACTCCTTCGCGGCGGCCGCTGCGCTCTCCCCCTCCTCGCCCGCTTTGGCGCCTGCGGTGAGCATCCTGTCCACACATCGCATGCTCGCCCACGCCCTCTGCTTCTCCCTCGCGGTGTTCCCCCTTTGTGCTCCCGCAGACGTCCTGCCCCTCAGCAACCATTGCCCTGCCTTGACTCCTGCCCAAACGATTCCCATCGCAGGGGCAATACCCACCGCCCCGAAGAGGAGAGCCTGGCTCTTGAGCAGGTGATCAATGCCCCCCATTGCAACGGCGAGGTCATATTTGGCCTTTTGCACTTGAATGAGCAGCAAACGAGGCAGTGAGCCGCCAGCCAGAGACTTGAGCGGGGTTTTGAGCTGATCCTCGTATGCCAGCATGACCACGTCCAGGTCGCCTTCTCTCACTTTTGCCCTCAAAGACTCTCGACGAGCCATATCCTCTGGGCTCAGGTGTCCCTTGTCGAGCGCATACTGCGTGACCATCCTCTCCAGCGACTCGAGGTCGGCCTTGCGCCCTTCCTTGGTCACAATGCTCGTCGTCTCGTCTCCGGCCGCGTCCCCGCCGCGAATCGTATCGAGCAGCTCAGACACAGGCTGAATAAGCCAGTTGCGGACAAAGCCTTCGAGGGTCTCACGCCCGTCTCCCAGGGCCTGGGAGAGTGCGTCCCTGTTCTGCGAGGCAAGACGGAGCGTGATGAGCAGTAGGGTCGGATAAAGAACCAGGCGAGGCCAGATGAGAGAGAGGCGACTTGGAGGAGAGAGGCCCAGGGGGGCTGCAGAGGTAGCGCTGCGCTGGTGTTGGGGGCGGCCATCTGCCGCTGCAACGTCGAGAAGGGTTTGAAGGGAGGCTTGCTGCGGCGTCTTCTGCGCTTGCAGGCGCGGGGAGCGTCGCAGCCGGTCTTCATCTTGGCTGCTGAGCTGCAGTGTCTCCTGTAGCTTGGAAATGAGCTTCTCACACTCTTCTTGAGCGGCTGCCTCGCTCTTTGGCTCCTTGCCGTTTGCAGAGGGCAGAGCCAGAGCCGTCAGCGTGAGAGCGCCCAATTGCTGCGCTACAGCGTCTCTTCGCTCATCGAGGAGTGCGCGCTTTGATGCTGCCTCGTGGACAGTAAGGCTCAAGGGTGAGAGGCGCTTGGCTCTGCGCAGAAGGAGGAGGGGGCCAGCGAGAGCCTTGGACCCTCGGCTGCTGCCCGGTCCTGAGGAGGCGGTGACAGCGTCCGAGTCTGCAGACGAAGCGTCGACCGAATGGGGCCAGAGGGCTCCCACAACGACGTCGGGTGTCTTTCTCAGCTGAGCAACAGTAGCAGCTACCGTCTGTCTGTTAATGCGCGGCGGGCCCGAGCTGGCACTGCTCGTCGTCTCGCACAGGATGCGGTAGCTCTCCCTTGCTAGAAGGACCAAGCGCGAGGGCAGCGTCTGTACGAGGTAGCTGAGCGCAGACCATGTCGACTCTTCGATGTTGGACCAGTACCACGTCGCGTCCTGGAGTCGATCAGCCTCATGGAAGAGATCGTCGAGGGCGAGGGCATAGACTGCGAGTGTGATGCGGGAGAGGTCCGATGAAGAGGCGGTTGATGTGGTAGGCGAAGAGACCGAAAGGCTGCGAAGGACCTCGAGGACTTCTTTGCGGCTGGGGATCGCGGTGGCTTCACGAATAGATTCTGGCAGGAGAGCCTCATCCTCTTCTTGAGTGGATGGTGCGCTTGCTTGACCGCCTTTGCTGCGCAGGCGACGCTTCGACTCGATGGCCCGCGTCTGCTGAGCTTCGAGGGCGTCAATTGCCCGTGACGTGGTGGCAAACCAGTCTAGGGCCAGCGAATCTGCCATTATATGTGAGAGAAAGGAGGAGTGGGTGGATAAGGTGTTGGGTCTTGGTTCGCAGCTGTTGGCTTCTCCTGCCAAATGTGGACGGAACAAAGGGCGATGAGCCTGAGACACGCGAGACGGGACGGCAGACGGGCGCATTCAGGTGGGCGTCGAGTCGATTGGCCGGAGTGGAGGCTGGTCTGGCGGCACTTTGACGCACTCGAGACCGGGCTGCTCCGCTCGAAGCTTCTCTCCTCACCATTCACCACATTCGTACCATTCACTCATCATGATCCGCACTGCTCTCGCTCGCTCCACCGCAGCCGCCTCGGCCGCTTCGAGGTCCACTGTCGCATCGCTGCGCATGAAGCACACCCTCCCCAAGCTCCCCTATGACTACAATGCCCTCGAGCCCGCTATCTCTGCTCAGATCATGGAGATCCACCACTCCAAGCACCACAACACCTACGTCAACAACCTCAACGCCGCAGAGGAGACCCTTTCCAACGCCCTGGCAAAGAATGACGTCAAGGGAACCATCGCATCTCAGTCGGCCATCAAGTTCAACGGAGGTGGGCACGTCAACCACTCGCTGTTCTGGCTCAACCTGGCGCCTGAGAAGGAAGGTGGAGGCAAGCTTGTTGACGGTCAGCTCAAGGCTGCGATCGAGAAGCAATTCGGTGGTCTTGATGAGCTCAAGAAGGTGAGCGAGCGTCAATGCAGCATGCATACACTCTCCCGTGCTCACCTGTCTGATTCCCCCCACCCTCTCCCTGCTATTGCCTCCCCCATTACCTCCCTCGCAGAAAGTCAACGCTCAAGCTCTCGCAATTCAAGGCTCCGGCTGGGCCTGGCTCGGGTACGACCCCTCGACCAAGTCCCTCGACATTGTCACCACAAAGGACCAGGACCCCCTCCTCTCCCACGTGCCTCTCGTCGGCATCGACATGTGGGAGCACAGCTACTACCTGCAGCACCAGAACAACAAGGCGGCTTACCTCGAGAATGTCTGGAAGGTCGTCAACTGGAAGACTGCTGAGGAGAGGATGAAGCAGGCCAACTGAGCCAGCAGATAGAGATATGGCGAGAGGGACGCAGAGCTACACGTCCCGTCGGCCTCGTGAAATGTCTGCACCGCTGAGAGATAGGAATGCAAAGTGTACGAAGTGTCATATCATGTCTGCTTTTTGTGTCTTGCGTGTTCAGAGTGAAGCCTTTTGCAGAGCTAGCTGAGATGCTCAGCGATATCGAATGTGGGCGTTGTGTGCTCTCGTTGAGTCGTCCCGCCGCGTGGCTTCACTCGACTGCGAAGAAGCCAAGCGGACCGTCTCGCGAATCTCGCAGTCTCGCGACATCACTTCCTTCGTTCCTTCCCATCTTGTCTTGACTGCCGTCGACCCTCTCCTTCCACCATAATGGCATCAACAGAAGCAGCCGCCGAAGAGCCACAAGCTGTCGCTCCTCCACCGCAAGAAGTCCTCTACTGCCCGCACTGCACCTTCCCCCCCGAGTACTGCAGCTTCGGTTCCTCTGCCTCGAAATGTCGCGCTTGGCTCGTTGCTGAGCATCCTGATCTAGCGGAGAAGATCTACGGATCCTCAAGCGGAGGCGATGGAGCTGATGCTGCTACTGCTGCTGAAGGGAGCGCCAAGAAGGGAGGAGCCGCCAAGGGCAAGAAGGGCAAGGCGGCAGATGGAGACGACGAAGAGCCAGACGTGGACGGCACGGCCAAGCAAGTCGAGGAAGGATTGACGCTCAAGCAGCAGGAGGATGAGGCGAAGGAGCGCGAGAAGAAGGAGAGGAGAGAGGACAAGAAGAGGGAGAAGGAGGCAAAGGAGAGGAAAGTGAGTTGGTGCCAGCTCCATCGAAGCAGCTTCTCGTCGTCCTCTTTCAACGAGTGATCGCTGACCTCCCTTGCCCCATCATGCGCTGCCAGGCCGCCAAGATCACCCTCACCAAGCATTCTCGTACGAAGAAGAAGGCCACTACCACCATCAGTGGTCTACACTTCTTCTCCCCACCCCTCCCAGCTCTCAAAGTCATCTCCAAGGGTCTCGCCTCCCGCCTAGCCACAGGCTGTTCGGTCTCCAAGTCCCCCTCGAACCCAAACGTCGAAGAGATCACTATCCAAGGAGATGTAGCAGAAGATGTCAAGGACATGATCTTGGCGAGACAGAAGCCTTTCAATGATTTGAAGGAGGGCGATGTCTCCGAGAGTCAGGTCAAGGTGGAGGAGGAGAAGAAGAAAGGCAAGGGGGCCGGGGCTGAGGGGGAGTAGATTGCAAGATGTATGCGATGATGATGATAATTTATCGACAATGGCAGCGCGACGCAGAAAATGATGAGTGAGGTTGAGCTCAGATGATGATATACACAACTGTCTACGGGAAGGTGGGTATGATGAGACGGACACCTCCTATGCGTCCCTGTTCTTTGCTCCTGCGGTCCTGCGGCCCTTCGTTCCGTGCGCTTCACGATTACTTCTTCTTTCCCTTCTCAACTGTCTTCTCCAGCACGCTCAAGTGCCGCTACCACCCACGCCTGCACCTGCACCTGCACTACCAGTCAACAACTTACTGTTGCCAGCATAATTTGCCCGGCTCAACCTCCTCTCCCGTGAATCCTCCGCAGGAATGCGCGGTGATGCTGGTGGGGAGGACAGAACGGTTGAAGAAGACCATGATCCGAAGTTAGGTCCGGCAAAGGGTGGGCTGGAAGGATGCGGCTTGTACGCTGATCGGGGCAGTGTGGAGACGGGCGTGATGGGAGGTGCCACCGCTTGGACTTTATTGCTCTTCGGTGGGGCAGGAGCAGCGGAGCTCTCTGCGGCAACGCTCGCAACGGCGGCAGCCGCTGCTGCTGCGGTAGTTGATCTGGACGAGGAGGACGAGACCGTCCTCTGCAGTAGAGCGCGTCGTGCAGCCGTGACGGCAGGCGAAGGGTCTTCTTTAGATGAGGCTGTCCCTTCTGCGAGCGAGACAGAGGTCGATGCTGAGGGAGGCTGCATTGTCAGCCCGTCTGGGGCTGCGCTGACAGGTCGCGATGACTGCGAGGCTGCCTGTTGCTGTTGATGAACAGAGGATGCTGCTTCGTCTTCCGCCACGGACGAGGGGCTGCGGCGTTGCTCTTTTGACGACGAAGAGGCCCAGAGCATAGCCATCATCCCCAGAGCCAAGGCGTAGGGCCTGCTTGGACCTCCACGCTTTCCAGACAGGGCTGGATCTGCCTGACCGGCGACTCCCGCTCCCGGCGTAGCAGCAGCCTCACTTCCATCCCTCACCACTGCACCCGACCCCACTCCGACCGAACTCGCGTCACTACTCTTGGCCGCGCCGTAGCTGAACGAGCGCATCGCATGCGCACTCGACGTCTCCACGACGGGCTGCGACGAATTTGATACATGCCTCCTGAACCCTGGCCTGGAGCGGCTGAAGGACTGAGAAGACGCAAAGGCCGAAGGAGGAGAGGAAGGATCCCAAGCTTTGAACGGGATCCGGCTGGGGGAGGCTTTGCGATGCGAGGTGGACGGGATAGTTGGAAGCGGGGCGGTTAGGGCAGAATGGCCACACCCGCTAAGAGGGCTCGGAGGCTTGATATCAGCTTTGCTCCCGATTGCTTCGCTCTCATCGTCGCTGTGCTCTGCACTAGCGCTTGGGCCCCTCGCTCCAGGCGCCAAGGCCGAGATGAGCGCGTCTGATCCTGCGAGCAGCATAGCGGACAGCTCTGTGGCCTCTTGCTCCATGCGGATGCGACTGGGCGAGCGCGGTGTGGCACCCGAGCCTGCGGCCGTGGGCGACCCTGCCAGCGCAAAAGCGGAGGAAGAGCTACCTTGGCGGCGATGTGGTGATTGAGGAAGGAGCTGAGGGAGGAGTTGCGGCGATTGAAGAGAAGTGGAAAGGGCTTCCGCCAGGACTGATTTGGCTTCTTCTCCATTGTCGTGATCGCCACCCTCATCGTCTGCTGCGCTTGTGTCGCCTACTCGCGTCGCCTCAGCGTCTTCCTCCGCCGTCGTTCTCGCAGCCATCGAGAAGCGTTGCAATCGCTCGCCGAGCTGAGTTTCGCCTCGCAGTTGGCCAAGGGCATCGTCGCCGCTGTCCTCTTGGGTTATGACGGTGGACGCCCGTTTTGAATTCGACATCGACTCATTCGAGTCGTCTGTCGTAAGCGCAGCATGATCAGAGACCACGATCGTCAGGTCGCCCTCGCCTTCTTCGGTGCGTTGCTGGTCACGGTCGTCCTGACTGGTTGGCGACGACTGCTCCGAGGCCCGGTCACCACGAGAGGAGGCGTCGGTAGAAACGACGGACCTAGAATGGAACGACGAGGGAGAGTGACTCTGCGGCGTCAAATCGTGCAGTCTGGTTGACAAGCGCTGCAGGGTCAGAGGCGGGACGAGAAGGTTATTGCCTGCCGTTGGGACCTTGAAAGACGAGGGTGAGGAAGGTGCTGACGACTCGGAGATGGTGGAGGGTGCAGAGTTGTGGGTGGACGAAGCACCCGAAGTATTGTCGGCTGTTGTCACCGTCGTCGGCTTCGACTGCGATGGGTCTGCGGCCGTCTCCTTCGCCCTCCGAAGCGGGCCTTTGCCGATCTGACCTGGCAGGCCACGCCCACGACTCCAGCGCTCGTGACCCTTGACACAGACCTCATCTCGCAATGATGCGCCAGGAGGAGCCGTAGGTCCCAAGATAGCCTCGTGCGGTTTGATCTTGAGCGCAGCCTTGGAAATGAGACTGAGGGAGCGCGGTACCATGGTTGAAGCCACCATCCTGACTACCGAGTTGGGTACCCACGATGCCAGCTCGCCAAGATCGGACAGCTGTGTGACCCTGATGGCGTCTATGCCTCGCATTTCCTCGACCATGAAGCCTCCCACGCCCAGATCCCAACGCACGTAGCCCTTGACTGGAGGCTTGGTGGGGTCAACCTCTGACCGGCAACTCGAGACCATCCTGAGCGGGCATTCGGCAGTCGCTGGCAGCATGACATCTGCAGAAAGCAACAGCATATCTCTTGGCTTGGCGACCATGAAGATTGCGCCCATGCGCAGATACTCGATACGCGCTGCTATGCTGCGTGCCAGGGGCGCCTCGTTGGATCCTAGCTCCTCCTCAAGCCAACGCCAGTTGCCTCCCTCCTGCACTGTCGTGTCCCACAGCCTGCGATTGCCCGACTCTGCCATGAGCGTCCAGAATTGTCTGCTTGACACTCCAGGCAGGATGCTCTGCACGCAAAATAGATTCTTGGAGGACGAAGGGTACGATGAGACCTTGATCGACGATGTGACAGCTGTTGCCTGCGTCGTCGAATAGATGACGTTCCAGTCCGAGATGGGAATGGGCACCTCTGCGTTTGGTGGCTCATCGATGGGGAGCAAGTGAGCCGAGGGCGGGTCGAGGTACATAAGGAATTGCCGGAGTAGCTCGAGGGCGTCTTGGGTGAGCTCAGATGGTGACCGCGGCGGTAGCGGCGCGTTCGAGGTTGGCGGCGTGCCACCAGCACCAGCTTGGCCGCTGCCGCTGCCACTGGCCGATCTCCTGCCTCGCCGCAGCGTCGAAGCGCCATTGGAGATCTTGGAAGGCATCGTCACTGACTCAATGCCTCTGCATGGTCGTGGTGACAAAAGGGAGGAAATAGCGGCGGTGCCTCCGACGCAGACGTTCACCTCCTCCTGACGCCATCGGCTGCCGCCCCGCGAGAGAGCAACACCTCGAGGAATCACGCCGGCTCGCGTGGCTCTGTCCGCCTGCAGCGGGAATCAGCGGCGGCTAATGGATTGAGGCTGAGTGAGAGCTTTGCCACCTTCTCGCTGCGTACCAACACCGGCCGACGTCGATAGAGAGCTTGGAAGATGCTGGCTGCCACCCTGAGAGATGCGACTCAAGCGCGCAGAGGTCTCGCTGTAGATCTCATCAGGGCATTCCCTTATACCTATCAGGCTGCCGGCCCATCATCGCAGCGGCTCCTCCACTCGTCACCATCTTGTAATGACGACCTCGACCTCGACCCAGAGTCAATCCAGGCCAAGATGCTCGCCAAGCTCCAGTCACGCTATACGAAGCCTCAGCCACCGCAAGCTTCGGCGCAGCAGCATCAAAGACAACAGCAGTCTCCTCCCGACCAGTCTCCCTCTCCCCTGCCACCGTCAGTCGCCGAGCAAGCCACCACCTCACCCGAGGCCGCAGCAGAGGCGATCACGCATCTCGTGGCAGAGTCCCTTATCGAGGCTGAGGCGACCGGGGTGGCTCAGGCTGCCCTAGCCGCTGAGACCGCAAGTCCGGCCCAGCCACCACCTCCAAGCGACACCACCCCCGCCGAGGCTCCCACCGTAGGCAAATACGAGGAAGGACGCTTCCTCCCCAAGACTCCAGACAATTCTCCATGGCTAGCGCGGTACGTCCGTCCGTCTCATGCCGGCTCAGCAGAAGGGGCCGACGTGCCCTCGATCTACTACGGAAAGCTGCTCAAGCCTGGCGGCATCCGTGGGAACAGCAGTGGCACGATGAAGTCCACCAGCCAGCGCCTGAAAGACCTTGGGGTCAATCCAGCTTCGCTCCCGCTGAACGATGCAAAAGCTATGCGCGCTGTTCAGGCTGGAATACGTCGATTTGAACGAGCAGGAAGGATGGTCGGGGCTAAACATGGGGCGTGGCAATACAAGTCGCGCAAGCTGAGCGAGGCGGAGATCGAGCAGTTCAGGCAGGAGGTAGAGGCAGAAGCGGCTCGCGCTCTCGAGGAAGACGAGACGACCGACTACAGCGACGATGGCAATCGTACAGTGATGCGTCGCGGATTCCCCACCGGTACTGACACCAGTCGGGCCCCAGGTGGCGGAGGAGGCAGCGGCATGACCCTTCGCCGTTGGACATCTGTCGCAGACGAGCGCATCGAAGCTGCTCGAGCTGCCGGCCTCTTCAAGGAGAACAAGCTTCGAGGCAAGCCCTTGGAGGCAGAAATACACGAACGTAATCCCTACTTGGGGCATGAGGAACGACTTATGAACCGGATGATCAAGAAACAGGGCGCGAGCCCGCCTTGGGTCGAGCTCAACAACACCTTCCATTCGCATTTGGGTCAATTTAGGGGGAAGCTGGTCGATACATTTGCCAGGAGAGCAGTCAGGGCTTTGACGCAGAGCGGGGCTCTACTGTCCAGCGGAGGGCCGGGGACGGGCACGACAGGAGGAACGGAGGAGTCTCGTCGTGCCTACTTCCTAGCACTAGCGCAGGGGTATCGCGACGCTAATTGGGAGAGGGAGGAGCGCGCATACCACGAGGAGTCGGTCAAGGATCTCAACGACACGCTCCGCCGCTACAACAGCATTGCGCCTCCTTCGGCAAGGAAGAGCCCGGTGGTCAGGGAGGTGGAGCTACAGAGGTGTTACGAGGTAAGCGCAGAGGTCATTGCGGAGGGGCTGAATGAGGCGTGGCTGGAAGTGACAGGGCAGAAGGTCAGGCCGGACATGTCTAGTGGAATGTTTGGAGGAAAGAGTGGTCCACAGGTGTACGACATATGGGGCAGACCGGTGCAGGACAATGCGAGCACCAGCGCTGGTAATGGTGGCGGATGGTCGCTTTCGAGCCTCTTCGCGCGTGACCACGCAGCTGACCTGGAGCGCTCGAATGTGGGAGGGGATGGCGATGAGAGGGACAGCGTTCGCAATCGGAGCGACGCCGACCAGACAGGGCTGCATCGACGAAGCAAGAGCAGCGCAGAAGGTGTTGGCCTGATCACGAAGATCAAGCAATGGCTGGCGCTAGAGGGCGGCAGTAAAGATGGCGAGGAGGCCTCTCGAAGATCATGAGGGGCTAGAAGCATTTGTATCTTACCTCCCACTGTAACATAGTAAGCAACTTCCACATCTCATTCAGTCAGACGAGCGAGCGGCGACTTCTCTCTATCTCTCCTGCAAGTTGCTCTTCTTCTCGTTCAATCGCCGATTGTGACTTCGGACTGTTCGACAGGAACAGCGAACGAGCTCGATCTCAAGTGTTGGTCTGCGCGTCCGCGTCATTTTCGTGGGCCGACGCGGGCTGCGTCTGCTTGGCTGTGCCGCTCGTCGAGGCCCCTATCGAGCCAGGCGGGCCACTTGCCGCTTTGGACGGACAGGGGTCGAAGTTAATTGAACACAAGCGGCAGCCAGGCGGCGACTAGCAGTGAAAGGCAGAGGCGGCTTGATCCCTTTGATGGTGACGAGGGCCGCCACTCGCTCATCCATCTCTTCTTCACTTTCATCCATACCTTCGACTTCAGCTCGCTCAACGCACCACGACGGCTTTGTTTGTTAGCCTTGGCCGTTTACTGCCCACACAAGCAAGCGCGCCGAGCTCGCGTGGACCAGCCGAGCGTGCCTCACGCACCTGATAGATTCTACCCTCAACGGATCGGCAAGACACGACCCAGAAGCATGGCGAGGTACGCCCCAATCGAGGCCGACAACGGCATCGGAATCGACACTGATACCAGAGACTACTACGACGATGGAGGTGAGTCCATTAGCGCTTGTAGGCTACCACACGAGAGAGAGAGATGAGCGGCTCCACCCAACTGTCAGGGGCGGGCGGAAGGGGGGGCTATGCTCCATCGGCAGTAGCGTCAACGCTTGGCGTTAGTGCAGTCGGCCGGCCGAAAAAAGAGCGTACGGTAGGGGTGACGATGCCCAGTCGGGCAAATGTCGCCAAGAAGCAGCAATTGCTCGACCCCCGCACATCACGAAATCGCCTGAATTGGCGTCGCCGTCGGCCAACACTGCACCACTGAAGTGGACAGTCCATCGTACGCTCGCTCGTTCTCTGCCTTGGTCAGGAGTCTCTCTCAAACGGCGACGTAAAGAGGAACCTCTTGTATTGACAATAGCACCGTCTTTCTCACCCTACCACCATCCGCTCAGCGCTTCCGCCTCCTCATCGACTCTCCACTCTCTACTCTCCCTCTCCATACCACGAAGCCCTACCAGCAGGCTCAAGAACATCACTGCATCAGAGTGGCAGCAGCAATCGCTACAGCGATCCATTTCACCGCTCTTCATCCTCGCGCCCCGTAAGCATGGACAGCAATCACAATGGCGGCTACAGCTCTCGTCCCATCGCGGGAGGCGCGGCAGCTGGCGGTTACTATGGCAACGGCGGCGGAAGCACAAGGTACGACGATGCATATGCACCGTACGGCAAGATGGGCGGTAGCATAGACGATATGCACGAGCATGATGGCGCTTGGTCAGGAGCACCGCAGACACAAGGTATGCTGCCTGGACGAACCGTAGCCTTTGCCAATGCCAGTGCAGGCTGGGCTGCTCACACTCCTGCACTCGACGCGAGAGAACGCTACATGGCACGGATGGAGGCGAACGGCGGCAACGGAGGCGGCTACGGTGACTACAGCGAGAAAGCCGCGATGAGCGGAGCGCGCGGCAGCAGGAAGAAGTGGTGGTGGATCGGTGGCGCCATTGCTCTCATCATCATCATCGCCGCAGCCGTAGGCGGCACGCTTGCCGCAAAGAATTCTTCGTCGTCCAAGGGCTCAAATACGGCCGGCGTAGTCAAGACGTCTGGTAACGACCCTTCCAGCTTCACGAAGGACCCGCGACTGAAGCAGAGCTTCTACAGCATGTGCTACACTCCGTTCCACGCTCAATACCCGGCTTGCGGGGCGGTTCAATCGAATGTCACCGAGGACATCCAGCTCCTTTCGCAACTGACTACCAGGCTGCGCCTCTACGGCGCGGATTGCGGTGTTAGCGAGATGGTCCTCACAGCCATCGAAGAGACCAAAGTCAACATGACCGTATGGCTCGCCTTGTGGGTAGACGACAACGCTGAGACATGGCAGCGTCAGCTCTCTACCACGCAAGATGTGCTCAAGAAGCACGGGGTGGACCACGTCGAGGGCTTGATTGTGGGCAACGAGTACATCCTCAATGGCGGAAGCGTGGCCACGCTGCTGGAGAAGATCACCCAAGTCAAGACGTGGGTGTCGGGGCAGAACTACGCGAAGACAGTTCCCATTGCGACGGCCGATGCGGGCAGTATGATCACGACGGAGCTTGCGCAGGGAGTGGATGTGGTGATGGCTAATGTGCACGCTTGGTGAGTAGGGCGCCGCGGCGACGACCCTGGGCGGCACTGTTACCCCGATAGTAATGCGGCAACGCTGACCGGCTTCTTCACTTACGCTCACGCTCACGCTCAGGTTCGCCGGCACGCTCGTAAGCGACGCCGCTGGCTGGACGTGGGACTACACCAACAACAACGACCCAGGCATCGCCGTAGCCGCGGCCACCAACAAGCCCGACCTCTGGATCGCGGAAACGGGCTGGCCGACCAACGCAAACGACACTGCTTCGCTGACCCTGCAAGGCGCTCAAGCAGGTACGGCAGAGCTGCAGACTTTCCTCGACACCTTTGTCTGCCAAGCCAACGCAAACGTCACCGCGGATGCCACGGCGGTTGCGGCCGGTACGCCGGTGACGGTGTACAACAAGTACGCCTTCTTTGAGGCCTTCGATGAGACCTGGAAGTCCATCTATGGTGGTGTGGAGCCTTATTGGGGGCTGTTTGACGCGAACAAGCAGCTCAAGAATGTTACGATTCCGGATTGCGCCAGTGTATGAGCGGCGGGGCAGGCGCGGCGGTGGGCGCAGTGGTGGGCGCGGCCGGGGACGCAGCGATATTGGACACTCTCTTGACTCGACTTTTTCTCTCTCGCTCTTTCTCATGGACAATTCTGCGCGCCCTCAATCATGTTGTCAATATCACGATGCGTTCCCAGCGAGTTTGTTTGACCTGGACGATTGCTTGTCACGACTGCGAGGCCGTCGTAGCATGCTAGACGGGAAGACGCGCTTGAGCGACGCAGCTCTAGCGATGCAATTGTGCTTTGCTGCGCTGCATTCTCACCGCTCTCTTACCTGGAAACGGGTGCACCTGAGCGATTCTTCTCCCTCTGCGCGCGCCGTGAAGTTTTCGTCTCCCTCGACAGAGTTGGATTGAGTGCTCAGTCCGCCAGGCTCACGCCTGCGCTTTGACTGCTCTCTAATTCAGTTGGTCAGGGGTTCCTCTAGGACCTCGAGTATCGCGCCTGGGCTCGCCCAGGGTCGCTGATGATGTGGAAGGCAGGCAACTGCGCACCACGCCGAATGAGTCCAACTGCAGTTGTCGAGGGATAAAGACTGGGAGCTGGCGAGATCATTGTCTCTGAAAGCGCGCTAAGGCCTCGCAAAGAGGAAAAGCTTTTTTTCTTTTTGTGTCGCCGAGTGATACGTGTGGCTATTAGTGGGATGGGGTGGGGCTCTCCTTTTTGGCTCCGGACCTAGGTCGACGCGGCGGTGCAAGGTGGACTTGGAAGGAGTGGAGGAGGAGGGGCTTTAGGGCGTAGGCGCGAGAACAACACTTTGCGAAGGAGAGCGAGCAACATCACACAGCCGCACAGCCTCTTTCGGTCACTCAATCTTACTCCTTCGCCGCTGCTCCTCACCATCGCTCATCATGGCTCCATCATTCAGCGGCGCCTTTCAAAAGATCTTCAAGCCTGACTCACACCATGAGCCCGGCGCCGCTCCTTCAGCGTCGGCATCAATGCCAGTGCCGCCTACCGGCAACTCGAACGGCTCGGTAACCGTGGGCTACTTCCCGAACTGGGCCATCTACGGGCGCTCGTACAAGCCACACAACATCCCTTGCTCTTCACTCACCCACCTCCTGTATTGCTTCGCTGACGTCAAGTCGGACAGCGGCGAGGTCTTCCTGACCGACGCCTGGTCTGACGAGCAGATCCACTACGATGGCGATTCGTGGGAGGAGCCTGGGTCGAATCTTTACGGCAACCTCAAGGCCATCTACAAGCTCAAGCAGCACAACAGACAGATGAAGGTGCTGCTCTCCATCGGCGGATGGACTTACTCCCCTCACTTTGCGCCTATGGCTTGCGACAAGAGCAAGCGGGCACGATTCGTGGCTTCGGCAGTGGACCTGGTCAAGGACTATGGCTTCGATGGACTTGACGTTGACTGGGAGTATCCACATGATAGTAGGCAGGCAGATGACTACGTAGCCCTTCTCAGGGAGCTCCGCGAGGGGCTCGACGGGCTGCAAGGACACTTGCGGGCGCAGACCCCCTTCGAGTTGACGATTGCGGCCCCTTGCGGGATGGAGCAAGCCAAGAAGCTCAAGATTGGCGAGATGGATCGCTACCTGTGCGTGCGAAAAGCCCGCTCGAGATAGACTGTAAGAAGTCTGAAGTAGCTGACGCTCCCCACTCTTTGCTGCCCGCACGCAGCACCTTTTGGAATCTAATGGCCTACGACATGGCTGGCTCCTGGGACAGTCTTGTGGGCCACCAAGCCCCCCTCTTTGGCCCCTCGCCAAACGTCCACGAAGCAGTCGAGCTCTACCTCTCACACGGCGTGGCAGGCGCGCACAAGCTCGTCCTCGGCATGCCCCTCTACGGTCGCGCCTTCGAGCACACAGATGGGCCCGGCTGCCCCTACCAAGGTGTGGGCGAGGGAAGTTGGGAGGCCGGCTCGTGGGACTACAAAGCACTGCCCTTGCCGGGATCACAGGAGCACTTCGATCCTCAAGCGGTCGCGGCGAGCTGCTATGATGCTGACAAGAAGAAGTTTGTCACCTACGAGAGCATGCAGTCCTCCCTGGCTAAGGTGAGGTACATGCGCGACAGGGGAATGAAGGGGGCGATGTGGTGGGAATTGAGCGGGGATAGAGAGGGCGAGGGCAGCATTGTGGGGAGAGTGGCGCGGGAGATGGCCCCGCTTGATGCGACGCCCAACCATCTCGACTATCCTACAAGCAAGTGGGATAATCTGAGGGAGAAGAGGATCTGACGAGGGAATGAGGGTATGAGAGAAATAGATTTGCTTAGTGCGCTTGCTTGCTGCGCTTGCTGATGCGTGACATGATGCTGATGCCCTGTGGCCGTTTCGACGCCCTTGTTCCCTTTTTCCCTTTCGCCAGCTACGCCTCCTTTGCCTCCTCCGCCTCGTTCTCCCCCTCCCCACTCGTCTCCTCTCGCTCCCAGAGTACCAGTGCGGCACGCTTGTGAGGCAATTGGATCTCACGATGAACCCTCCCACCAGTCTCGCACTCATAGCGGATCATCTTGTCATTGGTGACCTTGGGCTCGGAGCAAATGAGCGGGCAGCGCGGCTCGAGCTGACGAATCATCTGCGGGGGAAGATCGAGGGAGGCCAGAGGGTGAGATCACTTGATTTTAAAGTTACCTGCGGTACTGCGCTGCACTCACCTCGACAACAGACGGCATCCAAGCATGAACGCGATGAGGTCCTCGAGCCCACTCCTCTCCCACGAGTGCATGGAAGCCCATTGCCTGCTCTGGCCAGTCATAATGCGGCGCCAGGTTGCTCTCGGCAGCCCAGTAGATCTCAATGTAACCCCAAGGCTTGCCCAGCTCGTCGCCTTTGTCCATCTCCGAGCGGCTCCAATAACCGATCAGCCCGAGCTGGTCGTCTCGCCCCTGCACATCAGCCAGGTAGGCGCGCTGCTTCTCCTCGCTCCACGCCTGGTCCCATCCTTGAGCTACGCGGGGCGATTTCTGCCAAGCGGTGAAGAGGGAGAGGTGTGGAGAGTGAGGGGACAGGGATGCGGGGACGTAGTGAAGAACATTTGGTTGGGGGAGGGAGGGGAAGCGGCGAGTGTAGAGGGCGCGTAGTGGGCGTGAGGATGAGTTGGAGGGCTCGACATCGTGGTGGAGCGAGGGGCGGCCTGCATTAGGGGCGGATCGCTGCTGTGAGCGGCATCGAGGCAGCAGCTCGTCCAAGATGTCGGGTGAGGCCAGATGGCCAGCGTCGACTGGTTGAGATTGTGAGTATGAGGGGCGCACGGTCATGTCAGGGCGCATCGAGGACAAAGAAGAAGGTCCTGGCTCTGTCTTGGAGTCCGTGTTCAAGCCGATGTGGATGCTGCTGCTCCTTGGCAGTGAGTGAGGCGGCGTCGCAGGAGGTGGAGCCGTCGTGATCATGCTGGCGAGCGATGGAGATGATAGGTGTGGTGGGGGTCCAACTCGGAACTGATCGTCAATGCTGTGATAGTAAGGGAAGCAAGCTTGTCAAGGGGCGCTCTCTCCTTGTCGAGCTCATCGGGAGCAAATGGGGCTAGCCTAGTGCGACATCGGTCTTTGTTGGAGCGTGCACGGCCTGCAGCAGAGGGCGACGAGGGCAAGGCAAAGGGTCCTGGAGATCCGCCCTCGCCCAAAAGTCGATTACAAATGGGATTAGCCGGTCGAGCGTCGAGCGTCTAGTCGAGCGCTGCCTTCAATCAGCTCGTTTCAAAGCAGGCAGCAGAAGCAGCAGCAGCAGCTCCAGCGGTCGATAGCCGCTTCCTTGCATGACTGCAGTCCAAGAGGAGGAAGAAGAGCTTGACGACCATCAAGTGACGCTGCGTGTGATGAGAAACAGGGCTAACCCGTAGCTGTCGCTTCCCAGAGCGTAGGGGCTGGCCACTGTAAACGCTCTTGGATCGTCAATTCAGTCGCACCTCACACCTGAGATCATGCGAGAGGGCCAGCCATTCACCCCCCGCTCGCGCCCAGTTGCGAACCTCAAGCGCTCGTATGATCGCTTTCAATGATGAGGATCATCATTTGACCTGACCTCTTGTCGAATATCTTGCCCAGACGTTGGCCAAGCAAGCCCTGGTGGGTGCAGCAATCATCGTAGGCGCTTTGCTCAAACCACGTGGCTCGGCTTCTTGTCGGGGTCCGTGCGTGGGCCTCTCCGCATCGAAGCTGTCACTCAACACTTGGCCTCCTTTCCTCCACGAAGCCACGCTCAATCCCTACTCAGATGGCGCTCAGACTCCCCGCAACATCCTTCACGGCTGCTCCTCGTGGTCTGCTGGCCCGCAGTGCTGCAGCATCGGCGAGACGCAGCTACTCGACGCCGTCCAGGGTTGCATTCGCTGAATCGTCCTCGTCCGGTGGTGGGTCTCGCGCTACGACCAAGCAGGGCTTCCTTGATGTGAGTACGGAGGACACCTGTTACCGGAGCAACAGACTCTGACCTTCGTCGTACTGCCCCGCAGTCACTTTTGAGAGGATCTGAGAAGGCGCAGGCAGAGGGCGCCACCACACAAAGTCACTCGGCCAGCGTCGCCCGCGGTCGCTACATTCACGAGATCCAGCGTCACGATGTCAAGCCGGACTGCATCGAGGAATACAAGAGAGTGCTGGCGGAGTGGTACCCAAAGATTTCGGGCGAGGCACAGAACAAGGCGAGGTTGACGGGTAGCTGGGAGGTCACGCTGGGTGATGTTGAGACGTTTTGTGAGTGTGCCGAACAACCCGCTGGACTCCGGAATACTGACTTAGCTGCCTCACTCAATTGCCCGCGCAGATCACATCTGGGAGTACAACGGCTACGCCGGGTATGATGCCAGCCAAGAATCCATGAAGCAGTCCAAGGTCCGAGACCAACTCCACGCCGCCATCCGTCCTTTGATCAAGCATCGCTCCAACTGGATCTGTCAGGAGTTCGCTTTCTGGCCAACGGCCGAACCTCAATCCAAGGGTGGTGTCTATGAACTTCGCACCTACCATCTGAAGCCAGGCAAACTCCTCGAATGGGAGCAACACTGGCGTCGCGGACTCGAGGCGCGACAGAAGTACACCGAGCCTGTCGGAGCGTGGTTCAGCCAGATCGGGGCCTTGCACACCGTCTTCCACATCTGGCACTATCCTTCGCTGGAGGAGAGGAAGAAAACGAGGGACGCAGCGTGGCAGGTGGAGACTTGGCCCAAGACGGTGACGGAGACTGTCAAGCTGATCGACAAGATGCACGCTCAGATCATGGAGCCGCTGCCCTTCTCGCCGCTGAAGTAGACGGGTGAAGAGGTGGTACGAGGGGTGTTGTGTGTCGCATGCTCGTGAGCCTAAGAATTGTAACTAGCTAGCAAAGTCGGTTTGATCATAATCATCACGCTCGCTCCATCGACGTCGTGTGCATGGCCTGGCTGTATGCTGAGTCGCTGTCGTAGCGCTGGCGGGAAGGGCGTCGATGCGGTGCGGTGCGTTGCGTGCGGTTGCGCCACGCGGATGTGGCTCACTTACTCACTCGACTCACTGGCCGAGTTGATCTGGCCCGCCCACCTCCATCCCAACTCGGGATGCGGGCGGCTGCTGCGCTTGCGTCGCATCGACGAACCTCGACTGTCTCTCCTTCCAACACTACCAAACAATCCGCCACCACTTTCCTTTTCCTTCTCACCCTCCTACGAAATTCGAGCCCGCTATGTCGATGGACACGGGTCTCATCACCCTCGTCAACAAGCTCCAAGACGCCTTCACAAATGTCGGCGTGCAGCAGAATGTCGACTTGCCTCAAATCACCGTCCTGGGCAGCCAGTCCTCTGGCAAGTCATCCGTACTAGAGAACATCGTTGGGCGTGACTTCCTACCTCGAGGTACAGGTATCGTCACTCGTCGTCCTTTGGTACTGCAGCTCATCAACAGGCCCGCGGCTGACTCTAAAGCTGGCGTCCAGAATGGCGATACGCCAACCCCGGGTGCTGATGGGAACAAGAAGAACCCATACGAGTGGGGAGAATTCTTGCATCTACCGGGAGAGAAGTTTCATGACTTTCAGAAGATTAGAGAGGAGATTGTGCGCGATACGGAGCTCAAGACGGGTGGGTCCGCCGTCAAGGGATGGAGTGACTGCTAGCTTGCTCAGTGCTGACCGACGCCGACGACCCCCTTCCCTATCGTGCTCGCTCGTAGGCAAGAACGCAGGCATCTCTCCTCAACCGATTAACCTGCGCATCTATTCGCCCAACGTCCTGACCCTGACCCTCGTCGACTTGCCCGGATTGACAAAGGTGCCCGTCGGCGACCAACCGCGTGACATTGAGCGTCAGATCCGCGACATGGTTTTGAAGTACATCTCAAAGCCAAACGCAGTCATCCTCGCCGTCACTGCAGCCAACACTGACTTGGCTAACTCGGATGGGCTGAAGCTGGCGCGAGAGGTCGACCCGGATGGAACGCGTACGGTGGGCGTTTTGACCAAGGTGGATCTGATGGACCAGGGAACAGACGTGGTTGACATCCTGGCTGGGAGGGTCATCCCGCTTCGATTGGGCTATGTGCCCGTCGTGAACCGTGGACAGAGGGACATTGACCAGAGAAAGGAGGTCAGCGCTGCGCTCGAGGCGGAGAAGCAGTTTTTCGAGGGGCATCCGAGCTACCGTAGCAAGGTGAGTAGCGACGCTACCCAGCCAATGCTCATCCCTTGGTCATACTGACGACCAAACCTTGGCCCATCTCCGCATTAGGCCAACTATTGTGGCACACCGTTCCTCGCTCGCAAGCTCAACACGATTCTCATGCACCACATCCGCAACACCCTACCCGACATCAAGAGCAAGATTGCCTCGCAACTAGCCAAATATCAGGCAGAGCTGCAGTCACTTGGTGGCCCGCTGGGCGACGCCAACTCTGGCAACATCGTTCTCTCAATCATCACCGAGTTCTGCAACGAGTTCCGCACCGTCATCGACGGCAACTCCAACGACCTCTCGGTCAATGAGCTGGCCGGGGGTGCTCGCATCTCGTTTGTCTTCCACGAGCTCTTCGCCAACGGCGTCAAGGCCATCGACCCCTTCGACTCAGTCAAGGATGCCGACATTCGCACCATCCTGTACAACTCGAGCGGTTCCTCCCCTGCCCTCTTCGTAGGCACGACGGCCTTCGAGGTCATCGTCAAGCAGCAGATCAAGCGCCTCGAAGACCCCTCGCTCAAATGCGTAGGCCTAGTCTACGACGAGCTGGTGCGCATCCTCTCGCAGCTCCTTGCCAAGAATCAATCATTCCGCCGCTTCCCTGCACTTAGGGAGCGCTTCAATACAGTCGTCATTCACTTCTTCAAGCGCTGCCTCGCCCCCACCACGAAGCTGGTAACGGACATTGTCAACTCGGAAGCCTGCTACCTAAACACAGGACACCCAGACTTCATCTCGGGGCATCGCGCGATGGCCATTGTGAACGAGCGCCTCCACCCTCCCGAGAAGCCGCCTACTGAGCAGAGGCGCAAGGACCTCGCCATCAACAACGAGAAGGACCTGGACGTCAATGTCAAGAACGAGCAGGGCTTCTTTGGCTCCTTCTTCGGAGGAACAAAGCAACAGCAACAGAACCGCGCTCGCCAGGCTTTGATGGAGAGTCCGCCTCCGCAGCTGCGCGCCTCTGGCCAGCTGACGGACAGGGAGACGATGGAGGTCGAGGTGATCAAGCTGCTCATCACGTCGTACTTCAACATCACCAAGCGCACCATCATCGACATGATCCCCAAGGCGACGATGTTGCACCTGGTGAGCGAGGCGAAGAATGCGCTTCAGAGGGAGCTGCTACAGGAGCTGTACGCCAGGCAGGAGACGATGAACGAGGTCATGAAGGAGAGTGACCATGTTGTCACGAGGAGGAAGGAGTGCGTCAAGATGATTGCAGCCTTGGAGAAGGCGTCGGAGATTATCGCTACCGTCTAGAGTATGGGCGAGGGAGGGAAGGCTGCAAGACGAAGGCGGCGGCGGCGGCGGCGGCGGCTGCGTAGATGGGGGCAGAGAGACGGAAGGCAGAGATCGACGACCCAACGGAGGACGCGGAAGGGATGTCTGTCTCTCTTTACACGATCGGTACCAATGACCCACTTCATGACTTGCTCACGACGATCGCTTCAAGCTCAGATGGCAGACGGTGGGTGTGTGTGTTTCGAGAATGAGGGTGTGAGATTGCCACTTCGAGAAGCGAAGGTGAAGATGATACCTCCGCAGCACAGCGACGAGATCTCCCGTAATGTGTACAAATGGGGCCCAAGAAGCCAAAGAGAGAGAGAATGGTTGCGCGGTATACGCCTACGCTTACTCCCTGCCAGACTTGATGACACCACGAACCAGACCGGTACGGCGGGCAGCAATGAGACCGGCCTTCTGACCAGCGGGGGCCATACGGGCGACGGTCGAGGCGTGACCAATGTGCTGGTGGTTACCACCACCGTGCGGGTGGTCGACGGGGTTCATGGCAACACCACGAGTGCGGGGCCACGAGTTGCGCTTGACGCGGAACTTGTGGTGAGCACGACCGGCCTTGAGCATGGGCTTGTCAATACGACCACCACCAGCGACGATGCCGACGGTGGCACGGGCCGTGGAGGCGACCGACTTCTTTGCGCCAGAGGGGAGACGGATGCGGGTGACGTTGTTGTCGGCGTCGTGTCCGATGATGGTGGCGTAGTTGCCCGAGGTGCGGGCGAGAGCTCCACGGTCACCAGCCTTCTCCTCGACGTTGCAGACGATGGTACCCTCGGGGAGGGAGGCGAGGGGGAGGACGTTGCCGACGTTGAGTGCCGACTTCTTGCCGCAGTAGACGAATTGGCCGGTGTGCATGCCCTCAGTGGCGATGAAGGTCTCGACGCGCAGCTTGTAACGGTAAGGGTCACGGAAGGCGACGCGGGCGAGGGGAGCACCACGACCGGCGTCGTGGATGATCTCCTTGACTACACCGCGGATGTAACCGTTGCGCTCAGCGTAGTCGTAGTTACGCAGGCGAGCGGGGTTCTTGTTGAGGTGGGTGTGGGACTTGAAGATCCCACCGGACTTCCTCTGCGAGCGGATGACACGACCCCTGAGATAGAGAGAGAAGAGAATGAGGGGGTCAGCTGCAAGTTCATGGCGGGAATGGAGATCCTCCCTGTCCAAGCCCTCCATGCCGTCCAACCAGCCTGACGACACTTTTGACAGGAATGCAGCATGACCTGACGCGAGGACGTTGACGCCGGCAGCAGCCTTCTACGCTCCTGACCTCCTCTTCATCGATCTCGATACGATGCTCGCCCCCTCTGCCCATTCTTGGGAGACACCTCGTCTGCGCCGGCGTGCCCATTCGTCCACCCTAGGCTGATCCAACCATCCATCCTCAATCCCTCAATACTGATCGCTGATCGCTGATACCCACATATTACTGTTTGTTGCAGAACAGAGACGTGGTAGATAGCGATATGGGCGAGAGGTGGGCGAGGATGAGGAAGATGAGTGGGAGGAAGGGAAGATGAGGAATCGGCAGGTCGATGGAACGAAGAGTTGAGCGTCGATGAATCCGAGGGCGAAGTCAATTGGAATGAGGGGGGCAGGGAAGGAAGGGAGAGTGAAGCTTGAGATCAGCTGACTGCTTGAATACCGTTCATACGCCCATCGACGTCGCAAACTCACGCTACTTGATGATGACAAGGGAGGTGGTGAGGATCAGAAGGCTGCAACGGCTTGTCGCTGGAACTTGGACTGGCCGCTCTCCCTCTCCCTCTCCCTCTCGAATCGTGGGTCCACTCGCTCGCCTCTCGCCCTCTCGCCGCCCGCCCGCCCGCTCCGGCTGCGCTGCTTCTCTCTTCGCTCTGTTCAAGTCACGTGCAGGGGGTGCTCGACCCATCTGCTCCGATCCGATTATCCAATCTTCACGGATGCAGATCGAGGGCCGGAACGGGCAGCCAAATTCACGACTCGTCAACGACTTTGCGGTTTCCGAGGTCGATACCACGCCATCGCCTCGCGAGCTCTAGCTACCTTGGAGCAGTAGCAGCAGCAGCAGCAGCGGCAGCATAGCCATCGTCGTCTTCTTCTCTGTCGTTGAGGTAACAGAAGGTGAGCATACGCTCGCGAGTCAGGACACCACTGGGAGGAGGAAAGCAGCGCGATCAATTCGCAAAGGGGAAACGTGCAAGTGATGAACAACCATATCACATTCAAAGATCAAGCTCAACAGTCCAACCCACCCGTCGCTGGGATCGGGATTGACGACCATCATTCTGCAATGCTGATTGCCAAAACGTGAAGAGGAGAGGAGGAGGGGCAGACGTTGCGCGATGCGGCTCGTATCTGTTTCTGGTCCACCTTTACTGACTGACGCCCTCCCTCTACCTCCTCATCGCCAGAGCACCCGCCACGATGATCATCCCCGTCCGTTGCTTCTCATGCGGCAAGGTCATCGGCGACAAGTGGAACGCCTACCTGGCGTTGCTCCTCGGTGGAATGGAGGAAGGTCCAGCATTGACCGAGTTGGGGTTGCAGCGATACTGCTGTAGGAGGATGGTGTTGACGCACGTCGATCTGATTGAAAAGCTGCTGCAGTACAACAGTGAGTACAATGAGACCATCATTGCCTTTGCACTATGCTGATCCACCCAACTCTCCCTCTCACCCGCCAGTTCACGAGCGTAGAAACGTCTGATGACGAGCACCTAGCAAACCAAGTCCTTCCTCTCCCGCCTCGATTCCGCTCCTTCCACGCCTATCACGCCCTTCATTCACCAGCTGTCGTCATCTTGTACTACCATGTTTCAATAGTTATTCATCGCCTTGTCTACATCCTGCCTACGCTTCAAGCCAGGGCCGGTCGCTCCTTGACGCCAGCTTGTCTGAAGTCTTGGCTACGGTGTGAATGACGTTCAAAATTGTCGTAATGACTTCACTGTCACGCTGCAATGGTGCGTCTAGTGATACATGATGATTGAGAGATGGATCGCGCCCTGCGTTCGCCCCTCTTCCCCTCCACTGTCTTCTACTGGTATCCCCCGTAATGATGATGCGCAGGCGGCGGCGCGTAGCCGTAGTAACTGCCATGATGCTGTTGTTGCTGATGATGACCTCCGTACCCCTGCCAACCGCCGTACTGCTGCTGATGATGCTGCTGCTGCTGCTCACCACTCCCACCGACGCTCGACAATAGGTTCTGAAGCCCGCTCGAAGAGATGCCGTAGCTCTCCAGCGACGACGGCGGTGCCGCACCACTACCTGCTCCCACGCCGCCACCACTGCTACCACCCCTGAGCTGTCGCATCAACTCATTCAGATCAGCTTGTGCCGGAACCTGGAGTGGCTGGTCCCAACCTTCAGGCAAAGAGATCTTCTTCGGCTGAACGCCCTCTCCAGCCGCAGCATTCAGCGGCTCACCCGGGGAAGCCGGGATCTCAGCCACATCCATATAGATGGCGCTAAGAGCCGACATTTCCCTCTTCTCCTGCGCCTTCTTCTCCTCACTTTCAGCACCTCTCTCGGGCACTGCGTCATCCCCCTCCTCGACGGGCACCTCAACTTCGCGAGGGAGGTACCACTCTACTTCCTCCTCGAGCGCATCGTCCTCTACGTGAGCAGCTGACTTGAGGGCTTGTCCCTCGTCTTGCTCAAGACCGTGCAAGCCGCCTGACTCAATGGTAGCGTGCATCTCGCTGTCCCCGTCGCCGTCAAATCTGGCCTCGATCATTCTGACCTCCACGAGGTTCTCATCTCGCCATTTCACGCGCTTGCTTGGCTTGGTGCGAGGACCGGGAGTAGTTGTCGCAGCGTCGTTGCTGGCTTCTGATGGCTGCGCGCTCGAGGAAACTCCTGCTTTGGTTCCTGCCCCAGCACCGCCTGTTTTGCCTCCTGCTCTCGAGGATGACGACGCAGCAGGCCCGGACTTGCTCAGCAGATCGCTGAACATGTCACGCGCACCGGTGGCTGTCGCCATCTTCTTGGTCTTGGGCGCAGGTTGATGGCGCTTTGCCTCTCCCCCAGTCTCGTCATCGAGCTCGATTGCGAGGCGGCGCTTGGCCGCGGGCGGGCCCATGGGAGGTGCGGGTGTCTTTTTGACCTTGTCATTGCATTTGAGGCAGGTCTGCTCGATCTTGCGGGTGTGAGGGCCAGATGCTGTGAGAAGGGAGGGAAGCGGTCGTGTCAATGTACGAAGCGCGGGTCTCGCCGAGCTACGCCCAAACTCACGCTTGATTCTGGTGCTCGACGTTGTGCCCGGGATCATGGGCGTCTTGCACTTTGTACAGAGATCCTTCGTATCTGGAGCAAGCCGCGTCACCGTCTTCTTGGCCAGGCTCTGCATGTCGCTCGATCTATCCGAGCCGCTGAGGGCTAGCTTAGACCTCGACGCTGATCCTTCCGCTTTCGATGCAAAGCTTCCTAACGCCGACACGTACGCAGAAGATTGTGACAGAGAGTTGAGAGACTGCATTGTGTCTGACGCCGTGGCACGAGGAGGAGCAGCTGGCGTCTTCTTATTGCCTTGCTTAGACGAAGCGCCACCTTCCTCAACGCCTGCATTGGTGACCGCCTTGCTCGATGATGCTTCGTCCTTCTCAATCATGTGCACCCACCTCTCGCGAATCTCAGTTGCCAGCTTGATTGACTTCTCCTGCCCCTTCTTCTGCACCAAGCCTAGAGCTCTTGGTAGCGCCCGATTCGTTTCTTTGTCGAGCAGATGCTCCTTCGGCAGCACAGGCAATTCGTCAAAGAGGCGAAGCAGAGGCATTCGAGTCTTGCTCCAAGCGGGGTCGAGGGATTCTCGCAACCACGTCGCCAAGAGCTGACGACCAGCGGGGACATCGAGAATGGCTCCGAAGAGCGCTCGGCTCTCGGTCTCATCGATCTGAGCAACAACTCTTTTGCGAAGCTCACAGCTCATCTCTCGCGATCGGAATGGCCCGTCGCTTTTCGCTTCGTAGCCTGGCTCTGCCAGGATGCTAATCAAGGTTGCAGCAGACTGCGACGGATTCGCGCGAATGACGTTCGGTAGAAGGACGGGTGCTATGGAGGAGGCAAGAGCATCGTCTGCTGCAGCTTTGCGCGAAGCCGGTGAAGGAGGTGGGGAATTTGTCTTGGGTTGTGAAGGTCCAGCATCGACGAAGAAGTCGACGCCCGACAACGAGGACGACGGAGGTGTCGATTTGAGCGTGTCGGGCGTGAAGCCGTGAAGTGGCCTTGTCCAGTTGAAGGCCTCGTTGAGACTCATAACGACTGCTCGAGCGAAAGAATGGAGATGCATATTTGTGTCAGTGACGTGGTCCTAGTCATCACCGGAATGAGAAACGATGTTCGACACGACTCGTAGCCGTGACCTCTACTCGAGGTGCTTGACGCGGCGGCCAAGAAGCCACGTGGGCATGACCTGCCCCTGGGCGTGACTTTCCTGCCAGCAGGATGGCGGGGCGTGAGCCGTCCAAGGCTACCGAGCATCGACGGCATTGATGACGTCGTCGGCGTGCAGAGAAGCGGCGATGGTGTCCGCACCGAGGTTTTGCAGGTCGTCGTTTGCTCGCTGCTGAGCATGACGACGCCGACGCTCGACCGCGGTCGAGCATGAGCTGCCCCAGGTCAAGCAGACCGGCTCGCGCCTCGTCTGGGCTGAACAGTGCGAGGCATTGAGGCTGAGTCGAGTACGACAGAGATGAAAGGGAGAGAAGAGGCAGCACACTATGAACATTGACAAGGGAACGATCGAGAGGCAAAGCCAGGCAGACGAGAGCAAGGCGGAAGCGATGCTGTCGTGCACATTGAACCACTTCTCTTCGGCGGACGGCCAACACGTGCTTCTCTGCGAGAATACTAACCATGCCAAGGGTGATCGAAATGGAGGGAGTGGGCGGAGCAGACGAGCCGCGCTTCTGATAAAAAGTGGGGAGTCGCCTTGCGAGACGTTGTCAAGTCGAAGGGATGGTGAGGAGAGGCTTTGCTGCTCTATGCCGCGATGTTGACGGGCGGCAAACTGAGCAAACCGAGGCCCAGAACCAACCACCACAAGCAGAGACGACGGCAAGCAAAGTGCTCGAGAGACGTCTACGATAGTAGCGTTGGATGCGTGGAGAGCTCCAGCTTCGACTTCGATGAGCTAGCCAGTAGAGTGAAGCAGGAGCGTCGGCGTGGAGATGAAAGCAATGGTTAGGGAGCCAAAGCAGCCGCTCCATCGTGCCGCCTCTCGTCGTGGGCCTGACGCCGGGCCGTCTCTGGACAGGCCAATGAATCCGCGCGACGGAACGGCCTGCCTGCCTGCCTGCTTGCCATCGAATCGCCCTCGCCAGGCTCAACGCCGCCACTTAGCCCGCCTCGTGGCAGCGTCGTACCCAAAAAGCTCTTCCATCTTGTGATCTCTTCAGGGCTGTGATCTCATGATCTCTCAGACGCATTTCATATCAATCTCAGAGGCGGTCGTCGTACTCTAGCGAGGGCAAAGTCGAATGAGTAGAAGAGAGGTAGGCATGGTCTATCGAGCTCAGAGGAAACATTGACTTCCTGCACGTCCTTTTCTGTGCGTGCGTGTGTCGCCTCGCCTCGAGACGTACGGCGGAGGCCCCGGGGGTAGATCTTCCACGACTTGCGAGGGTGGCAGCAAAGGCGAACGCGACGAAGATACGGACGTCCACCCCGATCGTCCCAAGTCAAGGCATGCTCAACGCTGCTTGCCCGCCATTCCATGCCAGAACCAAAATGACCCACGAGCCTGTACGGCTGCGACTGCTCTACGTTAGCATTGCGCTGTCTGAAAGTCAAGTGAGAAATCTGGACCATTATCCTGCTCGCCGGCGGCCTAGCTGCCGCTCAGCGGCCTCCTCTCCCTCGAGCCGCCCCGCCGCTCGCCCCCGCTGCTGCTGCTGCTGTCGTATCGTCGATCATGCTTTTCGTCGTACGTCGTACTGAACAGCGACAGCCGGTCGTCGCAGCTGCGAGCCTCGGCATTCAGCCAACGAGCTCACTCACATTGCGGCTACTGGCGCTGAGAATTCTGCTGCCAAAAGCGTCCCTTTCGCTCTAGTCCTGAGCCCACTCGCCCGGATGTCGATTGTTGCGCCGAACAATTTTGGACGAGCTTCGAGCGTCTACCGTGGAGCGTGGAGCGTGGAGCGTGGAGCGGTGAGTTGAGTGAGCTTGGAGCGCAGCAGGGGCGCGGATCGGCCCTCGAGGTGTTAGTTTGAGGTGGCTGCGATGTGCCCCTTGAGCCTGCCGTGCATCAGCCCGCCGCCGCCCATATCTGCGCCTTTTCCCTGCGCCTACCTGCCCGCCAGGCCGCCCGCTCCGCTGAAAGATGCCGAAAGGCGGCAGAGCGTGCCGTCGACATCGACATTTCCTCGTAGAAGGCACGGGACGAGACCCGTGCCCAAGTGTTGATTGCAGCTGCGCGCGCCACTCGTTTGACCGCTCGACCGCCCACCCGCAAGCCCCGAGTCGAGGCCAGTCGCTACCGCCCGCCCCTGACCTGCTCGCCGGCGGCGTTTTGGAAGAGAGGAGCAGGGAGGAGACGGGGGCGCAAGCCTGAGAGGAGGCAGGGTGGCGGCGAAGAGGGAGAGCGGGAGGTTGGCTGACCTGGCCATCACACACACACACACCGCACGCCAAACAAAACCCTCGATTAGGTGGTGCCCATCCTCGTCCCACCTTCTTGCCCTTCCATCCATTCCTCTCCCCTCGCACACGTTACCTCTCTTTCACTTTCCTCTTCATCTCGCTGAGCTTAGCTCTATCTCTAGGCGTCACATCTATTCGCCACTACCACATCACAACACAGCTTCCTCCTCAGCGCTTCGTTGTGTATTTTGCCACCCAACACACCACATCACCCCACCCCTGACTCTCTTCCTTTCTTCACGATGCTCGCTTCCACCGGTCTCGCAGCCCTCGCCGTAGCTGGCTCCTTCTTCTCTGGTGCTTCGGCCCAGAACGTTCCCAAGTTCCAGTACGGCACCCCCAACGCCAACGCTCCCGGTGTCGTCGGCGCCAACTCCAATGGCCCCACCAACCCCAAGCAGCCTAGCCTCAACACCCCCATCAACCAGAGTGAGTGGCAGCAGCGATAGCTTGACTCATCGGCTCATCGTCACCGCATGCTGACTTGGCTGCTCTCAATTGATCTTTACTTCCGCAGCTTCGGAGGCCCGTCTTGCTTCGATCAACGCCGTCGATGACTGGTGCACCTTTGGTCCTCGTGAGCAGCAGGTGATTGGTGATGTCGAGGCGGAGACTGTTGCCTACTGCACCAAGCCCCGCAACAACGCTCGTGTCATTCCCGACGGCACCGTCACCTCGGTCCACTTCATCAAGACGCCCCTCTACGTCCAGGTCATGGCCAACGGTGACTTCACCAAGATCAACCTCGTCCCTGGCGACTACGGAGGAGAGCTTGACCCCCACGGTGCTACCAACAAGGGTAACCCCGTTGGTGGCAACGTCACCTCGAACATCTCGGGCAAGGACGTCTTCTACGAGGAGTGGATGAACTACATCTCGTACAACCAGATGTGCTTCCGTGTCTGCATCGCCGGCACCGATCAGGCGCCCACCTCGGCCGTCTGCCAGCACACCCTCGACGAGATGGGATGCCAGTTCGTCATGCCCGGCTCTTACACCGACAACGTCTTCGAGACGTGTGATGCCGACGTTGCCTACCCCCCTGGTCTTTACCCTCAGGGCGGTGGATACACCTCGACGTTCCAGCAGTACTACTCGTCGGTCTACACGGACCCCAACGGTGGTCTTCACACCTTCGTCAATGGCTCCCCTGACCAGGCTACCCCCACTGCCGCCTACTCGCTCCCCGCCTCGTCAAGCTGCAGCTCTGCTAGCTCCATCTCCAACGGCATTGCTAGCATCCAGCCCACGTCTTCGATGTCTTCGTCGTCGATGGCCACCTCGGCCTCTGGCTCTGGATCAAGCCGCGGCTCCTCGTCGACTGGTGCTGCCAACGCCGCCGCTAGCGGCTCCTCCAGCAGCTCGAGCGGTGGCTCCTCTGGCGCCGCTAGCCTCGCCCCCAACATGGTCGTAGGCAGCTTCGTCGCCGTCGTGGGTGGCCTTGTCGGCGCCGTCGTCATGCTCTAAGCAGTGGCTACGAAACAAACCACTTTAGCATCCTCACTCTCCTCACACGCCGAGGCCACATTCTACTCCTTTCATAGATGGACATTCAGCCAGATCCGCTTGCGAGCGGGCGAGCAGCGGCGGACTCACTTCGGCTTTCGCTCCCTCCGTCTGCGTTCTTTCGTCTTGCTCCCCCCTTTCTTTTCACGCATCGTCCAGCCTCGCTCGAGTATCTGTCTCTGCACTACCACCTCATTCACCCACTTTACTCTAGTCTCTGGGATTTGAAAGCATTCACGCCCACGCTCAAGCGGACATGCCCATCACTGGCCTCTTTCTTCTCTTCTATCCTGCCTTGTCAATACACTTTTCTCTGCTCTACTGAAGACCTCGAACGTGACAATGAGTGACTCGTCGTTAACCGGTCCCGACTCTCGTCACCTCGACGCCAGATCGAGACGCACGCCCTTCGTCTGCTCCGTCAGCCGTCACACGAGGAGAGCGTGCGCCTTTGCCCCGCCTTCAATTAATGCCAAGCTCCTCGTACCCTCAGACATCGCTCTTTCGCACCGTAAGCCGCCGCCACCTCGCTCGCCAATCGGCGTCCTCACGTTGATGGCAGGCGTCGCCGATGCGAAGGAAGCAGCACGTGTGCTCGCTGGCTCGTGCGTCGCCGAGGAGCGTGGACGAGGAGACCGAGTCTCCCTTCTCCTCCGCCTGAGAAGAAGCTGCGTTCAATCACGCACGCACGCACTTTACTCCACTGCGCTTCTCTCCGACGTCGAAATCGAAATCGCAATGGCGTCAGGCCGCTACTGACCAAGTGCTGCGCTATGAAGCATCCTCGTGCCTGAGTCGCCGCAAGGGCGTGCAGGAAAGCGATGAGACTACCGGTCTCGCAAGACGATATTCGCTGATCGGCGCTTTTCTCGCCGTATATGAAGGGCTTAGAATGGATTGTTCTTTCATGCTCTCCCCTCCCTCATCCTCAACAACATGCGTGCCTCAACCACCGGACTGTTGGCTGCGGTCACGGCCGCCTTCATGGCTGCTTCGGCCGCGGCGCTGCCTCAGCACCATCTGACTGCCCGAGCGGGCACTGCCTCATCGTCGAGCAGTGCTGCCTCAGCCACGTCGACCGCTTCTTCGGACAACGTTGGTACGACCAGCCTCGACGGCAAGGAGTTTGTGAATCATGGGCTCGTTGCCTTTGGCCGCATCTCAGCCGCTGACGTCGACTCCTTCGGCGAGTCAATCGGCGGCGTTGGCTCAGCCATCGCCCTCGAGTCATTCTCAAAGAAGGCAGACGGCTCCTTCTCTGGCTCAATCCGCCTGCAACCTGATCGTGGCCACAATCAGGGAGGCGCGGCCACGAGCGACTACCGGGCTCGCTCGCACCTCTACGATCTGGCCTTCACGCCACTCGACAAGGCAGCCAAGACGCCTGCGAGCGAGAACTTCAAGCTGACCTATCGCAACACGCTCCTCTACAAGCAAGGCTCCAACTTTACCACTGGTCTCGACCCGGACCAGGTCAGGCAGGGTCAGCCTCCGTTGCCAGTGGCCAGCTACGATAATCATGTCACATTCGATACCGAAGGTCTCGTTGACGTTGGCCCCGTACTTATTGTGAGCGACGAGTACGGCCCCTACATTTACGCCATCGAAAAGGCCAGCGGCCGCGTCTTTGCGACTTTGGCCCCTCCCGCAGCAATCGTTCCTATGAGGGACGGCAAGACAAACTTCACTGCCCTCTCCAACCCCACGACGGGGCGTACGGCCAACCAAGGCTTCGAAGGCCTCACGCTCGACCGTAGCAACGGGATGCTCTGGGCCCTCCTCCAGTCAGCCACGATTCAGGATGGGGGCTCAAGCAAGACGACGAACCGCTACTCTCGCCTGTTGGGCTGGGCTTACGATCCGACCAAGCCCTTCAACCTTCAGCCCACCCTCAAGGAAGAGTACGTCGTCCAGCTCCCTGCCTCTGGGAAGGGCAACACCCGAGCCAGCTCCGAGCTGCACATTGTTGGGGACGGAGTCTTCCTTGTCCTCGCCCGCGACGGCAATGGGTTTGGAGACAACACAGCTCAGACGACGTACAAGCAGGCGGCTCTGGTCTCTACCAAGGAAGACAATCCCACGAACATCGCAGGAACAAAGTACGACCAGCCCCAGAACCCAGTCAGCCCTGGAGGGAACCTCGTTGCGGGCATCACGCCGGCGGTCGTGCACGACTTCGTCGATCTGAGGGCTACGGACCAACTTTCCAAGTTCGGTCTACGCAACGATGGGGCTTTTGATCAGAATCTCATCGCGAGCAAGCTCGAGTCCCTCGCCCTCGCCTCGGTCGGGGACAAGCAGAGCCCGGATGACTACTTCTTGTTTGTGGTGAGCGACAATGACTTTGTCACGCTTGACGGAAAGCAGGCTGGACAGATCAACGGAACTGGTGCCTACGTGCTGGCCTCGTACCAGGACCCGTACGCCCAGCAGCATGGGTCTGGGGACACGCAGGCCTTTGTCTACCGCGTGACCTTGCCTGGGTACCGGCAGCCAGCTTTCCTTGGCCCAAACTAAGGATCGTGCCGCAATCTTAGCGCAACCTCCCATGCTACTTATCGCCTCGCAATACAGTACCATTGCTCCAAGCCGTGACGGCCTACAGCGTTGCGTGTGAAGCCATTGCAGTTGAGATATTACTGAGACAAGTGCATGACAAGCAGGGTATCGAGCGAGCAATGTATCGAAGTAATCCGCCTCGTCTATAAATCTCCAGCGAGTCGTCACTGCTCGCTCATCGCCTTTCACAGCTCCCCTTCCCTTTCTCTCCTAGCACGTGTTTCCTCCTCCGCCCTCCTCCCTCCTGCCCCTTCCCACAACAAGTCGAGGCAGAACTCGTAATTGCTCGGCGAATGATCCCTAAACAGACTGCGCGAGAAGATCGGCTCAGAGAAGCGCTCCTGCACCTTAGGGCAGCTGCGGAGGATGACGCGATGTGCCGTCGTGCTCGTTGCGGCGGTGGTGCCGGAAGAAGACGAGGAAGCGCTGACGTAGACTTGGAACGTCTCTGCCACATACACCTCGCCCGGAGGATAAAGCTTGTCGTTCGAGGCATGGGCGCGCATCGTCTTGATGAGGGACCAGAGCCAGTCGGAAGTCTCGTCATCGTCAGCAGCGATGTCTCCGTCCTCCGCGCTGGCCTTGGAGTAGCGTCGGTACGGATCCTTGTAGCTGAGGTCGTTTGCCTTGTTGTGCGTGTGGCCGCGCTGAAGCTCGGAAACATCGAAGACTTGGGAGCGCTCCGAGCGGGGAAGAGGGGTGGCGAGACCTTCTCCCTCTCCGGCAGCGACGCCTAACAGGCCTGGAGCGTCATTGACACCATTCAGATGCGCGGTGCTCGAGTTCGCACCCTCGGCCTTCCTTCTCCTTTGGTAGAGCCCGATGGTCCTCCCGAGGATCTCCGTTGCCCCTTCTCCTGTGGCCTGTTCTAGCACAACACCGATGTCCCGCATATCGCGCACCAGTCCGAGGGAGAAGCAGGGGACTACGTCGTTGCCGTGGACCATGGATGTGACGAGACCACGTAGCGAGGCAGAGAGGTCCGCATCCGTTACGGCAGCAGGTCCGTACGTAAAGGAGTGGATGGGGCGACCGGCGGGGAGGCCCGAGGAGACGGAGGTGACAAAGGCCGTTCTGATGGGTGGGTGAGGAGAATTGACCTCTGGGGAAGAAGAGAACGTCTCCGACGGTGTGGCCCACTGCATCGCGAGCAAAGCGGCAACACCACCGCCCAAACTGTGTCCGACCGTCACAAGGCCGTAGGTAGGGTTACGCTCCAGGCACTCCCTGAGAGTAGTCTTGAGCGTCCCCTTGTTCGTCGCCAGGCGCCTTGACGACTCCCAAATGCCGCCATGCACGTAGCCCTCCCCAGCTTCGCACGTCACCTGCTCGTAGTCGCATGTGAGGTCTACTAGCACGTCGGACAAACCCAGTGTTCCCCTGCAAGCAAGTACGACCGCTTCGCTCTCATGATCCACGACCACAAAGTTGACAATCGGCGTCAAGCGGTGCGAGTGGAAGAAAGCCTGCTCACCAACCGCGTCCGCGCAGTAGCTCGAAAGAGCTACGTCGTGCACATGGACGCCGACGTGATGCGCAAAGGCCCAGACATTGGCGTGCGTGTTGGGCGTGTTGCGGAACATGTAGGGCTCGGAAGGGCGGGAGAGGCCAAGAATGTTGAGAAAGTGGACTCCATAACAGGCTGAGGCGAACCGACCAAATCGGTGTAGGTTGTGAATCAGGGGACGGCGAGGGAAAGAGCAGGATGCCTCTGCTTGCGGAGTGGCGGTGGTGGCAGAAGGGTCTTCCTTGATCTGGGAATGCAGGTGTTGGCGAGTGGCGTAAGAGCGCATCGAGGAGATGGACAACGCGCGGCTGCGTCTTGAGTCTAGGCGAGATGATGATCGCGGTGGGAGCGACTCCTTTGGCACGTCCAGGGCAGGCTTCTGGGCCGCGACTGCAGGCATCTGACTCTCCACCTCCTCGATGCGTGGTGAGGTATCCAGCCTATCCTCGTCGACATCGGTCCGCACCATCGTTGTTTTCGTCAACCTCTTCTGGACCTGCTTGAGAACAACACGCATTCTCTGCTTCGAACCGGCCGGATCGTCGATCGAGCTTTGAAGTGAGAGGGCTGCAGCAAGGGATTTCTTAAGACGAGGCGCAGAACCATTGGGGGCGCTGGGCAGATTTGACGACGAGCTGTCGACGCTGCTCGGTAGACTTTGGTCTGGATCGAAATCGCTGCTGCTATTGCCATGATGTTGCTCACGCGTCGTGGCGATCTCCGTCCATTCTTGCTCGTCTTGCTTGACGTGCTCCGTGCGTCCATTCGAGAAGATTGAGTCCGTCTCGAAGCCCTTGCTTGTCATGGTCACGTCCCGATCCGTGGTGCGCTCACCGCCGCGTCGAAGGCCGAAGCGTGAGACTGGCGTGGCGAGCTTCTGGAACGGATTTTTTAGCCGCCTCGGAACTTTCCTCTTGCGTGGCAAGGTCACCAGCGGCGTCTGCATCGCTGACTCGATCTGCTGCTCTTCGCCATCTGCCTCACGCTCGACCGTTGTCTCCGTGACCGTCTCTGTAATCTCAGTCGTCTCGGTCACAATTTCCCAGATGGTCTGCCTTTGCGTAGTCCCCTGTCGACGCCTGACTACCTGTTTGATCTCCCGATCGTCCGCCTCATCCCGGCTGATGACGACGCCGCGATTGAGGTCCTCGTCGTCGTATTGGGAGAGCTTGTGACGGAGAGTTGTGGGCAGATCTTCTTCCGCATTGAGTTGGGAGATGCTGATTTTCTTGCCTGGACTCGAAGACCCACACGTGCTTGGCTCGCCATCGCCATCTTCGTCTCCGCAATAGTAGTCGAGCCCCTGGATCAACTGCGAGCTTGCAGACGAGCTGGAAGGTAAGCCTGGCGCTGGCCATGCCGAGTTGCTGGAGTCTGAAGAGTTGACATCTGTCAGGCACGAGCTGTGGCTCCTCGGACGGATCGTCGATGTTGATGGCTGATCCTGCGACGACGATGAGCCCGTCGACATCGTCACCTCATCCAGGCCAGGTATGGAGGTCGAGGCTGCGATCGATCGTCGAATGCTGCGCGAGCGTGGGAGGATGCTCTTGGACGGAGGCAACGCAGCAATGGTGTTGTCGACCGTGGTGGGTTGAAACTTGCCAGGTCCCACAATCATCGACCTCCAAGTCTGCGTTTCCGCCTCGCCCAGGACGGTACAGTCGTAGATGACTTTCATCTTGTGCTGCTTTGCCGTCCTCCGATGCGTCGCCGCCCGCACAACAGCGAATGTTGTCAAGGCCCGAGTGATGGCGGCAAATGTCTTGACTGTATTGATTGCCACGCCCCCTCCGTCTCCACGATCACTCTCGCGTTTCACGAGCTCGATGAATTTGGAAAGAGCGCGGGACGTCTCGTTGCTGCCGAAGACGCCGTCTATCAGCCGGACACTCTCTTCTGCTACGGCCACGCCCGTCTTGATACTATCTTGGACGAGGCAGAGCCCAGACATGGCCATGAGTTCTGTCATTGTGAGGGTGTGGTGAACGACGTAGATGCCCGCAGCCGTGTAGCGGTCCAGAATGGAGAGGAGGGCAGAGTTGAGTCCATCGGCTGGGCCGAGGAGCTTGTCGTCGTCCGAGCCAGGCGTAAGTGCATGCATGGTCCTGGCTGCGCCAATGGCGCCGATGAGTGCTCGTCGCGTGAGGCCCATGCCGATTCCTGTGCCGAACTTGGTAGCCTCGAGGATGACCTCCAGGAAGAAGGCCGTAGCTCGTAGCGAGACGCGAGCTACTATGCTGAGTCCAGTGATGGCCTCTGCAATGTGTGTAGGTAGGACTGTCTTGCCTACGGCGTATTGAACGAGGCCGAGATGCGCATTGAGGCTTCCAGCTGCTTGGTCGGGCAACGGGCCCGGCGACAGCGTCGGCTGCGCAGCCACAGCTACCGCGGACATGCTTGAGTCGTGATGATGCGGTGAAGTGGTGACAATTACGACTTCAAGGAGCGCGTACGTGGATCAATGCTGGTGTCGTTGCTGTGCGGCTGCAGCATCTCTTCGCCGGGCCGACAGTAGTGATCAGGGGTGAAGCCAGGAGGATAGAGAATGAGGGGAAGGGCAAGGGGAAAAGGGCCCCATTGAACCCCTGTGAAATTGACGTCGCGGCTCAATCTCGCTCGTGTTGGTTGAGCCTTGTTTGAGCGAGCCGACCGCGTCTGCAGGCGGTCAGACGGACTGCCGGGCGGACCGATTTGGCACGCAGCTTTGGCCCCCATCTTGCCTCTTCATTCGATCCATGAATGCGCCGGCAACGGCATTCTCATCATCAGCAGAGGATGCAAAACGACAAAATCAACGACAAGATGCGGACACACGCTTCAAGGCTGCCATAGACCACCTCACTGGCCTCTTGATCAGATGCGATGCTGCAGAGGAGCTAGCTTCGACATGGCAGGGCGCCCAGCTAGCTGATGGCGAGACAAACAAGGCGATGGGACTCCGCGATCTCAAGAGAATGCTCGACTCAGGTAGGCGAGTTGCGGCCGGAGCAGAGGGCTCGAGAGGAATACCAATGTGGCTGGTGGTGAGTATGTCTAGCTGGATGCGAGGGAGTAGTCGCTCATCTCTACCTCTTGACCTACGACAGATTCGAGCAGTCAAAGCCTCGTGGCACCAGGACGGCTCCTGGCCGATCCTAGGCATCGACGAAGAAGCGGCAGAAGATGCCCTTGCTTCTCTACCCCGATCTGTCCACGCAGCCTCGAAGCTTCTCCGCCCACCAGGCCACACTCGAGCGCAGATTCCACCTCGAGATCCGGAGGCAGAGCGTGGTCTTCCACCTCAGCGGCCAGACCCTGATCCTGAGGATGTCGTCAGGCGGTATGAAGAGCAAGGCGTCGACGTAGGGCCTGCGCCCAAGGGTGAGGGATTTGAACATTGGTGAGAGAGGAGCGCGAACAGGCCAGAGGAACCGTCGAGCATCTGTACATTACAAGCATACACAGTCATCAGTAGCGCGTCGGAGGGAGGGGAATAGCATGGGTACCCGAAACGAGATATACAATCATTAATCGAGATGATCTACTGGTATCAAGGCGGACCCATCGCGCAGCTGTTGGCCCCCGAGCCAGGCTCACGTAGCCGCAGAGGCCGACGCGCTGGAGTCGGGTTTGTCGTCCTTCGATGAGGCGAAGAGGTTTTTGAAGGCCTGGCTCAGCTTGCCTCCTTCGTGAGTCTCCTTGCTTGCCTTCGCGCTGTCGCCGTGACCGTGGCCGTGGCCGCTGCGGAGGCGCTCAAGCAAGGTCTGTCCCCTATCCCTCTCGACCTCCTCCTCTTGCTGCTGCTCTTTGGATGGGTTCTGGCTGTGACTCTCGCTCTGCCCATCCCCAGTGCCGGCCTGACCATTCTGCTGACCAGGGGTCCTATCAGCTCCCTTCGCCTTTCCCTCACCACCGCCGGCCGCCTCCTTCTCGCACTTCTCGGCCCTTTTACTAGTCAATTTGCTCACGACCGCTTTGCTCTTCCCCGCTGCGCCTTCCTTCTCCGTCTTTGCCTTCTTTGTCTTCTTTTTCTTCTTCGTCACCGACCCGTACGCCTCCATTCCCCTCAAAAGCAATAAGCTCTTCGAGAGAGTGACGTGATCGAGGTACACACCTTCCTGCTGGAGAAGAGTAATGAAGTGACGGAAGTGAGCAGTGCCTGCTCGATAGTGCCCGCTGAGTGGAGACAAGGAGGTGAGGGTGCCATCCTTTGCTTTGAGGAGACCGGCGGAGAGAACTCGCCCACCAAAGAGGAAGCTGGAGTGTTGAAATTTGCTGCAAAGACGCGGTGGGGTGACGATCAGTGTGAGCTCCATATGATCTGTCTTCTTCACGACGCCATACCACTCACCCCGTCTGCTTGATGCCAACGTACAGCTCTCCCCTCGCGTTAAGCACGTAGATCCACGTGTTGTTCTGCACCGTCTTCCTCAGCAAAGCATCCATGAACCCGGTCGAGCTGAGCAGACCCAGGCGTCGCTTCTTCTTGCTCATGTCAGCGCCATAGTGTTGCGCCTCCCTCTTCTCAGCCTCCTCTGCCTCCGAATCAGAGGAGAGCGACGAGGACGAGGCGGAACTCAACGACGAGACTGACCCTCCCTCCGCTCTACGTCGCTCTCTCTCCTCCTCCTGAATCCTCGCCTGCTCCTCTTGCTCCTCCGGCCCAAGCTCCACGATCCCCTGCCCATCTCCCAGGTCTTTGTGCTTTCCCCGCGTGGTATCCAGCGGCTTGCCATTGCGACGCCAGTAGAGCTTGCCGTCCTTGACGTCGACGATGTAGTTGCGGCGCTGGTCTGCGGTCAGATAGGTGATGCGCTCCGACTCCAAGCGCTCACGTGGGCAGTCATCTAGGTCCATGTCCTTGCCACCACCTTCGTCCAGCCAGACAAAGAAGTTTTCCTTTGTGTCTGATGAACTCCAGGCCGCGTGGTAGGGCTTGAGATTGGAGCCGTATCGGTCTGTGCGCCAAAGGGGCAGCATGTCAGCTCTTATCTCAGCCAGTCGCCCTTCGTGACTTGCTCACGCTTCTTGTCGACCATCTCCAGCCAGTACGCAGCCTCCATCGTCTTGGACAAGTCCTGCGCAGCTGACCCCCTGGTCCACCACTCGATCATCTTCAGGCCATGCTGGTTACGCTTCGCGATCGGCTTGACATTGTCGATCTTGCCATCTTCCTGCGCTCCAGGTACGTCACCGACCATTCCCTCTGACTTGGTCTTCTGCGGTGCGCCCTCTGCTGGGGCCGAGGACTCGCCGCTACCACTGGATCTGCCATCCTCGTGGATCGTGGGCCCGCCCTGCACCGGGCCATCAGTCCCGATAGGCCCGGCAGCCTTCGAGTCTGTGCCCCCATTCTTTTTTTCGCCTGAGCCACCGCAGCTTGGCGATCCTGCGATCTGTCCAACTAGGACGCCTCCTCTCTTCCAGCGATTGGCGGCGTCGCTCTTGCCTGTAGGTGTGCGGGGAGAAGATGGGTCAGTCCCACGTCAGCCAAGTCCCCCTCTGCATTTGACTCACCGCCTCCCTGCTTCTTTCCCAACTGCTGCTCCCTCGCATCATCTAACTTCATGTGATGAAAAGCCTCCTCCCATCTCGCACCGGCATCGAGCCCCATGCCTTGCAGCTCTCGCCTCGTCTTGTAGCCGCGATAGTTCCTCTGAATCAAGCTGGCGGCAGCGATCTCACGGTCGTCTGGCGACGAGGAGTTACTATTGCTGTTACCTTGAGCCACCTTGGATGCCTTGGCCGCCTCCTCCTTGCTGAGGCTAGGCCCTTCTCTTGAGCTGGCGTTATCGGTCATAATGGGCAAGTCGAGTCGAGTCGAGTCGGGGTATTGGAAAGTGGGTGAGGAAGGGTGGTCCCCTTGACCAAGCAACGCAGGTCCCTCGCAGAGCGCAGAGGATAGGACGTAAGGGTGGTGAGGGCTATGGTGATCGAGCTTGAGCTTGTAGATCGTACCGATGGAAGCGGCAACTCCAATGGTACAGAAGGAAGAGGGGACCGACGTCCTCTCAAGCCAAGGAGCGGCTGCACAGCAGCACAGGGCTAAATGACCGTCATCGACGACCTGACGCGCAGCTGCCCTCTCCGGCGGTAGCACCAATTTGGCAACAGGCGCGCCCGTCCGCCCTGACGCCTTGCCCCGCGAGTCCGGCACAGCCTCTGCAGCATGCAGCTTGGGCTCGTCTTGTCTCGGCATTGGGCGCCGTCCGACCGACACGAGCGATTCAGGGCAGGCGAGAACGATGCGTAGGCTGCCGGCGGCGCCGAAGTGTTGACGAGGCCACGCGACCCTAAGAGGGATGGCTGGAGACAGTGATGACGAAGGACCGATTTGTGTTACAGAAGGCGGTTGCCGAGTAAAGAGTACAGAGTGATAGTGAGAGCAAGAAGAATGAAGAGAGTCGATGTATAGGCGAGACAACGAGGGAAATCGAGATCGCGGAGGATATATCGAAGTGACGCGGGTGAGAGGGGAGGGGGAATTGAGGGCACGAGCAATCAGCCTATGCCGGGCCACGACGAGTTGACGCCTCCCGCAAAGCCATTGGGAAGCGCTTGTTGCTGCTGTTGACGCTGCTGCTGCTGCTGCTGTTGAAGATGCATTGGATTGATACCGCCCCCATTCGCCTGCTGACCGAGCAGAGAAGGGTTGATACCGCCGAGCATGGCTGGGTTGATGCCGCCGCCGCCCACGCCATTTTGCCAGGGTTGCCGTTGTTGCTGCTGACCGGAATGCTGCTGCTGCTGAGAAGCGCTCATGTTGCTCATCATGAAGCCCATGGCATCTGATGTGGCTGAATAGTTGCCGTTCCAACCTGTCATTGGACCACCTCCCATCTGGCCGCCTCCGTTGCCGCCGCTGCCATTGGCCTGGAGCTGCTGCTGTGCGAAGAGCTGCTGAAGATGGGCAGGGAGCTGAACGGGGTTGACGCCGCCCATGCCTCCACCGGTGATGCCATTGATCCCCGTACCATTGGCACCACGGAGCTGTTGCTGTTGCTGCGCCATCTGGGGATGAGGTTGCTGGGGCTGCTGCTGCTGGTGCTGTTGCTGAGCTTGCTGAGCCTGCTGCTGGAGCATTTGAAGCTGCTGAAAGTGCTGGTTCTGGCCATCCATGCCGCTGATCTGACCACCGAAGCTGCTTTGCGGGAAAGGAGTCTGCGAGGACGAGGACGAATGCATCCCGGCGCTGCCATTGCCTGGCGTTGCCGCGAAGGGATTCGTCACCTGCGTAGGTACGGCATGAGGCATCTCTGGCGTGGATGAATGTTGTTGATGCTGCTGCTGAGAATGACGCATCATTGCGCTCACGGGATTTCCAGCCAGGCCAGGGGAGGCTCGAGCAGCCTCGACTGACGAGATGCCGTTGTGGGACGACATGGCCGATGGTACGGGCGGAGGAGGCATGAAATCCGGGACGGGAGAAGCGTGAGTAGGGACAGGTGACGCAGCCGCTGTGCTAGCGTAAGATGAAGTGCGACCCCGCTGGAAGGGCGGCGCTGGTGAGCCTGACTGCTGAGGTGGTGCGCCTACTTGGGCGGCCTGCTGACTAGGTTGACGCTGGCGCTGTTGCTGGAGCGCAGCAATCTGCTGCATCTGAACGGGCAGCGGTAGGGCAGCGAACTGAGGGTTGCACTGTGGCGAGCGCAGATAGTTCTGCAGGAAGCGCCAAGTGCCGACGGCATTGGGTCCAAAGGCATTGATCAGCTGCTGAGCTTGCTGTGGCGAGAGGCCGGCAGTAGGTTGCTGGCCTTGTTGGGAGCCATTGCTCGGGCTTGAGTGGTGCTGCTGTGTTTGAGAGGACAGCGTTACGCCTGGACTCTGTCTTGAAGAAGGCGAGGAGTTTGAGGCAGGACCACCGGCCGAGCCATTCGCGAATGGGTTCGCGAAGCCAACAGACGAAGGGGCAGGCGAGCCGCTTGCGTGACGGGTGCCGTTCTGAGCAGCCGGACGCTTGTGCGATGGCTCATCGCTCGTTGAGCTGCTGTCGCGGCTACGCTTGCGGTCCATGGCTGGCGCCGGCGCCGCCAATGGAGCTGCTGATGCCGGCTGCGTAGCAGGCTGCTGTGGAGCCACCGGACGGGCGACTCCTTCGAAGAGCTTACTGAGCTGCATGTAGAGCTTCGGTAAAGTTGTATCAGGATCAAAACGTTGAAGAGCCTCTGCCATTGACGGATGTGGAAAGACGTCTGTTCGCGGCGGTGACGGCTGCTTGCGATTGGGTCCAGCAGAGCTTTCAGCGGCGCTGGCTAGATAGGCCAGGTTGGTCTGGAGGCGATGAGATACATCGCGGAAGAGGTCTGGCGAAGCCTCGCTGCTCTTTTGAAGGGCGACACAAAGCTTGATGAGCTCTTGGTTCACGAAGAGGAGGTGAGAAAGCCTTTGTTCGTCAAGGGAAGGCGTGTACGCAGGAGGCGTGGGTGCGGTCTCTGTTCGTCCATTCGTTTCCTTGTCAGCGCTCTTCTCTGCGGTGGACGATGTGCTACTCTGGCCCTGCCCATTCGTGGAAGTGGCTGGTGCTCCTTCTTTCTTTGCGACTGGAACCTGCGGTTGCTCCTCCTTCTTTGCGGGCGCGTCAGAGCTGTTCAAGTTGGTAGCTGGGGCTACTGCCTTCTTCTCATCCTCCTTGGGGTCGCCGACCGTCGGTAAAGGTGACTGGGTCACGGGCTCTGCGATGGGCTCTGACGTCGTCTTGAGCTCGGGATCAGCTTCCGCAGGGGGTACGGCTGATGGCAGAATAGCGGACGAAGAGGCTTCTGACGCTATGGGCGCACTTGAGGTCTGCGGCGCCGAGGGTTGTGACTTCTCTGGAGATGCCACCACGATTTGGTCTACGCGGGGAGGTGCTGAATGGGCTGAGTCTGCCTCGGATGTACTCGCTACGGACCCTGGGGCGTGTGATACGGGCGCTTTTATCTCTGTCTCTGCCTCTTGTGCCTTCGCTGCGGAGTCGCCAGCCTCCTTCGGCGCAGGGATGGTAGCATCCAGGACAGGCGGTACAGGCTGCTCGTCCAACGCTGAGCCATCAGCAACGTCCACTGAGTCCCCCGTGGTGCCAGCTTGAGCTTCGACCACCGATGTAGAGCCCTCGTCGACGCTATCAGCAATTGCGTGCTCCTCTCCTTTTTCCCCATCCTCTTGGCCTACTACTGGATCGACATTGAATCCTTGCGAGTCGGCTGCACCACTCTCGAGCGCAGCAGTAACAATGGTGTCCTTCGTTTCCTCCGGGGGTAGAGGCTCCGAATGTGAAGGCTGTGGCTCCGGAGGTGGGCTGGCCGTCGGAGGAAGAGGTTCTGCGATGGGCGCAGCTGAGCTTGATGGCTGCGCTTCTGACGATGACGGAAGCTGATCCTCTACGACGACTGATCCGACGTCTGATGGCTGCGAAGAACCTGCTACAGCACCGATATCGCTGCTGGCCGGATCCACAGGAGCTGACGTAGCCACTGGCTCCAGGCTCGATAACGAGGATGAGGGATCGGCAGCAGCTGCGGACGGAGTGAGAGCATGCGTGTCGGCTTGCGTTTGAGACGATGAGGATGAGGGTAGCTCAGTGAGGGACGATCCGGCTGCTACATCCTGCGGCTGCGTTGAGTCCACTCCATCAAGGGGACCGGCCTCAATTGAGACCGTCGAGGGGAGGAGAGAGGATGATGATGTTGTCTCGAGCGTCGGAAGGGCGTTGTCGTCGGCGGCCTGGTCGTCTGAGGCTGCCATGCGGTGATGAAGAATGAGAGGGGCTTACAAGGGCAATGCGGCGTTGAGCCGAGGTTACTTGATGCGGGGCAGCGGGGGGACAAAGGAGAGCCTATGTCGGGCGACGATAACGATGGCCGCTACGATTGGCGCAATTGGCGCGCGCAACTGTGGATTCAGTTGGAGCAATGAAGGGCCAGAGCGCTACTTGAACGCAACTTGCTTGGCGATGCGATGTCGATTAGTCGTCGACGAGCTCCGCGACCCACAGGAATGGGAAGCGGTTCGGATGCGATGCTGCGAGGCGACGATGATGCGACGCGATGACGACGTGAGAACGATACGCTCCTGATTGCCGTTGCCCGTCGATTAGACTTCTTCCTTCTCAGACTTCGATAAGCGGTCGGCGGGCTTCGTCGTAGACCAAGGCAGCCCGGTGTGGGAGGGGTGTGCGAGGGGAAGTGGGGTCGTCGTGTCGTGGGTTGAGCAGTGGAGACTGCGTGGTGCGTCGAGGGGAGATCGATCCCGACAGCCAGATTGGGACGCGGACACGACGGCGCAAAGAGGCGGAGACCGAGTGCGACAATGCCACAGGGCAAGGCGCGGCCAAGGGCAGCCAGCGAGCGTGGGACGACGGCGACGAAGACGAGACGCTCCTGGGCGCTGCCCTCTGGTGCCCCGCCCTCCCGTCCGCCCCGCCATTGGCCGAGAACAAGCCCACAGTCGCCGCCCCGACCGACCTTTCACCCGGAGCACAGGGCAGAGCCGGAGCAGACAACAATGAGTTCATTGGCCCCCTCCTAATTCATTGCCATCAGTCAACACCCACGCTAGCGCCATTTCTTTTGGCGGTCGTTTTGTTTGTTCTCACGAGTAAAAAGAGGGCCGGCCCGAGCGACCGAGTGACCGTAGCTTCGTCTCACTGTCCACCCGCTTCTCGACTGACATCGAGCTGACGATAGGGTGGAGCCGGCCTGTACTGACGCCCTCTGTGCCCTTCCTTCGACGCCCACTCGCAGCGCACATCAACGGAGGCCGGGTGCTTCGTTCACACCGTTCTCGCCTGAGCTGACTATGAAAATCAATGCCCGAGAGATTCATCCTCGAGAGGCGCAAGCGAAGGATCGTGTCCACCAGCTCGCCTTCTATTGCCCGCTCAGAGCGCTTTGCGGCCCTTCGATGGTTCTGTTTGTTCCTTCCTTGGGCGATGGCACCTTGCCCCGTTGGGCTACTCATGGTATTCCGCGCGAGGGCGACCACGACCGTTCGCCTGGGTCGGGGCTTCGATTGGAGGACTGTGACGCCGCCGTCGCCGTCAGACGTCGCCTTCTTCGATGCCGCCACTCACTCTCTCCATACGCGCTAGCACTGAAGCGACGGGCCGCCGCTCTTCTCACCTTGGTACCACGGCTCTCGTCTCTCGCTTTGGTCGTCGTGTGAAGCATTCATTGTTCTGCTATTGGGTCTAGCTGCGCCGTCGGTGAGAAACGTGCTCGAGGATAGGTAGCGCTCAAGCGAGTGCGCTCCGACAAGCAGGCAAGACGAGGTTAGGTTTGGAGCCAATGTCAACGCACCGGCGGTACGAGAGGGAGGGACCACCTGCGACGAGGATGTCCAGTAGCAGGACGCTAGCACCCCATTCACACACACCCAGGCCCTCGCTCAGCATGGCACCTTGCTCATCCTCACCTCTCTGACGTCTATTCCGTACACGCTCTTTCTTCCTTACCATCAACTTCCTGCACCTCTTACCCTCTACCCCCCCCCCCCTCCTCAACCTCCTTTGTGCTTCCCTCCCTCCCCTCTCTCTTTTCTCTAGCCCTTCCGTCACTCACATTCATTCATTTCGGGCAAAATGAGGATCGGCGTCGCTTTCGTCGTCCTCGCCCTCGCCTCCTCGCCACTGGGTGCCATCGCAGCCTCTGGCCCCGTCGCTCGTCTCGTATCTCCCTCTGCTGTGCTCACCAACCGTGACGCTGGAGCGACAAGCTTCACGCCACCCCACCTTGTCGACCGTGCACGAGAGCCATCTAGCTCTGAGTCAACGGAATCTTCCCAATCTTCCTCACAATCTTCCTCAAAGAAGGAAAGCAGCGACAGCAAGGGCGACGACGAGAGCTCCAGCCAATATCACTCCGAGTCGAGCTCAAGCAGCCAGCACTCCGAGTCAAGCTCACCGTCACATTCATCGGACTCTGGCGACCAATCTCCTTCCAAAACGTACGGCGCTTCTAGCTCGCGTCGCGAGCAGACCAGCCAGGCCGACAGCAGTCAGCGCCATTCAGAGACGAGCAGCCAGCGCTCGACTGAGGAGGAACGTACTACCCACCAGCGCACGTCTACGGCCGACCAGTCCACCTACTCGCGCGAAAGCGAGAGCACCAAAGAGGCCACATCGACGCGTGACGATTCCTACTCGACTGCTCGCAAGGATGCGAGCCGCACGAGGTCGTCCCCGTCAAGTACCGTGACCGCAGCGCCTGAGAGCACTACCTCCTCATCGGGACGTCACGGCGGACAAAGCAGTGATAATGGCGGTGACGACGCCGACTCCTCCACGTCTTCATCCTCGGGCAAAGGCGGAGGCGGCATTCTCGGCGGCCTCGGCGGGGGCGTCGGCGGCGCACTAGGTGGCGTTGGCTCCGTCGTAGGTGGTCCCGTAGGCTCGATCCTGGGAGGCGCCGGTGGTGCAGTCAGCGATGCCGGTCATGACTTGGACAGTGCCATCTCTGGAGTCTTTCGCCCTTCGACCGCATCGCCCACCGCTACATTCTCTCACGATTATGATGGAGGCCACGGCCACCACGACTCGACGGTGACAAGCGCGCCAGGGTCGCAGCAGACAGGCGGCTACGGCAATGGCGGTCAGGGCAACGGCTACGGCAATGGTGGTCAGGGCAACGGCTACGGCAATGGTGGACATGGTCTCGATGGCGGCGATGGCGGTGACAGTGGCGATGGCTCATCGTCAGGCTCATCGTCGTCTTCTGGACACCACGGTAACGATGGTATTCTGGGCGGTCTTGGCGACGGTGTTGGCGGCGTTGTGTCCGGGCTTGGCGGCGTTGTCGGCGGCCCAGTCTCAGCCGTTGGCGGTGGCGTCGGAGGAGTGGCTAGCGACGCCGGCCATGACCTCGGCAGTGGACTGGGTTGGCACTCCAGTACGTCCAGCTCGTACGATCCTTCGTCGACGGGTAGTTCGGGCAACGGCCACAATCAGGGCAACGGATATGGATATGGCAATGGCAGCGATAATGGCCAAGGCGACGGAGACGATCACGGTCACAATGGAGGAGGAGGTATCTGGGGCGGCTTGACGAGCATCCTGGGCGGCGGTGGCGGTAATGGTGACTACAGCTCGTCATACTCGGCCACACCAACCTCGACTCAGAACAGCGACAATGGCGGCGGGGGCGGTATCTTCGGTGGCGTCACGAGCATCCTTGGCGGTGCAACGAGCGTCGCAGGAGGTTTCACCAGTCCTTTCGGCGGAGGCAACAACCAGCCGTCAAGCACTGCAACGTACAGCCAGTCAAGCGATAATTATACGCCCTCTTACTCGGCCTCGAGCGCACCTACGAGCCAGCCTACATACAGCTACCAGTACAGCGAGACTGAGGACCATCAACCTTCCTCCATCGTCTTTTCACAAGCTACTCAAACTGAACAGCGTCCCACTACTACTTTCGACTCGGCGCTGTCTACTTCTGACTCTACGCCCACGCCAACCAGCACTGACAAGCCTTACTGGTACGCTCCCACATCCGCCCTTTATGTGCCTGGGCTTGGAGCACCTAATGCTACCTCTTCTTCGACTTCCGCCTCCGACGCCGCGTCCTCTACGGCTTCATCTCCTTCTTCCACCGCCTCAGCCGACGCAGAGTCGTGGCCCTCTGCTATCTTGCCTGGCATGGACAGCCCTGCCCAGCCTCCCGGCACAGAGACGGTTTCAGTTCTGTTCAAGCCGGCGATGAAATGGACTTGGATGATCAAGAACCCCGACACGACGGCGCAGATCCTCGCTTTCATGCCTGAGCTCTTCGCTCAGGCCACAGGAGGTCAACCCAGCGACACGACGCTCATCAGGCTCGAGTCGTGGAGTGAGCCTGCCTCGTCTAGCCGTCGTCGCCGCGACACCCCCGACACGGGTACGACCAAGGACGCTGATGCTCGAACGCTTTTCGTTGCCTACTACCCGTCGCGCCTCGTGCCTAAGCTGCAGGCTGCCATCGCGGACACTTCCAGCCCCTTCTACACGAGCAGCACCGCAACCAACCCCGCAGCTAAGGAGCTAGCCGCAGCTGTCGACTCGAAGTGGGACATTCTCAGCAAGGTCCCCGGCGCGGACACGTCTTCTAGTACCAGCAGCGGGCAAGGCTCTGATTCGTCCGCGCCCAAGAACTCTGGCAAAGGGAACGCCTCGCAGAGCAATGGAGGCAAGAACAACACGCTCCGCAACGTCCTCGTCTCCATCGCCGCCGCCCTTGTCGCGTGCATCATTGGCCTGCTCGTGTACCGCTTCTACCGCTCGAAGCGTAAGGCCCGTGCCGCTCTCATCCGTCACGCCTCGCAGTCTCGCTCTCGTCATCATCGCTCTCAGGACGGTGGCCTGCGCGAGACGTGGGCCCCTTCCTTCGATGAGCAGCGCACGGCCATGCATGGCCAGTATGGCGAGCAAGGTCTCACGGAAACGTGGGCCTTCCATGATGATGAGGAGGAAGGAGGCGAGGGGCCACACCGCGTCACCCGTCCGGAGATGACTCAACGCTCTCGCTCTTACTCTGACTCGCCGTACCAGGATGTGCTCGTCAGCAGGAGCGGCAGTGGGAGCGGCTTCGGTGACCCCTTCGTTGACGCTTACGGTATCTCGACCAACCGCGCTTCGAGAGAGACAGAACGTAATGCGCAACGTCACCAGCGCCACCAGTCGTACGCGTCTCGCTCCGGCAGTGGTAGCGGTAGCGGCAGCCACAGCGGTAATGGCAGCCGTAGCCCCTCCTCCCCCACCGGGTCAGGCTCAGACGGATCCCGCAACTCGGTCCGCTCCAACGAGACGACGATGACTGAAGCAGAGCGTATCCGTCAAGAGTACTTCGCTCGCGGAGGAGAGGATGTCGAAGGCTCTCCTTTCGCTTCTTCGGCAGACGACTATGCTGGCAGCTCCTATGGACACGGAAGCGCCGCGCCTGCTATGCAGCAGGTAGGAGGCAGCTCGCTGTCCAGCCATCAAAGACTGTACTCTGCCACTGCCCCTCAGGGTCAGCAACAGCAGCAGCAGCCGCGATGGGCTAGGAGGTCAAGCAGCAGAGACAGCTTCAGGTCTAAGCGCATCTCCCAACCTGAGATGGTTGGAAATTCCCTCTTCCTCGAATAGACCGCCAAGCCCGTATTGAACACTTTCCGTAGCTTTCCGCGTCTTCCGTACACTGTCTTTACCTCGAAGCTCGACCGCCTATCTTTCTCTTCATTTCAGGGGCGCTCTCGGCCCTTCATACCCGTGGCATGCTGAGTCGCCAAGCCTCGCTGCCTTTTTCATAGTCCATTCCTTCATCTGTCTTCACCACGCCAGGACTCACGCACTGCGTGCTGGCCTTGGTCTACTGTTGTTCTCTACCTTCCTTCGTCATCCTCCTCTCCTCACCCAATCGACGTCATTGGAATCAGCGTTTGCCTGAACTGGTTTTGATTGGTGCAGTACAAGATCGTCATTCCCAAGGGGCAATGATGTCGCGTGAGGGTGACGTGTCTGGAAGTCTCACGAATCGTTCCCTTCATCCTCTACCTTTGCCTTCTTGCTACCGCTTCCAGACCCTTCACCAATGTCGCTCTCCTTGCCCTTGCCTTTACCCTCCTCGGCCCCTTCTACCGGCCTCTTCTTCTTTCTCACCATCCCACTCAAATCATTCACGGGCCCATCAGCAACATGAGGCTGATGAAGCGCATTAGTCGATGCGCCTAGGAAGGCCTCGTTGATAGCTTGCTGCAGTGCCTGCTTCGCCGCGTCCGGTAGAGGAGCGCCGCTTGATGACGAGGAGCTGCCAGCGCCATTCGCATTTGCGTTGGCTGCATTGGCGCCATCGTCTGCTAGCTTGGCCTCCAAGTCAGTAATCATCTCCTCTACGTCCTTGAGCTCACGTTCAACGCGCGGCTCGTCCATCTCTGCTACATCGTCTCGTTCGATGGGAATGGCTGCAATTGCCTTACCCTTGCCCTTGCCCGCACTACCTTCAGCGGCAGCTTCGGCTGCCTCCCTACCCTCGTCAGCCGCAGCGGCCACACTCTCCTCTCTCGCCTTCTCCTCCCTGAGCTGCGCTGCCGCCGCCTGCTTGCGCGCCTCCTCACTCGAGCCCCGCTGAACGATCGTCCTTCTGCTTTTGAGCGCCTCCAATCTCGTTCGAAGAGTATTCGCTGCACTCTGCACGTACTTGCCCGCTTCGGCCTGTCGCTCCTGCTCTGGGTGGAACTCTAGAGCCAGGCCCAATCGCAAATAGGCGTCCGCCAGCCGGCGGGAATGTGGATGCAAGAGCGGCGAGAGAAGCTGGAGTGAGGCCTCGTAGTCCGCTGAGGCTTGCTGGAAGTTCTCTGACTCGAGACCGACGTCGCCCAGGTCGTTGAGCACTTCTGCTAGTTCGTTCTTGACGCGGACAGGCGCCCAGATTTGGTCTTGGATTGTAGTGAGGTCGCTGGCGGTGTCGGCGTCGAGGAGCTTCTGGTAAATGATGCGCGCTAGGTCCAAGACAGCGAATGCGACGCTGAGGTCGTCCTCCTCCTCTTCCTGAGGTTGGGCATCCCCTTCTTCCTCCTCCTCGTCGTCGTCATCCGCATCTCCAGAGAAGCTGAACCTGGGATCAGCCGGTTTGCTCGAAGACGCCTCTCCTCCTCCTGACTTTGCCTTTGCCTTGTTGACAGGCATGGGCGCTTCTGCTTGGCCAGCGCCTCCTCCTCCGCCGCCCAAGGCTCCAGACGTGGCGATGGCGTGTTCGAGCAGGCTGCGCCCATAGCGGTGGAGGATGGGTGCGAGTTGAGGGGAGTGCTCGTCGGGGAACTCTTCGCGCAGCCCGTCGAGGACTTGAGCGTATTGGTCGGCTGCAACCTCCCATTGTTTGAGGGCCATGAGACGGTCGGCTTCGTCGAGGCGTTGGCGGGGTGGCATGTCGTCCGCCTCTTCCTCAGCAGCAGCAGCAGCGGCAGATTCGTGGTCCTTCTCGGGGACAGCTCCGCCGACTTGGGCTGATTCAGCGGGAATATCCGCGGTCTGAGGTGCGATCGAGGGCTCCTCTTGCTTCGCAGCCGTGCTGGCGGCAGTGGTGTCTGACATGATTGACTGTGACCGGAGTAGTGGAAGGACGAGTAGGAGCAACCCACGCACTTGCCGTCCAACTTGAAATCTCGTGTTCCGCGTCGCGCTCCTCCCGCCAAAAGGGTCGCGACAGGCCAGCCTCACTTGGTCTCTCACGTGGCACGACTGCTTCGCTCCTGGGGTCCAGAGACGAATGCATCCCAGTGTGGAGCCGGTCGGGCATTTCCTAGTCCGCCCTCCCTCGCTCGCTTGACACTTCCTCCTCTTCTCTTCTTCTTGACCACTCTCTACTACTTTCCCTCCCACTCGCCTCTCATCATGCCCCGCCCTGAGCGTCTAGCCACCATAGCAGACAAGCGCAAAATCGTCCTTGTCTCGGGGTGCTCATCAGGCATCGGCCAAGCCCTAGCAATCGAATTTGCCTCACGCAACAAGGAGTATCACGTCTTCGCTTCGGCCCGCAACCTCGACTCGATCCGTTGCCTCCCATCCAGCATCGAGAGGATTCAGCTTGACGTGACGGATGAAGAAAGTACTAAGCGCTGCGTCGAGAGCGTCATTGCCCAGGTGGGCAGGATCGATGTGCTAGTCAACAATGCGGGCGTTAATACAGGGACAGGGCCCAGCGTTGAGGTCGAGCTAGACAGGTATCGCTCGACGTTTGAGGCAAACTTTTTCGGCCTCATCCGACTCACGCAGCACGTTGCGCCGCACATGATGGACCGCCGTCAGGGTCACATCATTCAAATCGGTAGCACAGTCGGCCTCGTCCCTCTGCCGTACGCGGCGAGCTATGCGGCCAGCAAGGCCGCGGTTCACTCCTTCTCTGAGACCTTGGCCATGGAGCTCAAGGGGTTCAATGTAGATGTCACCGTCGTGGCGCCTGGGGCGATCAAGAGCAGCATCGGGGAGAAGAATGTCAAGCACATCAAGTTGCCAGGAGACAGTCGGTACAAGAATGTTGAGGATATGGTGCAATGTGAGTGTCGCAAGGTCCAAATGATGGTGCCCTCAGCAACTTCTGACGCTCGTCTACACCGATCCTTTTCTCGCCTCGCAGACCGAGCCATCTATTCTCAAGTCGGACGCCCAGCGCCCTCACCCACAGCGGACTTTGCTCGCGAAGTAGTGGACCGAGCCTGCCCACGTCAATCATCGTGGTCCCTCGTCGCGTGGCTCTGGCGCACCAAGCCTCCTGCCTACGTCATTGCTGGATCACGAAGCTCCCTCATCAAGCTCCTCTTCTATCTGCCAGTCTGGGTCAGACAGGCTTTGCTTGGACGGGCGTTCCAGATGGGAAGGGTTGGCAAAGGGAAGGGAAAGTCGGCGTAATACAGGGCGGAGACGGTAGATACGTTGGTATTTCGGTTTGGTTGACTTGATAATACACGAGGTTTCTCAACGGACAGACGGTATTAAGATGGTATGATAGTCCTCACTTTGCGCCTGACAAGGCATGCTGAGTCTACTGCCCGTCCTGCTCACCTCTCTCCACGATTCCTTCAGCCTCCAATCCGTCCACAAGCTGCATATATACTTCAATCTCCTCATCCAGCTCGGCCAGCTTGCCGGCCGTGGCAGCAAATCCCTCTTCTTCATGCCCATCATCGCCCGCCATAGGTCCGAGCCACTTAGCGACGCGAGGCAGCTCCAGGGGACGAAAAGGCTTCTCGCGCCATGAGCCACGCCACAGCGTCATCGGACGATGCTGCGTATGGTCTTTGCCATCTGCTCGACGTTCATCGTGTTCTAGATGGCGGCGGAGAGTAGCGTGACCCGTCGGAAGTGAAGTCTGAGAGGGTCTGTCATCGCTGTCGCCGTCCCCGAGCCAAGTGAACACCGTCTCTAGCGGTACGCCTAGCGCATTAGCTGCTCGAATGAGAAGCACGTCAGAGCGACTGAGCGGGAAAGTCCTCGCGCCTTCCTCGCCGTCGTTTCCCTTGTCGACCAGCCTCCCCCAATCACCCTGCCTCCTCAGCTTCTCCTCCTCGTTCAATTCCTCGTACAACGGCAAGAACGGCGGGTTGCGCACCCCTTTCAGCCTCGAGCTAGGAAGGATGTGCCACGCCTTGCGGCGATCCAGCTCGGCGAGGGCATAAGTCACGTCGTGAAGTGGGCTGTTGATGACGTCGTCGACTGAGTGTGTAATGGAAGAGCTGGACGGATGAGACTGCCGGATTCGTGCTTGAGCTTCTGCCGAGTAGGTCATGTCCTTTCTCGCTCGCTTCGGAAGCTGGCGCAGCTGGCCGTAAACGTCGCCTTCGATCTTGATGCTGTTGATGCCTAGATGAGCGAAGGGGTCCCACTCGTCATCTTCTGCCCCGTTCTCATCCTCATCATTGCCGCAGTCTTCTTTCCCCTTCCTATCTTTCTCCTCGGGCCTTGCCCAGTCCCATGCTTTGAGCGTCACGCCAGGCAGTGGATCAGGCCAACGCGTCTGACAGGTATAGAGGAGCAGGATCGCAAAAATGCAGCCTACTTTATGGTGCGTTGTACTTGTCGGTGATTTGAATGCGCCGAGGAAGACTCTGGTCGTACTCTCGAAGAAGGCTGCTCTTGTGCGAACGTCCTCGCTCCAGGTGAGGGAGACAAGATGCCAGTAGCGCTTCTTCCATACGTCGAGGAAGAGGGCGAGAGATGGCTTCGGCGGTTGTGAATGTTGCTCCTTTGATGAGCCCTGCCGAGGCAAGCCAGCATGAGTGGCTTGGTGCTGCCAAGTAACCTCCCAATCCTCCAGCAGCTCATGTACATCCACCGTCAACTGGTCAAGGAATAGCTTGCTGAAGGGCAGCTTCCATGCCTTTGGACTGAGGTAGTACTCATCGCTGCGCTTGAAGCGCTCCGGACGTTGAAGCGACTTTGGATTGCACCAGGGCCCTGTGGGGAGGCTTTGCCAAAGGGAGGGCTTCGAGGCTTGTTTCTTCGTCGTGCGCGGCGCTGCTCCTGCTCCACTAACTTCGAAGGGGGCAGCTTCGTCTTGTCTGTCGACATGCTTGCGCTTGCCAAGAGCTTTGACGCTGGGAGTCAGAGCGGGCTCATCAGCCGATGGCGGCTGCACTGAGGCAGGCTCCTTTGAGGTGCTCATGGAGGGAGACTTGGAGGCATGGTGGGGGGCTGTCGTGAATGGACGCAAAGTGAAGAAGCGCTCATCTTGCAGCCCGTCCGCTCGCTCAGTCCGCCCTTCGAAACGCGTCAATCAAAGATGCGCGAGTGGTGCATTTCGCTCCTTCTCCACTCGCTCCTTCCTGCCAAGACGCCATGCCTGTCCTAACATGACCATGCCAAAAACGACAAGGGCAGATGGAGCGGCTGCTGCTTCAATCCACGTGCTGCCGGCCCGCCTCGAGCAGCTCGTGACCGACTGCTTCGATGAGGAGCAATGTGAGTCGAGGCGCATACAGGGAGACCAACACTTTGGCTCGAGCTAAGTTCGTCGTCTCCCCTTCCTCCAGACGCTAGCGGCCTCGCGACGCTCAACAGTGTAGTGGGGCCCTCAGTATTCCCCAGCCAGTACGTAGCATCATCCTGTCTACCTGTCATCCTCTGAATCTAACACTGGCACCCCCATGCCCAGCTACCTCCTCCAACAGCTGCTCGTCCTCTCCACCTCAACGCCCAACACGAGCAATCTCACACAGCTGCAATCCCTCCGCAAGAAGCGCAAGAGAGCAGACTATGCAGCTCATACCCACCTCTCGATTGATGCAGAAACCATTGCAGACGTCAATGCCTTCCTGCACAGGTGGTTGTTCTCTTCCTCCTCGCCGCTGTCCGGCAGCAGCTTCGCTTCACATCTTCTCGACTCACTCCCACCCATTGCCCTCTCACCCGAGGAACAGCGAGAGGCTGACAGCAGCAGCACACCTCGCGCGAGACGACGTAGTGATCAGAGCAATGCCTCGGATGAGCAAGGAAGTCCAATTGCTGAGGCGGTAAATGAGCTCGTCAAAGGGTCGGAAAAGGTGTGGAACATGCTAGCTGCCGTAGCTGGCGCTCACCAACACTCAGAGCAGACCGCCAAATGGAACATGCCCGACAATGAGGCTTCGTCCTCGGCGAGCGCTGCTTCAAGCTCGATTCCCGGCCTACTGACAGAGCTGGTGTGGGAGCGCGATGAGGCGCTCACTCTAACAGACGATCAGTTCGACGTCTGGCGCGACCTTCTTGACCCAATGGACACATACGGCGGCGGCGGCAACGGCGACACCGAAGCGATTTGGCGCCTACTCTCCGTACTCGTACGCGCGTGGAAGAAGCAGAGACAGCAAGTCGTAGCTGCTTCTGCATCTGCGAGCAGCAAGCCGTCCGCAGCCACCCTATACGATCAGCTCCACCTCCTGCGCCAGATCTCTCCGCGTCCCTCAGCCCGGCGAGGATACGAGGACCTCGCCACGCCATTGGATGTAGTATTCTCGGGTCTGACAAACCTCAATCACTGGATGGCCTGGGTCGACTCCTCTTCCTCTCCGTCTTCTTTCAGTCCCATCAGCCTCGCCCAGCGACAACGGCGAGCACAAACTGCTTCGCTACTTCTCGTAGAGCTTTGCCACCTGGCCATTTCACTGAATGCGGTGAGCAGCGATGCACTTGCTCGTGGAATCTTCGAACGCCTCTCCTTCGTAGGGGTAACGGAGGTACAGGTCATGAACTCAGCATTTGAAGAGGATCAGCGTGAGCGAGGAGCTTCCACACCATCCATGATGTCGAGCCCGCGCCAAATCCTTTGCGATGCGTACATGCGCCATCTGGATCTTGAGGCCGCGAAGAAGAATAAGGAGCGGCTCAACGAGGAGACGTTGCGCACCGTCTATGATGAGGACGATGCGCTCTGCATGCGGGAAGTTGCCGGAGGGATCTTGATGGAGCGCAAAGCCATGGAGATGAGGAGGAGTCACGCCAGCCGCAATGACGATGAAGATGAGGAAGACGAGGGAGAAGATGAGGCCTCGCTGCGGCACCGACTCACGGGCTGCCTGAGCCGCGCCACCACTTCGGCATCCGTCTCCCCAACCAAGCCGACCAAGAAGGGCTCAACACCCCGTCCTCGCCTCTCCGAGGGGTCAAGCAGCGACGGCAGCGAGAGCAACGCGCAGACCCGCCTCACTTGCGCCCTCGCACTAGCAAGCAAGGCTCTCGCATCCCTTCGACGCTGGGAGATCTTGAGCTTCCTCGACCTGTCAGCGCGCAGTCAGGGCGTGACTGGAACTGGACAAGTCCTGGGCCTCCAGCCCGCGAGGCTCGCTGCTGCTTTTGAGGTCACGGTTCAAGAGGTGGCCAGGGATGCAATAGAGCTGCTCATGGAGCAACGTCGCCATCGCTCCCGGTCGCGCTCTCTTGCTCCTTCCTCGAGGGCGTCTTCTACTCAACACAGCCGCCGTGGAAGCACGAGTAGCAGTATCAGCGCCGCTTCTACCGCTGGTGTCAGCACTACTACCGCCACGGGTCGCAATCGTGGACGCGAGGATCGTCGCAGTACCAGCGTTACGGCCGGTCGCGTGTCCCAAACAGCATCCGTGTCCCCCACACGCCCCAGGTCCGGCAGAGTGTCCAAGCCCCCACCGAGGATGGGCATCAGTAGGCGCTCAAGGGGCTTGCCCTCCTCCTCTTCGAGTATTAAGGACAAAGCTCCGCCGAAGCCGGCTGAGAAGACGATGGGCAGGTCGAAGCACGTCAAGCGAGCCTCTTCATCCAGTTCTGCCCTTTCCGCCAACGATGACGAGGAGGACGAGACCATGATGCCGGACCTAGATGAGGAGGACCGCAAAGGCCTTAAGCAAGCAGAGGATGAGACCTGGCTACTGCGCGCTTTGGTCAGGTCAACCGCGCAAAGCTTGGAGACATTGCGTGGGAGGATCTATGCTGCGCAGCTTGGTGGAGGGGGAAGCCGCAGTGGTAGCGTTGGCGCCCGCGGGTAGGAGATGGCGCGATACGACGAGATGGCAACGAGAGCCGCTCAAGTGTGTCATCGAGGGTGGAGAAGGACATAGATTTGATATATTGAGAAGGTTTGGTGAATACAACATGGTCAAAGCTGAGATAAGAGAATTAAAGAGAATTAGAAAGGGAGACAGGTCAATAGGCCTCGTGTACGGCTTGACCAAGGACGTCATAATTGCTCCGCTTACTTGTAAGCGGGACCCAGCTCCAACGCCCCCATGAGAGGGTCATTCCAAGCCGGCTGAGACGGGTCGAGGGGGAAGGCAAAGGGGGACGCTTGAGCTCCGTGGCCAGCTGCGCCTTGCTGATGTTGTTGAAGAGGTCCGTGCTGCTGCTGACCCTGCTGCTGGCCTTCCGGGCCTTGGCCATTGTGAGCGAAGTTGCCCTTCTGATCGCTCTCCCCACCGTCGCCCTGCTGTTGCTGCTGATGTTGCTGCTGCTGGTGCTGCTGCTGCTGCTGCTGCTGCTGAGGAGCAGCATGCGGGGCGAGGGCTGCGAGCATGGCAAGTCCATTGTGCTGTTGTGACCCACTGCCTCCTTCGCCGCCTTGCTGGGCCTGCTGACCCTGACCGACCATATTGGCAAAAGCGTTGGAGAGGGAGCTCGTCGAGCCTGCAGACTCGTTCCAGAATGCCGTCTCCACGTCGAACAACCCCGGCGCAAATGAGTCCAGACGACGCCGTTGTTGCGATGCGTCGTTGCCTTGCTGGCCGAAGGGGTGAGAAGAGTCCATATAGAAGGAGAGAAGCTGTTGACGTTGCTCCTCTGACAAGTCAGAACCTGGGCCAGGGACAGTGATCGGTGGGCCCATAGCGGCAGGAGCTGATGAGCTGCCATTCTCGTCCGGCATCTGAGCCTGTTGATGCGGCTGCTGTTGCTGTTGCTGCGCCTGCATACTCTGCTGAGCCTGAGCAGCCGTGATAGTCTGCGCCGTCCATTCTTCAATGCTATAAGCACCACCAAGCGCTGTTGGCTCCCCTGAAGACGTCTCCGGCCTACCAAGCGCATCATCCGCTACAGCGGTGAATCCATCCAGCAACTGCCGGTGAGCGCTCGCCGCCGGCCACCTACTCGCTAGCTGCTTGAGGTGATCACGAGCGAGGGCAAACTTTTGCCTTGCGCCAGCGACCCCAAGCCTCGCGTTGAAGAGGTACATGACGGCCGCCGTGAACAAGCAGTAGGCATAGTCGCTTGGCCAAAGCGCAACATCGTAGTCTCCTCCCCTCTGCCCCATGTCAAGCTGCAGAAGCTCGCAAAGTCGATCCGCAGCATGTGATGCCTTTTGGTGAGAAGGGTTGGCCACCACTTCCTCGTAAGAGGGAGCGTTGCCGTCCGTCTCCTGAGGGATGAAGGGCCTGTGGAGCAAGATGGTAGCCGTCGCATCCCACACGCCCAATGCCCAGACGATTCCAGGGAAGCCGACTTTAGGGCGTGACCCATCTGTAGGGACTTTGATGGGATCGGGGATCTGGTTGCGGAACTTCTCGAGCTCCCCGTCCAGCTCGGTGAGGATGTCTGGCGTTGTCTGACCGCGGCGCAGCACTGCCTTGCGGCGGAGTGAGTGGACTTCGCTCAGGATGCGCTCGACGATGGCGAAGCAGTGTACTGCGGCGTTGAAGACCGAGGGGATGCGCATGGGCGCTCCGTCCATGTACTCCATCTCGTCTGGTGTGTCCTCAGAAAGTAGAGGCGGGTCCATCTCCCTCGCACGCAGGATGGGAGCGCGACCCATCTCGGCGCAGAGAATCTTGTCAAGGATGTACAGCGACCAGATGGTGCGCGTGCGAGTCTCGCGCTCTGCCGAGTTGTCGAGCAGGTCCATACGATGGATGGGCCAGCGATGCAGGCCAAGGTCCATCGCCATGTTGATTGCAATGCCGCAGAAGGACCAGGCGCGGCTCAACTCGCCCGTCCCATGGGCGAAGAGAGAGAGCATGAAGCTTGCCTGAATGGCTGTGACGGTAGGTCTGAGCCCCGTGGCGAAGAGGCGACGCTCTGCTGCTTGCGCAAAGACTTCACCAGAGCGACGCGCCGCTTCTTCGGGTGATTCGCCCTCGATAGGCTGGCCAGAGTTGGCGCGCCCGGACGATCCAATAGCGTAAATAGCATTCAGGAGCAGGCCGTCCAGGCGGGTCGCCATCTCTTCGGGAGGGATTTCATCAAGGATAGCCTTGTAAAGGATCGGCCAGTACGGGTGCCAGCTGCGCCAGTAATTGTCGAAGAGCTTGTGAGACTCCTCTGGTGTGACGATGGGGTCGTCAAAGAGGGCGGCGGTGCTGCTGCTGGGGACTTTGAACTGGTTCTGTGGGCTGAGCTGGTTGAGGAGCTGCTCTTGCATACGCTGAGGCCTGACATAGGACTGCTGAGCGGTTGGCAGATTGACTAGCATGGGCTCATTGCCCCGCTTGTTGCGTTCGCTGGAGCCTGGTGAGCTGATGGTGGGCGGCGAGTTGGCGCGACGGAGGAGTTGAATGCCACTGCTGCTTCCACGGCAGCTGAGGTCGCCGCGCTCATTGACCCCGAGGAAGGTATCGTCGTCGTGTTGTGCGAGTGAGCTCTGGATGGCGCGTTGCGTGACGCCGAGGTCGGCATGACTGTGCTGTGCAAGAGCTTCTACGACGAGGGCTGCATCCGTGGCCGAGACTTCGCTGGGAAGTGAAGGGAGACCTCGCTCTCGACTGACACGGGCAATCTCGCGAGCAGCATCTTCGCCGCCGAGTTGGCTCACGAGGTCGCGAATCGTCGTCTCGAGGGTGCGCGTGAGCTTGGCTTTTACTGATTCCTTTGGTCCAGCTCGGAAGCCTTTTGGCGGGCCGCGCTTCAATCCCTGCGACGAGCGAAAGGAGCAAAGGGGGGAAGAGTGAGTTGACCGTATGACTAGAACATTGATCACGTTTGCTCACGGTCGTAGTGTAGGAGCATGGCGTGCCCAGAACTGCACAGACGCGGCACTCTGGCCTAGTACCATCGCACCTCCTCTTCTTGGAGCTACATGGCTGACACGCCTTTGCCACTCGTCCGCTGCCCGCAGAACGCGCTTTCTTCTTTGGTCTCGAGCCTGACGCCCCGTCTGATCCATCACCGCCGCCTTCGCCCCCATTGTCGTCATCTAGGCCACTGGCTGCCAAGCTCTCGTCGGCGTAGCTCATGTCGCCCGTCGTGGCATCCGCCGTCGTATAGTCGGCCATGGATGCCTCGCCCTCCTGCAATGCCAGCGCCGTCTCGTCGTACTCTACTTGATGCTGATCGTGTTGCTGATCATGACCCTGGTGAGTCTCATGATTGCCGTCATCGTGAGATTGTTGATGATGGTCGTGCTGATGGTGATTGTACGCGTCCGAATCGGGCAGAAGAGGAAGGTTCGTGGCGGGCTGAGCGTGATCTTGTTGATGCTGCTGACTTTGCTGCTGCTGTTGCTGCTGTTGCTGAGCAGAAGCGGCTGCTGCGTACTCTGAGAAGCTGCCAGAGTAGGCATTGATGACATTGGATGGCAAGTCATTGGGATGGGCTGCGCTAGGATACCATGCGGTGTTGGATGCATCCTGGGATGAGGGAGAAGACGAAGAAGCATGATTGCTGGCAGCACCTCCTCCGCCATGACCGGACGGCCCTGCAGATATCCTCGATGCTGCGTTACCGTTGCTGCTGTTCATGTCGTGGCGGCCCTGTGGAGCTGGACTGGAAAGTGTCGTCGTCGAGATTGGAGAGAAGGGCCGGAGGATCCACCGCGGCAAAAGTTTCAGGGAGCGGGCGGCCTCACCTCGATGCCACAGGCAGGGCGGGGGGCGGAGAGACAAGACGCGCAAGCAGCCGGCGGGCCACGCAAAGCGGGGGAACCTTGGTTGCTCAATTCGCGCTCAAGTCCGTGCACTGTACTTGGTCAATTGAAGGCCCCATCGCAACGCAGCCAGACCGCAAAGACGACGACGGTGACCGTGGCATCAAAGCGATAGAGTCGGACTGGAAGTAGAGCGAACAGCCGCGCATTTGGCAAAGCTCTGGGACGAAGAAAGGGCACCAGAACCGAGAAGCACTTAAGGCAGCTCCCCGTCCATACCGGAGCTCGTTTCGCCATCATGATGGACATTGAAGGGTAAGGCTAGCATGCGAGACTTCGACGAGGCGCGCAACTCACCTTGAGCTCCTCACACAGCTTTCGTCGAGCAGGCTACGCCGCCGTCGACCAGATCTGCGACTACTACGCCAGCCTGCAAGGCAACGAGCATCCCGTGGCCGCTCAGGTCGAGCCTGGCTTCCTCTCGAAGCTGATCCCGTCCGAAGCTCCGCAGCATGGCGAAGACTGGTCCGTCATAGAGCAGGACTATCAGACGAAGATCATGCCCGGAATCACGCATTGGCAGGCTCCCAATTTCATGGCTTATTATCCTTGCAATGCGACTTTCGAAGGGGGCCTGGCCGACTTGCATGCTGCAATGATCAGCAATCCGGGTCGGTGATGGCGTGTGCTAGCCGCGAGAAGGCACGCAAGCTGACCGTCTTTGCGCGCCCACCTCGCCCTCGTCAGGCTTCAACTGGACCTGCTCCCCATCAGTCACCGAGTTGGAGATCATCACCCTCGATTGGGTAGCAAAGGTGCTCGGTCTCTCTGACGACTTTCTCTCCACATCTCCCTCTGGACTAGGAGGCGGAATCATCTTGGGCAGTGCGAGCGAAGTGTGCGTCACCATGGCAATAGGAGCGAGGGAGAGGGCGCTGCGCGCGCTGGCCGAGGAGCACCCGCCGCCGCAGACAGATTCGACTAACAGCGCAGCTGCGGGACCCAGCAATGCGGCGAAGGCAAGTAAGCCGGACGAGGAGCTCGACCCCGAGGTCACCGTGTCCAAACAAGTAGACGGCAATGGCAACGCCCCGCTTGCTCCAGCCGCACGAGTCGCCGCCTCCGCCACGGTGCTGGCTAACAGTGCCCTCTCCAAATGGCGTGGCAATCTGGCCTCCCGCCTCGTAATGTACGGCACGACTCAAACCCACAGCATAGCAGCGAAGGCAGCCATCATTCTGGGACTCGACTTCCGTGCCCTCGAAGTGACGAAAGAGGACGGCTTCGCCCTGCGAGGCGCTACGCTGAGGGCCGCACTGCTTGAGGATCAGAGCGTTGGTAGGGTGCCGTTCATGCTTGTCGCTAGTCTGGGCACGACCTCTTCGGGAGCTGTTGATAATCTCCAGGAGATCACGGAGGTCGCAAAGGACTTCCCATCGCTCTGGGTTCACGTGGACGCTGCGTACGCTGGTGTGGCGCTTGCACTGCCTGAGCTGAGGGAGCAGTGCTACAGTGATGCACTTCGCCACGTCGACTCGTCAGTAGGCGCCGACTTCGTACTCGACATTTCCCTCCATTCTGCGCTGACCAGATCCCATTCCTTCCTCCTCTTGCACCCACAGCTTCTCAACCAATCTCCACAAATGGGGCTTGGTCCAATTCGACTGCTCGCCCCTCTTCCTCCGCGACCGTGGCGTCTTGAGTTCGGCCCTCACCGTCACGCCTGAATACCTCCGCACACGCCAGGGGGACGCAGGGTCCGTACTGGACATGCGCAACATGCAGATTCCCTTGGGAAGGAGGTTCCGCAGCCTCAAGATTTGGTTTGTGCTGCGCAGCTACGGCGTGCAAGGATTTCAGGAGCATATCAGGCGGGGGATCAAGTGCGCGGACGTGTTCGCTGGGTTGATGGGAGAGGACGAGAGATTCGAGATGGTAGCCCCGCCTAACTTTGCGTTGCGCGTCTTCCGTCTGACAAGTGCGGGTGCGGCTGGTGGGGAAGACGTCGACGCCCTCAATCGTCGCTTCTGGGACATGCTTCAGACGCGCAACTCGGAGCTTCTCCTCACGCAGACAGTGTTGCCAGACGTGGGCTTCTGTATCAGACTGGTGCCGGGGTCGACGCTTTGCAGAGAGGAGCACATGCATGCAGCATGGAAGGTCGTGAAGGAGTGCGCTGACAAGACGCTCGGCGTGCAGTAGATGGACACGAAAGCAGCGTAATGCTTCATCCCTGTATACTATTCAGATTCATGAGATGCTCGCCATAATACATGCGGCGACTCAAACATCGTACGCGAGCTTCTCCATCCTCACCTTGCCCTCCTCGAGGAACTTCATTCCCTCGGGAATGGCGTCCAAGCCTCCGCTCATGACCTTGATCTTGTTGCCCTTGATGAGATGCTTCTCCATCAGATTGTTGACGATGCTGCCCTCCCCTGCAACCCACGATGCAAGGAACGCATGGTCGCTCTTGAGCTGCTCAGGTGAGAACTTGCCGAACCCACCGAACTTGAACTCGCGGCCAAGGAAGGAATAGACGAGGGTGGTGATGAACTCGATGTCCGGGCGAGCTTCCTTGGCTGCCTTTTCTGTAGGGAGGATGTTGACGACCTTGCCGCCCTTCTTGGAGATGGCATTGGCCGTGGCTACGGTGGAGCCCTTCTCGGAGAAGCAATCGACTGCAAGCTGAAGGTCTGGGTACTTTTCCGCGATCTTGGCGGGCGTGGACTCATCCTTGTAGTCGAAGACATCCTGGGCGCCAAGCTCCTTGATAGCAGCGTGGTTGTCAGGCGAGGCGGTGGCAATCACGTGTGCGCCCGCCAAGCGGCCAAACTGCACGGCGAATTGCCCAACGGAGGTCGATGCTGCCCAGACGAGGAGCTTGGGCGATTCCTTCGTCAGAGCGGGCGGGGCGGACAGGTCCTTGGGGATGGCGGGAAGACCCAGGCGAGTGAAGAGGCACTGGATTGCCGTAAAGCCGCCAATGCCAAAGGAGCTTGCTTGGGCTGGGTCGAAGTCAGTGGGGACGACGACGGAGGTGTCTGATTGAGTGGTGGCGTACTCGGAGAAGGTGCCTGCGTGTGCGCGAGATGGAGAATGTGCGAGGAGCGTCAGCCAAGGAGGACATTGTCTTGTGGGCGGCCATCCATGCTACACGCACCCTTCTCGGCGCTGTGGTACGACCCCATCTCGAAGAAGGCCACATTGTCTCCGACCTTGAGCTGAGTGTTCAACTTGGGTCCCAACTTGACGACGGTACCAAATGCGTCGCATCCGACACCGTAGCCGGGCGTACCGAGGAACTTTGCACTCTTCCAGTCGGTCGGGTTGAGGGTCACCGTCTTTACCTTGACGAGGACCTCATTGTCCTTTGGCTCGGGGACGGCCACTGTCTCGACGCCGACTTTGGCGTCCGGCTGGCAACGGAGCGAGCGCATCTGGGCTGGGACGGACATGGCTGAGAAGTGATAATGTGGGTTGGACAAGACGTGATGTATCGAAGAGGGAGGAAGAGAAGGAATGCCTACTCCATGGCCGCACACTTTAGGAGCGCTCTCTGCGGGGTCACGGCCCTAAGACTTCGGGGTGGAGGCCGTCGTCGTGCGCGGCAGGCGCACATGTTGCTGGTCATGAATTGTTTTCTTGCTCGCCTTGCTCCTAAGGTGTCCTGGTGTATCGGTTGCATGCTTTCTTAGGGTCATAGCCGACTTTAATTCGCCAATTCTTGGAAGAGGCGCCGGGTTCGACTCCCGGGGACGCCCTTTTTTGCACTTCGCGGCTCCTGGCAGCTACGGCAGCTTTTTTGGCGTTGCAGCATGTGTTGCTTGTCTGCTTTGAGAGCATGAGCAGCTGTAAGAGTGTTTGATGTCGCCGAAACAGCCGGCACATACCTTGCGTGGCTGCGGTGTGCCGCCGAGTGAGTCAGTTCGGTGGTGGTGCCTCGATGAACGATGATGGGGAGATCAACACTGAGGCCGGCCACAACCTTACCCCGGCTGAGCGTCGAGAACAGACAACAAGGAGCAGCAGAGCACGATATCTTCCTCGCCAATCGGCGCAGCAGACAGTAGCGACATGATCTTGGTTCCGGCGCGTGCGAGGATGCCACTCTGTCATCTTTGCTTGGCACGCCAGAGGATTGCCGAGTCTTGGATTCCTCTGTGGAATCCGCCTTAACAGAATCGAGCCCAAGATGTCGCTACTGAAGCTACTCCAGCCCAAGATGCCGCTACTGAAGCCGCTCCAGCAGTAACGGCTTGCGGCTTGCGCGAAGGCTCCCCAGCCGGTCGCATGTCGAGGCCGCGCGAGAGGATGACGGCGGCAGGCTCCAGCATCTTACATGGTTTGCGGCGAGTCGTCTCTGCCTCGATCACTCGGACTTTGGAGCTCGAGTCTACGTTTGCAGCTGAGCAACGGGATGAGCAATGACGACGCAGGCGGTACTGAGCCGGCCCTTATTAGGCGGCGAGGCCCGTCATTGCCAGGCGCTCCCAAAGAAGCCGGCTCGAAAAGCTAAGTTTGCGCATTGAGAGCCCTTCGCGCCAGTTCCGTTGCTTTTGTTGGCTACACGTGCTAAACTTTGAGCCGCCTTCACAGTGGATCATGAGGGGTCTGAGTGGCTGCCATTTGTTGACCTGACCTTGACGTTGGCAGGGAGAGGACTCTCGTCATCAACGTAGTCTGCCGTGCCAGTGACCGCGCGCGAGTGATTAGAAATGCAGGCCGAAGCAGGGAGTCACACTACGGTCGGCCCTCGCACCGCCTGACCCCGCAGGAGGAACCCATTCATTGCTCTCGTGCGCTCATCACCATTTCTCGTGCCTGACCAGACGCTGGGAAGCCTACCTTCGCGATAGCAGATAGCAAGAAGACCATGCTCACGCTAGCCAGCGTGGGACGTAACGTCAAGATCACTACGGCCGTGGCAGACAACACGACCAGGCTGGAAGACATGAAGTAGCCTGAGGTTGCAGTATCGTCATCTCGCAGCCTCGCGGCCATCCCCAGTTGGCAGCGCGTCCAAATTTGGGGCGGTCGCCATCTCACACAGGACGCGAGACCATCGAAACGCCTTAATCCTCGCCTCGCTCGCCTTCTACGACGGTCCAACTGTCGATCGATTCGTCGCGGCGTCGTCTAGTTGTCTCTGCAGCCTCTGCATCCATCGCCGAGAGGCCGTTGAGATGGACACCGCCGTGACTGCTCTCGTGCCTAGCCGACCGGCGACCCTTTAAAGCTCATTGGCCGTCACGCGCCCAAGGCTCGTCTAGTGCCTGCAAGCGACGTGGATTGAAAGTTGAGTTGCTCCCTCTCGCTCGCACGGGCGCCGAGTAGTGCGAAGAATATAATGGGGCTGGCGGGTCACGCTTTGCAATCGGCGCATCCCCACTACCCTACCATCCAACCAACTCCTCAACCATGCCTAGCCAAGAAGTAATGGCCCACAAGGGCGTCCCCGAGCCCGTTCAGTACACCACCTCGAACGGCGCCCCCTACAACCAGCCCTACGAGGCGCAGCGCATCGCCAGTTATGCCAACAAGCAGATCGGCTCCAACCTGCTCCTCCAGGACTTCCACCTCATCGACCTCCTCGCTCACTTCGACCGCGAGCGTATCCCTGAGCGTGTCGTCCACGCCAAGGGCGGAGGAGCACACGGCTTTTTCGAGGCCACCCACGACGTCAGCGACATCTGCATGGCCGACTTCTTCAAGCAGGGCACCAAGTCGCCCGTCACTGTCCGCTTCTCTACCGTAGGCGGCGAGTCCGGATCGGCAGACACTGCCCGCGATCCTCGAGGCTTCTCAATCAAGATCAGGACGACGCAGGGCAACTGCGACTGGGTGTGAGTACAGCGCGTGTTGTCACCTCGTCCGCTCGTCGTTACCAGTATGCTGACGCGTGCCGTGTCCTCTTCCCCTTCCCTCGCCCCTTCCCCTTTGATTCCCCATCCTTCTACACCAACTTCTCTACCATCCCGACGCCCCATGCATCACCCTCTCGTCGCCATCACCCTCGCGCTCACGTGACTCTGCTACCGCAGCTTCAACAACACTCCCGTCTTCTTCCTTCGCGACCCGGCCAAGTTCCCTCACTTCATTCACACCCAGAAAAGAGATCCCCAGACACATCTGAAGGACAACGTGCAGTTTTGGGATTATTTATCTTCCAACCCAGAGTCTATTCATCAGTGAGTATCATCTGACAAAAGTGAGATCCGAGGAGCGCGTCTTTAGCTTGCCGCAGCACGCCGCAGTAACATAAAATAACATAACATAGCTTGGACTGCCTCAGCTGACCTCGCTCATCTTGGTAATTCTCCCTTCGCCCCCCGCAGGGTCATGATCCTCTTCGGCGACCGCGGTATCCCTCGAGGCCACGCTTACCAGCATGGCTACTCGGGCCACACCTTCAAGTTCGTCAACGACAAGGGGGAGTGGCAGTACGCTCAGATCCACGTCCGCTCCGACCAGGGCGTCAAGTACTACACTCAGGAGGAGGGCGTCAGGCTCGCTGGTGAGAACCCCGACATCTGCAACCAGGAGCTCTTCGAGCAGATCGAGAAGGGCCAGTACCCCTCGTGGACCGTCTCCGTCCAGACCATGACGCAGCAGCAGGCCGAGGAGTTTGAGCACTCTGTTGGAGATTTGACGAAAGTGTGGCCCCATCATAGATTCCCTCTTCGCCCCGTTGGCAAGCTCGTGCTCAACAAGAACCCCAGCAACTACTTTGCTGAGATCGAGCAGGCTGCTTTTTCGCCCTCGCACCTTGTGCCCGGCATCGAGCCCTCTGCCGATCCCGTCCTGCAGAGCCGTCTCTTCTCCTACCCTGACACCCACCGTCACCGCCTGGGCGTTAACTACCAGCAGATTCCGGTCAACGCCCCTCTGGTCCCCGTAGCCAACTTCCAGCGTGATGGCTTCATGACCGTCAACGGCAACCAGGGCTCGCGTCCTAACTACATGTCTTCGATTCAGCCCCTCACCTACAAGGCGCCTAGCACCGTCTCTGCCTCGCATGAGAAGCTTGTCGCCAGCCAGATCGAGAACTTCCTTTCCAAGTTCGACGAGGACCTCGACACGCGTCAGCCTCGCGCTCTTTGGGAGAAGGTCCTCGACGAAGGTGCTCGCGAGCGTCTGGTCAAGAACATCTCGGGTCACCTCGGCGGCTGCCAGGACAAGGAGATCATCAAACGCCAGCTCGCCATCTTCAAGGCTGTGCACCCGGACTTCTACGCTGGTGTCTCCAAGGGCGTAGGTGTCACGATCTAAGGCGGGCGCGCTAGAGATGCGATGGCCTCGGCCGACAGATACCGGATGATTGAGCTTCTCTAGCACCTCTCTTATTGTGAAATACATATATTGATTCCCATCCTCTCCCCCCTGCCTCCCCTTGCCCCACATGTTCCTTGCCAATCGCACGACGCAATGCCACCAACGCTCAAATCGCGACCGCCGCCTATTGCTCACAGCTCGTGAACCAAGGAGTCCTAGCCGAGGCGCCGCGCCTGTGAGAGCACTTCTGCTCCACTCGTCGCGTTACTCATTGATACCACGGCCGTCCACAATTTCGTCAAGGCCAGCCTTCCACATTAGCATGCAATGTCCCCCCTGCCTGATCCTTCTCTGCCTGATATGCTCGGCCGTCTCCTCCAATGCGACCCGGACAACACTCATTGAAAAATCGAACACTCATGTCACCGTCATCATGCCTCACTCGCACCGGTCGTGTGCATAGCGTGTGCTTCTCATTGAGAACGGATGGGAAACGAAGACGTAAAGAGAAGACGAATGAAATGAGATGGGTCAAGACGTGCTAATGGTACAGAAGAGAAGAACGGCGGACGAGGGTGTAGCGCGGCCACGCCTCTGCGCCCGGTGCACAAAGCTTGCAAGCCATGTATGACTACTTGAGATGTGTGACTGACGGTAGTTGAGGGAGATGTGTGTGTACTGCTACCTGCCACAGCGTGCTTCTCTATGCGACGTACTCCTATGCCACCTTAGATGGCGTTGTTGGCGCAGCCGAAAGGCGCCTTAACAGCTCCAGATGCGTACCCATCAATGATGGCCTGCACGGACGTGTACGTCCCGACAGCAAAGACGAAGACGCCCACGCAGATGAGGACTACGTTGAAGGCGCTCTCTGCCTTCCTCCAGACGGGCTGACCTGTCCAGAGCTGCCCCTCGTGAGTACGGTAGAAGGCCATGGAGCAGAGGATGAATCCGATCCACCCATCGAAGAGGGCGCTCAGCAGACTGATCAAGGTGCCGAAGAAGGGGATGGCCTCTCCGACGATCCAACCGAACACCCAAGTGGTGAAGACGATGGCCGTCCAACCTGTCCAGCCGATGACGGTGTGGTTGGCAAAGTGACGCGTCTTGCCGAAGAAGCGGACAAAGAGGTACTTGGCCACGACGGCGGCGTAGATGATGCCGATGATGATCGTCGTGGGGAGGACGAAGCTGAAGGCGATCTTCTTGAAGACGGGCTTGAGGACCGTGACAGCCGGTGCGCCCGTGTATTGGCCAGAGTAGTAGTAGACAACGATTCCCACAGTGAGGAAGAGGGCGAATTCGGCGATCGTGACCGCATAGAGGGCCTTGGGGAAGTCTTCAGGCTGCTTCATCTCTGCGATGAAGGACTGCGAGAGCGGGCAAAGAGAGACGGAGCATTCGAGTGAGCGGAAGGAGGCACGGTGGTGGCGTACACGCGCTACTCACAGGGTAGACGATCTGACCGACCCAAGTGAACAAGATGTTGAGCAGAGCGTTGAAGCCTGCCACAAAAGTCGTGCCCTTGGGAGCCCAAGCGGTGATGACGACGGGCTCGTCGGGGTTGAAGCCTGCGGGGTTCCTACCCTGTGCTCCGCTGAAGGCCAGCGTCAGAATGATTGCGATTCCCATGGTAACTGTAGTGCGAGCGAGTGGGTGTAGAGGGAGGGTGGGGAGAAGAAGAGGGGTACAAGGGGGGAGAAGGTGGGACGATGCCGGGTGAGCGGATTGATGCTCACGCCAATAGCAGCATGCCGCTGGAGAAGTCCAATGTTCGAGCACCTATAACAGGGCACTTAAATGGAGTCTCAAGGGCAGCCCGTGTTGTTCATAGCCCTCCATCTTGAGGTCTTAACCGCCACGTCCCCGCCGTGTGCCACTCCCCTCCAGGTCGACACCTCTCTTCTGGCCCCAAAGCCATCCTCACGTCTCGTCGTATCACGTCACATGCTGCACACAATGCCTACTCACTGGCTGAGACAATGCCCATGAGCGCAACGTGCTCAAGCTTCCTAGGGAGAGTTCCGATGGCTGAGACCACGGTGATGATGATGGACGCTCCGACCGTGCACAAGCTGCAGAGGGCGCGAGGGGTGAGACGCTGGTAAGCATGGGGTTGACGAGTCTCGGATGTTTCAGCCGCTTTCGAACTCACTAGCCAGGCGCAGCCAGGGTATTGATGATCTCAGCGCCGGTCAGCGTGTGCAGACCCATGAGGAAGGTATTGTTGAGAACGAGGACGAGGGCCGTGATCTCATAGAAGATCCAGTGGCCACCAAAGAGATGCCTGCCAATGTCTGCAATGTTGACAAGCTGGGGGTACTTGAGGCAATAGGCGTGGAGGAGCAGGGAGGTGTACAGATTGACGGAGCCGAGGATGATTGTCGAGAGAATACCGCCTGCCATGCCGAGGGTCTGGAAGGCGTAGGGAAATGAGAGGATGGCAAGGCAAACGTACTCGCCAAAGAGGAGGGCGCTGTGCAGCGAGGAAGAGCATGTAGAGCGGTGGCCAGTCAGTAAAGAATGATTGCTTTGTATGCTGCGTTGATCCCTCGCCCTAGCACTCACGCAGCCTTCTTCCAACTCATTGTCTTATAGTTGATCTCCTCGCTCGAGTTGACCGAGAAGACGTCAGCACGAGGCTCACCTCCACCCTCACCGTCGTCGATGGCCTTTTGCTTCTTCTCCTTCTCGTTGATGGCATGGTCGCTGCCGCCAGTCTCGGTCATGCTGTTCGACTCGGCGACAGGCGACGAAGACTCAACATCGTAGGCTCCCGCCTGGCCATTGGTACCGACGCCGGAGCGAACAGAGTGAAGAGAGGCTGCGTCGGCAGCCGTGGGCACTTCCTGGCGCATTCCGGGCATGCTGGGCGAGCTTGCTTCGTCGTGGCGGGCGTAGTAGTGATGGTGCTCAAAGGATGGATGGAAAGGGGCTAGTGCGAAAGTCTATCCGTGCAGCTGTTGGTGGGGTCGATGGTGGTGGTGGTAAAGAAAGGAAGACTTGCTTGCGTGATGAGTGCGAAAGACGTCCGAAGTCACGTCACGTCTCAGCGATGCTTTGCCCCCCGGTCTCCAGGGCCCAATATCCCAATATCACTTCATCCGGCGGACGACGGCGGTGAGTGTGAGTGCGGTCGGCGTACGAATACTAAGTGGCGGCGGTAGCAGCGGCGGCGGGCGGCTGCACAGGCAGCGGACTACGCAAGTCGAGGACGAGGGTCCACCTTGACTGGCCGTGCGCCGCGAGTAGAGATGCTCAACGACGTCGATGAACGCCGGCAGATGGCAAAAAGCACAGCAACTTTCCGCGGGCCCACGGCTCCATGGCTCCCTCGCGGGGCGTAATTCGTGTCTCGTCGTGTGGAGCCCACTCAACGCAAATTTCTCGACTGCTACACGCATTTCGTCGCCGCTCTTGGCTCTCGCTCGCGAGCTCGCTCACCGTTCACTCTTGGTGCGCTGCGTTCACCCACGAGATGTGTCTGGCCAGATCTGCCGTGTGCCTGAACGCCGGTCTGGCGCAATTGCCGCACAGCATGGCAGAGCACGAGCGAGACGAGAAGCGATGTAGAGAGGCTGGCTCGAAAGGCCTGTCGCATCGGGAGAGGCGGCGCTGCTGGGAAAACGAATGGCAGGTTCGATTTCAAAATAGGCCGAAGACACGCCTGCGATGCCAGCTACCGTGTTACAGTGCAATTAACGTCGTCACAACGCTATGGAGAGCCAGGCCCGCCACTACCACCATCTAGCAAGTCAAAGAGATTCTTCTGCTGCTGACCGGGCCGTTGCTTGGATGACTGCGAGCTCACGCCATTCGCGCCCTCGCCCGCGGCTTTGCGCGCCTTCTTGGCCTCTCTTCTCAGCCTCTTGAGCTCCTCACCGTCCAACCCTAGATCGTCCTCGTACCCATGCAAGACAGCCTTGACTACACTCGCAGCCTCAGCCTTGCAATCCTTCGAAAGGCCCATGGCCTCGATTGCGTTTCCGTCATTCTCGAGGAGGAGCTGAAAGAGCGGGCCGTCGAAAAGGAGGTGAGGCGGAGCGAGGTCCGCAGCATCGCCCGACGAAGGGAGTAGCAGGCTTCGACTGAGGTCATGCGCCGTACGCAGCATGAGCTGGAGGGTCGATGCGAGATGAATACCACGCACCGACGGTTGTGAGACCCAGTGCTCCTTGTCGAGTACCAGCCGTCCTTCTGAAGCTAGTCTGAGAGCTTGACACCCAGCCCGAATAGCAGAGACAATCTCCGCCTTCGTCCAGTTGAGCCTGCGCTTGCTCTCACCTGCTTCCTGGGTGATGGAGGCTACGAGGTGACGAACACAGGCGGCGAGAGGTAGCAAGGAAAGCGGGACCGTCCCCGCTTGCAGATCGGTGGACTGCAGTGCGAGGCGGTATAGGTCAAGGCGAGCGTGTAGCGGGAGCAGAGGTGCTAGGGGTGGCGGCGGGTCGACGTGTGGCTCTTCGTCTGAGTGACCGTTGGAAACCCCGCCCTTAGCTGCTGCATACTGACCCAAAAGTGCGGTAAGGCTGGCTGGCAACTGCCCATTCGAAGCCGAAGCCTCGTTGAGAAGGCTCTCAAGGTCGACGATCTCCACCAGCTCGCCGACGTAGCGATCGCCCTTGCGTACATACTCCCTGACGGCGGGAGGTGGTTTGATCGCTTCGGATGCCAGAGGAGATGAAGGGTTCTCGTCCACCAGGGACCTGACATCGTCGTCGTCATCATCATCGTCGACATTGGCCTGCGCGCTGAGCGTCGACTCGGTATCGACGCTAATGATGTCGTCTGGCTTTTCGCCTTCCTTGTAACGTGGTGGTCCCAAGACACCTCCTCGACCGTAGGATCCGTTGATACTGTCGGCTGTATTGTCGTCGTCGACCTCCTCGTTGCTCCCCTCTGTGACCGGCTCTGCCATTTCCTCCCTCGCCCAATTCATCCCGTACACATCAAAGAGCACGGCGTAGATCCACTGCCTGACCCGCCTAGCCGCCCCGACATGCACACTCTTCAGATCAGGATCTTCCGGCGCCAGCACAGCAAAGAAGACGCGTTGAGCCATTACGCCCACATGCTCGGGCGGGAAGTCCAGTTTCGAAAACGCTTCGCGATACAGCTGCATCGCCTCATCAACGTCTGCCGGTCGTCCCCTCGCCTTCGTGGGGTGGAGTAGCGCGACCGGATTTGCAAGGAGATTAGGCGCCCCCCGTTGAGTGATCATGAGCGAGTACGCGGCCACTCCATCGATGATGGACTGGACGGCCGCTTCTTTCTCTCCCTCGGTCACGTAGTGGGCATTGTGCAACGCTGTGTCGCTGCGCTTCAGTAGCGCGTTGAGCGTCGCGGTGACGAGAGCACGTACAGGGTCCATGACGGGGGACTGGTCGAGGTCAGAGAAGCGAAGCTGTGCAGGCGTGGCTGTGCCTGATGAGGCGACGGACGTCTCGCTGCGGCTGTCGTCATCGCCCCCGGCCAACATGGCTCTTCTGCGATCTGCAGCGATCCGCGCCTGCAAGCCTCCCGGATGCGCCTGGGCGTGTGCGATTGGCCGTTTGGAAATACCAAGAGAGGAGTGCCACTCCAGCCTGATGACCGCAGCCGCCTCTTGTATTCTATCCGCCCAGTTGGAAATGTGTCGGAACAGCAGCGATTCCTGCTTGGTTGTCGAATAGTCGTTTCCCACTACCGAGGCGAGGAGCGGCAGGAGAGGCGCCGGCAGCTTGAGCCGGGCGGCTAGTGCATGCGAGGAGAAGGCGCGCGCTCGTATTGACTTGAGGATGAGTTGTCCGGAGAGGAGGGTGGAGCGAGAGGGGGGCTGGTCGAGAGCAGTGATGCGTGACGAGGAGGAGCCATTGCTCGGAGACGGGGCAGCCTTCTTCTTGCGACGGCCTCTCGAGACTGCCTCAAAGCCGTCATTGTCATCCATAGCTTCCGCTGCTTGCTCTTGACCCTCAACGGGAGCCTGCTCCACCAAATACTCAAACGTATCTAGCGGTGCATATCTCGCCCTTCCCGCTCCTCTTGAGCAGAGGATAAAGTAGTCCGAGTCTTTGCTGACAGCGAGCCCACCAGTTTGCTCCGCTAGCTCCGCGACGGCACTATCTGCCTCTGCCTCTACGGCGATGTTTTCAACACCCAGGGAGCGCAGAACGTCCCGTACGCAGTCGATGAGCAAAGGTGGGAGGCTGCAGCATTCAGCCTGGAAGCGTTTGGATGCGCGCGTGGAGGGCGAAGAGCGCATGAAAGCTGAATTGAGGGCGGCGACACTTCCTCGTCTTGAGAGCACGGTTTGTGTCTTGAGCTCGGGGATGGCGCCATCCCAGATGAAGACGGGCTCGAGGTGGGCGAGTCTGGGCGTGCGGAGGAAGGGGTTGGCGATGTCAGGTGTGCGAAGGTGCAGGCTCCAATGTGCCGAGGATGACAGCTCACCTCCAAGCGTGTATGACATCCTTGATGTGCTCTGTGATGTCTTGGTAGTTCCCACCTTGCACTGCATCACCAAAGTTGGTCAGCCAGATTTCAAAGACCCAAGCAAGGGCGTCGACGGCGAGAGTCGTGGTGACGCTAGGCGTTGATGATGAGGAGGAGGACGATTGGGAGACGACATATTCTCGCAGCTCAGATATTGAGCCTTGGTAGGCCTGTACGAACGTCGTAAGTCCCCGCACGCCCATGGTGGTGATGCTGGGAGTATTGAGAAGTCAAAAAAGAAGGCAGCACGCAGCACGAGGACACGGGAGCGGAAGTAGCTCCTGCCGGCGTGCTTCTCTTTGGTCCTGAGTCGACGCACGCAGCCTGGCGCATTTCACGAGAGAGTGGAGCGCTGCTCCGCCAAATCGGGCGACGGCAATGATGACGGCGGAAACGGCGGATGAGCGAGCGGCCGAGCAACGAGGGACGAGGGATGAGGGTTGCCTTGCGTCCTCATCCACAACATCATCCCATCTCACCTAGAAGGCTGCCTGCGATCTACCCTACTCTTCACCACGGTCATTCAAGCAAGGCTCTATCCCTGACCCGATCAACGCAGCATGGCCGCGTCCAATGGCAACGGCAACGGCGTCGCGGGCGGCAGTAGCCAAACCAGCAGCAACAACAACAACAACAATAGGCCGCCCCTCTACAAAGCCCCTTCAGGAGTAACAGCATCCTTGGTACCAGACGGAAAGCTCATCGATCACGACACAGCAGAGGTGACAGCGCTACCAGATTCGCTCAATCCAAAGGGAAAGTGAGTCCGCGACGCTGCATACGTGATTGCAGTGGCCCCTCGCGCCTGACCACTCCACGCCTCCTTCCTCAGATCCCTGTCCTCGTCAGACAATGAGATCATCAGCAGACCAGCATCAGCAGCAGGGATGAAGGGCGTCAAGGTAGACTCTCCCACGCCAGAAGCTATCGCAGGACGGTCCCTTTACAGCCATCCACCACTAGACGACAGTGACCTTGTCAATACGCGCAAGCTCTTTGCACATCGAGCAGGTGCGCCCCCATATGTGAGCTCAGAGATGATTGCAGCCCTTCAGCTGGATATCGAGGCTGACCTGCTACACATCCCTGCCCTCTCATCTTTGTCTAGGGCGACTTCACCCTGTACCGCCGGGTGCGCGCTCTCATCACCCAAACCATCGCATTCACCCTCTCATCAACTTTCCTCGTCTTCGTGGTCATATGGGCACTTTCAGTCCGATTCTTGGCCCAGCTCCCACGGCTCCTCTCTCCGGGATCCAATGTTACAGCAGAAGTAGCCAAAGAGTGGGATGATGTCAAGAGGTGGAAAAAGGAGGACCTCATCAAGGATGTGAGATACTATGCGCAGTCGTGCGGGTTTGAGATCAGGAACGAGACGGTGGAGACGGAAGATGGATACTACTTGAGGGTGAACAGGGTGATTGACCCGAAGAGGAAAGATGAGAAGCACAGTGATGGTAAGGGTGAGTAGCGCCAACAGCTGAGCCGCCATAGTGCGAACGGACATCAGCTCACAACAGCCCTCCCTCCCCTTCGCTCCTCGCTAGGCGGCTTCCCCGTCCTCATCATGCATGGCCTCTTCCAATCCTCAGGCTCCTTCGTCACATCAGAAGAGCGCAGCCTGGCCTTCTGGCTTGCCCGTCATGGAGGGTACCAAGTCTTTCTCGGCAACAACCGCGGCGTATTCGACATGGGCCATAAGGTTTACTCTCGCTCCGACCCCCGCTTCTGGGACTACAACATCCGCGAATTGGCATGCTACGACCTGCCCGCTTTGGTCGACCATGTGAGGAAACAGACGGGTTACGACAAGATTGGGTTCATCGGCCACTCCCAGGGAAATGGGACGGCCTTCATCTCCCTCTCGAAGGGCATGGTCCCCGAGCTGGGCGACAAGCTCACCTACTTTGGCGCTCTAGCTCCAGCCGTCTTTGCTGGACCTTTGACGTCTTGCTTCCCCTTCACCACCTTGGGAACAATGGAGTGGAATACGTGGAAGCGCTTCTTTGGCGTCCTCGACTTTATCCCGCTCATGAAGATTAGCTACGACTACACACCCGCTTACCCGTATGCGCTGCTTGGTTACCAAATGTTCGCCTTCCTCTTCGCATGGACGGACGCCAATTGGCTGCTAAGGCGAAAGGCAAAGATGTTCCGCTTCACACCTCAGCCTGTCTCTTCTGCGAGCATCTACTGGTGGGCAGGCAAGGACGGCTTCGCCTCTCGCGGGTGCATCCTCGACCCAAACGCAGCACAATGGTGGGACTCGCGCTTCCCTCCCCTCTCCATCTACAGTGGCGGAATGGACTTCCTGGTCCTGACGGATCCGCTCATCGACCGCCTCGAGCGTGTAGAAACAGATGTGCGCGTGCTGCGCTTCAAGCGACAGGAGGAGGCAGAACATTGCGACCATTTCTGGGCGGCGGATGCGGTGGAGTGGTGCTTTCACGATATCTTGCACGACATTGAGAGCACACGACTCCTCTACCCTGAGGAGGTGGCAGCAGGAGGCCAGAGGAGGATGGCGACTGCAGGGGAGTGGGAGGAGGCAAAGAGGAACGGCGGGGCGCAGAAGAAGGCGCCTAGAGCAAACATCATGGACGAGCAATGAGCTCGCCTTGGGCGCCGACGTTCAGCGTTCCGTCTAGCTCTTGATGATTCGGACATTCACGGCCACGCCCATTTGCCAAGAACCACCTTTGTACACTAGTAAATCTCTACCTCTCATTGCAAACGGCGGGCGAGCGGCCGGCCAGGCTCCCTGCTCCTCTTCGCTCGGTCCCTCGTTCGCTCGTCCCGGTGTAATACATGGCATCACCTCGCAGCCTCTCTCTGCCTCACATGACTTCCCGCTCTCCCCTCCGTCGGGCTTCTCGACTGCGCCTCACGACCCGTTGAGCAGAGCCAAGAGGGACTGCGGCTGCCCGCCTCCTCCAACCTGTTGAGGCGGTCTTTGTGGAGAGAGCTGCTGGAGGTGGTGCTGGGCAGCAGGAGATAGATGTGTTCTCTGCCCGGAGAATGCGTGCGGCATCGGCGGCTGAGGCGCAGGAGGTGAGAAATGCTGCTGCTGGTGAAGTAGGTGCGGCGGCGCGTGATGCTGGGGCAAAGGCGACATATGAGGGGGAGGTGGGCGTGGCTGCAGTTGGGCAAGGAGGTGAGCGGCTCCGCCTGCTGCTGGCCCAGCTCCGGGCTGGTTGAAAGGCGGCATTGACGTGGGCGGCGCGCCGGCTGCGTGTTGCTGATGGACATGGTGCGGCGGGGGCATCATAGGCGCCGCAGGAGGCGCGGCTCGAGCGTGCATGGCGGCTGGGCTCATATTGGGCCCGCCGGGATGGATAGGAGGACCATGTGGCGCGTGGTGATGCTGGTGGTGGGGCGGTGGAACCATCTGATGAGGCATCAGAGGTGACGCGCCTGCGAATCCAGCATGCTGGGGTGGGAAGTCATGTGGTGGTCGTGGTGGTGGTGGGCCCCATGCATAATTTGCGGACGGTGACATGTGAGGACCAGCTTGAGATGACGAGGGCATACCCATCGCGGTGGATGTTTGCGCTGCGCCAGGAGGCGGCCCGGTACGCATGGGCCCTGCATTGAGCATTGCAAGGAGGTCGTTCCGACCAGCATCGTCAGCCGTACCTGCACCGCCTGGTCCAGTTCTGGGCTGCGCAGGGAGGCCATTCTGCTGCGACGGAGGTGGGCCGGGTGGGCCGCCCGCTGAATATCTTTGTACGTGCGCGTGAGCGGGTGGCGCGGGAGGATGGCTGGCCTGGGGCGAAAGCAAGGCTAGAAGAGCGTCCTCCTTTGAAGATGAGGTCGAAGCTTGTGGCGCACTTCCCGTATGACTGCCGTTCAACTGTGGGAGCGATGGCGCTTCTTGAAGGGACTCATCCTTCATCCCGCCATTCGCACCGCCCATAAGAGCCTGCAGCAGTAGCTCGCGTTTCCTCTGCCGCTCCTGCTCTTCTGCTGAGAGGGGCGGCAGAGCTGATGACTGTGATGGGCCAGACGATGAGCTTTGTGCCGCTGACAGATGTTGCTCGCCCCCTCTCTGTGGACTGCCCGGACTGAGCATCTCGAGCAATTTCAGGGTTTGAGTGGACGACTTTTGCGGCCGAGGAGCCGGTAGTGGGGACGGGCTGGTGGACAAATCTGATGACGATGCTGCCGGCTCATCAACTGAGGGCTGGAGGTTGAGAGAGCCTTGCAGCATCGCCATGAGCGCAGCTGAATCGTCTCTTGGCGCGGCAGCAGACGGCGCGACTTCCGCAACTGATACTGGCGCCTTCGCCGGAGCGCTCAGAGGCCAGCTCGAGGCAGGATCAGCAAAGAGCGGTCCTGCTGATGCTGTTGACGCTTTTGACTGGGCCCCGTTTGTCGACGTAGAAGCTCGCATCGCTGCAGGCTCGGTCGGCGGACCTTGCGTCTCTCGCATGGCAGCAGGTCCAGTAGGCGGCATATTGTCCTGCGCTGACATGCTACTCGAGGCAGCGTCTTCTGCCATTCTCTTCTTCTTGTTCTCATTGATCCAATGCTTCAACTTCCCAATGAATGGTGTGACGAGGTAGAACTTGGAGCTCGCATTTGCGCTCGCTAGCCCTCCGCCTCCTGCTGCTTTGCTCTGCTTCCACGTTGGTAGGTCGGCGAGCTTGAACCAGGCGATTTTCTAGCGCGACGCAGCGAGAGGTTTGACTTAGCTCGATGGCCTTTCTCTGCCTCTCCATGAATGGCTCTTGCTCACACTGATCTCTTTTCTCGTCTGCGTCTCAAAAATGGTATCCTTCTTGACACCCGGCACAATGTAAAGCCGCATCTTCTGTTCACGGACGTTGAGCTCCATCCAGTCCTCCGAGTCGGGCTTGAGGAGATGAGAACAATCGAAGCCCGTCTCCTCGTACGTCTCTCGAACCGCGCAGTCTCGAGGCGGCTCATTTTGATTGATCTTACCCTTGGGGAAGCCCCATGACGCTGACGACTTCCAGCCCTTGACCAAAAGACACTGCGATGACGTGGATGCGATGTGGACAGGGACAGAGACGCCTCAATCGTCTGTTCGCTGTGCAGCTTCGTCATCTCGGCCCATCTGGCGGCTGCCACAACTCACGCTCTTCCAATCGTCGCAAAGCAACACCGCCCCGCATACGGGCACCCTGGTCTTGTACTTGAGAAACTCATCGAAAGCGGCCTCTAGACCGTACGTCGTGCCTCCAAGATCCTCCCACTGCACCGTCGCGCCGTTGCTGCTATCTGATCCGCTGGACACGTACTGCCTGATGAGCGGTACTGACAGGGAAGCAGTCTGGAGGATGTAGATGGAGAATTTCCGCAGATTCAGAGATGGTAATGATGGATTGAGGGGTCGTAGAAAGTCCTCGTAGAACCAGTGTGCCTGCTCGACTTGGAAACAGATTCGTTCGATTCGCTGCAGCTCCTCGGAGGGCAGGTTAACGATGAAGCGCGAGCTGAGGTCTTCGAGGACCTCTACGAAGGAGAGGGAGGCCCATGAGGACATTGTCCGCGAGGCGTTGGATGCGCGTGAAGAGGTCAGCGATGGGCAATTAGTGAGGCTGTGATGGAGACGAGGGAGAGAAAGGCGAATATGATGCGAGCTCGCGCCTCGAGATTGAATGCGGTTCGGACCGAGACAAAGGGCGGCAGACGAGTCGAGGGCAACGGACCGACGGACGGGAGTGGAGACGGACAGGCGCAGACGACAGGCCAGGCAGTCGAGCGAGTCAAAGCTTTCGCGACCAATTCTCCAACAAGACCCTTCTTCCATTCCTTTTCAGTCCCACCCCATTTGTGTGGCAAAGTAGAGCATGGCCACAAGTAGCAAGGCTGCTCCAGCTGTGGCAGCACCCGCCACGGCGATACCGGCTCCAACACCAGCGCCAGCTCGCCCTCCGTCATCATCCCTGCCGGCCAATGTTTCAACGGCAGAGTCCTTCCTCATGGGCGCCCTCGCAGCATGTACAGCCGTTACTGTCACCAACCCGTTCGAGGTCGTCAAGACGAGGATGCAGCTACATGGAGAGCTTGGGACGCGTGGGCAGAGTCAGAGCCCCTTCCGAGTGTTTGGGCAAACGCTTAAGCATGAGGGTGTGAGGGGCATTCAGAGGGGGCTGGGACCGGCGTACATCTACCAGATCCTGCTCAACGGATCACGGTTGGGCTTCTACGAGCCGTTTCGCACAAGCTACAATAAGCTGACTGGCAGAAGAAAAGAGGAAGTGTGGGCGCTGGGTAGTCTCGCTGCGGGAGCAAGCTCCGGAGTCGTAGGAGGTGAGCCGCGTGGGGATATTGAGGTCCGGACCATCTGCTGATCACCTCTCCCTCGGCGTCTCTCCACGCAGCCGTCTTTGGCAATCCCTTCTTCCTGGTAAAGGCTCGTCTTCAAGCTTACTCGCCCTCTCTTGACCCTTCACAAGCGCGCCACCACTACACCTCGACGCTCAACGGTCTCTCCACCATCGTCAAGAAGGAGGGCGTACGCGGTCTCTGGCGAGGATGGGACGCTGCTGTTCTCCGCACAGCAATGGGCTCGACCGTTCAACTCCCCGCTTACAACCTCGCGAAGACGTACCTGAGCAATCTGAAGCCAGAGGACACATTCGCATACAACCCGGCCCTGCTGATTGCTGGGAGGCCGAATAACTTCCTCACCTACCTGAGCAGCAGTATTTTCTCTGGGCTGTGCGTTTGCGCAGTCATGCAGCCGGCGGATACGGCCTTGACGAGGATGTACAACCAGCCAGTCAATGTGCTGCCCAACGGGAAGACGGTGGGAGCTCTTTACAGAGGGCCATTGCACTGTCTCTACCTTACGGCGAAGGCGGAGGGGCCCTTGGCGTGGTACAAGGTGCGTTAGCGCCAGGGTGAAGAGGAGCCTCGAAGGGGCTGAAAATGGAACTGACGCATCTCTACCGTCATGTCTCGCACAGGGCACGACCGCCCATCTGGCCCGCATTGCGCCGCACACGGTCCTGACGCTTGTAATGAACGAGGTCTACCTGGTGAGCAGGCGACACACCGTCGGCAGGGCTGCCGCGCGCGAAGAACAAGGCACGCTGACCAGCTCTTTTCCATCGTACTCGCACAGAGATGGTACACACAAGCAAAGAGTGGATAAGGAGCAATACCAACGTCACAAATGCAATGCAGAACACACGTAGAGAGGGAGAGATCGTCGCGAGTGAATGGGTTCTTGCATCCTGCTTCGCCCCCGCCCTTTGTCGCCTTCCTCCTGCAGCCCACTGCGTGCGTGACGCAGCCCAAGAGGCGCGGTCGAGTCGATGACAGCAGAGATAGCCACGAGCTCATCGTGTGCAAGTCTGTTGTTGATCATAGTCAGATTTGCGACAGGCAAGAAGGCCGGGAAATGCTCGCAATTTCTCTTGTTTCGTGGCATCGCAGTGGGCTGCCATTGCCGTCACGAGGCTTTTCTTCCTGAGGCGGGAGCAAAGGGATTCCTTTCTCACTGGGCCCAAGCGCCGCCTCCACCCCGGCAGCGGCCTCTGGGCGATTGAGTCGAGTCGCGATCCGGCAGCCCACGTCGACCCCGCACTCGTTCGCACTCCGGCGCAGAGCCGCTTTGCCGCTCACACATCCTGGTCTTGTCTCCCCTCTCCCTTCTCTTTCTTCTCTACTATCTCATCTATCTGTCGTCTGATGTCTCTACTGGCACGACGACCCCACGCAAAGCTCTCAGCCACCCCACTCACCACTACTTTGCGCGCCACCGCCAGCCACACTCTCGCAGCTGCTGCTCCTCGTCCTCAAATCACTTCTTTGTATTCTCGAACAACTCGCATGTTCACCACCTCACCGATCGCCACCATGCCGCAGATGCCACAGGGAATCATCAAGGGCGGTCAGGATGACCTGAAGCTCTCGTCTAAGGAACTTCTCCGCAACCAGGCTTACATCAATGGCCAATGGGTCGACGCCAAGTCCGGTAAGAAGCTCGAGGTTATCAACAAGGCGACGCACGCTGTCATTGGACATGTGCCTGACATGGCGGGCGAGGAGACCAAGGTGAGCCGTCTCAACGAAGGTGCAATGTCACTCCGCGATCCCTTGCTTACTCTCACCCTTCCTGGCTCGCCCGCCGCCAGTCGGCCATCGAAGCAGCACACGCTGCCTTCCCGGCCTGGCGCTCCAAGACGTCCAAGGAGCGCGCGGATCTCCTCTATGCCCTCTACGCCGAGCTCAATGCCAATGCCGAAGACCTGGCCAAGATCATCGTAGGGGAGAACGGCAAGTCTCTCGCCGAGGCCAAGGGTGAGGTCGGCTACTCGAACTCCTTCATTCAATGGTTCGCCGCAGAGGCCCAACGCACCTACGGGCACGTCATCCCCGCCCCTCTTCCCGGCGTACGCAACGTCGTAGTCAAGCAGCCTATCGGTGTTGCCGGGCTGATCACCCCCTGGAACTTCCCCGCCGCCATGATCACGCGTAAGGTCGGGCCTGCACTTGCCGCTGGGTGCACGACGGTCATCAAGGCCCCTGCTGAGACGCCCTTCTCTGCTTTGGCCCTTGCTCACCTCGCTGAGAAGGTCGGCATCCCCAAGGGAGTCATCAATGTGGTTACCTGCGCCAAGGGCGAGAACGAGGCTGCAGTAGGCAAGGAGATCTGCGAGAACCCAATCGTCAAGAAGATCTCCTTCACCGGCTCTACACGTGTCGGCAAGATCCTCTTCTCGCAGTGCGCTTCGACCCTCAAGAAGATGAGCATGGAGCTCGGTGGCAATGCTCCTTTCGTCGTCTTCGAGGATGCCGATCTGGAGAAGGCCGTCGAGGGGGCCATTGCGTGCAAGTTCCGCGCTTCAGGACAGACGTGCGTGTGCGCCAACAGGATCTACGTACATGAGAAGGTCTACCATGAGTTTGCCAAGAAGCTTGCTGCCAAGGTCGAGGGCTTCAAGGTGGGTAATGGACTCGAGCAGGGTACAACTCATGGCCCGCTGGTCAACCAAGTGGGGCTGGAGAAGGTCGAGGGACACGTCAACGACTCGATCAAGGCTGGCGCAAAGGTTCTTATCGGTGGCAAGCGCGGAGAAGGCACATTCTTCGAGCCCACCATCCTCACGGACCTGCCACACAAGCCCCCGACAGACTATGAGGAGACCTTCGGGCCTCTGGCCGCGCTGTACAAGTTCAACAGCGAGGAGCAGGTCATCAAGATGTGCAACGACGTCGATGTTGGGCTCGCTGGATACTTCTTTACCAATGACCTGAACAGGGCTTGGAGGGTCGCAGAGGCGATGGAGGTGGGCATGACGGGTATCAACACGGGCATCTTGAGCCAAGCTTCGGTGCCTTTCGGTGGTGTCAAGGAGAGTGGGTTTGGCAGGGAAGGTTTCAAGGGCATTGAGGAGTACATGACGGACAAGCTCATGGTGTATGGGGGCATCAACTGAGCGTGCGGGAGAGCTTGGTAGTACTCTTGCTTTTCGATTCGTCAATGGAAATCGTATTCGATGCTTTTGCTTCGAGTGGTGCTGAGAGTCGTGTGCGGAATCTCAAAAATCGCCGAGGGAGCGGAAAGGCGTTGCCCCGCACGAGACGTTGCCGTCCGTCGACGACGGGGATGTCTCCTCTTTCCATCTCTCGCCATCTCCATTGCATTGCATTACTCATCTCTCCCTTTCAGCCTCGTTTTCGCCTTCTCCATTGCTTCACACACAGCCTCTCTGCCATCTCTCACACCCCTTCGCCACTCAAGCATGTCAGACAAGTCTGCCCCACCTGCAGCGCGGTGCCCTCTGGGCTTCACCGGCACGCCCCCCGTGGGCCACCCCGTGATGCCAGGCATGGCCGCCGCCGGCACCGACTCTTCCTCCTCGGTCAAGTCTGCCAAGGCCTCGTCAGCAAGCAGCCTCTCCCTTCTGCTCCATCCCTCACAGTGGAGCCCAACGACCCTGCTGATCGTAGACGGAGTGTTTCTGGTCCTTTGTATCCTCGTAGCCCTCTACCTGCCCCAGATCAGGGCTGCCCTTAGTGGCAGTGGCAAGGGAGGCACACTAGGAGGAGGAGGAGCGAGTGTGCCGAGAGTCGGTGTGGACGCCAAGGGAAGGGCGGGTGAAACTGCGGTGGTTGGTGGAAAGTGAGGCGGGCGAGCTTTCTGGAAGAGCGACGCGTCGATAAAGTCACGGCGAGGACGGCTCAAGTCAGGACCAACGAATTGCGAGACCTGAATGACAGCAGCAAGTCGAACACTACCGACTGGCAACCTTTGCCCCTCAACGCCTTGCGCAGCCCACGACGTCGGCGATGACATCGCATAGTCGCAGTCAGCCCAGGTCAATCGCGCTCTCAAGTTAGGCCTTTAGTCAGGTGGTGGCTGTCCGCGACTTTCTGTCCAAAAGATCGAGACTGAATGGCCATGGCACCGTGTGATGGGCGATCCTTGGAAGCAATCTGATTGGGCGGGGGGGGGGGGGGGGAAGAGAGGGAAGCAGGAAAGCAGAAAGAGTGAGGAGAGAGGCCAGGAGTAAAGGTCGATCTGGCCTTTGGCTGGTATTACAGCTTGGCCATGATCCCAATGCGAGGGCGTCGCGCAGCACAACCTCAATGCAGAGCAAAGCAATCCAGGGCTTGTATGTCTCGTCAATGCTAAGTGGTATTGTACAACAGTGTGAACTTAAAGACACGAAAGGAGAACGAGCCAGGCGCAAATGATAGCTCCTGCTGTGGTGAAATGAGCGCGACGATACACTCAGGGCCATGGAAAGAGAGCATTGCCCGTGCTGGCCCTACATCTTTTGCGATCATTCGTCGGTGTCGAGCTGAGTTGCCAGCTCGCATTGCGATGAGCTGGATGCGTGGCTGATGGAGGAAAGCTCGCCAGCCTTTGACTGTTGACGTCGAGGCATGAAGTGATGCGACGCGGCTTAAGAGTCGCTGGGTAAGGGCAGGGCAGCCGTAAGGCGCGCTGACTATGCCGTCGTTCCCCCACTCCTCCTCGCCGACACCCTGCGCTGCAGCGTCTTGCTGTCGACGCTGTCATCCTGGGCCATCTCCGACTTCTGCTCTCCCTCCTTGAGCTGCGGCTTGTCCCCCTCATTTTTTGCCGTCCTCTGTCGATTATCGATCCCGATCCCGGCAGCCCTATACGCCTCTGCCCCCGTGTACGGCTCTTCCTCCTTGACCTTCTTCTCTACGCGCTTGTGCAGCTTGCTCCTCCTGTGTACCTCCCTCGCCTCGTCGGAGGGGAAATGGCGATCGCAAGGAATACAGTAGTAGGCTCCCAATCCGGCTACCTCCATGTCCAAGTCTTGTGGGTTCTCGAGCGCGGAGCGTTTCGTGGGGTCAGAGAGGTTTGAATGAACTTGGTCCTGATCAAGCTTGCGGGCGCGCGTGCGAGCCGCACGAGAGACGTCACGGCGAGCGTGGTGCGTGCGTTTGTGTCTGATGCGGCCCATGATTGCGAGGCCTTTCGAGGAGCAGGTGCGGGGAAAGGAGGAAGGGAGGATGCATCGCGAGTCGCACGAGGAAGTTGGTGAAATTTAGCGGCAGAGCGGACTAGCGGCTCGAAGTGGGTGCTTAGTCAGCGTCGAGCAACGTCCTTGAGCCGGCCTACTCGACGTCCGTGCGTGCTGCCTTCTTCTTTACCAAAGCATCTGCTACCTTCAAGTCATTCGGCCAAGCGCAACGATGGCATCTTCAGGCCCGCGTGCCCTGTCCAATCGCGAAGAGGATCGGCTGATGAAGCAGGTCAAAGCGGATGGGCTCAAAAAGTGTGATGACTATGTGAAAGGTACGTGGCGGCGAGGCCGGCCCTGATTGTTGAGGACTGGTGCTAGTGGACCTCCGCTGACTTTACATGCTGCCATTCGCTAACCTCACTTCATCTCTACTATACCTCCCCTTTGCAGCCTTCGCAGCCTGCGCAGAGGGCCGTACCGTATCCACCGCTTGGGCGTGTCGTGGTCAACTCAAGGAGATGCAGAGTTGCCTGGCCCAGTAGTGAGTGTCGCGCACGAAGCTGTGGTCGGTCAGCCACCCATCGCGCTCATCATGCGACTCTCTCGCCCTGCCAGCACATCACCGGACGCCGTAGACGCAGCAAGAAGACAGTGGCTCAAGGAGAACCGGCCAGAGGGGGGAGCATGAGCGTGCTCCGTAGGAGAGGCATAAGGAGGGACAGAAGGCAGAAGCACACGTGTATCTTTGAGCATATAGAATACCACTTCGTATCAACGAAAGAAGCTATGCAAGGTCCACCACATCCACAAAGGCTATATCACCCATCTCTGCCCCTCTTTAGAGCCTAGGCATGAACTGAATCGAGTTTCCGCCATCGACGACAGTAGCCGTCCCGACAATGTGCGACGCAGCCCTCGAAGCCAAGAAGACTGCCAGACCACCAATGTCCTCCGCCGTGCCAATGCGCCCCGTAGGCTGGATACCCTCGAGCGCATCGCGATTCTCACTGAGGGCGTACGAGGTCATGCGACTCGGGAAGACACCGGGGCAGATGCAGTTGACGAGGACGAAGCGCTCCGCCAGGCTGGAGGCCATGGTGCGGGTCAGGTGAACGGAGGCTGCCTTGGAGGGCTGGTAGGACCATGTACCCGTACCGGGAGCGGAAAGGCCGGATTCGGCTGTGGGGACAAAGGCCGCAGTCGAGGCAATGTTGACTACCGAAGCGTGGCGAGTGTTGTTCTTGTTCTTCTCCAGGAGAGGGAGAAGAGCGACAGTCAAGTAGAATTGAGACTTGACATTCATATGGAACGTCTTGTCCCACCCCTTGTCCTCGGGGAAGTCGTCCATTGGCGCTCCCCATGAAAGGCCGGCATTGTTGACGAGAATGTCAAGCTCAGTCTCGCGCTTCTTGACCTCGTTGGCAAGAGCATCACAGCCTGCCTTTGAGGAGATGTCTGCCTGGATGGCTACACAGGCGGGTTCGGAGCCAGAGTTGGGGCTGAGCTTGCTGAGCTGCTCGGCCACTCGTTGAAGGTCGTCGAGCTTGCGTGAGGCAATGTAGATTCGCTTGGCTCCGTTACGGATGTAGGCTGCAGCCATCACTGCGAAGGAGCGAAAGAAGTAAACGATGAAGGTATCAGCCGCCTGGGTAGGTAATAGTCATCAATTAATCGACGCCTCGCCTGCCTCGCCCCACTCACTCTTTCCAATGCCAGTAGCCGCTCCCGTAACGACGCCAATCTTACCCTTGACCCCAAAGAGGGTCTCGAGATTGAGCTCAGGCATAACCTCTGGTGCTGCGTCCTTTGGCATTTTGGCGAATGGGTCGAGGTGAGAAGTGAGGGTTGACAAGGCAAGGCAGTTGAAGAGGGAGGAGGGCGAGAAAGCGGGGAAGCCAAGGACGAGCAGCTCGGATGGTCCGACTGCCGGGGCGGCAAAGCTTCAGTCCAGAGCCGGAGCCCGGACGAAGCAGCCAGCGTCACTGACAGGCGTGGCTGCTTTCTTGACCCTACGAGGGCATCGTGGTTCAATGAGAAAGTGAGTGAGTAGTGATCGATACCTCACCGCTATCAAGGTTAGCACATTTCTCAGACTGTAATCATTTGCAGCGAGTGAGGTCGGAGCTGCCATGCCGCCAACGGGCCGAGGGTTGTGTTGTTGGCTCGAGTGGATAACATGGCTCTCCACTTCGACCGGCGGCAGCGCCATCGGCAGCGGCCAAGGCGGACGTGGGGAAGTCAAGACGCCATCAACGACGTCCTTTTGACCGCCTTCTTCTCATCTCAACCCACCCTAATCATCACGACTCATCATGTCCAACTCCAAGCTCTCCTCATCCCTCAAGTCACTCATCTCCTCCCCTCTCTACCCGGCCGCACGCGCTGCCGCAGGGACACCTCGCCCTGCAGGTCGCTCTGCCTCTCCTGCCCCACCACCGGCAACCCAAGCTCTTTCTGATTGCCTGCGCCGCGTAGCAGGCCAAGCTGAGGAGCGTGGACTTGGATGGGGGGAATGGCTCACCATCACTACAGCCACGATGGTCACGCTCAATTCTCCGCATTCTCTCGCCCATCTGCACCGTTTCGCTTCCCCGCCTAGTGGGCTCAATTTGGAGCAGAGAGTCGAGCGCAGCTTGCTTATGAGGGAGGTCGGGCTCAAGTGTATTGGATTCATTGGAATTCCCAAGGTAAGACTGGCCCCTCACTTCATTCTCGCCATCGGACGCAACGCTGACCCTGCCTCGCTGATGCGCCCCTCCCTGCGGCAGGTCATTAACAACCTCGCCGCCCTCCGCAAGGCAGTAGACGAAGACCACGACCTTTCCGCTTCTCTCCCTACAGAGCCACGTCGCAAGATCGGACCCAATGACGTAGGACCAGTACAGAAAGCAGCACGAGCATTGTGGGACGACATCTACGAGCCGCACGCGGCCAAACTCATCGATGTTCTTGGAAGATCACACCCGGATATGCCCGTCTTCATCCTTGACGGCGAGTACGGCCCCTTGTTCTCGCCGCCGCATATGTTCAGGCAGCAAGGATCAGTGGAGGTGCCCAGCTGGGAGGTCGGCCGTGTCCGTACCTCGCTGACAGCCTTAGCTGCCCTGCGGGCTCAGGGCGGCGTGGGCCCGCAGGTCACATCGCATGTGTATGGACTCATCAAGGGGGCGGCTTCGATTGTCAAGGGGGATCCACATGAGCAGGGACTGCGATGGTTGACCACTCAGGAGGGGGCGAGCTGGGTGCTGGAGACTGTCAGCGATCTCAGTGAGGTGGTCGAGGGAGGGGCGGGAGAGGAGCACGCGGCCAAGCCGAGGGAGAGCAAGCTGTGAGATGATTGACGAAAGAAGAGCATATCCTATTTATGTTTTCAGATGAGGAAAGGGATGACGGCCTTCCTGTCTCGTGGATATCGACCCCCTTTCCCGTCCCCATCAACGCCGAATCGCTCGTGGTACCACTGGTGTCCGGTGAGGGCGCGAGGGAACATGGGGCAGAATTCTGCCAGGAGGAAGAGGGCTGGTGGCGTGGTGAGGCAGAGGACGAGTCGTGCTGCCGGGGTGAGAGGAAGGGTGTGCGGGTGTGTCGGGGAGAGTGTGGTGATCGATAGTGCGGCTACGGCGTACGAGGCCCATTCAAACCCTGTGCGCGATTGAGAGGAAGGAGAGTCAGCTTCTGTAGCTATGTCGAGCTAATGTGTCGCCAGCCCACTCACATTCGCAGAGGTAGTTGGGGAAGCTGACGAATCTGAACAGGCCTCCCTTGGGAATGCCGTATCGTGGCTTTCCCTCCTTCTCACCTTGCTTTTCTCTCTGTCTTTCCTTTCCCTTCCTCGACCCGCCCTCATCGTCCGAGTCAGCATCTGCCCGCATAGCAGACGTGAGCCTCTTGCTCTTCGGTCTGCGCAAGTCTAGCAGCACCTCGTCGTGATAGACGTTGCCCGCGAAGCCGACCGCCCAGCCGACCATACCGAGAGCGAAGATCCAGTTGAGCGTGCTTTCCCCCGATGGCGTGGACGCAAGGCCGGGCGAGATAATTCTTGCGGGGATCTTTGACCTCAGTAGATCCAGAGGGTTAGAAACCGTAGCATCAAGCGCATCAGCGGGCACATCTATGACTGGGCTTCGTCCTCCAATCCAGCTCCCCATGAGGAAACCATTGATCAGGTTGAACAAGACGGCGCACAGAGGTACGGAGATGTGCATTGGAGATCGTCTTGCTGAGCGGAGAGGATGTAGGATGGCTCGCTGAATGTAGTGCACGACAAAGGCCGTGGCAAGGATGGCATTTGCTGCGGGAAGGCGGGTGAGCTTATTGAAGTCCGGCTGGATGAGGTCTTTGAGCCCTGCTGAGCTGGTAAGGACAGGGGATACCAGAGACAGGAGGAATGTGATGGGAGACACGACCTCCATGATGAACCACCCGATGTTTCCATTCACATTCCACCTCGAGGGAAAGGAGAAGCGACCATGAGGCGCATGCACTATGTGGACCAGCGGGACGAGAAGGGGAGTGCTTAGGAAGGCGAATTGGCAGAGCCGGTAGAAGTCGGCTCCTGAGCGCGGTATCAAGGTGGTGGGTGCCGGAAGGAGAGATGTAAAGAGGGAGAAGAGCATGGTGATGGTGGTGGTGAAAGGAAAAGAGTAAGTCAAGCAAGCGAGGCTTGATCACCAAATGGCATCGAGAGAGCAGAGGCCAAGTCCCCTTTCCGCCCTCTGAGAGTGGAGGCAGAGTGAGCTTCTCTCGCACGGGGCGACACACTGCCCTTTCATTCCCGCCTCGTCACAGTTATGGCTGGCCGACCAGGCCCAGCGGCCATTCTACCACTCGAAGACATACGGATTGACCATGCTGGGGCGAAGGTGCGGGTAGCTGGCTGGTGAGTGCGCTCTCGTCTGACATCGTCCTTGCAGCGCAGACTCACCTTGCTCCGCTCCTGCCCTCAACGGCCGCAGCCTTGTGTCCTACGACGAGGCGACGTCACTGGGTCTCTTGTCTCACAAGCAAGCAACCCTGCTGGTGGATCTCACTGCATGTCTCCAGGACCTGCGGCTGGTCGACAAGCCCATGCTCATGCTGATCGGCGATCTGGAACGATTTGAGGTGAGCTCGTCTGCGCTGCATCGCTCTGGACCCTCCCACTGACAGTCACTCTGTATCATTTTGACGCAGAATGAGCTGCCCGAGTCGCTACATATCGTCGAAGATCGTGTAGCGCCTCCCATCGAAGACCTGCTGTTGTGTGTGCATCTGGTCAAGCGGTGCGATGGGCTCGATATGCAGGTGTGGGATGAGGCTGCCAGGATGGAGAGTAGGGCGAGGTGGGAGCACCTCACAGCCGTCGAGCGAACATGATCAACAGCTGCTCTACTCTACGCGCGAGTGATTTTGTACGCAGCACATTGCGCTCGTTGATGTCGAAGATTGTGGGGCCATGAGATCCGCCTCAGTCATCCGTCCAGCTTTCTTCGATGACAGATGACACGGGCGAGTCCCGTCTTTCGCATCTCTTCGCCCTACCCATGACGCAGAGATAGAATAGCCTTGCTGTCATCGTCGACTTTGTCACTCGATCATTCATCACAGGCGCGATCAATCATCAGGCCATCCTGTAGGACTTCCCCACATCCACCAAGTCTTCTTCGGACGCCACGGCGCAGCCCTTCGATGCACCCTCTGTTCGGCAAAGCGCACAAGAGCAACCGAGGGCCAAGCAAGATGTCAAGAGCTCGGGCTCCTGCGTCCGGCTAGAGCAGCTTCGCCATCCGGGAGTCCGAGCGTCGTCATTGAATCACGAATAAAAGGAGACCTTTGTTGCGCATCCAGGGCTCACACTAGCCTTGCGCCCGTTGCTACCAGCTCCTCTCTCTCTCTGCTCAACACCTTCATAGACTTCTCCTGCGCTCGCCATGCTGTCCCTCATTCCCTTCGTCCTTACGGCGCTCCTCAGCGTCGTCCCAATCCTCACTGGCGCACAAAAGCCAATCGGCACCTCCTACTCGGGACAGAACCTCCTGGCCTCCTCACATCCATTCGCCATTACAGCTCGAGACTCCAATGTAGTCCTCTTCGCTCCCATTCCCAAGTCCACCGCCTCCTCACTCCTCCCAAAGGGCGTCTCTCTCCTCCCCACCCACCCCATCTCCGGCTTCAAGGACGATGAATGGCCACTCCTCCTCAATCTCGGCCTGGATAAAGACCTGAACGAGTACTCACTCAGTCGCGTCGACTTTCATCATGGATACATCGGCATCCCCTGGACCGACAAGAGCAAAGACGGCAAGACGCCGTTCACTTCTTCTTTCGATGTGCTCTTCAGTGACAATCTCTTCATCGCTGCCTCAAGTCAGTTGCTCGCCGGTTTCAACTCCATTCCGATGACCTTCGCCCCAGAGACAGATCCCTTTGTGAATGGTTCGGGGACGTACAAGGCGGTCAAGGATCAGCACACCTACTTCGATCTGAGCTACGCAAAGGCGGGCGACGAGGGTGCGAGAATCTCCAGGAGCACTTACGTCGACGTCCTGACACAAGGTGAGCCGGATCGAGGGCTCCTCAAAGACCGTATCGAGTTCGCTCAATTGACTCCTTCTCTGCTCTCCTCTCCTCCTCGCCGCCAGGGCGCTTCCAAAACTCGGGCTGTCTCTACCACGAGCAATACTTCAACTTTACCAACACTGACCCGTACGATATCCTTGCCGATGTCAGGATCACCGACTCGTGGGTGCCCTCAGCGATCGCGGGGACGTACAAGCAGGCGAGGGGATTGAGGCTCAACCAGCATTGGATTGAGACTATCTCGCAACCGTGCAAGGGAAGGGGTGTTGCACATGGGGAGCTTTGACGAGGTAGACAGGTAGGATCGTCGTGTGGTGCGATATCGTCTCTGTAATGTGATTGTCTTGACTAATTTCGAACATGAATTTGTTGCTTCAGCCCTGATCACCTAGGTGATGATCGTTGTGTGGCCTGGCGTGGCGCGGGGGTGACGGGAGCGGCTTCCGATTGGACCCTGCCGCCGGACGACGCCTCGCATGAAACAGTCGGACTGAATCGACGCCCGTGCATCATCTAATCTTCCTCCTTGATTCATTCCTTCAATTCGTTGCCGCCTTGGTCGTCATGTCTGTCGAGAAGCCATTGAGCACCGTGTCAGAGGCTTCAGCGTCGAAAACAAGGGCGTCGCCAGCAACGTCACGAGCCAAGCATGTAGTCGTCATCGGCGCAGGGGCAGGTGGCACCTGCTTGGCGGCGAGGCTGGCCAAAATGGGGCATCGCGTTACCGTTGTGGAGAAGAACGACTTTGGTGGTGGTAGGTGCTCGCTGCTGACACAGGGAGGCCACAGATGGGATCAAGGTGAGTGCTTCGCGCAAGAGGGACTGACAGACGGTCTTGCCGATGGCGCTGACGCTTCAGCATGCTCCTAACATCCGCTCCTGCAGGCCCCTCCCTCTACCTCATGCCCGAGATCTTCTCAGCCGCCTTCGAGGCTCTAGGGGAGCGAGTTGAGGATCACATTACACTGCATCGCTGCGATCCGGCCTACCGAATCCACTACGCGGACGGACGCTCGCTCGAACTCTCCTCCAACCTCACCTCAATGGGCTCCATGCTCGAAGAATTCGAGCGTCCCCACGGCAACGAGGATCCGCTAGGTTCTTTCCTCTCCTTCCTCAAGGAGGCAGGGGAGAACTACGAGGAGTCGATCAAGCATGTGCTGACCAAAGATTGGGCCAATTGGTGGAGCTTCTTCCGGCCTGAACTCTTTCCTATGCTGTGGAGGACGGGGGCGCTCAGGATCTATGATAGCTTGTTTGCGAGGGCGAGCAGGTACTTCAAGAGTGATGCCGTGAGACGAGCTATGACTTTCAGCTCGATGTACATGGGCATGAGCCCTTTCGACGCGCCGGCAACGTACTCGTTGCTGCAGTACGCTGAGTGAGTTGGGTGTGTGGCTCTTGACTCGAGGCTCGGCGCAATCGCTCATCTCGCCGCTCCTCCGCTCGCAGATACGCCAAAGGCATCTGGTACCCTATTGGTGGATTCTACAAGGTGGTCGAGGCATTTGAGTCCATAGGCCGCAAGCTCGGCGTGGACTTCAAGTACGGCACAGCTGTCAAGCGCATTGTGACGCGACCAGGCAGCAAGCAGGTAGAGGGGGTCGAGCTTGCCGATGGTACGACGATCGAAGCGGATGTGGTGGTGAGCAATGCCGACCTGGTGTGGACGTACAACAACCTCCTGCCAAAGGACCCCTACGCTAAGACGCTCGCGTGCAAGGATCAGTGAGTGGCCTGGCGGCGGAGCACATCTGAGTGCACATCAAGCAACTGACCATTCCCTCGTGACTCTCCTCTCCTCGCACTCGCAGAACGTGCTCCTCCATCTCCTTCTACTGGGGTCTCTCCCAGACCGTACCCTCCCTCGGCGGACACAACATCTTCCTCGCCGAAGCGTACCGCGACTCGTTCGACGACATCTTTCAGCGTGGCTCCCTACCTACCGAGCCCTCGTTCTACGTCAATGTGCCCTCCCGCCTCGATCCGACCGCTGCTCCGCCGGGAAAGGATACGCTCGTTGTACTTGTCCCGTGTGGACCGTTGCCGCAGGAGGGCAAGAAGGGACAAGAGACAGGGCCGCGCAGTCGCGAGGAGTTTGCAGAGGTGACGAAGAGGGCGAGAAGGCAGGTGCTGGAGACGTTGAGGAGACGGCTCAAGGGGGTGGATATCGAGCAGCTCATTGAGCATGAAGTCGTCAATGACCCCTTTGATTGGCAGGAGCGTTTCTCACTTTGGAGAGGAAGTATCCTCGGTCTCTCGCATACCATCCCGCAGGTGCTGTGGTTCAGACCCAGCCCGCAGCATAGGAAGTACGACAACCTCTTCTTCGTCGGGGCGTCCACTCAGCCGGGAACGTGAGTGGAAATGGCAGAGAGGCAGGCAGGCAGGCAAGGCAGCACAGTTACTAACCTCTCTCCTTCCCGTGCACGTGCGCAGCGGAGTCCCCGTCGTGGTAGCAGGCTCAGGTGTGGTAGCGGACAAGGTGGACGCACATCTCCGCGGGGAAAGCGAAGGGTGGGCGAGCTGGCCTGCTCTGCGCGGCAGCATCGGCCTTGCAGGGGTCATGCTACTCGGCCTCGCCCTCGCGGGTATCGCCTCGAGCGTCGTTGCCATCCTCGCTCTCGTGGCTGGGCTGGCGCATTACTTTGGTCTGGTTGACGTGGGCGGGCTTGTGTACAAGCAGCTCAAGGTGTGAGCAAAGGGGAGCGTGATGTCAACGTTGCATTGCCAGCTGGTGCGCTCTCTCACTGAAGCGCGTGGCTGTCATCAACTGCCCCTTATCTCTGGACCTGAAAACTCAATATCTATACCACTCCCACCCTCGTCATTCTCCATCTGTCTCCTCCGAGCATCTACTCGGCCTTCTTGGCACCCTTGACACCACCAGCCTTCTCGGCCTCCTTGATAGACGCAGCGTCCGTAGCGGGTCCAGCGTTGCCGCCCATACCGAAGGGACCAGCAGGGGCCTTGAAGGGTCGCTTGAGGTCGGTAGTTGTCGGCTGGCCCCAGAGCCAGATCTTTGCCTCGTTGGACTCGAGTGCGTTCTTGACTGGGAGGATAGATTGGATGATGAGGCTGCGCGGGCGTAAATCACAGCGAGAAGAGGCTGTCAGCAGGACGATACCATGGGCGGGAGCAGGCGCACGAGCAGACTCACGGGTTGGTGTAGCCAAAGTAGAAGTGCATACCAGCGACCATCGCCATGCCCATGTAGATCCCGCGCATAGCCTTGGAAACCTCAGCCAGATCATAGTCGCGGTGCGTCGTGGTCACGAGCTCTCCTGGCTCTTGAGACATGGGCGACTTGGGCGTCACGTACTTGAGGACCGTAAGGTCATTTGCCTTCTTGATCTGTTGCGCAGCAGCGGGAGAAGGGCGAGGGCGGGGACAGGAGGGCGTGAGTGGCTACGAGCGGTGGGTGGTAGTGACCATGGTCGTGAAGTGCAGCGACTGACCTTGAGAGAGATGAAATAGTTGATCAAGAGGCAGATGACCTGCGCCGAGACATAGGCCACACGGGCGTAGAGGAGGTACTGGGGCTCCTCCTCAAATGGGATGCGCTTGGCCACTTGCATCGCGCCCTGCATCGCGCGAAGATGGATGTTAGCCAGCTGGCCGGTGATCATTCTACGCTGCTCGGCACATACGCACCATCATAACGGCCATGTTAGCGACTGCGGAATTCATGCTGGGCTAGAAACCTGTTGGGCGGTGATGATGATGGGATGGGAAGAAGTCGAAGTGCAGCGATGCGCCTCGAAGCGGCGCAGCTCTCTCTCCGCCAAGCGGCAGGCGGCATCGTGGAGCCTCGCTCGTGGTCTCTCCACGAGGCAGTCGTTCCAACTCGACTGAGCGAGCGGACCGTCGGCGGCAGGCGTGGGCCGGAGCCGCGTCGCGGTGATTTGGCCCAGGCCAAATAGAAAGTGGCTTGCTTTGCTTGGACCCGTGAGTGATTTGGGCAAGGCGGGCGCTGATTACCCTCTTACACCTGGCCCCTTAGAACCCCTCTCTCTTCAGTCGCACTCTTCCTCAATACCACCCCACGCTCCTTCTATCAATTGCTCTTTTATAGTTTTTGCCTCTCCATCGCCTCCGTCACTCACACGCGCCGCCAGTTTCAGCCACCTCACCACCTAGCCGCGCGTCTATCCAACGACTCAGCGCCAAGCTAACTCAGCCATCACCCTCATTTTGGTCGCGTCACACCGCTCGACTCGCTCGCAAGTCCTACTCTCCGCCCAATCCCCCCTTTCTTCCTTCATTGCGCGCGCGCATAACTGCCCTCCTCCTCGCGCCGGATCAGATAAGATTGTAGCGGGCGCCAGACCCCAGCCTTCATTCTCTCGTCGAGTCCCTCAGTTCAGCTGCACTGCTCCAGTGCTGCTGCATCACGGAGAGGCCAGCAAGTCCGCGACGTCCGTTTCGCCCTCTAGCACCGATTCGCAGCCGCCTCGTTCTGGTGCCGTTCACCACGCCCAAAAGAAAGGCAGAGCTCGATCAAAGCCCCTCGCTGCCAAGTGCCATCGCAAGACTCTGCTCTTTTGCTGTTGCGACGCGTAGCCAGCGCAAAGAGGTTGCCAGTCACGGAGCCCGTTAAGAGAGGCACGTCTCATCGACACACGTCTTCAAGCTTCCCCTCTCAATCCTCTCATCCACCTGTCATACATTCACACCATCTGCACATCACAACCACCCATCTACCGCAACGATGCCCTGCCCCTTTGCACGCCTCGCCGCCTTCGCAAGTCCAATCGATATCGCAGCAGCCAAGGTATACCATCAACAGAACAATCTCTACAGTGACAACGGTGCATCCTCCTCGAAGCCCGTCGCCTCCTCGTCAGCATCCTTCCCCCCTCTCTCTGAATATCTCAAGCATGCCACAGCCAAGGCGCACCGAGAAGTCGAGTCGAGTCAAGGCGTGCGGCAGCTCATGGGCTTCGCGTCTTCCTCGTCATCATCGAGCGATTTCACCTTCTCTCGACTCGACTACGTACGCTGGATGATCATGCTAGCCTGCATCTACGCAGCACTCGAGGCATCTCTCACTTCGGCCGGTAACAAGGCAGCCGAGATGGCTCCAGCCCTTGCTCCCCTCTACGCTTCTCGTCCGGCCTCGGCACCATGCAGGACGCTCCTCAATCACCTGGCACGCTTTGACGCCACCATGGCAGATATCGAAGTCCACCTCAGAGTCTTGCAGAGCAGCGAGGCCAACGAGGAGGGGGCTGGGCTCAGCCTCAGCGAGATCGTTGACGTGCTAGACGACGACGACTCCGAGGCATCAGCAGAGCTTCGCTTGTCGATTGCACCCGTCCTCTCGCTCCTACAGTCCTCGCCGTCTTCCTCCAAGCTGCAGGACGATCACCTTCGACTCCTTCACCCAGCCCAAGCCCTCGCCACTGCCCAATACGTGCGCCGCCTCACGGACATTGCCGGCATCGGGGGCGAGCCTGACCTTCTCCTGGCACACAGCTACGTCCGCTACCTCGGCGACTTGAGCGGCGGGCAGCACATCAAGAGGAGGATTGAGAAGCTTTTCCCCCTCCCTGCCGCTCCCTCACCGTCGACTGGTGGCTTTGACTTCTACGACTTCCCCTGCCCCACATCAGACGAGGACCTGTCCGCCGGCGCATGGCACCGCGAGCTCAAGGATCGCTTCCGAGACGCGATGGACGCTTCGGTATCTGCTAGTGCCGGGATGGACAGGACAAAGATGATGCGAGCACAAGGTCGCGAGGCTCGTCTGGCCTTTGAGCTCAACAAGGACCTCTTCGAGTCGCTCGTGGGGAACAAGCCGGCTACGATCTTGCCCGAGCTGGGCAGCGAGAGCGAGTGGAGCGAGGAGGAGGCGGACGAGTTGCTTGCTACTATTCCTCCTGCCATTCAGCAACCCATATCGGGCGGCAAGTCAACCACAATACCCGGCATCGGGGCAAAGCAGCTCCTCGCCCTCTCCTCCATGACAGCAGCCCCTCATACAGCCGTCCTTCCCCTCGTGTGCTCGGCTCTCGTTGTTGCCGTGCTCGCAAGAGGCGTCGTAGCTGTGGCTGCCGCGGCTACAGCCTGAAGAGTCCGCCATCATATCACCACTCTTCCCCTCACCGCGCTTCGTTGTCACCTCCGTAGATCGATAGAGCCCGCACGCGCGGGCCGTGGGCTGTAGCTATTAGAGAAGTAGAATACACGTGTTTGTCGCTACCGGTAACAGGATTTCCTGAAAGTAGAGTTCGCCAAGAGCCAAGTCCTCATTCAGCCTTCCCTTCGCCTCTTCTTGCCCCTCAACGCCTCAGACTCTCTCTTGCCCCTTGCACTCTTGCTGCCCCCACCACCGCCGCCACCGCCACTGCTACTGCCGCTCGTCGCCATCGGCGCACTCGCACTGCTCTCTCCCCGAGCCTCCGCCCTCTCAAGATACTGAATTGTCTTGATATCAAGCGGGACCTTCTCCTCCTCCATCAACCACTTGGCCACATCGTGCGCCTCACTGCGTATAGCTGTATGAAGCAGATCCGGATTGAGGAGGTAGTCGCGCATCCTCTTCCCCTCATCAGGGGTGGTCAACAACAGCTTACGTACCGCGGCATCGTGCCGACCAGTAGCTTCATCGAACAGCTCTCTCAGCTCGTCGCAGACCTCGCGGAATTTGCGTCGCTCCTTCTTACTCTGCGGGACATTGAGCAAGATCTTGACCCCTGTGAGCCAGTTCGCTCGTACTGCAACCTTGAGTGGCAGGCCTTCCTTGGCCTTGGCCGCCTGCCCGTCAAAGCCGACGAGGAGACGCGTGAGGCCCTCGTCCTGAGCGAATACGGCCTTGGTGAGGGAGTAGGCGTCATCCGAGTCTGTGATGAGTAGCTTGTGCCCGTCGTGGTGGAAGAGGAGGGCGCGAAGCATCACCAGAAGATCGTTGGTGTGCAGCGTAGGAGCAGGACCCAGTCGACTGAGGACATTCAGGACTGCGTGGACATCCACATCCGGCGAATCGGAGGGGGGGAGGCTGGTAGACGCCCGCTCTAAATCAGTGAAGAGGCGCTTAGGCAGTACCCGCTGCATTGGCCAGTAGTCGGACGGCTCATCCGAGTCCATGCTGATGCGCTCTCTGATCTTGTCGTACCGCTCATCGTCCACCAGGTGGTCGTTCAGTATGCTCATCACTCGATGACTGCAGATTGGGAAAGTGAGGCAGAACGCCAGAATGGACATGTTGCCTCTATTGTCCTTGCAGGCCTCTTGGACCGAGACGTAGGGAGCATTCTTGTCAGGATAGAGAGCCATCTCTACTTGGCTTTCCGCGTTCAAGCGCAGACGAGGGATTTCGAAGCCATACTGGTAGGTGGAATGCCACCTCTGGAGTAGGTAGGCTGCGCGAATGGTGTTTGGAGCATGGAGGAGAACGGAGCGTAGATGATGGTTGACCTCGAAGAGGGCGGAGGAGTGGGATGAGATGACGATGTCCCAGATGAGCTGCGTGCGCGCACGAAGCATTGAAGAACAAGGTCAGTTTGTGACGTTGCCCCTTCCAAGCAGCCTCTCGCACTCACCTCAGTAGGCAAATCAAGCAAGCCAGCCATGATAGGCAAGGGGTATCGAGGTGTTGATGCCGCGTCTCACGGCCAACCGGCGACGCCCTGTAGCAGCCGTATTGGAGGTCAAGATAGCGTCCAGTGTGTGAGGCTGAGGGCTCACATCTACCGAGCCGCGAGGGGTCCCAGCGGTAGGGCAAGGAGCAGAGGGAGGGGAGAGAGGACGCGGACCATTTGGCCGCGCTCAAGCCAGCCTCGGCGTGAAATTGAATGCAGGTCAAAAAATCGGCGCCTTCCCGTCAACGCCTTCCGAATCTCCCACGCCGCCGCCATGGTTGAGTCGCAACGAGAATTTCTACGAGATGGCATTGAGATCTTGCTCTATTACAGCGTGACGACAGACCTTGCCCCTACGACTCCTTCTTCACCTCTTGAACCGTCTCCTTAGCCACTGCCTCTCCCTTGTCCAGCAGGGCGAGCGTGTTCTCATAGACGGTGAAGACGATTCCCCCGCTCAACACCAGTCTCGTCAGCCTCGGCGTCGTTCCCTTCCAGAACCGCCTCACTCCTTCATCTCTCAGCATGGTCGTGAGACAGTTGAGTGTTGACGTATACTGACTCGACGCTGAGCTTTGCATTCGTGTCTTGAGGACGTCAAAGGGCATCGTGCAGTAGACGGTCACGATACCAGCGATGGCTCCCATACCGAACGTCTCGACGCTGCCCGGTTTGCGCCCGTCCTTGGTCGCTATCGCCTTGAGAGAGCTGTACGTTGTCAAACGAACAGCAGAGTTGGCCCCCTGACGCATCATTGTCGGGCCCAACCCCTTGTAGATTCCCGCGATGCCCTCTTCCCGCAGGATCTGTGCTGACCCGGAGAGCAGGCCGGCGTATTTGCGTTCCGGCTTGGGGCGACGAGCATCGTCTATCAGACGGGTTTTGATGGCTTCAGAGGGGGTGACGGCGAAGAGACCTTCGGAGAGGCCGGCGATGAAGCCTGCCAGGATGGAGCGCGGGAGGGAGAGTTGGCCGGTCTGCGGGTGGGCGAGATGGAGAGGGCAGTCAGCGAGGAACGACGAGGGGGTCTACTGATTGAAACTTAGGCTCACTTGCTTGTCTGCTACCGCAAGCTTGATGCTGTCGTAGCTGAGGAAGCGCACGCCTGCCTTGAGAGCGTTGCCCGCTACAAGGGCCGAGCAGCCAGAATAAAGCCCTCGTACACCGTACTGCGCGACCGTCTCGCGGACGATTTGAATGGGGCCCGGAGGCTTTGCGCCTGCCGAGACTGCAAATTGAGCTCGTGTCTTGACGAATTCGGTGGGATATGTAGCTGCGGGCGGCGGAACGAGGAGCTCGAGGTCAGCGAGGGCTGCAATATCAGCCTACTCCTCTGGTCGGCGCTTGCTCACCAAAGCCCTCAACAGCGCCAGCAAAGGCTCCTGCCGCCAGCGAGTGCAAAGGCTTCTCTTTGCGCTTCGACGCCATCGTCGCTTGGTAGAGATGGAAGGGGCAACAAAGATTGGGACCTGAGCTTTCAGAGCGGCTCATCACATCTTCCTAGTCCGCGTAGCGCCGGCTGGTCCGGACGACGGCGGACTGCGAGGCCGAGATGCAGCACAGAGAGAGGAGAGAGACACAGAGAGCGAAAGCAACACTTTGGGAACCCCTTTCACCTACTACTCCACACTAGCGACTCCTCGCCCGCCATGTCCAGGCTACTCCCCACCGCTCTGTCACCATTCACAGCTCTGATGCCAATTACGGGCACCTACGATGTCCTGACAGTGCCCGTCCTCCTGCCTTCATCGACGGTTGCCTCGCTCCTCCCTCAGGAGCTGCGATCCCACCTGCTCCCTGTCCCGGCAGAGGTACTTGCCGATCTAGGCCTGACTCCGCAAAGCGCCGATGCTGCGGATCAAGAAAGCAGACAGCACCTCGTTGTGCTCCAGCTGGGTAGGCAATTGGGTACTGGCCCTGGTCCTATGGCTCTTCATTTCCAGGAGGCCAAGATCGAGGTGCCTTACGTCAGGCACCCAGATTGCCCGGATGAGGACAAGACCTACTCATTCAAGCTCATGTGGTGAGTAGAGATGACGAGCAGTAACCCTGGCAACGTGGATCACCATGTTGACGATATTCACACCCCCGTACGCAGCATCTTTGACTCCAAAGTCCTCTGCATGGGCTCGGCAGTGCAAGCTGGCTTGACCTCCAAGACAACTTCCTTCACCCCTACAGACTCTCCCTCCTGCTTCGAGGCGAGCGCTCCTTCCATATCCTACTCAGCAGAAGGCTACATGAGTGTCGAGGCCACCTCCACTCATCACGCAGGCGGAGACGCTGGTCCTCGCACCGCAAAGGCGTTGTCAGAGATGGCTTGGTTCGGCGCTGCTACGCCTCGCAACTCGGCTTCACGCTTTCAGTTCGACGAGGGATCCGTAGATGCGTACGATGTAACTGCCACGCTCCAACTCGACGCCTTCAGCCTCGATCAGGCAGCCACAAAGCTAGACGACGTGCAAGTGCAAGGTCTCGGATTCCGAACCACTGCCCACTTTACAACGCAGAGCCTCGACGTACGAAAGGCGTCGTGAACCTCTCCAATCCTCCGCGGCGCCATACCCATCCCAAACCCACGGTTGCGCCAACGACTGCTGCCCCTCCACCGACGATGACCCTCTGTAGGAGCCTCTGCTGCCACTCCTCCCTCTGCATCGCCCTCGCGTACCCTACGTCTGGGCTAAACGTCACCATCGAGTATAAGCTGCTCCACCACCCCTTGGGCAGCCATGTCATCAGCAACGAGTCGAGCTGCTTGCGTAGCAGGTAGAGCGGGTCTACCACCGAGGAGGACATGACGCGATAGTTGTCCGCCGCGAGGTCCACGATGGCAACCAGGTCGGCATGCCGGTCGCGGGTGTACTGGGAAAGGGCTGACGCAAGGCCCACAGAGGAGGACGGGTGGTCTCCTCGCACCCCATGCTGGTCGAGCAGCTCGGCAAAGACTCCAACATCCTCGAAACCGCAGTTGAGCCCCTGCCCGTAGAAGGGTAGCATAGCGTGTGCTGCATCCCCCAAAATCACTGCCCTCCCACCGTAATGGTAAGGATCGCATTTGATGCTGGACAATCTCGCCCCCTTTCCACCTCGACGCAGTACCATCTCCACCAGCTCCTCCTCACCAAATAGAGGAAGAGCGTCGGGGAACTCTTGGCGGAAGAAGCGCAGTACGGCTTCGCGAGTGGTTAGGGTTGAGAGGATCGAGTTGGGGGCGAAGAGGGTCGAGGTGAAGGAGTGGTCGAGGTTGGCTAGAGCGATGAGCATGAAGGTCTGGCGTGGCCAGATGTGTAGGTGGTGTGGGTCGAGGGCGTATTCGATGTCCGTGCGAGATGAGGACGAAGAGGAAGATGCAGAGGAAGAGGGGTCCTGAGTAGGTGCTTGAGCTGGTGGGATGCGTAGCTCGATGTATTCCGAGTCGATGTACTCCTGATGAAAGTTGAGCGGTACGAGCCTCGCGAGAGTGTTGCGCACAATCGAGTTGATCCCGTCACATCCCACCACGAGGTCTGCCCATCTTGTGCTCTTCTCCTCTTTGCCCTCAAAGCTGTCGAAGCTGAGGGAGCACTGCCCCTGCGCCTCCTTCTCACCGACATGCTCTTTGGCCTCCAGGTCAATAGCGCGCAGCTTACAGTCGAAGTGCAAGCTCACTTTTGGGTGTGCAGCAGCCGCTTCAACGAGGAGGGTATTGAGCAAGCTCCTCGATACGGAATTGATATGCTCTCCAGCCGTGCTGTACGCCTGACTATTGCTCGATGGTCCTGCCCCTCCTGCTTTTCCATCGCCCTTGGTATGAATCATCCTAGCCCGCATCGGGACAGCATGACGGAGGAGGACTTCTGCCAGATTCTCCCCTTGACTGTCCGAATGCTGGACGGCGCTGAGGGCCTTGAGTCCGCGTGCGGAGATGGCGAGGTTGATGCTGCGGTCGATGGGCTTCGTAGGGGCGGATTTTTCAGCCAGCTGCGTATCATTGTTGCTGCTGCTGCTGCTGCTGGCATGAGCTTGAGGCGGAGGGCGAGGGTCGCTGCGACGCTCATAGACGTCTACATCGAAACCGCGGTTGGCGAGGGAAAGGGCGGCGAGGCAGCCTACGGGGCCTGCGCCCACTACTGCCGCCCTTGAACGTGACGAGGAGGAAGCCATGCTGCTATGCTGTGACGGCGATGTCTAACCAGCGTAAAAGATTCAGTGAGTAGAAGGGAAAGACACTCGGTGTGGACCTGTCGGCCTCCACGAGCGGATAGAGCTCGTAATCAAGGGCTCAGTCAGAACTTTTGGCAGGGCTTCCCGTTCCGGCAGGCGGGCGGCGCGGATGGACTCGCGGCGGGGCGGCGGACTGAGCCTAGATGGACTGGACTGGACTGGACTGCGAGTCCACCATCTTGCCTTCCTTACCATCACTACCAACACCTCTCCTCATCACTACCATGCCCAGGAAGACCCTGGCTGTCATCAGAAAGGCTAGGAGGGATGCAGAGGCTAAGCAGAAGGTCAGAAAGGCTGCTTTGATGGTGGAATTGGCCCTAGACAGCACGTCACATCACCAGTCCAAGGGCCAGAACATTGCTCTACAGACCACCACGTCCATCACCAATCTTCCAGAGGCCATTGAGATGGCTAGAAGCACCTGTGGGTCAGGAGGAAGTAAGAGAAAGGCAACCAGTGAGTTTAGAGCCTCTCCTGGTCTTGCTTACCACTCATGTTGACGAGCAGCACCTCCCTCCCCACAGAGAAAGCCTCTCCCCTCACTGTCCAAGTCACCTCTTCGTCGTCATCTGACTTAGCAAAGCCAGCTGCAAGTTCTAGTGAGTAGATCAGTGCTGCAGAGCATCTAGAGGCTTGAGCTGATGCCCTTTGCCTCGTTACCATTCTAGGCTCGGCCAGTACCAGTGAGTGGGCTCAGCTTGAGGGCAGAAGGACAGTGTTGCAGCGTGTTAGTACCTCCTCATTGAGGCAGGGGCAGCTTGCTGCTACCTCTGTCCGTGAGCAAGGGCTACCCTGCTTTGAGGCTATGAAGGCGCAGACCAAGGCGGGGATCTGGAAGAGCCGTCACGGCAACATCAGTACCCACCTTGGTCTCTGGCTCAACTATGGGCAATTGGGGTACCCTGTGTCGCACGAGCTAGCTGGACCTGTTGCAGACCAGTTCCTCGAGTGGCTTGGCCAGTATTCCAAGTCCTACATTGAGTCGCTGGAGCCCCTCCTGGCCAGTGATCTTCGAGCAGCTTTCCAGCAAAGGACTGCAGCATTGGAAGAGATTGCTGAGATCATGGAGGAGAAGGGAGCCAATGGTCGGCAGCAAGTGGCAGGCTTTGGCACCTGGTGGACCACCGTTGCCATCATCCGTGACTTCACAGATGTGTATCACGATGACGCCGAGGATGCCCAGCCCTCCATCTTGGTGAACTTCCAGTGCCCTGTTGTCCTTGAGCTGGGTACCGGTCAGAAGGTGGATGTGGACGAGGGAGATGTGGTGTTCTTCAACAGTGGAGAGCTGCTGCACAGAGTTGTACCGGCGGAGCATGCTACAGAGGAGCAGATCAAAGGGAGGTGGGCTGTTTCTTTGTTCACAAGGCAGCTGCAGGAGGACAAGGCTTTGGAGGCTGTTTGGAGGGTTCGTCCCAGTGCTCTGGGGGGCCCAGCAGCAAGGGAGGGAAGGAAGGGCAAGGCGAGGCCTCTTGAGCTGTAATTGACTCTCATGTACCCAGCCTATGAGCTGCGCAACTCCCACCTTGAATTTCACCCCGGTATTCCAGCTACCAAATTGTCTTGACACGTTGTTGTAGCCTTTCAAATCTCAATAGGATTGCATCTGTCCCCATTGAGTATGAGACGTACGAAGATGGTGACCATGCAAGCACGCTGCAGCAGAACGGACAGAGATCACGCTGCAGGGTATGTGAATGTGTCTAAAAGTTGCGCACGCACAGGCCATGCCATTACAATGGCCACGGAAGTGGCCACATGGCTGCAAGCCAAATCCTGGCTCGCAATGCCATTGTACGGCAACAGAGAAATATGTGAGCAAATCAACAAGTCTGAGCAGAACTGAGCGTCATGCAAGAAGTGCCTGGACAGTCTCTTCAAGATACCTGACCCTCGCAGGATTTGCTTGGCTCCCCGTCTTGCACAGTGTCTCGAAAGCTGGTGACCATTCAAGCACTTTGTGCACGTCGAGAGCGTTTTGAGCACGCAACATGTACAAAGGACTTGTGTTGAAGCCAACAATCAAAGATAATAGGTATGAGGACCTCCTTCATGTTGAAATCATGCTATTGGATTGAACTGCAATGAGAGTTGCCTTCTGTCTACAGCCATCTACTGGCCTCGACGCGTCCTTCCAGAACTCTTCCTTGTGTGCTTGCCTGCTTCACGCGTCGCGTTGGCTTGCCTTACCGCACCTTTTGCTAAAGCGCGTAGGTGCGCAGCCTCCTTGTCAATTGCAGCAATGTATTCGCCAAGTTTCTTGTCTTCTCCCCCATAAGCTTGATAGAAAGCACGAAGATTGGCACCACGTTTGAGATAGGCATCATAGATCTTTTTGCGGTTTGTGTAGAGGCTCGCATTGCCACCCTCACCCTTCTGACGCATGGCAGGTACCCACTCACGGAGTGGCGTGAGGCCATTGGAAGGATCCCCTAGCTCCCATTGAGAGACTACATCAAGGACTGTCGATGCTTTTGGTATCTTTTGGGGCATTGGCTTGCCATGAACGTTGATGATGACATTGGTGGTCGAGTGACTGTGATAATGAAACGCACCTTCCATGGTGGGTTGTGGAGCTGATGGGTGTATTGCACTGGCCTCTGCCAAAGAATGAGGAGCACTGTTGAGGTTTGCGTTGCCAGTAGCTCTGCTTTCACTGTCAGTGCCAGTAGGAGCAGTGAGTAGTTGTTGTTGTGTGGTGATGAGGTTTGTGAGCTCGCGACGCTCTGCTTCAAACCACTCGCGCTGCTCCCGTCCAGCCTGCTGAAAGGCCGCAACTGCATGGGCCACCACACCGCTGTCTCCGCCGCACCAATGCTCGCGGCGGTTGGTCAACAGCAATGGGTTCTCCATGTCTCCAAAATAGCCCTCATGCTCGCTCATCACATTGATAACATAGCGCTCAATGGTATGCAGACTCTCTCCAGCTCCCCAACCGCCCCACCAGCGAACAAATGCAAGTGACTTCTTTGGCTCCCCGTAGTTATTGGCCCAAATGAAGGCATCCTGTGCGCCACCACGGCGAAAAGAGTGTGATGTATAGCGGTAGAGGCCAATAGACTGAATGGTGTCAGTGGCATTGAACACCTGATCTAAAAGACTGTTGACTTGGTGTGCACGCAGCATGCGCCTGACATCAAGCTGACCCGTCCGAGGATGGTAACCAGGGAAGACGAGGTCCTGGGGCTCTGGTGTGCGCTTGTGCACCCATGTCCAATACTTTCTCCAACGCACCACTGCCTGAATAGCGCTGACCTTGGGACGCTGAGGTAGATCAAAGAGCATGTAGGGTCTGCTGTTGGCAGCGTCTAGCTGATTATTCTTGCGCCATGTGAGGGTGACACTGACGTAGAATGTCTCTGTCTCTGGGTGCAAAACTGGCACATGTTCAACCTCACCCCAAACCAGCTTGCAGGCTTCGTCACAGCGCATCCAAAGCCTATAGGCCAGAACCATGAAAGCATACATAAACTCTGTGTGCGTACGCTGGGGTGAGAGCACATTGGGGGTGCTGTCAAAGTTGCGCTGCTTGCTCTCCAATATGTCGAGCAGCTTTTCTAGCTTTGGATACAGCATTGGTAAGGCGTGACGGACAGGTGGCTGAGTAGTTGCAGAGGACCTTTGAATGCTCTTCTTGAGCTGAAGGTAGCGCTCACTATAGACAGGGTTGCCTTCCCAGACACCATTGACCCAGCGCCAGCCAGAGCTCTTTTGGTGCGAGCAATGAAAGGTGGCATGGAAGTGCTGCGCCAATGCACTGTGGTAGTTCTTGATGTTGTCATAGCGAAGCAGCTCAGAGTGGGCTGCTAGCCACCTCCAAACAGCTTCCTCGCTCCATTGGTTCAGCTCGCGCAGTCCCCTCTGGATGGGTCTTTCAGGGTCTACAGGCTGCTCATCCAACCACGCCTGCACCCTTCCAACCTTGAAGGAGTAGTCTTGAAGTGTTCTTTCAGACTTTCCATGCTTTGCAATATAGTCTCGACCTTGTTGGTCAATGTCTGGAGCAGGCACTGCAGAAGCCCTGTTGTCGATGGGCTCAATGGGCTCAGTAGGCTCAGCTTGTATCATTGGCGTGGTACGGCGGCGTGCAGGAGCAGGCAGGGCCAGCTCAATGGCTGGAAGGTTTCCCTGGCGCCGACTCCTACGTGATGGATGAGATTGAGGACGCATTGTGTTTCGCCCACTGTTGTTTCCCTTTGAATGATTTCTGGAGATGATGCAATGATTGCGGCACTTGACCGTGGCAGGAGGCTGTAGTGTTGGTGTGTTGTTGTGGTGCTCGTCGCACAAATGTGGCTCCGTCCCGAGACCAGCTCCTGCACCAAGTCCATCCTGAGAGCACGCTAAAACCCCCCTCTTCAGTCCATCCCATGGGTCAATTCCGAAAAAATTTCGCCCGCTACGCGGGCAAATGACACAGTTCCAGAATGCATACAGCAGATGGACCTGATATGGGCTGCACAGCGCCAGCTGAATGGACCAACTTGCATGATGTCTGGTCCATTGATCCCGCCCCGCTGCCTAGATTTGGCTGGTGCTGCCAGCCAAAAGGCGACGGTCCACCCTCGGTCCACTCCAGGTCCTTTCCGAAGAGGAGGCGGGAGCGCTGCTTCCGCCCTCCCTTTGGTCGTGGACTCGAGCTTTGTCTTGCAGAAATCAAATCTATCAATCAAGGGTCTCGCCTCCTCAAGCGCTGGAGCGAGAAGGAGAGACATGATGGCGACGAAAGCAAAGAAGTCGGATCCTACTCCGGCTCAACTGACGGGTCATGGTCAGGAGGGGTTCGATGCTGCGGAGTGGGAGCGTAACAACGTTCACGAGTGAGGCGCGCACGACATCCTTGCATCGAATCTGGGAGAGCTGACTTGCTGCCCATCTGCCGTGCATAGCGTCTACTCCTCCATCGCTTCACACTTCTCCGCCACGCGCTACAAGCCATGGCCGCTCGTCTCGTCATTCCTTGCTAGCCTGCCAGCAGGGTCAATAGGCGTTGATGTGGGTTGCGGGAATGGAAAGTACCTCCATCTAAGGAACGCGCTTCATCCTGAGGCCGGTGAAGAGCAACAACGTAATGACTGCCTCACCATCGGCCTCGATCGATCACGAGAGCTCGTCAGCCTTGCCCAATCTCAAACTTTGGCGAGAATGAGCGACCCCTCCTCCTCTTCTTCTAGCAGCAACGGTAGCTCATCCTCATCTCTCCCGCCATCGACGTGGCTCAACGAGGTGACAGTAGCCGACGGTCGTGCGCCTCACTTTCGCGCACACGCATTCGACTACGCCATATCCATTGCGACGGTACATCACTTCTCGACACGAGAGAGAAGAAGAGAGGCAGTGAAAGAGATCGTGAGGTTGGTAAAGCCAAGGCCGCCTTGTGAGGAGGATGACATTAATGAGCAAGACGGTGGTGCTGCTGTTCCTGCTTCCGAAATGAGCCAGGGGAGGAGACGAAGCGGCAGGGGCAGGGGCAGATTCCTCATCTACGTCTGGGCGCTAGAGCAGCGAGGGCAAGAGCGACGCAAGTTCGACGAGCAAGACGCACGGCGGCGCGCCGAGGAACAGGCGGCAGCGACTGAAGGCCAGAAGGCAGAAGGACGAGACGTCATGGTGCCTTGGATGCTCAAGAGTGGTGCCCAACTGAAGCTGGACGATGGACAGGAAGAGCAGCAAGGCGGAGAAGTGTACCAGAGATGTGAGCTCAAGCACCACTCCGCCGTCTCCTAGAAGCGACAACACTGACTCTCCATCTCACACGTTCGTAGACTATCACCTCTTCGAAGCGACAGAGCTCGAAGCTCTTGTCGAGGAAGCAGTGGCCGACATGTCTGGCATCACCGTACGGAGGGAGGACTCAGGGTGGGAGCGTGGCAACTGGTGGGGCGTGTGGCAGGTCGTGGACGCGATGGCTTCTTCGCAAGCGAGTAATTGAGCATGACGATGGTGCACATGGTTGCTGAAACGCCAAATTCTTAGGCCGACGCTGAGTGGTCACAGGTCGAAAGACGGCTAGCTGGACCACACAACGAGTGCAGACCGTCCGCTGGACACCGCGATCATCAGGATACCGAGGCAGGCGTAGATCGTGCGCCGCCTCTCTGACGGGCGAGCGATGGTAGGCTGCATTGTGCCCTCCATTGTAACGAAACGCATTTGCTACTGCTGCTTGTGCTGCTGCTGCTATTGCTGCTCCATGCGACGCGCCCTACTGCTACATGCACACACATTTATGATGCTCCAAGCCAAACTCGGCCAGCTCCTCCTTCTTCCTGTCCCTCTCATTCTCATGATCCTTCTCCGATATCTCATTTGGGAACCACATCTTCAGCATATTGACCGTAGCCGCGTCCAGATTGCGCCCGTCGGCCGTCTTCACTACTCCTGGCGCACGACAGAGCGGGCAGTCTGTTTTGCCCTGCTTCTGAAGCTTGACGAGACAGCGAATGCAGAAGAGGTGCGAACAGTCCAGACGGATGGGGCGCCATGCGAGACCCGTGCAGATGGCGCAGGAATAGTCGTCTACTGAAGGGAGGATGGGAAGAAGGGTGGTGGTGAGGAGTGTGAGGAGAATGTGTGGAAGGGACTCGGAGAGGAGCCCCGTGGTCGACGAGGGGAGAAGGGCCGCGAGAGAGGGATGTGTGCCGTGCGCAGGAGCTACGAGGGTGCCTGTCATCTCGGCGGGGAGGTGCATGCCCAGAGAGGCAGCAGCTGCGGCTGATGCGGCTGCACGTGTGCTCTCTTGTTGACGGACAAATTCGCGCAAGCCTGAGCTCGCGGTAAGCGCCGTGCGCTTGTCGTGCTTCTTGAGGATCTTCCTCGCTGCTTCGACGTTGACGCGCTGGAACTTCTTGACATCCAGCAGCGCCAGATTGAGTCGAAGGAAGTCTTCCACCGCATTGGTAGATCGCGAGTCGCGGATCGGTAAGGTGAGAGCGTTCTGCACCGCCTTTTTGTTCCTCGATAACCTCGGACTCTCCCCGCCGACACTACTTTGCGCCAACCAGCCGCGCTTGACCAGCTCCTGAGCGAAGCGCTTGAGTCGCGCCTCACTCTCGTCGACGCTGAGCTCCCCACGAGTTTTCTCCGTTTGGCCCTCGAAGATCTGCATGTCGACCCACAGCTGGAAGATCTCCCGCCACACGTACAGGTCGTTCTTGCTTGCGTAGGGCGAGGCGGCGCGTGCGACGGAGGCGCAGAGGTCTTCCGTGGAGGTGATGAACTCTTCGCGTTGAGAGGCTTGCAGCTCGGAGAGCTGGGCGAGAGAATTGGTCAGGGTATCGAGGAATTGGGTGTCCGCTGTGAGTGGAATGATGATCTCACGGGTGCGCATGACGGAGGGCGGTGGAGTGGGATGAGGAGCGTGTTGGTGTGGGGCGGGATCGTCCGCGAGCGAGGCTCTGCGCGAGCCCGGCTGAGAGGGCGGCAGCTCTTTGATTCGATCTGCGATGCCCATTTCAGAGACCTTGTCGTCCTCGTCACTTGCCCCCCCTTCGTCATCTGCATCGCTCTCGGAGTCAGAGTTGACGGGCGATTCGATGGTGAGACGAATGCGTGGGATAGGATGCTCCGTTGTTCCACCCAGCTCGTACTCAGCTCGAGCTCGACGACCGTCCTTGCCCTGCACCCAGCGAGCCTGTCCTGGACCTCGAGCAATGGTAGGAGACGCTTGAGCTGCGTGCATCGACTTAGACTTGCCCTTGACCTCCCAGCCCAATCCTGTGCGTTCCCTCCAAGCATGCCCTCCCCAATCGTGACGCTCGTCTTCGGCCTCTGGGCTCAAGCTGGTCTTGTTATCGCGAGGCGGTGTCACCTTATTTCCTGAGCTGTTGCCACTATGGCTGTGCCGACGCAGCATCTCGAGATCTTTGCGACCCATGCGCCATGAAGCACCCGGCGACGAGTCTCGATCAGAGCTGCCGGTGACTGGGTTGGAGCTGTGCCGCTCATTGTCGCTCTCTCTGCGCTTGCGGATGCCCAACAAACTCATCGGGCTTGCCGCGGCCGGCTCTTCGGCAGAAGAAGGGTCAAGGAGGTGAGTATGGTGATGGTGCCCGTTGCTGCCTTTCCCTTTCTCAGGAAGCGGCGCCGAGCTCTCCCTCGAGCTCTCACCACCACTCGATCCGCTCTTGCCTCTACTGGATCGTGGCCGACGACGGTCCCGAGTGTGCTCAAGGTGGGACACCCATTCGCCAGCAGGCGTCGACTCCTCCTCAATGTCCACGGCTGGCGCTGGCATGCTCATCGCGGGGACTTTCATGCTATGCTCAGCGCTCTTCCTCCTCGCCTCCTCCTCTTCCATGAGCGGGCTCAACGGATCGACGAAGTCGGACGGGCCTTGCCTGCCAGTGGACAGTTTGGCAAGCCCGGCTACGAGGCCTGCCGTCAATGAGTCATCTCCCGACTCGCTTGCGCTAGCACTGTCGCTCCTACTCCTGCTGCGACGTTGCTGCTGCTGTTGAACGGGCGAGGAAGATCGTGCAGCAGCTTGCGCTTGTTCTTCTGGTGGCTCGAGAAGATCTCGTAGGACATCAGCGCTGAGGCCAAGACTCTCGAGTTCTGCAACAGCGCCATTGATGAGCTTCTTGAGCTCCTTGTACTCGAGGCCCTTTTCGCGCCATTCTTGAGGGAAGTTGGGATCCGTGAGTGTTGCGAGGTAAGTTTTGGCAAATTTCATGACGGGCGATGATGAGGGAGGATGATGGTATCGGCGACGGAATAGAAAGAGTAGAGAAGAAAGTGGCTGCTATGATCCGATCATGGATGTATAGATATGTGGGAAGGATGAGAAGGAGGTGAAGCGAAGGCGCGAGGGAGGGAAGACAGAAAGAGGGAGCGCGATGTCGCACGGGCGCTTGAGCGGAAGAAAGCCCGATTGACGCCTTGGCTGCGAGTGGCTGCATGGGAAATTGCGAGGCGATGAGACGATGGGTGCCCTGACGGCGCACGAGGGCAAAGGGTACGCAACAGCAAGACCTTGTTGAAGCCTATGCTCGCAGTATCACCATTCTTTCGTCCGCATCGAGGTCTCTTTGAGATCCACTCGCTGTCATATTCACCTCATCCCGCCCTTTCACCCACCCCCAGGACCTCTTGAGCAGCAACCGGCGGCATACGAACGTGGGCCTATCGCAGAGCCCAGTGAGCGAATCAGGGCCCGGGTGAACCTGGTGTCTTCGCGGGCGGCGGGAGAAGCGGCAAGGGCGGCTCGGACGCGGAGACGCGAGAGTCAAGGCTGCGTGCAGTTCCCCACATCAATTCGGAGATATCGAGAGGCCCATCTCGAGCGACCACTCGATCCCTTCCTCGTTCCCAACACTGCGCGCTCGTTGCGACCATGTTTCGAGTCGCGACGCTATGGCGAGTCGTAGCTATTGCGCTTCTGGTATTCAGCTTGGTAGCAAGCGCCGCGAGCGATGCTTACGATCCGGAGAATGAGGGCTTGCTCGACCGAGTCCTGAGGGTGAGCATGGCCGAGCGATAACAACGCCCGGCGACCGTAGCTCAACCCGTCGTCATCACTGCTCGCACAGACATTCCAGAAGAGGGTCATGAGCCGCACAGACGAGGAGATTACAGGCGCTCGTCTTCAGATTGCCGCAACGCTGAACCCGGTCTTCAACTCGCGCGTGACGTCGATCGTAGGCAAGTACGACGGCTCTTCGATCAATACCGAGGTGCTTCATATGCCACCACCGCCAGAGGCGGGCATCGACGACAGTATTCCATGGAAGAGCTTTGCTGCACCAGGCACCCGCGCAGGGGGGAGCAAGGTATGGGTCATCCTCGTTTCTGCCCCTTCGGGCGATGCAGCATCGAGGCACTTCAATCAGGTGTTCAACAATACCCTCAATCTCGTCGAGCCGCCGGAGGGAGAGACGGTTGAGTCAATCATCGCCCAGGCAAACCCGGGGCCGTTCGCCAATGTAGCAGAGGAGGAGGAGATCAAGTCAGAAGAGGCTTTGGAGCTCGAGAAGAAGCGCAGGGAGCGACTTGAGATGAGGAGGCAGAAGGTCCGTGATTGGCACTTTGGGGTTGTCGACTTTGAGAATGAGCCCGATCTGATGTGAGTGGGCGTGGGAATGACGCAGGGGAGAGACAACTTGCTGATTGCTCGATGTCATGCTGCTGATTCTTCCCCGCAGGTGGGCATGGTGGATCTGGAAAGTGCCAGTGATGGTGTTCATCACCCCCTCGACGAGCCCGGACCGCCTCTACGACATGCGCTTCTGGAAGGTCGTGAGTAGAGACGCGAGACGCGACTGGCGACCTCTAGCTGACGTCGTGACGCTGGCTCGCAGGCCTTCATCTCTGGCCTCACGCCCGAGTACATTCTCTCATATGTCGCCTCTGGAGCATGGAAGACGGAGCTCAAGGTGTGGAAGAGCCATCTGGCACCTGGAGGTAAGCGCAGCGGCCTACCAGCTCGATTGGCCAAGCCATCAAATTGGCTCTACGACAAGACTGCGGCGCTTCCCTCGTGGGCGCTCGGTATCTTGAGCACGGCCTTGGGCGGGTCCTTGATCTCTTTGATGCATTCTTTCGGTGGAAAGAAAGATGAGAAGAAGGAAGAGGGGAAAAGAGCGACGGGTGGGCGTGCTGTGGAGGCAGGTGGTAGCTCGACGAGCTTGCAATCGCAGTCAAAGAAGAAACAGTGAGGGCGGATGATCATCACCAATAGATACACTTTTTCTGTCGAAGTTACCGTGGTGCCTGGGCCTCTCACTTGATCGCCGTTGCCGCCTGCTTGGATGGTCTTGTTTGTGCCACGCATCTCGTGAATCGCAGGGCAGAGGCCGCCTGGCCTGCTCCGCTGATGTCATGCGAGGGGTGGCTTGTGCTGAACCGGCCAGCTCTACTCTGCTCTCCAAGCACTGGCCAGGTGCTGTCGACGGTCCGCGCGCCCAGTCGGCCTGGCCGTCAGTCAAGTCCGAGCAGGGCACGTCCCAGAGTCAGAGTGAAGCGGCCGCCCCATCGACTACAGCCTTTTGACATCGAACCACCACCTTCGAAACCAACACCAACAACCACACTATCACCAAGATGCCGCTCTTCGTCCTCAGGTGAGTGTGCGAGATGGATGCAATGGGTTTGTATCCGCATGGCAGCTCCTGACCACCATCATCCTCGCTGCGTGCTCCCCTCCACTCTGTCTCTCGCCCTCGCAGCCCCGCCTCGCTGGCGCACTCTGCCCTCTTCGCCGGGTACTACTCGTACCTCTCGGCCAATGTCGTCTCTCTCCGCCTCAAGTCCGGCGTCATGCTGGGCACTGGAGAGGCAGGCTCCGTTCGCGCCAAGGACCACAAGCCCTCGCCCTCGGACTCGGCCAACGAGGAGGCCCTCAAGCGCTCCGTTCGCGCCCACGGCAACTTCGTCGAGTCGACCCCCTTCAGCTTCTTCATGATCTTCCTCGCTGAGCTCAACGGAGCGCCTACGTACTTGGTCCACGCCGCCTACTCGACGCTCTTCCTCGCTCGTGTCGCCCATGCTGAGATTGGCATTCGCGCCGCTGACACGCTCGGTGTGGGCCGACCCATCGGCACTTTGGCGACCATGCTCGTCACCCTCGGTGCCGGTGCCTACAACGTGGGTACCGCGTGGCATGAGACGATCGTTCGTTAGGACTTTGTGACTGACTCTCTCCACGTTCTTTCGCCTCGCAGCTGAGCCTCGGATGGGAGCCCCTCAAGTCTTTCATCGGCCTCAAGTAAATTGTGAAGCTTATTGTGAAGTGACCTGACAGGTAGACTGGGAGAAGCACAGACGACAAGGGTAGCGAAGTGTTACCCCAGCTCCTGTTTGCTCTCCTTGTCTCGCATCCCCCACCTCTCATCCTTCGGACATCATATCCTCCCAATGCAATCGCTCGAGTTGCTAGTCACTTCTTCTTTTGTCCGTACCGCTTCTGGTGAAAGTAATCAAATTGCGTCGCCTTGAAGCCGCTGCCCACTCCGAATGAAGTGCAAAGAGGCGACGTTGCCGCTGCTGCTCAATCTTGCCTTTCTTCCGTTCGGTGCCTTCTTCAAGATCGCGGTCAAGAGTGTGTCCATCTGACAGGCAATCGTGACAATCGACACTGGAGAGAAGCAAGACTGACTTCGCATGCTCACCGTGGGTGCAAGAAGAGCGCAAGGGAGCAAGGCATCAAGCAAGGTGCGACAGGGTGCTGGGTTCATTGGAGCCTTAGGAAGAATTTCTCTCGATCCTCACGTCGCAGGATCATCAACGCCGATTGTGAGGCTCCTTGCACCGCTTCGACAGTTCTGCAGCAGCGCTACGAAGCATTCACTGGCCGACGATCAGCTAGTACATCCATCCTTCAGGGCAGAAGCGTCAATGACTGCCGAGATGTCTGCGGCCTCCTCTTCTTCGACATCAGCGTCTGCGGGACCGCCATCGACCTCAGGGGAAGCCTCCATCTCTTCCAACAGCAGCTCATCTCCATCCCTCATAATGCAGCTCATTCTCCCACCTCAACTGCTCTCAGGCCCAGACGCCTGGCCTCGTGGCCCCCTTATGACCCAAGCAGCGCACGCAGCCGTGGCAGCCCTGGTCAGCTCCCTCCCCCTCTCAGCTAACGCGCGCGAATACGTTGGCACGCCTGAGGCTCTTCGCGGGATGCACAAGGTCGCACTGAAAGGGCCAGAGAAGGGCGAGGCGGGCAAGGAGGGGTTGAGAGGGTTGAGTGACAAATTGAAACGGGGGAGGGAGGAGTGGGAGCAGAGGCAAAAGAGCGGCAAGCTGGAGGATGGGGAGGAGGAGTTCCCGTTACATCATCTTTGGATCGAGCAGCCGGAGGATGTGCCCACTTGCATTGCTGTGGCACCGAATCGGAAGCCTGCGGTGAGTTGTCGACGGGCGTGGCAAAGAGACGATGGCGCTGAGAGAGGCTAAGCTGCCCCGCGCTTCGTGTTCCCAATGCAGGCACTCAAGAAGATCCTCAACAAATGCTCGCTGATCAGGGACTGAGGCAGAGAATTGGTCGGTGGGCATCAACGAAACTCACGCATGCAGAGAAAAAGCGATCATGCCGCAATGTATCATCGTTACGTGCGGACTTAGCCGGCGAGCTGCTTGTCTTCCAGCGTCCCCCGCCCCTTCTCATACTCTTTTCTCTTCTTCTATGACAGCGTGGCACCCGCGAAGTTCGCAGCATAGCATGCGCCCTTCTTGGTGCGCAGCAATCTCGCCCTCTTGTCGTTTCCCTCAGCATCGGCACCAACCCAAGCAGCCTCCTTGCTCTCCGTCGTCGCGTAGTCGGGCTGAATGGCTTCGAAGATCCTGGACAACGATGAGTGGAGGGTAATAGGTCAGCTCGAGCTCCACGAATTGATGTCGCGGCGCCGTGCACTCACTTCTTCTTGGGGTTCAAGACGTCCAACGGTTCCTTCCCCTCGTACCCCTCGACTTCAATTTTTTCGCCCACCTCTGACCCTTCAGGCGGGTAAATTGGCTCAACACCGCCGTCTTTGCCCTCCTTTGCTGTCGCACAAAGAAGCATGGCGTGCGACTTGATGCCACGCATGGCTACTGGCTTGAGATTGCAAATGCCCACGACCATGCGGTCCTTCATTGCTTCGATGGGTACGAAGTTGACCAGACCAGAGAGGACGGTGCGGGGCCCGGTGGGCTCGCCAAAGTCGACCTGAGCGTAAAGAGCGAGTATCAGGGCGTGAGCAAAGCATTCTCTTTGCAAGGCTGCCTTCTGCTTAGGGCACGTACCTGCTCGAGGTACAGCGAGTCCGCATCCGGGTGCTTCTGAATGTCCACAATTTTCCCCACTCGCAAGTCAACCATAGATGGGATGGGCGCAGACGACTCAGCCGCAGCTGCTCCGCCCTTTGGAGGCTTCTCCTTCTTCTCACCGCCCGCAGCAGCCTCCTTTTGCTTCTTCTCCTTCTTCTCCTTCTTTGCTGCCGCTTTGACTGCTGCTGCATCTGAGCCCTCAGCAGCAGCTCCCGCTCCTGCCGCTGCTGCAATTGCAGAGCTAGCTGCTACATCTCCCTTCCCTTGTGCCTTGGCATCACCAGCGGCCTCGTCAGCAGCCTTTGCCTTTGCCTTGCTCTTTTCCTTCTTCTCCGCAGCCAAGTCCTTTCGCTCAACAGGCGGCATCCCCTCGTAGGCCGGGTCCCACGCCTTGACGCTCGATGTTGCCGAGGCGAAGGTATGGGAGAGGTGGGAGACGTATCGCGCTACGCTTGGGTGGGCGTACTGGTCTGCGGGGGCGAGGGTGGAGACGGAGGGGTAGAGGGTGCCGAGAAGGGCAATGTCTGCTGCAGTGGGGGAGGTAGTGTTCGCGAGGTAGGTGCGCGATTGGAGCTCCGCGTCGAGGGACTGTGAGCGAGGGGCGAGGAGACGTGATCAGCATATAGCCTCGAGTAACAAGGAATGATCCCTCACTGCTGCGCTGCGCACCTTGAGGTCGATGGTCTGCTCAGCGTCAATCTTGCTCAGCCACGACTCGACGTCCTTCTTGCTCGCATCGTCGGGGCCGAAGATGTCCTTGGACTTGCTCGTGGCCTCTGCCAGCGAGGTAGCGAGGGCGGGCAGGGCTTGAGTGGAGAGCGAGGCGGCCTGAGAGCGAGTGACCAGAGCGAGAGGGGAAGAAGTCAGGCGATGCTCTGTAGCAGCTGAGCAGGACAGCCGGCAGTCTCGATGCTCACCTTGTCCGCCTGTAGGAAAGCCGAGTACACTTCGACGAGAAGCTGTCGTGCTCTGGCTGCCATGCTGTTGAGTAGTCTGAGGTGTTGGGAAGATCACAAGGTGCAAGTGGGCGTTGGCCCCGACTCGGGACTCGACTCGACTCGACTTTCTGCGCGCGCCTCTCGGACGGACGGACCAGACAACTTCGACTGCTCAAACGGCGTCCCTTCCTTTCTTCTTTTCTCTCCCATTGTTTAACATTCATCTGCAGCCAACCTCATGAGTGTCAGCTTTCCAACTCCTCAAAGAGCTGGGTGGTCGGCGGGGGCATCAGTCTTCTGAAAAGGAGCTGCTCCTCGCTGTACCACATACGCACTCAACAGTGCTTGCAGTAGAAGAATGAGTTCACTCTGGGAGGGCTTTACTTAGACTGGCTCGCTGCCTACCTCCCCACCTCGGTGGGGATATGGTCCTGCCGGTCACCTGGCTCTTGTACATCTCGATGGCTTCAGGAGCAATGTAAATGTCATGTTACGATGTTGGGTCATTGCTGTGCTCGTCGCTGTGATTCGTCACGCGGGCTTCGTATCCTTTGTCTCTTAATGATGCTCCCCGCCCTTCTTTTTCGCCGGCGCACCCAACGAGCCTGCGAAGAGCCCACCAAAGAGGATGGCGCCCAGAGCATACACACCCCTCTTCTCGTCTGCATTCAAAGGCCTCTTGGCCGATCCAGCGCCTGCACCGCTACCCGCAAACGACCCAGCCCCAACACCACCCTCGCTGCTCGCCGCGGCCTTGACCTGCCCAAACACCTTGCTCGCATCTTCCACGACAGCAGCTGCTGCCTCACTAGCCTTCTGCCCCACTTCCGCCAATCCCGTAGCCTTGAGAACGCTGGAGACCTGAGGGCCGAGCGTGCTGCCTTTCAGTCCCGCATCGGCCTTGAAGCTACGTGCGGCTGACTCGATTGCTTGGGCAGCGGCATTGGGCGCAGATCCCTCGTGATGAGTGGCGTCAAAGGCATGGCTGACATCCGAGGTGTCCGAGGCGGTAACCAGCTTCGGGCCTCGAGGGGCAGGCACTTCCTCTTCACGGCGGGTGTACATGGTTACGATGGGCTGCGAGCGCGAGGCGAGGGGAGTGATGAATGTCAGCTCTGGATTGAAGAGCCTGATCGATCCCTGGCCACATGATGCTCACAATCTCGGGGCCATGCTCCTCCTTGACCATCTCAACGGGCACTTCAACCTTGAAAGTCGTCGGATGGTGAGAAGGCTCCTTCTGTGGGGGTACACCAGGAGGGTTGGAATCCGGGTCCATCTTCTCCTTTGTCGAGATGGCAGGTTGGCCCTGTCCCAGTGGCTGGCCGGCATGGGCTACCTGACCCGGCTTGATGTTTTCAGGCTGCGGAATTGAGGCACCCTCACCTGTGACTGTGTGAGACGGGCCAACGGGGTGGCGTGCCGTGGAGTTGGAGTCATTTGGAGAGGGAGTTGATGATGGAGAAGACTTTGCGCTCCCCTTGGACGACTGCGCCTTGGCATCGCCACCACGCAAGGAGGCGAGGGATGAATTTGTCCTCCTGTGCGCCTTTGCCTTGGCCGGTACCGGCTCCTCGCGCAGGCCAGACCCGTTCTGCCTCGCATCATCGTTCAGCAGGCGAGCGACGATGTCTGCTCTCCTTCCACCAGTGGTCAGACCCCTCTGCTTGCACTCGTCCTTGAGCTGCGTTACGTTCCTCTTGTCATAGGTCTCGCGGGTGAGGAGGACGGTCGAGACAAGGGAGCGAGTGGGAAGAGGCGGCACCGAGCTGGCAGAAGGTGAGGCCACGGCCGCTCGCAGGGAACCCAGCGATCGTGTGGTACGTAGTGAGCGCGCACTCGATGTGAGAGCGACGCCGATCATGGTTGGTGACTTGAGGAGAAGGGGATGATGATGGAGGTGAGGATGAGAGAGATTGAATCGACCAACACCCGCCTGTCGGGGCTCCGTCATGGCCGCTTGAGTCGAGACCGGCCTCGGCGCGCGCCGCTTGGCCCTCCCGCCCGCCCCGTGTTGACAGGTGCTCAATGACCTTCTCCCCACGAACGGCTCACCCAAAAACATCGACGATGACTTCAACGCCGGTAATGGTGGCAGAATGCACACTCAAATTGCATTCTCGATTGCTATGCTCTCTCTGGCCCTTGATTGGCTTGAAGCATTCTCAGTGCACACGAATCGGACACACGTTGACCGCTCTGGGCGTGAGTGAGAGTCAGCCCACCCTCCGCCCTCCAAGTCTTCTATGCTTTTGCCAAGCACGGTAATGTGAATCTCAGTCGTACTCATTGCAGTGCTGATTGAGCCGCGATTTTTGGCTCCTCTCAGACCCCCTTGGTAGCTACCACTGCCTCGCCCACAATCGACGTCATCTGCCTGCCCTTGGTCGAGCTATTCCGAAGTGTCGCTGGATCGGCCCGCTTGCTCCAGTCGACAAGCCACGGCGTTCAAAGTCGAAATCGATTGAGGCGAAAGGCGGACGGCTGAGCAGGCAGGCGAATTTGGGAACCACGGGAACGTCGCGAGTTGGCGGCCGCTCATGCATCGGGTCGACCTCGCGGAAATGCGTGCGTCATAGAGACAAGCGCTCCTCCCCCCATTGCTCACTTTGTCTTGGTCTTTCTGGTCGATGCTATCGCACTCTCCTATCATCATCATCACCATAGATCCTCGACCTCTTCGCACACCGTCCGCTCGTAGAACTTCCTCTTCTTCTTTCCTCCAAGCCGCCCCTGCGCCATTCTCAGCATCGTCAAGCTTCCCAGCGCCACAAACGGCTGCCTCCTCGAACCCTCTCACCCGCCATTGTCCGCTGCAGCAACTACTGATCGTGGATCGTACCTCTGGAATCGCAAAACTCCTGCCTCCGTTGAACTCCCCTTCACTTTCTTCTCGCAAGTCGTCGCCCACACCATGTCGCGGGCGAATCGCAGCTGCTCACTTGCGGCCGTCCTCCTTGTGACGATTCTCGTCGCCCTCGCCCAATCACTGCCCAGCATCTCAGCAACGCCCCTCGAAGCGTCATCGCGGTCGTCTTCGTCAGGTTCCCGCCAGCTGGCAAGAAGAGCGAGCAACCCACAATTCGAGCCGCTTCCTAATGCTGTGGACTTCTTCAATCCGCTGGAGAGGGGAGGGTCCATGCTTACGGTGAGTTGCGGTGCGCCTTTTTGACAGGTTAGTGCAGAGCGGCAAGCTGAAACAGCTTCATCCTGAATCTTCCACAGATCATTCCTGGCCCTACCACCGTCGGCCTCGGCGAGCCAGTCAATGTCATCGTCTCAGGACGCAGCTCGAAGAGCGTCCTGGAACCAGTAGGCTTCCTCCTCTACGTGACGTGAGTCCATGTCCTGCGCCAATGACGCCAGTCCCATGCGAAGCTGAATGTTTCTCGCCATTTTTTCGCGCAGCTCGATCAACTTCGGCATCTCCTGTCTCGGCCAAGCGAATGGCACCCTCCAACAGACCAACCTAGGTGACGGCCGCGGAGCCCGTATCCAAGGTACAGGTGACGGGACCAACGGGGTGATGCGCTTCAACTACTACTCGCCTTACGTCGGCACCTGCAAAGAGACCTTCCAAGGCGGCAATCACTTTCGCTGGTGGGTCCAAAACGGCACCGAAGCCAACTCGAGTGCCATCTTCCTCGCCGCATCTCGTGAGCTGCCCCTCGCCACCAATCATATGATCGATACGGATGGGTACAACAGGGGCAGGGACGAGCTGGTGGGGAACGCCACGGGGATGACAGAGTGGGAGGGGAACAGGTACAATACGACAGTGACGTGGATCCCGGCGGGTCTGCTGTTGAACGCAACGAGTGAGGGGATCAATCACCCCGACGTGGCACTGCCGGGACAGCCGACGCAGGATGGGCGCGTGGCCGTCTTGACAGTGACGCAGCTGGCGGGCTCAGCGGCTAATGCTGCGCTGAGGGGTACCACGCCGGGCGTAGAGGCATCGTTGCTAGTCGCGGCTGTCGCCAGCTTGGTGGCGCTCGCCATGGCGCTGCAGTAAGCCCTTGAGCTCCTCGCTCCTCACTCCCCGCTCCTCCTTTTCATAGACGCAATTTGCGAACCGCGTAACTCTCCTTCTCATCTTGTAGCAGCATACACTTTTCATGACTCTGACATCAGTCTTGCTTCGTCTTTCTTACATCGTAATTGGATTCGTGACGGAGCATTGCAGAGTGTCACGTTTGTGCGCGAGGCAGGACATGCATTTCAGCGAAGGGACGTTGCTTGAGCGGGTAGATTCAGTGTATGTCATGGAGTGATTAAAAGTACAATTGAGGTGGTGCAGAGCGGTCAAGTCGAGAAGGCGGCGAGGACGGCGGGCGGCTGGAGGTGTACAGCGACCGACGGGCTGGTGGTATGGTGGAAGATGGCGGAGGCGGTGTGTAATGGCGCACATTGAGGAAAGAGTCTCGTTGATATCACTTTGACTCTGGGAGCTTGCATGCCACCTGTAGGACGAAGGTGAGTGACGGTGAGCATTCGACCTCACGGCACGGCATGTCCGTCCCCTCCCACTCGTGCGCTCCACACCCACAATCTTCAACTTGTCGACACTGATCTCCTCCCCTCCATCCATCTTCATGTTTCCCTTGACATTGAATGTCCAAACCTCGTCGCAAGAATTGTAGTCCTTCAAGTGGCCCTTTACAGTAGCTTTGGCCTTAATCTTGGCGTGTAGGACCTCGGCGATGGACTTGTCGAACTGCTGGAGGACGCGGATTGCTAGGACAGGGTTGATGTGGCCCGATTGGATCAGTGTGTCCAAGGAGGAGGTGAGCTGCATGCCGATGCTGCGTGAGGCAGGAGAGAATGAAGCATAAGTGTAAGTGGAAAGTGCTGAGTCGAGGCGGCAATGAGGGACGAGGTGCCGTCCCTCGCCTCTCGCTGCTCGCACCGCATCCGCTCACCTGCTCCTCCTGTAGAGCTCGTAATGGCTCTGCGAAGCATTGTTCCTCGACGACGACATCTTGGCAACGATGCGGCGACGCAGCGTGTGTCCGGGCGAGCGACGGTAGGGATGTCAAGAAGACAATCGTTGACGGCCGCATTATGGTCGCTTCTCCGCCTTGCCGTCGATGGCTTTGGCCCGGCTCGCGTGGCTCGACTCTCCCGCCAAGGCGTGCTCCACTCAGACGCCGCCGCCGCCGCCCAAGCTGCAGCCCAGCAAGAAGATGTCGACATCGACGAAGAAGAACACCCGGACCCTTAGGAGCGCTCGCGGCCGTTGCTTCTCTCTTTCCCTCTCATCATCAATTACACTCACACGCAATGGCAACCAACATCACCTTCCACCCCGGCACCGTCACCTACGAGGAGCGCAGCCAGCTCTTGGGCCAGAGCGGCGCTACTATCTGGCTCACCGGCTTGAGCGCTTCGGGCAAGTCGACCGTCGCTACTGCCCTCGAGCAGCACTTGCTTCACCAGAAGAAGTCGGCCTACAGGCTCGACGGTGACAATGTGCGATTCGGTCTCAACAAGGATCTCGGATTCAGCCCCAAGGACAGGGAGGAGAACATTAGGCGCATCGCCGAGGTGAGCGCGACGCGGTTGTGGTCAATCGATGTCGTATGGCAGGAGCTCACCAGACCTTCTTCTACATACCTTTCCCCCACAGGTTTCCCTTCTCTTTTCCTCTTCCTCTACCCTGACCATCACCTCCTTCATCTCCCCCTACTCCGCAGACCGCGATCTTGCCCGCTCCCTGCACGCAGCGCACAACCCGCCTCTCCCCTTCATCGAGGTCTTCATCGATGCCTCGGTCGAAGAATGCGAGAAGCGTGACCCCAAGGGCCTATACAAGAAGGCCCGCGCCGGAGAGATCAAGGAGTTCACCGGCATCTCGGCCCCGTACGAGAAGCCGGAGAAGGCTGAGATTCACATCGATGCGGATAAGACGAGCGTCGAGGAGAGTGTGAGGATTATTAGCCAGTACTTGGTTGAGAAGGGGTATTTGAAGGTCTAGAGGAGCAGGAAAGTGGAGTGGAATAGATGGCATACCAGCTGCGTACGCGGGCGTCTCTCTCATCCATTCGTCCGATCCTTGACCCTTTCCAAGAAGTCTCGTCTGCCCAGATACCCAGCCATACTGCCTCCCTTAGCACCTCCTCCTTCCTTCGTTTGACTTTCCATCTCTTCTCTCTCCCTCTCGCTCAGCGCCTTCCCTGACGCCGCCGTACCTGATGGAGCACCGCCGCTACCCGCCCCCTTCCAGCCTTCCCAATCCATCTTGCTCTTCTCGAGCGTGTTCATCTTCTTTGCATCCCCATCACCAGCAGCAGATGCGAGGGCAGCAAGCTTGGAAGTGCGCTTCTTGCGCGCAGCTGGCGCTGGCGGGCGCGAACTCGACGAGGAAGATGAGGCTGGCTGCGGCTGCGGCGCTGACGGTGACGATGTCGAGGAGGTAGACAGCGGCTGAGGGGAGACCATGCTGCCGCTGCTGGTCGGTGCCTGCTTCTGCTTCTTGAGGAAGGCGACTGTATCGGGGTGATCGGCCGGAAGTAGGCGCTCCCGGGTCGTCTCTTCGCCTGCGAATCTGATGCGATCGATGACCTTAATGAGCGGCTGGCCTGCCGCCTCTGTCGAAGCTGCCGCCGAGGTTCTAGAGGATGAGCTAGAGGCGTCGTGATCTGTCCCGGCCTGAAACGATGCCCAAGCTGCTTCGTCGGCAGCCGTCTTGCCCACAGAAGGGACCCTAGAATTAGAGAGGAGAACATGTTGGGCGATTGATCAGTATCATCGTGATTCTGATTGATGCTTGCCAGACTCACCTCTTGGCATCTTCTTTACCAACGTCCTCCTTTGCTCTCCTTCTCTTGCCCCTACCCAAAGTCGCGCCACTTGCATTCGCGCTTTCTCCTCCTTCCTCTGCCTCCTTCCTGAGGGCTACGAGCTCGTCATCATCTATACCTTCTGCTGCGTCCCCATCGCCCTCATCTCCACTGTCGCCCTCCTCGTCTGAGCTTGCCTCATCCTCCGCACCAGTCACATTAGAGGCAGATGGCTGTCCGTACTCGCCTTCGTCCTCCTCGTCTTCCTTTCCTTCAGGGCCGTCCCGACGGCGAGCTGAGGTGTCATCAAGCATCTGTGCTAGCTTCGCGCCATTCTGAATGTCAGATGACATGGCACAGGCCACTAAGGATGAATCGCCGTAGATGAAGAGACGGGAAGGGAAGCAAGAAGTAATGGAGGCGCATGACGGAAAGAGGACCGACTGCTTTCGCCGACTTTTACTCCACCGCCGCGGCTCGCACGGCCTCACACGCTTCAACGTTGCGAACGATGCTGATTAGCACGATGGTATTACAGGACAACGTCGACCAGCGCCTCTTTCCCGACGATCATCACTACAGTCTCGAACTTGCCCGCGGCGTCGTGACCCCGGCATTACCGCCGCCGCTGCTGCCGCTGCTACCCACTTCCTTTGTTTGCCCAGCCCCATTCTCGTCCGGCTTGATCCTAAATGACTCCCCCTTCTCATCGTCATCTTTCGGCTGCTCAAGCCCGCTCATTCTCGGCCGCACTCTTCGTCTCCTCGTCGCCATGGGGCCCTTGAAAGCTAGCCAGATGAGGGCGGCCTGGGAGGGCTGATTAGGCGCCAAGTTGGTGAAGGTGGGTGTGCTCCCGTACGCCAAGGCCGCACAATGGATGAGGATGTCGCTGCATGTGCAGTTGATCGCCGATTCAGTCAGCATTCTTGCCACGCAAAGAGTCCACACCGACCGCTACTCACCTCGTCAAGCCTCTCACCGGGTTGCGTCGATCCCAAAACGTATGCCTCCTCACTCTCCTGTCGAACCACCTGACGTCCCTGCATGTATGCCAGTCTGACGGGCCTGACTCCTCTGACCAAGGTGCGTTCACTGGATCCTGCTCAGTCGGCTCCTCTCCCAGCTTAAGTGCGAGACGGAGTTCAGGATGCGGGTGATGCTGTAAGAAGGCGCGAAGGGGGAGGGAGAAGAGGCGCTCTACCTCGGTCGGGTTGAGGGATGGCTGCGATGACGAGGCACGGCAAGCCGTCAGCTATGCAATTCAACGCTGTTCCTTGTCCGTTCTACCCACCTTGATCATCGGATCAATCAAGAGCACCACAATCGGCGTGACCACCAGCTCATTGGCGGACAAGAAGGGCTGCAACTCGCAGAGCTTCCGTACCCTCCTCGCGTCGATTGGCAGTCCAATCTCCTCCCATGCTTCTCGTCTCGCCGTCGCCTCTAGACTACCATCGCCTAGCTCGTACCGACCACCAGGGATGGCCGTATCGCCTGCGTGAGATCGGAGTGACGCCGCCCGCTGGGAGAGCACGACATGGAGGTCGCTGCGCATGCGAGCGAAGACGGGGAGCAGGTTGAGCTCATGTGAGCTCATGGATAACCACTACTTCTGCCAGCTGCTCAAGCGCCCATACGCACCCTCTTCTACCTCCAAAGATGCCTAGCAGAACAGCCGCTCTGCGATAAGCGGGCACATCACCAGGGCAAGGCTCGCTCTCTGGATCAGGAATGTGCGAGGCCAAGTTGCGCAACGCCTGAAGGGACTCCTCGGTCAGGGGTCCGAGCTCGTCTGCAGAGGGAAGGTCGGGAACTCGGCGACGACGGGGCATTGCGTTAACGAGAGCGAGAGAGGCTGAGGTGGTGATGGTTGGGATGCTGCGAAGCTGACGCACCCACGCACGCGCACGGACGGACAATGTCGACTTGCACAGTCAGCCGTGAGAGCTCCACTTCCGCTTCCTCTTCAGCTTGACCTCATCATCAGGCCTGAGCCGCTCGTGAGACAGCTTCGATGATCAAAGGATGACATTGGGTATGAAGAGAGGGTAAAGGCAAGCAGAGAGAAAGGGGCGATCAAATGGATCTGGAATGCAGATGCGGCTTGGTAGCCTGCAACGAGGTTGCTGCCTGCCCAAGTGCATCACTTGGACGTCTTGCTTTGGCTAGCCGCTCCTTGAGCCTAGTAGCGATGGGACGGCAGCATCGAAACGTCAGTGATCACTTCTCTATCTCTACCCCCGCTGCTGCTGCTCGCTAGCTGACACTCACCAGTCGATAGCGGCTCAACCATACCCTCCCCAACTTCTCGTACTCGTCGAATCCTAATACCCCCAGAGCATAGAGCACATCGTCTCCGTTCAACGTGCTGCGCTTTTGTGCATCAGCCCTCTCTTGCGCCTCGCTGGTAACCAAGGCAATGAACTCTTGCGTGCAGGACTGCATCAGGAGCTTGGTGTCCGAAGAAAGCTTCATTGTGGGAGGAAGGGACTGTTTCATTAGGCGGGAGACGTTTGCGATTGGGAGTTGCGTGGGCGTGGGTGCGGATGATGCCTCGTCTTGATCGGCATGGGTGGACATGATCGAATCGATGAGGTAGTATCTGTGGTCTTTCAGCTAGCTGAGATGGTATCAAGGAAGAGACGATTGAGAGAGGGAGGTCGGGGGGCAGCAGACCTGATCGTGCTTGCAGACCCCGTTTCCGGTATCTTATCTCTCGGAGCCGATTCGCGCCGTGAAGCCAGGATGACCACAAACAAAGAACAGAATGGTAACGAGCACAGCGCGCGAAGAGATAAATGATGGCATTACAGGAACCGTATCGTCAAGCAGTGAGAGCATGAGGTAATTTGGGCAGAGCAGAGCAGAACATGCGCACAGCGCACGAGCAGCGAAAAGGCAAGGCCAGCTTCAGAGGAAAAGGACGTTGCTGATCTCGGACCTTGTGATCATGACCATGATGGAGAGGCGGCGGTGGCGGTGCTTACTTGGCCTCAGCATCAGCCGTTGGCTGGCCAAGGAGCTTCTCGATGTCACTGGCCATCGTAGCCGGCTTCGTCGTTGGGCTGTAGCGCTGAACGACCTTGCCTGACTTGTCAACAAGGAACTCTGTAGCGGGAGGCAAGCATGTGCGTCAGATGCCGATCTCGTAGGAGCGTCGAGGGCGGGGCACTCACTCGTGAAATTCCACTTGATGCCCTGAGTGCCGAGAATACCGGACTTCTCGCTCTTGAGGAACTTGAAGACGTCATTGGCGTTTGAGCCATTAACGTCTGACTTTGCCATCATGTCGAAGGAGACTGCGAGCGCGAGGGGAGGGAGAGCGTGAGTATCGAGGCGTCTTATTGCGTGAGAAGATGAATGACTCACCTCCGTAGTTCTAGAAGGAGAGAAAGGTAGGAGAAGACAAGGGGTGGCAGCAAAGGGTATTGATGGTCAGCTCTCGATCGGATCCAAGGGAGGTTTGGCTGGGCGCTCGCAGCGTCTCCATCGTTGTGCCATCATCAATCACCACCGTGCTACCAGCTGAGACGCAGCCTGCTATCACAAATCCGCCCACTCGCCACGCCGCCTCACCTTCTGGCAAAATGCGCCGATGCCATCGTCGTTCTCCGGGTCTTGGTTACCAAACTGATTGCAGGGGAAGCCCAGAACGACGAGACCCTGGTCCTTGAACTTCTTGTGCAGGTCCTCGAGCTCAGCAAACTGCGGTGTGAACCCACACTTGGACGCAGTGTTGACGATCAAGACGACCTTGCCGTGGAGCGTCGAGAAGTCGTAGGCGTCGCCTTTTGGTCGCTCGGCCTTGAGGTCGTAGAACTGAACCATGGCGGTCGATGTGATGTAGTGTACGGATGAAAAGATAGCGTGCAGTAGAGAAGGAAGGGAAAGAGAGGATGCAAAGAGAGATAAAGCTGCTGCAGCGATTCGACGTCGTCCAGAAACAGAACCCCTTGTCCCTCCGGCGAGACACACTCCTGCGAGTGGGAGAGCCTTTCAATGACCGGGACGAACAGCCGGCGGCCGTGTCGCTGAGTGCGGCGTCGAGCTTTTTCCGCGACTGCCAAAGCAACACAGGCGCAGGATGGAGGTCGAGAAGTGGCGGTAGTTCCGCGCCAACCCTTAACCACGAGGCGGCGAGAGCAATCAAGGGCGGCGAGTGGAGGAAGTTACGGCCTTAGGTAGGTAGAGGGTCGACGGATGATGATCAATTGCTGCGCTTCTCGCCATCATAACCACCACTACCAATCGTTGCCCATCATAGGAATCTTCGCCTCCAAGCCCAACTTTGCCGAACTCCCCGACAATCGCAAGATGGCAGCCAAGCAAGCAGCAGAGGTGCGTGTGCGAGGCGGTTGGCATGGGCGAGGACGATGATTGACCTCTGCGAGAATTCCCGCCCCTCAACCTTCGCACTTGCAGAAGCTCATCTCCGAGAACCTGATCGCGGTCTTCAGCAAGAGCTACTGCCCTTGTGAGTGCGCGCAGAAGAGCGCATGCGATGGTGAGGCCATCTACTGACTTTCTCTTCACGCCGCCGCCGCCGCCGCATCATAGACTGCCGCCAGGCCAAGCAGGTCATCTCTTCGCTCGGCCTCCCATCCAACAAGGTCGGCATCGTTGAGCTCGACCAGATGAACGACGGCTCTGACATTCAGGTGAGACGGCTGGCGCAGCGTAACATACCAGCAGGAGAACATCGCTGATCACAACCATTTCTCCCCCTCGCAGGCCTACGTGACCGACAAGACGGGCCAGCGCACCGTCCCCAACATCTTCATCAACGGCAAGCACCTCGGTGGCTGCTCTGACATCCTCGAGGCTGAGAAGTCCGGCGAGCTCAAGAAGCTCGTCGCTGCTTAGACGTTTTCTCTAATCGACTGTGCTCCTGGGTGCAATGAAATTGTGACAGTCCCCCATGTCGTGCCCGTTTGTAGTCTGTGTGCTCGCTCCCCTGCCTTCTCCACTCTCTCAAATCCTCCGACGCGCTTGCTACCTTGCCAACTCACCTCGCACTCACAACTACGCAAGACATGGCGGAGCCGCTCAAGGGCTCGGACGAGGACATGTCAAGCTACAAGACTCGGCTCGTATGCTCGCACATCCGCAATTGTCTCTCACAGCATCGCAGCGGCAAGAAGCCGCTCATTGTCGGCGTGCAAGGCCCGCAAGGAAGCGGCAAGACGACATTGACCACAGGCCTAGTGAAGAGTCTGGCACAGCAGTCAATCAAGGTCGCCGTCTTCTCCATAGACGATCTGTACTTGCCATTTGCGGGATTGGAGGAGGTGGCGCAGCGCAATGCGGGAAACGTGCTCCTCGCGGGCAGAGGCCAGCCTGGCACGCACGACGTCGAGCTTGGGTCGAAGATACTCAGGGAGCTCAGCGGGATCAACGACGGCTCTGGCTCGACTGTATCGCTGCCAATTTTCGACAAGAGCCAAAATGGAGGCAAAGGGGATCGGTCAGCGGACAGCGTACCGGTCTCTAGCCCGATAGACGTCGTCGTCTTCGAGGGGTGGTGTCTTGGCTTCGCCTCATTGCAGCCTAACGCCCTGCGTCAACGCTACAAGGCAGGCGCACAAGGAGATACCCGCTGCTACTTCTCCTCGCACGCCCTGAGCCACCTCGAGACGATCAACGCCAATCTCGCTCAGCTGGAGCGCGCCTGGTATCCATACCTGGACGCCTTTGTGCAGCTAGTGCCGCAGACGATCGAGACGGTCTTTGAATGGCGACTAGAGGCGGAGCATGCTATGAAGGCAAAGAATGGAGGCAAGGGCATGACGGACGAGGAAGTGCGAGGGTTTGTGGAACGATACATGCCGGGCTACGAACTTTTCGCTGAAGGAGTGACGCAGGAGGATGCGCCATGGAAAGGCAGGCTATTGAGGATTGGGTTGGACGAGAGGCGAGACGTTACTTTTGTGGAGTCATGAGCGAAGCATCAGACCAGGTGTCTTTTCTGATTGCAGCACGAGTAGGTTTGAGACTGCTCATCTGCTTCATATGCTCACTGAGCTGCTCCCTGCTTCTTCCTCATATCGGGCACAGTGTGCGCATACGTAGCCTTAGCAGGCGCGGCAGCCTCCATCCTCTCCACCCATTTTGCGACAAGAGGTGTCTTAGAGAGCAGCTTGGGGCCCTCGGGGATGCTCTTGAGATCAGCGAGGATGGGGTATACGTAGAGATCTGCCCAGCTGAGATCGTCGCCAACGAACCAGTCACCATGAGCGCCGTTGGCTTGCTGGTTCTCTTTGATGAAGCCTTCGAGGAGGTCGAGGACGAGTTGGCCACCCTCCATTGCCTCTTCGACTGCGACGCCGATTGTGGCCTCATCGGCCTTGTTCTGTTCGAGGCTCTGGCGAACCTTGATGATGCGGGCTTCGAGTGCCGTGAACACGCTGCGGCAGGCCACGAGGTGGTACATCAGCTTCTGCATTAGCTCGTGATGAGTGTTGTTCTCGCATGTGCTAGCGTACTCACGTCGTGCTGGCAATGCTGACGATTTGATCGACTGAAGCACGCAAAGCAGCCGTCTTGAGGAGGGCTTGTGGTTCGCGCGAGTCCAGGGCAGGGTTGAGTTCCGAGACTTTGTTGCCTTTGCCGTGTGCGATGGTGCTGAGAGCATCGTCGATGTATCGGCGAATGGCGTTACTCTCGTACAGAACGATCTGCGGGAGCGCGACGTGGGACTATTGATCAGCTTGTGGTGTGCGGGTAGTCATGGATCTGAGAGGGCCGCCTCACCGTCTGCTTGGGCGAGAAGAGAGGGTTTGGCCTGTGGACAAGGACTGGGACAAGGCCGAGCGGGTTGTGAGCCTTGATCTCAGAGGAATGAGGAGGGTGATGACGGAAGACGAATGGCAGCTGGAGGTGGTGAAGAGCCATGGTGATGGTACGAGTGAACGTCGAGAAAGGTGCGCCGTACTGAGAGGCGACGAGGACCAGGAAGGTAGCAGCGACGTGAGCGCACCAATCAGACTGCCCCACTTCCACTGCGATCGTCTACTCACCACCTCGAGCATACCAAGCTCCTCCGAGGAGCCGCGGACATCAGGAGTGGTCATGTTGGGTTGGACGAGAAGGGAGTGACAGGGTCCAGTAGAGTGGGAAGAAAGCGGAGATAGAGGCGAGGAACAATTTGGAGTGGCGATTCCCAGGAACACGCCCGTGCGCTCGATTCGACTCGACTCGCTGCTCCCGCCTCCACTCGTGGCGAGAACAGCCAAACAGAGGTCGTAGTGTCGGCATCGCGGCGAACATCGCAACTTCGGTCGACCTCACGCGACACTCAAGAATGCGCGTGGGGATGTCATGTCTCTTCTCACCTGACCATACCATGCTGGCGTCACCATCATCAACGTCACTGCCGTCTCATACCACAGGCCACTGCCATTGCGGCAAAACGCGATACCGCCTGCGCCTGACAGACATTGAATCTGACCTCGCCCTGAGCGGCTATTGTCACTGCAGTAAATGTCAACGCCTCAACGGAGCCCCCTTCGTTTGGACGACGCACTGGGAGGAAGGAGCAGTCGAGTGGCTTGAGCCAGAGCCAGACCGGACCGACTTTGACTCCCCCAATGGTTCGCTGATGCGAAGAGCGGCGGACGTGCTGACTGATGGAGATGCTCTAGTGATGCCGCTCAAGCCAGACCAGCCGACACTGCCAACTGCGAAGTTTGCGTCAACGATGACCATCTTTGAATCGATGGAGGGGCGAAAGTGGAAGCAGAGATGCTCGACGTGTGGGACGCCGATGGGTAGCTGGAATGAGGCTAAGAGAAGGTGAGTGGGCGGGATCAGAGATGAGACATCGCTCGTGCCATCAGAGTTGACCCAATTCTTTTTTTTTTGTCGCGTCCATGCAGATGGTCAATCTGGCCGTCATCACTAGCTCGATCGTATCAGCCTGAAGGTGACGGCGCCTCTTCACCCGAAGGCGCCATCCACCCGTCAATCCTCGCCGCCATCCGCGCCGATCATCACCAATTCTACGGCCCCTGGCGACTGATGAACATCAATGATGACCTACCAAAGTGGGATGGATACAAGGAGCAGAGCCAGCGAGTTCCGTAGCATCGTCGTCGTCGTGGTGCGGCTGATTTGAAATCGGACGCAGCGATAGCGGTGATGCAAGCGCGCTGCCGGGCCCGGCCTGCTGCACGCATGCGCTTCGACTGGCGGACAGGCCGGAGACCGGACCCCTTCGGCGATGCGTGTGCGTGGGGGACCAGTTGAGAGAGGCGGGGCCCGATTCAATAGACGTTTGATCCTCTCCATCCGAACGACACCATCCACTTAACGGCGCGCAATCTCACCCCGTGCTACCTCTACTGTTATCCTCACACACGCACCCTCATACACGCACATACCGCTTCCAAAATGGCAAAGGAAATTGAGGCTTCGGAGGTTGCGAACCACAAGTCGGGTGGGTATCGGACGAGATGTCGGGCAGTGGTGTTAACAGACATTGAGATCTGCAGTGGTGGTGGCAATCGGACGAGGGCATCATCGCATCGCTGCTGATGACAAGGCAGTAGCCACCACGCCGCTCGAGCTTCGTCATCGTCAGCGCCGCCATCGCCAGGCGGTGGACTTGTACGCCCAATTGCCACATAAGCAATGCTGACTTTGTTCCTCCTCATCGCCACCCTGGCCCCTATTCTTGTCTCAGACGAGTCAGCGTGGGTCATCGTTGACGGCTCAGTCTACGACGTGACCGAGTTCCTCGAGGAGCACCCCGGTGGCAAGAAGATCCTGCTGAAGGTGAGTCGCGCGCTTGCGATCGGCTCAATTCGCATCAATCAGCATCGCTCACCCACCTCTTCCCCCCTTCATTTCGCCACCAGAACTGTGGCAAGGACGCATCTGATGCATTCTGGAACTACCACTCGGAGAAGGTGCTCAAGAACGTTGCCGAGGAGTACAAGATCGGCGAGATCAAGGCGGGCTCCAAGCTCTAATCGTACTGGGCTGTCTCGGATCGTAGACACTGTATTTGCCCGTTGCCCGGCGTGTTGCCTCTAGCTGAATGTAATCGCGCGAACGCACACTGATCACCCTGGTGCACGACTTCTATTCGATGGTATGAGACCTGAGGCACGTCTATAGCCACATCTACAGCTGCAAACGGTTCCACGAGCTCCTGTCTATGCAATCCGGCTCTCTAAGAGTACGACTCTACTCCTTGCCATACCAGTCCAGGACGAAGTTGATGTTCGCCTTCACTTTCTCCGGCACATTCTGTGGCTGTGTCATAATGGCCATCTTCATGCTCCCCTCCAGTCCCGAGATCCCTCCGGGCTTGCCCTCCCTCGCCAACAGCAGTGGCTGCAGAACGTCGAACAGCCTGAGGCTCACCTCATTGCTTGCATCGACATTCTGCTTTAGCACCTTGAGCACCTCGGAGACATCCACTGGCCCGTGATGCTCCCTCCACGAGTCGTAGTCTGTGGAGGTAGCCACAGTCACGTAGCCAATCTCGGCTTCGCGTGCCAATTTGGCTTCGGGGAGGGCAGACATGTTGATGATGTCGCCGCCGAGCTGTCGGTATGCGAGGGATTCAGCTCGGGTTGAGAACTGTGGGCCTTCCATTACCACGAGGGTCTTGTTGCCATGCACTTGAACATCCGGGTAGTTGCGCGAAAGGACGGAGCGAATGCTGGGCGCCGGGGCATAGCGAGAGAGATGGAGAGTCAGCTATCCTGGTCTTTCCTTCAATTCTCCCCATCTTCGCCATGCTCACGTCTCCTCGACGACCTTGCGGACTTCTTGATCGTAAGGCTGCCCCATTCCCGCGTGAGCTACCACGCCCGCCTCGCCATCGTATCCAAAGAAGCTCGAGCGGCGAATCCCTTTGGTACGGTCAAAGAGCTGATCAGGGACGACAAAGTCTCGCGGACGGACCTCTTCCTTGAGCGATCCGACGGCCGTGAAGGCGACAATGAAGCGGACGCCAATGGACTTGAGGGCAGCAATGTTGGCGAGGTTGGGCACGCCGGAGGGGGTGATGTGGTGTGTGAAGCCGTGACGAGCCAGAAAGGCGATTGGCACGCCCGAGGGCGTTTCTGAGATCGTGATCGGAGACGACGGACTGCCCCAGGGCTTCTCGGAAGGAGAATGCGGGGGGTTTAGGGAGCAAGAAGGGGTGAGTCTGTGAGGCCGCGATTCGCCCGGGATCAAATGCAACGCACCGTCTTGACTTCGATCTGCTGGACCACCTTGAGGCCCTGCAGCTTGTACAAGCCAGAACCTCCAATGACGCCGATGATGGGCTTTGCTTGCAGGCCAGCTGTAGATGACATGGCTGATGGCTGAAGGGAATAAAGGGATCAGAGAATGGATGGAATGAAGACGTGCCTACGTGCGTGCGTGCGCTCTTCGTGCAGCTCTTCTCGCAGCTCGCAATCTTCCAAGACGAGCACAGGCCACCGTCCTGTCTCGGCGCCCCACGTGTTGGCTCCCACGCATCCGGGACTCGGCCGCACTCACACGATTAACCTCAATCTCCGGATGACCGAGCAGCGAGCAGCAACCAACTTGACACTTCCGTCCATCCTACCTTCTCACGCAGCTTCGTGCCTCGCCATCTTGATACCCAGTCCTCACTCTCATAACCGCTATGGCTCCGAAGCCACCAATGCCCCTGGGCGACGCCCACGTCCTCATCAAGGACATGCTCCTCGCCCTGTCCTCGCCCGACTCGCCAGGATTCAGCAGGCAGGCCATTAACTCGACGTGCAAGATGATCGAGGCGAAGCGGATCAATAATGAGGGGAAGGAGGCATCACAAGAGGAGGTAGAGAAACGGAAATTCTTGGGCAAGGCCGTCTTCAGGATGCAGTGCCAGGCGCAGATGGCAAATCAATTGGGGAGCATGCACGGAGGTTGTGTGGCTACGATTGTCGACAATCTGACGAGCGTCGCGGTGAGTGCACGGCGCGAGTGACAGCAAAGAGGGAAGATGACGCTGACTCCCTCTTCGCCTGGCTCCTGGTCGCACGCGCAGGTCTACCTACACCTCGCCGACCTCGAGCCGACGACCCCTTGGGCCTTCCTCGGCGTGACCCAGTCCCTGTCCGTCGTCTACCTCGCGGCAGTCCCCGTCGATTCATGGGTGGACATCGAGTGCAACGTGATCAGCTTGGGAAGCCGCATCGTCGTTGTCACATGCGATATGTATCTGTTGGAGTCGGAGGACGGCGGGCGCATCAGAAAGACGGCTAGCGGGACGCACACCAAAGTGGACAATTCTTTTGCCTCGAGGATGTAAGCGCGAGGCGCGATGGTGCATAGCAGCCACGAATAGATGCGTGACCGGAGATACTCTACTCTAGACTGCCTCGTAAATTAATGTCACTTTGTGGTCCTGCTGCCATTCGGCCTCTCTGGCTTGTTGAACCTTGAATGTCTCGCGCGGTCTTGACGGCGGCGCAGTCGGTTGTTTTCCCTCCTCGGCCTCATCACTTGCACTCTCGCTTTCTGCTTCGATTGCCGTCATCTTCTCGTGTAAGCGCGCAACGAAGGCCTGCTTCTGGTCCATGCTCCCTGCCTTCATCCCCTTTCTCGTCACGATGACAATCTCCACCTGACCCTTCTTGCCGCGCTTGTGAAAGTGCCTGCTAGCCGTCTTCACCTTGTGCTCGAGGTCATTCTCCGTCACCAACCACGTCAGCTGCAAATTCATCTTCTTGTTGCGCTCCTGCGACGTCTTTGAGCGCACGCGATTTTTGAGGTCTTTGGCCTTTTCGTAAGCTGCCTTTTTGTTAATGATCTTGCAGATGGGATAGCGACCTTCGCCGCCCTCTGCTACCTGAACGACGAAGGACTCCTTGCGATCGATGTCTCGGAGGAGCTTGCGAAGGTCAACTGGTTTCTCGGACAGGCCGCCCTCTGGCAGGACGAGGCTGATCATCCGCGAAGGGATGTCCTCGTCGCGGAGGTCGGCGGCATGATTGGACCGTGAGGATGAGAAGTGGCGGTGAGCGACTGCGAGGGGCGGGCAATGGGCAATGGAGCCGCGAAGCCGTGCGCAGCCCTGCGCCGGTAGCCGTGAAGTGGAAGCAATCGTTGAAGAGGGAGCCGACGATGCTGTCGCCCCGTTGAGGGCCCATGGAGCGGTGGGCCGTGCTGCCAAGACGGCTGCCCTCATGGTCGTTGCTGCTACGGCTACGGCGTTGGTTGACATCGTGGTGCGTCTTCGTCGTCGTCGTGGAGGAGATTGCGACGGAAAGAGAGCAATCCACCTCGTCCAGTCTCGTGGTCGTGTCGTGTCGGCTTGGCTTGGCTTTCGGGCCGAGCTGACGATCAGGAAAAGAGCCAGAGCAAAACGGACCCACGGCACTGACGGCAGCGTCGTCTTCCTCCCCGTCCGACGGGACTCGGTGAAGTCTAACTTCGCGCAGGAAGCGCCGCCCTCCTGCCGTGCGTCCTTGAGTGGGGCCATCGGAGTCGTGCAGCAGCCTTCCCCCCTCGCAGCGCTGGATCTGCCTGCCTCCACCGCTACCAATCCACGTCTCTCCGCCCTGTTGCGAGAATGCCGATCGAAGAAGTGAGGGCGGAGACGGCGTACGATGGGTCTTGTGAGCGAAAAAGATGTGCTGCAGAGCCAAGCAAGCGGCCCGAAGTGAAAGGTATAATACAAAGCAGCATGATCGCCCACATCTTTCTTTCTTCTCCCCATCTAGTATTTATCCAAAAGACTCTCACCACCCACGATGTCTCTCCCCACTCACTTTACTCTCAACAACGGCAAGAAGATCCCTTCAGTCGGCCTCGGTACGTGGCAGTCGCCACCTGGCCAGGTTCGCGATGCTGTTGAGGCTGCCATCCGCGCTGGCTACCGTCACATCGACTGTGCCTGGGGCTACCGTGAGTGACTGCACCGGCAAAATGGCTTGGTGTGTAGCGCTGACTGACCCCGTCCCCTCTCGCCTCGCCTCGCCTCGCCTCGCCTCGCCTGGCACAGAAAACGAACACGAGGTCGGAGAGGGCATCAAGGCCTCGGGCGTCCCTCGCGAGGAGATCTTTGTGACCTCGAAGCTCTTTGAATTCCACCACAACCCCGAGCACGTTCGCAAGGCCATCAACCACTCGCTCTCGCGCTTCGGTCTCGAGTACCTCGACCTCTACCTGATGCACTGGCCCGTAGCTCTCGAGCCCGAGGTCAAGGGTGACGACTTGCCCCTTGCGCCCAAGAAGAAGGCCAACGGTAAGCCTCAGGTCAACAAGGACCTCTCGGACAATGTCCTCCCCACCTGGCGCGAGATGGAGAAGCTCGTCGACGAGGGTCTCGTCAAGTCCATTGGTATCAGCAACTTCAACATCCGCCGCACTCGTGCTCTCCTCAAGGAGTGCCGCATCAAGCCCGTCACCGACCAGGTCGAGCTTTCCTTCACCTGCCCGCAGCCCGACCTCATCGCCTGGCTCAAGAAGAACGACATTGTGCCCCAGGCCTACTCGCCCTTGGGCTCCACGGGCGCCTCGCACGCCTCGCTCAAGGAGATCGACACCCTCGCCAAGAAGCACGGTGTCGAGGGCGCCAACATCCTCATCTCGTGGCAGGTCGCGCGTGGCTGCAATCCGCTGCCCAAGTCGGTCACCGCCTCCCGCATTGCCAACAATGCCAAGCTGGTCAACCTCACCAAGGAGGAGGTCGACGAGCTGGAGAAGGCCGCCCTCTCACAGCAAAAGAAGCGCGTCTGCGACCAGTCCGACGACTTTGACTATGACATCTTCGAGGAGAACCATCCGGAGAACAACGACGCCGCTCAGGCCAAGCTCGGTTGAGCGAGTGCGCGCACAGATGGTCGTGATGTAGGCGGTCTGGCGCACGGTGAAGGTGGATTTCATTCGCAACTCGTGTATCACGCAGGGCTCAACACTATTCGTTACGGCAGCTGATCGTGATCGTCATGCCAATTCCACTACCATGCTCGACTAATGCTGCGCTTGACCGACTGAGGGGCGCGACAATGATGTGCGTGCGAGTCCCGGACATCCCGCGCCTACGTGACGATGCACTTGGCTGGCGCAGCTGCGGTCAAGAGCAGGGGTTGTCAGCGATCATGCATGTGCGTGATTTGACCCTAACTCACGAGGCTTGAGACACCCTGAACCCCCAGCCGTGCATCCGGTGCTGCAGTCAGAAGACTGGCATACCTGCTTGACCGGTACGTACGCCTTGAACGAGACGCATGGACCTCCGGTGCCATGAGCTCCGGCCGCCGGGTTTCCCGTCACTAGATGGCAAGAGGTACAGTCGGTGTTGGGGCAGCAGGCACCTAGACCTGCTCCATGAGCGCCCGTGGCGATGAGAGCCGCGGACATGCAGAGCGCAGAGTTGAAGTGCATGGTGCGTCGAGAGGTCACTGCTTGCGCGAGGTGATGGACATGGAGAAGGAGGGCGCCTTTGGTGAGGTCAAGTACTCACATCGCTCACAGCTGCTCAAATAACGGCTCATAAGTGGGAAGAAGCCCACGCCGACTGTAATTGCGTACTGAACGACGGCAGGTATGGCGTCGATCGATACCACTGCTCTCGACCCATCTCGCGTCCCCGACGGCTCGCAAGCATCATCTGCTCAGTCGCCGATGCTTCGCACGCCGTCTTTAGGGAACACGGAGAAGCAGCAGCGGGCGTACGCATGCGCGCGAAAGTAGATGGAGAGCAACGGCTTGGCATTTTGGTGGGCACGTTATAGGTTCGAGATAGACAAATCGAGGAAGTGAGGAGCTGATCGTGCAGAATATCGAGCAGCACAAGAGGGGGACAGGACCAGGCGGATGGCATCGAGGAAGGATGTGTTCGACCGCAAGTGGCAACATCTTGCCCACCGATCACCGTACTGCTCTCTCTCTCGCGCGTCAGTGCTTGCCTCTGACGCCTAGTTGACAACGCACCTGACTGATGAGCATGCAGCCCTTGAAGAACCCTCCAGCAAGAACTTACCATCGGAGAGACAGGTCCCCGCTATGACGGTCAAGCACTGCTGACAGTTGTACTCAGCGCAAATTTTCTTGGGAAGCTGGACTGGCTTGTACGAAACGCAGACGCCGACTGGATTGGCACCCGTCGAGGCTCCATTGACTGGCGTGCACTTGGAACACTCGCCATCACTGCAGCATCCGCCTATGATCGACCCCCAGGAAAGCGGAGCGAAGAGGACGAGGAGCGCAAAGGTGCGAGCAAGCTTCATATTAGAGCGAATCGGCGAGTGCGGGCGTATTTCGCGGCTGTGCTGTGGGGTGTGTGGAAATGTAAGGAAGAGTGGGGTGTGTGGAGATGTAAGGAAGAGAGAAGCGACGTGCCCGCTACTTTTGTACCCTGAAGAGAGACTCGAGACAATCCATCGCGCCGTACGCCCTCAGCCCTGCTGAGCTCACCAATTCACGGCTCTTCTTGGACGGGCGCAAGGTGGTTCCGGTCGCCAACTACCAAGGGTGATGTCGAGGCAGCGCTTGTTCTCACGCCAAGGGCAGACGGCAGCGGCACAAGTGAGCAGTAGAGTTCAAGGTCACAGGGATCGCTTGACGGTGATGCTTCGCAGGCGAGTCGGGAAATCGACGGTAGCAAGGGATTTGGAAGCTGAAGGTGACAAATGGTACAAAAGGTAGTGTTGGAGCGGCTGCGCAGCGATTTTCAAGATGAGAGTGGGAGCAGCACAAGTCATGTCTTCGTGACGGAAAGGGATCAGACGTAGCAGACAACATGCAAAGGAGCCGCAGCTTTGTCAAGAGTCAAGTATTTCAGAAGACGCCGGATGTTTGCAGGCGTGGGAATAGCGGGGCTGAAGGACAGGAGAAGCGATCGAGGACGTTTCAAGTCACTTTGTGACGGTGAGTGCTCTACAAAGGGGATGAGAGTAATCCGCATGTCTCGATGCTCGCCTGTCGTGCTTGACGCTCCTGCCGATACCTTGCCTCTGCCTCTTGCGCCTAGTTGACGACGCATCGAATGGGAGTAGAGTCTACGCGGACAAGGTGCATGATGGTAGTGAGTATTTAATCGAGTCGTCCTTTTTATGGCGAACCTTACTGGGCAATCCCAGGCAGCCACCCCCGACGACGGTGGAGCACCGCTGGCAAGTATCGTCGCTGCGCGCTTTGCGGGCAGGTACTATAGTCTTGTAGTACGCGCAGCTACCCACACGGTTGTTGCCTGAGGAGGAGCCGCCAACACCGGTGCACTGTATGCACGAAGCATCCCGGCAGCATGCGCCGATGAGAACTCCAAGCACAGGACCATTCATGGGGAGGGAGAGGGTTACGAACGCGACGGCCGTGAAAGTACGAATGAGTTGCATGGTGACGTGGTTCGGGAGGTTCCTGAGAGGTTCTCGAGAGGTGCTGATTCTGGTTCTTGAGAAGTCCCAAACTCTTTATGCAGCGATAGCTTGTCGGGGTATGTGAGGAGGGAAGGAGAGAGAGATAAGCTTTCCTTATACCTCGAGCCCGCGTACCTTGGAAGTACGAGCAGGTACTCAGCAATGTTCCACTCAGTTGCCGCACCTCCTAACCCGGAGGTCCATGCCCGTGCCTGCGTGCACATTTCTGGCCGAGGAGGTGACCCTCGACAAGAAGTCATACCGGAAGGATCCAGAACAGTACCCTGGGAACCGCAATTGCTCTCCCACACTGCATCGGTCCACTCAGTTGCCGCAGCTTCAGTCTCGCGACCTCTGTATCCGAAGCTTGTAAGTACAATCCGGCCGACAAAGTGAGGGAAAGGAGACACAGATAGCGGTCGCCACGATCGAGCAGGCGCCATACGAGAAATGCCAGCTTTACGGCTCGCTTCGGAGAGTCTGCTCGCTGACATGAATGATTCCGACCAGCTGCGTTTGCTGGCAGCCATCGCAGCGATGGCGCAGCTGTGCGAAGAGTGATCCTCATCTAGCCGCCAACCTCGCTAAATAAGATGAGCGCTTGCGATCGCCCAGCCTTCTGACCCACTCACGGACACACCCAGCACGCCTGTGAGACGTCTCACCGTGGGAGCATCTTGGCGGGGCTTGCGGGCACAAGAGTTGTTCCGAGCAAAGTGAGTGTGCTGGTGTCGACGGCAGGACCCTATCAAGCAAAGATCTGCCAAGTCTCCTAATGCCTGAGCCTGTGTTGCTGCGACAATGGAGCATTGCATGTCTTGAGGGCGAGGGAAGGACTCATGAGCCGAGGGCGTGGGCCACTTGGAGCTTCGCGCCGCGCCGACTCTGTCCACCTGCACCCGGTTTTAGCGCACCTCCTTGAAGGTGACCCACTTGATCCTCTTTGACCGTCAGTCTCGTTCTTTGTGGGGCCCACCAGGTGGCAGAGCGATTTGTTTAGCGGCACTCACTGGCAGTGCGCGAGTTCTCAATGGGCCCTATTGCTGCAGCAATGAGGCTGCTATACTTTTGAGGGCAACAGGAGAGGAGTTGCCGAGCACAGAGCGGGAGAAGGTGGAATGCAGAATTGGTGAAGGCTTCGATTGCTGACCACTCCACTCACTCAGCACCCCACCTCCCATCTCCCTTCCTTACTTGCTTTTCACTTCGTCGTCAAGAGCCGCCGCTCCTGCGTTCATCTATCGGCGATCACAAGCTGCTCAGAGACATCCTTCCTGGCCTTCTCTCATTTGCTGCCACAAAGATTCTCGTACGTCGATCGTCATCGCACTTGACCCGTTACTTCGCACTGGGAAAGTGCAAGGTGAGGATTAGCGGCCCGCTTTCAAGACTGAGCTGCTGACTGACAGTATATCCCTTTCGCTTCCCTCCGCTATCAGGCACAGGCTTCGCCGAAATGGCGTAGATTGGCTCGCCTCGGGGGCATCAAATCACAAAACCGCCTCTCGTTGCCTTCGCTCCGCCTTCGAACTCCGTCACCGGCGGCTCCTCCTCGTCAACTTGCGTCTCAAGATCGAAGCCGATGGGCCCAGACAAGGAACATGAAAATATGTCGGCTCAAGGCGACGAGGGGAAGAGGGATGGGATACAATGAATGAATTTTCGAGGGAGTGCGACGCAGTAGCGGAGGAGCGGGCAAGCTCACTTGCCTTTCTTGCCCTCGGCGGCAAGGTAGGAGAGACTGAGCTTCTTCAACTCCTCAGGGATGTCCCGCGGGGCATCCGCCGTATTGTCGCTCTTAGGCCCCTTTGGCCCCGTCTTCTCTGTTCCTCGGATATGACGAGGACGTCAGCCTATCTGCGGGGCTGAGGAAGACGGGGATGGGGCCGAGCGAGTCGCTAGGGTGCAGGTGGCGCCCATCGAGGAAGAAGGCCTCTTCTTGCTGCTCACCGCCGTCCATGCGCCCGCCTTGGCTTGCTGCTGCTGCTACTGCCGTTGCCGTTGCTGCGCCGCCCATCAGCTTCTGCTGCGGGCTCAGCGCAGGCTCTTGCTGATGCTGTTGCTGCTGAGGCTGCTCCTATGACTGCTGCTGATGCTGCTGCTGCTGATGCTGAGGAGGCTGCTGATGAGAGGCGGCTGCTGAGCAGCGGCAGAGGAGGGGATGACGGGCGCCGTGATGGTGGGCTCAGGCTGTGCGACGGCTCCCGCGTAGTTCTCCGGATCTATGTAGCGCCTTGCGACGTCCGGACGAGCAGGAATCTTGCAGCCATACACCTCCTCCCAGCTGGACTCGAGCCCGCCGCGGATCGAGGCCAAGCGCTGCGTCTCGGCGCGGGACCTCGACAGAGCAACGCCGGCGTCCCAAAGCTCCTTAGCCGCGGCGTCCCTGCTTTTGCGAGGGGGCATTGTGGACAGGTGAAGGTCGATCTGGTCATGTCCACAATGCGGTGACTCGGGTCATGGTTTCGACCCAGCCGGGTGCCATGGGCATACTGGTCTTGATTCTCTTCTGGCGAACCTCCAACGCTGCCTAGAGCGATGATTCCGGGTACATCCTGTAGACCCGCCGTCTCCAGGCCGTGGACTTCAATGCGTTCCTTGTCGCGGATGTACTGTACTTGATTTGGTGTTCAGCTGCTTAGATGGTGTCGTGACTGACGTCTAGCAATTGAAACTGTCTGAGGCGTCGCAGAAAGACCGCATCCTCGTCCCGAGTCGCCATCTGAAGGTTGACGAGTGTCGAGCGTCGTTGACCAGCCAAGATGCCTTTCACGCCCCAGGCTTGAACGCTGGCATTGACTGAGCTTGGCGGACCCCCCATCGACTCGTCAGAGACACGACAGCCGCTCGCTGGGTCGAAGAAGAATGGCACGCCGTGCCATGTATGTGCCAGCAATGTCGGCGCGAGCTCGGGGCTCGTCTCCTCACTCAGGTCGAGCAGAGCGCCAGAGAGGGCATCTCGACGGCCGTAGATGTGCTCGTGCACGATCCAAGTCTTGATGACCCTCTTCCAGTCGTCAGCTCTGGTCTGTACGCCACCTTAACGGCCTCCGCAGCGCCAGACGAGCACCCCAAGATCGTCGATGATGACGTCGTCGCATTCCTCAAGCGACCGAATGTAGGCGCGGTAGCCGATCTCGGACAGCTGCTGCACCGATGCCGACTGCTCGAAGAACGCTGTTGGCATCTTGTCGTCATTGACGAGGCAGGGCTCTTTGGCTGGACCCAAGGTGGAGATTAGCGGCGCCTTGAAGCCTGCAAATTCGCGGGCGACCCTCTTCTCGTCCTTTCGCGACATGTTCTTGATGTAATTCAACTCGACGTCCATCGCATCGCTGAACGGTGTCTTGCCGCCAAGAGCGCTCGCTTGCAGGGCCTTGACCTTCAACGGGCGGCGAGTGCTGTAGGACCAAGACGATTGCTGATCGACGGCTGTGGCGAGTGCTGGCCGCATGACGTCAGGAGGGGGCTGAGGCTGGCGTTGATCTGCTTCGGGTCCAGATCCGGCTCTGCGTCGACAAGCGCGGTGGCGGCAGCGGCGATCAGGCACTCATCTTTCGTCAGCTCGGCAGTCGCTCCCGATCGGTACTTCTTGTCGGCCTCCTTGACGCCGTAATCAGCGACGAGAGGCGATCTGTGAGAGGACGAGTCGTCGCATCGTCGAGGGCGTGAAGGGACATTTGGACCTTGATGGCGATGGTCACGAAGCCGAGTCCAGAGGCCTTTGACATCTGCAGCCAGTTTGGGAGCCGCCTGCATGCATCGAAGAGATGACCGATGGGCTTGCCAGTCCTGAGGTCGTACTGTTGCCAAAGGTCGATCGATGCCTTGAAGATGCTGCGACTAGCCAGTGCTTCAACGCCGAAGGGTACCGTGCGAGGCGTAGGCGACGACTGTTGAAGGTCGAGGTGTTCGCCCAGCGGGCAGACTTCGCACAGCATTGCCGTCTGCTCAGCTGAAGTCGCATTCGAGCGCAGAATGGTCTCGATGGTCTCGTAGTCCCACTCGCCTGGAAGGACGGCGCGGTACATGGACGACTTGAGCTCTCCAAGGCGCTCCATGACCTTGATCGCTTCGCCCTTTGTCATGCGAGCTGTGTCGTATGCCGCCATTTTCTCCGCGCTCCTCATTCGCCAAGTGCTGCTGATCGAGCTCTTGAAGGACTGCAGGCGAACCCATACGACGTGAGCTGCGCAGTGCTTGCCGAACATGTCGGCGCACTGGATGAGCTTGTCTCGCAGATGGACGTGTTGCGAATTGGGAAAGTGGCAAGTGTGAGAGCCTGCGATGGTCAGGTAAGCGGCGTCAGCTCGGGCTGGGAAGCTCACTCCGCGACTGCTCTGCTCACCTTCCGTGCACCCTTCGATACATGGCATTATCTCTCGACGCTTCGCCTCGGCATTCAGTTGACGGCCACCGCCAAGCGCGGCAACGCCCAACTCCTCGCATTCTGCGTCGATGACCTGAGGGGAGAGGCAGCAGGCGTGAGCGTACGTTCGTCTCGTTGACCGCGGCTCGGCTGGCAACGCACATCCCAACGCCAACGCTCGTAGATTGCCTCGGCGGTCTCTCTGAGGGCGGCGAATGGGCGGACCTGTAGGCAGCGTCAATGCGTCAATGTGGAGAAGAGAAGCGCCCAAAGGTGTGGATGAAGACGGCACTCACAAAGGCGTCTCGAATTGCGCGAACCATTTCATCGCCAAAGCGCTGGACGTCTCCCGCTTCTCTGGCTTCGTTCAGTCCAAACATGACAGCCTTGTTGTTGAAGGCGGGACAGACGAGTAAGTCGCCGCTCTTTGCGATTGGTCGGACCCAGAATCGGACGACTGGAGCCCCTCGATCGTCCGCGAGCCTACCGAGCTTCCTCCGGATGGCGGCGTGTGAGAGTCCCATCTTCGCCAGATCAAGGGCGTAACGGAAGAAGGCAACTACGTCGGTGTTGAGGATGCGCGCTGCGAGCTCACTGTTGCTCTTGTGAACAGTCTTCACGCCGCAGCTTATGCCCGCCGAGCTTTTGTTGTGCTCGGTGCCATTCGCAAAACGTACTTTGCTGCTGGTGGGCGGAATCTGGCTGAGCGTCGCAGTTGCGAGCGAGAAAGAGATGGCTGGAAGATTTGCCTTCTCTCTGTCTTGCTCGACAAACTTGAACAGGACGAGGCTCGCGTCGCGCTTCATCTCTTTTGCGAGCTCGAGCTGTTCTGCAGGAATGCCATTCCGGTCGAACGGTTGGACGTCATTCCAGAAGGTCGGCGTGTTGCCATGCACGAAGTTGAACATAATTCGTACGTCGTCGAGATGCTGCATTACGGCGTACTCGCTCTTGGCATCCGGGCACTTGGGCGCAGGCGGTCTCTTGGAGAAGTCGCTGTGCTGGCTGTTCCGCGTACCGCACCGCGCAAGCCAAGTCGCCGTGACGCTTCGCTCTACAATCAACAAGGAGAGAGGCGAGTCAGCGTATAGCTCATCGCTCTACCTGCCCCTCCCTACACGTACCTTACGCTGAGCACCCCCGTCGTTTGCTGGCCTGGTTTATGGCTGACAATTCCAAGTGCTTTCCTTGAAGCGGTCGAGGAGAGGGACGGCTTTGGCCTGGCGAGATGGAGAGGCACGGTGCTGTAGCTTGGAGGAGCTTTTGCTCAGACCCATAGGGCATCCTTGCGTGCGGGCTTGTGATGGCTCGTATGGCGGGCGTGCGTTGAGTTTTAGCTTTTCTTGCCACGCCACTTGCTGAGCCTGGGGGCGGGCAAAGGGTCTGTGAGCACGATGAGTGCCATCAAGAGCCGCCTTCGACTGCTCACCTTTGCCTTCTGTATAATCTCAGAAGTATTCAGGGGAAGCAGAACGTCGTGCTCGCCCCTCAGTGGTATACATAGAACTCAGCGTAGCCCATAGGTATGAGTGTCCGGCAGCCGTGACATGATGACGCTAGGCGTGTATACACTTCCTCGCGGCCATCACCAAGGTCTGGGTGGACAGAAGAAGATGCCGAGCGTAACACTGACCGCTGCGCGCCGGCTGCATCGTCGCCGCATAGCTGGTCTCGTCTTGTCCTGAGTGTATGGGCGCTTCTTGACGGTGACTGAGCACGCTGAGCATGCTGGGCCATCCGTTCACGCCAAGCCTGCTGCCAGGCTCCGCCAGTCACACATCCCTCGAGGGTAAGTGAAGCTGATGAAGCTATGGTGCCGGCAAGTTTGGATTACGATGAGTGGTGATGAGGTCGCGGTGATGGTGCGGAAGAGATTGCTCGTGCACGGCGTGATTGTTTTGGAGGCGGGACGGGAGCCCGGGTCGACTCGGTCCGTCGCGAAGGCAACCAGCAAGAACAAAGCACGAAGCGACCCCTCGACGATCGCGAGCCAATTCGGGTGGCCCCTGCGCCGCGCCTCGTTTGTCGCTCACGCGGCGTGTTGGGATCCCCTTCCTTCCTGCGCACTCGCACAAGCCTCGCTCCCTTTGCTCCGCAATATCTCGATGCTGAACGGCATACCGCGGCCCAGCCGATGGCAGCGACACCGCCTAGCCATTTTGAGAGTTTGCGAGTAGCCGCCCGAGCTGATGGAGGGTGATGATCCGGCTGTGCGGGCCCGTAGTGCGGCAATAGCGAGCCCAACCCCGTGCCCGCGGTTTGCAAGTGGCAATGGTAGGCTGACCTTGCGCAGTCACTTCTCGAGGCGCGAGCGATCTGTCGCACCACTCAATGTAGGGCAAGACCCACACTACTTGCTTGCCTCGGGCCATGCTAGCAACCGGCCGCCATGATCACCCGATGCTCGAGGTGGTGCTCAGGAATGCGCCCGCTGCCAGGCTAGCGGCGTACTTGAACCCTCAAGGACCTGCTCTACACACTCTATTCTAGCTTTTCCGTCGCGTTTGTCCCCCACTGCCCCCTTCCTCGCCCCACAAACACAACAAAGATTCCTGACCAGATATCAAATCCGACCTTTCAACACCATGCGTGCTGCTGCCCCCTTCACCACTATGCTAGCCTTCCTCGCGGTTGGCTCCTACCTACCTCTATTCGTCGCATGCAATGACTTGCAGAAGCCCGACATTGTCCAACATCGCAACACCGACACTCACGGCGCTCATTCTCGAGCGGTCAAGGTCGAGATCGGCCGTTGCCATAGTAAGCCTGGCTGCACCAATTACGCCAAGGGCGTCGCAGGCATCACCTCAGGCAACAATGACGTAGGCTCCTGCGTCAGCTACTCGACTGATTACGGAGGTATCAAAGTGTGCGCTCAGAAGGGATGCTCTCAAGGGTGCAAAACCGTCAATTTCAAGGCTGAAGACTGCCTCAGCTTGCGTAAGTCCTGGTCGCGTACAGCTGTGGGGGCAAGGCTGACCGTGGCCTCCATCTGCACTCTACAGCGGGCACCGACACGGTGCAATGCGTTGTGCTTGGCAGCGGCTCGATCAATGTCGATGAGAAGATCGACCTGATCGGTCGCCAGTCCCCTCAAGTCGGTGTCCACCATGATCAAGCTAAGAAACGTACCTTCGCGTCAGGCGCAACGCTCGACACCACCATCGACGCCCGTGTTTCTCGTTTTGCGCACGCCGTCATGACACCCAAGGTACGCACAGCTCAGCTCGGCCGTGAGCAGGCCGAGGTCCGCGCTTCACAAGTCAAGATGGGATCCTGCTGGCAGGATTACCGTTGCGACGGCAACGGCACCGCTAGCAACGGCACGGACCTTTCGGGCGCGGCAAGCGGCAACAATGATATTGGCTACTGCGTCGGCTTCAAAGCTGGTTTCGCGGGCAAACGACTGTGCACAAACTCAGGATGTACCGGTACTTGCGTCGATCGCAAGTTCAACGCGGGAGATTGTGTACATTTCTGTGAGCACGAGGGGGCGTCAGGGAAAGTGTAGTACTGACCAGACTTGCGCTACAGCATCGGGCGCGGGTATCGGTTGCGTCGTCCTGGGAAGCTCGAGCTCTCGACGATCTCAAGACGACCTCGAAGGGAAGGTCGAAACGGGGCGCAGTGTCCAGACTCCCGAACCGCAGCAGAGGGCTGCCGGCGAGGGAAGTAAACGAGCCTTTCCCGTAGCCGCACGCACAATTGAAGGTCTTGGACCCCCAGACAACAACGGCGGCGATGCTGCACCTCATCAAAACCACTCTCTAGTTCAGGATGTTACGTTAGGAGAATGTCACGAGTCGTACCACTGCAACGGTAACCACTCGTCCGTCACGGGTCCGCCCAACGGGGGCAAGAATGTAGGACCTTGCAAGAGCTTCGCACCAGCCATTGTAGGTCAGGAGTGGTGTGATACCGCAGGTTGTACTGGAAAGTGCACATTTGGCAATTTCAGTCGTGGTAATTGCCTTGGCTTCGGTGAGGAGACGTGAGCTGGTGTACATCCTCATGAAGGACGCGCTAACCGCCTTCCGTCGCGTCGCGCCTTCGCCTGCAGACAACCTAGCCAGTGTCGCTTGCGTCGTCTTCGGTCGCCCCGGCTCTCCACTCATCCGTCGCACTATCGACCTCAGTGGAGCTCTCGAGGCCAGAGACAGCGATCAGACCGCTACCACCGAGCTAAAGGAGGGTAGAGCTATCCGTGACGCCGACGCTGGGCCCGTCACGAGCGGCGCGGCTCTTTCCGAACAGCGGAGCCTCAGCCACGACACTGCCGAGTCCACCCAAGACTCCCTCAAGCTCGAGTAGGTCTGCCTGTGGGAGCCTTCATTATGTTCCAAGCCCAAGCTTCGTATCAAGAACTCTCTATTTTCCAATCACTCTTTCCTCCATACTCGACGTGAAATTCACACTGCTTGTCATCAACCCTCGCCTTGCGGAGCTGTGCATCCCATCTGCTGCACTTTTCCTCGCTTCCCACATCCAGAGCCATGTCAACGTTGCCGCTAGCCGGTCCCTCAAATCAGCTCGTACCCGCTTCTGCCAGCAGTATCGAATGCCTCGCTTGCTGCCTCGCTACTCACACCTGCGTGTTTCTTTTTCGATAAACTTCATTTCATTATCATCCCCAGCCTACACCCCTCAACAGACGAAATTTAGAGCGGCGTGCCTTGTGATTGTGCTGCGCTCGATATCGGGCGACATGCGTGTAAGATGGGTGGATGGAGATGGTTGTGGTATCAAAGAAGGAGAGTGGAAAGGAGAGTGTTGGAAGCAGAAGAGGAGTCGACGGGCCAGTGAGGGGGAGGAGGCCCTCCTGGTCAGAAAGACAGCTGCCGTGCAGTTGCGAATAGGAGGTGTATTGACAGGAAAGGGAGAGGGGAGCGGTGGCGGTGGCGGTGGCGGGAGCGGTGGCGGTGAAAGGAGGGCCAATTCCCTCTCATGCCGCAAGCCCGCCTGGCACAGCGGCAATTTCCTTCTCCGCCGACGGTGTCAACACCTTTGGCGCTGTCTCATTTGAGTTCAAGGCCTCCTTTGACTCTGCACCGTCCATTGCGGAGGCTGTTGCAGGGGTCGTGGCTGCCGTCGCTTGCGCCTCTGCCTGTTGCTGAGTCGAGGGAGTTGCTGCCGTGCCGTGCCCCAATTCTGACTGCTGTCTCGACTCCTGTGGCGTAGCGAAGGCTCCAGCCGTGTCGCTCGACTCTCGCACGGCGGCCGAAGGAGCTGGCTGCGCTGCTGCTGGCGCTGTGGGCTCAGGTGGATCAACGTTGTTCATTTGAGCAGGAAGGACAGCTGCGACTGGAGGCGCTGCGATAGGCGCTGCGGCCTGCGCTGGGGTCGCATCCTCCGTCTTGGTCGCTGAAGGGAGCACAGCCGCAACGCCATTGCGCCCGTTGCTCATCGACGACCTCGGTGGTGCTGGCTTGCGGGATTGGCTGTTGCTCTTGGTCACGGTGGCGTGCGCTTGATTCTCTGTAGCTTGCACGGCCTTTGCGCTTGCGGTCGGAGCAGTAGAAGCTGACCTGCTCGTGGCAGCCGTGGTAGAAGATGAAGTGGCGGCTGCAGTCGCTTGATCAGCCCAGCGATCCCCCTCAGATGCCTCGAAGCCGCCGAGCAGCTTCTCCTTGCGTTTGTGCGACTCGTCGAGGTCCTGGCAGAGTGCGGAGAGGGAGAGTGATCAGCTTACAGGGAGCATCGAGGCTGCATTTCTCTCTCTCACCCACCTTGATGCTGTGCAGCGTACCAGCTTCGGGCAGGTTGGAGGAGAATTGAATGTCGTCTGGCTTGGAGACTTGCTTTACCTCGACGTCCTCCTTGGGATCTGTGACAAAAGTGGGGACCCATTGCCGGCGGCTGCGCGAGAGAAGCAGAGAATATGTCAGCCCACCTGCCTTATCTTCTGCTTCTTGGCTTCCTGCTCACGCCTTGAGGAAGTTCTGCAAGTCGTCCCCCGTCTGCGGGGGCTTGCTGATCGATCCTCCCGATGTCAAGTCCAGCTCTCCCCACGCCAACCCTTTGCCTGCAAAGAGGTCAGATGGACGACCACCGGAAGGCGGCCCTGCTGAGCCAGTCGAGAGCGCAGAGGGCGAAGTCTGCTTTGCTAGCGGTGCTGCGTCTGCCATGCTGGGCAGAGCTGGAGGAGAGGTGGGTGCATCGAGGACTGGCGGTCGAGGCCCCTCGGATGTCGACTGCTTCCTTCTCGAGGTGCTCCCAGACGAGAAGAACTTGCTTCTGCTAGCCTTGAGAGAGCCTGGACGTTGAAGTGCTGCATTGTCATTGGCATACGACGATGCCTGTCGCTTGGCAGTTGGCGGTGCGTTGGAGCCAAATTCGCTCGTCGTCATCGTCGGCTGGGCGGCATCAACTTCAGACGTCGACGACTTCCTCGCCTTGGATCGCAGACTCTTGAAGAAGGCCATGGCTGCGACGACTGAAGCGGAAGAGTGAGAATAGGCTGGGTGGGTTTAGAGATGGAGAGAGCAAGTGGATTGTGGGCTGCTCGCGAGTGTTGCCCTCTCCGCTTTGCCAGCCAGCCAAGCCCAGTCTGAGCGGGCGGCCGGGACGGCGGCCGACGACGACGACGAAGCAAGAATAGAGCGCCGCTGGGGCCATCTGCACGCACGTCCGGTCAACGTTCCAGCGATGGCCAAGAATCAGGGCCGCTTGCAACTCGTTTCGACGGGGCAAGACGAGGTCAGAATGAGCTTCGCAAATAAAGGCAGGACCCCAACATCCGATTACAACACGCCACGCCCCTTTGTGCGACTCACTGCGAGCAGCATCGCGATCCCTGCCTCCTCTCATTGAATCGCAGGACGTCGCTGCCCGCCCCGCCGCCGCCATTCCACTCCCGCGGCTTCCTTCGCTCCATTGACGCTCGCCTGACTCCGTCGGACGCCGCCCGCCACTCGGCTTTCGCCCCTTCCGACCTCAACCCCGCTCTCCTCATTCACGCACGCATTGAGCCTCAAACACGACAATGGCCGGACACGCACGCTTGACCACCTTTCCATCGCTCCTTACTCGTACCACGCAGCCCTCGTTGCTTTCGTCTTCGTCTCACCTCGTATCTCGAGGGCGCCTCGTCATGGCCACTGCTTCTTCTTCCTCTTCGGCCTCCGGCTCACGGAATCAGTCCTCTTACCAAAAGGTCTTGCAAACCAACACCATCAATCCCCATGTCCTCAACGTCGAGTACGCCGTGCGCGGCGCTCTGTCCAACAAGGTGAGTACGCACGAACTACTCGACAAGCAGTGCCGCATCTGACGACTGCCTCATCTCTCTCCCCCATTGCGCCCCCACAGGCCGATGAATTCGCCGATATCCTCGCCCACGGCAAGGCCAAGGAGCAGGGCCTCCCCTTTGACTCGATCATCTCGGCGAACATCGGCAACCCGCAGCAACAGCCCTTCCTCGCTCAGAAGCCTCTCACCTTTTGGCGCCAGGTGGCTGCTCTCACTGAGCTCCCTTCGCTTATGCAAGACGAGGTGGTGCGCTCTCACTTCCCTCGCGATGCAGTAGAGCGAGCTCAGCAGATCCTCGACGATGTAGGCTCAGTCGGGGCGTACTCACATTCCAAGGGCGCCGCAATCGTGCGCAAGCATATCAAGGAGTACATTGAGGAGCGCGATGGCGGCCACCACTCAGACGCCGAGCACATCTACCTCACGGCGGGTGCCTCGGGAGGCGTAGGGCAGGTCATGTCCGTCCTCATCTCTGGACCCAAAGACGGCGTAATGATCCCGATCCCGCAGTACCCACTCTACTCTGCCACTTTATCGCTCTACGACGCCACACCCGTTCCGTACCACCTCGACGCAGAAAAGGACTGGGCGGTAGATGTCGAAGGCATGGCTCGCGCAGTAGACGAGGCTCGCAGCAATGGGACAGACGTACGATCGTGCGTCATCATCAATCCTGGTAACCCAACTGGTTCCACCTTGACACTTGAGAATATCCAAGGCATCATTCGCCTCGCTCACGAGAAGCGACTCGTCCTCCTCGCGGACGAAGTCTACCAGGCCAACATCTTCCAACCAAAGGAACGTCCCTTCCATTCGTTCAAAAAGGTCCTCAAGGACTTCTCCAAGAGCTCTGATCCCGCCGAGCGCGCCATTGCCGACGACGTCGAGCTGGTCAGCTTTCACTCCATCTCCAAGGGCGTGAGCGGCGAGTGCGGCAGGCGCGGCGGCTACTTCGAGCTGTGCAACATTGACCCGGATGTGGAGGCGCAAATCTACAAGATGGCCAGCGTCAACCTTTGCGCCTCACTGCAGGGACAAGTCGGCGTGGACCTCCTCGTGAAGCCGCCAAAGGAAGGCGACGAGTCCTACCCACTGTACCGCGACGAGGTGCAGGCGATTTACGACACGCTCAAGTCGCGCTCGGAGAAGATGCGAGATGCCTTTGCCAATCTGCCCGGCGTCAGCTGTGGTGAGGCTCAGGGGGCGCTCTACCTCTTTCCGGAGGTGTCTGACCTGCCGCAAAAGGCGCTCAAGGACGCGGAGAAGAAAGGGCAGAAGATCGATCTCTGGTACTGCTTCCAGCTCCTCGAGGCGACGGGCATCTGCTGTGTCCCTGGTTCTGGGTTTGGCAAGCAGCCCAACGACAAGACTGGATCGTTCTGGTTCAGGACGACGATCTTGGCAAAGGAAACGGATGAGTTTGTGGAGAGGTTCGGACGCTTCCACCGAGAGTTGCTGGACAAGTGGGCGTAATGCGGGGGAGAGTAAAAGATGGACCCAGTGAGCGTCTGCTCCAACATCATCTGTACCTAGCTTAGAACACAATCGTCATCTAATCAGCGGAGCGCGCGAGGGTCAATGCAAGAATGAGCTGCTATTGTCGGGGTGATGGTATTTGTAGAAGCGGATTGATGAGGGCAAGGAGCGCGGACGCGCAAGTCAGGGGCCGACGACCAGCGTCCATCCCTTTCCTTCACGCATCACGCCCAGTCCTTTGCAATCTTGAAAGCCCACGTCCAGTCGGCATAGACGGTACCGTCGTCGTCGATGACCCTGAGAGGCAAGGAGAAATGATCAGAGCCGGCGTCATTGGTGCGAAGTCGTTTCGCGGACTCACCTGCTCCTGACGACGTTGGTTCCACCTCGTGCCAGCATACCGCTGGGCGCCTCTTCTTGAGCGAAGCGCTTCTCGTAGGGCTCAGCGCGAGGGCCGTAGCTACCAATCATCTCTTCGAGCTTGTCCACTGCCAAGCCAATAGAGAGGAACAGCGTCAGTTGGGGTGCCGTGGAATGACTGCGAGACCGCAGCATGGATGTGCTCACCCGTGATGCCTGCTCGCTTGACTACGTGAAGGTACTTAAGTCCTGACAGGACCTCTGAGCCGACGCTGTGTGCGGAGAAAGAAGGAGGCGATATTAGCAACCAGCCTGTTTTGGGCGCTCGGCCGCTTGCAACTCACGTAAAGGAGATCGACACCTGGTAGTCGACGCCCTCCTTGACGGTGAGTGGGTTCTTCTTGAGAGCCTCGAGCTGCTCTTTACCCTGTTCGAGGTTGATCGATACGCGTCCACCCGGTGCTGACGCAGAGACGAGCGAAAGAGAGTGCAAGGCGAGCTGCGTGCGACAGCGAGGGGTTAGCGCCGCGCATCGCTGGCTTCTTTCAATGTTGCACACTCACCTTTGGCTTCGACGGGTCTCCCGCCCCTCCTTCACCAGCTCCAATGCCAAGCGACGCTTTCCAGCGAGCCAGGCTCTCGTCATTGGCGTCGAGCTGCGCATACTCCTCGACCGTCTTCTTCTCGCCAACCTTGTAGCCTTCAGTCTGCGTTGGGCGGAGCTCTTCGTCGCCGACGGAGGGGTCTTGCTGGTGAGATGACATGGCGGCGTGAGTCGAGTGGCAGAGAGCAGAGGTCTAAAGTAATTGTCGTAGTAGTGGTGGTGGACCTCGACGAGATCAGGGGTTGATAGGGAGCAAGACAAGGAACACAAGCACAGCCAGCGCAATCGCAGTCGCGGTCGCGGACTCCACTCTCTCTGTCCAAAGTCGAGACCAACCAACAGAGCGGGCGGAGAACCGGCGGGCGGGCTGGCGCGGCGTCAAAGGCGTCAGACGCGGCGCAGGCGGGGCAGCCTTCAATTCGCCTTGGTCAACCATCACTTCATCGCTTCTCGTACGAACGCCGAGCCATTGACAGAGATGCATTCAATGCGTGCCGATTCTCACGGCCGCCTACATGTTCTTCAGAGGGTCGTGGCCCCAGTTCCTCAGGCTCCTCACACTCTTGGTGTTCTCCAGCTCCTCCTTGCTCTTTGTCTCCTTCATCTTCTCCTCCTGAGCCAGGTGCCTCTTGTTGTACGAGACGACCTTTCGCATGTGCTGAATGTCCTCTTCCGTGTACTTGTCTGCCTCCTTCTTCGGGTTACGCTTCAGAATGTCGACAATCTTGCGGCCAGAGTCGTGCCCAACTGTCTCGCCGGACTCGCCGCCCCAGCCTGCCGACTCGGACGACTCCGTCTTGAGCCACTTCTCCAGCTCGGAGGCCGACATGTTGACGAGCTCGTTGAACTCTTCGATCTGTGGATGCAGAAGCGAGGAGGCGAGATGGTCAGGAGGAGGCCGTACACGCGGGGCTGCCTCACGCCGCGCGTACTTACAACTTCGTTGTCTGGCTTGACCATGTTGGATCGCTTGCGTACGGTGACGTGGAAAGGTGTAGCAGAAAGAGGTACTGACTGGTGTAGCTGACTTGTTAAGAAGGGACTCGTGGATGGAAGGCAAGCTCTCAGGGATGATACTCTATATACGGCTAGTCGTCTGACCGCCCGCGAGATCATGGCTGCTGCAGGGTCTTGTCGACGCTGAACCCTGGGCCTGTCATAACACTCCTTTGCCCGCCCCACCTAACGTAAGCTCGACCATCTGAATGCGTCGACGTCGAGCGATGCGGTGGATCCACTGGACGATGCATGATGGTGGCTCGTGCGGGGCGGACAGCGACGTCATTCGAGGTGGAGTTCGACTCAGCTTCCGTTCCGGTGGCAGGCTCCTTCCCCATAATCACCCCCCTCCGCCTTCCTTAGGTGGCCGCTGCTCGTCTCGTGCACTCTTGACTTTCATCGAGAGGGAGTCAGGCGGGGCCGTGGCGCCCATCAATTTGCCCTGTCAAACGCCTTCCAATGCCATTGACTCGTCGTCGTGACCCTGGGACATCGCTGCCTGGCCGAGCTGCTGTGCGTGGGCGCCCCGGCGGCTGCCGCGCAACGCGCTCCCGTTGTCGTCGCCGCCCGTCGCGACCCTTATTTTCTTCGCGTCATCCCTAACCATCCCTCACCGCAGCCAATCGACTGCGGGAGGTCACCCTCACTGCGGCAGCCTACCAGGTCTCATGTTAGCATAAGGTAAGTAGCGCATAGAGTGCACAAGAACAAGCACAGCAACGACACGACATCGCAACGCGTCCCGTCGTCGGGGTGTTGTGGGGGCGAGGCCATCACAGAGGCGCCGAGTACGGCATCACCATCGACCGCCACGGTGTCACGCCCCAGGGCCCTTTGTAGCTGCCATCCACTACTTCTCATCGTTCTTTCAGACTGATTATTGATTCCATACCCTCAGACGCACGCTCGTCCGCCATCGAGCTGCGCCTGTAGCCCGCATCAACGCGCTCAGCGCCATCAGCGGCCATCCGCCGATCGAGCAGTCCGCACCGCCCCTCTTTAACCATCTTTCGACTTCATCAAAGTCCCCTCAAGAAGCCATCATTGCGACGCCCACTCACCATCAGCATCAGCCTTAGGCTGCCCCGCGCCCGCTGTCCATCATGAGCGCTGGGGATGACCCGCCATCAGCAGACGCCCTAGCTCCGCCTGCTCCCACCTCAGCCAGTACGTCGACGGCCCAAGATGAAAGCGCAGCAGAATCGACCACGAGCGACGTCGAAATGCAGAACGCCGACGACAATGCCGATGAGGCTGAGGGTGCCGGCTTCGACTACGGCGAAAGCAGCCTCGAAGCCATCGCCGCAGCCCAGATCGCCGCAGGCCTCGGCGATTTCAACTTCTCAGCAGAGGCCGAAGCGGAAGCAGAGGGAGCCAAGAGCCCTTCTGACGAGGGCGAGTCAGCTCAGCGCGGCACAAAGCGACCCCACAGCGCACTAGACGCAGGGAGTACTGCGGTGACGTCAATCACGCCAGCCTCCCAATCAGCCCCCTCGACATCTCAGGGCATCTCAGCTGCCTCTGGCTCCTCGTCCGCAGCCACCGCATCTCCCGCCGCCAGCCTTCAAAAGGTCGTCTCGCAATATGACCTCAAGCCCACGACGACCGAGAATGCCTTTCAACGCTATGCCCCGGCAGCGGCCTCGCCATCGTCTTCACCCGCGCCTCCGGCAGTCAGACCACCTTCTGCGCCCACCACGACTCTCGCAGCACCGCCACGACCACCGCTTTCTGGTGCTCGCCCACTCTCCGTAGCACCTCCCATGCCAGCACGACCTTCGGCGCTATCCCTCTTCTCCTCGACGCCGCGACCATCGTCTCTCCCCGCACCACGACCGGGAGGCGCTGGCTCGAGTGGCATCACTACTTTGCCAGGCCCACCTTCCTCCCGCCCAGCTATGCCTCGCCCTATGCCCAGGCCTACTCCCCTCTCTTCACGTCCTCCGGCACCGCCGCGACCAGGCATGCCTGCGCCACCTCGACCGGGCTTCCCGCCTCGCCCTCGCCCAGGGGTACCAGCTCTACCGGCGGCCGCCCTCTTCTCAGCCACTCCTCCTCAGGGCACGCCCAGCTTCGCTTCTCTGCTCAGCTCCCTTGGTCCCCAAGACCTGGCCATGGTCGCCCATGCTGCAATGGGGCTCGACGCAAACGGCGATCCGCTGCCAGGCAACGAGGTATCGCACAGAGCTCTCGCAGACGCCATGAAGCGTCTCCGCGAGTCGACGTCCGTCAGACCTCCCCCGCCGCAGAGCGGTGGAGCGCGCCCACCCATGCCGCCTCCGCGACCCAGGCCTCCCCCGCCTCCAGCCCCGTCAACGAGTCAACTTCCCTCTGGACCACCCCGCCCAGCCAGTTACTCCCCTCCCGTGCGCCGGCCAATGCCACGACCCTACCGACCCGTCCGGCCATACGACCCCAGCGTACCCGTTGACGCTCTTCCTCTCAACCAAGGCAACCCCCTGGAAGAGAAGCGCCCCCTCATCGCCGGTCCACGCTCAGACCGTGCCCCACCCAAGCCAGGTCCTCCACCCGAGAAGCGCTTCCAGTGCCCCAAGTGCGACCGAGCCTTCGCACGCGCCTACAATCTCAACACGCACATGTCAACGCACGACCCCGATCCAGAGCGCTCCAAGCCCTTTCCCTGCCCGTATCCCGCCTGCAGGGAGGAACGACGCTCCTTTTCCCGCAAGCACGACTTGCAGCGCCACATTGCTTCGACGCACGAGTCTGAACCTGAGCCTTTGTTCGAGGAGCGAGACGAGAACGGAGAGGTAGTCATGAATGACTTGCAGCGCATGGGCTTGGGTGCTCCAGGCAGGAAATTTAGATGTGTGTGTGGGCGAGCATTCGTGCGCAGGGATGCATTGAGGAGGCACAACTGCGAGGCCATGGGTGGGGCGGTGCATGGCGGCAGTATGGAGTTTGCGACCGAAGAAGGAAGCGCTACACCTGGGCCAGACTTTCCATCTTCAGGGTCAACAACGCCGGGAATGCGTACCGACGGAGCTCCGACTTCAATTCGTCCGCCAAATGCACCCACGGGCAGTGGGTTTGCGAGGCCCGGAAGCACCGTCAAGGGTGGGAGTGCGGACCTTGACGACATCGATGCGATTGCGGCGCAATATGCCCTTTCGGCGGCCGAGGAGATGCGAGCGGCGCAGGAGCATGTTGCCGGTGGGCAGGGCAGCCCGGCGCCCACGGCTGGAAGTGAACGGCAGCAGGCGGGACCTTCTGGCTCGAATGCTTCGGGTCAAGCGCAATCCAGGCCTGCCCCTTCGCAAGCAGCTGCGGCCCTTGCTGAAGATGAAGCAGATGAAGCAGATGAGGACGGAGACGATGATGCCATTGCAAACTTTGCCTCGCAGCTTACTGCGGACACGGCAGCTCAGCTCGGTCTTGGGACAGGCAACGACAGCGATGAGGAAGTCGACGAGCTGCAAGATCCTGATGAGGACGACAGGCGTGCCGCAGAGCAAGCTCAGAAGGGAGAGAAGCAGAAGCTGAGCGCTAGCGATGCGCAGAGACCAGGATCGGTGACAGCCCCGCGACAGCCTACCAGCAGCAACGATACCAGCGTCTCGCTTGCCGCACCAGCTCCTGCATCCACGTCAGCCTCAGCTACCTCGACCTCGCCGCTGGCTTCTGTCTCGACGGCAACGTCAGCACCACCGACAAGACCGATATCAGCTCCTAGCATCTCAACGACCTCCGCGCAGCCTCTTACGCCCGCAATCACAGCCACATCCTCCCCGACCCCGGCAGCACCACCAGTTTCCGCTGGCCTTGCTGGTACTGAGCCCAGCGACGGCGATGACTCACTTGACGATCAGCAAGTGCAGGACGTTGCGGCGGATCTATTCGCATCAGTCGCAGCGTCGCTCGGAGGTGGAATCGGTGAAGGGGAAACCAAGGATGAAGGAAGCGAGGCAGCGGACAATGCTACATCGAGTACTGCAGCTGCTGCGGCCCCAGGCAGCAGCAGTGCTTCTACAGAGCCTTCCGTTCAAGTCCCTTCACAGCCCAGCCCGGCACCTCCTGCTGCGACGATCACTCCTCAAGGGCAGCCACTCTTCCTCGTGCCACCAGCAGAGCCTGCCAGCAGCTCAATCACCCCATCGGATACCACTGAGGCTCAGGCTGAAGCGGGCAGCGCCGCACCTTCTGCATCGACACCAGCCCCGCAGGCTCTACCAGCGCCTGCCACGTCCGCCACGACGCCTCAGTCTGGAGTAAGTGCGGCCATCAAGCGCGAGGAAGAAGACAGCGCCGCGGCAGTGACGAGTTCAGGAGCAGAAGCAGGAAGCTCTACGAGCGCGAGCGCCACCGCTGCGCCCGCAACTATGAGCACACCCGCTAGCCGTGTGGGCGATGGAGAGTCCGGGGAGAAGTAGTGGTCCAAGCGGCCGAAGATAAACCCCAGCATCGCTTCAACTCCTAAGCTGTGGTCTTCGAGCCACAAAAGTTTCTTCCTGCTCTTTTTTTTTCCTCATTCCACCGTACGCAACCTGATGTACCTATTACGCACGCTACGCCACCTAACCGCGCAATTTGAAGCAGCTTGTTTACCCTGGCCCCTACATCCAAGCAGCAGTGATCGTCGACTCGAAGAGAGATTATCATTGCAAGTCATGTGCACACTGCATGCACGCAGAGTAGATACGATTCGGCCGGCGGATGGGGCTGCGCATGGACTCACAGTGTCGTTGTCAACATAATCTTGCCATGGCTGCTCGCACCTGCGGTGTTCGCCACTGGTGAGAAGGTCGAGAAGGTCGGGAAGGGAAGAGGCAACGTTGGATGAAGGGAGGGCCGAGCTGCGCTACACCCCCTGGAAAGAATGCGCTTACATCGTGCTATAGTGGACATCGCTGTTTATCCGTCCTGCTTTTCTTGAGAAGCCATGGTGACGGGACGCGATGCTACGTTCTCGTCGCATTCTCTCGATCAACACGCACCTGTCTTGTCTGCCTCGTGTCCCTGGTCCTCTGTGTCTCCTTCTCTGAGCGTATCACGCTCTTCAAAAAAGGTCCGCCGCCCTCGCCCTTCTTCCCGGCGTCGACTTGACTTTCTCCCCGCCTTGCGCGTCCTGCGCCTTGAGCGCCTCATTCCCCTCTGCTGCATCCATCACCCCACTACCCGGCTGCCCTTCTCCCTGGTCATCCGCACTCGGTCTGTCACCAAGTCCCTCCGCCTTCGCTTCCATGTGACGCACCTCTGCTTCTCTCTGTCCCCTCGCCTGCCCATCGGCTGACGCGACGCCGGCATTCGTACGGGCGAGGGCTTCGGCCGTATTGTCCTCGGGACGGGATGAGGGGGGCGAAGCGCCGGGAGGAACGGCTGGATAGGATTGTGCCTGCTGTGCGCTCCCGTTGCCGTAAGCGATCGGGGGAGGGGGCCCGCCGTACTGTTGAGGAGCGGGAGGTGGTGGAGAGCTAAAAGAAGGAGGTGGAACGCTCGGTGAAGCGGAGCGCGCATACACGGGGGTTACTGCTGCTGCCGCTGCGGGATACGGAGAAGGACTGACCGCATAGCCGCTCTGCGGAGGAGGGCGTGTGTAGCCGTACGGGCTTGCCGATCCGCCTGGCGCGTAGTTGCCAATTGAAGGAGGAGGTCCACCGTAGTACGGCTGCTGTTGCTGGTGCATCGTGGGAGGCGGAGGGGACCCTGCCCCATATGCCGTCGCTGATGTGGACGTGGATGCCTGTTGCTGCTGCTGCTGCGTATGCTGTCTCTGAGGAGGATCATCAGGATCGCTGTATTGATACTTGCTGCTCATCGCCATCTTCTCTTCTGGACTCAAATTCTGATCCGCATAAACCATGCGACTCTTTGCTCCTTCCTTGATCGCCCTCTGGTGCGGACTCGGCACGGGGATGGTGATGTTGGGTGGTGGAGGCCCAGTATATTGGTGAGGAGCCTGTCCAGGAGGTGGCTGTTGCCATGGTTGGGAGGAAAGAGAGGGGGGCGGGCCAGAGTAGGGAGGCATCCCGGGAGGAAGGGGGCGACCGTACCCTGGTGGCGGGCCAGTCATGCCAAATCCGGGCGGAGGGCCAGAGTAGGCTGGCATCGCCGATGGTGGACGTGGCGGCGGCGGTGACATGGCTGTGCCGAATCCAGCAGGAGGCAGAACCGCACCAGGGGGTAAAGCCTGACCGCTCATGAGCGCCTTGTGTGCCTCGAGCTGAGCCTTGAGCTGCTCAGGCGTGAGGGCGACGTTCTCTATCTTCTGACGCTTGGCTGACGGTTGTCCCGACGAGCCTTGCCCTTCTGCTTCCTTCTTTGTTCGCCAGGCTGCCAGGTCCGCTTCGGGGATGCCCACCATGCCGTAGATCTCGATGTCGAACGACTCGCGGCCAGGGAGGGCATTTTCGATTCTGAGGACGAGGACGGGAGGGGCGAGGATAAGGGTGAGATGCAGTCACGGGAGGACGACTGTCCACGTCACTCCAACGTACACTGTGGGCTCCTGTTTATGGACCTGATGAAGATGAACCGTCAAGCCTCCAGCAGTATTGAGCCTCCTTGGACAGAAAGGGCACTTGTAATGCTTTGCCTTCTGATGCTGTAGCAGCACCTTTTCGTCTTCGAACTCTCGATCACAGTACCAGCACCAAGCCTCCATCTGCTGCTTCTTTTTCTTTGCCATGGTTGTCGCGATAAAGTAGTGAGTCGGAGAGGTATGATTTGGTGGTGCAGAGTGGATGGAGGAGAGCTGCGCTGCTCGCTCTCAGTCCGAGATCGACATCGGCGGCAAGGGCGGGATCAGTCTCAGTCGGACCAGTCGAACGAGTCGAGCGGACGGGAGTCGACAACGAGGACGACGACGAGGTGCCGCTTCTGCCGTCTTTTGTCAGTGAGCCATTCGTCCCTTTGACATCGCCACCATCACTTCTCGGCACTGAGGCTGGCGCAACATCAGCACGGTCATGGTCACTACGGGCAGCTCAATTGGCCCTCATGACTCAGCCACAGGTGCAGGCGATGTAGTCTCGTCCAGTCTCAGATCGTGGGACCAAGGAGGAAGAGAACAACTGTGAGTTCAGCACCAATACCGCAACAAGGCAACGAGCCGAGCCAAGCCAAGCCAAGCCAAGCCAGCAGTCGCACTTGCCATGGTCCGGCCTCGTTCTGCCTCTTTCTCAAGCTTGTCTCGCCACACCAGCTCATCATCCTCGCGTCATTTGGCCGCAACCTTCCTCTCCCCCTTCCTCTATGCAGCTACGCAGCCTTCCAGTCAGCTTCTAACGACTCCCCCGACAATGCCGTCTCTCCCGTCCTCGTTCACCTCCTCGGCGCTCTACTCTCATCCCACGTCCTCTCACCGCAGCTCTCCGTGCAAGACTTCCGATCCCTTTTCGAAGCAATCTCACCACCGCGAGACGACGCCGACAAGGCCGATGCAAGCGAAGTCAGCAACAGCCCAGGGCCCAGCCGTCATGCCTCTGCTACGCCAGTACCATCAGCTCCGCAGGCTCCCATCCTCTCGTCATACTTCTCGAACTCCCTCCTCGACGTCATCTGGGCAGTTGATGTCGAGATTGACATGCGCAGAGATGCTGCAGGACTGACTCCTTCAGATGTAAAGGGGAAGGCAACGTCGCCTGCCCAAGAGGCAGAGACAGCAAAGACGAGGCTGGCAGACTTGGTCGCTGGACTCATCACCTCAAACCACCTTGCCCGCATCGCGGTGGCCGAACGCCTCGATGTTCCCCTCCTTGTTGCCATCGGCCTCGTGTCTGACGAGGCCGACTTCAACCGTAAGGGAGTTCGAATCAACACCGCCAATCTCTACAAGCAGCAGAAGTTCAATCTGCTGCGTGAGGAAAATGAAGGTTACTCGGGATTGATGAATGAGATCCTCGGTGGGATGGGTCCGCCGATCACGGTCTTGTACGACGTCTCCTCCATCGACGAGCCTCACAATTGGCAAACGGCTCCCACACAAGTCGTTGAGCAAGAGCGGCCTGCAGAGCGCAATCGACGCGTACGAGCAGTCATGCGAAACATCTCTGCACTCATCGGCTACTTTGACCTTGATCCCAATCGCGTTCTCGACATCATCCTTGACCTCTTTTCCACAAACGTCACGCTGCATTGGCCCTTCTTCCTGGCTTTGCTTTGGGCCTCGCCATGGGCCAGAGGAAGAAAGCGCGCCCAGCAGCAGCAGCAGGATGGAGCGGACGCTATGGACGTTGATGAGACGCTTGAGATTGCCGGCATTCCCATTCGTATCGACAAGGCCTGGGGCAATCATACCTGCGCGCAGCTGGTGGGCTTCAAATTCGACTACTACCGCCAACAAGACACCCGCGAGGACGTTCCAGTCGACCTGTACACTATGAGCGCCCTGCTCATACAACACGGCTTTGTCCGGTTCGCCGACCTCTGGCCTCACCTCTCTCCAGACGAAGAAGGGATGAAGAAGCTCTCAACTGCCTACACGACTTCGCTCAAGGACAAGGCTAATAGCGCCCGCAGCAATGCGCTGACTATGGCTGCTCCACTGGCTGACGATGAAGGGGGCGCTGCAGCCGGCGACGCGACGAAAGCAGCCGCAGAGGCTGCGGCGGCCGCTGCAGCAGTCAAAGAGCCGCCGAATCAAGTACTCGGCCTGCTCAAAGCTCTTCTCGCCACCGGCCAGCTAGACTATTCTCTTTTCATCCTTGCGCTACATCCATGGCTAATCGGTGCATTCCCAGAGGTGGCCGACCTGCTCATTCGCCTTGTCAAAGAGGCCATTAGGCCGGTATATGAGCCCATGTCCAGTGCCAGTCAAGTTTCCATCCTGGCCGAGGAAGCCTCCAACGCGGCAAGACCACGCTACGACACGAGAAATCAGGCAGTGCTCCCCCTGTCCCCTCCTCGTCTCTACGCTACATCGCTGGCTCCCGAGCCTCCTGCGACGGCGACCTCCCGCTTTGTCTTTGCTTTCGGCGACTGTTGGAAGAAGCAGCTACCCATCTGCACCAAAAGTGCAGACCTCGTTAAGACCCTCGTGCCCTTGCTTCGCGTCTTGGGCGTCGCTCTGCATCGTGACTTCGAGCTCTTCCAGCAAATTTGTCGCCTCGGCCGCGTCCAACTCAAGGCCGCCAACCTCGACGAGGACATTAAAGGCGCCTGGCTGGAGATCGTTCGCTTCCACCTGTTCCCCGCCCTGTCCCTCACCGCGGGCAATTCAGGTCTGCTCAACGAGCTCTGGAGCCTTCTCAAGACCCTCAGCTACACGGAGCGCTTCAGCCTGTACGGCGAGTGGAAGAACGAGCTCTACAGGCGGCCAGAGGTGCGCTTCCGGCAACTCGAGACGGAGAAGGAAGCCCGGGGCATCCTGAAGCGTATTAGCAAGGACAATCTTAAGCTCTCTGGCCGAGCACTAGCAAAGGCGTCGCACGCCAATCCGCTCATCTTCTTCACTGTGGCTCTGAATCAGGTGCAAGTCTACGACAACATGATCCCGCACATCGCAGAATGCGCCAAGTACCTCACCATCTTCGAGTACGACGTCTTCTCTTTCAATCTTATCGACGCGCTCAGTAATCCAGAGAAGGAGCGCACCAAGCAGGACGGGCAGAACATCTCTCTCTGGCTGAAGAGTCTAGCCTCCTTCACTGGAACTCTATACCGCCGCTACGCAATGATGGATCCCGTTCCCGTGCTGCAGTACATCTGCAATCAGCTCAAAGCGAACAACTCCAAAGACCTGGTGATCATTAGCGAGCTCATCCTGAAAATGTCTGGCATTGAGCCGCTGGCCAACCTGGCGGACAACCAGATCGCCGCACTCAGCGGCGGACGCTTGCTTCGCATGGAGGCTATGATGGTTGCCACTGCCGGACCAGGAACAGCAGCTCGTCGCGACATCCGCCGTACAGGGGCGAGACTCATGGACTCTCTGCGGGAGAGTCGTCTCGCTGTCGCTCTACTTATCCTGATAGCGCAGCAACGCCAAGTGTGTGTGCATCTTGTGCCCGAGCCCGAGGCACACCTCCGCTACCTGGCCAATTTGGCCGACAACTGTCAAGAGGTCCTCTTCCAGTATGTCGAGTTCCTATACAGCCAGCTGGAGCCCGGAGCGTACGCCGATTTGATTCCCAGCACACGTTCACTATGTGAGCGCTTCAGCATTGAGCCAGCAATCGCTTTCCATATCGCTAGGCCGAGGCTGCTGCACTCTATGAAGGTGGCGGACGATAAGGATGCCGAGGAGAAGTTGAGGGCCGAGCTGATGAAGGGGAAGGCAAGGGCTGCTCAGGCGAAGAAGGGAAGTGAAGGGAAGGAAGGAGACGTCAAAAAGGAGGGCGACGAGGGCAACAGTGAAGTGAAGAAGGAAAGCACGGATGGGGACGTGGAGATGGGGGATGTCGCCAAGGCGGAGGAGAGTGACACACCGGAGGAAGATGCAAAGACCACACCCGCTGCCACGCCTATCCCCATTTGGCGTAAAGGCCTCTCTGAAGCAGTTGAAGCAGCCGACGCCATCCTCTCAGACGAGTCGAAGCGTGTGATGGGCAAACACTTCTTCGCCACCTTCTGGCAGCTCTCACTCGCCGATATCCAAGTCCCGTCGGAGCGCTACGAGCAAGAGATGCGCACCGTTCAGCGCCTGCTCAAAGCGGCGGACACCGGTGGAGAAAGGAAGAGTAACGCGTTCCTTCAGCATCAAGACTCTCTCGACCAGCTACGCGCAGAGCTCAAGGCTCGCACTCTTGCCCACCAGGCGACAAGAAGGCGTCTCCTGCAGGAGAAGGACCACTGGTTCCCACACAATGAGGGCACGACTCGCCCGCTCCTGGTTCAGCAGCTCATTCAGCACTGCCTCATCCCACGAGCACTACTCTCCCCCACGGATGCTATGTTCGCCGCGAAATTTATTCGCCTCATGCACCTCCACGGCACACGCAACTTCCCCACGGTCACTCTGTACGATCGTCTCTTCATCGAGCACGTCGCGCCCATCATCTTCTCCTCCACTGAAAATGAGGCAAACAGCTATGCCCGCTTCCTGCAGGTGTTGCTGGACGACTTGGCACCGTGGTATAAGTCGGAAGAACTCTACACCAAAGAAGTCATCGGCGAAAAGCTTCCAGGCTTTCAGATGCGTTGGGGCTCGCGTCAAGGCGGCGAGGAGATTCCGCAGGACGAGCTCCTTTCGCACTCCCAATTCCGCAACGTGGTGCGCAAGTGGCACGACCAGCTCGCAAAGGCGTTCAAGCTTTGCCTCACTTCGGGCGACTTTATGCGTATCAGAAACGCAATCGCTGTCATGAACCGACTGGCACAACGCTTCCCCCTCTTCGATGCGCATGGGCGGGAGTTGATCCAAGTGGTGGAAAAGTTGACCAAGGAGGAGACTCGCGGCTCGCTCAAGGTGCTGGGCCAGGGATTGCTGGCCACGCTCAAGAAGTATCAGAAGGAGTGGTTGGGCAAGCCGCAGCCCAAGATTGAGCCAAAGGCTGTGCCGAAAGAGAACGAGGCCGAGCAGGCGGACAGGAAGGCGGACGAGGAAAAAGCGCAGAAGGGTACGACCAGTGCAGCAGAGGACGGAGCCGCGTCTACCGCACCAAAGTCCGAGCCCGCAGAGGCCTCTGCCACTACGAGCGCATCGCCATCAGATCCAGCAGCCAAGGCGACCAACACTCCTGGCCCAGAAACCTCAGACCGACCACAGCGCCAGGCTGCTGTCTCGAATGCAGCCTCCCCAATCCCCACCGGCCCTTCAAATGACCAGCGCAAAGCCTCAATCCCGTCAAGCGGCCCACCCAAAGGGCCTTCCGCAGCGTCCAACAGCGGCAGGGGGTACGAGGGTAGCCCTCCCGCCCGTCCCGGAGCCGCTCTATCTCGCACAGCGTCCAATGGCGCTCAACAGTCTGCTCGCACAGCTCCTCGGGATACCTCTTCTCGTCAAGGCAACGAGCGCCTCCCCCCAACCGGGCCGCGAGGGAATCCCTCTCTCGCCTCATCACGACCTAGCGATGCCACAGCGACAAAAGACGACGACTCCCTGGCCACCGCTCGCCAAGCCGCTCTAGGCACCATGATGAATCCACCGCAGGCCCCAGCGAGTACGTTGGGCGCTCAGGCTGCAAGGGAGAAGGGCACGCCTGGAATTTCTGAGCGCGAGAGGGCCAATGAGCGACCATCGTCGCGTGACGAGAGGGACAGAGAGCAGCGAGACCGGGACCGGGACCGCCCCCGTGATCGCGATCGCGGGAGAGACAGTCGAGGCCCAAGCAGTGCTGCTCCTTCCCGCGGCAACTCGCCTTCTGCTACTCGATCCTCAAGCCGTCGAGACGCTACGGAGAGAGGGGCAGCCACCACGGCCTCTCCGCGAGACACCACGCCTGCTCGAGAGAACGCCACAGCTGGTGGAGAGACGCGCGATTCTGGTTGGGGCCCGAGGAGGGAGCGAGGGGAGAGAGATAGGGAACGCGAGCGCGATAATCGGGAGCAAAGGGAGCGAGAGCGCGACCGAGACCAGCGAGACCGTGATCGTGATCGTGATCGTGACCGAGAAAGAGACGACCGCCGTCGAGGCGGTGACAGTCGACGGTCGACCTCTGATCGGTATGGCAGCGATCGTGGGCGTGGCGGTGCGGATACGTCTCGCGACAGGGACCGAGAGCGGGAGCGCGACTCGAGGCGTTCAGGCGCAGCCTCAAATCAGACGGCCGAAGAGGAGGCCACGGCCAACGCGTATTCGCAGCGCAGCTCGAGGCGGGGTGAGCCTCCGCACGTGAGGGATCGACGAGAGGCAGGCGACGAGGCTGCTCATCAGCAGCGCAGCCATGACCTGCCGCCGCCTCCTCAGCAGCAACAGCAACAGCAACGCACTCGTGAGCTCTTTGGCAACGGTAATGGCGCTTCCACGGGTCAAGGGCCGGCCTCGTCAGTGCCGCAGCGCGTCTGGGGCGAGCCGCAAGGCGCGACGTCGCCTGCCCCGCTGAGGGGCGAGCGAGAGGCGCAAGGATCCCCCTCCGATCGAGGAGCACCACCTTCTGGCCCTTCCATCGCTGGCAGTAGTCGACGCAGCGAGCCCGGTGCAGCTTCCCAATCGCAGTCCATGTACCCACCAAGACGCGACGCACCTGCTCCCCCTGCTCCTCACGAGGCGGGCGAGGCCTCTCCTTCCACTGGCGGCGGTAGTCTTAAGCGCAGTCTGGCCGACCGCCTGGCGGGCGGGCCACCTGGAGATGCTGCCAGTCCAGGCGGATACAATACCGGGCCAGGCGGACAGCGATCTCGCCCTGCCTCTCGGGGTGGATCACCTGCTTCTCCTTCTGTTCACACAGGTGGAGCTCAAGAGGGAGGACCAGATGCGAAACGGCCGCGCATGCAGCACGGGAACAGCGGCGGGCGAGGCGGAGGTGGGCGTTTCAGCAACGGGCGCAACAGCTTCGGCGGCGGTGGTGGTGGTGACGAGGAAGGCGCTGCTGGCGGAGGTGCTCGTTCAACAACGCCAACGGGACCCGCGGCGCGGGGGTCCAACTCGCCTGCCACGGGCGGTCAAGGCGGGGCCGCTGGATCTGGGCTACTTCGCCAAGTCTCGATCAGCGGGTCAGCAGCAAGGGAAAGGGAACGCGAGCGCCGTGAAGGGCGAGAAGGCCAGTACCACGCGCAGCCGCAAGGGCAACAGCAAGACGAAGGCTACCCTCGTCCGCAAGGTCATCGTGGCGGTGGAGAAAGAAGGGGCAGCCATAGACGCAATGGCGGGAGAGGCGATGGGGACAGGTTCAAGGATCGAGCGAGGCGCAGGGCTGGCGAGGAGTGAGTAACGAATCTGGATGTACGTTATGCGCAATGGTCATGAGGATGCGATCTGAGATCGGTAGCAAGTGAGTGCATGGGTGTAGATGTGGAATCTCGCTCAGCCACGGGCGTGAAGGGATCGTTGCTCGTAGGTATCGAATGGGCGGGCGGAGATACAAGGTGGGCGGCAGCGCGGCGGCGCAAGCACGGCAAGATACGTGAGTGCAAGCGATGGGCAACCAACACGGCACGCATCGCTTCTGCTCAGTCTTCTCTCGATTCTCTCCTTCTTCCATTCTCTCCATTGGATCCGCCACTTTCCGTCCTCACCAATCTACCTCTGCACCCTCAACTCTCCTCGGACCGCTCCTTTTGGCATCAACGCAGCACGTTCTCGCCTCGCTCGCCTCGCTCGCCCACATTACTCACAAGCACAACAAGCCCGGCCGGACTCATCGGCGTCATCTCCTCAACTCTGACCGCATCCGCTCGCTGTCTCTCCTCCTTGCACGTCTTAAACGGCTGATTTCTCCCTGTACCTTGCCACCTCGCCCTTTTCCCCGCTTCGACAGCGGAGCACCATCGCCCATCGTGATTCTCCCTCTCTACCACCAACCTCTCCATTCAGGCAATGCGAGCAGCATGTCTCGATCCCACTTGGCATCCCTTCCTCGACCTCGTCGCATCTCCTTCAGCGCCTCGCCGTCTTTCCCATCCTCAACGAATCATGCGCAGTCCACAGCTGCCTTGAATGTTCCCGTAGCTGGCCTGGCTCCGGCTGTCGGACTGGTCTTGCCCAAGCACCATGGTGCTGCGCCCGGTATCAGCAGGCACACGGCTCCTCCTACGAGCGCTCCGCCTCCCATTACTTACCATGGCTACCAAAGTCGCCAACACCGTCGCAGCCCATCGGAGCCGATGATCAGACTTTCTGAGGCTCAGGTGAGCGGGCGCACTGTGGAAGCTCGTCGATGGGAGCTGACGTTCTCTCATGTCGTACGCGACGGCAGCGTAACTACATCCTTGCCCCCGCTGCCGCTACTACAGGCATGGCTGCTGCCTGTTCTACCTCCCTTCACCCAATGGTTCCCTCCTGGCCTGCGCGCGAACCCGCCCACCATCAGCTGCACGAGCAGCAGGAGGATGCCCGAACCTCGTCTGTCACGGATGCCAGGCTCGCATCCACCGAGTCACAACGTCTCAATCACCAGCATCGCGCCTACAAGCGCGCTTGCGGCGGTCATCTCGTCCATCCTGCTGCAGAGCTGCACCTTCAACACGTCAGCAAGGTCATGGACGCTGGGTGTGGGACAGGAATCTGGCTGCGTGACTTACGAGCTTCGGGAATGTTGAAGGAAAGGGCGGAGCTGCATGGTTGTGACATTAACCTGGCCATTGCTCAAGGCGAGAAACAGGACGGCCGAGCAGATATCGTGCTGTTCGAGCACAATGTCCTCAACGCCTTTGCTCAGGGCACTCGAGCCGTCACGCACCCCAAAATTGTCATGCAACCTGGGTCGTACGATCTCGTTCATGCTCGCCTCCTCGTCTACGCCTTAGACAAGGACATTGGGTGGCAGCGCGCTGTCAACAACATGGTGGGCCTTCTCAGTACGTAGCAACTTTCTTCCCAAATTCTCCAGGCCATCGAGTCGCTCAATGCCGTCAAGTCGAGCACTCACTGACGATATCTTTCACCCCGTCAACCTCTTTGTGTGCATTTTGCAGAACCGGGGGGCATGCTCTGCCTCGCCGATCTGAATTGCTGTGCCCTGCCTGCCACCACAAGAGTCCCTGCGCCCAACATCGAGACGCTCAACATGATCTCAGCCAAGACAACGAGCTTCTTGAACAAGGATGCGTTGTGAGCACGCAAGGAGGCATCGAATCTCAGCATGATTGACAAAGAAGCTCAACTTCACCTCTCCGCTCGTCACCTCACCAGCGCCGGCGATCATCTGGCCGCTCGTCTAAGCACGGCGGCACTCAGCAATGTCAAGACGCAGCGCTACCACATTCCATTCGGACGCGCCCTACTCGAGGAGGCGCAGCCCAGTCCTACTTCTCACCTACCCTCTCCCAGTGCGGGTGAGCAGCATCGACGCTCCCTCACTCCCTCCGACGTGGCCATCGCCACCTCCACTGCATTGGGAGCAATCCGCGTCCTCGAAACTCCCCTCCTCGCCTCGGGAGGTCTTCCCTCGCGAGACATCGTGACAAGCAGTGACTTTGCCCGCTGGATTTCGAGACTGGAGAAGGAGATCGAGGAGGTAGGGATGTACTACTGCTTCACAATGGCTTGCGGTACGAAGGAAGAGGCAAAGGGAGAAAAGAAGAGGGAGGGCACGCCTACTGTCGGCGGGGCTGTTCCAGCCGCCGAGGGGGGTGGTAGGCGACTTCGACGCCGCTGATGTAGCTCAGGGCTGCAACGTCCCCGTTGCCCTTCATCGGCCCCATGTCATCATCAAGATCCTGATGCCTCCCACGACGACGATCTCGACCACCAGCACGATTTCCGGGCGAATATACCACGTCGTCCTGCGAGCGACGCTTACTCTACCCTCTTCGCCTTGTCTAATACCGACTCTCCTGATCAATCCTCTAGGGGTATCTTACGGACTCTCTCGACGCGCATTAATTCCTCATCCACATGCACAAATGCTCAACCTTCGATCTGCACCAAATCCTTAATAACCCCTCCGATCTGCGCACGCTGTTGAGCTACTTCTTTGCGGTTGCGGACTCTTCCTCCTCCCTTTTCCTCTTTCTCCTCTCCTCCAACCGCTTCCTCGCCTCAGCAGCCTTGTCAACCTTTGGCGGCGGAGACACGGCATTCCCAGCCCCTCCCTCTGGGCTTGCACTCTTGCCGCTTCCTCTATCATTGGCCATATCCAGACCCATCAATTCTCTCCTCTTCCTCTCCAGCCTCTTCGCCTCCTCTTCCTCCTTGCCTTCCTGCACACGAAGAAGCTGCGCTTCCAGCTCGCGCATGGAGGCAGCATCGCGTCTTCTACGATCCTCGCGGTCGGCACCATCACGAGGCGCTGCAGTAGAGTGTGAGTATGAGTCTCGATCGCGACGATCGTCTCTGAGCCCGCGTTGCCTGCGTCGTTCCTGTTCTTCTCTCTCGGCCTTTTCCTGCTCTTGCCTCCGCTTGACAGCTGCAGGTAGAACATTGAGACCGGCAGAGAGAAGGGATCGTTGGTCGACGAGGTCGCCTTCGTCGTTGAGTTGGACGGTGAGGCCTTTTGCCCGAGCCTCAGCGATGGCTGATGGAGTCTGGGAGAGATCTTCCCCTTCCTTCGGTGCATCTTCAGCTGACGAAGACCCTTCGCCCTTCTTTGCAGAAGCCCTCTCAGCCGCCTCAACCTGCTCCCTGTGCTGTTTCTCCTGCTCATCCATCATCCTCTGGTAAAAGCCCGTCATACCCTTGCTCCCTTGCTTCTTCCCCTCCTTCTCGCTCTTCATCTCTTCCTCTTCCACTTTCCTCAACTCCTCTTGCTGTTCCCTGAATGCATCCGTAACAAACTCGTCTTTTCCCTCAAACTCTTCGCCTTCTGCGTCTCTCTCTCGCTGTGTGCGTTTGGCTTCTGCTCTTAGCAGGAGCTTGTCGCGCTCTTTGCGAGAAGAGAGAAATGAGGACATGTACTTGGACTCTTTGCGACCTCCCTCCGCAGTGGTCGAGGAGGTAGCTGGATCCTTGGAGGAAGAGGAGGCCGAAGAGGCCTTCATCGAATCGTAGACATCGTCGTATGCAAAGGCCGAAGAGTCGAGGGAGAGAGCGAGGGTGCTGTGTTTCTGTGAAAATTTGGATGCTGGAGCTGAGGTGGGGGCGGTGCGTGATGGCTGCTTGCGAGAAGAGGTTGAGGTTGAGGAGCGAGGAGCTGAGAGTCCTGCGTTGGCATCGTCGTCGTTGCCTTCATCTTCATCTCCGCCAAAGGCCTTTGTTGCCAGAGATGTCTTGGATGAAGACGAGCCACTAGATGAGGACGGGGCAGCTACCGCCTTCTTGAAGCCGAAGCTGACCTTTGTTGGCCGAGCTGGCGAGGACATGATGGTGGCACAAAAGGGAACAGAGACAAGGAAATGCAACTCGACATCGATTCGAGATCAACTTTCGTGGCCCGAGCGTTGCGTCGAGGGCTGGGCTGCTTCCGTTGCCTCCTTCCTTTCGCTCTCTCATCTCGGCCATTCGAGCTGCCTTGACCTCGAGGGAGCTAGACAATCAGAATGGCTGCAGACTACTGGAGGTCATCTCAAGCGTAAGCATGCTGTCAAAGCCCAGCGCGATGCTCGCTCGTTCCCTCTAACTTCTTTGTCCCCTGCGTCGCTCTCAGCAACCAATGGCTGCTTGATCCCCTCGATCTTGAAGTCTCCCGCGTCGAGGACCTCCGCTATGCAGGCGACAAGGACAAGCTGGCAGCCAGTACCATCTTCCTTGCCAGCGGTACGTCTGTCCTCGTCTTGATCCTCTCCTATCACTTCTTTTCACTCACGTCTCCCTCTTCCTCTCTACGCACAGCAATCTCCTCCCTAGCCAAACGTCTCCACCTCAGACAACGAGTGACAGCAACGGCCACCGTCTTCTTTCACCGCTTCTACTCTGTTCCACCCAATGGATACACGAATACCGATCCTTGTCTAGTGGCAACGGCGTGCGTGTATGTGGCTTCAAAAGTGGAAGAAACACCCATCCACGTCAAGACGGTGATGCATGAAGCGGGGAAGATGTGGAATGGTGAGTGCGCAAGCGCTCTTGCTGGGATGACATCGACGGGGCTGAGCTGACCATGAGCGTGTGCATGCAGAATACGGACACACTACATTCCCAATCTCAAGCGTCGATTTAGCAGAGATGGAGTTCTACCTGCTCAGGGACCTAGACTACCACCTCGTGCTGCACCACCCGTATCGCCCTCTGCTTCAACTCGCAGGAACCGTAGGCAAAGCAGCGGTGGAGAGGGCAGAAGCTGCGGCGCAGAGTAGCAATAAATCAGGAGCAGCAGGTAGAGGAGCAGCATCTTCCGGGCAGATAGGCGTGGGCATGCCTTATGGTCTCGGCATTCACGCAGACGCTCTCGGTGTAGGTTCAAGCAAGATGGGCGGCATGAGCTTTGACATGACGAATGCGAGCGCAGCTGGAAACCATAGTGCAAGCAATGGCAAAGAGGGAAATGACGAGGAGAGAGAGCGCGATCGTAGAGAGGAGGAAGCGGCTCGCAAGGCTTTGGTCAGTGGGGATCATGGCCTGCCGATCGCGCGAGTTGAAGAGATTGATCAGGACGTGGTGCAGATGGCTTGGTAAGTAGTGCGCGGAGCAGCCCATTGAAATTGATTCGATGTAAAGGCTGACGTCCCTACGTCCCCTTTGCCCTCGCACAGGTTCCTCCTCAACGATACCTATCGTCACGCGCATCTGCACCTTCTCTACCCTCCGTACATCCTCGCCCTAGCCGCCCTCTGCCTCGCACTGGTGCTGCATGACCCCAGCAGGGAGAAGATGCTGGCTAGCGTAACCAAGATGGAGGGGAGGAGGAAGCGGGCGCGCGATCTGGATGAGGCCGGCGGCGGTGAGGGCGAGAAGTCGACCAAGGTCGCAGCGAGTACGCCTGCCGCCTCTTCAGCCGCACCCCCCATGCCTCCTCGAGCTGCTCCTTCGACCATCCCGCCTCGCCCTGCACATCTGCCTCCGAAGCCAGGCGGCTCGACAAGCGGTTTCCCCACACGGCCGCAAGCATCACACCCATCCCCGGGCATAGGCTCAAGTCACGACGATTCCCCTGCAGCCGGCGCCCCTGGGCTGACGGCTTCCTCGTCCTCCATTCCCTCGAAACCCACCCCACCCAGTGACGTCCTCACTTTTCTCTCCCTGCTCAATCTCTCGCCCCGCTCACAGCTTGCGTCATGCATCCAGTCCATCCTAGACGGATATGCCACTTGGATGCGATGTCACTCCTCTTTGTTGGAGGGCAAGAGGATTGTCGGGTGGCTGGACGAGTGGAGGCGGAAGAGGGAAGAGGAACTGAGGGTGTTGGAGCATGAGGGCCTCTTGATGGCCGCTAGCGGGAGAAAGGAAGGCGGGCCAGGGGCTGGGAAGAAGGGGTAGATTGAGAAGTCGTCCTGAGGGGTACTCGGCAGTGTAGAGCAGTCAAGTCGGCAGGCTGGCGCTCTCTAATTTCCACGCGGACAATGGCCATCAAAAGAACCATCGATAGACGAAGAAGAGGGTGACGAATCCTGCAACGATGTAGAGGGTGAGACGATGATGCCTTGCTCCCTGGACGACAGTGTGCGTGAGGCGTGACGACGAGTTCGCCAGGCGGGCCGAGAAGTTGTCGAAGAGGTTGGACTGCGGAGCGTACGAGTGGCAGGGTGAGATATCAGCAGCCTGCCGTGACGAGTTTTGAGGGGCAACTCAGAAAGGATGGTACGCACAGTGTTGTCTAGCATGCCTCGTTGCGACTCTGCATCATCGTAGATATCGTTCGTCACGCCTCGCTGCGAGAGAGGTGGTCAAGGTGTCAGCTGAGGTCCATAGCACTCACAGACCTCGCGCCCGACTCACCAAGCTCTTGACCTTGCCCAGCAGGTTTTCTAGCACGTCATCGTTCTGTCGCTCCAGCGTGGAGCTGGCCGAGGTCGACATGCGATCGGTGTTCGTCGCAGAGTGAAGAGGAGAGTGGTGGAATGGTAAGAAGGGGTTGCCGTTGGCTTGGCTTTGGGTGGTTGGTTGGTTGCTCGTGCGTCCGCCTGGTCCGTCCGTCTCCGCTCGCCCTGGCAGTGTCGAAGGAAGGCAGGCAGGCAAGCGGGAGGGCGGGCGGCTCAGCCATTCGAGACTCGAGTCGACACGCGAGCCAAATGAAGCGAGAGCGACGCGACGACGAAGTGAGACGACGGGCGTCGAGTCGAGTCCAACGCTTGACGCAGGCCAGGCTACAGATCTCGCCTTCTCACCACGACGACGATCACCATTCTCCGCTCCATCCGCCTCTCTTCGTCATGTCCAATGCAAAGAAGGAGGGCATGATTTTTAAGGTGAGACAGACCGAGAGCGTCGCAGGGGTCACCACGTTGTTCGTGTAGACTGACCCACGCACGCACTCGTATCGCTCTCCTCGGCATAGGCCACCTACAGTGGTGTGCCAGTGTATGAATGCATCATCAAAGGGGTGAGCAGGCGTGGCAGACTGCATGAATCTCTGCAAGCATCGATGCTGATGCCATGTCCATTCGCTTTATCAGGTCGCTGTTATGAGGCGCCGAGCCGATGGATGGATCAATGCTACCCACATCCTCAAGGTCGTAGGCCTCGACAAGCCTCAGCGAACGCGCGTCCTTGAGCGAGATGTGCAGAAGGGAACGCACGAGAAGGTGCAGGGTGGATACGGAAAGTATCAAGGTGAGTAACCCCCAAATGTGCCTAGCTACATTGCCCACGCAATCTCACCCCTCTCTTGGCCCCAACCGCCCAGGCACCTGGATCCCATTGAACCAGGCAATCGACCTCGCCAAGGCCTACAATGTGCAAGACCTCTTCCAGCCCCTCACCTCCTACGTCCCTTCAGGCGAGTCCCCGCCTCCCGCACCCAAGCACGTCGTCGCTGTAGCCAATCGCTCCAAGAAGAATGCCGCCGCCGCACCTGCCGCCGTCGAGCGAACGCGCAGGGACAGCCTCGACTCGGAGTCGATGGCCTCAGGATTGCGCGAGGTTTCAGAGGGCAGCATCAGCCCCGCTCCGTCCGACGCTAGTAGCTCGTCGAGGACGCCCAGCCCCATCGTAGCTCATCGCGGCCAGGTGCCTGACGTCTTCGATGACCGCGGCCTTAATGGGTATGGCGAGCCCTACGGTGGGGCGGGCGATCTCTACGGGCGTGGTGACCACATGGCACGAGATGCAATGAGTCGCTATGCTGAGGTCATCTTGGACTACTTTATTTCCGAGAGCACAACGATCCCCTCTCTGCTCATCAACCCACCAGCCGACTTTGACGCCAACATGAGCATCGACGATGATGAGCACACGGCTCTCCACTGGGCTTGCGCCATGGGTCGTGTCCGGGTTGTCAAGCTTCTCCTCTCTGCTGGCGCCGACGTCTTTCGCGTCAACCTGAATGGTCAGACCGCACTTATGAGGGCGGCCATGTTCTCTAACAACTATGACCTCCGCAAATTCCCCGTGAGTGTGCTTGGCGCTAGCGCTCCTGAGATGTAGGCTGACCCCCCTTGTTCTCCTACCCGACCTCCGCACCAGGAACTTTTCGAGCTTCTCCACCGCAGTATCCTCAACATCGACCGCAATGACCGCACCGTTTTCCACCACGTCGTCGACCTAGCCCTGTCCCGCGGCAAAGCGAACGCCGCCCGCTACTACATGGAGACGATGATCAACCGCTTGGCAGAGTATGGTTCCCAGCTCGCGGACATTCTCAACTTCCGTGACGACGAAGGCGAGACTCCGCTAACCATGTCCGCCCGCGCGAGGAGCAAGCGCCTGACCCGCCTGCTGCTGGAGCATGGCGCTGACCCGAAGTTGCGCAACAAGGAGGGAAAGAATGCAGAGGACTACATCGTGGAGGACGAGCGATTTCGTGCTAGCCCAACGAGGGGCGTCAATGGTAGCGGCCCCAGTGGGAGCGGCACAGGCGCCGGCGCAGCGAAGATGCACACCAGTGAGGCAGGGCAACGAGCAGGCGGGCGTGCCGTGGCCTTGATGACCAGCCTGCTGCACAGCCTTGCTGACAGCTACGACGCCGAAGTGATCAACTACGAGAAGCGTCTCGAGCAAGCCAGTGGGCTGCTCGTGCAGATCCAGGCAGAAATCGCAGAGTCTACGCGCTCACTCGAGGGCCTGGATGGCCAGATTGCTTCGGGCGAGGCAGAACAGAAGACGCTGACCGACCTGGAGAAGTCGCTAAGGGCAGGAGTTCACAAGCGATCCCGTGAGGAAGTCGAGGACGACTGGAAAATCGTGCAGGAGAGCGTCAAGCGAGCAAGGACGGAGCAGAAGTTGGGCGAAGGAGAGCTCAGCAGCAAGCAAGCTCCTAGCGGCTCATCGTCCACGGATGCCGCAACTCTTCTCGCCCCTCCAGCGGGCGGCGACGGCAAGGCTGAGCTTGGTCGCCTGCGTGAGCAGGTCACTAAGCTAAAGAAGGAACGCAACGCCCTCGTCGAACAATTTGTGACCACTGCCCGCGAGCAAGGGACGGGCAAGACGATGGCTGCGTACAGAAGGCTGATTGCCGCCGGCGTCGGGGACATTGCGCAGGACCAGGTGGACGTAGTCGTGAGTGCATTGTGCGACTTGCTGGAGGAGGAAAAGGGCGCGAACACTGCCAATACCAACGGGAGTGGAGCAGGTGCGCAGGCAGCGGAGGCGAGCGCCGGTGGGAATGCGACTGCCTGAGGACGGGGCCAGCGACCAAAACACCAACATATCCTTGCTCATCCTCGTTCCTCGGTGTCTCATCTGAGCCAAAGTTTTCGTAGCCCGCTGTATCAATGTCGAGACTGTCACGTATTTGCTAGGCGGGACGTTTCAAGACGACGTCGGGATCATTACAGCGATCTCGGAAGCTCGGAGCTATCCTGGAGTCGTACGTAGCCCGTGGATTGCTCTTCTTCCCGCTGCTGGCTGCTGCTGCCGCCGCTCCTCATCGAGTGTTGATCTCCCTCCCCTTTGCGCCTCCCACCTCGTCCCGCTGGCTGGCACGAGTGCGATCTTTCGTTCCGACAAGCCAAGCAGCCATGCGATCGAGTACATCGCAGCAGCTGATAGCGTGAGCAAGAGGGGCGCAGGAAACACAGCAATGAGCGGCCATCCATCCATCATCAAAGCGCCTTAGCGTCGCGCTTCTCTCCGTCGTCGCAAGTCCGGCGCATAGACACGCACCGGGACGCACCCTGACGCTTGCTTGATCCCCGACTCGACCCAGGCCTGTCGAATCGAACGCTGCGAAGATCCACCTCCCACTTCCATTGGAGCGTTGTTTGGCCGGTGGCTTGTTTGAGGGTACAAGAATATCTCAAGGAGCCGTGAGCGAGACGACGTCTTCCCCTTCCCCCCTTTTTGTTCACCTTTTTGTCATCCTTGACGATCTTCGTCCTCGCCTCTCCCTCGTCTCTCTCGTCCCTTGTCCCGTCCGTCCCGCAAAGGGCCCACGGCGATCTCGCAGCCACGCAGCCTCGCAGCGCACCTGCCCGCGTGCATCTCCCTCCCGTCCTTCTCATCGCCAAAATCGATCGCCCGCCTCGACTGGAGTGGACTGGACCGCTGCCGACGATCCAATTCCCCGCCCGCCGCCGTTGCTGCTGCTGCTCCCTCGGTCTGTTTTCGCTCTCCCCGCTCTCACCTCACTTCCGCCGGCCTCAGTGCCTCGCCCTCACTTACACGAGGTCGAAGACTTGCAACAATCTAGCCTTTCCACGACATCATCCTCATCTTGAGATTGGCCGCGCTTGGCTGTTGCTGCCGCAGACAGAAGCCGAACCATTCACCTCTCGCCATCCGCGGTTCAAAGGACGGCCCAGCAACGCCGTGGCTCATCATCTCCCACCAGGTTTCAGCTTCGCGGGAAGACTGCGCCTCCTGCGTTGGCTCTGCTGAGCTCTGGGCTTGTCACCAAAGCGCTGTCAGTTTGCCCTCTGGCCCACGCCTCTTCGGTTGAGCCTCGTCATTACTACAAAACAGAAGAGAAGCGGCGCCGCAGAGTGGATATTCTGCTTGCGTGCAACTGAAGAGAGAGAGAGAGCAACGCAATACCGGCGTGGTCCTGCCGGAGAAGCACCGTAGCATCCGGGATCGGCTCGTCGTCTTCTACAGAGTGAAAGAGCGCGCGCAACGCGGTCTTCATCGCCATCTCAAGGTCCAGCGCGCAGTCGACGCCCTCCAGCGTCTACTGTACGACCATACCACAGCGCAGAAAGCGACTGGGCATCATCACGCGCGCACTTGGCCAAACAAAGCAAAGGCATCCAGCTGGCATTGCTTCACAAGCTTCGTGCGTTCACTCCTTTCCCCCTTCCTCTCACTCACCTAGAGGTCCAATCTCAGCTGCCGCCTAGTTAGCAACTCCGCCAACGCAAGGCTGTCGTCGACGCCGCCGTACAAGCGATTTCCGTGGTCTGTGTCTCGGTCTTCCATGGCTTCTTCGTCAAACTTTTCGTCGTCGTCGTCATCGTCGTCATCTGGGGCAGGCTATGGAGCTCCGCTATACAGCGGCTCAGGCGGCGGTGGAAGTCTAGGTGGATCAGGGGGTGCAGGTCAGGGAGGCGCTGGACCTTCTGGCGCTGGTAGCTCGCCTGGAAACAAGTACCAATGTCCAAATTGCGGCAAAGCTTTTAGCAGGGGTGAGGAAGATTGCATTGAAAGGAAGGACTGAGATGTAAAGACTGACCCAATCGCCTGCCCCGCCTCATGCCCAGATGATCTCCTACGCCGCCATCTAGCTCGTGAGGCCCGCTCAATGGCTCAACCCCAGTTCGACCGTCAGAAGTCCTGCTTCGAGTGCGCTCGCAGCAAAGCGAGGTGCGATCTAGAAGTCCCCTCATGCGGACGCTGCCGGGCGCGAGGCAAGCATTGCGTCTACGGTGCTCGCTCAGGCAACCCAAATGTCCGTCGACAGCGAGACTCTGTTGCCCCTCCTGCCAACCTATCAAGCATGTCCATCGGTACTGGGTCCCAGCACAGCGACATGGGCGGCGTCGGCTCCAGTAGCAGCCCATATGGCTGGGCCTCGGGCGGTGATACTTCTTATTACTCTGACTCTAGCCATGGCTCAGTGCCGCAAACCCCAGGCTCCATCCACTCCAATGACGACTCGGGATCAGAGAGCGGCGTGGCCTGGTCTGAATCGGGTCAGGTGCCCTATGGCGGCCCTCATGCTCATAACTACGCTTCGTCGAGCGCCAGCTTGCCCCTGCAAGCGACGGGCGCATACGGAGGCGGGCCCACTGCTGGCCACGCTGTCGGCCAAGGAGGAGGCATAATGGCACCGCCGATTGGCCCCATCGACCAGGCTCCCGTCGTCACACCCACCACATTCATGGCGAGGCACAGTCACGGCCCATCGATGGCTTCCACTGGTCGTCTCATCACAGATCTGGATCGCAGTGCGCCCACGTACAAGAATGAAGACGGCGAAGAAACGCCCATTGGTCGCATGGTGAATTCCTTCGCCGCGGGCCCCAGCTCCATGACTGCTCGAGGACCTGATCCCGCACTGGATCGAAGGCCGAGGGGTGGGATGGGACCACCCATGCAACACCTGCCGCCATCGGGTCAAATGGGCCAACATGGGCCCATGCACCAGCAGCAGGGAGCGCCTCACCATCTCCAGCAGCAACAGCATTCCCACGCCCAATCACCGCATTCGCAACATTTCTCCTCCTCGACTAGCTGGATCCCGCAGACCCATTACGCGCCCATGACCTCAACGCCCCCAAACAACAACCAGCAGCAAGGCTCTAGCTCTCTAATGGGCCCGCCCGTGGGCCTGCCTCATCGCATGAATGTACCTGGTGAAGGCTCCTCCTCATCCCTGCCCTTTGCGTCTCCCACACGAGGTCCACCAGGGCAGCGTCCCCAACCTCATCGTCTACTCACGGGCGCAGCCATGCCTCAACCTCCGCAATCGAGCAGCGGCACCAATGTCAGCGGCATCAACATGCCACCGGGCAGCGGCAAGCCGCTCTTCAGTGCCATGGTCGATCTGACAGGCTGGCTAGAGGACCCTGTCGTGCCTTCCCCTCTCTATCCCACTGGACCCAGCATGGCACCCTTTGCTCCAAGTGGATTGGATGGTAGCGTGCCAGGCGATGTCTCAGGCCAACAGCAGCCGCAAGCGTCCCTCGACACGTTGATGCAGGGCAACGATCAATCTCAGCAGCAGCAGACCCAGTCGTCCTCTTCGCAGCAACAGATCCCCGCCTCGCGGTACTGGTGGGCCAATCCTCCCTCGCACTCAGACTACAATCTGATGCAGGGCGTAGCGCAGGCTTCCGCAAATCACCTCTCCCACTATCCGGCGCTCATGGTTCTGCCCGAACCCAGCAGCCCTGTACCTCCCACGGTGCACCGCAGCTGGATGGCCACGATGCGTGGCAATATCCCCGCCTACCTCGCCATCGCCCGCGTAGTCCTCGCAGGGTACGCCGTGCGCCTCCCCGCCTCCGAGGCCGTGGTCTGGGAATCTGTGGCACGCGAGGCGCGTCGCATCGTAGAGAGTCACGAAGCCATCAGCTCTGATGCCTGCTCAGCGCTTGAGCTGTTCGGAGCTACGCTGAGCTTGTTCTTCTACTGCATCCTCCTCATGATGTGCAACGATGCTGGTGCGGTGGGTCATGTGGATGTCGGGCTGACCAACTCGGCCTTCTTTGGGTTGAGCCAATTGGCTGGGGCCCTTGCTCGGAGAGTGCAGGCGGCGCAAGCCCAAGCTCAGCAGAAGGAGCAACAACGAAGCATGGAGGGCAATGGTAGCAGCAATGCGGGCAGTGAAGAGTGGATGGAATGGGGCTTCGTTGAATCGATGCGTCGCACGGTGTGGGCAGCATACGCCATGCTGGTCCTGCAACGCTACCGCGACTCGGCGGACATGTCTCAGGGCAGGCTGGCAGGGGTGGACCTCATTCTGGATGTTCAGCTGCCTGCTCCTGCCCTTGAATTTGAAGCGGGCACACTTGAGGATTGGAAGAAGGCAAAGGCCGCGCTCTACAGTAGCGATGAGTCAGGTAGCGTTCGCAAGCCTACCCTCACCTTCCGCGATCTGCTCAGGCATCGACCCGTGCCCTCGAATCCTTTCGCCGCTGGATCCTCGTCAAGCAATGGTGGAAGTTCGAGCGATCCCTCTCGCGCCTCCTCGTCCTCATCAGCATCCTCTGGCGCGTCTGGCTCGGCGCCGAAAGAGCTCCTCGACTACTTTGAGCGCCACGACGCATTCGTCGCTACGGTGCTTAGCATTGCCTTCTGTTTGGACGCGAATTTGAGCTCCGGATGAAGTAGGTCCAGGTCAATGGGATGAAAACGCGCCCATGGTCGTCGTCTATTGATTCGAGACATCAATTTCTGTATTACCACCCAACGTTTATCGTGTCTCTCGTTTCCCTTTGTCCTCTAGCATCCACAATACAAGGGGCCCGCTTTCCCCCCCGTCGAGTTCCTTCTTTTGATTGTTTCTCACTCTCTACCGTGCACCCAATACAAGACAAAAGTGCTCTTTTCACTAGCCGTGCATGTGCTATAGTGCTGCTCATATTGCGATGCATGTATGAAGATCGATGGTCTCCCACCTCTCCTCTACTCCGAACCAAGTCGAACCGCTTCCTCAAACAGCCTCTTGACGTCCTCAACCTTCTCGCCCCCCTCGAAGCCCTTGACCTCCTCATCCAACGCAGCGCGCAGTGTCACCTCAACATCCCCCACCTCAGAAGCAAAGCTGCTCAAGAAGCAACGCAACGCCTCACCAGACCACCAGGCGCGCCACTTGGTCTCTTCATCCTCCTCTTGCGCAGCTGCTGCAGCGCTAGTCGAGAGGTAGAGCCTGGCAAGCCCACGCAGCGCAGATGCTAGGACTTTGCGCTGCTCGCTCAGGATCGACTCCAGGGCAGTGCGCGCTTCTGCTACGGTCTGCTGCGGCTGGGTCTGACCAGGCTGAGCGGCCACTACGGGTTTGGGCGCTGCTGCCGGAGTAGGAGCGGACGGGTCCGCGGCGGCCGGCTTGGGTGGGAGGTTGGCCGAAGTCGGGAAGCTGAAGGCAGGCTTCTTTGCTGGTGGCTCGCTGTCACCTGATGAGCCAGCTTCGGCAGCAGCAGTAGCTGCTGCGGCTGCCGCTGCTGCCTCTGCTTCCTTGCGCTCCTCCTCTTCCGCTTCGTCGCGCTGCAGTCGCGCGAGGCGACGACGGACCTGCCCAACACGCCCGTTCACCTTTTCAACTGTGAGACGCAGGATCTCGTACCAGTCAAAGGAGGACCAGTCCCTCGTGTAGTGCGATGCTGCCCCAGTGTCGTCGCTGTTGTAAGGGCGGGAGAAGCTCCATGCTACAGTGTCTCCCGATCCTTGCAGGACGGTCGTGGGCAGAGCTGCTTCGCCGAGTGAGTCGCCATTGAACACGAATCCAACGACATCCGCCGGCTCGACGATGCGGTATTGCACTAGCTTGTCGACCACGATTAAGCACCACTGCGGGCTCCTGGCCCAATGCCTGGCTGTGGCTCCCAAAATGGCCGCACGCGTCGCGGGGGTGGTCGACAGGTGACGCAGCAAGCCGTGGTAGCGTTCGACGATGTTGAGGAAGTGGGAGAAAGAGCGCGACCCCACATTGAGGACCACCTGGGTCATCACGTCTCGCACGACTACGTCTGCTTGCGCTGCGTTGCTGACCCGGCCCGACGGAGGGATGGCCGTGTGCTCGCCGCCGTTGGCGCCATTGCCATCCTGCATCTCATCGTCCAGCGGGTTCTCCGGCGCAACAAGGTCGCGCTTGAAGCTCTCCAGCTCAGCCAGCACGACCGGAGCTGTAGCCCTGGCCCTCAATGAAGCAGTCAGTGCCGCCGCTCTCTTGTTGTAAGGGTGCCCCTCTTCGCCATACGTAAAGCATGGCGCAGTTTCCTCAGGCCTAAGCACGCTTTCCTGCACCTCCTCGGGTAGAGTTCCCTTGATGCGATCATAGTATGCCAACCTGACCTCCAGATCTACAATCCTCCTCGCGAGAGAACGACACGGGTGACTCCACGCAAGCCCCATATCGGGGATCCACTCCTTCCAGTTCCAGGAGAAGTTGAAGTTGCTCAGGTGCGCACTAAACCAGTCACTGAAGCGCTCGAGCACTTCAGAGGAAACACGTCCTCGCCTCGCGGCGCCGTAGACTCGACGGACTGTTCTGCCGATGGCAGGTGCAAGAGTTTGCGGGCTGAGCGTTGTGATCTCGCGAAGGAGGGCATGGTAGTAGAGCCCTACGTGTGGGCTGGAGGGAAGAAGGAGTGAGGAGCCGAGGATGCACTCTACCAGGAGGTCATCCAGTGTCCAAGCCCCCTCCGGGTCGCGGTCGTCGCGATTGGTCCACTCGTCTGCGTCCTCCGCATCACCGAAGAGGCCAGCGTTGGGGTGCACTGCTTTGCCCGCGAATGTGCCCTTGCGCAGCCATTTTGCGAGGCCAAAGAGGATGCGAGCGCACTCTTTGCGATTTACCTCGTAGAGATCGATGATATCCAGGGTGAGGCCACGCAGGACTACGGAGGAGGGCGTGCCAGCGAGAGGGCACGACTCGACGAACCAACGAGGATACAGTCCCACTCGGTCCGGTCCAGCTCCGGCTCGGCGGACTTCTTCGTCTGCCTTTTGCAGGGAGATGCTCTTGTGCTTACTACCGCCGCCAAACTTGCGCTTGTTGAGTCCGGTAGGCTTTGCTTGGCCTTGCCCACCGAGCGGGAAAGACGTCTCGAATTCGTCTTCCTCCTCAGGTGGGACGAGAATCTCGGGCATGGAGATGAGGTATTGCGCTTGAGGGAGAGTGGAGGTGTTGCGCACTACAGAGTCGACTATGTTGTTGATGGCTGGAGGGAGGAGATCGGTCGCTCGGGGCAAGAAGGTGGGCGGACGCCAGTCGCGAGAGCGCAGTAGCTGGAGGGCCTCGACGGCTTGCTCGAATCCTTCCTCGTGGAGGAGGTCGCCGCTATCGCCTTCGTTGTCCGGATCGATGGGCGAGCGCCAGGGGGAGCGAAGGTCGTGCTCTGCCTTGCGAGTAGCGTTGTAGCCTTCTACGGCTTGGACGAGTCCATCGAGGTCAGAGATCGCCTCGTCCGATCGAGCAACATCGCCATCGCCCCTTGCAAGGTCGGCGGCAGAGCGACAGAGGACTTCGATGATGCACATTGCAGCGCGGTCGCCACGATCAATCGTGACACCTGGCTCGTTGAGGACCATTGCGAATGCCGAGAGGAGCTGGCGCATAGACGAAGGAGGGACGATGCCGAGGGGTACGAGGGCGGCGAAGAAGTGTAGCGAGAGGCGGACATTCCTCCAGAGGCGCGAATGAAGGTGAGAACGAAAGGCTTTGACGAGGTCGCGGCCGATCTTGATTCCGAGGGTCTCTTGCTCAGATGAGGTGGAAGAAGAGGCGCCATTGCCATTCTCTCCGTCCATCGCTGCGGTGTCATCCATTCCGCGACTCTGAACATCGGGTGAGAGGATGAGGAATCCGAGTAGCGCAGCGATGAGGGGCGTCTTGTGTGGCTGCTCAGTGACCATTACACGGAAAGCTTGAAGGACGACTGCCTCATGTTGCGGGCCGCGCTTTGCCTCTTCTTCGATCCACTTCTTGAGGGTGAAGAGGTCACTCTGAGGGTAGAAATCGTCGTCTTGGATTGCAGCTGGTGCTCCCTCTGCCTCATTGGCAGGCTTGGCGGACTCTGCAATCTTGTAGAGCTTCTCGCGAACTCGACGTGCTCGCTCCTCTTCTGCGCGTTGGCGGTCGTGGTCGTTCATACCAGCTGTGTACGGCGAGCCGCCGTAGCCTCCTCCACCACCAGCATTACGTCGTGGTCCGCCGCCGCCATAGCGCCTGCCTCTGCCTCCCCCTCCTCCGCCATAAGACTGACTTGGGTAGCCTTGCTGCTGTTGGTGCTGCTGCTGATGACCCTGCATTGGGTTCGGCGGCAGGAAGGCAGGGTATCCCTGTTGCTGCTGAGGATTCCCCCATGATCCACCGCCCGAGTACATGCCGTGTGGATCGTTTGGATCCATAGCTGCAGAGGAGGGCCTGGTGAACGATGTTTCGTGGTCAAGTTTGAGAAGTAGTTGCGACTTGTACGTGCTCTTTCCTTCGACTTTGGCGCGCAAGAGCGGATGGGCGGATGGGCGGGCTCAGACGAGTGGATGAGCCTCGCGCCGTGGCCGTGCGTGGCCGTGGCCGACTGGACGGGCTCGTCCCTCCATCTCGACTGCTCCTGTCTGACCAAGGGAACGCATCTTAGCATCCTGTCCACCATCCCGCCCTCGCCATCATGGGCTACCTAACACAGTACGCCGCCGGCTATTCAGTCACCTCCCTCACCACACTCCTCCTCGTCCTCTACTTCACCGACCATTTCCACCCCTTCTACTTCCTCCGCACCGCCTCGCCCTACGCATGGGCAATGACGGGCATTGGCCTCTGCATTGGCCTCTCGGTCATGGGCGCAGCTTGGGGAATCTACATCACTGGCTCATCCATCTTGGGAGCTGGTGTGAGGACGCCGAGGATCACAACAAAGAACTTGATCAGCATCATCTTCTGCGAAGTCACGGCCATCTATGGCGTCATTATTTCCATCGTCTTCAGCGCAAAGATCACGGGCAGCCTGTCGGATCAGGGACTGTACACGAGGGATAACTTCTTCACAGGTGAGTGCAGCCCCGACGATGAGCAAGGCGTACAGCACGGTAGCACTGACCATGACGCTTCACGTTGACACCCCATTCTCGCCGCCAGGCCACCTCCTCTTCTGGGGAGGACTCACCACGGGTCTCTGCAACCTCATTGGTGGAGCATCCGTAGGCGTCACGGGTGCCAACGCCGCCGTCGCAGATGCAGCCGATGGGCAGCTGTTCATCAAAATCTTGATCGTGGAGATCTTCTCGTCGATCATTCCCATGTTCGGTCTCATCGTGGCGTTGCTCATGGTGAGTGGAGAGAGCTGGTCGAGGTGGAGCTTTGAGATGGCCTTTGCTGACCATCCGCGCATCATTCTCCCGTTCACACAGACTGCCAACACGAGTGAGTTCAAATGAGCAGGGACGGAGGCTGCTCGTGTAAGGTTGGCAGTGAACACGGATGGATCTGCAACGGGCATGTAGGAAGAAGATCTGGTGCCTTACGCCAATCGCTCTTCTCATCTTTACGAACATCATCACGTCCCTGGTTGCATATAGCTATAGTACATATAATGGCAGAGCAGTCTCGCCTCCCGAGTGTAGCTTTGTGGTTGTGCTGCTGGAGTCGGTCCCTTTATCGCCGTCTTTCGTCTCCCTCGCCGCCATCACCTCTGGTCCGTCGCAAGCTCGTCCATGTAGCAGGCCTCGCAGTTGGTGCATACGTAGCTGCGACGCGGAGAAAGACGATGAGCAGGTCAGCATTGCTCACACTTCCATGCGAGTACTCTGCAGCTCACAAGAGGATCATCCTGTTCTGTATGCGCTTCGACTGGTCTTGGAAGTAGACAGATCTGCGGGCGACGAAGAGAGAGGAGCGAACGATGAGCGTCCATTCCTGCTGCCTGGATGGAGCCACCGCGCTGCTGCTAGCACTCACTCGCTATGCCCACACTCCGGACAGATATGGTCATGTCTGCGAGGAAGCGTCGGGTCTGTACGAATGCTATCGATGACGCCTGGTTGCTCCTGTAGGGGCGAGAAGAGGCGAGAAGAAGCAAGCAGCCGTGGTCAGCGGGCGTGGGGATCGCATGCAGCTACCGCCTCGACGTCGCTGTGTGCGCACCTTGGAGACACTCTTCAAGTCGTTGCGAAAGACGACATTCTCCCTTGCCTCCTCTCGATAGTTGCAATTCCTGCACGAGTAGAGGAGGACGTGGTTGGATCGGTCCACTTCAGGGTAAAGGAGGTTGTTGCTGAGCACGCGTGCAAAAGGTGAAGGCATTTCAGCTTTTTGCGAGGTAGACCATCGCCCGCTCCCACTCACCACTCTGCGCAGAAGTTGAGGCTAGGATTGCTTCCACCAGTAGCCATGTCTTGCAGCGAGAGGGTTGATCGAAGGAAGGGAAAGGACAACGGCGGCGGATGGAGGCATCCGTCGTCGTCCCATCGTTGTCCGTCGAGTGCCTCTCTCCGTCCGCCTCGACACCTCGTCCCCTGCTTCCGATGCCGACTTTTCGCCCTCGAGAGTAACACATCGACAAGTCCAAAGGGGTCCGACCGACCGCCACAGTCGTTCCACTTCACATCTATCTTCTGCATATAGTCATCATGGAGGCTGCCGGCCCCTCGTCTCCCACCATTCCCGCAGCGCCCGCCCGCTCCTCCCTCCTCCCGACCTACTGGCGCGATCCAGAGTACCTGCGAAGCGTACCCCTCACCTCTCGCACCGCCTTGGACTATTTCTCCCTCTCCCACTTCTTTGATCAGGAGTCGACTAATCAGGTCCTCCGCATGCAGAACATCGCCAATCCTCAGGCACAGATGCCTGGAATGGGTAAATCAGCTAGGCAGCAGGAGGAGGAGTTGAAGCGTTTCCAAGGGATCGAGTTCGTCTTGGTGCACTCGAGGGAGCCTACGGGCAAGGAGGCGGTAGAGAAGGGGGATGAGAGCCTGTACGTGGTGCAGAAGAGACGGAGGACCAGCCCAACTCAGACGGCGGTACTTGAGACGTATTACATTCTTAATGGAAATGTACACGTAGCGCCGGACTTGGAGACGGTCCTGCAGAACAGGCTCGTGACGGCACTCGATTCGCTCCGGGCGAGCCTCTCATTGGCTAGAGCAGCGCAGGCAAGACCCATCGCACCACCATCAGCGCGAATCGATGACGCCAAGAAGGGGAAATCAGGCAAGGCAATGTCTGCGGCATCAGGTACCACATTGGGAGCAGAGGCGGTGCGGGAGGCTGCTGCAGAAGGAGGAGCAGCGGGCGGCGCCCAGGATGAGGACGAGGAGCTCATGGAGGGAGGGGCCCGGTCATCACCAGCGCCTCCACCCGCAAACAGCAAGAAGCGCCCCTACCCGATCGCTTCAATACTCGAAGCTCCTCCGCCGAGACAGAGTTCCTGGAGCCTCTCCTCCCTCTGGCCAAGCAGCGACCCGCCTCCGTCATCTCCCCTTTCCACCGTAGGCTCCCTCTTCACAACAGCGCATCACTACGCCTTCTCCACCCCTTTAGGAACGGCCGTCACATCCTGCCTCGTCACTGCCACGTCCCTCGTCGTATACTGGCGCTACTTCCGCCGTCTCCGCTCAACGGAATATGTCACGCCTCGCGACCTTCAATGGCGAGGGCGCATGCTCACGGGGACATGCACGCACATAGGAGATGCGGACGGCTTCCGTCTCTACCACCAGCCCGGACCCGTGGGGCTGAGAAGCCTACTGTTCCCCGTACCAAAGACGGCGAAAGCGCTCAAGGACGAGACCCTCTCCATCAGACTGGCGGGATGCGACGCCCCCGAGCTTGCGCATTTTGGCAAGGAGGCACAGCCCTTTGCTGCGGAGGCAAAGGAGGCTCTGCGCGGTCTCGTGGAGGGCAAGACGGTCCGCTGCGATGTAGCTCACGTAGACCAATATCGTCGTCTCGTCGCCACGCCATACGTTTGGGCTCCTCCCTATGTGCTGGGCAGAACCAACGTGTCCCTCAAGATGGTCCAGCTGGGCCTTGCTACGGTGTACCGGCAGGCGGGCGCGGAGTACGGGGCAGCGGGTTGGTTGTCGCGGGTGCTCTTCAAGTCAAAGAGTGGGCTGGGCAGATTGGAGAGGGCAGAAGAGATGGCGAGGCGGAGGCGTAGAGGCATGTGGAGCCAGGGCAAGGGGCTTGAGAGTCCGGCCGAATACAAGAAGCGAGTCAAGCGCGAGAAGTAGGCGGGCACGGCCGGCTACGCTGATGACCGCTGATAGATACCCCGGCCTCGCAATGATAAAGCCTCCAAACAGATGCTCGCACGCGCTCATGAGTCTCTGATCGTATGCATTTTTCAGGGTATAGAAGGTGTGGGTAAAAGACACGGAGAGAGGGCTCAGGGGCAGAGAAGCAAGAGGGGTGCTTGAAAGCGAGAAAGATGGATGGTGCGCAAGAAAGCCCCGCACGCTTAGCAGAGAAGGTCACTGATGGCCATGCGACCCGAAGCGGGCTTATCAGACGAGGACGAGGACGATGAGCTGTCGGCTGCAAAGGTGGACGTCGACGTCGTGCGAGGGCTAACGCCCTCCTCGGTGGCGAGGTGGGCACGCTGGTCTCGCACGCGATGGACGTACTCGGTCGCCTTGGGCGTGACGTCCCTGTCCTCGTAGGTTGCAGAGATCGGTCGAAGGTGCGCAGGGATGGGCAGCTCTGCCTCTCGCTCGTTGACGGCGTGGCGTGCCACAGGAGGCAGGCCAGCGAATGCCTGTTGATGAGGGTGGCTTTGGTGCGTGATAGGCGGAAGATTGCGAGTTGACGGGCTCTGCAAGACCGAAGGCATAGCCTGGGATCCGTGTACCGCGACACCGAGGCCGTAGCCATGGTGCTGAGGAGGCTGCTGCTGGTAGTGAGCAGGCGGAGAGAGGACCGAAGGGATCACTCCGTTGCTGTAGGGATACGCCCGCTCTTCCGAAGACACTTCGTCGCTTCCTCGCCTGCCGAAGCCCTGCGGCATAGGTGGCGACGACTGGGCCGCACTTCCATTTTCAGTGCCGCGGTAATTGGGTCCAAGCTGAGCCGTTGCGACCACCGGGTCAATGGTCCACCATCCACCCTTCCCCCTCGCAGCCTGGCTATGCGCCGGGTTTGCTGACGCGCAGCTGTCGTAGATGTCTTGCGCCGTGCGTGCCACCTTGACGAAGCTCTTGTTCAGCGACAGGTTGTGGCGCACGGTGTTCTGCCATCCTTGGCTGTCAGCCCCGTCCATCGAGTAAAGGTCCGGGTAGGCATTACTGATCCACGTGTAGATCTCGCGCAGCGTCATGCGACCGGCGGGGGAAGAGCTGATAGCCTGGGCGATGAGAGAAGAGTAGCTGAAAGGTGGACGGCGGCGGCGGCGGTTGGAAGGGAGACGCTCAAATTGGGGTTGAGCCGGAGAAGCGTTGACTTGAGCTTGCTGTGCGGCGGGTGCGATGGGCTCGCCAGACATGGACATACTTTGCCATGACTCGGCGCGGCGCTTGGCTAGCATGGGACGCTGCTGATGCTGCTGCTGGAGGTAGTACGGCGCTGGTGGCGGCATCTGCTGGTGCTGCTGGTGCTGATGCGGATGAGGTGCGAGCTGAAGAGAGCGACGCTGCACAGCTGGTGACTCGAGGGGGTAGTGGCGAGGCTGCTCGTACGGGGAGAGGTGCGCCGAATTGACCGAGGGGCTCTCATCGTGGTAGATGGGAGCTGCAGCAGGCGGATGAGGCACCGAATACAGCGGACGGTGCGCTTCTCGCGTCAGTCTTGGCTGCTCTTGACCCTGAGGCGTGAGAGGTGCGAAGAGGAGTGGCGAGCTTGGCATCGTAGACGGCGCGTAGCTGTCGGCCGTGGCGCCGCTGTCTCCTCGAGAAAGCCGGCGCACATCGAAGTGCATTGTATTTCCGTTGAGCATCGAGCGGTCGTTGCCGGGCGAGGCTGAAGTCGGCGTCGTGGCCGTCTTGCCGAAGGATAGGTTGCGTAGGGGAGCAATAGGCCTTCGGGGGTCTGAGTGCGGAGGACCTGCCATGGTGGCAGAGCGGCCGCGGTTGCTGTGAAGGTCGGAAGCGTGACGGGAGAAGAGGACGTTGTTGTCATGCCTTGATTGCGGCAGACTGGATGGATGAGGCTCGCCCTGATCGTGGATCCCGATGTGGGCGGGCCAGGTTGGGGAGGGCGTCGTTGCTCCTCGAGACGATGGACCGCTAGAGGGCGCATACGGATGGTGTCTTCGCGCAACTCCAAGGCACGACTGAGCGGCGGCGGGGCTATTGCTGATGCTGTTGCGAGCTACGAACGTGTTGATGGCCTTTGGCGGTGGCGCGGGGGACGCCCAGTGAGTCGTCCATTTGGGCGAGTCGGTAAGAGGCGGCGAGGAAGTTGACGTTGAAGTTGAAGAATTCGTCGATGAGGACTGCGGGCGCTGAGCGTCATGATCATCGCCCATCTCGACGTCGTCCTTGGGCGGTGCGAGCTCGTCCAGCTCCGAAGAAGGAGAAGATGGCTGGTCGTGGCTGTCCATTGAATTGCTCTGCTCGAGGTCGTCCGACGACGAGGCGATCGAGGTGGGCGACGAGGTAGCGCTACGGCTGTCGCTGCTCACCTGCGGGAGGACGTTGATAGGGGGAAGGCGCGCCTCGATCGAAGACTTGTGCGTGGCAACGTCGAAGACAGCAGCCGTGTGGTTGTGTGCGAGGGCTGCGATATTCATCCCTGGCATCTACCAGCAGACCAGTGGGTCGATTAGGTGGGGGGGATGCGGGCCGAGTGATGAAGAGAAAAGGTCGAAAGTGCGTTGCGGTAGGGGGTTCGGGCGATGATGGTAGTGGGTGGGTCAGCGATGAGATGTTGGGGGTGACAAGGACGGAGACGACGTATGGATTGGAAGGGGGAGGGAGGAGCAGAAGCGAACGTCGCTGCCAATGCCTCGCACCACGCAGTCGTAGTCTGACGCGGTGGAACTAAGGTTAGGCAGCGTCTTCGCCTGCGTCTGGGTGGTGGTCCCAAGATTGCGTTTGGTTTCCAGGCGTGGAAGGCGTGGCGCGAAGCCGAAGGAGCGAGCGAGATGAGGAGTATCGACTGCACCCTCAACGAGCTCGTCCGCATCGAGCCCCGTCTATGCGCCTTGCATCGCCGGTGAGCCTTGTAAACAAACGAGCCTTGTGCAGCGACATCGGCAGAGGCAGCGGTTAGGCAGCTCTCGGCCAGATGCCGCTGACACAACTTCGATGTCCGCTGCTCAACCAGGCACCATTTGTTGCTCCACTGGAACAAGTCGACGAGAACGAATCAAGGTTGGGTTCACGAGTTGCGACACGAGTGCGACTGCGAGACCTGACTGAGACCGAAAACGAAAGCAAAGCAAAGGCTGGACGACGGCGCGGCGCGGCGGCTCGGCGAGGCGAGGTCGAGCAGGCGAGGTGCACGGGGAGGGAAGAGCTTGGGTCTCCTCGTTTTCGCCCCCCGCATGCAACGCGTGCTGCATTCCTTGTGGCTCTGAGCCGCCAGTCGACGAGCGATCCTCGAGCGATGCTTGAGATGCAGCGACCGATGCTTACGATGCGGAGTGGCGTCCAGCGTGGCTCGTCAACGCGGACGACGAGGATGGGGACGAGGTTGACGATGCGGAATGGGACGAGGATGAGGCGTACGACGCCCTGTCCATCGCCCGCCAGACCGAGACGACCCAGCTCAGCGAATCGCTCAGCGCACGGCGCTGAATGCTGCAGCACGGTGGGGCCACTCGCTCGGCCCTTCTCACGGTCCCACATTTTCGTCTCACAGCTTTCTTGCCGAGGCGTGGTAGAACTCAACTCCCGGAAAATATCCGGGCGTACCACCAGAGCACCGCTCGCGACAGCTTGATTAAGCTCCAACGTCGCCGTCTCACCCTCTGCTTCTCGAAGCGTGGGTAGAGAGAAGACCGTTTACTGGAACCACTTTGATGACGTTTGATGACCACCGGCAGACACAGCCTAGTCCAGCCAAGACTGTGGTGGCAATACGCTTCGGCGACTGCAACGAAGACGGCAATGGCCAAGGCGAAGGCCATGACGAAGGCCGCCAACCAGCACGATACGAGTGCGGGAGGCTTGGGCTTTGCGCAGACACTCCAGCCGTGGAACACCGTCGTCGCTAGCACCATGCGCTCTCATATGTAGGACCACTAAGCCGCGCATGGTAGAGGTCCCCGTCCTCCGGCCCATTACGCAAACCGCCTTACGCATGGGGCGCGAAGAGGCTTCTTTCCTCGTCACCGCCGCCAGCGTCGTGTCATCGCTCGCCCGGCCACCGCAAATACCATTGAGTGGCAATGCCTGACCGCGAGGACGAACACAATCATAGCGTGGCGTCGCGTCCTCCTAATAGCATCAAGCTTCGCGATGCTTTGCGCTGCGCTGAGGTTCAACCTCCGCCTGATCGATCGCTGACTGCCGCTGCCGCCTTGCAACTCTTGAACTCGACGCCGCATCTTAGAAGTGGCGCCGCCATCAGCTAGCGTACGATCACCGCGAATGGCCGCGGCGCGCAGCCCAGCGCGACGACAATGAAGGCCAGCCGGACTTTGTCGACCAATCCCACCCCGAGCCAAGCTGCGGGAGAGCGGAATCGTCATGGCAGACGACATTGCCAAAAGCGGGGTTTGAGCAGCTCGACCGCGCGAGAGGATACCTCGACTGGGGCTATGAGATGGCGAAGCCAAGCGCTTGGGCTGCCGCGTTGCTAGCGCCAAAATATCGTCGAGACCATCGAATCCGAGCCAGAGCCAGAGTCAGAGCCAGAGGCAAGAGCACGAGCAACGAGCGAGGAACCACCAGCCAAGCTACGACACGACTTGTTGAACTCACCTTCAACGGCCTTGACAGCGAGCGAAGAGCTTGTGACGTCGCGCGTGTGGGGATGCCGGTGGTCAGAATGGAGAGAGACCGGCTGATGGAGCACGGTGAGATCGAAGAGGATACAGGTGGTTGGGAAAGGGAAACGAAGGGAAGCTCGACAACCCCGCTAGTGATAAGGCACACGAGAATGTCTCGATGGCTCAAGGGTATCACCGAGGCAATCAATCCACGGCCATTTACTTGTCAGCGCACACGCTCTCGCCCTCGGTGCGCTCGAGCAACGTCGCTGTAGTCCCTCGTCATGCATCGAGCTCGTGCTCAGGCTCATTGGCACATAGGTTTGCTCTCAGGGCAGCGGTAACCCCTGGCCCTCCGCCAACATGATCCCGCCTCACCGTGTGTTAGCAAAGGATGCAAGGGCAAGGGGAATGCGGATTCGCGGCTACAGGCACAACCTGCCTGCGGGACCATTGCAGCGATCGACGCTCTCCACCACCAGCAATACGGGCTATGACCGGTGAGGAAAAGGTGGGTAGTTGGGGATTTCGCCGGTTTCTCTGCCCAGGGCTACGACCGACGCTTTGTTCCCCATTCGTCTCTTTCCATCTTGTTGACAGTACAAACTCCAGCAGCGCCTAAGTTGAGGTCTCGTAACCGCGTTGGTGTCGCAGATGTAATGTTGAGCTCAGTCACTAGCAAACGAAGCCACCCGTGTCTCATCCCGATGGTCGTAGAAAGTGGAAGTTGCGACACCCATAGCCCGCTCCTTTCGCCGCTTGATCGTCCCTTGACCGCTGCATCCACACATCGACCACGGCTGAGTGGCTGAGTGCACAAATCTGATCCTTGTGGTCTCACCTGGCATCACGCTGCTTTGAGCACCAGTACGCAGAGCGATACGGCGCACGGCATCGCAATGATCGCGCATGGCAAAGGCGGTCTCGCCGTCCTCCCGTTCGTCATTGCACGCATGATTCAGCGATGCTCTGTAAGCGCTGTTGGCAGTCCTCGCGAAGAAGGGACTCTCCACAAAGCACTTGTGGACGTCACGACACAAAGCGTCATATGCTCGAGAGGGCTTTTCTTCCAGGCGAGGTGTTGAGCGTGCGACGTCTATTGGCCGGTCGTGGGAAAGCAAACGTCGCGGCCCGTTCAGGTCAAGGACAAAGGACAAACCTTGGCCATCCCCATCTCTCCCAAACAAATGAGACATTGCCTACACGCGCGCACGATCGCCGTAAGCAGCGCAAACAGGTTTCACCTTGGATCAGAGCCACGAACAGGGTCCTGCGGGCGTGCCGCTGCTAGTCTCATCTAAGAGGGGAGCGGGAGGGCAGGCAGAGACAAAGGGCGGAGTCACGAATGGCGGAGCTCGCGCGCCACCACGCCACGCTATCATCTCTTTCCCCGACGTCACGGGCGTACCATTGTCGATCTGCCTCCTCCTTTGAGCCTCCGCCAAAGCCCGCCTGCATCCACTGGCCCTGATTCTCGCACTTCCAAGTCACAGAGCCGCATTGCTACCAATCGCGGAAAAGGATGATAGAGCGGGGGAACACAACGGTTGCGGCTGGAAGCCATTGTCATTTCCGCGAATATCGCCCTTGCACGCCCTGATGAGCGCCACAATCCACTGACTTTCACGATCAGCTTGCGTCGATCTGCGTACGGAACATCCGCGACGGTCATTGCTTGTTGCGATGCGGTTGCATTTGCGATCTTCGATAGTAGGATAGTAAGGTCTCCGCCACCGCCCAATGCTCCTGACCACAATCATGGTTCGCCGCCTCAATTGAATACCCCTCGATTCTGCCTCGAATGCGACGACTCCGCGAATCGCAGCACGAAGTTGACCACCGTAGCTGACAGCAACGCCGCACAGAGCAACGAGGGCCCAAGGGCGTCGAAGTAGACGTTGGAGCTCTCCTTCTTGCGGATCTTCAGAGCGCGCCACATGTACAGGATCCCAGAGTACGCAATGCAGCACAGGGCCACAATGGTGAAGAAGCTGGCGGCTACCAGACCGTATTTGTCTCCTGGAGTGCTGAAGTTGAGTAGACCAACGGCGAGGGCCGAGAGGAAGACGGAAAATTCGAGCCATTTGAGGAAGGTGCGCTCGTTGGCAAAGTAGACTTTGGGCTCGATTCGTACCGGTATGGAGACCTTTGTGCCCGTGGGAGCTCGGAAGTTTGTCACATACTCGACGCCTGTAGGTGGGCCGGAGCCGCGACTTCGGGGCTCTTCCTCGTCGCGACCCATCAGCGCTTGGCGGATGCGTTCGCGCTCTTCGTCTTCCTCCTCGTCGTCATCGTCGTCGTCGTCGTGGTGGTGCGATGAAGCGGTGCCGTCGCGCGAGTACTTGGAGCGGAAGAGACGCTTGATGTTGGAGGGGGCTAGCTTGCTGAAGTAGTTCTTATCAAAGGCTGTCGAAGTCGAGAGGATCTCATCGCGTCCTGCGGGCTTGCGATGCGCGTCACGCTGACGCCTCTCTCGCTCAGTGAGCCCTGCAGCTTGAGCTACACCTGACTGACCCGTGGCTAGCAAGCTACTCGCCGCATTGGCTGCATTGTCCGATCCACCCTCCGCCCTCTGCTTTTCCAACTCTGCCTGCCTCTTGCGGATGTTGGCCTCTCGCTGCTCTCGAATCTCACGAATACGCGGGTCGTGCGGGGCCAGACCGATATTGGCGGCAAGGTGATCCTCATTTGCCGCGGCATGCTCGCGCTCGTCGTCGTCTGCGCCTTCGAACTCGTCCTCAGAGACGGGTTCGTGGTATGGCGTGTTGTCGGAAGAGGCTCGAGTAGCTGGGGTATCGGGGCGAGACGAGGCGTCTGAAGCATGGGTCGATACAGGACGCTCAATCTGCAGGTTGCGACTTGGAGCCTTGCGAATGTCTGTGTCCATCTGCGGAAGCCAGAAGGGCACCAAGTCGACCCGGTTGGCGAGGAGAGTAGCGCAGCCGTGGATGAATTTGGAGAATTTGGGCACGGCCTCGACGAGATGGGATGCAACGAGCTCGCGCACCCACTCTGGTGGCTCTTGGCCCATCTGCGTCTGCAGTTTGACCTCGAGCACGCCATACGGGAATCGCTCAATGTCCTCGGCGGGCAGCTGCTCAAAGGGGTAGTCGATGCCGATGTCCATACGACGCCAATTGTCGCCAGCCTTGGCTCGTCCGTCCCAGTTATCTTCACGAACGAGACTAAGCTCAGTGTCGAGAGAGATGCGTACACGAGCGTCGCCAGGGAGCTGGAATGCTGTGCGGTTGTAGAAGGAGCGCATGACTGGCTGGAGTTGCCGGCTCTGCACGCTGTATTGCACCTCGTTTGCCAATTGAATCATCGAGTCAATCTCCTTGTCGCTCTTCTTGCCCTTCTTGCGGAGCTCTTCAAACGTCTCGGCCATACGATACTCGCCCGTCATGTACTTGTTGACATTCTCCTCCTTGATCGGAAAGCGGGCCTTCACTGACTTCTCACCAGTCCAGTCCTCTCTATGCGTCTTTCGCTCGACGAAGATCTGCTTGTTGTTCATACCTCCGTACCAGCGCAGGCGGATAGCTTCGGCGCCCTCGGTCTTCTCGAGACGACCGAGGTAGAGCTCGAGGTCCTCGTTGTCATAATAGATCGAGGTGATCGCGCTGTCTTCCGGCTGGTACTCCTTGTCCGGATTAAAGACGAGGACGGGCAGATGTTTAAGAATGAAGAGCTTCAGAGGGACGATGTTGTCTGGGTGAACCCAGTACTTGGTCGTCTGCCTCACAAAGGCTGACTGGGAGCCACCTGCGCTTGCGTCACCTTGGATTGGGTGACCACGAGTGCGAACGAGATCGAAGAGCTTCGACAGCTTGACGATGAGCTGATCGTAGTTCTCCTTGTAGAAGGGGCGAGCGCTGAGATAGTGCTGTACAAACTCTTTGCGGAGGAGACGGTTGGTCTGCTTGTCGTGCTTCTTGACAATCTTGTGGAAACCCGTGTAGTTGAGCTTGGTGAAGAGGGCGAGGTCGTGGACGTCGGCAATGATGACGGCGAGACGCTCCTCAAGCTCCAAGAAGCGCTCCTCGAAGAGCTCGCTGCGCGGATGTGCAAGACGAGAGCAAGGATGGGCGTTCAATATCAACTCTGCTGTCTCCACCGCGTGGCTCATCACTTACGAGTCTTCCGTGTCGCTGTCGAACTCATCATCCGAGCCGATGTTGTCTGCTGCATGGATGTGTCTGCGATTGCCGTTGTTGGTGTGCTGCTGACCGCCATCTGCATCCTGCCCCTCGCCCTCGCTCTGGTGGCCCTGGCTGTGAGCGTCAGTGCCTAGCGATACGGACGACGAGTGACGCGAAGAGACGAGCAGGTGTACCTCAGACTGGGCTTGCTTGATACGATCGGTGAGCTCTTGGACCTGCGCGTGCGCGAAAGCAAAGCGAGTTAGTACCATGCTGGCATCACCTGCCGGCATGAATCTCGGCGCCGCACCTTCTGCTTCTGGAAGTCGTAGACCTTGTCGAGCTCCTGGCGAAGGATTTCCACAAAGTCATCCTCATCCTTGTCACTCCAAACGCCGTTGTTCTTTGCCAGGCGGTTCTTGATCTCCTTCTTAAGCTCAGAGTAGCGAATGTACTTTGAGCTCCACTCCGAGTAGAGTGACGTCTTGATGGTGCGTCCGAACTTCATAGCGAATGATAGGCGGACGGCGACGTGATGGTAGGCACACGCCGACAGAGACCGTATATGCTCCCTTCAGCGGCAATTTGTGGGTATCACTACCGGCGAGAGTGATGGTAGAGGCGGCTGGAGATGGAAGGAATGTGAAGAACCGCACCTGACTGGGCCTCACAGGCTGCGTGAATGCCGTTGGGGGACAGACGGTACCTCGCTGAATAGCAAGCCAACGTGCACGACCCCTCGTCGTGCATGAAACGGAACGGAGCCTCGGAGAGTTGGGCAATGAGCGATGTGAGAGCGACCGACGCCGAGGTCGAGGTTCGAGGTCGAGTGAGGGCCAAGGGCGGAAGTAGGCGGTGCTCACAGTTCCGCCCGGGCTGGCTACTCTTGTCTCCGCATTCATTCGATCGCATCTCGACGAAATACAGTTCATTGCGATTGGCCAAACGCCACAGAGCAGTCCATGAATAGTCGCTCCCACTTCTTCCTCATCGAGACCGACTTGCCTCATGTCAATCTTGGCCTCATAACCACATCATCTTGAGCTCATCGATAGTCGCAATGTCGCGCAGGCGTGAGGAGCTGCGCCACTTCGACGGCTTAGCCTTCGCAGGCTTCGATGAGCACGTCGAGGGACATTATGCTTCGACCTCGCAGCTGAAGCTTGATGGTGTCCCTGGACGAGCGTATGCAGTAGCAAAAGATCACCGACAGCCCTCAATGCCGACCTTTGCCAACTTCAAGTCCACGTCATCAGGGCGCATGTCCTCGGACATCGTCTCGACTGCCCCAAGTTCGCCAGCGTCCCTCGACTCCGGGCCAACAGACGAATCGAACTCCACAGCCAATTCTCCAAACCATCAGCGGCGCCCAGCATCGAATTCATCACTTCGGACTTCGACTGACCTGGAGCACGCAATCGGCTTGTCAGCAGTTGGAGCCAGCAGCTCGTTCTCAGACTACGCAGGCTCATCAACGAGCTCGCGCCGAAGCTCAAGGGGACAGGTGTCAGCGGCTAGTGACGCTGGTCATCAACCATCTCTTGCCCGTGAAAAGACGATCAGAGCAAGACACGACGCCCCGTCTACAGCTGCTCGCAGTGGGGTTGCCTCCTCGTCCCGACATCGTAGCGCCTCCGACGCAACGCACCTTAATCGCTCTGACCAGCATGGCTTCGTCTCCAAGGCCAACCATCGATCTCTGCCAGTCTATTCCTCAGCTCTCGTTGTTTCTCGTGGCAGTGACGGCCAGGAGAGGATGCATTTCGCCACCCCGAACCTCGTTGCTCCTAGCCCTTTGCGCAAGGGAGAGCGAGAGATGCTACAGGCGCTGGGACTGGGAGGCATCGAGGAGGACGACAGTGTAGCCGGTCCTGGATCGAAACCAAACATGGCTCGCTCACTACGCCGCACCAGCACGGATCTGGCCTCGAGCGCTGTGAAGGTCACAACGAAGAGCGTCCTGGGACTGGCAGCCTTGCGGAGGAAGAGCGCAGAGCCTAGATCGCCGCCATCAGATACGCCGGCACAATCGCCAGGAGCTTCCACCATGCCTTCCTCGCTGCGGCTGAGATCGCAGTCGTGCGATCAGCTCCTTACTTTCACTCCTCCAAAAACACCGCCCAGTAAACATTCAACGTTCGGCTCGGCAGTGTCCCTGCGCCAACATTCTACATCTTCTTCGCAATCGATCACTGAGGAAGGCTTGCTCACCGACTCTCTTTACGGCACACCTCCACGAACGCCGCCGCGAACGCCACCGCGAACTCTCCTTCGTGACCTGAAGAAGTCGCCAGGGCGCTCCAGCCGCGACCTAAGCCATTCGCGGCGGTCTAGCCAATCAGCGACGGATCTGCCTACGATCGGTGAGACGAGCCAGGCCACATGTTCGCTGTCCCAGGAGTCCGGAGAGCCTACTTCTCCGACTGAGCATGTAGTCAATCTCAGCAGTAGGCTGTTTCGCCGGCGAGCAGCCACGCAAGCCGGTCCTGAAGCTCTTGCTGCGTGGCAGAAACTGCCAAGGAGAGGCAATTCACAGACAGAATCTGCTCCTGCTTCGCCGACTCGGCCATCATTGAAGTCGGCATGGAGCGAAGCAGCAGCTGGCGCGGCGTCTCGAGCAGTCCTCAAGCTCCAGCCAGCTCCTCTTCGCCACTCACGCCGCACCTCGCAGGAGAAAGGCCTGGGGTTGACAAATCTGTCGAGACGGCCGTCACAAGATGCACCGATGGCACTGCCTTACGCCGCCGTCGTTACATCCGCTCCTTCCAATGCAGCCGACGGACCAGGATCAGCACCCTTCGCAGGCGGGCATGGCGGCGGGGCTGGTAGCGGTGGTGGAGGCGGAGGCGGGCGAGATCAATCCCGCAAAGCACATGGCGCTGGCAATACTAGTGGCGCGGGCGCTGGAGCAGGCGGAGGTGGTCGCAATCCAGGCGGCGGAGGAGGAGGGGGTGGACGTGGTCCTCCTCGAAATGGTGGCGGCGAAACTTCCGTAACCAGCTTGTTCAAGAAACTCGAGCTTGTCGGACGCGGCGCATACGGAGCAGTGTACCGCGGTGTCCACCTCGCGAGCGGGTCGGCTGTCGCTCTCAAAGTGGTCAACCTCGACACGCCCGACGATGATGTGAGCGATATACAGCGGGAGGTCGCGCTGCTCAGTCAGCTGCGGGAGGCGGAGCAGAAAAACGTCGTGCGCTACTGGGGTTGCTGGCTGAAGGGCCCTGAACTCTGGATAGTCATGGACTACGCAGAAGGAGGAAGCGTGCGCACATTGATGCGTACGGGCCCCATTGCGGAGCAGTACGCCGTCATTATCGTGCGCGAGACTCTCGTGGCGCTCAGCTATCTGCACAAGGCCGGCGTTATCCATCGCGACATCAAGGCTGCGAACATTCTGCTCACCAACCAGGGCAAGATTCTCCTCTGCGACTTCGGCGTTGCGGCCTCGCTCGTTTCCACCGCAGCGAAGAGGACAACCTTTGTGGGTACGCCCTACTGGATGGCCCCCGAAGTAATCACGACGGGCAAGTCGTACGATCAGTCTGCCGATATCTGGAGTCTGGGCATTACAATCTACGAGATGGTGACCGGCAACCCGCCCCTCGCGGACCAGGAGCAGATGCGCGCCATCATGCTCATCCCCAAGAACAAGCCCCCACGTCTGCCTACGGACAAGGACTTCTCGCCTCCCATGCGAGACTTTGTGTCTAGCTGTTTGAACGAAGAGGCGAAAGAACGCCCCAGTGCCGATGAGCTGAGCAAGGCCAAGTGGATCAAGGGGAGCGCAAAGACCAGTACGGCGTTGCTCAAGGATTTGATCGCGGCTTATACCGCTTGGACCAAAGCGGGCGGGATGCGAATGAGCTTGCTGGGAGCCGAGGTAGACGGAGCTGCTGGACGTGATTCGTTTGCACTGGAAGAAGGCCTGGATGGGGATGCCGAGTGGCATTTTGATCAGCGAGATACAATTGACGGTTCGGGGCTGACCGCTCCCACCCGTGATCATCCGCTGATGCGGCTCTTTCAGCCGGAGGGGCAGCAGGATGATGAGGAGCAGAGTGGGGGGATCCAGAGCACGCTGGCCAAGCTTGACGCTGCGCAGATTCGACCGGCGCCGCCGCCGCCAGTTCAAGCGGCCGTCCCTGAAGACGACGATGAGGAGCTCGCGCCGCCACCACCGATCCCAGGTGCAGCCCAAGACGTGCAGCGCCCATCGACACCCACGAACACCAATGCCAGCACCGAGAGCAAACCCAGCTTCGCCGGCACAGGTGCAATGCCTTTTCGCTTCGGCACGCCCACGGCTACCGTCGCCGCCCCACGCCGCAACGACTCGCCTTCCAAGGTCACCCCCCGCGCTCTGCCTCCTCGCAATCAGTCTGCCTCGTCTTCTCCGGCCGGTGCAGAGGCAATTTCCCTGCCTCCATCGCGTAGCCCAGCGGCTGGGATGAGGGGCGAGGCTGAAGCCATGCCGCAGGCTGCTCCTCCCATTTCAGGCGGTGCTCTATTTGGTGCAGCGCAACTTTCCAGCTCGCCAGTCGAGCGCCATCACCAGCCTCAGCCGCACTCCCGCCAACACTCCCGCCAACAGAGTACCACCTCCGCGACATCTGGGCAGAGCGGAGGGCGATACCATCAACGTCAGCCGTCGGGTCCACCTTCGCCTCTTGCCGGCAGCAGTCATGGTCACGGGTATGGCAGCATCGGCGGCGACCTCCCTCGGCCCTGGATGACGGGCAACGGACGATCGCGAGGCGGTAGCAGTGGGTCGCAAAGCAGCGATCAAGGCTATGGTGGCAGCGCTCCCTTTTCGGCCATACCTTCCACTGCGAGCGCAATCAGCAATGGCGGCATCAACGCCCCAACTTCAGCCCCCGCAGGTCCTGGCGGTGCCAATGTCTCTCCCAGCGTCTGGCATCCAGCTCAACCTTCCCTGCTCGGTCCAAGAGCGCGCAGCGGTAGTCGCTCACGAGCAGGTCCTGGAGCAGAGATGGGAATGATGATGATGCCACCGCCCATCCCACCTCCCTCTGCTGGGATGAACCCCTCCTTCTCCGCTTCGTCAACGGGCAGCAACAACGCTCCTCGCAGCACGGCTCGCGACCAGCTTGCCCGCTTGCAGCCTAGTGCTAGTGGTGGCTTCCTGGCTGCAGAAACGAATGCGGAGCTCTTGCCACCTTCACCGACCACGCCTGGCGCTGGTTTCGGAGGGAGGACGCGCAATGGCAGCACGTCAATGGCCCGACCTTCGCCACTGGGCACTGCCTCGCACCACCAAAGAAGGCAGCATGGCGGGTCTGATCCCACACTGGCCACGTCCGCGTCTCTGCGTCCGGCTGCACCTCCGTCGGTGGATTCTGACAGTGGCAGCGCAGGCGGAGCTGCCAATGGCGTTCTGGCCGCATCGCCGCTCGTGACCGCAGCTGCGCCCCAACCTTTGGATCTGTGGGCGCTGCATGGGAAGGACGATGTCCATGCTCATCTGGAGCGGACAGTAGATGATCTGGCGAGATGGTTGGACGCTCTCGCTGGGAGCTTGGCGACGTGATCATGATGCGCGGCATTTGTTGGCTGCTCTCGTCCCTCCCTTCTCGTGCCCGTGGCGAGTTCCGTTCTGCCTGATTGCCCCTCAACTCTGTAAGCTAGTCATGATCCCTCAGCCCTTCAATGAAGACTCATCAGCATGGCGCTTCGCCTGACTCAGCGACAGGTGGCCGTCGGGACGACGAGCAAGGAGAATGTGCAGGGAATAGCGAATTGGTCGATACAAGTACAAGGTTGGTGGATGGATGAGCGAGCTTAGCCTTCGTCGCCAAGACTCAAGCAGCCCGAATCCCCAATCTCTCCTGATCCTCTCCCATCAGCCTGCCAGTGACCTTGACAGCGTACATGCCCGGTACTCTCTTCTCTGTGAGCGCGAAAGGTAGACGGACGAGGAGAGCTGATTAGCTGTGAAGTGAGGCAGAAGTTATGGCGATCCGCGATCTCACCAATTCGCTGCCACTTGGCGACCCAGCTCTCCTCCGGCTTCGTCATGGCGATCATGCCGTCAAATACTGCCGTGGTACATTGAGCTACACGGCGGCCGTCTGCTTGCATCTGTGTGGGTGCAGCGAGGAGGAGCCGGAGGTGGGAAGAGCAAAGTGATTAGTCGCAGGCAAGAGGACACAGGCCGCGGGGTCAGGAAGACGCCGGAGGGACTCACGTCCAGTCTATCACCGCAATTGGGGCAGCCATGTGTGACGAATTCTCTTGCACTCTGGACGAATTGACAGCCTAGGCAGGCTCGCCTGGACAGAGTAGGGGAGAAGGGAGGATGGAGGTTAGACGTCGGACGAGACTTGGCTCCGGGGCTGCAGGCGATCTGCCTCACCATTGTTTCTGACGAGGAGCGAAGGAAAAAGAAGTTGTTGCGATCAGTCTATGCTCATAGGCAGCGTAACATGCTCTATCATCACCACTCTCACCTTCTCTCCACGAGCCATGAGCGGCAATTGGGGGATTGGTAGAGCGGAGAGAGGCGTTGCAGCCTCGACGTCGTTCGGATGCAGCCCGTCCCACTGGGCTCCGTTCCGAGGGCACGAGACCAACTCCAAGGCACACCGCCCACCGTCCAACTTCGACCCTAGAGAACAACACCTCCTCAGCTCACACAGCCCTACCTAGACGCCCGTTACCATGCCCTTTACAGCGGACAAAGACCTCAAGCTAGCCTTCACACCGAACCTCATCCCAGCCAAGGTTCACTCGGCCTTGCCTGAAGACCTTCACCTCCGACCCCTCGCCCAAGACGACTACTCACGAGGCCACCTTGACGTGCTGCGCGTCCTCACTTCGGCACCAGATGTCGGCTCATCAGCATGGTCAGAGCGCTTCGATCTCATGGCCTCACATCCTGACCACTACTATCCTATCGTCATCGTCTCCAAGTCCACCGACCGCGTCGTTGCCCTTGGAACGCTTTTCGTCGAGTTCAAGTTCCTGCGCGGCAATGCAAAGGCGGGTCACATCGAGGACATCGCAGTGAGCAAGGAAGCGCAGGGCAAGGGACTAGGCAAGAGGGTCATTGAGGCTTTGACGGGGGTGAGCGAGGGACTGGGATGCTACAAGACGTTCTTGGATTGTAGTGAGGAGAACAAGGGCTTCTATGAGAGGTGTGGATACGAGTTCAAGGGGGTGCAGATGGTGAGTGCCGGCGTTCAGGAGGTGCTTTCTGTCGGGCATAAAGCTGACAACAGAGCTCCGCTCTCCGATTCGTCTGCAAACAGTCAAAGTACGCTCCCTCCAGCTGAGAAGACGGATAGAGCAATGCGAACAAAGTCATGCAAACGCAAAGGCGCCGAGTGACTCGTGTGAGAGAGATGGCGGGGCTGCAGATGCTGCGGTGTTAAGACAAAAGGTTGCGGTGATGAGCATCGTTGCCGCCTCACTGATCTTCAAGCCACTTGGAATTGTACTACTTGCAAAGCTTGTTCTCTGTGGGCACTCCCCCATGACTAGCGCGTCCCCCTCGGCGACTTTTCACGGGCGTCACGCCTCCACACTTTGCCTCAATTGCCGCTTTCTTTGCCATCGAACCAACACCCCAACTCATCCCCGCAATCGAACGCTCAGTCGGCGTGTGAGAAAGAAAGCGCCACTAGCGCACGACAGTCACCTCTTCGACGTGGAAAGTAGCCCCTTAATTACACATATAGCCACAGAGCAGCAACGGAACTTCTTCTCGTTCTCCCCACCTCAGTTCGCCACCATGTCGTCGCCCACACCCGCGACATCCTCCCCGCCACCCTCTTCCTCCAATCTGTCCGAGTCCGATGCCGACCTCGAAGAGCTTCAACGCGCCGTCCTCGAGATCCCGGATAGCGATGATGGCCAACTCGGAGGCGAGGAAGAGGCAATCGAGATACTAAGCACCGCAACGACGGATTGGGATCCCTCCTCGCCCTCCCCTGCGGCTCCTATCCAAGACCTCCCACCGGGCAGTGGTCCTCTAGTCGGCTCTGGACCTCAAGGAGAGTGGGAGCTCTCCGACTGGTTGCGAGCTTCAGAACAAGGTTTGGGAGCTGCCTCATCCGCCTCGTCGGCAGGCTTTAGCGTCGCGAGGGGGGTGACGAGCTTTGGACTTACAATGGCCAAGCGTTTCACTCAGCTTGCCGTGGCACTCCCTGCCCTCCTCATCGACTCGGCCAATGGCTCCGTTCCCGGCTCAGAGCAGGCAACATTCGGTGCCTTGGCTCACTCGAGTGTTGGGGGTTTCTACGACTTGATCAGTACGTTGGCGCTGGGCGGTATCGATATTGGATCCGCCTTGACTTCCGCCGGGCTGGGCGCCGCTTCGAGTGGCGTGGAGGGGACGAGACGAGCGCTAGGATCTGAAGTCACTCGATCACTCGGGCAGTTCGCTCAGCTAGTCAAGCGCGAATGGAACGCGCAAGGCGGCTTTCTCCCTCCCGGCGGCTTGCCACCATTCGGCCTCACGGGCGTGACGCGAGCGCTGCTGGTGTGGATCTGCATTCAGATGGTCACGCGCCGCGAATACGAGAAGGGTATGCTCAAAGAGCTGGGCGAGATTGACGCAGTCGCTATGCGCAAGGAGATCGAGCACGAGCACGAGCAGGAGAGACAGAGGACGGCGAGGTTGAATTCGGTCCGCATTACGGCTGCATCCGTTGGGCCGAATGGTGAAGTGATCGGTGCCGAAGTGGGAGCGGGTAGTGCCGATGAGTCGAGCACAACCACCTCACCCACTGCGACCTCTGTAGCGCCACTCACTGACCGTGAGGCCATGGCTGGACTACTGCGCTACTCTTCGCTCGTCCTGGCCGTCTACGGTGGCACAGCCCTGGCATGGCTGGGCGCCCTACCCAAGGAGCAAGCTGATGCTGCTCGCGTTCCTCGGCCTACACCAGCATCACAAGGACTGCGCGATAATGGCCCTTTACCCGCCGACGGTCTGACTCGGGAGCAAGATGAGGAGCAATTCCTGCGAGCTGCGGCTATGATGGATCTCACGGAGACGGAGCGGGAAGAAGAGGAACGAAGATTCGCAAGGGCAGGCAACAGGCCCATGGTCGACAGCTCTGGCCAAGTCATCTTCGACGCCGGTGATGTGCCCGGTGCATTCACACCACGAGCCGCGGCGCCTGGAACCCCTGGATCATCTGCGGCAGCCGATCCCTCGACCTCGACCACCACTGCTTCTGCAGCCCCGAATACAGCCACAACAACGTCCGCGTACACGTATCTCGGCCTCCTCTCGGGCGAGCACGACGAAGAGCTGTTCCATCGCGTCAGCCAGCTTGATCCTGAGCACGTCCGCCCAGGCTCATACCAGCCACACCGGGATGACCCGCCCGAGCAGCCGCGCCCTGCAGGATCTGTTGCTCGTCCCAGCCAACCGCGCTACTACATCGTCACCGATCACAAGGCGCAGAAGGTCGTGCTGGTGCTGCGCGGCAGTCTCTCCCTGGGCGACATCGCTGCAGATTTGACGTGCGAGAGTCGCGAGTTCACGTTCCCAGGCTCGAAGGAAGAGGCTTCTGCCACAGCTGCGACGTCCGCGGCAGGTGTCCCGTTCCCCGCCACCGACGCCTCAACATCGATGCACAATAGCGCTGCGCAGCCCGAGCCAGCACGACACGTCGTCCATGAAGGCATGTTCGAGACATCCCTCCTTGTCGGGTCGCCCGGCGCACCCGTGCACCGAGCGGTGCGTCTCGCACTGGAGGCCTCCCCTTCGTACTCCCTCGACATCACCGGCCATTCCCTCGGCGGCGGTGTGGCGTCAATTCTCGCCATCCTCTGGGCGGACCCCAAGACCTGCCTCACCACCTCTGCTTCCGGTCTCCCCGCCGGTCGTCGCTTGCACGCCTACTGCTACGGCTGCCCTGCGACGATGAGTCGCGAGCTGGGCGACATGACAACGGCGCTCATCACGACGTACGCCTACTCGTACGACCTGGTCTGCCGCCTCTCACTCGGCTCAATTCTTGACATTCGCAACGCCTCGGCCTGGATCCTCTACGAGGACCAAGAAGCGCAACGACGCGCCGCCTCCACTCCTCAACAGGATCAGCGCGGCTTTGACCCCTCGGATCGCTCTACGCCGATGCGAGTCGCAACTGTCATGCGTCGTGCATTCGAGCATCAGGCGGGCAGGCTGGATGGAGACCCCGAGGCGAAGGCTGAGATGGAGCGAGACTTCTTGGCGCTAAGGAGGACGCTTGAGGCGAACATGCACAACGTCCACCTGTACCCTCCCGGGCAGGTGGTTTACCTGTTCAGGGAGGGGGATCTACTCCAGAGCCACTTTGAGACGGAGATTGCGGCGCCGGTGAGCGAGGAAACTGCGGTTCCCGCCCCTTCTGTAGCCAAAGCTACGGATAGGCAACGGGCATTCATGCTGCGTGGGAGGAGAGACAAGGTCTTCGATCAGATCGTCATGTCGAGGAAGCTGCTCAGCTGTCATATGCCGCAACATTATGACTTGGCGCTGCGAGGGCTGGAATGAGGGTTAGAGAGAGGGGTTGAGGGCAGTATCACGACGCGGACCTTCTCCTTGCATGCAATACCATTGATGAGATTTCTTTGAACCTACAACTTCGCCTTGACACCATCTTGAGCATCATCGCCCCTCTTCCTAGCAAAGAATGCCTCGATTTCCCTCTGCACCACCGGTATCACCTCTGCATCCTCAATAGTGGGCGGCACAGGAATGGGCGAATCGCCGTCAGCCTCACCGGGTGTACCCTTCCTCGCTGCATTCTCTACAATGGCGCGAATCGATCTTCTAAGCGTCTTGCCGCTGCGAGTCTTTGGCAGCTTGGCGACGAGGACGATTGCGGAGAGCTGTGCGATGGGGCCGATGTCGGCACGAATGTGCTGATTGATGGACGATAGCATCTCGGAGGCTTGAGCATCGCCGCCATTACTGGAGGAGGAAGCGGCGACTGCTACGGCGAAGGGAGTTTGTCCCTTCATCTTATCGGGCGCGCCGATGACACAACTCTCGATCACACTCGGATGACCGCTGACCACCTGCTCGATAAGGCCTGTGCCGAGACGATGTGCGCTGACTTGTATGATGTCGTCACTCCTTGCACAGATCGTAACGTAGCCTTTCTCGAAGAAAGCTGAATCGCCCGTGTCGAACCAGTCGCCCTTGCCCTTGAATCGATCCCAGTACGCTTTCTCGAAACCAGCTTCGTTCTTCCACAGTCCGCCGAGGAACGAAGGAGAGAGTGGAGATGCCAAGACGAGGTTGCCCATCTTGCCGTCCTCGTAGATTTCGCGTCCCGCATCGTCGACTATCCGCAGCGCCATTCCCGGTAAAGGCATGCCCGCAGCACCGGCGCGTACGGGAGCATGACTGAATGCGCTCGAGAGCATCAAGGAGGATATTGGGCTGCCGCTCTCGCTACTCCACATATTGTCTATGCACGCCGTTCCAGGTGCTGCCACTTCCTTGAGGATGTCCGAGAATTGGCGGACGAGCTGAGGCTCGCTCCTCTCCCCCGCGAGGAAGGTGGCGCGTAATGTACTGAGATCCACTGTACGCATGAGGGAAAACTCAGGGTCTGATGCACGGACAGAACGCAAGGCGGTGGGCGCGCTGAAGAAGTGAGTGACGCCATGCTTTGCGATCGTACGCCAGAAGATGGAAGCGTCCGGGAGGGTGGGCTTGCCCTCGAAGATGATCGACTTGGCACCGATGAGGAGAGGGCCGTAGACGCAATACTGCATTCCAACAACCCAGCCGTAATCACTGGTTGTGAAGATGGTATCGTCCTTGCTCATACCCCAACTGTGCTCCATGACGTGCCTCATCTGGACCGCTTGGCTGTTGAGTCGTACGACACCCTTCGGCGCGCCTGTTGTACCCGACGTGTAGACGATGTACAGTGGATCTTCGGCTGCAACTGGGTGGCAAGACCAGCACTTGCTCCTACCATCAACGCCCCTGCGCACCTTGTCCATCTCGTCATCCCAGTCATACCACTTCTGCGAAGCGTCGGGCGTGGGCGGGGTATGCTCGCGGATTGTGGTGCGACGCAGGAACAAGACGCCGGCAGCTGGGCTGTGTCCCGAAGCTTTGATGGCTTCGTCGACCATTGGCTTGTAAGGAACTGGACCCTTTGGCTCGAGACCACAGCTGGCAGATATGACCAACTTGCAGCCAGAGTCGAGCATGCGTTTGCCCAGTTCCTTTCCGGCAAATCCGCCAAAGACGACGGAGACGACGGCACCTACTCTTGCGGCTGCCAGGATGGCGAAGGCCGTCTCGACAATCATGGGCATGTACACGATGATAGTGTCTCCTTTTCGAATTCCACGCGCCTTCAACACGCCCGCCAAAGTCTGGACCTCCTCGAGTGCCTGGCCGTAGGTGACGGTGCGGGCTGGCTGCATCTGCCATGGCAAGGGCGAGACATGCTCGAAGGCGATGCGATTTGCCAAAGCTGGATCGTATGCGAGGTGTGATGTGTGAGGAGAAGGCGTGACAGGCCTAGCGAAGGGGTTCTCCGTAGACTCGCGGAGGCAATGGCGGTCAAGGCAGTTGAAGGCTGTGTTGAGCTCGCCATCGGGGAACCAGACCTTTCCATTGCGAGCATAGGTGGGGTCGTGACGAAGAGAAGGGCCATATGCCTGGCAACAGGGGAGGATACAGTCAGAAGAGGATCCTGTGTGCGCTGGCAGCTGCAGGCGCCATCGTCTGTCTCACCTGAGTAGGACGCTTGTGCCAATGGACAGCCTGAGCAGCCTTGAGCCAGAAGCCCTCACGATCTTCGATGGACTGCTTGTGGATGGCTTGCTGAGGATGCATCCTGGCGGAAGTTGATGGGAATGAGAGGGAAAGAATGGGAAGGGCGAGAGGAAGCTGAATGCCGCTTCCCCGCTTCCCCGCATCGACGCTTCAATTGCCGTCTTCTCCGCATGACCTCGTCTCGCATGGGCCACCTTGGTCGCCACGTGGTGCGGTGACGCGGTCAAGGTGTGAATCATTGTGGTCAGCGGGACATGCTCTTGGCGGGCAAGTAACGCTCAGTGAGGCTCGGGCAAGTGAGCTACACGGCAATTTACGGGGTGCGACGGGTAAGATCGAGCTGTTGCCTTGCCTTCCTTTTACGATGGTATCTGCGGTCAACGTGGAAGATACGATGGCAATTGCGCCCGTGTTGGACATTGCAGCTGCGGAGTGGTAACTGCATGACCCTGCTGATGAAAGGGTTCGCAATTGGAGCTACCCTGACCTCAATATGCCGCTCTAAAAGCGAGCATTGAATCGCAGCAGTGCATGAGGCTACTGACAAGTAGATGGGCGGCACTCAAATGAGAGCAGGGTAGAGAATGAACGTGCGTGAATGACAGCTCAGCTGCGGCTGGAAGATTAGGAGGATGAGTAGCGAAATCCATCCTCGAGCTTGCCCTAATCGTCGAGAACAAGTGCGCTCCCTACATGGACACAGCGCACTGGATTCCTCTGGTCGGCTAGAAGGCGAGACGAAGGGATGTGCAGAAAGAGTGGCGGTAAAAGGCGGTAACGCTGGTGAGCAACGACTCGGGATGCCGCACGACTCATCTTCTCACCGTCTGCGATGCAGTCACCAGCTTGGAAAGCATCCGTCACGCAATCATTGGAACAGTCGTCTGCAGAGCGATAACGGTTCAAGTTCAGTCAACATCTCAGATAGAAAGTGAGCATCTCCGCGCGCTTCGTATGAGGCGGTGAGCCATCACGACGCGTATGGCACTGTCAGTGCTCACCGGAGTTGCACGTCCTGTCTACGATGACAGCGCACTTGAAGCTCTGACAGTTGGTAAGAGTTTTGTTCCCAATGGCGTGGCCGTAGATCTTGTGGCCCTTGCCAGTGCAGTCCCACGAACCGAAGCACCTTCCCAGGAAAGTGGCCTGCGCTACGAGGGACCAAAGAAGCACAGAGAGCATCAAAGCCGTGCCGGCCGGTTGCGTGGGCGGGAGCATCTTCTGCGGAGGCGTTGGGAAAGGATATGTCGTTTCAAAGGGGGCGATATTGGCACTTCACGCAATCTGGGATCTGTCGGTGTCTGTGAAGGGAGGAGAGTCAAAGGAGGACAGTGGGAGGAGGTCGAGCCGCAGTCTTCGTATCGAGACTGTCCAGAGCGAATGTGAGAGAAGACTGTGGGCACGACATCCAGTTGCGGTCGTGGCTTAATCACCTGCGGTGGTACCTCTCCTCGGTCACCCTTCGGCACATTTCGTGCCTGACCAACCATATCGAGAAACCAACCATTTGACGCCCATTGAGAACGTTCTTTGGAGTGCTGAGAGCTTGCACACAGCAATCACAAGGCTTGCTGTGCGGCGCGTAAGTGCTCGCGGCAGGACATATGATGCTCAAGATAAGTGCCGGACGTCCAGCATGGCCTTTGATGATGCGTATCATTCGAAAATGCAGGGTGTCGCACGTCTACCTGGTTGTGAAGTAGAAAGCGAAGTTGCTCGACTTGATCAACGCGGGGCTTTGTCTGGCTCGCCGGCGCCTTGCCGAGCCGCCGAGTTCGGTGCGGGGCTCCGTGCGGAAGCCACGGCAAGGGAAGCCGCCCTCGTCTCACCTTTCCTTCCATTCTCCTTCATCCTCACATCACCGCGCCTCGCCCATCATGCTAGCCGCTCGCACCTCACGCTCCCTAGCGGCTTCCTCGTTGAGGTCGATACGCAGCCTACACACCACCTCGACTGTCGCAGCCCTCGGATCACTCGCAGCGTCCAAGGCAAAAGAGGTCGAGTCAAAGTGGAGCGGGACGTCGACGAGCGGTGGGACGACCAAGAACTTTGTCAACGGGGCCTTTGTTGATAGCAAGGCAGACCGATGGATCGATGTGCCTGATCCAGTGACGCAGACGGTGCTGAGCAAGGTCCCCGAGACGAGCGAGGCAGAATTCAATCAGGCAGTCAAGAATGCAGAAGAGGCTTTCCCTGCGTGGGCGGCTACCAGCATTTTGGGCAGGCAGCAGATCATGTTCAGGTGAGCGGATGGTGCGGCGGTGAGGGAGAGCTGCCAGTCAGCTCAAGCTGACCCATTTCGCCCCCACGCGCCAGGCTTCAAGCACTCCTCCGCGATCACATGGACGACATTGCCAACTCCATCGTCCTGGAGCAAGGCAAGACCTTTGCCGACGCCAAAGGTGACGTGCTCCGCGGTCTGCAGGTGGCCGAAGTCGCTTGCGGCATCACTTCAACGATGCTAGACCAGCGCATCGAGGTGTCAAAGGATATGGACACGCACACGAGGCGGCAGCCACTGGGTGTGACCGCCGCCATCTGCCCCTTCAACTTCCCTGCGATGATCCCGTGCGTAGCAGCCGCAATCGATGAGCGCAGTAGGTACTGACGTCCTGCTATCTTGCAGCCTGTGGACTCTCCCGATGGCGACCGTCACAGGCAACACTCTCATCCTCAAGCCTTCCGAACGAGTCCCCGGTGCCTCGATGATCATCGCCGAGCTGGCACAACGAGCCGGCCTGCCCAAGGGCGTCTTCAATGTCGTTAACGGCTCCTTCGACACGGTCAACCGCATCTGCGACCACCCAGCCATCAAGGCCATCTCCTTCGTTGGGTCAGACAAGGCAGGCTCGCACATCTACCATCGCGGTACGGCCAATGGAAAGCGCGTTCAGTCTAACATGGGCGCCAAGAATCACGCCGTCATCATGCCAGATGCGAACAAGAATCTTGCGCTCAACTCGATCGCGGGGGCTGCTTTCGGTGCTGCAGGGCAGCGTTGCATGGCTCTGAGCGTTGCCGTCCTCGTAGGAGAGGCGCAGTCTATGCTGCCGGACCTCATTGAGCGAGCTAAGGCCCTCAAGGTTGGCAGCGGGTTTGACGAGGGGGCCGACTTGGGCCCGCTCATCTCGCCGCAAGCCAGAGAGAAGGTGATTCGCCTCACGAAGAGCGTCGAGGAGCAAGGCGGGAAGATCTTGCTTGACGGGACTGGATACCAGAGCCAGGACTACCCGAATGGCAACTTCGTTGGACCGAGCATTGTCGAGGTCAAGAAGGGCATGGATGCATACGAGCAGGAGATCTTCGGGCCTACGCTCAACGTGATTCGTGCGGACACGCTGGATGAGGCGATCGAGGTGAGCCATAGCAGCCAGCCGTGCAGAGAGATGTCACCGCAATCTGACCTCACCTTTTCCCCTCGCCAACGCAGATCATCAACTCGAATCGCTATGGCAACGGGACAGCCATATTCACGACGAATGGCTCCACGGCGCGAGCATTCGAAACCCGCGTCAATGTCGGCCAAATCGGTGTCAACGCCGCCATCCCCGTACCGCTTCCCTTCTTCAGCTGGTCAGGCTCCAAGGCCTCCGTACTCGGCCAATCGCCGTCTTTCTACGGTCAGCACGCCCTCAGCTTCTTCACGACGACCAAGACGATCACCAGCTTGTGGAGGGCAGACGACGCGACGGACACCAAGGCGAGCGTGGCCATGCCTACGATGTCTTGAGGATGGGAATGAATGGAATTCGTATTGTCTCTGGTGTGGGGCGCGTGCGCTAGTGAGGCTGTGACGTGCGCATGTTCCCTCAACATTCCTGCTGCCATGCCCTTTCTTAGAACACGAGCGGGAACATTGCTTTCCTTCCACGCGGGTACTCCTTTCCGAACTCCTTCTTGTAGTTGCGATGCTTCTTTGCCGCCCAGATAGCCATCTGCCCCACCGAAACTGCCGAGAAGAGAGCCGCAGCGGGCGAGGCAGTAAGGATGGTGATGCTGAGCCAGGCAATCGTCTCAAAGAGGTAGTTGGGGCACGAAACAAGCTCAAAAGCGAATCCTCGCGGGATCTTGCGTTCCTTGCCTCCAGCGCTACGCAGAGAACGCAGGATCATGTGCGAGCGGAAGTTGCCCAGCTGAGCGAGCGTCCAGACTACGGCACAGCCTGCGATGAAGGCTGGGTTGGCTTGAAGCGTTCCCCGAACGGCCTGCTCGCATAGGTTGGGGTGGTAGATGGCTCCCGCAAGGAGGACCCCGGAGAGGACCCAGTAGTGGGTCGAGTTCTTGAAGATGTTGAACAGCGGCATCGTAGCGGCGGAGAAGCGGTGCACAAAGACGGTTTCGACCTCGCGCTTGAGGTAGTGCAGCACAATGAGGCCCATTGCAACCTCCTGGACTGCAGAGGGCTGCCACTTGCTGCCGTAGAGGCGAGGGGCAATACCGTAGAACCAGAGAGGGTGGATGAAGAGCGGGCCGAAGTACTCGGTGAGAAAGACGGTGCGCCAGGCTACTTGCGGCCCAAGGTCCTTGACGTAGAGATCTGAGCCTGAAGAGACGTTGACTTGCTGGGCATCATCGAGGAGAGGCTTCTTGTCTTCGTTGGTGATGCGCTGGCGCGAGGGAGTGAGCTTCGGGACTTTGCCGTGGATTTCAGCCTTGAGGGCGGCGAGAGTGGGTGCCGAGGAGAATGAGAGCTGGAGTGGGAACGGAGAAGACGTCGCCTTGTCGGCAGACGGGAGGTTGCGATTGTGCACCTTGATAGTGAAGGGCATCTTTGCGGCTGAGCAGGTGAAGATGCTTGTGGAGTGAAAGGAAGAAGCTGGCTGAGCAGCCGGAAGACGCACGGCTATTCTCGTCTGCCACGCGAGCCGGAGACGGTGGGGGGCACGGCGAGCGGGAGTGGAATCAAATTTCCTGAGCTCAGTCGAGAGCACTCCCAGCCACTGTTGCCATCCATCCATCTCCTCTCTTCAACTTCACCAGCCACCCTCCTCATCAGCATGGCAAAGTCACTCCGCGCCCGCTCAAAGGTTGCGGCACGTAACGCAAAGCGCTACAATGACAAGTCAGACTATGCCGTCGTCCAAGCAGCCCGCCTAGCCCAGACGTCCGGCAGGCTCCAGGAAAAGAACAAGCATGGCAAGACCGTCGCAGAGGAGGATGCAGACCAGCTCGAGGGCACTCAAGACGACGAGAAGATGGCCGAGGAGCCATCAGAAACTGATGTGACAGGTGCTGAGACAAAGGGTTGGTATCCATTTGTGGCATCGAGTGGCGAGCACGCCGAGGACGTGATGTGGGCGCTGTTTGGACTCTGCGATCCAGATGACATCCGTGCCGGTGATGACGAGGTGGCGGTGGCGAAGCAGCTAGAGCGCCTGCTTTCGTGATACCCAGACCAGTACTTTGAACTCGTGCTCACCTCACGCTTCTCCTACCCTGTCTCTGCCCATCACCTCCTTCAAGAAGACGGCGCCGAGCCCAAGAAGATCTCAACCTCGGGCACTAGAGAGTCACGAAGAGAGACTTGGCGCAAAGCAAAGGGATGGAAGCCCAAGCAAGGCACCAAGAACAATGGTCGTACCAAGCGGAGGAGGTAGGCTAGCTCGACACGCACTCACTTAATAATTCCGCCGCGCCACGCGCTACCCCCGTATTCCCTGCGGCATCCATCGTCATCCTCGGGCTTCACTTGGAATTGTATCTGCAAATCCAACCGAACCACCCATCGACCTCTGCGCTCACTACCGTGCCGTGCGCCGTGCGCCGTGCCGACTTTGTTACGCACCGCCGAGCTGCGCGCTTGCGGCAACTGATTGATTGCATCAACCATTGATGACCCGCCGCTCGCTCTTCCATGCCCGCTTTACCAGTTCACGAGGGCCCGCGACGACGGCCCAAGCAATTAGCCCCTTGTCCACCGCCGCAATCTCGCTTTCTCCCCTCCTACCCACCAGACGCTTTCCTCAAAACACCGAAACCACGCTCTTTTTGCCCTCTCTCCTTGCCCACGCTACCACCACAACTTCACGAAGTCATCATGCGCCTCTACCGACTGACAGCGCTCACACTCCTTTCCATCTCACTGTCCTTGACGCTGGCCAAGACCCCCACTACCTCCTCTGATCATGGCTTCGTCGTCCGCAAGACGCGCAGCCACGCTGAGCTCGCATCCCGCCTTGACTTCAAGGCTGCTGAGGACACCGCCAGAGACGTCGTTGGCGATGTCATCAAGGCCGTCATCAACGAGACTGTAGGCTTTGTGGCCACTCGCCTGTCACTGAAGCACGTACCCGTCATCGACAAGCCCAAAGCCAGCGACAAGAAGCTCATCCACGCTTTCAGGATGACGACGCCTAACGGTAGAACCAAGTACCGCGTCCTACCGAGCGGGGGCGAGTTTCGTTTGCCCATTACCATTGGCGGCAAGTCCTACGAGCCCTTGGCTGACACGGGTAAGCGCACAAACGGGCCAGAGGGTGATCGCAGCCGCCGTGACACCGCTCACCGTTGCCTCCTGCTTTCACCTCGTTGCCCCTGGGCCCTCGCTGCTCCGCCGTCACACAGGCTCCTCGGACATTCTGCTTGACTCCAAAGCTGGCTACATTGGGCCACCCGAATCGAACACTGGCAAGCGCTTTCACGCCGCCTACGGAGGGGGTGAGTAGAGGAAGTAGCGTCGAGTCCGAGTCGCATTCCTAATCCTTGGTCCCATGCCCTGCACCAGGCGCCGATGTCCAAGGCGACATTTACCTCGACAATGTCACAGCGCTTGGCATCACAATCCCCAATCTCGCCGTCGGCAAAACAACGACGGGCTCATTGATCGCAGAAGACCTCAAGCCACCCCCTTCTGGCGTCTTTGGTCTCGGTTACGACGGCAGCTCTACCTTCTTTCTGAACACGGGCGACAAGAGGCTCGAGCCCTTCATGGTGCGAAGCGTCAGAACTGGCTTGCTGAAGCAGTTTGCGATCGACCTTAGTACCAAAGGAGGTAGCATCGACGTCAACTCTGCGGTGAACTCAGCGGGCGTTGGGTTCACCAACATCGGTGAGGACGGCTACTGGTCGCTCTCCGGAACCATCAATGGCCAAACTATATCGGGTACCATCGACAGCGGTACCGATCATATCCTCGGCCCCAAAGACGATGTACTCAAGCTTTTCAAGGCGATGGGGCTGCAGATCATCGAGGATGACGTCGGTAACGTCGGCGCACACGTCGGCTGCTACAAGGGAGCGACCCTGGATTTCGTCTTCGGCTCGGCAACGGCTACGGTGACGGGCCCGACAAGCACGACACCGCGCGAAGAAGGAGGCTGTGTCTTGTCGCTATTTGGCGTTGATGGCCTCACCGACTGGATCATCGGGCAGCCCTTCTTCTTCAGCACCTACACAGTCTTCGATCCTGTCAACAAGCGCATCGGCCTCAAGTCGAAGCAGCCTTCGGAGAGCGTTCCCAGCACCGCTGGTACTCCTCAAAATAGCACCGACCCCACCAACAACGGAACTACCACTGATACCGGTCCGACGACGAACACGACGGTGACCAACCCTCCTACCGACACCACCAACACCACCAACACCACCAACACCACTGGCACTCCGACGATTCCGATTCCCACCGTCGGTCCTCCTAGCAATAGTACGACGACCGTGAATCCTCCTACCATCCCAAGTCCTGCAGACGACCCGCACCGGGTCGCTATCCCCAACGGGCCTTGGCCAATCGATCCTTGCCACGGCGGATCGTGCAAGGAAGAGCAGCCGAAGAAGGCGAGCGTACTTAAGGCCCCCGGCCGTTGCCCTAGCAAGCATTCGCGCTCCTAACCACTCATAGTCCTGGCTCTGGCTCCAGTAGGCATTCGACTGTCATTTCCCCCTCACACGGCCCGCCGATATTTCACCATTCCCAACAGACAATCTCCGAGCCCCGTACTCGTATTTATTGCTCTTCTCTGCCGTCACAGACCCTCATAGAGAGGCGCGTGCTCGGTCATTGCGTCGCCCGCCATCCTGCTCGCGCGTCTTATTGAAAGCCCTTATTTGCCTTGTCAATGCCAAAACCCTTCGCAAGTCTTGTTATTTTGTGACCATCATGAGGAGCTTGCTGTTCGCCTCGCCTCGCCGCTTCGCCGAGTCGTATGCGGCTCGGAGGATTGGCGCGCCTGGCTGCGCCATGACGAAGGCGGACCCAACTCAACTCGCCCGCGCTGCAATCGCCGCCGCGGCCGGCCTCTATCCAAGCCGCGAGTCGCTAGGGACCTGCGACCAACTTCTCCGTCTGGCCCTACGATCCCCCTCCATCGTCATCATCATTTACCCCCCATCATAATTCTCGACTGCAATGGCCCAGGCTGGGCCTAGCAGACTCGGCGGCAGCGAGCCGCCAGGCGGTGGGCCCGCTCCTTTGATCCGGCTCCGCTCCAAAGCCCCGCTGCCCCTCTTCACCTGCCCTCACCCAATCCCTGCGGCCTCTTCCACAATAGGGGACAGCCTCAAGCTTTCAGTACTCCGCCTGCTCACGGGAGAGGTCAATGAACGATCCTCCACTGCGCCCATGACAGAGTCCGAGCTTCTCAAGCTGAGGACTATTCACGGCTGGCGAATGGAGATGATTGCATTGGAGCTGCGTCAGAATGTCTTGATTGCGCCCGAGACGAGGGATAGGATCGGCGAAGGGGTCGAGGATGACATGGAGGGGTTTGAGCTAGCCGACGATGCGGACTGTGGGCTATTGGAGGCTGACGATGAAGTCTTGTGAGTGTCGCAAGTCACACTAGTAGCATACAGTCGCGCTGACGCCCCGCCTTCCCGCTATCAGGATCCGCCTCAAGCCGGCATTCAGCCTTGCCGACCTTCACCTGCCCACGCTCGCCGCCAACCATCATTACGCTCTACCAGCTGGAGCCCTCACACGAGCAGGGACCCTTTCCAGCCCACCTCCGTACTCCCAAGTCAACGTCAAGCGCGCCGCAGAGCCATCAAGCCATAGCTCGAGCGTTCAGGGGCAGCCTAATGTCAATTTCCACGCTCGCCAATGGCGAAGCTATGCAAATGGACCACGAGTGGTGACGGCAGGAGCTGTTACCAATTCTACACCCGCTGAGATCAAAGAGGCAAAGAGAGCTGCAAGAGCTACGTCCAATCCAGCATTGGCTGGTCCATCACGGCCGCTCGGCCTGGGCATGGGCGTTGAGCCTCCCGCGGCCATCCCATCTGCGACAACCTACAAGCAGCCTCCTGCCAAGCAGCGCAAGTCCAAATCGACCAGCGTCGATCAAGGCCCTTCTGCTCCAGCGCAGAGCAGTCTAGTCCCACTTGTCTCACCGCCCCTTTCCGCAAACACACCAGCTCCTTCGTCAAGTGCTGCGGCTGCGCCGCCTCCGCCTCCTGCTCAGCGCAAAGCCAGCGCCTCCAGATTGGCTCCCATCAGAAGCGGATCTGCAACAGACCGCAACGCCTCGGGAGCCACCCCTCCCTCCCCTGCCACCGCAAGCCACTTTGCCGTCGGCAGCACGTCCAACGGCAGCACAGGCGGCGGTGCGGACTCAATGCCCCTCACCGCTCTCGTCATCGGCCCAGGCGTACAAGGTACCGTAGGGCGAGGCTCGAATGCTGCAATGGGTCATGCCGGCCCCGCGGCACAGGCAGGCAACGGGACTCCATCGTCCTCTGATGTGGCAGGCGATTACGGCAACGCCAAGGCCTTTGCGAGCTTCACGGCTGCAGGTGGGGAAGTTCAGCATCGCTCCAAGCCGCCGAGAAGGCAATCCTCCTCGCATAGTACCGCGGAAGACAAGAGAAAGGTATCCCAGCATGGAAGGACGAGGAGTCAAGAGGTAGCCGGAGAGGAGGGCGGCGACGCTGGTGAGCCGGCAAGAATGGCTGTCGAGGCAGCACAGAAGCGGGCAGCGGCGGCGAGGGCGGCGCTACAAGCTGCAGCGAACGGAGGGTACGGCACCGAGTCGTCTGCGATTGTGAGCAGCCCCGACCCGTCAGCTCAGAAAGAGACGGTCGCCCCTCTATCCTCTCCACCTGTCTCGCCGCCTGCACCTGTCCCGAAGGCCTCGCGCCCCGCAGGCGGCAAAGAGCGCAAGGCCTCTTCTTCATCAGCCAACAAGCCAAGGCGAGAGCGCGTCGAGCTACCCGAGCCGCCTGTCCTCCCACCTATAACCAACTTGGCGCCCTTCCCTGGAGCGCAGGGTGAGAGACAGCGAGAGACATTGCCTCCCATGCCGACGCCTGCGGACGTGGGAAGGGGAGCACCAGCCCTGGGACGCAAAGAAAGCTCGAATAGAGGCGTTGGCGAAGTTCAAAATGGACATGCGCCCCAGAGACGACCTACGCTTGACGAACGTTTGCCCTCCTCCAGCGATGCCGGTACACCCGGAGCAGGCACGCCTACGCCCACGACATCACGCTCTGTGTCGCCCGTCGTGGTTGCGCGACGTCCTTCCGGCAACGGCAGGCTTGCCAGCACGGGCGCTGAGAGCAATGGTAGTGGCACATCCAAGAAGGAGGGTGGTACGAGTCGTTTGGCTAGGCTGGCTGCGCCAGGTCTGGGACTCGGTGGATTTGGGAGGAAGAGTTCCAAGACAAGTGTGCCAAAGGCGACGGCTGATGAGGACGCGAATGGCGACGGTGGAGTCGAGGAGCTTGCCTCCAACCCTACCGAAGTGCAGCTTCACGACGCCGACAGCCATGCCAACGGCGTCGAGTCCTCCGCGATTGCAAGCCGCGAAGACGACACGCCTCCCTCATCCGCCAAACTCAGCAAAGCTGAACGACGCTATCTGGACTACCAAAAGCAGCAGCAAGCCGAAGTCTCTCGCCAACAAGCAGCAGAGCGCGATCGCCTCGCGGCTATGGAGCGGGAGAAGCGTGAGAAGCGCGAGAGGAGGAAGAAGCGCGAAGAGGAGGAGAGGGAGCGTAAGCAGAAGGAGAAGGATGAGGTCTGGCAGGAGATCAGAAGGAGAGCGGCTGTCGAGAAGGAGAAGGAGAAGGAGAGAGAGAGGGCCGCCAGACCCGGAGGAATGGATAGGAAGCAAAGTAGTGCTAGCGGGGTGGTAGCGGCTGCCGAAAACGATGGTGGCCAAGGTGAGCCTCTGAGCGGCGGACGATCGTAGGGGACGATGATGACGATGGGGATGTGGTATTTATGTGAAGATTTACAGTGATGACCTATCAACGGAAACGCTCTTTCATGAAATGTACAGTACTCCGTCGCACGCGACCTTCAGTTCTTCTTTCTCCTCTTATTCGCGCCTGGCCCATTGCTTCCCTCCTTCTTTCCCCTCGAGGCTCCAGGATCGGCACTCCCGTCCCTCTCCTTCTTCTCCTTCTTGACAGCCTTGTCCTTGCTCGCCTTCTTCTTGGTCTCTTCCTCTTCCGCCTGCCTGGCCAAGCAGTCCGAGCAGATCCACTGCTCCGGCAAAGGTGGGTGGACTCCCACGCAATCGAGGTGGAACCACTCGTAGCGGCAGTTTTCGCTGTCGCAACCAATCATCTCGCCGTAGGAGATCTTCTGGCAGAAGCAGTACAGCGTCTCGTCGCGGTCTTCATCGCCTGCTGCGCCGCCCATGTCTCCAAGAGTACCGCCGACGCCATCGTCGAAAGCTCCTGCGGAACCGCCGCGACGAGCGAGGCTGGAGTCGTCATCCCCGCCGGCTCCCTCATCGAAGGCGGAAAAGACGTTGGAGAGGGCAGAGTTGCCTACGACACTACCGCCGCGAGCCTTGTTGCCTCCCAAACCGGACTTGCGCGGTCGACCAGCGCTGCCTCCTGATCCATACGTGGCTTGCGAGGAGCCATAGCCGCGTGAGGGTGAGTCCGCACCAGGGGAACCTGCCGCGCCTGGCGTAGTGCGCTCCAACGATGCACCACCACGTCCTCGTGCTGGTGTGCCAACCAGTCGCGAAGAAGAGCCACTTGCGGCCGCAGGCGATGCCATACCACCTAGTCCGCCCTTGCGCTTCATGCCGGCTGGCTCATCAAGTCTCGCTCCTACACCGCCTCCTGATCCGCCAATCGCTCCAACCCCTACGGCCCCGGGCCCACCTGCACCAAACGCAGCTGCGATAGCCCCGAGAATAGCGCTTCCCTGCGTTGCAGAGCTGATCGTCGAGCTCAATGGATTCAAGCCCGTAGCCTGCGCTACGTTGCTCCTCGCGACATTCATGACGGGCTCGCTGACTTTATCGAAGGTATCCTGCAGCCTTGCGGTATGCGCGTGAATGATGCGCCACAGGCGTTGTGCTAGTGCTTCCTTTTGCGACGAGAAGTCGTCAACTCGACGATACTCGTGCTTGATGCGGTCTAGAAGACGGTCTGCGCGCTGCTTGTCTGCGTCCGTGAAGACATTAGGCCCTGAACTGCCGGGCTGTGTTGGTGATGTAGGGGAGGTAGCGCCATTTGGGGCTGATGGCAAAGAAGGGCCGCCGCCGTTGGCGTTGTTGGGTGCTGATGTACCAGCGGCTGTACCCCCAGCAGAAGCTGGTGCGCCCGGACTGCCCTTGTTGAGGAGCTCGCGCAGCTGGCCTTCCCTTGCTGCGATTTTGGGTAGGAGGTCCTGATGGTAGCGTGACGGCGACGATAAATCGAGTCGGTCAGGTTTGGATCGCACATCTGCTCTCCACTCATGTGCTCACCTGAACTTTGGCATCCTTGTGCTGAATCTCCTTCAAGATGTGGGTGACCTCGTGGGACACATTGTCGAGCGAGGCCACGTACTCCTGACACACGGCGGCGATCTCAGCCGGGTCCTCCATTGCTGGGGGTGAAGAAAGGAAGAGCGCAGCCTCCTCGGACTCCGCTGGTCAAATTCGATGAGCGTAGTGATGGGTGACGGCCTTACAGACCAGACTCGAAGACGGCTTTGGCCGAAGTACGACACTTGGGTGTGCCTCCCTCCAGTCGAGTCGAGTCGAGTCTGATGGATTGCGGATCGCGGATGAAGTGGGATGAGGCAAGGCAACAAAGATGCAGGCCCGCAACCTCGAAAGCGAGGCTCAGGCCGACTGGGCGTGTTTCGTATCGGCCGGATCGGAAGGGAATTCCAAAGTTGCCAGTTGCAACCGAGTCTCCATTCGCCCTGGCGGCTGTTCCGCCTTTTCGCCGGCATAGAGCCTACAGCGACGACGAGTACCGCGTGCGATTCGCTCGGAGCCCGCCGTCGCCCTCGCATGGCCGCATAAACTCCTTGATATGCTTCCCGGACTCTCAAGTACGTTTCATTGATATTGTCGAAGAGGAAGCAGCGATTAAGCGACGGGAAAGATGGACGTCGAGGCTCGTCAGTAGCACCCTTGAGCCCTTGCCTCCCGGACCCTCCGAAAGGCAGAGTACCTAGAGCGAGGTCATGAGGATCGTGAGGCAATGTAGCAACCAACGGTCGACCGGCCGGCGCAGGGCGCGCTAGGATTGATGCGGCCGACAAGGACGTCAACTCAAGCTCGGTCTCGCCTCCGCACCCAGAAATATGGTTGACCGACGGCAACGCGGCGTTGCTTGTCATCGTCGGACAAGGGCAAGACAAGACCCAGACGCCAACTGGGTCGAGCCAGAGGCCGACGACAAGAAGCTGCGTTGCGTTGCGTAGAGCTTGTTGTTCCAGACAGCGCTAATGTACGCCAACGTGCGTACGTGCGTATCGTGCCGGCGTCGTGCGTGTCGTGCGTACCGCTGAGGAGAGGAGAGAATCAATGACTCTGGGTATTGCCATCTCGGGTACCTCTGAGATCAAACACGACGGAGCGAATGGTGTGTCACGCCGATTCAGGGAAGGCATGATGTGGTATAAAGGCGGCCTCAGCTGGATGGAGAAGTCGATTTGCCAGCAACCTATCCACGCCCATCCTCATCGTCATGATCGCGTCCGCCCTCCTCCAGCTCACTGTCCTCGCCACTGCTGCCTTTGCCGCTCCCGTCCAGGAGCTCAAGGAGCGTGCCGGCTGCTCTGCTTACAGTGAGTTCGAGACGCGAGACCAGTAAAAGGCCTGTCACACCCATGTGCTGATGCAACTTGCACTTCGCCCGCTGTCGCGCCAGCCATCATCGACACCCGTGGTACGGGCGAGCTCCAAGGCCCCTCCGCCGGGTTCCGCACCATGAACTCGCAGATCCTCTCGGCCATCCCAGGTGGCAAGGAGTACGACACCGTCTACCTTGCTGACTTCTCCCAGAACTCGGCGATGGGCACCACCAACGTGAGTAGCAAGCGCGAGTCCTGTTGACAGGACACTGACTCTACACCGTCCATCGCCGCCTCAACAGATCGTCAACCAAGTCCAGAACACGCTCCGCTCGGACCCTTCGCACTGCTTCTTCCTCGAGGGCTACTCGCAGGGAGCTGCCGCTACCGTGGACGCCCTTCCCAAGCTCACCGGCGCCAACTTCGACGCAGTCAAGGGCGTCTTCCTCATCGGCAACCCGCGCCACAAGCCCAATCTCGCCTGCAACGTCGATGCTTCCGGTGGCAAGACAACCGCTGGCGCCTCGGGACTGGCAGTCATGCTCCAGACGATTCCGGACAACTGGGTCAGCAAGACCAAGGACGTCTGCCTCGTTGGTGACGGAGTATGCTTCACAGCCAGCGGCTTCGGGATTACGCCGACGCACCTGACGTACCCAGGTAACTCGCAGGTCCAGACCATGGGTGTGGCCTTTGCGAAGCAGGTGTTGCAGGGCTCGTAGATGCAGGATCGTCGCAGGTTTCGTAGACGCAGGAGCGTTGCCGTGGGAGGAGTTGCGAGGATCGTTGACACGGTGGGAGAAGGGCTCTCGCTTGCTCATGTATTGAGACGCCAAGTCGGTCCAGCATCTATGCGTGCTTTGGAATCGTCCGTCGGAAGCTCCGTCGAGCCACTGCTTAATCTTATCGTATCGCACGGCAATTGCCCTGTTCTCCCGCGCGCGCAGCATGAAATGTGACGAAGCTTGTACGCGGTCACTGATTGCTGGCCGAAGATTGACAGGCCACCGGTGACAATCTCCATTATTTACCAAAAAGAAAAGAGTGGAACGTGAGGCAGCACAGTGCTGACTGTCTATCAACCACGCTGACCAGTGGCTTTTCCCCAGAGGCTACTGATGCCGCCAGCAAGCGAGTCAGTGATGCTTGCCCCTCCTGTGCCCGATCCAGCAGCCCCGCTGAGCCGTACACTGCCATTACCGCTGCCGCCGAGTCCCAATATTCTCGAAGCTTTGCTGCCCTGCCTCACCGAGCTGTACCCGTTGCCTCGCTGCTGGGCTCGATGATCTGTTCGATCCCTGAAGCCGCGTAGTGACGAAGCTTCATCGTCTGAAAGGGAGCCGCGATGACTGCGTTCTTCGCTAGCCCACGCTCGAGCTGCCTCGTCATCCGCCTCGTCGTCTGTGAGCGCGTCCTCCTCCTCGGCCTCCCCTGGTTCGCCATTGCGCCCGCGTCGATTGACCCCAGCTATGGCACCGCGCATCCTCACTGGCGGAAGCTCATCGTCATCGTCCGAGTCTTCTCCTGACCTTCCCAACAGCGTGGATCGGCGGCCAGCCTGCCCTTCGTCGCCTTCCAGTCGCACGCTTCCGACTTGTGGCGCCTCCCCCTCTTCTAGCGGATTCCTTGCTGCCCCACTCCTCTTTCTCAGCACTACAGGCACAAGCACGGCCACACAGACTCCCCCTAGCAAGAGCGCATTGCGCCAGGTGAACAGATTGAAGTCCGCAGGCGAGGCCATCTGGTCCAGCTTCTCGCCGATGGTGACGTGGATGACTGAAACGGCAAAGATTCCACAGAAGGTGGAGAACCAAAACAAAGGGATGCCGATGCCCAGGTGTGGCGCAAGGATGTTGACGATGTTGTGCGGAGGAACGGGCATCATGCGGATGACGATCAGGTACGAGAGCATGTCCTGGTGCGGGAGGAGGGCAGGGAGACGGTCAACTCGATTTCTGAACGGTTCCTTGCTAGAGTGCGAACTCACGTCCCTCTGCCTGTCCAGCACCTCTTTCCAACTGTCGACCCTCCTCTTCCAAGACGGGATAGCGTGCAGCACCTCGCCCAGAAATTTGGAAATGAGGTAGCAGATGGTGGCTCCCGTCGCCACAGAGGCGCATACGACGGGTAGGGCGAGGGGGACACCCCACATTGCGCCGGCGAGGATGGACATGTACATTGATCCAGGGATTGAGAAGGCTTGGAGGAACATGTAGACCATGATCCCTGACGGCGAGGCACGGGGAGAGACGGAAGTTAGCTCGCTGAAAGCAGGCTGTTTTGAGCGGAAACACTCGAATCTCACAGCAGAGCATGACCCTCCCGAAATTCTCGTCTTTGTACCTCTGCAGGACAGAGTTGAGCGCCTTGAGCTGATCGAAATTCTTTGGGATCTTGAATGCGGGCTTGTCCTCATCCTCAATATCCGGCAGAGCAAAATACAAAGTACCGCCCATGATGACAGCGCAGACGACAAAGAGGATGGCCAGCTGCGCAAATGCCCTTACGACGATGCGTCTTCGCTCGACGGAGGTTGCCTTTGACTGGGCTGCTTGCATCTCGGCGTCGTTGCTGGAGGAGCCCGGATTGACGTGCACGACGGATGGATTTTCTGGGTCATTGGAGCCTGCAGAGGAGCCACTGATGCTTCCGCCGTCGTTGTTTGCCTTGCGAATAGTCCGCAGCGTATGGGACGAGTAAGATGAGCCGTTGTCGTCTAGGAAGTGCGGGCCTGGAGGTGGAGAGGGGGCTTTGGTTGGGAAAGGATTCGTCGTCGCAGAGACGCCACTGGCCCCACTGCTACTGCTGACACTGCCGTGACGGCCATGTAGCGTTGAGGAGGCTATGTCGCCCTGCAGCCCTGCAGCTTGGCCTCTGTCGGACGACGTTGCCATCGATGTGGGTGAGCCCCTGAGATTGCGGGGGTGGCGGTACGCGGGGAAGCGTCAAGATTTGAGGGAAGGAGGGATGGGAGGGAAAGGTTGAGAGAAGCGGTACAACAATGCTCCGCCAGCCTCCAGTCTAATTAGTAGTCAAGGTGGATATGGACAAGATGATGAGCGCTTGTAATGGTGCTTAGGGACGAGTGGGCAAGTGAGCGGGCGCCGTCGACGCAGCGGGCCTCGCCAGCCCCGGAAACGCCACGCGGGAATCGGACAGAGACCCTCATGCGTCTCAGCCGAATCCTGCAGCGACGACAATGAATGAGAAGCAGCCTCGTCTCAACACTGGTAGTCAGACAAGATCAGACAGTCGCTCATGCGATCATGGTGGGTCCTTTTCTCAAAGGTCAGTTGACCGCTGCGTTCCGATGTGCTATCGAGGTTTGTTTGGGCCTTGATGTCAGTGAGCTCGCAATACGCTCAATCTGGCACGTCGCAGAGGCGACAAGGCGGGCGGCGACTTGCTGCCCATTCCCACGACGAGCAGCCCGAGTGGAGGCGTCTCGACTGAGATGCAGGCGACCGCACGGTGTCCACCTTTCCATCACTCCTTCCTCTAGCCCTATCCTCTCATTCTTCGACCCTCCCTTTCCTCACCGCCCGCTGTCACACAGCACGATGCAATCCCCAGCCGACGAGATCCCTGGCGTCGTCAAAGCCCTCGTCGAAGCCCCCACGCCTGACGATCAACGAGCAGCCCTGCAGCGCTACTTCAGCCCAGATGCATCCTTCGACCATATGCTCTGTGCCGTCGCTTCGGGCCCGCAAAGCCGTGATAATGGGGTGTTGCCCATCTATTACTGGTTGAGGATTATGAGCAATTCTAGCATCAGGATCGACAGTGTCGGTGAGCATCAATCGGGCGGGGGACAAGAATGCGTTCTATTCTAGCTCTATGCGAATCGCTGACATTCCGCCCTCCTCACTTGCTCAGCCTTCGACCAACGCAAGAACAAAGCCTACGTCGATGCTGCTCAGACGCTTCGCCCAAATTTGTTCCCTTTCTCGCTCTACACGCCCACAGCCCGCATCCTCGTCGTCCTCTCCCTGCACAAGGGCGCGGACGGCCTCTTCTACGTGCATCGCCAGGAGGACTTCTACGAGCCTCAGGTCATCCCCGGCCAGGTCATCCCCGGCGGACATACGGTGGTTTTGGCCATCAAGCTGTTGATTGGCGTCAACTGCTTGGTTCTGGCGTGGATCGTGCAGACTTTCCTTGGCTTTTGGAGACCAAGTAAGAGGGGCATCAAGGGCGGGAAGCTGGTGAATGGGCGATAAGTCCTGGGGGATGTCGGCCCATTGTATCGTTTCGATTGGCTCTTGATGATTGCCCCGTGTATCGCTGCGTGCCTTTCAGCGGGGTTTCCATGACCTCTGCCGTCTCTATGCTGGTATATATCCACTTCTCGTTCGCCTTCTCACCATCCCCACTTTGCCAAGCTTCCCTTGGTCGCCTCATACACGACGAACAGCGTCGCATTGACGGGGATAGCCCTCAGCACCGTCGGGCCTACGCCATGCCAGAATGCCCTCCATCCTCCCTCCCTCCAGATGCTTCTTGCAGCCGCAACCACCCCCGTACGATGATCCGTAGCCTGCACGCGCGTCTTGATGCAATCAATAGGGAAAGTCGAAACCCACGCCACCACACCCGCTAGGGCACCAGAGAAGGCCAGCTCGACATTGGACAGCTGCGGTGCCTCACCACCAGGAAGGGGCGTGGCATCGTGCGTTGAAAGGAGCAGTCGGTTGAAGACCTCATAGCAGAGGAAGTACGGGCCGTATCCGACGTCGCGCAGGCAGGTAGCTCCCAGGCCGCGATATAGGGCTCGTAGGCCTCCTGAGGTCCACAGAGCTTTTGCGACGCGTAAAGGGTGAGGCTTGGCTCCTTGGCCGGAGTAATCGAGCTGCTCCCGAATCTTGACTAGCTCGACTGGGCTGGTGATCAGTGCTGAGGCGAGGCCGGAGGCGGCGCCTGCAAGGAAAACGTGGGACAAGAGCAAAGGAGATGATGCTGATGGTGAAGAGGTTGCAGGGGCTGAGCTTGACTGTAGTGTACGTAGAGCGAGCCCGTAAGACCCAAAGATGCAAGCATTCATTGCTGCTACTCCCAGCATGGGGGAGGCCACCCCCTTGAAGAGGCCAAAGAAACGCTCGTCTCGCACAATGATGCGGTATGCGTCCATTGCCGAGCGGTAAGTGGGTGCTGAGGAGATCAGCGGCGTGGTGACAGAGGGAGACGTCACCGCTGCAGCCGTCGTCGTCGGACGAGCATGCTGCGCTTGGAGGCGCGTCTTGATGGTATCGAATGGCTGGCCAACAAGGACCGACGCCGCTCCTCCTGCTGTTCCTGCCAGGAAGTCGACAATGGCTGAGGGTGAGGATGAGACATCGCTGGCCATGATCGCCTCGACCAGCGAGGACACAATGAAGCTGAGAGGAGGGAATAGGGATGATGCCAAGCTACAGAAGGCGGCACGACGGAAGAATCGGCGACTTTGACCTCGGAAGACAAGGCACCGCCAGTCCGCCTCTCCGACTTCGACTGGATGCGTCTGGTCCACGCGACCTGGGAGCATCTTCCTTCTTCACCTCCCCACACCGTCCATCTCATCTCTCCTCACCGCAACAATGGCCAAAGGAGCTTCGAAGAAGATCTCCTCGCAAAATGCGGCCTCTCTCACCCTCCTACTCCGTGGCTTCTTGCTCAGCAACCTGATTCACATCCTCTCCTACACTCCCATCCTCGCCTCAGCCCGGTACAGGCACAGCGGCGCCTATAAGTGGGATGTGGCCAAGTACGTTCTCTCGGAGGGGGTGGCGCTCGCCATCGGTCTGCTGATGAGGGATATGGCCAGCAAAGGGGAGGATTTGAATGCCGAAGGACTCACGGCGTTGCTGTGGGATGTCGTCTTCGTTACGTGGTTCGTACATGTAGGGACTGCGCTTGTGTGGAGGCGGTTGTGGTGGTTGTATGCCGTGGTGAGTATGCGAGGTGACAGGCCTAAGTCGAACTTGCCTAAGTCGAACTCGTATGGCTCACACTGCTCACCCCACCTCGCCATCGTAGATCCCCTTGTACGGCATTTTCCTGGCGTACAGCAAGGTTCTAGTGCCCTTCATCTTCAAGGGCTCTGACCCGCTCGCCGGTCTCTTCGCCTCGCTGCGAGGAGGCAAGGGACCCAAGCAAGCATCGACGGCTCAGAACAAGGGCAATGCAGCTGCGGCTGAGCCAGGCTTGAGCAAGAGGCAGGCTAAGCTGCAGGCTAGGGCGGATCGCGGTGATCCGAGGGTGCAGAGGAGGGAGATGCAGAGGGGGTAGCCGTGATAGGACAAGCTCTTCATGCGCGCGCATCGCAACTTTGCAAATGCATCTGGATATGAGTTATGTGACATTGAATGCGCACCGGCTTCTATTGCGCAGGCTGCTCGACGGCGGGGTCCTCGCCTCCCTTCTTCGCCTCATCCGCCGCGTTCTCCTCTGCCTTGCCTGGCACGACTCCTTCCGCAGCAGCCCCCGCCACCTCTCCGTTCACACTTACCTCTACCGCCGCCTCTCCTTCATTCGCTTGTGCGCTCGCCCTCCTCTCCTGTCTCTGCGCCAATGCCTTCTCCAGATCGCCCATGACATACTCCTTCCAGTCAGTCTTACACCTCCCCACGTCAATCCTGCCCTTGTACCTGTCTACCGCACACATCTCCTCATTGGTCTTTGCCCTCGCCACCCCCTCCTTGACCTTCAAAATCTCTTGACGCGTCAAAGCTCCATCAGTACCGCGCCTCCCTCCACTGCTGCTATTCCAGTCGAGCGTATTGAGGCAGTACTTTGTATTGCCCGACTGATTGTCAAGCATGACCGCGTACTTGAGCCACTTGGGCACAATCTCGTCCACGACGCAAGCCATGTCCCCCTCCCTGAAGCAAGAGGGGTTCTTCTCCGGCCCTCGTGCAAGCATGGACGAAGTGACCTTTCCATCCTTCATAATCTGCTGCGCCTCCTTCCACGACCACGAGTCGCCATTGTGGCATACGGGCATCTTCCCTCCCGTCTCCTCGCATACCGTATCCACCACTTCAGATATGCGATTGAGCAGGGCAGGCTCTCGTGGTCGCATCTCCTTGGTGCGGCAATGAATCGTAATGGCATCTACTGCGCCCGTACGACAGATTTGGCGAATGAGGGCTTTTGTGGCTTCCTCGGTGGGGAGAAGGCGAAGCTTGCAGGTGACGGCGACATGCGGCGGGGCAGCGCGACGCATTGCGCGGAGGATATCGCAGAGCAGGTCTGGGCGGGGCAGAAGACCAGCACCCATTCCGCCTGTGGTGGAGAAGTTCTTGGGACAGCCGCAGTTCAGATCTACGCCTGCTACATCATCGTTTTGCGTTACAAGCTTGACTGCCTCATACGCCCAAGCGGGGGTGGCGCAGCCCAGCTGAAAGATGACGTAGGGTCGCTCGACGGGATGAGTAGAGAAGACAGATTTGCCGTCCTTCATGAAGTGGACTGCCTGGGTTTGCGGATCCACAATGCGCTCCGAGCCCATGAGGGCACGGTCGATGATCTCGGGGCCCCAGACTAGGTCTGCGCCATACTCGAGGGAGAGGAGGCGCGTGGGGAGTGCACCGATGCGGACCATGGGGGCGAGAAAAAGGCCGTGACGATAGTTGAGGAGCGAAGTAGATTTGGGGAGCTCCGAGGGGAAGTTGGAGGGGTCGTACGACGAGACCAGCTCCGGTGGGAGGGGCTTGCCTAGGCGAGGGCCATTGGGGAGAGGTGGGGCTGCTACGGAGGCAGATGGACCTGCGGCAGCCGGCAAAGCAGAAGATGAGGCCTGCGCCTGATGCTGCTGCTCACTGCCCGCTTTGCTCTCATCATCGTCAAGCCTCTGCCTCTTGAACGGAGACTCGCCAGAGGGCGGTGACTGCTGGACGACGCTCATGGCCAGCTGGGAGGCGGTGGTGAAGTGGGAGCAGTAGAGATGACGAGAGATTGGAGATGCTCGGGGTGTCGTCGAGCGTAGTAAAGGTGCAAGAGCGAGGGGCAACCTCATGCAATGTGTTGGCGGTGGAAGGCGATGATGGGACGGAAAGGAGATTGGCTCGTCTTGAATTTTGGTTTCAACCAACCTCAACCTCAAGCGCTCGCTGCGTCGGGCGGGCGGGCGGGCAGGCGGGCAGCCACGCGAGTTGGCTTCGGTGATCTGGGCGGGAGAGGCGAGTGGCCGATGCCGGATTGCGACGACGAGGGAGCACGCAGCAAGAATATGTAGAGCCACAGCTGCTGCCAGAGCAGAGCAGGCTTCGATCCTTCTTCCCTTCTCATCAGTATCTTCCTACACCCATCATGCTCTCTCGCACCGCCGTCCAATCACTGCGTGTCGCCGCATCAAGGAGAGCTACTGCCTCCGCCACCGTCGCAGCTCCGCGCCTCTACGCAGTCGCACGAGCTGCGCCGCAGAGCACCTGGGCTCATGTCCAGGGAGGTCCCCCTGATCCGATCCTGGGTGTCACCGAGGCCTTCAAGAAGGACACAGACTCCAGGAAGATCAACCTCGGCGTGGGCGCTTACCGTGATGAGAATGGCAAGCCTTACGTGCTGCCTTCGGTCCGAAAGGTGGGAGATGAGTGTGGAGAGTCGGCAACTTGGAGCGCATATACTGACTCGACATCCTCTCGCATGATGTTGCGTAGGCCGAGGAGCAAGTCCTTGCCCAAAAGTATGACAAGGAGTACCTGCCCATCACTGGCTTCCCCGACTTTGTCAAGAACGCCGTCGTCCTTGCATACGGCAAGGACTCGAAGCCCATCAAGGAGGGTCGCGTTGCCGCCACGCAATCTATTTCGGGCACTGGAGCTCTGAGGATCGGTGGAGCCTTCCTCGCTCGTCACTACCCTCACTCCAAGACCATCTACCTGCCCACTCCATCGTGGGGAAACCACACGCCCACATTCAAGGACTCTGGGCTCGAGGTCAAGCAGTACCGCTACTATGACAAGGAGACTGTCGGTCTCGACTTCAAGGGACTCATTGAGGACCTCAAGGTGCGGCGAAGCGACCAGGAGCTACGATGATCTCTCTTTCTTCTCTCATGAGCTAACGTGATTGCCCTGCTCGCCCACAGAACGCTCCCGAGAAGTCCATTGTCCTCCTCCACGCCTGCGCGCACAACCCGACGGGTGTTGACCCTACGCAGGAGCAGTGGAAGGAGATCTCAGAGGTAGTCAAGGCAAAGGGCCACTTCCCCTTCTTTGACATGGCTTACCAGGGCTTCGCCTCGGGTGACGTTGACCGCGACGCATTTGCGCTGCGTCACTTTGTGGCCGAGGGACACCAGGTTGCGCTCAGCCAGTCGTTCGCCAAGAACATGGGCCTCTACGGTGAGCGAGTGGGCTGCTTCTCCCTCGTCACCGGCTCGCCCGAGGAGCAGAGCCGTGTCGACTCCCAAGTCAAGATCGTCGTTCGTCCCATGTACTCGAATCCGCCCGTGCACGGCGCTCGTATTGCGGGCACGATCCTCAACGACGCACAGCTCTACCAGCAGTGGTTGGGTGAGGTCAAGGGGATGGCAGACCGCATCAACGGGATGAGGTCGACGCTCAAGAACTTGCTCGTCAAGGAGCTCGGCAACAAGAACAACTGGTGAGCATGCGCTCGAACCTCTTCTCACGTGGAATTCTGACTGCTCATCACCTCTCCTGCCTTATCATTGCTCGCAGGGACCATATCACCAACCAAATCGGCATGTTTGCCTTCCTGGGTATCACGCCCGAGCAGGTGCATGAGCTCTCCACGAAGCACCACATCTACCTGACGAAGGATGGTCGTATCTCTGTTGCGGGTATCACTGACCACAACGTGCGCCACTTGGCAGAGTCGCTGCACAAGGTCACTTCGTAAGGCTGCGCAGCGCGGGCACCTTACCGTCTGGACAGGGCTCGGGGCGCGGTACGAGTGTGATGATGACGATGTCATAGGTGGAGCAGGTCTCGCTCGTACATAATAGAAAACATGCTGAAGGGAGAGCATGAGAATGAGAGTGGAGAGCGTGCATGAAACGAGATGCTTTGACCTCGACCTCGCGTGTCCATGAGTGGGCCCGTGTTCCGCCCTTCGGCGAGAAAGTTGATCCAACCGGCCGCGATGGCGATCGGCTGTTCTCTTTTGCTCCCTCACCATCAATCTAACCTCACACAACCTCGAGCCTTGAATACACACCCTCGCTACCCACCTCGCCGCCGGCCAGCATGAGCGCTGAGCAACATCTCGACTCCCTAGACGAGGTTGCGTCGTCGTCCTCGTCTTCCCTCCTCGTCGCCCGTCGTCCCCCATGGACGTCTCCTGGCTGGCGTCCACCCACCGAGGACACCCTTCAGCCCGGCTCCTCATCATCATGGATCGGCGGAGGTCCCATCGGCGGCGTGCCAGAGCGCAATCGTCCTGCCACACCAGCAGAGCTAAGCGCTCTAGGCTCACAGGTGTGGAGCAAGGCGGGCGGGTACCCGGTCGAGGGATTGGAGAAGGCTAAGCTGGGCGGCGGCGAGTCCAGCTCGCATGGCTCTTCATCATGGTCGCCCTCGACGTCTCCCGGCGAAGGCAGCAGCAGCAGCGGTAGCTCAGAAAATTCCTCGATGATCGATCCGAACCAGTACGACCTCTCTCGGACTCGCGCTTTCACTTGCAGAGCCCTGAGTGAGTGCGAGCCATGCCCTCCTCAGACTAGAGGGCATCCTTTCTGTAGGCCATACGGAAATCGCAGAATGGTGGCTTGTCGGGCTGTATACGATGGGGTGAGCGCAGTGGGAGGTGGTACGAGCGGGACCGGCTTGAGCAGGCGTGAGGAACAAGATGACTTCACAAAGATGATGAGGGACCCCGGCGGGGCCGAAGGAATACAGGTAATCTCGGCAGCCTCCGGTCTCAGAGCACCACCGGGGCAGCAGCAGAACAATCTTCCACAGCTTCCAAGCGACGTCGATCTCATAGGCTGGGAAGCGTGCGGTAAAGTCGTACGCAACGAGACGCGCGACTACCTCGAGTTCGTTGTGAGTGCACCTTGCCCCCCCCCCCTGAAGACGCTCATCACTCGACGCTGACCCATCCCTGTATACGCCGCGCTCCTAGATGATCCTCGTCCTTCTCGCCCTCTTCTCTCTGCAAATGCTCATAAGGCGCAACCGTCAGCTGTGGGAGAAGGTTCACTTCGAAGGGAGCCCGTCGTCCGATAATGGCGCTGGAGAAGGAGGGTCAGGCAGGCTTCGTACAGGGGATGGGCAGAGGAGGGCTAGGAGGACGAAGGCGGTTAGGAGGGCTAGATGAGCGGGGCCAGCGGCCCAGTGGGGGAAATGGGTGCAGATGTAGTTGGTGAAAGAACGGGAGGGCAGAGGTGCGTAGAGGTTGTCAAGCAGCGTCGCAAGGTCACAAATACCCTTCAACATCCATAGATCAACCTGCTCAGGGAGCGCTCATCGTGCGTACCGAGTCGCAGTCCACTGTCTGCCCCTCTTCAGATTTCGTCAAATCCCGTTTTCGCCGCAGGGCCATGCCAGTGGACTGTCCGTTGCTGCTGTGATTGGGCTATATTGAATCCTGCGCCAACAGTCGTGATGCAAGGCTCCCAGCCCCATAGGCCATGCTACTGCCTCTACATCACCCGCATTGCTCGCTGTATCCCCCCGCTCCTCCCTTCTTCGTGTCACACTCCCTCTACTTGTCCAGCGAGCCGAGGAACTTCTCCAGGTCAAAGTTCGGGCTGTCCGGGTCTGAGACGACTGTGAGAGACGGACGAAGAATTGATGCAGTGTGGTCAGCTCGAGCTTCTGACTGAATGAAAGACGGTGTATACGGCAGGATGGAGCCAACGAGCTGGTGCTTCCCTGATCTTTTGTGAAGGGGGAGCCACTGCGCAAGAGCATCTCTCGCGGTCTCATCCTCCCAGCACAGAATCACCCTGCCTCCGTTCCATGACCATCTCAAAAAAGCGGCTGAATGTCGCTCGCCTCCTGGCCCAGCTCGGCGCTCATCTGATCTGCAGCTCTCATGAGCCTGAGAAGATGAGAGGTAGTCTGCCGCTCGTTCAATCAATTGACGAGCGACGGCCATTGCTCATCTTCTCACGGCAGCGGCTGCTTCTCGGAGAAGCTGTCCTTTCCTTTGCACTGGCCCTCCTACTGCCCCATCTATCTCTCCTCGATCCCAACGCTCTCTAGATCTCCGCGCGGTTACTCACCTCCGCTCTCCTTGGCAGCGACCTTGACCCTCAGACTCTCCTTGTACGCCTCCTTTGCCCTGTTGATCAAGTCCTCCTGTCGCTTCCACTCTGCGGCCTCGAAACGCTTGTCCTCGCGCGCTTGCAACGAACGACGGCGGACGATGCCGTAGCCGATGCCGCCAAGGAGGGCAGAGTAGCGGACGACCTGCAGATGCGGGGAAGGAAGGGGTATGGTGAGCAAAGCCGAATCAAAAGGTTTTGCAAGGGGCAAGTCGTGGGCAACTCACGTTGACTACTGGTGAGGCGGTCATTGTGATGATGTGGTGACGGGAAGGGTGGGAATCTAGGTGGTCCGTAAGAAGCGGAGGATCGAAACAGCCAAAGAGGGGTCGAGCCGATTTTGCAAAGCAAGAGCAGAGGCAGCTCAGAAGCTAGCTGGTGATGGAGGGTAGCGGTGCGAGTGGGAGGTTGCAATGTCAGGCTCGCTAAGTCCTTTGCCTTCTAGGATTATGATGGTGGTGCGGGGAAGGTGGTAAAGGTAATGTAGGAAGATCTCAAGATTCGGTGAGCCACGGCCCACACTCACTCAACCCACGGCCACGCTCTCGCCAAGTCGACTCGAGAGCCAGACACGGCCAAGCGTCGCCGACGAGACGAGTTGAGTTGAAGGCGGACGGAGCGGACGGGCGAGGTCGGACAGGGTGACACGTGACGCGGGGCTGGGCATCAAGGGGGACGCTGGTAGCAATGAGCCGGATCGAGAGGCAATGAGACGTCGATGGATGGATGACAGCTTGCTAGCTGCTCATCGGCCGGCAAGTCTGAGCTATTTGGATGGCAGCGAGGGCGGTGAGGGGGTTCCAGCTGTCTCTGTGCCGCTACTTCACGCCGATGGGCCTGCAACGCTTGCCCTGATGAGGCTCAAATGAACATCTGGTCTTCATGCACTTTATGGCACGTTCAGCATCTCTCTCTCTTGTGGCATCGCTGTCATCAAGTCGCTATGACCGCTTCGCCGTGACATCTTCTTCTCGCCGGCCGCTCCAAGATCGCGAGTCCGTGCGCGGATCGATTGACTTTGCTTTCCCGTCCGTCCTGACTTTTCAATCCTCAGCCTTCCCTCTGCCAGACCTCTGCCCAGCATGCGAATGGTGAGGATGAGGTGACGAGTCGTCGAGACGTCTTTGTAGCGACATAGATCATGCTCATATGTGTCTCCACCACACCCGCACAGCTCGACGAGGACGCCGACTCGAACGATGTGGCTGTCTCGGCCTCGGATCAGGAAGCCATCAACGCTTTCTCACGATTCAACAGCCGCATCTCCGAGGCTGAAGACGAGCTGAAAGCCAAAAAGGAGGAGAAGGAGGCGACCGATGAGGTGGTGATGGAGCTGGAGCTAGTCGATGAGGAGGAGCAGGTGCCGTGAGTCCCGCCCTTTTTGCCTACAGATCTTCCGATCTCATCTCATCCCCTGCCTCGCTCGCACAGCTACAAGATGGGCGACTCTTTCATCCACATCCTTCAACCTCAAGCACTCGAATTCCTCGAGAGAGATTCGAAGCGACTGGATACAGATATTGAGGAATTGAAGAAGACGGTCGATGAGTGTGAGGAGGGGATGGAGAAGTTGAAGGTGGTCCTCTATGGCAAGTTCGGGAACAATATCAATTTGGAGAGAGGCGACTGACAAGGAGATGATGTACAATAGAATGAGAAACAGTCAGCCAATAGGACTGAAAACAAGGCTTGGTCATTGCGGCTATCTGGACCAGACCTTCCACCAGCTCCTACCCTCTTTCTTCCCATTCTCCGCACCTTCCGTCACCCCAGCGAGAGCTCCCTGCGCCTTCTGTCTGAGCTCCTTGATCTTGTCCTCCATCTCTCCCCTCTGTTGCTCCTCGACGACCTTCTGTTCCTCCCCATCAAGGTAGGTCCAGAGCAAGTGGAGCGCAAAGTACGCACCTGACCCGTAGGCGATGCAGCGCAGGAAAGGCGGGTAAATCTCGCGATAGAAGAGACTGTGGCGTGATGGCGGACCACTTCGGCGAGGATGGCGTTCGAAGAAGTCTGATTGGGATGAGGACGTGGAGGGCTTGCCTGAGGTTGACGGGGAGTTGGGCGGGCTAGACGTGGAGTTGAAGCGCAGCTGCGGGCGGGAGACGACAATGGTCAACATCAGAGGCTTCTCAGCATACCGATTTCGTGAGAGGCCTCACCAGAGTACGCTGCGACGGCTGAAATGTCCGACTTCCGACTGCGGCCAAGCCCACGCTTGATAACCTCTTGCTCATCGTTGTGGTCTGATGAGGTGGTGTTGCGGGGAGGCGTTGGACGCCGCTCTCCCTGTCCGTTCGTTTGATTGAGCCGCTGCCGCCGTCGGACGGAGACGAGCGCTCGCTCAAATTTGCCCTGTTTCCGAGGGGCCTGATTTTGTCCTCCCAACCATCACCCTTCTTCGTCATGTCAATCGTCGAGGCATCCTCTGAGATCGCAGACGAGTCGTCGGTACAGCCTCGCATTGTCGGTGAGGATGGCTTGACAAACAAGGAACGCAGAAAGGCGAAGCAGGAGGCAAAGAAGAAGCAGGCCGAAGAGGCAAAGGTTGCAAAGGTCGACAAGAAGAAGAGGGTCCTCGAGCAAGAAGATGGCCAAGGGGAAGACACGCCAGCAACCGAAGGAGAGGAAGCTGAGGAGCCGGTCGAAGCTCTGTCCCACAAGGAGCAGCGCAAGCGCAGGAAGCTCGAGAAGAAGGGCCTCCTTCCCCCTCCTGCCAGCGCTGACGGCGGCGCAGACGCAACGCCCTCGTCCTCCCACGCAAAGCCGCAACGCCCTGATCTGCCTGAGCGGTCACCCTATGCAGTCTGGGTTGGGAATCTTTCCTTCCAGACGAACATTGAGCGCCTGCAAGGCTGGTTTGAAGAGCGTGGCATCCAGGGCATCAGCCGCGTGCACATGCCCCGTGGAGTCAAGAAGTTCGAGCAAAACAAGGGGTGAGCACTAGAGAGAACGAGCTGTCGATGCCAGCGTGTGCTGATATCGTGCCTTCCCTTCGCCCGACCGCCGCCAGTTTCGCCTACATCGACCTCCCTTCTCGCTCAGCAGTAGAGTCAGCCGTCGCTCTCTCAGAAGACCACCTGGACGGGCGACGTCTCCTCATCAAGTCCTCGTCCGACTTCTCCGGCCGACCCGCCCTCGACCCATCCCTCGCCGCCCTTGCCACTTCGAGCAATACCACTAATGCTTCGCCGTCAGTAGCAGCAGCAGGAGCAGCAGCTGGCTCCGCTATGGAGCCTCATGGTGCTGGAGGCAAGACTGGCCTGACAAAGACAGCGCAGAAGATTTTGCGAGCGCAGAGGAACCCTGCAGGGCCGACACTCTTTGTGGGCAATTTGAGCTTCAACTCGACTGAGGAGGGATTGCGTGACCTCTTCGAGGCATCAGCTAAGGCCAGGGATGCGTGGAAGAAGGCCGAAGCCGGTAAGCCGAAGAAGAAGGCGAAGAAGGTTGTCAAGAAGAGCAGCAGCAAGAAGGCAAAGGCTGAGGACAGCGACAGCGACAGCGACAGCGATGACGGGAGCGATAGCAGCAGCAGCAGTAGCAGCAGTAGCAGCGAGGAGGACTCGGAAGACTCTTCGGACGAGGAGGACGAGAGCGATGAGGAGGAGGAGGGCGACAAGGACCAGGTGCGAGGTGCCGGCATCCGTAAGGTCAGGATGGGAACGTTCGAGGACTCAGGCAAGTGCAAAGGGTGAGTCAGGCGTAAGTCAAAGAAATGACATCCTGCGCGCCCACACATTGGCTGACCCCTTCCTTCCCTTCGCCGCCGCAGCTTCGCATTCATCGACTTCCACACACCCGCGCACGCAACCGCCTCGCTCGTCGACCCTCGCAACTACAGGCTGGACGGGCGCGAGCTCAAGCTCGAATTTGCAGGTGCCGACGCCGTGCGTCGAGGCGCACCGAAGGGCGCGGCCATCAACTCTGCTGGCGGTCGTGGCGCCTGGCCGAGCCCCAACGAGAGTGGCATGGCTCCTCCTCCAAAGAAGGAGCGTGCCGCCCCCGAGTGGCGCCAGAAGAAGGGTGAGAAGCGCAAACACTTGGCTCCGAGTGAGGATTCGAAGGGATCGAGGAAGCGCCTCAAGCGTGAGGAGAAGCTGGCTGCTAGAAGGGAGGCTGCCGCCATGGCTCCGGGCGGGGCTGGTAGCCCTCCCGCTAGTGGAGCGGCGGGCGGTGGTGTAGAGGGGGCTCGTGTGCGTCACAAGGAGACTCAGGCGGAGCGTCAAGCGAGAAGGGAGAAGGCTGCAGCGGGCGGAGGTGCTGGCAGTGCTGCGGGTGGCAAGAGGGCTAAGCCTGGTGCGGCGCTTGCAAATGCGCAGAGGGGAAAGACTGGTATTGACACGAGTGGGGAGGCGGGCAAGAGGACGACGTTTGAGTAGATTGAGAAGGGCAAAGGTCTCAAAGTCTCGCGGGCCCCTGATGCGGTCTCGAATGAAATTGCTTCAGCTCTGCGCAGTCAGCGAGTGGCCCAACGTGACCCAACTTTCAGCCGCCGGATGTTCGTGCTCATGAGGCGCCCATCGGCGCTCCATGCCACAAGCGCAGCAAGATAACCAGACCGGGGTCGCGGAGAGCACGAAGATTCGCTACAATTGAAGGGCCTTGAAACAAGCTATCACGGTCAAGGAAGCTCTAGGAGTACCTGATTCACACGTGCGTTCTGTTGCCAGTAACATCGGCTCCCATCGAACGCACTTCTCGACTGCACTTCTCGACTACTGTACCACCCACACCGCAGCTCACATCATGCTTTGCCTCACACACCTCGTTCAAACCCTCTGGCTCGCGGCCGTGGCTGGCCTGCTTCTCTGTTGCACACCCATCAAAGCCGATTTCATTGGCATGTGCTGCCCGCAGTCGGGCTGTACTGGACGATGCCAATCCGTTAGCGGCAAAAGGGCCGGATCCAATCCTATCACTCTACCTTTGTGCACGAGCTTCAAGCCTCGATTCAAGATGACCGAAGTATGCAGCCACGCGGACTGTTCGAATGGATGTCTCGATGGCGTCACGAATCCCAATCAGTGCATCTCTCCTAGTAAGTACGAGCGCTTTGGACACCGCTTCTCCCGTAGCTGACAGTCGGAATGTCGCGCTGTGACTGGTACGTAGAGTTGTCGAGTATTGGCTGCGTCATTTTCTGAGCTCGGCAAGACTGGTGCTGACAGTCCATGGTGCGAGGCAGGTTCGGCGCGTGGCAGTGTGACGTCCTCGCTACACATCAGCGCCATGTAAGAGAGCAAGAGCAAGCTCTCTGTCATCGCCCCATTTACTTTCGCTCATCTTTTCTTCCAGAAGCATTGTGACCAAGCTCTTCTATCTTCGTGCATAGCACAAGGTCAAGCCACTTCAACGCCGATGCTTTGCTGTGGTTGCGAGGATTTGTCCTTCTGCACTTGGCTGATGCCCAGGCTATCGCTCAGCTCAGCATTGCGCATACGACGGTGGCGAGAGTACTTGGGGAGATTAGGACAAGGGTCTAGGGGCAGGACAAGGTCACAAAGGAAGGGGCCGTCGGAGCATCGCGTCTCCGAGGTCTGCGGGCCGCAAGTGGCGAAGCGGCATGATTTCGACGTTATCACGATATCAGGCGGGCGGCGGGCCGTGGTGGCAGTGTTGTTCCGTGGCCGAGAGGGCCGATATCGACAGTGAGCGCTTGGATACTGTAGCCCAAAAGAGCGCCTGTCTGGACGACTCCCCGATTCTCTCCTCTTCGCACATCAACAGCTCTCACAACCATCGGAGATATCCATAATAGTTGAACAAAGTCATGCTCTTCATCGTCAAGCGCAGCAAGACGGCCTGGCTGTCGATCATGAGCATACTGCTCGTCACCTCTTCAGTCCTCGGCGAGACCATCGGCAACTGCTGCCCTCAAAGCCAATGCGGGGGAACTTGTCAGCCGGTCGAAGGATCGCGTACGGCGTCCAATCCCATCCTGGCATCGTGCCCAAGCTTCAAAGCAAGCTTCACAGTCAAGAAAGTGTGCTCCGCTGTGGACTGTGCAGCCGGGTGTGTCGCTGTCAATGTCGGCCCTGGACAGTGCCTGTCTCCTCGTGCGTATGGGTTTGCAGATCTTGGCAGTCGCTCTTGCTGACCATATAATTGTCGGATACTCACCTTCTGCCAGGCCTGCCGTCCATTGCTTGCATCATCTTCTAAGCCTGATGGCACGGTAGATGGGTCGGCCGCAGGGTCGTGGGTGACGATGCCTCTCTCAGTGGCGACAGTATACGCGTCACGGTCGAAGCTCAGCTCCTCGCAGTCTCTATGTGTGCGTCATTTCAATCGTGCTCTCGCCGCCACTTCTTGTGACTTTGTCACTGTGATCAAGCTGGCACCTCGTACACATGATGAATCAATCATCCACCTTTGCTGTCACTCAGGCCTCCTACTGTGTCGCTCGAGATGTGGATACAGCATCGTAAGTGCACTAGCGCACAGATCAGAGGTGCTCATCGGTGATGGTACCCTTGAGGATTTTTGTTTTCACATTGTCTCTACCCAGCGGAGCGCGGCGTTGGCTATGCCAACCGTACGAGATATCCTCGTGGGCTGGGGGCGCTCGAGTGCATGGACTGCCTAGGCCCTCGGGGCCATTCTCCGGTGAGTCCTAGAAACGTTGACTCAAGGGCGCAATAGCAAGAAGCAGGCCGAGCACTACACCGCCTTGACCCGCTTGAGACGCTCATCCGGCCAGTCTTCAACACTCCACTGGGCGTGGGGCTGTCGACCAAAGCTACCGGCCAATCGACGGGCGTGACACGGATTGGCGGCGCCAGTCAACGGGCAGATCAACTTTGCTGGGTGGCTGTGAGAGATGTCAAGTAAGCCGCAGGTCTCTGCCATCCTCACTCCTTTCTTTCACGGCTCTCGCAATCTGAAAGCAAGCAACCAACTGAAAGTGAGGACCTCAGACCGCCACGATGCACCTCGTGTACAATCTCAAGACTGTTGGCCTCGTCACCGGTCTCCTCATGATCGACCTCGCCTCTGCTGCACTCATTGGCAATTGTTGCTCTGTTGGTCACTGCAACGCCAGCTGCACTGGCGTTGAAGGTCAAGCGGGCATGAATCCCACTGGCACATGCATGAGCTTTCAAGCCACGACTCACATCAAAGCCGCATGCGCTGATCCGAGTTGCAAGCAGTGCGTCTCCGTCGCAAGCACTGGCTGTATGACAGCAAGTGAGTCCAACGGCTGTCGTCCGGGCCTGATGGCCGAGCTGAACCTCGATTTTTCGTTCTAGACCTGCCTCTCAAGTGCGTCGTTGTTTAAGGCACGTCTTTCCTCGACTACGAGGGGAGGGAGATGCGACTGGGGCCAGGTACATGGCGACTACACGAGGTATTGCTCTCTCCTCGCGAAATCCGCCTGTTGTAAGCCTCTGATTGACTCTCTCTGTCTCGAGGGACGCTTGCCTCACCGTTCGCTGATCCCGCCGCTCTGCTCGGCATCTTCTCATAGCTTTCTTCGATGTCCACCCCGTCTCCCTACATTGACCGCAGACGGACCTTGCGCTCTACCTCCCCACATTGTCCCTCGTCTTCCTGTCCGCCTCGCTCCCTATCCGACCAATAGCCTAATGGTCTCTTCTTGAATCTAAAAAGCTCACACTCTTCGTGGTCGTATGCATTGGGTGCTGCACTCTCGAGTACGAGTCACTTGTCTCGTTAGATATATGATGTGGTAATTCAAACGGAGTGGGTCAAGAACGCAGCATACAATGTCGGCGCTGCAAAAAGAAGTCAAAGGCGAAAGGAGTCGGAGGCTTGGTATATCGCCCGTCTACTGGACGAGAGTGAGTCCCGAGTTTGCAGCCGTGTGCTTGTTGACGTTGACAGGAGCGCGCTGTCCGTCCTTGACGAAGGTGCAGTATGCCTGGACTTCAGTGTCCATGTTCTTGCCAGACGTGTCTCCGGGACGGCAGAGGGTATAGCCAAACCTGAGCGACGAGTCCTTGGGGACGTAGTTGACGCAGGCGCAGCTGTTAGCGAGGCGAGAGGGAGAGGGAGAATAGGTGAGTGAGCGATGCGCGCCTCAGTGCATGAGTGCTGGAAGGGGAGGCTACCCACCGCCACTTGTCGCAGGCTTCGGCAGCGGTCTTTGCGCCCGAGTTGGCGAAGGTGTAGACCTGGCGGCGAGCGATTGACAGGAAAGATGGTCAGCGACTACGGCAGAGCACTGAGTCGCTTCGCCGCCCTCTCACCTGTCGCTCATCGTAACGCTTTTGGAGCTCAGGAGCGGCCGAGACGACGCCAACGGCGACGAGGGCAGAGACGACGAGAGATGTAGCAAACTTCATGGTGTTGAGCAGAATGAGTGGGAGAGGGGTAGAGGTTGAAGCAAGGGTTGCGAAAGCAAGCTGTGATGCAACGACTGAGCTCATATTTGTAGCAGTATCTCGACTCCATTCGTCAACCCCGCAATCGAACCCGCCTGCCCTTTTGGCGAACCTGCCTCACTCAATCGAATCAGGTGCCGACGGTCTGGTCCCGCCTCCTCCCCGCATCACGACGGGGTTCCGGCGGGAGGGGGAAAGGCGAGGCGTCGTTCAATCGGGCGTGCCGCCGCACGTCGACGTCGCAGCCTCGACCCGAACTTTGCGACTCCGTTCTACTCAATTTCTACCGAGCGCGAGATGCGTATGGCCGCTTCAAACAGGAAAACGATCGTGATGTGTCATGACCATGTGTTCACCAATGGCAGCCTGGCCGGCACGCTGTGGGCTCGAGCGCAGGTGCTATTCTGCAAGACGAGCCTGCGCTGAATCGCTGTGCCCGATCAAGCTCACACAGGGCCCTGCGCCGAGACCACTCAAACGCAGGCAGCAAAGTCCATGTGCAACCATGCCCTACCCAGATCAATCGTCGATTTCCCTCATCGTTGGACTTGCTCGAGGTCAACGAGGACGCGGCAGGGGCATCATCGACCCAAAGGAGGGTGGTCAAGATGCTGCAGAGCAGACTCACCGCTCGAGGGGGGCAGGCGCACACTGGACGCAGCACATCAGGCACCTCATCGGCTTGGACCTCCTATGTTCGGGATTTGGCATGTCAACAACAATTGAAGGGCTAGAGCAGCGATGAAGACGATCCGAGAGACCGTGACAAGATGACGACAAAGAATGAAGAGTGAATGTGCAAAAGGATGAGAGATGCGAGCACAGGGTGTCGCGGCGCTGCGTTACGTGCCGTTGCGGGCACGGGATCTCGATGGTCGTGTTACTACGAGTAAGCTACTGCTTGATACTACGGGTACTGCTGCTGCTGCTGTTGCTGCTGGACAGAGAGAAGAAAGGGGGGTATCTTCAAGAGAGACGGCCTGGCGAGTTCGAGAGCCATCACGTCCGGTCGGCGTAGAGATTGAGCTTGGCGCCTGAGGCAAGCCATTCCCTGAGGTCCTCGTCGTCGTGCATTCGAACCATACCGCTTGCGCCGGGCTCAGGATTGGCGTCGCGATACCGCAGGACGTTGATGTCTGCGCCGAGCCGGTCGCGTACCCTGGCGAGAGAAGAGAAGAATGGAAGTCAGCGACCAAATGGGGCGGGTGTACGTTGCGCTCGCACTTACTTCTCCATCAATTGCCCGTGCGTGACGCTAGGCGGAACCCGAATAGCCACCAAATCGTCATTGGCGCGGTGAAAGATCTTGATCTTCATGAAGGAGGGCGAGGCAGCCCCAGGCCCTCCTGCTGAGATGGCTCCACCGCTCATCCTGCCCTCAGAGCCGCGCGAGTTTTGCGTTTCCACCGTCGTCGCCGAAGCGTTGCGCTGCATGTAGCTATGCGGAGGTTGCAAACCGGGACCGCTACTCCTGCTGTTCGAGGCAGAGTGGCCTGAGGAGCGGGTTCCCATGCTTAAAGAGTCCATCTTGCCAGCGAGATCCGGTGCACGGCTGCTGACACTGGCTGAACGGTCGTGATGAGGGCCAACGGTTCTAAGAGCGGACCAGAAGAGAGAATGTCAGCCAACGCTCACTCAAAGCTCCTCACGGCTCGTACTCACGCGTCCTCCGAGTACTTGGCTGTTCCGTTCCCGTACGGCGGCTGAGGTGATCGCACCTCCTCCACGTCATCCCCGCCCAACTGTGCAGGCATCTTTCCTTTACCCGACCCCTTCCTTCCCAATCCCCCGCTATCACTCCTCGGCCTCATCCCTGGCGCATGCGTCGTGCAGTGATCTCCCGGCCGAGGCTCAAAGAACAGGCGTACCAGCTCTGACCGCAGGATGTATTCTGGCAGGCGAGTCAGCTCCGCTATGTACTGGTCCAGGTCGCCTCGTCGCTGCGCTGTTATGTAGTCGTCGACCTTATCCAAGGGCCCGGGCATGAGAGGCAGTATTCGCTCGGATTGATTGCCGTTCTCGTCGAGTTGTCTGCCAGCTTCTGCGGGAAAGTGGTCGAGGAGGGCAATTTGAAACTCATAGAAGTCTTCGTACAATCCTGCGGGAGGGGCGAAGGAGCAGGGTGAATGAAGCAGATTAGCGCCGGAATGCAAGGCCCGGCATGTCGATATGGTCGCAAACTCACGATAGAGTATGAGATCGCGGTCCTCGCCCTCCATCGTGCGCGGCGCCGTCGGTGGCGCATGTACAGACCACCCCGCCGTGTGATATGCCTGCAAGCGAAACCAGTAGTCGCCCTGCTCGAAATGAAATGAATCCACCGTAGCGTACGTGATGATGCCCGCCGGCAAGGGCTCTCCAGGCGGCATTCCAGCAGGTAGCTGTTCTTGCGACTGTGCAGCATCTGGGTAGGGGGATCCCCACTTGTCATCCTTGGGTGGCAGTGACGGTGAGGGCTCGTCAGGTTCAACTACGCCGCCTGCAAGAGCATCCTGCGATGACGACGGGCCCATCGCCGCTGCTGGTGCTCCTCCAAAATCAAAGCGTCCCAGCGGAATCGTGTTCTTCTTGTATTCTGCTGTCATCTTCTTCCACTCCTCGACTTTGGGTACGACGCCCGAAGAAATGAGCTCTTCGACGTTGTCGACCACCTGACCCGTTGCGAGATCCTTGATCTCAACGAAGGCTACGGGGATGAGGCCAGGACCTCCCAATCGACCAATTGGTTTGGCAACGAACCCTGTGCAAAGGAGAGCGAGGAGCAAGAAGGTCAGCGTGTGGACCGTTTGCCCGCTTGCAACCCATTCCCTCTTGCCCAGACTTACACTCGAAATTGGACTGGGCAATCACGATCATCGACTCGCCCGCTTTTGCCCCCAACTCGTCATCTCTCTCCGCCTCAAAATCGTATTTGACGACCGCATAAAACCCTCCTCCCCCCTTTGCCGTCATCGCAGCTCCCGCAGCTCTCTGCGCGGGTGATTGTGAAGACGAGGGCCCCGCAGCAGCTGCGCCTGCTTGGCCGGGCCTCGAGCTCTTGGTGACAATTTCCACTGACCCAGCAGGAACCAACCCTCTCGCCCCCGTCATGGGATTGAATGCTTCAATCCATTCTGCATTGGGCAGTGGATCCGTGAGGACGTGAAAGAAATCGCCCTTTGTGAAGCCGAGCTCATTGGGAGCGCGTGATTTGTAGTCGGTAATGGCTTTGAGGACCATCTTGGGAGGTTGATGAGAGATGGCGCCCTTGACATTGGAGAGGGCATTGGATGACGTTCCGCCACTGCTGCCGCTACCACCACTTCCCCCTGGTCTGCTGCCACCCGATGTGCGATCCTTGTTGAGGGATCTGCGGAAGTCTTTGAGGCCCTTCATTGCGGGCAAAATGTGATGGTGAGAATGACGGGCGAGGACGAAGGAGTACGAGAAGTAGAACGAGGAGATGATCTGCGAGAGCGTCTCGTCGTGGGTTGCTGCGTTTGCCCGACGACACCCTTGACTACAACTGCTTTCTCTCTCTGTCTCTCTCTCTCTCTTTTCGGTGTTGACTCCAGATCCAATGGAATCGAATCTCAGACACGACGGCGGGTCGAAGGCGTAGAGTGGGTTGGCCAGTCAAGTTGCGATGCAGCAGGCAGCAGGCAGCACCGGAGCGGCACGCCTGTCAGACAGACCAAAAGAGAGGCCGGCGAGCGACGAGGCAGCGGCGACAAGAGACGGACCACGACTCTCTCTCGTGGGCTGCCGCGCCGCCAGTGTCGATCAGACGGGTGGTCCCTTGTTCCGCGACGCAGAGCACCGAGGGCACCGAGGGCGAGAGGGCGATGTCGAGGCCTTCTTGTCCCCCTCCTCTTCGATCTCCATCCTATTCTTGGAGCCGCGACCGATATGGCCTCGTCGTCGCCGCCGCCTGGTGGTGTCGACGATGGTGGCGACCACGGAATCGAGACAGTCCAAGCGCTCGCCCTTGGACGCTCGAAGCGCAGCACAGCAGGCAATCGAATGCGCGCCCTCCTCGATAAGCAGACGGACCTCGACGATGATGACATGTTTCGCGAAGAAGCAGACGACGACGAATTTGCAGCAGTCAAGGAGGTTCAGGAGGACATCTTCGACTCGGACTTTGGAGATTCGAGCGAAGATGAGGGCGCGGCGGCCAACGGTGACGATGATGAGGAAGCTGGAGAACGCCAGCTCGAGGAGGAAGCACAGCAGAAACAAAGGGCAGCAGCCAAGAAGCGACAGGCGGCCAACAGGATGGCTCCCTCCGTCATCAGGCGGCCAAAGCCAACGAAGACGGGCGACACTGCTCCTTCCAAGTCGAAGCGCATATCCTTTGCACCAGAGGCGTCCCCTTTCGACGGATCTTCGAGTAATCGCCGCGTCTCTTCGAGACGAGCCACAGTCCAATCAGCACTAGATACGCAGTCGCGTCTGGAGGAAGCGGAAGCTCGTCGCCTGCAACATCCAATGGTTCGCAACCCTCCAAAGCAAAATCAAAAGCCCTCTCTTACCCAAGACGAGCTCATCCATCTGGCCCTCGATCGCGAAGAAGAGAATCGCAAGAGTCTCAAGGAATATTACGAGGGCGAAGAGGAGAGGAAGCGGGCTGAGATGGCAAGGGATAAGAGCGAGCTGCCTTCCAGCTGGCTCAGATGGAGGAGTGTAAGAGCTGTGCGGGCCAAGACGCCGCCGATAGCAGCGGCAGCTGTCAACGGTAGAGCGGGGCAAGGCGAGGCTGCGGTCCCTGAGGAGGCGAGTCCTCTAGTTCAAGTCATGGATGATGTCGCGACAGGCGCAAAGGAGCAGACTCAGTCGTCCGTCCGGCAAGGGGAAGACGAAAGCCTCAGCGTGAAGGAGACTGCGCAGGTGCAAGCCGAAGTGCAGGCATCCACAGGAGCAGACGAATCATTGGCAACAGCGGCTACTGCAGAGTCAGATCAGTCCTTCGAGACACCTCCTCCTCGGGACCTTGCGGACGGAGATCAATCTATGTCCAACACAAGGGCAGAGCCAAACGAGGCCGACGGAAAACCTACGCCGCAAAAAGCTCAACACAACCCACCGATTGCGCAAGAGCCCTATGACTCTCTCGCTCAACAGGCAAACCATGACACCTCCGTGCAAGAGCACCGTGCCTCTTCATCACAACCGCAGCGACCCGTGGACGTCACTCTCGACCCGGTGCTCGAAGCCCGCAAAGTCGCTGCCGCCCACACCACCGCCACTTCTGCACCGCAGTCCGTGGCTCCTACCTCTCCATCCCGCCTCGAATCTCGTAACATCGTCTCCCTGCACTTCGCGCATCGCCCCTCCAACAATATTGAGGGTCGTCTCGAACAACTCAACGCCCTCTTCGGCAATCACGTGGATTGGACCTCAGCGCCCATCGTCTCGCACCGTAATAGGCCTATGCGACCACGAGCGTCACTGTGCGCGATAACGGGCAAGACGGCTAGGTATATGGACGCGAAGACTGGCATACCTTTCGCCGATGTGAGGGCGGCGAAGGTTCTGAGAAGGTTGCAGGGGCTGGACCAGCATGCAGAAGGAGAGGGTTGGGAGTGGATGGAATTGACGACTGTGCCTGGGGCTGGTGGCCAGAGCGAAGATAGGGAGCGCAGTCAGTCGGTCGTGCAAAGCGAGGACCAACCTGCTGAACCCGTCAAGAAGAAGGGCGGCCGCAAGTCAGGAAGAGGAGCGGCGAATGGCCGGCCAGAAGGCTTCCTGACTGGCTTCTGGTCAGACTCGTATCCACGCTCGACAGGTTCCACGGCTGCTGGCTCTGGCTCGGCAACAGCGACGGCAGGCTCATCCATCACACCTGGGCTCGGCCGCTCGATCTCGACCTCCTCCTCATCAGCAATTTCTTCTGGCCCGCGCAAACGCAAGTCAGCCTTTTACTACGACTACAGCGGGATTGCCCCCGGAGACGAGAAGGCCATCATGGAGAGAGCGTTGGCTCTTCCTGAGGGGACGACGAGGAGTGGGCGAGCGCGGGGCGTTGCTTCTGGTAACGGAGCAGGCGGCTCAGGTGGAAAGTGACTAAGGTCGATGGAACCAATCGCGAGAGTAGCTCTGTATTCTAAAACGCATTCAATACCCATTTCATGTTAGCATCACGTCGAAACGCGCGTAAAGGGGGAGGCCAGGAATGGCGGACGCCGCGCACGTGACCTCGACACGTCGGCCAACGCGAGACCCAAGCACAGGCGCCATTCGCTGGTAGTGAGGAGCTAGGCCTCGCCTTGCGTTTGATCAGAGGCAGCGATGGTGGACTTACAGACCCAGGGGTGAAGGATGAGATTGGTCATGCTCAAGAGGCCCGCCCTGCACGACCACATGGTGACTGCTTGGCTCGTGGCTAGACGATGCTCGACGGACGGGGAGGAGTCGCTGCTCCATGGCGCTTTCCGCCTGACGCGGAGACAGAGACACGCCCGCCTGCCCGCCCGCATCATCATCTGCATCCCATCTTTCCAGCTTCCTCTTTTCATCTACCACTTCCGGACCGTCGCTAGCCTTTGATCTGGAGTAGGAACACCACGCAGTGTCGCATAGTCGATTCGCGCAACTCATCCCGACGTCTACGCCGAGCACGCTTGGCGTTGCGCCTCACGACGGCTGCCTGTTGCCCTGCCGCCGACGCGTCCTGCATCGTCCTCTCCCATCAGACTCGCAAGCCTGCCCAAGTGGTGCCCTGACGCCATGTCATCCAGCAGACGGTCCACTGGCAGGCAGTCCAACTCCGTCGCCACGTCTTCGTCATCGCCAGGTCATCTTCCAGCAACGGCCGCCTCGCGAGCCCGCGGCAATGGAGGCGCTGCACGATTCGAGGACTTTGCAAATTCAACAGTAGTCACTGACGCAGATGATACCTTTGGGGCAGCTATCAAGGGGAAGCAGAGAGCGGCTCAGAATGAACAAGAAAGCGTCGATGAGTTCGCTGCTGCCGCCACCGCCACCAGTGAGCTTGCTGCATCTTCGTCGAACAATACCAGGAGACCAAGAAAGAGTGAGTGTATGCGCGCGACGTATCATGGTAGCAAGTCTGCCCACTGACCTCGCCTTCTCTGCGTGCAGCTTTCAACGAAGTGGCCGACGATTCCGGCTTTGTCTTCACCGTCGAGCCCAAGCGCGATGCTGTCCCTGCGAGCTCCTCGTCGATGGGCCCCCCAAAGATACCCACCTCGCGCTCCTCGCGAGCATCAAAGGCCCACGCTCCGCCACCCTCAACGTCCCGCTCCAAATTCATCAGCGAGCCTCTACCCTCCGATCAGGTAGGCGAGACTCCTATAAATCGACGCAATCGTCTCTTCAGAGGTGGAGCGGGGCCTAACCTGCCATCCACACCAGCCTCACGACGTACAGCCAGCGGATCGTCTTCATCACGTCGCTCCTCCCTCAACTTCAAGACGTCACGCCGCTCCTCGAGTCTGCGTGATGGGTCTATTGCCTACCCACACCCGAGTGTACCAGACAAAGAGCTCTACCGGCATTGTGCGGACAATATGCCACCCGTAGCCCGTATGAAGCACCTCGCCAGCTGGACACTAGAGCGCGCTCGTGCAGAGGTGCTCGAAGCTACGCCTGCCGCTGGGCTGGGCAGACCCACAGCACCCAAAGGCAAGCGTGCTGCGGCAAAGGCGGATCAGGGTAAAGGCACTGGGGACGAAGGCAGCGGCGCGTGGAGCAGCCAGGAGAAGAAGGTACTCGAGCGATGTCGCTCCAGTCTGGAGAAGGTGATGCTCGACACTCTGCGAGATCTGAGCGACCAGAAGATCAACATCAGCTGGACGGCTGCAGCTGCAGCAGCGAAGGGATCAGCCGGCTCGACACCGCAGCCTCGCCCGAATCCGCTCAACGAGTCGAACAAGGCATTGGCTGAACAGCTGGGCTCGCTCGTTGCGGCTCTGAGGTCGGAGAATGCTCGCTGGGAGGAAGAGAGAAAGGAGATCGAGGCCTTTGAAGAAGTCACCGCTTCCATGCTTGGGGCGGGCGCCTCTATTGGCGCAGCAACTTCACGAGACGTGACCAGTGCAGCCCCGTCGTCTTCCTCGAGTAAGCTGGACGAGCTCGACTGGACGACGGAAGAGCTCGATCCCTCCATGACACGCATGATGCAAGACGCTCGTCGCGCTCTTGCCCTTGAGGAAAACTGGCTGCCAGCCGCAGCATCATCTGAAGCCGACAGCAACACCATCGCAACCGCCATCCGGGCCGCAGCAGCTGCGAAGCGCAAAGCGGAAGAGGACAATCTGGCAGCGCAGCGCAAGGGGAAGCGCAAGAGCGAGATGATCCCGTCGCTTTCCAAGGAAGACGAAGCGATGATCATCGCAGGAACGAACCTCGATCCCCGCTGGGCAGATGTGGAGTATCGCTCCGATGTGCTACATTCCCACACGCACATCGCGGACCGGCTCTCTCTACTCTCTTCGTCGTACACGAGCTCCATCTCCGCGAGGGCAGCACAGGCTCTTAGGCAGCTGGCGTTCGCTCCAGGGGACGCGGCCGAGGCTGCTGCTGCGGGCGCTGAGGCGGGAACCTCGTCGTCTTCGTCGTCGCAGCAGCAACGTGGCGCTGAAGGTTCCGAGTCGCGCAAAGCGGCACGAGAACGTCGCGAGCGTATCTTGCGAGGCATTCGCGAGTCTATCGGGCCTGTGAGGAGGCAGGAAATTGAGGATGAAGATGCCGAGGCTAAGGCGCTTGAGGAGCAGGCGGCTGCTGAGGCGGCTGCGCAGGGTGGAGACCGTAAAAGTGGGCCGGATGACTCTGGTGTGCAGTTGGCGGATCAGAGCGCCGTCGACTTGTTCAGAGCTTTCGCTAGTACGAAGAGAGGAGGTGCTGCGGGAGGCGGCGGCGCATCTTCGAGCAAGGGTAGGAGGAGTGGCAGGAGTAGTAGGAGATGAGTGCGCGAGGGCAAGACGTAGCGGAAGCTTCATATCCAGGACATTGTACAGCTCTGCGCCGCAGGCGCTGTGCCACAGCTTCATCTTTCCATTCTCAATGTTCCAATTCCGTTACTTGACTATCAGACTGCAGTGGCTGTGGCAAGACCGCACGCTCATCGTCGAATGCTTCTAATTGAAGGGGATATTATCGAGGCTCAAGCTACCCGTCCGAGCGACCATCTTTCCCACGCGCCTATCACAGTCTAGCAGCATCAGCGCCCCTTCCTCCAGGACCAAGCTTCCACGCCCTCTGCACAGCCTCGAGTGCAAGCTTGTAGCTCTCCTCACGCTTCGCGTCCCTCGCTGTCCCCTTCCTTGCAGCCTTATCGAACGCGTGTCCCTCTCCACTCACATCGTGGAAGTAGAGATCGCTCGGGCCCTGCCCTTCTGGCGTCCCCTTGAGCTTCTCAATCAAGGCCTTGCCATCCCTGTACAGCGTATCACCTCTTGCGCAGGTCAGCCAAACCAGGGGAGGAAAGCTGCCCGGGTCCGCCTTGACGGGGCTAACGAGCGGGTGGGTCCTATCCACGCCCACGCTCAGAATGTAAGACTGGTCGAACATCTTCGCCACCCCTAGTGGGATAGCCCCGCTATGCTTTTCAGGCGGAGGTGCCTTCAGCTCCCTGTCGACGCTCAAGTTCGTAGGAGGGTAGAAGGCCAGTACACCGCAGAGGTCTTTACCATGCAGCGTAGAAGCGCACAGCGCCAGATTGCCCCCTGCGGAGAATCCACCCACTGTACATCGTCTAGTGTCCCATCGCCCAGACTGGGAGAGGGCGTAAAGGATGGCATCCTCCGCGTCCTGTACGGCCGCAGGCCATGGCCACTCGGGCGCTTTGCGATAATCGCAGTCCAGTACTACGCACCCCAACCGGGAGGCAAGGTCGCCGCAGAATTGACGATCCGAACCTAGTGATGGGATCATGAAGCCTGATCCATGGAAATTGACGTGAATGGGAGGTGGTGATGAGCTCTTGGTGAGAGATTTGGGTTGGTAGATGTGCACGCGTAGCTTGCGATTCTTGTCGCGCGAGGGAAAGGTGGTGTGCGTCACGGTCACGTCGGATGGGACGCCCTGCAGAATGTATTGGGCTAGAAACATGCCCACTGTAGCAAAGAAGCCTCAAAAGTGTCAGTCACTGAGCTCGCTCACCATTATTACTCCTTCGTCCTCGCACACTCACATCCGAGAGCTCCGCGAATCAAAGCGGCAGAGAGTCGCAGACGAATGTACTGCAGCGACATAGGGTGATGCTTGATAGGAGCTGCATCCCTTCCGGGAGCCTTGCGCTGTAGCTGGGTATCTTCTGACATGATTGTTGATGCTGTTCTAAGATGAGGGGAGAGGAGTCAGGAAAGGAAAGGTGCGAAGGAGCGAATACGGCGGCTGGCTGACTGATCGACTCGCGGAGCCCGAGCGCACCTGCAGGGTCCAAAGTGGAGCGAAGCGACCGACTCGAGCTGCGTGTGAGAGAGCCACACCGGACAAAGTCGTGGTGAGGTTTGAAATTGAGAAGATATTGACAATGGATAAGTGAAGTGAGATGGACAAGAAAGAACACTGCGCTCCATGAAACCGCCTCACATCAAACCTACGCCCCTCATATCCTGGATCAAGCGTCTCTCCTCTGGGCTGAGGTGCGTCTCGTCGCCCGTCAAGCGACGCGCCCCGCGAGCATCATCGTCCTCATCGTCGCCATCGACTGCATAGGCAAGCGTGCCCCGGCGAGGAGGAGCACCCCAGATGGTCGCTGAAGAGGGAGAAGCACCCGTTACGCTGCCACTTGTCGGCGCCGCTCCTGCCGTCCCTCGCCTCCCATTAGCAGCAGCGGGAAAGATGATCCAATCCTCCCCAGTGCCCGTCGCCCTACCGCCTTGCGCCGTGGCCAGGCCAGCGTTGACACGCATAGCCTCTCTCAGCCTATTGATGAAGCCCACTGGCGCACCGCTAGCCTCAGCCAGCTCATCAGGTGCCTGCCCGCCATTCTCTGCAGCTCGCTGTGCCTCTTGCTCGCGGCGAGAAGCAGCAACCAGTGCGCGACCCCAGCGGTGGACTCGCCAGTAGGAGAGGAGCGAGGAGAGTAGAATGAACCATCCGAGGACCATGAGCATGTAGGCGAGCCAGTCGGAGGAATTCGACATGTCATTACCGCCGTTGCCGTTGCCAGATGAGCCGGAGCCTGCACCGACCGCGATGCTGTCCGCGTCGTTGGCGAGAGACGTGGCCATATCCGTGCCCGTGGGTGCTGGTGGTGCGACGGCGGATACAGTGGCGGCGATTGCGCGGGCGAAAGCTGGTGTTGGGTCAGGAGGCGGTGGTGGGTAGACCAGTGTAGCACCCCACCAGGTAACTGCCGTCATAGGCTCGACGCCGCCTGTTCCTGCATCCCCTCCACCATGACCGCCGGAGCCACCACTGCCTCCGCCTCCATTCCCTACTCCGCCCTCATCCAGCTGCATACCCCTCGTCCTGAGATAGAAGCCATATTGAATCAAGGTGACCCCCAATCCAGCCCTGCTGCCACATCGAGCAGCGTGCGTCGTGTGCAGTAGATACGTGAGAAGAAACCCAACGAATTGGAAGCACATGCTGACCAGTAGGTTCCAAGCGAACCCGAAGAAGTTGCCAATGGGCAAGCCCTCCAATATCAGATCCTCGACGTCGCCCACATGGCCTCCTCCGGGCGTCCACCCGAGACCACCTGGAGCAATAGTCGTCTCCCAATAGCCCGGTGCGGTATCTGCTGCTGCGACCTCATACGTAGGCGGAAGAACATCGTCCTCCAGGTCGTCGTCTTCGCCTCGATCGTCCGGATTGCCACCGCCGTTTGCTTGGCGACGTCTACGCCCCTCGGGCTTGGCGTTGAGGTTGGCAAAGACGCCGTCCTGGTTTATGCCGCCGCCCATCACACGGCGTGACCTTGTGACGCCTGTCGATGGAGCGCCGTCGACGTCGCTGGTGGCAACGGTGGAGTAGTTGGCGCCGGGAACTCGCATGCCTACATAGCGACCGAAACGGCCGAGTAGGAGTCGGGCACGGGCGAAGCCTTGTGCGTTCTGCGTGGCTGCTGCTGAGGTCGGGCCAGCGGTAGAGTAGGTTGTGATGTCCGGCGATCCGAGCGAATCGAGGCCAACGCGCGAGGTGCTGGCCTGCGGGCTTGACCCCAAAGCTTCAGGGAAGGGGGACGCAGAGCGTGATCGGCCGCTGCGAGGAGCACCAAAGTAGGAGGCCTCCTCGAAGTCGTAGCCGCCTGCTGGAGTCGAGGAGCGGGGCGCATGACGCCGCGAGGAGGCAGCTGGGGTGTCCTCCTGTTCGCCGTCGCTTACGCCGAGCGGGTCGTGCGCGAGGGAGCTGCGTACTGGAGTCTGCGGGGCGCTGAGGAGTGATGCTGGCGGTGGTTGGGTAGTTCGCGAGCGGGGAGCTTCTGCGGCCATGGCATCCCCAGCATCGAAGTAGACGTCGTCGTCATTGTGGGCGACAGTAGTAGCAGACTCATAGCCGGGAGGTGAGGATGATGGAGGAGGAGGAGCAGCAGAATTGAAGTCGCCACTGTCATCAGCATCATCGTCGAATGCTGCATCCATCTCTGCTCGAGAGGAAGGGGTGCGACCCAGCAGTGGGGCGTTGTCGCGAGAGGAGGGCATGGCGTTGATAATCTTCTATTGATGAAGCAGGGCAAAGGCTGCGGGATAGTTGCGTCGCAAGGGAAGGGGCAAGCCAGGGGGAGGACCTACGTGGAGATGGCTATGCTGCGCACTCGCTGCTGGTGGCGCTGCTCCCCTTTGAAATGCGCCGCTGTGACTGCCACGAGGTACGGCACACAGGCCCTTAGGGGAGTTATGCTCTGTGGAAGGGGAAATGAAGGATGGGGAGGGAGAAGTTGTTGTGATTGTGATGTCAAAGGGAACAAGGAGGTGGGTGACCTAGAGGTTTGACCCACTTAGCCGCCCCGCCGTGCCTTGCCTTGAGTCCGTCGGCGAGGCATTGCCGGCCTCAGCTCAACTCAACGTCTCTTGTCTTGGCTTGACTGAGCTCACCCATCCACCCACCCACCCACTTGCCTCTCCGCTTGCCCGTCTGACCCTCCGTTCCGCGCCCCCGAGCTCGACCTCAACTGAGACGCGGGACACGGATAGAGAGGCTACGAGCATCGACCTACTCGCTCCTGGAGATCCAAATCACTTACTCTCTCTCTCAAGCTGCAGTGCTGCGGGACATGGATATTGATGCACTCTCATAGCCTCAAGTGCTCTCTATCAAGACAGTTCACAGCGCAGCCCTAGCAGCACTCGCTCTTCATGGTAGTCTGCAAATTCTTCCTCCAAGATCGCTGCGTCTTCGGCGACTCGTGCCGCAACGAGCACCCAACAGGCGGCTCAGCTAGCGGCGGCGGAGGCTTCGGCTCAACGTCCGCTTTTGGTGGTGGTGGAGCCGCTGGTGGTGGTGCTAGAGCGAGAAGCGGAGGCTTCGGATCAGCTGCACCTCCTCCCACCTTTGGCGGAGGAGGCTTTGGTGGTGCCAGTGGAGGGTCCGCTTTTGGCGCTAGCACCGGTGGCAGTGGCAGCGGAGCAGCGACTGGTTCTGCTTTTGGCAGCTTTGGCAACAAGACTGCTACTTTCGGCGGGCAAGGAGGTGGGACGACGACGAGCGCGTTTGGACAGCCTGCTACGGGGAGCGCCTTTGGCCAAGCAGCAGGGCCTACTGCTTTCGGTGGTGGTGGTGGCGGCGGTGGCGGCGGCTCAGCTTTTGGCGCTGCTCCCACCGGCTCAGCGTTTGGCAGCAGCGGTAGCGGCAGCGCCTCGGCTTTCGGAGGCGCAGCATCCACTGCGCCTTCAGCCTTCGGCCAGCCATCCGCCTTTGGCGCCTCTTCTCAGCCGCAGCAACAACAGCAATCAGGCTCAGCCTTCGGAGCCTCTCAGCCAAGCGTGTTCGGGTCCACTGCCGCGCAGTCAGCGCCACTTGGCGGGCCAGCAAACCAAGCCCCTCCCCACACCCACCCAGGGCAGGTGAACCTCACCCCTTCCGGCCTGGAAGAAGACCTCAGACTCAATCGGCCCTTATACCGCCCTTCGGTATTTGGCCCAGCAAAATACGAGCCCAATCTACTCTTCTCTGGGTCAGACACCTCACCGGAGGAACTGCGCCTGCAGGCACTAGAGGCTGCGGGTACGAATAGGGGGCAGGAATATACAAACTATGAGGCGCAGCTGTTCGCCAGACATGATGGCGACGTGGGGAGGGCATTGGCTGACTCGAGAGGGGCGCATCAATTGGCGGAGCGCAATAGGGAAGAGGCGATCAAGAGGATGAAGGGGGGAAACAATCCCGCGCCCTCACAGCCTGCGGGATCGGCCTTTGGTGGCGGAACGCAACAGACAAATGTGTCTGCCTTTGGGTCGACGTCGACACCGCAGAAGCCTGCTGCGGCTTCCGCTTTTGGGCAGCCATCAGCTTTCGGCTCGACGACGACGCCTTCAACATCCGGCTTCGGACAGCCTAGCGCATTCGGTGGCGCGTCATTGCCAACACCATCAGCATTTGGGTCGGTAGGAAGCTCGGGAGGCTTTGGAGGCTTTGGCGCCGGCGCAGCAGGGACCGCTCAGCAGAGCTCGACCAGCACGCCGTCCGCCTTTGGAGGGGGCGCTTCTGGCGGTGGTAGCTCAGCGTTCGGTCAGCCCTCCGCCTTTGGTCAACCATCAGCGTTTGGGTCCACTGCCAATCAGGCACAGCCATCAACATCAGGGGGCTTTGGCCAGCCCAGCGCATTTGGGTCTGCCACGCCGTCATCGAGCGCGTTTGGAGGAGGAGCAGCGAGCACGCCGACACAGCCCTCAGCCTTTGGCGCATCGACCACTCCTGCAGCAGCGCCCACAGCACCATCAGCCTTTGGCGCCTCAAGTAGCGCCTTCGGCACCTTCGGCAGCGGTAACAACGCAACGTCAACTGGCGGTTTCAGCAATACTGCTCCCCGTCCAGCAGCTCAAGATGATCCCTACGCAGCCTTGGCAACAAAGGAGGCGGATTTGCCGCAAGCGATCATGGATCTGTTCAATCAGGCTGAGTTCGAGTGGGGGAAAGTGCCAGGTGTTGAGCCACCATTGAGTGTGAGATGACGGAAGGTGCGGAAAGAGAGAAGAAATCTATGTAACATTACACATCGTGCCATTCACATCGACAATCACACGGCATCACGCCTTCATCTTCTGATCCTCCTCTCCATCCTCTTCATCCTCCTCCTCAACAGCTCCCACGGTATACTCCCCAATGAGGTCCCATCTGCTCCCTCCTGCGCTCGCATTGAGGTATTTGATAAAGTGCAGCACGCCCTCGTCTCTCAAGGCGACGGAGAGGGTGTTGAAGGACGGCGTGAGGTTGAGAAGGACGCCGTCAAAGTCTGAATCGGCGTCATCATCGTCGAGCTCTTCCATTTCCTCGTCTTCGCCCTCCTCATCCTCGGCTTTCTGGCCATCCTTGGACTCTGCTGCGTTGCCCTCCTCCTTCTTCTCTCCGCTGGGATCGCCATTCTTGGCGCCAGACCCACCTTGCCTATACACCTCCCCTGTAGCTCCCTCGTCTTCATCATCTGGAGCCATATAGCATGCCCATCCTCCAGCCTCGCCGCTCATCCACTTCCCCGCGACATCCTTTGCCTGCTTCTTGCTCAATTGCGATGAGCCAGCCTTCTTCGCTGAAACGGCTGCAGCAGCAGTCTTCCTCTTCTTGCCCGCAGCCAACCCAGTCGGCCCCGCCGGCCCGCCGGCAGCGTCCAACGCAATACGTCCTACGTCCGGTGTGAGGCCGAAAGTGACGTCGAGGACCGTCTCCTCGTCTGCGCGTGCGAGCGTGTAGTCCAGTCCAGGCCTAAAGCGACGAGCCTCAAAGGGTCGATGCGCCAGTGGTACGAGCTGGGAGATGTTTGCTAGGAAGTGCCTGAAGGCGGGACTGGGCAGCACTGTCGTTCGGAGAAGGTCGAGGAGCTCGAGCGGCTCCTCGTAGGGGATGGTGTTGGGCAGTGTTGGGTTGGCTGCGCTGGGGAGCCGAGGCTTCTGCGACGCTCTGAGGGAGACATAGCGCTGCCTATGCGGCGGGCCAATGAGCTCCCAGTCCTTTGAGACGCCCGCATCTTGTGAAGGGATTACGATGCCCTCTTCACCTTTGCCGCGCTGCCACCACCTGAAACCAGCTTCATCGTCCAGCGCCTTCAGGCCCTTCTCCATCGCTGCCGCTACTTTTGAGTTGAAGATGTCGCTGAGCAAGATGTGGGATTCGTCGCCAAACTTCTCAAAAAGTTGAGCCTGCGTCTTGGGGGCGAGGTAGGACGGGTTCAAGAAGGGCTTGAGGAAGTCGACATCGTCCTGCGTCATTTGCGAGCCAGGCAGAGGCGGGTCCAGCCCTTCCGGGTAAGGCGTAAAGGAAGCAGCAGCCCTCTTGGCTCCCAATCCCGCGGCGCTGGCATGTTCCTTGCGCTCTGCCTCCTCGCGATCCTCGTCCGCCTGATCGAAACCAGGCTCATCACTCTGCGGGCGATGGAACCATCCAGAGATGCTCAAACGGGAAGCCGTGGGGTGGCACACCTCCTCGACCGAGTGGAAGGAGTGTCCAGGCTGCACGGCGAAGAAGGTATACTGGTTCCACTTGGGCGGGATCGAGACAGATGGGACCGTCTCTGGTTCTCTTGGCTCACCCTCGGACTTTGCCGGCTTGACAGGGTAGAGCTCGAGTGCACCTCCCCACTCGGGCTGCCAAGGGTGAGCAGGGTCTGGCAGGTAAAGGATGTAAGAGACTCGACGAGTCGCAATGACATCGTCGTGGTTGAGGAGGTGACATCCCGAGCGGTAGTCGTTGATGCTCATATCCTTCTTCTTTGCGCTCAGTGGTCCGCAACCCGTGACATCCTGGAGCCATCGACGGAACTCTGGCGAGTACATGGCATCGCGCACCTTGAGGAGGCTGGTGAGGCGCGCCGCTTCTGGTGCCTCAAGCCCGTCGAGGTTGGCCAGGTCGCCCGTTTGATTGACCTTGTAGATATCCGTCTCTTTGTCCGCGAAGCGCAGCTCTTCGATGATCTCTGTTCGCGCCTTCTGGAGGAGCTCGTCGTTGATGAGGCCGTCGACGACGGCATGGCGGTATGGTTGCGACGTCGAGTAGGATGAGGCCACCTTGGCGCGGGTGTCCGGGGCGAGGACATCAGGCGCAAAGCGAGCCTTGATCTCTTCGCGGACCTCTTCGGCAGGGGTGCCGTTGCCGTTGCTCTTGGCGTCGGCGGTGCTGCTCATGGCGTTGGTGATGGTGATTGAGTCGATTGTAGCGGAAGGAGGGCGTCAACCGGCAGCAGCAGCTTCCTCGAGGTCAAATTCCCTTCCTTCTTGCTCCGCCCGCCTGCCGGAACGGAACTGGTTGACTGTCTGGCATTGGCTTTGGAAATCGGGTCAGACGGAGCGGCAAAGGCGGCGGCGGCGAAGGGTGGAGCAGAGGAAGCAAGCAAGCAAGCAAGCGTCAGTCCGATGTGCGAGGACCGAGGGAGCAAGCACATCATTGCTAAGGAGCCGGTGTGGTGCTGCCAGGGCAACTCACCTTCCTATCCATCCCTTCGAATGCTCATCAGGCCAGCTACATCTCTAAGCCACTCACCCCTCGCACGCTTCGCCGCCGCCGCCTGCTTCAGCACCATGAGCTCCGCCTCATCTGCGCATCAGCAAGCGCAAAACCCCAACCCAATGGCCAAATCCTCCAAGATCGGCATCGTAACAGACCGCATACACGATGAATACACTCGCGGGCCCGATGTCTGGTCGACATTCAATCCCGCTGTATTCCCTGATTGCGTCAATCTAGGGCAAGGTTTCATGAACTGGGCTCCACCGGCCTTCATTCGCGAGTCGCTGCAGGAGCTATCAGACAAACGAGTCGACGTTCACCACTACTCGCACCCAAAGGGGAGGCCGAGGCTGAGGAAAGCGATTGCGGACCATCTCAGCGAGCAATACCGTAAGCCTCGCGACCCCAGCCAAGATCTTGTAGCTGGCGGCTCGTCATCCCTCCCCAAGCAGCGCAAGGATGTAGGCGCTCAGCTGGACCCAGAGACCGAAGTCCAAATCACTTCTGGCGCAAACGGGGCAATCTACTGCGCCACGACCGCCTTTCTCGAGCCAGGGGATGAAGTCATTTTCATTTCGCCACACTTCGATCAATACCAGTGCGAGGTGACCTTCATGGGCGCCAAGCCTGTGCCAATTGCATTGCTGCCGCCGAAGGAGGTACGAGGGTCAAAGGGAAGCGATTGGAAGCTGGATTGGGAAAAGATCGAGGAGGCCATGAAATCGCCCAAGTGCAAGGTAAGGAATTGCGCCAGTACGCGGTGTTTGGGAGGCACCGCATGCTGACTCGCCTCCTCCGTGCTCTCGTAGGCCATCATCTTCAACACGCCGCACAACCCTGTAGGAAAGGTGTACGACGATGAGGAGATCTCGCGCCTCGCCTCACTTTGCATCAAGTACGATTTGCTCTGCATTGCAGACGAGGTGTACGACATCCTCACTTTCGACAGCAAGCCTCACCTGCGCATTGCGTCGTACGAGGGCATGTGGAACAGGACGATTACCATAAGCTCAGCGGGCAAGGCCTTTGCTGCTACAGGATGGAGAATCGGATGGGCTGTTGGCCCTCCTCATCTCATCAAGCCAGTTCTCGTCGTCTCAACCCGCATCAGCTTCTCCACCAATAGCATTGCAGCAGAGGCAGCGGCGGTAGGCGTAGAGGAAGCGGCGCAACGCGGCTTCTACCAGTCTCAGATCCAAGAATACGAAGCTCGCCGTGGGCAACTCTGCTCTGCCCTCGACACCCTTGGCCTGCCGTACACCCTCCCAGAAGGCGCCTACTTCATCATGGTCGATGCCTCTGCGATCCAGATTCCCGAGGACTACCCTTTCCCTGAAGATGTGCAGAAGCACTACCGGACTGCCTATTTCGTGGCCAAGGAGGCCAAAGTCGTTTGCATCCCGGCGACGGCCTTTGTGAGCGAGGAGCATGTGCCCATGTTTGAGAAGTGGCTAAGGTTGAGCTTCTGTAAGGACGAGGAAGGGAGAGAGGGTGGTGAGCTCGAGAAGGGTGGCAAGCAGTTGCAGGCGCTCAAGAAGTATATCAAGGCGTGATCGGGGCTGGGGTAGAGATCGTTATCTGTCTGTACATGCGTACTCATCGTCTCGGTAATGTCGCATTCGCATAGACTAGATGAGCATGAGGGGTGAGCACGCACGCGCCAGTCCCGAGGTGTTGGTTTGATTGCTCTGTCCGCACGGCTGCCGGCACTCTTTGGTTTGTCTCCGTCGTCTCCTACGCAACCGATCAAGCGCGCTCAATGATCTGCAAGGCGCCGTAGCCTACTGTGCTCAAGGTCTACCTCCTCATCATCATCTTCTTCTTCTTCTTCTCGTCATCTCCTGCTTCAACGCTATAGGACTTGGCTGGAATGTCCCTCCCACGGGAGGCGGCGGCGGCGGCGGCGCCTTTGCTCAGGCTACGCGACGAATATCGATCGACGCATCCCTTCTCGGAAGTCTTCCCGCCACCCTATCGCGTCATTCTCCTTCTCAGCCTCGGAGTACTATGCTGGGCAGCTAACATACACGGGCTTCGAGTGTTGGGTCTCAAGCCGGATGAGCTTCTTGCTGCTAGTGGCAGTGGACCACGATTGGGGGAGGAAGCCGAGGACGACGAGGATGGGGCTGCGGGACCAGCGCCTTTGCCCGTTCATGCGACGAGGAAGCATGGCAGTGAAGATGGGCAGGGAGAGGCAGGCTTGTCAATACGAGGCGGCAGTAGCAGCAATGGCGTCAATGGGTCTCACCACGTCGAAAGGCACTGGATCTCTTACGCTCCCCGCGGCATCTACGGCATCGCCGCCATGCTGGCCGCCTGGGCGTTAGGGCATTGTGAGTACCAACCTCACCCCCCTGTCGACACCATCTCCGAACTATGAAGCTGACCCTACTTCCTGTCCTGACTCATCGCGCAGGGTTCTTCTTTCGCCTCTATGTCTCACGCCAGGGCGACCCAAGTGGGCGTCACGCGCAAGCCTTTCAAGGCATAGCGGTCCTGGGCGTCTTCGTTGCTGCACTCTGGCCGGGCAATGTTCTCTACAAGGGGAGACGCAAACAGTTCGGAAGGTGTGCAGGCGGCGATTCAAGAGTATCGCAGCTGTCAATACTGATCCTCATCGATGACGCTCTCTCGCACCCGCCCACAGATCCCTCCTGCCGCTCCTTCTGCCGCGCCCTCTGTTCTTTCGCGCCCCGACCTTTCCCTCCATCCTCCTAGCAGACATCCTCACGTCCTTTGCCAAAGTCTTCGGCGACGTATGGCTGACGGCCTGCTTCCTCGTGCCACGGAAGGAGCACCACACCTGGTGGAACGGAAGAGGTTCGTGGGTCGTACCCGTCCTGGTATCGTACCCGTATGCGGTCAGGTTAATTCAGTGCTTGGCTGAGTATAGGTATAGCAAGGGACCGGCCGCATACGGCGGGGCAATCAAGCAGAAGAGCCGACGACCCCTGGCAAACGCACTGAAGTACGCTAGTGCTTTTCCCGTCATCTGTGAGCATGAGAGGGCAACTTACTTGATAGCGTTGGCCTGGGTTCACTCGTCATCCTTTACCTCTCTTCGCTCGCACGTAGGGATCTCCGCCTCTCAGTCCTCACGCGCCGGCGCCGTTCCAGACCAAGACGAGGACGGAGGCTCCCTCTGGCGCTGGTGGTTCCTCTCTGTCCTGGTCAACTCTCTCTTCTCCTTCTGGTGGGATGTGACCAATGATTGGGGATTGGAAGTATTCAAGCCGGAGACGTGGACAAGCAAGGAGCACCATCAGCAGCAGCAACACAACCAGCAGAGGAGACGAAGCTCGTTTGATGGGAACGGAGTGGAACAAAGACCAGGGGGGATGCATCGCCGCGGTTTGAGTACGTGGCCTGCACCAAGAGGAGCAGCTGTGAACGAGGCGGTTGTAGATGAGTATGGAGAGGAAGAGGGGATGGAAAGTGGGGACGCCTCCTCTTCTGCTCTGCTTGATGTGCCGTTGCGCTCCTCACCTTCGCGCTCACACCATCTCCATGGTCATTCCCACGGCCACGCACGGCAAGCCTCACGCCTGCTGCGTCGTCCCTCTGAAGGGTTCCCCACCCTCTTCCCGCCCACGGTATACCAAGCCGCCATCCTCCTCGACCTGGTGCTCCGCTTCACCTGGTCGCTCAAGCTTTCCCCTCACCTGGCGCAGCTGGTGGATCTGGAGAGTGGAGTCTTCGTGCTCGAGGCGCTTGAGATTTTGAGAAGGTGCGGCTGGGTCTTCCTCAGGTGTGAATGGGAAAGTGTAAAGAGAAGAAGAGCTAGAGAGGTGTTGCGCGGGGGCAGGGTCAGGGAGGGGGTCAAGGAGGTGGATGAGGTCATACTGGAAGGACTGCAGAGATGAGGTCGTGTGGGCGAACGGAAAGTAGTGGATCGCAGCAGAACGCAACGCAAGCGCATGCTTCATCTTCCTTGCAATCTCTGTGCTAGATTGACGTGGTATTTCCTGTGCCTCACTCAATCCTCCTGGTCGTCTTCTCCCTCTCCGACCGTGGCAAAGCTCAAAGTCTCCACCCTCGCCTTTCCCTTTGTTTCCACCTCCAACAACTCATTCAAGACCTTCAAAGCCCCCGGATCGATGGTTGCAATGAGCTCCCACTCCTCGCCATCCCACTCCTCATCCTCCACCTTCTCGACATTCGGCATGACCTTGTCCTTGCACTTCTTGCCCTCCTTTGCCGGCATAGTGATCCTGACGCGCATCCTGGCCCTTTCGAGGGGCAACGTCTTTGCAGCCTGGATGGACTTGATGACGTCGAGGGATTGGGATTTCGCTGTCTTGCCCGTCTTTACCGAATAGTGGATCTCGGACATGGCCTTTTCTATTACGCCTACCGTGTAGGGTCGCTTGGTGGACGGGTCGACGCAGCGTGAGGCTACTTGAGTAGCTATGTCGCGCCAGAGGGAGCTGAGTTCGGCATTGCGCTCTTTTTCGCCTACTTGGAGTTCGCCCTGCGTGTGCGAGGAGTAGGTGGAAAATGTCAGTGTGAAACGGCGCGCTGATGGGCATGGGAAGGCGAATGAGCTGACCTTCTTGAGGATCTGCGTAGCGACACGGAGGGATGAGCTGGTCAGCATACAGCCACGCTGACTTGTGGTCATTTTCGTAACCGACTGACCTCAAGCGTGATCTTCTCGCGATCTGTAGTCCCAAAGGCCTTCTGCAAGTCCTCTTGCGGCGCTACTTGGCCCTTAGACACGTTGACGAAGACGTTCTCAATCTGCACCACCTCATCGAGGTCTGTCTCCCTGCAGGCGAGGCGAGAACAGAGGAGGAAAGGCTGATCGTCATCGTTGGATCCTCGTCTCGTCTGCCTCTCTGCTGCTGCGCACTCACACTCCCGTGCGCCACTCTCGGACCTTGTTCTTGTAGCAAGCAATCTCGAATCTCTTGCCTCCCTTCTTGAGTCGGACGACCGAGACGTTTGTGAGCTTGATCTGGTTGGCCGGCTGGTTGATGGGCATTGCGAAGGCTGGAGATGAAGGCAACGGACGCAGTACAAAGGTAAGACAACGCCGAGCCTCGCTCGACACGAGGGTCTTAGTGGAAATCTTGATAGTGGATTACATAAGCTGCACGAGCCACCCACAAAGTCAATGCGGGGCTAGTCAGAGTTGATTGCCTCAGCCGCCGGCCGCATCGCATCCTTGACCTCCGATCCATACATTCATCATCATCATGAATCTCTTGGACTGCCTTCCAAGCTTCCACCGTGTCACTCCAGTGCCGCGCTCTCCATCTGCAGCACATGTCGACCTCCTTCTCCTCGGCTCAGGCTGGACATCCACTTTCGTCCTGCCCCTCGCAGCCGAAGCTGGCCTGAGTACCGCTTTCACCACTCGTGCCGGAGGAGGGGGCAGCATCAAATTCGACTTTGACCCAAAAGAGGATGATAATGTCGAGGCTTTTCGATCCCTGCCCGATGCTACGACTGTGTTGATCATCTTCCCCGTCTATGAAGAGGGAGGAATCGAGAGGCTTGTGAGGGGCTACTTGGAGAGTAGGGACGAAACTGGTGTAGACAGATACTACGATGATGAGAAGAGGGCGAAGACGAGGGATCTTGATACCAACTTTGTGCTGCTGGGTAGCACGGGAATCTACGATGTGAGTGGGCGCGAGTGAGACAGCATACTTGGGCGGCGACACGCCTCTGACCACACTGGCCACCTCGCAGAATGGTCCCACTTTTGCACCTCACGAGGACTTGCTTCTGTCCCACCACAAGAAGAAAAAGCATCACAAGCACCATGACAAGAAACCCAAGGACCCTTGCCCAGACAAGCCCTCATCCCCGTGGATAGACGAGTCCTCTCCCTACTCCCCGCTTCCTCGGGCCATCTCCGAAGAGAAGCTCCTCGCCCTCTCAAAGCCCAACAACGCCGTACGTGCCAAGCCCATCTCCACCGCTGTGCTGCTACTCTGCGGCTTGTGGGGACACGGAAGATCGGTACGCCGCTACTTGAGCAGGCTGCCCGGGGACAAGAATGTGGTTCGTGAAATGGGAAGTGTGCATTTCGTTCATGGGAGAGACGTAGGAAGGGCGTGCGTGGCTATGGCCAAAGACTTTGACATTGCCGCGGGCAAGAGGTGGATCTTGACGAATCAGCGGATTTAGTGAGTCCCACGCTCCCAGGCCAGCTCAAACTGCACAATCGGCGCCGATGCTCACCCACCCCTTCTTGCTCGTCTCCACAGCGACCTCTGGGATCTTTCCTCTCGATTCGGCTCCTCGGGCGAGGAGGGTCGCAATCATCCACCTACAGGCCCTCTCCCTGGCATAGTCGCAGAGCTCATGGACGAGACAGGCGTCAAGGCGCTGCCCCGTAGTGCAGAGGAAATGCACACTTTGAACGGCAGCAAGACATTGGATGGAAGGGCATTTTGGAAGGCGTTTGGGCTGACACCCGATTCGCCTTGGGTTGATTGATTGAAGAGTGGAGGTGGAAGGCTATTGTACATACAGGTCAATCATCTACTGATCAGTCTTTTTGCGCCTTTACGACTCGAGAATGTCTCTCAAGAACTCCCACTCGGTGCTGCCTCCCTCGCCGTCTTCACCACCGATGGTGACAGCCCTCAAGTCCTCGGGCATGACCGTCATTCTCCTCCCATTGCTTCCTTCCCCCCCACCAGTGCTACCGCTTTGCGCAAGCATTGCGTGCCGCGCAGCCCGACTGGTCAGCTCAGCAATGAAGACGGTGCACAGCCGGGAGAGGAGGGAAGGAGACTCGTGCGAAATCATCTGCGCATGCGTGCGAGAGAGAGGGCGGACGTCAGCAATATGGCACTGAAGGTGAACAATGGGCTCGCGCTCACTCACCTTGATCGCATCATCGCTTCCTTTCATGACTCTCTTTACCCTAGCCAAGGGCAAACCCGCACCGTGCGTTCGCAGAACATCGCTGTTTCTACTCGTGCTCCTCCCCTCGCCTGAGGCAACATCGCTACGACTTCTTCCTCTTCCCCTTTTGCCCAGGCGCGTCGCGTCATCCTCGTCTTGCTCGACCTCGTCGCCTTCTTCGTCCTCCTGCTTCTCGTAGCCATCGTCCTCATCCTCTTCGTCGCTGCAATGGCTCAATCCATCGGCACCACGATGCTCCATGAGCCAGAGCTGGCGCTCCCAGAATAAGCTGGCGAAGGACTTCTCAGAGGTGGAGGCTGTAGATGACGACGTAGCAGTGGCGAGGCTGGCAGACTTCTTGCCGCCGGCTTGATCGCTGAAGAGGTCGACAATACGAGGAGGGCGATCGCGGGGACGAGTCGGCTCAAGCTCCTGCTGTGGAAGGGTGCGCTGCTTTTTGCGAGGGGTACCGACGCCGCTGCTACCGGCTGTGGACGATGAATCGGCAACATGGTATAGACGCTGTCCTAGCCCACGCTGCACCGACGGTCCCGCCAATGCAGCGATGGAGATACTGTCCCTGCCCCTGGCCCGGCCTCGGTCCTCTTCTTGCCATCCCACGTCATCATCTTCCCCCAGGGTCGCGACATCGAATGACTGATCCTCATCTTGGTCGTCGTCGTCGTCTTCATCCGATCCGCTCCCCAAACTGGACAAGCTGATGCTTCTCTCCCTCTGGCTCTGAAGTCGCACGACACCTTCTGCTGACGCTGGATCAGGGGCGTGACGGGCAAGGCGGCCATTGTAGCTCCTGGAGCCGGCAGGTGTGATCGACTTGGCGGAATTTGAGGATGATGAAGAGCAGTTGGAGGAGGTGGAACCCGAACCTGAGCCCGATCCTGAGGCAGACGCCGACACGGATGGCGAGGGAACAATGTAGTAGGTGGGATGAGCAGAGGCTACTGAACCACTTGGACGAGTGTGTGGTTGCTGCTGCTGCTGCTGATGATGATGATGATGATGATGATGGTGGTGGTGATGATGAGCAGCAGGAGAACGCGCATGGTGGCCGTGGGCGTGCAGGTGGCTAGCCTTGTGATGATGCGAGTGGCCATGGTGGTGATGGCGACGACCATGGTGATGACTTATGTCCGGGTTTTGGGCCTGTGCACCATACTGCAAACCTCTATGAAGCAAGGGCGGTGGTTGACTGGGCCCTTGCATCGTTGTATGCATCATTGCTGAGCCGCTTGCCTGCTGATGATGATGGTGATGATGGTGATAGCTGTCCCGACTAGTCACCGCAGGGCGCGATGGCGAATCAGGCAGGCTCATGATCGTGCGATGGTGTTGGCGGGCGGGTCAAGTGACCAGAAGGGACACACGACGGAGGTGCAGATGGAGGCGTCGATCGCCGAGCGCGAGGGGCTTTTTTCGCCATCTAATCTGATTAAAGGGCGGCGCCCGTTCCGTCTTTTCATTCGTAGATGCTTGGCACCCGTGATGGCTGGGGTTGCCTTCGACAACAGTACGAGGATACAGGACTCATTTGACATCGAAAGACAGTAGGGAACCATGAGGTGTCAAAAAGCTACAATCGAGCTGTATGACAGTCGTGTATTACGTCAAGAATTCTAAGGGAAAGAGGAGAAACAAGACTGGCTGAGCCAACAGGGAGAAGGTGAAACAAAGGACGAGACGCGGACTCGGAACGGAACGGAGCGGATACAGGAGCTTCACCAGCTCACACCTTCTCATCATCATCATCCCAACGTTCTCGAGCATTCAGTACATGGCTCACGTCGTGATGACGCACTTGACCTCCCGCGTCCCGGATAAAGCCACGCAATCAGCGCCAGCCCAATACTTCCTCTCACAGCCCTGGCTGCAGTCCGAAACAGAGCATGCTTCTTGGAGGGGATGAAAGGTAATGAAGGACGTGCAGCTCGAAGTGATGCTTGAAGCCCCTCGCCGGTTGCCCTTCACCGTCTGGTAGATACCATTACAGTCGCGACTGGTGGTGTAGCATCGTCTGGTGAAGAGGCGTAAAGCCGGAGTGGCGAACGTCAGCCCAGGTGCTTGATGACCGCTCGTTGAGTCGGGGAGGCGACGTACCCAATAGCAACGATATCGCCAAGGACAAGACAAACGAATTCGAGACTGAGGCCCGTCAGGAGGCCAAAGTTCTTGAGCAGAGCGGTGAGGCGCATGATTCTGAGGCGATGGTGGAAAGGCCGCGAGTGGGATGAGAGAGGACAGCAAAGCATTTCGATCCAAATCAAGCGCATTGCTGGCCTCGCAAGTTGGGGCACGGATGGACGGTCCGGATCTTGAGGGCAACAAAGGCAGGCGGCACGATACGAGGAGACCTCGCCCATTGAGCCGGGTGCCCCCACGTCTCAACTGGAAATCGGGCCAAGCCTCTGAGGGCTTGATGAGGTTGGTAGTGGCAGCCGATACAGCTCAAATGTGGTGCCTGCGTCGCCTGTGATCAGGCAGAAGTGATGATCCGCAAAGGGTCATGAGAGATCCCTCTGTTACACTCTTCATCCCATCAGCGGTGCCTAGGTTGATCCAGAGGACGCAGCGTGCCTGCAGGTGTACAAGTAGTTCTACGTCACCGAAGTGAGCGACGTAACGATTGCCTGATCAGCAGGCGATTTGCAGCCAGTCGTCGCATCCGCTCGGGAGTGAAGGTAATCGTCAGTAGGAGAGACACTCTCGTGAGACGATCTGCTTTGCAGCCAGCCTGGTCAGCGAATGTTCCGCCGCGAGAGCTGTCATTGGCAATCCACAGCTGCCTGAGCGGGGAAACGCGCCATCGCGAGGACATCAAGATGCATTGATCATGTTTTCTGCCTGCACAAGTGTGCGTGCCATGGGCTAGGCCGTGGTGTTTAGATTTGGTCTACAGGGGATAGCTGAAATTGCTAGTCGGTGAAACGGAAGAAGTGGGGGATAGGCAGGCATTGTCCGTTGTGCATCGTCACTCGCTCTACGACGAAGGTGCGAGATTCCTCAGATGCAGGAAGAAGGCGACGTGGCTTGCCCCTGGCCCATTCTTGTAGATGAAGTCAGCAGCCAAGAAGGCAGCAAAAGCAGAGCGGGCATACGCCTCCGGGATGCGCTCGATGAGCTTTTCCAGCCCGACCTTCTTCTGCAGCGTCTGGGGGAAGACATGCGACATGACCGAGTTGCGAATGGCGACATTGTGGAACAAGTCGGTGCCCTCGAGCTCCTCGGAGAGGACGTTGAGTGCTTGTGACAGCTCGGTCGAGATGAGAGAACGAGGCTTGCCCGTCGCGGTCGCCTCATGCCAGATGGCCTCGAATTCCTTCTGTGCGTTCTGCGAGATGATGTTCTGGATGTCGCGCACGTAGCCCAGGTAGAACTTCGAGGGCTGGCCATCCTTGAAGATCATCAGGTCCTGATATTCCTCGTCGGTCAAGCTGAGACCGCATAGGACTTCGAGGGATGAAGAGGTGACACCGCCCTTGTTGGCACTGGCGTCAGGGTAGAGGATGACGCCGCGACGCTCGAGTTCGACGCGAGCCTGCTTGGTGATGAAGAGGTTGGCACCCTCGGCGATGTACTTGAAGTGGGGTTTGCCCTCGGCGTCGAAGAGCTTCGTCACATTGCTGATGTTGATTGACTCGGGTCGGCCACCGCAGGGGACGAAAAGGTCGGCCTTGAAGCGCAAGTGGGCGGTGTTGCGGAATTGGACACCGTCGGGGATGACCTCACCGCTAGGCAGCTTGACATCGTTCTCCTCGACAAGGACGCGGTAGCCATCTGGGCCCAGCTTCGAGACGTCGAAGTCGGAGATCATCTTCCTCGCTCGCGCCAGACGTGTCAGCTCCTCTCGATTCAGGCCGACCGGGTCGTGAATGACACCCGAGCCGTCGATGATCGTCGTCGTCTTATCCTTGCTCAGGAAGATCTCGTTGGATCCCAAGTCGCCATCAGGGCCACCTGTCTGCACCTTGGTGACGTCCTCCTCTCGAAGGCCCAGCTTGCGAATGATGCCCGTCGAGTACTGGCGCACCGAGAGAGACGTCATGCCCCAGACATCGTGAGGGACACCGCCGAGCGTGGCAGCCGTCTTGCCGGTAGTGAAAGACTTCCACCAAGGCGCATTGCGCTGTCGTGCATGCTCAGCGGCCCAGTCCATGCAGTCAGCGGTACCCTCGTCGGGTCCCAGGAACAGAATCTCCTCCTTGCCGACGAGGTCAACGATCTTGACCTTGACTCCGGGGGACTGCCCCTCGAGCAAGACATCGAGCAAGCTGTCACAGTACTTCTCAAAGCACATTCGCGGGTTGGCGTCGAGGCTGGGCAAAATCGTACCCTTTGAGCCGCCCTCGGGGATGTCCTTGTTCTTGAGATGCTGCGTTGACGCGAGTGCGTAATTCTCGTCGAAGAGCGTGCGCTGGTTGATACTGTACGTCTCGCGATTGCGGCTGCGAACGATGCGGATACCACCGCGAGCGACGTCGCGGAAACGTACATGGAAGCCACGGAAGTCGGAGCCAACGACAAAGAAGATGCCAAAGGGCTTGATTGGGTACTCGACTTCGGGCAGGAAGCCAGGGTCCAAGCGGAAGCTAAGTGCAACCTTGGTCGGCGTGTAGAAGTTGGTCTTGAGGACAGCCTTGTTGAAGAGGAGCAGGGCCTCGAGGACCTGGAACTCATGCTGATTGACAGTCGCTTTGCGGATGCGGGCATACATCTGGTCATCGGTGAGGACCTCTTCCTTGACTAGGCGCTGGTATGAGAGCGTGGGGACGAGCTCATCATCCTCCGTACCTCCCGGGTAGTGAATGTTGGCGAAATGGACGTAGAGGAGGCGGACGATATCAGGGTACGTCTGCAGCACGTCCTGGATCGATTGGCGAGTGAAAGTCTCCTCCCTGAAGCGCAGCTTAATGTCGTTGAGGACGGCTGCTTGTTCCGGGTTCGACTCATCGAGATACCTTCGCAGAGCTTGGTAAGACTGACCGAGACGATTGCAGAAGTGCTGGGCAAAGAGCCAGCCGACGTAGGCGTAGGTGGCTTCCTGGACAGCGTGTGTCGAGGCAGACTCGCCAGCCTGGAAGAAGGGGTTGTCGGGCAGGCAGAAGACGAGAGACGCCTCCTTGATGACCTGGTGAATCGAGTGCTCAATGGGCGGAGCCTTGGAGCCAGGCAGCGGGTTGAGGTACAGCGAGACGATTGTGACGCCATTGCTGAACTGCTCGACGTATTTTCGGCTCGAGAAGAGGTGGTAGAAGTGGTAGAGAGAAGAGAGAGCAGAGAAGAAGCCGTGTGTAGTCTCCTGGCGGTACCCAATGACGACGCGGTGCTCGCGAGAGCCCTCGACCTGGAAGAGCTCAATGACGGGTCCTGTTCGGTCGAGAGCCTCTTCAATGACTTCTTGGTAGATTTCGAGGGTATTTGAGCTCGCCTTGGAAAGGAAGTCAGGGTCTGAGACGCAGCGAATGTCTCGGAACTCAGGCGTTCCGGCTTTGGGCACAGGCTGTACGAACTTGCACTTGGACAAGAAGTAGCAGCGAAGGCGTTGAGGGGACGATGACGATACAGAGCCCTTGGAGCGGTACGTCTCGAGGCGCCACGCATCTGACGTGTTGCTCTTGTCGAGGTACTTCTCGTCGATGCGAGTCTCGTATTGCGGCTTGGCTCCACCGTCAGCTACGCTGGCTCCAGGGGAACTTGAGTGAATGAAGACGGCGCCTTCGGACGTCTCGTGCTCGAGATCGATCTCGAGAGTGTTCGAGTGCTTGGTATATGCGAGAACCTTGGCACCGTAGAGGGCGGTGATGTGATCGCAGATGGTAGAGAGGGATTCGGCGGCAAAGTACTGGTCATCGATGCCAAGGTTTTGGTAGAACCACATGACCTCAGCCTCGACGAGCTCAGGAGGGATGAAGCCACTCTCCTTGACGCTTGCAATGGCCTTCTGCGCTTGCTCGGCCTTGCCCGGGAATGTCGTCTCTGCGTAGCCGCTGTCAGAGATGGGGGCCACAGGACAACGACTTGATCAGTATACGCAAGCCACCTATGTCCTCGCGGCATCGCCGGTAGACTCACTTGGCGTTGGGAACGGTGGGCGTCTGTGTGCCGCTACCAGACTTGGAGCCTGGCACCGAGAGGAGCGAGTTCTTGAGCGAGGCCATCGAGGACAAGGCCGCTGAGCCAGCTGCTGCTGATGATGATGATGATGATGACGACGACGTTTTGGCGTCGCTTGAGGGAGTCGACGAAGCAGCAGTAGGTGCCATTGCGACTGGTGGAGGTTGGGGATGAGGTAGAGTTAGGGATGAAGAAGCAAAATTTCGGCGCTGCGATCCTCTCGGGGGTTGTTTATGAGGACGATGGAGCCCCGAAGGTTGGATCGACGGTCGAAAGCAAAAGGCTGCGAGCAGCACAAGAGGTTGAGGCGGCACAGAGGCGGGGCGTCTGCATCGATTTTTTGGCCTCCAGCTCCTCTGGCTCAGGGCAACTGCCGACCGCACAGGCCATCATCTGCAGCTTCCCTCAACCCCACGCCAAGTGTCCCTTCTCTTCTCTCCTTCTGCCGCCTTGAGAGCCCAACGAGAATCGAAAATCGAGAATCAAGACGAATGCGATCCTGGTCTCGTGTATGTACGCACATCCCCATTGCAGTGCTCAGCCCCGACCGCCGAAGAGGGCTTTGACGATGTTGAGGATCATCGTCGACGAGCGCGGAGCGTAAGGAGCATTTTGGGCTCTCGCCCGCCTTGCAGGCTTGCAGCTTCCGTCACCTCCCCTTTCGCTCTTTCCCTCCCGCCCCCGCCGCCGCCCCCCGCACTGAATGAACCCTCGCTCCCTCCGCCTCATGCAAGTCAGGGCCTCGTGACGACAAGACAGGACGATCGTGGCGTCTTGCTCGCATCTCGCGCAGCTTCGTCGTCCGCGGGCCGTCGGTCGGCGCTGCGAAGAGGAAGAAACCGACGAAGCGGATGAGCCGTACGCAACCTCCAATGCACACAGTACACTACATCTTATTGCCCTAGGCCCTGCTTGAGGGGCCCCCGTGGCCGCACTGCCGAGGCAGACGGCGAAGCTGCAACGATGTTGAGATTCCCCGCGGCGAAGCTCTGGTAGATGGAAAAGAAGCTGGGGAAGAGGAAAGTAGGCTGCCAAGAGTCGAGGAAAAGAGGTTAGCACTCTACGCTCCATCCTGACGCTCCAGTACAAAGCATGGAGAGATGGCATCGTTGCCATCGCCGTCGTCATCGTCATGAACGGCTTCCACCGCGATGCGCGATCCAGTCACACTGTGCCCGTCATCATCATGACCATCGATTGGGACAATTATGTGTGAAAATGGATGGTCGGAGGATATAGAGGGGAGACAAAGTGCGCAAAGAAAGTGTCCACCATCGCCCGCCGCCGCCTTCGTGCCCGCTTAGATCAAGGGCTCGAAGTTGACAATCTCATCGTAAAGCTGCTCCCTCAACTTCTCGGTCCCATTGCGTGCCAAGTCGCTCTTATGGTCGCATTGCCACACCTCCGCAGGCATGGGCTCGCACACTGGCTCGTCGTCTTCGTCGTGGTACGCAGCCAGGTAAGGATGGGCCAGCAACTCCTCGACTGTCGCCCTCTTCTTGGGCGAAAAGGTCAGCGTCTTGTAGAGGAAGTCGATGGCCGCTGGTGAAGCTTGAGGGAAGAGCTTCTCGTGAGGCCTGCGCTTGCGGATGGGCTGTGCGCGGATGTAGTCTCGGGAGCGACGGCTCTTGATGGCTTCGAAGTCTTCGACAGTGGGGGTCCCGAGGACATTGAGGATTAAGCTAAGCTGGTCGTGGTAGTCGCGACCGGGGAAGAGGGGGCGTCCGCTGATCATCTCGGCCAAAATACAGCCGACAGCCCATACATCGATGGCCTTCGAGTACTCCCTGGGTGACGAATCAGAGCAGAAGACAAGGAATGGTCAGCAGATTGGTCAGGTGGAGATACCACTAACTGCGACTCACTTGAAGGTCAGCATGATCTCGGGCGCGCGATACCATCGCGTGGCGACGTACTCGGTCATCAAGCCGGTCTCGCTGCCAGCCTGTGGCTCGGCGGTCAACAGGGAGCGTGATAGACCGAAGTCACACACCTTCAGATCGCAGTTGGCGTTGAGGAGCAAGTTGGAAGGCTTGAGGTCGCGATGGATCACCTCTGCAGAGTGGACAGCCTTGAGCGCTCGGAGAATCTGATACGTAAAGTATTGGCAGTGGTCGTCCGAGAGCTTCTGCGAACGGATGACTCGATGAAGGTCCGTCTCCATCAACTCCTGAATGAGGTAGACCTCGTTGAATCCTTCAAAAGAGGGGGGGCGGACGATGTCCAGGATCGAGATGATGTTCTCTGAAACGTCCGAGTCCTGCCAATAGCGCAGGAGCTTGAGCTCGCGGAGGGTGCGAAGAGCAAACATTTGGTGCTCAAAAGGCTGGATCTTCTTGATAGCGACCTGTGGATGCGGGGATCGAGGGTTCGCGTGAGCTTTCATAGCTCGACATCAGGTCGCATCGCTTACTCACTTTCATGCCAGATGGACGGTGTACGGCGGAGCAGACGACACCGTAGGCGCCCTCGCCAATGACATCGCAGACTCGGTATCGATTGCCGACGTTGAAGCTGATGTCCGATTTGAGATCATTTGAGCGGCGGGCGAGTTGAGCAGTAGATGCCGAAGGGCCGTCGTGAATAGCAGCCCGAGCAGATGGAGCATGCGCGGCAGCCGGAACAGCGTGTTCGTATTGTACGCGGCGTTGGAGCACGGCGTGGCATACGGCGACGGTTTCATTTTGCGATGAGGACCGTATGTGACGGCGAATCATTGGGACCGATTGATGATGAGGTACGTCGCCAGGATGGTAGGCAGCGACGGTAGCCATTGCAATGACGGGCAGAGGAGGCCAGGTCAAGGACGCGAGAGGGGGGAAAGAGGGGTTGGGTGATCTTGATCAGCTTCATGCCCGGCGCTACTTTATCCACAACGGATGAGATTCAAGACCCTTGTTCCACTTGTGTTGAAGCCCGCCAGGAACAAAAGGCGGAGGCGCAGCGGCCACCCCTTTGTGTGCGCGAGGACAAGACGCGTTGCGAGAGCAGCGACGACCGCCGAGCTCACGAGATCGAGGAGAACAAAGGAAGCTATTGACTCACCGTACTCGTCGCACGGCCGGCGCTATCTTCTTTTGGGAGACTGGGGCAGCAGCCGCCTTCTTGCTCTCCGTCGAAGCCGAAGAAGCTGCGATCTCCCTCCTGGCTGACTTCAGGAGGCTAGCGGCCTTGTTGGCCGCGGCAGTGGCGGACAAGGGGTCGCCAAAGGACCTAGGGGACATGACTGCGACCGACATGTTGCGAAGAAGCAGAGGGGAAAGAACACTAAGGTGCGGTTGATGAAGGGACGAGCAACCCGTACTCTAGGCCAAGAAAAGGTAAGAAAAGCTGACGCTGGCAGGGATAGGCGCAAGACGAGGCCGTTGTCGACGAGCGCTGTTGGCTGTGAGTGGTAGTCGTGCGATCTGGCCAGCAGAAGCGACGACGACTGGTGGTGGTGATGAATCAGGTTAGGAGCGAATGGATACGAGGAGAGAGAGAAGCACTCACTGTCTCTCTATTGTAGTCTGGCTCATTGCTTCCTGGGCCATCGTTGACGACAACCTCTTGCTTCGGCGCTCGACTCGGCTGACCAACCATCCGAGCCCGCCCTCGTCCTCCCACCTGTTTTGCCTTTCAGCATGCTTCAAACGCCTCGCCGATCTCAGCGAGAGGAGGGTGGACACCCATGGTCCATCTCCCGAGTGCCCGTGGTCATCGTGGCCAAGCGACCGACATCTCGAGGCAAAAGAGCAGCACGTTCGTATGCATGCTTCGCTCCGCTCGCAGGAGCAAATAAGACAAGCTCTCGAGCGGGCATTGCATCGACGCAATCAATCTTGAGCGGGTTCAAGATCCTCCGGTATCGCAGAGTGATAGTCCAGGCCCCGTTTCCAGCTCGACTCGACTCTGCGAGGGCACGCCCATGCAAGGTACGGGTGGACCATTGTCATTTTGTCGTCACTCGAGGTTGCTCGCCGCACAGGCTGGCTGCGTGCTCCGGGCGAGCTCGAAGAGCAAGCGAGACGTGGGATGCGGATTGGCGTTTGGCGTCAAGCCCCGCGAGCCTGAGGCGGGGTCAACTCGAGATGGCCACGCGGAGCAACAAGAAACTCGGCCTTTCGAGGTAGCGATGTCGACGGAGGCCGGGGCATCTCTCATCGTGTGACTGTCAAAAGGGCCTCGGTCAGAGCATTGCCCAAGCTGAACGCCCAGGGAAGCCGCGAAAGCCTTGGCACCTTGCGATCAGCCCGGTGTCGAGGTCAGCTCCGAGCCAGATTCTACCTTGTTAGAGCACCGCTTTGTTCATTTCATCCTCTCGCTGAGCCAAGTTGTGCTCGATGTGCATGCGTTCGCTTTGATCGGTGTTGCGTTCATGGATTCCACGGACGCAATGGCATGCCCCGTCGGTGTGCGGCCCAATGCAATCGTTATCGCTCCGGTCGCCGGTCCGAAAGCTTCTTGCATCCCGTGCACGACCGGGGCAAGAACACCCCCGCATCCCACTGTCTGTACCACTTACCGCCAGGATGAGAGCCGTTCTACAAAGGGTGACCGGAGCATGCGTCCATGGTAAGCAGCTGCGAACGGCTCTTCCGTCGATGGTAGTCTCTGCGCTCACAGAACAGTTCCCCGACGGTAGTCGACGGCAAGCTCGTCTCGACGATTGGACCGGGTGTAGTTGCGTTGATAGGCATCGAGACCGAGGATGAGGCGAGCGTTGCGCCCAAGCTCGGCGAAAAGATACTGTCATTGCGGGTGAGGCTGTAAAGCGCATAGTCCGAGGGTAGCTCAGCGATGAGAAGCTCACGACAACGAAGTGGTGCGCTGACAGATGTGGAACCAAGGCGCCAAGGCGTGGGACATCACGACTCCGTCTCACTATCCAGCAAGTAGCACGAGGGCCGTCGCGCCTGCTGCTACTGCTGCCCCAACCTCAAGCTCCTCAACAGACATCGCCGAGCGTGGCCCCGTCAACGAGAGAGCAGAAGCCGTGTGGGGAGGCAAGCCCTGGAGCTCGAGCGTCGTGGAGCTGGAGGGTGAACTGCTCTGCATCTCGCAGTTCACGCTACACGCACGTACGGCAAAGGTAAGTGTCGGCCGCGTCTCGAGTCGGCTGGAGTGCGCTGAGACGGACGAGCTGATGCTGCTCGAGGGCCGTGAGCAGGGCACTCGACCAGACTTTCACAAATCAATGGGAGGCGACAAGGCCCGTGAGATTTATGAGGCACTGCTCAAGCATATGCGCCAGATGTACAAGGAGGACCGGATCAAGGATGTGAGTATGGCATGCGATGTGGATGTTGCGACCCGCCACAGTCGCTGATCTGTCCAACGGCGCGATAGGGAGCTTTCGGGGAGATGATGGACGTCTCCCTTAGCAACGATGGTAAGTAGCTCACCTGTCCACCAGCAGAAGACACCTGTCTCACCCGCCCTGCCTCTCTTCAGGCCCCGTCACCCTGATTATCGACACGGCGGACAAGAGAAAGTAGTTGACGAAGGCAGCATGGATGATCTTGAAGAGAGTAGAAAACGCGCAATCGATAGCATAGGACGTGGCTCTGAGTAGGAGTACAATTGTGTGTATAGAGGCGTGTTCAGGTATGCTCGATGAGAGGATGTCTCTGGGCGACAGCTCGTGAGCGGGCGCGCGCGTGTGTGTTTGCGTAGGTTTGTGACTGTCAGGCCGCTGGCTCGACTACTTCCTTCGACGCCGGCGATGCCTTGGTGCTCTCGCTCAGATGTGACTTCTCCCTACGTGTCTCGCCCGTGTTCAATACTATGATTGCTGGCCGCTAGAAGCACGCTCGCCGCCCCCTACGTGCCCGCCAGCTGCCCCGCCGCCACTGTTATTGCGGCTGACCTTCCTCCTCCTCTTGCCTAGGTCCCCGTCTGCACGAGCTACGGGGCCTCGACGCCCATGCCCTCTATCCTCGCGCATGTCTTCGTCCATGAGGGTCACCTGGTCAGCCTCTACCCTCTCCTCGCCGACGGGGGGCAAGGTAGCCGCTCCGCTGCTCGTGCTCCTTAGGGGGTAGCTGCCGCCTTGCTGAATCGAATGTATGCCTCTCGCTTTCCTACGCAGGTGAGTGGAGGGAGATGCGGCCATTGACGAGACGACGGGGCTCGGCGCAAGGGAGAATGAGAATGCGCTAGAAGGGGCTCGTCGAGCTGGCGTTGTCGCCATCCTGGCTGACTCTGATGAGCGGTCGTCTGACGAGCTCTCATGCGAGCGGGCGCCATCGCCTTGATGTTGCGGACGGGAAGTGCGATGTGAACGTGTAGCGGGCGTATTGGGCGCCGTCGACGCAGCAGGCGAGTTGCGCTCGTCCTCCTGATCGATGGACAGGCCGGGTGTCGAGCTAGGTTCTCTTCGCGAGGACGATGACGCAGCAGGACCCGCTTGATTGGCAAATGCTGTAGACGATGACGGTGGCTGCGCAGTTGGCGGGTGTGGCGCCGAGGTCTCCAGATCGCCCTCGAGGTCATCATCATCGCTGTCACTCTTGATCGCCTCTATGCGAGCGCGAAGATAATGGACGAGCCACATGAGCTCCTTGTGGGATGCTGTCATCTCATGGCTGCCTTCCACATCGTCAAAGACAGTGTCGCGTCTGAAGGTAGCGCCCGCTTGCGATGCGCGCAGCAAGATGAGATCAAGGATGTCGCCCAATCCCTGCAGATAGCCTTGGCGGTGCGAGCTGTGTGAGGTGGAGAGAGAGCTGCGGTAGAGATTGGTAAGATGCAGGGCAGCGGCTATCATGAGATGAGACTAGGTATCAGCACGCAACTCCGCCGTGACTACGCAGTCCTCTTTACGCAACTCACCCTTGAAATCCTGGTTCAGCCTCTTCTCATGCCGTTTGCTAGGCCCCGCCGGTGGTCGTGACGAGTCGAGACTGTCCCTTAGGCCTCTGAGCGAGTCCATGACAAGAGGTGAGAGGAAGTTGGACAGGTAGTGAGACCTCTGGACAGCGTCGAGCTGTGGAGAGGCCGTGGAGTATTAAAGAGGGTGAAACGTCGAGGCGGCGACGGCGGCAAAACAGGACCGAGATATTTGGAGGCCCACCCAGTCCGCTCAAGGGGTTGCGCCACGCGAGCCAGGCCACTCTCGAGCTGCGAGCTCGAAGGCATATAGAGTATACCAGGCTCACCGCTTTCACTGCAAAAGACTAGATGCTATTGATGATCGGGCTCTTACCAGCTGGCTGCTACACACTTTTGCGCGCTCGTATGATGAAAAGATGCTCCCTCCCTGCTCTTCTCGACAGCGCAATGTCCGCGTCGAGGCCGCGATCTCGCAACTGCTTCACCAGCGCATCTGGGTCATTCTGCTTGATGGCCACAAAGTAGAAGACGCCGCCCGGTGACAAGACCGTCTCAATTCCTCCTCTTTCACGGCGATCTACACTTGTGATGAGGTCGTTGAGAAGGTTTGTCCCCATTGACCCGCCCGCCCACGAGCCAGCTAAGGCCCCTTCCCTTTGGGCAATTGCCTCCTCTTCCTCCGTTGTGGGTACGTAAGGTGGGTTGAAAAGGAGCACGTCAATCAGACCAGCAGCCCTTTCAGCTCCTTGCGCTCGTGATGAGAGTGCAGAGAGCATGTGGGTGACGACCGGCTCCAGGTGGGTCTGCGCAACATTGCGTGAGCTCTGTCAGCTAGTCGAGCGCATTGAGCTTCGGAGGGGCAAACCTCACCTTGTTGGCTGCGCCAGTCTTGCGGGTGCACTCGCTGGCAAAAGAATTGATGTCCGTACAGAGGACGGCTGCGAGACGTCATAGTAGTAGTCGATGAGCTCTCCGATCAGTCGCCTCGATGTAGCACGCCGACGCAGCGCTCACCTGCCGCGCCATCACCCAGGATCTGAGCGATGAAAGCGCTCACGCAGCCACTGCCCGATCTGCAACAACGATGAGCGTCCGCAGAACTGCAATTTAGTACGTGATGGCTCATGACAGGAAGCCTCTGGTCCCGCGACCGGCGCTCACCCTATCTCGACGATGAGCCTCGGCTCGCGTCTTCGAAGCTCATCAGCATCTTGCTCCAAAGCGTCCAGGAATATAAAGGTGTCCTCTGCAGGCTCGTAGACTTTCAGATAGTCGTGCTTGCTCAGGTGGCCCAGTGACGGTGTGGGAAGCATTGAGCGATGACCGCCTCTTCTTCGCGACCTTGAACTTGAAGCGGCCGCCGATCTCCGATTGTGTTGAAGAGAGAAGACACACACGAGTTAGGATCGTCGGCTCAGGCGGATCTGTCTCTTGCAGCAGGAGGACCGCCTCTCTTACCGGCCCGAAGCATAACAGCCAGATGCCGAACGCCTTGATTGTGATTGTAGCTCAGCCAACAGACGCTTATTACCTCGCAACCACATCCTGCCAGCTCGCAACGCTCATCCTGTCGTCCTTCTTGCTCGCTCATCATCACCATGGCAGGGGCGATGGCATTTCGCCACGCGAGACGCTGGACCCTGATCGCCCTTCAGACTCAGGCTCAGCTTGTCATCGGACGCCCGCTCTCCCAGCTTTCTCTCCGTTCACTGCGCGCGCGCGCCCCTCTCGATGACGACCCTGAGCTGCATGAGTAGCTTAAATGGCCGCTCTCGATCACCGGGGACAATGACGAAGCGATCGCGGGTGTGGCGAGGGGCGTGTGAGGTGAGAGCTATCGACACGATGGGCGATGGATCAGTCGTCGAAGGAAACATGGCTCGATTGGACCTGGAAAGACCAGAGCCTGCCTCGTTGCTTGCTTGATTGCTGCTCTCGCTCATCGCTGCCTGCTCGACCCGCGGATGTTCTCTGCCTCACGCGCGCCTTGACTTCCACACGCCGCACCGACTCGTCCTCGTCCTGCTTGTGCTACCGGCTGAGACGAAGAGTACAACGACCAGCATCTCGTCCAGCATCTCGTCTTCATCGTCACCACCACCGCGACCACCCACTACGATTGCCTTGTGTTTCTCGACTTGATCGCTACGCCCACACGACCTTTCTCATCCTCCACAACGCATTGCCACTCAATCAGCATTACCTTGATTCCAGCATAGCGCACCTCGCAATTCCACCTCAACGCGGACCATCCCTCGGATGACACATCATCGCCGCCACTACCACGACGAAGACGACGAATAATCAACGAGACTTTATCATCTCATCACCATTACTTCAACAAAAGAAGGCTCCAAAGGTCTTCAGATTGCGTCAGCCAGCTGATCCCCTCGACGACACCACCAGCTTGCTGCGTAACTGCTGTCCAGCAAAGAGCGCCGACTCGCGCCACTCTTCTTGACGTCGCATCGTGATGTCCTCGACGGAGGCAGTACAGGATGATGGCCCGCCACCATCTGTCTTGATCTGTCTGCTGCGTCTGGACCTTCGCATCGAAGACAATGCTCTCTGGCACTTGTGAGTGTGTGGGCTGCTCACTCTCCCCCTTGCCCAACGAGTTGATCCTCATGCCTTCCTTCCAACCCACGCAGCGCTCACACAGGCCATGCCCCGCCGTCGACTGCGAGGCCGACTTCTCATAATGCAAGCAAACTACCAAGGGAAGAGGAGCTCTTCTCTCGCTCCACGCATCTCCTCCCTCTCTACGTCTTTGATGAGCGCGAAGTAGAGCTCTCTGGCTTGCCCGGCTACGTTCGCAAAGGTCCCGAAGCTCGCACTCAGAACTTCAACTTTTGGAAAACGGGAGCTTTTAGAGCAAGGTGACTTGCGAGAAAGCTTCCTGTCGCTACCACGCTGATGCATGCTCACGCCGTCTCCCTTTTCGCTGCGCAGATTCATCGCCGAGTCTGTATACGATCTGCGCTCCAGGCTGCGGGACCGCGGTAGTGATCTGTGCATTCGCTTCGGTCGCGTTGAAGATGTCGTGGCCAATTTAGTCAAGGCATTTCAGGATCAAAGCACCAACGTCGAAGGCGTTTGGATGCAAAAGGAGATGACATCGGGCGAGGTCGGCGTTGAGGAGAGGATCGAGGAGCGCCTGCGACCGATCAACGTGCCCGTCAAGTACGTCCACTGCAAAACGCTCATTCATCCTGCGGACCTGCCATTCGAGATCGAAGAGACGCCCGATGTCTTTACGCCCTTTCGCAAGAGGGTAGAAGCTCTTGGGCCCGCCATGGTACGACCCTTGTATCATGCGCCCGCCGCCTTCAAGGCCTTTCCCCGCACGATACCGCAGACGGAGGACTACTCTCTGGACGTCACGTACGAAGTTGACGTAGATGGCCTCGCTACAGCAGATCCTGAGTCGAAGCCAAAAGACCCCAAGCAGACGTCTTTCTATGACATCCTTCGCTACCTTGTCCTCCCACTCAACGAGGTCCATTTCCCCCCCACCGTTGAAGGGAGCTCGATACTCCAACAGCGTCACCACGCATCTGCATTCCCACTCCGCGGTGGCGAGTCATCTGCACTCGAGAGGCTCGACTGGTACTTTGTTCGAGGCAAATCGCCCGACTCAACGACGTGGGGCAAGTCCGATCCGCCGCCCGTAGCGCGCTACAAACAGACGCGCAATAACCTCATTGGCCATTCCTACAGCACCAAGATGTCGCCCTTCCTCGCCTACGGTAGTATCAGCCCTCGCCAAATCTGGCAGGCTCTGATGCACCACGAGTCCATCTTCGGCGAGGACCAAAATATCTACTGGGTCAAATTCGAGCTTCTGTGGCGCGACTACTTCTTCTTTGTGGCAGAGAAGTTCGGCGATCTACTCTTTCACCTCGGCGGCTTTGAACTCGCTACCGACCCACCGCAAGCGCAAAAGAAGCTCGTCCCAGGATGGTGGAAGACATGGGACCCGATCAAGGAGGAGCCGCCGCAAGAGCTTACGCGGATGCTCGAAGGACGTACCGGCATTCCCTTCATCGACGCCAACATCCGCGAGCTGCGAGAGAGTGGCTTCTTGAGCAATCGAGGGCGACAGAACATTGCAAGCTACGTCGCCCATGATCTGGGCTACGATTGGCGCATTGGCGCCGAGTTCTTCCAGTCGTATCTCATTGACTACGATCCGACGTCCAACTACGGCAATTGGGCGTACGTTGCCGGCGTTGGCAACGACCCACGAGCCTCGCGCCGCTTCAACATCATCAAGCAAGCCAAAGACTACGACAGCCATGGCGAGTACGTCAAAACGTGGCTGCCTGTACTTCGAGGCCTGCCTACTTACTACGTGCACACGCCGTGGCTTCTCGACGCAGAAGAGAGGCGACGCTACGGCGTCAAGGCGAGCGAGCAGATTGTCACGATGGACAGCTATCCGGGGCGGCCGATGACGGAGGACGAAGGGTGGAAGAAGCATTACGAGCGCAAGGAGGGAGCAGGGTCGAGGATGCATGGCAATCCACAGGAGAAGGTCAAGGATGGCAAGGTCAAGCGGTTCAGGAAGCCTCGAAGCGCAGTAGCAGGAGTGGGCGCAGAGATTGAAAGCAGTAGCGCCGAGGGCAACCACAGCGACTCTTCCCTGCCGGCAGTCACCCATAGGCTCCCCACCGCGTCCGTGGCGGCCACTCAACGAGGGTCGCTGGATTCGTTGCCGTCGATGAGGTCTGGGCATGGAAACGGCGCCGGCTCGTATCGCACTGGACCACCTCCGCCTGTCGGTCTCTCAAGCTCCGAGAGAGGCGGCGCTGGCGCTACGACGAGAGGCCCCCCTTTCCGTACTGGCTCTCCCTTCTCCAGTCGCGGCGCTGGCTTTAATGACACACCCATCGCGAGAGGAGGGGCTCGGTCACCCCTACCTCAACCCAGAAAGGGCAGCCTGACCGGCTATCCAGTGTACCAGGCGGACGGACTCTCGCCTCAGACGAACAACGGCACGTCGCCATCGGCGCCGCAGCCTTTGCGTTCGACGTTGAGTGCTCAGCCTGCACATCTAGCATCGCAGCAGTCTCAGGCGCCGCACTCGGTGCCTACGGCCCCACAGACGAAAAGCAAAGCAGAGACTGCGACGTCGTGGAGGCGTCAGGATTGAGGATAGCTAGGGGGGGAAGTTGAGAGCGGTTGGCAAGCAAAGGACGCTTTCTCTTCGTCATGGTTGTGGTAGTCGCGCGGAAGAGATGTCAAACAGCATCTATACATTTGCTCTTGCTCTGTGCTCACGGATGCTCTTAGGGAGTCAATACGAAAACAGAAGAAATCTTCAATACGCGACTGGTAGTGAGAGTGGCGAGGTCGGGAGGTAGCAGTCGTCGCGATCCGTCGCCCTCTGACCGGATCCCCTCCCACTCTTCCACGTGGCTCTGGCCGCTGCCGCCTCCGTGCCTTGCTGCATGCCGACGACGCCTCGTTCCTCGACTCCGCTAACGCCCAAGCTTGCGCTCGCGCGCTCGTCCCCTTTCCAAGCTGCTCCTGTCATGCCCAGCCACCATGCTTCTCTCCTCTTTCCTCTGACACATGGAATACGGCGAATCGGAGCATCGTCGTCACAACAAGCATGGAAGGCTGTCTGTCGCGCCGCCCCGAGAAAGTGAGATCGACCCTCTTCGACGGCCAGGCGGCAGTCACAGTGCCAATTGCTCTTTGGCACTCGCCCGTGCCTCGGCGAGCTTATTCGGTCGACCAGGTAGCGGCGGTCATGGCAAGTGGCCTCGTGTTGACTCGCTCTCTCGCTCGTGTCACTGTACCGCTACCCAAAGCCCGACGTCGCGTCGCTGTCGATCTTTCGTCGCAAAGTCCATCCAACTTCCCCGTTTCTCCTCTCTCCCATCTGCACCCTGACAACATCCCATCCTTCCACCCCGCCCCCCTTCTCTATCCTTACACCCCCTTTCCTCGGTCTCCGCCCCTGTTTCCATTTCTGCCCAGCAGGTGGTGCTAACCAAGCTCATCTTCGACACCGCGACCATCCCTTTCATTGTTATCCCTGTCGTCAGCTGCTCGGCCCCTTCTCCTTCCTACCATACATCGTCTACCATCCTCTCACGCTCCTTGATCTCTCTTTCAATCCCCCACGCTCATTATCATCATCGCCTACGACGGTATTCAGCCATCAGAATAACACCCAACGGCACACAAACACACAGCGTCTCTTTTGCCTCATCCTCCAGACAAGCCGGTAATCTCGTCCGTCAGTGTCGCTATCATAGCTGCGAGTCTGGCCACCAACGTCACCACCCTCGATCAGCCCATCTCTCCTTCATCCTCTTCATCATCACATTGCTCACATATCAATGGCCGCATCGGGCCCCGTGATGCCCACTAGCGCCACCAGTAGGTCGTCCAAGGCGGCGGCAGGCGGCCACGGCAACGGCATTGGCAGCACCAGTGGCGCGGGCTTATGGCTGGCGAGTGGAGACCCTACTGCTGGGCAGCCTTTAGCCAAGGCAGAGCAGACCAAGTCAGCAACCTCTGGGTCAACCTCTACCACGTCGCCCCCGCGTCGAACGTACCACATTCAGGCAGATGCTGCGACCGTCAGCGCACACGCGAGTGGACTTGGAGCCGCAGAATGGGATCTTCTCTCACGAGGCCTCGGGCGCATGGCGAGCAGCAACGATGCGTCCTCGTCCAAGGATAGCGACCCCGTAGACCTCGACTTGAGCTTCGACTTTGTCAGCCAGCTCGAGTCGTCAAGGAGATACCGCCCCGACATTGGGTCGTCTTCGTCATCGTCATTGACCGCACAGCCCACCTCGTCTGCCAGGCCCCGCGGCATGTCCGACTCCATCTCTGCCTCTCGCAGGAAACCTCCTAAACCACTGTCTTTGCTCAAAAAGGCTTCCCAGGCTACCTTCAAGACGCTGTCTAGCAACGGCGATGACGAAGATGGTGAACTCGCGAGCTCCTCTACGCTGCCCATCGAGCCTCTCAGCGCTTCACGCCGTGGCATCGACTCAGCCCTCTCGCCGCCAGCCACTGCGAATACTTTCGGCCGTCCGAGATCGCGGACGTTGAGCAATACGCTTCCTCCGGCCAGCCAACCCCCGACAACACCCTTGCCGCCCATACCCTCGCCGACCACCGTCGATTCCCCTTCTTCTACCAGCCTGGACCTGGTAAAACAGCAAAGGAACAAGCGTGCGGAAGAGCAACTGAGGGAGAGGATGCAGAGAGATAGCTACATGCGCCAGCCCATCTCACCATCAGCTCAGCCGCCTCTGATGACTCCAGCCATGCCATCGTTTAACATTGTCGAACCGCCTCAAGCGCCGCGGAAGGCGTCCGCCTCCTCGAGCAGAAGCAGAGAAGACGTCGCTGAAAACTCCGAAGAGCTGACATGCTCCAACGCGCTTAGGCTCGAAGGGGTTGCACCCATCTCTCCGACGCCCTACGGAGCAGAGGCCTCTGCGATCGAACTCGATGATTCACCCACTGTCGAGCAGGCTACCGGACCCAAATCAACGCAGCTCAACTCCAGCCCGATGACAGACGCTGGCAGTACCCCTGGCACCATCTTCTCGTCCCTCTTTGACGGTCGTAGCGCTGGGCCGGGCAGCGAGATCTCTCGCGGCACATCAGTCGCAGAGGAGCGTCGATCTACTGGGATGAAGCTGCTCGAGCACGGTGGCGGCGTGCCCATGTCACGCGGCAATACCGCTCCCGTTGATCAGGCCATTGACGAGGTAGACGAGGAGACGACGGCCGAGATGAAGAAACGTCATCCCGTCAATCAGGGACTGAGTCGCAGCGAGACGGCAGACTGGATCCGCTCACAGAGTGTGGCGCTGCACTCCGAGCCCCGCGAGAGGCAGGGGACGGCAACTAGCTACGAGACGGCTTCTTCGGCTGCGGAAGTTCAGCAAATGGTCTTGAGCACCAGCTCCAGCTCCAGCCAGGAAAACAAAGTCTCTGCCCCTTTCCTGCCTCGTCTGCCGGAGAGCACCCTCACAAGGAAGGGACCATGGCCCAAGAGCCCTCTGCTCCTCCAACACCCAGCGCTGGCTGACAGTGAATCAGTGTCACCAGTTGACGAAGGCTTGCAGCAGTCCGAGAGCGGTATTGGTCTGGGGCTCTTCTTCAGCGAGCAAGAGGTAGCGCAGGGCGACAGGAAGCTAGATAGCGTCCCCACCGTTGGCGAGGCTCGACGCGAGAGTGGTACACTTGACCCGCTGCCAAGCGTAGCAGAGCAAGAGCAGCCGTCCGTCGCGGTTCACCACGTGCAACTCGCTGCTGAGAATGCCACCTTCGCGCAGAAGCAGGTCTTGCCGTCCGGAAGCATCTCATCAAGCATCGATGGGTTCGCGTGCAATGTCACACCGTCGCTGCCTCAAGGACTGTCGCAGCAAGCGGCCGAGGCGAGCTCGTCTTCTCGCTTTGGCTCCAAGCTCTGGAAAGTCGTCGTTGAAGGCCAAGGCAAGGACCGCAAGTCATCTTTGTCCATGGCTGAGACGCCTCTGACACCACCGATCCGCCAGCTGACTCTGGTCAAGCGCAATGAGGCCGAGGTCTTCCGCAGCCAGAGGGCATCGTCCGCTCGTCGTCAAAGCATGGACCTCAGCAAGCTGGCCGCGGCGAAAGCGGCCGTCGATGCCCATTTGGAGACTGTACGAGCGCCTTCCACTGCTCCTATCCCTGATGCTCCGACTTTCCCTACCACGGCAGCAGTTCCCGTGGCCTTTGAGAAGAGTCGCCGCTCCGCCAAGCACGTTCGTCGAGTTTCACGCCTTCAATACATTACCGACAACCGCAAGGAGGTCCGCCTCGACATCCCCGGCTCTGAAGACGATCAGCTCGCCGAGCTTAAGTCACCACGACCAGCGCCAAGCCCATCCGGCGAGACGCCCGACATGCTCTACGGTAATGCACGGTCTCGCCACTCCTGGGGGCTGCTTCCTCACGCGAGAGCCGCAGCGACGCCCGTCGAGCAGCAGCAAGGAGGTCCGCGGGTCTCTTCGCCCGTGTCACCTCTACTGGACTTCTACGATGATGGAAGGGGTTTGCGAGCCACGCAAGAGCGTGCTGAACTTCTGGAGAAGACGAGCACGAATCCTTCGCACCGCACCACAGCCAGCCTTGATGGTGATCACGCTGCATCTCTCCTGCGCAGGCGCTCTGGCCTCGAACGCCCCTCGATGACCTCTCCTTCGCCAACGGCCGTCATCCGACCGTTCTCCCTGCGTAGCGGCATCAACAAGCGCGCCAGCTTACAAGCAGAGATTGCATCTCGAGACGGCGTCAAGCTAGCGCAAGTTGAAGAAGAGGAGCATGAGATGAGCCTCCGTAGACTGCGCAACATGGGTGACCAGCTGCCGGAGCAAGAGAACGCGACGAGGATGAGCGTCTTCGTGCCGCTCACCACGCTGCAGGCTCACTTACGCAACAAACGCATTGCCAATCTACAAGCTCGCGCTGGCATTGAGCCCACGATGAGGAAGAACGTCCGCACGGCCGCGCACGAGCCTCGCCCGATGATCGTAGCTGGTTCCAACTTGCAATACTCGGCAGGGAAGCTCCTCGATGTCGACCAGCCTGCTCGCGCCCTCTTCTTTGCTGGCTTCCTCTGCATGCCCTGGCTTTGGCTCATAGGAGGCTGGTGGCTGGCAAAGGACGGTTCCATGCTCACGCCTGGCGCAGAACGTGTTGAATTTTGGCGTCATCAGCCTAGCATGGAGGCAGCACAGAAGAAGGCGCATGAGCAAGAGAAGTCGCCCCCGACCAAAGACGAGGAGCGCTTCGCTCGCGTGCCTTCGCCTGAGCCTGAGCTCATCGAAGCAGGTCCCGCGGCAGCTACGAGCGGCACCTTCTCTTATCTTTCTCTTCAATCCGCGCGAAGCCAACCAACGCATGATACGCATCGCTCTCACCCTCACCCACCTCGGGTCCTTCTGCAGGGAGACCCGGCCAAGCTGCCGAAAAAGGGTCGTCGCTCCGTCCGCGGTGCCTTACAGCCTAACCCGGAGGTGGCCCTCTTTCAGTCTCCGGTCCGCACGTCGGCCATTCCTACTAATGCCTACGCATCCAGCGTCGAAGACCTAGCAAGCACCGTTGGGCGCAGCACCCGTCGTCCCTTTGCCTCTTCGAGACTGGCCTCCGACCTCGAACTCGAGGACAGCGAACAAGACGACTCGGGCGTCGAACTCTCTCATTTTGAGGACAGCCGTCATGAGCCCAACGAAGCTGAGGAAGAGCCTCCCATTGCCGCCACTCCCAAGCATTCCTCCCTCTACCTCTCCAGCCAGCGACGCGCAGTCTACCGCGGCTCCATGCTCTTCGACGTCGTCGACGGGTCGGTGCTTCAAGCCAACGAGACGAACTTCATGCAGCGCATAACAGCGACGGAGAAGTACGTTCTGATGAACCGCTTCATGGCCGTCGTTGCCACCCTCAGCGCCTTTGCTGGCATGGGCATCGCACTCAATGCCGTCGCGACGGGTTTTTGAGGCGCCTGCGACAGATCATCTTGCCAAGTCGATATATTCCTGTTCAAGCCGAGAACAATGCCGCCGATACCTCTACTGCTGCCATGCCTGTGGAAACGGATATTACCCACATCGCCACACCCAATTTCGACCTTCTGCTCTCCTCGCTACCTCGCCCGAAGCGCTTGCTTTCAATGCGCAACCGATCAGCATGGAACGACTTCTTTCGTCGATTCAACACGGTCATTGCTGCCGATAGACGGATGTTACTCGAGGCGGGGAGGCAGACGGCCCTCGCGCTCGCTGCGGCCTCGTCATCATCTCCACGCAACACCCCATCGAAGCGACGCTTGAGGCCTCTGCTGCTATCGCCGAGCCGAAGAGATCTCTACGCAAGTACGGGATCGGGCGACAAGAGCGACGACTCGCAGATGAGCAGCTCACCGAGTGGGTCCTTGGATCGGGCGATCACGTCCAACTTTTTCTTCAATCCGTGGTAGCAAGCAAAGGAACGACGGTGCAGCGCTAGCCGGCCTGGCTGGACTGTTTCATCTATCTCTTCGACTTGGCAAGACAACAGGCCAAGATCTGGCTCGTGGGCTGCCTTCATCTTCCCGCTGTCCCTTCCCCTTCGTGTTCATTCATCCCACCCACTCTTCGCTACGATCTTTTGGACGCGCCGCTCATACCATCTCGACCGTCGTCGAGCCAACCCGGTGCGCTCTTTCTCCCTCTCGGGCCCCCTTCTTGTAATCTTACTGCGCTACGCTACTGCCCACGTCCATCTCAGCTGTCCCATCTACTAATGCGAGTCCATCTCCGCTCTTTTCATTCCCGGTTGATGTGACAGCGCCGTGCCTTGGTCGCTGCCGGTCCTACACTCTGCATGTTGCTCGATACTCTTTGCCGTCGTGCGGTCCGTCCCTGCTTCTGCCCTGAAAAGGGGCATGGGGGATAGGATCTCCACGATGGAAGCTTGGCAGGGCTCAATATTGGGTCCTTAAAGGGCTGAATGTACTGCGCAGCCGTTGTCACCTCTGCCTCTGATCACCACCGCCATCATCGTCTCTTGCTCCTGCGGCACCGCCTCATCAGCAATGCCAGTCATGACCTCTCCTGTTGCTTTTGAGGAGCCCGAAAATGAGCATCTCTTCTTGATGACTGGTGATTGCGCTGGTGACAAGGAGCATGCGCAAGCTGTGGTGGAGCATACTCGCCGCTGCTCTGTGTCGCAATCACGTCTGCCGCTCGTGATCGACGACTACGCGACCAGACCCTGTGACCCAGAATGCACGGATGGAAACGACACGGCACGTTCAGCAAAGCTACTTTTGGTCCAGCCTGGATCTCCGGCCTCGCTGCCAGCCACGGCCCAAACGACGGCCCGCCATCGCAGGCACATCCGTACCGACAGCGACGACGACGCAGACGATGCTGAAGCAGCTAGTGTTTGTGTGCAATGTCGCAGCAGTGGGTGTGAAAGGGCGCCTTTGCTGCTCTGCCCAGGCTGCACTAAGGGGCTTGAGCAGCGCCAAGAAGCCAAAGTCGACGACGGGCTCGCAGGGGGCTCAGCAAGCGGGGAGGAGGCGGCGGAGGCGGAGACGGCGTGCGGAGCGAAATCGACCGAGGCTAACACCGGGGCGGCGGGGGCTCAGCTTGTGGCTGCTCTCAAGGCTGCGACGAGCACTGCCTCGCTTCTTGGGCGTGCAGCTCGAGGTGCAGCTAAAGTAGCATCAGCCACCAAGTCGACGACGAGCATGAGCCGGACCTTGACCTCAAAGTCGCCATCGCCAACGACATCAACTTCATATTGGGCTCAACTTGACGACCAACTGGCTCAAGAGCAGCATTGCTCACAGCACAGTAGGCCATCGATTTCCTCTTTCACTCCCTCTAGCCTGTCGATATCTACCTCGCTCCCCAAACCCTCCTCGTCGTCGACCGACAGCGACGTCTTTGACAGCGGCGGCGGCGGTGATTGGTCTATCCTTTCATCACCGCTCAATCTTGGCAGTCCAGTCCACTCATCGTCACCAGCTTCACAGTACGAGGAGCAACAGACCTTTTGTCCGGCGAAAGTCTCGACCAGCGAGCGACAAGTCCGACCGAGGAGAAGGGCAAGCAACTCATCCACATTCACAGAGAGCATCCGAGAGACTCTATCCCGATCCTACTCGACCCCTACCAAGAGGATTCGCACCCTCTCACCTCTTGGTGGCCTCTCCCGTAGTTCGACTTTCCTCTCCCTTAGCTCGTTGCCATCGTCGCCAACCGCGAGCAGGCCATCTACTGCCGCGCCCACTGCTCTCCACGCCAAGCTCTTCTTCTCTAGAAAGCGCAAGGCGGATGCGTCTGTGACAGCAAGCGACAGCGTCGACGACCGCCCATCCACATTGAGCGCTTCACCGTCAATGTCGGCCTCAGTCACCTCGTCCCTCCCAAATTACGACTCTCCACAAGCAGGTCCATCAAAGGCACGCTCCCTTCGCGATGCTCGTCCCAGCAGCAGGTCAGGGTCGGCAGCCACCCTTGGAGGGGCTCCTTCAGCGGGGTTGGCAGCCTCATTGCGCGCCTCCATTGCCCCACTGGCCGGAGTAGGCCTCCCTTCTGCGGCTACGCACGACGATGCCGCTCTCGGGAGGGAGTCTTCACCTCGAGGGCTGCGTCCTGTGCAAGCTCCGCCTTCTTCAATTCTGTTAAATTCGAGGAGAACTTCGGCAGTGTCTCTTGGCGAAAATGAATCGACGAACAAACCAGCAGTCCCTGGCATAGCATCATCAGCAGCATCTTTTACGAGCGTAGCAACCCAGGCGCCCGCACCAGTCGTCACACATATCCCCGCCGTACCCTCAGAGAAGGAGCTTCAGAGGCAAAAGGAGCGCAAAGAGAGGGAGCGAGCAAGGGAGAGGGAAGAAAAGGATCGCAGAGAGCGAGAGTCAAGAGAAGCAGAGCTGGCTCATCAGCTGCAAGACAAGGAGGGAAAGCTGTGGGGGATTCCAAAGAAGGCCTTCTATCTCGGCCTCGGCTCCGTTCCTGGTTCACTCAACTTCAATGCACAAATGGCCATGATGGCAGGGTGGGGCAGTGGCAGCGGAGGCCCGAGCGACTTTCTCAATGCTCCGCAGCGTCGGCCATCAATGCGCAACTCCAAGAAGCGACGCAAGAGTTCTGAATCTAACGTCCAGGCACGGACGCAGAGTCCGGAGCAAAAGAAGCATGGAGAGCACAATCGTAGCGAGACTGTGGAGGAAGAGGAGGAGAAGCTCGATGCAGAGGAACTCGCTGCCCTGAATGCCATCATCAATACGCGAAGGAGTATGGCTGCAGCTCAAGCACTGGCTAGTGGCCAAGTCAAGTTGCCTGCGCCCAAGAGGCGAGCACGGCCGCCTCTCGAAGGCAGACATAGCAGCAGGAATAGCACAACCAAGAGCCCAGAAGACACTCCACCTAATGCGGATGGCGATCCTGCAGGCGCGCCTTCTCTCGTCAGCAAAGACTCATCTACAAGTGTCCAGCAAAGCGAAGGCAGCGGAGTGGCCGAGAGCTCTCGTGTCGGCGGCGAAGGCTCCGATGGCGGGCCCAAGATTCGCTTCGCTCCCCTGCCAAAGCCCAGCCCCGTCGACGAGGATCCCTTTGAGGCCACAATGCGCGGCGAGGCGCTTTCAGACCAAGACGATGATGCCACCCTCCATCGACGAGGCTCTGGATCCGACTTCTTTGGCAAGCGCAAATCGCGAGAGAGTCTGGACAGCGAAAGCATGGCACTTGACAGTGACGATGGCGGCGGCATGCAAGAGTATTCGGACGAGGAAGATGAGGACATGAACGATGAGGATATGGAGAGGTGGAGAAGTCGGATGCGCCAGGCGAAGGGCAAGTGGTACCTCATGGGTCTGCCCTCTGAGGCATTCAAGTCTTCCGAATACTATCGCACATGGAAGCGGTGGAGTCAGGAGGCTATGATGGGTGGCAATGTCAAGCCTACGGTCACCTCACCAGCCAGCGACGATGGACACAGTACAAGGCGACCCTCGCTCAGCAAGAGGCTAAGTGCCGAGGCTCCCTCAAGCCTAGCCAGTAGCTTAGAGTCCGAGCCACCGTCCGGCTCCCTTTCACAGCTGGTCGCATCTGAGCTCAGCGCGGAGCCACAGAGTCGTGGTCGGAGGCGCGGGAGGAGCCGCAAGAATAGTCGCGCCGGCAGACCTGCGAGTGCCCGGTCGGCATCGCTGTCCGGTGACGAGGAGGAGCGCAGCCGTCGTCGTCAGCTCATCATGTCCGTGCGACCAGGAGGAACTGGCATGGTCACACTGCCCGATGGCACAAGGGTCAAGGCTCGCAGAGTTGGCGACGACGATGCCGATGCCGAGGACGGGCCGTGGGAGGATTGGGGCTTTGCTGGCCTGGTCGCCCGAGGTCAAAAGGATGCGGCGGTAAATGAAGACGGTGCGGAAGATGGAGAAGAGGGGCAGGGAGATGGTGATGTTTCTCCGAAGAGCACGGGCAAAGCGGACGATACGGATCGCGTTGCAGAGCCAGCGTCTATTTCAGCACAGGCCGACGAGCAGAAGGAAGCTACGCCATCGGGCACCGGCTCTGGCTTCTCGACGAGTCGAGCAGAGGAAGTACGACGTCGTCACGAGGCTGAGGTAGCTGCTCTTGGCGCCGAAGTCCTCGCGGCTCACCGTCGTAAGCTCACGGCTGCCAATGCGCCCTCCCCGACATCGTCGACGACGACGCCGATCACGGCCATCGCTGCAGCCAACGCTACCGCCGATGCCTCTGATCTTCCTACGACGCCAGCAGGAGATGGCCTGGGTCGCATTGGTTCGCGCACCGAGAGTCAACATTCGACCGGCTCGCCAATCGGTAGACAGCAGCGTTCATCATCGCAGACAAGGTCGATCCAGTCCAATTTTGCCCAACGCAGCCAGACGTCGCTGCACCTGCGCTCGTCATTCGACTTGCGCCACGGCGACCACCATCTTCTCTACTCGCCTGACACTTCGCTGCCCCGCAAGCCAGACGCAAAGGGTTACGCCGTCGTTCCTCTGCCTAGCGAGCTCGGCGTCCGTCCCTCTCGACCTCGTGAAGGAAGGGTCTGGGAGGACGATGACGATGATGATACTCCACCTTCCGATCACGCTGTAGATTTCAGCAGCGAGGACGACAACGATGCGAGGGAGACGTCTTCCTCTAGAAGGCAGAAGGCCGCCGGCGCACTCGAAGACGAAGAAGAGGAGGACGACGAGCTCGACGCGGCCGAGATGGCCGAGGAGGAGCGTCGTCACGCCGTTCATTCGAAGCGTGCAACGACGAGCGCTGCTGGTCTCGAGAGGATGCACGTCCGTACACGCAGCGCGAGCGTAGCGCCTGCTGATCGACGAGCGAGGGCGGCCACTCTTCGCCGCCATCAGACATCGCTGCAGGACGCAAATGCAGGCTCTGAGACGGCGAGCAAGATGACTTCATCCCTCACTCTCTCATCGTCAATCGATGAGCCCGTTGAAGCCATGCTGACGTGCGACAGTCCAACGAGCGATTCTCCTACTCGTCGCAGAGGTGCTTCAGTCTCCGAGCTGGAGGGCGACCTCAGCAAGCTCGTCCTCGACGGCTGTTCAACAGAGAGAAAGAGCAAGGCGATCGGCAAAGCGGCCTCATCGCCCTCTAGCAAGGAGACGAGGCAAGGGGTGCTTCGTCAAGCCAAGTCGTCTCCCACCATCCCCCGCCAGCGCAAAGGCGGTCCACATCGTCATCGCAGCAACCGTGGTCCCCTTTCCGGCCCACAACATCTCGTTGATGATGACGACCTTGACCTTTGGCCCTCGTCCGTAACTGCGGTGCTCGGCGTCGGGCCCAGCAAGCGGCCATCTGCGTCCGTACTGTCTGCTCAAGCTTCGAAAGCGAGGGCTTTACGAGAACAGAGGGAGAAGGAGCTCCGCCAAGCAGAAGCTGCCCGGTTGAAGAAGCAGGAAAAGGACGACGATGCTCTCGATTATGGTTGGCCGCCGACGTTGAAGGGGTCGCTGTATGATCGATGAGCCGGCAAGCACATGAGCGGGCACCAACCGGTTCTGAGCGGAGCAGACTTGACTTCCTGCTACTCACTACCCTACCTGACAAATATCCATCCATTGTCTCTGTCTCGCCGTTACGGTCTCGAACGATGCAGTGCGGCGAGCGCACACGAACCTTGCCTTCGATCCCCCACTCTCAACGAACGAATCTATTCCTGTCCGCCCTGTACTTTACCCGATGTTCACATTTCGCGCGCGTAATCCAGCTGTTCTACTCTCTTTCTCGTGAGGTGTGGAATGGAGCACATCGACCTGATCAGCTGATCGAATAGGAGCTTGGGGAGAAAGGACGAAGCTTGCGGTGGAGCCAGGACGCTCAACGTTGGCGAATCTCACGGATTGCTGGGGATAGAGCTTCCTTGCCTGGTGCGTGACCCTGACTGTGGGCCTGGACCGGCGGCCAGGTAGTCAACCCAAACTCATGTGACACCCCCGTCCCTGGCAGGCAAGTTACGGCTGGCTCATGCCACACTGCATCAGACATGAATAGTGGAGGAGACCCCAACAGCGTCTGGCCGATCCATTGACGTCTCACGTCTCACTTCCTCCTGGCCAATCGAGATTGCAGCTTAGCGACTGGCGTCACAGAGCGTTGATTTGATATTCATTGGGCCGTAGATAGCGCGTACGGTCCATATTGATTCGCATAGCGGGGGTGGTCAAAGCGCACAGCTGCCCAGTGACGGTGGCGACACGCGTGAAAAGGTGGGAGGGGACAGGGCGCTGGGCGTTCTTCTAACCACCGCCGCCGTGTCCAAGGCGTCGTCGACATCGTCTGTGCGAGGGACTAGTTGATCAGCTGGGGCGCCCACTCCGGTCCGGTTCAGTCCGAGCGTCGAATCGTTGTCCATCGTAGCCGGCGCAGCTCTGACAGCTCAAGCTCCGTTCGTGCGAGGCTGGCGATTCTGCTGTTTCAGCGTAACGAGGCGGCGGGCAGGCTTCCAAGTTTGGCTCCCTCCGGCTAAGCTTTGTCCTCCGCATCGCCGTCATTAGTCGAGGCAGGGGTTCCACGGCGGCAGAGCGGTGGCGCGCTAGTGTGGCAGGCCCGACAGCCAGCTCGCGTGGCCCTCGATCACGGACCTCTCCACTTTTTGCGAAGGCGAAATCCATGGGGCGGGCGGAGGTCGGGGCCAGCCCCAGCTCAACGCATCTCGTACTCGTCTCTGCACGACACACCACGTCGATGCCGACCGTCTGGCCGCCGAAGTGAATTGAATTTGGGCTAGAAGATGAGAGTCTGCGAGCAGGCGGCTGCGCACTCGGTGGCAACACAAGGTAGATGAATGGTGTCGAATCCAGGCAGTATCGAGACAGGATGTGAGCCGGAGAGCCCCTGGCGCCAAGTGCCCGCCAAAAGTTTTGAGCTCAAAGTCGAACGTCTCGACTGCGACTGTTGCTTCCGAAGGAAGGGGCAGAGCACGGCCGGTGGCTAGTGCGTGTGCGCTTGGACGCACGGCTTTGCCGCGAATCGCCGACGAGAGAAAGCCATCCCCAATATATAATCATTCGCACCACACACGACCACTTTCCCTTCTTACCACGCCATCCCGTCACTCCCTCACCACCCTTTCCCCCCTCCCTCCCCTGATCTCTCCACATACATTATGACTGCAACCACATTCGACCCATCGCAGATGGAGCACATGGAGCCTGGCTTGCGCACCCCTCCCGCCGACCAGCTCTCCCCACCTCCCTCTGACGCCTCAGACGATGAGCTGAGGCACCAGGCTGCCGTACCGTCAAGCGGCGGCAAGAAGAGGGTTCCCAACAAGTGGGAGAAGCAAGGCGAGAAGCATGCCGACTCCGCCATCCCCGACGACTATGTCACTCGCACCCTCGAGCGAGAGCCTCCTCTGCCACCCATTCAGTGGAAGAACATCTTCAGCGAGATCCAGTGGGTTTCCTTCATCGTCCTTACTTCCACTCCACTTCTCGCCCTCTACGGCATGTTCACCACTCCTCTCCAGTGGAAGACGTTTGCGTGGTCCGTCGTCTACTACTTCTTTACTGGTCTCGGTATCACGGCTGGCTACCACCGCCTGTGGGCCCACCGTAGTTACACTGCTTCTCGCCCTCTCGAGTACTTCCTTGCCCTCATGGGCACTGGCGCTGTTCAAGGCTCTATTCACTGGTGGGCTCGTGGCCATCGTGCTCATCACCGCTACACCGACACCGACCTCGACCCCTACGGGGCTCACAACGGTCTCCTATGGTCGCATCTGGGCTGGATGATTGTCAAGCCTCGCCGCAAGCCCGGTGTTGCTGACATCTCGGACTTGCGCCGCCACCCTGTCATCAAGTTTCAGCACAAGTTCTACCTGCCTCTGATTGCCATCATGGGCTTCATCTTCCCCACCGTCGTTGCTGGTCTCGGATGGAATGACTGGCGCGGTGGATTCTTCTACGCCGCCGTCGCTCGCCTCGTCTTTGTCCACCACTCGACGTTCTGCGTCAATTCTCTCGCCCACTGGCTCGGCGAGGCTAGCTTCGACAACAAGATGACTCCTCGTGACCACTTCATTACCGCACTCGTCACGGTAGGTGAGGGCTACCACAACTTCCATCACCAGTTCCCCATGGACTACCGCAATGCCATCAAATGGCACCAGTATGACCCTACCAAGTGGTTCATCGGTACCATGAAGGCTCTCGGCCTTGCATCGCACCTCAAGACGTTCCCCGACAACGAGATCAGGAAGGGTCAGCTTGCCATGCAGCTGCAGCACGCTCACGAAGTTCAGGAGAAGCTCGAATTCCCCAAGAGCGCCAACGATCTGCCCGTCGTCTCGTGGGAGGAGTTCAAGGAGGAGTCGAAGAATCGTCCCCTCATCTGCGTCAGCGGCTTCATCCACGATGTCTCGTCCTTCCTCGACGAGCACCCGGGCGGTCGTCACCTCCTCGCAGCCCGTCTCGGCCAGGATGCTACGTCGGCGTTCAACGGCGGTGTCTACGACCACAGCAACGCAGCCCACAACCTTCTCTCGATGATGCGCGTTGGTGTCCTCGACGGTGGCTACCAGCTCGCTGAGCTCGAGAAGGTCGAGGGCGAGGTAGAGCAGACGGAGATCAAGTCGTCGCTCCTCAACGACCAGCTCAGGGGCGAGCTGACGCAGCGCAAGAACAAGAACATCTCGCCCAAGGCTGCCGCCTACGTCGTACCCGGTCAGGCCTATCACATCGACAAGCGCGCAGAGCTCAAGGCCAACGTGCGCGACACGTCTGGCCGAGTGGGCAGGATCTTCTGAAGAGAAGGAAGCGCAAGCAAGAAGGAAAGAAGATAAGGCAAACCAAACCACCGCACCGCAATAGCACCCTAGCAACACACCGACGTCAGTCATCTCACTCTCTCGCACATACAAGACATACCAGGCTATCTTCGAGCAGCCATTCTCGTTTCGCACTATCCCATTCCACGCTCCGTATACGAATTCACGAACCTCACCGACTCGACTCTTCTTGGGCTTGTGTGCTGCGTCCATTGAGCGCCACCACCTGCTACTCCTCATCCCTCGATCCTCTTACGTCTCGTGTTCCGTAGGGGTTGTTCACCTGTCATGTATTCCTCTCCAAATAGAATCTCTCCTTTCGAAAGATCATCATGACGACGACGATGATGCTGCAGATTGTGTGTATAATTGTGTGAGAGATTTCATGAGAGGATGATAGATGCGGAGCTGCGCTTGACGAGACGGAACGAGGTAGCCCTGGTTGCTGCTGGTCTGTCGTGCATTGACCGCCTTGGTTTTTCGTCCCTTGTTCCTTTACCTTGGATTGCATCCAGCTCCTGTTTGCTGGCTCACCGGCGGACGCTTTCCACGATGGACGAGGAGATGCAATCCAACACGTCACTGCCAGAGTCATCATCGGATGCTACTGCTCAGCCGCAAGCAGAGGCCGTCACCGACTCGAAATCGACCTCAACAACATCATCCAAGTCGTCTTTACTCTCCCCATCCTCGTACACCAATTGGGTGCGCTCGACTCAGCGCAAGCTCATCATCGCTGCTACGCAGGGACAGAGGCCGCCTGAGACACTCGTTTCTAGCCTCGATGAAGCTCTCAATGCCAAGCGCAACGCTCTCGTTCTCAGCTCAAGGGAGTGGAATGTCTACCTCGCCGCTAGCATATGGCGCGCTTCGTCTTCTTCGTCTTCGTCTTCGTCTTCGTCTTCGTCTTCGTCTTCGCTCCTCTCCGACGTCGATGAGGTCAGAGCCATCATTGAGCTCCACGGCGAAGCCACTCGATCAACAAATGGCTCAGCCCTCGATCTGTCGGCCTTTGTCACCTACACGGACCTCGTCCTCTCACTTCACTACGCCTTCGAAGAGGTCAAGTCACGCCCGACGAACTTTTGGCAAGACGACGAGGACTCGCAATGGACCGTAGAGGGTGAAGAGGACCTGCTGCAAGATTGGACAGGACTAAAAGATGGTCCCAAATTCCTCAACCTTCGCCACAAGGCGACCAAGTACGGCATCACCGTCGGCTACTCGGCGTCTACTCTCCCCTCGATTCTCACTCGCAGTCAGGCAAAAGCAGCAGCAGTCGAAGCCGCATGGGACTCGCTCCTTGGCGAAAGCAATGTCCGTGCTTTGATCAGGGAGGCAAACAGCCGTGCAGCCGGTGAGCTCAACTGGAGTCACCTCCTCTGGGATTCGTACCGCGCCTTTGAGCTGCACCACCTTAAGCGGGCAAAGACGGCCGACCGCATCGAGTCAGTCAAGCAGCTTTTCCTCGCCAGGCTCAAGGTGCCCCATCGCACCCACGAGGCTACGGCTCAGGCCTTTTCCTCTTTTTTGTCCTCTTATCTGCCACCCGATGCCTATGAGTCCACTATGGCGTCGCTGCAGAGGGCCTATGGGGCTGCTAAGGCTACGTGGTCTTCTGTCGAGATTTTTGAAGATAAAGTGCGGGGTGCGAGCCCTGCGCTCGGGCTCAATGTTGATGAGCAAGCCTCTTGGCAAGCATGGCAGGCGTACCTGCGGGCAGCGGCATCTCGCCGCCACGCCGACGTTGACCTAGTGAGCGCCCTCTTCGAGCGCTGCCTCTCCTACTTAGGCCTCCCTGAATCCCTCGCTACCGTCCAAGAGGGGCATGCCCCCAATTCACAAGGCGTAGCAGCAGTCAAGGCTGCCCGCCAAAAGCTTCCGAAATCACAGCGGCAGGACGCTGAGCTAGCAGAGAGGCAAGCTCTGCGCCAGCGTCGAGCACAAAGAGAAGGGGTATGGTTCGACTACCTAGCCTTTTTGACCTCGCGTGGCGGTAACAAGGTATCGGCGACGCAGATCATCGAGGTATGCGACCGGGCGACGAGGACTCTGCCTGGGGCTGGCCTTCTCTGGGCCACGTACCTGCGCCAACTCGCTCATCATCAGCGGTCCAAGTCGCACATCGATGAGGTCTTCAGCCGCGCTTTCGACGGGGGTCAGTGTTCTGAGGAGGATAAGGAGAAGGCGCGGGACGAGCCGGAAGACATCAAGGGATCAATGGTGGAGCTTTTCGCTGGACGAATCGATGCAGAGCGTCAGCTCCTTGCCCTTGATTTGGCAACGCAGCAAGGCCTGGAACTCTCAGAGGCACTCATCCAGCTACCCAAGGACCCGAATGCCTTCACCGAGATCTTTGCCATGATCGACTGGGCACTTCAGCTTCCCGCAGGTGAGCGATCCGCAGCCTCCCTCGACAAGGGCTTGCGACTGCACCGCCTGGCCTCATCATGGGCCGAAGCCGCTGGCCCTGAGATGGCCCAGCTTGCAGACTCGATTTGGGAGAACGCGCTCACGCAGCAGCCTACAAATGCAGAAGTATGGCTGCAGTCCGCTCTCTACCATATCCGGATTGGCAATCTGAGCAAGGCTCGCTCCCTCTTCCGGCAGGGGACGGGACGGGGCAAGATATCGGACACGACGCAGCTCCTTGAAGCTTGGGCGAGGTTCGAGGCCATGTATGGGTCAGGAGACGATGTTTTGCGTGCGGAAGAGAGGGCGCGAAGGCACAAGGAGAAGCAATGGGAGCAGTGGGCACAGTATGCTCAAGCCCAGCAGGAGCAGTATCTCAATTACACGTCTGCTGCTGCCGGTAGCAGTGGTGGAGCAATGGACGTAGATGGTGGAACTGGTGAGGCAGCTGATGAGAGTGGCACATTTGCCACGGGCAAGCGCAAGGCGTCGAACAGCGTCGCGGCTGAGCCATCTGCATCGTCGTCATCATCCATGGCCATCGACACGGCCGCGGGCCACACCCTGCCCAACCCAATCAACGGCGCCGAGTCCTCCAAAAAGGGCAAAGGAGGCGACGCCTCTCAACCCACACGAGATCGTGAGAATAGCTCTATCCTCGTATCCAGCCTACCCCATGATGCGAGCATGGCAGACTTACAGCGTCTCTTCGCCGAGTGCGGGGCCATACGCGAAATCAGCGACCCCGTCGCTATCCCTGGAACTAACACCGCAGCGGGAGTGGTGGAATTCATGGATCGATCCTCAATCCCTGCTGCGCGCACGAAGGACAAAAAGCGCCTGCGTGGGGAGGAGATCACCGTCAGCTTGGGGTGGGAGTGCACGCTCTACGTGACCAATTTCCCCGCCTCGCACGACGATGCTGCCATCCGCTCGCTCTTTGGTAACTATGGGGCAGTGTACGACGTCCGTTGGCCGAGCAAGCGCTTCGATTCTTCCCGCCGCTTCTGCTATGTGCAATTCACGAACCCAGCAGCCGCAAAAGAGGCGCAAGGAGCGCTCCACCAGCATCAGCTCAACGGCGCGGAGGGCGCGTTGCAAGTCCACCTATCAGACCCTGCTCGCCGCAAGCAGCGCACCGACGCTCATGCTAACGAGCGCGAAGTCTTTGCGCTAGGCATCCCACGTAACTGCTCGCGGGAGGAGGTCTTGACCTTCTTCCAATCCCTGGGCGGGACGGTTGAAGGCTTGAGGCTGCCGGAGAGCTCCCGCTCTAATCGTCTCAAAGGTGTGGCGTTTGTCGACTACCGCACCGAGCTCGAAGCCCGACAGGCGGTTGCGGAACTGAATGAGCGACTTTTGAGGGGGAAGGCAGTAAAGGTGCAAATGGCAGATGCGGAGCACCAGAGCTCACACGGAGGGAGGGCGAACAGCGCTGGTGCTGGAGGAGGTGGCGGAGGCGAGAGTGGCGGTTTCGCCTCTCGTGCGGTTAAAGTGCGCAACCTTCCCCTCGAAGCTCAGGAGCCCCTCGTCCAGCAGCTGTTCGAGCGCCTAGCCGGAGGGTCAAGCAGCGTCAAGAAGGTCGAGTGGACACCTTCCTCCTCTTCTTCCTCGGCGCCTTCCGCCATCGTTGAGCTCGCAGACACAGCGACCGCAGGCAAAGTGGTCCTATTAGGGGAGAGTGGGCAGGCTATATACATTCATCCCACGGACGCCGCAAGACGGCAGCATGTCCTGAGCGTACAGCCGCTCGAGAGGGGGGCTGCCGCGGCGGTGATTCGGTCGCCCTCGCCTGGCTCTGCATCGGGCTCGACGAGCGCTGCAGCGCCTACAGCATTTGTGCCTCGACGCACTGGCGGGGGTAGAGGAAGGGGAGCGAGAGGAAGGGGAGGGCTTGGCTTCGTGCCGCCTAGGTCTGCGGCGGGTGAGCAGAAGCAGCCTCCCGCCGGGAGCAACGCGACGAGTAGCAGCGGGATGGACGTCGATGAAGGTAGCAGCGGCAGCGGCGAGAGGAAGGGCCAGGACGCTTTCAGGGCTATGTTGGCTGGCGGGGGAGCAGCCAAGTAAGGTGATCAGAAAGGCAGAGAGCAGCCAAGTAAGGTGATCAGAAAGGCAGAGTCAGCAGCACTTTTTCGTGAGCGAGATTTTCTTTGCCGGTCTCGCTCAATCATTGCCACAGCTTGCTATCTCGAAATTGTGTGGAGAGGTGGTCGTGCGTGGATTCGCGGGATCGAGAAGGTGGAGTGAGGATTGGCGAATGAATGATAGAGGTACAGATACAGATGAACAAATGAGATGTCAAGGATGGCCAAAAGTCCTCGAAAGGATAGGGAGAACAGAGCGACACAGTCTCTGCTTTGGGATTTCTTGTCGTCTGAGCCGCTAAGACTGTAGAGTCTTCAGAGGACTGGGAGAACGAGGAGAGACCGCCGAGTGGTCGAGTCAGTCTTTGAGCGCTTGACGATGCTCCTTTGCTGGCCAGCTTCTGGACTTCCTGGTGAGATCTTGAGCGGGCGTATGGTATCGCCGGGTGCTTCCTTCTTCTGTACGCACCTCTCAGTAGTATTCGTCATCTTCCTCTTCTTCATCGTAGTTGTACCGGGAACCAGTGCCACGTCGAGGCTGTTCATACATTGCGCTCATTCTAGCTCTGGCCTGCGCCATGTCATCGTCGCTGTCCTGTTCCTCGTCGCTGTCAGTCACCACCGTAGGGCGACGTGCGTGCCTCCCACTGGCACGGCCAGCAACCGCACCGTGACTCCTGTAGCTGGTTGGTCTTCCGTGACCCACGCCACTGCTTGCCCCGTCCTCGTCCCCTTCCCCGTCCCCGTCCTCGCCCCCATCCTCGTCCTCATCCTCCTCTGCTGCGCTGACGATCTCGTCTTCTCCCTCACTCTCGTCGTCGTCGTCATTGAAGGAGACCTGCACCGCAACCCTGCGACGTCCACTTGGACCGCTGTTACTGCCACTTGAGCCACGATGCCCATCGAGCATTGTGTTGACATTAGCCTCATCTCCCTCTTCCTCATCGTCGTCGTCGGGGACGGTAAGACGTCGCTGAGAGCCACGGTGGTGCCTTGGAGCTGTGCGGTGCGAGTAAGACTGCGAGCTCTGGATCGAGGACGAGGAGCCAGAGGCAGCGGATACATTGTCGTCGTGGTCGTCATCGGAGTCAAAGTTTTCCTCGTCGTCCGAGTAGCCATAGCGCCGGCGACTTGAAGCTGAGGGACCGCCATAATGATGGGCGTACGAGTGCTCATGGCCCACAAGTTCGAGACCATCTTCGCTTTCGTCGGAGCCTGCGCTGTGCTCTGTGCCCATGACGGACCCATCTGCATCGCTGACGATAAAGGATCCCATCTCTGCCTCCTCATCGTCCTCATCCTCGTCGTGATGTCCGCCGTACGCATTGTCGAGGCGATACCCATTCGCAATCCTCTCAAGCACCTCTCCAACCTCACTCTCCCCGCTCTCGTCCTCATCTCCCGCCCCCTCACTTGAATAATCGTCATACCCCAAGCCATCAATGTCTTCATCTTCACCATCGTCGGTCATCGTGTACGCACGGTGGCAATTCTGGCATTCGCCCCATGCAATCTCCCCCGTGCAGTACCCACAACGCCAGATGAGATCTCCTTCGTCAAAGATGCGCTCGCGGGGTCCATTGATGTCAAAGATGGGAGACCAGAGGTCTTCACCAGACGCGAGGTCCTCGCCACGGAATTTGGCCTCTTCGTCTGGTGTGCGGATGACGACTGCGCCCAGGTGGTGATGATGATGGTCGTCGCCTGCGCCGGAGCCGGCCATGTGGCCAAGCATGTGAGATTGGTGCAATCGGTCCACCATTCCCTTGACGGCCCAGATCTCGGCGGGTGGTCCTACAACTTTGGTTCGGCAGTGGGGGCAAATCTTTTTGCGGCGATGAGTAGCTTGCTGTTCGAGCCTTTGACGTTGCTCCGCGTCGTAGAAGGAAGGGATGGGATCCTCGTCGGGGAGTGGGCGCTTGAACCAGTCGATGAGGCAGCGGGCGCAGAATGAGTGACCACACGGGGTGAGGACGTGAGGACGCCAAGAAAGCTCGAGGCAGATGGTGCATGTGGCTTGGTTGTGTAGATAGGAGAGGGAAGAGCTCTGCGCTGCGATGACTTCGTTCTGAGTGCGCAATGGATTAGAGAGGAGGTCAGATGGAGGTGGTCAAGCCGGCGAAGAGACTGGATGGGGAGCTCGATGGCTCACCTTGAATCGCATCTCGTTACGCAATCTCGTCAACTCGGCGTCGGCGTCGGACCGTGCCTTGCGAGCGTCGGCGAGAGACTTCTCTAATTGCTTGTATGCGGCTTGCGATGCCGCGCTTGCCGGGACGACAGCTTCGTCTTGCGAGGCCTGGGTATCTTGCTCCTCATCAAGACGGTACTCTTGTCTCTCCTTGTCCTGTGCCATCATACGTGCTCGTACGCCACCCATGATTGGCACAGCATGAGTTGCCTGCTGCTGGGTAGGTAAGGTCTCTTGAAGTTGAACGCTCGATCCTTTCTTCTTGCGTCTCTTATGAGGAGGCGTGGCCGAAGTGGCGATGAGAGGGGGCTTTCCCTCATCGCTACTAGAGCTACTGGGCGATGCATCATTCAAGCTGATAGGAGACTTAGAAGAGGTCGCGATTGGCTGCGCTTCACCGCCATGATCATCGTCGAAGAGGCCATTTAGCCCAGAGGGCTTGATCTCGGGTGCGGCAGGAGGAAGAGGAGGCTGAGGCTGGGATGGTTGAATTGAGGCGTTTGAGGATGTTGGAAACCGGTTCCGATTGCCTCTCCTACGCTGCCGTTTTTTGTCTTGAGTCGCAGACGAGCTTGCAGCCCGCCGGCTCTCGATGTCGTCCATGGTGGGTAATGATGGTAGGGAGCCAAGCCACCAAAGTGTGAATTGGACCTGACCTGCATGAGGTTGCGAGGACGCGCCTCTCTCCGCTTGCCACGCGAGCGACCATGGATGCGATGCTCTCAATGCCACGCGACGACGAGGTAGCAGCCTGACGTTCCTCGACCGCGACGACGTCGCCGGCACACATCCTTGATTCCTCGTCGTCACTTGCCATTCTCTTCCTCGACCTGATCCTCGTCAGCGCCAACGACTGTGACATCTGAACAGACTATCTCCCCACTACCGCATCTATTCGCAACTCTCAAAGATCATCATGGACAACGAAGAGTGAGCCGCTCAGCCCGGCCATCGACGCGCGTCGAGTCGCTGACATTCATGCATCCACTCATCCACTCATCCACTCCCTTTGACCCAGTCTCATCGACTACGAGGAGGAGGTCCCCACCACCACAACGGGCGCCCCTTCCAATGGAGCAGCAGCCACAGACGTAGCAGCACCCGCAGACGCAGATGGCAACAAAAAGGCAAGCATCATCCACGATCCAGACTTTCCCGCTTCCCATCTCGACGATGATTCCAGCCCAAGCCGCCGCCTCCAATTGCTCGTCGCCAATGAGGCTAGCGACAGCTCCTAGTCGTCGTCGTCGTCAATACTCTTGCGTATCATCGCGTCATCATTTGCGCTGCCTCGCTCTACCGCTGCTGCCGCTATCTGATGGCACACGACCGCACTGCATGGCCTGCGCCACCATGAGCGACGACTGCGCGGCATCTTCGAGCCTTGAGTAGCCTCTGTCAGGCGGACAAGAGGTCTCAAAGCATGATGTTCCATCACGTCATACGCAGGTGAGGCCAGGCCAGGCCAGGCCAGGCCAGGATGGCAAATCTCTATGACCTGCCCGAAGCTGAGGCGAATTCTCATTTGTCAGACCTCGACGGATGCTCGACAGGAAGAGACGCCAAATGGGTAGCGGCATACGGTTGTAGCGGCGACATCGACTTCAAGTGCGCACAGCTCCATCGAGCAAGAGTTCTCTTTGCCCGTACCCGCATCGCATTCAGTCTCTCGTCACCCCGTCACGCTAGTCTCAGCGAGTTCTTACACGCCTACCCATCCCTCCTTCGCACCTTGGCCTATCTCCGGATACTCGCCTCCCCTCTTTCTATCCTCCTTCCATTCCTTCGTACCTCGCAGGGCTCCTACGTCGGCATCCATTCCACTGGATTCCGTGACTTCCTTCTCAAGCCTGAGCTGCTCCGAGCCATCTCGGACCTTGGTTTCGAGCACCCTTCGGAGGGTGAGTCTGCGCGGCTTCCTTTACCTCAAGTCAGCTGCTGAGCGCTCACGCTTCTCGTCTCTTTGCCACTCTACGCGTGCGTCCGCAGTCCAACAGGAATGCATTCCCCAATCCATCCTTGGAATGGACGTCGTCTGCCAGGCCAAGTCCGGTATGGGTAAGACGGCCGTCTTCGTTCTGGCCACTCTCCAGCAGATCGAGCCCGTCGACGGCGAGACATCGGTCATCATCTTGTGCCACACTCGCGAGCTGGCCTTCCAAATCCGTAACGAGTACGCCCGCTTCTCCAAGTACATGCCCGAAGTCCGCACTTCGGTCTTCTACGGTGGCACACCCGTCGCGCAGGACCAGGCCATCCTCAAAGACAAGACCAAGTGCCCGCACATCGTCGTCGGCACCCCGGGACGAATGAATGCTCTCGTCCGTGACAAGGCCCTCAAGACGAGCGGTGTTAAGCACTTTGTCCTCGACGAGTGTGACAAGATGCTCGAGCAAATCGATATGCGACGTGATGTGCAGGAGATCTTCCGTACTACGCCTCACCACAAGCAAGTCATGATGTTCTCGGCCACGCTTTCCAAGGAGGTCCGTCCCACTTGCAAGAAGTTCATGAGCAACGTGAGCAGCGGCGGGCCCGCAGCACGTCAAGTCAGCCGGTCAAAGACTAACCAATGCCTTTCTCCTCGCACGCCTCGCAGCCCCTTGAGATCTACGTTGACGACGAGACGAAACTCACCCTTCACGGGTTGCAGCAACACTTCGTCCGCCTGACCGAAACGGAGAAGAATCGCAAGCTCAACGACTTACTCGACAGCCTCGAGTTCAACCAGGTCATCATCTTCGTCAAGTCTGTCGGCCGCGCCAACGAGCTGAACAAGCTCTTGCAGGAATGCAACTTCCCCTCCATCTGCATCCACGGCGGCCTGCCCCAGGAGGAGCGCATCAAGCGCTACACTGCCTTCAAGGCGTTTGAGAAGCGCATTCTCGTCGCCACGGACATCTTTGGACGCGGTATCGACGTGGAGCGTGTCAACGTCTCCATCTCCTACGACTGCCCCGCTGACGCCGACTCGTACCTTCACCGCGCTGGTCGTGCGGGGCGTTTTGGTACCAAGGGTCTTTCAATCATCTTTGTGTCCAGCGATGGGGACGAGGAGGTGCTCAAGAGCATCCAGAGCAGATTCGAGATCGCTGTACCTGAGCTGCCTGAGAGCATCTCTGCCGACTCGTACATGACCACGTAAAGACAAGGCGGATGGCGCAGGCAAGCTTGGGAGACGAGGGTGATACGACAAGGCTCCTCACCCTGCACATCGCCTCGGTGACGATAACATCACCATCAACTCCAACTCCCCCTTTTCTATCTTGTTCGATCTCGAATCCGCAAAATCACAAGAGCAATTACTTTCCTGCACATCCCCTGCTAGCTGAACCTGTGACTCTTCGCCCCTCATCCATCTCCTTCAGCGCTTGCCGCGCATTTCTGCCGACTTCGCCGCCCTGGACATCTTCACCGTACCCCAATCTGGCTGACCGTTCTGCCTCTTCCAGTACGGCTCGTGCCCACTTTGCTCGCACCTCTGCCGTCTCCATCGCAGACATATTGGAGTCCGCTTGGGCATCTGCGTAAGGCCCTTGCACAGGGAAGAGCTTTGGGGAGAGCAGGCGCGACCACGACTGACTGGAAGGCGGGTAGGAGCTACAGCCAGAGGGCGACGAAGCCGACAAAAGCCACCGCCCTGCAAGACAGAGTTGTACGCCGCGACCAGGATGACCTCGTGAGTAGAGTGCTGGCTCGCTCTTGCTTGTTGCGTCGTCTAAAGCGAAGCCCAGGGCTGCTGCGTCCATCATGGCCAGCCGTGCTCCGGCGTCTATCACGTCGTCTGCTGTTACGCTGTTGACGGCCCCTTCCGCTTCGAGGCGTCCGTACAGCTGGCTGAGGACGTCCTTTGCTGCGTGTAGCACTTCTTTAAGGGGCAGGGAGCTTGGCAGCATCTTCGGTGCGAGGCCCTCAAGCAGGGGCCGATACGACTCGGTCCAGAGGTGTAGCAGCTCTCGTGTCGACATGGAAGAGTCGGATGCCGTCGCGACGCTCAGTAGCGTCTTTGCTTGCCTCTGCAGCAACGAGAGCTGACGGAGAAGCTCTGCAGCATCGAGATTCTGGCGGGCTGTGGCGCAAGAAGAGCATCGCAGTGTCGTTGGTCGTGTGAACCCAGAGGAAGGGCGAGCGATCCATCCTTTGCACGCTGGGTATCGAGGACACCAGAGCGCGTCGCGTGGATCTGGTGTAGGGCTGTAACCTCGGCGTGCCCAAGCCTCTGATTTCCTCTTGTCCCCTGCACAGAGCTCGCACACGCAGTCGAAAAAGTAGTCTCTCTGAAGCTTTTGTGTCCTGGCCTCGTACGGATCTGCCACATCGATATACGCCGTCGTGACCTCTTCTCCAGGCTTGATATCCCGAATGGCAACCAGTCGCATTGCCCCCTTACTGGCTCCTACTTTGGGGAAAGAGGAGGATGGGCCCCAGGGGAAGGAGTGGGCAGCATTCGGCCTGCAAGAGTGGTTGGCCATAGCGATAGCAGGCGAAGCGGCTAGGCCAATGGCGCATTGATCACCTGTAGTGAGGAGGAAAGCGTTCGCGTGCGACTGGCAGATTAACTTGACCAACCCTGTCAAGCTTGTTAAGCCCAGCTGGCCCAGTAAAGTGGGTGAAGGGACATCATCATGCCGCAGGCCGAGGCCCATGCCCGCGAAACGGAGTACGCCCTGTGCGAGACGGAGGATGATGGCTTGCTCGCTTGGGTCTTGCATCTTGGTGGACATGTGCGATTCTAGGTCGTCAAAGGAGGCTAGACCTTGTTGCCTTTCGTGGAGCGAGTCAGTCCAGAGAAGACGGGAGAGGAGGCGATTGCGCGTATCGGGTATCACGAAGGGACAGGATGTGCTGCTCGATGATGAAGGGCCAGCACCGTCTCGTCTTATCGAATTCTCTGCCGCAACTCTCCAACCCTGTAGTGCGCGACATTCCTTGTCGTGCACAAATGCCCAATCCAATCTCTGACACTCGGTGGAGCAGTACCGGCTCGTCTGACAGCCTTTGCACCTCTTTAGTCTACTTTTCTCGCCGTCACTTTCAGCAGCTGTTCGGTAGCAATGGGCACACCGCAGATCTAACTCGCTCGTGTCGAGGACGGCTGCGATGGGGTCTAGGGTAAGGAGGGGCGTACCTGCCCGACACACCGTATCCTGGTCGAGGGGAGACCAGATGAGGGAGCGACCTTTGCCGGGAAGAGCCTTGAGTTCAAGAGACGAGTTTGACGTCGCACGCATGCTTGAGGACGACCTCGAGGACATATTCCTCCTTGGGCTAGGCTTGGAACCGCAAAGTACCGTTACCTTGCTAGCATCCCGGCGGTTGCAGTCGTGCTCGAGAAGGAAGAGAAAGGAAAGCGGTGGGGCGCGCACTTTAGATGCGAGGTAAGGCACACGACACACGCAGCACGATGCTGCACGAACAGCCAAGAAGAGGAGGCGACAAGGAGATGCTGTTATTGGTGATTGAGGAAGCAAGCAAACAGCACGACGCAGATACGTGACAAATACTCTTCTCCATTTCTCAAGCTGTCCCTCGCTAGCCTCCGCCACGCCCCTTGCCCCTTGGATTTCTCCTTCGCCCAGCCTGCTTCATAGATGGCGCAGGCAATCTCGACGAAGACGGCGCTGCCAATGCATTTGCCTCGCTATCGCTGCACGAACCTTCGTAGAGCTTGGTGAAAGCAGGGTCGAGCGCATCGTAGTCCGTGGCAGAGTTCGTCGCCGGGTCGAACTGTGCTACCTTGAGCATCCAGTCGAGCCGATGATCATCGGCGTCTAGATCCAAGGCATGGGCGTACTGCTGCCAAACAGACAGTGAAAGGTCAGATGAGCGCCCACGCCCGCAGCATGATGATGAAGGAGTGAAGTGTCCAATCTACTGAGCTCATGAGCTAGAAGATGTTACTGAGAATTGAATGACGGACGCAGAGAGCGTGGAGAGAAAGTAATGAGAGAATGGAAAAGAGTGCGAAATGCCACGTGTACTCACCTCGTCGCCATCAGTGTCCTCCACAGTTGTCATCTTTGCGGCCTTCTCATTGTTGCCCGCGGCTGCAGATGAAGTCGTCGGAGGCTTAGCTGGGCCAAGTGGCTTCTTCTGAGCTGCCGCCTGTTGTTGCTGTTGCGCAGCTGCTGCTGCCTGAAGCTGAGCGAGCTGCGCTGCGACTTGAGGTGGTATTTGGCCTTGTTGTTGTTGCTGTTGCTGCTGTTGCTGAGGCGCTTGGATGGTGACGCTGGTACCCGGCGGTGTGAAGAGGGGCGGCAGGGTAATCGTCGGCTTGGGAACAGGTTTACCCAGGTTGGTAAGAATTTCAACCTGCTTCTTCCTCTCTGAGACAATGCTATAGTAGATCTCCTTGTGCTTCATATGCGTGACCATCTCGCTCGCTGACGGGAAGATGATCTGACCCCATCCCTCCCTGAAAGTGTTTGCCTCGCTGACCACGTCGAGAATCTCTGCCTCGAGCTCCTTTTCTGCCAAGGCGAACCGAGCCGTCGTCTCATCACCAATGCTTCCCTTCTGGAGGAGCACCTGCAAAGCCTGCTTGTCGTCGCGCATCTGCATTATGCGCTTGACATCCGTCATCGCCCTCGCCAGCAAAGCTCCCTTGAGCACATCATCCGACACTTTTTGACCTTGCGCAGCTGCTGCTACCAAGGACTGGTATACATCTCGATCCGGATGGCCTTCAGGGAACCAAGGCTCCGAGGAACCCTTTGCAAGATTCTTGGCTGAGCGTTTGCGATAGACGGACGAGAAGAGGGAGAGGGAGAGGAAGAGGACGCCAATATAGCCAAGTGGTACCCAGATAGAGAGGGCCATTGCAGCAGCGGGCGTGCGGTGATTGGAGGAGGAGGAGGAACGCGGTGGTTGGAACAAGGTGAGGAAGATGAAGGCGGTCTGAGCGGCCCACTGCACCCACTGTCCAAAGCAGCCGGGCCTTCCGTCGAGTCGAAGTCGACGACGTGGATATCGAGGCTGGTCGGACTCTGAACGGAACCGACTCGACTCGACTTGAGACGCAACGGGCCGGCCACGCGAGAAGATGAGATTTAGAGGGGGCAGTGCCGTTCGCACGCTGGCAGACAAAAGCACGCATCAGAAGGGGACACTGGGCGCTCCTCGAGACTTGATGTCAATGAATCAATCAAGTCGCTCAAATTGGCCTGCGTTGAGCTCAGTCCCTGGGATAGGAAGAGGTCTTTGTCACTCTTGTTCTCTGGCGCGCACCACTGAGCGCGATTGTCCGCGTGGTGCCCGCCGCTTGCCTGTCGAGCTGTAGGCGTGTTGCTTGGCTCCGTCGATCGCATCGCGTTGTCGTGTCTGTGAGCTAGCTAGCTAGCTAGCTGCCTGAGGCGCGCCGCCCCGCCCTGCTGCCGTCGTCGACTTGCCCTCTGGAAGCGCTGCTGCTGCCGCCTCCGCCCGCCTGGCTTCAACGTCGTCGTCCGCCTCGACTTGAATTGGCCGCCGCCCGCCCACACGCACGCCAGAGCCAGAGCCACAGACCCATCATCTGCCTCCTCATCTCATCAACCACCGCCCTCGGCCCCTTCCGAAGTAACCCCCTACGCAGACGGCGACGACGACGACCAGTACTTCGTAGTGGGACACCCCAGTCGTCTTTCTGTCAGGACACACGCAATCGCCGTCTCATCGTCCTCGGCCTGGTCTCAGGTCATCCAGCCTCCCCCCCCCCTTTCCCCTCTTCTACTTGTCTAGCGGCTGCAGCGACCCCCACCCAACGTTGATCGCACCGCATCCCATCGACGTCGTACCCTTTCACTCCTCACTCTGGCAGCGCTAGCCTCGAGCTACCCAGAAGCCGCAATGAAGGGTCTCAAGAAGGCAATGGTAAGTGCCATCGTGCCACAGCAGTGCATACACAGGCGCAACCACGCGTCAACTCGACTGACTTTGTTGCTTGCCTTTGCCGCATTTTTCAGAACCTCTCAAGGTCAAAGTCAGCAGCCGACCCCAACGGCAAGGGTACAACTCCAGCACCACCGCCCAAGGGAGGCTCCGTACCTGCCAACTCGGCCTACACGGGCTCATTGAAGGCCTCAAGTACCAGTGCAGGCTCATCTCCGGCATCGTCTAGCACATCTCTCGTCGGTAGCGGTGGTGCTGCCAGTGGTAGCAGTGGACCTGGATCTGGAGCTGGCGCTGGCGTAGCAATGGGATCAAGTGCTGGAGGATCGTCCCGCAGTGGCAGCACGCCGGAGAGAAGAGGAGGCCAATCGCTGGCGGACAAGACTTCACCGGCCCCACCAGTCGTCGTCGTCTCGTCAGAGATGCCGTCGGATCCCATCCCGCACAACCCGACTCATCAGTCTCCATCATCCCCACCTCCTCCACCGAGTGCCAATCTCGCAGCAATGGGCGGCGGGCTGCATGGTCAGCCAGGTGGATCGACAATGGGCCTCCAGACGGCGCCTGGCCTCCAAATGACAGAGTCGGCTGCTATTCCCAAGGCTGGCAGCATCAACAGGCTACGCCAGGGACCCAAGGACACGATTCCCGTCAACGCCAAGACGCCGCCGAGGAAGCAGCGCAGCTCGAGATTTCACGTCACGGAAAAGGTCGAGCTCGACAAGCTACCCAACTTCAACGAGGTCGTCCCCGCCGATCGCCCAGAGCTATTCGTGCGCAAGCTCAGACAATGCGGCGTCATCTTCGACTTCAACGATGCCAGCTCCGACCTCAAGGGAAAGCAAATCAAGGCTCAGACTCTCCACGAGATGCTCGACTACATCACCAGCCAACGAGGCGTCATCACCGAGCAAATATACCCAGAAGTCGTCCAGATGTTCTCGACTAATCTCTTTCGCTCCATCCCACCGCCAGTCAACCCGGCAGGCGACGCCTTTGATCCAGAAGAGGACGAGCCTGTACTGGAGCTGGCTTGGCCTCACTTGCAGATCGTGTACGAGTTCTTCCTCCGCTTCGTCGAGAGTCCAGACTTCAACACCAACATGGCAAAAAAGTACATCGACCAGCACTTTGTGCTGCAGCTCCTCGAGCTTTTCGATAGCGAAGATCCAAGAGAAAGAGATTTTCTCAAGACGACGCTGCACCGCATCTACGGCAAATTTCTCAATCTGCGAGCTTTCATCCGTCGATCGATCAACAATGTCTTCTTCCAATTCATATACGAGACGGAGAGGCATAACGGCATCGCGGAGCTCCTCGAGATTCTCGGATCGATTATCAACGGTTTTGCGCTACCACTCAAGGAAGAGCACAAGACCTTCCTCACTCGCGTCCTCATCCCGCTGCACAAGGTCAAGAGCCTGGCGCTGTATCACCCGCAGCTGGCCTACTGCGTCGTCCAGTTCCTGGAGAAGGACTCGTCGCTGACAGAGGAAGTTCTACTCGGCCTGCTCCGCTACTGGCCCAAGGTCAATTCGCCCAAGGAAGTCATGTTCCTCAACGAGGTCGAAGAAGTCCTAGACGTTATTGAGCCCACCGAGTTCCAGAAGATCGAGGTGCCCCTCTTCCAGCAGATTCAAAAGTGCATCAACTCTCAACACTTCCAGGTAGCAGAGCGCGCCCTGTACTTTTGGAACAACGAGTACATTGTCAATCTCATTGGCGAGAATGTGCAGGTCATCTTGCCCATCGTCTTCTCCGCCCTCTATCAGAACAGCAAGAGCCACTGGAATCGCACCATCCACGGGCTGGTGTACAATGCCCTCAAGCTGTTCATGGAGATCAACCCCGCTCTTTTCGAGGCTTGCACCAATGACTTCAAGCAGCAGAGACAGCTCGAGAGGCAGAAGCTGAGGCAGAGGGACGAGAATTGGAAGAGGCTGCGAGAGACTGCCCTAGCGCAATCAAAGGCAATGGGAGCTCAGCCGCCAAAGACGTTGCTCGAGGACGAAGCTGCCCCGCCGAGGAGCACGGCTGCCATGGATGAGGACGACGACTTTTCGGACAGCGAGTCGGTGGGAGCATTTACCGGTGGGATCAGAGACATGACGACGGGCGGGGCTGCAGGCGGAGGTGAGGGCGATGGAGACGGGGCCAGCTTCCTCGAGACGGGCGACGGTCCTGCGGATCAATCGAATGGCGACCTCTCCACCGCGGGAAGTGCGACGTTCAGCGATGCACAAGCGGCAGGTGAAGAGGGCGGAAAGCAGTTCCCGCAGTCACCGAGCAGCGAGAAGGGCGAGGGTCCGCATGTGAGGAGAAAGTCGTCCATACCGCAAGACCCGACGGTACTCTCGGAGCTGGCATCGCACAAGGGGCAGGGATTAGAGGCTAGCCGCTGAGCGCATCAGGGCACGCCACCGAACGAGCCATCCGAAGCGCTCTTTAGGAGCAAGGACACTATCTCTGCGCTCGATCGACCCACTAGCGCCACGAGCTCGATGCAGCGGCCGTCTCCCTGGGCGCCATCTACGCTGTGTCACTACTTCCTCGAACAGCAAGAGCCTCGACACAAGGAGCCCAGCTGTGGAGCAGGTCTTTCCATTTCCAATCGAGCGGAACATTGTCAGGATCATCGATACAACGAGAGGGACAGGTCTTAATCCACCCGGTGCGCCCTTGGCCGCCACTGATTTCAGCCACCCAAACCACCCCGTCCCATCCAGAGAGAGCCTGTCCCTCTTCTCCGTCCTAGCACCGCCACCACCACCTTCTTCATCTCCTTTGCCACCTCTGTTCCATGTCCTTTGCCACTTCTTCTGTGTGTTCTTACAAGCAAAGCCATTCTTGACATTTGTACAGTTCGTGTTCGCGAAACAACCTGGCTTGCCGAGGTTGCTGTTGGTTGGTTGTGGATGTCAAGGCTGCGCCGTGAGGCATTCAATGACATGCAGCAGGCTAAGAGTGCCATGGTGGGCGACCTGTCGTCCCGCCAGCCCCACTGTCATGCCCGCGGCCATTTCGCCTGTGGGCAATGGTCTGCCTCGTCCTCTCTGCCATCCTCTTGAACATGCCGGGCCCTTTGCTCTTTGCCAAGTCCTTGTACCCTGCTCCCGTGACAAAGTAGCCCCAACCCGAGATGATCGTGGTAGCAGCCGTGGCTACCCAAAGGGCCTTGAGTGGCCATTCAAGGTAATGGGCTGCTCGTGAGGCCCAATCTGACGTGGACGTCGCCTGATCCTTTGGCGACGACGGCTTGTCTACGACTTCTGCATCCTTGTCTCCCTCTTGGCCATGCTGTAACAAGGCAGCGAGGAGCAGTGCGCCTCCAACGGAAAGCAGCTGTAGAAAGGTATTGTACTTGCTGATCTGCGTTGGCTCTACTTGAGCAGAGGGAAGACGCGGATTCCAATAGCGTGACCATGTGACGGGAGCAGGGAGGGTGCGATAGCGGATGACAAAGGCGAGGCCGACGAGACCGACGTCACGGAGGATGATGAGCGAGGCGAGGGAAGCTGACGCGACGAATGAGTAGAGATGGGGAAAGTCAGCATGGAAGGGGATGTCTGGCTCGTCTCGTCTAGCGTTGGTTCACGTAACGTACGCGGTAGGAAACCTCGATACCCCAGTGTGACGACCATGACGGTCATGAGGAGCTTATCAGCCGCCGGATCTGCGATCGACCCGAATACGGTGAATTTGTTCCATTTCCTTGCCAGCCATCCATCGAGCAAGTCTGTCACCGCTGCCGCGAAGAGTAAGCCCACAGCAGCGGCAAGCCTGTCAGTGATGATCAGGTAGCCTAGAAAGGGGGTAGAGGCGATCCTTGAGGCGGTGAGAATGTTGGGAAGGTTGAGGAGCTCTTCGGAGCGCTCCGACGAGGAGCGTGGGGAGAACTCGGAATCGTAAGGCGAGGCGGCAAGGGGACGACGCTCTTGAGGGGCAGGCGGTGGCTCCTTTGGCTTGACAGAGGTGGCCAAGTGCCGTGTTGCCTGGAGTCTTGTCGAGAAGTTGGAGCCTTTCGTGCAAAGCGAAGCAAACGAAGGTGAATGGCATCGAGGGGATGAGATGCCGATGGGCAATGGCGAGAGAAACGCGCGACGTGGCACACAGTGACTTGTCGTTGCAGCCAAGCCCAAATGGCTGATGAGTCCTCTGGCTGGCATTACTGGCCACACGAGCCTCGACATGAGGCCTTTTTAAGTTAGGACAAAGAGGAAGTCGAAGTCAAGGTACGAAGTTGGGTGCTGCGCTCAGGCCATGCTTGCATGCTCACTTCTCCACCGTCGACCGTCCAATCGTCGACTGTCTCGACTGGGCCCGCATCTCTCGACTCTCTGTCCGCCCCTCGTCCGTCAAAATCCGCGGCTCATCTTCGCACTCAGTCTCTTTCTCCCTTCCTTCCAATCCATCACTATCGTGTATGCTCTCTAGAGGCATCGTCAGAGCTACACCACTACCACTTTATAGAGCGCCTCTTCTTCCGTGCCCTCTTCGCTCACCCGTACGCAGCTTCTATACCACCATGGCTACCCCAAAAGAGGTCAAGGTCAGCCTCGACGCTCAGGCGGACAAGGTCCGTAGCCTCAAAGCCGCCTCAGCTCCAAAGGAAGACATCGATCGCGAAGTGGCAGTCCTCATCGACCTCAAGAAAAAGATGGCAGCACTCAATGTGGGCTCCGGTGGCTCATCATCATCACGCGAACCAGTCAAGTTCACTCTGAAAACACCAAAGGGAACCCGCGACTGGGACCCCCTCTCAATGGCACTGCGCAACCACATCTTCAAGGTCATCGAAGCAGTATTCAAGTCTCACGGTGGTGTACCCATCGATACTCCCGTCTTTGAACTCAAGGAAATCCTCTCAGGCAAGTACGGAGAGGACTCGAAGCTCATCTACGATCTACAGGATCAGGGAGGCGAGCTCTGTTCCTTGAGGTACGACTTGACGGTGCCATTTGCTAGATTCGTGGCAATGAACCCTTCAGAGTACGGCAACATCAAGCGTTACCACATCGCAAAGGTCTATCGAAGAGATCAGCCTGCTATGGCAAAGGGACGATTCCGCGAATTCTACCAATGCGTGAGTGAGAGCAAGCCAAGGCGCAGAGCTGTAACTGACCTACGACCCCTTCTCTCTTGCTAGGACTTTGACATCTCCGGAACCTACGACCCCCTGCTCCCCGACGCCGAAGTTCTTTCCATTGTCACAAAGACGCTCTGCGCTCTGGGCATCCGCAATTTTACCGTCAAACTCAACCACCGAGCCCTCCTCGATGGCCTCTTCGCCGTCTGTGGTGTACCAGAGGACAAGATTCGCTCCATCTCATCAGCAGTCGACAAGTTGGACAAGAGTCCCTGGGCTGAAGTCAAGAAGGAAATGCTCGAGAAGGGTTTAAACGAGGAGAGCGCGGACGCCATTGGAACTTATGTGTCGAGGAAAGGGTCCAAGGAGTTGCTTGAACAGCTGCTCCAAGATGAGAAGCTCATGGGCAATGCGAGTGCCAAGAAGGGACTCGAGGACCTCAAGATTTTGTTCGAATATCTCGACGTCCTCGAGGTGACGCCGCGCATCTCCTTCGACCTTTCCCTCGCTCGTGGGCTCGACTACTACACGGGCATCATCTACGAGGCCATCACAGAGGGGAGTGCGCCACCTCTGGCGGAGGCTGCCTCAGCCGCAGCTGCTGCGAGCAAGAAGACCAAGGCAAAAGGAGCAGACGACGATGACGCCTCGGCTACGGTGGGCGTCGGGTCCATCGCCGGTGGCGGGCGCTACGACGGTCTGGTGGGCATGTTCAGCGGGGCAGACTCGTCCAAGTCGGGCGCCGGTCAGGTGCCCTGCGTGGGCGTCTCCATCGGCATCGAGCGCGTCTTCTCCATCATGATGGCGCGGTTAGCCAAGGTACGTGCAGCCGCCGAGAAAGAACAAGCAGCATCGTCACAGAGCGACTCCGCCGTCCGCGCAAAGGAGACGGAGTGCTTCATCCTCTCGATGGGCAAGGAGGGTATGGTCAAGGAGCGTCTTGTAGTCGCAGAGCTCCTTCGCAAGCATGGCATTGCGGCAGAGTATGCGTACAAGGTCAAGCCCAAGATGCCTGCCCAATTCAACGCCGCAGCAAAGGACGGGGTGCCATTCGTTGTCATCTTGGCCCCAGATGAGTGGAACGATGCAGAAGGGCGCAAGGTGAGGGTCAAGGAGCAGAGGGGTAAGGGCAGCGAAGAGGGAGACGGCAAGGGGCATCTGGTGCCGCTCGAGGGGCTGGTAGACTGGCTGAGAGAAAGGGTCGAGGCGGGGAGATTGGGAAGCGAGGAGATCCTGAGGAGAGTCATGGGTGTTGAGGAGTAGGAGAGGGAGGAAAGATCGTCTGGTTGCTATCGTCCTCTTCCAATCTGATGCGACCATAGCCTATCGAAGACAGGCGATGGCGCTGTGAGGTCAATCGTAAAACGAAGTCTCTATTGTCACACACACTGCACTCGCCTAGCCTCCGATTTGCGCCGGCCTTGCGATCGCCCCGACTCCTCACCTTACTCGCCCTCGACCGCACCGCGCCGCCTTTCCCTCTGCGCCTGCCTCACCAAAATGCAGTATCTGTGACCTTCGAGCTCTTGCAGACGAGCAGCCCGCCCGAAAGTACACCATCCACCGTAGTTGCTGTTGCCGCAGTCGAAGTCGCTTCATGTCCCTCTCCCGCCTGCTTCGCGCCCAATCCCGCTCTCGCACCGGCGCTCGGGTCCGCCGTGAACTCTCCCACCGTGATCAACAAAAAGCCCGCAGCCTTGATCGTCTGGACCAGCTCGGGCACAGAATTGAGCAACGCGGCATCGATTGCCAGGCCGAGCAGATTGTTGTCTTTGGCGAAACGCACTGCCTCGCAAAGACTACTTCGTCGCGGGTCGGGTTCCTTGCGCTGTCGAGGGGCCAGAATGGGCGCCGGTGTGCTCGTAGACGATGAAGCTTGAGGAGGCGGAGTCGGCGTCCCACTCACTGAGGTCGCGCCCGTCTCTAATCCACAATCTGATTCAAAGAAGACTGCGTAATTGGGCTGCTTCCAATTCAGCGCAGTGCATACTGTAGGGCTGCGCGATGTAAAGAGGATCTTGCGGCTTTGTTGCCTGTTCGACGTGCTCGCCCGGTACACCGCGTGGAGGACCGCATCGACGAACGAGTTGACTTCGCTCTTCGGCAGAGAGGGATTGTTGCGCACGTCTGCTGATGAGGGGTAGAGAACGTCCACGTCTATCCCGACCTCGACGGGGAGCAGGGCGAGCAGAGAGTCCAAGGTCGACATCCGCGTGGTAGTGCTGCCTCCTGGTCCGCTCAGCTCGGCCGTCCAGTCCTGTAGCGTCATGCTGGCGGCACGATCCCGGCTCACGTCGATGAGGCGGCTGGACGCCTTGGCGAAGGAGATGAACTCATCGCTTGTTACTGAGCCAACGTAGACATCAAAGTCGGGCAGGGGGAGGCGGTACGAGGGGTAGACGACGGCTACTCCATCCTTTGTCACTTGCACTGTGATGCGGAGGTACTCGCCTGTGAGCGACGAGGCGGTCACAACAGATGCGGAGCCTGCGGAGGGAACGAGGGCGGAGGTGTTGCCCAGGGAGCCGCCTACGGATGAGACAGAGGCCGTGGTCGAGGCAACTCCTGACGGGGCCGACGAGTGTGCGGCTTCCAAGGACGAAGACGAGCCTGCTGCTGCCGCTGTAGACGGCGGCGCGATGCCAGTCGTTGCCGTTGGTGAGATCAAACTGCTCGGCTCTCCACCTGCCCCAGTCGGCGTCATTCTCAGCCCTCCGGACGTCGCTATAGACCCCGGCAGCAGACTCTTCCAATATGTCTCCACTCTTCCTCCTATCTCAAGCTGCACCCCGTCGAACGGCTTGACAAAGTCGATTTCAAAGGAGACCTCGCCGACGACTTTGAGGTAGGCGTCCTGCAGTGGAAGCACGAAGCGCTTGCGATCCGTCATGCCCTCAAAGGAGGACTGAAGCGCAACGGCCTTACCAATGACCTTTGATCCAAACGTCGGCTTGAGCTCCCACTCAATAGAGAGGCGCTCTACCGCTTCTACTTGAAAGGAAAAGACCTCGCGCTCGTCGGCGAGGGGCAGAACAATGTTGTGGGGAATGTACGATGTTGACGAGGCGTCCGGGCGCGATGTCATGACGAGCTTAACGGATGAGGTGGAGAATTGGTCGAGGCCGAGCGAGTCGTGGTGTTTGTAGAGCTTGACGGATGAGTTGGACAGGGAGATGGTGACGAGAGATCGCTTGTCCAGGTAGTTGTGGCCGTACGTGCGGAAGGGGATGATGGGGGGCGGTAGCGAAAGCGAGGGGATGCCATCCGCTTCGAGATCGAGCTCAAGGTCCAAGTCATCACCCGCTGTGCCCTTTGGCTCCTCCGGCCGACTCTTTTTGCGCGGCCGATTGCCTGATGCGATGAGAGTCTTTGAGGCGTCTTCTGCGCTTGTCATTGTTACATCGCGCGTCTCTGCGGGACGTGTCTTTGCGGCCTGGAGCAGGATCAACAGGCAATCGATGTGGCCCTTCCACGCCGCATAGAAGGTAGCGTTGCGACCCTTTTCATCGACTGCCTCGAGCTTGCACTTGGAGTCGAGAAGGACTTGTATGCAGTCGACGTGACCGCTCTCTGCCGCGAAGAAGAGCGGCGTCCAAAGCGTCCCCTTCTCTGGCGCGTCAGGATTGGCTTTCGCTTGCATCAAGAGGCGTAGGCAATCCGTGTGGCCTTCGCGAGCTGCAAGTGCTTGAGGTGTGAGTCCTTCAGGATTCGACGTGATGAGCGCCCCTCTCTCTAACAGCATGGCAGTGATGTCTGCATGGCCGCCTTGCGCTGCGAGACAGAGCGGGATGAGGTCGGTAGGTACCTTCGCATCAACGCTTACGCCATGGGCAAGCAGGATGCGCACAACATCGGAGCGTCCATTGATGACGGCAAGGACGAGGGGAGAGAAGCCGTCTAGGTCGGCCGTAGCCGCGTCGACACCTTGCTGTGTGAGGAGAAGCGTGCAGACGTCGGCGTGGCCATTCATGGCTGCGTATGAGATGGCCGCTCGTCCGTAGATGTCCCTCTGCCCAGCATCGATGCCATGCTCCAGCGCTGCAGTGACGAGCTGCAAATTGCCAGCCAATGCTGCCTCGTGAAGGCAAGACCGTGAATTGATGTCGTCGACGAAGGTAAAGTCAGGCAGGCTAGCCTTCATGGCAGCCTCGATGGCCGATTGCGGGGAATGAAGCAGAGCTCGCCAGACTATTCTCGAGACGCTAGCCTGGTCCTCGTTTTGCTGAGCGATACGGATCATGTCGGCGGCAGCCTCTGTTCTGGCCTGCTTAAGGGCCAAGCTAAGGTTGTCCTCGAGGTCGGCGAGGAGATCGACGTCTTGACTCCGAGCGGCTGCGAAGTCGAGTCGCTTTTCTGGACTGAGGGCAGATGCCCCATCTGCGGTCACCGAGACGTTGCCATTGATGCCCGCACTCGCTCGCTGCTCAGACAGATTCTCGAGCTCGAGGAGGTTGGCAGCGGCGATATCACTAAGTTCAGCGATGAATTCGCGATTGAAGCAGGGCTGCACCTCGACCTGACGAGCGAGATAGAGCTCTTTAGTCTGCGATTTTGATCGCTTGTCCCACTTTTTCAAGATCTTGCGGAAGCCCGTGGCGTTGATTTCGATGAATTGCTGCAGCTTGCTGAGGTCCTTTTCAAAGTAGCGGAACCCTTCGTAGAGGGCGTAGAAGGCTGGCGACTCTTTCGAGAGCTTGCCTGAGCCACGTTTGGCCAGAAGTAGCTTGCGCTTGTCTACAAGCGTCTTGAGCCTGACTTTGAGTTCAGCCTCCTTTTGTAGGTAGAAGGCATTGATCTTCTCAAGCTCTCGCTCCAGCTTGAAGAAGAAGGCTGCCTTGTGAGCTTGGAGCTCGTCGGGGGCGTCGGTCCTAGGTAGAATTTGGGTATTTGCAGGATCCTCGACGCCGTCCTGGGGGATGTACTCTGGCCTCACGCCAGTTGCAAAGAGGGCTGCATCACCTAGCCTGCCCTTCTCGAGTGAGTTGATGATCTTCTTGAGAAACTTGTAGTCGAGGTAGGCTGCACTCCAGCCAGGGATCTGGTTGCTTTGAAGCTGCTTGCCAAACTTCATGGCGACGAACAAGTAAAGGGCGGGGTATCAAGGATGGTCGGTTGTCTCTGCAGTGACTGAGACTCGATCAAAGCATGTGAAGCGCAGTCCGAGCGAGACGTCCTCAAGAGGGCGAGATGGGCAGCGATGAACCCCCTGCCACTCTTTGCGCTGGCTCTGCGTGGTGTTTGTGTGGCTAAGACGACGTCTACGATGGGGCTGGCTGAAGAGGGTACAATGGCGAGGCAAAGAGAAGAAGGGAGTAATCTTGGAGTGCGAGACCGAACTTGGATGAGCGCACAGAGCGGCCAATGCACGTTGCCCTGGATTGAGCCTGCAGCTGCTGCGTGTGCGAGCGTCTTGTGCGACTCTGGCGAGAGCCCCGTCCACTCACCCCGCCCACTCACTCACCCCGCCCCGCCCGCTCACCCGGGCCACGAAGCTCAGTCCGTCATCGTTGGGATTTGGGCGTGGCGCCGACCCGATAATGGAACAGGCGGCGGAGTGGACGACGGCAACAGCGACACGACGAGACGGACGACGAGTTGACGGTTGGGTGGGTGAGTGATCGAAACAAGACTGGCTGTGCGCGGACGGACGAGAGGCAACAGCACCCTGAACATCGAGACATCGTTGTCATCCTCGACGCCCCCTCCCAATCCCATCTGCCATCAACACTACCACTTGATCAAAGCGCTCCTCCTCCTTGCCAGCCGGATACCGGATCGAGCGTCAAGCAAAGCAAAGCCACGCCACGGCACGCCACGCCTCGCCACGCCTCGCCTCGCCACTTCGCCTGCGATCCATTGCGACGTGGCTACTGAAGCTACTCGGCAGCAACTGATTTCCAATTCTACGCGCCCCTCTCGTTGATAACATGGATGTGAGTATGTGCTCTGTGTGCGTCAGCCAGGAATCAAAGTTTGTGTTGCTCACTCATCGCCTTTTCCTCTGCGCACAGGCGATACTCGACTTCAGTCAGGACCTCGACTTGGGGCTTCTGGACCGAGTCGTCGCAGCCATGTTCACGGGAGCAGGTAACGACGTGCGTAGGAGAGCGTAGCGTCAAGGTTCGTCGTCATCAGAAGCTGACAGCCTTTTGCCGCCCGCAGCAAAAGATGGCGCAGCAGGTGCTGGCTCAGTTCCAGGAGCATCCAGATGCCTGGCAACGAGTTCCCGCCATCCTGCAGCAGTCATCCAACCCTCAGACAAAGTACATTGCCCTGCAGATCCTAGACAAGCTCATTCAAACGAGGTGGAAGGTCCTGCCAGAGGAGCAGCAGCAGGGCATCCGCAACTTCATCGTCGACATGATCCTCAAGACGTCGTCCGAGGAGGCGGCGCTGAGGAGAGAGAGGACCTACCTCAACAAGCTCAACACGACCTTGATACAGATTCTCAAGCAAGAGTGGCCTCACAAGTGGCCCACCTTCATCTCGGAGGTCGTCTCGTCGAGTAGGACGTCTTTGTCCATCTGCGAGAACAACATGGTCATCTTGCGTCTGCTGTCAGAAGAGATCTTTGACTATTCGGCGGAGCAGATGACCCACGCTAAGACCAAGAACCTCAAGGTGCGTACAGCGTGGCGACGGAGGAGGAGGAGGAAAGCATACGATTTGCGCTTGCCGCCGACAACACCATCATGCTGACTCCTTGACCATCGCATCGCTTGCAGAATCAAATGTGCGGCGAGTTCGCAGAGGTCTTCCAGCTCTGCTCAGAAGTCCTCGAAAAGGCACAGAAGCCCAGCCTCATTCGCGCTACCCTCGAGACGATGCTGCGCTTCCTCAATTGGATCCCACTAGGCTACATCTTCGAGACTCCCGTTATCGACCACCTCATCAATCGTTTCCTCGAGGTGCCAGATTTCCGCAACGTCACTCTCAAATGCCTCTCCGAAATCGCCAACCTCAGTGTAGGGGCCGAATACGACTCCAAGTTTGTCGTCCTGTTCAACATGGTCATGACATCCATCAACAGGATGATTCCTCCAAGCACCAACTTCGCAGGCGCGTACGAGACGTCGTCGGACGCAGACCAGGAGCTCGTCCTCAACCTGGCTCTTTTCCTCTGCAACTTCCTCAACCAGCATCTGCCCCTTGTCGAGAATGAACAGAACAAGGAGGTGCTTCTCAACGCCCACCTCTACCTCATCAAGGTCTCTCAGGTCCCAGAGCGCGAAGTCTTCAAGATTTGCCTCGAGTACTGGTCCAAGCTCGTCACTGGCCTCTACGAGGAGGTCCAGTCGATACCCATGGCGGGCATGGATCCATTACTCGGGCTCAGTCTAGGCAACGGACACGCTCCTCAACACTTGCGCAAGAACATCTACGCCGAGATTTTGAGCAACCTGCGCTTGGTCATGATCGAGAGGATGGTCAAGCCGGAGGAGGTCCTCATCGTCGAGAATGACGAGGGAGAAATTGTTCGCGAGTTCATGAAGGAGAGCGACACGATTGTCCTCTACAAGAGCATGCGCGAGGTCTTGGTTTACTTGACGCACCTGGACGTCAATGATACCGAGACGATTATGACGGACAAGCTGTCGCGGCAGGTCGATGGCTCGGAGTGGTCGTGGAACAACCTGAATACGCTGTGTTGGGCAATTGGGTCGATTTCCGGGGCGATGAGCGAGGAGACTGAGAAGAGGTGAGTCGGAGAAGCAGGCCAGAATCGGCTCCAGTTGTTGACACGCTCCTCTCTCGCGCGCAGATTCTTGGTCACAGTCATCAAGGACTTGCTCGGCCTGTGCGAGATGAAGCGAGGCAAGGACAACAAAGCCGTCGTCGCTTCCAACATCATGTACATCGTCGGCCAATACCCACGCTTTCTCAAGGCGCATTGGAAGTTCCTCAAAACCGTCGTCAACAAGAACTTCGAGTTCATGCACGAGACGCACGAAGGAGTCCAGGACATGGCGTGTGATACGTTCATCAAGATTGCTCAGAAGTGTCGTCGCCACTTCGTGATGCAGCAATCGGGCGAGCAGGAGCCCTTTATCGATGAGATCCTGCGCACCCTCCATCGCATCACCGTCGATCTCTCACCGCAGCAGGTTCACACCTTCTACGAGGCCGTCGGCTACATGATCGCCGCCCAGCCGAACAAGGCGGTGCAGGAGCGCTTGATCGCCAAGTTGATGGAGCTGCCCAACAGCGCGTGGGACTCGCTCATGCAGCAAGCCCACTCCAACGTCGACGTGCTGGGCAACCCGGAAAATATCAAGATCCTCGCTAACGTCCTCAAGACGAATGTGTCGGCGTGCACGTCGGTGGGATCCTTTTTCATGCCGCAGATTGCGCGCATCTACCTCGACATGCTTGCGCTCTACCGCACCGTGAGCGGGTTGATCAGCTCGAAGGTCGAGGCAGAGGGCGAGATTGCGACGAAGACAGTATTGGTGCGTGGGCTGAGGACCATCAAGAAGGACATTCTCCGGCTCGTTGAGACCTACGTCAAGCGCGCGGAGGATTTGGAGTCGGTCAATCGCGAGCTTGTCCCTTCGCTCCTCGAGGCTATCCTCGGCGACTATGCACGCAACGTTCCGGCGGCGAGGGACGCGGAGGTGCTCAATGTCGTCGCCACGATCACTACGCGTCTTGGTCGCCTTCTCACGGACAAGGTCGCCCCCATCCTCGACGCCGTCTTTACGCCCACGCTCGACATGATTAAGATGGATCATCTCAACTTCCCCGAGCACCGCGTCGCATTTTACAAGATGCTGCGCGCCATCAACGCCAACTGCTTCCCTGCGCTCTTGGAGCTCCCGCCTACGCAGTTCAAGCTGTACGTCGATGCGGTCATGTGGGCCATCAAGCACACGATGACGAGCGTCTCCGACACTGGGCTAGCGATCCTCTTGGAGCTGGTCAACAACTTGGGTATGCAGGACTCCAACGTGCTCAACTCGTTTGCACAAGCGTACCTGCTAAGCATTGTGCAGGACCTCCTCGCGACGATCACCGACGCTGACCACAAGTCGGGCTTCAAGACGCAGTCGGCGTTGCTCGCTAAGCTGTTTGAGCTCGTCGAGGCAGGCAAGGTGACCGCACCCCTCTGGGACGCCAACGAGACGACGGACGCAGGCATGAACAATCCGCTCTTCATTCGTCAGCACGTCTCCGGCCTGCTGAAGAATGCCTTCCCCAACGTGACGACTGGGTACGTAGAGTCTTTCACCAACGGTCTCTGCCAGCAGTCCTCAGACCTCAATGCCTACAAGATTCTTCTGCGCGACTTCCTCATCACCAGTCGCGAGGAGGACGGTGGCAATCAGGGCGCCGCAGCCAGTGCGGGTGAACAGGCAGAACAAAACCAGGACCTCTTCCAGGACGAGCGCGAGGCTGAGCAGGCAAGGAAGAGGGAAGAGGAACTGCAGAGGGCCAAGGCTGTGCCCGGCTTGATGAAGCCCAGTGAGATCGACGAGGAGCTTTGACTGGAGCGTGGCGGCGGTCGGAGATTGAGGGTGGTTGAAGAGGAGGAGGAGGAGATGTGGAAAGAGCTACTGGGAGGATGAGGAAGGCGGGCGTGATTTGCGAGCACGCACTCTTGGTTATCTCCTCCAATCTTGTCTTAGCGCTCAAAAGCAAGCCGTGTGTAATGAAATGTCCGGCTGCTCTCTCGAGGCAATGCCTATTTCTAGCCCCTAACTCTGGCATACTAAGTCTGGCACACGAGGACGTCAGGACCCCTGATTGCCCTCTCTCTGGCCCGCTTACGCGTCATCGATGGACTCGCGTCGACGCTTGCGAGGCTCGCTCGAAGACGTCGCCCACGTCTGCTGCTCCTCATACCAAGCCAGCTCCTTCTCAAGCGCGCCGTACTGCTTCTGGAGCTTCTCCTTCTTCTGCCCGTCTGAGTCTCGAAGGACGTCCATCTTGCCGCGAATCTCGGCCATGGCGCGGTGCAGCCTGCCGACGTGCGCGACGCATAGGTCGGCGAAGTGAGGGCGGGCGGCTGGAGGTGGGGGAAGAGAACAAGACGACGAGGCTGCAAGTGAGAAGATGCGAAGAGGGAAAGATGTTCAGGGCCAGCGGAGGGAGTGAGAATGCCGAAAGCTGTGTGTATGCGGCTCACCTTGATCGCGAGAAGCTGCTGAGTCGTAAGCTGTCCAGCTTGAGGTGACTGTAGTCCTATTGGGGATGTCTGGCGACAGGTGCAGGTTGCTGAAGTGGTTGGTGACTAGGTGCTGCTGCTGCTGCTGAGCATCGCCGTCCTTTGCCAAGGGGAAAGTAGGCTCCTCAGCTTGACTGCGTGCTGCTTTGCTGATGGTGTATGACTGCTGTCGTCTGTGATCCATGTCCTGGCTTTGAGGGGCGTCACGCCAGGCACTGCACTCGAGGTTTGTCAATGGAGCCATAGTTGGGTCTGACAATAGTGGCGATAGAACAAGAGTCAGCGCACAGAACCTGACTGACGTCGCCAGCATCCCTCACCTTGAGTCGGGCTGACCATCCTCGGGAGCAAGCCTCTGGCCCGCTTCTGAAACCGGTGGTAGACAGGAGCGGGGCAGGGGTGGCGAGTAAGCAGTGCTTGTGATGCGCGGTCCAGCTATCGTGTAGAGAGAAAGAGGGGGAGAGGGAGGGGAACAGAAAGGGAGAGAGATGGGCATAGCCAGGCAAGGCACAACGAATCAAGTGCTGCCACCCACCGCACCGACGTCGGCGGACCTCGCTCTTCAGGAACCAATTTGACGGGTGACTGAGTCGCGGTCGGCGAGATGACTTTGGCTCCTTCGAGCAAGCGTCACGAGACTCAGCGTCATTCAACGCAGCAAACGATCAGGCCAAGCCTCTTCGGGTTCTAGTATCACGGAGCGCAGCAACGCCACGGCTAGCTCAGTACCATCCATGCTGGACGCAAGTCGTATGTAGCAGACGCAGACCCCGGCCGCTCTTGCCCGTCGTCGCCCCTGGCCGAGCACGTCCAGCCACCCCGCCCTGTACGACTCTCACACCGCCTCAACACTCCTCAACCTGCCCAGAGCATCCATCGGCCTGCGAGAGACGTCGTGAACAAACGCCACGCACAGGAGTCTCGAATAAATCTACGAAGGCGCGTATCGCTGGAGATACAACAATGCACAGGTCTGTGTCTCTCTGTGCGATCGAATCAGTTCAATACCGCAGCGAAATGCTTCTGCAAGATCGAAGAACCTAGCTTGCTCCTCGTCAATCTGCCTGCAGATCTCTGAGCCACTATCGCCGCCGCTGGGCTCGGCTCCCTCGTATGTTCTCCCTTCCCTCGACTCTCGTACTCGTACAAAGAGACTCAAGCCGCTGCGCACCGAGGTCGACGACTCTGAGCATAGCATTGTATCCTCAGCCACGTTCATTGCACCATTACGCCACAACCCCTCCCTCACTACAGCCGCTAGCAACTTTGCATCAATGCTCAGCAGGTACAAATCGGCAAAGCGCAGCGCTTCTCGGTCATCCTTGCGAGGACGAGGTGAGAGCAGCTAGCATGACCGACCCCGCCGCATCTTGAGCTCTGGCCACTGCAGTGCACCTCTTCAGCCTTCTCGGCGCAACTACGACATGCATCAGAGAGCTCACTTCGCAGTCACTACCACCGCTACGTGAGCCAGGCTCGCAGCACCGCACCGTAAGCCACCACCACAGTGCACCAGCTCCGCTTCTTCTCAGCACGCCGCATCACTTCCGCAGCAGAGCTCAACAGAAAGCTCAGCACATAGCGCAAAGCGCAAAGCATGCCTTCGCATGGAACTGCACTCGCGTAGCACGAAAATTGGTACAGCTGCGGAGGATGATGCACTGCAGCCAAGGATAGCAGCTGAGGACAACAGCAGAGCACCTCAGAACACGTCCAGCTCGTGCTGTCCACCGCAGGGCGCTCTTGAACAATCACCGCCGTAGTGCGCTCATCACCGACTGAACCAGGCGCTGCGCAGCGCTTGCAGGAGATGAAGCGGGCGCTCACTCCGGCTGCCATACGCGGCGGTTGATTTCGCATCATACTCTCGTTGCTGATGTTATCAGCCGTGCTGCTGTGCCTGTACGACCGCGGCGTGCCAGCCAACATCGCGGGCAATCCCTAAAGCAATCGTCTGGGATTCATGCGTGAGCATCCTGTGTTTTGTTCAGACTGATGGCACACGACCTGATGCGATTACGTCCAAGACCCTGGCGGTCTTCACCGCTGCGCCTGAGCTTGTCCAAGGCCGCTGAGCGGCGCGCGCCGGTAAGTCAGCGAGGTCCATTCACGGCACAAGCACGACACGAGACTGACTACAGCACGGGACGAAGAGCACTGGTCATCTTGCACATCGTCTGCGAGCCGTGCTCAAAAATCCGATCGGAAAGCTATAAACATGTTGCCGCCATCGGAGTGCACACTGCTTTTGCTGATGCGACGACGAAAGGCAATGACTTCGAAAGATGCTTTGCGCGATTTATTGGGATGACTGCTCGCATGATCTGATCCTTTGACGGGTTCAGCTGAGCGCGGATCGTTGCGCCAATCCACGCTCAACTTTCTCTGCTTCTTCCGTTTTACCTTCCATGATACTGCCGTGCGCGCCTTCGTGCACACTGCCGCTCCTTCATGTCGGACGAGATTTGGTTTGTGACCAAGTCGATGGAGATTTACACCTTTGCGTAGTCCGGTGCGCCGTGCTGCGGTCTTGTTTCTACGCTCGCGGCGATGTCCGATGTCGTGGTCGTGTCCTGCCCCGTTGGCTCTGCCTTCTCAGCCGGAAATTCCCACGCTCGAATGTCTCATCTTCAACATGACGTGTCGCTGCTGAAGACCTTGAGCGGGCAGGCAAAATCACCTCCGTGCGCTGACAGCGGTACGAGGGTGATGACGGCTTGGCCGTCGGTCGAGTTCCGGCCTGAAGAGAGGAGTACCCGAGGCACACAGCGCCGATCACAACGTCAACCGTAATCCCCACCTTCCATCCTGCAACACCTCGCACTGGTCTCACAGCAGGCAGGCTGCTCGCTGTGCCAGGTTCTGCTGCGACTTGATCCGCAGCTCTGTGTTGAGGACCAGAAGGCTGCGCTGCGATACGTTTGATCATCTCTACGCTCTCATCGGTGATGCTCAGGCTCCCTACGGGTTGGATTGCTGCGGTTTTCGTTCTATCAGCGCGTCTGGCTTGGTTTGGACCATCCTATGCGCCAGCGTCCATTGCTCCACTAGGTAGAACTCTATCTATGCATCCGTCACCGTCGGCTGTCCCCCAAATTCGAAGCTGCGCGGTCGCGCTCCTCATACTTCGATCTTGTCCTCCTTTTCGATGCTTGATCCGCCTTGCCGCTGACTCTGCCCGGCGATTTTACTTTGTGGACCTTCCCCAGATTCCGGCAATACGAGGCGTGATCTCGCCGACCAAAAGGTCGCCTGCCAGTCTTCCGCCGGCTTGTGCTCATCACCCCCGCCGCTCATTGCGGTCAGCTTCACGCTTGACGCAAGCTCTCGTCGCCTCCCTCTCGTCAGGGCGCAGACGACATCTCCTACCCAAAGCCTGAGCGCTGTCCCGGAGTGAGAGGGACGTTGCGTGCCGCAGGCAGAGTGACATCTTGTCGGCGCGCGAGCTTGATGAAGGCTGCCCTGTTGCCGCTCTTTCTGTAGCTCCTGCTGTCGCCGCGGTTGCTGCTGTTGCCGTTTGAGTTCGGGATCAGGGTCGCCACACCTTCATCCGAAAAGGACTGCGGAGGTCCAAAACGTCGCACGCCCAAGGGCAATCGAGCGTCCGTTGTTCTGAAAGCAGATATGTTCCCCGAATCGCTTGCCGGGTGTAGGCTTGACAGCACGAGGACCAGAGAAGCGGATGATCTCGCACAGCTGTCCCACTCGCCGGCGCTACATCCACTGGTTTCGAGACGAGCATTTTGGCGAAAACGACGAGGCGTGTTATACGAAAGGCGAGCTGCTGAGCATTCCACACCGTCGCTCTCCGCTTGCGATGCAGCAGCGCCCGTTGAGGCCATTCGGCGCGCCAGTCTGGCTGCCACCGACGTGATCAGCTACGATTCGTATCGCTTGCATTACGCCTAGCCTATGACTGGCTCTACTTCAGATAGAGAGCGCCATTCAGCAACTCAGGAGACGTCTTCATAGCCCTCGCGCTTCATCATGCCCGGCACAGATCACGTTCTCCACCGCCACGTCACAAGGAGCTAGAGGGCGGCACTCCGCGCTTGAGTGACTCAGATCTGGGCAGGCGTGCCGTGCAACCTTTGGCAAATGGCTCACAGTGAGGGCTAGGCTGAGGAGGTAAGCTGGGACATCGCAGGCGAGCAGGTCACCGGTCCTTACAGATCAAGGGCAGCTCTGCGCCGTGGCGGCGTCTACAAATTAATTGTCGAAGTAGAGATGGGGCGTGAAAAAGAGTACCGGCACGACGAAGAGAGAGGAGAAAGTACAGTCGGAGGTTGGGGGTGCTGGGAAAGTCGAAGATGAGGAGGCGATGCAATGGAGCGCCAAGGAATGAAAACTGCACGATGGGATGAGCGCGACTAGTTACCGCCCCCGCTCTTCCCCGCCCTCGAGAAGCGCGACTGCTTCACAAAACCAGAGAGGGGTAGGTTGCCCAGCGCACTCGCCGAGCGTGGTGGTAGGTCCGCCTCTCCGCCTCTGCCTACCGAGCTGAAAGCCCTTGGGCGCTCAAACAGATTCATCGACTTGCGTGGGCGAGATGGGCCAGGCGTCGTAGCGCCACCCCCACGCTGCTCGTCATCGTAGTCGTCGAATCCGCTATTGAGGGCGTTGGCGCTTGCACGACTGCGCAGCGATTGCGTTTCAAAGGGAGCGGAAAAGGCGCGCAGACCGCCGCCGCCGCCGCCGCCGCCGGGACTGGCTAGATGCTCTTGAGGTTCGGCGTAGGGATGTTGCGGTTGGGCAAGGGGCCAAGCTTGGGCCTCTTCGTTGGCACGGCTGCCACCGTCGACAGGCTGCAGAAGCGACGACGACCGATTCTTGTTCTTGCCACTGAATCCAAATGGCAGCCTGAGGAGCTTGCTTTTGCGATTGTCAGCCTTGCTGCTAGCACCCGTGCCCGAGCTGCCGCGGCGGGCGGAAATCGTGGCATCGTGAGACTCGTGCTGCGGTTGCTGGCCCGCAAGCTCCTGTCGCATCTCTGGAGTGAAGCCACCGCTGAAGTTGCGGCTGGGCATACCGACGGACATGGGTTGCATGTACGGCTGCGCGCCCGCGGGAACTGATGAGAAGCGTTGCTGCGGCGGCGGGAAGGCCGAGGAGCGAGACTGAGGGAGAGCGGGCTGCACCGATGGCTGCGACGTCGCTTGCTGGTTGGCGGTGGCCGCCGTGCTGTGACTCGAATTGCTCTCCTGTCTGCGCGGGCTCCTCTGTGGTCGTGACGGGGGCATACTGAGGCTGGGCCTTCCTGCCGCTCCATCACCTTGCGGCATCGGCGGCGAGGAGGACGGCGTCTGCATTAAGCTGCTGCTGTTGCGCAAGGGCAGCGAGTCAAATGGCGGCTTGGATGCTACCGACAAGCGTGACCGCCTCGAGTCAGCGACAGAGGTGCGAGACTCTGGACGTTGCCTGCTTCCGTCTCCAAAGGCTTCAGTGGTCTGCGTTCTCGCGGATCGGACGCTGGCTTGATCGATGCCGCTGCCTCGCGCTTGCTTACGAGCTCGGCCCATACCGTCAAGAGGCTGCGTCTCCGTGCCTGGGCTGGCATCGATCGTCGGGAGCTTGCGTTGCGGCGTAGGTGCAAGACGACTCTGCATGCTTGCCATTGAAGTCGTACGACTGTTGCTCGGTGAGCTGCCATTGACTGGCTGTCTTGGTTGCTGCTGCTGACCGTGCGCAGGAGGTTGCGGTGCTGATCCTCGCATCGACGAGGCGGTTGATGCACCACCGTGATGGGGCATAGCGGGCGAAGGTGGGAACGGGGCGCCGTACGATGACGACGAAGAGGTCCGCATTGGTGGCAAGCCCATGCCCCGATTCTCTTCAGGGACCAGCTTCGACTGCTTTCTCTCCGGCGGTAGCGGCGGCTGGAACGGACCCATATCGAATCTGTCCGGATTGGGCATAGAGGGAGGCTCCGTATACAAGTCGCGCACCTGCTCAACCGAGTCTCGTCCGCCCAGTAGCGACGACGTTGACCTCCTTGCGCGACCCATGAGACCGCCCATCCCCGGAGGCGGCGCAAGCGCAGAGTCTGCAGACATCGATCCCCTCCGAGCTGATTGAACCGGGCTTCCAGATCCGTCGGATCGTTTGTCAGGCTGGAAGACGTTGTTCATGTTGGGGTTGCTGCCGCTGGCCGAGCCCGAAATCTTGGAGAATAAGCCACGCAGGCCTTTCTTCTTCTTACCAGTGGCCGCACCATCTCTGCGTTCGCCAGGGTGGTCTGCCGGGCCAGTTGCGCTGCGCTCGTCCTGCTGGAAGCTTGGGCGCATCGCTGGGCTGGCATCTCCATCGCCTGGGAAGCCAAAGAAGTTGCGGGGTGATGAAGAGCGGGATCGCTCACGGTCGAGATCCATGGGCGAGGGCAGAGGCATGTTTGGAGTCTGGTGGCCCCCAGCACCTATGTTGCTCGAGGCGGGACCGCCGTGACCCACGGCGACGTGCATGTCAAGCATGGAGCCGCTCGGTGCGAGAGAGAGCTGCGATGCAGTGCGATTGCCGAAGCCACGGGGCGTGCTCATCTGTAGAGGCGTAGGCGGGATGAGACCGTCTGGCGTGGAGGGCATGGCTGGGGAAGTGGCCATCGATCCGGGCACGCCGCGAAGATCTGAAGCGCTCGCACCGCGATTCAGTGGAGGCACCCGACTGGACGGCACTGGTCTTCTCGGAGTCATGACGCCGGCACTCGACGATAGACGGTGTTGCTGCGGGTCGTCGATGGTGTGCGGGTCTGTCCTGAGGTTGAGTTGAGGTGGCACGGGGGGCACAGGCATCTGCTTATTGGGATTGTACTTCAGCCCTGCGTCAGAGCTGACGTTCTTTCGACGAGCCTCTCGTGCCGAGGCCACATCGCGCTCCTTGAGCATCCTTTCCTCGGGACCCAAGTCCTCGTCGTTGATGAGCTGAGCACGACCGGCGCCGGGACCACTGAGAAGTGCAGAGGCGCTGCGATTCCGCGAGATGCTCTTACGGTTGGACAAGCCGGCACCCGGCATCCGATCCGATGGAGCCGTGTCGTTTGAGCCGGTGCGAGCCATGGCAATCGTGGCAGCACGCTCCTTGGCCATCTTCGCCTCGACCGGATGAGTACGCTCCCATTCCTCCTGTCTCGCCTGCTGCTCCATCGCAATATACTTTGCTTGGACAGACAAGAAATTCTGCAGCGTCCTCCAGCGATGAGACGACGCTGGCGGATTCATTTGAGTGTGCAGCTTGAGGCGGTCAGCCGACAGTGGATCGTGCTGGCCCACGCGCTTGACGCGGATCTTGGTTCGAGGAGCCCGACCTGATGAGGACGAGGTCGGCTGGCCATGCTGCTGCGAGCTGCTATGTCCTGCAAGGCTGCCTTGATCCTCGCCTGTCGCTGAACTGCCTCTCTCGCGATCTGCTGCGCGCCGCGCATCGTCCTCGGCTTCGGTACGCAGGGCATCGTCAAAGTCGCGATCGCTCTCCCTCTCCCACAAACCAGGCCCAACAACATGAACATCAATCATATCCTCGTCCCTCATCATACATTCAAGGCAGACTTCTGGGTCGTTGACGCTGCGCCGCACTCCATCGGGTCCAATCAATCCCGAAAGCAGACCGTCTGGGCGCTGCTGCAGCTCGAACGGCGGAACCAGACTGCGCTGTGGAATCATACCGGGGTACACGCGACCACCGGCAATACCGGCTCCTCCAGGAGTGGCAGTCGTGGAGGGAGAAGGAAACGAGGGATACGGCCCGTTGCTGCCAAGGGCAAAGTCATTGCCGCCGCCCATGGCCAGATTGATGGCGCCTACGCTGCGTCGCTGGTCTCGCGCTTGCTGGCGTTGGAGCTGCTGCGTGCTAATAGCTCCGCTCGGCGCACCGTTGAGACGATCCGAGATTGGGGAGGACCCGGAAATGCCAGACATCCCGTCGTAGGGCGATGACGGCTGCTTCTGTCGACCCCCCGCCTCGTTGGGCACCAGCTGGAGCGGCTTGAGCTGTCCCCGCAGCGTCGTTCGTCTGCCAGCGGCGTCACTTGGTTTGTCGCTCTTCTGCTTGCGCTTCATCATTGCTCGCTCCCACTCTGCCCTCGCCTCGATCTCTCCTTCTGGCGGCGGGCTGGGCTCGCGTGATGGAGTCTCGGCGCTGTCTTCCATCGATGATCGGCCAAGTGGTTCGGGGACAGTAGGCGCCTCGACGAGAGCAGCACGTGGCAGCATCCCAGCATTGGAACCTGCACGAGGCCGCCTATTTGCGACATCGGTATTCTCCTCCTCGCCATCAGACGGCGTGACCTCCTGGCGCTGAGCTGGACCCGCAACATTGTGAGCCCCGAGTCCCGCTAATCCTTTTTGTTCCTGAAGCGAGGCCACACCTGCTGCTTGCATCGCTGGCGTCACGTTGACGAGGGGCCTGGTGCGAAAGTCGGAAACTGGAGACGAAAGATTTGCTGGTGCCATCATCAAGGGAGTCTTGGCCGCAACGTTGCTTGGTAGAGGAGGGGGTATCACACTGTCGGAGAGGGGAGAAGTGAGGTTGACGGGCTTTGCTGGTGGTGAGGGAGATTCCTTGGCAGGGAGCGAGGGGGCAGGCTCCTTGTCTGGGACTGCTGGTGGCGGGAGAGGTGTCGCCGCGGAACGCGCTGCTACTGCAGGCGTCTGTGGTTGCTCCTTCAATTGAAGTGAGTCTGAAGCTACCCGGCTGTGAGCTGCCTTCAGCGTACGTTGGCGTTCCAAACTGGTCTGCTCGGCAGACTCATCGGACACGATACCTTGAGCGACAAAATTGGTCGGCGACAGGGGCGATTGAGGTGTCATCGCAGGGCTCTGCTTCGTGCTCGCCGTCGACGGGGATGCCATGGACTGCCTTCGTACCTCGTTGCCCGCCGTACTCAGCTCCAGCTTCCTCAACGCTGGTGAATTCCTCCTGCTAGCGGCGGATCCACTAGCCCATCCTCCTGGCAGATTGAGATCTGATGAGCTCGCAGCTGGAGGGCCGTTGGCGTACTTTGAACTCATCACTTCCACTCCGTCCTCTGCACCGATGCCAACGCCCCCGCTGGACCCGCTTGCCGCTTGCCCTTGCCCTCTCGCGATCTGTGGTCCAAGCTGCGCAGATGTTGGGGTCGCGGCTCCGCCATTGAGACCTTCAACGCTCTTGGCGTATGTGGGGCCGCTCAAAGCCGTCTGAAAAGACAAGACTGACGCCCTTTTGTTGGTGTTGCTCTCGCCCGTCCCATGCGTGTGGTGACTACCTTCGCCTGGTCCGCTAGCTCCACTGAGATTGGCCAATCGTGCGCCACTACTCTCCATGCTCAATGAACTGAGTGGTCTTGTAAAGCTCGCTGGAGATTGCGCAGGCATCTCTGGCTGGGCGTATAGGTCTGCAGAAGAGCCAAAGTACTGTCCGGACGGAGTACGTGAATGTGAAGGCCCTGCTACATTCGTCGAATCTGGTGCGAAGGAGCCATAAGCAGCGCTCGAACCCATCAAGGGCTGAGCTTTGGGCGTCGCGACTGCGGTAGGCGTCATGCTGGCCGTCACGCTTCTCTCCTCTGGCGTTCCTAGCCGTTGAGGCGTTGTAGACCATCCCTGCTTTTTGATCTGCGATGACAAGGGGCTGTTGTCTGCAGATCGGACACCACTCGGCTGACCATCGTAAGGCTGCCTCAGCTGCTGCTCACGAAAGGCTTGCGGCGACATTCTGACTGCAAAAGATGCTCTGGGGCTCGACGATGCGCTAGATCTTCCCTGGGGAGCTCTCACATCGGCCCCTGCGTCCTTGGGGGGTGTGCGAGGGCTCGTCGTACGGTGAGGAGTAGTCGGAGAAGTTGGAGTGGTGGGAGATGGAGAAGCCTCCGTTGCACCTGGAGAGATGCCTAGATCGAAAGAGTTGCCAAAGTCGATATTACGAGCCCACGTCGGCGCACGATAGAGGCCAGTGACTCCCGGCTGACGCTTTGGTGGCTGCTGCTGATGCGCAGGCGGCAACGCCATGGCAGAGAGCGTGGGCGTGGGCGTGAGCGTGGGCCAAGGCCGGCGCTGTTGAATGATCAGGAGCCAGCTAGTCTCTGTATGCTGACGAGGGGGGGAGGGGGCTGCGGGCGTCGCTTAGTAGCGGGTGAACGTCGAAGACGATGATGGTGGTTGGTGCATTGAAGGGATCCTCGTTGCGCGCTGGCTCGTCGCAGCGGATACAATAGCGGCAGTGACGAGGAAGCAGCAAAAGATGAGTTGTGCCTGCTATACTCCTCTGTGATGGCTGATTGTATTAGTGCTGCACAATGCGAGCAGAGGGGACGAGGTAATGGACGCCCGCGCAAGACGTGTGGGGGATACCCTCGAGTATATGCTGCAAAGGCACAAAAGGTAAGAAGAGGGAGACCCTTCCTTTGTCGTCGAAGAGCTCTTGTTGCACTGGCCCCGACTTGACTAATGATGATAGGATAGGTAGATACGGTCTCTGGACGTCGATGTAAGAAGGTAGCTGACAGGCAAGCCCCCCCACTTGGCCGCTCTCTCTGTCGATCTTGTCTGGCATCCGGGCGGGCAGCAAGGCTCGACTCTGACTGTCCAGCCCCTTGAGCCTGTGCTAGTCTGGCGCCGTCGTCTCGCCTGCTGCCACGCCCACCGCGACCCAACAGCACAAAATCCTAGCCCTATTCGCCCGCGCCCGCCGGCAGCGGAAGACGACGAAACCCCCGCCCAGACCAAAGCAGGCGAAACCAAAAGGGCGCCACGCCACGCCCGCGTGCGGGGCAGCAGATACGCGGCGACTACGACGACCAGCAGGAGGTATCATATTTGGAATTGAAATGTATGCTGACTACGTTGGAAGGCGTACGCAAGTCAATTCGAGCGACATGAGAGTGATCGAGCACGTAAAGAAAGAGAGTCGGCGGTCTCGTTAGTCAGTTCTCGATCAAGTCGGCGACGGCTCGGGCGATGTGGTAGGACTGCCAGCTGGTGATAGGACTGCTCCTGTTGCTGGTCATGCTGACGGCCCGGAGCTAGCTTTGGCGGGAGCAGAAGAAGAGTTGCCTCCCTCAGTGGCGGCGCCTCCATCGCTGTTCAACCCACCGCTTCGAGGCCCTTTACCGCCACGCCCACTGCCACTACGCCCTGCACCACCACGCCCACCGCTACGTCCTCCGCGAGCCCCACGGCCAGACGCTGCGCCCTCCTTGCCGCTCTCATCGCCAGATCTGGTGCCACCAAGTGTACTCTCACCAGACGCTGTTGCTCCACCTGCTGCGGCCTTCTCGCCTTCACTGGCACCAGCCGGCTTCGACTCCGTCTGCTGCTTATCATCCTTCTTCTTAGTACCCTTGCCTCCCTCCTTCTTCGCGGGACCCTCACCCCCACTCGTTAAGCCTTCTGCTCCGGACGTCTCTCCACCAGTTCCACTCTCACCAAGCGCGCCGCCCTTGGATCCTTTGTTCTTGCCACCGCGGGGCCTCTTGCTCTTGGTCGCCGCCGTTGGAGCACCCAGGCTCGTCGTCGATGACTCCGTCGCCGCACCAGCAGCTTCATTTGGCCCCACCGCCGCTTCAGAACCCTTCTTCTCAGCATCTTTTGCTAGACGCTCGTGCTTGTAAGCGAGCTGTTTCGCTTTGCCCTGTTCACCGTCGCTCTGCGCTGGTGCGGAGCCATTAGTGCCGGATCGCTGGTGATGGAGCTGGCCACCGGCAGGACGCGCGACGTTAGAGTTCGCAGGGCCTTTGGATGGGTTGCCTCTCGCAAAGACTGAGGGGCTGGCTGCGCTTGCCGGGCCAGAGGGCGGATTGCGAGGGCTCGCAGCTGCGGTTGCGGCTGAGACTGGGCTTGGTTTTGCGGATGCCGCCGCCAATCCCTTGCCGTTGGTCGGGCCGGACACAGCCGAGGCAACGGCGGGGGTGGCAGATGTGCCGGGCTGAGCCATTTGGGGCGTACTTGCTTTCCTCGACGCGAAGTTGAAGCCTTGGGATTTGGTCTCTGAGGCAATGCGCCCATCCTTGATGTCGAGCACCAAGGATCCGAACGCCGCATCTGGCAAATTCCAATTCCACGTATTCTTCCAAGCCGGTTCCTCGCTCGCAGCGCCCGTCGCCGTGGCGAGGGGAGGAACCCGATTGGTAGCAGCGAGGGCATGGTTGAGGAGGATGCGCTGATTGTCGTCTATTACCTCGTCGACCTGCGTCTTGACCGTCTCCCAGATCTCGTTGAATGCGCTCTTTGCGTGAAGAAACTTGTTGCGGAAATTCTCCATATCGTGCTGGACTGAGAACTCATTGTATGAGATGCCGTAACGGAAGTGAAGGCCGGCAGAGAGGGTGAGATCGGCCTTGACTGCCAATGCGACTTGGGTGAGGATTGGCTCTCGTCCTGGAGAGGCGTGCGTGATGAGAATGCGAGTCTCCGTAGGATCGAAGGTCTATCGGCATCAAGAGACACAGACCTTCAGCATAAGTACGTAGGGCATCCTCTTCGCTTGCACGTCTTACCTTTTGTGCTGTGTCGATAAGCTCGCCAATCTGTAGAATGGTGGTCCACATGGTACCCTGCCCACCGGCAATCGTCGCTGCTCCCTCACCATTGTCGAAGAGCTTGTGCATGACGACGGCGCCACCCAGACCAAAGAGCCTCAGTCGCACGCCGCCGACCTCAATAGCCCTCGTCGTTGCCTCGTCGAGAACCTGTAGATTGTGCACCCGATACTCGCCCGTTCGGAAGCGCTCGAGCACACCAACGTCCTCGCATGCTCCCCATACCGTGAAGACCGGGACTTCGAGCTTGAGCGACCCGTCCAAGAGCATTGGGAACTCAGAGAGGAGAGGCGATGGATTCGCCATGATCTGTGATCGCATTTGCGAAGCAGCTGAAGCGCCTGGGGCATTTGGCGGCCCACGACTGGCATCCGCTGCCAAGAGCTTGCTGCGTAGCTGTTGAGGGATGAGGGACGAGTACTGGACGAGGTGTCGAAGCGTTTTGTCGCTGATTCTCTCGATACTCTCCCTGGTGTAGAAGCCGAAATCACCCGTGTGTAGAATGGCAACGGCATTGTGCTCAGAGGCGAGAGCGTTCAAGGACTTCACGTTGCCTGCCAGCAGAGAGCAGAGGAGGGATTGAGCACATATCCAGCAATGCTTTTCAGCGGCACGTTCACGCCCACGTCCGCGCCCACGCCCACACCAACTCACCTCGGACGTCAGCGATGCAAAGGATACGACCATTGGGCCCATCTATGATGTGAGGTGGGGCCTCCGAGGAGACGCTGGCGTTGTTGCTAAGAGTCATCGCGGATCGTCGGCTGCTGCTTGTTGAGAGGGAGCCATTGTTGAGCTGTGAGGCATGAGCAGCGATGGGTTGCGTCTGAGGATGGCCTCCAGGACGACGTGGTGACAATGCGCTGGTCATGATAGGGGATTGGGCAATACGAAGCTGAAGGTACGAGATGGGGGCAGCTTCGAGCAACGAGCGTCGTCTGAATCCAACACGAGACGAATTGAGCCAGTCGACGTCGAGTGGGCGACCGAGGCACAGACCAGGTCGCTCAGCTCAAGCTTCCAGGCTCAGGCCTCTGGCTCCGCCCAGTCCAGCGTCCCCCTTCGTCGATTTTGTGAGACGCAGCGCGCAGAGGGCAAGCAGGGCGGGCGGCCCGGGGGCGCTGAGCGGACCACAAGAGAGAGCGGACCGGCGATATCATAGGGTGAGGCGGCCCAGGGTCGTTGAGCAGCGGCGGCCTTTTGACATTGATTCGACATTTTGAACGTCGAATCCTACGCAAGCTCGTCGACATCACTGCATTTCAGGCAGCTGGAGGCATTCGCAGACGCAGCAGAGCCAGCGACGCCACCATCTCATCCTCACAGCTCAAGAGCGGAACCCTTTCGGCTTGAGACATAATTCATCGTGAAGTAGACGCGGCCTCGCAATGGGCAAGAAGAAGGGAAACAAGAAGGGCGGTGGCGATGACTACTGGTGAGTGAGCGCGGCGCTGCGATCAGGCATATATGACAGCTTCTGATCGACCCCTTTTCTTTGTTCTTGCAGGGACGAGGCAGGTGAACTCCTGCCGCCGAACCTGCCCAACGCAGGCGTAGACGGCGCCGACGATGAGCCCGTCACCAAGACGAAGAATGCATTCGCCAGCATGCAGATCGAGGAGAGCACCAATGGAGCAGACGGTGGAGACGATGAAGAAGAGGGCGGCTTGATGGCAGCCATCAAGAAGAGCAACGCAGGGGGCAAGAAGGGAGGCAAGAAAGGAAAGAAGCAAAAGGAAGAGATCGACTGGGACGCCATCGAGGCAGACATGGCGCCTGAAAATGGCCCAGCTGATGAAGACAGCAAGGCAGCAATCCCGCGCAACATGGACGAGGAGTTCCCAATCGATGACGAAAAGGTCGCAAAGGGCAACAAGAAGGCTGGCGATGCAGACGGCGCCAGCACACCCGTGGCCGGCGATGATCCTGAGGACGACGGCGCACCTAAGCTCTTGAGCAAGAAAGAAAAAGAAAAACTCAAAAAGGAGAAGGAAAAGGCGAAGAAGAAGGCACAGGCAGCGGCCAAGAAGGCGGCTGCGGGTGGTGGTGATGATAGCAATGATGTCAAGCCGACCCCACCAGCAGAGACGCCTACGCCTGCTCCCGAGAATGGCGGTGGCGGCGATGACGACGATGAAGATGGCGAGGAGGGCGGCGGAGGAGCGTCCGCAGCAGACAAAAAGAAGAAGAAGAAGAAGAAAAAGGCTGCAGAGCCTGCTCCTGCTCCTGCGGCGACCACCAAGAAGCCAAATGCTGCTCTTGCGGCCCTGCAAGCCCGCATGGCTGCGCAGAAGAAAGCAGAGGAGGAGGCGAGAGCTGCTGAGGAAGCCGCGAGAAAGGCCGAGGAGGAGGCGGAGCGCAAGGAAAAGGAAGAGGAGGAACGAAAAGAGGCTGAGCGTCAGCGAAAAAAGGAAAAGGAAAAGGCAAAGAAGGAGCAGTTGAGAAAAGAGGGCAAGCTGCTCACGCCTAAGCAAAAGGCTGAGAAGCAGGCGGCCGAGGCTCGTTTGCAGGCCATGATCAAGAGCGGCCAGGTCAAGGTCGACGGCCTGAGCAAGGGCAATGACGCAGGACCGAGCGAGGGCAAGCAGCGCACGGCCGTGGTCGACAAGAAGCCCAAGAAGAGGGGTCAGCAGAAGAGCGGGCCCAACAGTCTCCTCCTCGAGCCGGCGGCGTCGCCAAAGGAGGAAGAAGCGAAGGCCGTTTCGGTTGAAAGGCCTGAGGAGGCGAGGGCAGACTCACCCGTGCAGGCAGCAGAGCCGGAGACCGCAATCGATGAGGAGGACGAGGATGTTGCGGATGCTTGGGACGCAGACAGCGATGAAGATGATGCCAAGCCCGCGCAACCCGCAAAGAAGGATATCACGCCTAGCGGAATGGCTGAGCAAAACGGCTCGAGCAACAAGGCGGGCGCGGAGCAAGGGGAACAGAGTAGCGACGAGGACGACGACGACGATGACTCTGAAGACGACTCAGATGACGACTCTTCCGACGACGAGCTCACCACCGCCCAACGTCAGGCCGCCGAGCGCAAAGCTCTCGCTGCCCAGCGCAGAGATGAGCAACACAAGCAGGCCCTTGCCGCTCGAAGCAAAGACAATCTGCGCAGCCCCATCTGCTGTATTCTTGGCCACGTCGACACGGGAAAGACGAAGCTGCTCGACAAAATTCGACAAACAAATGTCCAAGAGGGAGAAGCCGGAGGTATCACCCAACAAATTGGTGCCACCTACTTTCCGGTGGAGACGCTCCAGCAGAAGATTGCGCCGATCGACCCCGAGGGCAAGCAAGAATTCAAGACGCCTGGTCTCCTTGTCATCGACACGCCTGGTCACGAATCCTTCACCAACCTGCGTACTCGCGGTAGCTCGCTTTGCAACATTGCCATTCTCGTCGTCGACATCATGCACGGTCTCGAGCCCCAGACACTGGAGTCAATCCGACTGCTTCGCGACAAGAAGACGCCCTTCATTGTCGCCCTCAACAAGGTCGACCGTCTCTACGGCTGGAAAGCTACGCCCGACGGAGCGTTCCGCCACTCGCTGGCCAATCAAGACCGCGCCACACGAAACGAATTTGAGGAGCGAGCCTCCAAGGTTATGGTCGCCTTTGCGGAGCAGGGACTCAACGCTGTTCTTTACTACGACAACAAAAATTTCGCCAAGAATGTGTCTCTCGTCCCGACGTCGGCGCACACAGGCGAGGGTATTCCGGACATGCTTCAGCTCCTCGTCAATCTCACGCAGGAGCGCATGAGCGAGCGTCTCATGTACTTGTCTGAGCTCGAGTGCACTGTCCTCGAAGTCAAGGTCATTGAAGGATTGGGCACGACCATCGACGTCGTCCTGTCCAATGGTACGATGAACGAAGGAGACAAGATTGTCGTTTGCGGTCTGAATGGCCCCATCGTTACACAAGTGAGAGCGCTTCTCACTCCTCAGCCGATGAAGGAAATGCGTATCAAGGGAGCTTATGTGCACCACAAGCACGTCAAGGCCGCACTTGGTGTCAAGATCTCGGCACCCGACCTCGAAAAGGCCATTGCAGGATCTCGCCTGCTCGTCTGTGGGCCAGACGATGACGAGGAGGAGCTCAAGGAGGAGGTCATGTCCGACCTCACTGGTCTGCTCGATTCGGTCGACAAGAGCGGCAAAGGTGTGTGTGTGCAGGCGTCGACCCTCGGCTCTCTCGAAGCTCTGCTCGAATTTTTGCGCACGTCAAAGATCCCTGTCAGCGGCATCAATATCGGTCCCGTATACAAGAAGGATGTCATGCGAGCCTCGACGATCCTGGAGAAGGCGCGCGAGCTGGCGTGCATTCTTTGCTTCGACGTCACCGTCGACAAGGAGGCGGAGCGCTTAGCCGACGAGCTGGGCGTGCGACTCTTCAAGGCCGACATTATCTATCACTTGTTCGATGCCTTCACCAAGTACAACGCCGAGGTCCTAGAGACGAAGAAGAAGGAGGCGGCACCCACTGCCGTGTGGCCCGTACGCCTCAAGATCCTGGCCTGCTTCGCCCGCCGAGACCCCATCATTCTGGGCGCTGAGCTCCTCGACAATACGGATTTGCGCGTTGGTACGCCTCTGTGCGTTGTCAAGGGCAAGGAGATTGTTGACCTCGGCCGTGTGACGTCGCTCGAGGTCAACCACAAGCAGATGACGACGGTGAGCAAAAAGGACGCCGGTGCGGGTGTGGCCGTCAAGATTGAGACCAACTCGGGCACGCCGCCGATGTTTGGACGCCACTTCGAGGAGAGCGATGTGCTTTATTCGCACATCAGCCGTGCTTCGATTGACGCACTCAAGAACCTCTTCTGGGACTCGGTGACGCTCGAGCAGAAGAAACTCATCAAGAACCTCAAGCCCCTCTTCAACATCCCGTGAGGCAGCGACGCCATATGATTTGTAACTTTCTTCCTTGCATTGCTTGACCCGACGCGTATCAATATCATCATTGAGAGTTGCCTTTTTGCTAGCCCGGGTTGAAATCAGAGTTCGGCCCGGCATTGCAAATGAAAGCGTCGTCGGATCACCCCTCGACTGTGCACGCGCTGCATGCCCGCCCTTGCCCTACGCTCTCCTCTGCCTTTCGCTGCTGCGTTGCGCCCGCCGGCCCTCTTTTGGCGCCGATGGGACATTTGAACTCGGCGCCGCCCTCGACCCGTTGACTCGCAGGAGCGAAGCGCATCGTCGTTGTTCTCTTGCCTTGATCACCCACCACCACCTCCTTGCCCGGAAACCTTTCACCGCTCTCGACTCTCAGCAGTCTCAATCCACCACCACCGCCCTCACTTTCTTCAAGTCGCGCTCATAGACGCTCCCTTCCAACTTATGGTCGACCCTAGTTGTAGAAGCTGCAACGCCTTTGTGATCAACAGCATCAGCAACGGACAGGGACACAGCCTCCGTTGCTCCCAGGGACTCTTGCTCCTCTTCCTGGACTCTTCCGACCGACCGCCCTAACGTCGAGAGTGCGCGACCGATCCGATACGTGTCATAGACAAGAGCGCTACCACGAACGCCTTCCATCCTCGACCTATCATCCTGCTCCCTGCCTCGCGCCTTGCTCGGCCTTGGTAGAGACTGCGGCTGATGAAGGCATCCTCCATCATTGACACCCAACTGCGACTCCCCTGAGCATCTCGCATTCATCCCATCAGCATCCAACCAATACCCTTGCCACCCGCAATCCGCTCTTCTTCGCAATGAACATCAAAGCTGCCCTTGGCGCATCGTCCTCTCGACGCGCTTCTCCTGAACGCAACGCCTCTAATGATGACGCTGCTCTACATGGTAAAGCGCCTGCGCCTCGTCGTGCCGGCAGCTTTGGCAAAGGATTGGGCAATGCCCTTGCCAACAGCATGACTCGGGCATCCGAAGCCGTTGGCGGCACCAAAAAGAGCTCGTCGTCAGCTGCCCCTACGCCCACACCGGGAACCCCGAGCAGCACTCCCTTTGCTGGTAACAAGGAATTCCCTTTCCCAGCTCCGGCAGCTCCTGGCACTCCTGCTGGCGGCGCTACAGCTGTCGGGCCGGACCCGCAGCACCTGTCCAACTTCTCGCTGCGCCTTTCGGAGCTCGTCAACCAGGCTCTGATTCCTACCGTGCCAGGGGCTATGCATACAGGCGGCGGATCTGGCGGCATGGCTAGCGTCACCAAGCATGCGCCAGGACGAGCTAGTGTGCCCAACTTGACGCAGATCGCTTACGAGGGCAAACGATTGCCTAATCGTGCCAAGATCGTCGAGTTCGCCCAACTCGTCGTTTCTGAGCTGCGGTACGCCAATGGCGTCGACCCTTATCTGCTACGTGCCGTGTCTCGCGCAGCGCTCAAGGCCCTCACGCTCTTTGCCAACCGCATCGACTCTCTCCTCGTCCCCATTGCCAAAGACCCATCCTCTCTTATCATGCCGACTACGGTCAAGGAAGGGGTGCACATCTCAGCCGCCCTCGAGTTCAATCTTGGCCTAGCCACGATCACGTGGATCGTAGAAGATTCGCTAGAGAGGTGCATTGAAGGAGATGACCGCGATGAAGATCCAGGCATGCCGACCTTTGTATCCGAGATCCTCACGCCAGTCCGCAAGAGGATGGAGACGACGATACTTCATGTTATTCAGCCCGTTCTTGCCGGCACGAAAGCTTCCCTGACTGGCTCCATTCTCAAGGCGGTACGACAGCCTTTCCTCTCTGGCGGTTCTCCCGCTCTCACGCCTAGTGCCAGTCACGATGGTTCCCTGCCCCCCCTATCGCCAGCCAATGGGCCGGGCAGCGCGCTTGCCTCGCCCAAGGAGGGAGTTGCATCTGGCACGACCAATTGGATCAAGGAGCTACAGGGTCGCTTGGATGGTAGCCGAAAGCTCTTGGTCCCACGTATCGAGGCGCGGACGAGTCAGGACGGTGAAGGATGGTTCATTTCCGTCGTCGTTCACCTCATCTGGAAAGGCCTGTTTGTCCTCTCTTCTCGCTCCGTTGAGCCAGCTGTGGTGACATCAGGGATCTCTGTCCCTCCTACGGGCAAGCAATCCGGCGGCGTAGCAAGCTTCCTGGCGCCGAGCAGCCGTGAAGCTATCGCAGACGCCAACAAGCGCAGCCCATCGCCAGGTCAGCTCTCGGCTGCACTCAAGAGTGTCGCAAGCGTAGGCAGTCATCGAGGACGAGTCGGCACACCAGGCGGCACCAATTCGACGGCCGCTTCGGGCCGAGCGACTCCGGCAGCAGCACCGGACGGTACCCTGTCTCCGCCCACCGCCACCGCTTCACACCACCACCACCACCACCACAAGTCCTTCTTCAGCCCCAGTGCGAAAGCCTCCACCGGCCAGCTCTCCGACCTCCAATCGTTCCAGAAGATGTGCCTTCGTTTCTGCCGCGGCTTTGTTTCGGACAAGGCCCTCGCAGCGGTTGCCGCCGAGCTCAGCCGGGCGGACATTGCTGCTGAGGAGCAGCAAGAGGAGGAGCCGCAGGAGATTGAAGACGAGCCGGACGAGTTGGCGAGGCAGGCATTGGCCGAGGCTCTCGAGGCAATCAACAGTACGATCCTTGTTGTGCAGGCTATGGATAGCAACGCTGCTGCGGTCAAGCTCGCCCTCGACGGGTTCGGTGGACCTCACAAGACCATCTCTGGCGGCAGCAGCAACGGCGGTGTCGATGCGCGCCCGGCTTCCGCTGTACCGCACGGCATTCAACCGCTCGAGTCCACCCAGCTCCGCGCACTCAAGGCCATCCCTCCCCTCCTCCTCCTGCACATCGTCTACTGTCGTCTTCCTCCAGCGTTGAAGATGGCCTCGACTAGCCATGAAGGCGAGACGTACCTCTCTCACCCACCAGCTCTGTTCGGAATTTCCTGGCAAGAATATGAGCGAAGCATCGCTGGATTCGTGGGCGGGACGAGCTGGGCGCAGGCCGCTATACCTAGGTGGCAGAAGGAGGTAGAGGCTCTGTGGGCGGAGTATTCGGTGAAAAGGAGCGAGCTACTGGCTAACAAGCAGGCAAGGAGAGCTGTCAACATGGACTCGACGCATGAGCCAGCAAGGCACGGCGCTCCTGCGAAGGGCATCGACGAATTCGGTACCACGCCGACGCCTGCTAGGCTGGCTGCGGCGGCAGCAGCAGCAGCAGAACAACGTCACTCCAACGAGTTCGATTGCGCAGACGGGGCGTTGTCGCGCAATATCACTCGTAGCGACGATGGACAAAGCAGCAGTGCCAGTCTCGATGGTTGCGCCGCTAGCTGGCGCGGTGCTGGCAGTGGCAGTAGCGCAGCAAGCAGCAGACAAAGCAGTCGTGTCCACTCCCCGGCCCAGAGCCCGACGATGGGCGCTGCATCTGATCTCGAAGAGGACATGGAGGGCAGCGTCGGAGCTCTGAGCTTAGGAACAGCATCGCAGTCAGCTACGGCGTCTAGGTCTGCAGCACGCCCTCCTGTATCGAAGCGCTTCTGGAAGAGCAGCGATAGGAATGGCAGCGCATCTACGGCGTTGGCCGCTGGAGCTGCAGCTAACGGCAGCGGTGCACGAGGCTTCCACCTTCCCTCTCTCACACGCCCCACCTTTGGCAGCCGCACCTCATCCCCCGCAGGGTCAGTCCGAGGACGTGGGACAAGCAACACCTCGCGCTCACGCTCGGTCAAGCAAGACAATGCCCCCACCGATTCGGCTGCGGTCGCCAATTCTTCCTTTGACCCTGCTCTTGCGGCTCAACAGACTGCGGACGATTCCGATCTTGCCGAAGTGGCAAAATGCCAAGAGGCCGTGGCCTTCTTTGCAAAGACGCTCGAGTGGGCCGCGTGGAGCGCTGGAATGGAGGGCGTGAGGTGCCAGCTGGGCGCGGTTGATCAGGAACACAAGTGACTAGCCAGCCAAAGAATGAGGAAGCCAGGCAACGCAAAAATGCTTGTCCGCTGGCCTCCTTTGCCATCTCTGCCTCAATCCTGTGCTACATCTTTGCGGGACCTCAGACGTTTGACACTTGTCGCTTCCCTTTTTTTTCTGTCCTTTCCAGTCTGGCCTTACAGTGTTGGGCTCAGTTTTGCACGAATCAGCATAGAATTCCCAACAGCGCATCGTCTCCTTTTTCGCTCTTCGTCCTTCGCCGTTTGTACATTTCATCGTATGCGATCGCTTACCCTTGCAGGGTACTGTAAGCCTGTACAGCTGATACGATTCAGTACCAGGAGGTGGTCATCCTTCCCCTGTGCGGCGTCGCGCACAGCATCAGGACGAGTGCACGGATTGCCTCGAGACCAACCAGTCGTCGCGCGACAGCTGCCCAAAGTGTCGCGTCGATGTTTGCCGCCGTTCTTAAATCAGTAATGGAGGCTGAAGCGTGCGAGCATCGAGCCGAAATCGCCTGGCTCGGGTCATACTCATAACGCACTAGCTCTGCTAGTAAGCATGATGAGGCAGCGGTACATGACGATGTGATCGAGGCATCACTGTGGTCCCGGGACCGACAGAGCCACTTTGCGATGCTGAAGCCATCGTGAGTTTGCGAAGAGTGCAAGGATTGGATGAGGGGCGTCGGAAAGAGAAGGCAACTCGTCGAGCGGCTCAGCTGCACCGACTTCTCCACTTCGACGACATCGCACGGCCCCGGACGCGTCTAAACGCCGCTTTCCTTCAATCCTTCGCAACTACTCTAGATCAGGATCATGAGGCCAACAGGTTCCTCGAACACAGCATAGATGGTCGCATCCGCCTCCAAAGTTGCAGCAGCTGGTCAACTGAGACGTCCGAGCCTTCTGCCGGGGCAAAGCGATCATGGGCCGAGTATCTCACCTGGGAGCAAACAGTCGCGAGGAGCCCGGCGCTGATTTGTCGCTCCCTTTGGAGCTGTGGCAGCGCGTCCTCTTCTTTGTCGACGCCTGGCTGCTCGAATATGATGAGGCGGCACGAATTTCAGGAGAGCGCACACGGCGTGCGACGCTTTATGCGCTCAGCCTAGTATCGTCGCCGCTACATCACATTGCCCAGCCACACCTGTACTCCTTTCCCTGTCTCTCAGACGGAGACGCTCTGGACGAGGGGAGACAGCAGAGGTATTGGGCAGCTATATGCGCGAAACCGGCACTCTGGTCCTACGCAAGGGGTGTCTTTCTCGGTCGAAGGCGTACAGGACCCGAAGAAGCCGGCCAAGAGGGCAGTGGCAGCCTGGCCTCGCTTCGAGCTACGACCGTACGCGCTCGCAGCCTGGCTCAAGCCATTTCAGGCAGCTCCACATCTTCCTCGGCGTGGGCGGAGTCCTTTGGCGTCATCTACCCGCGTCTGCCCACCCCGATCGGCATCGGACCCTCTCCGTCCTGCCTGACGGAGGTAGCATGGTGGGAAGTGGGAGGTGGTGTAGGAGGCCTACCGGCGAGTCATGCCTACTCGACTAGGGCGGTGGGAGGTTGGTGTCGCGACGCCTTCGCATTCGTGGAGCAGCAGAAGAGACAGCAGAGGGCGATGACGGTTGAGGACGTGGACTTGGGAAGGGGTCCGGGCCAGGGATTGATGATTGGTGGAGCTACGTCGGGAGTCCACAGAGAGGAGAGGACTTCAGCTGCGCCCTTGCACCAAGTGTCGCCCTATACATTGCCAGCAAGAGCACACCACTCTCATCAAAGTGAGCAGCCAACGGATCTGAGCGAGGATGACATGTGGGCAGCTGCAGAGCGCTTGAGTACTCAACATACCTCGAAGCCTCCCATTGCCGCGTCCGCATCAAGGAATGGGGACATGGCCTCCGACAGCGAGCATGATTTTCGGGCTCCCCTGACGACGGGACTACCACGCCAGCGCGAGGATCTACACGACGAGTGGCTGCGAGTCGCGAGATACCAGCAAGAGCGCTTGCAGCGAGCTCACGAGAGGAGGCAGCTTCTTCGCGGGTCTTCACAGTGCGCGCCCCAACATGCAACGCTCGCAACTCCGCATCTCGTTCCCTGGCGATATCGTCTCACACTCGGCTCCCTCGACTCCTGTTCCCTCCCTCACCTGCTCTGCTCCCTCCCTACCCTGACGCACGTCCACCTGACCCTATACCTTGGCACTCACCTGGACCATGACTTGCTCGAGCATCAGCTCCGACTCTGCCTCGACACCTCGCAACGCTTGCCCCTACTACGCTGCTTAGAGGTCAGGGTGGGACATGACGCGAGAGGAGGAGGGGCATTCAGTTCGAGGCTGGCCCGTGCAGCCTTTGAGAGGACAGTGAAGGGCGCAGTTGAAAGGGTCGGAGATGCACGATGTGCGTTTTTTGGGGACATTAATGCTGATGCTGCAGAAGGGGGAGGTCCGAGACTGCCTGGTGATGGCAGCCGTCTGGTCAATGTACGAGGGGACGCCGTGACGGCGTGGGCGCGCGATGTGGACGAGTCACGATGGGGAAGCTACTCTGATGAGGAGGCAACCGAAACCGACGTTAGTCAGGCCAGGGGAAAGCCTTGGATCAACGGTTGGCTAGCGCGAGACCGTCATGGGACGAACGATCCCATCGAGGAGTGACACTGGACAAAGATTTGTCCATTGAAATGATTGCACATTAGAGTAGACCTTGGTGCTCGTAGTCTGTCTGTCTTCCCCTTGTTGGAGCCCGCGGCGATTACGATCGCCACATGCCAGCGAACTCGACATCGTCGTTGCTACTGCCGAGGAGCAGCTCCATGGTCCAAAGAACCAGTGTGACGCTCACCGTCGAGAAGCGCCAGATGGTCTGGTGAGATTGGTCTAGGACTGTGCGAGCGAGGATTGAAATGGGCGTGTCAGCGACTGACTCGTGAGCGGCTTCCCCTGCAACGATTACTCACGTAGTAGATGTGAGTACGTAGCAATCAAGATGAGCCTCGAGTAAGACACGACGAAGCTGATGAAGGATCCAAAAGGCTCAGCCTCGTCGCTCCTTCTGCCTGATGACCGGCGAGCGGGACGGCTGCCGACGCTGGTATGCTTCTCCGCGATGCCATCATCACTGTCGAAATCAGAGCTGCTAGAGCCGCTGCTGCTGTTGCTGCTGCTGCTGCTGCTACTGCTACTACTTCCTGTCGACGATGATGACGACGAGTAGGTGCTCCCACCTTTACTGCTCGTAGTCGATGAGGAAGAGCTACTTCTCATCCCACCTCTTGACCGCCTTCGCTTCCTCTTCCTCGGCGGCCATTCCTGCGTTCTTGTCCTCGCTGATGGGCCGCACAACAACGGCAGCACTCTCGAAGCAAGATAGAGGACCATGAGCCTGTACACCAGGCTAACCACCACGCTCGCAGGTAAGGCGCTGGCTATCGCGCCCAGAAAGGTGAGGGATTGCCCGAATGTAACCTTGAGAAGTTGAAAAGCATCGGACACCGAGGATTGCAGACTTGCAGGTACGCGGGCGGAAACAATTGGCGCGAGGGAGTCGAGGTAAGCCATGGTGACCTGGCCTTTGAATGAGCGGACGAGAGCGAGGGGGTCAGAGACGAACGAAAGGGAGGAGGCCGAGGAGAGGGCAAAGATGTTCCAGGAGACGTAGGAGAACTGCGGGCGCGAGGGAATGTCAGCGCCTCGGGGACGTGTAACGGGTGCTACTTGCTTTCAACCCACAATCAATGCAGTCTCGATGACATTGCCTTTGCCAAGCGCGAATGCAATGGCGGTCAGCCATCCGACTGAGGCGATACTGACGCCCATCATCAAGCTTGCGCCTCCGCCTCTGGCCACCACGCCTTCAAAGGATAGGAAGAGGGCCCACCCAGAGATGACGTAGATGATGGCTGAAGACAGCAAGAATCCAAGCTGCCACGCCTCGGCGCCTCGCAGACCAATGGATGAGAGGAGGGCCAGCGGGGTTGAGCGACCGGATCCACCAGATCCAGAGGCTGTTGATGGGCTGGGCCTCGTCAATGAGGTGGCAATGACATATCTGCAGCCATGCCCTAGCAGTTGGATGATGACGAGCGTCGCCGAGCCTTCGAGGAGGCTGAACAAGGGGCTTGACATGCGCAAAAGGCCGCCCCACCAAATGGGTACTTTACGAGCGAGGAGAAGGATGCCCTGCGCGGCCGTCGAGAGGCAATGTAAGCTTCGTCGAGAAGCCACCATTGAGCTGAACAACCAATCTTTCTCACCTTGCTGGAAACATCAAAGAGATACTCGAGGTAAGGGTGCGTATCCCTCTGCAAGATGGGCCTCACCGCCTGCACGATGGCCGCAAGGTGAGGAGGCGTAGCAGGGTGCAAGTGAGGCGACCACGCTGTAGTGGACGACGTTGTCGGATTCACACCCACCGATCGAGCCCACCGAACAAAGAAGTAATTGTTCTCGGGCGGACAGTAGACGGCCCAGCATACAGCCAGGCAAGCCGGTACGACGAGGAACTGGAAGACGGCACAGAGGTCGCCGATCCATTGTACGCGCGTGCCTTTTGTTACTAGACGAAGAGAGGAAAGGGCCCAGTAGTAGGAAGCCAGCGAGGCGGAGAGGGCTAAGAATGCATCTGGGCCTGTGGCGATGATGGCGGCGTGTAAGAAGGCGGGGTTAGCATTCGCAACAGTGCGCCGTGTATTCGTGCATGCCCGGGGCTCACCTCCAACGTCGAGCGTGAGCGGCAGGTAGAAGATGACTTGGATCAGAGTCAGCGCCCTTCCCACAGTGGCCAGGGGCGGCTTGTTAGGGTGCAGCATCCAGCCCAGGACAGCGAGAGAGGTCAAGGATGGTCAAAGTTGGGAAGTCGCGTGTCAAGGAGGCAGGCGGCTGCTTCGTCCAACACGGACAGCCGCTCTCCGTCCCCGCATCGTCTGCGCGGCCAGAGAGGGACTTAGCACCGCAAGATCAGACCCAACGAGATTGTCTTGAATAATTCAGATACGATTGCAAAGCGAGCACCGACAGTCACGAAACAAGGGAAACAAAAGCGAGTGGTGAGGCGTTCGCGAGCACTGGAGGGCTGGCTGATGCGATGAGGTGAGCGAGAAAGAGCCCTGAATTCCCACATCTGGTATTGAGCAAGCAACCCCATCCAAGTTGGCCATCCACCCTCCATCGGCCTCCAACAGACTACGACCCATTGTGATGATGGCCAGGCAAGTGATGAGCAATCTTGCCCAGCAGGCCGTGATGCCCATTGTCCTTGCCATGAGCAGCCGTCGACTCGGTGCCCGTAGTAGAGGCAGTCTCATCTACTGCGCCAAGATTGCCATTGGCACCATCAGCAGCCGCAGCTCGAGGGCGAGAGCCGCTGCGGGGCTCGCGCGAACGAGAGCGAGACATGGAGCGAATGCCCTGCGCGTGAGATTGTGTGACAAGGATGGTCAATCCATTGAATGAGATGGATGTCTTGGCTGCGCACTCGTACTTACCGATCCACCGTTGGAGTCTCTACCCCTGCGATCAGCAGAACTCTCCCTCTTGACGTTGCCAACGCCTCCACGCCCAACAGCATGAGCGTGGTGCTCCTCATTACGGAGTGCAGCCGCCTGGATTTCTCGCTCCTGCTTCTCCATCTCTTGCGCACGAGATCGCTCCAAGGGGTCACGACTGGGGCTGCGGACATTGCCGACCCCCCCACGGCCAGATGAGACGATGTGCTGCTTCTCGGCATACGCTTGCTGCGCGGCCGTCTCGCCCTTTTCCTCAGCGGGGCGTCCTCGAGAGGGGGAGCGAAACATCTGCGAGCGGAAGAGGCAAGAGTGGAGCCATCAGAAAAGTGTAGCCTGGTAGAAGAGTGGGTTGGCCGAGCTCACATTGCCTGCTCCTCCACGTCCAGTCGCAGCTACGGGCGCATCGCGTCCTCGCTCCCGTCCTCGCTCTGTGTCTGAAGGTCCAAATACCATGGTGTGTCGTAGTGAGGTGGATGGGATTTAAGGTGAAGTGATGGGTCAGTCGACAAGGTCAAGGTAGCGAAGATGGGCCTATCCTCGTTTCGCAATGGGTTTCGCCAAGAACCATTTGCCCGTCCCCTCATCGTCGTCGTATTCGCTCTCTTATCTCTCGTTGCTCGCAATCGCCCGTCCGCCTCGCAGCATCCACGCAAGAGCAGCTGCAGGCGGCGGAGAGCAAATCGGTCCCTCGTCCTCCCCCCTCCTCCCGCGCTGGGCCCGCAACCTCCATCTCCCTCGTTGCCTGCCCCCTGGCCTCGATGCCTCGATCATTTGGTGCCTGAACCGTCACAATCGAGTAGCAAAGGACCGGATGAAGGAGGAAGGAAGGGGATCGGGCGAGAGAGCAGACTACTGTAGACGGCACCCGACATACAGCCAACCTGACTTCGACACTGGCCTGCCATTGACGCTTCGCGTGGCCAGCCAGCTATGCCAATCCCCGTTATCTTGTCTCGTCTTCAATGAATGCTCATCCTCTGCTGTCTTTGCGTCTCACCCTTGCCACTACACGCAATGCACTCACAAAGAATCGTCGACGCATCCGTATTCTGTCTGCTCAAACTTCTTGACTCTCGGTCTCCACTAGCACTTCTTCCCCTGATCACCCCCGAGAGACCCGCGCTCAGCCTACGAGCGAGCGACGAGTCCCTCGAGGAGCTTCTTCTGCTGCTGGAGTCCGCAGCACCGCTTCCACCACGGGCTACTGGGGCTGCGCCGCCTGACGGGGATGAGGACTTGGGCAAGGGGCCAATGGCATCCTCTGTGCCGTCGTCGGACGCATTGGAGCGCCAGACCTGACGCCCACGACCGCCCTCATCATCGTCTCGGGCTGCACCTGAGCGCATAGCCCCCTCTGGAGCAGGCTGCTGGGCTCGAGCTACGGCGCCGGGAGGGCGGGAGGCGGTGGGAGGTGGTCCCCCCGGATTGCGAGGCATGGCGGCGAAAGGAGTGAGTGGAAGTGAGATGAAGAACGAAGAGGCGAAGACCCGAGTGGAGCGGTGAGGTTGATCTGGAGGTAGTGGTAATGGCAGTGCTGAGAGCGACGATTTAAAAAAGGCCAAGAGAAGTCGCTCGTCAGCGTAGGATCGGAGTCGGATTGGGCCGTCGTCACGCGGACAGAGAGGCGGCAGGCGAAGAGGGACGATGGGGACGCAGGCAGGTGCGCCATGGTCTTCGCCTTCTCGAACGAAGATGCAATGAGCGGATCGATTGTACAAGTCGCACCGTCGAAAGAGGAGCTCAGACAACTTGACATCTTCGTCCTCGACTATTCTAGTCTCACTGTCGGTGCAATGCAGAACTTCCAAGACGATGGACGGAGCCTGCCTGAGCCCTTCAACAGGCCCGGGCAGTGCGGCGATGAGATGATCAGTCGATGGAGCAATGGCAGCTAGCTAACGCCTCGTTGACCCGGCTTGAGACGATCGCCCACCTCTCTGCCTCTTGGTCGTGCTTTGTCTGGAAAAGGCCTTGCTTTGCTAGCCACCGTCTGCGTGCGTGGCTTCGTCCGTCGAGCGGCCTTCTCCACGTCTCAGACGTGGCCGGGGCGCACGCCCGCTCGCCCGCACGCCCGCATGGCTGCTGGCGGGCCGACGTCACTCACATCACACTCGCCTGACTGGTCGTTTCCCCTGCCTTTTTTCCTTTCCATCATCATATACTAGACCGCTCCTCTTGAAACCTCCAACAGTGTGAGCCAGCGAAAAGCTGAGGGCAACACCACATCGTAACTGTCATCTCACAGTCCTCGTCCCTGCGCCCGCAGCATGTTTCCCGGAGGAGGGGGCCAATGGTCTCAACCTGGCCCTGGTGGCTATCCGGGCGGAGCAGGCTATATGCAGCAGCAGCCGACTGGATACAATCCTCAGCAGCAGCAGCAGCAGCAGCAGCAGCAGCAACAGCCTAGACCAATGGGCATGCAGCCTACGGGTTACATGGGTCCGCAAGCAACAGGCTTCATGGGTCAGCCGATGATGGGCGGTCAGATGGGAAGCCAGATGGGCATGCAACCCAATCGAGGCGGCTTCCTCGGCCCTCCGCAGCCTACAGGCATGAGCCCCATGGGCATAAGACCATCTGGTGGGCCGGGCTTCATGGGCCCACAGCCGACTGGGTACGGTGGCGGGATGCAGCCTCAACCGACTGGTGAGCAGACGATGCAAGATAGTGTCTAACGACCCTCACGCTGACATCCTTCTGTCGTCTCCCCTCTCTGCCAGGCTTCATGGGTCCGCAGCCTACCGGCTTCATGGGTCCTCAACCAACAGGCTATCCCATGGACCCTCGTATGCAGCTCATGAGCGCTCAGTTCCTTCCCGGATCTACCCCATTCTCAGGTGAGCAGCGGCTGCCATTCGCCGATGCTGCACCAGCTTGCTGACCTTCTTGTCCGTACGCAGGCGCGCCTACCGCATCGAACATGAATTTCTCAAGTGCAAGCATGCAGCCTTCCAATTTCCAATCGCAGATTCAGAATCTTTCGCAGCAGCAGCAAGGCTCAAGGGAGCCCAAGATTCCATGGACGCTCAGCAAGGAGGAGAAGAAGTCCTACGATTCGATCTTCCGCGCTTGGGACCAGCAAGGGACTGGCTTCGTCTCGGGTGATGTAGCGAGAGAAGTCTTCGGCCAGTCTGGTCTTGATCGAGACAGCCTGATGCAGATTTGGCATCTCTCAGATACCGAGAACAGAGGCAAATTGAACCTCGCGGAGTTCCATGTAGCCATGGGCCTCATCTACCGTGGCCTCAACGGCAACGACATTCCGCAGGAGCTCCCTCCCGAGCTCGTGCCACCCTCTTCAAAGCAACTCAACGAGTCCGTCGACTTCCTCAAGGATCTTCTGAAGCGCGATACGAGCGTGCGCAACTCCACAGCCCTCAACCTCCCCGAGGCTGGCTCGAATCGCGATGCCAATTACGCCAAGTCTCGATCGCTCTACCAGAACCCTATCGAGCGCAAGCAGGACGCAACCGCGTACAAGCACGAGGATTCTGCTGAGACGGGCGGATATCGCTCAAGCTCGCGCCACTTGGACCGCAAGACCGTGCGCTACGCCGGCGAGAGCAAAGAGGACGACATCAGCGAAATGAAGAGGCAACTCGCCAACACGCAGAAGATGCTCGACGATCAGGAGGGCGAAGACGACTCGGACGATCGCGAGATAAACAAGGAGATGGACGACTTGCGCTTCCGCATTCGCCGAGTGCAGGATGACATCGAGTATTACCAGCGTCGAGGCGGTCGGGACGCAGCCGAACAGCGTCGCAAGGCGGAGCGAGAGCTCATGCACCTCATGCACGAGAGGCTGCCTCAATTGGAGAAGCGCATCGATGAGAAGGATCGCCGCAAGAAGGATCGCTCGCTCAATGAGAGCAAAGAGAGAGATAGGCGCAACGAGGCCTTCAATCGTGGCTCTGCGTACTCGCCTCGCTACGATGACGACCGCGGGCGTGAAGATGACCGCAGTCGTTCCATGGGTCCTGGTGAATATCTGCGAGGCACATTTGAGCGCGATGAGCGTAAAAGCGATCGCGACCGCGACTCAACGCCTCGTACTCGAAGCCCAGCGCCGGAGCCACCTTCAGCCCCTGCAGCTAAGGCCGCGCCGCCTCCTCCTGCCCCTCCTGCGCCGGCCTCGCCCGCTCCTTCCTCGCCTTCCGTTGCGGCCCCCTCTAATGCTCCTCCAAAGAATCTCTCGGCGAGCGAGAGGCAAGCTTGGATCAGGGAGCAGGCACAACGACGCATTCAAGAGCGCATGCGAGCCCTTGGCGCGGCTGCGCCATCTCCTTCAGCCACAGACAGCACTGTCGAGGATCGCCTCAAGGCAGACAAGGAGGAGGCAGAAGCTCGGTCGGCTCAGGCAGACCAAGAGGCTAAAGCAAGAGAGGAGGCCCGCAAGGCCAGGCTTGAAGAGCAGCGTCTGGGAAAGGATAAGGCCGCAATTTCAACTGTCAAGGCAGAGCTCAACGAGCAAGCCAAGAGCGCTGATGCTCCTCCAGCCCCTGTCATGGAGGCTGCGCGCGAGCAAGTCAACGAGGAGGAAGCAATGATTCGTCGACGGGAGGAAGTGCTCGCCAAGGAGAAAGCGGAGCGGGAGGCTCGTCTGAAGAAGTTGGAAGACGATGAGGCAGAGGCTCGACGTCAGGAAGAAGCCTTCAAAGAACGTCAGTCAATGTTCGCCAATAAGAGCACTGCGTCGTCTCTTCCGCCTCCATCTCGCAAAAAGGCTGGCGCGCCTCCTCCGCCTCCGCCGAGCCGAAGTAGAGCGGCTCCTGTTCCACCTGCGCCAGCAGCTGCCCCTGCCGCAGCCGCTACGTCATCTCCCGCGCCCACGTCAGCCTCACTCGCACCCCCTGCCCCTCAAGCTCCTGCCGCTCAGACTTCACCAAGCACCAATCCTTTCCACCGTATGCAGGGCGGTACCAGCGGGGCGGGTGCCGTCGCTGGGGCAGCTGCAAGCCCTGCCACTCCTGGCGGCACGAACCCCTTCTTCCGCCAGAGCGGCGGTCCGGCCTCGACTCCGCCCGCTGTCAACGCTAGTCTTCCTGCGCCAGCTCGTGCTACGCCTCCGGTCTCTGCGCAGCCCACTGGAACAGCGGCCAGGTCCGTCAGTGCCGCTGCTCGCGCGCCCGCTCCTGCGGACGATGACTGGGGAGACTCGGACAAGTCGGACGATGATGACGACGACGACGATGGGCCAGGCACGACGACGCGGGCGACTCGTCAGAACCTCGCGGCGGCCCTGTTCAGTGGGATGGTGCCAAGCTCTGGTGGCGGAGGAAGTAACGGGAGTGGAAGGTCGACGCCAGCGCCTGCCGCACCCGCCGCACCTCCTGCACCTCCTGCGGCTGCGAGCGCTGGGGGTGGTGCTCCTCCTGCTCCTCCTGCTCCTCCTGGCGCTCCTCCTGCACCAGCTGCGCCTGCAGCCCCTCCTGCTCCTGCCTTCAAGCCTACGTCTGGGCCAGCCGACCGCGGTGCGCTTCTCGGCCAGATTCAGGGCGGCCTCAAGCTCAAGAAAGCTCAGACCCGCGATGCCTCGGGCGCCCCAGGTGCAGGCTCAGTCATTGGCGACGCTAGCGCCCCTGTGCAGCATTACTCGCCTCCTCCTAGCCCGCCAGCTGCTCCCTCTCCTGCCCCCCCTGGACCTGCTGCCGACGACGCTGGTGATGAGAGCATCAGCAGCTTCGCGGCCAACCCCAACCGCCAGAGTACCGACTGGGCGAAGAGTCTCGCTACCGAGCAGATGCATCAGAAGGCCAGCGCTGCGCCTGACGAGCCCTCTGTTCGCGAGGAGAACGAGAGCGAAGATGAGTATCAAGCTGCGCCCGAGGATCCGGATCGTGCCATTCATCCAGACAGCGCTTTGGGCGTCCCCAATGGCTCGGCGAGCGACGACACTGCCCTTGTCGCTGCAAGTGGCACAGCTGCGGATGCAGTCGAAGACTTCAATCTCGACGTCTCGATCCGGATGCGCACTCTCTACCCGTACAGCGGGCAGCGCGATGAAGATCTAAGCTTCGGGGAGAATGCCATCGTCATTGGACATCCGGGCAGGGATGCTGCGAGCGACTGGATGTACGGCACACTCCTCACCGGCGGTTCCGGTGAGAAAGGCCAATTTCCTCGAGCTTACGTGGCAGAAATTGCAGCAGGTGAGTGTGCGAGGCACGCGTGAGGCTGTCTCCGACCATGCTGACACTTATCTTGCGCCACTGCTTGCTCAGCCGTTACGGCGAAAGCAATCTACGACTACACGGCCTCCTCCCCCGACGAGGCTTCTTTGGTCGAAGGCGACGAGGTACAGGTCGTCGACCAGGACGACGCCAGCTGGTGGAAGATCGAACGTGGCGATGCGATCAAGATTGCCCCTGCTACCTATCTCGAGCTCACCGGTTAGTACTCAGGAGAAAGGTCTGCACGAAGTCGGCTGGAGCGGTGGAGAAATCGGAGAGGCACGGGCAGTTGGCGTCTACCTTATCGATCGAGGACAAACAGAGCGTGGCTGGTCGGCAGCTCTCCACTCCTACCCTGCACCTTCTCGTCCGCCCTGTTGGAACAGTACGCTGAGCGCCGTCTCCTTGCCTTCGCCCCTTCACATGTAAATCCTCCTCTTCAATCTCGAATCTCAAATTGATCAATGGTTTGCGTTCGGCGTTCAATAGCATCGAAGGATCAGCCTGCGAAGGATGCAAAGTAAGTGAGCGGGAAGAAAGGTGGCGGTGCGAACCGCTCAGCTGATTTCGCACTTTGTCATTGCAGCACGAAGACACTCGGCCTCCCCATCACGCTGAAGACTGAGATTGACGAGGAGGAGCTGCGGACCCCGGTCGAGAGGACGCCGATTGCTGGAAGGACGCCAACTCAGAGTAGGTCTCTTGAGCAGGTCGCAATGAAGGCGAGGCATGGCGGAACGGCTCTGAAAGGTGAAGATGACGGTGTTGAGGACGATGAAGCCGACTCCGAGGATTCTGTGACTGGTTGGACTTCAAGCAGTGAGGAAGAAGATGATGACGAAGATCAGACCAGCGACGCGTCGTTGCAGGGGGAGGAGCAGACGCCCGAGGCCGAAGCTGCTCGAGCGGCAGAGCGACTTCAAGTGCTCGAAGCGGCTGGCCTTCTCATCCGCAACGAAGGCAACAATACTCAACCACTACCAGGTGCTCGCAGAGCTGATTCACTGCTACAGCGGCGGAAAGCAACTCGACGGCCTAGCAGTAGCAGTCAGGAGGGCGACACTGCTAAAGACGCAGCGACTGCCACGCACTCCCGCACAACCAAAGGGCCTCGCCCAGAAGCACCAGCTCGAAGACGCCCGACGACGAAGAGACCAGCGATCCCTAAGCCGGAACGTGATTTACCGCCGCCTCCAGTGCCGAAGCCGGAGGAGCAAATGGAGGATGCGTACGATCGTTTCCTCAAGCTGCAGAAGGAGACGATGAGCCCGCCGAGAGACGTAGCCACTCCAGCCTCGGCCGCGATCCTGCCGGTCGTCAGTCCGAAGGTGCGGCCTTCAACACCGGCATCGCCCACTCCAGGCACAGGTACGCCTTCCTCTCACGCTACCGAGCAGGGCAAGGCCTCTGGCTTCCTCTCTTCGCTCACCTCTTCTCTACGAGGCAAGACAGCTGCTGCACCCGAGCGTAGACCCACGCCGGTCATTTCCGGCCCAATGTCAGCCGTCGCAGCGGATCGGCCCCTGTCGTCCTCTTCAAGCGACGCCGCACCGACTGCCTCAACTTGGTCGAGCTTCATGGACGCCACCACTCTTCTCTCCCTTCCGGAGTCAGAGCGCAAACGCCAAGAAGCCATTTTTGAGCTCTGCCAAACGGAGACGACGCACGTGCGCGACTTGCAGACTATCGTGGAGGTATTCTACAATCGCATCGTCGAAGAGACGGGCCTGATGGACGAGAAGGCTCGTCTAGTCGTTTTTGCCAACATTGAGGACGTGCTACTTACAGCGGTGAGCTTCTTGAGCGATCTGGAGGAGCGACAAAGGGCGTCCAGGCTCTACGTGGACACAATTGGTGACGTGCTTGCGGAGCACATGCCCTCCATGAAGGTGTACTTGCCATACTGCACAAATCAAGGGACGGCGGCCCAGATCCTCACTGCGGAGCGCGCAAGGCAGCCTGCACTGGATCAGCTACTCGTTCAGCTTCGCAGCAGCCCTGCCGGGAGAGGTTTGGATCTGTCCTCCTACCTTTTGACACCGATGCAACGCATCACCCGCTACCCGCTGCTCCTCTCGCAAATCCTCAAGTACACACAGGAGGACCACGTAGATCACCCGTTCCTCACAGAAGCGCTCAAGAATTCACAGTATCTCTTGACGTACACGAATGAGCGGATCAGGGAGCGCCAGTCAGAAGAGCGGCTCAAGGTGCTCAGCCAGACCCTCTTCGTCGGGAGTGAGGCAAGAGTCGACCTCACGAAACCCACACGCTTCCTCGGCGCTAGGCGCATCCTGCGCGAGGACGCGAGTTTGCTGAAGCGCAAGAGCAAGACGGGACGAAAGCTCACCCTCGTGCTGTGCAACGATGTGCTCGTAATCCTCACGGGCGGAAATCACCTATATCGAATGCCCGCGCCACTGGAGGAGGTGGTCGTTCGTCCACTGAAAGCCGGTCGTGCAGCAGCGGCCGCAGCGGCCGTAGGCGCAGGTGAAGATACGGAAGGTCCCGGGGGTTTCCAAATCGTCATGGCCGGCGGAACGGACAAGGTGGACCTGAAAACGACCTCGCAGCGTGCGGCCCATCTCTGGATGAGGGATATAGAAGAGGCAAGGAGTCATTGTCTCGATGCGGCTTTGAGGGCGCCGAGGTCGCCACCTGTCGATGGGGACAAGCGGAGAAGTAGGGTCGCGAGTGTGAGGGCGTGAAACTCAGAGAGGGGAGAGGAGATAGAAGGGTGATCGAGCCTGTTGATGGGGATTGATGATGGGAATAATGGTACAATGTTGAAGGTACAATGGGATCGATGCTACGAACAGTGATGAAGCGAATACCATCTTTTTGCCAGCGCCAGCCACCGCAAACGGTCACGCCTCACTCCTCCTCGGATCATCAATGGGCTTGCCCAGCTTGAACTGAAGCCCGAATACCGGTCGCTTACTCCCGCTGGCCGTCGTTGAGTTGGTGGTCGCGGCACCGCTACGGATGAAGCCGCCGGGTATGGGGGCGCGGCAAACTGGGCATGGCCCAACGAGAGGGTCTAGTCGAGCTGCCCCTGCGCTCGGACCTGAAGTTGTAGCCGTCGTTGATGATGATGACGCTTCCACGCCGTCTGCTCCTTGTTCCTCCTCAAGCCCGCCAAGGGCCGCAGCCAAAGCAGCCGCCTCGACTCCCTCTGAACCAGGCAATCCATTGACTTGTCCTAACCCTCCGCCCATGCCCGCCATGCCACCAAAGAAGGCCGAAGGCCAGCCATATCCACCGAAAGCGCCACTGGAGAATTGAGCAAAGGCTGCGGCCTGCTGTCTAATCTCATCTTGCTTCTGCTTGGCGGGCGTCTGGAGTGCTTCAAAGAGGCATTCAGAGCAAAAGACGTGGCCGCAAGGTGTGGTGACGGCGTGTGGATGCGGGGCACAGAGGCAGATTGGGCAAGTATATTTGCTGAGAAGGGGATGGGCTACTATCGGTGGTCGACCTCGCGTAGGTGATTGGCGAGGGAGGGGCAGGCCATTGGGTCCGAGCTTGTGCGGAGGAGAGGAGGAAGGAGGTAGGGGTGCACTGGTGTTGGTGTGCGACGCCGAAGCTGCCGCTATGTTTGTCGCTGTCGTTGCTGGGTCGTTGCCGCTGGCACGAGCTCCATGGAGGATGTCATCATCTGCCACGACGATTGGCTGAGGACGACTTGATCGCACGACCCGATCTACGAGAAATCCACCGCCAGAGGTGTTTGCGGTCGAGGTAGCCCTCTGACGTGCTTCAGGGGCTTGCGTATCTGTATCCATTGCCTCTGCGGGAGCGACGGTAGGCACTCGAGCTGTCCTCGTAGGTCTTGAAGTCGTGCGCGAAGGACGAGAAGTGCGACTGGGCCCTGGAGCGTCTTCCTCGTCGCTGCTGAGGACTACGACTGGGGCTCTCGAATAGGGCGAGTGACGTATCGATGATGATGATGATGATGTTGTTGTTGTTGCTATCGTGCGCCTAGTAGGCGGATGGTGAGGAGGTCGTGATGCCGCTGGGCGTCTGGGCATCTGAAGGTGATCCTCCTCGATGTCGGTCTGAGACTCGTCGTCGTTGGTCACACTGCCTTGGCTTTCTTGCAGAGGCTGTTGTGCAGAAGAACTTTGGCTTTGGCTGCTACGACTGCCACTGCCACTGGCGTGGGCATTAGCAATGACTGTGGGTCTGGGCATGCTGGGCGAGAGTGCTATGGCGATGGGTGGAGGTGGTGGCGAGGATGAAGGAGGAGAAGGCGCCTTCTTTGGCGCTGTCCTTGAGCGTCGGCAGGCCGAGGTGGACGATGTGGTGCCACCAGACCGAGCAGGTGGCATCGCCTAGAGGATACGATGATGGTATGGTCAGGAAGCAAAGGAGCGCTAATTGCAATTGCGCCGCGTGAACAAAGCAAAGGACCTCCAACTTGGCTCCCGTCCCGCTCCCTCGCTCCCTCGCTCCGCTCCACTCGTCTCCACTCGCTCCCAAGACTGTCGGACAGGGCTCCAGGCGACGACGACAACGACGACGACGACTGAGTGGCTCACTTTGGTGACCTATGGCATGGCCAAGACTTGCCCGCTGCGCTTCATCACCGGTCATTGTCACTCGGCCCTTAGCATCCTCAACTACTCTAGAGCAAGGATCGACATCTTCCCTCGACAAACAAGCCGTGCCAAGCCAGCAGCATCAAGCTGTCCGAACTCGTTCCGCCAGCCCTTCAGCAAATGTCGGGCAGTCGTACACCACGAAACAACCCGTCTTTGTACGCTCCAGCCGCTGCATCTCGTAATCGTATTGGATTGAAGTGGACCCTGGGAATCTTGAGTGAGCATTGGCAGCGGCCTGACTGAGGAGTCCTCTGCACAGACCTTTCCCGCACTCTGCCACCAGCGAGCCTTGTTTGCCGTCGGTCACAAGGGCTCGCACTACCCACGGTGGGAGCGCGGAGCTGAACCTTTCCGCAGCGTCTTCGGGCAAGCTGATCCGCCGCAGCATCAAGTGCCCCGTGTGGTCCACTTGCAAGCGGCGAGAGATACAGCATACCCATTACAGCTAAATGATCTTGGTCCTCCCTTCCCCCAACCTCTCTCCGTGTGAAAGTCGCTCCTTCGGTCTTCTCACGCCCTAGGAGGGCCGCGACTACCCTCGCCCATCCTCCGCAGCGAGAGGCACCATCGGGTCGCCACATTGGATGGCAAAGGCCACATAGCAGAGGGTCACGCAGTCGGTTATCGACGTCAAACTATTGAAGCGCCTCAGAGCGGCCTCGTAAGGATACAAAAGGGGCCACCTCGTCTCGTCTTCTTCTGCTCTTGATTTCACCACTCATCCCTACCAGGTCTCCACCCCTCCCCTCTCCGCGGCTCATTGCCACCTCGCTCAACCCTACGACCTATAACGCTCAACGAAGACCTACGACGATCTAACGCCTCCTAACGAAAGCTGAACGACCCCCGAACGACCCTGAACGACCACCTCACCAACCCAAAATCCCAAAGACGCAAAATGTTCGCCAACCTCGCCACCTTCATCGCCACCACCCTCCCCCTCATCACGGCCCTCATGGCCCCTCTTCTCCCACTCTTCGGACCCAACGATCGGCTCGGTAACAGTGTCGGTGTCTTTGCCGCCCCCCTTCCCATGCCCAAGCCTGTTCCCGCTCCTATGCCCCTGCCCACGCCCATGCCCACGCCCACCCCTACGCCTACGGCCACGACGACGCACACGTCCAAGTCCGACCTCTCCTCCACGACTCACAGCTGGGGCGGCGGAGGCGGCGGCACTCCTCGACCCGTGAATGACAAGTGCCTGGCCGTCGGCAAGATCGAGGGCACTTCCGGTCATGTGGCCATCTTCAAGGATCGCCGTCAGATCGGCTACACGAGCCGTGACCCCTGCACCGGGCAGGCCGGACTGGACATCCAGAGTGAGTAGCGCAAGAAGGTTCACGGACAGGGAGGAGCTTCCGATGATGAAAGCTTACCTTTCATCCTTCTTGCCCGATGAAAAGGCGAGCTATCTTACACCTTCACCTGGGGCGCCCACTGTAATCAGCGCGCTGGGTATTTCCAGGTGAGCGAGCAGACCTGGACTTCTGCCTGGCGGCAATCCGTAGAGCAGTCGCTGACCTAGCAATCCCTCTTTCGCTCACCTGTTGCCCATTGCTTCGTCGTAGGACTGCTCTGGCGCCTATCACTATGATCGTTCCATTCAAGGCGATAATCCTCAAGGCACCCAGTGCACTGTCGAGTTCGACTGTTGAGCCAGCAGACTCCCCATTTGAAGAAGAGCGCGGACGCTGCGGCGTCGCCTTCTTTACACCCCAGTCGGCAGAAGACACACATGCCCTTGAATATGCTACGTAGCTGCTCTGGCTTGACTCGAAACACGATACGACAGCGGCCGCGCATACAAACACGCTTTGCGGTCCAATCTGATACGATACGATAGACACATAGACGGGGCTGAGAGCTCTTCAGAACGAGTGTGCGACCCCCACTGTCTCATCGTGCGAGAGCGCGTGTGTGCTGAGGAGACCGTGGCAAATCGGCAGACCTGCGGTCACATATCCCGTAAGGAGTGAATGGTTGCGCCCTCCTAGGCGAGTATTGCTCGCGAGGTCGCAGACATGCGCCAGCACCTCGAAGACTCCGTGACCGTTCACTTCGCCTCCGCCTGGGTGATCAAGCAGAGGAGACTCCTCGTCGCTACATAATGCCGCCAATCCTCTAAGGCCGCCACTAGACGATGATGATACACGTTCCTTTCTTTCCGTCCACACCTATCTCGCATAAGAAGCTGGTACACATAGCCTTGCCCCTTGCGCTCATCATGCGCCGCGAATAGCATTGCGCCATCGATTCTGTCTGCTTGGTTGACAATCCCAGACGATGACCTGCACAGTCGAGAGATAGCAGATTGAGTAGGGCGCACTAGGGGGAGTCCGTGAGACCTAGAAGCGGCGTGAGAGCCTCGCCTTGGTCGCCTTATTGTTCATCGTCACTCGCGCCCGCAGGGCCCAGCGCGGGGATAGGTCGAGGCGCTGGACTGAGCTCAACTACTCTAGACAGTGGCGCTAAAGTGTTAGCGAGACAAAAGCCTTGTTTTGACCCTTGTGAATCGTTGGTTCCCGCCCTCCCGCGCGTTGGCTCGCTCCGCGGCGGGGCAGCCATGCTCAACATGGCGCCGCCGCTACCCGAGGGTCGCGTGCTCAACCTCCGTGTGTGCATTGAGACATTTCTTTCCTTCTTATCCATCGCTGGCTCCTGACGCCTCATCGATATACAGTCAGCCATGGCTTCAGCGCTAGCGCGCGTGCTAGCCTAGACAAAGACGAAGACGTTTCTGATCGCACCACTTAGGGCTCGCCGACCTCGTCATGGACCAAGAATCAAGGCAACGAGGTCCCCACTCGCTTCGGCCGCTGTTCTCCCGCCTCTAGCCTCACACCCAATCACAGCGACGAGGCACAAGGCAAGAATTGTTCCGCGGGCCAGCGACCCCGTGTGCACAAATTCCACTAATCGCACTTCACAAGCTATGTTTGTGACCTGGTCATGGTAGGCTGATCGCCGGTAGCCGATTTCGGGGTCCGCCTCGCTGCTGCAAGAGGAGTTGCCGTGTGTCTTTGCTTTTGGTGGGCTCAATGCGCAGTAAGAGAGCGCATTGGCCAATGGTCAGTTGGAAGATATTTAAGAGAGGTGTCGGCTCATGCGATCATCTTCGACTTTCGCCTCGGCTTCCTCCTTTCGACAGTCTACACTTTGGCTTCCTCCATCGTCATGCTCGTTCCGTCTCTCGCCATTCTCATCGCAGCGGCGGCTTGTCTGCCCGCAGCTCTTGCCGCTCCCTTCCCACTGTCCGCCCTCCTCTCTCGACAGGCCGGTGATGGCAAGCCAGCATTCACTAAGATACCCTTCCACCGTGTTCGCCACGATGGCCGGTCAAATGAGAAGCGGCAGATATCCCAGGGCTTACAGGCAAATCATTACTACGCGTGAGTCTGGTTTGCATTCTCTTCGATTCCTCTGCCTCACGCGCTGATCCTGTCACCACCAGATCCTACGCCGCACAAATTTCCATTGGTAGTCCGCCACAAGACTTCTGGTTTCAACTTGACACGGGATCGTCCATGGTATTCGTGGCAGGCGAGGGCTATTCCAGCGCCGGAGATCCTTACTATGATCCGAGCAAGTCGTCTACAGCCCATGCGACCGAGAACACCAACGTCACACTGGGATATGGCGGTGGTACGGCGACCGGAGATCAATACACGGACACCCTCAGCTTCTTCGGGCTTCCTCAGGAGAATTTCCGCTTCGTCACAGCGACTTCGTCGACGGGTCTCATCGCTTTCCCGGGGACGTCGGGCCTCATTGGGCTTTCCAGCAGCAAGCTTACGACCAATGGCAACGACGCCTTCATTCAGACATTGGTCGATCAGCAGCAGGTAGAATCCGTCGCATTCTCTTTCTCCCTCGAAGGACTGAAGACGCAGGCCGAAGTGGGATGGCTCAACGGTCGGCCTCCGTACTTGGCACCAGGTGGTACTTTCACCCTCGGCACCTCCTTTGATACCACCCAATATCAGGGTGAGCTGGTCACCGTCAACCAATCGGAGTACCCCCCCACACCAGGAGCCTGGACTGTCCCACTCACTGCCGTCAGATTCAACAATTTTACATTTGATCCTGCTTTTGCCCTCATCGACTCGGGGACAAGTGGCATGGCTGTGCCTCAGGAAGCGCTGGATCAAATTCTCAGTAGTATACCTGGGGCGACTGTGCAAGAGGGCATCACACTCTTGCCATGTGACTACAGCTTCACGACATTCGAATTCGACCTGAATGGCGTGCCTTTCTCGGTGGGGCCAGGCGCATTACTTAATGGCCCCACGTCCGACCCAGCATTCTGCTCTACTTTTCTGTCAGCGTCGTCTCAGCCGAGTCTCTGGATTCTTGGCGATGCATTCATGAAGTACTACTTTGTAGGCTTCACCGCTGGTCCCAACCCTTCGATCAGCTTCGGCCAGCTACCGGACAATGGTGTTGTTCAGGCATCAACGACGTCTGGTAACATTGCACAGCCAACGGTAGCGACGCGCGAGGCCCAGGCGAGCCCACTTCCTCAGACCGTTTCCGTCGTCTCAATGCCCGCAGTCACCGGCGGGCCCTTCGCGTCCACAAACCAGCGTGGTGCCACCAGGTCATCTCTCGCAGCCATTGCAACGGGTCAGGGCTCTAGCTCGAACGGCAACTCGAATGGCAGCTCGAACGGCGCAATGTCCGCGATGAGCGCCAGCTGGGCATCTAAGCTCTTCGCCGCTGGGTGTGGTCTCGTCGCCTTGCTCGCTGTCGCCTTGTAATTCTTTGCCGCGTTTGCCAGCTCATCTCAGCCGTCTTCTCTGCCTCTTCATCGAACTCTCTACTGTACAATTTCAGCCTCATACTCTTCTTGCTATCATTGATTCACGATTCTTTCTCGAATATCATCCCTGGGACATGCTCTATCGTCACGCCCGTCTTCGTGGAGCTCTCGAGGACAAACCTGCTTGTCGACCTGACCGTGACGCCTAAGTCACTCCGCTCAGCAGCCTGGGAACGGAAGCAGTGAGGGCCTAGTCTAGCCGCCTTCCCGCTCCGCCGGCTCGCTCCGCCGGCAGCCAGACTCAACGTGGTTCCGCTACTCCCGCGGTCTGTTGCTCATTAGACGAGATGAGTTCGCGTACATCAAGGTCCGTGTGTGCATGAACGCCATCCTCTCTTCATCCATCACTGGCTGCACAGCTCGCATCGACGGTGAGAGCTTTCCACCCGCGGCCTTAGCGCAGCCCGCCGGCACAATGTTTGTGGTTGTTGAGGCAAGTAGGCTATCTGCTCGCTTCGCACACGATTTCCCATCGCTAGTCTCGACGCCAATCGCAACGAGGATGAGGAGATGGCGACACAGGCTTGCTAGCCGCTGCGCACCGCAGATTGCACGAAGGCCTGAAAGCAGCTTTGTTGCTGGCCTCGTCGAGGCAGCCTAGTTCAAAAGGTAGAAGCCGACTCTGTGGCTATTCTTGCCCTGCCGAGTATCTTTGCTCGCACCGGCCGAGGTGCTCGGCCTGGAAATGTACTGCCATTTACCCTCCATCTGATCAGAAGATGGGCAAAGTCTCAAAAGGGAGGTGCGAACTCGTGGTCGGCTTCTGTCATGACCTCATACCTCCTCTTCTCCCTCTTCCTCTCCCGATCCTTCTTCCTGTCCCCGCCCGTGCTCACTTGTGATTCCCCGAGATGCTGGCGCAATGGATCATCATGCTCGCAGTCGCCACGGCTCTGCCTGAAGCGCACGCCGCGCCTTTTGCGCTATCAGATGTCATGCCTCGACAGCCACTCGGACGCATGCCAGCATTCACCAAGATGCCATACCGCCGTAGCTCCCACACCGGCACAAGATACGGGAAGCGACAGATCAAACAAGGCTTGCAGGGCGAAGATTGGACAACGTGAGTGCAGCATGAGCTCCCAGCCTCCGCCCGTGGCTGACCTGCCATCTGATCCTCGAATTGGCTTCCGCAGCTCCTACTCCGCCGAGGTCTCTGTCGGCACTCCACCTCAGAACTTTTGGCTGGACCTCGACACAGGGTCGTCCGACCTGTTCGTCATGATGGACGGTTTTCCGACTGGTGCGCCCCTGTATCGTCCTGATCAATCCTCGACTGCTCGCCGCACCGGCGCTTCCGGCACTCTGTCATTCGGCAGCGGCAATGTCACCGGCGATCAATACGAGGACATGATCAATTTCTCCAGCTTCTCGTTGTCCAACTTCAAATTCTTCGCGCCAACAATGTACTATCCTAGTGTCATTCCCACGGGTGCATCCGGCCTCCTCGGAATGTCTAGCAAAGCCCTCACGCACTCCGAAGACGATGCTTTCCTGCAGACGCTCTTGACGACGAGCAACGTGGAGTCCATTGCCTTTTCTTTCGCGTACAAGCAGGTCGCACAACACGACGGACCACGAGAGCAGCTGGCAGGCACCTTCACCATTGGCACTGAATTCGACTCAAGTCAGTACGATGGAGATTTGTACACTTTCAATAGAGCGAATTCCAAGCTTGATAAATGGCAGCTACCTTTGGACTCTGTCACATTCAACGGTCAGACCTTTCCCTCAAGCACAGCCCTCATCGACACGGGCACGAGCTTAATCATTGCCCCTCCTGAGGTCGTGCAGCCCTTGTATCAGTCGATCCCTGGAGCTCTCTTCAACACTACCGTCTCAGCGTGGCTTGTGCCCTGCAACTCCACCGTGACCTGGGCATTCGTCTTCGGCGGCACTCAGTTCGACATGTTGCCGGAAGACATAGTAGTGATGGGCTCTGACGATGCAGCAGTTCCCGACCTGTGTGTGGCGACTGTTCAGCCCAACGATGAATCCTCTTGGATTTTGGGAGATTCTTTCATCAAGAATTACTTCACTGGCTTCCTCTACGGTCCGAATCCGTCGATCTCGTTTGCTGCACTACCGCAGGAAGGCGTGCAGCTGGCCTCGACAACCAGTGCAGACATCCCGACGCCGACCATTCGCGTTCCAAAAAGTGGAGAGATCAGCCTCCGTCCCACGCCTACCATATCTGACACGGCACCAGCTGGAGTCGGCTTTGCCAGCACGAATGCACCGGGAGCCACCAAGTCGTCCCTTGCGCCCAATGCGACAGGTGACGCCTCCTCCTCCCGCTCAAATGGCAAGTCAAATGCTGCTGCGCCTCTAGCGGGTAGCGGCTGGCTGCCGCGCCTCCTTTCAGCTGCCATTGGTCTCATCGTCGTGCTCGTCGTCATCTTGTAGTTCTCGACTGCCCGACCTTCGACTAGAGTTTCAATCCACGTGCCATCGAGCTGTCTTGATTGTACTGCTTCAGCAGCGTACTTTCGTTGCTATCCTTCATCTGTTTGCACTTCCATACCTCGAGCATAGCAAGCTCTTGATTGACGAAGCACAAGATTGTTTCTCAACCTGGTGATGGTGAACGCGATGGCAGTCCGCTCATCGGCCTCGGAACGGAAGCAGGGAAGCCGCGAGCGGACGGGCCTTGGACGAAGACGTTGGAGAGAGAGAATGCGCAGGGGGCAGAAGCAACACTTTGTACCTCTCTCACTCACTCTGACTCCACTCCGTATCTGCCTCGTTCCTCTCCAACGATGGCACAGCTCTTTGCCAAGGACCCTCGAAGCGGTGGCCTCTTCATTGGGGGCCAACGTCTCGTGGGAGCAGAGATTCGTGACCAGAATGTCCTCGCGGCGCAGCAGATTGCAAACGTCGTAAAGTCGTCGTTGGGACCAGTGGGACTTGACAAGATGCTCGTCGATGACATCGGAGACGTCACAATCTCAAATGACGGCGCTACTATCTTGCAGCTCCTCGAAGTTGAGCAGCCCGCGGGAAGGATCCTCGTCGAGCTGGCCCAGCAGCAGGACAAGGAAGTCGGCGATGGCACAACTTCCGTCGTCATCATCGCCGCCGAGCTCCTGCGACGGGCAAATGAACTCGTAAAGAACAAGATTCATCCCACGACAATCATCACTGGATATCGTCTCGCCTGCCGCGAAGCAGTCAAGTACATGCAGGACCAGCTGGCCACAAAAGTCGAACGCTTGGGCAAGGAGAGCCTCATCAACGTCGCCAAAACGTCGATGTCATCAAAGGTCATTGGCAGCGACGACGACTTCTTTTCCAAGCTGGCAGTTGATGCCATGCTCGCAGTCAAGACGATCAACCCGCGCGGAGAGACCAAGTACCCCGTCAAGGCAGTCAACGTCCTCAAGGCGCATGGCAAGTCAGCGAGGGAATCAATGTTTGTCAACGGTTATGCTCTCAACTGCACCGTCGCCTCTCAAGCCATGAAGACTCGCATCAAGGGTGCCAAGATTGCGCTCCTCGACATCAATTTACATAAGCAGCGCATGCACATGGGCGTCCACATCACCATCGACGACCCAGAGCAGCTCGAGAAGATCCGTGCCAGGGAGAGCGAGATCGTGTTGGAGCGGGTCAGGAAGATTCTTGCCTCGGGCGCAAATGTGGTACTCACCACAAAGGGCATCGACGACCTGTGCCTCAAGGAATTTGTCGAGGCTGGCGCAATGGCGGTGAGGAGGTGTCGCAAGGAGGACCTGCGCCGTATCGCAAAGGCGACGGGCGGACAGCTGGTTTCTTCTCTCGCCAATCTTGAGGGAGAGGAGACCTTTGAATCGTCCAACCTCGGTCACGCGGAAGAGGTAGCACAGGAGCGCATCAGCGACGATGAGCTCATCCTCGTCCGAGGAACAAAGACCGTCTCCAGCTCCTCAATCGTGCTGCGCGGCGCAAATGACTATCTGTTGGACGAAATGGAGCGAGCCCTGCACGACACCCTCTGCGTCGTCAAGCGCACCCTTGAGTCGGGCTCCGTCGTACCCGGAGGAGGAGCAGTCGAATCGGCCCTGTCCATCTACCTGGAGAACTTTGCCACAACTCTCGGGTCGCGCGAACAACTGGCAATTGCCGAATTTGCACAGGCTCTCCTTGTCATCCCCAAGACTCTAGCAGTCAATGCAGCGAAGGACTCGACGGATCTGGTAGCAAAGCTGCGCGCCTACCACAATGCGGCGCAATCTGCTCCGGCGGGAGATGCTAAGAAGGCGCTGCGATTCTATGGGTTGGACTTACTGCAGGGGACGGTCAAGGATAACTTGAAGGCGGGCGTATTGGAGCCGACGGTCAGCAAGGTCAGGAGTCTCAAGTCGGCGCTCGAGGCAGCGACGAGCTTGTTGAGAATCGATGCGTCCATTACTTTGCCTCCGCCGGAGGAGAAGCCGGACCCGCATGCGGGGCACTAGGTGCGCCGGGAATCGTAGGAGGAGGATGGCTGTAGAGGAGACATAGAGCAAGAGGGGACAGTGCGATGAGAGCCATGCATGGCTCGTCTGTACGACCGTCGTAGACACGCTCAATGGCCATCGAACTTCTCCTGCGCAGAACGATGAGTGCAACATCTGATCCTGTCCGCCGCATCTTTGCGGTCTCGAGTCTGGCGCTCCGAAGAGGCGAGAAGACATTGCGCGTGCCGTCACACCGCTATGAAGAAGAAATGCTGTGCGATTTGACCATCGTGTATGACATGGATATAGCGACGCATGCGAGGAGACCGAGGAGCTGCATGAACATGGAAAACGCAAGGAAGAGAGAGAAGAGGAGGAGGAAGAGGAGCGGAAGGAGACTGGCAACACGGGATACGTGGACCTCTAACGTCGACCGGTGGAATAGTCTGGGTGCTGATAGTACTGGTGGTGGGGCGCAGGCGGTTGCTGCTGATAATGCGCTGGTGGTCCCCGCGACGACGATGCAGGTGGCGGCGGCGCTTGGCGCTGGTAGGCGCGATGCGGCGGGAAGTAGTCGTCATGGTCGATGCTGCCACTGTGACTGCCGTGTGAGCCAGGCGTAGTCACCATGCCAGGGGCGCCATTGATCGGCGTAGTCGCGCCCGGCGAAGTGCCGACCGAGAGCTGATGGTAGTGGCCTGCATTATGATGTGACGATGGGGCTGCGTGGTGGTGGTGGTAGTGGTGCTGCTGCTGCTGCTGCTGATGGTGATGAGCGACGGCACGTGCTTGCTGCTCAGCAGCGGCCGTCTGTAGCTGCGGAACCAGGATACGTCGTCGTGCATTGATGAACCAATTGGACACTTGACTGATGGACAGACCAGTCAGACTACAAAGGCGTCGCTTCTCGTCCTCATTTGGATAGGGATGGTTGGCGTGCTCCATGAGCCAGGAGCGAAGCAGCTCCGTGACGTCCTTGGGTAGCTTACCACGGCGACGGGACATCGATGAAGCAGGGGACGACGTCGTCGACGAGGTCACGTTGGACGCCACGGCGCCGTTGAAGTAATCGTGATGAGGACCAGCAGAGCGAGGATAGTCAGGTGATACGGAACCATCTCGCGCAAAGGGGTGGTATCGAGCAGACGACGATGACGCCGAGGTGATTGGTCCAGGTCCAGGTCCAGGTCCAGGCCCAGGACCAGCTGATTCCCATCCAGGCGAAGGCTGTTGAGGGTACCAGCTGTAGTTGCCGTGCTGCGGAGGTGTCCCTTCGGTTCCAGACAGCGTAGCTAACGGGGCAGCAAGGCATGCATGGTCAGCTCTGCCGCTCATTGATGAACATGCAGTCGCAACTCGACTTACCTCGACGAGCTTGCAGGGGACCACCAGCACCGCCGATGACCCGACCTGATCGCAGCGAGGAGCGACCGGGGTCATCAACTGGTAGCCACGAAGCCGTCAGTCCAGTTGCACTTGGCCTTCGCGGCTCTGGAGACTGGCGAGGAGGCGTCGGATACGACGAAGGTCCAAAGGACTTGACAGCTTCGACGACATCGTACCTTGGCGGCGGAGGTCGATGAACGTCGCTTGCTCGACGGTGGTAATTCTCATCGTACGAATGCGTCGTCGTCGGCCTCGAAGAAACCGTCTGGCGTCGAGATGGCGAGCTGTCCTGATACAGTGGGTCTGGTACCCGTGCCGGCATTGTACCTTTTGGAGAGTGGCCATGCTCATGGGGATTGGCTTGCTCCTGTCGCACGCTCGCAGTCGCCTGCTGGCTTGGATAGCTAAGCCTTTCGCTGAGCTCAGCAAAGCTGGGAAGTCGTAGCTGTGGAGACGTTTTAGTAGCTGTGAGGGCCATATTCGAGGAAGATGGGGAGCGCCGATGGGAAGACGATGGGTCGTAGAGACGTGAGGGTGACGTTTCGGAAGAGCTGACAGGTGGACCAAGACCGCTACTGCTGCTACCGCTACCGTTGCTGCTGAAGCTGCTGATGCTTTGAGCGTCGTCGACGAGTCGGCCAGCAGACTGTCGGGCCAGTGGTCTCATCCAGACGTCGGGGTAAAGACGACGTCAAGAACAAGGGGTGGACGAGACGAGGGCCACAATGATGCTGGCAAGAGCGGCTGCTGCAGCGAGGCGAGGAATATCCAGGAAGAGGACGAGTAGAGGCGCGAAAGGAGGCGGGCAGTTACAACGTCAATAATTTGCCCAGTCATCACTGCCCGGCGTTCTAAGTGAGAGGGCTGCAACAGTTGACTACGATGCTGCGATGCGCCTGGCGGCTCGTCGCTTGCCACTGTACTTGCGCATCGCAATGGCACCACCATCTAATCCTGTGCCTGGCAGCAGGAAGTGCGACGCCCCGCAACTCGCCCGTTGACAGGCACCGATGCTACCCACGGCTCCGTCTCAATGAAGCTCAAGTGGAAGAAGGGAAGAAGCACTCCGACTCACCAGGTACGAAATGAGGGGCGAGAGCAAGCTACTCAGCCGCAACGAAAGAAGCCGTGATTGACGGTCCAGCGAGCCACGAGGAGCTGCTGTGCTGTACAGTCTACTACGAGACGATGCCTTGACTGTAGAGCAGCGTGCGTGCGGGCCGCTCAAGAAACTCTGCAAGACTTGATTGACGTCGAAGGAATTTGATGAGGGCGTGAATGGGAATAGAGGTCCGTAGGCGCGTTTCGTCGACGAGGTGCGAGCGGCTGCCTCAGATAAGATGATCGCTGCAACGTCTTGCGAGCGTGAGATGACGGCGTTGATGCTGCTGGCTGCTGTTTTGACGAGGGTATCGAAATGACGATGACGGCAAAGTGACGAGGAGAGTTGAAGATGTATGATCCAGTCAAGATGACTCTTTGGCGTCCGATGATTTAGGCGATAGAGCTGCAACAGCTGCCTGGATGACGTCGAGACGGTGAAGAGCAGATGATGACGAGGAGGTTGAGAAGGGAAGAGAAGGGAGGACTAGAGAGCCGACACCCTCGTCTACAGGCGTGGGAGATAGCAGGCTGAGGGCGATCAGAGTCCGAACGATCTCATGGAATGCGACACCCGAGTGGCAGTAGTGAAGTCGAGGGCAGAGAGAGACGACTTCAAGATCCAGACTCAGACAGGGCCTGATGACGGACGGCTCTCGTCTCTGCACTGCTGGCTGCCTGTTCGCCACTAGTGTGGTTCAGCACGGCGAGTAGGTACGTCGTCTTAGTGTCGAAGCGTAACAACGACGCTCAGGTCGATGGCGCTGCTCCTTCTCCTCCCCGCACAGAGCGCACTGCGACGCCTACAAAATGAACCCAACCGACCAACCAACCAACCAACCCACTCACGGCCGGCTATTCATCTCCGCTCATCGCAGCGACGCAGCCTTTCGCAGGAGGCACTCAAAGTTGCCTTGCAGTGAGTTACCGCACGCACGGTGGTCTTAGATTTGGCATGCTCCTCCGACTCAGCCCCCTGTCGACTGTCCATTGCTGCATCGGCTGAAAAAAAAGGTCGAGCTGCCTGACCTGCGTCTTGCTACTTTGCCTTTCTGCTTGTCTGCCCGCCTGCAAGTTTGTGCGTGCGCGCGCCTTGTGTGACGACGATGTCTCCTCTTCCTGGCAGTCACCGGGGTCAGCGGGTTGACTGCAAGGCGGCCGTCCATTTATTCTCACGCCGTCGACAGCCTACCAAGCAATCAAGCTGCCCATCGGGTCCGCCGCGAGCTAGTTGAGCTGGCAGGTGGTGGTAAGGCGAGGGGCAGACACAGGCAAGCTGCGCCATCGCACTTAGCGTCGGCGGCTGCCACGCCATCGCATCTGCCTCTAGTCTATGTCGACGTTGACACTCAACGCCCACCTAAACCCAGCTGCTGCTCAACGAGAAGCCAAGACCGACTAGCGCCCATTGGCAGGGGCGGGCCTTCACCGTTGAGCTGCACAGAACTTAATCGTCCCTCCCGCGCCTGCGAAACGCTCCTCATGCCAGTGTCCCGGACTTTTGACTTCAGAGTCCGGCAGGCCCATTGAAACTGCCTACCTCAACGTCGGATCGGCCATTCCTTCACGCTCAGTCCACCCTCATCGAGTGAGATCGCCCTGCTTTGGGCCGATGATGACGCTCCATCACGGGTGTTCCGGGTAATGCGCACAACATCTGCCAACCTGTCTGTCTCTCGCTCGGCAGCACGGTATCCTTCTTCAGCAGCGGCCGCTTTCTCTTCCTTGCCCTCCTCATTGGTCACACTCCCCATCGAAATGGCCTCATCTCTCGTCAGGATCTCCCTTCCCCTGCCCTTGCTGCCCTTGCTGCGCCTTGGCCGGCTTTTGCTTCCCGCTGCCCGCCTTGCTGGTGCATCTGCTGCTACTCCTCGCGTCTGAGGGACAGAAGCGAGACATAGCGGCACACGCCATGTCTGCAGCGGGCAACCCCCTCGCCAAGGAAACCGTGAGAGGTGCGCGCTGAGCGTCGACATCGAGCCCGACATCGACGTCGCGTCACTCGGCTCAGGGATGCCCGCTGTGGCAGAAGCGTGGGATCCGCAAATTGGGTGAAATTGCACCGAGCGACTCTCGATCGTCTGTCTCGAAGACCGTCATCGCTGCGCGCGCCAGAAATTTCATCGTTGTGAAGCATCTGACAGTAGCGTCGACGGCCTCTTTAGGCTGCCGCAGACGGTTTTGGCATGGCGCTGGGCAGAGGCGCTAAATGATCATCATCCTTGGAGCGCCATCCCACTCACCGCGGGCCTTGCAGACTTCTCCTTCTACGCGCTCTTACTGAGCCTTGCTCTCAAAGGAGGCTGGGATTGATCTCCGTCTGGGGCGGACAGCAAAGTCAGGCACGGCTTCGTCGACTCTTCACACTTTCTTTCCGCGAGCAAGGCGGCCTCATGTCGAGCGCCCACGTCCGTCCAAGCAGCTTTTCAGAATCCTCAACAGTCCGACGTGGGCGTACGACCTAGTCTGCCATCCTCTCCGACACTCGGTGTTGCAGCACTGGGCGCAGGTTCGCACACCCTCTTCTCACGCTCGTTCCGCGGTCGACGCGCTTGATCGGGCGCTTCACGATGGAATAAGCGCCCAGAGAATGACGCTCCGCAAGCTGACATTGTCATCGTCAATCACTGTCAGATTTCCGCGGCCCCCTCCCGTGTCGATCAGCAACTCCCACGCTCACTAAGCCGGCCTCGGCTTGTCCGAGAATGGCAGGCATTCTGGTGCTCAGAGGTGAGAATGGGTTGTCGGCTGGTCTTGATCGAGTCCTGACGATATGCTCCTGGACATGCACTGTAGCATCACATTGTGTGAGGGGAATGCAGGCACGTTGACGATGAGTCTATTCGCTCTCAGCCGCTAATTTGGTCCAGTTCTGCGCGGGGATTGGGAGCACCGCCCGCGGCCGGCCTGTCCGACGCCATTCTGGGGACTCGACTCGACCAAGCAATACGCTGTGGTGCTGGTCTATTTGAACGCCAACGTCGACGGTATCCAGCCCGAAGGAGGGAAGGAGCGCCCAATCTGTCATCGGCCCGAGGATGAGTGATTCATCTCGCGAGGCACTCAGTACTCTTTGCCTCACTTTCGAGAAAATGTCCTTCGCTTGACTGACCGAATGGCATCCCTGTCGGCCGGCATCCACCGCTGTTTGCTCTCTAAAGTATACCGGTACCCGCTGCGTTGGGCCAAGCCATGTCAGGACCCACAGCGGGCACTTTGCTCTGCCAGCTTCCGGCGCGCGCCTTCGCAGAGACTTCGATGAGACCTCCCCCTGCCTGCCATGTGCATTGCAAATCTCGTGAGACGTGAGACGGCGTCAAGGCTTGGATAGAGTTGCGGCATTGGTAGCGAGCAAGATGATGTGTTCGTGGAACGGCTGTGCCTGGATGGGCAAACACCGATGATTTGACGTCGGTCCTGCTGCCGCTGCCAATGCTCAACTTTATGATTTGTCCACGTGCCGTGAGCATAATGCTGCACCAAAGAACAGCAGCATTCTTCAGTAGCGAGCTGGCCCCGCGCAGGCACTCAAGCTACCGTGGGCGATATCCATCGCTTATTCTCTGATGACCCTTTGCCCAAGACTTGAGTTCACGAACAAGCTCCTTACGGCCCTCTCGAGACTCGAGGTGTTCTCCGCAAGCGTCGGCGTAGCGGATAGCACCGGGTCATTGTCACCGTAAGCTTGCCTTATCCTGGCCCGCCACTATAAGGTTTCAAGCTGGCTGCATTTGCATCGACACTTGGCATGGCATTCACTCTACTTCACGATCTCGCGCCACTGAGATCTTACTGCCCTCGGTGGCGTGGAGAGTTGAAGATCGCGATCCCGGCTTTTCAGTCAGGTACGATCTCGCCTGCAATCGAATCGGCAGCGCATTGCAAGCGTGACCCTCCTCAACCTTCGTCGCTGTATCAGCGTAGCGCTCCAATTGCGAGGGGCCCTGAGGCAGTCAGTACGCGTACGACGCCTACCGAAGATCCGGCTGCCCCTGCTTCCCACCGCTTGAAGCGAGAGCAACACAAGAGACGCGCTCTTTGGTAAGGTAGCCAACATTTTGTCCCAATCGAGATCGAGTGAGATGCGAGGTGGGAGCGCAGCGGCCCGAAAGAATTCGTTCACCTACGACTGCACGGCTCACGATGATGCGTCTGTGTGCGCCACGATCTTTCACTAGGTTTTGCCATCCTCCTGACTGCGCATGTTGGGCAGGCGAAATGGCAGTGATCGAAGCTGGCCAACGTGGTAGATGAGAATGGGCTGAAACGACAATCAAGAAAGTCGGCAGGATCACACATCACACTTTTCATCGATTAGTTGACGATGTCAGGGCTTTGCGAGGACGTTCTGGGATCGTCTGCGAGAGAAGAGAGACAGGACGGGAGAAGATTCTCGGACAGCAGGCCGCATTGCATTCTCTTTTCTTGGATTGACAGATCTGAACAGGAACGAAGAATATCGTTGGGACACGAGGGCGACAAGAGTAGGAGAAGCCGTGGCTTCCTAGTGACGCGGAGGCCTGTGTCCATTACCAGGTGGGCGTCCCTGCTGAGCCTGAGGCAGATGACCCCACTGCGTCACCTGCCCACCGTACAGCACCCCCGGCGAGGGTAACGTAGGGGCAGGGCCCGGTGGGCGAGGCGGCAGCCCAGAGCTGGGGCCAGGTACAGCCGCTGGCATCGGGGGCCGTGGCGGAGGAGGTCCAGGCGGCGTCGGAACGGCAGCTTGGGTGCTACTGTCAGAATTGTCGCCGCCATCACCAAGCGAGCTCAGCAGAGACTTGAGCAGGCCCGGGTTGCTAGCGAGCAGGGAGGTGATGTCGGCTTGCGGAACTGACGAGAGGGCCGCCGCCGCTGTGGATGAAGAGGTTCCCGCATTACTGCTCGAAGAAGCGGCCGCCTCGCTGGCCCCGCTGTTCAGGGCACCGAGGACCGCGGCTATATCGTTTGACTGCCCTTCAGCCGCATTATCTGCTCGACGTGGGTCGTGAGGTGGAGCAGAGGGCTTACAGCCGTTCGATCCGGCGGAGCGAGGGTCTACAGCGGAACTTGGCTGTGATGGAGGAGATACCCCACTGCCGCCGCCGCCGAGGTTCCTGAGGAGGTCTTGTAAGTCGCTCGTCGATGTACCAGCGAGCGGACCAGCTGGCGAACGGTTGACTTGAGAAGGCAGCGAGGTAGAAGATGAGACAGGCGGCGTCGACGTCTTGGCTTTGAGGGTACCCTTAAACACCACAGCCACCAGCAGGAACATGTCAGCATCCCTCTGCTGCTCCTTACCCAGCAACGATACCGGACCGAGCAGCTCCAGCCACTGCGGAATCGGTGCATCTTTAGGTAGAGGGGCAATGTAGAAGTCCTTGATGACCTTTCCCTTCGTCTCGCGCGAAGGAAGCAACACTCCATAGCGCTGTCGACGATACAAGTAGTTGAGGAGCTGATCGAACGACGCATCCAAGGCGCCAGGGCTGGTCGGGCTTGGCGCCGGAGCCTTCTTGAGTGCTTCCGGTTCGAATGACTTTTCCAAGGCGAATACGACGAGCTCTGTACGAGAGGCGAGGCGACTCTGAAGCAGATAATCGCTTGCCACATTGCTAGGCAGGCGTCCTTCGAGAACCGTAGAGATCGAAGGGAAGAAGCTGCTGCCTGCTGAGTGTACTTCCATGCTGCGGCCTGCGACTTGTCTGACCGTACCACTGATGGTGAGCGCCTCGTCCGGCATGGTGATGGCGCCACGCCAGAAGAGAGGAAAATCTTCTAGTGGTGTAGTGGACTTGGGAGATGGCCCCCCCTTGGTGTTCTCAGAGGTTGATGCTACCACCTCAACGTCTGCAGTCGACCTCTGCGGCGATGATATGCCCTGGAGGAAATTGTCGATGAAGTCATCGGATGCCTTTGATGGCTCGTATTCTTGATGATTCCTCTCGTCCTGCGACACCTCCTTCCCACCCTCCTCAGCCTGGTTGTCGTCTTCATCCTGGTGGCGATCCTGTAGCGACTGGTCGTTTCTGGGCCCGCCTTGCCAGACAGTCGAGAAGTCAAAGCTTGGGACACGCGGTGAAGCATCGTGTTGCCGGCCACGCACAGGGCTTGCCGACATGGGCTTGATTTCGTCTCGAGGTGTAGGTGATCGGTCGTCCGCTACCACGACGCCTGACGGGCTCTGTCCGCCATCGAGACCACCTACGCCAGTCGACTGTCCCGCACCTCTTCCTCCATTCTTCGCGCCAAAATTGTCGCTCAGAGGCCCCGCATTTTCCCTCTCAACCTCTACCTCTCCCTTGTGCGTAATCTTCCTGATGGGTCCCACCTGCTGCTGCTTGAGCACACTCTGTCTCAAGGCCTCTTCTCTAGCCTTCTCTGTACGAGCACGCATGGCAGCATTCGCCAATTGCTCGCTCGGTAGCGTCGCAAGCGTGTCAGCGTCGAGGTCTCCAGCGACGATGCGAGCGCGCAATTCTTCATTGCGATCTCTCAAACTGAAGGACAGAGTACGGAAGCGGTCCTTGTATGCCTTTTGAGCTGTACGGAGACTGGGACGACCTAGAGCTGCCTCTGCAAATGCTTCGAACACTCCCCCCTCGAGCTGCTGCGCGTATATCTGAGCCGCTGCGTCTGGTGATGGAGACGATGGAGACGTTGATTCTGCTCCTCCTGCCTCCGCAAAGATCGTCTTCAAGATGCCAGCGAAGTGAGACGTGGCGTGCGCTCGAACGGCATCACTCTGAGCATCCCTACCGCCAGAAGAGGAGGAGCCACCTTTCGATGACGATGATGCCGCGGAAGCGCCCGAATGGGACGGCTTGCGACGCTTGTGGCCATCGTCGGTGCTCACGCTGGCCTTGCGTTTGGCAGGCGGCGAGGCACTATCGATCTTCGTCTTGCTGGTCATTGCCTTGTTTGAGTCACCACTTTGGTTCACTGGAGAAGGGTGCCGAGGGTGGATGGTCAGTTTCGACTTCAGAGGCGTGATGGATCATATGAAAGCGCCAATGCGGATGAGGGAAGGAAATACGAGACTGACAGCCGTTTGAGCATGGCCTGTCAATGTGCGAGTAGGCAACCTGCTGCCACCCACGCGTCGTGACGAGCATCACAGAGTGGAGCGACGTAGAAAGGATCTTGGTCCTCGAGATTGAGATGGTGAGCTCGCCCTGCGGTCGAAGCAGCACGCCGGCGATGGCGTTGTTCGCCAGCGCTTCCATCGCTCGCTGCGTGCGACGCAAGACAGCAAGCCGTGGGGCCGAGGCAGCAATGACGAGGCACAGACTACTCTATCGGACAGACGATGAATGACATTCTCTCTTCTAGCCCAAGTACGACGGTGACCGACACATCTGCGTAGTCTCCCGCCTTGATGGGGCGTAGCGCCTCGACGACGAGGGCAATGATGAGGAAGGCTCTGCTCGAATCGGTACTCACTTCTTGATCCCTCGCCCGTCTTCTCTGTGCAATCCGGACACCTGTACTCGTCCAGCTTATCCAACGTCTTCTTAGTGAGGCCAACGCAGGCGGTGTGGAACCTGTCAACGAAAGCAGCGGGGCATAAAAGGTCAATATCGCTCGTCTGAAGCGATGCCGATATACTGGCGCATGAGCTTACTTACCAGTCATCGCATCCGCCTGCGCACCACACCATTGGTCTTCCATCATCTCCACTTCGGCATACGCAGTACACTGCCTCGTCTTCGTCGTCTTCCTCATCTCCTTCATTCTTGTCTTCCGCGATCGCAACGTCAGTCTTGCTGCCTTGAGGCTCAGACGGAGCATGCGATGTAGCCCTCTCACTACCTGCGTGACTCGTACCCCTCTGTCGCCTCTCCGTGTTTGCCTCTTCGGCCTTCTTGGTCGGCTGACGCGTCCTAGCACCTCTTCTGAGCTGAGGCGCTTCTGACCCTTCTGCCATAGCTACGATACGCGTGCACGCTGATGCTGCAACAAGGGAAGTCAGTGGTCCGTCGTGGTTGTACGCGGTCGATGGTCAAGATGAGCCGGTTGCTCAGCGAGGCTGAGCGGCGGCGGCATCCTGTCGTCCTGGTCCTAGCGTGTCATGCATGGCCTTGGGTCCTCCGGGCGGGGCGGCTCAGCGCGCGCAAACCACGTGGCGCCGAGAGCAGAGTCGACGTCTGGGCTCGAGACCACCCGAGGGCGCCCGTCGGCCCGCCCGCCTCGTTGTCGCGAGGAAAGGGCGGCGACGGCAAGGAGCATCAACCTTCGACGTTGCTCGCCATTGGTCATCACCATCAGATCTTCCACCTCCTCATAGCGAAGCCTGCAATCATGTCGGCTCGCTTCCTTGTCAACAACGCTTTGCGAAGAGGGGCAGCAGCCCCCAAGGCGCCGCGAGCTTCGGTCGCTCTCCCTCGTACCCTGGCCACTGCCGCTTCTCGATTCGTTCGTATCGTCGGCCAAGCATCGACAAGAGCAGCCAGAATCGTTCATGCTGACAGCTGCACCATCTTCCACCCCTCTACTTGCAGCCCTCAACTCAAACAACAGTCCTCTCAAACGGCCTGACTGTGGCTACCGAGTCGAACCCGTCTGCCCAGACAGCCACTGTTGGAGCATGGATTGACGCCGGCTCGCGAGCTGAGACTGATCGCACTAACGGCACGGCTCACTTCCTTGAGCACATGGCCTTCAAGGGTGTGTAGCAACGGGATTAGGCGCCTGATTACCGACAGTAATTGACATTCTTTGCCCCTCATTCTCACAGGCACCGGACGACGCTCGCAGCACGCCCTCGAGCTCGAGGTCGAGAACCTCGGCGCTCACCTCAATGCCTACACGTCGCGCGAGCAAACAGTCTACTACGCCAAGGCTTTCCGCAAGGACGTAGACAAGGCTGTTGACATCATCTCTGACATTCTCCAGAACTCGAAGCTCGAGACGTCGGCCATCGAGCGCGAGAGGGACGTCATCCTCCGCGAGCAGGAGGAGGTTGACAAGCAGAATGAGGAGGTCGTATTCGACCACCTTCACTCCGTTGCTTTCCAGGGACAGCCTCTGGGACGTACCATCTTGGGCCCCAAGCAGAACATTCTCTCGATCAAGCAGTCGGACCTCGCCGAGTACATCAAGTCAAACTACTCGGCTGACCGCATGGTCCTTGTTGGCGCCGGTGGTGTCGATCACGACGAGCTCGTCAAGCTCGCAGAGAAGCACTTCTCTGGTCTCCCCGTCTCTTCGAGCCCACTCGGCAAGTCGTCTTCATCTTCGGCTACCAAGTTCGTTGGCTCCGAGGTCCGCATTCGTGATGACACGCAGCCGACGTGCAACTTCGCCATTGCCGTCGAGGGTGTCAGCTGGTCGTCCCCGGACTACTTCCCCATGCTCGTTCTGCAGAGCATCATGGGCAACTGGGACCGTGAGTAGCAGCGCAAAACAAGATGGTGTGTTCGTCGCTGAACCTTTTCGTCTACCTCCCCATGCCACCAGGCTCCCTCGGCTCCTCTCCCCTTCTCTCATCCCGCCTGAGCCACATCGTCTCGTCCAACAACCTCGCCAACAGCTTCATGCACTTCTCGACTTCCTACTCTGACACCGGTCTCTGGGGTGTCTACATGGTTTCTGAGAACTTCGGCCAACTGGACGACCTGGTTCACTTTACCCTCCGCGAATGGCAGCGTATGTCGACCTCCCCTACCGAGGGAGAGGTAGAGCGCGCCAAGAATCAGCTCAAGGCATCTCTCCTCCTCGGTCTCGACGGGTCGACGGCAACGGCAGAGGACATTGGACGTCAGCTGGTCACTGCAGGCAAGAGGAAGACCCCGCAGGAGATCGAGGCTGCCTTGGAGGCTATCACGCCTGCGGATATCCAGAGGGTGGCTAAGAAGTACCTCTGGGACGCCGATATCGCTATTGCTGCTACTGGGCAAGTGGAGGGACTCCTCGACTACAACCGCATCCGTGCGGACATGTCGTCGATGGTCTGGTAAAGGAGGGAGAGCAGCATACAGGGTCGGAAGGATGGATATTCAGCGGAGCGGCGAATTGGCTGCGTGTAGAGCTGACGAGGCCGCAAAAGCGGTGCAGCCTCTTGGACAGGATCACAGGAAATGACATAGCTTCACTTCGATACAATGCCGCCGCTGTATGTCTGAGATTGCTCGATGAAATGGCTCTCCCGCGAAATCTGTCATCGTCGTTGACCACATTCATCACGAAGGTGCTTTCCACGTTCGCACCAGAAAATCATCTGGCCCAAGCGCGTCCTCGGTCCATTCGTCTCCGCGTTCCGATTGGATCGCTCCTGCTTCTCTTCAATCCCATTTCATTTAGGGGTACAGCTCACCTCCTGTCTTCCCAAGCGCCGAGATGGAAGGCGCGATGGCTATAGAAGACGAAGAAATGACAGACAGCATGGCCTGTCCTTCCTCCGCTACACTCGTCTCGTCTGCTTTCACTCCCTCCTCTGAGCGCCGGCGACTGATCGAACAGAGCAACTGCGCAGCTAGCAGTAAGCCGGACACGATGCCCCCGCCGCAAAAGAATGGCATGGAAGCTCAATCTGCAAGGTCGCCCCACATTTCGATGAAGGTCATCATCATCAATCGCCTGCCCAAGGCAATAGCACCGATCCCAGTCCAGCCGCGCTCTGTAGAATCGCAGCAAGGGGAGGAAGCCACCAGTCTTCCAGAGCTTGGGGAGAAGGCCTCCGTCTGCCCTGCAGCGACAAGTGATTCCCCAACCGTCACACTGAACCTTGGCAAGGAGTACCTGCGCAGGAGGAAGCTCACCCTCGACCTCTGCATGGTCGATGCCGGCACAGCCAACTTGAGCTCATCCAGCGACAATACTAGGTGCAGGGTGACCCTGCGATGTTTGGGTTCGAACGGAAGCAGTCATCGCTGCTCCAGTCGCCATTGGCGCCTCGCTGCCGTCTCCCTCCCTTCTGCCGCAGCCGGCTCAGCCTCGACGTTGGCATCACCGCCCTTCTATGCGCTGCAAACAATAGCCGGGCCCCACCTACACGTACTCCTTCTTCCCTCTCGCGCTACCGCAAGCTGGCAATCTAATCTACCGTCCTCGTGGCCTATATCCTCTCTATGCTTGCCCGGCACTCACGAAACACTCGCACGGTACGGCTGGCCCATCACGAAATGCCAATCCCTCGCCGCGGTCACTGGTGCCCAAGTGAAAGCCGGCATACGCTGGATGGACTTTCGTGTCACGCCCAAGGGCGAGAAAGGCAAGGAGAGGCTATTGGCTTATCATGGATCGACAAGCCAGCGGATTGAGCTGGGTGCGGCGCTGCAGCCTATTTACGATTGGTTGTCTAGCGACGGAAAGAAGGAAACGCTCATCCTCTCGCTGAAGCCCGAAGGTGGGGCCTCTTCAGCAGACGTCGAGCGCTTGCTCTACTCTCTCTACATCACTGGCGAGATCCGGGTCAAATTCTGGTGGCTAGACAACCGCATCCCTACCCTCGGGGAAGCTCGCGGTAAGCTAGTACTCTTCTCCCGCTTTGGAGGCGGCAACGACCAACCTGGTGGGATCCATCCGCCCATCTGGCCGGACAACTTCAAGGGACATTTTGCCTACTCGCTGCCCACGGCGGGTCAAGGTGTGGTCACGCAGGACTGGTACAAGATAGGTGGGAGCTATAAGGAGATACCTACCAAGTTTGGGTTGGCTACAGAGCTGCTGACGTTGGACCACCCAGCGCCCCTGTCCAATCCGGACGGTACGCCTCGAGATCCGTCAGAGAAGCCAGCATCTGGGCCGGGACCAGCGTCGGATCCAACCAAACTGGTGATCAATTTCCTCTCTGCCTCGTCTGTTCCCCTTGCCCTACCGCCTTTGATCGCAAAGGGGTTCGGTTGGACAAGCAAAGCGGTCCCTCCATGCTTGAGGGTGCAGGGGATGAACAGCAAGATGGCGGGATGGGTTGCTGACCGATTGGTGGCCGAGGCCACTGCGCCAGGGAAGGCTGAAGGGAAGGAGGAGCATGTCGGTGCATTGGACAATCTGCAGTGCACCTTTCCCACAGACTTCTACGATGATGATACCCTACCCGACGGCGTGGGAGGAGGCAACGATGGGAAGACTGGGTTGCTTGTCTCGCTGCTGATTGAGGCCAACTTCACGCGGGCTGCCAATACAAAGCTAGCTGACGACCAGAAGACAGCGGGGGCCAAGGCAGGCTGGCTACCCAGTCTGGGTCTGCCATGGACCGGCGCCGGAGCAGCAGCAAAGCACGAGGCGATGACGAAAGACGGCGCTGGGCTGTGAACAACAGCGTGTCTAGAGTAGCCAGGTGGTGTGAGAGGGCGTATCGTACCGGAGACCGCATCGCGTTGCCCACCCTGCCTGCATTTTCTCTCGACAGGCCGCACAGCAATGGATCCGCAATCACGATACATCAGCACAGAGCATGAAATCTTTCGAGAGTGATGAAGAGCGAGGATTCAACAAGGGACAAGAAAGAAAGGCGAGGGGCAGAGAGGGGAACCGAGATGCGAATGCGTGTGTGCTAGGCAGAGGTGGTGAGGGGGAGAATGGGTACGATGCCAGCAGGCCCGCTCAACTCCTAATCTTGATCCCCCGATCAACTGCCGCCGCGCCAATCCTAGCCCCTGCGCCGCGCCCGCTCTTATCCACATGGTCCAAGCCCAGCACATCCTCTGGCAGGAACTTATGCTCGTACAGCACATCCTCGTCCTCCAAGTACGCCGGCTGCTTGAATGTTGCAGACTGACAAAGCGCAAAGCGATACTTGGCAAAGTCCTTCTCTGACACATCGAGGCGAGCCTGCAACCTTTGCCTCGTGTCCGCGAACTTCTCGCCTGGCTTAACGACAAGCTTGAACGGCACGCCGTGGGTACGCGCCACGTCCTTGCTGAAGTGGAAGACGTTAATGATCTTGTCGTCTTCGCTTGCCTGGATCTCCTCGACCGGGATCTCCTCGGCGAACAAGTCGACCGACTCTGGTATGTTGCCAATCATGTCCGTCGGCTGGTACTCGCGCTGCTGCCTGTAGGCGCAGGCAGAGGGGACCTCGAAGATGCGTATCTTCCTCGACCCATTCTCTGTTAGGGTCACAACCTTGGAGAGGTGCTCGCACAGGTCGTGGACGCTGCTCGTCTTGGGGAGGAGGAAAGGATGTACGGCTTCTTCCTTATTATGTGCGCCGGTCCAGTAAATGCGCAGGGAACGCTTCGTCTCGAGCTCGACGATGCTGATGTCAAGGAGCTCGTAGTAGAGGAGGGAGGCTTGCCCTTGCAAATATGAAGGGCTGACTATCTCACTGACAGTCTGGTTGGCCGTGCGCTTCAGTACCGTCTTCGGTGTTCCGTTGGGCCCGTTGCCAGTCGTGAAGCGCAGCATCAATGGCTGGTGCTTGAGACGATCTGCCACCTTGTTAGCCATGGTGTCGTAAGTCATCTTCTTGCTCAATGTCATCTCGAACTCCTGCTTGTACTCTGCATCCTCGGAACGAGGCTTGAAGAGGACCTTGATCTGGTTCTGCAGGAAGTCATAGAACTGAATCGGGTTCGAGTAGAGGGACTGCATCTCGTAGTCTTGAGCGTCCTTGTCCGAGATGTCGACCTGGAAGCAAATCACATCGCCGTCCTGAATCTCGCTCTGGGCGAAGGTAGCCTTTGACTTCATCTGCTCGATCATGCCTGGCTTGATCTCCTCGTAGAGCTTGATCTGCGTCTGCGGTGTCCATCGCATCAGCTCATTGATCGTCGGTATGAGATCTGAGACCTTCTGATTGCGGTTGACGTAGACTCGGCCCTGACCAGTGAGAGTCTGCCTCGAGACGTCAAAGTACTTGAGGAAGATCATCAGCGGCGGCGACTGAGGATCAGAGGCTGGCGGTCGCATCTCCGGGGTGACAAGCTCGAGGAAGAGGCGCAGATCGTTCTGCCTTGATGCCATGCGATCTCTGACCATCTCGAGCGTGAGGCTCGTGTCGTTCTCCGGCACGACAGTGTCCGGACGAACAGTCTTGTTCTGGCGATTGACGAGGACCCAGAGACGGAATGCCTGTGGTGAGAGATTGTACTCTTGCGCTAGGCGATTCTTGAACGTAAGGTAGGGCTCGTTCTTGAGGACGCGGAATGAGGGCAGCTCGCTGGTCGGCAGGTTGCGCTCCTCGAACGTCGCCAGATCGAAGCCCTGGTGCACGCGGAATGTTTCCTCGGTGATGATTTTCGTCGTGAGGTAGAGATGCTGCTCTTCCCTCTCCCTCTTCCTCGCCTCGAGCTGCAATCGCTCTTCCTCCAGTCTCTCGCGCAAGTAGCGCGGCGTGTCCTCCTCGACAAAGGGCTTGAGGATCTCGTCGGCCATCGAGTCGCGAACGTACACGAGCATGTAGGCATTGGTGAAGCGCTTCATTGCGCGAACAGGGGCTCGTACGCCGGTCTGGCCCATGTGTCCATTGGGATACTCGCCGCCAAAGTTGTCCTCGAGCACCTCTCGCTCCAGCACCCTCGTCACGCGATCGTCATCGAACTTGAACCAGCTAGAGTCCTTCTCCGGCTTGATCAGCGTGAAGTAGTGCCCACCGTGCAGGTCACCCGAGTGGACGAGCACACCGTGCAGGTTGTACTTCCAGTCTTCGCCTCTTGCGGGCGTGTCTTGGTCGAGGTAGTCTGCGAGGTCGATCTGCATAGGGAATTCGTGGCGGTCATTGATCTTGACCATTGCGTCCTTCTCAATATCGTATTCAAAGCGCTTGAGTTGGAGGTGTAGGACCGGCGGGAACTTTTGGAAGATGACGCCTAGCGTAGCGAGAGGGAGAAGGACTGGTCAGCATACGCTCGCTCGCCTAGTCGTGGACAGCGGGGGCTGCCGTACCCTTCTTGGCGTCCTGCAAGCCGTAACCCTCAGCGTGGTACTTGTTGTCCCCCTCAAGCATCTCCGTCTGAATGTAGTCCTTGAACGACTCTTCGAGCGTTTTCATCCCCTTGACGTTGAGTTGAATGTCGTAGAAGTCCTCCTCTCTGGAGCTCTCATAGTCAACATTGACGCAGCGCAAGTAGCTCTTCATCCTCCCCACGAATAGTCTTGTGATGGCTCCATCAGCCGCGGTGCCCTTCATCTTGGACTCTAGCTTCTCCTGCAGCACGCGATTGAACTCCTGCACGTCATGCTGGAGGAATGAGTCTAGCGACTTCCACCCAAAGGACTTAGTCAGCTCCGTCGTCCCCACGGGCTGATCAGACGACTGGAGCAGGTAAAAGACGCGCTGCAGCGCCAGTGCGACGCTTTCTTGCGGGATGTCGTTCTCTGTCGGAATCTGATAAACTGCTCTGCGGAAGTAATTTGTGAAGAAGAGGGACTGAAGGAGCGAGTTCATGTAGCAAGTGGCTCCTTGGTTCTTGAGGCCGACGAAGCCCGTCTCCTTTTTGGAGTCGTAGTTGATGAAGTTGTGCCAGAGGACGCCTGTCGGGTCCTTGAGGACTCGCACAAAGGCAGACACCTTTGCGCAGTCTCCCTCGATAATTGGTCTCGGGTGACCATTGCTTGTTGATGTGAGTTTGCGCAGCTCGTTGAAGCGCGTGAAGCCCCTGTCGCGAAGACGAGAGATGAGGAAGGTCAGAAGAGAGCTCGCGAATAGGAGACAATCATCCGCTCTTGCTCACCAGTCCATCTCCTCTGCAGTGAATCGATGATGAGCCTCTGCAAGATCGCAAGAAGGGGCGAAAGGACGGCGAGAACTGTGAGCAAGTGGCATCGAGCACCCAATCATCTTAGCGCCCGCCACTCACGGCTTGTTGAATAGATGCGAGGATCGTTGGGGTTGGAGATGACGAGGGCGAATTGCGCGCAGACGTGCCAGCCCTCTTCGCGCTTGGTATCAGCATAGTCGAGGTAGACGGAGACCATGTCATTGGGTTGTCCATTGGAGTTGCCAAAGGGAAAGAGGAGGATGCGCCTAGTCAGGTGAGGGCGAGGGCGAGGGCGAGGGCGAGGACAAGGTGATAGGGAGGGTGTCAGAATGGACAGATCGGAGTAGAGGCTGAAAGCGCCTCTCGTTCGCTCTTGACTCACCACTTGTGACCGCCACACTCGAAGACAGGACTGGTGAGTCTCTTCTCCAATCTAGGCCATCCAGCCACATCCCAGTGGAAGACTTTGAAATCGTCTTCTTCTTGGGCGAGATCAGCGAGGTGCTTGGTACCAAAGGCGTGCTCTGCGCGAGACAAGGCAGGGCGTTGCAGGTGATCAGCATTGCTCCCACCGCATGCATGAGGACTATCATCGCTACCCACCCTCTGTAACTGGAATGATCTCATCGACGTCCATGGGCGTCATTGGCTTGCCATCCTCAACGGGCGTGACGACGGCCTGTGATGGATCGAAGTTGTGCGCCTGCGATTGGGGAGCATGGGGTGAGTACGTCTCTTCGTCGATAGGGCGCTTCCCCATATGCTTCTCTTGGTAATGCGCAGATGGTCTTCTCGCGCTCACCATGTTGTCAGGTCAGGGCCACAGGCCTGGGAGATGAAGTGACTAGGTTGGTGCGATAGGTACGGCGCTCTACCGTAGCGATCCCTTCCTGTGCGTCGCCAAGATGGAGCACTGGGTCGCGACTCTAAGAGTGTTGAACGGGCCCGGCGCTCGGCTCTGACGAGATGAGGATGATGAGGAGGAAGAGAGGTGACTTGGGACGACGCGCGGTGAAGAGACGATGACGGAGGCGAGTTCGCGATGCTGTTCACCGGCGAGAGTGCGATGCAGCTGTCGAAGTACGGTGAGGTACTGAAGTGTCGTCGAGTACGCAGCAGCCTATCGTCGTCGATAAGGGCGTGGCGGGTAAAGGCACGAAGCGATGGTTGGTGTCGACGATGTAGCCGCCTGGCGTCCACTTTCTCTCCCGCCCCGGCTCCCAAGAGAGGCTGCTCGACTCGTGGCCTGAGCGTGGCGAGCGACGGACGACACGAAGCTCAGCGGACGGAGAGAGGTGGCTGGCACTCGGCCTGTGTCAGGCCAAGGCTAGCGACTGAGTGCGCGCCGAGCTTGACAGTCTCAGCGGGGGCCAAGCCACGCGGCAAGCGTTCGTTCATACCACCAGGCGTGCGAGGTATTGCCTGATGATGAGCAGCACAGAGTGCGCAATGAGACGGCAACAAGTCGCCCCCAATCGGGAAAGAAGTCAGAGAGTCAATGGTCTATCATGTCGTGATGAATTTGTTGGTACATAAAAGACAAAGCTCAAGGCTTAGCAGTCGTCTTCTTTCTCAGCCATGGCGCCGCCCTGAGGAGCTACTCCCCGACCTCTCCGTCCCCTTCTCCATCATCATCCCCTCCATCATCATCTCCCTCTTCCCCGTCTGCTTCCTCCTCCCCTTCTTCATCAATTGCCGCCTCCAGCCAGTGATCGTAGTACACACAGCTCGCGTTGACCGGCCCTCCAGGCCTACAGAAGTCAAAAACCGGGCATCTGGCACAAGGCGCCTCAAAGAAGCCTTGCTGCATGCCCGTGTCCTGTGCAAGAGCTCGATAGACCCAGAAGTCGTCGCGGTTGACCAGAGGACCAGAGGCAGCGACGTAGTCGAAGTCGACCGCGTCATCCTCGGGTTTCGGTGAGGGGGTGAGCACGCGTGACTTGGCTTTTCGTGAGTTGGACTTGCGGGAGCGCCCGTCGTCGCTACTGGACGTCTCTTCCTCCGAGTCTGAGCTTGATTCAGGGTCGCTAGAGACCGAGTCGCTATCGTCGCGGCGAGAGCGTGAGCGAGACTTTCGGCCTTTCTTTTCCTTCTTCTTGTCCCTTTTCTTCTTGCTGCTGCTGCTGCTGCTGCCACCACGCTTCGATGACTTCTTCTTCTTCTTGCTGCTGCTCTTACTGGACCCTTTCCTCCTCTTCTTACTCGACTTCTTGGAGCCTCCCTTGCGCTTGCGCTTGCGCGATCCACCATCACTGCTCTCACTCGTGTCGCTGTCCCCATCCGTAAACTCTGCCTCGGACTCATCGTCGCTATCCTCGCTCGCAGACGACTCCGAGTCGCTTTCATCCGAAGATTCTGCCGTGTCAGACTCGCTGTCGCTCTCGTCGGAGTCGTCTTTGCGGCGACGCCTCTTCTTTGTGTCCTTCTTTGACGACGAGGAGCGCTTCTTGCTACTACTGCTGCTCGATGACTTCTTCTTGCGCTTGCTTCTGTCGTCCTCTGATTCGTCGTCGCTGTCTTCGTCGTCGTCAGTCTCCCTCTTGGCCACCTTGCCCTTGCCGCCTCCATTCACCTTGCTGCTCGTGGCGTGTCCTGCCCCTCCATCAGCGGAGGCTAGCGCATACGCTCCATCCATCATCGGAATCTTCTCAATCTTCTCATCATACACCAACGTCTCGAGCAGATCCTGAATATCGCGCACGGCGAGTGTGGCCGAAGTGATTGCGCTTGCCTTGATCTGCTCCAGGATCCTGCCAGCCGTAGGCAGATGCCTTGCATAAGCCGATGGATACAGCTTGCGCTCCCCTCTGGCCCCATTCGGCTTAACAGCCCAAGTCTCCTGCTGAATGTAATGCAGACACCATTTGCCTAGCGCATGGATCAGCCCTGTGTCGAGCTCATTGTCCGTGTACCATGCTCCGCCAGAGAGCTCGATGGAGGGTTCGAGCTCGCGGAGCATGTAAATCTTGCGTGTGGGATTCTTGACTGATTTGACTGTCTTGATGAGGTCGCGGCTCTCAAGAGATTTGACGGCGCGGGTCAGCACGGCTTGGTGTAGATTGGTCTTAGACTTGAGAAGTTTCGTCCAGATGCCTTCTGTGCTTGCATCGCGAATCTGATTGTAGATGAGGCGCTGCGGACGTGAGGCGGAGGAGAACGATGGGAGTCTAAGTACGGATTCGACGCCCTATGAATCGCCCAGGATAGGAGGTCGTAGACTCACCTCGTCCGGCTCAAGACCACCCATCATGCTAGCCTGTGCTGTGCTGCTCGCAACGTAGAAGACCTTCTTGTCCCTGTCCATCTGCAGTCTGAAGAGGGACTGTCAGGAGCGAGACGCGCAGCGTGGAGAGGATGATGATGGGTGAGTTGATGCCGTTGCGTTTGCAACGAGGATGTCCAAGCGTATGCTCACCTTCTTCATGAGCGAATTGATAATCTCGAGCATCTCGTGCGTATTGATATCTTCGAAGCGTTGCAGCAGCTCATCCTGAGCGAGGGTCTGCGGGCATTTAGGAATATCAGAGAGATGGTCATTATGGGTCCTCAACTACACCAGCTTGCGATGCTCTCGTGTACGCACGCTCTCCTTGGCCTTGAGGACAGCATTGTGGACCTTCTTCTCCACCGACGACAAAGCCTTTGATCCCTTTGAGCTGCTCCCGCTGCCCGAGGCGGCTGATGACGACGGCATGATGGCTTCCGCCGTACCAAGTCAGTCGTAGATTCGCGTAGAGGGGTATCAATGGCTACGACGACGGGATCGATGGCGAAAGGATGGAAGGGGAGGATCAATCGACGGCTGCTCAGTGTGACTTTCCTGTTGAGCCCAGCCCGCCCGCGTTGGATGGCTTGCTTGCCGCCTCTGTCCGTCCTTGGGCGATTTTTGGTCGCGGCTGCGTCGTGGATGAGCCACGGAAGGCGGCGAGGGCGGGAAGAGGGAGGCCAAGCATTGAAATTGCTCAGCGGTGCATTTACTCGTCCCTCGTCCATTAGTAATAATGGCGTCCAGGGCCTCTTCATCACGGTTGCTCGTCTGTGGCAGGCTAGTGACGTCCCAGCGCACACGGCATAGTCGGGCAGCATCGACTCGAGCCGCTCAGCTGGCATCGGCGGCTTCCGTATCGCAACATCAGTCGTCCTCTGAACTTCCTCCTCTGCCAGTCCATCCCTCGCAATATCTCGGCATCAACGCTGGCCAAGAAGATGGCCTCGATCCCGACGACCCATCAGCATCGTATACCTCAGCACAACTACGACTCAGTCCGCTTGGGCGCCTATCCAAATGGCAAGACGGCGGGCCCCGTACCCTCCCCCGACCTCTACTGGAGGCCGTGGAAGATGAAATTCGCGCGGGCAATGGCAAGCTCATCAGGCGAGATCTCAAGGGGGTTCTTTCCCATTCAGACGATGCAGTAGACATGGCTGCACCGATCAAGAATTCAAGGCAAGCCCTGCTCTCTCTCGCGAAAGATTCGGCGCCACGCTATGCCGCTATCCGCCAGGTCCTGGGAACGGTGGACCGACGCCTCTCAAATGGCGGCGAGGCGACTTCATGGTCTCCAAAGCACATCATCGACGTTGGCAGTTCAAGAGCTGAGGGTCTCTGGGCAGCGGCGGACGTCTGGCCTGATCATCTGGCTAGCTGGACGGGCAAGGAGTCATCCACTGCGAACATCAAGGTGGCAAAGAGCCTCCTTGCCCGCAATGGGGAAAGGGAGGAACCTCACGCTGTCCATCGGATCAAGGACAAGAGATTCGAGACGCTCAGAGAGGGCGCCGGTAATGCGGGCGCAAGACCGGACGAGCCGGATCGCACTTTGGTGCTTTCGTCACATAGGCTATTGAGCCTGCCTTCGGACTCCCACAGAGAGCAGCACGTCAAGTCGCTCTGGCGCAGTGGGGCAGAGACGATCGTCTTGATTGAGGACGGATCTGACAGAGGATTCGCGGCAATTGCCAGCGCAAGGGCGCTCTTGCTCGAGCTAGGCGAGGAAGACAAGCAAACGGCAGAAGCTGAAGCCGCTATTGAGGCTGGACAGGAGGCGCCGCTACCTTCTCGCCAGTACGCGGGACGCGAAAAGCTCGTCCTGAATGGGGTCGAGTTTTTCGAGGAGCGACCGGAGGATCGTCAGCCTGACAGCAACGCCAGCACTGCCAACTCATCGGTCACTAGTCCCTCGCGTGCCCTCGGCAGCTGGGTAGTCGCCCCCTGCCCACACGATCGACCATGCCCACTTTTGCACCCCTTCTCTCTCACCCAACCACACGAAGCCCGCGCCACCCCCACGCACAAGGAGCGATCCCGTCTCTCTCATCACCATGAGGCCGAACATGTTGGGCTGTCCGCCTGCGTACATCCTGTGCGCTTCCTCCCGCCGAGGTGGTCGACGCATGAGGTTGTGGAAAAGAGGAGAAGGCAAAGAGATCGGGGAGGGAGGGAGGAAAGGAGTGCTCGCATTGCATATGTGGTGGTAAAACGCGGCGACAGGCCTACGGTGCAGAGCTTGGGAACGAAGGAGGAGCGCTTGGCGGCCGTGGGAGCTGCCAGGAAGGGCAGGATGGGGGTGCTCGATGAGCTCAGGAAGGGCGAAGCGGTACCGAGACGGTTGCCGGAGGACGTCGTCGGGGAAGGAGAGGATGCTGACCCTCTCTCAGGACTGGCGGGGGATGAGGAAGCGCAGCGAGAGCTCCTCAAGCTACTGCCCAATGCGCTCAAGGAGGCTGGAGCTAGCGGCGAGGAAGGAGAAGAGGCTCTTCGTCAGGTCATGGCGCAGATGGCTGCTCTGCAGCAAGGTAATGCAAAGGGAGAAGACGTGTGGGCGGCTAGTGGCGAGCTTGGTGCCAATGCTGAGCAAGAGCAGGCGGACGAGGCCGTCACAACTGAAGAGGTCGACGCGCAAGAGCTCAATGAGGACTGGCTGCGCGCCGCTTCTTCTCCTCAAGGGAACGACGATGCGGACTCGTTAAGTACGGCTTTGATGACTCCCACTCCATCCTCTTCGACCTCCCCCTACATTTCACACCTCCTCTCATCTCTGCCTCGTATTCTGCTGCCTCCGATCAAAAAGGGAGGCCACGTTACCTTCGACGCCTGCCACTCCAATGGGTCGATCCAACGCTACACCATTGCCAAGTCAGCGGGCAAACAAGCCTACCAAGAGGCGCGCAAGAGTGGGTGGGGCGATGCGTGGAGCCAGGATCCTGTTGAGGCGGGGCTTGCTGAACAGGATCAGGGGCTGGAGACGGTTGACGAAAGGACGGGAAAGAGGACCTGGAGAAAGCGCAAGGGATGGGGACAGTGGTGGAGGATCTCAGAGGCTGCGCCTGAGGGTCTTGGTGCAGCGAACTCGCTACCTTCGGCTAGTGCGACGGCCAAGACCTCACCGGACGGGCGGACCTGGGTGTTTGAGGAGGAGACGGAGGAAGATGACGAGGAGAACGAGATCGAGGAAATTACCGCAGAGCTCGCCGAGGACGCTGAGCCACTGGTGGACGAGCCCAACATTCAGCAGGCCTCATCTCCTTCCTCTACCGGTGCCGATACCTCCTCTATAGCATGGGCCGCGGACCCGGCTGCTACGTCGTCGTCGAAGTCGTCCAAGAATAGGGCCTCGATCACTCCGACCTCCCGAAAAGCTTCCACCCGCCCATCAGCCCTCATAGGAGCGGATCAAGTTTGTCCGGAGAAGCCCTTCACTCGCTCTTCGTCAGCGCCTGGAGCAGGGCAAGGGAGAGGGGACGAGAGGGATGCAACTCCGTATAGACGATCAAGGGGAGGGAATAGGAAGCAGGCGAAGCATGCATTCAGAGACGAGATCCGCAGAGGGTTGATGGAGGCGGATCTATGAAAGGAAAGGAAGGCGACGACGATCATATAGCGGCGGGCCCCTTGCTGGGCTGGCGCCTGTACTTGTACCCAAGCCGAGCCATGGAATCCCACTAGACGAGCTCGAACGCACCACACACGAATACGCTTGATCACACACGGCGCAGAGTAAGGTAAAGCGGCTGATTGATTGGAGATGAAGAAAAGGGTACGGGTGTGCGAGTGCGAGCTTTCATGGTGGTGCATAAAAGTAGGAAAGATGGATGAGAGGCAAGCAGGTGTTGGGAGCAAGAAGGAGAGAGGGAGTGCTAGCTCAGACATGAGCCAGGGGTAGGAGTGGTGAGGAGAGGCGCAGCCAACACCAGAGCGTGTCGACGACTTTGTCTTCTTTTGTATCGCGGACGAGGCGCGTGGGCTCGCTCGCGCTTAGGCGTCCTCACGACGCTCGTCGCCCTGCGAGAGAGCAGTGTAGCCACCGCCGAGGGGGCTGGCAAGGGACTCGGGGAGGAGGACGTGGCCCTCCTCGGGGACGGCAAAGACGACGACGGCTCCCCACAGAGGCTTGGCAATGACGTCGAGGACAGCGAAGAGGAGAACCTCGGTGTCGGCCGAGACGTAGCCAGCACCCTCACCAAGGACGAAGGTGACGGCGTAGAGGGACCAAACGACGAGGAGAGCAAGCGAGACCTGGTTGTAGAGGCTGCCGACCTTCTGCGAGCGGAGGTAGCTGTAGCTGCGTCCCGACCCGACGAGGGTGTAGAAGACGTAGAACATCGACGCGACGGAGATGGCAAAGAAGATCCAGCGGGCACGAACGTCCGGGTGGAGACCGGCGATGAGACCAGTGATGATCATGGTGACGTCGGCAAAGATGGCAATGAGGATCTCGCCGAGGGGCATACCGGCCAGGAGGGTAATGTCGAGGATCAGGAGCGGGGTGGTGATGAGCCAGTCGATGTAGCGGGGTACGAGGACCTCACGCTTGGCCGAGTAACGCGAGTCGTGACGCTCGTTGGTGAGGGCGCCGCCCTGCGCGAGTGGGTGTGGGACAATTTAGAGGATTGGGTCAGCATATTGGCCGCGTCGCCGATGTGGATGGATGACATGCCCGCACGGCGCGTACTCACGAGACCAGTAGCCATAGCGAGGTAAGAGATGGCAGCGGTAACGTTGATCATGGCCGTGATGACAGGAATGGTCCTGAATCGGTAGGCGATGCGCTGCGAGTGAGCAACAAAGGTGATGAAGCCGAGGGTCATGATGCCGGCGACGACCCAGAGAACAGTCTTGCCCATCTTGGTAATCTTCTCAGGGTGGTGGAGGTCCGGGTCAACAGGCTCCGGGATGGTGATGGGACCATCGTGGTGCTTGCTGGGCTTGGTGAGCTCGTAAGCCTACGCGCCGCGAAGAGGACGATGAGGTGATGTCGAGATGTCAGCAAGCCAATGGTCAATACTCATATTCGGCAGATAGCTGCCCGCATCCGCATCCTCACTCACGAAGTTCTCAAAGTACTGGTTCATGGTGAGCGAGTAGCGTTGGGGACAGTAGAATGAGGATAAGTGGGAATGGTACGATGGTCAGAAAGGCAAGAGGGCTGGCTGGGTGGGTTGGCCAGCGTTGCACCTGACTGGCCTCTCTCAAGGCACATTGCCTCAACTGATCCGTCGTAGAAGAGACCTTGAGCCAAGCGCGCATGGGCCACACACTAGCCGCCCACGGGACACACGGGCGAGGCGCAGGGCGACCAGGGTCTCCAAGACCCCAGGGTCCGTCGCCTCGCCTCTCGCACGCATGACGTCGTCGATGCGCACTGTCGGTGCGCCCCTCGAGCTCATGAGGCCCGTCAGTGCAGAGAGGCGTCGCAGCTGGCTGCTCGTCGAAGGCGATTCACAGAACCGATGGCTCAAATCAGGCAAGCTGAGGAAAGCAGCATCCATCCGTCGACGCGAGAGACGACGATGAGGCGAGGAAGGAGACACAAGTCGCCGAGGGAATGAGGAGTGTGGGCGATGCTCGATGCAGGGGAGCAATGCCACGCTAACTCGCTTCTTTAACTCGACAGCGAAGCCAGAGTTGAATGGAAGAGGCAAGTCGTGGCAGCCTCGCTGCGCGCGTACCAGACCATGGTGGAGACTGCCATCGATCTCAGTGGTCCTCATAAGATGCTCATTAGATATACGTAATATGATACGATCGATGCGTGAATATGGGTCCCTGCTTGTGGTACCCATCCTCTACTGTCGGACTACCGCAACCTTGCCCCCACGCCTGGCAACCATTGCCTTGACAGGCGAGTCCATACTACCACGTCGCCCACCGCCACCACCGCCGCCGCCGCCGCCGCCGCCGCCGCTACTGCCGCTCGGGCGACTGACAATGCGGCCGCGTAAGCTGCCAGTTGAGGCCGTGGTCCTTACACCGCGCTGCGCTGATGCAGGTGGTCCAGGAGCATTCTCGCTCGCCTCATTCTCCTCGTCTCGAGATGCCAGGATGTCTGCGATACCCCGAGAGTGAGCCTTGCCCGCCTCTTGCTTCGACACATGAGCCATGAAAGGGTCATCCTCCTCATGACCTGCCATTGCCGCTCCAAAGCTCATCATTGGGGACTGGCGGCCACCAGAATTGGCACGAGCGGCCGCAGTCCGCCGTAGCGCCTGCGTATCGCTCACTCCTGCTAGCACACCAACGGAAGCTGACTTCCTGAGCAGTCGCTGTGTCGGGCTCTCAGTGCCGCCAGGTTTGTGCTTCCTCCCACCCCTGCATCCTCTCCTCGTTCGCTTGGGTTTATCCAACAAGTCAGCAGAAGACGAAGAGCTGCCGCTGCTACCAGCACTGGCGCTCATTCGTCTTCCGCGCGTCGGCTTGCCAGGACGATCGCGACCACTCAGGTTGCGCAGTGCTTGGGGTAGAGGTCCATCATCGATTAGCATGCGGCCATCGGTGGGGGAGAAGGTGTGGGCATCGTACTCCTTGCCGGAGAGGTTGATGAATTGTGGAGAGTGAACGCCAGTGGGAGAAGTGAGGGTCAAGACGGGCGGCTGAGGTGTGGGCGGCTGTGGCGGAGAGATGACGGCGGCGTCCTCTGCTTGGTACGTCGTGCGCACGGGCGAGTCGAAGAGCGACTGCGAGGCGATGCTGGGGTCGCTAGGCAGGCTGGACACGATGGTGCTTGCAGCGTGCTGAGGAGGAAGATCGGGCACAGGCGGAATGACATCGTCTCGCGCACTCTGCTGCCCAATGATGCTGTGCCTGCCCTTAAGTGCCGGTCGCCCTTTCTCGCGCTTGGCCTCCATGGCCGCTTTCAGCGCCTCGACTGATCTAGCATGACGGAGTCCTCTCCTCTCGGGACCTTGAAAGCACTCCGAATTGCGTGGGGCAACGGCTGCTTCCGAGCTGACGAGGGGCGTGGCAACTGATGCGAAGAGGTCGGATGAGACGACGGCAGCGCTAGGGGCAGCCTTCGGTATGAAGCGAGGAGGGGAAGTCACGTCGTCCTCGTCCTCCTCTTCCGCATCGTCAATTGAGACCACCGTGGTGGTAATGTCTGCAAGAGAGCGACGCCATTCGTCGACAGTCGCACGAGATGGTGCTCGAGTAGGGCTCTCTAGCGCTTTGACGGAGGCAGCGTCCAATTTTCTCTTGCCTCGCTCGGACGGAGACTTGCGCAAGCTGCCGAGAGCTTTCCCGCCGTCGAAAGTCGAGATACCAACGCCGACTGCAGCTGCGTGTCCACCTCCTCTCAGATGACCAAGAGATGTCTTCGTCTTGAGCGCTGGCGTTGCACCCGCTGCTGATGCGGCTGCCTCCTTGAGGTTCGCCTTCGACCGGCGAAAGGCGAGACTGCCCTTCCAGAGGGTATTCGTGCTCGCAGCCTTCTTGGCTGGGCTTGTCGCAGGGATGAAGATGCGTCTCTTGCTCGGACTTGCTACGGGGAAGGTGCGGGTCCCGCGAGGAGAGCGAGGACTGTCGTGAATGCTAGATTGCTGGCGGGCGTGGCGAACGAGACGGGCTGTCTTTGATGGTGTTGCGGCGGGAGTGGTATCGTCACTACCTTCAGCAGGCAAAGCTGCCGGCTCAGCCTTGGGAGTCGCTACATCGCTCGAGGTCGACGCCTCGCCATGATTTTGGCCCCACCATCCAAACCATCCACCGCCGCCACGACGCCCCGCTTCACTCGCTGCTCGGGCGTTGAGCGTGGGCGAGTCCGGGCCGTCGTCACTGTATTGAGTCTTGCTGTCAGCTTTCCCGCCAGAGAAGGACCGCACCGACGATTTCAGGTTGCTCGCCATGTCGCCAAACGTCTTTGCTTGAGGCGTGATGACTCGTGTGTCCTTGAAGCCGGCCTTCTGGAGCAGCTCGTTCAGACTCTCAAAGCGCGAGCTGCCTGGTCGCTGAGGTGTGGAACTGTCGCCCGCGGGATTCTTTGCGAGAGATGACGGCAGGCGAGGTGTGTCTGGGTATGCTTGCGCTGCGTCATTCTTGTCCTGATGATTTGCCTCGCAGCTCGCTGCGACTGACGTGGCCTGCGTCGAGCCGCTTATCGAGGACGAGGATGACTCTGGCGGGGACTGCGGATGGCTACGCCCTGTAAAGCCACGCTGTGACGCCATGTCTCTGTACGTCAAAAGCAACGAGGGCAGTGTCTGCCTTGTTGATGTTGAGCGGCGATGCTATGGTCCGAGTGTATGCAGCCGTGAAAGCGAGCTGAGAAGGATCAGCGAGAAAGGAAGATCGTGACCGCTGAGAAGTTGAGTGGATGCTGGAAAGGCGGAGGGTATCAAAGGGAGGGGGCAAAGGGCGCTCGATGCTGAAAGGGATGACAAGTGGTAAAGAGATGAATGGAAAGGGAAAGGATGAGAGCGAGCGATTGCTGCTGCAATGCTGCTCGCTCGCTCGTCCGGCCTGCATGCGCCCAAGAACAACACTCAAGCAGAGGTGCCGGACGCGTGCCTGGCGCGCCTCCGCAAAAAAAAAGCAAGCCTGGTTGGTGCCTTTGCACGCTCTTCCCATTCCTGACTGACAGCCAAAGTTGGCGAGCGAACAAGAGCGCAAGCTCATCTCAAGAGGGACACTTGATCACACGAGTAGGTCAAGGAGGATTGTCTTCGTCGGAGGACCAAAAAGGATGGTATGATCGCCCAACAGCCCCATCCCCCTCAACTCTGTTGCACCATTCACGCCCGTTCATCCGCATCCCTTCTCATGAAGAAGCACTCCCCTTGCGGCAGATCGGGCAACGCCGTGACCTTTTCGACTACTGCGAAGTTGTGCTTTTTGTAGAACGGCACAGCATGTGGCGTTGGCGCGGTGATGAGCAGGATCCTGCCTTTGTAAGGGGCCACGTCGTCTAGGAAGTGTTTGAGTAGCATGGACCCCACGCCGGAGCGTTGTGCCGTCTCTGACACCGCAAGGTATTTCAGTTCTGAAGGTGGGCGTGTAGCAGCAAGGGTGGGATCGTATCTTCTCAGCTGTCGATGTACACTCCTTTGGATCGTGTGAGCGCCACGCACCTGTATACGTCCCACCCACGTCACTCCCATATCTCTTCTGGATATCGGTGAAAGCTCCTCGCCACTGTTTCCAGATCTCTGGGTCTACATCTCCGCTCTCAGCGGGGATGGCAGGCATAGGCAAGTACCACTGCGGCTCCCCGGTCTCTGCGTTCTTCTCCTCTCCCTCACGCAGAGTCACCCAAGCGGCCACGCCGAGCACCTCATCGCTGCCTCGTCTCTTCGCCACGATGACGGGACCTGGACAACCGCGCTTCTGCATCTCGAGAACTCCCTCGATCAGTTGCACTCGCCAAGCAATGAGCTCGTCGGTAACCTTGCCCTTGGGGAAGACACGACCCATCGGGACGGTGAACCCATCACAGAGGATCTTGGCTGCTTGGCGGACTTCAGGGGTGCCAGACAGCAGCGGTTCAAGGATGATGTCTGCGGTGTTGCTGGCGGATGAGGCTGAAGTCATGTTGGTGTCCTTCTTGTCCATCTGACCGTGAGCTTCTGGTGATCTCGGCGAGGTTTCTTTGATGAAAAGATCTTCGCGAGTAAGGCGAAGGCGACGGCGGCTGAACCAGAGGAGCCGAGTCATGACGACGCGCAAAGCACACACAGTGGCGCAGGCAGACCCAGCCCGACGATCGTGACCGCGAGAACAAGACGACATGGTGAAGGGATATAGATTGAGAGGGGAACACAGGGCGAAGACATCCATGCCGCATTCAATTGCGAGCAAATCTTGCCCTCTTCGCCGCTGTTGCTGAGCGCGACTTGCTCGCCCCGCCGAATCCTTTGAACCCCCCATCCGAGTCGCTATCATCATCTCCGCCAGCAGCGCGACTGTGAGTGCGCTTCGATCCAGGCCCCCGCGCACCGCCGCCTGCATCGTCCTCGCTATCATCGCCGTCGATCCGCAGCTGTGTGGCGGTCTTGCCGCGCTTATTGCGCGACGTCGGAGGTCGCTGCGAGCGACTGATGCTCATATCATAGTCCCCCGTGTTGGTGGGAAGGCGTAGATCCGGGTATGCTTCGCCATCATCGTCCTCTTCTTCCTCGTTATCATCCTCTTCGAGCGTAGAACGACGGCGACTCTGCATACCTTTCGCCGCAGCGCCACGCTGAGAAGGCCCCGCTCTTCTCCCACCACGATCCTCCTGCGTCTCCTCATCATCACTCTCCTGTAGCGCCGTGAAGACTCCTTGGCTCCTTTGCATCGCACTGCTTTTAGCCACCCGCCTAGCCTGCGAGCCCATTCCCGCATGCGTGCGCAAAGTATCATCATCCTCAGGCTCGAGTTCAGCGAGACCGAATGCTTTGGCCTTGGGACGATCCATGTAGTCTTCTCCGAGGCCAAAGTCCTGCCCCTCAGTGAGGTCCATGCGAACAGGTGCGCGCCGCTGTTTCTCTTGTGGCGGAGCGCTGCCAGCTTTGCCCTTTGGTTTGAACTTCTTGAAGTTGGGAAGATTCGCCCATTTCGAAGGAGCGTCCACGCTGGCGGCGGCGCTGCCTCCTCTCGCCCTCCCGTCTTTGCGCATCAACGGTACAAAGTCCACTTGTACAAAATTACCCACGGGCGTCTCCCAATCATCGATGCGCGTCGCCTCCCACGCCTCGTACGCTTCATCTCTCCCCCTGTCCTCATCCACGCCTCGCGCTGGCTTGGTGAGCTTGAGATTGTTAAACTCGCGGTCAAAGTCGTCTATTACCGCCTTCTTGCCTTTCTTGCGCATCGCGAGAGCCTGGAGAAAGGTGGGCTCCTCGTCTGGCTTCTCGCCGACGCCTTTGCCGCGGGGACCGGGAGTGCTACGGATCACTTGCGTGGTTGTGGGGTGAGATTTGGACTGCGTCTTGGAGGCCGGCGACTCGGCAACTTGCTTCTCCGGCTGCTTGCTCGCCCGTGCGTTTTCGCGTGAGCGACTCGAAGACTCGCTTCCTACGACCGCGCCCTCGTTGTCTGCGGCTTGCATCTCAATGTCTCCTCCCCTGGTCGTCGCGGACTGAGATAGAGCGCTATCCTGTCCCTCGGGCGAGCCACTGCCTGATCCTGCTCCACGATTCGCTTTCGCGCCTGTCTGACTGGGCACGACCCCATCCTCCTCATCCAGCATGTGCCTGAACCTTTTACTCTTGCGAAAGTTGTCGTCTCCCTCGGCGTCTTGCGTCCCACCAACCCCACCTGCCGAGCCACCCGCCGAGCTCGACCCGCCAAAGACGTCTGAGATGCGGGACTGGCCCCCAGCACGACGCCTACGCTGCGGGACTGTGGAGGAAGATGCCGCGCTTTGCGTCGCGGCGGAGGCGCCTGGTGCAGAGTCTTGCGTTGTAGGTCCCACCTGACTGGAGCCCACGGGAGCAGTTGGCGGGTCTGCCTGTGAGCGATTGGAGCCGCTAGGCTCGGCAAAGAGCTGGTCGAGGGCGTTCACAGGCTTGGCCAGGCCAGCACGACGTCTGGGTCGCGCTGATACTGGGGGCGGCATAGAGCCTGCTGAATCCTCGGGAGGGAGGCCGCTCTGCTGCTGCTGCTGCTGCTGCTGCTGCTGGAGAGCACTCGGATCAAATTGAGGCGTTTGAACTGGTGCAGAGGCATTTGAAAGGCCAGCTGGGGCCGAGGATCCGGCAGTTGCGGTAGTTGGGATTGGTGGCGAGAGGCCAGATGCCGGAGCTGCCGCTTGTGCTGGGTCGGACGGTGTTGGCGCTTGAGCGTGAGCTACTACTCCCTGAGCGCCCGTTCCACCGGTCGCCACACTCGGATCGATCAGCTGATGTGAAGCAGCCGGGATCTGAGAGACTGAGATGGAAGCGGTGGCATTGAGGTGCTGTCGTGGATTGGAGTAGAGAATCGCAGTGACGACGGCGTCCAGTCCATTGTCGGGCATGCGAATCTCTGCAGCCCGAGTTGCGGAGACGAGGTTGCGATACCATGGCTCGTCGTGATATTGTAGTGCGTCTTGAACCAGCACAACGAGCCCTCCGTCAGGGGCATTGGGGGCCCCATCGGTGACAGAGGAGCACCACGACAGCGCATTGGCCTTGTGTTTGGATAGCTCGCGCTGGGCTTGCACCTCGGACGAAAAGTCGAACGAGGACAAGGAAAAGACCAGGACACGTCCTCCGCAGACTTCGACGAGCTCTTTGCGCGACGAGAGGCTGCTGCTCGGCTCGTCTGACGCGTGGATGAAGAGGCATGTGGTTCCAACCAACAGCTTCCTCCTTTCTGGCTGGCTCTTGAGGATCCCTGGAGCTTCTTCCTGGTCGAAAAACGAGAAGCCGTCTGGCAATTGAGGTAGCATGTCTAGGGGCTCTGGTGGGTCAAAAGAGTTCTCGAGCGAGCCGCGTTCGGTGGCTGAGCGCTCGACACCTTGGATGTAGAGGTCATTAAAGTAGTCGAGGCTGACTATGTGCGCTCCGTGGGCCAGAGCCATCATGACAACTGGAATGAGTCTGATCTGTGGGACAATGAGATGCGATGCGCCGGGCTGCCATTCTTTGGAGGGGAGACGTAGATGACAGCCTGGCGTCAGCATGGGTGCAGGCAGCGTGCGGTGGTGAGCATTGCGGCAGATTACACGCTGGCCGGCTAGGAGGACGTCTCACCCATCAATGTGCATTGCTGTATCCTTGTCTCGATCTCTGTGACCGAGACTTTGGCCCCTGACGAGAATTCAGAGGGATGCCATTTGACGCTGCGCGAGGTACGGCATGTGAGGGAGGAGGGTGAGCACGTCTGCTATAGGAGTCAGCGTAAAGGCAGCCTATCTACCTGATGAAGATGCTCGATGTGAGAGCGATGCGATCTCCATCTTCCAATGAGAGTCTGCCACCGTCTTGTCTGACCTGGTAGCTGTTCGCTTCGTCTTCCTCGAGCATGCCATCCTCCGTCGCAGCCCCTCCTCCCCTGTTGACAGCGATATCCTTGCTAGCGTGCTCATTGACGAATTCGAGAGAGGGTCTCGAGGAGAAGTCTTGCACTTGCTCAGCTGTGAAAGGACCTACAACAATGGCAAAGACTCCCTGGCTGATACTCTTGCTAGCAATGATCAGGTCTGCTGGAGCCTTTCTGCCGATCTTGTAGGTCTTTCCTGGCTTGAGGAGCTTCTTTGTGTTGGCTGGCGAGGGTGAGGGACGAGGTGGGGAAGGCGTGAGCGTGATCTAACTAGCCTGAGTCTCACTGCATGCTCACCTCCATTGGCATCGAACTCTCCGTGGACGACCCACATGGCCGTGAGCTGAGTGTCAGCCCCAGTGATGTGACAGTATCGTGTAGTTGATGGTGGTTGTAGAAATGATACATTGGCCGACTTCGGACTCGAGTCGCTCTTTGGAGCGGAGGCGCGTCAATTGACGTCCACTTCCGTCCTGCAGACCAACGTCTCCACTCGTCCGACCTCAGCTTGCCGCTTCTCTCCGCCATCGCCACGCCACGCCACGCCACGCCACGCCAGGATGATGAGGAGCAGCAGCATCAAGGCCGCTACTGAGCTTGTCAGTATCAGTACAAGAGCAACAAGCCCGATCATTGCTGCAACCCGCCGTCAATTGCCCGCCACTGGAGCTCGCAGTGGTGGCCTCTCGTTGAGGGCAACCCGCTCAATGTGTTCCTCACGGCCAAGGCTCTTCCTCAACGACCTGGCAAAAATACTGGGCGAAGCTGCGCCAAAGGGTGGTCCATCGTCACAGCCTACGCGGTATACAGACTCAAAAGTTTTAAAGTGAGCTCGGGCCAGCTGGCCAACACTCCTCCAAAGGCTGACCGCCTCTGACTCTCCCCACCCTCGCCCACAGCTATACCCCTACCGAGCTCTACGCCATTGTGTCAGACGTCGATTCATACTCTGAGTTCCTCCCTTTTTGTACAGAGTCCAAGGTTACAGGACCTGCTCCTAAGGAGGAAGAACCAAACGCTGGAGCCACGAAGCGCGTGCATGCTGAGCTGGGTGTCGGGTTCAAGAGCTTCAGAGAGCGATATACGAGCTTGGTTGAGATGAAGGAGGGAGAATGGGTTGCAGTGAGCATCTATATGACAGGAGATTGATGAGCTGAGAGGAGTAGCAGCAGGCTGACATCGCCACTTGCCTCGCTCCGCCAGGCAACCGCTCTCCCTCACCACCTCTTCCAGCATCTTTCGACAAGGTGGAACTTTGTGCCGTGCCGTACCACGCCCTCCTCCTCATCCCAGTCTTCAACTCGCATAGACTTTTCACTAGACTACGCCTTCACCTCACCGATATACAACGCCGTGGCAGGTGGCATCTTCGCGGAGCTGTCCAAGAAGATGATGCAGAGCTTCGAGGAAAGGGCGGTCGAGCTTTACGGAAAGAGGTGATGACGAAGTGACTGCGCAGGATACGGGAGGATGGATAATTTAGAGTTGCTTCAATAATAATAGAGAGCTCCTCGAAATGCTTTTTCGCCATCATGACATCGGAGGGAAGAGAATGATGCTCCGTGTCGCGTGGCCTTGGCCGAGCTGCTTCCGCTCATCCGCTCGCTCTCTCCCCGCTCGCTCGCTCTCTCCGCCGTCTCGACATTCTCATCGATCTTCAGTCACCTCTATTCAGGCCCTCATTGTCCTGCTTTTGCTCATCGCAAGATGGGCAAGCATTATTGCGACTAGTAAGTCGTGCGCCGATGAATCTACGTCGACTCCCGTCGCTGATTTTGCCTCTTGTATGCCCCCCTCCCTCTCGCGCTCAGCTGCGACGTCTATCTAACCCACGATTCAGTCTCGGTACGCAAAGCTCACAACTCAGGACGCAACCACCTACAGAATGTACGCGACTACTACATGGGCCTCGATCCTGCTGGGATACAAGAGATAGTCGATGGTGTTCATAGAGAATACGATGAGAGGGGAATCGAGAAGCCGGCCGTGGGAGGGCCGCCTGCAGGCTATGGCGCAGGGGGTGGATTCGGAGGCGGAGGTGAGTGCCAAGGCGTACCCAGCAACGCAGCAAGGGGGCATGCTGACTTCGTCCTTCACCTTCGCTCACAGGCTTCGGGCGACCACCACCATTCGGCGGTCCGCGTCCCCCCTACGGCGGCGCTCCTATGGGCGGCCCCGGCGGTCCTGGAGGCTACGGTCGTCCTCCCCCACCGCTTGGCATGGCAGGTGGCGCACCTCCTGGCGCCAATCCTTATTCTCAACCTCCTCCTAATTTCTCGCAACCTCCTCCAGGAATGGCAGGAGCCCCGCCGAGACCAGACTTCTCCCGCCCCCCTCCTCCGCTTGGTATGCACAATCGCCCCCCACCAGGGTTCAATCCCAACGTCCCACCGCCGAGTGGTGGGTTTGCGGGATCACCGCCGCCGCCTTCGGGGATGATGAATGGTCAGCAACAACAGTCACCGCCGCCTCAGCAGGGTGGAGCCTTCCCTAGACCGTTGGGGATGCATTGAAATGAGGCGGTCAAAGCTGGCCTGAGAGAGAACGAGACCGATGTACTATTATTCACATATAGCTGGCGCAGCAGCGGCAATCACACTGGTATCCATACGAAAATGCGCTGCGCTACGCTACAGGCTGTCCTCAACGCTCGCCGCACTTCCCTCTCTACCCTGCCGCTCCCTCAAATCATGCATCGCTTTCTTCACCTCCTCCTCCTCCTCTTCCATACCCTCATCTCCCATCCTTAAGCCCTCGTCCCTCTCCAGCGGAACCTGCGATTCGCCCTGTTGTTGAGCATTCGATGCGTCGCTGCCCCTCTCTGGCCCTTCTGGTGGGCCGAATCCCTCGACGATTCGTCGTCCAATGAGGGCCGCACTCCCATGCACCAGACGGAGGTACCCTGTAGGGTTCTTGGAAGGAGTGAACATCCCCACATGAGCCTCAACCTCATCCCCTGCCTTCTCGTCTTCAATCGGCTCCACAAGCCTCGCCATCCTCTCATTAGAGAGAGGCGGCAGAACAATGAAGGTTCTCTTCCTTCCCGCAACTCTAGCTCCACCTCCTGGTGCAGGCCCATGGGCAGGGAGGACGTTGTAGTAGGCATGGAAAAGGACTCGTCTCTTCTCCACAAGCTCGTTGAGCCGGCGCCGTAGACTTGTGTCGTCCCAAAGGTTGGCCACATACTCGAAATGGTCGGTGAGGTAGCTGTACGCTCCATTGATGTGCTCGCGATGGTAGTAGGCAGCAACTGACCCTCCGACTGCAGCAGCTGCTGTGGCGAAGGCGCCTGTGGTCCAGAGGGAGCGACTCCATTTAGAAGAGCTGGATGACCAGGACGGTGTGCGAGTGGCTTCTTGCTGCTGATTGCGATTCATGCCCCATATCGCAGCGATGCCAGCGCCAATGGGAGCGAGATGCGTGCCTACGTCTCGCGCCTGTTGGGCGTAGGAGATGTATTTGGTGGCCTGCGGGAGTGAGAGGGAGGGTAGGTCAGATTAACACCTCTGTTGCCTTGACGCTTCGCCCGAGACTCGCCTGATGTCGGAACACATTGGGATGAACGCCCCAATACTGCCAGCGATCGCGAAAGTCTAGTCAGTCAGCGAGCTCTGCCTCCTTTGTCCCTCGCTTTGGCCTGCTTACCGGCGAATCATAGGCAATGACCGCCACAACATTCGGCCAATACTCGCCCTGCCCCTCTTTGCCGCCCGTCGCAGCCTCACTGTCCCTCGCTACCCTCAGCGCAGCGTCCGCTGCGACGAGGCCGCCCATACTATGGCCACAAAGTACTACGCCAACGGTTCCCCTCCCGCCACCCCTGCCACTCTTGCCAAAAGGCACCTCTTTCCCCTGCTTGTCGTACTCTGGCTTACTCTCCAGTCCCAGCACTTGTTCCTCCAGCCACTCTACGAAGTTGCTCACAGCTACATCGAGGGAGCCACGGGTATCGTACGTCGGGTATACGAGCGAGCAAACGGCCAAGCTTGGGTGGGTCTCCGCGAGGAGATGGGAGAGGCGCGAGGGAAAGTCCTCGAAGGTCGTCTCGGCTGAGCCTTTGAAGCCGTGGATAAAGATGAGGAGGAGAAGTCCAGTCTTTGGAGGCGAGTGGGTGAGGGCTGTATGTGGTGAGGGAGTGGGAGTTGCTGAGGGGGCGGGTGTTGCCGAGATGGAAGTCGTCGGGAGGGTTGAGGTAGAAGCGGCTGGCATCGATGTCGGCGCTACGGGTTGCGAGACAGCGACGACCGTCTTCGAGGGCTCAGTGTCCGCCCATGGGTTCTCCTCGTCGTCCATGGCAGGCTACAGATAGTGCGTGGTTCGATGGCAAGAAGAGAGCGCGCTTCCTCTCCTCTCCGCCTCTCACGTCCGCTTGTCCTCCCGACACCTGCACGGGCCAACGACGTGGAAGCACTGCACCCTCAAACGACCACAAGAAAGCAACGAAGATGGATGATAATTGCCAGTCAAGCCGCACAAGTACACAATCGCCTTTCCTCCCTGGCCTGTCTTCGTTCCGTCGCCCCTCCATTACGCCCCTACATCTTCTCCAAGTCCAAATCCCCATACACACTCTCCCTTGGCGTGCGCTTAGCATGCGGCATCTCCCGAAACATGGGCTCAAAGGCCTCCTGCAGCTCGCGACGCTTACGCATCGCTGTGACGAGGGACTCTGCAAGGGGCGGGACAGCCAGACGATTGGTGAACAGAGAGTCGGGAGCGGGAGAGGGTGCAGGGCCTGTCCCCGCTGCGGATGGGGTGCCGGGTAGGGCAGACTCGGCCAGAAGGGAGGAGGGGCCGGATGCTGATGATGAGGAAGCCGCAGCTGAGCCGTCACCGTTGCTTGCCTTCCCCACCCCAGCCGTTGCTGTGCTAGCGCTGGCACTCGCACTTGCCTTGCCCTTCTTCTTACTCGTCAACTTTTTGAGCAACGCCTGTCTCTTCAACCACCCATTCTCGACCAACTTCTCCACATTGCCCAAGCAGCCTGCATAGTCCTGGTACGCCAGTCGGTCCATTGCAATATCTCTCAGCCGGGCTTTGCGAGCTTCGTTGATATTGACCTGCTTAGCGAGGAGGGTCTGGACTTTGCGGAGAGTGTGGGAAATCTCATCGTCCTGGCGTTGTGAGAAGTCGATGCCTGAAGAGGCGGAAGGGTCGGAGGGCGAAGTGGTAGACGAGGGGTCTGAGGGAGATTCTTCGTCCCCGAGGATATCGAGGAACCGCAGCTCCTTCCGAAGGCGAGCTTCGTATTGAGCCATGTCTTGCAGCGTCTTGGGGAGGGAAGGAAGACCGTTCATGGTAAGGCCATTCGTCTGGCGCGGCTTGCCATTGACCTCGTTGTTGCTGCCAGTGCCTTGAGCGGTGGCTGAGTAGGAAGACGACGACGCGCCCGAAGGAGCAGGCAAGATCATCGACAGCACCCGCTCAGTCAATGGCCCACCCCTCGCATCATCCAGTGCGAGCCCGAAGGCATGCTCATCGTTGAGCATCCTTGGATCAAATGCTGGCGTTGTGTTGGACGTCGAGGCTGAGGCTCCCATCGCAGCTCCATTCGTAGCCGCGGCTAACGCTGCAGCAGCGGATGACTTGAAGAGCAGCGGGCCCCCATTTGCGTCCTCCTCTTCCCACACCTCCTTATAGTGCCTGCCCACCGCGGGCATCTGGAACGCCTCGGCCTCGCGTTCTGGGCGGCCCAGCCAGGCGACATCCTCCTCGGTGAGCGTCCTGAACCACCCCTCGATGTACGTTTGAAAAGCCTGATAAGAGACCTGCTGCTGATTCTGGCTGCGCACCCTATTTGCCGCTGCACTAGCCAAGGCCGATGCAGAGGGACCAAGCGCCGCGTCCCTTTGAGACTGCGAGACGCCTTGTCCAGGTGCTGGGCTCGCAGACGCAGAATGCGCCTGCATAAGTGCCTCCTCTCTATCGCGCTGCCTTTCTCGCTCTTTCCAATCCATGGCGGTGAAGTCCTCGTCCACCTCGGCTGGTTCTGTAGGGTATGGCTTGGGCGGTCGAGCGAGAGGTGCAGGGGGGATGATGTTATCCGGAGTCTCCTCAGGGAGGGCCCAGAGGGCTGATGAGCCCCCGCCGACTACGCTGGGGCGTGCTCCGTCCGGATGTATGCCGGTGGGCTTGTGTGCTTCTGCCAGTGCAGCGATTCCGCTAGGCGCGGCCGTGGGCCGCATCTTGAGACGGATTCCGAGAGGACGAGCTCGCGATGCGGGTGCGGCACTGCTGTCGCTGACGCCATCATTCGGCTGCTGACTTGCTCGAGCCTGTGAGTCTGCCTTTGAGCTTTGCAAGCCTCCTTCAGCGTCCTCCTCGTCGTCGCTATCGGTATAATCTGAGATAGCCATCGACCCATCTCGGACTCCTTCAGCCGTGCGCTTCCTCTTACCCTTCGAGTACGTACGTCCAGGCTTGCTCGGTGGAGCCTCATCACCGGCGTCGAGCGGATCGATGCTATCGCGCGCAGAGCTGCCAAATGGCAAGGCAGCAGGACTTGACGCTCCGGGGCTAGCGACACTCGACTCTCGCTTGATCTTGATCTTGGGTCGACCGGGTTGTTGTGAAGATGGAGAAGTAGCAGCAGCCGGCGAAGCTCGCGATCTCGACGCATCTTGTGCTGCATCGGTCATCACCACATCCGAGGTCTCGGCGTAGTCTGTATCCTGCACTCTCGGCCTAGCTTTGGTCCCAGTGGAAACAGACGGTGCTGCGCCCGTGGGACTCGTATTGAAGTTGTTGACGCCAGCTGCAGGCCTTGACGTTGACGACTTCCTTCTTGAGGCTCGCGTCGGCGTCGCAGGATCTACGGCCGAGACATCCCTGCTCTTAGCGCTCGTTGCAGCCGCTGCCTCAGCGGCAACCTTCTCCGCCTGCCTGTCTAGCCTTTTGGCTCTCTCTTCCAATTCAATCCCGTAGCTCCTTAGCCCCTTTGTGAGCTCTTGTAGCTCTGCGACTGACGGAATGGCATCGGAGGTGAAGAGGCGAGACGTGCTTGGGAACATGGCCGAGAGGGATGGAAAGGATAAGGAGGACGATGAAGAAGAAGAGGAGAAGGAGGAAGACGCTGCTGCGTATCCCCCCGAGTGAGCGTGGGGGGAGGCCGCCCGAGAGGAGACTGGCATGATATTGCCAGTGACTTCAATCGCGATTGGTCATGTGAGAGTGGCGATGATGTTCGAAAGGAGGACGAGGAAGAAAAGGTCGAGGGTTTGTTTACTCGGGACAAAGACGCGCGACTGAGTTGCCTCAGCGGTTTGCGCTCAGGGTGAGACCAGTGCCAGTGGTGTGATCTGGCTCGACGGGAATGAGAAGCTGAGATGATAAAGGCGCTGCTTATGGCGATGCGGTCAAAAGACCGTTGCGGCGCCCGTCGTCGACGTCGAGATGGTAGATGATGAGAAGGAGAGAAAGAGCGAGCGAGAGCCAGACGACGGGAAGTCGCAAAGCGCAGCCGAGAGAGCGGAGACGGTTCAGCCGCCTGTCCGTCCGTCCGCCCGCTCCAGTCGCGCCGCGTCCAGCGACATCACAGACACCCAGAGACGAGGATGGCGGGCGGGAGAGGAACAAGACCATCGAGATCAGAAGATGCGAATGGCATTGTGAGCAGCGCCCGCGTAGAGAGGATCATATGAGCCAGGAAACAAAAAGCGAGGAGATAGACAAACAAAAGAGAGAAAGCCTCGCTTGATCGATCTCGCTGCGCGGTTTCAAGCCGTCGCGATGTCCTTTTGCCCCTCCAACGCGCCCACGCTCGACGGCAGGGCCTCAAAGTGGACAAAGACGAGGTCGTAGCTGTCGAACTCGTACGCAATGCGATCCTTGCGCGCGTAGCCGGGCAACTTGAGGGTCGTCAAGTCGTAGACGTCACGCGCCTCATCACTTGCTGCTTCATCGTCGCTGCTGTCATCGTCGTTTGCCTGTCGCGAGCTGAAAAGAGTGATGCTCATCTTCCCGGCCTCGAAGATCTTGGCCACTTGCCCGATCAGCGCAGTCGTATTCATTGCCATGCCAGGCTCATCAGCCTCGCCCTTGCCGTTGCTAGGGAGGCGCACATTCGTCTCAAAGCTTGCGTAGCTTGAGTCCTCCTCTGGCGTGACATGGATGGTCCAGTACCCCGCGGAGCAACCTGCTGAAGCAGGAATGACCGCGTTTGCCGAATAGCCACAGGGCTCAAAGGCAAAGGCGTCGATGATCGTGTTGGGGAACATGTCGATCAAGCCCAGCTTGGATGAGAGATCCAGCCCAAGAAGGTGGCCGCGGTCCGAGGAGGCTCCTGCGCCGGTTGAGGCAGAAGGCACAGCCATCTCCGGCGGGAAGTTGAAGCGCGAGCAGGACCGCGAGGACAAGTGCGTCATCAGGATCTCAAGCGTCTGGTCGTTGGCCGCGTCGATGGATCCAGGCGAGGGGAGGTGGAGCGGTCGTTGTACTGCCAGCTGAGCGGGGGGTGAGTCCGCCGCCTCCTCCTCCTTGTCCCCTGGGCAGCACATGTAAAGCAGCCAATGGTCTCCATTCATCTTTCCCACCGTGTATGCTGACCCATCAGCAAAGAAAGCGTCAAGAAGCTGCACTTCCAGCATCCAGTCCCTGTGCGGGCCCTTCTGGCGCTCAGGGAACATGAAGCTCTTGCGGCTGTAGAAGCATTGCCTGACTAGGGCGCCAAGAGACTTGCGGCTGTCCTCGGAGGGAGACGATTGAGCTTCGTAAGGCTCGGCAGGGGTCGGCGTGACGGTGGGGAAGGAGGTGGAGCCAGACAGGGCGCTCCGCGCGAGCTCGAGGATGCGCTGCAAACCAAGGAGGAGGGTCGTGGTGCCGCACGTCTTAAGGATGATCTTGTGCGGGAAGACGAACATGGAGGACTCGCTACGAGGAGGAACGAGGCGGGAGTCAGCGCGCATGTCACCAGCTCGCGTTGCATCGAGCACTCACCTGAGCAGGTAGGCATCGAAGTCGTCTCCCTCAATGACGCTGAGGACCTTGCAATGGACGAGGTCGAGCATCTCTTCCCACAGCGGTCGCGAGACCGCCCTCAGACCAAGACGACGTCGTGGCGTAGCCCCCGGCAAGGTGTTGCCTTCCTCATCCTGAACAATGCTGAAGTGCTCAGACAGGCTCCCCTCGGGAAGCAGCTCGGGGCAGTCTGCGAACCAGAGCTCCATGAGCTTCTCTGGACCCTCAAATGGACCTTGAGGATCGACATCTGGAGCAGATACGACGGGCACGATTGCATTTGTCTTTGCTTGATCTTTTGCTCCGACGATCGTAGCGGCAGCGATGGCATTGAAATCCTGCTTGCGATCGAGTGCCCTGGCTTCCTCCTCGGCAAGCACTTCAGCCTTCTCCTGGCGTTGGGCCTCTAGATCCGCCGAGTCCAGGCCCTTGGTTGGGGCAGCAAAGCGCTGGACGTTTTGCGGGTGAGGCACGCCATTGTGGTTGTGATTGTGCAGCGAGGAGCGGGTGGGCGGCGATTGGCTGAGCTGCGGAACGATGCCGTCGTTGCGGAAGGGGGTAAGAGTGGGAGATCTCGCGACAGAGGCTGTCATGAAGCTTGCTCTCAGAGGTGGTAATGGGGGGTTGAAAGTGGCTAGGGAGGAAGAGGAAGGAGATCAGGAGGAGGGGGAGCGCCTTCGGTCGGAAGGGATCGAAGGGATGCTGGTGTTGGGCGTTGGAGCAGTCGAGGGTTGGAGCTGGAGAAGAAGTTGTTGGTTGCCTTTACGTAGAAGGCGTTTGCGGGCGGATCGTCTGTATAGGCTCTATTGTCAGGATCTGCGGGTGGCGAGGTAGCGGAAGAAATGCTTCAGCATTTTGCTGTGAGGGCGTGACGATGTTCATTTGCAGGCTGGCTCACCTTCTGTGGACATGGAAGGCCTGGAGGTGGTGAAGGGCGAACAGCTTGCCTGCTTGACTAGGCGGCGGGCGGCGGAGGTGTAGTGGGCGCAAAGGTACGCTCAAGTGATCGTGTGAAAAAGTGCGAGGACGAAATCGACGAGTCCTTGCTTCTCGTCGTAGTGAGTTTTGGGGATGTTGTTATCAGCAGAGGAGGAACGAGGCGAAGAAGGTCAGAGGGGTCCGATCTTCCTTTCCCCGCTTGGCAGGGCGGGCGGCGGAGCTCGAGAATTCGCGCTCTCGACCAGGTACCAGATTTCAATTTGGGTCCTGGCGAAAGGCGGCGGGCGGGCGGCCCAACGGGCTAGGCACCGCCAGGCTCCAGGCCGACGAAATCTTTCTCCTTTCCGTGCTACCAGGTTCCAACTTTCGCAGCAGCCAGCGTCACCTTCAGCCAACTGCAGCGACAGTTGACGCCATGAAGCTCGATGCGACAGATTTGCGCTACATCACGCCAGACGAGTTCCGGATCCTCAAGGGCATTGAGCAAGGGTCTCGAGCACACCACGTCGTACCCTCGACATCGATTCCTCATCTGTCTGGCCTCCACCACTCTGGACTCAATCGCCTTCTCTCATCGCTGGCTAAGCGAAATCTCATCGCCAGAGAACAAAATGTCAAATATGACGGCTATCGTCTCACTTATGGAGGCTACGACTTCCTTGCTGTGCGAGCAATGAAGGAGAAGAATCACGTTCAGGCCGTAGGCCATCGCATTGGCGTAGGCAAGGAGTCAGGTGAGCAGGCGAGGTTCATCGACCCCACGCTCAGCATTCGACAGCTCACTCCTCACATCCTGCTATCCGTCAGACATCTGCTTGGTCTCATCTCCCGAGCCTGAGCCGGAGAACCGCATTCTCAAGATCCACCGTCTCGGCCGCATATCCTTCCGAGCAGTCAAGTCGAAACGCGACTACACTCGCAGGGAAGCCCAGCGTCAGAACTTCTCCTGGATGTATCTCTCTCGCCTCGCTGCAGCCAAGGAGTATCAGTTCATGCAGGCCCTTCACGAGGCTGGCTTCCCCGTTCCAGTCCCCATCGCTCAGAGTCGCCACACGGTGCTCATGAGCTTGATCGATGCGTACCCGCTGAGGCAGATTGCAATGCTGCCCAAGGACCAAATTCCTTTGCTTTATGCGGCGCTCATGGCGCTCATCGTTAGGCTGGCAAAGGCCGGCTTGATCCATGGAGATTTCAATGAATTCAACCTGCTCATTCGGGAGCTGAGAGAGGAGTCGGATGAAGAAGATGGGCACGGTGGCGGGAGGGACTACACTCCGAAGGCTACTTCGTCAGCGCCTAGAGCAACAGGTGCGGCTGCAGACGAAGTGAGGCGGCCGGACGTAGATGCGGGAGAGAGGATAGAGCAGGGAAAGGGCTTCGAGAGGGTGATTGCGACTGGGGCTCAAAATCCGCACGATGACGAGGACGACAATTCCTCATCCGACGAAGAGGGGCAAGACTTCGAGCAAGGCGAAGAAGATCCTACCTCGCGCGTCCATCTCTCGGACGGCGTCAGCGTCGAACCGATTCTCATCGACTTTCCACAAATGGTCTCCGTCCTTCACCCAAACGCCGAATACTACTTCGACCGAGACGTAGCTTGCGTCCGTCGCTTCTTCCGCAAACGGTTCCGCTTCGTCAGCGAGGAGTACCCGACGTTCCGAGAGGTCGTAACGAATGACAAGGAGTGGGAGGAGCATAGGAGGGTGAGGGAAAAGCGAAGGGCGGCAATCGCTGACGGTGTGGCCGGGGAACACGAGGACGAGGAAATGCAGGAGTATCTCGACCTCGACGTTCTGACGAAGGCGAGTGGGTATGTCAAGACGGATAAGCAGCGTGGGCAGTTTGAGGATCTCGATCAGTACATGTCGAGGATGAGGATGGATGACAAGGAGACGGACAAGTTCACCAGCGACAGCAGCAGCGAGAGCGACGACGATGACGGAGAGGACGGCGATGATGTAGATGAAGTCGCAGCGGAGCGAACAGAGCGGGTCATCGAAGGAGAGGACGTCGAAGACGCATCAGATCAGGAAGACATCCGGGATTCGGCGCAGCACGAGGCCAAGGTCGAACACGCTGCTCGCTCGCGTAAAGCCAAGGCGGGCGGCGTGGAGGACGAGGACATCGCATCTCAAATCCAGCAGGAGCGTCGCCGGGCTCAGCGACTCGAAGCAAAGCATCACGGCAAGAAGGCGGTGGCCGGCAAGGTGGGCAAGAATCTGAGAAGGGAAGGAGGGGGAAGTAAGAAGAAGAGCGATAAAGTGCTAGTGAGGGATGCGAGTACGTTCTAACGTTGACGATGCAGGTACCTCGCGCATGTGTAATACTATCACTAGACAGCATTTGCGACGCCACTCAGCATGATCATCAGGCCTGTGATCAAGATCGTAGAAGGCTGGATGAATTTGAGCAATACAGATTGGATCGTGAATCGATGAGATGCCTCTTGAAAGGGTCACTATGCCTCAGGCTCCTGCTTTGACTTCTTGGAAGCAAGCGTAGGCGCCTCACCTCCAGCGCGCGTACCCAAGTTGTCCTCATCGACGTTGCGTTTTCTCTTCTCACCGTGGTTGTGGTGGAATCCACCCCCTCGCCCGCCTCCACGACCACCTCTGCCGCCACGGCCACCACCGCGGCCTCCTCCACGACCGCCACGGCCACCACGGCCTCCGAATCCTCCTCGCCCACCCTGCCCTCCCTCGTCACCGCGCTCCCTCACGTCGATGAGGAACTTGGCGCGGAAGTTCGCCCTGTCGACGTAGAACTGCTTGGCCTTCTCCTCATCGACGCGCTCCCACGCAACCTTCTGTCCCCCAACCTCAATGTCCTTTTTGACAATCTCGTCGAGCTGCTCATCGGTCAAGGTCTCCTTGAACCCGGCAGCGCCGTGGTCCGATCCAACGGGGAAATCGACGAAGGAAGTAGGCGCAGTCTCGAGTAGCTTCTCCTTGAGCTCCTTCCAGTGACCATTGCCACCGGCGCCGGTGAAAGCGATGACACTGCGCACGGGGAAGACGACCGTGTCCGGGTCGACGGTCTCGTCGGGGCGGGTGACGAGCTGTGCCTCGTTGAAGGAAAATTCCAGCGGGTCGCTGCGCTTGGGTTTCTCCTTCTTCATGGGAGGGCTGTCCTGACGACGCCCGCCAGCACCGCCAGTGCGGCCTGCCGAGCTGCTTCCTTCCCCACGGGCCTCGCGCTCCATCTCGATGAAGGCATTGAACTTGCCCGGTCGGTTGATGGGGTTCGTGTTCTTGAAACCGGGCTTGCCAGTCTTACGATCAGGGCCGTTGGGGTCAATTCCCTTTTCCTTCATCTTCATCTGGCAGTAGTCGTCCTTGCTCATGATCTGCAAAGGCTCGTCTCCCTCTCTGAAACGGATCTCCTCTCCCTCCTTTGCACGCGCGAGCAGCTTGGTGACGTCGTCCATCGAGGCAAACTCAACGAAGACGCTGCCCTTGAACTTGCGCGGCTGTACCTTCTCATCCATGCGCTTGCGAACTACATTGACGGGGCCGAAGGTGGCAAAGAAGACCTCCATCTGTTTCTGCAGCTCCTCGGTGTCCTCAGGCAAGCCCTTGGCGTAGATGCTGCGCTCGTAGTTGTCTGTAGGTCGCGAGATCGGCGTCTTGCGGCGGATCTTGGAGGCCTCGACGTCGATCTCGAGAAGCTTCGACTTTTCTTGGAGAAGCTTGAGAATGCCAGCCTCGGTGAGTTGCTCCTTGAGGGCGCGCATGCGCTTAAAGGAGGCAATGGTAGGGAAGGGTACCCAGCCATCGTCCTTGCGGGTGAGGGTCCAGAGGAACTTATCATAGGGAAGGTTGACGTCGCTGAAGTAGAACTCGACTGCAAGGTGGACAAGTTATGTAGAGTCAGCATTTGGACTGAGATGTCATGTGGCTGAACGACAAGGCCGCTACTCACCCTGCCTGAGGGCCTCCTTCTCGGCCTCTTCCTGAGTCAGAGGAGCAGCGGGCGCAGCAGCGGGGGCCGCCGGGGCAGCCGGGACTGCTTCAGCTACCTCGGGCTCGGCCTTTGACTCGACATTGGGGACGATGTTGTCCACTGGAGGAGGTGCGGCGTCGGACATGATGATCGTTGTTGAGGAAAGGAAGCAAGTAGGCGGGCTCCAGGTAGCTTCCGATTGTATGCACGAGGGAGCAAATCTTTCTCTCTCCCGCCAATTCGAGTCGCACGCCAGACCAAAAGCCACGTGACGGTGTGGCTGAGACACGGAAAGACGAGGGGAGGAAGGAGGAATCGTCGACGGAAATCAAATGGCGAGGCGCTCAGCTCAATCCACGACCACTCACACCTGCAAAGCAGTAGCATATACCCCACAACCACACTCATGGCGAAGTCTCGATGGCACAGGCTGAACATCTTCTCTTCGGCTGTTGTCCCTCGATGCTCCTGAGTCCTACAGTTGTATAATCATGGCGACGAGACGGCTCCTTCCAGCTGTAATAGCTGCAGCGTCATCGGCCTCGGCTTCCTCATCCTCCATCGTCGCCACAGGAAGCCGGACGGCGCACATCAAGCCTCGCAGATACACAACTATAGCATACCCAGCACAGTTCATCCCATCGTCAGGCGAATCCCAGGCCACACCGGAGCATACTGGGCAAGCCGAGAACCCTCCATCGACTGAGGACGATGCGCAGATCGGCCCTTCTCATCCTTCGCGACCACTTGAAGGCTTCTTCCATTCCTCTCGCGCCCTTGAAGTCGCTCCTTCAGATCAAGAAGATCATTCATACGACTCCGCGGCAGCGCCGCTGTTCTACGATGCTCGCTACCTTCCTCCTCAGTACGTACCACACATCACCGGCGACATCCATCCAGATCTAGCAGCCACCATCGAGACGCCGGACTGTGAAGCAGCCTGGCGCATCTACGAATCCCAAGATTATCACGACACAGAATCGCTGCGGGATCTTTGGTGGCAGATCTCTGTTCCTGCCTCTCGCTCCTATGCGGACGTGCAGACAGCGGTGAACAGGCTCGTGGCCATCTCCCGGCGAACAAGTCCTGACCGCTTGCAGTGGCATCGTCTCATGTACCTGGCTACAGCGCAACTCGAGATGTCCAGGAAAATGCGGCCCAGTCACCTTGTTTCACCATCGCTGTCAACGCCTTGCCATGTCGATGCAGGGTCACTCAACGCGCTGGCGAACCTGCTCGACTCATTCCGAGCATCGGGCGAGGCCATCGACGCCCCGTTGCTCCATCGCATCTTCTATCAGCTTTGCGTCCACAAAAGACCACGTGAAGCGCTCGATCTCTGGCAAGCACAGCTGCGCGCGTGGGAGAAGGGGAAGTTTACTCTCGCTAGTCTGCGCGGTTGGGCCTCAAGACCAGCTAGGCTGACTACACGTACCGCTGAGGCTCTGCTAGATGCTCTCGCGCTGGCCCCCCATCTGAGGGATATGGACGCAGCACAGCGACTAACGCCCAGCGAGACCGTTGCGCTCGCACTGAGCTCGATGGAACTCATCCTTGACGACGAAGTCGCCGTACATAAGCGGCCGATTCGGGAGTGGATGAGTCATGCCTCCCTGGATACTCTCTGGGCTATGCTGCCGCAGCGTATCAGCAAGGCTGCTGCTCGAAGAGGAGAGCCATGGGCCGTGCCCATGGTACACCCACTAGACTCGAACGGCATAGATGCTGCGCGCTCCTCCTTGCGGGTCAGCAAAGACGTCCAGCATGTCCTCGTCGAGGCTGTCGCCTTTCAGCTGGCAAGACTTGGCGACCTCCGTGCAGCTCTGACCATCTACGAGGTCGAGGTCGGGAAGAGGGTAAATTCAAACCGCGCAGATATTCGAGATGCTATCATCGTCGGAGCGACACGCAACGTCAACAAGCTTGCTGTCAAGTTCCAGAAGCTGGTATCGTCACAACAATCTACGCCGGAGCACCAACAAATCTTGGCCGACGCAGCGGACGGTCTCGATGCTGGCTTCTTCCTCTTCTTCGACCAGCCACCGGCGCAAGCGCAGCTAAGGTCACCAACGGAGGCAACAATCTTCAGCCTACTCGCTGCTAGCAGCTCAATGCTGCTGGCGGCCGCGAATGGACTACGAGCATCTGAAGCACAGCAGCAGTCGCTTCACTGGCTCGCTCACATACGCCGCCTTACAAGCACCCTTCTCGCAGAGGACCCTCGTCTGGGCCAGGTGAGCATCACGCTACACACCCAGCTCATCCGTATTCACGCGCAGATGAGCGACCTCGAGTACGTCAAGGACCTCTGGGTCAAGTTTCGGCAAAGGACAGCGAGCCCGGATCTCCCACACGCAGTGGGGACATTGCCCTTGAAGATGCAGACATTTGCTTGGCTTTTCGACGCCATGATCAAAACACAGAAGATCGACGACACCATTTTTGCTGTGAGGCTCTACTTTGACTGGCTCTCCACGCGGGCACCGCCCAGCGGCAAGGGGGACAAGAGGAGCAAGGCCGGCGGTGGAGATCTACCTCCGGATATATTGCCGCGCTTTGTGCGCACCCTGGCGAAGCTGAACATGGCTCATGTGGTACGGCGGGTTTTGCAAGATATGCGACAACAGGAGGTGCCACTCACGCCTCAGCTGGCCATCGCGCTACTCGAAGCCTTCGGTCGGCCGGAGCTTGCCCCGTTTCAGCAGACCGTGCGCACGTTGGATGAGTTTGTTCAGCTTCAGGCGCCCCATCGTGAGAGCGAGGCGGATGGTGCCACTGTATCTGTTCCGCATAAGGGCAACACAGCGCATTTGTCTCTCAATGCCTACTCCCTCTCCCTCGACCAGGGCTCGTCTCGTAGCGTCGCCGCTTCGCAATGGCACGAGCGCGTCAAGCCGAACCTCTCACGCATCTTCGCCCTCTTCATCGAGGAGCTCAGCGTACGACTCGCTGACCACAACCGCAAATCCTCGAGGTACGACATCACCGAAATCACAATCCGCGAAGCCTTCAACTCTGCTTTGCGTACTCTCCTCAATTGGCCAATTTCTCGCCTGCAAAAGGTTGACACGCGGGGAGCGCTCGCAGCGGCAAAGACGCTCCTGTCGACCTGGGCGCCTCGTGGTGCCTCCACACACAGTAGAGGGGTGCAGGTGCTCCTGTCTACGATGCGCGACGAGCTCATCGTCGAGGGCGACGCCGACACGTGGAGTTTGGAATTGCTTGCGTGTGTGAAGGAGGACGCTGTGGCTGAGGGGGGCAAGGAGACGATAGAACATGTCAGAGCTGGTCCGCTGGATCAAGCTCTGGCTCTCTGGGAGAAAAGCTTGACAGCCACGTACGAGTTTCAGAGGAAAGCTCCTCTACAGCAACGAGCGATTCTACGATCGCATAGCAAGGACGCCCTCATAAGAGCCCTGAACTCTGAAGGCGAAGGAGCAACGGACACTATCCCTTACGAAGGGGTCCTTCACGCCTCGTCATCGCCCTCGCCAGATGCAGCATCACTGCCCGACGCTGCTACCACCACGTCAAAGCCATGCCGTCAGCCCATACTTCCCCGTCCTATTCGGATGCGCTCCCGCCCAACGGCCTACTTCATGATTCGCCTGGCCCTCGCCCGCCGATACGAGGACGCTCAGCGCGTTTACACGACGTGGATGGAGAGCCTGACGCGAGAGGAGCGCTTCTGGTCCGAGCTGGCTGCTAGGCTTGACCAGCAGGACAGGACAGAGGGTGGCGCCGTCGCCAATATTGGCGAGAATGAGACAAAGAGACCGACGAAGCTCAGGGTGAGCGTCGCCACTCGAGCGAAGTTGTCAAGGATGCAAGAAGCACGTCGCGACACGGCACGAGCCAGAAGTGGCAGCGAGGTGGCCTTGGCATCGCCTGCCTTCGCCACAGACGAGCAACGCAAAGCATTGACGTGCCGGACGGTCCACGTAGCGCGCCTGGTTACCCTCATGCTCGAGTCCGGCTTGGCAGGTCACTATGCAGACGAGGGAGGGACGCCTCCCTGGCCCGGACATGAGGCCAAGCAGCGAGCGGCACAATGGAGCGAGGCGCGGCGACTCTTCGAAGAGGTTTGGGACCTTTGGGGGGTTCAGGAGAGGAGTAAGGGACGCAATAGACCGGCGGGAGAGGTGGTCGAGGACGTAGAGACGGAGAGGGAGGCGGATTGGAGAGAGTTGGTACACCATATCGCCAAGATCGAGCGCAAGTTGCGGTGAGGGGTGGCATCGCTCTGGAGCGGTGGCGGTCAGGCGGCTGAGGGTTCTCTGAGGCGGCTACGGTGCTTCGCTCGTCACGATGTGTAGAGTAGAGCGGATCAAATTCATTTCTTGGTTTTCGTCATCGTTTTCTGTTCGACTAGAAACAAGAGCGAACGCTCATGAGACAACAAGGCTGAGAGGTGAGAAGAGAGAACCACGGCTTCACGGACATTTGGATCATCGAATCGAGACTGGAAACTTGAATACATGTTGAGAGACGAGACTTGAGTAATAAGACAGATGATGATGATGTTGGTTGGACGGCGAATAGTTGATGACTTGATCGATCGGATGCTTCTCATGAGATTGGTGGTGATTACTGCGTTGCTGCTTCGTTGCTGCTTCCCTTTGGTCGATGCTGGTGGTAGCGGGGGCGAGTGGTATGTAACACGTGGGTGGTAGGGGGGATTTGGAGGAGTTATTGGTGGATGGTGTTGGTGAGCTCGATGTGAGCTTGAGGCCGTTGGCCTCATTGAGCGGTCGACCGGGAAGCAGCTTGCGGAAGGACAGCGACAGCGGCAACAGCGAAACAAGAGAAGCGGGTGGTCGGGACAAGCAATCGGCAAATTCACGCCTTTCGTATCTCATCATCGTCAAACGACTTCTTCAGCCTCATCGTACGGCTCGCGCACCTTTTCAGGCGGCGGCTACGGCGGGCGAATTCGTCGTGACGTTGACGAGGGGACTGGGTCCCACGGCGGATGCCATGCTGTCCTTTCGCTTCTTTGTGCCAGGTGCGGCACGCTTCTTCTTGGTCTTGGCTGCGTCCTTGTCGACCTTGAGGACCTCTTCCCACATCTTCTCCTGGACGTTCTTGATGTTGCGAGCGGTGGAACGCTGCATGTTCTCGGCGGCGGCCAAGGTGGGCTCGTAGCCCTCGCCGAGGATGACCTCGAGCTCCTCGCGGTTGCGCTTGAACCAGTAGGCGGGAGGAAGGACGCGCTCGTACGACTCCGAGGCGGCAATGAGGGCACGGTGACGAGCCGTGGGAGGATCGGCATCCTCACGAACGTCGACCTCGTGGGTGCCAGCCTGGACAACGTTGTCACGGAAGGCGTGGAGGCGGGCAAGTCCAGGCTGAAGGCACATGACCAAGTAGAAGATGTTTTCGAGAGGCTCGACGACGTCGACCATGACGGTGGGGTCCTTGCCCAGGTCCTCGGCATCGGCGCCATCGATCTTGATCCTCCAAACGTTGGGGTCAGCGAGGTCGTAGTTGCAGCGCTGCTCGCGGCGCTTGGAGGCCTTGGTAGTGATCGTCTTCTTCTTCTTGGAGGCATCCTCGTCATGGGCCTCGTCTTCGTCGTCGGCGTTGTTCTTCTTGGCCGTGCGGAAGAAGTCTGGGCGACAGAGGAGGTAGAGAGGGAAAGAAGAAAGGGAGTCAGTTGACCGTGACACGGTGGCGAGGGGAATCGCTCGCTGCACTCACCAATCATCTTCTTGGGGACGCGCATGTAGATGAAGCCGTCCTCGGTGTAGACACCGTTGGGCGCATTGCGCCTGAGGACGAAGAGCTCAGTCTGTTGACGATCGCGAGAGCAAAGGGGAGAAGGTGGGTGATGGTGGTCAGACACGTGGTTCATCGCTAGCGTGAAATTGTATGCAGGGTTGGGCTTGACGTGCAGCATCTCGCTGGAGGAGGTCCGAGCGCCGCAGAGGACGGTGGAGGCTGGATAGATGATGGTGGTGACGACCCAGACAAGGGGGCCTATCTTTGCACGTCTACTCACCCTAGAAGAGTCTGCTCCGGTCCATCCGTTGCCCTCAAGCTTCTGACGCTGAGAGAGGATCCAAGGAGTAGCGCGCTCCCAAGCGTGGCGAGACCAGACCTTGGTGACGTGCTGAAGGCCAGTCTGCTTGATCGCCGAGTCGAGAGTGTTGTCAGTGGCCTCGAAAACCACGCCGCCGTCGGGACCCTGTGCATGTGGATCCCGTGGGGTGATGACGATAGTGGAGGGAGAGGAGGCGAGGTTGCGCGGTCAGCGATACGTGGAGAAGAGCGGATGGATGCCGTGGCGGAGTCGAAGGCTCTGCAATTGATGGAGAGCGCCATATACCATTCTCGATAGGACGATCTGGCCAGCATATATGCGTGGTGAAGTGGATGGTAGCATGTGGAGCGTGGTAGTACTCACGTTGTGCTTCTCGACGACGGCGGCCTGCTGGTCCAGCTTCTTGTCCTTCTTACCCATGATTGCTGTTTGAAAGTGGTTGGGGGTGGTTTGGTGGTGGTGGTGAGCGTGGTTTACCTCAATGAAGAGATGAGGAGAGAAAAGGGTACACAATGGGGGGATCGACTCTTTATAGATGAGCTGTTGCGGGGGTCGGGGGGTTGCTCAGGTCGTCAACGGTAGGCGTCCGTGCACTCTGGTCAGGCACGAGAGCAGAGTCAGTTCGAGGGCAACGACAACTTGTCAAGCTCGCAATGCGTCGCCCACCGACAGGTCGCACGACTAGTCGATTACCGTCCGCCGGCACCTCGACCCGGATCGCGAGAGCGAGGAGAGACAGGGGAGCCGACCTGCTCATGGGGCCCTGCGACCCAATGGCATCAACTTGCTACCACTTTCGCCAGACGAGGGAAATTGCCAGCCATCTGTCGAGCTTCACTTGAATGGGTCTCGACTGCGCTCTCGTGCCCAGGAGGACTGCGCCAGACATTGAAGCGGGCGAGAGCCGCCAAGGCGCTGCAGGACGGCCCCAAAAATCGGCTGGTCAATGCGCTGCTGCCAGCCTTGCGGGGTAGACTCAGAGTGTGGGGTAAAGGCATCCAAGCACAAGACCTCGCAGCAAGCTCATGCCGCTTTGAGGTCGTCAAAAGAGTGGCTTGGAGTCCCGACCTCAGGCGTCAGACGGCACACCGTCAACGCTCGCCGTGGGAACCGTCTTGGAGTTCACGGGCCGTGCACTCTGCCAAGCTGCTTCGAACGGCACCCAGTCCCAACTATAATCAGCCGAGCTTGTCGAGGACGGCCATGTGACCCCGGGCAATGCCATCACTTATCCAACTTGAGACTCAACCTCCGAAGCGAGCAATGTTGTGCGGCCGGCCGTAGAGCTACGATGGGCCTAGCTTGCGTGGCCGCTACGGTACGCCTCACGGGTGCTTTCGGGCGAGTGTCGATACGACGCTCGCGGTCGCTGAGGGTGCTCGCGGGCGTCGTTGCAATAAATGGGGCTGTGGTGAAAGAGAGCATGCCGCGCTTGGTCCTTTGAGCGACACCGAGGCGCAAGGATCAATTGTCGGTGGTGCGTACGTGAATCGCAAAGGGCAAGACTGGCGCATCCTGGGTGCGCTGCTCGTGAGGTGCGTCTTCGGACCAAAATGGAGCGTTTTATAGAATATGGGCAACGATCAAAAGAGGCAGTGACAAGCTACATAGGACGGACCATCATCAGCAATCGATCCACCGCACCGCACCACGTCTCTCCACGAGTAGCGAATCTATATGTCTACACGACCCATGACTTCTCTCCCATCCCAAAGCGTCCACGAACTCGCTGGCTAGCTAGCAGTCACTTCGCAGTCGTGCTCGTCGTCTAATCGAAACTGGGCGCGACCAGCGGCCCCTCCATGAGTCCTCCATCCTCTCCTACGTCCGATGACCTCGAATCCGCCTTCGCCGCTTTAGCATTCAAGGGCACCTCCTTGTGAAGGGGGAGGGCAGCCTCACCCGACGGTGAAGGCGATGTGAGGGCACCTCTCCCGGCTCCCACCAGGCCTAGCCCAACACCATTGCTGCTCCCACCACTGGCCATCACATCACTTGGACCGCCGCTGGGCTTGCGAGGCGTGGCAGAGAGGTCTACGCGCTGCAGCGTTGACTCTTCGAGAGAGGCGAAGGGAGGTGAGGCGACGGATGGGACACGAGTGAGCGTAGAAGGAGAGTCTTCTGCAGCAGTGGTGGGCGCCGCTGGCTTGGAGAACCAGTTGCTGAGACGATTAAGCGCAGCATTCGCTGGCCGTCGTGGCGAGCCATTGACTCCCTCCGCTCCAGCACCACTGCCCCCGCTGACATCTGACGTTCCACTCGACGTAGAATAGCTTCGATGGTCGATGGGTCGCAAATTTTCTGGGCTCTTGGACGGCGGGTTGGGGGGCTGCGGGCTTGAGCTGCTGCTACTGGTCGAGCGAGCAAAGAAGGAGCCGAACGACGCGAGCCCACCTGCTGAGGAGCCACCAACGACGCCAGACGACGAAGGAATGGGCGAAGAGGCTTCTGCTGCGCCCCACGATCGTCCAGAGGCGGATGTGTTGCTTTGGTTGCTCGGCGACGTCGACAGAAGATCTGAGCTGGGCCCGCTGGCCGAAGTGACTGATGGTGCCGTGGTAGCAGTGGATCCGACTCGCTTCGGGTTGGTGGCTGCGGGCGTCGCAGAGCTGGCCTTGCGCATGACGGAGGACCACCAATTGTCCGTAACGCTGCCGTTCTGGCCGGACTTGGCCCCGCCTTCCTCCTCCTCGTCGTCCGTAGGTAAGGGAGGCAGCTTGACACCTCGCAGCGCAGCGCGTGCTTCCTCTCCTCCCTCTGGTCCCCCTTCGCCAATGAACTCCTTCAGAGCCTTGAGGCATGCGTCACTCGCACGACGCCCCTCGATGGCCTCGTCCAGCTTGCCGCGTAGGGTCTTCATCTCGGCCTGCATCTTCGCCAGCTCGTCGTCCTTCAGGCGCATGATCTGCATCGCGCTCATGCCTGCGGCCCCAGCGGTGGAGAAGGTTTGGGTGCTTGCTCTAGCCGTAGATACGTCGCCGCCTTCAGACGCCGACAGGGCGGGCGAGGAAGGCAGCGGGAGGAATTGGCCGTCCATGATTGGGCTGCCGAGACCGCTGCCGCTTGCTGACGGGGTTGGCGAGACGCTGGAGGTTGAGGACGGGCGATTGGCATTGCCGCTGGGAGGCAAGAGGAGTGATCTGCGTGACAGAGGTCTTCTCGTAGATGACTCTTCGCCGACCGTCTCATCACCATCGGCTTCTGAAGGGCGGTCGAAGCCCAATCGCAGACCTCGCAGTCCTCCAGAAGAAGCTTGCTGCGGTGTCCTCTCCACGTCGTTTTGAGAATCAGTCTGGCTTGATGAGGGCGTTACTCCCACGCCCGAGCCGCTGCGAGTATGTCTGCGACTCGCAGCAGTAGGCGCGCCGAACAAGATCGTCGAACGCTTGCTGCTTCTGCCGCCGTCATCCGGGGTAGAGCCTGAACCGCTGGGCTCGCCACCAAGCATCGATGGGTTCCATCCAGCTAGAGAGCCCGCAGCGACGCTCCTCCTATCTCCTGCAACACCGCCGGTCGCCGATTTCCTCTCTCCCTGCAGACGCAGAATGGCTCTCCTGCTCTCCTCTGATGTGTGACGCAGGTCCTTGATCTGCTCTCCTAGCCTCTCATTGTCGGCCATGCTAGAGCCGAGTTGCTGCTGCACGTCAGCGTGGCTGGCCTGTAGCGTCTCGAGCTCATCCTTCCATAGCGCTGAACGCTCCAAGAGCTCATCGTGAGAGCGCGACAGCTTCTCGAGGCGATCCTTGGATGCCAGGAGGGACCGATTCCTCCTCTCAATGACTGCGCGACTGTCGCGGATCATTTCTTGGAGTCTGAAAACATCCGACGGGAGCTGGTCAACATTAGGCAGATCCGAGTCGAGGGTGAGCTGATGATCCAAGGCCTCGCCAAGATCATCGAGCGGGTCTACTGCGTCATACTGGCTCGCGCTGCTGACGATTTTGTCAGGGGGCGACATCTTGAAGGTGCCGCTGAAGGGCGAGCTATTGGGAGTGGAGATGAACGAAGTAGCTGGCGAATGGAACGAGGAGGATCTCGAGTGGAGGTCTTCGTCCTCGTCCTCCTCTTCAGTCAAGTCGATGCTGGCCCACCTGAGACGAGAAGGTGAGGTGGGCTGGGTGTCCGCAGATGACTTTGTGGGGCTGCTTGCGGGAGAAGTGAGGTTGCGGTACGAGGAGATGGGAGGCATCGACATGCCGCGGGCGCGAGGGAAGGAAAAGGCCATGGTGAGGAGATGTTGTGGGCGAGAGGAGGGGAGGAAAGGGGGCAAGTGGGAAGGGGGGCGAAAAATGGTCAGATCCTGGACTTCTGCGCCTTGATATGCGTTTGGTGCAATACGATTGCGCTGTCGCGCTGACCATTCGCCCTGCAACCCATGGGCAAGGCGACTTGCTTCTGGGCAATCTCGACCACGTACTCACCTTGTTCAGATCTCGATTGCCGATTGCCAGGCTCTTGTAGCCACCGAATGCGTGTAGTCTACACTGAGGTCTGTCGATCAATGTCACCCGCAAACGCGCTGCGTGCGTGTATGCGGTCGAGGCAAAGGGGGATGGAATCACTTGGCAAGGCTGGTTGCGTTGATGGGAGAGGGCGGCTGAGATTAGAGTCCGCTAGCCGTCTCTGGTGGGGAGAGAGTCCCAGGGGTTCGACGGGGACGACTCGAGACGAGGGTGGGAAAGGACGAGGACTGAGAGCCGTGTTTGTGGGCGGGGAGCGGCTGACAGGAAGTCAAGTCCAGAGGTGCACAAGCGCAGTCCCGTCGTCGGACGGGGAGGCGGCGGACACCAACAGGGAGCGCAGAGGCCAACCAACACCCGCTCGTTCCGCTCCGCTCGCCGTCTCATCGCGGCCCGCTATCGAGCACTTGGCGCCCACTGCTCTTCAAGCTGTCAATCGCTGACACTACCGCTTTTGTGCATCGGGTGGCTTCAAGAAGCAGGAGGAGGAAAGGAGGGTCATCAGTGGCACACCACTCCGCGCCGGCTGATCGTCCTCCGATGATGGTCGACGGGCAAATATCAGGCGGGGCGGGCCTTCAAGTCCGAATCATCTCCGCGTGTGACATCTACCCTGCTCACCAGGCCTTTTACGCATTCGTATCCAAAACATATCGAGCATATCGAGGGTCACGAGCCAGCGATACCCACTACCAACCACTTGGACGCCTTGAAGCGATGCTGGCTCTACAACGAGGCACCCAGCTGGTCGCGATCAACAGTGGTCTGAGCATCGGCGGCTTCGAGAGATTCTGGAGGGGCTACATTACCGTGGCGCCAGGGTAAGTGGCCAGCCGATCAACCCTTCACAGCGTCTGAGCGATACATGCGAATCATCACTGAGCGAGAGACCCGCAGTATGATGAGCAGACTGCGTCAGTCGCAACGAAAGAAGGCGCATCCGTTATCGTAGTACAGAGGTGTTACATCGCAAGCTCGTCCTCATCAGAATCATCGTCCGCGCGCAAAGCCCCGCCATCTTCATCATCGTCATCGTCCGACTCCTCTTCTTCATCACTTTCATCGTCGTCCTCGTCGTCATCACTGACGCTCTTGCTGCGCTGCCGTGAAGAAGCGGCGGATACTGTCCGTTTCGACGTAGTAGCTTTCAGTGGCGCTGCTGCGGGCTTCGGGGGTGCTTTGCTCGACGAGATGGCTCGATTGCTCCTGCCGCTCGGCGGCTTCGCTGAGCTCGTACTCCTCGGCGCACTTGAAGTGGCACGCCCCGCTGCTCCGCGCTTCGGCTTTGCTTCATCTGCCGCATCCAGATTGGCAATCGCCCCGGGATCATCCAGCGCAAGCTCCAAGTCTTGCCCTTCGAGGAAGCTTCTCAACTTCTCCAGATCAGCGTCGCTCTCGAGATCCGCCTCTCTCGCCGCAGTAGCCTGCTCTGTGTACTTCTTGATGCAGCTTGCCTCAAACTTAGCGAAGGAGTTGCGCACTGTCGTCTCTTCGAATGCATTGACCTCGCGCAGCTTCGCCGCGAGGAGGAAGAACGTCTTTCCCCTGGGCATGTCCAAATGCTCCGCCTCCGGAAGGCTGAGCTTGCCTAGCATCCCGACGAGGACTTTGCGCTCCTCTTTGTCTTCGCTGGTGAGCAGAGTCTGCAGCAGCTCGAGAGCAACGTCGAAGTGGATGCAACGGTCTTGCGGCGAGGCGAGGTTGATAGCTTTGCTTGGATCCGACCAGTCAACCAACTGAGCGCCCACTTGAGCTGGGGTGACCATCTCCTGACTTCCGGCAATTTCGTGATATACCTCCGTGAGCACTTGCAGTACGGGGAGCAGCACGCGCTGTAGTCTTCGCTGATTCGTGCTGGATGAGAAGCAGTAGACTGGTAGGAAGTAAGACAAGCATTGCCTCATCTCCTGATTTGCCTGCGTTTCCGGGCTCATGTATACGAGCACCAGACTGCGAAGCGCCTCGTCATCGTCTACCATGCCGGAGAGCATAAGCTTGGCAATCCCTTCTGCTGCAACGGCCTGGATCTGCTCCTCGTCGTCCTCAAGCAGGCCGAGTAAGAAGCCGATAATCTGCGAATACGCCATTGCTGCAGCGTCGGGCCCGCCACCGGCTGCTGCTGCTTGTCGCGAAGAGAGGTAGGGGATACCGTGCACGAGCATTTGGTCGAAGACCACCTGAGTGGCACGCAGCTTGATTGCCCCGTCGGCGCGTTGGATTTGGTCGAGAAAGAGGGGAAATGTGTCAAGTGCCAGTTTGGAATCCAGCAGGCAGCACAGCCCCAAGCAGAAAAGTCCTTGCTCCCTCACGCTTGCGTCTTTGGACTTGACGGCTGGCGCGATGAGTTGCGGGATGAGGCCGTGGATGGCCGTGTTCTCATGCAAGTTGCTGGCCATTCGCTCCAGCATCGCGCGAACGAGGAGGAGGCGACGATTGTCTGAGGCATTCTTGCGCTCACTCGACGCTGCGGCGTTTGCGGCATTCTCGCCGCTGCGAGAGCGCTTGCGTCGGCTCTGGACGAGGTCTTCGACCTCCGCTGAGTCGTCTGCATCCTGATCGCGCTCCGCGTCCCCACCCTCCTCATCCTCATCCTCCTCTTCATCAGCCAGCTCCTGCACAATCTCCACCACGATGCGCACAAAGTCTCTCTGTCCGGCACTGAGCTTCAACAGCACGTCGATGCAAGGCTCAATGAGATTGGTCGGCAGGCTCTCATGCGAGATCATCTCTCTGATCAGCCCAAACATCTTGCGACGCCCAATCTCATCGCCGTAGTCACTATTGAGCGCGATGTGCATCAATGACTCGAGGACCGAGGCTTGAGACGAGGCCATGTCTTCTGCCTCTTCTTCGTCTGCTCGCGTTGTGAGAAGCTCAATGAGGCTGGACCAGATGCCTTGCACACGGAAGGCCAGGGCCATCACGAGGGGCATGACCTCCTCTAGTCGTGCTTCACCCGCTCGTCCTTTGGATTTGAGGTACTCAACCACGGAGCGCGCCAGGAGGGCTGTATTGGGGGTGAGCTGATTCCAAAAGGTGTCATCGAAGGCTACGGCGTCGAGGAGGGCCGGTCTTGTCTCGAAGGCGGCCTTGAGTGCAGACATGGTCGACTCGGCGTACGTGAGCCCATCGAAGCGATCCACAAGCTTGATGGGGTCGGCGCCATCACGGTCCACCCAAGCGTTGATGAGCTTGCCGCATGCCTTTCGCACGCTCTCTTCTCGCTCTCCAAGGCCAACCTTGACGACTTGATGACTCTGCTCAGGTGAGAGCTGCGATGAGCCTGGTCGAGCTAGGCCGGTTGTCAGGCTGCCCAGGTACACGCAGCGACGGTTGACGGCATCTGTATCTCGTAAGCGCTCGAGGATGTAGGGGAGCGTCGAGTCGTTGATTGGCAAATTGAAGAGGGCTGCTCTTCTCGCCTCTGCAGAGGGATCTGTGCGCAAGATGCCCAGCAGGTGGCTGCGGATACCTTTGACTTGTTCGTCCTCCTCGTCCTCGTCGACGAGCATCGTCTGATCTGCCTCGTCATCATCTCCTGACTGCAGCTTGGAGAGAGCGACGACTGCCTGCACTCTGACGGGCACCTCCTTGTCTCTTATTCGGATGAGGAGCGCCTCTAGAAGGACCTGATACAGGTCGTCATCCATTGACTCGAGGCCATTGACGAGCAAGGCAACAGTCTGGCAGCAGCGCAGGCGGACATTCTTGTTCTTGGCTGAGAAGCCCTTGATAGCATGCTTGAGTAGTATAGTTACGAAGCGTGTAGCAGGTGTGTCCTCCTCCTCTTCGTCTTCATTGGCAGGCTGTCCCGCATCCTTTCTGAACTGAGCCTGGGCATAGGCTGCATAGGCTGCCACGAATTTGAGAGCTCGATCTGCCTGTGTAACGCCCTTCTTGATGACAAGGACGTGATTGATGCATTGCAGGAAGGCGGTGTTGAATGCCTTCTCACCTAGCAGCTTGGTCCCTCTCGGCGTCTCTTGGGTGAAAGTCGAGCATTGAGCGTGTATGCGATGGAGGGCGACTGCATTCTTGCGGTGGTTGGCAATCGAGTGCTGCGCTTCCTGAAAGAAGTTGGGTATGCCCGTAATCAGAGTTTCTGGCGTAGCAGTTGAGCTCGGCATGGCTGCTACAGCGCAGTGAGGGTGGTGAGAAGGAGATTGCGGTACGAGAGCCAAAAGGGTGCGGCTGGTGTTGCTCGTCGCTGCCGTGCGTGCACTCTCAGTGTTGATTGGACGGAAACGCGTCTCGATGCGCCACGTTGTTGGCGGATGGCGGATGGCGGATGGCGGATGGCGGGGCCGCCGTGCCTACGAAGTGTCGTCCAACGCGTGCTGCCGCTTCCTCTTCCCGTCCTGCCATTCAATCCGCGCCATCACCATCAATCACTACTTGACACTCGCTCTGCCATGTCGCATCCGCGAGCTACCTTGGCCGCATCCATGGGTGGAGGAGCCTACTACGGCAATGAAGGTGGATCCTCCATCGCTGATCAGCTCATGCAGCTCGACCCGGCCATCACGGCCACGCTTCAGGAAATCGACGCCAACTTTGCACGGGCGCATCAGATCGTCACCGCTCAGCTACTCCCTGCCGTCAAGGTCTACGGTCAACACAGTGCAAAGACGTGGCAGAGCGCCAAGGTGAGACGAGCGCAGTGCGGACCGAATGCTATTATCTGTGTCTGACCTCTGCCCGGCAAACACCCCCGCAGTTCTGGCAAGACTTCTTCATCACAGCAGCGCACATTCCAGTCAAGAGGCCCGAAGACGAAGAGGTGCATCCTGATTCTGACTACAATGGCCACGACGATCAATCTACCTACGATCCTTCGTCCACAACCGAAGATGCGCAGGCCTCGACCAGCTATGACCGCTCACAGGGCGAAGACAGCAGGGGCAGCGGCGCCCAGGACGACGACAGCAATGACAGTGCCCAATTCTTCCAGAGTGTCAAAAATGCCCGTGCCAGTAGCCCCCCTCGACTGAGCAACACTTCGCTCAAGGCTGTGGGCAGGCGAGAGGAAAGGGACAGGGATGCGCGAGCAGCAGCAGCTGGCAGCGGGGCAAACGAGAGCGACGCTTCCTGGGCAGCGATGGAGTCACCCTTTGAGAAGCTCAAGCGCGAGGTCAAGGCGGATCAAGACGCTAGCATGAGCCAAGCAGAGACCCTCCTTGCTCAGCATAGGGCCAACAAGGCGGCTCGCGAGCATGAGTTGCTGGCTGAGCGTCGCGATGCTGTTGAAGGGGACGAGTCCCTCGATCAAGACCGCAGAGACCTTGTCAAGGGCATCGAGAACATGAAGGTCGGCCACACAGCCCGCAGCCCTGCCAAGCTACGTCCTGGAGGGTCAGGCAGTGCCAAGCTGCTCAACAAAGTCCTCAATGCCGAGCAGCGCAAGGCTGACGCAGGGCAAGGGCAGCGCACGCCAGGCAAGAGTGGAGGAGCCAGCGCTGCTCCTTCATCTTCTCGAAATCCCTTCGACCATCGCGACCCCCGAACTGCAGGCAGCTCTAAATGGGACGGGATCGCCGACCTTCGCAAGACTCCTCTCGGCACTAGCGGCAAGCCACGCACAAAGTCGTCCAAGAGCAAGAAGCAACAGCAGAAAGCGCCTGCTGCCGCAGGGAACGAGTGGGATAGCGATGAAGAGGACTCCCTTGCATGGCCTGCCGGCATGTCTCCGCCTGTAACGCTGCAATTTTCGGTCCCGCAGAGCAAGTACGCCAAGACGCCTGCCAAAGAGGCGGCTAAATTGGTCGTGGACGATCTGCTCCGGACCGTAGAGGCAGGCCCGGCAACAGTGCGACGCGAGAGGGAGAGGAGGGCAGCAGCTGCCGCGGCGAGGGAAAAGGGTGCCGATACTGCTTCACCCGGAGTTGCGCTAGGTGGGGGCAGCGCCTCCGCCAGTCGTCCCCGCTCCGTGCCTCGAGCCTCGCTGGCCGGTACACCGCTGAAGAAAGGCCCACTGGGCAAGCCACCGAAGGGTCAAGGAGCGCAAAAGAGGCGCGACTCGATGCCTACGCCTCCCACCCTGACACGACACGGCATTGCCCCGACGGGTCCGCGTCAATCTACCACTCCCCTCGCCCCACCTGCCGGCGTCGTGCCAGGCAGTGCGGCGAGCAGCACAACAGCCGGTGGGGGCCGCGCTGCCCTCCTCATGGACGAAGGCGAAGACGGTCTCGAAGAAGGGCTTGACGAGCTTCCCGACCTACACGCAGGTTCCAAGACGGACATTGATGCCCTCCTCGCGGAAGGTCAGCGCAGAGATGGGTCGGAGGAGTCAGAAAGCGAATCGGACGAGTCCGACGAGGATGAAGACGACGTTGTTCCCCCAGCCAGCGTGTCCAAGCTCTCAACCTTCAGCACCAACAGCGGGTGGAGCTCGAGCTCAAACAACACGGGTGAGAGGCACAACTTGATGGCTTCACTGGACAATGATACGTTGTTCGGTGTTGGAGGAGGAGGAGGAGGTGGTAAACCGGCTGCAGCAGGGAGCGCAGCGTCACGAGGGACGGCGCCATCCTCCTCGACAGGCGGGCGTGCACCTGGGTCCTCCTTCCACGTCGTTGGTCCCCAGCTGGACCAGACTGTGCAGGGTGGGCAATTGCTGGCCGACAAGGACGTCACGTATAGCGCGCCGAGCCCGACGCCATGGAAGTAGGCGCGAGCAATTCCGCTCACCGTATCGCTTCGTAGACTCGTAGACTTTGACACCCAATACCGCTTGCTCGCTGATCGCTCTGCATGTATTTCGTTTCACGTCGAATGTTGGAGAATTCCTTTGAACTTTGCACATGACGGCATGATCAAGCATGATGACAACAAGAACTCTCCCTTACTACGCAGCCTGCTGTCCCGTGACACGCTCGCCCTGCACTAGTGTCGCCGCCCTCTCCCTTCTCTCTGTCCCATCCTCATCTTCGCCCTCAGTCGACGTGCTCTCTCCCCCATCATGCTCATCTGCCGTTGTCTCCCCCTCCGTCTCATCCCCCTCAAACTCATGCTGTCCCGCCAATCCACGGTTCCACTGCACCAGCTCACTGAGCGTCACGCCCGACCCGCCAAAGATATCCAACGCGGACCCAAAAGTGACGTCTACTTTGCCCTTGGACAAGCGATTCACCAACTCCAGATCGCCCATGTGCCGTGCGCCGCCAGCGTAGGTACAGGAGACGCTCGCGAGTGCTGAAGGTGGGCTTCGCGGTCTCGCTGTCTGCGGTACCTCATCGTCGTTTTCGCCCTCAGTCGCTGCCCCCACCTCTGCCCAGCCATCCGGAATCCACTCGCCCAACTTGGCCACGAGCTCCTCGTCGATCCCTCCACAGAGGCCCTCAACGTCCGCCGCATGGATCAGGAATTCAGAACAGTACGTTGCCAGCATCTCCAGGCTCGCCTTGTTGACCTCCATGTCCGTCAGGTCCTGCCAACGATTCATGGCTACGACCCACTTGGGCTCTGCGCTCCCCTTGACTCGGCGGCAGGAGACGTCGACGACGAGCTGCTCCTTGCCCACCAGCGCGCTCAACTTCTTGAGACGCTCCATGTCGAACTTGGCCCCGGGAAAGAGGTAGGAAGTCACGATGACCTTGCTCGCCCCCTTGCTCAGCCACTCTTGTGCATTCGCCTCAGTGATCCCGCCTCCAATCTGCAGACCCGCCGGCCAAGCACGCAAGGCTTCCTCTGCCGCCTCGTCATTTCTTGGCCCGAGCTTGATAACATGCGCACCAGTCAAACCATGTTGGCGATAGAGATGCGCATAGTATGCGGGTGAGTGCGTAGCGACAAAGTTCGTCTTGACCTGCCTAGTAGGGTCGTCGTTGGTGTCGGTGAGGGTGCCTCCGACGATCTGTTTGACCTTACCCTCGTGAATGTCGATACAAGGGCGGAAGATGCTCACGCGACGACGTCCGTGACCTGAGGCTCCGCCATGGCCTCCAAGACCGGGGCCGCCGAGCACGTTGCTGAAACGGTCGTTGAGCTGCCTCTCCCTGTAGTAGGCCTCATCACGGAGCTGTCGCTCCTTGACTTGATCCCAAAATTCAACCACGGTCGTCGAAATGCCGTAAGCCTTGGGCGCCATCTCGTAAAGCTCTCCCTCTTTCACCACGATGCCGGGGATATCCTGCGGTTTCCTGCCCTGCAGGTAAGCGATCAAGCAGCGCAGCACGCTCGACTGGCCAATGATGAGGACATCGCTCGTGGCGCGCTCCAGCTCGAAGATGATAGGCTCTAATCGGATCGAGAGATCGTGATAAGACTCGGCACGAGGGTAGCGATGCGCGTAAGGGTCTTTGATCTTCTTGTCCCACTCGTCGGGGAATTTGGCCCTGATCTCATCTGGTGTCAGCCCATCCACGACTCCCGGGTTGATCTCGCTCAATTGCGAGCGTTCGATTACCCTGAAGCCTTTGTCGGCGAAGGCGAGTGTGGTGTGCGCAGAGCGTTTACGCGCTGAAGTCCATACTTCAAGCGGGCGACCAGACATGCCTGGGCCTGTTCCGGGCTCATGGCCCCCTGGTGTGAGGATCCCATCCTTCGCGCGCCGAATGCTGGCCTGCGCTGCTTGTTGGCGATGCTGAATCACGAAGTCGCAGAGGCGCTGCGAGTACTGCCAGCCGAGGGAGGAGAGGTCCGCGTCCGCCTTGTAGAGGTGGTCGATGAGGGCCTCGCCCGCTCTAGCGAGGTAGATGGTTCTCTGTCGATTGTGAATGTTCATGAGAAAGAACACTACACGACTTTGCAGGTATCCCTGAATATTGTTGACGATGACCTGCTGCCCAACATTGATTACCTTGATGTAGGGGAACGACGGATTTTCAATGGGCTCATAGAAGCGCTCGTGTCCCTGAATGCGCTTGTAGAAGTCGGCAACGGCCTGCTCCGGATCCCAATTGACGTAGTCTGGGCTCGAGACTTTGACGCTGCGGACGTTGGCCTCTACAATGGACTTGTCTGTGCAGATGCTCTCGAGGAACATGACGTGGACGCCAAGCTTGCCGAACTTTTCGCGGATGGCGTAGCGACGGGCCTGCGTGCCGTTGTTGGCGTCGTACTACGAGGCGAGGAGGTAGCGCAGATCAGCATCAGCTACATGCCTCAGTAAAGCAGGCTCTTGCCGCTCACTATCACCACCTGACCGCCGCCATTGAAAAAGTCGATGACCGTATCGTCGAATTCTTCGAGAACTCTACGCCGCAAAGCGTCCGTATCGGGGCTTTTGGGTCCTGCGAGCGAGGGCGTGAGGAGCCAGTCAGCTCCAATACCCACCTGCATGCCATGTTCTCAACTCACCGCTCACGAAGTCTATGCGAGCCAGAAGCAAGGCAAGGGAAGAGGTGAGTAAGGGAGCGACCGAAGCTGCGAGGGGCAAAACAACGCACAATCGGCTGGCAGCTTCTCTGCACCTCCTAAGACCTTCCTTCGGTAGTCACCCAAGCTCATCGCATCTGCTTTGACCCCGAGCCATCTCAGATATCGCTCGAGGGCGTGGGACAAGTGAGTCTTTCCTCGGGCTGGGGGATGATGAGGGGCGGGGGGAAGGCGAAGGGGCCGGCAGTCAGCGGGATGATTTCGAGGCGCCAATTGGGCTAGAACAGAGGAGATGGCACACTCGCCTGGTAGACCGACGGTTGCAATGAGGATCTTTCCACTGCAAAGTGGGTCGTGGGAGGGTCAGTAGAGGTCCCATTGAATTGAATCTTCGCCAGGACGCACGCGTGATAAAGCTGCACAGCAGAGGGAGAGAGGGTCAGTCCATATGAATGGGGCGATGGTGAAGTAACAGTCCCACTCACCTGGCCTGAAGCCGTCGTATACAGCGGAGCAGCCATCTTGGCCGACTTGTCTTCTTCTCTGGTAGTTGAGGATTGATAGGATGGCAAGCAGGAGCGGCAGCTCGTGGACCTGCATCTGGACCTCGTCGTCCTCCGCTCGACGCCTTGTCTTTCTCCACAGCCCGCGGTTCGCCTGGCCCTGATTTGATTTTGGCGCATCGAGATGCGAGTCAGTCCACGCTCAGGCCACCTTGAATGAATTCCATCCTTTCTTCCCTGTCGCCTTCACCTCTCACCACACAATCATGGCAGCACGCAAGCAGCTCGTCTTTGTCACAGGCAATGCGAATAAGCTGAGAGAAGTGCAGCAGATCCTTCAGTGAGCTTGCAGGACCCTCGCAAACCATCTTTTCGCTCGCAGCTGAGCCTCTTGCGCCCATCCTCGCAGGAAGACGCCCGACTTCCCCTTCACCCTCACGAATAAAGCCCTCGATGTCCCCGAAGTGCAGGGTACAACGATTGACGTCGCAAAAGCCAAGTGTCGCTCGGCTGCTCGCCAGCTGAATGGGCCCGTCATCACGGAGGATACGGCTCTCTGCTTCTCTGCCCTCGGTGGGCTGCCCGGACCTTACATCAAAGACTTCCTCGGGCAACTGGGTGTAGACCGTCTGCACCTGCTCCTGGCGGGCTTCGAGGACAAGAAGGCTACGGCTGTCTGTACATTTGCATACTGCGAGAGCGCGGAAGCTGAGCCGATTGTCTTCGAGGGGAAGACAGAGGGACGATTGGTGGAGCCGAGGGGTCAGAACAGATTTGGGTGGGATCCGTGCATGGAGGTTGAAGGTACGGGAAAGACGTATGCTGAGATGGACAGCGATGAGAAGAACAAGGTGCGTACGGGCAAGAATCCGTGTCTGTTGCCCATGATGGCCTCTGATGGTGCCGGCCTCTTCCTCATCACCGCCGCAGCTCTCTCACCGTTACAAAGCCCTGGACCAGCTTCGCGACTATCTCACCAAGCAAGCATGAGTAGATGGCATCACGGATCGTATTTTCCACACAGAGCAAATAGACAAACACTCTCGCCCATAGCTTACCAGATGTGACATCGCTCCTCCTCGGGCGTGAACATCGCATCTCCCTTCGCGCACCCCCACGCCTCGTAAAACGGCTCAAAATTTCTCACGACCGCGTTCGTCCTAAACGGATTAGGGGAATGCGGGTCTGTCCTAATGCGACGCAGCGCTTCCTCTGGACGGAGGTTGCGCGCATAGCTGATTGCGTAGGCAATGAAGAAGAGCTGCTCGCGCGTGTAGCCCTCGAGACCGGGCAGGAGCTGGTTGTTTACCGAATCATCCTTGCTGGAGAGGAGCGTCTGCCACGCCCGGAAGCTCTGAGCCATACCACCCGCGTCGGCCACGTCCTCTCCAATGGTCAGCTTGGGGTTAAGTGGCAGCTTATGACCAGCACCATCATCCAGCGTCAGATTGCCGTACTGCTGCTCCAAGCAGTCCTGCCTCTTCTTGAACTCCTTGGCCGTTGTGTTCGTCCACCAGTCGCGCAGGTAGCCCTTCTCATCGTACAGTCTCCCCGTGGGGTCAAATGAGTGGGAAAGCTCGTGCCCCGAGACCACGCCGAAGGCGCCATATTGCAGGTATGCGGGCCAGCGGTAGTCGAAGTAAGGTGGCTGAAGGATGCCCGCCGGAAAGACGATGGTGTTCTCCGTCGGGTTGAAGTAGGCATTGACCTCCTGAGCAGTCATGTCCCATCGCAAGGGGTCAAGTTTCCTGCTCGCTTGGTTGACGTAGCGACGAGTGGACAGAGTAGAGCTGCGCAGCTGGTTACCAAAGTAGTCCCCGCCCTTGACATCCAGATTTGAATAGTAACGCTGGATTGCTGCAGCATCCGTCGTGTTAGGCGAGTCTGGCCAGCCCACTTTGACAAAGACATTGTCCGCTTTCACCTCTGCAGCCTTGCGCGTCTCAGCGTCGAGCCAGTCGAGCTCTGGCAGGCGAGCCTTGAAAGCCGAGATGATCGACTCGATGATGGACTTCGCCTTGTCCCTCGCTGCGGGTGGGAATGCTGCACGGACGAAGTAGCGGCCAGCCATGAAACCGAGCGCCTCGTCAAGGGCACCAAGACAGACCTTTTCCCTGTCCTCTTTCGCATCGGGGGCCACGCCCTTCGCTCGTCGAGAGAGGGCGTCTGCCGGGGCTCGAAGTGGCACATTTGGTCCCAAGTCGAGGCCGAAAGTGCGCACAGCTGTCCAGATCAAGTAGGCCTCAATGACGTCGTCGTGTGTGCGAGAGACGAGCTCGCTCATTCGCTTGAAGGTGTCGGGAGCAGTTACAATGACCTTTTGTGGGACGCGGACCATCAAGGAAGAGAAGTAGTCTGGCCAGTTGACCGAGTCGAGATAGTGCTCGAGCTTGTTGACAGAGACGGGGTTGTAGGTCGCGACGGGGTCGGCGAGGACGTCGCCGTCCGGCGTGAAGCGGGCGATCTCGCGCTCAAGATCGACGACGGCGCGTGCAAGGCGCTTGTGGCTCTTGCGGAAGGTGACTGTACCGTCCTCGTGCTTGTGATGGTCCTCATCAGCGACCGCTGACAAAGCTTGCGCTACTACGTTGCGGTAAAACTTGATCTCTCTCTTGTCCTCGTAGTACTCCTTGTCTGGTAGGCCAAGGCCACCGGGCGAGAGATAGATGGTGCCCTGGGTTGGGTCACGGATCGGGTCGCCGTCGATGACGAGGTCCCACAGAGCGGGGATGCCACGCGAGTGGGCCCAGCCGATCATATTGGTGAGGTGCTGCTGTCGAGGTCCACGAGAGGGGGGAGGACCTGGCTCGCGAGAGGGAGGGTGAGGCTGCGGTGCGCGACCGGGCGTCTTTCCAGGCGGCAGTGGAGTAGGCGCTCCCGGTGGTCGAGGCAGAGGGCCGGTGTGATGGCCGCCCTGAGCAACGAAAAGAGGCTCGCGCGCGTCTTCGACATTGAAATGCTTGGGGTAGAGGAGCGATCGAATGTGATTGACAATGTCCATTAGAGGCTTGGCGCCAGCCTTGTCCTGAGCTCTAGTGTCAACGCACGAGTCGTAATACGTCTTGAGCTTAGCAAGGTTGGCATTATCGGCAGCTTCCTCGTCAGAGAGGTGACCTAGTGCGTGCAAGGCCTCTGCTTCTTCCTTGGTGGGTGCCTTCTGAATGATATCACGGATGATTCGAGAGTTGCGCTCAGTGACTGCTGCTCCTGCCCCATAAGAGCCAGCATCGGCGGGGATCTGATGCTCAGGAGCACCAAGCCACGATCCAACGGCGAAGCGGTAAAAGTCGTCACACGGGCTGACGGTGTCGTCGATGCTCTGTAGGATGTACGCGGAAGTCAGAACGCAGTCCTTGGATTGGCAGACTTGACCGTCGCCCCCGCCGTGATTGCCGTCGCCGTCGTGAGGAGGAAGGGGGCCTCCTGGACGGGTACCTTCATTGAGGCGGCTCTGTGCTCCAGCAAAGAGGCCAATGAAGATGGCAGCGAGGAGCAGGAAGATGACTGCGACGGCGAGTAAAAGTCTCTCGGTGATGTTGAGCTTCTCTGGTTCGGCGAGTGGCCCCAGAGCGGCGGTCATGGATGCAGCTGCTCTCTTGTACCACGGCTGCTGCTGCTGCTGCTCCCGTGATGCATCGTCGCCGAGGAGAGGCCTCGACTCGTCGTCGTCGCGAGAGGCCATGGCTGCAATGGGCGTCGCTAGATGATAGATGTCGCAATGGATAACGAGGTAACGACGACGGCGTGAGGCTGCGTCAGGTTTGCACTCGAGCGCTCAGGCCATCCCTATTTGGCGCTGCCGTTGGCTGAGCAAGCCACGTGACGGAGCGGAGGAGCGGGAAGAGCAGGGCGAGGGACTCGAAGCTGAGGGGAGAGAGCCTTTCGATCCTGAACCTCGTTACCCGCCGTCACATCTTCTCACTGAACAAGCAAGATGGCGCCTCGAGTCGCAGCTGTGCAAAGAGTTGTGTCACAGTGCGCCACCACATCCGCCCCCGCGGTGTCGCCATCACCAGCAGTCAGACTGGCGTCAACATCGTCGTCGTCGTCGTCCTCTTCCTCTACAGACATCAGAAAAGCGCAACGCAAGCCAACGAAGCAGAATCGTGCCCCTCTCCCGCCGTCACAAATGCGCTCGAGGGTATCTTCTCGCGATGTTCAGCTCACCACCAACTACCAGCGTCCCAAGACGAATTGGAACTCTCCGCTGCACCGAGACGCGGTGCCCATGGCCGACGACTACCCAATCTCGTCTCCCTTGCCTTCTTCAGCGGAGAAGGCCGGCAGCCGTAGCCCGAACATTGCCATTGGACCTGGTGCATCGAATCAAACGAGCTTGCAGTGGGCAGAGAGGTCATTGCATCTTCGTCTTCAACCGGGCAGGCTGAAGGGCCCTTTGGTAGGGCAGCCGGGCACCAGGTACGGCGTTGAGTTTGAGAGGGATGAGGCTCTACGAGCTACAGGAGCGACGGAGGGTAAAGGATCGCAACCACTGAGCGACGAGATCAAGGCCCGTCGCAAGCAGCTTTATCTTGAGCGCAGAGGCGGGGACTACTCGCGCTTCCTTTCGAGCAACGTTGGCGCGACGGAGCTGGACGAGGAGGACTGGGAGGCGAATGCGAGCCATGCGCTGAGCTTTAATTCGGAATTGACGCCCAATACGAGGCAGAGGTTTCTGGATCAGGTCAACACGATCCTCGAAGGGGAGCCTTTCAGAGCACCAGCTGCGCCGGCGGAGGAGAAGAAGCCTGCTGGTCGAGCAGCGCAGGCGGCGCCGGCGGCAGGCAAAGGGAAGGGCAAGAAGAAGTAGGCGCTGAATGCAAGGAAGATTGATGCTCAATGTATGCTAGTCCCGTGTCATTGCAACGACATGATCATATTTCCTTCATGTTGAGCTGCCATTGTTTGCCACGTGAGCCAGTCGTGACGGTGAAGGAAGGAGGCGGCGCTGCTTCGCGGACGGAAGACGGACGTCAAGACGGTCCGACTTTGAAGTGGCTCGCGCTCGAGAAGTGTGCTTCTCTCTGCTTCGCACCATCACCTCCGCCATCACCCCTTCTGTTTGATAGTCTTGCAGCCATGGCAGGACAACAGCCCGTCTTTGTCATGAACTCTGCGCCCGAAAGGCAGAGTGGACGCAAGGCTCAACTGAGCAACATCTCGGCGGCAAAAGTGAGACTGCGCAGCAGATGGACATCTTCTCGACCAGCCTCGTCTCTATATGCTGATATTCTTGTCCTTGGCACTCAACCACGCAGACCGTCTCCGACGTCATTCGAACATGTCTTGGTCCCAAGGCAATGCTCAAGATGATCCTCGATCCCATGGGTGGCATTCTCCTCACCAATGACGGCAACGCCATCCTGCGAGAAATCGAGGTGGCTCACCCAGCCGCAAAGAGCATGATCGAGCTCAGTCGCACGCAGGATGAGGAGGTCGGAGACGGCACAACGAGTGTCATCATTCTTGCGGGAGAGATTCTCGCCCAGTCGCTGCCTTGCCTCGAGCGCGGTATTCACCCAGTCGTCATCATCTCTGCATTCAAAAAGGCCCTCGCCGAGGCCCTCACTATCATCGAGTCCGTCTCCAAGCCCGTCAACGTCGACGACGAAAAAGAGATGCTTGCTCTCATCAAGACATCTATTGGCACCAAGTTCGTCTCGCGCTGGAGCGACCAGATGTGCGCGCTCGCGTTGAAGGCAGTAAGGACCGTAGCCACCATGGACGGAGCCAACGCCGGCTCGAGCGCAGGAACCGCAGCTGGCGCCCGCACAGTAGACCTGAAGCGCTACGCCCGTGTTGAGAAGGTGCCTGGTGGCGAGATTGAGTCGTCTACTGTCCTTGACGGCGTCATGCTCAACAAGGACGTCACCCACCCGAAGATGCGTCGTCGCATTGAGAACCCACGTATCCTCCTTCTGGACTGCCCGCTGGAGTACAAGAAGGGAGAGTCGCAGACGAACATCGAGATCACAAAGGAGGAGGACTGGAACCGCATTTTGGAGATCGAGGAAGACCAGATCAAGCAGCTGTGCAACAAGGTGCTGGAATTCAAGCCCGACCTCGTCTTCACCGAGAAGGGCGTGTCAGACCTGGCGCAGCACTTCCTCATGAAGGCAAATGTCACGGCGATTCGTCGCGTTCGCAAGTCAGACAACAACCGTATCGCTCGTGCTACGGGCGCCACCATCGTCAACAGGGTCGACGACCTGCGTGAGGCGGACGTAGGGACCAAGTGCGGTCTCTTCCACGTCGAGAAGCTGGGCGACGAGTACTTTACCTTCCTCGAGAAGTGCAAAGAGCCCAAAGCCTGCACTATTCTCCTGCGCGGCCCTTCAAAGGACATCCTCAACGAGGTAGACCGCAACTTGGCCGACGCAATGGCCGTCGCGAGGAATGTAGTCTTCAACCCTCTTCTCGCGCCAGGAGGAGGAGCAACAGAAATGGCAATCAGTGTCGGTCTTTCCAACCTCGCCAAGTCAATGGAAGGCATCGAGGTCGGCGCCGTCCGTGCGGTTGCCGAGGCAATGGAGGTGATCCCCCGCACCCTGATCCAGAATTGCGGTTCCTCATCGGCCATCAAGTTGCTCACGCAGCTGCGCGCCAAGCACGCGAATGGCGAGAAGACCTTTGGTATCGACGGCGAAAAGGGAGTGGTGGTCGACATGGACGAGTACGGGCTGTGGGAGTCGGCGGCCGTCAAGATGCAGACGCTCAAGACTGCTGTGGAGTCTGCCAGTTTGCTCTTGAGGGTGGACGATGTGGTTAGCGCGAGGAGAAAGAGGGGAGAGGCAGGAGGAGGTGGACCGCAGATGCAGAACATGGAGGACGCGGGTGAGGGAGGCATGATGCCTGAGATGTAAGAGCGACGGAGCCGGTAATCGAGACAGCGGTCTGATAGAGCATCGAAGTTCGTGTGTGAGCAGTCGCGAATAATGTTATGAGCGAGGCTAGTATACAGGGTATCGAGGGGTCATGAATCTTTCCCCAGCAAGCATGAGCGTGCTAAGCAGATATAGTACGGTGAATTGATCATCTCTCGTCCGTCCCATCTGCCTCGTCGCCGATGCCCCATCTCCTCATCCAGCGCACCACCGCGTCTCGGCTGGGAGGAGCTACTCCCCGCAGGCGGTACGTGCAGGTTCTGACAGCGAGACCTTGCTGAGGGATGCAGCGATAGACCTTTGCCTGAACGGGTATGAGCTTGCCCTCATCCATTTCAGTCACAGAGCGCCTCTGCCGCTCGTCTGCGGTGTTGCTGACCTCCTGCTCCTCTTGGTCTCGTTGTCTGCGATACTCATCATCAGCAGCCGAAAGGACGCGATCGATCTGTGCAGCAGCATCATGAGCCTCGATGGAAGATGAGACCGAGTCCTCGTCCTCTTGATGCTCCTCATTTTCTTGTTCCTGGTCTAGATCTGAGCGCGCACCGTTGCGACCCAATTTCCAGCGCTCCACGGTGACAATGAAGCGGCGATTGAAGGAGGTCGAGGCGATCGCGATCGAGGGAGAAGAATGATCTGCAGCGTGCGCTGGTGATCCTGAGGGCGGCTCTTCGGAGGAAATGCCGTCTTCTGCTCTGGGATGAGCAGCTGGAACAGCAGCATCGGCTGTCCTAACCGCCTCGCGCTGGGTGGTAGACTTTGGTGAGCCTCCGTTCTCCTGCTGCGGCCGACGCGATGAATGTTGCTCGTCGGCGAGCTCCATTGGGCCCTCATCCAGTGGACCCGCGCCTTGATCCCCCGTGACGCTGGGTCTTGAAGGCTGCATGGCAGCTGCCTCTGGATCGTCCTCTGCTCCTCCTTCTTCAGCTACATGCGGGTCGACTAGTCTCATGGCGCCCAACGCTCCTCGCACCCGGGAACACCTTGCCGTGCTACCGTACCTCCTCGTCTGACCATTGGCGCCCATGCCAAGCCGCTTAGCGGTTGTTGGTCTTGGCGAGCTCAGGTCTGTGGTGTGCGCTCGTGTCCGCGCGGCGGTAGTCGGCCGCCATTCGTCTTGCCGCTCTTGATCTGCTTGGGCGGCAGCGCGAGGCGGATTTGAAGGTGTTTCTGGTGCCAAGATCCTGGTATGCGCCCTTCGCTGAGCTTCTCGAAATCGTGGCGGAGCTTCTGCGGCTGGCGCCTCCTTCTCGCCAGGTTGAAGGCCCAGGACGTGAGCGGCAGATGTGCTTGCATCACCTCGACCCCTGTATTGAGGCGGCGTTGGCTTCCTTCTACTCCACGAAGGTTGATCTGAGCCTGTTGAGATGGGGTCACTGCGACTATGTCCGCTTGTCCGATTCGAGCTTCCTGTGCCGCTCGTAGAGGCGGGGGCTGATGCTGGCAGCTGGTGTTCCTGGGGTCGCCGCAACCTATCCAACGGAGGACCTGCGGCTGCAGTTGATCTCGTCGAGGCTATAGGCCGGCGGCTAGCTTGAACAGCGAGTTCTCGACCAGTAGCGTTCCTCTGGGGCTCAGCGGGCGGCGCAGCTGTAGTGACATTGAGTCTCGCAGCCTTGGGTGCAGGAGCAGGCTCCTCTGCCTCGCTTCTCGCTCCCTTTCGCTTTTTGGGCGGCGGCTTGCTGTCTGCCCTCGTCTTCATACGGCTGACGCGGCTTGGTCGCGATGAAGCTGCTCGAGCATCATCTGTGCCAGCAGCACCTTGTACAGCGTGACGTGGCCTGTCATCTTGGCCATCGAATCGCGTTGGGAAGGCTGTAGCTGCACGCCTTGGTGGCTGTGAGCGGGATGCTGCCGGTGACCGCCGCGACGCTGATGCCGAGGACGAAGGGGTAGTGATGGCGCCGCTTGCAGCTTGCCCTGCTGGGCGATTGCTCCTCATCTGTCGTACATACCAGCGAGGAGAAGATGGCGGTGCGTGGGCGGAGGTGGTGACGGAGTAGTGTTGAAGCAAGCCGCAACTCGAAACGCGCTTTGTCCCTCTGGCTCATTTCGCCGTCCGTCCACTCAGCCGCTGCTTCCGTGTTGCCCTGCCCTCGCCCGCACAATTTTGACTTGCAATTCTTCGCAAAGTCACATTTGACCTCTAGGCACCAGGGACAGATCGTCAGGTCGATCAGAGAGCTTCTTGCTCCACCATGGACGCTCTCCTCACCTCATTGCGGGCCCTTTCACTTCTCCCGCCAAGCCCATCACAGCTCCTGCAGTTGCTAGCCTCGCCGTCAAGCCCTGAGGAAGAGGAGAAGGAGTCGCGTGACCTGGCCAGAGTCCTCAGCCTGGGCTCGTACGACCCGGACAACGATGGGACATCGGAGGATGCAGGTGCTGCTGGTCTGGGCATCGACCGAGAGCTCATCGAGGACGGCGTAGTTGAGATGATCCGCTCATTCCGCAAGGAGGTGGCCAAGATGCGTAGCGCATATGAGGCCGAGGAGAACCAGCGGCAGGCTCCTACCCCTTTGCCCGCCAAAGGAACCCCGCTGCACTTCCTAAAGCTCCGGCATGACTCCCTGCTGCGGCAGACAGAGAAGCTCGATAACCTCTACGGGGGCTACAGACCTCGCGTCACCTTCAGCGGCGGACCCAGCTTCTCATCCGAGCTCGAGCTGGCGGATCTCAAGCCGGTCGAGCGTAAAGACCAAGTTCTCGTTGGCGGCCGCCTGGACGGACACTACATGGTAGCTCGAGTGGCCAGCACTGTTGCAATCTATGTCGGCGCCACCTTCCTTGTCACGCTACCGCAGCCACTGGGCTTTTCGCTGCCCATCTCTATCAGCCACTTCACCCCAGACCCCAGCCTGTCTAGCGTTGCAGCTTCGCAATCACTGCCGGAGGGAACGCTTCTCGCGTTGAAAGAGCCCTACCTCAGTCCTCACCACTCATTGAGAGCGGCCGGCTCGTCAGGTGGTATGGGCATTCGAGTCGACACGCCTACTGATGTGATCGTCTTGGACGAGGGCCATGCTTTGCTGAAAGGCTTGGAGTGGCCCGTCGAACCATCGAAACCGCCTGCTGGAAGGAACAAGAAAGCGAAAGGAGCAGCCTCCGAAGAGCCAAAATCAGCAGATATCGCCAGCTCCTCAAGTGGCCCTCAGTCGCGAGCTGTGTGGCTTCAAGACGGCCCGCAATCACGACGAGCTCTTGGCGAGCGAAGCAGCAACTCTGACAGTCGCAAGCCTGCTTCTTCAGATTCAATACTGTCCAGCGTAGAAGTGCTACTCGGTACCGACAGACCGGGCGCCGCCTGGCGAGAGCTACAAGCAGCCTCATCCATCCTCGACCTCGCGCAACACGATCCTTCTCGCTATCACGAGCTGCGCGGTGATGTCTTGTACAGCATGAGCGCATGGGAGCAAGCCGTCTCGGCATACAGAGCAGCTGGCCTCTCCTGTGCTGACAAGCTCCAAGCAGCCTCCCTCCGGGGCCGCGAAGCCCTTCACGGCCCAGACGACACGGACGGCTCTACGGTCTCTTCAGTCTACTTCTCCCACCTCTCCTCCCCGAGCCCACGCATAGACCTGGCAGACTGGCTCTCTCCTTCGCTCCGCGTAGCTCAAATACCCAACGCCGGGCGCGGTCTCGTCACCACACGGCCGGTGCCGGCTGGCACTCCTCTGCTCATGGCAAAATCTCGAGGATCGAGCTACCCATCTGACAAAGAGCTGGAGCATCATTGTCCTGTGCTCAGGTGCGACTTTGAGAATGGGGTGATCAGTACGACGACGCAGGTGCTTGCAACGAGCAAGCTCATCCATCTGATGATCGATCGGCCGGAGTTGACGCAGGAGATTTTGGGCCTGACTGCTGGACCCAAGATGAAGGATAGTAGGTGGGTAGAAGCCGAAAGATTTGAGAAGGCTAGAGCGCCGATGGAGCAGCCGTGGGATGGGCTGGATCAGGATAGGATGGGGCCAAGAGGTGGGATCAACGCGCTGTACGTGGACGAGGTGCTCAGGCATAACGCTTTTGGGCCTGGCACGGTCAGGAGGCAGGGCGACGAAGGCGACGAAAAGGGAAGTGGCAGCAAATCAGCGCACGCCAACGCCTCTCGCTCCTCCCTGCTACCGCCAGCCCTACACCGCAAACTGTCCCTGGATCCCCCGTCGGCCTTCTCTCGCTCCACTCAACCGCATCCGCTCCCTGCGATCCTCAACCACTCCTGCCTACCCAACGTGTCCTCCGTCTTCCTAGGCGATGTGGTCATCACACGTGCACTGCGCGACCTGCGCGAAGGAGAAGAGATCGGCCACGAGTACGTCCGCGGTGGCGTGGACTATGCGGCGAGGCAGGACACGTTGAAGAAGCATGGATTCGTGTGTAGGTGTGCGCTTTGCGACTTGGACAGAGGCGATGGGATGGAAAGGCTAGGGGAAAGGAGAAAGCTCTTTGCTGTGAGGGCGCCCGCCATCTTCAGCAGAAGCGACGCATTACTGCGACATACCGCCAACGGCGTTATGGAAGGGATGGCAGAGCAGGATCGCGAGAAGCACGAGGAGGTGAGGGAGTCGCTGCAGGAGTTGGAAGCGGAATTAATGGACACGTACGGGGGAGAGAGGAGAGGCAAGCTTCGCCCTGAGATGAGGGAGACGCTTGAGCGAATCGCGAGGCACGCTGTTTGTGAGAGGAAGCTGGGGTTGGCGCTGCGATACTACTTGCGCTCACTCCAGAGCGTCAATGCAGTGTTGAAGGGAGAGTGGGAGCGAGTGGCGGACGACGGGGAGGAGGAGGAGGGCGGAGAGCTCGTCTGCGCAACGCAGGAGAAGCTGACAATACGAGGGCCGGACGATACGGCTCCTCCCGTCATCGCCCTCACGCAATGCCCCGCTCTCCACGTCGACGAGGCACAACGCACTCTCTGGCGAATCTCGCAGCTCTACCTGCTGAGCCCCAGTTCCTCGTCCCACTCGCACCACCTCTCCCTCGTATGGTCACGGACGGCCTACTGGGTGCACTCGATCCTCATCGGCGGCGGGTACGATGTCTTCCGCGATCGCTGGGGTCCTACGAGCGCGGAAGAGGAAGAGAGCCTCGAGTGGAAGGAGGCTTGGCGTCTTTGGAACGATGAGTGCGGGCGGCCAAGCAAGTAGAGGGGACATGGGCAAGCATAGATTAGATGATGACGATTGGAGCGCAAAGTCTTTGTACAGAGTAGATGAAAGGATGCTTAGATGATTGTACAGTTGATGCTAGAGAAAAGAAGAAGAAGAAGCAACGATCCCGTGGGTAGTCCATGCTCAAATCCACAAATCGACCTGATTCCCAAAGTAGTTCCTCATTGTGACCAAGAAGAGTTGGCCCGTACTCACATGGTCCTCCCCCTTCTCCGAGAATTGTCGGTAGAGGTCCGGCGAATGTATAGGCAGCATTGCCATTGGGAGAATCCTGACTCGCACTTTCCCGTGCCAGCCTGTTTGATGCATGGCCTCTTCGTCTGCCCTCGACTCGTCCTTGGCGTCTGTGAGGCTTCCTAGGATGGTGTGACCTACTGGGCGCGGCAGATGGACCATGGCCCACTCTACGTGGTGCGCTGAGACCCAGTAGGGGACTCGGATGCCGCGAGCTGCTTCCAGTTCGCGAAGACGGGCCGGGTCGTACTCCCGCAGACGGGCGCTAGAGGGGCTGCAGTCATTGAGGCTAATGTCTCCAATGCTGGTGCTAGAGGACACGCTGTAGATCTTTGCGCCAGCGCAGCGCTCACGCCAGCTACTGGTCTTCTCGTATCTCGCGCCCATCTCCGAAGTAAAGGCTCCCTTGACCAAGACGTCCTGGAGGTCCTGTGCGAGTCGGGGTCGTGGCTGGCCAGACGACGTCGCGTGGGCAGCAGCGTGCAAGCCATCTGAGAAGAGGAGAGCCAGGGTGGGTGTAACGTGGCTCAGGTCCAACAGCTTGATCTTGGTGCACGTCGTCCAGAAGCGTCGAAGCCTACCAGCAGCGTGGCGATCAGGGCGGGGAATCTCTCGCGATGGTGTGCAACGGGCCAGGCAGAGCTCTTCGAGATTCGGAAAGCCGTGCTGAATGACGTGGAAGAGGAAGTCGTCGGATAACTTCATGCTTGCGAGGTTCAGGCTGCGGATGTGTGGGTTGATAGCACCTCCAGGATTGAGGAGAGCGCGGGCTGATGTTGAGGGGAGGGAGGAGAATGCTAGATCGACTATGGCCTGGTCTGCGAGGCTGTCGTTACACTCTCGGTCGGCAACCATGGCGACCTCCTCCCAGTCATCGTCTACTTGTGCTTCTTCGGGTTCGATGCGGCTGGAGTGGCGTGTAGGGTCGAGCGTGCCAACTTGCTCGAAGTGAGCGGCCGAGCCCGGCCAGAGGCACACAATGGTCGAAAGATCGTGGCGCCGTGGGGACCACGTCTCATCCTGAGAGCGCTCGAGTGGGTGCAAAGAGCGGCATACGCTGCCTCCTGCCGCCATGATGGTGAGCTTGAGGTGCTTGGGCAGATCTTTGATATTTCTGCGAGCTTGTGCGGCTGCTTGGCGGGTCTCAGGGTTGGTTGGAGGTGACGAGCCCGTAGAAGATGGAGCGTGGTGTAGCAGATCGACGAGGTATGCTGCAGTGATCATGCGGAGGGACGGTACAGTGGGTCTGGTAGTCCATGATGGTCGTGTCGATTGCCAAGGTGCAATGACCTGGCGGTCTCTCTCGCGGCAGGACATGACCAAGGAGCGCATGTCTGGGTTGCGAGCTGCTGCTTCCTGCTCGATTGTGGCAATGGCATGAGGCGGAATCGTGATGGGTAGCGATTGAGAGAGGGAAGCAGATTGCGAGAGGGAGTTGTTAGATGTCGAGGCTGATGGTGGGCCTGATCCCTGCCAGCTTTGTGGTGGGGCTGGTCCAGCATACATTCTACGAATGGCGCGGGCACGGGCTTCCTCTTCTGTGTCAAGTTGTTTGGCTTCAGTGGCTGAGAGGAACTTGAGTCCGACGTGCGGAGATGACGATGACGAGGACGTGATGTATGTTGGGGAGATGTTCGAGCGAGGCAAGGATGCTGAGGAGGATGTTGTGGAAGAGTGGCAAAGAGGATCGCGTCGCTGCCTCGCCGCCAAGCGCGAGCGATTCAACTTCTCGTTGACCGAGTCAGCTCGAGTTCTCGCCGCCTCTTCATCTTGCTGTTGTCGCTGTCTCTGTTGGCTGAGTGCAGGGATGAAGCTGGCTTTCGTTGTTGGCATGAATTGATGGACGGGCAGCGCAACACTCGACGCCGAGCTCGAGGGTCATCCATTTGTTGGTCCGCCTGTTGCGTCCAGTCGAGCTCGTCGAGACGAGCACGGACCTCTGACACTCGGCCTCCGGCAAAGGCGGGGAAGGTCAGGCGGGCAGGGGGGAGGCGGCTATGTAGCGCATGAGCCGGGAGGCGACCTTGGTTGCCACTGCTCCTCTTCCATCGCTATCATTACCGCCATGACATCGCTCAATGGCCACGCAAATGGCTCAACATCTACTCTAATCAACGGCGATGCAGCCTCACGCGAGCCCGTCATCATCGTTGGCGCCGGTCTCGCGGGCCTCGTCGCAGCCTACGAGATCACAAAGGCAGGGCAGAAAGTCATCTTCGTCGAGCAAGAGAATTCGGCCAATCTAGGCGGCCAAGCGTTTTGGTCCCTCGGCGGCATATTCCTCGTTGACTCGGTCGAGCAACGCCGATTCGGTATTCGCGACTCGCTCGAACTCGCACGCAGAGACTGGTACAACAGTGCGCAGTGGGATCGCTTGGATGACGAGGACTTCTGGGCAAAGAAGTGGGCAGATGCCTACTTGGAGTTCGCGGCGGGTCCGAAGAGGCAGTATCTGCGTGATTTAGGAGTGGGGTATCTGCCTACTACCGGTTGGGCGGAGCGCGGAGCGTCTGTGGCTACGGGCCATGGCAACTCGGTGCCCCGTTTCCACTTGACGTGGGGCACGGGACCTGCCATTGTCAAGGCTTTCGCCGATCCAGTACTCGAGGCGCAAAAGAAGGGCCTGGTGGAATTCAGATGGCGCCACCAAGTCGATGCTATCAGCCTTGACTCCGCAGGTCGAGCTGTAGGCGTGGCAGGCATCGTCCTTGAGCCATCGGACCATCTTGACCGCGGCGTGCAATCTTCTCGCAAGGCGGTGGGCGACTTTGAGATTACGGGTCGTGCAGTCTTGGTTTCGTCAGGTGGTATCGGCGGCAACGTCCCCTTGGTCAAGAAGCTCTGGCCTAAGGAGCGCTTTCACAACTACACGCCCGAGCACTGGGTCGTTGGCGTGCCCGCTCACGTTGATGGCCGCATGATCTCCATCTCAGAGAAGGCCGGGGCTCGCACTGTCAACAACGACCGCATGTGGCACTACACCGAGGGCTTGAAGAATTGGAACTCCATCTGGCCCAACCACGGCATTCGTGTCATCACAGGCCCGTCCTCCCTGTGGCTAGACGCAAAGGGCAAACGCCTCCCTCCTCCCTGCTTCCCTTCGGCAGACACGCTCAGCACGCTTCGCTACATTTGTTCGACGGGGTATGACCACACCTGGCTCATCCTCAACAAGAGCATTGCATTGAAGGAATTTGCATTGTCCGGCTCGGAGCAGAATGCAGACTTCACCTCAAAGTCCCTCGTCGGCGTACTTAAGCGCGTCATCTGGGGCTCGCAGCACATTCACGACTTCCAGCAGAAGGGCGAGGACTGGGTCACGGCAGACAATGTTGAGTCTCTGGTCGAGGGTATGAACAAGATTGTCAAACGCGACGGGCGTGGGCCTGAGGTGGAGCTGGAGCAGATTCGCGAGGAGTTGGAGACGAGAGATGCGCAGATGGATCACCCTTACTCGAAGGACACACAGGTCATGCTGATCCGCAATGCCAAGTCGTACAAAGGAGACGTCCGATGCTGCAAGCCGCACAAGATTGGGGATCCCAAGTGGGGGCCGTTGATCGCGATCAGGCTCAACCTGATCACACGCAAGACGCTGGGTGGCATTCAGACGAATCTGGAGAGTCAGGTGATGAAGGAAGATGGAACTGTGCTACCTGGGCTTTATGCCGCGGGAGAGGTGGCTGGGTTCGGAGGCGGGGGCGTTCACGGACTCAACGCTCTGGAGGGGTGAGTACAGGGCCGCATAAGCTTCCCGCAATGCTTTGTGACCAGTCTACTGACATCTATGCTCCCGAATTGCTTCATTTACACCCTCGAAGAACGTTCTTGGGCGGTTGCATCTTCTCGGGCAGGGCGGCGGGCATGTCGCTGGCGGGAGAGGGGGACGCCAAGGCTGCGACGCAAGTTTGATGCCGTTGCGTGGACGCTGAGTCGCTGCTCTGCTGTATTGTACATTCTTGACGCTGCTTTGCCTGGACGAATTGGATACCTTGAGCTTACGCTGTTCCTTTGGTGAGCGAGGTGAAGAAGTGCCCGTACCCCACATCCCGCCTGCGCACGGGCCGCCATCCGAAAACTAGTGCGTTCATTGACCTCCTCACCCCTCGTCATTCGGAGAGGGCGAGAACATGACAGGCGAAAGCAGATGACAGGAGCTGGGCGCATAGAAGGGAATCAGATGATATTTTGCTATTGTACACGGTGTTGAAAGTGCTAGTGTATGATGGAATCTAAGGGGGGTAGAGAGGAGAGGGAGGGGAGGGGATCGCGCTCGATCACGGTTGAAGCAATCGAGGCTACCCACGGCATGATGTCAAGGGATAAGAGAGGATGACAGAGCAATAGAGAGGGTAAAGACTAAGATGACAGCGAGAGACACAGGCCACAAGCGAAGAAGTTCCGCTCACGGCGCTGCGGAACAACTGCGCCGCAGCTCCAAGCCGTCCGCTTAGTAGCGGTAGTGGTCCTGCTTGAAGGGGCCGTTCTTGGGGAGGTCGAGGTAGTCGCTCTGGACGTCCGTGAGCTGAGTCAGGCGAACGTTGAGACGGGCGAGGTGGGCAGCAGCAACCTGTGCGAAGAAAAGGGGATAGTCGTCAGCGGAGTGGGCGATGTATGCCTGAAGCGTCTCTGGCTCACCTCCTCGTCGAGGCGCTTGGGCAGCATGTAGACCTTGCCGTGGGCGTACTTCTTGTCGTCGTTGTTCTTCCAGAGCTCGATTTCTGTGCGGTTGGGTAGAGTTTGGTCAGCAAAGGTATGGCACCATCGACCGCGAGGCATTGAAATACTCACGAGCGAGCGTCTGGTTCGAGAAGGAGGCGCTCATAATGAACGAAGGGTGGCCCGTAGCACATCCCAGGTTGACGAGACGACCCTCAGCAAGGAGGATGACGTGGTTGCCGTTGGGCATCTCGAAGCGGTCGACCTGGGGCTTGATGTTGACGACGGACTTGGCGTTCTGCTTGAGCCAAGCAACGTCAATCTCGATGTCGAAGTGACCAATGTTGCAGACAACGGCGTCGTCGCGCATGGCCGAGAAGTGCTTGCCGGTGATGATGTCACGGCAGCCGGTGGTGGTGACAAAGATGTCGGCCTGGCTGCAGGCATCGTCCATGGTGTTGACCTCGTAGCCAGCCATGGCGGCCTGGAGAGCGTTGATGGGGTCGATCTCGGTGACAATGACACGGCAGCCGTAGCCACGGAGGGACTCGGCGCATCCCTTGCCGACGTCACCGAAACCGGCGACGATGGCGACCTTGCCGCCAAGCATGACGTCGGTGGCGCGCTTGATGCCGTCGACGAGAGACTCACGGCAGCCGTAGTAGTTGTCGAACTTGGACTTGGTGACCGAGTCGTTGACGTTGATAGCGGGAAGCTTGAGGGTGCCGCGCTTCATGGCGGTGTAGAGGTGGTGGACACCGGTGGTCGTCTCCTCGGAAACACCCTTGATGCCCTCGAGGAGCTCGGGGTGCTTCTGGTGGACGAGCCAGGTGAGGTCTCCTCCGTCGTCGAGGATCATGTTGAGGGGCTTTCCGTCGGGGAAGGCCTTGAGCGTCTGGTCAATGCACCAGTTGTACTCGTCCTCGGTCTCGCCCTTCCAGGCAAAGACGGGGACACCGGTAGCGGCAATGGCAGCAGCGGCGTGGTCCTGGGTCGAGAAGATGTTGCACGACGACCAGGTGACCTGGGCACCGAGAGCAGTGAGCGTCTCGATCAAGACGGCCGTCTGGATGGTCATGTGCAGGCATCCGGCGATGCGAGCACCCTTGAGGGGCTGGTCCTTGCCGTACTTCTGGCGGAGGGCCATGAGACCGGGCATCTCGCCCTGCGGTGATTCGAAGCGGGGAGGTCAAGGTGGATCAGCTCGTATCCCACGTAGCATATCGCTCCAAAACGTAGCCTGTGCACCGTAGCCAAGCCAACTCACCTCGGCGATCTCGATCTCCTTGCGACCGAAGGCGGCGAGGGAGATATCAGCAACCTTGTAGTTCTGTGCCATTTTGTGTAGAGAGGTAGTTGGTAGTGGTGAGGAGAAGCAAAAAGGAGTACGGCTTCGAGGCCACGTCGCAGCACTCTCGAGTGGCCAGCCAGTTCTTCCTGCTGCTTAGCCCACGAGCACGAGCGCCGGCTGAATGGAGGTTGAATGTGGCCTGAGCCCGCGACACCCGGCACTGCGCCGGTGTCCATTGGCGGATGGGCTCATGGGGCGGGGCAGGGCGAGCGAGCAGCGCGCACGCACACGCAACGCACGCGGAGGCCAACGAAAAAGTCGAGCGGACAGAGAGGGCTGAGAGAGAGAGATGTTCTCGAGAAAAGCTGCGCTACGTTGAGCCTTGTTCCCAACACCATCTTCATCGAGACACTCCGGGATCGATAGGTGTCAGCAAGAATGCCATGATCAAAGAGAGACGCCTAACTGCTAGGCAGCATTCACGCCAACAGCAGTGTGCCCAGTCGCCCTTGCCCTCCCATCCTCCCCTCCTCCTCCCCTGCCCCCCTACCACCTTTGCGGACCCTCATTTCATTTCCCCTCCCCCTTCTCACTCTGCCTCTATAAGAGTCTGCACCAGCGCTCAACCCACGCAGTGTACGACGGGACGATGTAGGCAAAAGCAGCCAAATGGGCGGTGGACCTCGGTCCTCGCTCGGTAGCAACTGAATCTAACTATCCGTGCGGTCGTCGACATTATCGAGCGGCTTCTCAGCCCATGGCTTCGCGGCTGAACGATTCAGGACACATCCATCCCACGATGCTGTGATGTCGAGATCCCAACCTCTTCCTCTGTGTATGTACGTTAATCAACATGTGATCATCACGAGCGCCTTCGCACAGCCACGACGAGTCAGAGCGGCCCGCACCGCTAATCTCGCTCAGACTTGCAGTGACCAGACGTCATCGCTGACATTTTTTCTCTCTCTCCATGGTGCTCTTCCCCTCCCATTTCTCAACGCCCTCGATATCGCTGTCCCTGCCATCTACCTTCAGCATTATTGTTCGCGTGCCCCAACCTCGTTCTGGCAGCCATGTCGCCCACTTGTGCGGGCCAGACGAAGTGCTTTCGCGTCCGTAGCGCCTATACACAGGCTCGCCAACACACAGCTAGAATTGTCGGCGCCTGATATGCAGCGTCGAGTAGGTAGACCGAGAGCGCTGACCCCACCGATGGTGCTGCGAGCAAGCGCAAAGGGACAGGGATGGCCGGGGCAAGTGCTTAGCGAGGAAATGATGGTGAGGTTCTCATCCAGCAGCACGACGAGATGATGATATGCCGCTCTTTCATTGAGTAGAGTTGGCTAAAAAATGATGACTACAAGAGAGCACAAGCGGGTCACGAAGGGAGCGGCAGACCAGCCAAGAAGGAGAAAAAGCAGGACCCGACGCCATGGGAAGGGAAGGGGGCAGGTCGGGTTGCTGTCCGCCAGTTTGCCCAGCCTTGCCCATCTCATGTCTCGTGTCTCCTCCCCATGTCGACACTTGAAGACGTCCTATCGCTATCGATCATGCCGACTCAGTTGCCTTCGAGACTTGGCTGACCATGCGACGCGTACCAGTAGAGGTAGCTGATAGGTCGCCTCGAGCAATGACCATCGCTCGCGTGGCAGCTTTCGACTGGCCGGGCGGAGATGGAGGCGGAGGCAGTATTGGATCCCAAGGTCGAGACATCTTGTCGTCCGATCCCAATGTCCATTCGCTCCTCGTCGGCGGCGTAGAACTCTCTCTGCTAACCGTCTGACCTTCCTCGTCCAGTCTTGTTCGATACGATCGGTCTGGCGTTGTCTACTCTGCCCGCCCAGCCAGCCAGCAAGGGCGCGCCTGCGCTTCAACAGCAGCAGACGGCGAATCGCTGGCTTCAGGCTGCTGAGCATCCAATCAAGGATCCTCACGACGTCGTCTCGCTCTCGCTATGAGCAACAAGGTCGTCGTGAGCATCGCGGTAGCGGTGAATGCTCTCGCGCACCATCGATACTGACATCCCCCCGCCCTCGCTTGCCATTGCGTGATGCGTCTGCGCTCAGTCTGGCACCTACCGCGCCGTCATCGACGATGTGATTGCCAACGTGAGGCAGGACTTCGAAGAGATGGGCATTGAGAAGGAGGTGCTTGAGGAGCTGCAGAGGGTGAGCGAGAGCAGATCATGCTGTGGAGAGATACTCCCAGCCGCCTACTCACGCCTTCCCTTGCCTCGCACCCGCAGTCCTGGGAAGCTCGCCTGGTAGCCACAGGCGTGACTGACTTCGAAGGCGCACCCGTCGTCCCGCGTCAATCTCGCAAGCAGCAGCAGAAGGACCAACCATCCGGCTCTGGCTCTGGAGGCGATGCAGCTGCGGACAACAAAGACGGCATCGTCAAGAAGGAAGGTGCGGATGGTGAGCCCTCCGCTGAGCCCTCGGCCTCGACTTCCACGTCCAACAAGGCAGCCAGGACCGACGGCAGCTCGGATGCGGCCTCTGGCAGTCGAAGCGGTGAGGCCAATGGGGCTGAGGAGCGCGATGCCAACGGAGCTGGCGGCGCAGAGGGCGAAGAAGCAGGCCCATCCGCCTCGCAAGCCTCTCGTGCAGGCGAGAAGCGCAAGCAGCCTGAAAGCAACAGCGACGAGATCGGCAGCGACCTCGACGACTCGGACGAGGAAGCGGAGGGCGAAGCGGGGCTCGAGGGACACGATGGAGACACAGTGCTTTGTCTCTACGAGAAGGTGAACCGGGTCAGGAACAGGTGGAAGTGCGTGCTACGCGATGGAGTGGCAAACATTGATGGGAGGGACTACCTTTTTACGAGGTGCAACACGTGAGTCGCCAAGACCCCTAAGGGCGATTTGAGGAAGGAGACTGCTGACCACGCTCCTCTCCATCTCGATCGTCACAGCGAATTCGAGTGGTGAGACGAGACGATGACTTGGACGATCCTTGATGTTCTACCATCCCTTCCTTCTCACTCATTTTGTCTATGAGTTGCGCCTAATAGAGATCTTCAGATCGACAAACTGACAGCGCCCAGACTCGCGGTGTTCGATACTGCGCAGGGCAGGGCATCAATTGCATGCTGTTTCTCCCTCATCTTTGCTCCTTCACAACCTCTCTCAACCCCTTCCACGCCTCGCTCGCCTCCAGATCCACCTTCACACCTACCTGCTCCAACTCTTTGACATCCAGCTCCAAACGATCCACGTCTGCCCTCAACTGGGCATGCATCCTCTCCCCCTCTACGTCTCTCCCCGCATCACCTGCTGTGCTCTGCGGCTGCTGTTTTCCCCTCCCGAGTAGTGAGCTCGCCAGCCCACCAAATCCCCCTCCTCCGCCTCCAGCGCCTGTCCCGCGCTTCAGTCTTCGCAGCGACTCATAATTCTGAATCATCTGCGTCAAGCTCGCAGCATACCTCACAGCCACGTCTTCTACCACGCTCGTCGCCCAGCCCGTCTTGATCCCCTCGTCAACGAGCGTGGCGGCAGTAAGGAACTTCTCGTCTTGTCTGTCTCCCTTGCCCAAGAAGTGGCGCAAGGAGCGCAAGATCTGGGGTACAAAGTAGCTTGGCTCGACTGCTGCAGTTGAGGAGTCGTTCGGCGTGCTCGAACCCGAGCTGCGGTACGAGGTTGAGGAGACTGAGCGGACGAGACGAAGCGGCTCGGCACAGCGAGACTTGAGGATGGAGGTGAGACGGGTGCTGATTGGTAGGAGCAGGGTCGAGGTGAAAGGAAAGGTTGAGGTGAGGGCGCTGCGCATTTCTGTGCTGATGTCGGCAAGCTCTTGTGAGCCAGGCTGTGCCGTAGGGAGGCAGGGCAGGACAGCCGACTCGAACCGTCTCGCAACCTCCGCCTGGAACCAGAGGGCATCAGCGACGAGAATGACGAGCGTTCTGAGCGTTTTCTCATCTTGCGCATACGACTCGGCATGGTCTGGCGCCGGTGTAGCTGCACCGGGTCTACCAGCACCATCGAGGCTACTTCGCGGCTGTTGAGAGTCCGCCTCAAGATGCCGGGCCGCTGCCGATGACCCTGCTCGCGTTCCGCCAGGAAGTTGCTCCTCCAACCATGCATGGTAGCGACTAACAATCATCAAGCTCAACCTCCACTGCCGGGCCACGAGCGGAGTCAAATGGCAACCCTCCCTCCAGGGCGCCACGAAGGCCTCCACGGCAGCCTGGGTAGCCTTGAGCTGCGGCACGCGAATAGCCACGCTCGAGCCAGAGGTCGCTGCTGCGGATGATCCCGCAAGTTCTCCTTCGTAGGCCGATACAATCTCTCGGAACCGCATCTGGAAGTAGACGCTGAGTTGCCATCGTTTGTTGAAGCTCGCGTACGCCGCCGAGGAGCGCCATGCGGCTGCTGCTCTCCGCGACGGAGCAAGTCGCTCCACCGATTCGAGGAAGCGTTGGGTCGTCTCGTAGTTGCGATGGAACTCCTCGAGGCGACCAACGAAGAAAAGGTGGTGTCCTAGTCGCTCGGTGATGGCTGTGGCTAGCTCTGGCCAGTAGATTGTGTCGAGAGGTCGCAGAGAATGAGGGGAGCGGGCGGAGTACTGCTCTAGCGCGAGCGTAAGATCTCGTAGACTGTAAAGATAGCGGATCGCACGGTCGAAAAGAGGAGCGATGGGAGCTTGGTGGGAGGAGCTGTGAAGAAGCAGAGAACGGAGCTCCGAGGTATCGTCTGCCTGGCTTGGATCTGCGGACATATCGCTTCCCAGTGCTTCTGGTCGAATGTGCACCTGTGCCCACGCTCGTATCGTCTTTTGCCGGACAAAGTCCTGAATCTCAGAAATGCCAACCTCTGTCGTCTCGCTAATCCTGATCCAGGTGTCGAAGACGAGATAAAGCCATAAAGTACTCTCTTCAAGCTGTCGAGAGCGCTTCTCGTCTACGGACAGACTTGAAGGAACCTGGCTCCAGCGCTGCAGGTCGTCAAGCTGCATCGCCGAGCCTACTAACGTAGTAGAGTGGACGAGTAGAGAGCCCGGCGTCAGCAGGCGAGCCAGCAGCTCGCGTAGGTCGGCCTTGATGGAGTGCTCAACGGCCGCAACTCGCTCCTGATGCGCTTGAAGGAAAGGAAGCAGCTTCAAAGACGCATCGTCGTCCAAGTTGCTCTCGGCAACAGCGATGGATAAGGCGGCAGACTTGAGGAAGCTAAGGCTCTCCCACGATGACTTGGCGCGAAATATTCTCGTGGGAAGGTCGAATGCCCGTGGTGAAGACGGCGAAACTTGTCCTTGCGAGCGCAGCGGCTGCTGATTAGAACTGGGCCTGCCATTCGGGCCAGACGCTCCATTGATCCGGCCAGGTTCCGGAGCCTCGTCTTCCTCTTCTTCCGAGCTGTCGTCATCTTCACTCTCGCTCTCCGCGGCTGCAAGAACATCGATGTCGCCGTCCTCGTCGTCTTCTTCGTCTCGGCTTGAGCCAGCAGCAAAGTAGCCAGAGAGGGTTGCTGCGCTGCTTCTTCGCCTCTCCTGTGGTGACCTTGCCGCTCCGGTCTCTGAAGGAGGCTCAATGGCCAGGAGCGACTCAAGACGATGAAGAGCGTCAGAGTAGGCAAGCAGCAGCTGGAGATGACGCTTCCTCTCTTCTGCGTGTTGCCTGGAGTGAATGAGGTCCTCGACTTCAAGCTGCGCTAGCTCAACATGCTCCCTCTCCATGTCGACCCGTTCTCTAACACCTTCCAGCCCCTCTTGCCCTGCCCCATCAGCCCAATTGGCTAGCCGGTCTATCCTCTGCCGTTCCCCCGCTAATCTTGACGCAAGGTCAACAAAGTCGCGATACTCTGCATCTACAACTGCCTGCAGCTCAGCGGAGATGTCCTCGTCGTATGCTGTGAGCTGTGTCGCGATCCCTGAGATGGAGTTTGGGAGGAGCGAGCAGAGGAGGTTCGAAGGGGAGAAGGTAGGAGAGCGCAGGTCCGGATGGTCGTGCGAGAGGACGGCTGCTGAGGGCAGAGGTGGCAGGGTGGATGCTGAAGACGATGACGAAGGATCGCCATAGCCATTTGAGGTCGCGGCAGCCATCCTGGCTGGATTTGGTGCAGAGGAGAAGAAGTCAAAAGCAAGGCGCTTTGCTTGCTCTCCATCTGGGTGGTCGGTGCGCTCTCAACGGCCATGTGGTGGCTCAGAGTTGGTCTCAGTCTCAGTCTCAGTCCGCCCTCGACGCGTTACGGAAGGGGAGAAAGGCGCGCCGTTGCTGTGGAGAACTTGACTTCCCTTCCAATCCATCCCCTCTTGAATTCAGCCTCATTGTCACCAGCCCCTGCGCTTGAAACCTGGCTATGGCTGTCAAGTATCTCAATTGATATTGCCGCGCTCCTGTGACGCTTATCTGCCGTATACGCGCAAACATGTCCTTCTCGGACGACGCTTTCGATGAATTCGACCTCGACGAATCCGCCATCGCCCACATCGACGCCGTCGAGAATGGCGCCGCCGCCGCCGCCGCTTCAAAGGCTGCCACCGAAGAGACAGCTCGGATTCTATGCCCAGAGACACCAGATGTTCCTCTACGCACCTCCAGAACAGCGCTGAGCCGACCACCACCTCACAACACTACACCTAGCCGCCCTCCCGCTGAGCCATCACGAGGACCCTCCGATCCCATCGAAATCGACGCAGACGACGACTGGGATGACGGACTGCTTGGACAGCTCGATGTCGCTGAGCAGGTGGCAGCTGCGGCTGGATGCACGACCATCGCTGCCCGTTCCAAAGATGGGAACATCGGTAACGCAGTGGCGGGACCCTCGCGAGGCATGCAGAGAACAGCAAGCTCAGGCGCCAATTACGTCCAGCGTACGCTTTTCGGCGACCGCGCGACGCAAGCGCCTCCCTCCAATGGTCTTGGTATCGTCACCATGTCGTCACAGTCTGTCGCAGGTGGCGGTACGAAAAAAGCCCGTCAGACAAAGCAATGGAATCGCACAGCCTATGCGCAGTCAGGGGCACGTCGCATCACCGCTCCTCGCCCTCGCCCTACCCAGCAGAACTCGGAAGACAGAGCACTTGAGGCTGCGCTTGCGGGTGTCGAAGACATCGAGGATGACGAAGACTTCGAATGCCCGCCACCTCGAGCGCGCCCACCTCTTCCTGCCGCGCCCCCGCCAGACGCCATGAAGCTCGAGCTGGACGTACAGGCAGCCGAGACATTCCTATACCCGACCAATATGGCCAAGCGTGACTACCAATTCAACATTGTTCAGCGGGCGCTCTTCGACAATGTCCTCGTCGCTCTGCCTACGGGTCTAGGCAAGACGTTCATCGCAGCAGTCGTCATTCTCAACTTCTTTCGCTGGTATCCAAAGGGCAAGATCGTCTTCGTCGCCCCCACGAAGCCGCTGGTCGCACAGCAACAAATGGCATGCCACGGAATCTGTGGTCTCCCATGGGACGTAGCCTGCGAGATGACGGGCAACACCGCCAAGTCTCGCCGCGGCGATGAGTGGGAAGAGAAGCGGATCTTCTACATGACGCCACAGACGCTTGACAACGATCTGGCAACGGGCGACGTCGATCCGAAGGACATCGTCTGTCTTGTAGTCGATGAAGCGCATAGGGCAACGGGCAATTACGCCTATTGCAACATCGTCTCGCAGATGCAAGCTGTCAATCCGTACTTCCGTATTCTCGCCCTCACCGCTACACCCGGCTCAACGAGCGAGAGGGTTCAGGAAGTCATTGACAACCTACACATCAGCCTCATCGAGCTGCGCACCGAGGAAGCCCTGGATATTCGTCAGTACATTCACAAAAAGCGCGAAGAGCCCATCGTTGTGTCCATGACCGACGACTTCCGCCACCTGCGCGACCTCTACCTCGACGTCATGGACGAGAATTGCAACACCCTCGTCACTCACGTACTGCTCCCTCGCTGCGATGCAGCAACGCTCCATCCGTTCCGCGTTCGCTCCATCTACGCAGAGCGCAAGAGCATTCTGGCTCAGAAGCGCTGGCTTGGCTCCACGATCAACGAGACGGCCAAGATGGCCGACGCACGTCATCACCTCGATACTTTCTCCATCAAGATGTTCCGTGCTCGAATTCAAGAGCTGCTGGACAGCATGAAGAAGCAGGACTCCAAGAAGATGAAGCTCGCACAGGTCATCAACCTCGCTGCTTCCATGCCGGATGAGGCGCATCCCAAAATGATCAAGTGTGTCGATGTCATTCTCGACCATTTCTCGAGGGAGACGCAGGACTCATCGACGAGAGTGATGGTGTTCTGCTCTCTGCGCGAGGCTGTTCACGAGATCGTCGACCTGCTCAATCAGCAGGAGGGCGTCAAGGCCACTCCTTTTATAGGCCAAGCGTCAGACAAGCGAGGCCGCGGACTTACGCAAAAAGAACAGCAAGAGATCATCCAGAAATTCAAGCAAGGCACCTACAATGTCATTGTTGCCACCTCGATCGGTGAAGAAGGTCTCGACATCGGCGAGGTAGACCTGATCGTCTGCTACGAGGCTGTGAAAGACTCCGTGCGCATGCTTCAGCGCGTGGGCCGAACAGGTCGCAAGAGGGAAGGTCGCATCGTCGTACTGATGACCGAGGGACCCGAGTCGAGCGTCTGGCAGAAGTCAAAGGACACGTACAAGGGGGTCCAGCAAACAATCACTGCAGGACATAGCGTCACGCTCTTTGATGACGTACCTCGTCTGGTGCCGCAGAGCATCAAGCCCACGGCTCACTTCGAGGAGTTGGACCAGCCTGAGTTTGAGCCGGCGATGATCAGCTCGAAGAAGGCCGCGGGCAAGTCGGCAAAGGCGCTCGAGAAGGCCAAGAAGCGGAGAGCTAGGCTGACGGATGTTAATCGTAATGTGCCGGAGGGGGCACTGCTTGGCTTCTTGAAGGCGTCTGCGATCAGTCGCGACTTGCAAGAAGCAGACGACGATGAGGAAGGGGACAGAGGAGGTGCAGCGCGCAGGGCAGGGACGTCGATGAGGAGGCGCGGTCAGCAAGCCCGTGAGGCGTTGAACAGTGTCGACTCTGACTCTGACGACGATGACGATGCGATGGAGCGAGGTCTTGACTTCAAACGCCCAGATCTCAGTCGCACGGCGAGCGCTCAGAAGAAGAAGAAGCAGGCAGAGGAGGAGGCAGCGTATCGACAGGCTGCGGAGCAGAGCGGCGCCCAGCTACCCACCGCATCGAAGCCCACCACTATCTCCAGCACCGACAGTCGCGGCGAGACTACAAATAGCGCACGTCGTGGCCGCCAGCTCGGGGCGAGACGCGCGACTTCCCAGCATACCGGCAGCGCGGATGATGGGCGTCGTTCCCGCTTCGCTGTCGATTCAGATGACGAGGCAGGAGGCAGCGAGCCGGCTAGCAGTCCACTGCCTCTGATCTTCAACCGAGCCAATCAGGTCAATGGAGCGTCTGCTGCAATGAAAAAGGCGCAGCCCGCTCGGTCAGCAGCCTCAGGAGCTTCAGGCAGCAACCGCAGCGCAAGTAAGCCGGCATCCGATCCATCTCCCGCCTCAGCAGCGCAGCGACGCGCCGCTTCGTCTTTTCATCAAAGCCCTTCGAACGGCGAAGACGACTTCAGTATGTCATGGGCCAACGACGACGGTGTGTTAGCACAGCTGAGTCAAGAGGCGACAAGACAGGTCCAAGCGCGTCAGCCTTCGGCGGCCAGAAAGGACTCACAGCAGAAGAAGGGAAGCATCAACAACACTGCGCCTTCAGCGCTGCAAGACTCTCCCTCGCCGGAGATTGCCCGTCGTCGCTCCGGCAAGGTCCACCCGCTTATGGCGAGCCTGCTGGCTGAGCAAGAGCGACAGACAGCGGCAGCCAGTCCGAGCAATCAAGAGGAGGGTCCCTCGAGTAGATCGAAGCCATCAACTGCATCCATCGCAGACAACTCCTCGCCCATCGTGCAGCGACGCGCGCCTAGGGTTCCTCAGCCCTCCCATGAGAGCGTGGACGAATCGCCGCTTGTTGACAGGCGGCGGAAACGCGTGACGGCGGTGAGCGATAGCCCACTCGGCGAGGATGATGAGGCGAGAGGACTCATGGGCCCACCAAGGTCCAAGCCCGCTTCAAGATTTCGCCGAGCTGTTGCTCCTTCTTCGGATGGCGAGGAGGATGGGGAACGTAGCCGCGCAAAGGGCGGCGCGAACGGCAAGGGCAAGGGCAAAGCGCGCGACAAGGATGCACGAACGGTAAACATTGTTGAAGACAGTAGCGACGAAGACCGGCCCGACGCAGCAGCAAACGGTAAACGCAAAGCTTCCGCCACAAGCAAGAACAAGAAATCCCGCGAGAAGAAGAAGCGCATCACCAATTCGCCCACCTCTCGCGCCTTCTTTCATCACGAGGCTGAACGGGATACAGACGAAGAGCGGCGCGAACGCAACCGCTCTGACTCCAATGACGAAGGCCTCAGTACGGACGAGGCGGACACGAGCGACTTGGAGCACGTGGGCGATTTTGAGCCGACGCAGGCGCCGAGGGGGTACAAGCAGATGGATGTATATCGACAGAGCTTATTGACGCAGGGTGGTGGGGATGGGAGGGTAGAGAGCTACGCCGCCTTGGGAAGGAGGGCGGGGAGAAGGGGAGCTCCATTAGGGAGGGGAGGAGGCGGAGGGCCAGCTGCCTCTTTTGCCAGTACTCATCGAGGCCCTCAGCCCCGTATAGGTCGCAGCTCGCAGGGTGACGAGTCTGATCGTTACTCACTCGGCTCCTTTGTCTGTGACGACGATGACGTTGATTACGAGTCTGGCTCGGGGGCCAACGAGGACTCGGACATTGGGGCGGACGATGATCCCGATGTGCACTGGATACCTGGCGTCAGTAAGCCGAACGTCGAGCTTGCGTCAGAAGATGAGGTGGACTACGATTCTGACTGCCATGACTTGTCGTAGGTGGGAAGAGGCGAGTATGGCGAAGAGCAGGAACGGAATTATGCACTGCGATATCTTTACATTGATCGGCAGCCTGCGCGCTCGCTACATCACGACTTCTGTTGCCCACTCGTCGCCGCTATCCTCTTCCCCCCGCCCTTCACCTCATCTATCCTCCTCCATACATGCTCCTTAGTAGTAACAAGCGCCTGCTCCGGCGGTCTCTGTATCCATCCCTTGTCCTGCGCTTCTCTCAGCCGCATCATCGCTCCTGCTCCCCCATTGCCTTCTTCACCTGCAAGCCGGGCTTGCCCTTCGTGCCATTCCTGGACAGCGCCACGCAGCTCAGCGTCGCGCCAAGTTACCTCCCTCCCCACGTCGAGCAGCGATACATTGCTCGACGTTTTCGACACACAGTCGCCCAGCAAGGCTAGCCGTTGAGCGATCCGAGCAGGAGCGGGCGGTGCTCCTGGCCCTGGGGCCTGTACGGCTCGCGGATAGAGGTAGACGAGGACGCTCAGCAGGAGGAGCAGGCAATGTCTAGCGAGATAGACATTGGCATGCCAGTGATTCCAAGGACTACGTTGGTCCTCCGACCAGCCGTACCAGTCGAAAACCACTGAGATCTCTAGGACGGCCATTATGGGGAGGAGGGCGGCGAGGGTGGAGCGCCAGTGGGCTGAGGATACCACCGTTGACGCGGAGGCGGAGCGGAGGGAGTCGAGTGATCGCAATGTCGTAGTCGCGGCAGTACTGAGACCGAAAGCGAGGGCGTGCAGGGCGTAGAGGAGGAGGATGGGCGGGAGCGCATAGAGTTGATGGTCGGAGGGGTGCGTACAGTAGCTGCACGATAGGAGTGGGGAAGGGCCCAGGAGGAGATAGGATTGCTGCGGAGCGAGAGAGAGCGAGAAAGGTAAGCACGTAGGCCCGAAATAACACTTGGGCGTCGTGACACTCACCCTCGAGCTCATACTATTCAACCTCCTCAACAGCCTCTCAAGGACATCACCCCCTGCAGCAGCTCCCGCCGCCGACTCTATTCCTCCATCCTCGCCCATCCCGCCTACCTCTCCCGTATTCATCCATCCGCTCAACCCCACCTCCTCGACCCCCAACGCCGCGACCCTTCCTCTCAAACTCGCCGAACTCGCCCCGATCGGCAGCCCGGTGTGAAGGAAGAGGTCACGCGAGGCTCGATAGGATTGCCCGAGCGGGTTAAGCGCTGCAAGGTGGTACGTCGCAAGAGTGACGAAGAGGGTGAGGAGCAGGTATTCAGAGGGATGCAGGGAGACGAGTCGAGAAATTCGAAGGGAGAAAAGGCGGGGAGAATACCAAGGCCGTCTGAGAGAAGAGGGGGAGGCTGGCGTGGTCGATATTGGAGCCTGGTTACTGCGCAGGTAGCGATTGAGCAGTGGGACCGCGAGGATCAGCCCCACGGTGATTAGGGGAGACGTGGAATCTGAGCCGCCCATGATGACGACGAAGCTTTGGAGCTGCTCTGAAGCGGCGTGACCTAGGCGATAAGGTGATGTTGTTGAGGAGCAAAAAGGTGCAAAGACACGAAGCAATGCGCTCGAGCCAGTCCGACACGGACGGACGCGATTCTCCACCTCGGCGCCCTACACCTTCCTCCGACAAAACAAGATCCTCAGGCCGCGACAGAAATCACAAAACTTGACAATGAAGCGAGATGGATTATGGCGAGAGGCGAAAGACACGAGATGAAAAAAGCGCTTCCTAGGGAAGCCTGACAGGAGAAGGAGAAAGAGCTTGGATGAAGAGGCGGGGAATCAATGAGGAGAAACAGGAGAGATATACGTGGATGCGGTGACAGAATTTTCAGAAGGAAAGTGGGCAAGATCGATAGGGATTGTGAAGCGCTCGTGGACTGCTCGTATATGATGCGAGTGCTTGCTGAGGCTTGTGTGCGGGCCTCTCTAAGAGCCTCGAGGAGGAATGGGTGGGCTGAACGCCGAGAGAACTGATGTGACGGAGAAGAGAGAAAGGAGAGGTCGATGCTGGTGAGGATGAAAATAGGCGGAGGGGTAGATCAGGGAACGGTCCGTAAGTTTGAGCCTGCTTTTAGGCGACGATTGAGATCCAGAGGAGCAATTCAAGAGCGCCGCTTGACAAGCCACTCCACGAGGCTGCCCTCAATTCGCAAGTGCCTTCTGCTCCCGCTGCTGTTGCTTCAGTTGCCCTGCTCACTTCGCATTCGCCTCGACCAGACCGCCAAGCCCTTCTGCGGCCACAATGCCCAAGCAATCATCCTCAGACTCTTCTCCCGTGTGAGAAGAGTGTGCCGAGTGCGACGCCACGGATGGATGCTTTGCAGCAAGCGCCGAACCCTCCCCATTGCTCTGTTGATGAGACATCTCCGGCGACACTTGCGTAGCCTTTTGACCTGCAGCGACACCAGCCTTTGTCGCGCTCGTCTTCGACTTCCCCTTCAATGGCGTGTCACTTGGCGAAGTCTTTGCTTGCATTTTCGCCTGCGCGTCTGGGCTCATCGACGTTGCCGAGCCCTCACTTTGGCTGGTGGCCGTCGTAGCGCTTGTAGTCACGGACGGCCGCCTCGTGTCGTCCACTGCGCCGCCACCTAGGCCGAGGCCCAGTCCTGCCATCTCACCGCTGCTGCTACTGCTTATCGCCGACGTCGCCGTCGTGGCGTTGGTGGCGTCAGTCTGCTGGCTAACTTGACGCTCGAGGGACGCCCCTGGCGGTGCCCTGTGTGAGTGTGGATGAGGTGGTAACGCGCCACCGGAAGGTGTTGAGTCGCTGCTGCCCCTGCCGAGGACTACAGCCGGTGCCAGCTGCCGAGCGTCGTTGCTCGTATTGCTGTCTGGATATCTGCGTGTGGCGGGGGTAGAGCCGTCGACTGTGTGGGGCATTTGCTGCTGATGGTAAGGCTGAGCTTGATAGTACGCCCGAGAAGCCGTCGGCTGCTGCTGCTGCTGCTGCTGTGGATGCTGATTGCCTCCCGTCATCGCAAGATTTCCAGCATCAGGCGCAACTGGTGAATAGAGGCCATCATGGAAGTCGTAGTGCAGAGGGATTGGATCTTGCCAGCTTCCCAGGCGATGCGGCGTTGGTCGGCCAGACGCGTGCATGCCGGGTGGCGGAGCAGAGATCATGTTAGGATATGATAGAGCAGAGCTCGATGGCGTCGTCGGCGTCATGTTGGGTTGGGCTGCGGAGTAGATGTTGGCGGGATGAGGCGAATGATAGTGCGGCTGCGATGGGTAGAAGGGGATGCTGGGTGGATGCGGAGGAATGGGACCAGATGCCATCTCTTCGGGGCGAGGAGTGTAGACTGCAAAGGGAAAAGGACCTCCCGGGCCCTCATATGAGTAGCTGACGGGCATGGGCGGCATGCTGGAGTGATGCGTCGGCACAGAGTTGATGAGGCCACTAGGAGGCGGACCCGGGGGCGGTGGTAGCCATTTTTCCCACTCATGGCGCTTTCGGATCCTTCGCCCCTCCTCATCGAGCTCAACGTGATAGCTGTGTAACAGCCTCCCCTTGACTTCGGGGTGTTCCAAAGAAACGCCCAGGTCGTCACACATGCTACGCAGCCTCCTGAAACTGGCGATGAGACTCAGTGGTAGCCAGCCGGCCGCCGGCTCCATCTGCGAACGCAGAAAGACGTCTCCTGAGAGGTTGCGCTCGCTGAGGTAATACTCGACCTGCGTGACGAGCTGCATTGCTGCTGCGGGAACATCCATCATCGGGCCGGCCAAATGCGCAGATGGAGCTGGAGCGGGAGTTGCAGGCTGACCTTGGGCAGGTGCAGTCAGCGGCGGACGCTGCTCGCCTTGAGCGTCTGGCTGCCAATACTGCGGCTGGCCGGGAGCAGGTGGAGCAGAGGGGAACGAAGTTTGATCTCCCTCGCCTTGGTGGTGGTGCTCATGGTGCATCAGATGACCGTGCATGTGCATGGGCACAGCGGGCCAGAATCTCGCCCCATCGTAAAACATTGGGTCCCAGCGCGGAATATCATCTGGCGAGGAGAATGGGTGGGGACCAGGAATGAGACCGTGATTGAGCGACATGGTCGGTGGGCCGGGCTCGTAGAAGGTCGTACACTGGTCCCAGGACGATTGGGGAGCATCAGTAGCGGAGCGTTGAACGATGCCATTGTCGTAACGTGCCGCATGGCTGGGCTGGCTGCGAACGGGCGAGGACGTGGATGCGCCAAGACCAGCGTGGTCGATGGTGGCGGGGAGCGCGACGCTGCTCTTCGTCGGACTGCTCCTGTGAAGCCCAGATCGGCCGCGATTGCCCGCCTTTTTACCCCTTGTGGGAGTCTCTTCTTGCTGTGCGGATCGCCAACCGTCTGCGTCTTCTTCCCGACGCAGTCTGGACGGCGAGAATGAGCCATCCGAGTTGAAATGAGTGGGCACAGAGGGGAGACGAGGACGAGTATGAATGGTCACGGGCGAGCTGACTTGTGCGGCCTCGTCGCGTCGCTTCGACGAGCTTTTGCTCTGGCGGTTCGGCGACTCAGGAGAGGGCTTGCGACCGGCGAGTGCGATGCCGTGGTGAGGCTCATCCCATGAATCGCTGCTTGGCTCTATTACTGTAGTCTTGGTAGAAGGTTCCTCGTCCCAGCCGCTACCACTCGAGGTCTTGTCGACAGAGCCGCTGGCCTGCTCCGACTTCGTCTCATCCTTTGACAGTCGCTCAGCTGACCCGCTGCTCCTACTGGCTTTCTTTCCCTTGCTAGCGCTGACACCCTTACGAGCAGGCAGCGGCGAAGCGTGCGTGATCTCGGGGACGATTTCTACCCATTGCTTCCCTGCCTTACGCTGCCCGCTGCCGCTTCTGATCTGCAGGCCTTTGATGGCTTCAAGACCGCTGCCAGTGCTTACGGCGCTGCCGGGAGTCGAGCTGCCAGTCGAGACAGTGGCATGCTGCTGCGCAGGCGTGCTCTGCGTCGTCGATGCAGTGGACGACTTCTCTGCTTCATCGAGGGAAGGCCAGTTACTCTTTTCTTGAGCTGAGAAGACGAGAGGCGGCGGTAATGTTTTGTCCGATGCTGCGTCACTCTTCGCTCCCTTATCAGTCTTGATCTCGAGACCTTTTGCCGCTGTTGTGGGAGGCGGTGACTTTGCATCAACTGCTGAGGGAGCGTCTTCAGGCAGGGGAACCGGGGAAGCCAGGGCTCCTCCACGAACAGCTTTGCCCCAAGCTGGCTTGCGCTCTCCGTCGCTGTCAGCCCGCGCAGCTGTGACCGCCTCCTTTGCGATCTTGTGGTGACCTTCATTGATTAGTGCCACTCGGCTCAGCCAGGCATCGTCGTAGTCTCTTGGCTTGATCTTCACTGCTTGTAACGAAGACAGAGGCTCCGTTGCTTTGGTCGGAGATGGTGTCAACGGTGAGCGCAATCGTTCGACGACATCTGCTGCGTCAGATGACGATCGAGGCTTCGTAGATCCTGGTGTCTGGGATGGTGTCTGGGCTCGTGTCTCCATCTTCGTTGCATTGCTTGCGACCGCTACGGCCTTGCCGATACTCCCTCCTGCGGTTTCGTCGCTTGCCGCATAAGGGGCATCCTTCGCTGCATCGCTAATTTCCTCCGTCTTGGTGGACGATGCTGCTGGGACTGCGGCATTAGCGCGAGCGGGCGCCTCCGACGAGGTGTATGGACTCGATGCTGGCCTTCCGGCTGGTGGAGCAGTCTGTGCTTGCGCTGACGCTGCCGCTCTTTGCTGCCTCCTCAGCTCCCAGATATTGTTCGACAGTGAGGGCAATGCAGTCGGCTTAACCGCCTTGTCGTCTGCGATCAGGGGGGGCTTCTGCTCTGCTGGCGTCGGATCGTGGAGGCCCTTTGCTGCTCCATTGACTTGGGAAGGTCGCGGTGGCGTAGCACTCGCGATGGCGAGCGGCGCCTTGATAGGACTGGAGAACGTGGGTCGAGGCATAGCTGCTGGAAAGGTCGGTACGGTCTTGGCAGGAGGGGTCGAATTCACGCCAGGCCTGACGGGGCTTGGTGACACCAAAAATGAAGGTCCAGCATTGGGACGGGATGACGTTGCTGCAGATGTGCCCGAAGCGGGCGACGATGCCTCGACATCGCCCATCTTGGCCTCCTTTGCCTTGCGCAACAGGTCTGCGTAGCTCATCTGAGGCTTGCCGCCTCCCACGTTGGACCACATCGTGGGGAGAGGCCTCTGCCAAAGGTCGTGCTCGCTTCTCGTGTATGCGTGCTAGGGTTGGTGGTAGGGTAGCTCTGCGGTAGAGAGGATGGAGGAGCACGTGTGAGAAAGTGTGAAACATGGGCTGACTCGTCTTACCCACTCGCGTTGGCCTCGATGAACTTCTAGTACGTCGGGATGGCTAAGGCATGGACGCGCTTCTGAGGGCCGACCTGGTGACCTTTCACAGCGTGACAGCTAAGCTCAGAGGGCCAATCTCGTCAGCGCCCTGTCACCAGGACCGGTGATGACAAAGGTGATGGCAGGGAGTATTGGAGTAGCTAAGCCTAGCGTGTTCTGCGAGATGAGGGAGTGTTGCGACGACGAGGAGGCGGCGGCGAGAAGCTGGAGACAAGGGTCCGCCGAGCAGCCGCTGAGCACCACTCGACGGCAAGGCGACGGGCGACGGCTTCTCTTTCCCTGTGGATTACGGGTCTGCTATGAACCCGCCCAGGGCGGAATAGGCTAAGCGGCTATGGCGGGCTCGAGAGCTCAAGGGTTGGAGCTGCCGCGACTTGACTTGACAACGGCTTGAGAGGGGTCAGGAGCGCACGAGGCTCAGTGAGCTCGAGCAAGATGTGCGAAGGGCAGAGGGGATAGGGAGATGGTAGTGTGGAGAAGAGAGGAGGGAAGCGGGGAAGTGTGGGGAGCAACAAGGAAAGGGCGCATTCCGTTCGCCCGACTTGAGGGTCGCTTCGGACTGGAGTCGATTGGGCTGAGCCTGATCTGAGCGTGCGTGCATGAGGGACAATCGGACGACGCAGGTGAATCGTCCAAGTTGTGACGAGACGACAGTCAGGATAGGATAACATGGCTCGATTGGAGTTGTGCGAAGCTTGGACAGAGGTTAGGTGTGCAAGGGCAATTTGAATAGCTGGACGGACAGATGGTCATCATTGGGTGGCAGTAGGCAAGAGCGGGGAGCAGCTCAACGAGCTCATCGATGGCAGAGCGCGGATCATACCCCATTGGGTCCATTGTTGCCCATCGCCTGATCCCCGTCATCGTCCTCCTCATCCTCCTTAGCTGCCAGAGCCTTCGCAACTTTGAGCGCTTCCGCCTCATTGCCATAATGGGCATTCCTCTTCTTAGCGAAGGCCTCCCTCTGCGCCTTGGTCTCCGCATCCTCATCTTCGACCTCGTCGTCGACACCCACAACGGCTTCCTCCTCTGCGCCGCCATCGACATCCATGTTCTCGCGCCTAACACCACTGCGAGAGTCGTCCGCGCCCCCGGCCGAGCGCGAGCTTGCACGGCGGCTTGATGAGCCGGAGGAAGGGAGGGAGAAGGAAGGACTACGACTTTGCGTGCGGTTGGAGCGTGAACCGCCCTCTGCAGATGTAGCGCTCAGACTGCCGTCGGGGTTGGGGCCAGAAGGCGTTGTGCCGGAATGGGCCAAGTCTGCAGCATCGAGACCTACAGCGGGAGCTGCGTTGCCTGATCCGGAGGGGCGACGGGCTGCTCCACCACCAAGGCTGGCGTTAGCGTTGGTGTTGGCAGCGAGCTCTGCGGCGGCGGCATCATCCTGGCCGCCGGTGCTGATAGAGCCAGAGGCTGCGCTTGAAGGGCCAGGAGATTGCGAATTGTCCAGAGCGAAGGCTGCGCGCAGAGACAAGAGAGAAAGAGCGTGTCAGTGCGAGATTGAGCGAACGTAGCTTGAAATATCTGGAGCGCTGGTCTGCACTCACAATCGAATCCACCCTCATCATCACTTAAACCAGAGCCATGAACAAAAGGAGTTTTTGGTTCATCAATCTTCATCCTCTGCGTGCTCTCTTTTTCAAAGTCATGAAGCGCGATGTTCGATTCGTCCCAGCTCAAGCCATTGGGGCCGACGTGCTGTCCCTGAGGCGCATTACTCGTATCAATGGACAGTCCTTCGCTGCTGCTGGCGATGTCTTCTGCTCCTCCTGGCTGGGAGGGACGACGCTCTAGCGGGTTCTTGAGGATGCCCTTTGGCTTGGGCGCTTGACCTGAGGGCGTGGGGTGATGTTTTGGGCTGGACATTGTTGTTGTCTTGTAGTACGATTGAGTCGGGCAGGAGCTGTGCGGAGTGCAATCGAGTGGATAGATGTGGTGGTGATGAGGTCAAGAGATGAAGAGGCAAGCGATGGCCAGACGGACGACACGGGCGGCTGCTCGACTGCATGCAGCAGCAGCGCGATGCCATCCACGCCAGCCAAAGTGATGAGAGTGGCCCGTGCTCGCCTCCCTCATTTGGAAATTGGCTCAGGCCCATGGCTCAGTCACTCACATCGCTCACTCATCATCATCGCATCGCAGAGAGATAATACACGCTTTGATATTGAGACACAACTGTGCTAGTAGTGATGATGTAGACGTCATGATGAGATGACAGACGAGAAGAGGCAAGGCAAGAAAGAGAGAGAAATTGTAGTGACAGGACCAAGTCAGGGAGAGAGGCAGTGCAGGTGACGCGCTAACAGCCGTTGTTGAAGGTGTGCGAATCCAAGCATCAGCTCTCCATCTTTTTGCAGCAGGGTGCACCGCTTAGTGGGAGGCAGGCTTCTTGATGACCGAAGTGTCCGGGACACCAGGCAGAGGGAACTGAGTCGCAAAGGCCTCGACGTCGTCGGAGAGCTTCTTGACGCCCTCGTGCTGAGCGGCCGCCTTGTTGAAGTCAACGAGCTTCTTGCCCGACGACTTCTGGATCTCGAGGGAGAGCTGGACGGCACGGTGAAGGAACTCTACGACCTGTTCCATGTCCTTCTCCTTCATACCACGAGAGGCGAGGGCAGCGAAGCCGAGACGGACACCGCCGGGAGTCATGGCAGAGACGTCGCCAACGACGGCGTTCTTGTTGACCGTGATGTGGCACAGGTCCGTGAGGCTCTCGAGCTTGGAGCCTGTGAGCTGGATCGGACGCAGGTCCCAGAGGACAAGGTGGTTCTCCGAGCCGTCTGTCTGGAGCTTGTAGCCCAGCTCGTGGAGCTTCTTGGCAGCAGCCTGCGAGTTGCGGATGACCTGAGTAGCGTACTCCTTGAAGGCCGGGTCAGCAGCCTGCTTGAGTGCAACGGCAATACCAGCGATGGTGTTGTTGTGGGGACCACCCTGGCAGGCGGGGAAGACGGCAGCGTTGATCTTGCCCTCGACCTCGGAGTCGCGGTCCTTGCGGAAGAAGATGAGACCGGCGCGAGGACCACGAAGCGTCTTGTGGGTCGTCGTGGTGACGATGTCACAGTAGTCGAAGGGGTTGTTCTGCACCTTGGCGGCAACGAGACCCGAAATGTGCGCAATGTCGGCCATGAGGTAGGCGCCCTGCGACTTGGCCGTCTCGGCGAGGCGAGAGTAGTCCCACTCGCGAGGGTAGGCGGATCCACCGCAGATGACCATGCGCGGCTTGAAGAGGTCAGCGTTCTTGTGGAGACCCTCGTAGTCGATGAGACCAGTCTGGGTGTCTACTTGGTAAGGGAAGGACTGGAAGTAGATGGACGAGGCCGAGATCTTCTTCTTGGCAGTGTAGTAGCCGTGGGTCAGGTGACCGCCGGATGGCAGGCCGAGACCCATGATACGGTCCTGGGGCTGGAGGAGGGCGGTGAAGGTGGCGAAGTTGGCAGTCGAGCCGGAGTAGGGCTGGACGTTGACACCCCAGACTGCGGGGTCAAGACCGAAAGCCTTGAGGGCTCGCTCTCTGCAGAGGTTCTCGAGCTTGTCAATGTGCTCGTTGCCGCCGTAGTAGCGGGCGCCAGGGAGACCCTCGGAGTACTTGTTGGTCAGGATGGAGCCGTTGGCCTCCATGACAGCGAGGGAGGTCAAGTTCTCCGAGGCGATGAGCTCAAGGCCCGAGAACTGACGGTAGGTCTCATCCTCGATGATCTTCTGGACCTCAGGGTCGGCCTGGGCCAGAGGCTCGTAAAGAGACTTGTTCTGCGGGGCGTGCGCGAAAGAGCGTGGACAAGGTCAGCTTGACATGTCGGGAATGTCAGAAGGTCCACTCAGCGGCACTCACGTAGTCGTTGGGCACGGGGATGGACATGGTGCGCGAAGATGAGGCAAAGCTTCGTGGCAAAAGCGTTCGCGAGGACGATGCAAAGGGCAGCGAGGTAGCTGTAGGGGTGAAAGTCCTAGCAGATGCTCTGCGAAGAGATTGTTGGCAAGTGGAAAGGATCGAAGAAGAAGTCGTTGAGATGCGAGCTGGCATCAGAGGTTGACGAGGTGGTGTGAAAGAGGGGGCAGGGGAGGAGGGGACTTGAGAATAGTTGATGCGTGCGCTCGACTGGGATGAAAGAGTCAAAGCCAGAATTTGCGCTCCGTCCCGTCCCGCCTCTCTGGCCTGGCCGCTTCTTCGCCTCTTGCGTCTATGCGAGCAGCACGCAAGCAGGTGGCGCCTCCCCCAACAGCCTACGCAAAATGCTCCGGCCTCGCTGCACGTTGACATGAGTGTCTAGCAGTCGAGGTCATTCATGGTATGACGGTCGCCACCGCGACATGATCGTGCTAGCGTAGCTGCTGAGGGTCCTGGAAAAGGCTTTCATTCATTGACTGGTGCGCTCGGGCGGCGTGGTGGCCGCGGAGGATTAGCTCAGACGGCAGCCAGATCTCGCAGGCCACGTGGCGCCCTCGCATCCCGCCCGCGAGGAGGGAGAAGAGTAGTGGGTGAGGAGCAGGTAGCGACAAAAGAGGAGCGCCGCAGACTGTTAGAGAGCTAGAAGAAGCGCCAGAGGAGCAAGGCGATGCAGGTATGGATGTGAAGCTCGCAAGTGATCGAAGAGATGATGAGTGACCGTCGCGGGATCGAAATTTGAGGTTGAGGGACACGGAGTGCGTGGTGCTCTTGAGGCATCGCCACGGGTATGCCCGCGTCAAGGGAAGACTGACTGCTGGACAAACGGGAGTTGCCCCATGCTTGACGATCGAGCCAGACTTGACCCAAGTCTACGCTGAGGACTGGGAGGAAAGGGCATGTGCGGGATGTGACAATTGTGAGCAGCGTCGTCTTTGCCCAATGTAACCGCGTCCCCCCACCTTGATGTAGATCTTGTGAACTCAATCGCCGTTGGAGCCATCGCCGTAGCTCTGCCATTTGCCCTGTACCACATTGGGCATGAGAGAGGTCAGCTGCGTATATCGCTCACCAGTACGCTTTGCGCACGCTCACCACGCCCGTCAGACCCAGCGTATTACTTGTTTCTCCTCCGCCACCGGAGCCACCACCGTTGCTAGCACCTGCATCATTGGTGGAGTCGCTGGTATCGTCACCGCCTTTGAGGTCTCCGGGGTCCCTGCTAGAGAAGTCGAGGAAACGGAGGGGGGATCGAAGCGCCATGGCCAAAAGGTATTGTATGAGATGAATGTTAGCTGAGGAGCCAGGCGGATCGATGCGATCGGGCACCAGCGGCGGCGTGCGAGAGGTGAATGTGTCAAGTAAGAGAGCTATAGAGCTTCGAGGAGGGCTGAGCCCTGCTGTCGTGTATCTGAGGGCTACGGTGGCGATATGAAGGTAGCAAGGCTGATGGCACGGCCGTATGGCGTAGTAGCCCCGTTACGCTCGCCCTGAAGAGAGAGTCGACGAACGCCCGGCAACATCTGAAAAGAGATTTTCTTGCAATGAAGAAAAGCGGTCCCATACGAGCTGATTCCACGCTGCTATCACGGCTGGCACAGGCTGCCGTGGATGAGGTACGCTCATTGCTACACCGAGCGGCTAGAAATGAGAAGAGCGGCAGAAGCATTCGGACAACGTGGCAGTGCAGAGCTCATTGAAGGCCGAGCAGGCGAGGGCTACCGATCGCTGTTGATGGTCCCAGAAACCTGAGCTGCGGACTGGTGATGCTTCACGGCGAGCATCATCATCGCCACTGTCAGCAGCGGCGCAGTCGCGGTGAGCAAGAGGAGGCGGAACAGCTGCTTGGCCCGATTCCGCCTGCAGCAGCCGGTCCGGTGGAGGGGGCCAGATCGACTCTCACGCTTTTCTTAGCTACCCCTCTTTTCATTCTTTCACTTATCGCGCTTTTCGACGTCGATTCCTCCCCTCAACCTACTCGCAATGTCAGCCGACCATACTGCCCCTTCTTCTGGCAAGACCGCCCTCCTGCTTGGCGCCACAGGCGCAGTGGGCAAAGAGACGCTCGCTGAGCTCCTCTCCACCTCCCACTTTTCTCAAGTTCACTCCTTCGGCCGTCGCCCCTCCGGCCAGACGCACGCCAAGCTGACAGAGCACAATGTCGACTTCGAGAAGCTTGCGAACGGAGATGCAACAGAAGCGGATAAGCTACGCAATGTCCGTGCTGATGCCGTCTTGATCGCCTTGGGCACGACAAGGGGCGATGCGGGGAGTGCGCAGAAGTTTGAGAGGATCGATAGGGAGTATGTGATTGCCGCGGCTAAGGCTGCGAGGAATGAGGCGGTCGAGGGGCAAAGGGTAGCGTACATTAGTAGTACAGGGGCGAATGCCAAGGCGCCTTTCCTCTACATGAAGTGAGTTGCTGCGGGCCAAGACGGACGTACACCAATTGCTGATCCGCTCTCCTCCTCGCCCTTGCCGCAGGTCAAAGGGTCTGACCGAGCTTGGCATTGCATCAAGCGGCTACCCCTCTTCCTACCTTTTCCGACCAGGCTTCCTCTACGACGCCAACCGTGAGAAGCCTCGCGCCCTTGAAAAGGTTTACGGCATCTTCACGCATCACATCCTGTCTCGCGTGTCGGGCAATGCCGAAATCCACGTACCCTTGCTCGCCAAGGCCTTCGTTGCTACCGCCGCAAAGGGGGACGAATGGTTGAAGAGTAATGCCGCGGGCAAGCCGCTGGATGGTGCAGAAAAGGGGGCGACGATGGTTGACAATGCGGATGCGGTCAAGCTCGCTAAAGCTGAGCAGCAGTGAGCGTGGAGAACGGGGGATGATACCGAGCTGTTGATACCCATCGAACTTCACGATGCTAGCGTGTAGGCAATCAAAGTACAATTTTCAAATCTTCTTCTTCTAGCTAGCATGTCACCTCCCCATCCGTCATTCCGCATCAGCCATCTCCTCATCCTCGTCGTCTTCGCTCTCATCCTCATCTGAGTCCTCGCCCTCCGCCACCTCCAACCCAGGCAACTCAATCTGCCTATCAGAGCCCAACGTAGCATCCGAGCAGCAGTAAAGCGTCAAATCGTCGTGCTTGCCCTTGGGTAGCGAGAGCTCAAGCTTTAGACCGGCCAGCTTTGCCTTGGTCATGACGACGCGCTTGATTGCGAGGAGTTGTCGCGTGCCGGGTGAACCAACCACGATCCACCAATTGATCGTCTTGCGGCCGCTGGGGAAGTGAGGGGCAGGGATGGGCTCGGGGGCGCCTGCCTCTTCCTCTTCGTCCTCCTCGTCGTCGTCCGCCGTAGAGAGGTCGACGTTGAGCACGATGCTATCTCCGGCCCTCAAGTCCTCTGTGTCGGCCCAAGTGGCCTCAACCTCCAAGTAGGGGTAGCTGTTGGTGAACGTAGCCACGTCGGCCAGCTTCTTTCCCGACAACTGCAGCAATTCGTCGCGCTCCTGCTCCTCCATTTCACCCAGCGCCTCACCCAATGCATAGACATCCTCAAGCCCCTTGGCTTTGCAGCGCTCGATGATATCCGCCGTGAAGTGCGGTACTTGTCTCAGCGGAGAGTCGCGATCCCAGACGGCTTGGACGCACATCTGAGAAAGCTCCATGGCGATGATTGCGTTCAGGTAAGCATTTGAGCTCATGACGTCTACACAAGCTGAGAGGAGGTTGAGCACCTTGCCCAGCACCAAGCGTTGGTCTGTCTCCAGGTCTACGGGTAGAGCGAGGCGGGCAAAGTGCGCCTGCAAGAGGACAAAGACCTTGTGGTAGGGGGAGGTGAAAGAGATTTTGTCCAACTTGTAAGGGAGGCGGTCGTACAGACGACGAAGAACAACATCCTCGTGCTGGCGGATGGGAATGTCCTCGAACTCTGCTGCTGAGCTGACAATCTCCAACAGACCCTTCATCTTCGTGCGCTCCTTGAGCGACATGTTGAAGACATCGATGGTCACGTAAGAGATGTTGTAGAAGCTGGAGATCATGCCCAGGTTCAAGGGTGAGACATCAAAGTCGTCCTCGATTGCCACGCATTTGCTGTTCTCCAGCTCAGAAAGAGTCGTCTCCACGAGCTCGGAGAGGTACTCTCCAATAGCTTGCTGCGACGATCCCTGGCAATTGTACGCCTGCGGGTTCTGACGAAGGCGACGATACATGAGCGTCCAGGTGAGGATGTCGACTGCCGCCTGCTTGTTGTCCACCGTGCGCGCCACGATCTCTGCATTGAAGAAGTCTTGAGCAAAGGAGTTGAGCTTCGACTCTAGTGGCAAGCCCTCGGCAAGGAACTTCTTGAAGAAATCCTTGCGCGACGCCTGGCAGAGCAGGACAGAACGACTGCTCTCCCCATCGGGTCCGCGTTGCGTGCTTCGTCCAACCATCTGAAGCACATCTGTGATCGGGTAGTCAACGTAGCGATGCTCTTTACCATCGAATGATTGCACACTCATCACCAGCACCATATGTGCCGTCAATGGGATGCTCCACGCCGTCTCCTTGCTGGCCACCACAACCTGGATCGCCCCAGCTTCGTAGAGTCGCTCAACGATGCGCTTGTCTGAGCGTGAAAGCCCCTCGTGGTAGTAGGCAACACCGTTCTCGACGACTTCTGCCAGGTCACGGTCTTGGATGCGGTCAAGGTGAGGCTTGAGATCCTCCGCCTCGATGTTGAGGAAGCGCGACTCTCCACCATCACGATCGCTGTCCGCCAATGCGTACGAGAGGATATCGTTTGCTGTCAACTTGGCCTGCTTGCGCGAAGGCACGAAGGCCAGGATGGGCGACTCGGGCGCATACTCCGTGATGGCGAGGTAGGCGGGCTTGGCCATCGCGATCATGAGCGAGGGGAAGTGCGGGATATTGAAGCTCTGCAAGTGCACCTCCATCGGGATCGGCCTAGCTGCGGGCGAGAAGTTGAAGACAGACCCGCTAGGGCAGCCCAGCCAGTCACCAACGTCTCGCGCGTTGCCCAACGGTACAGTCAGGGCGAGGAAGCGAGTGGCTACGTCCTCATTCTGGGCCGCGACGAAGCGTGCACGAGAGAGGACCGTCTCGTACGAGGGGCCGACATTCCAATCGCCGAGCAGCTGCACCTCATCCGCGATATAAAGACCGATGTTTCGCACGTTCTTGCGCTGCCTCCATCTCCTCGAGAGAACATCCCACTGCGCAGGCGTGGCAACGACGACGTCTGCCGTCTCGAGCAGACGAAGGTCGGCGCTCATTTCTCCTACGAGGGCAACAATCTCCTTGCCTCCGCGGTAGTTGCCGAACATGCCCTGCCACCTTGTGACACGCGACGCTTGCATCGTCTCGTACGGCACGATGCACACGGCCCGAGCAGGCTCGGCTTCGTTCCAGAGACGAAGCAAGGCCAAGTCGGCGCACAATGTCTTGCCGCTCCCTGTCGGCGCGCCAACAAGCACGGAGTCGTCCGTCTCGTAAATGGCGTGGTACGTCTGCGTCTGAATTCGATTGAGCGAGGCGATGTGCTGCTTCTCAAAGATGGCCTGCGCTTCCTTGTTGCGCAGCGCCGACACGGGCTGCGGCTGCAAGTCGAGGAGCTGCGTGTGGGGCGGGAACTTCTCTGGAAGGATGAGGTTCTTGAAGGAGATGGGCAAACGCATTTCGCTTTGCAGCCATCGGTCGCTGACGATGCTGATGAAGTAATTGGGCGGAACAGGGTCTGTGATTGGTACCGTGAAGTTGATCGTGTGCTCCTCTTCTGCGAAGCGCTGACGCAGCAAGAACGTGTCGTGGAAGAGAACAATCTCGCCGTCCACGTCCTCGACCAGTACATGGAAGGATTGGGCGCCGCCGTGGATCTTTTCATCCCACTGGAAGTCCGGAGTGAGCGTAAGCTGCACTGAGAGGAGGGAGCGGGTCAAAGGCTGGAAGAAGGCTTGCAACTCCAGGCGCGGGAATTGGTTGACGAGGCGATGCACCAGTCGACCGGCCTTGGGCACTCCGATGAGCTCACCAATCTCGTTTGGCTCGAGGTCCCGCAGGCGGGCCCACGGATACTCCTTCCTCTCGAGACGGCGGACGAGGTCTGCTGGCACGCCCTTGAATTGGCGCAGCGGTGTCATTGAGCCCCATTGACGGGACTCAACCATCTTGCACAGGTCCAAGGCTGTGTGACTCAGACGAGCGTAGCCTCTGCGCAGACAGATCTCAAAGATGGCTCGAAGGATACGCCCGGCTGATTGCGTGATGTAGACCATGTCCGCGGCCAGCACATAGCCTTCAAGCTTGAGCTGCGAGACCCAAGACTGCAGCAGGACATTCACCTTGGCCGCGGGGTCATCCAGCGACTCCTTGACCGGGATGGGGACGCGTTCCAGCAGCTTGCCGACCTCGAGCTTCTCATCTTGCCTGACGACCTGGTACTTGAACTCCTCTGAGAGCGCAAAGATGCGGAAAAGTTCTATGAGCCCCAGGTGAGGCTTGAGGTGTTGATGATAGGTTGCCATGCTGGTGTGGGTGATGTAGTAGTGCGAAGCGATGCGGCCGAGCTCGTTGGAGGTGAAGAGGCCAGACTTGCGCTCGTAGCGCAAAAGTCCACACTTCTCCAGTACAACAGCGGCCGAGTGGATAATGTCTGCCCGCTTCTGCTCGAGGAAGGGATCGTCTTCCGCATAGTCTGCCGAGACGCTGTACAGAGCTGGCGTGCGGAGCATGCGGACGTAAAGGTACGTGTATCCCAGCCACGCCACAGCCTCATCGCGATTGCGAATGGTGCCCAGAACAATTTCGGCATTGAGGTTGTCCGCGAGCTTGGAGACGAATTGCGACTCGATGGGGAGCTGCTGGTTGAGGAGACTGAGATAGTACTGCAGCTCGCTATGGTTGGTGATGACAATGCCCTCCCCAAAAGTATCATAGTGCGGCCTTCCTGCTCGACCCAGCATCTGCAACATGTCCTGGGGAGACAGCTCCACCCATCTCCCCTTTTCTGGGTTGTAGATCTGCGTGCCCTTAATGATGACCGTGTGTGCTGGCAAATTGACTCCCCAAGCCAAAGTAGCAGTCGAGACGAGGACCTGAATGTGCCCACCAGCAAAGAGATCCTCGACGAGCTGGCGGTCTGCGCGGCCCATACCAGCGTGGTGAATACCAAAGCCGTACGGCAAGAGATCCCTCAGATTGGCGTCCTTGACGTTCTCGACTTCGCTGGTGAGCAGCTCCTTCGAGGCGGCAGAGCGAGGCAGGAAATGCGTCAAGGTGTCGGCTTCCATGGCCTTGTCCCTGATGAACTTGGCCGTCTTGGCGGTCTCCTTGCGCGAGTGCACAAAGATCATGACTGCCGTCTGTGAGGATTGTTGACCAGCACCGCTGCTCTGCGCCTCTTGCTGGGCCTCGCCTGAGACGTAGTGCAGCGATTTGTCGTAGCAGACCTCGTTCATGATCTGGAAACGCTTGATTGCCTTCTTTTCGGTGATGCCGATGTACTCTTGCTTGAGAGGGCAGGGTCGGTAGCCTGACTCAAAGTAGAAGAGGCCCTTCTTCGGATTGACCCGAAGGAAAGTCGCAACATCCTTGTAGTTGGGAAGAGTGGCACTGAGACCGACCAGGCGAACAGGGTCGTTGAGCTGCTCCATGCGTCGGATGGTACGCGCAACGATGGACTCAAGAACGGGCCCTCGGTCGTCGTGAAGCAGGTGAATCTCATCGATGATCATCAGGCGGACGAGATTGGTGTACGACGTGTCGCTGCTCTTGCGCGAGATGACGTCCCACTTCTCCGGCGTCGTGACAATGACTTGCGTTTCTGCAATCTGCTGCTTGGTGAGCTGGCTGTCACCCGTGAGCTCATTGACGACCATGCCAAATGACGCTAGGCGCTGGCGGAAGTTGTCGGCTTGCTCAGCGACAAGCGCCTTCATCGGCGCCACGTAGACGATCTTGAAGCCCGTGAGGTCGAATTGGCCAGTCTGCTCGTCGCGCCACTTGCCAAGCTCTCGCAGGATCGTAAGCATGGCGACGTTGGTCTTGCCAGCTCCCGTCGGCGCACACATCAGCATCGGCTCGTCCTCGCCGAATGCGATCGGGTAGCACTGCGACTGAATGAGATTCAGGCTGCCGGTGGTGCCAAAGGCAGGCTGAGCCCAAGTGGGAAGAGAGGCGAAGGGAACTTTGTCGACGTCGTTGCCGCCCTTGCGGGTAGGTGCTGGGACATGGATCTCTTCGTAGCCCTTGCCAGTACGCTTGAAGCTTCCCTCAGGTAGACGTACTTTTGCATTCGAGTTGAGGTGACCACCTTGTGAGAAGGCCATGGCTTCGAGGTCGACGACCTTGCGAGGCTGTGCAGTGGTGCCAGGCGCGAGAGTGGCGCGACCAGTCATCTTAAGGATGCGATTCTTGGTGGCATCATCGATGTCCATCGGCACCCCCTTTCCGGCGTCTCCATCTGCACCATCCTTCTTGTCACCTCTCAGCTCCTTCAAGATCCAATTGAGACCTTTCTCCCTCATTTCGACTTCGATGTTGACCTTCTCATCTTCGTCTGCGCGGCCCAGCTTCGTGCACCAGACAATGACATCTCGATGCTTGATGAGAGTCTGGACGATGTCGAAGTTCTCGTAGTCAAAGAGCTCCATGAGGGAGTTTTCACAGTCTCGAGTGTTGGCCTCGGAGGCCAGGAGATTGAAGGCCTCGTTGGCCTTGTCCGAGGCTTCTCGCTCGTCTTGATAGTGCGTGGCCACGAGACGTTGGATCCAGAATGGATCAATGTCATGCACTGACAGTGAATCGCCCTTCTTGCCCCGCGCTGCCGAATCGCCGATGACAAGAGCTTCTGATGGCGCGTTCTGATCCTCGACCCGCTCTGTGACATCGTCCTCGCCAGCAGGCTGCTGAACTGCCGCTCCTCCGTCATCCTCATCATCGTCTGACTCTTCGCGAACAACGTAGGTTTCCTCATCCTGATCGCTCTCGTCATCTTCGTTGTCAAAGAGGACTGCTACGCCAGTCTCTTCGTCGATGGCTCTCGTGTCGGCATCTGGATCCTGCTGCCGTTGGTCGTCCTGGTCGTAGTCTGTGATCTTTTTGCTGAGATTGACGAGCTGGCCGAAGCTTTCTGAGCTCAACTCTCCAACGAGGTCTTCGATCTCCTTCTTCTTGTCAAAATCCCTGCGAGCGAGCGAGTGTGGATGTAGGAGAAGTCAGCAAACGGATCCTTTCGAGTCCCTACTCTTCGCTACGCTCACCTCATCTCTTCATCCTTGAGCGTCTCTAGCGCGGCATCGGCTGCTGAGCGTACGACATCTGACGTCTGATCTCCCAGTGCTGAATGCACGATGTTGAGGATGAGCTCGTAGATTTCGCGCGTCTCTGCAGTACGAGGAATGTATCGCAGCCCTTCGAGGTCTGCGGTGGCCTGCAAGACATCTGCGTAATTGCCCTGAGCAGCAGAAGGCCCTGACCTCTTCGAAGACGTAGCTTTCCTTGCCTTTTCTTCTGCTGCTGCCTTTGATTTCTTCTTGTCAAGGTCCTTTACCTGCTCCCTCTGAACTCTCGATCCCATTGACTTCGGATCTATCCTGCCTCTGAGCGTCTCTGCGTCTCCCTTTGGCTCATTCTGGACATTGTTGTCGACGAACCTTCGATCTGCAAACGAGACGATGGAGCTAAGAGCGCTGTACTGGTAGCCAGAGAGGTCTGGCTGGCCTGGCTTCTTTGGCGGCATGACGTGCGAGAATGGGTGGCGGGATGAAGTAGAAGCAAGGATCCCGCGTTCTCTCTCGACTCTCGAAGAAGTCGGCGACGAGTGAGATCGTCACTCGATGTCTCCGAGACCTTGCGTTTGCAAGCCGAGTGGATGAAGAGGCAAAGAGAGAGACGAGGGTCTCGTTGATGACGACTAGGTGAGGAGAAAGGAAGAAATGGAAATGTGCTCAGCTCAACGTCGATTGCCCGCCCGCGACTTCTTGTCGAGCGGATGCAGTCGAGTCGAGGCGAGTCGAGTCGGCGAGTTGAGCGACGGATGGGAGACGACGACGACCAGCTTTGACAAGACGGAGCGGAACCGATGAAACGCTACATTGGCCCAACTACTCTTGTTCTCTCCCTCACATCGTATCTTTCCATTGCCTCGCCATCACTCTCGCCCTGTCTCCGTGGATGGACGTGAGGAGTCTAGATGGTCGCCAAGGCGATCAGACAGCTCCCGACGTCGCTATGATGGATGCAGGTGATACTCGTCCGCCAGATGGCGCGGATGCTCCTCGTCCTGAAACCTCGATTGCGATACCACCACCTCAGCCCATTAGCTTGGATCAGCAAGCAGACGAGGGAGCAGACACTACGATAGATGGCGAAGCAGGAGAGGATGAAGATGGAGGCGTTATTCGCTGCATCTGCGGCATCAGCGACGATGATGGTTTCACCATCCAGTGCGATCGATGCTTGGTCTGGCAACATTGCGCCTGCTTTGGCATGTCATCTGCGAGCGTACCAGATGAATATCTCTGCGAGCTATGCGATCCTCGGCCAGTCAATGTCGCCTTTGCTCAGGCTCATCAACAGCGTAGGCTGGAGCACGACGCTCGCAAGGCTAAAGCAGAGCGAGCATTCATCGACCGGCGAATGAGCGAAGTTGCAAAGTCGCCCGTCGAGGCGCCCTCGTCGTCACCCTCGCTACCTCTTCAGCCTCTCGAGTCAGCCTCGAAGCAGTCTTCATCTCCTCAACTCCCTCCGCCAAAGCTTCCGATCCCACCTCGATCTCGCAAGCCCAGCCAGAACATCGACCTCTCCAATACTGAATTCGTGGCGCCTGATCTGCCTACGCCAACTGCTGGCCCTTCCAAGCCATCGATGACAGGCCGTCGCAAACCTGGCCCCAAGCCTGGATCGAGGAAGACTCCTCTAGCCACACCGACATCAGCCAGCGCCACGACGCCAAAGACATTCTCCTTCCCTCCAACAACGACGCCGCGAGAGGACAAGACGGAAGATGATGCCTTGACGGCGGCGGAAAAGATGGAGGCCTGGCACTTCGACTTCACGCCCATCAGCCGCAATCTCGTCACTGAGAGTCGCGTCATCGATGTTCTTGCAGCTGCCATGGTCGACTATGATGCGGGTTCCCCCCTCAAGGCTGTCCAAGATGCAGACGGGCGTCTACGCGCTCCTCTCGCCGCCATGCCGGATCAGCTGGCGACAGAGGGCGACGATGCCGAGCAGTTCGACGTCGACCAGATGGACGCGAATGCAGCCAACGCCTCGACAGCCGGGCATGTCTTCGGTCTCTCGGCGATAGGCAACGAATGCGTCCCCATCGAGCTGCACGCCTCCTCCCTTAGCAGCGTTGCCTGCCCAGTCTACGTCCGCAACATCTCCGATGCAGCCTCAGCCGCCGTCTTCACCAACGTCAGCTACATCGCAACTCTGCCCAACGAGCGTGCGAGGCCATGGTGCGCTACGCGGGCTTTCTCCAAGCCGAGCATGCATGGTCTCTTCGCCGAGAGTGCTATCCGACCTGGCTCATTCATCACAGAGTATCGCGGCGAGCTTACCACGGCGGAATCGTATCGCGCAGACCCGATGAATCAGTACGGCGTCCTGGGCGCTACAAAGCCACATGCCCACCTGTTCCCCCCGCCACTCAGCCTAGCCATCGATGCGCGACGCTTTGGCACTGAGGCGCGCTTTGCCCGCTTTGGCTGCCATCCCAACGCCGTACTGCGGCCTATCTTGTTTTATCGCGACGTTTCCGGCCAGGAGATGAGTGACTCTCCCCACTCGATCTCAAGAGCTGGCACACCTACTTTCACTCACTTGGCCACCGACGAGCTTCCCTCGGCGGAAGCCGAGCTGCGCTTCGGTCTCTTCGCTCTCACCTCCATCAAGCCCTCCCAAGAGATCATCCTAGGCTGGGAATGGGACGATCAGCACATCGTGCACTTCCTCCCCGAAATCATTCGCAATCCCGCCCTCGAGACCCCGAGCAGACCGCGCAGCGTCACCGTGGTGGAGATGGCGGACAAGGGGGACTTTCCTTACGCGTCGACCATCTTTTCCAACAAGATGAACGCGGCCACTGCAGCTCTGCTCAGTATCACTCTGTGCAGCTGTATTGGGTCTGCCACTCCTCAAGCCGGCTCGGGATCAAGTGGCAGCCATTCGAACGCTCGCAAGCACGATTGTGCTGTTGCGCAGATGTTGCGTGTTGGGCAGGGAATGGGCTTGCTGAACGTCAACATTCCGGGCAGTGCGAGGAATACCCACAGAAGGGTGAAGACTCCAGACTTTTCTCCATTGGTCGGGGCGAGGAGGGCATGGAGGAGTCTCGGTATGCCGCCTCTGACGCCTCCGCAGTCGCACATCGATGAGGGAATGGAGGTGTCGCTGAGAGAGCAGGTGCTAAGGAGTGGGAGGGTGCCGACGAAGCTGTTGCCCAACGGGAGGGTGGCGCGCGTGTACGAGGCCGACTTGGCTGCTGCGATAGGTGCGGTTGAAGCTGCTTCCTTCGACAGGAAGTCGGAGAGCATCTTGGCCGCTGCGCTACATGAAGAAGGAGAGCCAAGCTCTCCTCTCGGCCCATACGACAGCGATGACGATGCGACGGACTCGGACGCAACAGCCTCGGACGCCTCTTCCCTGACCGAGCCCCTCTCCGGTCTCAGTCAGATCAGTGACGACGATGACGACGAGGACGGTCTCACCGCTATCAAGCTCGAAGACGAAGAAGCCGGACCCGCCGTTCTGCCCTTGAAGAAGCGCATCGCGGGCACACGCCTCAAAGCCAATCACATCCATCACGACGATCCTGATGCTGAGGACAAGACGAATCGCGGCAACGCAAGAAAGGCGCAGAGGGCAGCTGCGACTATGAAGGCCAGGGCAGAGGCGAAAGAGCTGAAACGCAGAGTGGCTGCAGGTAGGAAGGGCGCAAAGCCTTCGAAGAGGGCGACGCCATTCGCTTCTTCGTCTGATGAGGATGAGGAAGCGGAAATTGCGGGGCAGAAGGTGACGGCACCGAGGAAGAAGGTGTCATCTTCGAAACGAGCAGGCGGGAGCAAGAGAAGCGCTCTTGCCGACCCAAGCTCGCCGCTCAGCAGTGCGCCAGGCAACGAAAGCGATCGCGACATGAGTGACGACGACGGCGCAGCCCCACCACGAGCAGACGTACGCATCCCGTCCGCCATTCCTGAGATCTACGAGAGCGATCTCAGCGAAGAAGAAGACGACGATCCTTCGGAGCCCATCGGGCGACGCCCATCGCACAGCGGAGAGCATGGTGACCGCGACGACGACGCCGGGCTGAAGCGCAAGAAGAAAAAGAAGGACAAAAAGGCTGCCGAAAAGGAGCGTCGTCGCAGCGAGCTGGCGGCGCTTGCTGACTCCGAATCTTCCGTCGAGGATGAGCAGGAGCAGCAGCGCAGCAAGAAGCGCAAGATTGATACAAAGGCAGGGAAAGAGTCGAAGAAGAAGAGAAAGAGGAGGATGGCCTCGACGATGATGTCGGACAGTGAGAGTGATGGCATTCCTTCGGCGGAGCAGAAGATGGTGGAGACGAAGCAGGAGAGCTCGCCGATGCTACCACCTTTCGCAGAAGGCCGAGGGGACGGAGAGGCTGAGATGGGGCCGGACACAGACGCTCAAGCACCAGCAGAGCCTGAGCGCGAGCCTACGCCAGTCCCCGCACCAGAGCCAGAGAAGCCTCGCGCCAAACTCTCCCTCGCCGACTGGAAGAAGCAGCAAGCGGAGAAGCGCAAGGCCTCCCTCGACATTGGTGCAGCAACTTCAGCTGCAGCTGGCATGTCTCCTCCATCAGCGACAGTTTCGGGGGCGGGCAATCCTCTCGACCAGATCAACACCACCCAACTCGCGACACCAGTCTCTGTAGTTCCACCTTCACCGAGCGTCTTCTCGCCTAATGTCGAGATGGGCACCGCCTCCTCGACGGCAATGACGCCGCAAGCGCCTCTACCTCCTGCCCCGCTCCCACCACGCTCGATGGGCGAGGCATATCTCGCACCGCGCTCGCAAGCCGACAACTACTTTCCTCCTCCAGCACCACTGGCACCGACCTCCATGCCGCAGGCTGGCTCGGCTGGAGGGGTCGATACGTCCTCGATGCCAAGCAGCGCTTACCCTTCGGCCTCGCCGGCTTTCTCCCCTCCTGCAAGCGTCAGCACCTTTGGGAGGCAAGTCTTGTCCCCCTCGCCCATGCCTGGAGCCGGCATGGGTTCGAATACGAGCTCAGCAGCACTGGCATCACCTACGGCCAGTAGTAGCGCCAGCGGGAGCGGCAGCTTTGCTCGGCCCATGCCGCCCGCACCAGCACCGCCGCCACCGACTGCAGCGCCGATGACTTCAGCTCCGCGTCGTCCCTCGTACACGAGCCAAGGCTCGCCACCACCGCCTCGTCCTGTGCCGTTGGCGAGCAGTGCTAGCCCGCCGAGCAAGGCGCCTTTGCCCGGGTGGGGAGCCAGATCCGCTAGCATGGCCGCCAGTGGTGGGGGAGGAGCAATGGGTAGTGTGCCGCCGCCCTTGCCTCCGCCTTCTCACACAGGCGCTCGACCATCGAGTCGCCCGCCACCGCCAGCTCCCATGTCTGCGGCACCACAGGCCCCTACGGCAACGGGCGCAGGCGGAGCATCCACGCAATCCTTTCGACCCGTATCAGCAGCCGGACCGAGCACGTTCGAGCCTCCACCGAGCCCGCGGGTGCGACCGCACATGCACTCGTCGTCATTTTCTGGCACGCCATTGGGATCCAATACCCCAGGCGGGCCAGCAGCACTTCGGCTTGGCGGATCACCACCTAATGCTCTGGGAGGCAGCGCAGGTCCGGGGGCATCAGGAGGACTGGCAGCTCCCTTCAATCCTCCTAAGGGACCGAAGGCGCTTATGAACCAGCAGCAGAGCCAACATCAAGACAGGCAGCAGCAAGGTCCCCCTGGCGGTAACGCGGCCACATCAGGTCCAAATGCGACGCCCATCGGGCATCCACCCTCTGGTGCCCCGCCCCGCCAACACAGCAATAGCGTCACGTCTTCCTCCGGCATCGGCGGAGGCTCACCGCCCAGCTTCACCTCTGACCTCCCACCCGCCGGCGCAGGTCCCGCTCCTCCGCTCAACGCGCCAAGTGGGCCCAAGCCCAAGGGCTTGAGTGGAAGTGTGGACGGTGGCTCTCCGCCGCCGTCGCCCAGCGTGGGACTAGGGCCGCAGAGATTGGGAAGCGGTAATGGCTTGAGCATTTTAGGCAGAGGAGGAGGAGCCATGGGCGCTAATGCGGGAGAGCGTGGTGGGCGAGATGATTGGGACGCAAGAGGAGGAGCAGGAGCAGGAGGAATGCATGGCGGATTCGGTCCGTCGGGACATGGACATAGCCACGGAGGGTTGGGAGGACATCACGGTGGGCACGGCCATGGTGGAGGACGAGGCTGGGGAGGACGAGGAGGTGGACGTAGAGGCGGACCGCCAGGCGCAGGCGGGGGTGGACCTATGCCTGGATCAGGTTGGGGGGCAAGAGCAAGGGGAAGGGGGAGAGGTGGTGGACCTCCGTAGAATGATCGAGACGCAGCATTTGACCTATCAGCACGTCCGACTTCCACTTGTCATCTCATTTGTTGTATTTACCATCGACTCGAAATCGACATATCCTTCCAACTGTCTTCCGTCTTCCTGCACATTTCCCTTCGCCTGACTCGCTTTCTTCTCCTTGGCTCTACAAGGGCTTTGCCCCGAAGAAGATCCTAACTCGATTGGCAAAGGAAGGCTTCAACGGGTCGCCCTGCGCCGCCTTTTCGATTCCTTTTCGGAGACGCTCGTAGTAAACTGGGTCAGACTTTGGGCGCAGGATGGATTCGGACATGGGATGCTGCGATTCGCGAAGAGGGGGGCAACGTGAGCGTCTTGCTCCTGTTTCGCCTCCTGATCGCCGCCATCTTTACTCACATCCTTCGTCTCCCTCCCCGTCCTCAATCCCTCAAGCGCATCCGCCGCCCTCTCCGCATACTGGATCTCATCCTCGGTCAACTTCTTGTAACTCAACGACTCAACATCCTTGTGCGGCTCTCCCGTCACTCCAGGCGTGGGCGGCGAGCCATTCTTCCCCGACGATGGGATGGGCGGTGTCGGGGTAGGAGGAGTGGTGAGGAGCGCTTTGCCAATATTGATGCGGATGGCTTCCCCGAAGGATACCTTAGGGCGGAGCGGGTCGATGGGCCAGGATGAAGAGAGGCGTAGGAAGCGGGAATAGATTTGTGGGAGGCGAGAGGAGGAGGCCATGCTGTCGAAGTGATGGAGAAAGGGTCGATTGAATGAAGTGATGAGGAGGAAAAAGGTGACAGGACAGGCGTAGCGACGAGCCAAAATCGCCTCCAGTCCGCCGCTGCCGCTGCTGTTGTCTCCACTTCGCCGCGGGGTTCTCTTTGTCAGCCGCGTACCGACACTGAAGCGGGTGCAGCATGAATCGAGGATGTCGAGGATGTCGCACTGAGGAGGACGAGGAGCGAGTGCAAGAGGATCGAGAATACAATTACAAAGAGAAGGAAAAACAAAGGTCTACGTCGGGTCCACTCAAGCAGACTGCAACCTCATCGCGAGCGGCAATGCCGCTGGGTTATCCGTAGTAGCCAGCAACTGCACCGTGCTATTGAACCCCTTCATTGCCCTGGCCCACTTGCTCTCTTGCTTCTCCAGAGCTCGCCACATGTCTGCACCTAGCTCTGCAGGTCTGGCGTCGGGCCCATCTGAGGCCTTGGCTGCTGCCCACGCCGAGGTCGTCATGAGGACATGGTCGTCGAGCCGGCTGCGATTCTCGTAGAAGACGCGAGCGCTGTTCATGAGACGTTGGAGGAACTGAGCGCGAGTGCGTGGTGGAAGACAAGATGTGATTAGCTTCCAACTTGTTGACGGCCAGCCACACTCTCGCTTCCTGCTGCTGCTGCTGCTGCTCACCTCAACAAAGCGCACATCCGTAAGCATACACTCCTTTCTGCACTCGTTCAAGAAGTCCGTATGATCTCGCAGGAACTGATCAACAGTTCGAGCGCCCTCCATCTTCTTCTCCAATTGCGCCCAATTTTGCTCAATGATCTCTCCAGTAAAGAAGGCCAGCAGACTCTGGACGAAGAAGGTCATACGATGACGCAGCTTGAAAGTGCGCATCTTCCACCCTTCCAGCTCCGGGTGATCGCTGCAGCGCGCTTGCCAGTGCTTGGCCTGTTGCTCCAGCCAAACGTCACTTAGCTGGCGCTCGGTCACTTTCAATTGGATGAGGATCGTATGCAGGAACTTCCAGCGGATCATGTTCTTGCGGGAGATGACGAGAGAGACGGGGAATTTGACCGTCACGTCGAATTCGAGGACGTCGAGGACTGGCAGGCGACAGGAGGCAAAAGATGAGTGTCAGTATCGAGGGACAGCTCCTTACTTTGCTGCGGCGTAGACACGTACGAATCGCGGTATAGTCCCTCTCCCTCGCCTTCATCTTGGCCTTCAGCGCAATCGCCTCCGCGGCATCGGCTCCTCCCTTGACTCCGCGCGTGTTCGCAATCCTCTTCAAGCTTTCATACGGATTGTCCAGCGCGGTGCCAACCTTGACATCCTCCTTGTACGGGTCTGCGAACCCCACCACGGCCGAGCTGCCTAGTACCATGCCCATGTGCGTTTGCAGTCGCGTCTTGACGCTGTCTCGCACGTGCATAGGGTTGACGAGTTTGCGCAACTCGCGCTCGGCTTGCTCGATGAACGAGGAGAAGAAGTCGGATTGGCTGAAGAAAAAGTAGTGCTTGAGGGAGCGAAGACGTTCGATGAGATGGTAGTCGTGGAGGAGGAGGTGGAGCAGCTGCGTGTTGGCGAGGTGGTAGGCTTCTTCAATGCGTCGTAGGAAGGAGTCAGACGTCATGACGAAGCGCTCGCCCGCGTCTGCTCCCTCAGCATCGCTCGGCGGTGGCGGCTGCGGGATGACCGTAGCCACATCGATGCCGCATTCACGTACGACGTTGAGGTATTTACCCGCTAGGAGGATCTTGGACTTCCAAGGCTCAAGGAAGCTGGGGATCTTTGCCCCGCCGGTGAAGAGGCCACGTCCGTTGGCGATGAGCTGCTCGTCCTCCTGCAGGCGAGCCTCGTAGTCCTCCTCACTCAGGCCTTGCCTCTCTCTCTCCCGGCTCGCAAGGATGTTCTGATCTCGCAGCGTGTAGCGCTGCTCCCAGTAGATATCCGATGGATCTGTCTTGAGGGAATCGTAAGTCACCTTCTGGTCTTCGAAGACCATGAACTCGTCGTATGGGTCGACGAGTACGCCGGTCGAGACCCAAGTGACCAGAATGCGCGCGTAAGGCTGAGATGCTTGGTGAAAGAGGTCGAGGAAGAGCTGATGCGCTCGTGGATCGCCAGACTGCTTTTCCACCCTATCCCAGAGCATGCTCAACACCTCGCCGCCCTTGGCAATGCCACCTTGCACTGCGTCCTCATCGCCTCCCTCTGCCTGAGCGTCTTGGCCTGAAAAGAGGGCCTTGCGCTCCCTCTCCAGCTCGGCCTGAGCCTCCTTCATCTCCTCGTCCTCCGCCGCGTCGCTGTCGTCGTCGTCATCGGAGTCTCCCTCTTCATCGTCTGACTCGAGAATATCAGCGTGCGTGATGGAGGCGATGTCGCTCACGAGCGCGTAGACCAGCGAGAAGATGTGCAGAGTGGGGTGAATGAGGAGCCAGAGCTTCTGCAGCGTGAATTGCGGTGAGGTAGCCATCTGATGCTCCAGGCTGACAAGCAGAGCCTCGTAGTCGCACAGGACCGTCCGGATCGCAGCGCAGAGAGCATGAGTGACCGTCCCGTAGTGCATCGTCGAGTCCAAATCCACAAAGGCAGTGACGGCCGAATAGCACGAGGCAAGCGGGAGGATGCGCAGCACGAGACCTTTGAGGGATGCGTCGAGGGATGCGTCGACGTGGTATGTTGGGCCGCGGAGCTGGGATGCCGTGTCTTCTGGATCGTAGCCGGGGGCGAAGGTGATAAATTGACCCTCGATGCCCATGAGGACGTATAGAAGGTCTTCGATGATGGCTGCCTCTTGCACGTCGCGGGACATCATGGTCAGACCAGAGGGCTCGGCCTGAATGTCGTCCGCAGGCTCTGCGCCATCATCGTCGAGCGCTTGAAGGTCGCCCGCGTCTTCGCCATTGACCTGACCATCGACAGGTCTCGAGCTGGTCTTGGATCGGTGCAGGTCTGCTGGCGGTGGTGCTGCTGGTTTGCGAGGCGACTGTCTAGGCACTCTGCGGCCAAGAGGATTGAAGATGAAGGATCCTTCGTGCGCGAACGAATCTGTGGGAGCTGTGCAGCAAAGAGATCAATCAGCACTACTGCCTTCCCTCCTCTTGAGCTGATCCTCGCTGCACTCACCTTGTCTCCTCCCTTGCAAGCCCTTGACAGCCGCCCTAGCCATGCTCAATCCATCTGGCCCCTTGGTAGACCCGGATGGCCCTTCCCCAGCCGTGGTCCCCGTCCCTCTGATCTTCCTCAGCCAATGCTCCGTTACCTGACTCCTCTTCACCTCCTCCGTCTCACGTACAGTCTGCACTGCACCATCACCGAGCTGGCGCGTCGTCGATGAGGTAGTCGTAACTGCAGGTCGATGTTTCCCCGGCTGGCCAAGTGCAACGATCGAATCCGAATCCGCAGGCCCATTCCCATTGAGGTCCAACGCGGCCAGAACGTCTGCAGGGGGCACGCCTGCAGGCGGCGTATTATCATTGGAGGCACCCAGCGCTCCCTCTGATTCTTCCTCAATCCCATCTCCACCGGCCTTGCGCGTCGACTGCTGGACCATCAACAGCTGTCGCGTCATCTTATCGAACTGCTTGCTGCTCAAAGGAGCAGCGCTGCTTTTGCGCTTGTACTTGCGGCGGGGCGTGACGGGGGGCAGCGAAGAGGTGGAGGGTCCACCGACCGGTTCCCGTGGGAGGCCGGACGAGGTGCGAGCCCTCGTCGAGGATGACGACGAGGCCATGCGGAGGCAAGACGATGGAAGTTGTGGTTGTGGTGGTGGTGATGATGTGTTGGAGGAACAGGAGAATCTCCAGGGCGCCCCGCTCAGATCCACATCCACGACGCGCCGCCAGTCCGACAGAGAGCGCGCGTCTCACCTCCCTCCCGCCCGCTCTGCTCCTCACGCGTCGAGTCCATCACACCTGGCTCCATCTCGACGATGCTTGCGACGCCACGACAATAAATGACTCGAATTGGAATACAAGGTAAATCAAGAATTCGACCCATCACCGTTCCCACCATTGCCGCCTTGCCCAGGCTTCTGCATCGCAATGGCCTCAATCATGGCCCCCCAGGGCATCAAGCTATCCGCGCTCCAGTCCATGTTGGACAGGTTTCCCCCTCCGCCACTGGAAGCAGGCGAAGCTCCGGCTACCTGCGACGCAGCACTACCACCAGCTCCACTATTCGTGAATGCCGAAGAGTTCGCCCAAGGCTGGTTGCTACCGCTCACAGCGCCGCCGTTCATCGCTGGCGTCAATGCTCCCGAGTACTCTCCACCGCCTGCTCCCCCACCCCACAACGAATCATAAAAGTTCCCTCCCGCTCCATTTGCTCCAATCCCACTCAGATCCTCGGGCAGAGCCATTCCGGGCCCAGCGATGCCACCAAAGGGATTCGTCCCATCCGCTCCGGCTGCACCGGTTGAACGCCCCTTGTTCTGCTGCTGAAGGGCAGAGGTGAGGTTGAATTGATCCATCCCACCGCCAAGGGTGTCGAAGATTGATTGGGCGAGCTCTTGCGGGTTGAAGGAGGGGATAGAGGAAGCCGAGGGAAGGAGGGCGCCGCCGTGCGGGGTGGTGACGGACCCAGAACCACTGCTCCCGCTGGCGCTGGCGCCGTGCTTGCCTGCCGCTGCGGAGGAGCCAGGAGCGGGCGAGTCCATCATACGTGCAAAGGGCCCGCCAGACTGACCTGCTGTACCTTGCTGGCTGTCCGCGCTCCCATCGCCAGGCTGCGTCCTTGCTCCACTGCGCGACGGCTGCCCACCCGCAGCCACCGTGGCCTTTTTCGCCCCTTTCCTAGCGCACCAACTTGGATCCTTCGCTTTCTGCCTGAACAGCTCGATGATCGCCACCTCCCTCTTACTGCACTGATCCTTCTCTGCCCTCCTGTTATGCTTCTCGATGAACTCATCCAGACAAGCCATCAACTCTTCGGCGTCCTCTCCAGTCGGGTCGAGCAGGAGCTCGATACCGGTGATCAACGTAGAGCTGAACAGACGATACAAGCCGCCCATATGACGCTTGCGCGCCCTGTCTTTGGGCCATTGGACATCGCGCTTGTACTCCTGTCGGACACGCCTGTCCTCCCTCGCTGACGCAAAAGCGGCGTTGCGGCTCAGCGCGTACTTCTCCGAGTTGCGAAGCAAGTAGGGGCGATGCAGCGTGCAACGAATGTAGTGGTACTCCACTGAGATGAGGTAGCGATGCAGCGGCAACCATGGGCAGACCGTATCGAAGGACTTGTCCATTCCTTGACTCTCCTGCGCCTTGTACGGCGCAGGCAGACTTGCTTTGAAGGACTCGAGCTCCTCGTCGAGCGCAATAACGTCTGAGTAGCTTCGCGGGCGCGAAAGGTCTTGGAAATGCTCGGCAATCTTGCCCGTGATGATGGTCAGGGCATGGCGAATGGCGACGAAGTTGAACACGCCCGGCGGAGAGCCGGGGTCGGCCCACTTTGGCGGACCCGCAACCGCTGTGCGCGGCATTGTGTCGATGTCCACGTCCGAGGGGGCCATGGTATCGCAGTGATGATTTTGAATGGCGGGTGGGCGGCCCAGCAGGATGGATGTCGACTTGTCGAGGTAGAAGAGGAGACTCCAGAGGCGACGACGTCGTTCTGTGGTTGAGGCATCGAGGCCGAGCTTGCTGCCGTCGCGATGCAGACCGATGGCTTGAGCAGCTCGAATGGCACTGCCCAACATGCTCCAGCTCTCTGCGCTCTGCCGGCAAGTGATGAGGTAGCGAGCAGCGAAAGTCTGCGCGAGGACGAGGTCGATGTGGTCTGCGCGAATGTACGTTGCAACATGAATCGTCTTGCGGCAGGCATGGTAGAGCTTCATTGCGCCCTTCTTTGCCTCATCCTCGCTCGTCATCGACTCTGGCTCGTTGCGCTTGGCGATGGCCAAGAGGATGAAGAGGAATGCCAGAAAGGGAACGTGTCGGGCGCCATCGTCTCCAACCTCTTCTCGGGCTTTGCCCCACTTGAAGGACATCAAGGCATCGTACGATTGGCGGAAGGTGCCCTCGTGGATGGGGAGGCGGGTGTTGTTGATGTCGCGAAAGTAAAGGTGAAGGAGACCATCGGTGACGCTCTTTGGAGGTAGCAGCTCCATGAGTTCAGCGACGACATTGGGCGCTGCGCCTCCCTCTGACACGAGACGAGCAATCTTGAACGAGGCAGGGAATCGCGGCAGATGAGCGCCGAGCTCCAGGCGTTGGCCATTGATTTCCGTCTCAACCGCGCCTCGACTGACGCTTGGCAAGGCCAATGCGCCAAAGAAGGCATCACCCTCTGTTGTCAGGCCGCCTTCGAGCGGATTGCCATTCCTCTCCAATGCACTGCCCGGCACTCGTCGCCCATCTTCATCCTCATCGATGCCCTCGGTCCTGCGCTCAGCGTGGAATAGTTCCTCGCGCTCCATGCCGCGCATCGACGGTGGACGGAGGCGCTTGTTGCGCGAGTTGTCGTCTTCATCGTCTGCAATGGCTGGCACGGACAACGCAGTATTGGCTGAAGAGCCTGCTGCTGCTGTTGCTGTCGTCGCGTCCTTGCTACTGCCGGGCAGGAGGCCAGCTTGTCGAGCCTCTGTGAGCTCTCTAGCCAGGCTTGTCTGCGCTGTCGCCAAAGCCTCGACGATGTCCTCTAGTCGAGCAATACGGTCACGATGATCACCATGCTCGTCGCCGCTCTCGAATGGCTGTGAATGTGCGAAGGAACAAGGGCGCACAGTTGTGAGCGTACGTCCAAGGATTTGACTCAGTTGCCGGATCGATCTCACTCTGCAGCTGTCACCAATCCCACGTTCGAGACAGGGACCGCATGGATATTGTCGATCACACTTGTGTTTACGTCGATGGCACTCCGCACACGAGTAATGGATACGCTGAGTAAGGAAGCGGCCCAGGTCAGTGGATGTCGCGTCACACATGTCGCACCTCCTTAGCACCGGCTGCTCACCTTCCTCTTCCTCTCCTTCTTGTTCCCCACACTAGCAGCCACCGCATCCGCAACAGTCTGTGGCGCTTTCCCAATACCTTTGAGCCTTGATCCACTGGCCCCGCTTTCGTCTGTCGGGCTGGATCGCGACCCTTTGCGGGTCAGCTCGAGAGCAGAAGGTGCTGCGACGGGAGGGGGAAACTGCGAGTAGTTGGGTGGATGAGTCCATGGCTCGCCCGTAGCTATGCCGGGAGAAGGGGCGGAGATGGGCATCGAGTAGTTGTTTGTCGCGCCCGCTGGAGTTGATGTCGTTTCCATCGAAGTCGAAGCGGAGGAAGGACGTCCTTGCTTGCCTTTTGGAGTCAACGCAGGTCCGGCTGCTGAGCCTGACGCAGATGCCTGGCCAGGCGCAGCAGACGCTGATGTTGACGACGATGCCGTCGTCGCTGCGGGGGCCATGACTGCGTGTCTACTCGACAGTGGATAGTCTGTAGAGATGGCTTTGGGATGGCGGCGATGGTGCTAAAGGCAAATGCAAGAAAGGCAACGGCACCCTTGCCGCCGCTCAACTTCCCCACCACGCCCATTTCCACTCGATCCGCTCGACTCGACTCGCGGCGATTTTGATCACGCCTGGTGCAGCAGCCTGCCGAGGCTCCCGGTGCAGCGCCGAGAGGCTATCGAGACACAAGACTACGACGAAGAATGAGCTTGTTTGCTCTGGTACAGAACTGGTAACTTTGATTTCAAATTACTTCTGAAAACGCTCGCGCTCTAACACTATGCTAGCAAATCCTCAAAAGGGTCCTTCCCCTTGCCACTGCCATTCTTTGATGATGCTGCAGGCTGGGCCGGCGAGGGCGATGAGGCTGATGAGCTAGCGCCTGCTGTGGGCAGCTGTAGTGCTCCCCAGCCGCCGAGCTGTGAGCCTGAGCTCTGTGCTGGAATGGCTGCGTTGCCACCGCCTGGGGTCACTGCCCCTCCCATCGGCGGCGTCGCTGCTCCAAAAGTTGACTGGTATGCTGCACCTCCCGCTGGTGGGCGGGACAGCTTGCTTGTGTCGAAGAGATTAGCAGGGAGACCTCCAGGACCAGTGCCGGTCGATGATGAGCTCGCTGCTGCTGTCGTAGCAGCGGAAGGAGCAGAGTCAAAGGTGAGGCTTGCGAAGTCGTCCATGATCGACGAGGACGAGGCGGCCGGCTTGGCCGCCGAGTCCGCTGCTGCAGCGCTTCCCTCGTCGTCAAACGAAATGAGATCACTGATCTTGGCAGTAGGCACAGCCGCGGAGCCTCCTTTGGCAGGGTCGATACTGGGGTCAATGTTGACCGTAGCGCTCAAGTCTCCCTTCTTGAACGCCTGGTATCGTTCGCAGACCTGATTGACCAGATCGTTAAGCAACAACAGCCTGTCCATCTGCTGCGACTCTCCATCTTCTGCTTCTGAGATCCACTTCTGAAGTCTCGGCTGGACACCGCGCAGATGGCCAGCGATTTGATCATAGCCGTCCCCCTTGACGAATCGCTCTCCGGCTTGGTAGTTGTTGAGCATGTCGTTGAGCAGGATAGCGCGTGATTGGACCTTGTCAAGCTCTTTTTCCGTTTGTGAGGCGTAATCGGGCTTGCTCTCCGGTTCCTGCAATGGGACAAACAGCATGTCAACAAAGGCTGGTGGACGCCCTGGCGCTCATCGCTGGCACTCACCGCCCCGGACATGATTTTCATCAGCTCCTGCGCCTGTTCCAAATCTCTCGGCGTACCCCTCCTGATCAACTCTTGCAGCTTAGCAGCCTGCGCCGCCCTATCCTCCTCTTCTAACTCCTCGGGCGAGCGCAGATTATTCGTGGGCTGCATCACCCCCTTTGCCCTGGAGTCCAAGTTGGGGAAACGGTATCCTTTATACGTGAGCAGCCGGTGCATATCGCGAATGTGTACGAGGTCCTCCTTATGCTTCGAATCAACGCAGAGGGTGTTTCTCCATTCGTGGATGAGGGCGAGGATCTTGGTTTGCGATGGCGAAGGGAAGAGAGGGGGCCGCTCGGGGAATCGTTTGACGAGTTCGTTGAGAAACTCCTTTGTTGCGATTTGGAGGTGGAAAGGGTAGCCTACATTCTTGACGAGGTGATCCAGAAGGTCAAGTCCCAGTAGAGAGATGTGAGGATGACGCGAATTGACTTTCTGCACAACGGCGAAGGCTGCCTCGCGGGGGCTGCCAGAGGAGGAGGCAAGGAGAGTAGGTCAGCATACTAGCATACAAGGAGATGATCGGGCCATCCCTTGCTCACGTATTTGCTTGCTTGCTTTTGATATGATCTGCAAGCTCGAGATTGAGAGCCAGATTAGGCTGCGAGTTGATGGGATCGCAGCATCGCTCGACATAGGACTGGACGGGCGTGATCCTCATCTCTGGGTCAATCGATTTGGCCGCCCAGTCAGCAAAGGCTGAGATGGCATTGGCCGTCGACGATGATGCAGAGGAGGATGCATAGCCTCTTGGCGGGCCGCGGGACGAGTGATGGTTGTACGACATGGCGGCGTGGGCGGTGAGAAGAAGGGGAGGATGTCAAGAAGTTGTTGGTTGTTCTGGCCAGCCCGTCGGCGCCGCTTCGTCGACTCGTCTCGTCGAGGTCTGTGCGTGTCTGTTGTCTCGGAGCGAGCCAGACGAGCGGCGAAAGGCCCGCGCAGCGCGAAGCGACGGCAGCGGCAGCAGCAGCAGCGAAGTCAAGTGGTTGAAACTGACCTTTGCTCATCTTCCTTTGTCACATTTTTGATGCTCTTGAGGCAGACATCACTAGCTCGCAACTTCCACCGTTCTCTCACTACCCGTGTCACTACTACCTCACCTCAACCCTTAGCACGGCTTCCCTGCTCTGCTACGTCCGCAGCCTCTCCCATCCAACACTTGCAACCTTATCACTCTCCGACCCTCCACCGACGTGCCTTCTACTCCTCGCCCTCTCGTGCACATCAGCCAGACATGGGAGCGATTAACAAAGGTCGAATCGACACGACGGCGCGTGTGGCCCACTTGCGCGCTCTCATGGCGCAGCATGAGGTCCAAGCGTACGTCATTCCCTCGGAAGATGCCCATGCCTCTGAGTATCCAGCTGAGTGCGACCTGCGAAGGACCTTCATCACCGGCTTCAACGGCTCAGCAGGCACAGCCGTCGTCACTACCGTCGCTCCTGTCACGGGCAGCGCTGCGGCAAAGTCAGACAAGGAGATCGGCGAGCCAGAAGCGCTCCTCTTCACCGATGGCCGCTACTTCCTCCAGGCCGGGCAGCAGCTTCAGCCCGAGGTGTGGAAGCTCATGAAGCAGGGAGAGGAGGGTGTACCGACGTGGACAGAGTACATTACCTCGCATCTCCCACCCTCGAGTGTAGTAGGGATCGACCCTTCCCTCCTCGCCATCTCCGATTACCAAGACCTTTCCAAGTCGATGGCAAAGCGCAATTGCAGCCTCAAGTCTCTCCCTACAAATCTCATCGACGAGATCTGGAACGCCATCCCCTCCAACGATCCGGAAGCTCGCCCTGCTGCTCCTCGAAACGAGATTTTCATTCAGCCCCTCAAGTACGCCGGCAAGAGCGTGGCAGAGAAGGTTAATGAAGTGCGCATTGAGGTCATGAAGCTCAACAAGGAGAGGGCCAGGCAGGGCGTCACCTTGCAGGGCTTTGTGGCAACCATGATGGACGAAGTGGCATGGCTACTGAACCTGCGCGGAACGGACGTGCCTTACAATCCCGTCTTCTTCGGTTTTGCCATCGTTCCTCTTCAGGACAAGGGCCCTGCGACTGCTTACCTCGACCACTCGAAGCTCACCGATGAGGCTCGCGAGCAGCTCGTCGAGGCAGGAGTGGCCGTCAAGCCCTACGAGAGCTTCTATGCCGATCTTGCAGCCATCGGCTCAAGCTTGGCCTCCGCTCAGGGTGCCTCGGAAGGAGAGGGCAAGAAGGAGAAGTTCCTCATTGGCAAGCGTGGCTCTCTCGCCGTCTCTGATGCGCTCGGTGGCCTCGAAAAGACGGATGTGGACCGCTCACCGGTCATCGACCTCAAGTCGATCAAGAACGAGGTCGAGCTCGAAGGATTCCGACACTGCCACATCCAGGATGGAGCCGCGTTGGCAAACTACTTTGCCTGGCTCGAGGCCGAGCTCCAAGCAGGCAAGACCGTCCGCGAGTATGAAGGCTCAGAGAAGCTCAAGGCATTCCGAGCAGCGATGCCTGGCTTCAAGGGCGAGTCCTTTACGACCATTTCCTCCACCGGCCCTAACGCCGCCGTAATTCACTACTCGCCCAGCCCGGAAGAGGGAAAGAGCGAGGTCATCGAAAAGACCAAAATCTACCTCTGTGACTCTGGCGCTCAGTTCCAGGACGGGACGACGGATGTCACTCGTACGCTGCACTTTGCTCCTTCAGAGGAGAACCCAGCAACGCTTAAGGAGATCAGAACAGCCTTTACGCGCGTCCTCCAGGGTCATATTGCGATCGACGAGGCCGTCTTCCCTAAGGGGACAACGGGGTACCTCCTTGATGTACTGGCACGTCGGGCCCTGTGGGAGGAAGGACTGGACTACCGCCACGGAACGGGCCATGGAGTCGGCTCGTACTTGAATGTCCACGAGGGCCCCGCTGGAATTGGGACACGGCTCGTCTTCAACGAGACTCCCCTGCGTGACGCGATGGTGTTGAGCAATGAGCCTGGATTCTACAAGGATGGCTCGTGGGGCATCCGAATCGAGAACCTGGTCATCGTTCGACCGGCAAAGACGCAGAACAACTTTGGTGGTAAAGGATACTTCACTTTTGAGCACCTTACCCTCTGCCCGATTCAGACCAGTCTGATCGATGCGAGCTTGCTGAGCGTCAAGGAGAAGGAGTGGATCAATGCGTATCACGATGAGGTGCTCAAGAAGGTTGGACCGGTGCTTGAGAAGCAAGGGAAGGATGGCGAGCTGGGATTGAAGTGGCTGGAGAGGGAATGTAAGGAGAGGGTATAAGGGCAGGGAGCAGAGAGAGTAATGGAATGCAACTGAGTGTCATTGCTCCTCGCTCGGGCCGTAGATGCGCATGAGCTGGTGTGGTGGGTGGAATCTGGTGCGTGAGCGCGAGTTCGTTCCTCCTCAAGCCCGCAGCAAGACTTACCATCTCTCTCAATTGCAGCCTCCTGCCCTTTCTCCTCTCTGCAGCCCCTGCATACGTCTCCAGGGGCGATTCCTCTGGTATCACTATGCGTCTCAACGCTCCTTCTATCTCTCCTCCTGCATCCTCGTCAGGTGGGGCAGCCAGTGCTAGCGTGAAGAGCGCGTCATTCGTGAAGCGTCGCTTCCCACCTGCGTGGTCGTGTGATTCGGCCGAGGCAACTACGTAAACTTCGCATGAGCGCGTGAAGGTGCGTAGAACGACCGCTGTGAAGGTCATGACTCTGTGGGTGAGAATGGCGGGGAAGAGTGAGCGAAATCTTGCACAAGGTCAAAGTGACATAATGGAACGACTCACTCTCCCTGTCCAAGGCAGCGTTGGCAAGGAAGGAGTGTCAGCGTCGAGAGGTCAAAGTAAGGGGAGCAGGGCACTCACTACGACGACCGGCCGCTTGAACTCCAATCCATCCATCGCGACCGTCTTCCAGTGCACATTTGGCAAGCCTCTTGCCACATTCCTCGCGCTGATCAGCGCAGCTTGCTCCAGCCAGGCCATTGTCTGGCCACCAAAGAGGATCGAGACTGAATTGGTGTCTGTGCGTGCGTCGAAGAAGCAATCAGAGAGTGAGCAATCAAGGAAAAGAGTGACGACGGCTAGGGGAAGGCGCAGACTTACGCTCGGGGAAAACGATCTGGAGTACGGTGGCAAGCGTATCCTCGATGGCAATCTCACTCAGGACGTCGCGGTGACCTTGGGTTCCTTGCGCCGACGTGTCAAAGGGTCCGCAAAGGTGCGGGGAGAGGAATGACCCCATCCTCGAGCGTGTCCTCCTCGGCAGCGGTGGTGATGGATTCGACAATTTCGAGTCATGACTTTCTTCCTGCGTCTCATTGCCAAGACCATCGTGAAGCAGGCCCAAGTGACGTGCAGTAGCCTTGACTTCTTCCAGTGGCTGTCGGATGACTTGGCCACCAGCTGCTTCTGGCTCGCCTCGTAGATGCCCAAGGACGTGCCCGTCGTTGTCCTCCTGGATTACCAGCGTCGAGTCCCTGCGTCCATACATTGCACGCGCCATAATCTGGCGATGGAAGGACGCTGATCAGCACATCCTCGTCTCTACCCCGAATATTGCTGACTCACCTCCCTCTCCCCTCTCTCGATTGTCCTCTTGCCCACCTCCCTGTCCCTCCTTCTCCCGCCACTCGCCCCCATCCTCATCACAACTTCGCGCACCTCCTCCAGCACAGAGCGTGGAATCGCGTCCTCGTCCACCCCTTTTGCCGCAGCAGCTAGACGACGGGCACGTCTATGCCCCGCAAGGAAGTGGCGCCGCCATTGCAATTTTGTCTCTGGGACCAATCGGGGCAGACGTGTGGGCTGATCCGAGGTCTTGCGCAGGACAAAGGTGAGGTAGGCTGGCAAGGCGGGGAGTGGCTGATGAGCTTTGGAATTGACCTATCGCAGGCGCACAGCTCGCTCACCGTGGGAAACATAGCTCAAGCGTCCTGGATCATCGGGACTCTCAGCCAGCACCCTCACGCCTACCTCCATGGAAGAGCTAAAGGAACGATTGACCGCTGCGGACAGGTGGATCTGGGCGCGGTGTCATACCAGCCATATCAGCGCTCCATTTCGTCCATAAGTCTGCCGCGAGACGGTTTGCTCACCAAGTCGCCCAAATAGATTGGACTCAGAAACAGGACACTATCGAGGCTAACAGTCACGCATCCCTGCCCGGCATGTCGCCTGGCCGCTACTCCAGCAACCACGTCGATCAACCTGAGCAGGGCTCCCGCCAGCAAGAGCGGGCGTGACGGTTGTCCACCGCCAGTAGGAGGGGCGGCAGCAGAAGGGTACTGGCACATCGAGGGATCCGTGGGGTAGGAAACGGTCACTGTGCTTTCCTGCCAGGATTTGGAGGGAGGAGCAGACGGGTCATGATCGGAGGTCGAAGAGCGGCGCTGGAATGTCTGCTGTACCCAGGTGACGGCAATGGAGGCGCCCGAGTAGAGAAGAAGGCCGGCTCCCAAGGTCAGGATGACCGACGAGAACTTGTCCGGCGGTGTGCTCGCCATGTTGGCGATGAGGACGGTGGCTGGAAGGCAAGGAGCGAAACTGTTGTTCGAGCTCAGCTGCAGCGCTTTGTGCGGCGAGGGCCCGTGCACGCGGAGCGGACAGAGAGCAAAGGCTGCGATTTTCACTACGAGAATCGACAAGCACAGATCAAGGAAGGATGAGCGACGTGACAAGCACACAGAATAGCAGATATGCTTTTTGGACAATGGAGAGAAAAGAAATTGTGCTTCCAGTCAGGCCATCACCACCACTGACCTCCTCTGCCTAGCCCCGCATTTCTCCTCCGTTGCCGTGCCTCTTCCAAGGAGCCTGGCCCACTAGCGTATGCTCGTGCGAAGCTGTGTCTCGCCTGACCGCACCTTTCCACCAATGCTCCTAATCAATTACTCGTCATCCTCGGCCACAACAGTCTTTTTGCTCCTCTTGCCGACCGTCTCGCTCGACTTCTCCTTGACAGCCGAGCTCTGAGCCTTGCGCTCGACCAACTTAGCAGCCTCCTCCTTCTTCTTGCTCTGGCTGGCAGACGCAGCCACATTCTTGCCCGCAGCGCCGCCCATGAGACCCGAGAGAAGACCCAAGAGACCGAACATGGCCGTCACACCTGCACCGAGACCTGCGGCGACTTGAGGCTGGCTCTTGATGGCGTTGACCGGGTCGCGCTTGGCGGCAGCGATAAAGACGTCGATTTCAGAGCGGACACGGGTGAGCAATGATCCAGCAGCGGCCTTGGCAGCTTTTGCCTCCTCGGCCGCCTTACTAGCCTTCTCCTCGGCATCTGCCTTCTCTTCGCGGTTCTGCTCGATCGGCAACTTGAGCTCGAAGCTCTCCTCGCTCAGCTTCTTTGCCTCCTCGCGCGAGTGGCCGACGTAGACATTGTCGAAGAGGATGTCCTCGTCCATCGTCCAGATCTCAAAGCCGATGCCGCCCATGGGCGAGAAGTGCGAGGGGTGCTTGTCCTCAAAGTAGTGCGGGTTGGGAATCTTGCGCGGCTCCCAAGGGCCCTTGTAGGCAGGGTTATCGATCATAGGAGCGGTCCACTTGCCTTTGTAGTCAGGGTTGCGCTTCAGGGGGCGGACCCAGGGGCCGCAGCCGGGGGCGTCCTCGCACTTGGGGTTGGGGACGACGGGAGGTTGCCACTCGCCGTCCTCTTCGTCATCCCACTCAGCGGGCTTCTTGGCATCTGGGTCAGGGATCTGAAGAGGCTCATTCTCGAGCCAGCCTTCGGGCTTCTCGGCCTCCTCGTCGGGGATCTCAAAGGGAGCGTCCTCATCCCAGTCCTCGGGCTTGGTAGCAGCGGGGTCTGCGATGCGCGACTCGTCGACCCAGTCGGCGGGCTTCGAGTCCTTGGGGTCCTCAATCTCCTTGGGCGGGTTGACGCTAGGGTTGAATTGCTCGAAGAGGGTGCCGTTCTTGCGCGACTGGTTGTTGATGAGGATCTCGAAGCTATTGTCAGGCTCGACAACGAGGGTGTAGAGGGTCGAGACCTTTGCCAGCTTAGGGTACGGCGTGTCGGTCAGGTGCTTCTCTTCGATGACGCCGTTGACGGGGTTCTTGTGGCGGAAGATGAAGTGGACCTTGTTCGTCTGGCCGCACTTGTCAGGGCCGAACATGATGGTGTAGGGCGTCTTGTCCGAGAACTCCTTTGCCTGAATACCTTCTGGCGACTCGGTGAGGAGCTTGAGGTAAGCTCCACCACACGAGAGGCCGTTCTGCAGCTTCGTCTCGTATTGAACGACGAGTGGCTTGCCATCGGTCTTGATGACCTCGGGGAATTGGGCAGAGATGGCATGCTGCGCGGCCTTGGACTTGGCGACGAGTCCGGTGTCGCCAAGGAGACCAGGGAAGACAGTCGGCTCTCTGTGAGTGGAGCAGATGAGGGACAACGCATGTTTAGCTGAACTGCCAGTCATCATCACTCGCAGCGGGAATGCTCACTCTACGGACCACTTGCCGACGTAGGAGAAGACCTCACCCCCAGTCTGCTCTTTTGTCGCCTGAGACGCAGTCCATCGGGTGTCCCATCCCTCTTGGAACTGCTCGATGAATGGCGCCTTGACCGTCGTGGGCTGCGCGAAAGAAAAGAGAGGTCAGTCTGTTGCTGCTGTGACGAGCGCACATCAGCTGCCCAATGCCGCCTGCTACGCTACTCACAACGAAAGGCTTGCGCTCAACGTGCTCGGTAGCCTGCGCCGATACGGCGGCTGCCGCAGAGAGGGCGATTGCGATGTGCGACTTCATCTCTTACTCGACGATCACGACGATGATGAGGGCGAGGACCAAGGATGAGGATGGATCGAGATGGGATGGAAGCAAGGCGAACCTTTGAACGCTATGACCCGTGTGTGTGCCTTGGGAATGTGTCGCTCGCTGCTCCCCCCCGCCCGCTCACCTCGACTGGCTGCAGGAGTCTTCCACGTCACAGTGCCGGAACGGCGGCCCGCCAGGTGGTGCCATTCTTTGCCGTCGACGACCACGGCGCCGCAAACGGCTCTTGAGAGATGGCTGCCTTGGCGAAGAAAGGGCAGCCATTGGGACGGCTTGGGCAAGGGGCATAGCCGCCAGGAGACCTACCGCATCACCGTTGCCTGCGAGCCTCGTTACTACGGCCCGGCGGCGATGTCGATGTCTCAGCCAGCCTTGGATCTGCAACTGACACAGCGTGGCTTGTGCGCAAAAAGCCCTGTCCGCCGCTGACGAGGCCCGACTGCCTTTCGTTCCAATCTGCATTGCCATCTCACGGCTCTTCCCCTCAGCATGTCCGAGCCGCCACCGCCGCCGCCATCAGACCTGCCGGCGGGGCTCTTCGGTCCTCGAGTGCGCACTGACGCCGCACCATCAAGCAGTGCGCCAAGCTCAGAGTCGATGGACTCGTACAGTCTGTACAAGTATATCGATCTGCGAGGCGTCTACGGCGTCAATGTTGGGCCACCTCGAGCTGACTTGGCAGAGGCGGCGAGAAAGGCGCTCAAGCCATGGCATCGCAGAGCGGATCTAAGCGACTGTACAGAGTCGCTGGACGGGCCGAATCTCATTGTCAACATACCATTCTCGCAGGCGGTGAAGATCTCGTCGCTTCTGATCAATCAGGGAAGCGGCGAGGATGCATCGCGGGTGAGCGCAGCAGAGAGCAGCTCGTATCGACAGTCCTCATGAATTGACGCACATCCCTCGTCTGCTGTTACCGCAGCGGGTCCGCCTCTACGTCAATCGCCCCAATGGCCTCGACTTCGACGACGTGACCGACGACCCACCGTCGACCGCCCCTGCGACCGGCCCTCCCAGCTCTGGCCTGCCACAGGCTGACTTTCTGCTGCGAGAGCAGGACGCTACAGTAGCTAATGCGGAGGATAGGATACAAGAATACCCCTTGGCTCGTTTCGCAGCGAGATTCACGAGCGTCCAGAGCGTACATGTTGTGCTGGTGAGCTCCGGGCAGAGGCTTTGATCATGATGTGGACGCTAATCACGATACTTTCCCTGCACGCTCACCGCTCCAGTCCGACGCCCTTGCGGCACCGTCTCGCACCTACTATCTGTCATTCCGGGGCACAGCGCCGCAGGAGCTTCATGACAAGTCCCGCCTCCTCTCTGTCGCAGCAGAGGATGCAGCGAGTAGTCCGATGGGAAGGCTGAGGGAGCACTCGTCGGTAGCGTCCAAGGCTAGTACGGGCGGAGCTGCCGCTGATGGAACGGGTGGGCAGGCGAGATGAGGTAACGAAAGACGGGGATGGACGGCATGTATGCCAATGTATCATAGCTAGAGCCAGCAAATCAGCCGGTACCGTCTCATGGTCAATCTGGCAGGCTTGAGTCACCGGAAAGAGTGGGATGTATCATGCTGGATTGTCAGGTGCCCGCACGCCTTCACTTTTTGCCCGTCTTCGGCTTCTTCATGACTCTCATCCTCATCTTCCTCATCAACGCCTTTCTCCCGGCCTTGCTGACAGGCACGCCCAATCTCCTCTGCCCAGCCGTAGCCTCGCTAGTTCCACTGACGGTACTCCTCCTCTTTGTCCATCCCCTCCTCTGCGCCTGCAGTCTCTTCCATCCATCGAGCGCCCTAGCCTGCGTAAAACCGCCACGCTCCTCTCCCTCTATCCTCGCTCCGTCCGCGGCGCCGACTCTGGCTGTCATTTTGAGGCGACGCAGGTCTCCGCGAACGCGCGGCGAGTTCTTTGCGTAGTGCTCCCATGCTAGGGAGAACATTTCTGACGAGGGGTGATAGGGGGTGGGCAGGTCGGAGCAGACAATCGTTCGGGCTGGGCGGTAGTTGCGGGCACTAGGAGCAGACTCATCGCTTGACTGCCCTTGCTCCCTATCCTGCTGCTGCTGCTGCTGTTGCTGCTGGTGAAAAGTCAACGTCGGGTGACGCAGGTAGATGGCCGAGCAGGCCGCGAAGGAGACCTCGAGGTAGGGAGGGACGAAGAGGGACGGAGCGGCGAATGGCGGGAGGTTGAAGGGGAGCACGCCAGGCGCTCTTGTTGGAGCCGAAGCCGCTGCCTTCTCCTTCTTGGCTTGCTTCTTCTCGGAATGTGATGCCTCCTTTGTCTCCCCTTCTCCAGAGGTGGCTTCAGCAGACTCGCTAGTCTCTTCGGGCTCTGTCTTGCCCTTTCCCTCCTCTTGCTTTTCTGTCGCAGCAGCCTCTGATGCTGCCTCTTCTGACGCCTCCTCTGCTGACGCTCCTTCGGCCTCCAGCGTCCCCGCATTCGCCGCCGCAATTCTCCTCTGCGCCCTCCTCTCAAGCTCAGGCGACAACATCGGCACCGCTGATGCCTCTACGCTGATGAGGTCTCCAGGCTCCAACAAGCGGTTGGGATCATTGAGCTTGACGCCGTTGACCTTGACCTTGCCCTGAACAACGAGCGACCTCGCCTCCCACACACTGCGGGCGAAGCAACACCTGAAGACAGCGGTATCCAGTCTCCTCTCAATCTCCCGCACAAACAAGCTCGCAATGGGCAGCTTCTGCGCATTGCCTTCTTGTCTTCCCCTAGACACGCCCTCAAATATGCCTCCGGGTCTTGGCTTCGACGAGCCTGATGCTGCTGGATTGGTGTAGGAAGGGAGCTCGACTGGCAGGAACCATCGTTTGAATCTGCTCTCAGGCAGGTGATCGCCGTGATAGGCGCGGATCATGCGTTTTGAGCGCCATCGTTGGTGGTACATGGTGCCGTAAGTCTGCCTGAAGTTGGTGTCATTGGCCAAAGAGGGGACAAAGGAGCGTGACAGGAGGTTGTAGAGGTTTTCAGGCGACCACGACTGCGTCAGCAGGACAGAGGGCGCAGGTCAGCACGGCGTGGACAGGAAAATCAATCTACTCGCTGCTTACCATACGCGGGAGCGCATTGTGGGTCTTGACGGCCCTCGCAGCCTTCCTCATCGTCGCGTCGGATCCAGGCGAGCGGTAATGCTGATGGTGGTGGTGATGGCGACGAACTTGATGACTTGCAATTCACCCTCTATCCGCCGTCGCCGCCGTCGCCCGACCTTCTCGCCGGCCCTTGGCTCAACACTTTTGTCAATCCAATCTCGAGGGCCTGTCTGGCGGCTCCGATTTCCGTCGTCGACGGATGACCTCGTCTCGACGCACGACCGCTCGACGCTCGACGCTACGCTCGGACTCGGTCTTTTTGCCATGTGGGAGAGAGGCTGCATGGTCGTCACGCAATTGTTGAGGCCGGAGGCACTGAGCCTCCATCCACGTTCGCCTTTCAGACGGCGGCGGCGGCGCACCCGACAGTTGAGATCTTCCTCCGCGGCCAAGTTGAGCAGCTCGCGTCTCCCCACTCCTTTCTCCCTTTACCACCACCCACTTCTTACCACTTCCACTTATTCACAATGGCACAGAACGGCAAGGCTATCCTCCCCGAGGGCCACTTCCTCTTCACCTCGTGAGTGCGGTCCAGCGAGCAGCGAGAACCATGTCGCTCTCTTCCCTCGATGCCAATGTCCATGCACTGACCTGCCCCCTCCATCATCTGTGCCCACCCTTCGCTCTCACGCAGCGAGTCAGTCGGAGAGGGTCACCCAGACAAGATCTGTGACCAGGTCTCGGATGCCATCCTCGATGCCTGCCTTGCCCAGGACCCCAACTCCAAGGTCGCCTGCGAGACTGCCTCCAAGACTGGTATGATCATGGTCTTCGGTGAGATTACCACCAAGGCTCAGCTCGACTACCAGAAGATCATCCGTAACACCATCAAGGGTGAGCAATCGGCGTTGCAGAGGCAAAGGCTAGTTATGTCGGCTCATCAGTCTCTCCCACCCTCATGCCCGCAGAGATTGGCTACGACGACTCGGAGAAGGGCTTCGACTACAAGACGTGCAACGTCCTCGTCGCCATTGAGCAGCAGTCGCCCGACATCGCCCAGGGTCTTGACCACGGTGACATTGAGAACCACGGTGCCGGAGACCAGTGAGTAGCGCGCAGTCGAAAACGACCCTTGATGCTTATCGCTCATGTCATGACCACACTTTCATCTGCGCGCAGGGGCATCATGTTCGGCTACGCTACCGACGAGACCCCCGAGCTCATGCCCCTCACCCTCTCTCTCGCCCACAAGCTCAATGCTGCCCTCGCCGTCGCTCGCCGCAACGGCACTCTCGGCTGGCTCCGCCCTGACTCTAAGACTCAGGTCACCGTCGAGTACAAGAAGGACGGTGGTGCCCTCATCCCCGTCCGCGTCGACACCGTCGTCGTCTCGACGCAGCACGCCGAGGAGATTTCGACTGAGGAGCTCCGCAAGCAAGTCCTCGAGAAGGTCGTTAAGCAGGTCATCCCTGCCAAGTACATTGACGAGCGCACCGTCTACCACATCCAGCCCTCTGGCCGTTTCGTCATTGGTGGTCCCCAGGGTGATGCCGGTCTCACTGGCCGTAAGATCATCGTCGACACTTACGGTGGTTGGGGTGCCCACGGTGGTGGTGCTTTCTCCGGCAAGGACTTCTCCAAGGTCGACCGATCGGGTGCTTACATCAACCGTCTCATCGCCAAGTCCATTGTCGCTTCTGGCCTCGCTCGCCGTGTCCTCGTCCAGTCGGCCTACGCCATCGGTGTCGCTCGCCCCGTCGGTCTCTTCGTCGAGACCTACGGCACCTCGAAGCACTCGGACTCTGACCTCGTCAACCTCATCGAGAAGAACTTCGACTTGCGTCCCGGAGTCATGGTCAAGACCCTCGACCTCCAGAAGCCCATCTACCGCAAGACGGCTGCTTACGGTCACTTCGGTCACGACGACTACTCGTGGGAGAAGCCCGTCTCTCTCAAGTTCTAAGCGCGCGATGCGCTGCTACATCAGGAGAGGTCTTTTGGCTCGGACTCGGCTCGACTAGAGGTCTCAACATCCCTAGTCGTCCGTAGCTCTCGATCCCATCTGCGCGCACTCTCCTCCCTTTCCTTCTTCTCTACTCTCCGCTAGACCACCTACGTCGTCGGCCCAACAAACATCCTCTGCAGGGCCGCCGCATACCTCCCTATCTCCTCCTCCTCCTACTCCTCGCCTTTTCAGCATCATATATTTTCGTTCGTTTGTCACATATCAGTATTGGGGCTTCAACCGCCAATGTAATACCATCAAATACAGCTAGCTTCCAGCAGTCGTGTGAGCATCGCGCTCGATCTCCAAGCGGTGTGAGTGATGAGCTCGTTGATTGCCAGCGAGCGGTCAAGCGGCAAACTGCATCCCTACCATCACCCGTATACGACTCGCCATGGCGTCCATCTGGGATCAATGATCAGCCGCTCTGCAGCTCAGCGACATCATAGCCAGGGAGAGAAGCCGCAGTATCAACGACAAGAGCGAGGCACAGCACGTCAGGGCGCCTAGCCTCATCGATCCGGCAATGTCCTCGCCGTCGTCGCGTCTCATTCTGAACTTCACCGGCGTTCAAGAGCATGTGCTATCGTGCTCGACGCAAATGCATTCTAGATCGTAAGGTTGTAGTCGTACTCCCCCTCCGTCTGCTGTGCAATCCAAAGCGAGATGGTCGAGAGCATGAGGGCCGTGTTCTGTGTGTGCGTGGGCAGAAGAGCACGATGCGGTGTCAGCTTCTCCGTCTCGATAGCCTTGTCTCCTCAATGTGCCTACACACCTGCGCGACGTTCGCGACACCGTAGTACTCCGGGTAGCCAGGCACGAGGTACTTGACGACCAACACCGTGATGCTCCCTGCCAAACCGCCAGCCATGAGGGCAAATCCAATGAAGAGGAACAGCTTAGCCCGCCACATAGTCGCGTCACCCGCAAATGCTCCCCCTCCCCCACCACCGCCGCCACCGAACAATGCCCCACCAAGGCCTGCTTCTGCAAGCAAGCTCTTATCAATCAGATTTACCACTATCATCCCCAGCGTCCCGCAAATCCCAGGGATCCAGTCTGCGAAGGAGACGACTACCTCCGGTTTCCCGTCCCATGGCTCACCGCGTCCTACGCCTGGAGGAGGGCGAGCAGAGATGGACGACAGGATGACTGCGTCGAGGAAAGTCCACCAACCGATGGCGAAGAGAGCCCCGGAGAGGTAGATGCCTAGTGTGCGCTTCGAGAAGAGGGAGGTGAGCCATGTCGGGAGGAGATGGGTGGGAAGAGGGACGAGACAGACACGACGGTTAGAGTCGTATCCACGGGATCGCGAGTAGGACATGGCGGTGGCGAAGAGAAGGAGGTAATGGTTGAAGGTGCGAGGGAGGAAAGGAGGGAAGGGACGGCGAGGTGTGGAGAAGAGCCCTCGCGGATGCCGTCGTCCTGAGCCCGCACGCGACGACGGCTTTGGCACTGGCCTTCTGCTTCCGCCTTGCTCAAATCGCGTTTGGGAGCCTCTGCACATTTCTTCCTCTTCTCACACGACAATTCAGCATCAACATGCCAGAAGCCTCTTCGTCCAAGGCAGCGGCAACCTCTTCTTCGTCCTCATCAACGGAGGCGATGAAGATCTTGTCAGTCGGCCCCGCACGAGGCAACATCACCGGTCTGGTGTCCAAGACTGCCGCCATCCAGGCAAAGCACGGGCCCTTTGATGCCCTCTTCGTCACTGGAGACTTCTTTGGCAGTGATGACGAGCTCAATGAAGACGAGCAGCGCCTTTTGGACGGTCAAATGACCCTTCCGATGCCTACATACGTGGGCTACGGGAGAGCAAGACCGCCCAAGCGGGTAAGGGACCTCGTCAAGGCGGAAGAAGATGCAGCGACGACTTCAAATGGCGATAGGCTGCCTACTCGCTTGGCGGACAACCTTTACTGGCTAGCAAGAGATCAGGTCACTTGGGTATCAAAGGACAAAGCAGATGCGGAAGCGATACGGAGGGCTGCTAGGGCGAGAGGTGGAGACTATGTCGTCGATGAGGATGCAGAGAGACGCGGCCTGCGAGTGGCTGTATGCGGTGGAGAGTGGAATGCTGAGGCTTGGGCAAAAGAGGTTCAGAGACAACCAGCGGAGAAGAACACAGATGGCGAGGAGGAAGAGGAGAGTCGATACATCCTTCCCTCGACCATCAACCGACTCAGCGCGCACAAGGCCTTTCAGCCAATCTCGCCGACTCCACCCGCCCCTTCTTCATCCTCCTCAGTCCAGCATCAAACCCTAGCAGCAGCCCGCGCAGCGACTCAAGCCCTCATGGCCGCTGCCGCCGCAGCAGCGACTCCACCCTCAAGACCGCACGTTGACATTCTCCTCCTTCCCTCCTGGCCCTCCGGCGTTTCCCTATTCTCCAAGACCTTTCCGCCTGCAGGCCTCACCGAGGAAGCCCGTTCATGGGGTCTACCCTGCTTGGCTGAGCTCACAAGAAGAAGTTGCCCACGCTACGTCTTTACGCCTGCGCCGATGGAGGCTGGGGAGGAGAGCGATGGCGTCTTTTGGGAGAGAGAACCCTACACCACTTCGATGACCCCCGCAGCACCGCAAGCGCGATCTGCGGGCACCGGAGCGAACAGCGCCATGCCGCGTGCAGTTACTGCTGCAACCGATTCGCGGACTACCCGATTCATCTCTCTTGCGAAAGCAGCCAATGCGAGCAAGGTGCGCTGGTTTGTCGCGCTCAATCTCGCCTTTGCCGGGTCAGCGGGAGCCGCAGCTCCGCCGCCGAAGGGATCGACGATGAGTCCCTTTGGGCCGCCGCCCATGGCGACCGTAAACGGTGGCAAGCGCAAAGCAGACGACGATGATACGGATCAAGGGCTGGACAGCGCCGTCAATTTCAGGTGGCAGCAACGCGGTGGAGCCAAGAAGCAACGTGGCGAGGCCCATCAACAACGCAGCGACGATGCACCCCCACCCTCAGGGTACATCTGTCGAATCTGCGGCTCAGCAGATCACTACATTCGTCTCTGCCCGCACTCAGTGCAATCCTCCTCCTCCCGCAGCGGCGCCACCAGCAATGGCCTTCCCTCCAAACCCGAAGGGGCAGAAGCGGCTCTCGAGCCACTTCGCCGCAGACGAGAGCCGGTCACGATGGTTGGCCCCGCAGACTGCTGGTTCTGCTTGTCGAACCCACAGTGTGCTAAGCACCTTGTCGTCTCCATCGCCGAAGATCTGTACGTGGCCTTGCCCAAGGGACAACTACCCCCTCCTGGACCAAAAAGAGTACCGGGTGGTGGACATGTGCTACTGGTGCCGATAGCGCATGTGGCTACACTTGCCGGCCCGGCGGAGAATATGCGCAAGCTCAGGGATGAGGTAGAGAGTCATCTCGCTAGCTTGGAGGGAATGTATGCGCATCACGGCTTTGGGCTGGCGTGCTGGTCTGTGGTTAAACTGAGCAACACCAGGGCGGGTCATTTGCAGGTGCAGTGTGTTCCTGTACCCGCGGCGATACAGGGAGGGGAGGATCTGTTGAGCTTTGTCCAGAAAGCTGCCGAGGAGAGAGGGTACGATCTCAAAGAGGTGCAGCCGGACACCACCCCGCTACCAGTCAAGCCCGGCCAGGAGAAAGCAAAGCGTCGCCTTGCGGCACATGCCACGGGCGAGGAAGAGTATTTTGAGATGCACATCTCCCTTCCTCCCCCTACTTCCTCCTCTTCCTCCGCACCTCAGAGCGCCACCTTCCTCATGGATCTCTCCCCCTCTGCACCGGGCGCTAGCGGTGGCCGAGGCCCGCGCTTCGACTATCAATTTGCACGCACCACCCTAGCCCAATACCTGGGCGTGCCGGAGCGTGCTGATTGGCGGGCTTGCACAGGTGGTGGAGAAGAGGAGGAGGCTGAGCAGACGAAGGAGGTTAGAAGGCTGTGGAGCGAATGGGGACCGGAGGAGGAGGAGGAAGATGATGACGATGAGGAGTGAGAAGCAGACGTGAGAGCAGACGGAGCATATCTTGTAGAAGGTCCATGAGAGGTATCTCATTTGCGACATGCACATATTCAGCAAAGAAGGAGAAAGAAGGAGCGAAGTGGTATGAGTGTAATGTACGAAGATTCGTCTGGGGCAGGAGCAGCTCGTCCGCCTTGCGTCGGCGTCGTACGAGTGGCAGCAGGCAATCCACTGCAAACCAACGCGCGATGCACGCCCTTTACGAGATCACCACCCCGCGCAACCTCTTGGGCTCTTTGGCCCCACTCCCAGGAGGAGGCGAAGCGGCCGATGCCTGTCTTGAGTGTGCGGGCGTATACCATCGAGTGGGCGTGGAGGTATCAATCGTCGGATGGATTCGCGTATCAAAGAAGGAGTCTTGTGCCTTCTCCAACTGGGGAGTCGTTGGTCCCGTGGGGCCGAAGAAGCTCTTGGAGGCTGATCGGTTGTGCGTTGAGGAAATGGAGACGTCGTTGCTTGAGGAGCCAGAGGATGAGGGATCCATACTGGTGGATTGCCAAGCATGGTGGAAGCTTTGTGGGCTAGATGAGGCCGCCACGCCACTGCTCTTCCTCATCACGCCATGCGTCCACGAGTTGCGGCTTGCACTTCGAGTGAGGGAGGCAATCAGTGCTGGACCGACGTGTGAGGTCTTAGTTGCCACGCTGGCTGCGAAACTGCCCAGAGTCGATGAGGTAGGCGAGGCGAGACTCTCTGCTGAACCGCTCTCCCCGTCATCGGGCTCGCTACCTGGGTAGTCGTCGTCATCGTCAAAGTCGCTGTCGAATTCCCAGGTCTCGCCGCCCTCCCCCTCGCCTTCTTCTAGGCCGCTGGCATCATCGTCTGACGATTGATTGACCCAAGAGGGCAGGTCGGCGCCTGCAGAGGCCCCCGCCGTAGGCATGACCAGCCCGACACCTTCATCCGCACCCAAATGCTGTTTCTTGGCATTCACCGCCCTAGCCATTTCCCGCGCTCTGGTCTCCCCAGCTTCAACTCGCCGCTTCTTCTGCAGCGCCGCTTGCCTAGCCTTCCACCACCTTCCGAGCAGCACAGGCGCCAAGGACAGCATGCTGAGTCCAACGAGCTTGAGGAGCATCTCTCTCGTCCAAATCTTGGCCATGAGGATCTTGAGTCCGCCGCCGGCTTTGTGCGCCGCGCTGGTCAGCTTCGTCCTCTCGGATGCAAGGACATCGTGTAGCACTGCTGGGTTCAGGGGGGCGTCGTGGAAACCGCCAGCGTCCAGCTGCTCGCCTAGGGTGGTGGTGGCATCTGCGAGGGCCGCATCGACGGGTAGAGCCGCGACGACCTCGACCAGGATTTCACCGAGCTGGGCTGTTACAGCGTTCCAGGGTAGGGAACCCAATGCCAGCGTCGTTGCGAAGGGCAGCAGCGGTACGTTGAGAATGCCGCAGGCGATGTTCATGACTCCATACGGGGTGAGAGGCAGAACTCGGAGAAGGAGCAAAATCGAGTACAGATTGCCGCTGCTGCTACCCCCCGACCCCTTCGAGTTGGCGCGTGCGGGGTACGGCGAGGCGCTGCGGGGCCTCGACCTCGAAGGCGTCGCTGATCGATTGTGCTGACGCCTGCGCTGCTGGCACTGGTCGCGCGACCCTCTCCGAGACAGCGGGATGTGCTGGCTTGTGGTACCCACGCCTCCGCCTAAAGCCTTGCGCATCACGCCGACGGCCTTGGTCATGCCGGGCATCTTGAGGACAAGCGGGGCGACGAGCGCGCTCATGATTGCAGCTCCCGAGCCTCCGATGGCCGTGAAGATGCTGAGCCAGATGGCAGCGCGCCATGTGCCGAACAGCGCTCCGAAGACGATGTTGGAGACAATGCTTCCCGGCACATTAAATGCCTGCTTGTACGTAAAGAACAAGCATAGCACGAAGAGCGTGTGATGGTATGCGTGCGAGTTGGACGAGGCGTAGTCCCGTAGCGAGAGGCAGAGGTCCCGCATCTCTGAGAGGGACAGCTGCGTGAGGCTGTGTGACGGCATGCGCAGGGGTAGCGTCGTGAGAAGGAGCACGACGACCAGGGTCGAGAAGACGAAAAAAGTGAGAAGCATGAGAAGGGTAGGCATATGTTGCCGCAGAGAGCGCGAGCGCAGGCCCGCCTCGAACTGGGCCGTCACGTCACGCATCGAAAAGGCTCGGCGTGGCGTAGTCGATACTCCATGGCTGGCAATGTTGCGTGGTAGGAGTCCATCTGAGGCAAGAGCGCCGCCCGTGCCTAGGCTCATAGCTGAGGACGCATACAGAGCTGGGGAGTCTGTACGACTGGTGGCCGGCATCGAAGCCGTCAAGGGCGGCGTCAACATTTGCTCGGACGAAGAGTTGCCTTGAGGCGCCCAGCTGGGCCACTTGCCATGCCCCTTTGCCCGACCTTCGTAGCCTTCATCACTCGTAGGCGTCAGCGGGGGCGAGTCGTCATTGAGGCCGTGGAGTCCAAAGGGCTGAATGCCAGCTTGCCTCGCCGAGGGTACGACGAGAGGCGACGGGCGCAACAGAGGCGCTCCGTTGTTGCGCTCGTACTCGTTGCTGGTGCGAGCCTTGGGTGGCCCTGCGTCCGAGTCGGCGAGCGGCGTCGAGGTATCAGGAGAGGAGGTAAAGAAGGACCTCAATCGAGTGGTCAAGCGCGGCCTGCGAGCAGTCTCGGGCACAGGCGCAGATGGCCCTCCACCATCACCTCCATCTCGCATGATATCCTGGAGCCTGCCCTTGCCCTTGGTGGGGTTCCTCGTGGGTGAGGAGGACGGCGAGCCTGCTGCTGCTGCTGCGCCTAGTGTGAAGTCAGGCGTGCCCGGCCCTCGATCCAATGCATGGCCTATCTGCGCGTGCTCCTCTAGTGGGACGACGGCAGCATCGCGAGACTTTGAGCCGACGGAGCGAGATCGCGTGCGAGTTGCTAGAGAGCCCGAGGCGTTGTATGAGGACGAGGCGTGAGCGCCTTCCCCATCGCCCGCGTATGAGTATTGCGGAGGATTGAGAGGTCGAGAAGATGATGGGGGCGATCGAGTTGAGCTGCCGTATGAGATTGATCGTGGTACCGGCGCTCGCTTTGGTGATGTCGGCGGCGAGCGCGACGATGATGCCTCAGCAGAGGACGGCATGACGCGCGCGAGTCTGGGTGAATCTATGCTGTGTAGACGATGCTCTTCAATTCTTCATCGCCGTCGTGTAAATGTCAAATCTGAGGATGATGAGAAGAGTGAAGAGAGAGGAACTAAGCTGAGCCGCCGCTGTGTGCTTTAGCCGGCTAGTCGTCGTTGTCGAGGTTCTCTCGGGCGTTTTACCCAGTCGAAAGCGGCGTCTGTGTCCCGCTCGCGTGAGGTGGGCGAGGTCTGTTTGCCTGCGTACTTCGCTTGCTTGGCGACGACGTTAAGTGGATGCGTGTGGGCTATCGAGAAAAGGAAAAGAGGGATGGGTGCAACCCAAGAAGGAGCTGGTGTTGTCGACGGGTCGTATGATTGTTTGGTTCAAGACGATAGAGATGTCATGGGAGCCCTTGATGACCAAGGTCAGCTCAGTGTTGCCAAGCCGTTTTGGAGCGCTCATTCGTTCGTTAGGGCCCAGCTAAACTCCGTCGGGTAGATTTCTACCGGCGAGCAAGCAATAGCAAGGCCGGAAGCTCAGCTCCGGCGGCGCTTCTCCTCTCAGACGGAGCGGCCGACGAGCCCCGAGCTCAGTAAGGGCGCGAAAACACCACAAAGATGTGAATGGCCCCAGATTGTAGTCACAGAGTCAAGTGCCAGACCTTCGTCTTCTCTTCAAAGCGTGGGAATCACGACCGAGTCTATCGAAGGTATCCACAGGGAAGAGGAGATGCTCTCGAGGAAGGGTGCTTTGCCTCTGCGAGGGAGGCGGTCAGGAGCCAAAGTCTCTCTGGTCCTCTTGATGAGCCTCTTTGTCTGGCGTAAAGCGATGGCACTGTTCGCGCCAAGCCACATCAGCAATCGATGAGCACCTCTGTCCCGCCCAAAGACGAGCTTAAGTGCCTGGCACCGGGACTATGCTGCCGCGATCTGATGATATTGAGGAGTGCGGGGCCGGCGGCGTGTGGAAGGACGTGACGCGGGAGGATTGAAAGTGGAGAAAGTCGCAGCGGCTGGCCACGCCCGACATCTTCTTCCTCGAGATCCTACATACCCTCAGTCCCATCCGCTCGAGATGCCTCCGAAGAAGGCGACTGCTGCCAAGGGCAACGGTGCATCTGCGAAGAAGGCAGACGCCGTAGCGACATCCAACGGCTCGCCAAGGACCGCTCCAAGGGCATCATCGACGACGCAGCCGTCTCGCACGACGCGTCCGGCTCCCACGCCCAACTCGCCTCGATTCCTCGTTGCCCTAGCCGCCTTCTTCATTGCAGTCGCCTCGACGGCCCTGTTCTTCCACTATCGTCTGCCTGCACCCATCTCATCACTCCAGACTGCAGCATCAGAGGCTGCAGGTCGAGGCGCCCTCTTCTGCGAGGAGAATGTGCACAATCTCATCAACAAGCTGTCCGTCGAGATTGGGTACCGCATCGTCGGTACGAGTCAACACGTACGCGCAGAGGAGTGGTTGCTCGAGGAGCTGCGCAAATTTGAGGGTACACACAATCTGGGACCAGAGGCTGGCAACGTCGAGGTAGAAGTTTGGCAGCAGATCGGCAACGGTGCACATCGATTCGACTTCTTGGATTCGACGGTGTACAAAAAGTACTATGGCATGTCAAACGTCATTGTCCGCGTCTCGGATGGCACTGAGGCGTCCAAAGCCAACAGCGTCCTTGTCAATGCTCATCTTGACTCGACGCTCCCTTCGCCTGGGGCCGCCGACGATGGCGTAGGCGTCGGCATCATGATGGAGCTCGTCCGCATCTTGACGACGCCCGGCGCCAACAGGAAACCATTGAGGCATTCGGCCATCCTTCTCTTTAACAATGGCGAGGGTAAGTTGTGTGCGCAGAGACGTTGTAGTGTCTGATCAACTCATCTTGTTTCCTCTCTTCCCCACGCCCAGAATCCTTCCAAGACGCGTCGCACCTCTACATTACCTCCAACCACTCCACGGTCCCGTCCGTCAAGTCCGTTGTCAACCTCGAAGCCTGTGGCGTCTCGGGCCCAGAGCTCGTCTTCCAAGCCTCCAATCCTGAGATGATCCGTGCGTACCGTCATGCACCTCACCCATTCGCCACGGTACTCGCAAACGACGTCTTCTCTAGCGGTATCGTGCTCAGCGACACAGACTACCGGCAGTTCATGGAATACGGCAAAATCAAGGGTGGGCTCGATATGGCCATTGTGGGTAACTCGTACCTGTACCATACGAGGAAGGACATACCGCAGTACATCGACCGTGGTGTAGTCCAGCACTTCGGCGAAAACGTTCTGGGAATCGTAGAATATCTCATCACCGACCCGACGTCGCAGCTGTCCAGTATCGCCTTCACGCCAAAGTACGAGGCCCCCATCTACTTCTCCCTGCTGGGCTCGCTCTTCATTAACTTGCCTGCGAAAATCTTCAGAGGTCTATCCATGGGTATGTCTGCTTTCACGAATTTCCAGCTGCAGTCGAGCGTCAAGGCCGACAAGCACTTTGGAGCCCTCAAGGCTACAACGCTCAGCATCTTGGGCGCATTTGGAAGCCTCGTTGCCGCCCTTATCGCGAGCAATGCTGCAGCTCTCGTCATGACTCAGGGGCTTCGCAAACCATTGAGCTGGTTCTCACACGAATGGCTACCCGTCCCCCTCTATGCGCCTCCCGCAATCGCGGCCATCCTGGCCGTTCAGCTAGGCATCTCGAAGCTCATTCAGCGCGAGCACCAGCCGTACCTCGAGAGAGCGTCACTCAACGGTCTCATCCTCCTTTTCCTCGCCGGTCTCATCGGTCTCAACGCATTTGCCATTGGATCGGCCTACCTGTGCGCCCTGGGAGCTCTGACCTTGCTCGTCGCCATCACGATCAATGACTTTGCGCTCGTGGGTTGGGGAGAGATCGAGCTCAAGCGCGTTGCTGTCAACAAGCGCGTGCACCCGGCTACGTACTTCGTGCTAGCCATCACGCCGGCCGTTGTAGGCACAGAGGGTCTGACTAGCTTCCTTGACCGTGAGTGCGGCGAGGCGCATATCGCGAATGCGCAAAGCTAACAATCCCTCGCCCGCTATTAGTCTTCGTTCCTCTCATGGGTCGCACGGGCGACATCTCGCCGGCGGACCACATCCTCGCTTCAATCGTCGCCGCGCTCAGCTTCCTCAGCCTTCCCATGCTAGTGCCCCTCGCTCACCGCTTCGGACAACCAGCACTGCGCCGCGCGATCATGGCGGCCGTCACCACCTCTGTCATAGCCATGGCAATCTATGCCTCGCCCACCGTGAAGCCCTTCGACGAGATGCACCCACAGCGCCTCTTCGTCCACCAAGTGCACAACGTCACCTCAGGACAGTGGTGGATGAACCTCGGATCGGCAGACCCTTCCCCGCCGAGCATCTTTGCCGGGCTAGCTGCCGGCCTGCAAGAGCAGTTGGGCATGCCTGACGGGGTGGCTGAGCTTCAGGAGATGAACGAGCGCAACCCTGACTTCGATATACTGTACCCAGTCTCGGCCTTCATTACGCCGTACAAATTCAGGTTGCCCGACCCTGCGGCTGGTTCGAAGGAGGTCACGCGCTGGAACAGCGGCTCCTCCTCCTCATCATCATCAAGCTTCGTTGTACGTGCCGTCGACGAGACTCTCGACCTCACCACCGGCACACGACGTGTCACTCTCCATGTGGATCACCCGCGCATCATTTGGAGCGTGCTGGCCTTTGATGGGGAGATACTCGAGTGGGACCTGCCCGTCACCCCGCCTGCCGGATACCGTCGTCACCACATCAAGGAAGTTTCCCGCTTCGGCCAAGACACCTGGAGCGTCTCGCTTCTCTTGAAGTTGCAGCCTGAGCAGCTCGAGGCAGCCAAGGCGAGGGAGGACAAGAGAGATGGTGTGGTCAGCATGGCGGATCACGAGGAGCTAGTCAGGGTTGACCCACAGAATGAGGCAGACACGGTTGCCTCGCATCATTTGCGAGACCAGTCGAGGCTGCGCATCGATTATTCAGGACTTTGGGGAGAGGCAATGTACCCTCAGGCGGAGAAGTCGGACGATGTTGAGGTACTGGAGAGCAAAGGAGTTGAGACATTCAGGAAAATGGATGGTTGGCTTCAGCGAGAGCATCCTGAGGTCGACGCCATGCTGCTCAACGTCATCGCGGGGGTGGCGATCGTGTGAGAGAGACACTCCGAGGGAAGACGACGTCAAGATGGGCACGCATGGTTGTGATTGTGGCTCGTTGAATCGCACTTCTGTAGAGTAGCAGTATTGCCTGTTCGAATGCAGCGTTGATCTCGAGACATTCCATCGTGGTTTGTGAGCTCCTGCTTGGCCGTGACGCTGTGCGACTTCCTCTCCGCGCTAATCTCGGCCCGCCTGTCCGCCTTCTTACCTCCCACCCTCAACATCGCAAAGCGCAGCATGGCTTCCACTTCAGGAGCAGAGGACAATAACGCCCCGGCAGGTGGAGCTGCGGCCTTCCTTGCGGGCTTTCAGCTGGTGAGGGTACTCAGCCAAGACGCCAAGACGAGGAGTGCTGCGTTGCTGGGCACCCTGCCGGCGCAGGGCGACGGCGAGACGGTAAACAACGGTGGTGGAGAGCGTGAGCAAGCCATCGTGCTGCTGGAGAAAACACACTTTGAGGATAGCTTCTACAGTGCGCTCGGCGAGACCGAAGGCGGTGAGAAGGGAAACGGACAGGCAGCTGCGCCCGAGGACGGAAGGCGGGAGACGAAGAAGGTGAAGCTTGATAGGACTGATGGCGCCGAGGATGGTCGCCACGACACGACAGCATCATCAACCCTCTCGACGAGCATTCAGCTCCGCAACCTCTCAGACATCCAGTCCCTCGGACACAACGACATCTATACATGGCTTCTGGCCCGGATTGGGTCCTCGTTCGTCACCTCTCCTCCAGACGTGAAACTCACCCTCATCCGCCCAGCTACCTCCTCACACATCGAGAAGCACTCGGCCCAGGAAAAGATAATGGTTTACGAGACGCCGCAAATGTACAGCGAGAAGACTTTGCCCTGGATCAGCGCACAGGATCCCAAGCGGATTCAGTGGGTCTACAATATCTTGGAGGGCAAAAAGGAGCAGGAGAATGTCGTGTACAGAGATGAAGATCCGATGATGGGTTTCGTCGTGAGTAGAGGTGCAGCCTCGCTTTTCTTCGTCGCCCTCTCTTCGACAATTGATGTGTTCCCCCTTCCCCGCATGCACAGCTCCTGCCCGACCTCAAGTGGGATCGCAAGACGCTCTCATCACTCTATCTCCAAGCCATTGTTCAGGACAGATCTTTGCGCTCCCTTCGCGATCTCACACCCTCTCACAGTCCGCTGCTTCGCAAGATACGCAGCGTAGCATCGCAAATCGTAGCAGAGAAGTACGGACTGGGCTCCGTCGATGACCAGGGCAAGAAGGTGCGGTGCTTCCTTCACTACCACCCGTCCTATTACCACCTGCACGTTCATGTGCTCTCAGCAGACTATACGTCTCACGCTGGCGCCATCGTGGGGCAGGCACATTTGCTGGATGATGTCATCGATCTGTTGGAGCTGGGAGTGGAGATGAAGCAAAGGACGATCGGTTGCGCGCTAGGAGCTAGGCATGAGCTACTGGGGGTATTGCGAGGATGAGATGCAGAAGGCGACCAGACGATATTCACGTGAATGCTTGCGGGGTTGAGAGATGCTACAGATTGATAGAAGAAAGAACTTTCGCTCGCTACCTACTCCTCATCCTCCTCATCGCTCCTCAACTCAATCTCGATCCTCCTAGACGAGCCAGTTCTCTGCATGCCAGGCCGCGAGGTTGAGTTCGAAGCGCTCCTCATCGGGCTATGCACGCTGCCGCTCCTACTCCTGCTACTCCCACCACTAGTAGAGCTCGACGCTCGCCTTGGCCGACCGAGAGGTTCACCAATGCTCTCTGGCATAGGCCCATCCAGTCGCATTGTACGTCCAGCATGTAGATGAGGATGTTTGCGTTGCCGCCGCTCGTGCTGCTGAGGGACGGTGAGGGCTGATTCGCGCGGTCCAGAGCGGCGTTGACGTTTCTTTGCGGGGGCTTCTGCGCCAGTCTCGCCTGGTGAGGCGGTAGCGTCACCATCGTCGGCAGGCGCTGATGCTGCTCTGTCTTCATCGTCGTCGCCTGCTCCTGCAGCCGACCCACCACTAGCAGCAGCAGCGCCACCACGTCCACGACCTCGTCCACGGCCCCGCGCAACGCCGCTGTGTCCTCGAGCCGCTCCTCTACCTCTGCCCCTCGCCGTGGTGGCACCTTTCTTGCCTCCAACCGTCTGACGCTGTTTGCCTTTACTCGAGGCAACGTACTCCTGGTCGCCGTCCTCGTCATTGTCTTCCTCCGATGAAGTATCGGAGCTCATTGTCTCCTCCTCGTCCTCAACGTCTTGCTGCGCCGTCTTCCTTCCGCGCTTCGTGCGCTGCCTGCCACCCTTACCCTTCCCTTTGGCGCCGGCTGTAGCCTCCGCTTTGTCCGCGCCTTCGCCCTCAAGCGCGGCAATATTGGCATCGAGCTCACGCTGTGCATCCCTCTTGGTTGTGCGCATCTGCTCTCGCCGCACAATGGGCCTCGAGGCGCCCATGGCCTTGCCGATCTTCTCCTCTGGCACATGCTGCGCCCGCGTTGATGCGTCTGAGGGGCCGGCGATCACCTCAAAGTCGTCTCCATCACCCTGCGCGCCCGCGTCCCCCTTTGCTGGTGATGTAGAAGCGGGTGCTGCCGCAGCCGCGCGCTTATTGGCCTGTCTGAACCCGTCCACCACGTTCTGCAAGCGAGACGATCCGTACTTGGGGAGCTGTCTTCCCGCATAGACTCCCGTACCCGCCGAGACGTCGAAAAATCCGTTGCGGTCCAGCGTCGACTGGTTCGCCCCGCCCCTCGCCCTTGAGCGACGACTCTGCGCCTCGATAACAGGGACGACGTACTGATCTGTCTTTGTCGTCGGCCAGCCAAGGTACTCGCCGAGGTAAGTGCGCAGATTGTCCAGGTCGGGCAGACCCCATTGGAAGGGCTCGTCGGACGAGTCCACCTCGGGCTCATAGTAGGCATCGAGCACCTTTGCGTTCGGCCAGTCTTCACTCAGATGCACCTTGTTCGCCAGCGTCTTCTTGATACGTCGCATCGTCTTCCCCCTCGTGTCGTCCGGCGTGTCTCTGCCGCTCTGGACCTTCATCCACCAATCTTTGAAGCGCAACAGCCCATCCGGCCCAGTGAAGAGCGAAAGGACTTCCATTGCGACCACCGGCCCAACGCTCGGCAGGCCTTCGGTGTAGTCAGAGCCGAGTAGGTAGGCCAAGCGCACCAGCTTCTCGCGATCGAGACCAAGCTCCCGCTGGATGTCGGAGAGTAGGAAACACTCCACCACTTTGTTGTTGTTGAACATGTTCTTGTACACCCGCGTGCCTCCGAAGAGGAACACATCCGAATCATCGGTGATGATTCCGTCGACCAATTTCTGACTGACAAGCTCAGCGCACTGCGCTTCAGCCTCCATAGGGGCGGTGATGTATGGCAAGCCGAAGAGGCGCAGCATGAGCTGAATCTCGCTGGCCATCTGGCGGGTAATCTCCTCTTCACTCTTCTTCGTGTTGACATGCTCGGCTTTCAATGCTTGGACCTCGCGTGCTAGCTGGGCTTGCGCTTCGATGAGCCCTTGACCTTTGGTGTTACTGATGAAAGCAGCGATGTCGCTTTGGTCAGCTCGCATTGCTTGAGCCTCTTCCTCGTACTCGACGTCCATTTGCTCGAGCTCTTCGGCAGTTGGCAAAGGAAAGCCGTCGGCACCAAGCGTGGGTGGCTCGGGTGAGGGGCTTGCAGACCACTCAATCGGCGAGCCACCATCTGAGTCGAGCGAGGGGGAGCGACGGCGCTGCGGGCTGACTTCTGCGACTTTGCCTCTTTCCTTGACAGTAGAGACGTCGTTGTCCAGGGTCGCATTTGCCGGGATCGGGGAGAGCGAGGACGAGCGCGAAGCTTGAGCGCCAGACGCCTGCGTCGGCGAGACTGTCGTCTTGCCGCTTGCTTCCGACATCTCCTTCTCCTGTTCCCCTGATTGAAGAGGCGACGGCGCTGTGATCTCTTCCTCCTCAACACCAGCAGCCGCCTGTGCCAGCTTATCGCTAGGCAGATTGACCGCAGGCCCAGGAGCGGCTGGGGCGTCCACAACCTCAGCGGCGGCCGGTGACGCTGGGCTATTTTTCTGCTCACCCTTCTGCTCGAGCTCGGCAGATGCTCGCGGACTGTGGTCGTTGAGCATCGCAGTTGCCGCCAGGTCATCGTTCTTGGGCAAGGGCTCCATGTCCGGCTCTGCACGGCCCGCCTCGTCTGTTTTGGTCTTTGTTGTACCGATTTCTGGCTGCTGATCCTTGAGAGCTGGTTTGATCGATCGAGCTTCTGGCTTCTTGAACACTAAATCGGCTGGTGGCAACTTGCTAGGACTTGCACGCAGCGGCGTGGCTTTCAGTTGGCTAGGTGAGTCCGCCATCTTGCCCCTCGGGTGAGCGGCGCTTGTCTTCAGAGGCGACGATGACATTGCTGCTTTTTTGGCTGGGGCGCCTGGCGGTCTCTTCAACGGGCTGGGGCTTTCGGACTGCTTGATACGCGGATGAGTGACCTCTGACGCAAGACTCTTCGCAGGGCTGGCTACAGAGCTCATCTTCGATGGAGACTTGCTTGATTGGCCTGGAACGTCCTCTTCTTCCTCTGCTTGTCCGTCGTACCACTTGCGCCGCTCAAAGAGCTTCGGATCAAGGCGACCAGGCAGGCCAGGTCTGTCTGAACGTCGGAAGCCAAGAACAGGCCCGGACGGGTCACCAGATGGGCGAAGCGTCGACTCCTTCTCTCGGATGGCTGTGTCGTCCTGCTCTCGCGCCGCGCTGGCCTCAGGCTGGACGTCCTCCATCTCGATGTTTTCCTCGTCAGCAGCGGTCTGATCGACGTTTCCTCCGCCGCCATACGCGCTTGCATAGTCGTCGACGCTGAAGCCCTCCGACGGCTGATCCGCCGTCCCAGTTTCACCAAGAGCACCGGCGTACTGGTCAGCGCTGAAGCTCTCCAACGGCACGTCTGCATCTACGTCGTCCAATGATCCTGCCTCGTCGTCGTCAGAGATCGCGATTGTTTCTCCGTTCGCGGGTCGCTGCACACGACGAGTACGCCTCTCTGTCGCAGACAGATCTTGCGTCATCTCCGCGATCTCAACGCCGGCATCGTCGTCTGTCTCATCAGCGCTGGCCTCGTCGCCGTCATTCTCGTAGTATGCCGCAAGCGCAGTAGCAATGGCTGCATCGCCGCCAACACTGCCACTCGCAGATGCCCGCGACGACTTGTCGCCCCTGCCCACCCCAGGAAAAAGATCCGCAGCCTTCCCGCCCTCCTTCAGTCGTTGTCTCGCAGCTTTGAGCTGCTCCTCCAGCACCTCGTCCTCGTTCACAATCCCTCTCTCACGCATCTTCTCTCTGATATGCTCCTCTGCACGCCTGCTCAATATTTGCTCCGCAAGGGCGCGGCGCACGTCTGGATTGTTGGCGTCGGAGGGTCGGAAAGCATTGAGCGATGATGGAGACTGTGAGACACTCTTGCGAGGAGAGGCTGAGGTGGACTGGTGAGGGACCTCGACCTCGTCCAACTCGATGTCGTCGTCCTCGTCGCGGTAATTTTTGCGCGCCAGCTGACGTCTGCGCTGCTCGAAGGAATCTTCTTCGTCATCTTCCTCGTCGGAAGAGACGTCGACTTGCTCATTGCTCCCCACCACGATGGCCTTTTCCTTACTAGTGCCCTCCTGATTTCGCACCCCGAGCACAAAGCCCGTCTCGTCCCCGCCCTTACGCACTAGCACGTACTCGCGGTTACGCTCTCCTGCCACTCTGATGGGCACCTTAATATGGGCATCTCCAATTTCGTCTGTCACATCGAGAACCCGCTGAGTGAGCTCGTTGCGCGTCTTGAGATTCTGGATCTGCGCCTTGGAAAAATCGATGGCCGTGGGCGAGGTCTGCAGCATGCTCTGCAGACGCTTGTACGATGTACCGCGTGATGCAGCACGCATGTCTCCTACCAGCTCGTATTGGAGCTCAAAGGGAAGAGAGCGGAAGAGGGGAGAGGACATGTCGATGTCCGAGGGCGTGATGGATGAGACGAGATGTCTCAGCTCAGCATCTGTGGCGAAGCGGAAGTCCTGGCGGCGCCCTTTCTTTGAGCCTGCGGCTTCACCACGACCGCTGCCGCTTGCGCTTGTCGAGGCTGTTACTGTGTTAAGATCCTGGTCGAGGTTGGGTAGCGCATATGGGTCGCGATGGTAGTCGATATTCTTCTTCTTCTTCGCTGCGCCTTCCTTGGACGGTGAGGCTGAGCTGCTACCATCGAGTCGGGCCTGTTGAGGAGGAGCTGCTGGCCGGCTAGGGCCAGCGGCAGCATTTGATGAGCCGCCATAATCATCCAGATAGACGACATTGCTGCCCATTCCCGTTCCCTCGTCGTTGTCGCCGTCCGCATCAGCGTTACCCTGCCTGGACGATGACCCCCCTCCCGATCCAACGGCGACATGCTCCAGGGCAGCTTGACGCAGCTGGGCATTGAGAAGTTTCTTGGCAGCAAGTGCATGCGACTCCTTTGCTCCCTGCCTACGGTTCTTGCGCCCAATCAGCGTCTGCCTCTTCATGACTGGCGCGCCACCATCAAAGACGAAGACGGGTCTCAGGCCAAAGTGGAGTAGCTTGCATATTCTCCAAAAGAAGCCCAATATGTGCGCATTGGAGAGTGTACGACCTTCCTTGTCCCTCATTGCCATTCTGAAGTGATAGAGCCAGATGGACGAGTCGACTGCAAAGCGCTTCCCTTCGAGGTCTTCGAGCTTGATCGGCCTCGCCGCCGGCTGCAGCAGAGACCACAGGCCTTGGACACCCATGGTGGCGGGCGATCAGGGGTGTGATGATGGAGCAGCTTCGGGATCGGTGAAATGGCGACGACTGAGCAGCAAGTGTCCCCCCTCTGCTGCCCTCAAATCGTCGTCATGAGTAAGATGGCAAAAGATGTTGCTGAGCGCGAGGCGCAGTGCAGCCAGTCGACTTTGCATCTTGATCTCTGTCCGTTGGTCGTCTCCGCTTGTCTTTCAGGGTCTGTGCGTGAGTGTGACGGCGCCCGCCTCTTCTCGCCGCGTTGCCGCCTTGGTTGCCGCGTTGGTTTCCTTTTCCTGTCACCCGACACGCACAGCCATTCTTGCTTGTCATTTCTCATCTTGCCCTCACACAGATGTCACGCCGCGAGATCCCTACATCTTGATCGTACACCATGTCTTCCTCACCCAAGACCGGCGAGGAAGTGGCTGCCTCGCCTCGTCCGACATCGCCTTCTTCGTCCCCTGACACCTCTTCACCATCGCCCACTCCACATTCGTCCTCTGGACTTTCTCCAGCTCACCTGATAACCGCAGCTAGCGTTGCTCTTGGCCTACTCCTGCTCCGTTCAGGCTTCTTCAACGTCGTCCTCGTCGTAGCAACATCTGTCCTCCTGCTTCTCAATCCTTACGTGCGCACTTTCCTCGATCTTCCTCCTGGCAAGGAAGATGGTCAGGGTGGTCTCTTTGGGCTACTGGACCCAGCAGGATACTTTACCTCCTTCTCTTTCACCAAAAAGTCCATGGACAACGAGTCGGACGATGAGGAAGGTGACAAGGAGTCACGCCAACGGCGAGGTCGCGATTACGAGGATCGCCAGCTGGCTCCTCTGCCCGCCGAGCTCAAGCAGTCGCTCGATCAGCTGGCGCCCTTGGTAGTACGAGACTTCGTCAATGGCTGGTACACCCACCATTCATTTGGCTACCCTGTATTTCCTCGCGCGGTGCGATCCACCATCGACCATATGGTCGCCTCTGTGTACACTCGCACCATCACCTCGCGCCTCCACGCCGTCGATGTCACCACGGAGCTGCTTCTCACCGGATCGTCCGTCTTCTTGACCTGCCTGCGCAGGAAGAGAAATGCTAAGGCGGCCGCCGATGCGGGCGACAGGATGGCTGCTCAAGCTTTACGCAGAGGTGGAACGGGGCACTGGAACAGCAACGAAGAGAGGATTGCATCGCTGCGGTCCGCAATGAGGGCCTTCTTTGAAAGGCATTTACCCCCGCATGAGCGCGAATCGGACCTCATCTTCAACCTCATCACCGAAGTCCTGACCAAACAACTATGGAATCTAATTCTTACTCTGGGCGAGCCCGACTTCCTTAACCGTAATCTGGTTGCGTGGAAGGAGAGCCAAGTCGCAGTCGCATCAGCGGCTCCTCCTGGTCGTGCCAGCATGGACACTCCCTCTACTGGCGCGACCGGGCCTTCTCCTCCTTCGCGACCACTGTCTCGCGCACCAGACATGCCGCTCTCGCCGACCGCTCTCCCTGACACAGGCTCAGAGATCCCTCGCCCGCCTTCGACAATCCAAGGAGAGCGCTCACGGCCGGCCTCGACAGCGCCAGAGAAACAATCGTCGACCTCTCAGCCCCCACCTCTGCCGCAGCGCAGTGGTACCTTGAACGTCCCCAGCCCAGGTCCTGACCGCAACATGATCTCGACTCCGCCTACGCGCTCCGACTCGCCCATGATGCCATCTTTCGTGGCCTCGCAACAGCCGCGCGCTATCCCCAGGATGATGTCGCCCATGCGTCCTGCCTCGCCGTCTGCACAGACGCCAATCAGGCAGAACACCACACCGGCATCGGGTGCGCCGCCGAGGATGCAGAGTCCTTCTGCGTATAACGTGCCCTCGCCTTCCGCTCATCGCGGTAGTGTTGCAGGGTACCCGCAGAGGACTTCCTCCGACTTGCAAGACGGCTTCTCGGCCGTCGTCGGTGGGCTGGGAAGCGCTATCAAGGGTATTGGCAAGGGGGCAGATGCTATTGCTGGAGGTATAGGCGATGCGCTGATCAGCAATCAACCTGACGATGAGCCACCATCGCGCTCGCCATACCGTCACAGTAACCCACACAGCGAGGCGTGGCAGCGCGGGTCAGCCGCAGTCAATGACGCCGCAAGCCGCCCCGATGTCCTTCAGCCGTCGAACAACGCTGTGCGTCGCAAGCAGCCTCCTTCGGAGCAAAGCAAGGGCCAGAACTCCTCTTCCACAGATGAAATGGCCTCTCAGCCCGCCTGGCCAAGCAACCTACCTCACGACTTCAACGGCGTCGCAGAGGGAGACAATCTTCCAGAGAGCCTCAAGGCTTCCCTCCGCACAGCGTCGCCCTCGCGCATCTCAAGTCCACCGTCGATGATGACTTCGCAGCCTTACAGGCGGTCGCAAGATCCAATCAGATCCAGACCTGAGAGTCCGGCTGTATCACGCTCTCAGGGAGCGAGTGGTGAAGTAGCAGCCGCGGCAACGCAGCCCAGTCAAGCGCTTGGACTGCCTCCTCGCCCTCCAGCGCCAGCTTCTGGGCCTGAACTGCCACCGCGCCCCATTGATACCGAACATGCCTCCAAGCGCTCTTCGATACCACCCGCCCCGGCACTGGATAGCGTCCTCTCGCGCAGCGACTCTGAAGGCCTCTATGACGCCTTCGAGGCGTTCCTGGAAAACCCCCGGCGTGACATGCCCAAGAGTGGCGTCTCCATCGTGCTGGGTGAGGGAGAAGAACTTCTCCGTCTGCACATCGGTCTTGCTACGATCGAGCGCTTGGTACCCAAGGGCGCGGGCGAGGAGTCGGAGATGTTCCGTGAAGACGCGAGCAGTATCTTGTCCAAGGCGAGAGACGGATTGAGAAGAGCGCTTGATTCGGCCCCCGTAACTGCAGTGGATGTGGCACCTGCGCAAACTGTGGCAAGGTCACTTGATACGGCCATCTCGCAGCTCGGCTTTGGGTCGCAAGGCTTTGATGCAAAGGAGGGGACGGTGAGAGACGCACTAGAGCCCGTGAGGGAGAGGTTGATGAGTCGCCTTGAGACACTTTATGCGGCATTTTGGAGACAACGTATGGAGAGCAAGAGTACAACTGCGGCACCAAAATCTGCTGGCACTGGTCTAGCCTACGAGCCAAGACGCAAGGACCCGCACGCGGCAGGCAGCTCTGCTCCGGCAGCAACCGGCACTCCGTTGCGCAGTAATGCAGGCCTGCCCTCCCAGCCACCATTGCAACGCACCAGCTTTGAGGCAGGCGGCGGTATCGGCAGCGCATCAGCGTCCCCCATCATGGCAAAGCGCGCCTCATTGCAGGCGCCTAAGCCTCGCTCAGCGATGATGGATCAGCTCATCCGGCTGGGCGACGATGATGACGATGACGACGAGCACGAACACCACGATGCCGAGTCCACCCTGCTCGGTCCCACTGCTTCAGGGCAGGAAGGTACAGGAGGAGTCCTTGTCACAGTGACAGACATCTCCTCGAACGTGGAGCGTCCGAGTTCGCAAGTAGACATAAAGACTTTCGAATTTATGTGCGCCGTTGAGCCCTCTCCTGCGGCTATGGCAGCCGGGTCGAGCGGGACGGCTGGCGGGACCAGTGACCTCTTTGAGTCATCGGGCGGCTTTGTCCTGGTTCGACGTTGGGCTGAGGTGGTCACCATGGACCGAGACTTGCGCAAGACTGCGGCGGTCTCACAGGGTGTCAGCCTTCCGCCCCTCCCGACCACAAAGGGGCGTACCAGCTCAACCCTATCTTCGGACCTCGAGATGTATCTGGCGAAGATCCTCTCCACGCCGGAGCTCGCTTCAACTTCGCCCGTTGCGCAATTCGCCGATCGTACGAGGGCGGCAGCTGCAGCTGAGGCGGTGGGTAAGGGTGGCTTCAATCCATTCTCGAGTGGGGTTGAGCTCGGACGCAACCTGGGACGCAACTTCGTTGAGGGCGTGGGCGCGGTGGGCAAGGCAGCGAGTACGGGGTTGCAGCAGCAGCTTGTGCAGCCAATGGGGACAGGAGGGCCGCAACAGGGAGCGCGGAGTGTGGGACCAGCGCCCGCTCCACGAACAGTCAAGGCAGGCGAGAGCGTCAATCTTCACTCATCGCGCGAAGCCAACGAAGCTGATCCAACCTCACGCACACAATCACCCGTCAAGCAACTGGACAGCGGCGGCACCCACGCTCCTTTGCCTACCGCTCCTCGCGGCCTCTCTCCCCGCGCTCTCGACGCGCTCCTGACCTCCATGTTCGCCCTAGCAGACGAGGCCCTCTCCCTCACAGGCGCTTGGTCCATGCGTCGAGGGGTGGTCCGCTTACTACAGTCGGTCATCCGCCAATCTTACTCTGCAGCCATCGTCTCCGCCTTCGAAGGCACCACCTCAGCCTTGAGCGTCAGCTCTGTCTCTGGCTGGATGGACAAGGCTCGCACGACCTTTTGGAGTCAGGACGAAGCGGCTAAGTGGATCTACGTCAAGGGAGCACCGAGGACAGCGAGGGATAGGGTGCAGAGTGAGGAGGCGGCACGCAAGGTTGTGCTGGGCTACGCGCCGGCGCAAGCTGCATTCGTGCTCGGACCTGGAGGCAAGCAAGCGTGTGAGAGGGGATTGGAGGCGATCCATGGAGTTGTGTGTGAGGATGAAGGAGCACTCGATCTGGTGCTGACGCTGGCGCTTAGGCTGATTCAAATGGTGTAGGCGCGCAGCGAGGCACGGAGGCTCGCCCAACGGATTGTCTTCTTCATACGCACAGCCGGGAGTTTCTGAGCTGGACTCGACTTTGGGCATACTGCGCAGGGCTGCAGGCTTTGTATGATATCTCAACTGCTGAGCTGCTATTGCAATAGGCCGGCGAGACAGTGTGTCTCCCGCCTCATGGTGGTTCCCCTCCCCCTGCTCCTACTCTTTCTTTCCATACCTGATGCTACATCTAGTGATGGTGTCCCTCGCCGTGCGTGTCGAGCTTGTAGCCCACCAGGGAACGTCGCCCAAGCTGAAAGGGGCAGTAACAAAACGTCAGCATGAGTGCCAAGTCAGCATCTCTCCTCCAGCATGCCGTTGCTCACCATCTCGCCAATCGTGAAAATTCCATACGCCTCGACAGCGTAGATGGCAAACTTCTTCCACTCGCCGGTCTGAATCAATCGCTGCCAGTACGAAGAGTCCTGCGCGCGCTGGTACATGTGCTTGTATGCGTCCTGGACTACCGAGAAGGACTTGGGCGGGGCTAGTGACTCGGCGATGTAGACTTGCTTGGCAATGTGGCCAGCGACCTTGGCGTTGTAGATGAGGGGGTCGGCATAGCCTGGCGATGAAGGAAGAGTCAGGAGAGGGGAGACGTCAGCTGATAAAGCGTCACGTTGGGCATCGCCCCACTCGTGCTCACCACCAAGAGCACCCTGCAACTTCTGGCCCACAGGTCCAGCAGCCTGCTTGGCCTTCTCTGCAAAGTTGGCCAGGGCCTTTGAAGCTCCCTCAGCTGACGCCTTGGCCGACGAAGCAGCGTTCTGAGCCGAAGAAGTAGCGCCTTGTGCTGCCTGCTTTGCTGAGGAAGCGGCCTCCTCGGCGCTCTTCTTTGCTGAGGATGCAGCGTCCTTTGAGATAGGCGACGACGAAATCAATCGTCGCTGTTGCTGCTGCTGCGCCGTGCGAGCGACTGAGCGGAGTGTCGTGGTGCGCATCATGACGGTTGGAATGACGATGGAGGAAGTGAGAGTCGTGAAGCCGCGAAAGGAAGAAGTGTCAATCGCCTGTTGGCCTCGCTGATGGCCACGACGGGACGGCCGACAGGCGGCGGCTCCATCACGGCGGCCCGCCCCGCCCTCGACCTCGACCTCGACTTGAGTCCGTCCGGTTTCGCGCCTCGGGCTGGCCCGGGCTCATTCTGAGGCAGCTTAAATCGCCACCAGCGCGACTCTTGGGCGGTCTTTTCGAGCCGTGATTTCTTGAAAGCCATCCGCGTCGAGAAAGACGCTCAGCAACATCAATCCGCTATCTTCAAGCAGCCAAGACATCAAGGAACATGACTTGAGGGATTCTAAGCGCTCTACACCAGTCAAGGCTGTCAGTACTGGTCAATCCGCCTCGTCACGCGCCGCCATGACCTCGCGCAGCTGCCCACAATGCGGCCATACGGGCCCCTTCGAAGTGGTCGACGAAGTGATGTGCGCCGTTTGTGTCTGCGGCCACATGTTTCAGGAGGATCTCGCCCTGTTCTCCCTCACACACGATTATGGCCGCGATGTCGCACTACCTTCGCAATACAGAGCCGAAGCCCCGCACCCTGATTTTACCGGCGCCATGGAACTCAGGCGCCGTCGAGCTGCTACTGGGCCTGAGATGACGAGGGCGCATAAGCTCGTCTACCACTATCATCAGGCCAAACAAGCCAAGTCGTGGCTCAAGATGGTGGTCAGACGACTAGTAGGGGAGAGGGCCGCAGTCAACAACCCGTACGAAAGGCGCATCTGGGCCGTCTTTGAGTCGTTGAAGGCCGAGGCGCAGAAGACTTACGTGACGCGATCTAGGAAGAGCGACCATAGCAAGGGGCCGCATCAAATAGCCACAGACGTACAGGAAGACCTCCAAGTCCCTTCTGCGTCGCCATCAGCGAAGCAGAGCTCGAGCGACAAAGTCTACAATTCACAAGGCCTCACATGGGGAAGTGCCGCCTCTGCAGCGCTCTGTGCTTGCACATACGCCTGCTTCAAGGAGAGTGACGACACTCAACACACCCGAGATCCACTCCAACGTCGTGCCTTCAGTCTGCACCTCGTAGCCTCCTGCTGCGATGTCACCCATGCGCAGGCAAGAAAATGGGCAAAGAGACTCAAGCGGTTCCTACCTGGGCGATTCGCGACGCTGGTATTCGACACGCCCGAGATGCACGTAGACCAGGTAGTCAAGTGGCTTGGCGAGCAAGCAGCATCATGGACGCCCAGCACATTACTCGACGTAAAGCACAACTTGCCCGTCCTGCGGAATCGCCTCGTCGACTGGAAGGAGGTCCGCCGCCTCTCGCGTCTGCTTTGCTCTCTCGTCTTCGACAGTTCAGAAGAAGAGGGACAGAACGACCCCCGCGACAAGATGGTTGCCTGCGAGCTCTTGTCCACGCCCGGTGACTGGGCATACATGGTTGTTCTCTGGGCCATTGGCGCCTTGCTCGGGAAGCGCCTCATGGGCAAGCAATGGGTGCGTCGCGATCTCATCTGGGCAAGCTTGGGCGTCGAGCCAGCCAAGCCGCAAGCCAAGGATGACGAGGATAGTGGCGCAAGCGAGGATGACGGCGAAGAGGAGGCTCCCGCGCAGCTCGACGCTAGCAGCAGTAATGCCCCCAATTGGCCGTTCATCTCTCTATACCACGATATCGGCATCTACCTCTCCTGCAAGGCTCTGCAGCTGCCATGGGTCGATGCACACTCCATCAAACGTACAAAGGGTGGGCGCGACGTGTTGAAGGATGGCGAGGAGGTCAAGTATCTCCGCGACGTTGTCGAGTTCTCGGCCAGCCTACGAGGGGGTGACGATCAAGGGCAGCAGGCTCCAACTCTATCCAAGAGAGCACAGAAAGCCAACAAAGCCGCCTCTCCCTCCCTGCCAATCGCGATGCCTCCTCAGTTCCCCACTTTCGCAACAATCCCCTCAGACCGTCCCTCGTACACGGCACGCAACTTTCCCCAACTCTCGGCCGACCCTGCACTGATCGATAGTCTGGACCCTGCCACGGTGGATGCCCTGCTCTTTCGTCCTGGGGAGATGGATGGGTTCTTGCGTTCCGAAGAGGGAGATAGACGGAAGTTGGAAGGATACAAGAGGACCGTGGGGCATTGGGAAAGCGATGAGGAGAACGAGAGCGCGGCAGAGCAGGATGATGGTCAGGCTAAGAAGAAGAGAAAGAAGGTGAGCGGAACAGGACAAGCAGCAGGCTGGGAGGAGCAAGGGGCCGAGAGGGCTCAGACCCCGTCGAGGACGTCACAGGGCGGCGATGAAGAGAATGGCGAGGAGGAAGAAGAGGACGACGAGGATGCGGAGGTCCTGAGTCTGCACTCAGAGCATTATCGATAGCTTTTACACATCATACCACGCACATGCGTTCATACCTTGCAATCATCATCATACATTCATCATCATTCGTATCAGCCACGTCACATCAAGCAACGGCCATCTGCCATACATCTTTGCACGGCCTGCACCAGCGCAAAGTCCCATCACCAGAAGGGGCAGAACCGCTACCCGTACCGCCACCCGCCGATGTTGTCGCGACACACTGTCCACAAAGCGTAGCCGCGCATCCCTTGCACGTCTTCTTCGACTCGAGGTAGCCCCATTTGCGCTTTCCACAGCCGTGGCATATGGACGCGATGTCCACATTAGCGAAAGCGACGGATGAAGCTGACGGAGCGCCGCTACCGTTGCTCTCTGCTGCTGGAGCGGTCATTGAGTGCGGGAGGAAGTTGCCTTGTCCAGCAAGACACCATGAAAAGAGTTGGCCTGCTGAGTCGCCCACGAGGAGGATGGAAGAACGGCCCGTTGCGCTTGTCGTTCCAGGAGGTGGCGTCTCTAGATTCGTCGAAGAGGACGACGACGAGCTCGCTGCGGCTGAGCTGCCAGACAAAGATGCTGGTGCAGCCGATGTGACAACGTGCAGGATGGAGGTGATCGTCGAGGTGACAGGTATGGCTGCGTGAGACGTGCCATTCGAGGCTGACGAGGTTCCTCCAGAAAGCAGTGGCGTGATGCGATCCTGGTGCTCGAAGATATGGTACGGCACGAGACGCCACTTGGGTCCTTTGACCGAAGCTGAACTACTCGCGTGGTCGCAGCTCCAGGCCACGACTTTGCCCTGCGGATGGCCTGTGAGCACGACGGCAAGTCTGCCTCCTGATGCTGGCGTCGGTGACGATAGGAAAGCCAGGGCCGTGACCGGCCCGGCGGCGCTGGTGACCCCATCGTACTGAGCCAGAAGCTCGCCGTTGACAGTCCACAGCCGCAGCTCCCCTTCTGAGCCATTGTTGTCTGCTGCTGAGGTCACAGACGGCCCGGCGTACGTGGCGATGAAGCCTTCCTCCTCGTCAATGGCGGCATGGAGGACCGGCGCGCTACCTGGCTGGCTACCGGCGAGCGTGCGGATGTATGCACCTCGATTTGTGTCCCAGACAATCGCGGTCCCATCATCGCTCCCACTGATAGCGATGCGCCAATTCTGCGAAGCAGCGATGCAGTTGACCTGCGCCTTGTGGCCCCTCAGAACGCCGGCGGCCTGCTGAAGCCCACCGCCGGCTGCATTGCTCCCTGCCCCGCTCCCGCCTGCCCCTATCATCGACAGTTCCTTCTTCGCTGCGTCCACCTTCCAGAGTAGTACTAGTCCATCCTTGCATCCTACTGCGACCGTAGATGGCCCTGTCTGCCTCAAACAGAGTACGCGCTCCACGCCCGCTTGCTCAGCCACGCACACGGCCCGCTGCGGATCGCTCGATTTGAACATGCGCAGAGACCCATCGAGGTGCCCGGCCGAAAGCGAAACACCCAGCTTGGGCAGGATAAGATAGTCGGACGGAGAACTGTAAGCTGGGCAGCGGTCGTTGCTCGCGAATGCTCCCAAGTTGTCACTGACGTAGATGAAGTGACAGCTCGCCTTCATTGTGCGGACGGGTGCCACGCTCTGGATTGCCAGCCAGGGCGTCGAGTGGAAGTCGATTCGATTCGTCGGGCACCCGTACCGCGCTACGTGGGGTCGCTCGAAGAGTCGGGCAGGGCAGACGCCAAAATTCCACACCGTTTGCGACGCAGCGCGTCGCTCGTTGGGGTCTTTGATGCTGTCCAAGTCGACCTCGTCAGCATAGGAGAGGGGGTGGAAGACATTGACTGCATTGACTGCTTCTGGGCCTGTCTGCTTGTACCCGAAGACAAGGTCGATCCAGTGATGCAGCCGCGCTGAGACATGGTCGCTTTCCAGGGCTTCCCGATTCTTTTGCACGAAGACAAGCGGATCACCCTTGGCCCACGGTGGCAGTTCGACGTCGTCTATCTGGCTGCCAGCCTGCGTAGAGCCAAAGTCGAAACGATTCTTGTTGGCTAGGAAGTCAGGGAGGTAGAAGAATTCCGGCGTGAGCTCACGGACATCTCCTCTCGAGAGCTCCGAGGAGGAGCGCCAGGCGCGCTCGATGGAAGAGAATGTGCGTTCCGCCAGGTCGAAAGTGCCGCCTTGCAGGGCAATGAGGAGCTTCTCGAAGGGACGAAGTCGAATAAGGAAGCCGGCCGTGGTTGCTGCGGTGCTGAAGTGGGTGCCATAGTGGAAGGGAGTCTCGTCGATTTCGAGTAGAGACTGATAGCGCTCCTCGAACTGCAGCTGGCGCTGCTTCGATTGGGCACCCATTGGCAGGGACAGGTCGCGGTACGTCTTCGGGTTTGACAAGTCAAGCTCCTCGCTGGTGTAGTCGGCAATGATCCATGGGAAGACCGGGTACTGTGAGAGGTCATTGAAGCTCCGCCCTGCGAGGGTGTTGAGGCGCATCAGGTAGTCGAGATTGGTGATTTTGCGCTGCCGCCACGCTTCTGTGATGACTCCTGCTTGCTGCCGTCCGAGGGCCGCTCCCAATCGAGCACCAAAACCACTCACAGCGCCCTTCGTCGTGGACTGCATCGCGGGTTCTTTGATGCCAGCCCTCATCTGCTCAGCGCCATTGATGGCTGCCCGACAGCGAGACTCGAGGTCGCGTAGAAGGGCGTCCGCCTTGACGACCGTTGGCAAGACGAGCAGGCAGCTCTGCCCATCGTCAAAGAAGAGCTCTAATGCCGTCCGACGATGAAGGAAAAAGCGACGGTGCACCCGTTTGAGTGAAGTCCACGGCCATCTGCGCGTCTGGGCATCTCCTTCAAGCTGCGCAATGAGTGACGAAGGCTGATCCGACTCGGATGACAGTGCCGCAAGGACATGAGCGTCTCTCTCTGCCTCAGGTGCCTGCCAAACATTCACCAGTTCGCCGTCGGCCTTTTGAAAGAGGTCGTCCACGAGGTACAAGTTGAGCGCGCCCGTTATGCACAGTGCGGCTCGGCAATCGATGCCTACGACCCTACTGGCGTTGACTACCCCCTCAACTCGGTCGCCCCTTTCCAGGGAGCGGAGCACCTTGCGGAACTTGTGCTCGTGGTCGTCTGTATCGGGCTCGACTCCGGTGATGTCCGTCGCAGTCGAAGGGTTCAAGGTCGTCGCGGACAATGAGGTTGTGAGCGAGCCAACGGCAGCGTCGGTCTCGTTCTCGTTCTCGTTCTCGGCCTCCGCTTCCGCCTCAATACTGCCCCATGCATCGCCATGCTGAGGCATTATGGGCGTACTGGGCATTGTCTCCGCTTCTCGATATGGGGCCACATCAACCTGCGTCGTCTTTGGCTGCTGCATCAACCTCTTCCTCATACGACGCGGCCCCTCGGTTGGGTCGAGTTGCCAGGCCTTGGCCGTCTTCTGCATCCCGTCACTCCCGAGTAGCGCCCTTTCCTCGTGCAAAGCGTCCACAATCCTCGTCCAGCCCTGCGAAGCGGAGGTCTGCAGCTCGTGCACATCGAATACGTGCTTGAGGCGTCGACTCTCCTCCGCAGCTACTACCCCGGCGTGCCAGGACATCATGCGACGTTCTGTGGTTGCGATGGCCTTTTCTCGCGACTCAGACTGGTCGAGCATGCGCCGTAGCTGTGCTACGCGCTCCAGGTGCGAGGCCGTCTGCAGGGTATCGGCAGATTTGAGGAAGCCTTGCCACACTGCATGGTACGGGAGGTTGTCCTCCTCAACAAACGCCATCTCCTGCAATAGCTGGCTTCCTGCGCCGAAGACGTCATCCAGGCTTTTGCCCTCGGGGAGAGACTTCTCCGCCACCTCGGGCTTGGACAGAGCTATCAGCTTGAAAATGTCCAGGCAAGCCTTGCGCACGTCGGGCGAATCTGGCCGTGAAGATTGCAAGATGCGATTGGTGAGGCACTCCACAAAGACTCGATCGGGATTTGATCCTAGGAACAGCGTCTGCCAATGAAGGATCTGCCGCAGCGTGGCGAGCACGGCCGCATTTCCGGAGAGGCGGTACAGCGCGATGCGGTTGAGGCTGCTGTGCAGGCTGACACTGGCCTCTTGGCAGGTACGCTCATCGAGGTCGGTGAGCAGATCGGTGATAGTTGCGAAGAGCGTGTCTTCAAGCGCAGACCCGTGCAGGATGTCGTGTGAGGCCTCCTCAATGAATGTGGCCAACGAAGTGAATGCAGCCGGCGAGACGACCATCTTGTTCCTCTTCGCCGCGGCCAGCTGCAGCGAGATGGACGAGAGCAGCTTGCTCGTCAGCGTGAAGCGGAAGCTGCCCTGGCGTGCAAGGTCCTTGGGTGGTATTGCGGCCATCAGAGCGGAAATGATGTTGCCTTTGCCTGTCAGAAAGATGCTTTCTGTCGACAGACGAGCGAGGTGGTCGAGGAGGGCATTGCAGCAGTTTTCGAAGACGTCGTCCGTCGCTGCGCCATCTGCTCCAGGGGGGTTTGCCTCGCTCAGCGCTTGCGGCGACTGAACATACGGTTCGACCGCTTCGCACAAACCCCGCAGGACGATAGGCGAGAAGAGAAGTTCCCGCCATGCCACATCGGACGAGTGGGCTTCGATGAGGGCTGCCGTCTCCTTGACTAGGACTTGCTGGCTCGTGTCGCGGAACGTAGCCGCAAGCGTCTGCGTATCGATGTTCATCGAGTTGCTTCTCTTTCGCGCGTGCCGATTGCTCCTCTTCGTGGGTACGTCCAGCATGTCGGAAGGTCGCGGTCGATTGGCAGAGCGTGACCCTCTTCCTGCGCTCGATGCCGCATCTTTCAATGCTTCGCGAAAGCAGGCGACGATGACCCGCAGCATGGGTGGGCAATGTACCTCGTGAGGCGGGGCGAAAGCTTGCGTGAGCCCGGTGTTGGGCTGCCGTTGCTGGCCAAAGAGCGCGGAAAAGAGTAGTGGGATGACCAGTGGCTCCTCCCAATGACGAGGCACAAGACGCTCCAAAATCTTCCACCCGCCAGCAGCTGTCACCCGCTCTACGTGCACTGGATGGCGGATGAGGATGAGCGCAAGGAGCTCCAGAGCAATGACTGCTGAGCCTTGCTCTGCTCTTGGGTGAAAGAAAAGGAGGATCCACTTGACGTTGATCGTCTGGCCGAGCTTGGCTAGGAAAGCCGGTCGATCCAGAGCAAGAGAGGCGACAGTTTCAAACACCTTGAGAGCCATCTTCGACGGCGTCAGCTCCGGATCATCGCTAAGCGGCAGAGAGATCGTAGGCTTGCGAGGTGAATCATCGGGGCCGAGTGTCGCAGTGCGACGAGGGCGTGGACGGGGAGGGAGCGCCGATGTGGATGTAGACGCTCTGGCAGCTGGCTCATCTGGGTGGACAAGGCGAGCAGCGAGGTACGCTGTAGCCACCTTGAGCGATGCTTCCGACCACGATGCCACGAGAAGAACGCGCAGAGCCTCAGTGACATGGCGAGCCAGATCCGCACTCGGTGTGGCTGCTTCAATTCGCCAGAGCAGACGTTTGACGATCTGCATCCTGTTGAGCCTCTTGATGTTGAAGCGGCGATGCTTGGACGTCTTGAGGAGCAGGGCGAAGTGACCCAAGTGAGCCCTCTGCACTTCTTCTGTGGTCTGCGCCCACAGATCGAAGTCCAGTAGGACGACGCGATACATGAATGGGTTGACCAGGGCGGCTCGTTCAGGGAGCTGGGGGTCTACACCGACTGCCTTGAGGAGAATTTCAAGCACCGCGAGGGAAACTTTGTCCGCTCTTTGCCGGAGAATGAGGCACAGCATCTCATAGGCCCGTATCTGTTCAGCATCCTCGCATAGACGCCAGCTCTTGCGGAGCAGCTTGAAGAAGACGTCGAGAGCCGACACAAGGTCATGGGAGCCGACGAGCTGAAGCAAGATGGCCGTTCCGCCTGCTCTCCACACGACGTCCTCGAGGCGTGGGGGGCAGTTGAGAATCGGATTTCCGTACAGTTTGGCGTACCCGAATGACGCGGCGAGAGCGTCGCGGGTGAGTGTAACAGCTTGATTGAGCAGGACTGTCGTGCCTGGTCGGTGGCTTGCCTCCAAGTCTTGGCCTTGCAAGGGCGAGCGCCTCCTCTGCGCTGTACAGCCTGCATTCAAGGCAAAGTAAAAGTGTTCCTCCGCGAACATCTCGCTCGATCTCCCCGCCACGGAGGTTACCAAGGGATGACGAGCCAGCTCACGCTCAGCGTCTGCCCCATCTTTAGCGAGACTTTTGGCCACAGCGTCGAGCCTCAAATTGATCTTGGTACTGGCCTCGTACGTCAAGAAGCGGCCCAGCGAGTCCTGCAGATTGCCGCAGTAAGAGTTGCCCAGCTCGCAGAGAATCAAGGGAAAGTCGGGGGGTAGAGCCATGTCCATGAGGCAGATTTGGCCGACAGTCCAGACCTGCCGATTGGATCTACGTTCATTGCTGCCAGAGGCGACGACAGGCGCGGTACCCACTACAGCCCTTGTGGGTGAGCCGCTCGTGAGCGGGGATGAAGGCCAAGGAGCGTGGTGCTGTTCGACGAGATGGCCGTCGACATACCATTGCGCGAGTGAAAGTTGAGCGTTTCCCCGTGGTCTCCGGTGCACAAAGGCAATGTGGTGGAACCCACCATCGTCCAGCGGCTTGCCGGTGAAGGTGAGTGGGGGCTCGTCGCCTTTGAAATGATAGTCAAGCCGGCTGGCGTCGTGAGAAAGGAGCAGTCGAGTGGACGTTGTTCGTTGAGCGTCAAAGAGATGCAGCAGATCAATTGCGGCGGTGGGATCGGCCTTGTCGATCCTGATTGCTGTGAAGAAGGACCAACCATCTGACTGGGGCGCAATTGGAGGGAAAGGTTTCGAGAGGCTGGAGAGCGCGATGGACGCATGTCCGTGACGAGTCATGTCTAGAGTGGTGCTGTTCGGTACTACGTCGCAGGAGGCAAGCTTGGTGAGGAGGGCAAATATGGGATCGTCTTGGCTCGTGGTTGAGGAGACGTAGCGCAGCAGTCGTTGTCCATCGGCATCTGGAACACCTACTACACGGTAGAAGGGCTCGAGTACATTGACGAGCCATGGCGAGCCTGCCCTCGGTGGCTGAGACAAGAGATGCTCGAGGACGACTTCGGAGAAGCCTGCGTGGCGCAGCGCTACTGCATTAGCTACACTTGTCTGCAGAAGTTGTGCAAGGATCGATGCGAGGACGTCGTGAAGATCCGTCTTCACCATGTCCCTGGTCTCTCGGTATGCCAGCTTGACAGCCTCTGCGTGCACGATGTAGCCAGACCACATCTGCGCAACGTCCTCCGGCGGACAGCGCATACGAGTCGAGTACGTTGAGATGTCGCCCAATGCCAGGCCTAGGAGAGCTGCAATGTAGTGGTCCGGGGACGTCTTGAACAAATTCGATAGTCTGAGAGCAGTAGCAAGGCCATCCCATCCGACGGTATCCAGAAAGATTCGATCGTTTCCTGAATGATCGACAATGGCCTCTCCCAAGATGCCGAGTGTCATCTTCAAGATCTCGATGCGCAGTCTCTCCTGAATATCCTCGTCCTCGTCCTTGTCCTCCGAGCTCGCGCTGGCTGCCAGCGAGGACAAGATCTGGACGATGACCAGAAATCCACCACATTGGGCAAAGTCATCCTTGGCATGACCACCATGTCCACTCTCAACGAGGAGGCGATGGACATGCGAGGCAAGACGAAGCTTGTCGTCCAGCTGGTGGGCTTCAAGGGTGGCCACTTCCTGGAAGAGAGAGGCCAGTTCCTCTAGACTTGCGCTGCGGGCTTCTGTCATTGGTGGTGAGTGCTGGGGTTGTGGAGAATCAAAGCCGCCAAAGGATGAGGTCGAGGCGCCTGATGCTGATCGAGGTGTTGGGGGTTGGCCCCACAGCGATGAGGAGGGACCCCGCGCCTGGCCATGGTGCGGCGAGAGGTGGGGCGATGGCATGCGGAGCAATAGGCTTCGAGTGAGCTCGCCGTCGCTCAAGGATCTTGCATCAAAAGGGCGACGGCAACGGCGACGGCGACGTAGATGAAGGAAGACGAAGAGAGCAAGTGATTGTCCGACTTGGCTCCAAATCAGGATCGATCCATTCGCGCTCAGGCCACCCGCCTTTCTTCGACTCGACACGGAGGTCACAGCTCACTCGGTGTCGCGTGTTGTGTAGCATCATGCTCTGATGTGATTTGGCAACATATAGAGTAGTAGAGAAGGGAGAAGAGGAGAATATGAAAACACATGATCGAATAGCAGCGCAGCAGGTAAGCTTGTGGGTCACATCGTCGCAGTCACCGCCAGCCGACTAGAGCTTCTCGTTGACGGGGTAGTTGCGCAGCGCCTGCCTGATGCCCAGGTCGGCCAAAATCTCCTCCGAACCACCAAGGACGGCGTCGAACTTGTATGTCCTGTGGAACATCTCGACGAAGGAGCCCATACCAGACTGAGTAAGACCACGTCCACCAAGGATGTTGACCGAGTGGTCGGCCACGTCCTTCGACACCCTAGTAGACCATGACTTGAGCAGAGCAATCTGCCCAGCCAGGTGCTGCGCCTGAGTGAAGTAGTCCATCTTGGTCATCTGGTACGTCACGTTCTCCAGCCAAGCCTGAGCAGCCTCGCACTGCGAAATGAGCGACGCAAGCTTGGCACGGATGACCGGTTGCGAGATGATAGGCTTGCCGAAAGCCTTGCGCTGGTGAGTCCACATCATCAGCTGAGCGCAAATGGCTCGCGAGGCTCGGATCGTCGAGCAGCACATGACCCAACGCTCGTGGTTGAAGTTGGAGAGAATGACGGGGATACCGGCTCCCTCCTCGCCGACGAGGTACTTGGCGGGCACCTTGGCGTCGTCAAAGGTGACGTACGCCGTTCCAGCGGTTGTCGAGTAGGACGTCTTGATCTGCTTGGTCTCGACGCCACCGCACGAGCGGGGAATGCAGAGGACGGCAAAGCCCTCATCCGTCTTGACGGCAGTGGTGAAGTAGTCGGCGAAGGTACCGTTGGTAATCCACTTCTTGGTGCCGTTGACAATGTAGTGAGAGCCGTCCTCGCTCTTCTTGGCGTAGGTGCGCAGGCCACCGAGAATGTCGGAACCAGCAAAGGCCTCAGTAATGGCAAGGCAAATGAACTTCTCACCAGCAAGGACGGGCTCGATGATCTCCTTCTTGAGCTCGTCGCTACCGAAGTTCATGATGGGAGGCAGACCGATGACCATTCCACCCTGGAGAGCGTCACCGAATCCACGAGCACCCATTCGCACGAGCTCCTGGGTGATGATCATCTCGCAGAAGTAGTCGAACTGCTCGGGCTTGATGCCAGCAAACAGCTTGCGGCCCTGGAGGTGCTTGCCGGGACCCATGCGCATGGCGTTGATACCATTCTTGCCCATCTGCTGCACGAGCTCGACGTCGGGACGCTTGCCGTTGGCCTCACAGCGCTGAGCGACCTCGTGAACGTGCTCGTCGACGTACTTGCGCATCTCGCGCTGGAGGTGGCGGTGGTGGTCCTGGAAGTAGGGCGAGTGGTACTTCTCCTGGAGCCAAGTGGGCTCGGCGTACGGGATCTTGGATGGTGCGCCAGGGGGAGGCGGCTGAATGCGTGGGCAAGAAAAGATGTCAGATATGTTTTTGCCACAGTTTCGTTGTCGCCATCGTCAGCACGCAAACTTACAATAATCTGCTGCTCCTCACCAGCAACCTGACCGATGATCAGACGCTTGTACTGGGGGCGCAGGAGGACCTCATGTCGGTGGAGACCAAAGAAGGTCTCAGTGGCGTCTTGGCCGGCAATCTCCTCGTCGTACAAGACAGCCTCACCTCCAGGGTGGCTACGAGCGAGCAAAGCGTCGGTAGGAGTAGATGTAGGCTTGTCAGTATGCTGCGCAGAGCTCGTTGCCACCCACCGCTGATGGGCGGCTACTCACAGAGCTGCGAACTTGGAGAGGTCGTAGATGAGCGAGTCGACGACGATCCAGAGGTTGCCCTTCTGGTTGTGCTTGGCAACCTCTGCAGCGTCGATCTGCTTAAACGTGCCAGCCTGTTGCTGCTGTGCTTGGGGGGACGACATCGTGGGCGAGAGAATAAAAGCGCTGGATAGAGGGTATGTAAGCGGCGGCGATTGTTAAGTGTATAGTAGAGGGGGTTAGGTCAATGAGATGCAAGCTACGAGGGGAGGGGAGGGTTGCTAGCACCGGTGGTGGTGGTGGTGGGGGGAGTTGAGAGGAAGGAAGAGAGGAAGTTACGAGCGAGGGCAAAGGGGGAGACTGGCCACCTGGCTTTGGTGGGTGGTGTTGCTCCGGATTCGAGGAGTCCGGACTGCGCTTACTCTTGTCGCGCTACTCTCTCTCTTGCCGAACGCCGGTCGATGGCACTGGCTGAGTCTGCCTTGCTGATCAATAGCGAGCGCAACAGGTGGTGCGCCGCCCGCCTGCTGCATTTCTCCTCGTCCCGTGTGAAAAGCACGGGCGGCACGGAGTCCGCCAGGCGAGTCGTCGAGTCGAGACACGGAGAGGGGACGGAGAGCAGACAGAGAGCAGAGCGGGTGCGGGGTCCCCGCACGCAGAGCAGGCGCAAGACAAACAAGATGAAGCTCAGACGAAGAGAATAGGAGGAAGCTCGCAGCGGCCAAAGACCAGGGAGCAGATGGGCCAGAGGGCATTGTCAAAGCAAGGGCAGGATTTGCTAATGAGCGGCGGTGGTAGTATACGCGAGCGATAACGCGCGCGAAAAGGGCACGCGGCCGTACACCCACGATACGCGTCTGCTAGTCTATTTGATTGCACAGTCTGCTGCTATGAATGGTGCTCCGTAGCCTGTCTTCCCTCTGTTCGCCATCACGGGTTAGCCATGGCATCCTCCGCATCACCATCGTCACCTCCCGTCCCTGCCTCGCCGCGCTCACCCCTCTTCAGCGCCTCCATCTCGCGCCGAAATGCATCAGACACAGTGGTCGTCACGCCAGGCTTGTTGCCGTCGATGCTCGTCTGACCATCTGCGCCCTCTTCAGGCTGCTCGCTGGACTCTGCAGCTGCTGCTGCTGCCGTACCGTCGTCCCCCTCCTTCTTTGCTCCCCAGACACGCTGCTTGCTCCCCTTCTTTAGCGCAACCTCGTTGACCTTCTCGCCGCGCCTAACGCTTACGCCGAGCCAATTGACATGAGGAGCAGGTCCACCGCCATTCCCACCGCGTAGCTGCTGTTGTTGCTCATTGCCGGCGGAGAGCGTCTTCTGATGAGCAGAAGAGGTGTCGACTTTGGTGAGCTCGCGCAAGGCCATCGTGGCGTAGGCGGCCGTTCCAAGCTCGAAGGTGACCTTGAGTGCAAGAGACGGCGCAGATGCAGTGACGCTCTCTCCATCGCCCCTGTCGCTTGCGGCTGCACTGGCGGTGTACGCGTCCTCGGCCTCCTTGACAGTAGGGAAAGCAGGCGGCGCCGGGTCGATGCCGAGAACACGATCCTCATCGCTCTGATTGAGGGCGACCGTCGCGTCGTCGTACTTAATGAAACCGTATTCGACATTCTTGGGTCGATGGAGCAGACGCCTGTACGTGCCCCTGAGCGTTAGATCGAGTGCGCGGCGGGTAGACGTCAGCTGCTCCATGGTCAGCCCGTCAGCCTTCAGAAGAGCGTCGTGCACCGGTGTCATCCACGAGTTGGCGGGCAGCTGAACGTGGTATCCGCACGATGGGATCACCACATCGTGGATCGTCCAGCGACCGGAGGCGGCCTCTTCTGCGGTGAGTATCTTGACTTTGGGGAGCTCGGTGATTGTTTGCTTGCTTGCAGGGGCGATGACTGATGGCTGCCCGTCGTCCTTTGAGCCCTCGCCGTTGGCAGCATCGTCGTCGTCGTCGTTGTCTTCGGCTCTGTCGTCCCCATCACCTCCTGCAGCCTCTTCATCGCTTCCCTCGAGGAGAACGTAGTCGCCCTCAACGACATTTTCGAGCCCGAACCGCTTAACCCTCTCCGACGCAAGCCTGTTCCAAATGTAAGACTGGTGCGCATGAATGTACATCGTCCTTAAGCTCTTGGGCACAGCCGCAAAGCAAGCATGCCAGTCGCGACCCCCGGCAGCCCCGCCTCCGCGCTTAGCCCTCTGCTGCTCCTCATCACTCAGCTTGCTCAGCAGCGCCCTCTCGGCGACGGCCCAGCGGGGCATGGTGTAGAAAGCCTCGCGCATCGCTTGTGCCCCTCCCTGGCGGTAGTGCGCCTTGGCCACCCGAGCTTCAGGAACATCCTCCGGCCTCTCTGCAAGTAGCAGCTCCACCGCCCCTCGGAAATCGCCCTTGATGAGCGGGATACCCACCTTGTGCGAGGGAAGGGAGGAGGTTCCGAAACGCTGCATCCCGTAGTAGTTGATGAAACCGCGAGTACGTAGCACTTCAACGGCCCGGTGAACCACAACTTCGTCCGGGAAAGTGACGGCGCGTAGGACGATGCTGAAGCGATTGCCCATGAGGTCGCCTAGGAAGAGCGGGCGGTCTGAGTATGTGACGTGGGCTATGCGGATTCCTCGGTCACCGCGGGAGGATACGGCGTCGAGGCACGTCTTGCGGGGTGCGTCGCGATTGCCAAAATTGCCGCCACCTCGACCTCTTCCTCCTCGTCCTCCTCTCCCTCCACGTCCACCACGACCACCTCCGGGCCCATCGTCAGCTCCCACCTCTTTCCCAACCCCATTCGCAGCCTTCCACACGTCCTCTGCCGTCTTCTTGCCGCGGCGTAAGCTGACCCTCTGCACAGTGACACCGCGCTTGTCTTTCGTACCCGCAACGGTCAGCTCCTTACTTGCGGCCTTGTTCAGCATGGCAAGGGAGGGACCAGCACCGCCGCCACCACCGAGCTGCAGAGCGCGGGCAAGAATGTTGGTTGCGTCTTGCGAGTCGCGGTTGGTCTTTTGCAGAAGGAAGTGAACGTAGGGAGGTAAAGCGGCTTCACCTGGATGACGATTGGCATGGGAGGGACCCAGGCGACGAGGGTCCTTGCCTGTTGGGCTGGGATTCCAGCGAATCGCAATCATGGATGACGCTGGAGTAGAAGTGGCAGCCTCTGCTACTGCCGGCTCAGGTGCCTGGGCTGCGTTCATGAGGGCATCCTCGTCGATCTCTGCTGCTTCACCCTTCTTGGGCTTCGGAGCAGCCGTAGGCTTGGACTCAACTGTGTCGGTGAGAAGTCGTCCCCTGAACATCTCGCGAACGATGTGATGGATCTGGCCACGCGTCTCCTTGGTCAGAGCATCTGTGATGACCTTGCGTGTGTCGCCATTGTCGCGCACCACACCTCGCGGTCGACCGTCCTTGTTGTCTCGACCACCGCCACGTCCTCCTCTGCCTCCTCTGCCGCGGCCTCGACCACGATCACTGCCGCGTGTAGCAGACACCGACTCTGTCGCTGCTTGGGCGGCTTCTTCACCTTCTGCTTGAGGCTGAGCGGCTGGCTTCTCGAATCCCTCGGGTCCCTGCTCCCAAAGCGCCTTGACCTCATCCCTGACCCTCTGCCCTACGAGCTCGATAAGTTTGCTTTCCATCTCCATCTCCACATCCTCATCGCCCCAGACCACATCCTTCCTGGCAGCCATTTCCCTGTTCTTCTCCTGCTCCTCCTGCCTCTTTGCCTTCATCTCTTCCCTTTCCGCCTTCTCCCTCTCGAGCCTCTTGGCCTTCAACTCTCCGGTTGGGTCATCACGCTCCTCTTTCTCGGTCCTGAGCTGCTCGCGCAAGTCTACAGCTCCCTCGTAAGAAGGCGCGGGTGGGTCGAGATCGGTGATGCGGCAGACGGTCCCGTCTGGGGCGACTTCGCTGACTTGGAAGTCGGTGAAGCGGTCTTTGATTACGCCGTGAATTGCTGCTAGGTCTGGGGAAACATACTCGGTGATGCCGACGTCGAGCTCTGTAGGCAGAATGTGGTCGGCGGCGGGCTCTTGTTTGGTTGAGGCGGGGGCTGAGATGTCTTCCATTTTGGCCTTCTTGGATGATGAGGGCTCGGCGACAGGGTCGACAGAGGCCGCAGAGGCTTCAGCGTCGCTCAGGCGGCGCTTTGATGGCGACTCGGTGGTCGAAGGCTGAGCTGGCTCACTAGTCGTTGCAACACCCTCTGCTTCCATCTCGAGGGGTAGCAGTCGTATGAAGAGGGCCGAGAAGTCAATCAATCCAATTCCACAAAATATTCGCGGACCAGCCGCCGCTTGAACATAGATGTCATTACGTAATCACATGCCTTCGCTGGTATCTACGAGGTCTTCTTGTCGCTCCTGATCGTCGTGGCAAGCTTGCACTGAGCATAGGCTAGGGCGACAGTGCAGCGGATAGTGAGGTCTATGAGCATCATGAGGGGCATGAGCGCGAAAGGCACGTAGTTCTGGAGGAGGAAGCGCAGCTGCTCGCTCGAGAGAGAGGGAGCGTCTGGGCCTGCGATGACTTGCCAGATGACAAAGAGGGTTGAGCTGAAGGCTGTGTGCGATGATGGGAAATTGAGCAGATGATAAGCAGCTGTCCTGGTCACACCAGCGATAGCGAGCAGCAATACGTACCGAGCGAGCTGTACCCAACTAGGAGGGGCCACACTCTCCAATCGTCTGTGAGCGCAGACATGAGGAATCATCAGCCGCTAGCCCTGCTTGAACCTCGTGCTCATCGCCGTCTACTCGCCTCTTACCAGCCCGACAATGCCCAAGACGAAAGCGGGGCATTGCCATGTCATCTCCAGAACGACGGCCATCCAGAACCAAGCCACCTCGGGCTGGCCAAGCTTGCCAACCATAGGGTCATTGCTCTGCCTGAGATAGTCTTGCTTGGTCTTGACGAGCACCTCCGGGATGCAGCTCTGAGGATAGAATAATTGGCCTTCAGGGGTAGCGAGCAGACAGAGCAAGCAAATCAGCATGCATCAATGCCGCCGGGCGAGATGAGGCGCCGCATGCTCACCATCCACCAGCACCGAAGCCAGCAAGTGCACACCCATAAAGGCGACATAGAGCCAGTCAGCCTTCCTCCTATGCGTCCAAAGCTTCTGTCTGAGGGCCATGATGCTGTGTAGGCTATGCTTGCGAGCTCGCCACGGTATGCAGGCAGCGATCAGCCTATCGATCCATCGACGCCCGTCGGCGTCATGCTGAGCCGGCGCGGAGCCGCGCATTCGAAATGACCAAAAGTCAGAGGGCGGGAGTGGGCCCAATGCCATCGACGATTGGGCGGCTTTCCTGGAACAAAGCAAGCAGCCATTCAATTCGAGCCTTCATCATCGCCACTCAGAGATAGTCACAGCACGGGCTAGTCTTGCGACATCAGCACCATCACCATAAGCTAGTGCAGCTGCGTTAGCCCATCGCCTACCCCGCTCCGCATCGAGCCAAAGCGGGCACCTCACACGAACACGTCTCAGCGGGCTAAGCCTCGCTCACCTTCCTTGAGACCTTCTCCCTCTTCCCGTACCTCCTCCCACTTTCCCCCGAGGCTACACATCACACAATGGCAGCCCACGACAGAGACCCATGTCCTTACGTCATCCTCAACGATTTCGGAGGTGCATTCGCCATGGGTGTGGTAGGTGGCACAATCTGGCACGGCATCAAAGGAGCCAAGAACGCACCACGAGGGTTCCGCATGCCTTCCTCCATTGCAGCCATCAAGGCAAGAGCGCCGGTACTGGGAGGCAACTTCGGTGTGTGGGGTGGCATGTTCTCGAGCTACGATTGTGCGATCAAGGGGATCAGGCAGAAGGAAGATAGTTGGAACGCTATCATGGCTGGGTTTATGACTGGTGGGAGCTTGGCAATTCGATGTGAGTGCCAAGCGGACGATGATGAAAGCTGGCTTCAGGGAGGGCAAAGATATGCTGGGCAAGGTGTCTGACTGTCCTCATCTCGCCCTCCACCCTTCTCGCTCGCAGCTGGGCCAAAGACAGCGGTAGGCTCAGGTATCATGTGCGGTATCCTCCTGGGATGCTTCGAGGGAGTGGGCGCATTGGTGCAAAGATTCATGGCAGAGGGCAACAAGCAGGTGGCGCCGATGATCCCAGAGGCAGGAGCTGCCCCAGGAGGAGCGCCGGCGTTGCCGCAGACTGCGTCATCGGCGTAGATGGGAGGACAGTCCGTGGATAGCATCAGCAGAGGGGTACAAAGGCGGGCTCCGCATGGAGGCTAGCCATTTGATAATGAGGTGATGAGCGATGCAGATATGGGACTTGCATGGCCAGCCACTTGGAAGGCGTCGTCAGCCGGACGTGTCGACGATGAGGAGGAGGGAAGGGAATGGCAGCGGCCACTAGCATGACCAGGGCCGAGATGGACGATATAGACTGCGACGAGGAGGGCACGAAGCACATCATCAAGACTTGGCAAACGCACCCTCGTCCTCGTCTGGCTCCCACATCACCACCACTACGTGATCACTGTAACATTGTGTAATGACGCTTCATTCGTCTCACTGGTCGCGCCCGACTGCTGGCAGCGTCTGTCAAATTGCGACCTCTACAAGTACACATGGGGGCCGACTGCGCTAACCCGCTACGCATCAGCCATCTCCTCATCGTCCCCATCCCCGTTTCCTTCTAGCACAGCTTTGAGCTGCTCCTCTTTGTTCCTTCTCCTCATCACCAACCCGACCTCGTCCGCCTCGTCTCCTTCGTCGTCATCGAGCTCAGTCCTTGTTGCCTTGCGAGGACCAGACGCAAACGTCTCCGCCCCCGCTGAGAGGGCATCGATGAGCAATGGCAACCTTGAATCTGGACCAGGGAGAGTAAGATTGGGCTCGCGCTGCATGATTAAAGGGCAAGCAAGTCAGCAGGAGGGTCTCAACTTGAAGCGAGGTTCAGCGTCCACTCACCCGTCTCAACGCGTCCAGCTCATCACCAAACTCGCTCGTCATGGCCTCGAGCCAGAGCTGTCCGAAGGCCTCGCGAGTGCGACGGCGGTATTGCTGCTCCTCCTGATCATCTTGCTCCTCTGCATCGCCTACCCTCGCTCCGTCTCGCTGCTCTCTATCAGAAGCCCCAACGATGTCCCCACCCCTCAAAGGCACTTTCGCAGCACGACGCTCCTTGCGTCTCCTGGCTGCCTCCTGCGTGATGCGCGCAGGCAAAGGGTTTGACGAAGAAGACGCCAAGGCTTGTACGTTGCTCCTGCTCGAGAGGACTCCCAGATGCGGATCGTCATGCAGAGAAGAACGCAGCGATCTGTCGAGCTCGACGGCGTCCGATCGACCATCGAGCGTAGAGGGGGAAGCTGCGCGTCTTGGGCGAGACGACGATGCAACTGCCGAAAGGGTGGCTTGATGGTTTTCGTCATCTGAGCTGTCACTTGATGAGGATGACGAGGATGACGAGGAGGAAGAGCCGCTATTGAGGGCAGCCAGCTTAGCCCTGCGTACGGCGGCAGCCGACCCTGCCGCTGCTTTCTTCGTGTCCTCTTCATCGTCTGAGGAATCTGAGCTCGAAGAGCTGCTGCTGCTGCTACTGCTGCTGGACGAAGAGTCACTTTCAGCAGCAGCAGCTGTGCGAGCTTTCCTTGCCCTTCTCCTTTTGCGCGGACGAGTCGTTGCCGCTTTTGGTGGCATTGCGCTGGATGGTGGAGAGGACGAGGAAGATGAGGCCCAACCTCCTTCCGAAGCAGCAGCAGCCGCCAAAAGTTTTGAGCCGCCGAGCTCGATGGACTGCCAGTTCCGGTCCGCCGTCTCGTCTCCGCCTCCGCCTCGTTGCTTTGCCGCTCGGACCATCAATCGAAGCTCTTTCTTGACTCTCACCTCACCAATACAATGGCGTCCAACATGATCTCGTCCATCCTGCCACCGACATCTCAGGGCTATCTGCCCATCTGGCTCTGGATCGTAGCAAGTACTGCCTTGATCAACGGCCTCGTCAATCTCGCGACGCCCAACGCCCCCTCACCTTCCTCCAAGGGCAAGAATGCAACAACCAAGGCCAACCCATCACACAAAGTCTACTCCTCCCCTTCAGGCTCTCTCTCCTCCACGCCCCTCACAGCAAGGCTCTTTGGAACATGGAATATCCTTTCAGCCCTTGTACGATTCGCTTGCGCCTACCAGCCGAAGAACACGCCAGTCTACGCCCTGTGCGCTGCGACTTTCATCCTGGCGCTGGTGCATTTCGGCAGCGAGGCGGCGCTGTACGGAAATATCGACGTCAAGAAGGCGGGAAGTGCTAGTCCCTTTTTTGTGGCCGGAGGAAGTCTGGTCTGGATGGTCGCGCAGGCCCAGTGGTACGCAGAGGCATAAAGAACCAGTGGGAGGACAGGGACGATGGCGAGGGGAGCGAGTGAGAGAATGCATATATCCTGGTATTCGATAAAAGAGAGATGTCCGATACTGCTGTTGCCGCTACCAACACCTCAGCCCTTACGACCCAGCACTCGCCGCGCCCGGCCCCCTCTTCCACCATCCCAGCACTGCTACAGACCCTGCAACGACAAAGGAAACCAGCGCCGCGCCGCTCAGCACGTTGACGACGAAGCCATTCTCGTCGAGGATGTCGCCAGCGCCCTTTCCTGCAGCAGCAGTCGCATTGCCTCGCCTCGCTTTGCGGCGCGGATCTTTTCCTTCGCCCTCGCCAGCCGCAGCTGAGCGACGGGCTTTGTGCGGCCGTTTGCTCCTCGCCTCCTCTCGGGAGCGTCGCCCTGAGCCGGCTGCTGAGGGTGAAGCGCCACGTCGCCTCCTGTTCCCACGGGTACCAGGGAGGGCAAAGAAGCCTCCTCCATCTTCTTCGTCCACGTCTTGTTCCTCCATTGCCTCGTCCGCAGCACGCTCCGCCTCTACCTCGAGCGCTGCCATCTGGGCAATTTGGCCCGCCTCCGCCCACTCGCTTGCTTCGATTCCAATGCCAGCGTCCAATCTGAGCGCCTCGCTCAGGTACGGGAGAGGGCCTTGCTGCACAACCCGCTGTGCTTCGCTCATATTCACGTAGGGGACCATGGGCGGAGAGTGAAGAGGTGGCGAGTTGGCGGATGAGGGAGATGAGAAGATGGGAGGCGGAGGCGAGTGAGCTGCGCCGCCGCTCTGCGCGCGAGAGTAGCGCGCTGGTGCATAAGTCGTATAAGGATCACGGCAGTGTCCTGACCCGGAAGGAAAGAGGAGGGTCGCACCACCTGAGGTTGAGGTGGTAGCTCCGCCTGTTTTGCCTAGGCCCCCTGTTCCAGAGAGGCTTGCGTTCCCTCCGGCGACGCTCGTGAGGCTCAGCCGTGCGTACGAGACGTAGAGCCTAGCCAGAGCCTTGCGGCCGCCCAGCGCTGCCACCATACGCGGTGGTGCTGTGGGCGGATCATCTTCTGCCCTCTCTTCCTCCTCCCGCGTCTCTCTGAAGGGCAAGGGTAGATAATCCTGTACCAGAAGTCGAGTAGCCGTAGGCAGATCAGCCGTCCGCCAGCTTCGTACAAAGTACTCAAAGCCGTCATCCCAGCCTCCGGGTGGTGGTGGTGCGGTCATTGAGGCGCGAGCCTGTAGACCGATGAGGACGAGAGAGACGGGATCCATGTTGAAGCGGGCGTCCTCTTCTTGAGTGCTGGCAGCTTCGCCCTCCGATTCCTCATCTTGACCGCCAGCTCCTCTGCGGGCGCGCTGCTGATCAGTCGCGGTGGTCATGGATCTTGGAGAGGTCCCGTAGCCCAACACGGTATGCGAATCATCGCTGTGCAAGCTGAGAGTGCTCTCTGCAGCTGACATCCGTGTACCAGAGCGTCCTCGACGCTGCCAGCTACCTCCGGCGCCCGTATCGCTGTCCAGTGATGACGAGATGGCAGATCTGGGCGAGCTGCCAAACATCGCGCCTTCTTCACTTGAGTCAGAGGATCGTCGCCTTTCGCTGCCACCCGCGTTGGCCGAGGGTATCGCGACGCTGCCGCGAGCATGCTCTGGGGATAAGGGAGCAGGGCCTGAGATGAGGCTGGGCCACATGCCTACATCGATCTGGGAGCGGGTAAACATCCAGAAGTCAGCTCATGTTCGAAATTGAGCGTTCTATCGCTGCTCTTTCTGACCTTCGTCAAGTGCACTGTGACCAGTCTAGCATGCATCGCATCATCATCGCCATCATGACTGCTCGGCCTTCCGCTCCCAGACGAGGCAGCCGTGCCGAAATGCACGCTGCCCTCCAGGCTGAGGGGAGCAAAGATTTCCTCGGGGTCTGATGAGGACGTAGACGGGCCTGTTGAAATCCTGCTGGCGACTGAGTGAGGGGAGCGAGGTGATGACGGTGAGGAAGGGCTCGAGGCTGGGCCTGAAGCTGGGGCAACAGTGCTATCGGTGACTCCTGCAGCTGATGAAGCTGGCTCACTTCTGTCGTGGCTCTGAGCATCGTCGATGATAACGCCGCTGCCGGTGCTGGGGGTAGGAGAAGGCGGTCTCGGCGGCAACGACGCCCGGCTATTGCCTAGTAGCTCGTAGCTGCTTGTTGAGCCGGACCGCGAAGCTGAGCGACCCGTAGACGAGCCAGCTGTGGAACGGGCTTGTGTGCCTGTACTTGCGGTGCCACTGCTGCTGTTCTGGCCTGTCCTCTGGCGGGTCTGCGGCGGCGACATCGAGGATGAAGATGAAGCAACAGAGGTTGGGTCGCGACCCTCACTAGAGCTCGTATCGTCATGCCCACTACCACTTGTCTGCCTGCGCGATCGACTGCCTGAGCGATGTGCCCGTCTCGACGTGGATCGCTGGTTGCGCTCAAGCTGCCAAGACGACGCGGATGGATCGATGCGGGCATACAGACTGGCCTTGAGGACTGGCGGGTAGCCTCGAATTCCAGCAACGACGTGATCTGAAGCGATGAGGACGTCAAGGTCTTCATCTCTCGCGGACAGGGCTACGTAGAAGACGACGGTGACTTGGCCGTGAGACTGGTGGAATTGCCAACCGGATAGGGCGGGTCCGTGGATGGAGAGGTTGGGAGCAGGCGATGACATCGTTGATGGACCGGTTGCTGCTGCCGCCGGGCCGGCTACCATTGCTTCTTGAGACGTCATGTCGAAGCATCAATGACTGCCACGAAGCTCACAGCCGTCTACTGTCCCATTGGGTGAGAGGTCGAGGTCTCAGAGACGGCCGGACGAAACGGAGATGGTGTTGTTGGTGCTGAGTCAAGGGGCTCAATCTTAAACGTGCGGGGCCCATGACGGTCCAAGCGTGCACGAGCCACGCATCGGCGGGCGTCGACTCGACGACGACGGCGACGACGGACAAGACGGGAAGACAAAGGACGACTTGGCTAAAGTCACTTCAAGCTCCAACACTTGATTTACACCCACGAGGATGGCTGTCAGCGGCAGCAACGAGGGAGCTTCATCGTCCACTGCTGCGACGACGCTGCCACCGGGATTGGCCCTCAGCATAGCCAATGTCCTCGATGGCCCCGATGGCCCCGATGGCCAGCAGAAGACGGGCGATCCTTCCTCCTCCTCCTCTCATCCCGAATCTCTCACTGCCCAACTCGCCCGTCAATTCCACTCGCCGCAATGCCTTTCGTCAACATCAATACAGCGCACTCACGCTCGCATGAGGGAACAATTGTCCACTCTAGACGAGGAGATTGATGCCTTGGTACAAGAGGTGCAGCGCCAACAGGCGTCGCCAAAGTTGGGACCGTCGGGCGAGGTGCACGCGCAGATGAGGGATCTCTTTGAGCGCCTCGAGATGATCAGAACCAAAGCAACGTCCAGTGAGAAGACGGTGAAGGATATCACGGGGGATATCCGGTCCCTAGATACGGCCAAGAACAATCTAGTGGCTAGCATGACGACTTTGAGGAGGCTCCAGATGTTGGGTCAGTGTTCAGGCCAAGAGAGAGATCTCTAGGGCTTGATCAGGATACTGACGCATACTGTCTCGCCCCATTAGAGTCCGGAGCCATTCAACTTCAAAGCTTGACAGATGAGCGCAACCTCAGAGAAGCAGCGCAATCACTCGATGCGGTAAAGGCGTTGCAGACTTCCTTCAAAACGTTTATGGCCGTAGAGCGAGTTGCGACCACCTCAAGACGCATCGCTGACGCTCAGCAGCGGCTAAAGACGGCAGCAATGGAGGAGTACGAGAAGTTGTGAGTGCCAGAATCGCTGGCTTAGGAACCAATGTGAGCATTGGAGGCTGACCAGTCAATGCACTTTCCGCGCTCCTCCCTCAGCTTCCTCCAAGAAGCTGGCTCCACGACTCCCATCCGCAGCACCGCTGTACCGGACGCAGCTCTTGCTCTCGACGCCATAGGATCAGATGCCGTCAACGCCTTGTTGGACTGGTACTGTGCCCTTCAACTACGAGAGTATCGCCGCATCTTCCGCGCAACAGACGAAGCCGGTCAACTAGACAACGTCTCTCGTCGCTTCGCATGGTTCCGTCGCGTTGTCAAGCAGCATGACGAGGAGCACTCGGGTGGCTTCCTCGAGGGATGGCAAGCAGCAAAGGCGCTTACTGCCCGATTTGCGGACATCACGCGCGAGGATATCAAAAGCGCACTGATCAGGGAGAGGCCCAAGCTTCAGGTAACAACGTTGCTCGAGGCTCTGCAGGCTACCATGGAGTACGAGGCCCAAGCTAGTAAACGATTCGGTGGAGTGCCATTCAGCCAGATCTATGCGGCTAATCCGAGACCAGTCACGGCGGCTGGACCGAGCGGAATCACTATTGCACCTGCAGCGGCTGCTACGGCGGCAGAGAACATCTCGTCCGTCTTTGAGCCCTATCTGGGTCTCTTTGTCGAGGCGCAGGACAAGGCCCTCGCAGAGCTCATGGCTAATTATCGCCGCCAAGGGACGACACTCCCCTCCCAGGCCGACATCACAAACAATGCCGGTGGTCCTCCTCCAGCCTCTTCTCCGGGGTCCCACCCTACCGTCCTCCCCTCCAGTACTGAGCTTTTCTACTTCTACCGCCAATCTCTCGAGCAATGCTCCCGCTTGACGAATCGCTCCGCCTTTCGCGACCTTATCACCGTGTTCCGCCGCTACCTACGCGCATACGGAGAAGACGTCCTGCGTGCTGCACTACTCTCTGCCCGTCCTCCCCGGCCGGACGGGAGACGCTCCACCTCCCTCTCAACTGACACGCGCACAAGCGTGCAGGATCTACAGCGCTGGTGCTTGGTGTTGAACACAGCGGATTATTGTGCCAATACGTGCACGCAGCTCGAGCAGAGGCTGAAGGCAAAAATCCACGAGGAATACAAAGAGCAAGTCACACTTGAGCCGGACAGGGAGGTGTTCGAGGCCATTGTGGCGGCGGCGGTTACGGTGCTCACGAGGGAGGGAGAGATGGCTGTTGAGCCGGGCATACCGCACAAGATGATGCGCGGAGGTGGGGGGAGCGGCTCGAGCGGCGCGAATACAGCTGGACTTGACGCCGCAGCTGGAGGAAGCGGTAATGTGCAGCCCTGGCTGTCCCTCACGCAAGTACATGGGAAGAGCAGCTACGTAGACGAGGTGCGCACCTCTCTCGAGTCGGTTGCGGTCGTCGTCAGGCAGGACGTCGAGAACAAGCGCTATGTCCGTTCGTGGTGCGACAGAACCGCCCACGTCGTGCTGCTCAAGTGGACTCACGCGCTTGTGCGACTTCTGCTGCAGCGGCCTTCCACGCCGGGGCAGCAACCGACCTCACTTGGCCGCTCCCGCCCAGCCATCGAACAGCTGCTAGTAGACCTCTACGAGATCAAGGCCACCCTCCTCGAGCTACCTCAACACACGCCGAGCGAGCAGTCATCCGCGTCAGCTCTCGGCTACGCAAGGCATGTAGAACGCAACGTCGGACGCGTCGAAGCTCTTCTGCGGCTCATGCTCGTACCGCTCGATGAAGGTGATGCCACCAGTCAGAAGGGCGAGCTGAGAGAAGAAGCCTTCCTCAGCGAGTATGTCCGTCTTTGCGCCGTCGATCTCACTGGGGCTCCAGGGGATGCTGGGCCGGAAAGTGGTTTGGCGAGCCTGGCGAACCTGCAGAAGGCCATCGACCTAAAATGTGGCAATGCCCCTGGCGCTGGAGGAGGGGGTACAGCCGGCGCGAGGTTGAGCGATGCGCTTGTGGACCGCTTCTTTGCACTTGTCGATGCAGCGGTTGCGGCGAAAGCTACAGGGAGCGAGAGTGTGGCAGGAAGAGACGACAGGCCCACCCCTGCTGGATTGGCTACATTGCTTTCCACGCTGGAGATGGACCCGCCCCCACCTGGTGCGTTAGTCACCCCTCCGCCTGCCCTGGACTTTGCACCGCTCAACGTGCCCGGCGACACAGCATCGTCTTATGCGACCGCCACTGGGGCGCAGATGAGCGCGACGGGCTCTGTGGACCAGGCGAGGACTGGTCTCTTCTCCCCACCTCTTTCGTCGACAGGAGGGGATGGCGCACCGACATCTGGCGGCGGACTGGGCGTAGGAGCGAGGAGCGTATTTGGGGGTGCTGGAGGCAAGTTCGGCAGCCTCTTTGGTCTCGGCCTGGTGGGGGACAGGAACAGGGGACAGTAGCGTGGGCCGGTACGGGAAGAGGGAAAGCAGTCGCATACTCGAGCTAGATTAGAGCAATTTCAATCTTTCATTTTGAGCTTCTGAAAGCACCGGCGTGTAAGGAAGTGAGGATAGAGAAGAAGAGATGCAAAGGAGAGCAGACGAGGGGATATGTCGCTCCCTTGACCCTGCACTGAGATGCTACTTGTCTGGACGCGCTTAGAGCTCGTCGTGGTGACCGTACAGCGGCTCGTCGTCGCCGCCGCTCGACGAACCACCAGCGTCACCGCCCGAGTACACCTTGGCGGTGATGGGCGCAACGGTGGCCTGCAGTTCGCTCAGCTGCTCTTCAATGTCACTCGCTTCCGCCTCGGCATTGTCCTCCAGCCAAGTGGTACCGTCCTTGAGCGCCTGACGAATCGTCTCCTTGTCGTCCTTGTCCAGCTTGCCTCCGAGTCCCTCCTTGTCGCTCAGCTGAGCCTGCAGCGACGAGATGAAGGACTGGTACTGGTTGACGACTTCGACCTTCTTGCGAACGGCCTCGTCTTGCTCAGCAAACTCCTCGGCCTCCTTGACCATGCGGTCGATCTCCTCGGGGCTAAGACGGCCCTTGTCGTTGGTGATCGTGATGGACTCGGACTTGCCCGTGCCCTTGTCTGCGGCCATGACCTTCATAATTCCGTTGGCATCGAGCTCGAAGGTGACCTCAATTTGAGGCACGCCGCGAGGAGCAGGGGGAATGTTGGTCAGCTCGAACTTGCCGAGCAGGTTGCAGTCCTTGGTCATGGAGCGCTCGCCCTCGTAGACCTGGATGAGGACCGTGTTCTGGTTGTCGGCGGCAGTAGAGAAGATTTGCGACTTCTTGGTAGGAACGACGGTGTTGCGGGGGATGAGCTTGGTCATGACACCGCCCGTGGTCTCGATACCGAGAGTGAGGGGGTTGACGTCGATGAGGAGGAGACCCTCTGATCCCTCCTCGCCGGCAAGGACACCACCCTGGACGGCGGCTCCCCATGCGACGGCTTCGTCCGGGTTGATTCCCTTGGAAGGCTCCTTGCCATCGAAGAAGTCCTTGAGGAGCTGCTGAACCTTGGGGATACGGGTGGAACCGCCGACGAGCACAACGTCATCGATGTCCTCCTTCTTGACGCCGGCATCCTTGAGGACCTGCTCGACGGGCTTCATCGTCTTGCGGAAGAGGTCGGCGTTGAGCTCTTCGAACTTGGCACGGGTGAGCGTCTCACCGAGGTCCTTGCCCTCGAAGAAGTTCTCAATCTCAATCTTGGTCGACATCTGGCTCGAGAGGGTGCGCTTGGCTCGCTCGACTTCACGACGCAGCTTGCCGACGGAGCGCTTGTTGACCGAGGCGTCAAGGTTCTCCTTCTTCTTGAACTGCTTGAGCATGTAGTCGGAGACGCGGTTGTCGAAGTCCTCACCACCCAAGTGAGTGTCACCAGCCGTGGCCAAGACCTCGAAGACACCGTCTTCAATGGAGAGGAGCGACACATCGAATGTTCCTCCTCCCAGGTCGTAGACGATGATCTGAGCCTCGCCCTTCTTGTCGAGACCGTAGGCGATGGCGGCGGCCGTAGGCTCGTTGACGATTCGGAGCACGGTGAGACCGGCGATGGTGCCTGCATCCTTGGTGGCGGTACGTTGAGCGTCGTTGAAGTAGGCGGGGACGGTGACAACGGCGTGGGTGACCTTGTGGCCCAGGTAAGCCTCGGCGGTCTCCTTCATCTTTTGAAGAATCATGGCTGAGACTTCCTCGGGGGTGAATACGCGGTCAGAGCCACGGACGTTGACCTTGATGGCGGGCTTGCCTGCCTTCTCAACGAGCTGGAAGGGCAAGCTCTTTGCGTCCTTCTTGACGTCAGAGTCTCCCCACTTGCGGCCGATGAGACGCTTGGCATCGAAGATGGTGTTCTCGGGGTTCTGCGCAGCTTGGTTCTTGGCGGCATCTCCAATCAAGCGCTCGTCTTCGGGGGTGAAGGCGACATACGAAGGGGTGATACGGTTTCCTTGGTCGTTGGTGATGATCTCTACTCGTCCTTGACGCTGAACACCGACGCAAGAGTAGCTGAGCGAGAAGGGTTCGAGAAGGCATTTGGGTCAAGAATCAGCGACTAGGACTCGCATCGCAGCATGAAATTTGCGTTGGCGTGGAGGCGCGCGCACTCACGTTGTACCCAAGTCGATACCAATGACAGTTCCATACTCGCTTCGCTTCTCCTGAGCTGCGACACCAAAGCCGCCAGCATTGCCAGCGGGTGCGAAGGTTGATGCGAAGGCGAAGAGGGCGAGGATGGCAAAGAGGATGTTGAGCGGGGACAGCGACGAGGTGAGTCGTGCTGTTGAGGATCGCGGTCTTGCTGATGCTGCTGATGCTGCTCGCGAGGAGCGACGAGCCATCGACGAGGCCATCTTGATTACCTTGAAGAGGGGATGGTGTTGGTTGGCAAGGAGGAGAAGAAGACGAACGAAGCTCACGCCGTCTTATTCGCCAGTCTCGCAGCCTTGCAGGCGCAAGGGGCGCGCGGAAAGAGGGCGCTCGAGCCCGCTGTGCTGGCCAAGGACACGCAGTGTCGACGTGGAGCAGCCACGAAGACGGCCGCCGTGTCCAGGCCACGCGAGCATGCCACGACGACGGCGCAACCAATGGCCACGACGACCGGCCGCTCAAGCTCATCAGTCCATAGGCCCACGCCCTACACGTCGTCGACTTGTCACGTTCTATGCCCAGACCTCTCGCTCATCAAGGGCACGCTGCGTGTAATCGTCAAGATATTCATTGCTTGCACATTAAGATGAGATGGTTGATACGGCTCCGAGCCATCAAGAAAGAGAGAAGAGAATATACACAATACCGCTCGTAGGCGGCAGCAGCACGCTCAATGGTCACTATCGCTCCTCGATTGCGCTCAGCACTTGACGTTGCCCGCCGAGTCGAGGTTGCGCGTGATCCAACCGTACTTGAGCCCAGCCTGGTAAGACCACTCATCGGCGCTCTCCGTCTTCCAAGTCCAGAAGATCCACCCTGACCCGCTCTTCTCGTAGACGTTCCTCTGCGTGTCGAACAAGTCCTTCAGCTGAGACTTGAACGTCGAGCTGAAGCTTGATCCCGAACCTGTCTTGCCCTTGCACGACCCCTGCGAGTTGAAGCCAGAGTAGCTCCCATCATAGCGCGACCCTATTCCGCGGCCGTTGAGGTAGCGAGTGCAGTCAGTGGGGCTAGTGGTCCACTCGCCCGTGACAAGGTAGTGCTTTCCATTGGCCGACGAGATATCCCCGCGCTGATTGCAGTAGTATTGCAGGCGATCCTTGTGGCTCAGGTAGATGTTCTCGTTAAAGATCGAGTAGATGTGGTGGTCAAGGAGGACATTCTGGAAGTTGGGCGGACGCATGAAGTTGTCGTAGACGTTGAGGTTCTGGAAGCCCTCCTGGAAGGCGACGTTGACGCTCGTAGGGTTGGAGCCCTGGGCGTATCGTACGGCGTAGTAGGCGTCGGAGGCGTAGTCCTTGGCGAATTGCAGCCTCTGACCGGAGTCGCCATTGGTGGTGAGGGGCTCATTGAGCAGCTCAATTGAAGTCACAGTGTCGGCGTACTCTGAAGTAGTGAAGCGCTTAGCGATCGCCGTGATAGCGGCCTTGGCGCGGTTGGCGTAGTCCTTGTTGTTGAACCAGTTGGCGCTGCCGCGGTGACCGCTGTTGTCGAAGCCCTGCGAGCGAGGGGGGAAAGAGGCGTGGAGGCAGAGTGAGCGTCAGCGTCAGAGTCGTACAGCTTCAAGCCGTGCTTTGGGTTCACTCACGTTTTGGCTGAAGGGAGCTCCGTGCAGGTCGATCATGACCTTGAGGCCATTGTCGCGAGCCCAACCGACAGCCCTAGTCAAGTAGTCGAACTGGTTGGACTTGCAGTAGGTCGCATGCTTGTCATCAAAGGCCCAGTAGCCGATGGGGATCCTGACGTGGTTGAGGTTTGCAGCTTTGATCTGACGGAAGTCGTCTGCGGTGATCCACGAAGCCCAGTGGCTCTGCAGCCTGGAGCAGGCGTCGTTCACGCCCTTGTACTGGCCCATGGTGTACTCATCAACGACGCGGTTGTCATTGGTGTTGTCGTAGAGAGAGGGCTTGATGAAGGGCTCCGAGACGAGCCAGCCACCAATATTGACTCCACGGACCTTCTGCGAGCCGTAGTTCCAGCCGCCAGCTCGAGGAAGAACGAGGCGAGGCTGATCGAGGGGCTCTCCGCGCTCATCGACTACCGAAGGGATGTCGAGCTCGCCAGAGGTGACATTGCGCGAGATGAAGAGCGTCTCGCCCTCGTGATCGACTGCAGTTGAGCGACGAGAAACGCTGCGACCGTCGGCACCAGTGCCAGACGATGCTGCGATGGCGAGTGCTACGGTGAGGAGTTGGCAAAGGTTCTTGAGCATGTTGGCGGTGAGAGGTGCTCTGAAAAGGTAGGCCGAGTGAGGGACTGTTGGAAGCGAAGACAAGTCATGACGAAGGGGAGAACAAGGGGATAGAAGTGATGTGAGCCAAGAGCGGGACAAGGAAGATGTGATGTGCGCGAGGAGGTAGAAGGTCTCCTGACGCCAACCCCGCGGACGGCGAGAACAAGGCAGTGCCAGCCCCCGCCAAGGGCAGCTTAGCTTCGACGCTGACGTCTGACAGCTCGTCCCAGCAATGAACGGCGAATTGACCGGCAAGAACAGGGGTTCGGCGACAACTCAGGGCCAAGACACAGAGAGAGTGGTAGGGGGTGATGCTGCACGGCTACTGTGGTACTCACCAGTGTGTGGTTATGTGCCGCCGGAGGAAGGGGTGCTAGCGCTAGCGGCTGCTTTCCGGATGTAAGAGAGGTAGAACTCTGAGAGAGAGTGGCAAGCGTACAATGACGATGCGACGATGGGTCACAACGAAGGAGAAGATGCTAGTGGTATCGATAGTGATGGTAAGGAGGGTTGGTAGAGAAGCAGGTGTTGAGCGAGCTTAAGGCAGTCGCTCGCCAAGGCACCATTCACCCATCCATTCATCTTTCGCCGCCGCCGACGGCAAGCAAGCGTGACGCTCGAGCACACAACGGCTAAGTGTTGGCTGCGTCCCGTCAACCTGTCCGTCTCCTGTGCCGATGACACAGTTGAGCTGCCTCACGATCAAGTGTTGGAGTTGAAGCACGATTGAAGCGAGGCAGGCCCACGCACGCCTCTGGCCGGCTGGCGAGCTGGGTGAGGGGTGGTGCCGTTGCCGTTGGCCGCGGGTGCCGCTGTCCCCTCGGCGCATTCCATGATACCCGTGCAAGGAGAGAGAACGAGTGAGGAAGGCATCATTCTTGTTAGGCGAGCATTCAAACGGCGGCGGAGGCAGCAGCTGGCAGCCTCCGAGAGAGAGATGTCCAGCGACGTTAGGCGAGGCGACGACTGGCGGGGCGCATCTCCTGGACCAACAGCTCAGCACAGCCCGCCATGACCTTGCTCGCTCCTCTACTGGTACCACCAACAACACCTCTCGAAGAGCAAGAAGCAGGATCCCGTCTCGTCCTTGTTCGTGTTCGAAGAAGCAACGACGACTTCGAATACCGAACTTAGGTTGTCGTCGAGTGAACTAAGAAGAGGCCCGAGCGCAAAACCCAATCGCACGGCGTCCCGCCCTGTCTTTCTGTGCATCTCGTCGTTGTCCCGAGTCAAGGGCTCATGCAGCTCCGATGACAGAGAAAGCTTTCCACATCTGGCGGGCGCGCGGGCAGGCAGGCGACGCCAAGGCGGAGAAGAGGGTGCGGGGAGGAGCAGCGGGCAGGCGCCGAGCGCCATGCGATGGGTGCCGGGACACGCATATTGACGACCCAGGATGTACGAAGCACGCACGTACGAGCCTGCCCCTCTTCCTCGTCGGCCAAGACGGCAGAACGCGAGGAATCTAGCGAAGGCGCGCTCAGTCGTCAACTCAGGCTCGGTGAAAGGGGGGCGTGCTGCCCGAATTGGTGAGATGAAAGGGCGCCGAGTCCCTCGAGCGCGTCGCGTTGATTGTCTGGGTCAGAAGAGGTCGCCGGGCATCTTGCGATGCATGTGAGGTAGTCAAGTGGCAGCCGCATTTCGCACATGCTGATCGAAGATCGACGTAATGTAACGATAGTCAAAGAAATGGTACAACAAGATCGTCGTCGCGGTCATCAAGAGGTTGTCGCCGAGTCGTCCGGGCTGCCTGACCTACTCATCCCGGCTGTGCTTATCCTCGCTCTGCTCTCCACTGACATCAGGGTCCTGCGCCCCCTCCTCACGCTCCTCGGCATGCACAGGACTTCCACCATACGCTCCACTGCTTTGCCTGCGACTCTTCTCTTCATCATCTATGATGCTCAACGCCTTCCTCAGACGGCGGCCAAGCCCTGCCCCTCCTGCAACGAAGGAGCCGCCTGCTCGATTCTGATCGGAAGCTGCGAGGCTGTGTGACTTGCGCGTGGGCGTCGTCGGGTCGGCGTCGTTACTCGTCGTCATCGTCTCTTCCCCTTGCCCCCTCTCCCCATCCTCTGAACCGTCCTCGCTCCCGAACAACGGCGAGCCTATCCCGCTCGCGCCTGAGCTCTGCGGGTGACTAGCACTCGTGAGGCCCAAAGCCGCGAAGGACACCTCGCCCGGCGCAGGTGCTACGGCTGAGGATAGGCGAGGCGACATTGCGCCTCCGCTGCCGATCGAGTCGCGATGCTTCGTCGAGCTGCTCGAGCTAGGCGGCGGTCTGGACAGGCCCGTTGCAGGTGCTCGTGGGCTTAGCAAGCCCGCGGGAGTTAGGACATCGTCGTTGCCATCGCGGCCTAAAAGGTCTGAGGGGTGTTGCAGTACGCTGAAGATCTGGTCGGGGCCGCCGGTGGAGCTTGAGCCTGATGGGCCGCCACCGGAGGAGGAGGAGGCGCCGTTTGGCTGGGCGTAGGCACCAAAGGGATCCGGAATAACCGATAGCATCGGTTCAAGTACGGGGTCGCTGAGCGGTTTCGAAGAGAGGCGTTCGTGTACTTCGACTTGAAGACGCAGGAGGTGAGAGACCTGTGCGAGAGCGTGGCGATGCCGTGGTCAGCATCGCAACAATCATTAAGATGATATCCCGCCTTGCTACGCACCCTATTGGCAACCCTATCCCACTCCTCCTCCTCTGCACCCAACACGTCAACATAATGCGTTGCTCTCTCCTCGTCTAGCCCATTGACCAGCCTCTGCAGCTCTTCCAATGCCTTTCTGAAACTGCCCAAGTCCCTCTCCTTCCCCCTCTTCTTTGCCGCTCCTCTCAATTGCTTCTCCTCACACTCCTGCAACTCCCTCGAACGCTCCGCCATCACCCTATCATGCGCCATCTGCCTTTCTGCAACAGCTGCGCGATGCGAATCAAAAGCTTCTAGCAAGGGGATGGAGAAATCCTTCCAGAAGCCATCGGCCAACAGCTTGCTGTGTGACGCAACCAGAAACTCCAAGCCGCTCGCTGCGTGCAATTGAGGCCCAACTTTGTGTGAGCCCTTGAGCCTCGCGCAGTCCTGCAATGCGAAGGCGAAGTCATTCGACGCGGTGGACAGGGCGAGGAGGGCTTGCGTGTAGGCTTTTGAGGCGGTCAGGAGCCCTTCGTAGGCGTTGAGGGAGCTGATCTGGTCTTTGCGTGTTACGATCGTTGAGGGACGAAGATGTTGAGGCAGGTGAGGAGGCAGAATTTGTGTCGAGGTGGTTGACAAGGCCGGCGACCCCGGGATCGGCGCCGATGATGAGGAGGGCATCGCGGGCGGGCGGAACACAAATGCTCAGCGAGCGTGGCGGGAACGATGACGACGTCAAAGAGTGAGAAGTGAAGAGTGAAGATGGCGAAGGCGTGATGCTATTGAAGGCTGGGTGGAGCCCCTGTCCCTGTCCGGCCTTGACCCTGTTGATTTCTCCCACTCGGAGCTGAATCCAGTCGACTCCAAGCAACACCTGCGACGCCACGCGTCTCAGTCCGCCCTCCCATGCCAGACCACAGCTCTGAAGAGCTCTCTTTCCGTCCGATTGTACCTCTGCTCCTTCTTGTCGTCCTCTCCACTCCAAGATTGCCCAGCATGTCCAACCCTTTCAAAGAGTCCTCCGTCTCCTCGCGCTTCGTATCCAGCACAGAGCTCACATCCGCTCAAAAGAAGCGCGAAGATGACCTCAAAGCCGCCTATGCTCGCATCGGCCAGGAGCCACCCCCTTCGGCAGCGGCAGCACAAGAGGAGTACGACCCACGCAGCTTGTACGAACGCCTCAAGGCCAATTCGGATGCCAAGCAGGAGAAATTTGACGAGCAGTGGAAGTTGAGCAATCAATTCAGAGGGATCGATGAGGGCGAAAGTAGCTTCCTTGCAGACGTCGCTAGGGAGAAGAGGGAGGAGGAGAGACGAAAGAAGGCTGAGGAGGCAAAGGAGCTCGAGGAGTTTAGAAAGTCGGTTGAGGCAGTGGCGTGTGATGATGATGAAGAGACAATCGCTGACGATAAAGTACCGCTGGCAGAGCCACCGAAGCTCAGCAAGCCTCACCACCTCCTCCTACCTTGGCTGGTAGCCCCAGCGCAGTCGCCTCGACGGCCAAGTCTGCTTCTCCGCCAGCACCAACAGCTGCAGCCACCAAGCCAGTGGCATCCTCGTCAGCGGCTAGCAAGGCCAGCAAGAGGAAGCGCGACGGTAGTGCGCTGGGCATTGTCAGGAAGAAGAAGAACCCGCAGTCAGAACAGCAGAAGGCTGGAGAGGCCAGCAAGCCTACAGCAGCGGCGACCACCAAGGATGAGAGCGAGAAGAGTTCGGGTGATGCGCAGAAGGGAGCCAAGTCATGAAGACCTGCCAAGTGTGATTCTATCGCTGCAAGTAAGCGCATCGATGGTCACATCGTACGGGACATGGCCCAACCTGTCGATCGCTTTCATAATGACGAGGGAGAAGCCACCCGCCTCAACAGCGGCAGCTACTCTCCGTTGTCAGATGATCAAAAGAGCCAGGTGGCAGAAGACACAGCTTGAAGTCACGAGTACGCCTAGCTGGGTCGTTCTACGCCATCCGCGACCGCAACCATCATCGAAGAAAAGGGAGCGAAGCGCCATATGAATCAAGGCTGAATGCCCGGAGGAAAGCAACGCTAGAGCTAGAATGATTATGGAAAGAAAGGGAGCACGGTGCAGGCTCGACAAGGGGAGTATTGATGCTGAGGTCGTGAGAGGAGAGAATGGCGGATCGTACCAGGAACAAGGATGAAGACGAGGCAATGCGGCGTGAGAAGCCATGACAGAGGGCGCCAGAGTGAAATGAAAGCAGTACCCCTTGATCCATCTGATGTGTGTTGTTGAAGTACTTACGAGGGAGGTAGCAAGGTGGGCTGGATCCTTCGCTTCTTCTTCGACGCGTCCGGAGCGCTTTCGCCACTTGCTCCCGATGCTGCGGGTGCTATCTTCTCTTCGACGCTGGGCTTGCTCTCCACGTCCGATGAGGCGTTGCTTGCCGGGACAGGCGCTACCGTTGCTTCCTTCGTTGCCGAAAGACCCGTGATGCCCAAAGCGGGCGACGAGGATATGATCGAGGCTGACGAAGAGGGCGTGGCAGGTGCGGCGTCCGCTCCTACTCCTGCCGATCCTGATCCCGAGGCGACAGGCGTGGCCGTGAGAGACTGAGGTGGTGCTGGTCGCTTCTTCGTCTGCAACGTCGTGACGGTGGAACCGCTACTCCCACTAGCCGCTGACGAACTCCCCGCACTGGCGCCCGCCGCCGTGAGGCTAGGTTGTCCTCCGTACGAGTAGACTCGTCCCAGCTCCCCATACTCGAACACAGCCACAGAGCAATACCCATCACTGCTTGCCATGACCAGTGTTTGCCCGTCTGGACTCCAGCTCAAGTCTGTGAAAGCAGCGTAATGCATGTTACTGAAACAGCAGAGCGGACCACCCTGCTGCGTGTCGTAGATCCAGACGACGTCGTGCGTCGCGACGGCGAAGACCATTCGGTAGGGGAGTCCGATCATGCTTGGAGGTGGGGGCCCGAGGGGCTGGGATGAAGGGGTGGAGGGAGGTTGCGAGGAGGAATTGGCGGCTTGAGCTGCTGTGCGCGTGGGTCGTGTAGTGCTCGAGCTGCCGCTGGTGTTCCTGCTGCTACTGGCGCTCTCCGCAGCCCCTGCCGCTGCGTCCTCGGCCGCATCCAAATTCAGATTCACACTCTTCTGCTTTCCCGCCTCCAGAGGGATGTTGGGATGAGGCGCAATGCCTCCTCCATCCTCCGCGCGGGCAAATGCCGAGATGTTGGAGCGACGCAGTTCGTACAGGATGGGTGAGAAGCGTACCACCAGCGTGGCAGTCTTGTGCCCAGGCAGATGCGCGAGGGGTGCATTGCTGCGCATGAGATTGGCGCGTCCGTAGAGATAGACGGTGCTTCGCGGGCCTTGTTGCTGCTGCTGCTGCTGCTGCGAGGCGGTTTGGGACTGGGAAGAAGAGCCCACGGGCGATTTGCCAGGCGAAGGTGCCAGCGGGCTCGCAGGCGAAGGGGCTTCGAAGATACCGCTCGGCGTAACAAGCAATGCCCCATCGGGACTGAAGCTGAGTCGGCGGAAAAAGCCACTGAACGTCTCGTCGCCGTAGAGGCGCATCCCTGTTTGGAGGAGCGATCCTCCTCCTCCAGTACCGCCTAGGCCGTTGGAGCTGCTAGCCAGTTGTTGTGCTGCCTGGATACGTTGACGAGGGGAAGGCGGGGGGCGAATGGCAGGCAGAGGCGCGGGAGAGGGGGAACGGATACTTCGTGGACGTGAGGCGGAGCGACGTGATGATGAGGAGGGGGCGGGGACCATTGCGTGTGAGCCGGGGCCCGGCGTCGCAGTTGCTGAAGTCGAGGAGGAGTCATGTCCAGCAGCAGCGACGGCGGCCTTGTAGATCGAAGCTGCCGATCCCGAGTGTCCGACACCTGCATGGTGCGCCAAGGAGGCGATGCTCGTTGGCGGAGAGGTGGCCACGTCAACTTGCGACCCACTGAAGCTGGATCGACGGCTGGGCGTCTTCTGAGGTGGATTCATCGGATGAGCGCTTGTGCTTGCGCTAACGCTGGCGGTGCTGAATGCCGGGCTTTGAGGTACCGAGGGAGCAGGAGTGGGTGTGGCGGCGCGAGCGATGTTATGGGTCAGGTGTGGGGTGCTAATGACGGGAGGCTCCATGGGAGTATGGCTGCGGGCGGTTCGACCGCGCACCGCGGTGAAGCTCCCTTCACGTCGTTTGCTGGAGGAACCGCTGGCTTCGCCCGCTGCGTGGCCTGATACTACTGCGGAGCTGCCCCCGTCTGCCTCGGCATCGCTGCTGTCCATATGACTATGGTGGCCTGACGGAGGATGCAAAGGAGCGGTGAAGGTCAGCATCACGCCGTAGAGTAGCTATCCGCCGCCCTCACTCTTACTCACTGCTGCCTCGTCGCATCGGAGGCTTGATGCCAGTCTCCCAGCCATACTGCCCGCTACCATTGCGTCGATGAACATCCATGCGGCTATTGCGAGTGACGGGCGGGACGTACCCCGAGGTAGAGGAGGAAGAGCCTGAGGCCTTGCTGTGGTGATGATGGAGCGCGTGAACGTGAACCGACCGATCGCTGCTCTGTGTTGCCAAGTAGTCATTGAGCGGGTCCCAGGCAACGCCTTGAACGTAGTGTGTGTGGTCGGAGAGCTCTCGAGTGACGGAGCCTGCAACGAGACCGAGCAGCAGGATGTCAGCTCATGGCTCAGCTGTCAAGCAGCACCTGGTCCTCCGCACTCACCGTCATGCGCGTTTACGATCCTAGCCACAAAGTCAGTCCCTCCAACAATGAGCGACTCGCCGTTGGGCGACCAAGCCATATCGTAAATCTCCTGTGGAGAGACTCGAATCATCCTGATGAGGCGCCAATGCTCCTTTTCGAAGCTGGCCTCGCCGTCGTCGGGCTGCTCGCCGAAGGTTGCGGCAACTGGGCGATCCGTCAGGCCCCAGAGCATCACGGTACCATCGTCACCTGCACTTGCGAGCATGTCCCCCGAGGGCGAGAAGCGGACACAGTTGACCACGCCGGAGTGGCGTGTGAGGGTTGCGAGGTACTCGACCCGAGGAGGATGAGGGCTCGTGGAAGGGAGGCCGGCAGCCGCTGCGTTGGCCATTGCTGCGGGTGAAGGGATGCTGGGCTTGACCAGCCAGATCTGCGAGTGAGGGAGACGAAGAGTTGTCAGTCTCTTTTGACAGGGCATCAATCTGGTTTAATGTCTTGTGGGTCGCTACTCACCCGGACATTATTGTCACCACCCGCAGTAGCTAGGCGCCAGTTCTGTCCACCGGCGACATCAATAGGTGCAGCAATGCGCTGGCTCGTCCTCGTCGACGGCCCAGCAGGGGAGCCAGAGCTATCGAGGGTGCGATCAGGCGTGAGGCCAGCGGCTGTGTGCACGAAGTAATGAGGCGAGAGGTAAGGCAAGATGGTCTTATCAGCGGCTTCTCCATCTCACGAGTGGTGTGATTTGCGGCTCACCTTGTCCAGTGTTGTAATCCAGCACCCTCCTCAGCTGCCCGGCATTCATGGGCTGGAAGGAGCAGCTGTAGATGGGCTGCGTGTCGTGCCATCGGATCTCGAAGGTCACCGAGCGCACCATGGCGAGCAGTGGTGCGACGGCAGCGAGAAGGCGAGGACGATGAAGAAGACGAGGTGAGAAAGGAAGAGGGGAGCAGTTGCAGAGTAGAGGGGCAGGCAGGAGGAAGCAGCGGCTCGCGATCGACTGTACTTGGCGCTTGCTGAAGTGTGTGATGCGAAGTCAAGAGCTGCTAGCGGCCTCGATGCCGTATGCCAAAGCAAGGGAGTGAAAGCCAAGTGATCACGATGCGCTTCATTGGTCGCTGCCCGACGCCTCCTCGTTCTCTCGTAGCACCCTCCCCTCCCCGTGCCGCTTGCCTTGCGCTTGCGCTTGTTGGATCCACTCCAAGAATCGGACCGCGACTGACAACTCGAGCGCGGGCCATCTTGAAAGACACGAGAGCGAGCAAGCGGACGGATGGAGCACACGCGATCCTCCCCTCCGAGGTTCACGGGAGAATGCGAGGCGTGAGAAACGAGACCGAGCAGACCAGCACAAGGCGGTTGGACCTCTCTTCAAGTAACGTTCTCTCGACCTGGGTAGTTCTTGCACAGTGGTACACATTGACGATGTCTCAGACCCAGAATCACATTCGCATCCCATTGCCTCATCCCCTCACGCCAGCTCTAGCCGCCCTCCCCGACCGAGCACCGTGCACCTTCAACTTGCCCATCCGAATCAACCAGCGCTTATGCTTCTCACTCTCCCTCTTGAGCGGATCACGGTCGTCCTTGAGAACTCCGCGGGCGCGCAGCTTGTCTCGGCGCTCACGCTCGGCCGTGATGCGCTGCCTGAGCTTGCTCTGGTGGTGAGAGAGGAGGGATTGCGATGGCGAGTCTGGGGAGGTTCGAGATCGCGAAGGTGAAGAGCGAGGAGGGCGATCCCGCTCATGACGAGCTGACCTCGCTGCTGTGATACCTTCGCCCTTCCCGTCTTCGGGATCGTCTCGAGGCACACGTTTCCAGGCAGCCCGATCCACTCCTGCCCTCCTCGACGCTTCCACTCCATCGAAATGCTCTCTGACAATCCGTTCGACTCTTTCTGCTGTGCTCTCTCCATCATCCATCTCCTCCAGTCGCCTTCCCAGCTCTACATTTTCCTCTTCGCCCTCGTGGGCAGGAGGCGCGAGCGGCTCCGTTGCCCCACCCTGAGTCTCCTCGAGGCCGAGGTCGAGCTCCCCGTTCCCCAGCTTCCCATCCCGCCACCGCTGAAGTATGAAATCAGCCGTAGCTTCCAAGTCGCGCTCACCGCCCTTAAGCATGCTGCCTGGAGCTCGCATGGCCGCCCACTCGAGTAGCTGCTCGATTTTGTTCGTCGGGCGAACGGACACATCGGCAGGATAAGGAAGCTTGGCTAGATAATGGGGCATTGGAGGCTGCTCTCCCTTGGCCTCGCCTCGAGACGCCCATCGTCTCCTCGCCCAATCAAATCGCAGGTTCAGCCTGTAGAGCAGATAGTCTGCTAGCCCTTGCGTGTCGAAGAGGGACGACTTGATGCCTGCGGCCACCGCCAGTTTCACTCCTCGCTCGGAGCCTGTGCGACCCCGCCCGAGAAAGGGAACCATCACACCGGGCGTATCGTATACGTAGACGGGGGGCGTGGCTGATGAAGAAGCGGAGGTGTTGCTGTCGCTGCCGTAGAGCTGGAATGTGTCCTGCAGCTGCTCTTGATTCTCTTCACTGCGAGACGCTCTGCGATCCCGCCTTCCCTCTTCTCTCTCCTTGACCACATCCTTCGTGATCCGTACCGTGCCCGTAAGCTTGCGCGTATGACCTGGCGTAGGAGCAGTAGAGGCAGCTTTGCCTTTGCCTGCTCCTACTCGACGCAATGCATTGAGAAGCGAGCTCTTTCCTACGTTGGGCATGCCGACGATGACCAGACGCACGCCGTCTTCTGGTGTAGGCGTGTGCTTGAAGGCGCCCGAGAGACGATGTTGCGTGCGGGCCAGCTCGCGGGTCATGCGCGCTGGTGGAGGCGGGTTGGCGATGAGCTCTTTGGCTTGCTTGTTGATCCACCTGATGACCCTGCGCACATCACCATCGCTACGGGTGTCAACAAACATCACTTGCTGTCCTCGCCCGTGCTCTTGAAAGGCCCGCACTAGCGGCTTCTCGATGCTTGGATCGACTAAATCCCTGTGCGTGTAGACGACTAGCCGACGACTCTCCCACGTATTGGCCTCTGTGTCCACTTGCCTTGCCTTGCCCTTGTCCGGAGACGAGGAGCCAAACGTCTCTTCCATGACACGCTCGAAGGCCGGATTGATGCTGGTGATTGGCAACCTGGCATCTCTAGCCTCGATGATGAGCGGCGGAGGATTGCGAGCTAGCAAGGCAGGCAACGAGCGCATAGCTCTGTACATATGGCCTGCATACCATGATGGGACCGTCGAGGGCAGAGGAAAGGTCGTGCGAGGCTCAAAGTCATCGACCGATGACGACGTGGTGGCTGCATTCGCGCCAACTTGAGCCTTGGAGCTCTGTTGACGAGTCAGACTGCGACGACATGCCGAGATGGCATCGACAGCTCGACGTCGCATTGCCAAGCTTCTCCGTAGCTCGGAACAGCTGCCTGCTTGATGATGATGGCGAGCGAGTGCTGCGCCAAAAAGTCGACGTGCGCCCACGGAACAAACGGAGAGACTTGACGAGACGGAAACGGGAAACGGCCTTTCAGAGGGCCGGCGGGCGGCTCATCACGCAAGAGCTGCGTCGAGTTGACTGGAGGCGACGTTGCTCCGCCTGGCAGTCAGCTTCCGGGCTTGGCTTTGCTCTTGAACCAATCAATCTAACTTACTTCACAGCGTCACAACTCGTACCGCTCCCTTCTCAGCCACTGGTCAGCAAAAATGCACTCGTCGGCGGCAGTAGCCCCCGGCCTGGCCAATGGCCACGCCCCTTTTGGGCCGCAATCGACTCCCTTCCCCATCGAGGGACCCACATCCCCTCAGTCTTCGATGATTGCTACGGGCCAGAACTACCTCGTCTTCCCACATTTCACACTCGAGAGCGGTATCACTCTCAAGAATGTGCCCATCGCATACAAGACGTGGGGAAAGCTTGACCCCGTTCGCAAGGACAATGTCCTCGTCGTTGCCCACGCTCTCACGGGCAGTGCAGACGTGGAGGATTGGTGGGGACCCCTTCTTGGCCCTGGCAAACTCTTCGACCCTACTCGATTCTTCATCTTCTGCGCCAATGTTCTGGGCTCTCCTTACGGTTCAGGTAGCCCCTGCACCCGTAAGGACGGCGAAGACTGCGATGCTACCACGGGTCGCTTTAGCCGCGAGGCCGAGTGGAGCGGCGAGGGCTGGTGGGGACCAGAGTTCCCCGCTACCACCGTCCGAGACGATGTCGCCATTCAAAAGCTCGTCCTCGACTACTTGGGCGTCGAAGCCATCTTTGCCTGCATCGGAGGCTCCATGGGCGGCATGTCCGTACTTGAGTGGCCACTCTGCTTCCCTGTACGCTTTCCCAAGGTGGAGCAGATTGGTCAGCTCGACGATGGCCACAAGAGCAGCAGCAGCGACGATGCCAATGGCGATGAGAAGAAGCAGGGCGCCGGTGAAGCGGTCAATCAGCGTCCTTATATCTCCGCCATCATACCCATCGCTACTGCTGCCCGCCATGGCGCATGGTGCATCTCCTGGGCAGAAGCTCAGCGTCAGAGCATCTACTCTGACCCCCTCTACTTACATGGCTACTACCCTCCTAACCAGACGCCTCGCGCTGGTCTCGCGGCGGCACGCATGGCTGCCCTCTTGACTTACCGTAGTCGGGACAGCTTCGAGAGTCGATTCGGGCGTCGCACGGGTTCCAACAAGGCCGCTGCCAGCCCAGCAATTGAGAATGGCTCCACTCCCGCCGTACACGAGCGTCGCGCCTCCGTCAATGAGGAATCGGCGATGGCTCACAACGAAGGCAACAAGACGCCTCGCGCCTCTACTTCGCCCCCAAGTAAGGCCACCACCACACCCTCCACAGCAGTCTTCAGCGCCCAGTCCTACCTTCGTTACCAAGGCGACAAGTTCGTCAAGCGCTTCGACGCCAACTGCTACGTCCATCTGACCCGCAAGATGGACACTCACGATCTCGCTCGTGGTCGTGCCCACTGGGGTGTACGAGACCCAACGCAGGCCCGTCTGACTGCGCAAGCGGCAGAGCAAGCCGCGCGCGACCAGCACAAGGGAGAGCAGGAGGTCCTGCCCGGCGAGAAGCGCCTGCCCCATGGAGGGGAGGAGGACGATGAAGCCCTTTCTCGTGTTCTGGGCTTCCTGGGACAGGGCAAAACCCGATGTGGTGGGGTTGAGCCCCCATTCGTGCACGTCGTCTCCATCTCGTCCGACGGCCTCTTCCAGACTCCGGAGCAGCGTTTGATTCACCAGCTCATCCCTGGATCTACCTTCCAGGAGGTAGGCTCGCCCGAGGGGCACGACGGCTTCTTGCTCGAGTTTGAGGCCATCGGCACGCGATGCACTAATGTGCTGCGCTCTGTCAACTCGAAGTGGTACGAGGGCGACGGAGCGGGCTACGACGAGTGGAAGAACTGGACAGGCGCCACCATGGGCGGTATCGGCGTCGGTGGGGAGCCTACGGCCAACGCGGGGCAGAATGGCGCTACGGGCGGTGGACATCTGGGACAGGTCAAGGAGAGCGTATTTGGTGAGGTAGAGGATCTTACGAGGTGGTGAGGCGGCAAACGAAACACAGCGTGAAGTGACGTCAAGGAAAACGAGGAAAGCTTGAAGCGTGAAATGGTTCCATGATTGGATGATCCGTGATAATGAATCTCTAGAAGTACAGTGAGCAGGCACAGAGGCCCTGCAGCGTAGCGTGATTATGTGGTGTGATACAACGATCGAGTCTAGGTTTCCGCTCCTTCCTCCCTTCTTCCCTCAGACTCCCCCGCTGGGTCGCCTAAAATCCAAATCCTCCTCCTTGCTACGCTCCCTCGCCGCCGTCCCTCCCTGGAGCATCCTCTTTGCTCCGTGTATCGTCCACGTCCACGCCTTCTGCGTCGACGTAGTGCCCGGGTCCTCACCCCGAGCCCTAGCCCTCTTCCTCTTCATCCTAGCACGGAACTGCTGCTCAATCAGCTTGAAGATGATGCAGTCCAACGCACCCTGCGCCAAGATGAGCCAGCGAGCCACATTGTTAAGCGTGTCCTGGGAGGTGGTACGGTGCTCCGTCGAGACCAAGTCACGAATGAGGCGGGCGAGGGAGATGGAAAAGAGGATGATGTAGGCCAGCGGGTAGAGGAGGAGAAGGGCGCTCGCTTGACGATTGAGCGTCGAGCCCATGTTCTCTACACCGTGCTCGTCTGTGCTGCTCGAGGCGTGGCTGCTCAGTCCTACCGCGTTGGCATTGGAAGGAGACCGTGACGCAACACCTGCAGCAGCGCCACCTGCACCACCAGTCTTGAGCGTCGATCGACGATCCTTGCTGCTAGTCCTCAGCTGAGAGGGGAGCATGCTGCCGCGGCGCCCTCCTCCACCGCTGCCGCCGCCCGCACGCGTGACGTCCATACCCCACGTCCAGTCGTCGCCCATCGCCGTCTCGTACGCGGCTGCGGTTCCACGGGAGGGAGGAGCCTGTGCGTGCTCCGCAGGGATAGCGATGGCCACCTCACTAGGCGCACTCGGCCTCCTGCTGCTGGATGGCGAGTTCGTCTGCCCACCAACAACAGCCAGCGGTGCGTGCTCGGGCGTCAGGCTCAAGGTGGGCGTCGTAGGCGTGCTCGGCGCCCGCTGCAGAGTGGGTGCCGTCGAAGGGCGCCTGCCAGCAGCCTTGCTCGCTCCTCCCTTGATGGCGTAGTGACGGAGGTGCTCGCGCGGCGCTGTCACCATGTTGAAGTCGCGCGTGTCTCTGCGTGGCTTCATCGGTGAGAGGCCGGCCCAGGTATTGTAGTTGGGGATCTCATCCTCTTCTTCATCCGCATCAGAAGAGATTCTCTCGTCCTTGCAAAGAGGATCTCTGGAACCACTCGTTCCCGTGTTTGTACGCTGAAGCGACGCCACGGATGGTGTGGAAGGCTCCACGGCTGCCGTCGTGCTTTCGGCGCCGCCGTCACTGCGTCTCCTGTGAACCTCAGAGAGGGACCGTGATCTCCTGGGCGGCGCAGTCGAGTCGCTGCCAACACCAGCAGTCAGGTAGGGGGCAGGCATCCGATCAAAGGGATCGCCCTGTGGCTGCCCAGCTGGTCCCGTGCTCTTTGGCGAGAGCGGCGGCTCGATCGAAGGAGTGCCAACATCGCGCGGCGATCGGCCTGAAGGCAAGGGCGCGCTCAGAGGTGCAGGGCCCGTCATGGCGTAGTTGCTCATCTCAATTGGCAGCAGCGTAGGTGACGGCCCGCTGTGCTTGCGTGACTTGAAGGGGCTGGTCGGCGAGCGGCCGTGGCTGGTGTCTGACCCTGCGCGAGTCGAGGCAGCGCCATTCAAGCGCAGAAAGGGAAGGTAGAACTTGTTCCTATGCGACTCTGAAGATGAGTTGTCCTCCCTCTTCGTCTCGTCGGAGCCCTTGTACTCGCCGATCCGAGGAGGCGTATCGCGTCGCTCGGATGCGATGGAACGCGCAATTGACCCTGATCTTGTCGATCCCGTCTTGTTTAGAAGATTGGTTCGCCTGAGAAAGAAGAAGAGGCGAGTGTAGAGAACCAATGTGATGGCGACGACGATGCATCGAGGCACGAGGGGAAACAGGTAGACAAAGTCCATGCCTGCTCCCTTACCCAGGTAGCAGTACCCTCCTGAGTATCCGAAACCTGCAAACCCCCACGCGAAGCCATTGATGGCAAAGGCGAGGATCCAGATGATTGGCCAGAGCCACAGTACTCTGCGCTCAATGGTCATGGTGAAGCCGGATAGCGGATGGACGAGAATCATGTAGGTGATGACTAGGATGCAGAGGTTCCAGAAGTGTTGCGTGTACGTCGCTGAGGAAAGGGCAAAGCCCAGAAAAGTGCAGAATCTCGATGCTTCGATGAGATTGCCGCCATTGAGGAGGTAAGACGTCGATGCAATGATGGTGAGACTGTACGTGCGGGGAGGAAGGTGAGCATGGGGACATTGACGTAGCTCAGCTCTGCTATACTCACGCTGAGATGAGGTCCGAAGTTGCCAGTCCGACGATGAGAGCGTGTCGCAGCTTACGACTCTGCTTCTTCAGAAGATATGGGGCGATGATGATGATGCATCCGAGTAACGAGGCGAGCGCAATGGAGATGTCGACGATGTTGGCGTGGCTGCCCAATGACTTCTCGCTGCCGGTCCCCTCTACGCCCCTTCCTGGCGTTGGGGACGGGGAAGCCACTGAAGTGGCGTCCTGGCCGACAACATTAGCCGCAAAGAGGGCGAGAGTGAGGAAGAAAAGGATACGCGTGCCATGGAGCGTCGCAGAGAGCGTCGACCGCCGTGACGGCGACCACCTTCTGGCGGTGGCCTTCGTGGCGGCAGCTCTCATCTCAGCCCGCGACATCGGGCGGGCGTAGATGAGGTGAACTCTATTGATTGAGTGGTTGATGAGGTGAGGGATCCGGCGATGATGCTCTCAAAAGCGAGTCGAGCAGGTATTTGACATTGATCCTTGACAACGTGGATGAAGGAATGGATGATGAGAGTGAATGATGAATGGATGAGGACGATGAATGAATGTGAAGATGTCGTGAATACACAAGTCGACACACCAAGCCGAGCCTTGTTCCTCTGAGTCGGCGGCGTCGAGAGGCTCGTGCTAATGAGGACGGCCTACTCCGTATCGTCGAGCAGATGATGATGAGAAGACAAGGGTAAAACGATGATGAACAGGGGAACCCTGCGACTGCTGCTTAACCGTAGCGAAGGGACAAACGAGGTAAGGCGAGGCGAGGTGACATTGGCTCACGGCGGCAGGTCATCGAAGTCATCCGAGTCCAGCTAGCGTCACACCAGCTACTCTAGCTCGAACGGCGAGAGCTTGGCCCATCGTCGTCGCTTGCCGCCGCGGCCCGGTCGTCGAAGCCAAGTCGGCGGGCGGCGAATGGTTGAGCGGGTCTCAAGCACCAAAGGCAGAATCGCAGCAGCTGCAACGCGACAAGATGCAGGAAGCTCGCAGCGACAGAGCAAAGAGCGCGTGCAGGGTGATCAGACGTACAAAGAGAGAGGAGAGCTCAGCACCATGGCACTGCTGCACCGCAACCGCACCATGCCTAGCCTTAGTGGCCCGCCCCGGCGAGCCTTTTTCCTCCGTATTTCTTGCTCCGCCCGTCCTCCTCATCACCTGTTGCCGCCGTCTCCGCCGCCGCCGCCGATGAGAATGACCCTTGAACGTGATCGAAGGCGAGGCGGCGCAAAGGCTCAAAGTAGGCAGCCAGCGCAATGATCACCAGGCATGCACACGCACGCACCGCAAGCCATGAGAGCGACGAGGGCGGGCGTCAGTGTCGGATGTGCCCAGTACAATGCAAGCAAGGGGGCGAGGAGGGAGATGGCAGTGAAGCTTGTCTTGTCTGGAGCCTGCTCTGCGTTCGTCCGTCGCCCGATCTCCCGCGGACTTGACTTCTCGGACAAGCCGGAGAGTTGATATCACGCGTCGCACTGCCCGCCTTTGCCTCGAGCTTGATGGGCAAGCAGCAGCTTTGAAGTACTCAAGGTAAGCAATACCCAGCAACTTCTTTCGTGACCAACGAAGCCTAAGTCTGCGTGAGGCCGCCCAGAAAGCAAAATACAACGTACTAGTCAGGCATGCCAGCGAGACAGAAGGATTGAGCTACCACTGCGCAGCTGCTTCCTTTCACAAACATAGCACGGCTGAAGGAGGACGATGACGGTTCCCCGAACGAGGAAACAACGACGAAGCGGGATCGTCGGCAGGCTTGACTATTGGGCCGAAGACGGGAAGCACTGGGATTGTGACGAGTCTCTTCTCGCGAGGGTGGTCATCTCGCTCGTTCGACTGAAATTGCGGAGCACGTTGCGGCGGCAGCGGGAATCATGCCTAGAAGCAAAACGAGCAACGAGCTACAATAGCGGGTGGGCTGCACCACCAGCAAGCACTAAAAGAAACGGGCAGCGAGCAGCAGCGTGTGAACGATGACCGATTTGCTGACAAACAATGTAATCACCCTCGCTCGACCATGGGATGTGGGACATTGCTGACAGGGCGGACCGAAGCCGGACGTACGGGCCTTTTTCTTCTCACGGACCCTCATTCCAGGGAAAAGTACGATGCATCGGGCAATCGCAGCCACGATGAGACAGGGGAATCGATGCGATCAGAGCGATTGCGATTGCGGCCGAATGGCTGCGTCGTAGTCGCGGATCCCAGCCAAGACCCTTGAGACATCTGTAACCCACCCCTCTTTGATTCGATTGCAGACCTGCACTTCGCAGGTGCTCTGTGCCTAGCGTCGTCTCACTCCATCGAGGGACTCATGTTGCCGGGCCATCGTGTGCTCCTTGAGCTCACGCTCACGCTCCATTTTAGTGCGCTTGGCTAGCCCAACATCGTCGTCGTCGTCGTTAGCGTGGGATTCAACTTGACAGGATGCAGGGGGTTCTACTGCAATGAATAGGCCGACAATCAAGATCTCCGCAGGCACCCGGTCCATTATCACCACGCTCCTCCGTGTGGCAGCCCAACTCCTACACCCCCTTGCACAACGCGTCAAAGCGCGACAGCCAGGTCCGACCGAGACCGAGCGATGCGGGAAATTGTTTGGTCAGGGCGCAAAAGGTCATCAACGATCGAGCGTTGCGCATTGTCACGAAGAGCACTCGACAATGCTGTGAGAGTGGCAAGTGGTCGAGCGATGAGCAGCGGGCCAAGCAGTCTCATCTGCGAGAGACTGGAAGGCACAGCACGCTGAAGGCTGACATGCGTCTAGAGTGGTATTGCTGCACGGAGAACACCGCCTGGTCGTGTCAGCCTCGTGACAAGGACGATTGCGTGCTGTCATCCGCATCCCGTCATATCCATCGCCTTGATCGTTAGCGTTGCACAGCTGTTGTTGCTCCATCGTTGCCGTCGTCTTGAATCGGTCGCCGCTGCAATGCGTTCCTGGGCGGAAGCTGAATCGGATCATAGGGTCGTGAAGCAGGCGTGGCTGCCAGCCCCTCTCCCGCTGCGTGCCAGAGAGGCGGCCCGCAGCGCACGACGTCGAGAGACACTGGTAGGGATCAGTGATCACATTGAACCAAATGGTCATTTGGCCGATTTGTCGGCCTTTCTGGAGGAATCGATCGAAACGTCGAGGAGCGCATCGATGAGTGAGCATCGAGGCAAGGGGTCGGCCGGCCACGATGGTCAATGACGATGATGATGATGACCAGAGGGGCCCAGTGATCAGGGGCAAGGCATCATCGTGACCGCCACGGATGGTGCTTGAGTCCGCCTCTCCAGGGCCGGAAGGCGATGGTCGTCGACGACTTGATGACCGAATGACATGGCCGAGGCATCAGGGGACATGGTTGCCCGTTGACCGTGGCGACCACGTGGCGCCAAAAATTCCCTTTCTCCCTCCCTGATCGCAAGATGATCGAAGTCATTACTACTATGAGCACACAATGATCAACATGTCCCGTCCTCAAGCACAAAGCAATTCAGCAATGCCGATAGCTTCTTGTGAACGACGCAATCGCGTCGTGACGCGAAGTGGTAAATCCTGAATCACTCGGTCCCGCAGCTCGCGCAACTCGGCCCCGGTGCCGACCGCCCCGGAACAGAAAACGTGGCAACGCAGCCTCCCGTCGAGGTTTGAGCGGGGCGGCTCTCAGGCGGCGGGCGGGTCAGCCGTGGGTGGGCGGGCTCAGCTCAACTCGAGCTGCGAACGATTGCGAGGAGCGACTTCTGTTCTCGTTAACCACCAACCCCAGTGATCAGCAAAGGTGAGCATCGTCGTTGGCGCAAACCAATCGACATGGAAGGCAGAGCATCATCGTCGCTACTATCATCATCATCATCGCGACTTCGAGGGGAGGAGAGGAGGAGCTTTGAAGCAGATCGCAGAGAAGAGAGGGAGAGACAGAAGGGCCGTCACCTCTCAGAGGCAGGCAGGATGTACGCTACTTTGGACATTGGTGTAGTCGGACATCGATCAGATTCGAGCTCGATCAGAATTCTGGTCTTGCTAGACAAAGATCTCAGGAGGGAAGGAGAGGGAAGCTGCGCAGGTCTCGTGGACCTGGCAGCGACGAGGCAACGATGAAGGATCGATGATGCTCTGCCCTTCAGCTTGCGCCGCTCAGCAGCAACACCTCGAAGAGAGTGCTTACACATCTCTTCATCCTCTCGCTCGCTCAGATGGCCCCTAAGATCGACCCCAACGAGGTTAAGATTATCACCCTCAGGGCCACCGGTGGTGAGGTCGGAGCTTCGTCAGCTCTTGCCCCCAAGATCGGTCCCCTCGGTCTCGTGAGTAGACGTTGCGAGGAGTGAAATGGGTGCAGCTATGAGATGAGATGGTCGACCTGCTGGCCATGGGCGCAAGAGGAATCGACGGACACGAGCTGGATGAGCCGACGTACGCCAACATCGGGCGAACAGTTAGACTGACGAACACCCTCCTCCCACTCGCACTTCGCAGTCTCCCAAGAAGGTAGGAGAAGACATCGCCAAGGCCTCGGCCGACTGGAAGGGACTCCGTGTCACCATTCAGCTGACCGTCCAGAACCGTCAAGCTGCCGTCGCCGTCGTCCCCTCCGCCTCCGCCCTCGTCATCAAGGCCCTCAAGGAGCCCGTCCGCGACCGCAAGAAGGAGAAGGGACGTGTCCACAACGGCTCCTTCTCCCTCGACGAGGCAATCGAGATCGCTCGTATCCTCCGTCACAAGTCCTTCGCCAAGACCCTCGCCGGTACCGTCAAGGAGGTCCTCGGCACTGCGCAGAGCATCGGTGCAAGGATCGATGGTCGCCCGGCGCACGATGTCATTGAGGGCATCGACGACGGCACCGTCGAGATCCCGGAGGAGTAATTGCAGTCGAAGCATCACGCCTCATCGCCAAATCTCCGACTCCTGCGTACTGCAATTGCGCACCTCTCTGACCTCATGTACTAGCTAGCCGCGGCCATCACATCACATGACTCTCAGCAGTCGATTTACACAGACAAGATTGCATGCAGGGTTGGGTATTGAATGTGTGAATGCGGAGCAGAGCGGGTCCCGGGGCAGCTCAGCCCTTCCCGCCGTAGCTGTCTTGCATCATTGCCTCCGTCGCTTCGTCGCTTCCTTCGTGATCTGACCCGCCTTTCCCCGTCGATCGAGCACCACCCACCTCACCGCCCAGCAGCCCTGCCTTCTCCCATCTCACGACTCGTCTTCTGTCCCCACCAGCTCCGTCCCCGGCCAACCCACAAAGGCCGACTGCACTCCTCCTCCCATGCGCACAAATCAGAGGCAGGTCCGTAGACGTCCACTGCCCCACGAGCCGTTCACACTGCTCCTTGGTGAGCACGTCATTGAACATGATCGCGCCACGACAGCTGCGACTCTTGAAGAGATCGAGGAGACGTGCTGGTAGATGACGGAGGGTTGACATCCAAGAGGTCGACGTAGCGGACGGAGGTACAGTGCTAGAATGGTCAGAGTCTCCACCGATGAGGCCGCTGGCTTGCTCCTCAGTCTGCGAGGTAAAGGAGCGGACGACAGCCGTGAGTGTTGCGACTTCTCTGCGGAGCCGGTCGGACACGGCGAGCGGGACGTGTGTGACCAAGATGGGGAGGGAAGGTTCGCTGCTCTTGCTTTGCGAGTCATCGCCGTCTGTGTCGCCACAGCGAGAAAAGGCGAAGCCCCAGTAGCGCAGCCTTTGGGCAAGTGGGCTAAGCTGCTCTACATGGCCTGAGGCTGTACTTTCCGCAGTGGTGATGCCCGAGGGGGGTAGACCCTGTAGGACCTCCTTTGCCTCGGCCTCTGGCAGCCAGATACGCAGTGGAGCCTTGAGTTGGTGAGAAGGCCCCTCCTCCTCTCCTGTCCCCAGCTCACCCGTCTCCTCCCCACCTCGTCTTCTTCTCTCTTCTCTCTCACACGCAGCAGCATAGTCCCCCAACATGCCTTCCAATCTTCTTCTCTCATCCGCAGCATGCTGATCGACGCAGATGATCCCACGGCGTCCAGCACCATCATCGACGATACAGACAATGAACTTCTTTGCGGCTTGCCCTATGACACTTACAAGGCCAGAGAGCTGCTCTTTGCGCACAGTGAAGGGGCGCGCGTCGCACGGCAGGGTTGCACGACCACAGCTGTTGCCACGGGCGTGAGGCACGGAGCTCGTGAAGTAGCCGCTCTTCATCTGCATGTGTGGGAGGGGCAGCTTGCGCTCCTGTCGCGTTTGCTGGGAAGCGCTCAGACTGGCTGGATGACTGTTGGTTTCACCGGAACAGCAGTCACAACCTGTGTGACCAGAGGTGGCGGCGGCGCCCTCCCATGTGTTGTCAGTGAGCAGCGGCAAAAGGCTGGGCAGACTCGCAATGGGCGGGTCGATCCCCGAGTCGATAGCGTTGCCTTCTGGTGCGGTCGGGCGTTGAAGCGGCAAGGCGGGGTTGTGCCATTCAGCCAGTGTCTCTTCAAGCCAGCGAGGCGGCGTCTTCTCGCTTGCTTCTGCTCCATCTGTGTCCCATGCGCGACGAAGCGTCTTTCGACTTGCTCCTACAAGAGCTGAGGGCGTTTGAGCCATGGGTGGGATCCCTCGCTCCTCCAGATGCGTTGAGGGCGACGTGGTGACTTCTTCTGTCATGCCGGGAGGTGGCCGGTCTGCTGGGTATGAGTTGCCCGTGCGCTCATCGATGAAGAAGGTGCGCTTTGTTATCGAGTCGATGTACTTGACGTATCCGGGTGGGACTGACGCATCTTTGGCGGTGTATGCGGCATCATCGTCGCCGCGTTGCCTGTCGACGTCTGGGGTGTCGTCATTCGACGAGATAGCACCAGCAGTGCTCGATGGTCTCACGCCTTCCTTGCCTTCTGCCTTTGCTTGCTTCATCGCAGGGAACGCCTTGGGCAGCAGCTGTTTTCCCCAATCAGCAGCAAAAGCCGTCGTCTTCGGTCTCTTCATCGCCGCCAGCCTCTCCTCTTCCCTCCCAGCCAAAATCTCACAAGCGGTAGAAGGCCTCTTTCTCGCTTTGCTCACCAGCCCGTGCACCCTCTGGACGTCCCTCACTTCTTCACAAAGCGCAGTCACAATTCTGCCTTCGTCCAGCACGACACGGCCGTCACCGCCAGTGGCGCTCATGTCGGGCACCTGCACCCAGAGTTCGAACACGTAGGCAGGACATGATCCGCGCTGTGCGGCGCCTCCTCCTTTCCTGTCATAGCGCTTGGGACCGTCCTTTCCGACGAGGTTGGTCGCATTGTCATCGTTCGATTTGAAGCCTCGAGCTATCGTGCTGGAGAGGACGTGGTGGACGTTGCCCTCCTCTGATGGAGTGGGGGCGGGGCGTCTTTGCCAATGGATGCCGCCGGTTGACGAAGCATGCCCGTGTTGAGCAGAAATTGCACCTCCTTGCCTATCAGGGCTGTCCTGCCACTGATGAGCCCTGCGCTGATCAGCTCCAATCTGCGCCCAAAAGTCGCTGAGCTCCATGCCCGCAGGCAAGCGATGACCTTGCAGGTAGATGTGCTGATCTCCTCGAGACTCTTGCCCTTCAAACAGGAAGAAACCTTTGATGACTACTCTAGGAGCTGAAGCTTCTTGCTGCTTGCTACCCGCCACCAATCGTCGCTTTGCGTAAACAGTCCCGCACAAAGCTGGCGAGACAGGGAAGCGCACCTGCGCAAATCGCTCCAGCATGGAATCGCAGCGTGGCGCCTTCAAGTGGACGATCGTCCGGCCAGCGGAGGCTGAGGCCACCTCGAGTAGGAAGGAAACACGATGCTCCCTCAGGCTGACTTGGGTAAGTGCCTGTGCGCAGGCCTTGACTTCTCGTGCTAGGGAGTCGCGAGAGGAGAGGAGGGGCCGACGAAGAGGGAGGGCGGAGAAGATGTCCCGCACTGTGACTGTCGTACCTTTTCTTGAAGGTGCCATGGTGAGGTATTCGGCGGATGCGGAGGCAGACGGTAGTGAGGCTGCCTGGTCTGCTGGGCCTGAGTAGAGGAGCCGGTCACCGCGCTTGAGAAGCGTCCAGCGGGTGCCGTCGAGGTACGAACCGCTCCCGTGGAGTGTCGTTTCGATATGAAGGATACCAATGGCCGCCATACTAGCCAGAGCCTCGCCCTTATTGCCATACGTCATCGAGGAATGCGCCTTCGTGGTCACGTAGCGATCGAGGGCTTCGGCTTCTTTGCCCTGCGGGGCGGGGACGAGCAAGGCAGCTTCGAAGCCCTGTCCATCATCCCAGCATGAGATCCCGCATGACTCAGGGTGGATGGCAATGCGGACTTGCGTGGCGCCGGCGTCGATGGCATTGTGCGCTAGTTGTATGACAAGGGAGGAGAGTGAGGGAAGCTGAGCTGTTGAACGAAGGAGGGAGCCGACGGACGATGACAGGCGCAGGATTGGCGGTAAAGATTGTTGCTGGCCATGAGACGATGTTGAAAGCCCTGTTGCCCTCTCCTTGGCCGTTGTCATCGTTGCGGGTGATGTTGCTGATCCATTGAAATGATGAGTGGGAGAGGATTTGATGGTGTGGAGCAGCAACACGGAAGTGGCAAGGGCAGGCTCCCAACGTTGACGCGACCCTTTGGCTTCGAGTCGCGGGACGGGAGACGAGCAACTTGGCAAGGAGCTTTCCAGCTTTGCAACTCTACCCCATCACCAATCATCGACGACGACAAAGCATCTCAGCTTAAACATGTCATCGTTCAAGCCCATGGCATCCACCTCAGGGGCAGGTCCATCGCCAAAGCGTCCCGCACACAATCGCCAATACTCGGACAACTCGGACCTCTCATCTGCGCTCAGCTCTGCCTCAGAAGGGAGAGGAGGCAACCAGGACGCTGAGGGCGAGATTGACCAAGATGAAGTTGATGATGATGATGACGACTCGGTAGACCAGGTGGATGACGACGAAGATGAGGATGAGGAAGGGTACACCGCACAGCCATCCAAGTCACGCGGCGGCAAGGGCGCCTCTTCCTCCTCCTCTCGACTGGCAGCAGCCAAGCAGCAGCAACAACAACAGCAGCAGAAGCGACCTACCAAGCTCAAAATCACACTCAACAGGCGCGACTCGTCAGGTGGAGCAAGTAAGGGCAAATCAGCCACCAGCAAGAAGGCCAGCAGCTCCAAGGCCTCGTCGTCCTCAAAGAAGGTCACCATCCAGAACAGGCGGGGCAGTCGCGCTGTTGTCGAATCAGACGAGGACGACGAGGACGACGAGATGGATATCCTGCGCGGGGATAACGAGCAAAACGAGGACGAAGAGGAAGAGGAGGAAGAAGAAGAGGACGAGCTTGACATCCCGGCCCCAGCGGCGGGTACGGACGACTTCGATTCCGACTCATGGGACGAAGACGACGATGGTGAGACCACTCTAGCCAACATGCCCAAGACTGCTCGTCAACTTGCCCGCGAATGCGCTGCTGCTGGCGGTGATGACGGTGGAGAGGACACCTCTCGTGCCGGTAGCGAGCTCCTCGAGCTACCCATGACCGACGATAGCCGCAAAGTAAAACGCACCGAAGCCGAAGTGGCCCTTAAGCGCAGTGAGATGGCCAGGAGACGCAGGTATCAGTCGGACAAGAAGTTGGAAGATGAGAAGACGGAGACGATCAATCGGCTCTTGAAGAAGCAGGTCGGCCGCAAGTCTACTCGGGAGCAGGCTAGGGATAAGGAATTGGGTGCAGACGAGGAGGAGGATGAGGACGATCGAGATGCGGATGCCGGCGAGGCTGCGGCTGAGAGGAAACGTGCCAGGTTGGAGAGGAGCGCGGTTGCGAGCAGAGAGGAGTTGAAGAGGAGGCCAAGAGACATGTTCAGGACGATCGTCAGGAGGGAGGGGACAACTGTCAGCATTCCACTCGTAGCGGAGGTGCCCGCTGTGGCTGGTGCGGATGACGATGGAGCTGCAGCGGCAGCCGTAGCAGCCAGCAATGCTGTCGCAGCGCCGTACGTGGCCAAATGGGCGACCGTGTTTGGAGAGACAGCTCGATACGCTGATGATGAGCAGCAGCAGCAGGCTGCTCAACAGCAGGCCATCATGTCGAGCTGAGCACAACGTTGGCGCATCTGGTCCGAAGAGAATCGATATTGCTTTTATATCCCAGTCGAAACAATCGTGCCGACAAGTGAGCCCCTGCTCCCTCCTCTCCTGCTCTCACATCTATCCTCTGCATCCTTCTCTCCCCTCCTCTCCCTCTCATCGCTCTACGCCAGCACATCGTCAGCGTAGGGCAACGCGTGCACATCTCCAATGGCGACCGTCGTAGCCTTGCCCTTGAGCGCCTTCTCCGCCGCAGCGCTCACAGCGCTCGCCTTGACACCCTCCAGCTGCTTGAACACGTCCTCCGTCGACTTGACCCCCGCGCCACCCTGCAGGAGCGCCGACCCCACAACGTCACGAACAGTCTCTCGGCTCTCAAGCGCAGCCGCGGCCTCAAATTTGGCCTTGGCCTTGGCACGCTGCAGGTCCTCCGAGCTGACACCGCCCGCCGCCGACTTGAAGGCGTTGCCGACCTCCCTCGCGACGGTCGAAAGGGTTGCGTGCGGGCCCGTCACGTAGGCGCCAACGAGGCCGGAGTCGGAGAAGGCCAGGTTGAATGCTTCGGCGCTGGCGCCACGCGATTGGCTCGTAATCGACGAGAGAGGGGAGAGGCCCTTGGACCACTTGACGCTCGATTGACCGCCAAGGAGAGAGCGGAGCACGGCGTACTCAGGGCCCGGACCACCTTGGAAGCCAAGGAAGAAGTGGCCGTGGTGGGCGTGCGAGGAGTCCGAGTGGGCGGGGACAAAGGCAACGCGCTGTGAAGGGACGAGCAGTGAAGAAGAAGGGTCGTTAGTCTTTGTGCAATGATGAAGATTTTGCTGTTTCGCGGGCGCGGCTCACCTGCTCTCCACCGTGGTACGTGCTAGGTCCAGCCTTGAGGCCCTGCGACGAAGCGGGCACGTTTGCGAAGCTCTTGGAGACGAGCGATGCCAGCTTGCCAGCGTCAACGCCGGTACCGAGGACGGCGAGGTTCGACTTGGCGAAAGCGGCACGGCCGTACGAAGCTGCATCTTTGGCTGTGATGGGCGAGGCGGGGCTGGCGAAGAGAGAGGCGCCAAGACCGCGTTGCCTGTATGCCGTTTGGGTGAGGACGTCGAAGCCCTGGTGAGAGCAGGGGCGGGGAGAGTAAGTCAGCACGATGATCGTACGTGGACAGGAGCAGGCAGGCTGTGGAGCGGCATCGTGGTACTCACAAAGACCTGGGGAATGCTAGACACCTGCTCGTACTCTCCGCGAATGGCGGGGAGTACCTCCTCGTTGAATTCGTGCGCCGCAAACTTGGACGAGGCGAGCACATCGCCGAGGATCTCGACGAAGTAGTCCCTGCGAAACGTAACCAACAGCACAGCGAAGAGGGAGTCAGCTACGAGGCTCAGTTCTCAGCCCTCCTCCAATGCTCGCACGCACTCATCCCCGCGCAGGAACTCTGCAGTGATGTAGAGGTTCTCCTTGGAGATCGATGAAGAGAGGAGACCGCCATAGAGCTCCGACTCGCGAACGAGGCGGAGAGCTGAACGCTTCTCGTTGGACTTGAAGAGGAAGTGCTTGAGAGCGTTGGCTACACCAGGGATGGACTCGTATCGAGGGCCGGCGCGGAGGGCTACTGTGACTGATGAGGTGGGGGAGCCATCGTCCTGACAGAGCGAAGGGGGCAGAAAGAACGCAGGTCAGCAGCTTGTCATCAATTGATAGAGCACGATGTCGGCTCCTCGGGCTCGCACTCACCACTGCCGCTACGGGGATGCCGTTTGCCTGCTGCGTGGTAAATGCCCTTCGTGCAGGCGCAGCCGCAGAGGCGGCACGCAAGACGGACGACCTGGATGGTGCTGCTACCCTTGCGAGAGACATGGGCGGCGAGTTGTCAAGGCGGAGAAGGAGTTGATGGGTACTGATGGTGAGGAGGAAGATCGGTCGGCGCCGTCGGGAGTGACTTGGAGTCGACGTCGATGGCCTGGTGTGTGGCCTGGCTCGCCTCTTGCTCGCAAATCAGGCTGCCCTCCCCTCCCTCCTGGCTGGAGAGCGAGCGGGCAACGCCGGCTGAGAGTGCGGCGCGGGATTGGACTACCCAACACGTGGCGACGCTCCCATCGCTCCACTCAATCGAGGCGGCGCACGGACAAGAAGATGGCAAAATCCAGTGAGGGACGAGCCTCTTGGAAAACTCAGCAACATTACCACCACTATGTCCCTCCAATTCATAGCCGACTTCGACTCGCAAGGCGGTCAGACATCGCCTGTCCTCGTAACACAGTGGGTCACCCCCACTCTGGTACTCACTGGCCACTTGGACGGCTACCTTAGGGCATGGGACGCAGCTAATGGTCGACTGCTCGCAGCCGTTGCGGCTCATGGGCAGAGCCTTAATTCGCTCAGCTCCAATCGCGCTGGCGACTTGGTCCTCACAGGGTCAATAGACGGCACAGTGGCGCTAAGGAGTACCTCAAAGTTGGCAGCTGGCAGCTCAGGTGGTGACCTCGAGCCGGTAGCCTCGTGCGCCTCGTTGCGGGATCATCATAGTACCGTCAGCCCAGCATTTGCAGTCGCTCTACACCCGTATCGACCCATCTTTGCATCAACAGGGCTTGGGGGTGAATGCTCGCTGCATAGTGCAGAGGCATCACCTGATGGCATCTTTGGCTCTCATCTCTCCACAGCATCATCCAACCCCTCTTCGTCCTCCTCAGCCTCGCCCACTTTCGGTCTCACCCTCCGCTTCTCCCCGTCCGGTTCCCTCCTCGCCCTCGGTACAACAGAAGGGCACGTCCATCTTCATCGGCTAGCCTTCGACAGTTCCAATGACCTCAAAGAGGAGCGCCCAATTCTCGTCCACGTGATGACAATAACATCTCACGCCTTGCCTATCCGCTCCCTCGCCTTCTCGTCGGAGACGGATCGCAAGGGTCAACTGCACGACGACCTCCTAATTGTCGGAGGAGACGATGCAATCATCACAGCGTACGATGTACGGAATGCCGTCCCGGTCGAGGGGAAGCACAGGCCGTCTGTTGCCTCCAAGAATCCCGTAGCCGTGCTAAAGGGACATCGTGGCCCCATTTCGTCATTGTGCGCCGTTCCAACTCTCAACAGCAATACAGCGGGCAGTGTCATCGGGGGTGGGTCGCGGCTACTCTCCTCCATCTCGACGGCAGATAGGACAGTGCGCATCTGGGACCTCTCTGCGCGACCAAAGGCGGCAGTCTTCGTGACAACGGTGGATGTGGGGCCTAGTGGGGGTCTCGATTGGCGCAAGCCTCCCCCTGTGACGGTAAAGAACGGTGAGGAAGAGGCGGCAAAGACTGCGGGTTTAGGTGCGGCATTTGTCGTATCGGGCAAGGACGGCAAGGTCAAGTGGTACAGGCTGGCAGGGACTGGCTTGGACGCTGCAGAGGAGCGCGATGCTGCTCTTGTTGCCAATGGGGAGGCGACCGGTGATGCAGTGGGAGTCAACGGTCAGGCCTGAAAGAGCTCGGCTCGACTCGATAGCATTCAATCGACGAATTGCATTATCGTTGACAAGATTATTTCAATGGTCGAATGCTCTCAAGCGGTCATGCCGCTTACGATGTGTCTCTTCCCTGCCTGTGCCGTACCGTCGTCCTATGCCAGCTCTTCACCCGTCCTCTATCATGTCAAAGCTCTACCCATCATCCGCCAAATTGTGCCTCCACAGCAGCAAGAATCCTCTGCTCGCGACGTCCCCTCTCCCTCGTCGCAGCTGCTACGGCTTCGGTACATCCTTCAAGTACCCATCCAATGGCGAACCCTCCTGAATCCTGCGCTTCTCCGCCTGCTTAGAAACAGAAGACCTGGTCCTCCAACTTGCTAACAGGTCTCGGCTTCTGGTAGCCCAGCTCCTCCAAATGCTTCTGGCAAGCCTTCATCATCGGCGGGGGCCCGCACATCATGATCTTGATACCCTCCTCCTTCGGGCCAGGCAGCTTCTCTTGAATTGCCTCCTTGCTCACGAAGCCCGTCTCTCCCTTCCATCCCTCAGGCGGGTTGTTGAGGAAGTAGATGACACGGAACCTGTCTGCGTGCTGGAGGGCGAGACGGTCCAGCTCTTCCTTGAGGAGGATGTCCTCCTCGTTGACATTTGCGTAGATGAAGTCGATTTGAGTCTTATCGTTGGGGTCCTTGAGGGCTGCACGAATGATCTGGAGGCAAGGTGTGAAGCCCGTCCCGCCGGCGATCATGCCGATCTTCTTGGCCAGGTCCGGGGAGTACTTCATCTGACCTTTGGGCCCTCGCACCTGAATGGGCTCTCCAATTCTGAGCTCATCGAGCACCTTGGAGATGTTGCCATTCGGGTACGTCTTGACGATCAAATCGAAAAAGCCCAGGTCATCGTCGGACGAGGTGGGCGTGTAGGATCGCATGACGTTCTTGCCGTCGATCTCGGCCTGGAGGGAGATGTGCTGGCCAATGGGGAGACCGAGAATGTTGTCGGTACGAGGCAGGCGGAAGCGATACAGCGAAGTGTTGCTTGAGATGCGCTTGCGCTCCATGAGGTTGAAGTTCTGCCACTCCTTGGGGTTGAGGATGGGGCGGGCCTCTGGCAGAGGTGAAACCGTTGCGGTCAGCGACTGGGGCAGGATGGACTGGAGCATGCTCACAAGCGCGCATACTACTCACTGTTCCCAGCAAAAGAGAAGTAAAGCACAATCAGCGACCCGATGAGCCCAGCAACAAAGGATGCGGCGAATTGCGGGTCGTGGAAGTTGGTAGCTGCATCAAAGTCGCGAAGCACGGGCATCTTCGTGCCGTAGTTCTTGCCCACGATTTTGAAGCCGCTGAAGAGGCAGCCAAACCCGATGGCTGCTCCCACGATGAGAGCTCCCTGCGACTTGGACATGGTGTATGCGCGAGAGGCGGGTTGGAGAGGATGAGATGAGGTGAGGTGAGGTTTGGTTAGGAAAGAAGGAAGCGGCAACGCGGGGCAGTTGGTGGGGCGGAGACAGACGTGGCCACAGTACCCAGTCTTGATTCATCTGAGTCCAGCCGAGCCAACAGAGTCGAGTCCGACCGCGATCGTGGAAATCGGACCTGGGCGGCGCGTGTGAGAGCGGCAGACGAGGGCGCCACCGTTGGGCGCGGCTTAGGCTAAGCTTGCCAGAAAAGCATGATCAGCCAAGCTCATCGCGAGGTCACAAGGACGCCGAGGTAGTCATTGCGCAAGGGACAAGCAAAGAGATCAGATCAATTTCATTTCCACGCCACATGCAATGCTTCAGAATCCCCACACGGCCAGTCTCTGGCGCAATGGCTGCCACAGCGAGGCGCCAAGGGTGAAGAGCCAACTCTCCGTCTTCCCACCAATCCGGGATGCCTGCTGCGCCTCAGCAGCCTGAGCTTCCTCCAGGAGCAGCGTGTTCAGGATGGCAGCTAGACGTACTCCAGCCTTGGCCAATTGCTTCTGTATCACCTTGTCAGCATCGATGCGCTCGAGGTACTCGTCTGCGAGTTCCGGCAGCTGCGGATGGTCGGGCGGGGGTGTCGAAGGATTGCCAGGACTACCGGGGCGACGACCACTACCCCTCCTTCCTCGACGACGTCGACGCTTCGCTTCACCCCACGATACAGGGAAAGCACTGTCATCGTACTCGCCGTTGTGCATGCCGAGCTGTTCAGCCTCCTCGGCCCCGCTCGGTGCAGGAACAGGCGATGCGAAGGCGTATTTGCAGACGAGCGGGTGCATCGGCTTCGTCCATGCCATGGGGCAGAGCGGCAGGTCGGTTTCGTCGATGTCGTTGGTCGGCCCGCCGGATGTCGCCTGCTGCTCAATGTGGTCGCCGTCAGAGCAGCTCGACCAACTCTCCCACTCGTCGGCCCACCAGCCGCCCAACCCTTCGTTCAGTATCCAGCGCGTGTACGCATCGTACGCTCGTCCTTGAAGCGCTGACTCGATGCGGAGCGACGGTAGGGGAGTCGTGTAGTTGGCGAGGTTGCGCATGTGTACGTTGATAACTGCAGGTGCGATGCGGACGATAAGTCAGCTTCGTGGGCCAATTCTCGGCCTCGCATCGCCCACCTGCACTCACTTTGACTGTCCCAAACGCTATGAAGCCTCGCTTGCCTCCCTTCGAACCGCACGATCACATCGTTGCCTCCCCTCGCACGTCCTGTTAAATGCAGCGGCTGATGCGCATCGCCCACCAAATGGGTCACGAACCTAAGTGCGGCGTCCCTCTCGAACCCTCCCTTGCTTTCCTTCAACTGCCTCGTGTAGTTCACCATTGCAGTGAGTACATTCTCCTCACTCGTCCACCCGTACTCCCCGTAAGCGCAGCTCGAGGGCGGATCATCGTGCAAGGGATTGACATAGTGCAGGTGACCGGACCATGGCATACGCCATTTAGCTGTATCTGGCCATGAGGCTAGTGTGGCGAGGTGACAGTGTGTATGCGGTGCGCCTTTGAGCGGATAAGGAGATGAGTAGGAGGTGAAAGAGGGGAGGATTGTGCAGAGATGAGAGCGAATGGAGGGGTGCAAAAGTGATTGGGCTATCGTTGCGACTATGGCGTGGCCTGCTGCACCCCATGCAGAGGCTTGCTGCGCGAGGATCACGAGCACGATGAGAGTGAATGGGATGCTTGAATGAGTGAGGCGTCTCATGAATGCGTTCGAGTGGGAGTAGAGAAGCGAAAGATAAGGGGACAAGATGGTGGAGTTGGCGGACAAGCTTTGTTGACCCCCCCTGCCGCATCTTGACGAGCGCACGGGCCACCGGCGCCTTCAATGGTTCAGCTTGCTCCCGACAGTACCGCAAACGCTACCCAAGCCTAGCCGACAAGCATCTCTCACGCCATCTCTACCCACCCACGCTCGCACACTCTGTTTGTGTGATGCACAAAGGATTCGATTTGTCTCGGCGCGCAGCTAGAGAGCAGGCCGAATTAGCGATTTCTGTCCTTTCTTTACTTTGCCTCCTCAATCTTTGCCTCAGCCGGAGCAGCGGCATCAGCGGGCACAGCCTCTTCAGCCTCGTCTCCCTCTTCGCCATCAGAGTCGTCTCCACCGAGGTCAGGCATACCCTCACCACCAGCGCCGCCACCCATCTGGGCAAGCATGCTCTGCAGGTCCATCCCGCCCATGCCACCAGCGCCACCCATGCCACCCATTCCTCCCATTCCTCCCATACCGCCCATCCCACCCATGCCCTGCATCTGCGCAAGCATCGACGGGTCCATGCCGCCCATGCCGCCGTCGCCAGCTCCACCGCTCAGGTCCTCGAGGTCATCCTGCTCGTCCTCGTCGCGCCACTTGCCAAAGTCCGTCTTGACGTTGTGCATGCGGACCTTGTCCTTGGAAAGGCGCGGCCAGTACTCGGAAGAGGCCTCCTTCTTGCGCAGAACGAGGTAAATGTTCTTCGATGACGGGTGGATCTTGCTCTCCTGCGAGACAGGTGCCGCGGGGGGAGGGGGGTGGGAGGACGATCAGAGGGATGTGCGAGGGAGAGGAGATATCACAAGGGGGTCACTACACGTACCTTGGGGTCAATGGGAGCGAAGAAGTCGAGGTGGAAGGCGTACTCCTTCTCCGGGATGCCCTTTGCCGGGTTTCCAGCCTTGGCATGGAAGTCGAAGCCGTTCTCCTGCAGGTCCAGCTTCGTCTCCGGGATGGGCGGGAGGTTGGGGACGTTGATCGTGAGCATGATGACGTTCTGTGAGAGATACGAGGGGACGTGCGTAAGGATTGACTGGTCAGCAATCATGCGACGTCTCGAATGCCATCCTCGCCGGCTGTATGCGCACCTTCTCTGCCTCGGTCTCGTTGCAGCGCTGAGCCCAGAGGAGCTCAGGCGCAACAGTACCTGACCCAGCCAGCGGGGTCGTCTTTCCAGCCGGAGCCGATGCGGTCGTTCCAGACATTCTGTGGTAGGTGGGCTGGTATACGTTGATTGGGGTGTTGTTGGTGAGAGAAGAAGGCCGGAGAAGGACTACTCTGATCCTGACCCAAAGTCGAAGATCTCGAGCGGAGGGGCGGGCTGGTCCCGTCGACCATCTCCGTTCCGAGATGAGCTTCAGGCCATGTGGTGAGTGGGCGGAGAGAGACGAGAGGCGGCTTGGAATTTTGGCTCTCTGAGCGGCAGGAGACTGCAGCAGCCGCGAAGCCGAAACTTCCTCGCCGTCACCACCACTACCATCACCACGCCTACACACGCAGACATGGCCGCAAGGAAGTCGTCAGCATCAGCATCTTCATCTTCATCGTCGACCGCTGCTACAAAGGGTGCCGCAAAGCGCAGCGCTGCTCCAACCAAGGCAGCTGCTCCCGCTAAGAAGGCAAAGAGCTCAGCAGAGGACAAGACGGCTGCTCCCAAGAGCATACTCAAGAAGGCGCCCGCTGCGGCACCCGTGGCTTCATCGTCGTCCAAGGGCAAGGCCAAGGCTAAAGCGCCGGCAACGAGCGCCAAGTCGATGCCTACTAGAAAGACCAAGTCACCCCTCGTCTCTAGCAAACCCATCCAGTCAGACGACGAGGACGAAAGCGACGACGAAGACTTCGAGGAGGGTAGCGATGATGACGAGGAGGAGGACGACTCCTCCGCGGCAAGCGCTCTTGATTCAGACGAGGAAGGAGACATGATCAAGGGCATGACCTCGGCAGACGAGTCAGACGAGGACGAGGACGAGGACAACTCATCGGATGAGTCTGACTCCGAGGGGATTAAGCGCTTCTCGGACATTGCAACAATGAAGCTCCCCTCCAGCAAAGACGATGCAGCGGTTCGCGCCCGCCTTTCCAAGCTCGAAGCCCGTCGAAAGGCCCAACCCGCAGCCCAGAAGATCGATCGCGCAGTCCTGTACGTCGGTCACCTCCCCAAGCACTTCACCGAAACGCCCCTTCGCTCCTACCTGTCCCAGTTCGGAACTATCACCAGGCTGAGGCTCTCACGCAACAAGAAGACGGGCGCATCAAAGCACTACGCCTTTGTCGAGTTCGCAGACGAGGAGGTCGCGCGCATTGTGCAGGAGACGATGGACAATTACCTGATCATGGGTCAGCTCTTGCGAGTTAAGCCGCTCAGTCGGGATCAGATTCATCCCAAGATGTGGGTTGGAGCCAACAGGACGTTCAGGAAGATCCCGGCAGGGAGGAGGGCGAGGGAGCAGCATGACGGTGCAAAGAGTGTTGAGGGGAAGCAGAGGGCGGAGACGAAGCTGTTGGAGAGGCAAGAGAGGAAGAGAGCAGCACTCAAGGAGGCAGGCATCGACTACGACTTCGACGGCTATCAAGCCAAGCCGGTGGCTGCGTAGCTCTGATGCTGTATCAATGAGATTAAAGAGTCCTCGTGTATATGAATGTACGCGTCCGTCTACGGGTACTCAAAGGCCAGCGCCAGCTTCGGCCCCAACCATATCCTCCTCACGCAACGCATGCCTCAGCAGCAGCCCGCCTCTCGTCTCCCTCTTCAGCTTCACATCCTTTCCCTCCCACCTCACCCTCAGCCCATCATCCCTATTGCCATCTAGCAGCACCCTGAGCGACAAAGCCTCAAAGACGTCCATGTATCCCGACGTCTTTGAAACGGCTGACGGCTGCGGAAGAGCTTCCACAAGATCTTTTGCTCCCTCTCCTTCCTCCGTGTCATTTTCCTGCTCCTTCTTCGTCTTGGCAAAGAAGCGTGGCAGCAGGAAAGGGAAGTCAGAAAAGTCCGTATGCTGCGTGCCGGTCAGAGTCGTTAGCCAGCCTTTCCTGCCGTCAGGAGTAACAGCGCACGCCGAGGCAAAGGTGGAGCAGAGCTTCTTGACGCGAGCGAACTCTGCGCTCCAGAGGGTGAAGCCTTGTGAATTGACCACGAAGATTGGGGGTGGTTTGGAAGGCGAGGCGGGAAGGGGAACGTCTTCCGCCAGTGGCTGTACCCAGGGGTCGAGGAGCATGCCAACTGAGAAGTCGGGGAGCGATTCACTGCTTGGCTCCTGGGGCTCGAGCTCGGGCACGGGGGCAAGGGCTGGATTGATGCAAGAGAGGATCGTCGCAGCGCCGAAGGAATGGCCAACACCGAGCAGGCGCGATGTTGCTTTACCGTCTGTGCTCGTCAGGTCTAGCCGCCCTTTCCAGAGTGGCAGCTGGGCGTCTTGAATGTCCTTGACTGTATCTTTGCGGGTCGAAGCCTCCAGAATTGCAGCCCCCTCGCCGGCATTGAGTCGCTGCAGGAGGAGTGATGCCTCGTAAACCTCTGCTCTGCGGAAGGCCAGCTGGGTCCGTCTGTAAAGCCATTGTGGGCCTGCCTGCTCGTCTTCAGTCAGATCGGTCTCTTTGGTGTATACGACTTCCTCCATCTTTCCTCCTCGCGACGAGTGCACAAAGCTCGCCGGACTTGTCATATCGCGATGGTCTAGCGCAGCGACTACGATGCCATGCGAGGCCAGGCGCGAGCAGTACACAGAGTATGTAGACGGTGTGCCTGCCAAACCGGGCGAGAAGATCGCGGTGGGTAGCGGAACAGATGACGTATTTGTTGCTAGCGGTCCGGGCTGGCGAGTAGGAAGCTTTGTTCTCCAGAGACCGAGGGCCCATGCAGGGAGAATGGCTGCATAGCTCCAAGCGCCATGGTTGAAGCCGGCGTACCTCAGGAGTCCGGCGAGTGACGAACTTCTCGGCGCAGGCAGCCAAGTGTGCTTGGAAGTCGAAGGCAGCGGGTCCTTTGACGTTGGATAATAAAGCGTCACGGAGACGGTCTCGAGTCGAAAGGCCGGGCGTGGCGGCGAGCCTGAGCGTCTATGCGCGTATCTCTCTGGGAGGAAGGTGCGAGGCCGAGTCACAGGGATCTCGATTGTCAGCGTCGAGACAGCCGCGTCTCCTGTTGGCTGCGGGAGTGTCATTGTGCGGGCGAGCGGCTCAATATTGATGCTTGGAAGAGGAGAAGAAAGCAAAAAGGCGCCGATGGCTTCTCCACCTGGACCCCTGCGTGAATTCCTTGGACTCTGTTGCGTTGCTCAGCACAAGTCGCCTTCGCCTCGCCTCGGACCAGACCGACGAGAGCCGAAAGCGGACCAGACGAGCGTCTTGGTTGACCTCCATTTCATCACTTCTCTCAAACGCAGTCGATCAATTTCTCATCATGGCCCGCAAGCCATCGACACCCTCAGTGTCGGCGGGCAATCCATCTTCAACATCTTCCGCGCCCGCTCCCACATCGGCATCATCGTCATCTCGCATTCACCCATCCTACCACCAGTATTCGTATCCACCGCCGCCGCCAACGACGACGGGCGACTACAACAATGCCTCTGCCGCCTCGTCGCCTTCCTCATGGCAGCCTTCTTACCCGCCACATTCTCGAGCCACTGGCACTTCGATCGGTGCGACCAAGCCGACACAAGCGTATCCGGGAATGCATGACTATCCGGCTTCATCTCCGGCCTCGACCTCATACAATGCCTCGTACAGCAAAGGCAATTCGCCCTCGCAGGCCAGCGAGGATGAAGACGACCCTGACGGCGGCTACAATGACGAGGGAACAAGTCCAGCCAGCGCCAAGGGCAAGGACAAAGCAACGAAAAGGGCTGCGACCTCGACCTCGACCTCAACCTCAGCCTCCGCATCAACGTCGCAAGGCTCCAAGCGGCAGCGCGTCCACTTCTCGTGCACAGAATGCCATCGGCGTAAGCAGAAGTGCAATCGTCAGACGCCATGCCAACATTGCATTGCTCGCAAGGTGCCAGAGCGCTGCAAAACATTCAAGCCTGGTCATGAAGAGGGGATGGATCTGACTGCGCGGGTGGCCAAGCTGGAGAAGTCTCTCGAGGAGGGATTCGATAGGTTGGCCGCGATGATGGCTGAGCACGCTGCGAATCAGCAGAGAGTACAAACCGCGGCAGGGGCAAACACATCATACCAGATGCCCAGCTCCGCCCAGCCTCGTGGACCCGCGACAACGCTTCCACCTCCTGCGCAACCCTCGTCGCAACTACAGAGCGAGCGCCGCGTCAGCTTTGCTCCATCTGCACCTGGCACAGTCACGAATGAAGGTAGCGACGCAGGGGACGAGGCGAATAATGGCGCTGTACTCAACGATGCGGGAAACTTCCATGGCAGCGGAGCTACCATTTCAATGCGTATCGACTCTCTGCTCTCAGACGTCGGCGGCGGCGAACAATCCTCTAGCGGCGAAGCATCTCAGTCTGCTACAGGGCAGCGCAAGGGCATCTTGTCAATGCCCACTCGCTCCGACGCCGGGAGCGACAAGGACGACGATCTCGACTCGAAGATGGCAGAGTACGGAGCAGTCGACAAGATGTCGGGTGCTTTCGCTTCGAGCGTGCCCAGCCGGGGGATTTGCAGGCAGCTTACGGACCATTACTTTGACGACGTCAACTGGCTTCGACACCCCCTGCCAGAGCGACTCTTGCGCCCCCAGATCAACGCATACATCGACGCACCTGGCGCCTTTCCAGCTCCCTTGACGACATCCAACGTCAATGTCTTTGCGTGCATGATGCTACTCATGTCCGTGGCCGCCCTCAGCGCTGAGATTGAAGCCTTTCCCAAGGACGGCAAAGCGAGGAGAATGGCAGCGCGCCGCTTCGAATGGACAGGGCGGCGCACATTGCTCCTCAGCCAGGTCCTGGGCAAAGACGACATCCTCCAAGTCATGGGCTTCAACCTGGCCTGGCGCTTCCTCATGCTCGATCGCCGCATGAGCGAAGGTTGGCGCTGTGTCTCTAACTCCATCACGGCAGGATACGCCATTGGTCTGCACAGAGACGGCTCGAAGCTCGGTCTCCCTCCCCTCGAGACGGACTTACGCCGAGGAGCCTGGCAGACGATTACCTTTGCCGACTTGATGCTCTCGATGACTTTTGGTCGCCCACCAATCTCAGACCTCGATCGATCCTTCTCAGACACAGCGCTGCCTACTCTGGAGGGCTTCAAGCACTGGTGGCCGAATGAGGAGCGCACTTCTCATCCGCGCGCGAAAGAGGGTAAGCCGCTTCCCACGATCTACCAGCACACGCTCAACCGCGTCAAGATCATGCGCATCTGTGGACGCATTGTCGAATGCTACCAGAAGCTTGAGCCACATCATTACAGCGATATCCTAGCCATAGACGCCGAGTTGCTCAAGGTGCGCGAAGAGCTGCCGTACTACTACCAAGCGACCGTTAAGCGCGAAGATGGCCGCAACTCCGTAGAGTGCGATCGCACGCTGGATGACGACTTCCCCTTTTTGATGATCCACCGCTTTCTCTGCCACACCGAAGTCTTCTTCTGCCGGATCTCTCTGCATCGTTCCTACCTTTTGCGCTCAGGAGCAAAGGGCTCCTCTGGCAATCGCTATGCTCAATCGCGTCGCGCATGCATCGAGGCAGCGATGGACGACCTGGCCATGCGGACGGAATTTGTCCAGAAGCTGGTGAAGCGCTACGGCGGCCTGGGGAAGATTCCGCTCTGGGTCTACATCCATATCGGGACATATTCGTGGTTCAACAGCCTGCTAGTCGCTTCGATCGCCGCATTGCTCGACCCGTCAGATATGCCTGAGCTCCCTGCGCTCAGGGCACAGCTTAATCACTTCTTAAGGCATGCTGACAGGAAGCAGGCTGGCCTGCCGCCAGAGGATGTGACTCCGGATGATAGCAGTGCTACGACTGGGAGCGCGACAAGTCCTGACGAGACTGGCAACAGTCGCGCCCATCTCGAGATCAAGGACGAGATGAGGGAGAAAGAGGAGACAATCTTGAGCATGTTTAGGAGCGCCATTGACCGCGCGCAGGCCAACCTGGCGGCGAAAGGAGCAGCGGAGCCGGCGCGTACGGCTGGCAGCAAGCGGGCGATGGATGAACCAGCCCCAAGCAGCCGCTCTGCAAAGGCGAGCAAGGGGCAAGAGACGGCGGCATCTCGGGAGGAGGCTACGGCGGATGTGTTGCTTGACTTGGGCAAGGGAGCCAAGGGCGGGAATGCTGTGGGAGACGTCAAGACTGCAGAGGGGCCCGGCTCTGGATCTGGCTATTCTTCGCCAAAGCAGGGTGGCAGCCAACAAGCGCAAGGGAAGGTGACGCCATCGTCACATAGGGCAACGCCGCCAACCCCACGCACAGCAGCAGGAAGCAGCAACAACGCTCAGCAGCAGCAGCCGCTCTCCCATCACCTCCGCAATGACTCTTCCGCAGCACTCGATGCGCAAACGCCCAGCGCAGCAAGCACAAGCTCGGCTTCCACACCATTTCCGTCGAGCGGCATGCTTGGCGCGGGAGTTGCGCCATTCCCGGCTTCTTCCTCTGTCGATTCTCCCAGCGGCAATCACGCCTTCAGTGGACACCCGCAGCAGCAACGTCCTCCACACGCCCAGCAACAGCAGCAGCGCTCAGTCGACTCGGCCCAAGCTGACTTCAATGCTTGGTTTGCGAACGAGTTCTCTATGGGGATGGCAATGAACCTCGGTGGGGCTGGGCCTGACGCGCTCGTCTCGCCGGCTTCAGCTGGACATGTTGGAGGGGGAATGGCTGGATATTCGGTCAATGGTACCAGCCCAGGTGGCGGGCCGAATGCGGGATGGGCCGGTGCTGCTACGTTCGACGGCGCGAATGGTCAGCCCTCCTCTTCCGCTGGCCCAGTTCAATGGTCCACTCTTCCTCGCCCAAATTGGGACGCGACGCCTTCCTCCAGCGTTCCGTCTGGATCGCAGGCAGCACCAGCGTTCGACGCTCAAGGCTTCTTCATGAACAATGTCCACCCCGGCGGGGCAAGCACCAGAACGGCTGGGGACCCATACGCCGTAGCAGCTGCGAACGCCGCGGCGGCACGAGGAGGGCAGGGGCTCCGGCAGCAGCAGCAGCAGCAGCAGCAGAGAGCACCAGATCAAAGTGGCGCCCCCGGCTTTTTGGACCCTCAGCTCCAACAGCAGCAAAGAGGCATGCCTCCCGGCAGCTGGGCGCCACTTGGCCCGCAACCGCAGGCGGGTACGCAGCAGGGTGGGATGGAAGGGGCTCCTGGTGGAGGCGGAGGAGGAGGAGGTGGAGATTTCGACACTGCGTTTTGGAAAGACTTGATCAGCAAGATCTCGACGACGTAGAGCAGGAGGAGGCCATTGCTCTTTCTCTGCTTGCTGCTTGCTTCCAAATTCGACTCACGCGCCACGCGATGGCAGCTGTTTGACAATGGATTGCTCTCTGTGCCTGTCTGCTTTGCTTGCCTTCGGAGGATGGACGTCCGGGCGGCAGGCGGCTGTGTTGGTTGCATGCAGCTCCGCCGCGAGAATGACACCAGGCCCGCATGGCGGTGCGACTGGAGATTGGGTGGGCCCCTGAAGCACACGCTAGTTTGCAGCATCGTCCGCCTGCTCTTAGTCTAGCGCCTCCATCTCTTGCTCTTGCTCCCCATCGCCGACCGTTGAGCAGATCTTTGCTTCAGCAGCGGCACCATCGAGGATCCGGCCACTAGCGATTATCCTTAGATTTCATCTTCTTCTTCGTCCTCATTAGGCCCTGATCATCTTCCTCTTGCCCTGGAATCTGCTTGGACCGCCCGCATCCTCCTGCCCGCCCTGTCTTCATTCTCATCCCCACTTCCCCATGGCGTACACCAAGTAATTCAATCACACGCACTCCACCCTGATACCGCAGCCCCAGCATTAGCATCCCAGCGAGACGGCAGCAGCGGAAGCAAGAGAAGCTCCTGCCCAGCATGTCCTCCCTCACGTCAGCGGCCTCCTCGGCCTCCTCAGCCGCTGCCACCATGAACTCCTCGGAATCTCAAGCTTCGGCCTCCCAGGCCATGTCCTCCCTCTCCTCTGTCCTCTCCTCGGCCTCAGCAGCTCTGCAAACTCAGTCTGGGATAGCGAGTGGTGAAGGCGTCGACACGAATCCTTCCTACTTCAAGTACATCGGTATCGCCCTCGCAGTCATGTCCGGCGTTCTGATTGGGAGCTCCTTTGTCTTCAAGAAGAAGGGCCTTCTCGCCAGTCAAAGGAAGTACGAGACGGTTGCCGGGGAGGGATATCAGTATCTGAAGAGCCCAATGTGGTGGTCAGGAATGACGTTGATGATACTGGGGGAGGGTGAGTGCGAGCGGCACAATAAGGATTGCTTCGTGAGTGTATGCAGCTGACACCTCCTCGTCAATCGCGTTTCTCAGGCCTCAACTTTGGCGCATACGCCTTTGCACCAGCCATCCTTGTCACACCGTTCGGCGCCCTCTCTGTAGTTCTTTGCGCGATTCTGTCCAGCATCTTCCTCAAGGAGGCGCTGACCTTGTTTGGCAAGATCGGCTGCTTCCTCTGCGTCATTGGATCGGTCATTATTGCACTTAACGGGCCTAGTGGGCATAATGGCGGCAGCATCGTTGAGTTCCGCAAGCTCTTCCTCTCAGTCGGCTTCCTCGTGTGGGCAGGGGTTTGTATTGCTGCTTCGCTGTTTCTGATCTTCTTTGTGTCCCCGAAGAAAGGTGAGTGGACGCGGGAAGGCGGACGCTGGAAGGCGGAGCGAGCTGCGGCACGCGTTCATGCTGATGCAATCCCCTATACTGCATAGGTCAGCAATGGATGATGGTCGACATCACTATCTGCTCTCTTTTGGGCGGTCTCTCCGTCTCAACGACATCTGGAATTGGCAGCGCCATCGTCCTCACCATCCGCGGTTCCAATCAGCTCAAGAATTGGTTCTTCTACGTCCTCCTCGCCTTCGTCGCCATAACTCTCGTAGCAGAGATCGTCTTCTTAAATCGTGCTCTGGCTAGGCACAACACAGCTCTTGTAACGCCTTCGTACTTCGTCGTATTCACTTCGGCCAGCATCATCTCCACCATCATCCTCTTCAAGGGACTCGATGCCGACGCGTCCACAATCATCACGTTGGTGCTGGGCTTCCTGACCACGTGTACTGGCGTCGTGCTCCTCCAACTCAGCAAGGTAGACCCCGAGGAGCTTGAGGCCAAGGAAGGCTCAGTACCAGGGCTGGACCGCTCCACTACCCTCCTCATGCGCGCATCGCGTTCCATGGTATCCACGCGTTCAGAGAAGGATGGCCTGCAACGCGGAGCCTCCTCTACCGCTATCGAGGACCCAGGAATTGACACAATTCGTGGCGGGGCAGGTCTCATTGGTTCAATCATTCGCGCGAGGTCATCACGCCGCATACGAGCGAGTGCGGACGAGTACAACAGGCTGGGCACCGTAAGCGGGGATGCAAGCTTCAGTCGGGACGCGGGGATGGGAATGCATCAGCTCAATTCCGGAAGACGAGGAGATTTGCAGCGCTATGAGCTCAGCGATGGGCCTATTCTCGAAGACGAGTCAGCAACCTCGATACCGCGGAAGCGTGGGTCTGGTAGCGACGCGAAACAGGGTAGGCTCAACGGGATGCTCAGCCCGCCACCCTCGGCCACATCGGGCAACTTCCCCAAGCGAGGGGAATCCATGATCAGCTTCACGTCAGAGAGCTTAGAGCCACACGGGCACCACGCTGCCGGTGTTACCTCGCCTACTTCGGACTCCTTCCATCCTACGTCGAAGGCGCCGACTGGAGGTATTTTGGCTCACTCGTCGCCCACGACAGCGCAGCCAGCCGCGCCCTTCCTCAATCCTCACCACGCCTCACCGGGAGGACGTGCCCTCTCCAACATCAGCGAGGCAAGATCGAGCCACCAGCCGTATCCGCCGAGCGTTTTGGACGCTTACGATGAGGAGAAGGTGCTCGACTACGATGAGGGCGACGACATCAAAGCGCACAACAAGGCTCATGACAGCTTTGCCTCCACCACCTCGACGACTGCAGGGCTGTACGAGGACCCCTTTGCAAAGGGCATCCCGACGCACCTGCTGCTCAATGATGATGGCGCTCAGGGTGGAGCCGAAGGGCAACAGCAAAAGAAGCCTCGCAACCTCCGACATATGTTCGATCCATCGTCAGGCTTCTCTCAGCAGCAGCAGCAGAAGCAGTACACTGCTAAGCAGTTCCCTGGCGGCAGCGGCTCGGCTAGTCGCGAGAGCAAGGCGAGCTCTATCCTGAATAAAGCGAAGAGGAAGAAGGGCAGCAAGTCGGAAGCAGAAGGCGGAGGCGGCACGTCAGGTTTGCCATCTCGCAGATCAGAGGAGGAGCTGCTTAGTCCTCAACTAGTAAACGAGCGCTGGGGCCAGGATAGCGATGAGGACGATGATGGCAAGGCGGAGGGCAGCGATGACGACGAGAGGCGGCCGAGCATTCGCATCGTGACAGACGATGACGAAAGTACAGGGCAGCTTGGTCTATCGAGCTCGCCTGGGAAGATGGATGTCAGCTTGCCAACCGCGGATGGGCAGGAGGAGAAGGGAGGTGGAAGGGGACGCTGGTTCTAGGAGTGAGGTGCTGGTCACCACAAACTGACACGGACGATCAATCCGGGATGCTCTAGTAGGATAGAGGTCGACGGATTGGTATAGCTGGATCTAGATAAGACAAGAGGGCCGACACGCCTAGACTCGCTATACAGCGGAGCGCAGAACCTTCTCAACCTCCCTTCTTCCTGGTGGTCAGCTCCGCTCAATTTTGTTTCATCGTCACCCGCTGCTTCCTTTTCTGCTCTCTTGCTTCTCGTTGGCGCAGATTACCCTGTCAATAGATGCCAATGGTCGATGACGTTTCTTTCAACTCTCTCATGGGGGTTGCCTTCATCCCTTCTGCCGACTCTATGTCGTTGAGATCTTGCTGATCAAGCTGGAGCCTGAAGGATTGAAGCAGTGCGTGAGAAGCTTGACTAAATTGGGCTGCAGCAGCCTTGGGCCCTTATGATGATAGAGCTCGAGTTGCATGGACCAGGCATCGCCCCAGTTCGCGCGGCCGTTTGAGGAGACGAGAGGCCTTGTGAAGATGAAAGATTGACCCCCTCCACGATCCCCGCGCCCACTCTGCAAACGTCTGCATCACGGACATGTGACTGCTTGACCGGTGATCAGCGAAGTTGAGCGGCTCAGCACAGGCGAAATCAGGCGCCCAAGAAGGCAAGCCACGGACGCTGTGCGCGAGAATGGTGACTGTGAGTCGGCCTCGCGCAGGGCTATGCCTAGGAGATGGCACGACTCCAGCTGACGACGCACGAACATCATGAGGAGCGCGCCGAAGAGATTGGCTGGCGTCAGGCCCACGTGCCAGCTCCTCTTGGCGTGCTCACTCTCTGCACTTGCAGACCAATTGTCATCTCCCAGCAGGCCAGCAGGAGGGACCACCCACGGCCAGAGCTGCTCGCACTTCTCCTCCATGAATGCGATGCCGGATACGAGCCTCTCCCGGAGCGCCGTCTCGCTTGTGTCCTGCGGAAAGATGCCGAGCGTCGGGAGTCCATTTGGCATCGTCCCCACGTCTTTGAGGCGGTCAGAGAGATCGGCGGGGAGCGATTTGATGAGCTCGTGGATGCAGGTGAAGCTCGTAGAGCCGGCCGCCACTCGAGCCACCCACGCAGGCGAAACCTTCTTGCCTATAGACGACCAGAGCTGCGCCGCAGTGCCGCCGACGGAGGTCAGCTTCCTCGCTGCGCCGTGACTCCTGCTCTCTCCTTCCTCGTCGGAGTCGCTGTCCTCGCCGTAGTCGCTGTCGCCGCCGATGTCGACCTCGTCGTCTTCACTCTGGCTGTCTGCATCATTCTGGGCGACGTCGGCATTGCTGCCAAAGCAGAAGCTGGTCAGAGTTGCGCTCGAGGTTGGCTCCGCCAATCGCTCACCCAGCGACTTCTAGCTACCGCGTCGGTAGAGCTCGACAAGATCGTCGAGACCACTGCGGTATGAGGGCGCGTTGCCTGCCGAAAGCCTCGCGGGGTCTACGCACTGATGGAGGAGCAACAGTGCGAGCGAGCTCTCAGCCCTCAGCGGCGAATTGCTGACCTTCATGCGGTTGTAAGCCCATGACGCCCACTGCACGTTGCCGGCCGAGTGAGGGGTCATCTGACCATCCTCCGCGCGCGAGACGATTCTGTCCAGCGACGGTATGCCGGCGTGCCAAGCCTCGTCCACCCTGGCACAACGCACCGTCGCGGGATCTATGACTCCCTCAAAGTCGAACAGCGCCGGGATCCTACCCTTTACGAGCTGATCATATTCGATGATCATAGGGAGAGCAAGATTGAGCTGGTTGACTTCGATGGAGGAAGCCGTGGCTACGCCGTCCGCAGCGAGCATGGCCTCGAGCCATCTGTTGCCGCGGTCGGGCAGAGGACTCATCGCGAGGCCCATGTGCGGCAGAGGGAGGGACAGGAGGTCTTGAGCCTTGAGGCTGCCGGGTCGGCCGCTGTCGAAGAGGTTTCGAGCGATCTCAGCCGCCTTGTTCTTCGGCTTCGCTCGGCGGTTCGCGCGCAGGAGCACCGTCTCCATCAGGTCGTTGCCCTGCAGAAACCGTGCGCATGGTACAAGCTCCAGCCTGGCGGCCAGGATCGGCAGCGTCGCAGTTCTGCCGTCGCCCCGCTTGACGACGTGGATCCTTGGCTTCATCTGACTCGGCACTGGAAGGTGCGACCCACGGTAACAGCCGCGCGACAGGCCTGGGGTCCTGCAGGCTTTCTCTATGGCTTGCCTCTCCATCCTCTGGACTGCGCAGCCGGCGGGCGAGACGAGGTCCGTCTTATAGAGCGTAAATGAGGTGATTGCCCCGAGCCCGATGCGATCGTCGATCGAGCTTATGACGGACTGCATGTCCGTGGGCTCTGCGTGGCGCAGAAGATGGAAGAACTCTCGCACGACCAGCCAGGTGGCGAAGAGCAGACCGCAGTCGTTGAGGCGCGACCACCAGCGAGGATCCGCCGCGAGCTGGTTGTACAGCCTCTTGAACTCCTCGAAGCTAGACGCGATCGTCTTGCCAGGAAGAAGTGTCGTTGAGGAGCCGAAGAAGTCGCTCCCGGTGTTGGCCGCCCAATCCCAAACACGGTCGCTGTACTTGCGCTCCGAGATCACGAGTTCGTGGAAGCCAGCTGCAACGCTCGTGACCTCCCGTGTTGCTAGCTCCTAAAGTTGCTCGGCGCTGCGACCGACTTCTTTGGCAGGACGTCTAGGCCGCGACCAACCGTCTTCGTTAGGCTGCGGAAAGGCACACTTTTTCCGCTCGAGCTGCTGGTGGCTTGAACATGGCTCGAGCCGAGTCGACCGCTACCGGCTTGCTGCTGAGTGGGGGCGACAGCGGCAGCGAGGTGACTTGGCCCAGCTTGGGCTTGCGGGTGGGCAGCGATGCTAGAATGAGGGTTTCCGCGAAGGGCATCCATACGCTTGGGCAGGAGCGATTACAGTGTTGGCCCGGACTTGAGTGCCAGCGGCGGTCGAGGTGGGGGCGAGAGGAGGCGACAAGCTGTCCTTGGAGTAGCTGAGTTGCGTGACACGACGCACGAGCTTCCTGCTGGTGGGCTGTTGTCGCGAGTCCTGTGATTCCCTCGTGCTATCGCGGGCAAGCGAGCTGCCGTGCTCTTCGAAGCAGGGCAGGCAGATGCGATAATGCCTTGCGAGAGTTGCCATCGTCTTGCCGCTGAGTCGTTTCGATGAGGCGCGATGAGCTTGCCGCCACGGTGCTCCAGATGAAGATGAAATGCCGCATAGTTCTTGTCGTCTTTTCGTCGTTGCTTGACTCTGACATTCAGAGCACTGGGCAGAAATCACATTGCGTCAACACCATTTTCTGGCCGTCTGTCTGAGGGACGCGTAACGGAGAGTACAGGTGGTTGTCGTTGAGCCGAGGTTGGGAGGTTGAGATGCTTGTTTCTTGCGCCGTTGGGCGATGGAAGAGCGATGCGTGCTGCTTGGGGAGCAGGCGGATGGCTTGGCACGAGCAGGAAGGGATGAAGCGTTGTCGCTACCGTCTGCTGAGTCGCAACTGTCAGCTTGTTGGAGAGGAGGGACGAAATGAGAGGCGGGTGGAAGGGAGGCCGCACGCTGTATGCGCGGGCCCCCAACGTACAGGACGATGATGGCACCGACTGGCTTTTAGACGATGAATGGGGGTGGGGAACTTGGGGGGGAAAGAGGCGAGGATGGTGGGATGCTTGAAGGTGTCAAGGTGTGCGTCAGGGCAAAAGCGATTGTGCTCGCCTCTCTCGCGCGCTGTGCAGCTCGGCCGACGTTACGCATCGGATGCCGCCGCCAACGAGGGCGAGACAATCTCGGGCACTCATCTTGCGTCCAAATTTGGTTGCTAGACCATGACCACTGCTTGCGCTCCTCTTCAGTTGACAAGCGATGGGCCCTCGGGAAATCACGAACTTCCGAACTGGTAACATGGCCACGCTTACCCATCTCATTACGGTAGAGTGTGCACAGAGCTATTGAGAGGGAGAGATGAGTGAAGACAAGGAGGACGCAGGACGGCACTTAAGATGGTTAGACCGATGTGACGAGAGTGAGTGAAAGTGCGGACGGCGATGATCGTGTGGTAGTGATCTCGACGTTCGTGTTGCGCTTTAGCTGCTCGTAGCAGGGGCAGCAGCAGCACCATCGGTCTTGCCAGAAGCGTAGTCTACACGAAGCCAAGGAGACGCAGGGTCAGCTGGTGGTCATCTATGACAAAAGAGCTGAGTCCCTTGTGCGCAACTTACCCTCCATCTCGGCGTCCAGGTCCTCGGCGCTCTTCTTGGGACGAGCGCCAGAGCCACCGGCGCCACGGCCACCTCGAGCACCGCGCCCGCCACGACCACGAGATGCACCACGGCCACCACGACCAGGGGCAGCGGCGGCGGCAGCAGCACCAGCACGAGCACCAGCAGCGGCTGCGGGACCAGCGATGGCAGCTTGGGCAGCAGCGGCACGGGCAGGGTCAACGACCGTCTCGACGCGGAGGGCGCGCTCTGAGTGCGGACAAGGGAAGAAGACGAGGCATCACATCAGTCATGACATCCTAGCGTCCTCTGTAGTGCGGCGCACTCACTACCATCGATGAGGCGGTTGTTGTACTGCTGGTAGGCACGAGCAGCGTCGTCAGGTCGCTGGAATTCAATGGTGACTTGGCCAGTGGAGGAGCCATTGGCGCGGTAGCTCATGGAGACGCGCTTCAGAGGACCAATGGTGGTGGAGAAGAGCTCCTGGAAGGCAGCGGGGATGAGGATGCCCGGAGGTCAGTAAGAAGATGAGGTAGCCTCCCTATCGTTAGGCTGCGCACCTTGACTTGAGCCTCCGTAACGTCGGTGGGCAGGTTGCTGACGATGATCTTGCTGCCTTGACCACCGGGAGCACGGCCAGGGATGACGAGGGGCTTGTTGCGGTTCGCAGCTACGGCGGCAGCGGCAGCGGCTGCGTTGGCCTTGTTGCCTCCGAGGGCAGCAGCCTTGGCTCCACCGCCGCTGCGATGCCCGCCACGACCACGGCCGCGACCGCCACCCTGCCTCTTGGAAGAGATCAGGTCGTCCAGGGCTGTCGCAAGGGATAAAGAAGGGCGAGGGGATTGAAGCGATGTCGCGAGATGAGCGGTCCTTCTTGTCATGCAGCCAGTCGTCTCCGCGTCGATGGGCGATGCTTACGCTTGTCAAGGTTCATGGACTACGAGTAGTGTTGAACGGAGGTTGCATGTATGCGATGAGGAAGGTAAGATGAAGGAGGGAAGAAGGCGCGTTGTCAGGATCGTTCATTTGCGTCGAAAGCTCGGCGAAGAAGAGGAAGAGGAGGAGGCGAGCTTGGCGCCGATGATCATCGCTTTGCCTGCCAGCGTCGTCGCTCGCAGTCGAAGCTGCTTTCGCTCAAATCAGCAGCTCGTTGTCGATGCCAGACTGTGTCTGTTCAGCGGTGCTGCTTGCACTCTTGTTTGGGAGGCTATGCCCACGCGTCCGCGTGTACGCGAGCGCGATAGGTGATCATCCTCATACCGCATGAGGAGCACCTGAGACGCTGACGTAGCCACCGAAGCTGCTGCCGCTGCTACTAAGCTCGTCCACGACTGCGTAGCGATAGAAGCTTGCTTCCTGCCATCGACTTGTCAGTCATGATTAGGCAGAGGGCAATGCATCTCAATGTCGCACGAGCACGGCTCGAGTGCGCTGCGAGGCGTTGCTGCGAGTGCCTTTCTCTGCTGAGAAGAAGGCCTGACCTCTTTTGACTGCCTGCTTGGCTGTAGATGCTGTGGCTTCGATGGCTGACGGCTGCCGATCATTCCCAAGCCTGGAGCTGGGTCTGCTGCGCAGTTAATGACCTACTCTCGACCGGCGAGGTGGCTATGCGAGCGAGGAGCGCGACGACGCTGGAAGTATGAGGCTACACTGATGCTGAGCACATGGCTGAGCGCTTGATCTAGACTGCCTGATGCTCGACTCGATTTGGAAGTGGATGGATGGCCATCGTGGGGCGCGGTGAACGGGCTCGGATGCTAACCATTTTCGTGAAAGTTGTGTATGCGTATGCGGCGGGTGATGAAGAGGAAGAGAGGTGACTGTGGGCTGGACTCGGGTGTGACGTGGGCTGTTTGTGGCGATGATGGCTGTGCTATCCCAGAGGAGGATGAGAGTAGCAGGTAGTGGTGGTGATGCGAACAAAGAGGGAGGAAGCGACGACGCGGATGGCGGATGGCTGGCAGATGAGACGAGCGGGCGGCAGGGCGGAGTGCGCGCCACGAGTCGTGCTCTCAGCAGTCCGGGGGGCCACTGTCATCACGACCACGGCGATCAAACGCGGCTGGCTCGGTGCATGAACGTGTTTGAATGGCAGTGACGAAACCGAGACGTAAAACTATACACTTCCACAGCAGAGAGGGGGGAGAGAGAGAGAGAGAGTCTGTCCATGAGGAAACGCGGTCATGCCAATCGCGGCGCGGCTGTGGGCTCGCTGCGTCTGGCATTGTTGCCTCCGCAGGGAAAGCCAGAGGGCAGCGTCCCGTTATAGTATGGGTCGGTAGGGTAGGGGCAATTAGCGATGGCCGTGTACATCGGCGCCGTATCGCTCGGGTTGAACCATGCGCCCACGCTGGGCAAGGCTTGCTTAGCGACTGTCGCAGAGTACGTCGGGCTGGGCACGGTGAGGATGGGACCCGTAGCCGTATATGAGGGCAAGTTGGAAACGGGGTCCGTCATCGAAGCGGTTGCCTGACCGTTGGTCGTCTGCAGCGTCGCGGGCGGCCATGCGTAGCTGCCCGTGCTGATGCTGTAGCCCTGAGCTTTGCCGGTCTGCCACGCCTGGAAGCTACCAGACCAGGACGTCGAGGAGCTTGAGATGGTCAGCGATTTGGCCTCGTTCTGGCACGCGCCAGCGACGATGTCGTTGATGTTCGTGGGCATCCAGCCCTGCTGCAGCCCCAGCTTGTAGTTCCACATCGGATTGACCGTATCGCCTGTGTCAATCGAGTTTCCAATGTGCCACGTCCAGAAGAAGAAGTTGCGCAAGCTGGACATCTGAGCAATGGCGAAACGCTTCAGGTTGGCCTTGCGAGTGTCATCAAAGCTCTGCCAGTTGTCCCAACCCTCGCACGAGCCATAGCGCTGAGTCGAGCCAGGGTAGGTGCCCTCGTAACGAGTGCCCTGGTTGACATTATTGAGATAGAGACCGCAGTCATTGAGCGCGAGCGACCACTCGCCAGCCATGTAGGCTCCATTGCTAGCCAGAGCCGAGTCGGTGTTGTGCGCAAAGTTCGAGCAGACGTTGCTGATGCCGGCATCGTACGAGTCACCAAAGGGCGGCGTGAAGCAAATGTACGGATGCGTGTCGTAGGCCACTCGGTCAGCGTTGGTCAGGAAACCATTGTACGAATTGACGCCCATGAAGCCATCGTGGAGGCCGATGAATGGACCATTGCCTTCACCAGTGCCGGTGATGTTACGAATCATGGTGTAGGCCTCGACGTAGAAGGACTTGAGCTGGTCTAAACCGATACCACGGGGGATGTTGGGCTCGTTGAGGATCGAGACGAGGGGAACGACTTTGCGGATCTCGGGCTGCGAAGTGAACTCGATCATGGTGCGGATGTAGTTGAGGGTGCGCTGAGCATTGGCAATGCCCATGACACCGTTGAGCCAGGCGAAGGAGTTGAGGCGACCAGAGTGGTTGTACGTGTTCTGTCCACCAGGCACAGCGTGGAGGTCGAGGTTGATGCGGAGACCGTACTTGCGGGCCCACTTGATGGCTTTAAGCACGTACTCCCAAGAAACCTTTGCCAAGTACGGCTCGCCACTGATTGTCTCAAAGGCCCAGAAACCAATCGGAAGCCGCACCCAGTTCAGACCAGCTCCAGCAATCATGGCAAAGTCTTGCTCGGTGATGAAGTTATCGTAGTGGTCTCGCATCTTCTTTTCAAGGTTTGCCTGGCCGCCCTCGCTGAGCCATTGGTTCGAGAGAGTGTATTCGTCGACGGCAGGGCTCGAAGTGTTGGCGTAGGGCTGGTAGAGGGAAGGGGCGATGAAGGGTTCGGTGATGAGCCATCCTCCGAGGTTGACGCCAAACATGCGGTCGTTGGCCCAGTCCCAATCTTGGCTCAGAGGCTTGGTATAGCTCTGAGCTCGAGCAGAATCGTTGAGGAAGTCTGAAACCCAGAAGCCGCCATACTGATTAATGTACGTAAAGCTGGAGCCATTGCCCAAGTCGATGACGGTGCCGTTGCCACCTGTAGTGAGCAGCTCGCCGTTCTTGCCATGGCCATGCCCGTCCGTCTCCGTTGTGCCCTTGGCTTTGCCGCTGCCGCCATCGCCGCCGTAAATGATGGCGACTGGTACCGCGACTGCAATGACGACGATGGCGACAATGACCGCAAGGATAGTGATGATGATGCACTTTTTGCGCTTCGAGGCCCCGGCGCCGATGCCATACCGCGAGAGGTGAGCTGCACGAGGATGACCGTCGCCACTCCCACCGCCTGGCTCTTTTGAGCGGTCCCAGCTGCCGCCCTCGTACTTGTCCATGGCCACAGCATTGAGACCCGCTACAGAATCGTAGTCGCGGCCAAGCATGGCAGTGCTGCTGAAAGAGTGTGTGCGCGACTTGTCTCTTGGCATCCCGGCCTCGTTGAAGTTGGCATACGAGGCCGCCGACGAGAAGGCGCCGCTACGTCGGTCTGTGTTGAGCCATGCTGGCGTCGATCGGCCGCTTTGAGGAAAGTGGCCTGCATCCTCGCTGACCGGAACTGCCGAATAGCGCGAGTTGCGAACAGACGACATCGGTGGAGATCGCAGCGAGCCAACGCCTGGCTCTTCGAGGCCCGGGCTACCAAGAGGTGAGGTGGCCCTGTCGCTGCTGCCATCGTGGTAGGACTGTCCAGCCCATGACGGCATACGAGAGCCCGACTCGAGGTGGGGCGAGTAAGGCGTGCGCAGATTCGGGCTTTCACCTCCGGCAATTTCGCTGCGTCGGCGAGATGACGAGTCACCTGATGCTGGTGGCGCAACCATGGTCGCCGCGAAGACTTCGAATGGGTGGGAAGGACCTTATGCGCGAGTGTGAGTGCGAGTGGCAGTGCAAATTCACCAAAGATCGAAGGTGAGGGGAAGAGGAGTGAGGTGGATACGACGACGACGAGGAGGAGGAGGATGACGAGGAGGACTGTGCTGGATGACAAGGAGAAGAGATGGAGTCGTTATCGTCGAAACGTGCTGCTGTGACCCGCTCCGAGATGGTGAAAGGGAGAGCAGTCTCCGCCAGAATAGAAAGAGAGTAGGAAGAGAGTCGAGAGCGACGAGGTTGGTGATGAAGGAGGACAACAGAAAGCGACGATGCCACGAGATGACCGAGGTTCACAGGGTCTCAACCGCGAAATCCAATCGTCGTCGCTCCCCCCTCGCCCGCCGCTGCCGCCGCCTCTGTCCGCCGGCTGCTGCCCCGGGCCGCCTTGGCTCGCAGGTTCGCGCAGCAACAGCAGCTAGCATCTCCCTCTCAATATTCAACAATCATTAGCCCCCGAATCCGCGTTCCATTAGCTTCATTTCTCGTCTCGTGGTGCTTAAAATGCGTGCGTGAGATTTCAGAGCACAATTGGCTGGCACTTTCTGCCAAGCAGTGGCAGCGGCTAAGCATGGTGATAGTCAAGGGCGTGCGGCGGCGTCGATTGTGTGACCGGAGCTGAGTCGATCGCTTCGTAGAGATGCGCGGAAACCTGGCCACGCCACCTCGACCTCAGGGCTCTTTTTCCAATCGCCGACGATAGGGAGCCTGCCACGGGACCTTGAGGGAGGAACAGGCAGACGAACAGGCAGTCAGGCAAGGGAGATGACGGATATCGCAGCGCACCCCGAGCGTTGCAGGGTGCGATGCCTGACGACGACGGAGGCCCGGCGACACCCTTCTCTCGAGCATCACGAGAAGGCAGTTGCTTGCTTGCTTGCTTGCCATGAGGCAGGCAGACACTGGAGGCTTATGTAAGCGCGCAAAGACACGGCGACAACAGCAACTTCGGATCACCTTCGCCGTCGTTTTTTGCTTTTCATCGATACACCCCCGTTCAAAAGACAATCTCTTCATCGATTCACCTTGCATTTAGCGACATAATCTAGCTGAAGAGCACAGTCACAGACACACCAGGCGTCTGGTCTTTCACTTACCAGTGACACGGGGCCATAGCTACAGCGAAGCGACCCACAGTACATGCTCTGACCAAGATGCGCGTCCTCGACCTCACAATGCACACCATGCACGCGCACCTGTCGCCTTTGCCGAATGCCTGGAGCAGCTGAATTTGCAGTCCATTCGACAATCTTCAGAAGGGATACGCTCGTTTAGCAGCCAGGATCTCCTCGGCGCTGCCGGTAAAGATACCAGAGGCGACCTGCTCCTCGTGGGCAGCGTCCAGGTACGGCAGGCAGACGTCTCTGAAGCGCCTAACTCCCTTGTACCACTGAACGTCCTCTGGCCAACTTCGCATGGCACTGGCAAGGCGACCGGGCACACCGGGCTCCTTGGCCATGGTCGGGATCGGGGTCAAATGCGTACGAATAGTAAAGAGTACGGCTCCAGACTTGGGCAGCTTGCGCAGTGTCTGCCGCTCGGACCGCATCGCGATTTCTTCCGGGCGTGTTGCTGCGGGCGGAGCCTGGCGCTCGTAATGGATGCCGTCCTCAGGCTTGACGACACTGCGCTTGACGGTGTGGTCAAAGAGCGCCTCTGGACCATTGGAGCTGTGGGACCAAGAGAGCTCGACAGGATCGTGCAAAGCTCCTTGTCCTCGCTTGCCCCTCAGAGACAGAGCCGCGGCATCTTCTGCACCGACTTTTGTTGGATGCAGCGTGCCACGGTGAAACTCGTCGAGAAGGGCAAGAGGGTCTGTGACCTCAGGGCTAAAGACTTGGAAGAAGTACTAGTGGGCGGGCAAAGGTGCGTCAGCGCTGTCGGCTCGCAGCTTCGTGGGGTCGCCTCGACACGGTGGTACCCACATTGTTGCGCTCGGCCAGCGTCGTTGGCTTAAGCTTTGTAAACCAGCGATCCATTGGCCCCATGAGACGCTCCTCATACTGCGCAACTTTGCCAGTGAGGTGGATCTGCCGCAGAGTTAGACCTAAAGAACGGAATGACGTGGGGTTAGTCTGCATCGCCGCTGGCTTCTCTTGCGCACGCTGCTCACCGATCTTCTCATCAAGGCGCCAGAACCCCGCTGCACAGATGCTCCCGCCGATAAAACGATATTGCCCCTCGGCTTCGCCCTCGAGGTCGGGTAGGAGCAGGGCGAGATCATCGGGCACGAGTTCTCCCGCCACCCGCCAGGCGTTGTCGCCGCCGAGTTCTTCCTCGTACAGCTTCCATTCCTTGGCCGGCAGACCTAGTTGAGGATGGGCGAGGCGTCGAACGCCGGTGATCTGGGCGCCGTCGTCGGGCGAAAGGTGAGAGCCTTCTGGTACCGTCACAAAGAATTGCGGGTACTTTTGAGCTAGGAATGAGGCAATTGCTCGTGCGGCTTCCAGCGAGGCTGCCTCGTGCCGTTTGAAGGAGGGCCCTCCGACGATCTGGTAGCTCGAGCTACCATACAGCTCGTGTCTAGCCTCGCGAATGCGTATGTAGGACGGGTAGGAGGCGAAGAGACTCAGCCAGTCGTGCGTCGCAATGGTCCGTAGGCCCATGGTGACCTGTAACAAAGACGTGTCAGGCGGCACTCGCGAAACGAACAGCCGACGGAGAGACTCGCCTGATAGCTCGACCATCTAAATGGCCTATACATCGCCTCCTTCTCAGCGGTCAAGTCGAACGAGTCGGGAACCGGATCCGTGCGAAACGCTTTGTACTCGTGCGCGCCCTCGCCGCCGCCGCCGTCGCGACCTCGCGCAGCCGTCTTCTCGTCGAGGGCAACGGCATCTTGCTTAAGGCAAAGGTAGAGGTGTCGGAGGCCGATGATGCCTGACAGCGCGGCAAGGATGATGATCCAGTAGCTATCCATTCTGCCAGTAAGGAGTGAAGTTCAACACAGAGGTTGCGAGCGCAACAAGATCGTCGTCCTCTTCAGATCAAGCGCAACGATGTCGTCCTCTTCAATCAAAGACACTCCAATGCGTGGTCACGCGATAAGGGAGACTGGACCGGCGCGATAACGGAGGCCCGTGCGAGTCAGGCACCTGGCCCGTGCGACGCAGTGCAGCCAGACCCAGGAGCTAAAGCAGGGTCACACTTGGATTCATAATTGAGGCTAAATGAGCGCGAGCGGAGAATAACAAGCGGGGGCGAGATACGACATCTGGCGCTCGGGTGCCAAGGGAAGTCCTCCCATCAGAGCGTCGCCGTCCGACGCTCAGGTGTCAAGAGCAGCTTCATCATTGAAGCGTCGGAATGACGCAGGGTCAGCCGCGTCTTCCTCCGTGATGACCCCGCTTTCCAACTGCTTGCGATGAAGCGACTCGAGATACGGCAAGACCGAATTCTGATAGGACGGGGCGTCTTTGTACTTGAGAAAACGGTCGGCGGAGTCCTGGTGTATTTTGAGCAGCAATTGAGGTAGCAGCGGGCTGTGCTCGAGCGCCGACAAGGGGCGACGCATAGGATGAACGCCAAAGAAGATTACGCCAGTGCGAGGCATCTTGACAAACGTCTGGTGGTCGAGGCGCAAGAGTAGCTTAGAGGCGTCTTCGGTCTGCGCTGCTTCAGGGGCGCGGCCTTGAAGATGGCAAGGTCGCACGGGCTGAGCGCGAGCGCCGTTCTTGCCGACATGTAGGGGAAGAGGTCCTGCGAGTGGCGTCCAGAAGAGATCGTCGTCGGGCTCGGTGAAGCCCCAGCTCGTCCGCTCAAAGGGCTTATCTGCGGCCATCCGCGTAAAGGATCGCTCGACGCTCTTGAGCAGCTTCTCGTTGAAATCGGGCACGGGCGAGTGGGTATCGTGTAGCGAGAGGCCAATCTTGTCGGAGAGGAGATAGAAGCCCGGGAAAGCTACCAAGCCGCCAGCGCAAATCCAAGAGCCGTCTTGAAGAGGGGCAGCGATGAGGAAATCGTCCTGTACGAGACCGGAGACGACTCGCAATGCCGATGTACCGGATTTGAGCTGACCGTTCGGGTTGTACAGATCCAAGCGCTCCTCCGTGACGAGATTGTGAATGATTCTTCCTGGTTCAATCCACTGAAAGAGGCGCGGGTATCGCGTGACGAGCCATTGCGAAAGCAGCTCAAGCAGCTCGCCGCATGCTTCATCGACGCACGGCAGAGTGTCGCACACGACAGCTCCCTGCGTCTCCACGAGCTGTTTCTTGTAAGCCAAATCGGCGCGGTAGAAGTGGTCCGGCTCGATCCAATGCTCTGGCAGCATTGGCTGATGGGCCATCGTCTGAAAGTAGGGGTAGCGAATCGTCTTGTTTGCAAAGATGTGGTCGCGCGCCGAGTGGCCGTCCAGCGTCTCCGGCGTCAGCGTCGTGTCAGGTCGAGGAGGCGGCATTCGAGGTTGCTCTGCTGCAGCGGTATAATACGAGGTCAGAGAGGGCTTTGTGAAGATGAGGGGGCTGGAACGCACCTTTGGACAAGCCTTCTTTGTCTGCACTGCTTGCGCCAGTCCCCTTGCCTCCCTGGGCGAGATACCATCGCGATATGGCATATGCAGCGTAGCAGACCAGGGCGGTCGCGGCCAGGAATACATCGAGTTGATACGACATGTTGCTCAAAGGCGATGTTGTCGTTGATGAGGAGAGGTGAAAAGGAAGTTGCGACAACGACACGTCCCCTTCGGTCGTGGAGAAAGCCCCGCACCATTTTAAGCGCACAGGGTCATGGGCCCCGGATGTCGCGACGCTCCGTGTGCGGATTGGACCCAGGAAGCGAGCGCCCTGGAACGTCACGCCGCGTCGCAATTAGCGCTCTCCCACACGACAACAACTGATCGACGCTCGAGATAGTCAGCAATCCAGTCGCCTTCGTCGCGCTGCCTTTCCAGAATGCTTATGATTTAGCTCGTTCATCTTGTTTCATGCCGCACGAATCGCGCGTGACCATGTCATGCAGGGGCTCAGCATTGCGGGGAAGGTCATGAGATCTCGAGCCGCTTGGCGTATCCCACCGTGGCAATCTCTAGCCTATCTCTTGCCAGTCCAGACAAGGATATAAAACAACGATAGAGCGACGAGTCGACGATACGCTATCGTCAAGTCGCTATCTAGCATACCTTGCTCGACACCTTGCGCCGCCAAGATAACGAGCCACGTCTTTGACTACCTCATACGCCACACATCTCCTCTCCCTCACACGACAACACCTCCCAGACTACCAGTCACACACATTATGCAAACTATCGAAGAGCCTCACACTACCGCCGCTGGACATCATGACGTCGCCTTTGACCCTGCGCGTCACCTTGCCTTTGAGCCTCCCAAGGAGCGACTGACCATGTCTCAGCTTGGTCTGGGCGACACGCCGGCGCCAGTGAGTACCTACGATACTGCGACGCGTGACGCCGCCTGACGCTCACGACTCTGCTTCATCCTTTAGTCTGGCGTTGCAGTCACCTCTCCATTCTCTCTGGCCTCGCCGACTGGAGTTCGTGAACTTCGTGCCTCGCTTTTGCAGCCAAAGTGCATCGCCAAGCACCTTGTCTGGAACGATCTAAACGGTCCTCACGCTCAGCTTCGCGGAATGGCGCCTCACACCGCCAAGTTCATCTACGACTTCTGGACGCACCCCGAGACGATGCGCGCCCTCTGCGAGGCTGCCAATGAGGAATTGGTTCCGTTCTACGACTACGAGATCGGTTCCACTAACGTGAGTGATACGCTGAGCTCTACAGTCGTTTCGCCACGCGTCAAGCTAACCAGCAGTCCTTCACGATCGCCAGTTCCAAGTCCCTGCCGGCAAGGAGCGAGGCCAGTACATCAAGTCCCTCTCCGCGGACCCCTTCGCGAACGCTGGACGCGCTAGCGCGGGCAATGCACAGTCGTCTGCCTCATCTGAGGACACCGACGATGCTCCCCCTGTGGTCGGTTTCCACCGTGACGCGTATCCATGGGTCTGCGTGCTCATGCTGTCCGACGTCTCGGGCATGAAGGGCGGGGAGACGGCTCTGCGAATGGGGTCGGGCGAACTCTTCAAGGCTCGAGGACCGGCCCTTGGGTCCGCTGTCATGATGCAAGGCGGCTACATCACGCACGCCGCACTGCCAGCTCAGGCAGTACCCGGTGCTAGCAGCGAACGCATCACCATGGTTACGGCCTTCCGCAAGCGCGACGCCTTTGGATGGAAGGACATCTCAAACTTGGGCAACATTCGCACGGCCTCCAACTGGAACGAGATCTACGCACAGTGGGTCGTCTCCCGACTCGAGGGTATCCAAGAGAAGGCCGCCGGCTTCCAGCGAGTCCTTGAGGCGAGGCGACGCTACGTTCAGCAGCGTTACAACGACGGATTTTTGCAGGCGCCCATCATCACTCATGACGAGGTGCTGCGCTTCAAGGAGGAGCTCGATGAACACCTCCAGCGCGCCCTCGATGAGATGAAGCCCTACGGAGACCCCACTGATCTCTGGACGCCGCGCTTGCCCGGTGTTAACAGTAACGCCAGCCTCTAAGCCACTCATCACCGGCGGCTCACTCGTGCGCTTGACGCGCCCATCATCAGCTCTATACCTTCTCTGTCAATGTTTCTTTCTCAATCTCTTGACGCTATTCGAATTCTATCATGCTTGTGACAATATCTCGCTGGACGCGCCTACAGATTCTCTTCTGGGGGACCGCGGTAGACCTTCCTCGCGTGAACAGCGTACCATATACCTGCAAGCCCGCAAAGCCCCACAAGCACCACTGACGCATAGTTCATCGCAACACTCGTGGTGGGCAGCGAGGTTGGCATGCAGAAGAGGACGAGCTCGAATAGGATCCACGCAAGGCTGACGACGTTGTTGACCCAGCCCAGAATGGTTCCGGGGCACCTGAAGCGAGCCTTGGAGACCTGAGCCCGTCCGTTGGCCATGGACAAGACAATGGGCACACCGTAGCTGAGAGACAGGGCAACGACGCCCACGGACACAAAGGCTGTGAACGCGCTGGTGCTCCCTAGATTGATGAGGCCCAAGAGCATTTGCACAACCGTCAGAACGACCAATGACTCGATCGGGACTCCAAAGTGCGGGTGGATGCGCGACAGCATCGACCCCATTGGCGTCCCAGCATCTCGCGCAAATGCCCAAAGACACCGCGATGCCGCTACGGTGATGCTCAGCGAGCAAAAGAGCGTGATGACGAGGACGAGGAAGGTCAGCGCGAGGCCTCCACCAGGCGAGTCCATGACGGTGGCGTAGATGTAGGGCAGCGCTTGCGAGCCGGCATTGGCAACAATGTCGGCGGGTGAGGGCATTGTGAAGCAAATGGGCATCACGAAGAAGAGGCCAGCAATGCCGCCGACAGGAATGCACAGAGCAATGGCCTGAGGCAGCTTCACCGCCGCGTCTCGGCATTCTTCTGCCATGCTCGTGATCATGCCAATTCCTGAGAACGTGTACGCGGCCTAACGTACGTGGTGTGGCGCGGGTGAGCTGGCGCCATGGTGAATCTCATGCACATGCGTACTCACGGGCAGCAGTCCGATGAAAAAGGTGAAGCCTCCCCAGCCCGCCAGCGACTTGTCGTAGTTGCCCAAAGCTTGCGATATTGAGCTTCTGCCAACGCCCGCCTTTACAGAGAGGGCGATGAGCGTGACGACTATGGTCACTGCTGTAAAAGCTGCGCTGGCGGTATCGACGTACGGCAGGATCTTATTGGCAAAGACGCACAAGACCAGGCTGAAGAGACACACGGCGTAGAAGATTAACAGCAGCTGCCATGCTTCTGCCGTAAAGTCGGCATCGTTAAGGGTGATGCAGGCGCTGATGAGCGACGCGAACCCGAAGTTGACCGAAAGCGTGATTGTGAGGTTGCCGATCAGCCAGATCCATCCTGTCTGGCCGCAAGCAGCATAGAGAGAGAGCGGTGGAGTGAGCGGTGGAGTGAAACGTGAGCGTGCGGGGTCATCGCGCGGCGGGGTCACGCGCCTCGTCGGACTGACCGGTGGCATAAGCAGCTAGCGCACGGTGTTCCTTGGCCAACTGAAAGCTCCAATAGTGTGGTCCAGCGGACGTCGGCCAACGCGAGGCCAGTTCCGCAAGAGAGATGGCCACGCACTCGTTGAGGATGCATACAACGATCCAGCCCACGAAGATGGAGAGCTGGCCTCCGCCGTAGACAGCAGAGAGGATGGTGCTGCCTTGGCCATATGGGATAGCAGCGATCGCAAGACTCTGAAAGAGGAGGGTGAAAAGACTGCGATTGCGCCGAAGATTGTGCTCAGGCTCATAGCCAAGCTGATGATGCAGGACGACGTTGTCGGTGTCTGAAGCGTCTTCCGGGGCGCGGTACGATGTCAAACTGGCGCGAGGCTTGTCCTCGACGCTGCTAGAGGGTGTCTTTTCCTTGAAGTCGGGCATGATGTGGTGCGCATAACGCGGCTGCGACTCTGACAATGGTCGCAACCGGCGATGCTTTTGAATGATGGTGCCCCAGACGCCTTATCGCGTGGCCTCGGCAAAGGAGCCGCGCTTATCTCGACCCGTCGCACTATGCGCCCGCGCTAGCCGTCCCGGTGTCCGATTCAGGAGCTCACGAGTTCCCGCATATCAATCGAGATAAGTGTGAAGACGGGACCAAGACGTCTCTTTCCTTTAGTAAAGCCTTTGCGGGATGACTAACCGTTTCGCGCCACGCGCTATCGACGCGAGTGTCCGCCGCAGTCTCCCGCGACCCAGCAAAAGCCGCGCCCATTGATGGGGATCATCATGAGGATCATCGTCATCGATCCCTTCGTGGGCAAGCATTCCCCAATGACTGGAAATACTCAGCGCAGCGCCATCGTTTGCGTCGCAGTATGCGTTTGCGACCAAGCTCCCCTCTAGACAACGCATCTCACTCAGGGCCAGCGAGCAGACACGCGTAGAGAAAGGATCAATTGCTTTCAGACATGCTGAGAAAATCTGAGCAAGGGGAAAGCTCTGCGCATAAGCATGGCTATGGCATGAATGGCCGCGGTGCCAGGACGAGAGTTCTGCCCTTGACGATGGGCCGGCGTTGCAGCGTTCTACGCAAAGATGATACCGCCTTGGAAACGCGCCGGCGAAGATGAGAAGACAGGATGCCGCTGACGGTCAGCGAGCGAGAAAGGGCAATATGACCAGCTCGCCCTCTCACTCGCCGATGAAGCTGTTGTCCTTGAATCCGACACACGTTTCCCCCTTACTCTTCCTGTCACTGGACATCAGGAATCCTGTGTCGAGGCGCAGCTTGGACGTAGGGTAGAGCGTATGAAAACAGGTACACTCAAAAGGGATGCTGATCTTCGCACTACGGGGCCCAGTGACAGTAATGTCGTTTCCATAACAGTCGCTGGTTTCGCGCGCCGTCATGTTCAGAAAAATTGGGGATCAGCCCGCTGCTCAACCTTCCGCTTACTCTCGCGCCTCGCTCCCTCAAGGGAGACGCCCTCTCACTCACGGGTTTCCGATGATGAAACAGCCGCAGTACCCCAGCGTCACATCCTCGGCTCAAGCTGTAGGCAGGTCAGCTGTGGCGAGCAGGATCAGGGCGAGCGTGGTGGCCGCCACGAAGGCGGTGTCGAGCAAGTCGAAGTACATAGAGCGTTGTCGTCGGAGGGAATGGTTGGCTGCAAGGGGAGGAGGGTGTGGTGGAGGGAAAGAGGGAAATCGAAGTAAGGGGCGACGAGGCCCCGAAGGGGGCCGATCGACAAGTCAGCGCCGCCCATCATGCCCCGTGCCCTGGCTGCTGCCTTGTGATGGCGCCAAGCAAGGATGTCATGCCGGTAGAGAGGCGACTGATGGAATGGCGGCTTATTGGAACCACCGTCGCTGTGATCAGCGAGTGCAACGACAGGGTTGCAGGGTATTTGACAGATCTTTGGTGTGCGCGAGTAGTAAAGCACTCGCTGAGGTGGGGATCGAGCACGACGACTCAGAGGCAGCTGCCAATTGCGTCGGTCCACTCAGGTATGCAAGGAAGGAGACACGTCTTCGCATTTGAGTCGTGTATCTCGACGAGAGCTGTCGAACAGTCTTCGCGAGGCTGCGAGGCGTAGGAAGAAGAAGGAAGAAGAGGCAGGCGACATCGTAGCGCGAACAGGCGGGAAAGCGGAGGTTGTAGAGGTTCGAGCCTAGAGAGACGAGATTCGTCAGCTCGCGACCGTCCTCTTTATCCTCTTTGCGCCCTCTGTGCTGGAGGTGTGAAGTCGAGAGATGTAAGGCAGGAGCAAAGCGAGAAGCTGATAACAGAATGATCGCAATGTAACGAGGCAATCAGCGCCTCGTCCCCTTTCCGAGCCACGTCCCACGTGCGGTCGACGCGGCGGACAGGGCGCTACTGGTGGCCGTCGAGCTGCGCAGCGAGGAGACGGGACGATCACAGTCAAGATTGCCGTCAATGACGCTGCAGCGAGGGCCCATCGACAGCGGCACGCTCGACAACGACACTCACTTCAGAGAGCTCGCCGGACACTAGGGCAGCTCGATGGACAGGCTCATCGTCGCGTTCCTCAGGCTCAAAGGCTCCTTCGATGGCGCGCTGTGGCAGACAATGTAAGGGAACTGTCAGACAATGCAGTCTCGGCACCGCGCTCACGCTCTCGCGCCCACTCACAGCAGTGGCATCGCTCTCGTCGTCGGCCTGTCCCCTGACGGCGGGAGGCCACTTGCACTGGCAAGAAGCGGTCACGCCAGGCTGGTAGCAGATCCACTGGCACCCGCGGGGATCAAGGCCGACGAATCGCCCAGCGACGGACGCGTCTTCGCCGAGCTTTGTGGGCACCGTAAAGCCACGCTCCTCAGCCTTGCTGGACTGTTCGGTGGTGAGCTATGCGGTCATGAAACGAGTATTGCGGTCAGCGAGAGTCTGTCCGTTGCTTCGCTCACGGCGCGCTCGCCACCACGACGCCGTGTCCACTCACGCCATAGCGGGCAAGGGCAGCCTTTTGCTTCTCAAGTCCTCTAGCGCCGGGGATCTGCTTGCATTGGCAGAGCCCTTTAGCATTGGAATCTCCGCACATTGCATGGCACGCGTGACTCACGTGGGCAACCTCGTCCTTGTCGAAAGCATCCCCACGGCCAGCAGCATTGACACTCTCCTTGACGGCGCGCTCACTTGTCTCGAGCAACTCTTCAAGATTTCGCTGTGCGGAAACGGGCAGGTGAGGCAGAAAGGTCCTCGATCAGGTGACGTCGCAATGCTCGCGCCTCGTACGGCGCTCGCACCGACTTACAGCAAGGTTCTGCAGATCCTCGTCTCGCTTGGCACCGTCTCGTCGAACGGGAGGGTCGGCGCAGTAGCATTTCCGGCCGATGCCTTTGCCCATGCACTTGAGCCTCTTGCACGAATTCTTAGGGGGCGTCTCATCGCGAGCGTGCCAGAGAGAGCTGGCCGAGACGCCGGACGCTTGTTCACCCCGCGCCACGCCCTCATCTCGAGACATGGTCGCCGTGATGGTGTGGGGAGGTGGGTCGAGGCAGAAGCATGTCGGCTTGCGGCCGTCGGAGTCGCATTTTAGGTTGTCGCATCGTTTTTCTAAGAGAGCGGGTAGAAGGTCCCTCGCCCTAATCAGGGGCTTCGTGACGTCGCGCGCAGAAGGAGGCTTGTGAGGAAGAGGGCCAGGACCGGGGCCAGGGCGAGGCTGCATGTACGACCTGGGGCAGGAGCAGTGGATCCCTTTGCTGGCGGTGACACACGTCGGCTTTGGGCAGGCCAAGGCGTCAGGCTTGCTGCGAACAATCTGCGCAGGACGACGACGTGGTCCATGATCAGCTGGGGCCGGCTCACTCGCTCTCGTATCGACTCACGGCGGCGTCGGCTGAAGCGCACGTGCAAGAGGTCCATCCCGTCTTGCTCTTGGAGCATGAAGGCTTCGCGCAGGACTTGACGTCGATGTTGTCGCGTTCGAAGGGCATGAAGACGTCGAAGCTCTCCTCGATGGCACGCTGCGAATGAGTGGTCGCACAACTTTAGCGGTGCTCGGGCTTGCAGATTGACCTACTGGCTCACGATGTCGACGTCACCGGGGTCCTGGCAGCCACACTTGATGCCAGTGGGTATCGGCGTGCATACGTGCTTCTTGCAAGGCTTGGTCGGCTTGACGGGCTTGGCTGGAATCGGTTTGGTATGGTTGATGACGAGCTCGCGCACGAAGAAGGCTGCAAGGACGGGAGGGTCATCGCGCGGGGCGAGATGGTTGCCAACGCTGAGCATCCCTCGCTCGAGAGCAGGAGGGATCTGCGGGATGTCAATGCCATGAGGCACCGTCGTCTGGGTGTTCTGACAAGGGGAAACAGGCGCAGATTAGGGCAGCCAGTCACGGCGCGAGGCCTGGCGAGCAACACTCACTAGGTCAGGGGTAGGCAGAGCATTACCCTTGCCGATGAGGAGAGAGACGGCCGCGAGGCCAGCGAGTGCAGCGAATGTAGAGCGCATGGGAAGCTTTGGTAGTTCTGGTGGATGGCTGTGGTGGGGAGGACAGTGGCAGCGATGCTCTTATAGGGCGCTGCACGTTGCCAACTTCCTTTCTTTCGTCGTGGACATCGCATTGCATTGCCTCCGCGCCCTTGACCCGCTCATCGCCACCGGCTGCGCACTCTGCCGCGCGGCTATATGGTAGTGGGCTGCGAGGTCAGGAGTTGGGTTGATGTTGCGCAAATGGAGCGGCGCGGCAGTGGCAGTGACCGAAAGCTGTCGATGGGAGCTTTGCTTCGATTCGTCGCTCGCAAGGGGACATATCGTCGATGTCCGTGTGTGTGCGCATGTGAATCCGGCACCTGGTTGAGGCGCATCTACGGCACAAACGCGTCACGGACTACCGTGCTGGCTTGCCTACGTCACCTTTTCACGTCCGGCCGCGCCTGTTTTGCTCTACCATTCAAACTCGTGCCTGTTGCTCTTGTGGGAGACTTGCTCCCACGGCGTGCGAGTCGAAATGGGGGAGAGGAAGAGGGCACCGGGTGTCGCCCGACCAGAGGAGCCAGCATCGAGCCCAAGTGGTATGTCTCTGGTCACGGCGTAGCTGGCAGTGCCGTGGTGCGAGGCAGAGAAGAAGCTGTTAGACTCCTCGAGAGCCAGAGCCTCTAGGCGGCGAGAGGCGGCAGCACGAGGAGCTACCGCGACCGCGCCGCAGCTAGCAACACGAGAACGGCCGCGAATCCGCAACCTCATGACTGGCGCAAAGAGGTAGATCAGCGATAGAGACACCAAATTAGACGCAGCATCATACCGAGAGACGCCCACAGGCAGGGAGACGCGAAGTATTCGAGGCAGTGAACTGCTCAGCTTGGCCGCTCAGAAGAGGCGCGTCAATACGGCTCAGGCCGTGCATTTGCTCGCGCCAAACCAAGGGGAGGACCAAACAAGTGAAGGCTAAGGCCCTCTCGCCGCGACTAGGTGTGACGCCATTGAATGCCGCGACGATAACGCGTCACGCTTGGAGGTCCCCATATCAAGAGAGCGACCATTCTTGCCAAGAGACTCCATCACAGGTCTGAGAAGGTGAAGAGCACGAGGGCACGGCGGCCAAAGGTGATAGATGGTTCAGGGCCCAGGGAAGCGGAGGCTCCAGTGGACGTCGCTGAAGCAATGATGGCGTGAAAACAGTGTGGGCTTGTTGTTACGCATCGATCGCTGCCTCCGTCTGTGATTGTGCGGTGAAAGACAGAAGAAAGGCTTGCTCATTCTGTTGACGCTTCACGCTCGTCTGAGTTTCAATGGGCTGGGCGCGCTTCGACGCCCACGGGCAGCCAAGGCGGGCGGGCAGTCTTTTGGCCGCCGAGGGCGGCAAGAGGAGAGAGCGGCGACGGCGACGACGACGAACACGACGACGACGACGACGACGTTTCCCCTTTCGTTGACTCCTTCACCACCACCACCAGCCATCCACGCCCTCGGGACCGCTCCCTATCATCGTCATCACCACGCGGTCTTCTTGACGACACTTTCACGCCGCAGAGATCGCTACTTGACGATCACCAAAAGGCTGAGCGAAACTCGATCGCCCTTGCCAAGGTTACCTAGGACAACGCCGAATCAGCAACCCTCATACCCACTGCCCCCTCCTCGCTCGCTCTGCTGAGCAAACAAGCCACACTCTTTTCCGTGCCTTTCCCTCTTCACCGCATCACTTTCGCTGCCTCGTTCGCTAGCTATTCCATTCCCTATACGACAAGATGTTCGACACCAGGTGAGTCCGCCAGATACCCGCCTGAAGACATCGCGCCATTCCCTCCTCTGACTCATCCTTCTCACTTGCCCCGCACACAGCCTCCTCTTCGCCAACAAGATCCTCTTTGTCACTCTCATTCTCGCCGTAGCATCATGGCTCGTAGCCTTCATTGGTCAAGCAGCAGCTGAGGCGCATGACACGCTGCACCTGGGTACAGTCTGGTTCGGCATCTTCGTTCAACTCTTCCTCATTCTCGGCGTCGTAGCCACCTTGGCTACCGACTCCATCGGGCTCGTCCGCCTACAGGTATCTGCATGGACCATCGTTGCCCTCGTCTTTGCGGTACAGGGCATCAATTTGGGCATCTACGAAGATGTTGGAAGCTACAGGGCAATGGCTGCGGGCTACTTTGTCCTAACCATCGTACTGGTGCTCTGGCTCTTCTTCTTTACCGCAGAGGAAGGTTCTCCCATCTTCAACTTCTTCTACTCCGTCGGCGGCGGCTTCCCGATGAGCAGCAGCGGCCGTCGTCAAGGCGGTGGAGGCATGGGCGGCGCAGGGTCGAGCGCGGCATCTAGGAGTCAGATGAGGATGGCCAGCGGTGGAGTTGGGTCAGGCGTTGGCAATGGCTATGCAAATGGCCTCGGCGGCGGTGCTGGCGGCTACCAGCAGGCATATGGCCATAGCCCATCGACGGCTGATGTCACCTCGGGCGCAGAGATGGGCAAGCCGTACGGTACTACCATGGGTGCTGCGGGATCAGAGCTCGGCGGACACAGCCTCAACGACCATCGCGGCATGGGTGGCGGCGTGAGCTCGCCCAAGGTTGGCGGCCCTGCCGGTACAGTGGACGGTCACTCGACGACTGGCGGTGGTGACCCTGTGCCTGGCTACGGGTACAAGGCGAGGGCCCTCTACGCCTATCAGGCCAATGCGGATGACCCGACGGAGATTTCATTTACCAAGGGCGAGATCCTCGACATCGTGGACAACTCGGGCAAGTGGTGGCAAGCGAGGAAGGCCAGCGGCGAGACTGGTATCGTTCCTAGCAACTATATGCAGCTGCTCTGAGCGAAGAAGCACCTGCCGAGGCAAACCATCTGGACCGCCATCGAGGCTGGCGCTGGTCTGGCTAGACGACTTTGAACGAAGTGATGAAGATCGATACCAAAGCTGGGTGTGGGGAGAAGCAGGCGCAGCAGGTGCTGGCAAGACGACGTACAGACTCAGTGAAAAGTGAGGGTCGAGGCTGGGCTTCGCAACACAAATATCTGGTCTCGACGGGCACACCACTGGCATTTCATCCTCATACGATACTCTCTCCATCAACGTCACACATTCTCTTACTTTCTTTTCCATCCCTCCGTGCCCCTCTCATCCTCGACGCTTTCATAGCTATTGTACTTATCCAGCCAAGAAATTCTCTTGCGATTGCGAACCTCTTTGATCCACCTCATGCCATGCCATGCTATCCTCTCACTCGAGGACACGACCCCGCTTTTTTCTTCCCTTGCTTGCGTGCGTCTATTCGCGGTCGCCATTCATGGGCTGCCGATGTTCGCGGTGACGTCCGACTCGACTCCCGGCCGGCCGCTGCTCAACTCAATTCGAAAGTGCACCAGAAGCGAGCGGCGGCGCAGGCCAAGAAGCTTCGCAGATGCGCAGGATGCCTGTCAGACATTGGCGAGTGGAGAGAGGACGATGCACTTCTTCTTGCTCATCGAAAAAAGGACTTTCAGGTCTCGAGAAGGTGTGTGAGACGAAGAAGCCGACGCAGCTTCGCTCTTCACCCTTTCCTGCATCTTGCCTCTACTCTTTCTTCTTCTCTACGGTCTCCTCACTCGACCCATCCATTCGTTTATCTTATCTTATCTAGCCGTCGTGTACCTCAAGCACATCATGGTCGCACCTCCCGCTGCAGCCACTCTGCGGACGATGCCGAGGGGAACGGCTTCTCTCGCAGCATTGACCAGACGCGGTGCTGGCATCGCTCCATCTATAGCGAGGTCTACACCCTCAGCATTACCATCATCGTCGCAGCGCTCCCTACACTCAACAGCTTTGCGCTCCTCCGACCCTTACCCGAAGGACCCTCGACAGCGCTTCACACCTCCTTCGCCCTACGTCCCGCTAGAAGCGCGACCGCTGAACATGCCATTCATCCTGCCGGACGGTTCGCCTGCTCGAGTAGTCGAGAACGACTCACACGACATCCTGTCCGTCTATGCTGCCATTGGCGGCGGATCGAAAGACGAAATCATCGCGAGCTTTGAGAGGCAAAAGGGTCACAAGGCTCGGGTGAGCTTGCATGGCGTGGTGCAGGATTCGCGTGCCCAGAGCGAGGACATATGGAAGCTGCGTGTGGGACCGAAGGCGGGAGGAGATGAGGTCAGGGCAGCTTGGATCGCTGTGTATGCCTGTGAGTATCCGCCGGTACGAGGTGGGCTTGATGTGTCCCCGATACCTGAGTATTGACTTGCCCTCATGCTACTCGTCCCGTAGTCTGGCTGCGCCGAGACCCTTACGAGCGTTTGCCGATCTCCATCGTCGACTCTCCCCGTCTTCGCAGCTACATGATCGCAACGGGTCTCGGCTTCCAACCACCCGACAGCAGCACAGAGGGCCACCTCCTTCTAGACCGCAGCGCCTTCTATCAAGGAGCGGGAGCCCCTCTCGACCTCTCTTTCCTCCGCACTCCCGAGCCGCAAGGTCATCAAGACTTCGGCGTCCCTCTAGCCTCTCCCTCGTTCCCCTCCATCCTCTCCTTCACCTCCAGCCAGTCCCCAGCATACTGCACTACTCACCCTCTTCGTCCACCGAAGCCCCCTGTTGGATCACTCCTTTATGCGCGATACCAACCTAGCGTCTCAAGCCTGTTCCAGCTTTACCACCTAAATGCGGAGGACCCCGCTCACTTCGAGGCGTACGCCCGCTGGCAGAACTCGGATCGTGTCAACGTTGGGTGGAAGGAGAGAGGGTCGGATGAGCATCACCTCAAAACGTTGAAGGGGGTAGAGGAAGACCCGCACAAGATGAGCTTCATGTTCGCCTGGGATGGAAAGGTAGCGGGATACGCTGAGGCATCCTGGAACATGGAAGACCCAATGGCTCCCTTCGTCAGGAGCGGCGGTGGCAACTACATTGGGCCTTGGGACCAGGGAGTTCACATGCTAACTGGAGAAGAGTGGGCAAGAGGTCGCCACCGATTCGTAGCTACCACTGTCAACTTGAGGCACTTCTGCTTCCTCAGAGAGCCGCGAACAGACGTTGTAGTGAGCGAACCGCGCTACGATCTAGGGATTGTCAGCCTCCATCGAGCGTACTCGCCTGTAGAGAATATGGGCGAGGCCGAGCTCCCACACAAACGCACCAATTGGCTCCGTCAGCATAAGGAGAGGTTCTACAAGGAGGCCGGCTTCTGGTGCTAAGGAGGCGGAGTGAGAGAGGAACGTTCAATGCGGCTACGAGTAGGAATGTCATTCGGTTGCGTAAAGTCTATTGGTTGGCATGTCATACACACATACTACGCAATGGAATCGCACGACACTGCCTCTCATCGACCCTTGAGCAGATGAAACTGTGCATTGGTAGATGAATAGATGCGACGTATAAGGAGGCCAATTGAGCTACAGCTGGAGAGCGGCAAAAACGCGATGGACGAAGAGAGTGTAGGTAACGATGAGACAGACTAGGAAAACAGTGTGATGATGCTGAAGAGTGTGCCGAGTAGCCGAACGCAGAGATGAGGTAAAGTCTCGAATGGACCGGCGATACAGGATGAGCGGAAAGGAAAGAGCAAGGAGGAGAATGGAGGTGGAAGGAATGCAAAGGAGCGATCGTGTTGTTGCCGCAGTCCATCCGGGAGGGTCGCTCGCCCCCTCAGGTCTCATCGTCGCTGCTACCCGCCTCCTCTCACAAGTTGAGAATCGACTTAGCATCCAACGGCAGCTCTGCCATCTTGCAGCCCAGATGCGCCTCCAGCGTCTTCAACATCTCTACATCTCCGCCCGCAGCACCGCGCACCGTAGCAGCTGTGACCACGTTGATGCAGACAGAGGGACGCGCCATGCTCCCAGCTCCGGCGCCGCAGGAGAGCTTCTCCTTGTACTCCTCGACTGAGCGTGGCAGGTCGTAGAAGAGGAGAAGAGGCACTTGATGCACCTCACGCGGGAGGACGGGGGTGTCAAAGGAGATGAGGGCTTTGCGCTGTTGCTTGCCTCCTGCTCCAGCTCGGTGCAAAGCACTGCCCGCCTGGCTACCTCTCTGCGGACCGAAGGAGCTCATCGGGCTGCGGAAGTTGGCCAAGATCTGCTGGCGAGTAGCTTGCGCCATATCGCGATGCAGGGCCAGGGCTTCAATACCGCGCGTGGCCAGCTTGTACGTCACTGCCTCGAGCGCGCCGGGTGAGCCGACGTAGAGCACGCATTGCTGGAATTCCATGTCCTCTAGTAGGTCGGCAATGACATCGAGCTTCATCTCACTACTGGTCGACGAGGCAGACTTGGTGTCTGAGACGGCGATGTAGAGGTAGTACTGACGGAGGCCCTGCAAGGCGACGAGGGTCGGATCGGGAGCCGTTTGACGGGCGAGAGTGTGGGTCTGCGTCGAGCCGAGAGCGTTTGAAGGAGTCGAGCGGTTGGCATGAGAGCCGTCGCCACCTCGACTGCCGCCGGAGCCTCCACCAGCATTGCTGGCCGGATGCTGCGTGACCGTTGTGCCTTCTCGGCGGACGAGTACACGCACGCTCTCCCGTAAATGGATGCTCTGCGCAAAGTTGATGACATCCTGCGGTACCGTGTTAGAGAAGATGGCCGTCTGCCTCTCTGTCGCAGCTGTTGGGGAGCCGAAAGGCGATGTAGGGCCTGATGAAGATGGAGGAAGGCCAGAGTGAAGGGGAGAGTTGCCGATAGGCGAGGGAAGAACGCGCAGGAGCGTGCTGATATGGTCACTGAGGTTGCGCGCAATCATCTGATCGACCTCGTCTAGCACTACCATGCGCACATCGCTCAGATTAGCCTGCTTGGCCAGGCACGTCATCAGCTCGGACATGCGCGATGGCGTGCCAACAATGATGTGCGGCCGAGTCTGGAGGACGGCCTGAGCGTCGCTGAGTGGATCGGGGCCAATGCCGGCAGAGATGTGTACTCGCACGCCTAAAGTTCCGCCAAGTCCGAGAGCCATGCGCTGAGCTTGTGTAGCTTGATCCACCGTTGTGGTCACCATGATCACGAAGGGGCCAGCCGTCTGTGCTGCTGGTGAAGCGGCGAGCGGTGGGCTGCGCAGAGTGTTGAGCACTGTCTGTAGCGATGGGATGACGTACGATGCGATGCGCTCTTGCGTGGGCGGGGCTTGTGCAATGATGTCCGAGCCACGCAGCAGGAAGGGCAGTGCGCGTTGCTGAATTTTATTCGGTGGACCAAGCCCGTACTTGAGCACCGACCGAAGTAGATCCGGCTGGAGATTGAGATGGTCCCACTTGGTCACGACGACGTTGGCCTCGGGAGGGGCCATCGCACCGCCGAGCGCGGCTTGAGGGTCCAGGGAGCTGCCCCCGACGCCGCTCATACTCTCCCTCCTAACGAGAGCCGAGGGATGAAGGGCATGCTGCTGCTGAGTGTGAGATGGCTGCTGCTGCTGCTGCTGCTGCTGCTGCTGCTGCATGTTCGAGGGCCACCTTCGATCGCCGCCGCCGCCGCCACCGCGCTGTTCGTTGCCCCAATTGCTCCTCGAGCCTGGCCGCATGTTTGACCCACCAGGGCGGGGCGATGGGCCACGATAGTCAATGGGCCCTGTAGGACCTCCTCCATTCCAGCCAGGCGACGCCGCCCCCTCATACCCGCTAGGACTCATGCCCGTCGTCGCCGTGCCTGCAAAGCTGCCGAGAGACAGCTGCGGCGCGGCAATATATGGCGCCTGCTGAGCGAGGCCCTGCTGCTGGGTTGTACCATTGCCATGCCCATTGTTCAGACCCAGGCCGGCAAGACTGTTGTTCGCGCCGCCAAGCCCACCTCGACCTGGCCCTCCACTGCGCTGCTGCTGCGTTGTGATCGTCATCAACTGCTGCACGCTGTTGCTGAGCACATTGACCTGCTGTCCAAGTGCCCTCAAATCGTCTGTGTTGCCGGGGGCGCCCTGCAATTGTGAGCCCACACTGCTCGCATTGCCCTGGCGCTCCCTCTCCCTCTCACGCTCCATCAACCAGCCCACGTTACGAGCCACCGACGTGAGCCCGCGCGTCATTTCGTCCATGGCCGCCTCGATGCTCGCCAGGCGGCGCTGCGGCTCCTGATCTGCCATAGCTGAAGGGGTTTGCCCAGACGAGCTGACCCGGAAGCGCGACTGTCCGTCATGTCTCGGCGGCGACATAGGACGTCCGACGCTCCTGTGGGATGCTCGGGAGCTGTTATGGTTAAATCGATCGATGGACTGCGATGCAGAGGTGGCGGCGTAGGCGGGAACGGCGGGCGGTTGCTGCGTGGCCGGAAACGGGTATCCTTCTGGAGACGTCTTGAGCGGGAAGCCATGATTGTCCATGTTACCCACTCCACCCATACCGGCCGAGGTCACACCCGTGCCCGCCGAAGGGCTGAAGAGGGTCATCTGATCGACGTTCGTGGGCACGCTTGCGATGCTCGCAGCACCCGCGCTGCCGTCCGAGAACGTTCTTCCAGGGAAGCCCGGACGAGGCTGCACGAGGAGCGGCTGGTCATTGACGGTAGCCGGGCCTGCCAAGCCGGTTGGACCACGGTGACTTGGAGATGCTTTGGCAGCTGCCGCTGCGGCTGCGGCCGCCTGGCTGCGCTGCTGAAGCTTGCTGAAGTCGAGGCGACTGGCAGGACGCTCAGCAGGCGAAGCAGTGCCGCCATTGGGCCTGGGATCGATTACTTGATGCATGCCAGGGAGTGGTCGCTCCTCCCATGGTGACCGCCGACCATTGCTCTGATGGGAAAGAGCAGACGCAAAGGAGGGAGACGAGGAGCGGAATGCGTGAAAGTGATTGAATGCGCCGCTGGCATCGTTGCTGTCGCCCCCAAAGCCAAAACCAAGGGAGAGCGTTGATCTGGGTGATGTCGAAGCCAGGCCGCCAAAGTCATTTGTCGCTGGTACAGCCTTGTCCGGGGAAGCTTGCAGCGCAGGCGAACGATGTCCTCCAATGGTGCCTACCGAAGGCGATGGTGCTCGAGGTGAAGGCGCTCTGCGTGTCGGATCATGCTTTGCTACTGGTGGTGCGAGCGAGTCGAATGTGCCTGTACGTCGAGTATCTTGTGAGCGATCATTGGCGTCGTTGACATCTTCGCCACCTAAGGCTGACGAGCCCATGAAGGACAGCCTGGCATCGAGGTCCTCTGTCGAGTCTGCGCGAGGTGACGTCTTATTCGAGTCGGTCATAGTTGAGGTGGAAAGAAAAGAGCGTGTGTAATAAGGGCGAGGGGTGGTCGAGCGCGCTGCCTTTCCAGAAGAGCACCTCTGCTACGATGGTATGGGTTTTTGGGATGATGTCGTCGGGGGTTGCGATGAGATGGGAATCGGCTTCGTCGTGGTTGAAAGGATGAGTGATCACGACGAGATTGGCACACAGGAGCAGCCAGCCTCACGACGGACGGAGAGAAACGACTTTTCGCCTGCCCGCTCACCTCGAGTCGAGTCGTCGATGCGCGCCTGCTGGACTCGACAGTCGACGCGGCAGCACAAGCCAGACGGACGCCAATTTGCCAGGAGGACGCGCAACGGGCCAGCGAGGGGCAATCCTTCTCTCATCAAGAGCAATGATGATGAGTAGCGCGGTCAATCTTTTGTAGCTGGCCATGCCACTCGTCGTCATATGCCGATCGGCGGGCAGCTCAAACGAAGATGGCCTCCAGCCTCGTCTGAGGGTCACGCTGCTGCTGTGAGACACGACACGACTTAGGCTCAGTTGACGACTTTTGGCACTCCGTCTGCACGGCCCAATGATCTCAGGGTCCAAGCAGGCCTCGCCTCGATCCTCGACCCCTTCCACCGTCCTCAGACTGCCCATCCATCCATTTCTTGATCGCCATTATCGAGCAGCTGCCAGACTATGAGACCGGACTGAGCTGGTGACACGATCCTCTCTGCCAACATGCCATCTAGCCCCCCAATGGTAAAGTCCTACTGGACGACCATCGCCGAGCTCTTTGCAGCATGCTGCCCCTGTATCCGCCGCGGCAAGGGGCCTCGTAACGAGTACGAGCGTCTACTGGACGAGCAGGAAGACGAGGTCGAAGACCGGCTCGAAGAGTCCAGTGCGCTACTACGCTGGCTGTCCCTGCTCCTTTCAGGAGTCTATCTCCCCTCCAACGACCAGCTCTACGCCGTCCTCTTTCGCTGCTCGGGATGGCTGCAAGGCATTGGCGTATCTGAGCAAGGCGACCAGACGCTCTTGGGACCCGCAACGGGCAAGGTCGTCCATGAAAGTCAGCTCCTCTGCAAGGATATGGCAAAGTGGCTTGCGAGTAGAGATGCTGTGCTGGGAGGTCAAGGGGAGCAGGGAGTGCCCAACGGCAACAGTAGAGAATCGATACAGCGTATCGCCTTCCACTTCTCGCGACTCGTACGCAAGCCTCCTCAGCCAACTACCGACGTCGAAGTCGAAGACGTCGTTCCCGAGGTAGCAAGCGTCAAAGCTGCGGCCGAGTCCGGCGCAGAAGACCTTCGCCTCTCCATTTACTCGGTAGCCCAACTTGTCATCGGCTTCGTAACGTCGCGTCAGCTCACCAATCTCCTCAGGGACAGCCTCAACTTCGGCCGCGACATGGCCGCAGATGCGGTACAGGCAGGCGTCGATACCTTGGCCAGTGCTGAGGGTACGCTACGCCCGAGCGAGCAGGAGAGAAACGAGTCGCTGCAGGAGGAGCTAGAAGGTATGAAGCAGGGGGCCCAGGCCAACATCAACGTCGCTGCGCAGCTCGACCCGCGAGCGGCCAAGGAAGCCGTCCAAGACCTGCCGTCCAACGCTGCAGAAGAGGCTCGCAATCGTCTGCCCACACTCAACGGCATAGCAGAGGCGACCGGGCGTATCATTGGCGAACTGGCTGAGGAGGACAACACCTTCCGCGAGGCCCTGCAAGCCCTCGTAGACCTGGCTGGTAAGTACCGTGACATGATCAAGACGGCAACAGAGGGGAGGGTGGCCGACATACTGCCAGATGTGGAGCGTAGCGAGGATCAAAAGGATAAGCCGCCCCTATTCGAGTGGAATCAAGACGTTCTTGAGCTCAGTGGTGCAGCTCGAGACCTGCTTGAGGGAATGGCAGGCGGCAAATCGCTCGAGCCTATTCTGGCTGAGGTGCGTATCCTTTACGCAGCCGTCAGCGATGACATCGTCAAAGCGAGCGATGACTGGCTCAGTGATGTGCAAGCAGCCCTCACCGCTAGCGGAGAGAATGCAGACCGAGTAGGCCAGCTCCAGCAGAGCCTCTCCAAGCTAGCCGGAAATCTCGAGCGAATCATCAGCGATCGTCCGGACCTCCGCAGCAAAGTCGACAAGATACTCTCTCTTTCCTCTCTCTTCCTTGGAGAAATCCGTCGCGAACCACGGCTGAACCGAATCGGTCAACGGATTCAGGGTATCTTCCTCACCATCAGTAACGCCCTCGCCACACAAGCGCGCGGTCTCTCGCGTTCGGGAAGCGAGCTTCTCCACGACCTGATCTCGTACATCCTGCCCGCCCTGCTCAAGACGCTAGGCAACATCCCGTTGCCGAGGGTCGAATACACTTCACCCCAGGTGGATGCCGCACTGGATGATGTGCGAATCGCAGCCTTCAATCTTGTGCCGGCAAAGGTGAAGGTCAGAATGACGGAAAGCTTCGAGTGGAATCGCACGCGCGTAAGGATTGAGGAGCAAGCCAAGGCGAGTGTGAAGGAGATGCATGTAGAGGCGACGGGAGTCAGGCTGGCGATGAAGGGTGTCAGCTTCTTTGTCAGGGAGAAGATGACGCAACTTCCCTCGCCAATGTGGGTGAACGGCCTAGCGTGCTGCGGAACTCCAAAACCCGAGGAGGACGAGGAGGGTCATCTCGGCGCATATCGCGAGCAAGCCATCCTTGACGCTGGGCTCTTCGGCCGGTCGGGCTCAACAGAAGGGGCGAGCATGATTGTTGACTTGAGCAAGGCTCCATCCGGCGTAAGCCCCTTTGCAGCCGGCGAAGAGGAGGAAGACCAGGACACTCGATCTCCCACTTTCTTCCAGGTGAACAAGGCCGCTCTTAAGCTCAGCGACTCCTTCGATGTACGCTTGCGCCAGTCACGCCACTACATCCTCAACACCGCCCTCCTCGAGCCCGTCGGCGCTCCTGTGGCGCGCATGGTCCTGGAGAGTACCCTCTCTGGGCTGGTGCAGCACGGCCTCGAGGTGATAGACGCTAAGGCTGCGGATGTGTACGCAAGAGCGCATCGCGTTGCTGCTCGTCGCAGCGATTCAAGGCCAGAGTGGGAAGACTACGTGCGAGTACTCATGAATGACAAGGCGGGAAAAACTGCTCAGCGGCTACAGAGGGAGAAGAAGGAGCGCGAGGACGCTGCTGCTGCTGAGGCAAGAATCAAGGCTCAAGCGCGAAATGCTGGCCAAGAGGCATCAACACAGCTTGAAGTCAAGCCCCTGGCCATACTCGTCCATCTGTCACCAGATACCTCGCTCTCCATCGGCGCCTACCCCACTCTGCTCCCCTCCTACGCCCAAGGCCCCACAACACAGCGCACACGCATCCGCAATGCCGTAGTACGCAACGAATGGCAAGGAGAGCTGAAGCAACGCGCAGATGAGACGCTTGAGGAGCTCGGCGGGGCTGTGGCTGGTGTGAAGGTTGCGGCGCGAGGTGTTGGGGAAGGAGTGGGTGAGGTAAGGGAGATGGCTAGGGAGTCGAGAGAGTTGGCGGGCGAGCTGAGGGAGGTCAGGCAGGAGAGGGAGGAGATAATTGATGATGAGGAAGTGGATCGGGGAGAGAGGGAGCCTGAGTGGTATCACCCCGGCTTTGATCTGTGAATCGCTGGAATAGCATCACCGCCTCCTGTGCAAATGATTGCGCCGGCGCCCTTGGCGTCACAGACTTGGCCCGATCGATCGAGATTGAGCCGAGCCCTTTCCGTGTCCATGTGCGCATCTCCACTTTCCCTTCTCGTTACTTTGCATTCTATTCCATCTCACCTCACCTCACCCCACGCAAGTCATCACGTCCCGAAACTTTGTGCGAGAAGGCTTATTTCAGCCTTCAGGCCTCGAGGCGCTGTGATGGCTGCTAGCAAGCAGTCAGTCCTGCTCCTCTCCCCACTACACATCCTCAGCACTCCACAAACGCTCTTTTCCCTCGGCCTGTCCCTCTTCTGGTGCCTCGTCGTCATCTCCCTCTACCACCTGGACATCTTATCCACCCAAAGTGGCTGCTGGCAGCAAAAAGCAGCAGAGCGCACACTTGGTGGCCTTGCCTCGGTCACGGGTCTGCTGTTGGCTTTTCGGTCCAACTCGGCGACCTCTCGATGGGATGGAGCGTCCAGGTGTTGGGCGAGCATTCAGGCTGCTGAACGGAGCCTGATGAGGCTGTTGAGCGTTAGCTTGTGGCATGATGTGCAGGCTGGCAGAGACGACGGTGACGATGACGAGGTGGAAGAGACGGCGCAGCTCGAGGAGCACGTAGATGATTTTCTGCGCCTCTTTCCCTCGTTCGCTCTGGCCGTGCTTGTGCACCTCGAGGCTTCGGCGCCCGGTGGTAGCAGACAGATGAGTAGCTCACGCAGCAGCAGCAAGCTCCCCTGGTCGCTAAGCACCAGCGATCCAGAGGACGTCAAGGCATCGAAAGCAGCACTCCGGTCGGTGCTCCCCACTTTCTTCCTGCGATCTCTGGACTTCTCTACCTCACCATCTTCATCGAGGCTCAGCCGTCTTCCCTCCTCTTCATCATCCGTCGCCTCACGGCATTCCCACACAAAGGCTCGAGGACTGTCGAGCGAAGCAGAGCGCGAACTCAATCTATCCCAGAACATCGATGGACCTCTCGACCTCCCACGGCGCTCCGCACCGCACGTCGACCCGCTTACTGGGAGCATCGTACCGCGCAACCTACCTGTGGACATGCTAAGGGAGATGCAGACGGGTCTCGTACGTTTCCACCAGGGGGTCACTGCTACGACTAGCCGGCAGAGGAGTAAGAGCCAGCCTCGCCGAGAAGTCAAGCTCTCCGGGCCCGTCTTTGCGCACAGCGTCGGGTTGCTCAACACGCTCAGCTCCCAGTTGACCGAGCTCGAGAGGCTGAGGGATACGCCCATCCCTGCCCTCCTTTCCTCGCACCTGCGTCTACTGCTCAATCTACAGCTCGCGCTCACCCCGCTAGCCCTCGCGCGGGCGTACGTTCCGCTGCTGTACCTTCCGCTACCCTGCTTGATTCTGGCAGTCGGTACTTGCGGATTGCACGCCGTCTCGGAAGGGCTCAGCATGCCGTTCGGGAGGGCGAGGGAGAAGCTGCCTATGAGGAGATTATGTGCTGACATTGTGGGGGACTGGAGAGAAACTGTAGCGAGGGTCAGGGAGCTGGGGAGAAGAGAGGCAGAGTATGGCGAAGAGGCAGAAAAGTACGAAAAGCAGGGTGAGAACGAGTCGAACGGCAGCGGAGGGGCGGCCGATAGGGATAACACGAGAATAGGTAGTGAGAAAGCAGACGAGGCCAAGGCGAGTCCTAAGGCTCCTGCGTGGTCGTCTTCGATGGAGACGGCAATCCCGCAACAAGACGACCCGCCTCTCCGCAAGCGTCGCAGTCGTTGGTTACGCTGGGGTGGCGTGAGGTCCCGAAGCAGCCCTACAAACGGAAGTGCAGCTGGCAGCGGTGGAGATGCGACCCAACCATCGCCTCGAGCCTTTGCCAATCACGACGAGAACGACGACGACGACGATGTCGATTTGCACGGGCATAGCCAGGCGTACGCTGCTGGGGACGAGGCAGACGCCGAGGCGCTCGCGGCTGCTGACCGGGTGGCCGCGTCGTATGGGCAGGGACCAGATTGAGGCGCAGCAGCTTGTGTCGATGAGAAGCAGCATCAAGATAGGGAGGGTTTTTCATCTGTACAATATCCACCATCCAATGTTCAGACAAGGGCGCGTAGCAGCGCATCGCCATTGGGGAAAAATATCAAAGCGCTGCGGATCTCAATTCAAGTCGTAGCTAAAAAAACAAAAGAAGTGCGAAGAGGTGTAGAAAGTGAAGAGACCAATGATGAAGAAAGGGAGGACGACAGCGCCTCGTAGGGCCGCTGCCTCGAAGAAGAAAGGCGACTAGCAAGGCGTGCCGAGGTTGAGGCTGTTCAGGGCGAGGGCGACGAGTCAAAGGTGTCATCCGAAGAGGATGTCGATTAGAGAGAAGTTGAAAATCGCGGATCGATGGTGAGGGAGCCCGCGTGGCCGTGGGTGGTGATTAGCTGACTAGATAATAGTGCGGAATGCAGAGCGATTGGCGTTTGTACGTTCGTTCGCCGCACCTTGATGCTCCCACCTCACTGGCTTTGCTGATTGCGCTCGCTCACGCTTGCACACCAGACGGCTCGCCGTACACATTTGCCTGACGCGGGTCCTGTTCAGTGCCCGCCGACGGGGCTCCATACCAGGCCTGCGGCCCTCCGTCTGGAGCACTCGACGAAGAATGCATCACGTGCCCCAAACCATGCGGCGCACGGTGGTCTCCACCAGCCAATCCCGGAGGCCCAGGCGGTCCAGCATCAAAGCTGGAGCGCGCATCGAAGCTGCTCCTCGCATCAAAGCTACTTCGCGCATCAAAGCTGCCCCTGTGATCGTGGTACGGGGTAGGAGGCACGTCCATCCCACTGGGCCCACCTGGGTTGAGGGAGCTGGAGCTCTCGTACCCATTGTGGTGGTGAGGGGCCGCAGGCGGGTGGTCCGAGAAGGAGTCGCGATGGTGTGCTGCGCCTGGAGGAGCGGGCCAGCCTGCTGAACCAAAAGTCGGAGGTGCGTGGCTGTCGTCGTGGGCGTGAGGTGGGGCGTATTGGTGGGCGCCGTTCATTGATGCGACTGTGGCTGACTGGTCGTGCTGGCCGAAAGGCATATTAAAGGCAACGGCAGGAGGAGGCGGGGGAGGAGCTTGATGGCCGTAGGCGTTGAGATGCTGGCTAGAAGCGCCACCCATAGACATCATGCCGCCTGCGCCCCCGCTTGCGCTGGACTTGGAGCCCCTCTTGCCCATCGATGAAGAGCTGCCATCGGCCGCAGAGAGGGACAGATCCGAATCGTCCTCCTTGGAGTCCTTGCCCTTCCTCTTGCGCTTGGGTGGATTGTCCTCGTAGTAGCAGTCGCGCTTGCCGATGCGGCATTGCTTGCAGGGCGTGCCGTCTTGCGAGCATTTGACTTTGCGCTTTCGGCAGACGAGGCACCCGGTGCGGGATCGCTTGAACTTGGCTCGACGGGTGACGCCGCCTCCTGGACCGACGGAGGGACCCACTGGATGATGAGCGCCATCGAGTGGATCGTAAGGAGGAGCGAGACCCATTGCGGAAGCGGCGCCAAGAGGGCCGCCTGGCCCGGCGTACCGACCGCTGGCTGCGCTTGAGCTGACTGATCTGAAGCGCATACCAGGATCAGCGCCAGGCGCAACGGAGGGATTGAAGGAGTCGTAGCTCGTCGTATAGCCTGCGCCTGGTCCAGCAGCCTGCACCTGTCGATTGGCTGCGTATCCGTAGTCGTAGGACGCTCTACCTTGAGTGGTAGAGGAACCTGAAGAAGAAGAGCCCGACGAGTTGCCAATGGCATTGTTGACGCCACCCCAGGGCCAGTGCCGGCCGCCAGCCATCGACGAGAGGCCCGCCGCCGACTGTGGTGCTCGATGCGGCAGCAAAGAGGCGCCCAATGGCCGCGCACGCTCGTCAAGAGAAAAGCGTCGGTCGACCATGTAGCCATTCTGAGTCGGGGCAAAGCGACTGTCCATCGATGACAGGCCACCACCACCACCACCACCGCTGCCGCCGCCGAGATTTGCACTCGTCATGTGGCCATCGAGCGAGTAGATGGAGTTGTTGCGGGTGCCTGGCTGGGACATCGTAGGGGATGAGGTCCAAGAGGAGCCATAGTCATTTGGCGATGCGATCGAGGCGGATGAAAAAGACCCGTTGCGGGCGGCGGAAGGGTGAGTGTCGAGGGACGGCGGGGCAGCATACGCAGACGAGCCTCCTTTGTAGCCTGGAGAGAAGCCAGCAGCGCCTGATGACGAAAGTGACGCAGTTGTGGTGGTCAGCTCGTGCCGCCTTCACTCGCGGATGATGGGTCGCGCCGTTCGCCGAGGGCTGCTCACCGGAGTAATGTCCCTGAGCTGCCTCGGGCTGATAACCTGGCTCGATGGGCGGATATGCCGACGACCTGGCAAGGCAGTGTTGACAAGGAAGATCGATGGGGTCAGTGATGCGGATGAGATGGCTGCATGATACTATTACTTGGAAAGGTGCTGCCGAAACTCACTCTGGAGGCAAGTCCGATCGATAGGCGACGGCGGCCCCGTCAGCCGATCGAGGGTCCCATTGACCACTTGATTCCATAGCTAGCGAGGTGAGAGGAAAGGAAGCCTAGCAGCAAAAGCCTCGAGTGACTGGCCAGGGCAGGCGAGGTAGGGGATGATGAGGGCGGCGACGGCAGCGGGTATGGGAGTTCACGGCACTTGATTGGCTATGTCCGCCTAAGCCGGGTAAGGACTCTTGGTGAGGTGTTGGCGATGTTCAGGAAGATGGGTATCCTACAGTGACGCACGTACGAAGGAGTCCTGGTGTCGCAGAGAAGTCGAGCTCGCTACGATGTCGTGTTTGTGTATCGTCGACTGGAACGAGACGATGGTACGCGAGGGTCGGCAAAGCAGTCGGCCGTGGGGTCGATCGCGACTCGGATCCACAGGACTAGACACAAGGAGAGATGACGACGCAGAGACGGCGACGACGAAGAAGGGCGATGTCGATGATGATGGTGGAAAGATTTGTTGTTCTGTGTGTGATGAGCAGATGACTACCAAGTCAAGAAGCAAGGAGTACCGGGGTGGGGGAGGGGGGGCAGGTGAGGTCGCGGGGAGGGAGAGATGGATTGGCGCGCAATGAGATTACGCCCAGGTGAAAGCACAGGCTGCCTGTCGCCTCGCCGTCCTCCCCCGCTCCACGAACCCCCCTTCACCCAGCAGCAGCGCCTACCGTCATTAGCAGCAGCCTGTTCTCTCCGCTCTTTGTTCGACTGACATTGCACCAGCGCTGCTGCTCCTGCTTCCCGCTCTGCCTGCCTCTTGGTCACCACCCACTCTCACCTACTACGCCCACGCAGCATCAGCAACCATTCGCAATCGACCCCTCCTCTGCTGCTGCTTCCCGCCGCTCTGGCCGCCTTGGCCGCCCCGCCGCCATCGACACACACGTAGTCCCCTTGCTGAGGGCCGACGATTGAGAGCAATCAGGCTTCCATCTTCCGCTCTCCTCTGCCTCTTCCGCCTGCAACACGACGTCGGCGGTAATCATATCACCCTTTGTCGCCCTTCGTCAAGGAGGATGACGACGACGACGACGTCAGGGCACGAGAACCAAGGACTGAGAGAGACGCTGCCAACTCAGCGCGGGCAAAACGCGAGACGAGCCCTGAGAGCATCTTGCAAGCGGCTTCACGCCGGCGCAGTCCGCCAGCGCCCAACCCAGACAGCAGCCGTCAGACGCGCGGGGCGTGAAGCACCTCCGTAAAGTGGTGAAAGCAGAAGGCGGGCACCAAGACTGCACGCAAGCTGCATCACCATCCCGCCGTCGCAGCGGCTGCTGCTGCCCCTTGCCCTCATCATGCCCCGTGTCCTCGCAGCCCAGCGTACGAAAAAAGGATCACACACGCTCTCACCCACACACATCAGCTCTCACGAATGCAACCTGCGATGCTCCCGTTGCGCCGACGAGAAACCAAAGACCGCCAGCGGCTGAGCGGAGCCTTGCAGGTGGAGCTCAACGCACACATTCAATCGACCTGACCTGAGCAGCCTGATGATCGTCTTTTCCGCGACCAAAGCAAGGTTCACAGCAGCGACTTACGCATGCTGCTGATGCCGCTCATGCTGGCCCCAAAAAGAAGACCCGAAAAGACCAGCAATCCTCCCTTCGCCGTTTCTCGTAACAATAGTGCGAGGCTCCTTGCTGGTCAGAATTGGCAAGACGTCGGTATCGTCTCTTGGCGCGCTAAGGGGAGATCAGCATCGAGTCGGCGATCGTGACGCTGACGCAGTGCAGAAGGGCAGCTTCTGCTTTTGCAGATACGACGATCGATGTAGCAAGTTGATGACGATGGCGTGTGTGAACGAATCTCTGGCTTCGAAGCGGCCGATCAAGAAGATCATAGCCTCCGCCGCCGCGGACAAGTTTTCGTCCGGGCCTCGGAGCTGCGAGTCACATCCATCGAGGATTAAGTGCGGGGTCATGTATCGAGCGAGGTAAGATCCTCGGGCTCGGTTCAGGCTTTCTAGATCCATATCTCACAGGTGAGCGTCCAGGAGCTAGCAGCGGCATCCCCGGCGCTGGGTGGAGCTACGTACGAGCTAGAAGCGGCAAGTGGCCGACTCGAGCCGAGTCTCGAGCGTCAGGAAGAGGAGGATAGGATTAGTTCATTGTACAGCGTCGTGCGTGGGTAGCGAGAATAAGAGGCCGAGGTCGAGCGAATATGCACCGAAGTGAAGTAGGACTGGGTGTTGCTACGTCCACCAGCCCAAAGGTGACCTCGTTACAGGCCGGCAAAGCAAGCCCGATTGCCGCTCCTTTCGCGCTCGCGATGGTGAGAAGAAAGCAGCGCCGCCTATCGGTCGGTGAAGTCGATGCTGTGAGTTGCGCTCTTGGCCCCTGGAGGAGCACTGAGCAGACGATTTACAGCAAGTTCTTGCCGAAGCTGAAGCTCGCGAGGCTCGCGATCAGGTGATCGCGGCGAAGCTTGACGGGCCAGAAGCGATGGGCAAAGATGATCTTACGGCCGACGGTGATGGGGATTCGTACGAATGTCGTGTGCTGGGCGCGGGTCATACACGCGTCAGAGGCTGGTAGACAGCTTGACCTTGCCAGGTCACAAGAGGTCGTACATGGTCGTCCTTGTCAACGTCGCCGCGGTCGACCTTGGCTGTGAGAGCCGCAACTGGTCTGCTCCATCTTATTTGAAGGTTGCCGCCGAGTGGTCCGCTAGGTGACGTCAAGCTTGGCGAGGTAAGGATCGAAAGCGGCCAGTTGGAGGCGCTGCCTGAATCGTCACGCACATCATACTCGCTGTCTACTGCAACATCATCCTGCCCGTTCAGCGCTGCTTCAAGCTCTTTGCGACCAGACTCGTCCTCGATGGGCAGTGTCGTGTCGGCGAGGGGCAGGTGGACGAGCATGATATGATTTGCGGGTCCCCGCAGAGAATTGACTTGAATGTTCGTCTGCTTTGAGAAGCCCGTTGATGAACATATTACGGCGAGCAAGGGCTGAGCAGCCAGAGTAGCGTCGCCCTCGCCGTCGTCCTCTGCTGAAGCCAACCTATTGCGAGCTAAGACGCCTTCTACCTCTCGCAAGATGACGGGCCCGTGCTTTTTGGACCCGGCGCTGGCTTTGCACTGAACAATGACGCGCAACCGTGAGGCAGGCTGATCGACTGGTGCGTCGTCGCCTTGGGGTAATTGCCACCATCCTCGCAAGTCTACGCCTCCATCGCCTGCTCCTCCCACCCTCGTCAAGCTGAGGTTTCCAGGGAGGAGATGGGGGAGGCGCGAGAGGACGTGATGTTCATATGCTGTGCCCAGAGATACTGTCGAGATAGATGAGATGGTCCGCGTAAGCCCACAATAAGCGCTGATAGGTATGCCAGGGCATCTTCTGGCCCATATCGTCGTGACCAGCAGACGATGCAGCATCGAGATTGACCGCAAACAATTCGTGGAAGGCGGGGGGGACACGGAAGTGGAGCCTCGACGACGTTGCGAAAGGCCAAGGCGGACCAGATTGGCCCATGGGCCCGGGCCCCCGCTTCTCCTTCGCATCTGTCCATTTCACACCACGCTTTCAAGACTACCGACAACTTCTTCAGAGTAGCCCTCATCCGCCGTCATGGCGGCTCTAGCACCGCCGATCGGCATCGCTGAGGGCAACAACACCTCTACTGCATCGCCATCCATGGGCGCAGGCCTCTCGATGCCTTCTGCGTCCTCGTCTTCCGGCCAGACGCCTGCGTTTATTCCAGCATCACCGGCTCAGGCCGCAGCTCTCGGCCTCGCATTGGCGCCGAACCCACTCGGTACACCAGAGCACACTCTCGCAACGCTCACCAGCACCGGCAGCGCTCCTCAGCAACGCCCACGAGTGGGACCGCGAGCGGTCGTTCACCTCCTCGTAGACCAGCACACAGTCGATTCGGCATGGCCTGCCATCTCGTCCATAATCCTTCGCACATGCCAGCAAATCGCATCGCTGCATCGCTCTCAGCTCGAAGGCACCGGAGTCGTGCTTCAAGCAATTTCATTCAATCCAAAGCAGCCCCGCGTTCCGCCGCGAACGTCTCCCGATCCAATCCAGTCCTTCTTCGAGCCTAGCTGCGATTGTCGCAGAGCAGGCCCATCAACGCCGAGAAGTTTCCTTCTTGGTGCTAGGCAAAGCCTGCAAGGCAGCGCATCTGATGGCCATTGGTGGAAGGAGGGGATATCAGCTGAAGACGGGCATGCAAGCTACTGGCGTGCCCTCGAGCTGGGCGTTGGTGACCTCAAGGCGCAGATAGAAAGAGAAGAAGAAGATGCAGCGACATCAACGATTCCGCCACAGGAAGCTGTCCTGACGAGATATCTCGTCTATTTCGCTTCCGCTAGCTCAGATGCCTTGCCTGCCTCTACGAGAGAAGCAGTCGAATCGTGCTCGGCATTCTTCAATGGCATCATCGTTGGGACGCTCCCAACACCGCCTTGGGCCAGCGACGCTCCGCATCGCGCATCGAATGGCAGCCAAGCGGCAGCATCCGACATTGCCAAGTCATTTCTCAGCGACCTGGGCTCAACGACGACATGGGATGACCTGGGTAACCCAAACTGTAAACCGCAAGGCGAGGCTTCGACCTTCTTCTCATCTCCAACCCCGTCTCTGGAGGGCGTGTCCATCTCTCTTGCCGGCTTCAAGTCTTTGACCTCTAGCGAAGCGGGCAAGGCAAAGCTCGAAAATGCCAGCAAGAAGAGAAGCAGAGACGAGATCGCCGACAGCGACGGCAGCGGAAAGAAGCAAAAGGTCGAGTCAAGTGGTGCTCAAGAAGCCAACGTCACAGCCGGGCCTTCTTCATCAACATCGGGTGCGGCTGTCATCGTGCCTGCCTTCCCTCCTCAGAAGGGCATGAAGACGCCACCTCCATTCTGGTCTGGCCCCATCACCTGGGATGTCCAAAGACCTAACGCAGCAGGCAAGCAACACGTCAAGGTCTGGGTCTGCGCTGTCGTCATGTCCGGCGTCAAGGGTTCGCAGGTGGCTCCACTTCAGACGCTCCTGATGCCTTGGCCCAAGGTTCTGCCGCTCAGTACGCTTCGCCCCATTGCATGGAACCAGCTTCAGACATTCGCATCCACGCACACGGTGCCCCTGATCATGCTTCAGCCTCGACCTGCTCCGGGTCTACGTCCTGCCGGCGGCGGCGAAAAGGTGCCCGAGACAGCTGAGGAGCTGCAGCGCAACGAGAACATCTACTCTAGTCTGGCCCGTACCCTCGACTCGAAGAAGTCAGCAGTCTGGCTGAGCCTCAAGGAGAATCCGCTGCCACCCCATCTCAGCAATCAGACAGAAGAGAGCCGTACCTCGCCTGGCGTGCTCGTAGTCAGCCTCGCCGGTCCTTCCAATGTGGACCCTCAGACTGGTCAGGCACGCACTGCATCCAGTCGCCTTGTCGGCTTCATCTTTGCCAATGGCGTGCCATGGGACTCTCTTCAGACACCGCAGCAGCGAGCTTCCGTTGCAGAGCACAACCAGCAATCACTCCTCGCTCGCGCAAAGGCTCAGGCATCGCTGTTGCAACAGCAAGCACAGGGCCAGCCGAGCGCGCCTACGACGACGCATCCGCCAGCTGGTGGCTTGGGCGGCGCGAGTGCGAGTGCTGGGAGTGGTAGCAGTGGTGGTGCGGCAAACAAGCCGAATGTAGATATCAGTAGCATCTTTGGGCAAGGCGGTGCAATGAGCCATCTGCCTCCGCAAGCCCAGCAGATGCTCAGCGCGGCCCTCGCCCAGCAACAGGCCCTTCAGCAGCGCCAGAAGGACCAGTACAAGCCGACACCACCTGCGGCGTCTATCTCAAATGCGCCTGCCCAACAGCAGCAACAGCAGCAACAGCAGCAACAGCAGCAACAGCAGCAACAGCAACTACCCCAAGCCGGGCAGCCGCAGAGCTTTGGCGGCTTCAACATCCCGCAGAATATGCCCAACGGCGCCGCCAACTTTGCATCTGCCACTCAGGCTTGGCTTGCATCGCAGCAGCGCAACCAAGCTCAAAGCGGAGTACTACCTCAGCAGCAGCAGCAGCAGCAGCAGCAGCAGCAGCAGCACGGTCAGGCTCCCGCGTCCCACCTCTCCTCGATGTTCGGGCCAGGCACCTCCTTCGGCGGCCAGCAAGGAGGGGGAGGCAGCGGCGGTACGCCTTTCGAGGGGCTTTCGAACCAGGACTTTGCAGCGTTGGCAGCTCAGCTGGGCCTTCAAGTGAATCAACAGCAGCAGCAGCAGCAGCAGCAACAACAGCAGCAAGGCCCACCTCAGCAAAACCAGGCGCCTGCACCTGCCGCTGGCTCCAATTTGGCGGCCTACCAGGCCTTCCTTCGCGCTCAGGCCCAACAGCAACAGCAGGCAGTTCAACAGCAGCAGCAGCAGGGTACTCCAGCTCATTCGCGTACTCAGTCTAATCAGCAAGCATTCCCGACCCAACAACAGCAGCACCAGGGAGGACCGAGTGGCGGCGGTGGCGCCCCTCCTCCTCAGCCTGGCCAACAGCAGCAGGGACAGCCGCAGCTTATGCCCAACCTCGACATGTCGAAGCTTGATATGCAGGCGCTACAGGCTATGTTGGGAATCAAGTAGCGGGATGCGTGAAGAAGAGAAGGTCTTCGCGCAGGACGTCAGCTAAACGGCCGCTACTGGCAGGCAATGATGTCATTCTTTACACGGCTCTACCTTCTCCATGAGTGGTAGACTCAACTGTACTTGTATACCAACTAGCAATCATCGATCGTGATCAACGCCTGCCTTGTGAAGTCGAGTCGCACAACTATCGCGCTCGGTGGGAAGACTGAACGGTCACAATCGAATTTGCTACGGATCGCAGAGCGACATAATCTCCCTTGACTTGATTGCTTTCCACTGCCCTGCCCCTTACTTCTTGTTCTTCTCCGCATCCTCCTTCATGCCCTTCATAACCCAAGCGCTCGACTCCTTTGCGTGAGCCTTGGTCTCCTCGTCCTCGCCATCAAAGTTGGGGTCCAGGATCTTGTCGAGGAGCTCGTGCTTGCCGTCGGGGAGGTACATGCCCTTCTTGGTAGCGGGGCGGTCCAAGTTGCGCTTGACCCAAGCAGCCACGTTGGAAGGCAGGTCCTTGACGCCGGCCCACTTGTGCCACTGTACCCATGGGTAAGCGTTAATGTCTGCCAGGGAGAATTGACCCTTGCCGTCCCCGACGAGCCAGTCGCGTCCTTCGAGGACCTTGTCGAGCACGCTATAGAGGCCTGCGCGCGGTGGGGAGAAATGAAAATTGATGCAAGTCAGTACGGTACGAGACTAGATTTGGATGAGCACGTCTGCCAACTCACGAATCGTCTCGTTCTGGTATCGGTCAATACCGTACTGGATCTTCTCTGGCGCGTATCGGTAGAAGTGGTTGGCCTGGCCCTGCATGGGCCCGACGCCACCGTGGACAAAGAACATCAATTGAAGCACCTCGTTCCTGTAGTCGTCAGCCTTGGGATTGCTGGAAGGCCAGGAGAACTTGTGCTCAGGGTCATAGTGCTTCTCGAGGTAGAGGAGGATGGCTGCCGTCTCGAAGACGTTGAAGTTGTCCCTGTTGGGGTCCTGCAGGGCGGGAATGCGACCGTTGGGGTTGATGTCGAGGAACCATTTCTCCTTTTGCTGGTTCTCCTTGAGGGAGACGGCGTGGTACTCGTACTGGAACTTGTCTCCGTAGACTGCCTTGAGCTCTTCGAGGAAGGTGTGGACCTTCTGGCCGTTGGGCGTGGGAGCCGAGTAGAGCTTGAGAGGCTGCATTGCGTTGGACGAGATTGTTGTTGAGAGCTGTCGAGTGATCTGTGAGAGCCTAGTACGTGCAAGTGATGGCATGCAAAGTAGAAGAGCGACCAGGTTTGAGACGTGCTGGAGCAACTTATACCGACGTCAGCTGGCGAGCTTTCATCCATGGTGGAGGCCGCCCAAGAGGATTGCTTAAGCCCGTCCGCTCACCGCGGAGCAAATTGAGGCAGCACGGGCCAGCACGCGGAAACAACCACGTGGCCGCATTAAGCTCGCTCCGGCAGTCGCTTCCACTCCATACGACATCTGTCAACTTGAGTGCTTGGCTTCCCTCCACGCACATCGCCGTCAACATGGCGCCAACTGGTCAAGGCCCACGCGTGGAGCTACTCAGCCTCCCTCCAAGTGGTGTCGTCCATCAACGCCTCTTCTTGCTCTGTGGTCGCGTGTACAGCGGTGGTCCTCGAGATGGCCAGTCGAACTCTAAAGGGCCGGACGGCTTTGTTGACATTGATTTGCTAGAAGCCAAGCAGCCTAGCTTCGGCCCTCACATTTGGGAAGTGAATGCGACGTGGTTCAAGGCCCTCATCCCTCTTCTTCCCGGCAATAATCGCTTAAAGATCAACCATCGATGGGCAGACAATTCGCCCTCCGGCATCAGCCACGAGGTCGATCTGACCTACATGCCCAAGCTCGATCGGCCACCTCTCCACCTTGTCATTCTTGCTGCTCGTGACTCGCCTGTATGGAGCGAGAGCCGAAAGTCAGGCGAATCTTCAGCAACGGATATCAATATGGGTACTGCCACTGTTCCCGGTGCACACAATCCTGCACCGACTATCCCGCCTTCACATACCGGGTCGCAACGTTCGTCCGGCTTCGGCGGCTTCCTCAATAAGGTCAAGGCGGTCAAAGACGACCTCGCAGGTGGCGCATTCAAGCCCACGCCTACCTCAAGCTCTTCTGCATCATCATCAAGGCCAGATCAGCCAGCGCTGATCGATACGCCCCCCGGCTGGCGGCGCGACCGCCTCCTCAACGGTGGGCTCCGCGAAGTCAAGCGTCGCCTCGCCCTTCAAGCCCTGATGTGGCAAGCTTTCCACGCCGACCAGATGTATCGCCAAGGATTCGGGCATCGTGCCTTCAGCCTCCAAGAGCAAAGCAATGCCTTGCACACGGAGACTAGCTCGGAGCATATCGATCTGCCCTCCATTCCCGTCGTTCACCTGCTCCGCTCCGAGCATACGCTTGCTGAGTTCCGAGCAGCCGACAACGCCCAGCAACACAAAGGTGCAAAGAATGGCGGTGCAATGCACTCTTTCGCAGGCGAGGCGCTCCACAAGGCTGATTTCTGGCGCAAAGGTCCTCCAGGAGCGGCGTGCGGTGTCTTGATCCTGGACTCAACGTGGGATCCCTCCCACCAGCTACTGCGCGCACACGCCGCCGTCGGATCTCATGGCGGTCTCCGTCAAGACTCGCTGAGCCATGGTGTCATGGGCTCGCATTGGCTTTGGGCTGCCCCCTCTACCCTGGGCGAGGTCACCCCCGCCTTCCTGGACGAGGAGGCGACGGACGCGAGGTACTGCTGCAACGACCTAGGTGAGGGACGGACCGTCGCCCTCACCATCAATATTGGCAGTGGAGCTATGCTGCATGAAGTCGGTCACGCGCTCGATAATCCGCATTGGCCTAGCGGAATCATGGCAAGAGGCTACATGGAGTGGAATAGGGCGTTCATGACCAGGGAGACGCATTCAATACGAGGGGGTAATCGTACGATGAAGCCGATCACGCCGGATGACGACTCGCGAGAGAATCACCTGCATCGCTGTCAAGCTATACGGGCGAGGTTGCACCCAGCTTTCGCGCTCGATGGGGATGCACAGCCGGCAGGTCGTGCCTCCTTCCCCAGCTGGAAGGATTGGGCAGACGTGGAGCCCATGTTCCTCCCCATGCGCAACGGGATACGCTGTAACTCTCAAGCAGGCATCGCCATGATAGTCATCGAGACCGGCGAGAAAGGCAAGGAAAAGAAGTATAAGACCCACCTCGAGATGGGCTTGGACCCCTCTGCTGGCCCTCCGCCCACGTCATATCTTCTCACACCGCAGTACCTCTCCTCCCTGGTAGGGTTCGACGTCCTTCACCCCTCGTCACTCGAAGTAGCACTGAGCTGCACGGCCTGGAACTTGAGGCATGGAGAGTGCAACTCGTATAGACGTATGGGCCTCGCAAAGCCGCTAACTTCCCTTCCTGGCGTGAACTTAATGAGATTCGGGAGAGAGGTACGCAATGGGCCACGCACGAAAGTGGATGACGACCCGTCTCATCACCACGAAGCTATCCTGCTCAACAGCGCTTGGGCTGGCGGGCCGCCGCTGGTTGAGGTGGAGCTGTTCTCCCACCAGGCCTTTGTAGGGCTGCGCTTCAAGTACGCAGACGGGTCTGCGCAGTCTGTTGGAAAGGTCGGTAATGATAGGCCGAAGACATCGGTGCGGCTGAATCAGGGCGAGGACTTATTGTCTGTAGAGGTTAGGTCAGGCTGGTGGATTGACGCTGCCAGCGTACGGGTGGGCAGGGGTTCGCAAGGTAGAGATACTCCCTTCGTTGGTGGGCATGGTGGAGGTCGGCGATCACTGAGGCCCGCGAGTGAGGAAGAGGAGATAGTAGGCTTTGTCGCCTCCTCGGGCAGCTGGATGGACTCTCTTGGGGTGCTGGTGGCAGATCGGAGGAGATAGCCGTAGGAGTGGAACCAGGCGGGCGAGGAACAGCATTGATCGGAGCATAATCTGGATGCAGTCTATTCATGGCGACGGCCACATGCACTTGCCAACCTCCCTTCTGCGCCGACATCACGCCCTGATTTGGTTCGAAGGCGCGAACCTCGCCAAAGCTAGGATGGCAAGCCTCAGCTCCTCCTTGACACGGCTCGTCGCCGAGTCATCCTCCTGCCCTTGCTCATCGCCCTCAGCCTTGACCGACGCTTGATCTCTGCGCTGCCTGATCCTCCCGTCCAGCTCCATAAGCGTCCTCGCGTACTCAACCAAGCACTCCTTCACCCTCTGTCCAGTCCACTCCTCGTCTTTATATCTCGTCACTCTCTTCGCACCTTCAACCGCATTAGGCGGCAAGAAGGTAGGCTGCGCCCATTCCGCCTGCTTGTCCTGCAAGATGAATGGGGGGAGATCATCCGGATTGACCAGGCTGGAGGGACGATCCAAGAGCAAGCGCACGAGTCGGAGTCGTGCCCAGATGAGGGGCATGTGCGCCACAAGGTAGGACACGTTTGATGTTGTGAGGATGAGCTCTGGACGAGCATCCACATCGCCTGGCTGAGTGGAGCTGTCGTCTTTCTGGTCGGCCACGTCGCCAGCTGTGGGGTCGCCCTGCTTTGCACGTCGCTCCAACTCGGCGATGAGCTCGCCCGTACGCGAGATGACGGCGCCATATCGGTTCTTGCTGACAGGAATGACAACCTCGTCCCGTACCCAGGTGTAGAGGTCTCGGTCTAGGATAAGACCGTTGCTGAGCGCCTCCTGAAGTCGCTCTTCGCTAGACGTCGGCGCAGAAGCGGCGTGGCCATTCGGTGTTGCCTCCTGCTTGACGGTGCTCTTGTCGTCTAGAACGTCGATGTCCATCGTGGCGGGCTCTGAGTCGGCAGAGGCCTCGCCTTCCTCTTGACGATCGTCGACGCCTTTCACGGCACCCTTGACAAAGCGCTCGATGCTCGACGCCCACAGCTCAGCCTCAAAGCCTCCCCAAACGTTGCTCTGCAAAAATCTGGCGGAGCTGTCTGCCTGACTCGCCCTCTCATGAGCAGGCACGGCAGGCGCGGTAGCCTTCAGCGCTGAGGATTGGCCCGTTTCGTCTCCCCTGTCATCACCTTGCCTCGCTCTTCCTGCACCGCTCCTCGCGCCAATTCCAGCCTGGTCAGCCGCCTCATCCATGGCGCCCAGCTTCTCAAGCAGAGCCCGCTCTGTAGACCGATCGGGAGCATCAACGCCCACTGCTCTGCATGTGGCCTCTCGATCCTCCCACATAAGCGTGTCCCGCAGCACAGTCAGTCGCGCCCAGTCCCAATGCTCGTAGTTGCCCAGCTGCCCATCGAGACCATAGAGAACGCCAGGAGCGAGCTGCTGCGCGCCACCGGACGCAGCCCCCGCTGAAGGTCCCGCACTAGCGTTGTTGGCCGCCAGGACCCCAGGGTCAATAGGCCCAGCACCGATCGCCGCATTCTCCACGTCCTTCCAGACGGCCAGATCCCCCGCTCCATCCCACGTCCGCGTATAATGCGCGTGCGGGTACGTCCAATCCATCAAGTTCGCAAACCCGTACTGCTCGCGCTCAAAGTCCTTGCTACGCCAATGTTTCGCTTTCTTCTCTGCGAGGGTGGCAGCATCATCTGGCTCAGGACCGGGATAGTAGGCATCGAGATGGGGATGCGGCTCGTAATCCGGCATGGTGGAGAAGAGAGGGTGCGGCCAGCGATGTGGCGTTGCAGCGAGCTGTGTGCTGGTGGTGCCGAGGGTGGAGTTGCGGCTGCCATTGGCGTTGAAGTTGGCGCCCCCACTGCTGCCGTTGCCTTGAGCGCTGGCCCCTGTAGTATCGACGCTCGAAGTCGGAAGGAACATGGGCAGCCTTTGCTGTGTCGCAGGCATGCCGTGTTCGTAATGACTTCCCGTCGCCTCCTTGGGCAAGGCTCGCTCTGCCGTTGTGAGCCTTAATGCATCGTAAGGTGCAGGTCTGACCAGCTTCTCCTTATGGCGCTGCGCATCCGGGTGCAAGGCATGCGTGCTCGTGAGCTCAGGTGTCGTCGTGTCGGTGTAGAAAATGGGAAGAAATCCCGTCACAGGGTCGATCGTTACGCCGAGAGGCGCAAGAAGGTCGCATCGTTCCGAGTAGCGGAGGGAGTCCAGATCGAGACTGCCGTCCGGCATGAAAGTTGTCGGCTTGAAGTCGCGATTGCGCACTTCGGCCCTGTGACGCAATGCAGCTTCGCCCAGATCGATCTCGACGCCTTTCTGATGGGACTGAGCCAGCACCTGGTCGATGGCTGCAGCAGCTGACTCACTGCGTGTGACGGGCTGCTTGCGAGGTGGGAAGTTGCGACCGCGAACGGGCATCAGCTTGCGACGTGGGCCGGGCATGGGCGTATGCGACCCTCGGTTTGCTGAGCCTCCCCGGCCACTCTCATCGTCGTCGCCCTCGTCGTCTTCGTCATGGTCGTCGTCATCATCGTCTTCGTCGTCGTCTGCGTCTTCTTGCTTGATGCGGTGATGATGGCTTGAAATCCCAGAAATCCCATCGTCGCCGTCGTCGTCGTCGTCGTCCTGTCCATCGTCGCTCCCAACGTCGCCGTTCTCGCTGCCGGACGCCGGTGAGGGTGACGCAGCGAACATAGGCGGACGGCTGAGTGAGCTGGGCACAAGTGGACGGGACGAAGCTCTGCTGGAAGTCTTGGAAGTCGAAGCTGACCCTTTGGCACTCTTGGGAAGCTTCTTTCCCTTGCCGCCGCTCGCCCTGCCCTTTGGCTTGGCTTGCACCTTCTTCGGCGAATGTCCATCCTCGTCCGCATCATCGTAGCTGTAGCTGTAGCTGGTATCCATGGACTGTGATACGTCTGCCTCTAGCGGATCAGGTGAGCCCCGTTCCCTTATGCCTCGATCTTCGGCGCGTTGAATAGCTTTCAGCGCGAACGTCTCGACAGCTTGGGCCTGAGTGTGATAGATGGACCCAGGTGGATTGAAGGTTTTAGCATTGTTGGTAATGAGAAGCAGGTCGTCTCTGAAGGACGCCATATCACCGTAATACTCTTGCTCTACCCTCCTCTCCATCGTACCCAGATCCATCGGATCGCGAATGATGGTGCGGTAGCCTGGCACTTCTGCCTCGTCAACAGGAGCGAGAAAGAAGCCGTACGCGTCCTTCTTGACTATCGATTGGATGAGCTTCGGTAGCACATCTTGAATGTCGACGCGTTTCTTCTTCTTGGGCGGTCTTCTGGTGGGAGGAGGAGGTGGTGTCCATGCTGCCGCTGATGAAGAGGCATCGTCGCCGCCGGTGAGAGGAGCATGTATGCCATTGGTGCCATTGTTTAGCAAAGGTGGCGGCGGAGACAACCTCGATGGTCCAGGCTGGTCTGATGCCGTCAATGGCAATGGATTTGACGCAGCAGGCGAGGCCACATTGTCATCTGTTCTTGGCCTCTTTGATAGCTTGATCTTCAAGGACGACGTCGAGGAGGATGTAGAGGGCGTGGCTGGCAAAGACTGGCCATTTTGCCCAGGCGCACCGGGCGACGGCTGCGACGACGACGACGAGTGGGATGGACGAAGTGGTGTGGAAGAAGATGAAGGAGGAGACATCGTCGACGAGTCTGGACTGCCTTTGATCGACGACACGAGACCCGGTCGTCGTCTGTCTGTCTTTCCCCTCTTGCGGATTGGATCGAGGTGTGGTCCAAATGGAGGCCGACGCTGCCCGCTTCACCCTTCGACCCTCGTCTGTCCGCTCCCTCGACTCGCGACAGACTCCGCCGACCTCGAGCTCAGCGCGCGCAACGCCCAACCGCCCAGCAGCGCGCCACGGTCAAGCCTACGATGACGAGCAGAGCGATAATTGAAGGCAGTTGAGGTCATTTCCCATCAATACACAGCATCTTCAAACAGTCGCTCGATGGCCATGATGAGCTTTTTATCGATATGGAGTGGCAGCGGAACCATGCCAGAGTGCGCTCGATGTCAGCGTGCAGACCAGCAACTTCAGTTAAGATGTGCCGGTGCACAGTGTACTACCTGCTGAGCATTCGGCCATGAGAGCTACCTTGAACAAACAAGTGCTGTCACCGTGGTCATACAGGGATGGTGGAGGCGAACGTCTCTGGCCGCTACTTTCGATGGCCGGCCAAGGCGCCGCTATGCCGGCACCACTCATTAGCCGCTCTTGGGCAGAGGTGGGATGCCAGCTGGCGAGCTGTAGCTCAGTGATGGTTCTCTTTTTTGTCACTCACATCAGCGCTGAGCTTCCCGACGATGATCGTCATCAACAGCTTGCTAGCTGCTGTGACGTGGTTCTGCGTCCTCTTTACCATCATCGCGGTGCAGCTAAGCGCAACGGCTGCCCCGCTTGGTGGGGTCGATCTACTGCGACAGCGACGACACACGTCTCCGCTTGACGGTCGTTCGGGCAAGATACATGTCATCACCAACTCGGTGCGTAAAGCCAAAGAGAAAGAAAAAGCTGGGACATGGACACAGCTGATGGTCAGGTTCCGTCCTCTCGCAGACCTTTCCTCAGGCTGTACATCCTCTGCCTCGAAAGATGCACATCAGCGCCCGTCTCGTGGTCGGGAGAGGCTCAGGCGGTCTTCAGCAGGGCGAAGACGAAGGATCTAGTAGACTAGAAGAGAAGGACAAGCATGGCAGCGGAAACGAAAGTTGAAGCCCGAGGAGGTGGGAGCTAGACTTGGAGGCGTGAGGGAGTGATGATCATGCCGCCATTGTCATTGCCATCGCCATCGCCAGCTCGACCAGGCCGACGCTGCGATTGAGTGGCAGACCTTTTCCACTGCTATGTCTAATCATGCGCTTGCTCGATATCAATCGACTTCATTATGATGCGATATCATGACGAAGATGAGGAAGACTTGAGACCTTCGTGACAGGTGGGGCAGATTGGCCCGAGGCTGCATGCCGCGCTCATGCAGGCTGCGTCGAAGGTGACGTCGACGTGCGAGCCGCGAGCCATGCAGCGGTGCGACTTTACGGAGCGAGGGGGGGGGAGCCTGGGCCTGTCTGTCGTCGCAGCTGACGAGGTCGGGCAGCCAACTCCACGTTGACCACCACCATCACCTTTTCCCCTCTTCCCTCTTGCCTCTCTCCTTTGTTCTTCTCAGACAAAAGAGAAGATAGCTCCTCGCCACCATCCTTCGACATCACCTTTTTCGTCCTTTCTCGTCGAGAGGCATCATCCAGCAGAGCACGAAGGCTTCATCCTCGTTCGCCGCCAACTGAGACGCCGGCCTTCCCTTCTCCACTCAGTCCACCTCACCCACATCTCATCTTCCTTGGCTCTCAATACACCTCGCACATACGCGCACATATACCCCTTGACCCCCGCTAGCCTATCAACATGTCAGCAAGAGACGCAGCTTCAGCGTTGCTCCCCAATTCCATCTCCTCAGCTCTGACACGCCCACACGCCACGACGGACTCGAGGCTGCTGCAGAATCTCATCAAGACGGAGAAGAGCTACACCAACCATCTCTCTTCGACGGTCACATCATCCCGCGCAGCAGCCGCAGCTCTCAAAGCATGGGGCACCAGCGAAGCAAGAGACGTTGCACAGACGAGTTCGCTCATCTCAGATCTCCTCAGCGAAGTCGCCGATGCGCAGAACAATCACCTCGAAGCCATCAGGGGCTATCGAGAAGCGCTTAAGGACATTGCAGACCGAGAAGCCTCCATTCGCACCATTGTTCGCGATCGTGACATTCTCGTCTCACGCCTCATCAAAGCATCGAAGAAGAATGGCGACGTTGCACATGCTCAGCGTGAGCTCACTGCCTGCGAAGAGGTCTTGGAAGCAGAGGAGCGAGCTCTCATTGGCGTCAAGCGCCGCACTTTCAAAGAGGCCTTGAGCATGCGAATGAAGATGATGGGAGACGCGGGAAGTCGGATGATCGAGAGCGCGAAGGAGGCAATTCTGCTCCTCGATGACTTTGACCAGCACGCTGGCCACGACTACGATGGAGCCGGGTATGATCAGGAGTATGCACAAGGCAATGAGTACGGTCAGGGGGGCTACGATGCGCAGTACGACCAGCAGCAGCAAGGCCAAGGCTACGGCGACTACCAGCAGGAGCATTACTATGGGCCTATGCACCAACAGTACGACGAAGGTCAAGGCATGCAGCAAGGATATGATTTTGCAGGTCAAGGCCAGCAGCAGATGCCCATCTCCCATGAGCAATCGAATTTCGAGAACGCCTCCGTCACCCCATCTCAGTCGGCTTCGCAGGCAGCTCAAGGTGGCCGATACGCAGGGAAGGCCGCTGAAGAGCAATCCTACCAGCAGCCGGCCTTTGCAGCTGGACATCCTCATGAATCCGAGGAGAGGGGAGACTCAGACGCTAGCAGCGAGGCAGACGTCGAGCAAGCCGGCATCCAGCGTCACGAGAATCAGCGGCCAGGCCTTCAATCGCAGAACAGCCAGCCTGCACCAACACCGCCGGCCAAGGAGCACAACCAAGCCAACTACGGTCTGGGACAGCAGAACGGTCGTCCGCCACGAGAAGAGCCTCCTGCGTCAGCGCCTCAGCCTGCCTACTCGCAGCCTCAGATGTACTCTGCGACGGCGCCGCGCTTCAACTACGATGGGGCTCAGCTGGCTCCCATCCCGCAAGCCCCTCGTCTTTACAATCGAGGAGAGGACAATGATTCCTCCTCGGACGAGGATACACGACCTACTACAGCTCACCAAGGCTGGTCTTCGCGGCCCACTCGCGGTCAAGATGATGACAACAGCTCAGATGAAGGCGGCAGGCGCGGTGGAGCAGGAGGAGGCAGACCCTCAGCTACTCCCGCGCGCCCTGGTCACCAAAAGCGCAACTCTTTCCTCGGCAAGGTATCCAAACTCTTCAAGACGGACATGAAAGAGGCGACTAGCGGCGAGCAACACCAGCAGCAGCACTCGCGTCAGGGATCTGGAAGTAATCACAGGCGCAGCGAGTCCGCCGACGGTGCCTCTGCCTGGCAGACGCGTACGGACCGTAACGTCAAGACTGCTCAGAAGGATAACACCAAGGCGTTGGGTCTTCAGCCGAGATCGAGCTTGCTGCGTCCGCTCGATGCTGGGGCTGACAATGACTCGTCGTCCGACGACGAGGAGCGTCGAACTGATCTTGTTAAGGTGACGAACACCGGCCGAGGCAGGACTCAGAGCAGCGTTGGTGGCTCCCTGCGCCGCACGCCGAGCGAATTGGCCCGCATCACAGCAGGTCCTATGTCCACGAGGCAGCGCAACGAGGCCGAGGCCAAGCGGGAGCAGGAGGAGCTCGAGCGCAAGACCCGCGAGGCTGTCTTTGGCACCGGCGTCGGCAGCGGCAGCGCCACCTTGCCACGTACGCTGTCGCGCACCAACTCGACCAGGAGCGCTGCAGCTCCCACGCCGAAGAAGAAGAAAAAGAAGACGCCAAGCGTTGCCGGTAGTGAGGTTGGGACAAGCGCCACCAGGCAGGCGGGTAGCGCAGGCCCTGCACCCCCAGCGAAGACTGGCACCTACGTCGTGCACGGCGACCAGTCTGCCGGACACCGCGGTCTGGCGAGCCTTGTCCTGCCGAGCGACATTGCCAAGGGGGGCGATGCGAATAAGCCCTATCCCAGCATCATGCCTCCCTCCGGTCTTCCACCAGCAGCCGTCAGCCTCAGTCGCTCCAACTCAGTCAGCACCGTCGGGCGCGCTTCGACGATCGGCCGGGCTTCGACAGCGAGCAAGAAGAAGAAGCGCACGTCGGCCATCTCTGACAGCCCAGGCACAGGTCTGGTTGGAATGAGCCCAAGGGATCAGGGCAAGTATACGACGAACAGCTGGGTGCCCCAGCCACAAGGTGGGCAAGGCTTGGCTGCTCAAGCTGTCGCGTCGCTGGGTGTTACGCCCCATAAGCCTGCGAGCGGAGCAGAGATTGCACAGAAGCAGACGGCTGCTACGAGCGGGGACGCAACGGGGACAGCGCAGCGCCCGGTGTCCACCCTGGCCGCTCCTTCCCCTGCCGCTCCAGCCATGCGTCCCTCCTCTTCTCAGCAGTCCACCCCGCTCAAAAGTGCATTGAAGCACCCGAACCGTCCTACCTCGCCCTCCCCCGCTGGAGCCGGCGCCGCCCCTGTACTGGACATCAACGCCAGCCTCGGCCCCATCGTCTCTGCCCCGCCGCGCGTCAGTGCAATCATGGCCGAGCAAGAGCAGCCGAGCATCATGCCGCCAGTCCCTCAGGCACCTGAAATGAAGCAGCCCAGCCTGAGCGTGGACAAGAACTTTGATGGGTCGGGAAGGTTGGATATGGGAAGGAGTAGCAGTGCGGAGGGCCTGGCCTCGGGCGAGTCGCAGCAGCAGCAGCCGAGCACCCCAGCACGGGAACGTGTCGCTCTCCCTCAACTGGACATGCCTGCCTCTGAGCCGTTCAATGTCAACTGGCGCAGGGACAGTGCTACCACCCCTGCGAGCACCAAGGGCACGCCAGCACATGCCGTTGCGAAGGGCCAGTCGGAGGAGATTCTGCTTACGCCGGGAGAGCAGAATGCTTACCGCAGCTTGATGCAGTCGCACGGCGGCGAGTCGCCTGAGGCCACACGCAACGGTGGTAAGGATGCGCAGGGCCGCGACAACGAGGCTTTCGCGACAGAGAAGGATCCCGAGGGCGTGACTAGGATCATGGCCAACCGGGTTCGCGTTGGAGGAGGCTCGGAACGAGCACAGTCTCCTTCGCCTGCTGTGGCTCCGCAGCCCAGCCGCACCTACTCTTCGGAGGGGCGCACTCTGCACACTTCCCGATCTTCTGCGGCTGCCTCACCTGCACCTGCTGCTCCCCCTCACCTGGCGTCAGCTCTGGCTGCTCCAGCATCAGACGTTTCCGCTGCAGGCTCAGCGACGGACGGCGTTTCCCGAAGGAAGAGCGTGCGCTTGGCGCCGGACACCAAGCTCCCACCTGAGACGCCCCCTGCTACGGCCATGGCCTCTGGAGGCAGCACTCGAGCACCTGACGGTTTTGGCGGCTTCAAGCTAGAATCCATCTCTGCTCCCGGCTCTTCGCTTGTTAGCAGCGGCAATGCCCCCAACGACTCTTCGGCGCAGCAAAATCAGGACAAGCCCAAGTCTTACGAACCGCTGAGCAGTCGCATTGCGCCTCCTCCGACCGCTCCTCCGCGCTTGCCGAATAAGGAGCGCGAGCCCAATGCTTTCAACACGCAGCTAGTACAACCTGAGCAGAGAGAGCGCAGCGGATGGTCGACGAGGATCGACCGCCGTCTGGCGAATGATGACTCGTCCGATGAGGAGGGCGGGGCTGCTCAGGGAGGTGCGGGCGCAGGTGAGGGAATTGACGCTTACGCAAGCGCCAGACGGGCGATGGGCGTTGCGCAGCGCCATTGGAGTGAGGCGACGAGCCCTGTTTCAAAGAAGAAGAAGAGCAAGTCGGGAGGCGAGACCGGCTCCGTGAGGAGCAAGAGCTCTAAGCGACGCAGTGGCGTGAGTGATACGGGGTACAATCCTGCTATCCCGCTGCCCAAGGGAATGGAGGTTGTTGCTCGTGGGAAGGGGAGTGCGAGATGATGCGTATTGGTCACCTGTCAGTGCAGGGATGACGTGGACGTGGATGTGCTTCTTGTAGATCAATTTTCCGCGCTGATTTGGAATGCTAATGGGTGCGATGAATGCGGGGGTCTTGTCGGCAGTGAAGCTGTGGCGCCAGAAGAAAAGACAAGGGTGCTTCACTAGGAACCTTGAGTAGAATGAGCTCCCTCTTGCTGGTCATCAGCTCGTTGGTGCAATGCGGTCCAGACGTTGCCAGCTCTCCTGCGAAGCTCAACGGGAACCAAGACCGGCCACCTCACAGGACAAGTCAGACCGCAGGTTGCACAGTGTGCCTTTCGGAGGTCTATCACGAGGAAAGTGAAGCTGGTGAGAGCTCGATAACAGGCCAGGTGCGGCTCTGATCAGCCAATCGCTGTCCTTGGCGTGAGTGATCAGTCGATTCCATCTTATGATACCCGTAGGCGCCGGACGACACGCGCGCAGGAACGCGTCTCGCTCTCGAGCGCAGCAGGGCAATCCAATCGAGACCTCCATCCGAAGTTGCCTTCCCTCTTTCCAACCAAACGGACGCGCCGATTCGTTCCATCATTTGGTCTGACATACCGACCATATCATCTTCATCACACGACCGGTCGTCCTCTTCTTCCTGCTACAGCTCCCCTCGATACCCATTTGCGCGCATCACCCCACAAAAGACGCGATCTGACTTTACCTTGCAGCGCTGCAACGACACGACGATGAACTTCAGCGCGAATGAGAAGGTCCTCTGTTATCATGGGCCTCTCATCTACCAAGCCAAGGTGTGTGCTCAGCGCAGTCGTCGTACGCTTGTGAGCCACTCCTGTGAGCCACTCCTGACTCTCAGCGACCTCTCTTCCCCTCTCGTCTAGGTCCTCGAAGCCGAAATCTGGACAGGCGTAGACCCGTCAGAAGGCGGCTACACTGGGCCGCACTACTTTGTCCACTACCAGGGATGGAAGCAATCGTGAGGACCCTCAGCTGCGCATTCCTTCCAATGTTGCTTCGCAGCTGACTCCTCGTCTCTCACCCCGTACTCGCTCATAGCTGGGACGAATGGGTCCCAGAGTCGCGCATGCTCAAGCTCAACGACGAGAACATCGCTCGTCAGAAAGCTCTCGTCGCCGCTGCCAAACAGAAGTCAGATGCAGCAAAAGAATCGTCCGCCTCGTCTTCAGCAGCCGCAGCCTCCTCGAGCAAAGCAGGCTCCTCTTCCACCTCTGCCGCCTCCCGCTCCCGCCCACGGGACTCGGACGAGTCCTCCTCCAAGCGTCGCAATGCTACAGGCGGCGCTGCTGGAGGGGATGCGCGAGGAGCAAAGAGGGCTCGAGGCGGGGCAGGAAGTGCGGATCTGGCAAATGGAGCAGGGGGAGGAGCTGCTGGAGCGCTGGACGATGAGTACTTGAGGAAGCCGGAGATCAAGATTGTCATCCCGGATAGCCTCAAGGTGCAGCTTGTCGATGATTGGGAGAATGTGACGAAGAAGAACATGTGAGTGCGGCGAGGCTGCAACAAGAGTGACATGGGAGCACGACACGCTGATCAATGATCCTCCCTCGCTGCTCTCGTAGGCTCGTCCAGCTGCCGAAGAAGCCGAACGTACGTGAGGTCCTCAAGCTTTACCGCGACAATGTGGTGCAGAGAAAAAAGGCGGCGAAAACTGGCGGGTCTAGCAGCAGTAACAGCGCAGGAGGAGGCGTAGCGCAGAGCACGCCTCTTGCCGTCGTGGACGAGGTGTTGCAGGGGTTGGAGGTCTACTTCGACAAGAGCCTGGGCAACAACTTGCTCTACCGCTTTGAGAGGCAGCAGTTCCTCAAGCACAAGAAAGGGGGGGCAGGGGCAGCGGGAGCAGCGGCGGGGGCAACGGCGGACAAGAGCGCTGCGGCGGATGATCGTCAGCCCAGCGAGATCTACGGCGCTGAGCATCTGCTGCGACTCTTTGGTGAGTAAGCAGGCGCATTGCGAATAAGCGCAAACCTTCTTGATCGCTGACGCTGCCATCCTTCGCGCACCAGTGAACCTTCCCTCGATCATCGCACACACGACGATGGATAGCGAGTCGGTAGGCATCCTACGAGAGCACCTCGATGACTTCCTCGCCTTCATGGTCAAGGAGAAACCCAAGCTCTTCGGAAAATACTACATCGAGACGAGCCCGGAGTATTCGAGGCTTAGTGGGATCTGAGAGGTCGGCTGAGTTGGACATGCAGCGGGCCCAGGGAGGACGGCAGGTCAATCAGGAGGCAACCTCACATCTTTTCCCTCTTTGTGCTACTCTATCCTATTGCCCATCTTCTGCCCCTCTCGATCAATCGTCAAAGTCCAACTGCCCTGTCTCAACCAACTCGTGCAGAAAGGTACACAGCGAGAACACTGGCAGGCCTACGACATTGTTCCAGTCTCCCTCTATCCTCTTGACTAGGAGCCCGCCCTTGCCCTGAATGGCAAAGCCACCTGCGCGATCCATGCCTTCGCCGCTGGCAATGTAGGCTTCCAGGATCTCCGGCGGCGAGTCTGCAAATTGGACGTCAGTCGTCTCTGACAGGGAGTGGAGCTGGTAGCCGGGGGAGGTGAGCGTGGGTAGGACAAGGGCGATTCCGGTTACAACTTGGCACTTTGGGCGCGAGATGAAAGGGCGACGCGAGTGGTAGTCAGCACGGTCCACAGTTCAGCAGCGCATCTGCATTGTATCTCTGCTGGACTCACCTCTCCACCATTGAGATCCCCCAGCATCCTGACATGATCTGCCTTGTCTGCCGGCTTCTCCATGATCTCCCCATCCTTCACCACGACCGTATCCGCCGCCAGCACCATATCTGGCGGCCTTTCAGCGTCGGGATCCTCCTTCAGCAATCGCTGATACACTTCCAGCGCCTTGTGCGCAGCCGTCTCGGCTGGATATTGGATCGCCTTCTCTCCCGCGAAGGAAGACTTGGGTAGGTCTTCCTCAAAGGTCGAAGGGATGATCTCCGGGTGAATGCCGACTGATGCTAGGATTTCCTTGCGACGTGGACTAGAGCTAGCTAGAATGACGCGACGTCCACGTAGCTTGTCGAGTGCTGGGATGCGCAGGGCATCATCGGAGATACATGATGTAGATGCCTTTTGTGGAGCCATGATTGGTGGGGAGATGGGAGCAGGAAGGAGTCAAGTTAGCTGCGTCTCGACGAGTGGAGCTCGACCTGCCGCGCCTCTTCCCCACATGGCACGCGGAAAGGGAGCACGACGCGTCTCGACTTGAGTCCTGGTCCGTCCGACAGCGAAAGCTCAGCTCTTCACTTCCACCTTCCAATTTGACCATCACTCCACCTCCTGTCGAGCTCACGTCATCGCGACGATGGAGCCAATGGTTCCTTTTATCAATTCAGCCTCCATCACTCCAATCACCCCTAGCGTCGAGTCCAATGCTTTCTTCAATGCAGGCGCGACCGGGGACAGCGCTATGCCCGGCACGTCTACCACCGATGCGACCTCGCCTTCGCACACGCCTGCGCCCAAGGACGCGAACGTGGATGCTCAACAGGGGCTAGCAGGACAAACAGGAAGTAGCCTCGTCGAGACATCAGCTTCAAAGGCTAGCGAGCGAGCATCGCCGGCCGCGACACCAAGCGCCGCCTCACCGCCACCAGCGGCTCGACCTGTCGCACCTGGCTATATGCAGGGCTCAGCAGCCTCTCCCAACCAGATGCCTCCTCCTAGCACCGCCTCTAGCTCCACAACCTCTACTAGTCGCAACGCAAGGTCACCCTCGGCTGCTGAGCAGAGGTACACCACCACCGGGCGCCCCGCGCGCCGAGCGGCCGTCGCGAACAGTAATATCTCGTACCAGCCGGAGTGCGACAAGATGGGCAATCCTCTCAACAAGAAGAGAAAAACAAAGGATCACCACGGCGACACAGAAAGGAGCCACAGCACCAGCAGAAGCAAAAGTCGAGACAAGCGTGATGGCAGCGAAGCTCGCGCAAGTGAGGAGCCGAAGAGCGCTCGAGCGGCAAGCAGCAGCAGCAATCGCGGCACGCCAGGGCGTCCGTCAGTGGAGAGGGCCTCATCTGCAGCTGGCTCCAGCACGTCAGCACTAGCACCCCTAGCACCAGCAGCAACGACGCGTAGTGGCCGAGCCGTACAGAAACCGCGCAACCCTCACCGATCCAGTGACAGCCATGCCAGAGCTAACGCGAGGGCAAGGGAAAGAGAGAGGCAGGCGCGTGCGTTGAGGGGGTCGGACTCGGAGTCGGACTCAGATGAGGAGGACGCAGGTGAGAATGAGACCGACGAGGAGCGAGAGGATGAGGATAAGGAGCGGTTGAGCAGCAAGAAGTCAGCCTCCGCAGAGGGCAGCAAAGCAGCACGCAAGCTCAAAGAAGATGCGGCCGAAGAGTCATCTTCCTCCAAAGAGAGCATCAACCCTGTTGCTGAAGGCCATAGCCGCGAAAAGGAGGACGGCGACGAGCTTGATCTGCTTCAGAGCGGCAACCAGGTTGAGGACGACGGCGATGAAGAAGACGCAGTCGTAGGGCCGCGTCGTCGCCAGACCTCAAATCAGCCCAAGAAACAGAAGCGCTCAGCAGGGCCATCGAGTAGCATATCCGTCGTTATCCCACCTCTGCCGACTGCGCCCACCAGCTCGAAGAAGAAGCGCAAGTCGACGCAGACTGAGGATGAAGGAGAAGAGGCGGAGACAAGGGAGCAATCAAGCTCGAAGACGACCAAAGGTAAAGCGAAGAAATCAGCACCGCGTAAAGGTCACGCCTCAGCGAAGAGCGATGTGTCAGTCGATGTTGATGAGGAGGAGCTGGAAGCCAGTCGCGAGGACGAGGCTATCCTCTCGATGCACAGCGAGAAGGAGAAGGCTCGTGAGCCCTCTGAGACATTCACGACGCCAACGCCTGAGCCGCCGAACAAGCAGACGAGCAAGAGCAAGAAGAGAAAGAGCGACGAGCAAAGCGCAAAGTCGCTCAGCCCGCAGAAGAGCAGCAGAGTCAGCGAGGCGAGCCCTGACAAGAGCACTAGGGCGGGCCCGCAATCCCCGAATGCGAACAAGGAGAATGAGGCCTCAGGCCCCTTCGAGGACGATGAGAGCGAAGAATCCCGCAGTAGCAAGTCTCCTCGAAAGGAACAGAGTTCGGCAATCACTCGCTCCATCCCCGCTATCGAGGCGAAACGCTCCGCCTCCGCGACATCGACCTCCTCTACCAGCTCATCAGACGAAGCACGCCGCAGCTTTGCGGGTAAAGCTCTCTCCTTCCTCCTGGGCTCAGCAACGCATCGTCGTCCAGGGCTCGGTCGCAAGTCATTTATACCCCCTCTTCACCCCAATCGCAAGCCTGCACCACCTCCTCGTCCTCCCCCGCCCATGTCTCGTAAGGAGAAGGACGCGCTGCGTAAGGAGCAGGAGGGGCGCGAGGCGGACGTGACTGATAGTGATGAGGATGACGAAGACAAGCCAAAGTACAATCCGTTCGAGGAGGAGATCGAGGGGTACTGAGGGTGTCAGGCCCCGCGAACGACGCACTGCACGACCTCACCTCCCGCCGCGCTGTGTTTCCCCTACTCTTGCTCTTCTCCACTACACCGCGTGTCACCTACCCCACCCCGTCAATAGCTCGTCACCTCAGCTCATCTCGCCTAGACGGTAATGTCATCACAATCTCCCCTCCATGATTGCAGCGAGAAGCCCGCATAGCATCCGAGTTGGCAATGCGGCCCGCCCATTGACCCACTGCCACAAGTCAAATGAGGGCGAGATGGCATCCTCGGATGTTCTCTGTTGCTCCCACGACTTGCGATCGTCGGTGCCTGATCAATGAGCACGGCGCCGCGAGGCCGCCTCAATCAATCAGATCGCCCCTGCCCGTCCGAGCTTGGAGGTGAGAGTGCATCTGATCTTACTGACTCCAACTTACCCTCTCAGCGGGAGGCGACAAATGGGTGGCTCGAGCCGTCACTCCGTCGCTGTTGACGGTCATGCTCGCCACGTGGAGCGGCGCTGCGTTGCCGTGCTCAGTCAATTCAGCTGACCGAGTGCGGCGATTTTTTGTCTGCCATCGAGACATGCAGCGACGCATGGCGGTCGTAAGCAAACTGCTGTGGCTTGCGGATCGGTGTGACGACGGAAGACCAAGCCCGCCGGCGGACGTGAGAGAGAGAGAGTGGAGCGTCAGCGAAGTGAAGTTGCTTGAGACGATGACAGGCTCGCAACTAATAAAGCCCCGATGCGAGCGAGTGAGCACCGAATCTTGTTCTAACATTGTGGTTTGTTTCATCTCTCCCTTCTCTTTTCTCGCCGCTCGTCATCAGCAGCATGTCCAACGCTTCGGACCATACCGCCAACGGCGACGTCGAGAAGAAGCCGTCCGCCAGCCCAGCGCCGTTTGTTGGCTTCTGGTCGAAAGATGTGGCCCAGCAGAGGAAGGCGTATCTAATCGGCATGGCCAAGGTTACGTTCATGGTAACATTGATGGTGTGGTCTGCAATGGCTCTCTACTGGGTGAGTTGTCCGCAGCGCCGAAGTTATGAATGAGCAAGTCGAACAGTAGCTGACGCGTACGTCTCCATCACTCTTGCAGGGCTCGCTATATCGCGAGCTGATTGAGACGCCCAAGCTCCACGGCTGGATCATCAACCGTGACCCTAATGGCGTCATCGGACAAAACATCTCCGCCGCAGTCGAGGCCATCTCGAACAGCCCCTCGCGGAGCCACATAACCTGGGACCCTATCCCAGCCAACATGTACACAGACGCGCAGATCGACAATGAGATCGCCGTCCAAGAGTCATCTTGGGCTGCACTGATCATCGAGACGGATGCGACTGCCCGCCTCACTCAAGCTCGCAACACTGGGGACGCTTCGTTCAACCCCATGTCGCTCCTTACACTTGTCTACTCCGAGTCGCGCAACCAGCAAGCCGTGCCCGGCATCATTGTCAGCGGCATCACCAACCAGCTGCAGCCTACCTTGGCTTCAATTAGTGCTACCTTGGCTGCGCAGTACATTTCGCAGAACATTGGCAATCAAGCGGCGCTGCAGAATGTTGTCAATGCTCCGAGAACGATCTCCAACTCGATTGTGATTGCGAACCGCAATTTGAGGCCGTACGACGCGAACAAGTACAATGGCGCCATTCTAGCTGCGACGTACGTCGGTCTCATTTACCTGACGATTCTCGCCTTCAACATAGTCATGGGCAACCTGGGCATGCGTCAAACTATCCAACGTCGTCTCAAGCTTTCGTCCCTGATCGGCATGCGCATCCTCGTGCCTGTTGCCATCTACTTTTGGCTTTCCCTCATGTTCACGCTGCTGCAAGCCGCCTTCCACCTCGACTTCGACGGCTGGGGGCTAGGATATGGAGCTGGATTTATGACCTTCTGGATGGTGGCCTGGAGCTCCATGTCTGCTCTTGGTCTCACGCTGGAGTGCATCCTCAGCTTGGTCGGCCCTCAGTTCATTGCCTTTGGCCTCGTCGTCGTGATCATCATCAATGTTTCTGGAGCCCTCATTCCGCTGGAGCTCTCTCCAAGCTTCTACCTCTACAACAGGGCCATGGTCTTCTACAACACGAAGCAGTGCTTCTTGACCATCTTCACCAATGCCGGGCGACACCTCGTCATCCTCAAGGCAGTGGGCATCATCTGGGCTTGGGTCGCCGTCATGGTGCTGACGTTCCCGATCTGGATTTGGCTCGAGAGGAGGAGACAACTGAAGGAGGCCAAGAGTGCCGGCGGCCCTCAGGGAAGTGGCAAGCAGGCAGATGAGAAGGAGACGCCATCAGAAAGCAACCAGTCGTAATGCTGGGCACGAACCTGGCCATTGCAAGCCCTCCGTTTTTCTCCGCGATTCTGTAGATACCGACGATCCTCGGGAGCGTTTTTCATGCTGAATGTATAATGACATCCATTCAATACTAATTCGATGACAGCATCGACCCTTCTGCGCTCAAAGCTTAGCCTTTGCCTGATCCCCAAAGTCGCCCCAACCGCGCTGAACAGCAATCTTGAGCAGCTCGTCCCTCAAGATCTTCTTGTCAATCTTACCCGCCGGGATCTTTGGCAGCGGCTCGTCCCTCAGCACGATGAACTCAGGCACCTCATGTTTTGGGAGCACCTTCCTTGCCGCCGCCTTGATCTCTTCCTCGCTCAAATCCTCTGCCTTGATCCCATCGCGAGGCACGACGAAAGCAGCAACGCGCTCGCCGAGTGCCTTGTCGGGCAGTGCTACGGCTGCCACTTCGAGGACCTTCGGGTGTGAATAGACCCCGTTCTCAACCACGACCGTAGTGATGTTCTCGCCGCCACGGATGATGATATCCTTGATGCGGTCGGAGATGAACAGGAGACCATGCTCTTTGTGGATGTAGCCCATGTCACCGGTCCTGTAGAAGCCATCTGGCAGGAATGTCTCGGCATTGGCCTGAGGGCGATTCCAGTAGCCGGTCGCGACGCCTGAGCTGCGGATCCAGATCTCGCCCTTATCACCCTTGGGTACTTCAGTGAGCGTGTTCGGGTCGACAATCTTGATGTCAGTAGTGGGCGGCCAGGCGCCGACGGAGTCTGGGAAGTTCATGTAATCGTCTGCCAAAATCGTGGAGGACAGAGTCAGCCAAGAGCACACGAGGGAAGTAGCACTGATCCTGACTGACCTTGGTAGTTGCCCGTCGCAAGACTGTTCGTCTCCGTCGCGCCATAACCGCTGCCGATGCTGCCACCCTGATTGCCCAGCTTCTTATCTGACTCTGCCGCAAGCTCTCTCGAGGCTGCAGATCCTCCATGTGTAATCGATCCCATGGAGGGCATCTCTGCCGGATGCAGAGCAATCTGTCTACATTGATGGGCCACGCCGGCGAACTTGTTTGCCTTGTGCTTGTTGATCAGCTCGACTGCGTCATCGACGTTCCAGGAGTGCATTAGGAGCAGTTTGGATCCTTGGGCTGCGCCCAATACGGCGTGACTCAACATTCCAGCGACCTGCAGAGACAGAATGACGTGGGTGGTCAGTACGTAGTGCTGCGTCCCATTTTCGCGACCTCGTCCGCCTCACATGGAAGAGAGGGTAGGCCACGACTGCTATGCTCGGATCAGGGTTCTTTGTCGAGTCGGGGATCGGTCGATAACGTCGCAAGAAGACCCTGGCACCGATCCACCATGCGGCGCCGACACCGTGAATGCTTTGTCGGTGAGTTGAAACAACGCCCTGTCGATTATAAATGTGGATACAGGATCAGCGTACTGATCACAAGGTCGACGCGCTCGCTCGTACGAACCTTTGGCTTGCCCGTCGTCCCACTGGTGAAGAAGATGTGAGCATAGTCCTCTGGCAAGAGTTTCAGAGCCGGTGCCTTGGCGGGGCACGTAGCTTTCCACTTCTCGCCCAGCTCCTCCCAGCCGTGCACGAAGCCATCCGACTCGCTCGAGAGGAACGATCGTTGTGACTTTGGCAGCTTGCCCTTGCCCTTGCCCTTGGCGTACGGTAGCACGACGAGGCCGCGGAGGGTGTCCCCCTCCTTATTTGCTTTGGCCTCGTTGACTCGCAGCTGCTCCACTACGGGCTGAATTCGCTCCAGCCTCTCAAGGTCGCAGATAACGACGCGGCAGCCTACATCGTTGATGCAGAAGGCCAGCGTGCTCGTCTCACTGAAGGCGTTGAGGGCCGTAGCTACCGCACCAATCAGTTGACAAGCCCAGAAGGAGACCATGAACTCGGTGTAATTCCTCATTGCAATACCTACCTGTCGACCAGCAAGCAGGGATGGTTAGTAGCCGGACGGGATCAATTCATCCATGGCCTCGGGCGCGCTCACCCTATCACCGCGGCGAACCTGGAATTGGCTTGCGAGCCAATGAGCTACCAAGAGGGACTGCTCGAAGGCTTGCTTGTAGGTCAGAGTGTCATCTCCGTAGACGAGGTACTCCTTCTCAGCGAAGGCAGCTGCGCTCGCAATCCACATATCGCGGTAGTTGGCTGGCAGATTCTTCCAGCACTTGACCATTCGGCCATTGATGACCTTCTCCTCCCACTCGAAAGGCGATCCTTTGAACTGAAGCATTCGATTGATTTCCTCTGTGGGTCTGAGCTTGTCCATAGGAAGGGCCGCCGGGTCTCCCCACGATTCCTTCCACCATGCTGATGGGGCCATGATTGACTAGCTAGCTACGCGGCAGTAAGGCGATGCGAGACGAGGCGAGACGATACGGGCAGGGATAGATGATGAGGGAGTGACAAGAAGAGAGGCGACCCCGGATATCTTGCGCGCAAGCCCACCTCGCGCACCTCTTGACCCTGGCCCGGCTCAAATGTGGCCATCTAACCTTTCCCCAGACCCGGCGGGGAGAAAAGCAAGCAACCATCGGCCCGGGGTCCGGGATTCCCACAGCCTGCTGCGAGCGGTCAATGAAATCTCGCCGTACCGACCGTGGGCCACGCGACAACGGCAATGACGGCGACGACCACGGGCTGCCGCTCTGGGCTGCGACGAGGGCTGCTAAACTGCGAGTCCGCCCTTGCCGCTGACTCTCGGCAGCCCAGACTACCCCGCACTAGGAATGCTCAAGCCTTGCTTGGCTGCTTGCTTGGACGCTGTGCATGCTGCCGCCCGCCCCTGTACCAAGACGTCACAGTCGCAAGTCACACCACATCCGGGGGGCCTAGAAAACAGCCAAAAGAACAATTGCAAACGCTGCACTCTTCTGAGGATCGCAACGCAAGAATCACATCGCTCGTCGGCCGAAATGGCCCTTCGATGGTAGGCTTCTAAAGGCCCCTGATGCATGCCCGGAGCTATTCATGGACTGCCGCTCGCTTATGTCAGCTTCTCAATCAGCTTCCGAATGACTTAAGACGAGGCGCGAGCCCAGCCACTGTCGGTCACTTGCTTTCCGTCCTGTCTTTCTTTAGCTCTTTGCAACTCATCCCTCTTGTTGCCCTCCTAGCCTCTCAACATTTCACCTCTCATCGCAACGCTTACTGCGCCTCCTTCTCACTCCATCTCATTCATTCCAAACCATGCTCGCCAGCCTCCTTCCGCTCCTCGCGAGCGCCGCCACCTTCGGCTTCGTCGCAGCTCAATATCAAGACCCGTCCTCGGAGCTCGTCCTTGACTCACCCGCCTGTGGCTTCTACCGCTGCGCTGTCACTTGGAAGCACGGCGACAAGGTCGACATCAACTGGCAGAACGCGCCCGCAGGCATGGTCAACCTCGTCCTCATGACCAATGACAACAGCGAAGTCGCGTACCAGATCGCAAACGTCTCTTCGCCTAGTCAACCGGGCTACTGCGATGCAGGCAATGGTGTGGGCACCGTTGTGCCCGGCAAGGAGTGTGGGCGCTTCGAATTCATTGTGCCCACTGAGTGGACCACAGGCAGGAATTGTGAGAGCGCCGCAAGAAGCTGCATCTGGAATAGTTCTGCTCCTCTACTGACGCTCCCTCTCATGCTTCACTCCGCCCGCCTCGCAGACAGCGTTCGTGCCCAACTCACCAACAATACATCCATCGAGTCATACACGGATGTTGTCCAGATCCAAGCCGCTGAGGGCAACCCAGAGCCAAGCATCGCATTCAGCGCCGCCCCCATCTCTGGCGCGCCCACCTCCACGGCCGAAGGCAGCGTAGCCTCCTCGCAGACTGCAACCGTCACAGCGCCCGTCAGTCCAGGGGCGTCTACGCCCGCCGCAGCCTCATCAAGCGGAGCTGCTGGTGGCTCCTCGGCGTCGTCTGGTGGGGCGCAAGGCTCCTCGGCTTCTTCACCATCTCCCTCCGGCTCGGCAGCCAAGGGTGGGGCTAGCAACGGGGCAACTGGCATTCCCTTCCCTCTCCTCACAGGCTCAATGCTCGGTCTCTTCTCCGCCTTCGCCGCCGCTACCATGATGTGAAGGGCGCCAGACAGCAGCAACAGTCTCACACTCGCAACCGGATCCCTTTCGGGTCGAATATCTTAGATCAATAGCAAGGCATCGAGCACATCCTCTGCCATCTGCCAACATACCACGACGAACACTTTCCTCCACAGCTCTGGCCACCCACTGCACTGTCCTCTCCCATCAATCAATCTTCTCTCATTTCAAGATCGATCCCCTTCTCCTTGTCCACCGGCGTGATTTGCGTGCTTGATGCGGGTGTCGTGGCAACGGTGGATGGGGTCGATTCAGCTCGCTGCGAGCTGATTGTTGGCAAAGTCATGCTGGAGCTTGATGCTGCTCTCTGCGCGCTACTGGTCGGAGTGGGTAGGTGCTGCGACAATGGACTAGTAGAGCTGGAGGCTGCCGAATCTACGAGTCCAAAACGTCGGGCTGGAAGACTTTCGTGGGGCCGAGTGGCTCTTGCGATCCTTGCAACCGGGCTGGAGCTACGTCGCACAGTGTGCCTGTGAGAGGAATGGACAGGCCGGAGCATGGGGAGATGGTCATCGTCGTCTGGAATGGTCGTATTGCCTTCTCCGGCGCCACCACGGAACATGGAGAACCCCGTTGGCCAGTCCGGGCTTCCAGCGGCTTGTCTCTGCCCAATGAATGCTACATCGGAATCGTCGTTCGAGCTGGCTTCTTTGATGGGCTGACCCGACGAGGATAGCCTTGGCCGAGAGGAGGAAGATGCGCATGGATCACTGCTTCTCCCCTGGCTAGGACGAGACGTGCTGGCCGTTGATGATGAGGAAGACGAGGGCCAGCCAGACTCGGGTTCATCACGCTTCCTCTTTGGCGTGTAGCGCCTGGCGATGAACTGCATGTCTTCACCGTCTGAGATCTCCTGCGGCGTATGGTCGATGATCGGCCTGCGGCGAGCTGATTTGCTCTTCGTCTTTGGAGCACGTTGAGGCATGGTTGAGCATGGGCATAATTGAGAGGAGAAAGTCCCGTACTGATCAGGTGGGGGCGTTACCCTTCAAAGCCTCGCTGGCACTCATCGCCGCGATGATGAGCCGTAATCATCTGCCGCGCGAGGTCTGTGAGTATCGAGCCGGGCCGGCGTGCTCCAGCTTCTTCAAGAGCATGATTGATAGGGAGATTGTACCTGAGCATGCGCTTTGTCTCTTAAATGATAGGCCCATAATAGATTTGCAAGGATGCCAGCCTCGTGCTCGACAAATATCAGCGACTGAGCAATGATGCGGAGATGGAATGACGAGCACGAGGGTCGGGCCCGCAGACGGCTGGCTAGTCTACGGTCTGGTCCTTGTCCTTGTCCTCTGAGCTCGACGCGTGCACGGGCCCCGACTTTGTCCCTTTCCGTCCCTCTGGCTGTCCCCGCTTTGTCTCGCTCCTCCGACGTCGAAGTGTGCTCTCAGAGGTCAGAGCCCTCGTTGGCGGAGCAACGGGGGTCATGACGGCCCAAAGCGGACCAGATTAGTCTTACCTTCCGTTGTGACCGTCACATAGATCTCTTTCTCATCGAAGGCGTCATTCAACATGGCCGCCGACGAGGATATTGCCAAGCTGATGGCAAAGGTGAGTGAGCCTCGATTGTCAAGGCGACGTGCGACTCAATATTGACTGGGCCGCTCTCTCGCTGCCCAGGGCGCCTCCATCGAGACGGCCGTCGCTGCTCTCGAGGCGACGGGCTCTTATCACGATGCTGCCGAAGGTGAGCGCCGTCCACATCGACCCACGGCCGTGTTTGACAGCTGACCACGGTCATCCTTGATAGCCATCGCCGCGGGCATCTTTGGCCCTGTTGCAGTCCCTCCCAGGACCTCGAAGAGGAATTGCAGGGACGACGACAATGAAGACGAAGACGATCACGAGTCGGAGGGCGGTAGCGTGGGCGGCGTCAGCGACGCAATCATCATATCAGACGATGAAGATGGAGACAACGGCGGCGACAGGGCCACAGGCATGGCCGATCAAGACCCATACAGCAGCATCAACATGAAGAAGAACCGCAAGGAGAAGGTCATCGAGTCCATCATGCCGGCAAAGACGCTCACCATCCAGGCCAAAGAGACTCCGGAACAGAAGTGAGCAGACGAAGGCTTGCATGCAGGACCGATAGCTCGACTGACGCTCACAAACATCTCGCAGGAGATTGACACCCATCGAGTGCCAGGAGCTGACCGCCAACGACTGGCAGCGGGGAGTGGGACACGGTAGCGAGCAGAATGTGAGACAAGCAGCTCTCGCTCACCTCCTGGACCACGCTCACTTTACCTCGCTTTCCCCGCCGACCTACGCAGTTCCTCTTCGACGTCTACAAGCACCTCGTCTACGACGACGTCACCTGCCCCAAGCCATCGTGTCGCAAGGCTTATCCTCGCTCCGGCAAGGAGTTTCTGATCCTCTTTCCCACCTTGGCCTCATTCCTCGACCACGTCCAGCGCAACCTGCCCAAACAATGCACCAAGTGCCGTACTACCTTTTGCCTCGCCTGCGGCGGTGACTGGAGCGAGCATGTAAAAGCGGCCAAAGAGGCAGCAACAAAGACGCAAACGACGAGCCGCTCTCATCAAGCTTCAGCGACGAACGGTGACTGCGCAGACAAGGCTTCGGCTACACCCAACGCCTCTTGGACGCTGCTTCACTGCCCACTGTCATCCTCTATGGTCCTCGGCGTTGGTCTCGCTCACGTCGAGCGTCTCTTGAATCCTGACGAGCCGACCAGCAAGGAATCGCGCGAGGATGGAGACGCCCGTAAACGGCGTAAGGTCGGGGACGGACACTCTACATCGGCTACGCCCAGCTCTGCCACCACGGCTGTCACCGGCGCTGCATCAGCCGCCAACCCTTTTGGATACTACGACGATTACTATTCACCTCCTCAGCCCGGATCCAAGGCTGCAGCTGCAGGTACCGGCTACGGCGGCGGCGGTCGAGGAGGAGCAGAAGACGATTACTCGTGGCAGAATGCCGCGCAGCAGCAACAGCTGCAACGCGATGAATCCATCCGAACTTGTCTCCTCCAGCTGCGAGCATATCTACCCGACGAAAGGCGCGAGTGGGTACACTTTGACGGCAAGGACTTCTTGACGGGGCCAGTCTGCCTCGACCACCTTCCTGACCTCTCCAACCTCGCCCACCTCCGTCGCCGCTTCCTGCCCATCGCGAGCACCCTCCTGTCCACGCGATCGATCATGGACGTCACGGAGCGCCTACCTCTCTTCGAAGAGCTCATGACTTGGATGCGTATGCTGAGCCGCCACATCGCCACAGCTCCCCTCGTAGCTCAGCCTATTATGCGGCTACAGCGCACCGAGATTCACGGCAAAGAGCAACACAACATCTACGAAGGGTCCCCTGGGCCTCGTGAGCTCGCTCAGGCTGTCTACGACCAAGCTCAAGTACTCGTCAAGAACATCACCAAGTCGGATCCACCCGAGCCCAACAACCCGTCAAGCAACACGAGGGGCGCAACAAGTCCAGTAAAGAAGACGTCTGCTGTCGACGAGAGGACGGAGGAAGCAAGACGAACGCTCGCCCTATGCTGCTCCATCATCGCAGATGTGGATGCCATCGATCGCTCTCTTATCGAGATCAAGGGCAAAGGCTTCCTGGCACGCTTTCTCAGCGAGATCAGGGGTGGAGCAGTGGAGCTGCGCGACGACGATTGGGACGAGGATGCCAACAAAGTCGAGCGCCAGCTGAGCGAAGATGAGATGAAGGACAAATATCAGACGTGGGCAAGGCGGCTCATCTACCAAGAAGCGGACATGATCAGCAAGGTCACGGGCACATCAGGCTCCAAAAGCACGACATGGGCTCACACATACGCTCAGGAGATCGAATTGACGCGCGACCTTGCCGACTCAAAGCGCAATCTCATCATCGCAAAGGAGCTGGCCGGACTGGGTGAGCCAAAGAGTGCGGGGATGGTAGCATGAACACAAAAATGACTGACGACCCCCCTTCATCTGCTCGCACTAAATCAGGCCCCTCCCTGCCTGCGGACTGGCATTGCGCCATCTTCGTCCGCGTAGCTGAAGCTCGCCTCGACGTCCTTCGCGCCTGCCTGAGCGGCCCTCCCTCCTCACCATACGCCAACGGCCTCTTCAACTTCGATGTTTTTCTTCCGCGCGAATACAATCAGCAACCTCCCAAGGTTACGATCTTGACAACAGACGGCGGCGCGGTCCGCTTCGGTCCCAACCTCTATGCGCAAGGCAAGGTCTGCCTGTCGCTCCTGGGCACTTGGCCCGGTCCTGGCTGGAGCCCGGGCCGCTCTACCCTATTGCAGGTGCTGCTGTCCCTCTCTTCACTCGTCATGGCTGAGGAGGAGCCTGCGGTCAATGAGCCCGGCTGGGAGAATTGGCGCGGTACAGATCGGTCGATGCACTACACGAAGAATTTGCGACGACAGACTGTCAGGCATGCCATGCTGCGAACGCTGCAGAACCCGCCTGAGCCCTGGGAGGAGGTCGTCAAGGGGCACTTCAGACAGAAGCGCGGCGTCATTGTTAAGCAGCTCGACGACTGGTTGAAGGAGGACGACGGTTACCCGTGAGTGGGGCGACGAGCAGGACAGAGCCAAAAGGGGGCTTCGAGCACTAACCTTCTCTTCTCTCCCGCCGCTTTTTGCAGCACGGTCGGCGACGGCGCTTCAGTCTCGTACGGCTACACGCAGAGGCCATTCAACGACAACGGCTTTGCCAAGGACGTCGACAGCCTGAAGAAGCTCCTCGATGAGCTCTGAACAGACGGAGATCTCTCCGGACGACTCAAGAATCACTCAAGACTCACTGTATCACTTATTCATCTCTCTATACTCATCACCACCAGCAGCAACAACCTCTGACGACTTCAGCCCAGATCAAGCCTCCATTCACCATTTTGACACCTTCACACCACCGCCAAAGCTTCAAGCGCCTCAAGCTCGATTAGGCAAGCTCACCAATCGAACTCGTCGTCAACATCAGCATTTCAGAGTTCTCGCTCCCTACTTCAGACGTTTTGTCAAAAATTGGCCTCTCATAATCTTTCTCATTACATCGCGACATCCGCGCCGGTCCTCATACCTCGCGAACACCAGACGCTTCAATCTCTACTCTTCTCGCCACGATCATATCATCACGTCACCAATCTAATCACAGTCGATACCTCGTCGAGCCTGAGCGCGAAGTCTGACCTGCATTTTTCTTCGCGACAGCCCGCTGCGCGATCTAGCAGTACGTTGGCCTGCTGACTCTATGATAATCCAGGAGCTGCTCCGCACTCGGGTACGCGACGTGGAGCTCGACCTCGAGCTCGGGAAGGCTGGTGACCGTCTCGTCGTAACGTCCACCGGAGTCTTGGACGTCTTCCCCGCGCAGCATGATGCCACCCTCCGGTTGCCACCCTGCAGCCTCTTCCTCCACGTCCGTATCCCTAAGCGCGAGCTCCCGTAGAGCGACTTCGGCGCTCCTCTCCCCATTTGCCTTGGCTGCGCTGACCTTCTCCCTCTCCTTCTGTCGCCTCACGTGCTCCAGAAATTTGACGATGCGCAAATGCATTGTCTCTAGCCTGGCTTCCAAACCGCCGTAGCGCAAGTCGAGCCCTTCCCACCCAAAGGGCCGATACATGCTCATCCATAGCTGGCGATGATAGTCGTGCAGTTGCTTAATGGTAGCCCTCAAATCTCCAAGTAGACTCTCCGTCTCATCCACCCTACTCCCCTTGCCTGCTAGCAACTCCATCTGATCCCAATCCTTTTCTTTGTACGCTAGACTCAATCGCTCCCTCAATCTCGCCTTCATAGACAAAGCTCGGGCGATCAAAGCTGGAAATCGTAGCCGAGCGTTCAGAGGATGGTCGAGGATGCTCCGTGGTGGGTGATCGGGCGGGTCCGGGGCGCCTTGGAAGGGTTGGGTTGAGAGTCGCGTGTCGAGAAATATGGAGAGCTGTTGGTAATGGTGCTCGAGGTCGAGCCCGGAGGCGGAGATGGTGGGAGTGACGAAGCCGAAGAAGGGTCTGCATGACGAGGGAATATGTGAGTAAGCAGCTGCGCGACCTGAGTATGGAGCAGTGACACTCACTCTTCCCAAAGCATCCACTTGGAAGTGTTAGGACTAAAGTGAACTCGGTCGTCCATCGTTTGAGACTCTGGACTGGGATCGTCAAGACGCGAGGCGACGACGAAGTCATCGAAGTTGCCGCCCGTGATGCCGTCGAATTTGGCTTTCAGCAGGGGGATGTCAACCTCCTTCTCTGACGTGTAACCGTGGTCGGCATAGTACGCCCATGCGGGCAGGGAGGAGTACAGGTCGACCTCATTCCCCTCGTCACCCCATATGGTCAGAAAAACATTCCTCACCCCACTCTCCGGTCGCTTGCAAGCATTCTGACTAGCTCTGCAAGTCGCAAAAGTAAAGGGAAGAGCAGTCCAGAAGCGTGTCCACGTCCAAGAGCCAGCAGCCATCCAAGGGGCTTTGCCATCGTTGAGGAGTTTGTGCGACTCGATGCGAGCCGTGTAATTTTCCTCGCGGAGGTGATAGTAGTCCCAGTAGACAAGAGTGCATTCTGGTGGCAGGCCTGTGTGTGCAAGAGCAAGGAAGGCGGGGAAGAAGCGTGGTCAGCTCGGATGGCATGGAAGGCATGGACACTTGGTACCCACCTTGGACCGTCGGCGCGCTAGGCTGAGCCGAGTCATAGTAGCCCAGCAGTGAGTTGTTCTTCGCATTCAGACAAAAGAGCATATCGCTCCAGATCATGGGCTCCAGTCCGAGGTCGGTACAGATCTGGTTCACCCGCTGGAGATGTTCAATGAAAATGCGCGTCGGCTCTTTGTAGTTGTGCTGCCCAAAGATCTGGTGATATCGCCCGTGCCCAAGGCCGTGCGTCTCGTCTTGGCCAAGGTGGATACGCTTCGACCTGAAGGGCGCCGTTGCTGTCGAGATCATCTTGGCCAGAAGATCGTACGTCTGCGGCAGCTCAGCGAGGAGGACCTCCGTCGTGTCTCTCATGGCGAGGAAGCGCGGCCACTGCAGCACCTGGCCCAAGTGGCCGAGCGTCTGAATGCAGGGCACGCACTCGATGCCCAAACTGAAAGCGTAGTCGTCTATCTCCTTGAGTTCCTCTTGCGTATAGCCGCCGCGAAGGTAGCCGAAGAAGGGCTCCCCCTCGAGCTTATAGGTGTCCTCGGTGTAGAGTTGAAGGTGGTTATATCCCCAGAGGGCAAGCTTGCGACAGAGGTACTTGCAGCTATCCACTGTCAGCACGCCGTTGCGGCTCACGTCGATCATGGTGCCTAGCGTGTCGAATTGGGCTTGCTCGGAGACATTGAGGCCTTGCGTGGCCAGCTGAGGGTCTAATGTGTATGCTCCTGAGGAGTCTACAAGATTGCGGTGCGTCGCAAGGGCCGAGGCTGAGCTGACTGGGCGAGTGATGGAGCGAGTGAGTCCCAAGACTCGGCCCAGCCCTCTGAAAGCTTCGCAGCTGCGACCAAAGCGGATCGTGATGAGCCATGGGTCTCGCACGAAGCCCGACGTTGTGTTGGCCGCGAAAGATTCGGATGACGTCGCGAGGGTGAGCTGGCCGGGCTGCAGGTCTGCATCGTGTTGGAAGCTGATGGGAGAACGAGGGGCTCGTGAGTGTGAAATTCTTCAGCTCGACAGTAAAACACACTCACGCTACATTCCACCACCACTGACGTGCCTTGCCCTTCTCAGAGGCAGGGTCACTATCTCCTCCTGCGGGCAACCAACCACCGCCCGCTCTATCGGCAAATCGTATAGCTCCTCTTCGGGCGTGATGTTTGGCAATTTCTCGCAGGCCGTCGTGAAGCTCGCGCGGCGCAGCGTCGATTGGAATGTTTAGGTTGATTTGCGCCATCTCAGAGGCGGACGATGGCTGGAGCAGCGAAGAGGCTGACGACGAGCCGGTGGCCATGGAGGAGGCTGAGGCTGAAGCTGACGCCGCTGTGGCGGCTGGGGGGACATCAGCAGCAGTTGCGGTAGGCGCAGCCTGTGCTACTGTCTCCATGATGTCCGCCATGGCCAATGTCTGTAGATGATGATAATGATGTGGTCAAGAATCAACGAGGGCCGAGTATATGCCAGCCACTCTCCATCATGCGCAGATGGTTGTGCGTGTTTGCGTTGTCTTTGATGCTCCAACTGAGACCTCAGTGAAAGCGAGATGCTGTGTCTGTGATCTGACTGAGGGCAATCGACTGACTGTAATCTTAGACCTTGAGGAGCGGTGAATGTGATGGAGCGTGATGAAGGTGAAAGAAGCCAACTCTACCCGGTCTTTCATCCACCTCCATCTCGACCGGCCCACGCGGAAAGGAAATGGCCATGGCTTGTGCGCTGGGCCATTTGCAACCCACGTGGCTGCCGATTTGCAAACGGATGGCGAGCCTCTGTGGCTTGGTCAGGTCACTCGAGCTTCACACATGAGCTGCAAGAAAGCAGGATTTGGCCGCATTTCCCAAGGCGAGCCCAGGGCCATCGGGAGAAGAGTTTAGCTGCCGGCCGTACCTTTGTTTGACTCCTTCCCTTCGCCCCATCCCCTCTTCCTTCTTCTTTCCACCACTGCCTCCTCCTGCAAAACGAGCATCAAGATGCTGGACAAAAGTCAGTCCAATGCGCTCGTCTATTCAGCCCTGTCGGCCTTCTTCCTCGTGGGCATGTTCGCAGGATGGAGGGTTCGTAACAAGAACGACTTCCTCAGCGGCATCCGCACGCAGAGTGGTGCGTTCTTCAGAGTGCGACGCCGCACATCTCTCACGAATGACGCTCATCTCACCACCCTCTCCCTTTTTCATCTTCAGTCTTTCCTCTGACTCTCAACTGGATCGCGTCGAGTTAGTTGCCTTAGCGCACCACGGTCCCATCAATCTCATCCCAGCAGCCTTAACGGCAAAGGCGTAGCACAGCATCGGTAAGAGATCTCCATACCCCACCCGTCTTCACAAAAGCTTCGTCACCTTTTCCCTGGCCTCGTCACTTGGCTATATCCGTTGTCGCCGGCCACGGTACGACCTGACTCTTGACCTCACCTCTAGAAGCCGCGCTCATACTGTCGTCGCGCGGCGACATGGTCTCTTGTCCACTGGCCAGGGAAAAGAGCTTAGCTACGGGTGCCTCTTCCCCATTTCGTGGGACTTGGCTGAGATTATACCGTCAGTCTACCTTCGTCATCGCCTCGTGCGCTACGAAGTAGGCTAAACCTGAACACGATAATGCGTGCGAAGGGAAGCTGCTTGCTCAAACATCGACGATCTGCGCGGGGCTACGATCGACTTGGCACCGCCACCGTCTTCATTGTCTCGCGTACTTCGTCGATACAACCCCTCTTCCCTCCCCTCGCCCTCTTCCTGCGAGACGTGGCTCACTGACGGCTGTTTCTCCCTTCTTGTCCCCGCAGACATGAGCTCGTCTCTCCTCTTTGGCTATCCACAGCTAGCTGTCATCCCTGAAGCTGGCATCCTCGGACTCGCGAGCTACTGTTTCGCTACCGTGGTTCCCCTGTGGTTCTTCGCATGGGTCGGCCCCTACATCCGTCGACTCTGTCCAGATGGCTTCACCCTCGCCGAGTACTTCCGCAGGCGATACGGCTGGCCCATCGGTGTCCTCATGGGATTGACATTCGTCGGCTTCATGTTTTGCTTCATGCTTGTCGAGCTCAACACATACGGCTCCGTTGTCTCCATCCTCTCCGGTGGCACCGTCAACCCAACGATTGCCGCTCTCATCGTCGCAATTACCACGACGATCTACACTGCCTACGGAGGATTCAAGGCATCGCTCTGGACTGACAATGTCAACGCCATCATCATCTTGATTGAGATCATCATCGCCGCCATTGCAATTGGCGTCAACATCGACATTAATCACGACACCATCGAGGCGTCAGGCCTCCTGAGGCCCCAGAGGCTAGGCGGCGAGCTTTGGTACATCCTACCCGTTGCTCTCGTTGCAGGTCAAGTGCTCAATCAAGGCTTCTGGCAGCGTGCGTTTGCCTCGAAGAACGACAAAACGCTTTACTGGTCCGTCGGTCTGGCCACTGTCCCTCTGTTTGCCATCTGCTTCCTGGTCGGCATGACGGGTCCTCTCGCCTGGTGGGCAGGTCTTTTCAACGGTCCGACCTCTGAGGACGATGGCTCGAGCAACTTCTTCTACATCATTGCCACGCTACCCAACTGGGTCGCCGGCTTCGTCCTTGTCCTCGCCTCCGCTCTCACCAGCTCGGCGTACGACACCTTCCAGTCTGCGCAGATCTCGACGATCTACAACGATGTCTTCCTTGGCCGACTGAACATTTGGATCTGCCGAGGCATTCTCATCGCCATCAACGTCCCCTCGGTCGTCCTCGCCGTCAAGAATATCGACATCCTCGAGGTCTTCCTCATTGCAGACATTGCCGCCGCCGCGATCCTCCCCGGTGCGCTCCTCGGTCTCATCAAAGAACTCTACTTCCTCAACGGCTGGGACGCCTTCTGCGGCGCTTTCGGAGGCTTCTTCACCGTCTTCGTCTTCGGCGCCATCTTCTACCGCGACGCCTACGAGGGTCTGCGCCTCATCATCCTGCCCAACGGCCTCTACATCGACGATTACAGCGTTCTCGGCGCCTTCTTTGCCGCTCCTCTCGGCTCACTTGGCTGGACTTTCGTCGGCTTTGGTCTGCGCTACGTTGCCACCTGGATCTACTGCCGCCTCTTCGGCGGCGACTGGGAATTCCACAACCCCATGCGCTACCGCGAGTTCGACACTTCGCAGTTCGTCCTCGACGAGGACCGACCGATGTCGTCGTCTAAGTTTGCCAACTTCTTCAAGGGGTCGGGCAACCCAGAGGATGGGCATCGCCTCGATCACACCAAGTCTGGCTCCGACTCTGACAATGCGATTGAAAGCCCCAAGTTTGAGTCGGTGCTGCACCAAGACTACCATGACTCGCGACCCTTGAGCACAGCCCACAGTGAGGGAGCGGACGCCATCGGTACGGCCAAGTGAGAGTCAGAAGGTCCCAACGACCCTGCTCTCGTCCACATAGTCACCACACGCTCGCGTCGACAGATTCAACTCTGCGCACACAAGCGCTTTCCCCCGTGTCCCCCCTCTCTGCTCGCTTTCTTGTATCCCTTAGTGTTACCCTACCCACAGCTCTGTTCCTCGCATCTCGCAATATCTATGACGTGTCCTCTTGAGCTTGAAGCCGTGCCATAGTAAGCTAGGAGCCTTCGACGCGAGAAGCTCCCACGCCCCGGCATCACCATGATCGATGCGCTAATCGGCGTGCCATGATCAGGACTAGCTTTGTTTGGCGACCGGCTGGTTGCACATTCATCGGCCGTCTCCCTAACCTTTGGCGTACCGGGCCTCCATCATGCTCTACGCCTGGCCGAGGTACGGGAAACGCTCCCCAATGAGCTCATGGTCCCCTCGCCTCGTTGCCGCTCACCGATCGATCCCGCGTCCCCTGGGCGCATTCACGCTCGGACCCCCCGCGTCGAAAGTCGCCAAGCAAGCGAGGCCCCGCAGGCAGCAGCAGCAGCAGCAGCGGGCGCAGATGCAGAGCGTCTTTTTCGACCTCCTCCTGGACTTCTCCACTCGCATCATGTCGGAGCCAGGAGTGGGCGCTCGACGCTCGAGCAACTCATGATGGTGACGCACGCACAAGCAGCAGCAGCAAGACACAGGCGAGCTAGGCCGAGATGATCGACGACGAAGAAGACGATAGAGAGACGCCCAGTACCTCGGCGAGCGCCCTCCTGTTTGCTCTGGCCATGCTCCTCTTGGTCCGGGTGTCTGATGTGAAATCAACTGCCGACCGATCGGCAGACTCAAATGGCCCATGCGCCGCGTTGGAGGGCACGTCGACTGTGTCGTACGGCCCTCATGCACCTCTATTCTAGCACCGGCCCCCGCCTTCGTCCCCGCAATGCGAACGAGTCGTCGAGACGACGACGACGACGCCAATGATGCGTGTCCCGCTCCCTGCTCTCGAGCCTCTTGCGAAAGGGATTCCTTGTGTGCCTCCCCGTTGTCTCCACTCTTTGTCTCCTTACTTGCTACCACCATTGCGGCCTACATTAGAAGAGCTTCGCAACCATGGCAGTGAAAGAAATTGGACAGGCCGAAGGTGAGCAGCAACAGCGCGTCGCTACGATGATGCTCAAATGCAGTGAGCTGACCTGGCTTTGCTGACCCACATCGCAGTGAGCCACCCCGACGGCTACGTTGGCAACCTGACAGACGAGCAAGACAAGAAGCTCAGAGAAGCATGGAAGCAGTATTTTAGGTGCGTACGCATTTGGGGGACTCGGCCGTGGTAGGGCCAAGAGCTGACGGGTGCGCAATGCCTGCCTCGCTCTCACAGCATCCTCGACAAGGCCAAAGGTGGAGGCAAGAGCGGCGGAGGTGGCGGTGGCGGCGGCGACGGAGAAGGCTACTCGGACGACCCCAAGAAGTCTGGTATCGCCAACGATGACAAGGCCAAGGATGAGGCAAAGGCAAAGGAAGAGCAAAAGGCCTTGAATGAGCTGACGGAGCAGTACGGCCAGGAGGCTCTCAAGGAGTGAGCAAAAGCGGCAGAGCGATGCGCGAGACGCCAGGGGCGCAAGACTGACGCCTACACCCAACTCACTCTTACCCGGCCCACAGAGCCTTCTGGAAATTCATCAAGCTCGACGACCCTGACACCTGTATCCTGCGCTTCCTCCGCGCCCGCAAGTGGGACGTTGACCGAGGCATGGCAATGCTTGCCGGCTGTATGAAGTGGCGTCTCGACAACGGTATCGAAGACCTCGCTCTCCAAGGTGACGAGGGCAATGCCAAGATTGAGAAGTTCCTCGAGCAACAGCGCTCCGGTAAGACGTACGCTTTCGGTGCTGCGAAGAATGAGTGCCCTTGCTGCTACATTCATGTGAGGAAGCATTTCACCAAGGGCCAGCCGGCGGAGTCGATGCAGAAGTACGTGGCCTACGCCATGGAGAGCTTCCGTCTCCTCCTTGTCCCTCCCAACGACAAAGTGGTCCTCTTCTTCGACCTCAACAAGTTCGGTCTGGCCAATATGGACTGGGGCTGTATCCTGTACATCGTCAAGTGTCTCGAAGCCTACTTCCCCGAGTCCCTCCACACCCTCGTGGTCTACAAGGCTCCCTGGATCTTCTCTGGTATCTGGAAGATCCTTGGCCCCCTCCTGGACCCCACCGTCCGCTCGAAGGTAGTCTTCATGTCCAAGCCTGAGGAATGCGCACACTTGCTACCCGCCGACCGCCTCATCGCCGAGCTGGGCGGCGATGTCGACTTCGACTTTACAAAGGCGTGGCAGGAGCCGCGCGATGGAGAGAACAAGGTTGACGAGGAAGAGAAGAAGAAGCGCCAGGACGCATTCCAGAAGGTGGCAGATGAGTACGAGGAGGTAACCAAGAAATGGGCCGAGGGAGACAGCAGCAAGGAGCTCCTCGACAAGCGCCTCATCCTCGTCAAGAAGCTGCGCGTTGCTCAATTCGAGAAGGAGCCTTTCACCCGAGGTCGCACCCAATTGCACCGTGATGCCACGATCGACGGGCAGGGCATTGTCACCTGGATGTACAAGCAGAAGAACGGTGAAGCCATCCGCCACATCGTCGGTCGCAAGTTCTGCGCCGCTGTGATCAAGCGCGAGCTCAAGGAGATCGAAGAGGAAGGCATGTCAATCAAGGACGCCGAGAAGAAGACGGACGACGCGCTTGAGAAGCAGGACTGGGTCACCTTGTATGGGTCTGAGGAGATGGCCAGAAACATCGAGGGCTCGCGCGTAGACGGCGAGACGCCCGAAGAGGGCGAGAAGACCCCAGCTGCTATCACCGTCGTCGGCGTGCCCGCCGGCACCCTTGCTGGTCCCGCAGAGGGAAAGACGCTTACCGCCGATAGTGGTGGGGGCGCTGCGCAGTCCAACGGCGACAGCAAGAAGGCGGACAAGAAGGACGATAAGAAGGAAAAGAAGGATGACAAGAAGGGCGAAGAAGCAGCCGCGGGTGCAGGCGCTGGCGCTGCTGCGGGTGCAGGTGGCGCAGCGGCGGCTGCCGGGTCTGGTGAAGCGTCGAAGGACGAATTCCACGATGCGCCCGTCGCAGACAAGAAGACGGTAGCCAAGGCCGAGTCCAAGGACCACATCGCTGTGCCTCACGATGAGAAGGCGGACAAGGCTGCGAACGGCCATCCGCAGAACGGTGACGCTGCCCCTGAAGCCAACGGCAACGGCGATGCCGTATCCAAGCAGAAGAGCAACGGCGGTGCCTCGGACTACGGCAAGAGTGGCGACGGTGGTCCGGGTATCAAGGAGAAGGCTAAGGCCAATTTGGTCGACAAGCCGAAGGAGAAGGGCTCGTCGCTGGGCAGGAGGTTCAGCAAGTTGATGAGCAAGAAGTGAGGAGGAAGATACCTGTTGCGTGCATTCGTCGTCTTCGTATAGCTTCTTGTACCTCTTTTTGTGGTGCGCAATTGGATTTCGATCAAATTTGACAGGCTCATCAGTCGCTGTGCGTGCCAAGGAGAGGTCAGGGGAATTTGATCAATGACATTGAATGGAAGGCTTGAATTGCTAGAGCTTCGCGTTCGCCGAAGCCTTGATTTGGGGAACACCTGTCACTCAACGCCTCCACAACGCGAAGCTCTCACGCCCAACCACGAGTCGTCGCAGGGTCCAAGGACGAGACTCTGTCATCCTTTTGATTGCCCTCTTTTCGCATCCAACAGCATTTCAAGACTACAGGCTACATCACCGTACACTTCTTGTAGGCATGATTGAATTCAGGGGTGAGCTGCTTTGAATCGTCTCAACGACACTGGCGGCAGGGAAAGAGGGTGCGTGGACTCGCGACTGACATCGACATGCCTGCCACCAACTGCTTCGTCCTGGTCACTCGCAGTCACAGGTCAGTGTACACAGCATCGACGCATTTTGTGTGGCTCTGATACCCGACTTGACGCTAACCTCCACACATGCCGCGCTGACCCACCGCAGGCGTCGTCCAGGGAGTAGGCTTCCGGTGAGTAAGATGCTGCGAGAACGAGACCAGGTACCAAGGATCGGGAGGGAAGATCGAGGGTCGGAGGGGCCAGAGGGAGGGGGG